ACACATAGCAATCAGTGGCCTCGTTATGAGTGCGGTCGACCTGTATACCATTTACAATTGTCAGCATCGTTGAACCCAACGTCGACACGCTCGTCACCGCCGATCAATCCTCTTTGTCTGTACGGTCAGCATCATCAACATGAACCTGTTTTCTGGAATGAGATGAGACGTTTGTAAATGACGATGGCCATGTTGATATCATATCATTCTCCTACATGTAAAAAGACCCCCAAAGGTCATCATCAAACAACATTGGCCATTGGCCCTTTGGCCCCCTGTCTCATGCTGTGGCAACAACCACTGGCATCGCGAGCGCACAACCACCATCACCACCACTGCCACCACCCTTTTTGCCGGTTGGGCCATTGTCGTCATCATCATCATCATCATCACCTTTGGGCTGCTTGGTTTTGCAACCCGGGTCCGCCGACCCAACATCGTCGTCGTCGTCGGTCTCATCATCATCATCCTCCTCCTCCTCTTCCTTCTCATTCTTCTTCTGCTGGGCCTTCTTGCCCCTGCGAGTGCCTTTACCCCTACCAACGCCCTTAAAATCGATGCCCATTCTTTGGGTCTTCTTTCTCAAACGCCGGACTTGTTGGTGACTAGATTTTTTGGGGAGTACCTCTATTAGTGACACAGAACACATGCGCTGCTTTGCAAACACACACACACACACACACACAAAGGAGAAGACTGATACTCACAGGGTTCTGGCATTCACGCCAGGGTAAGACTTGCCGAGCTCGGCATAGTCCAGGGGGACGACCGCTGGAGAAGACGAAGAGGCATTGGTAGAGGCCATGATGCGCCTCAAGAGTTCGACTTCGCGGGGGGTGAGAGGCCCGGTGGAGTCATTGCCCTTGCCTTTGCCCTTCTTTGACTCGGTCTTCTTCTTTTGACTACCCATTTTGTCTCGGTTGTCGACGGTTGTCCGAGGGAAAGGAGAAGAAAAGTCGAGAGGTTTGTTTGTTTGAGAGGTGTGAAAAGTGTGTGAAAAATCAAGGGAAATCTTTGAGACAACCAGGGCCGTTTCTGAGGCGTGACTGTCGAATTGATTGACACCACAAGGACCTCCTTGACTGATTTCCGGGCTGTGAGACAACAAAACACACTCGATTCTTGATCTTTGGCTCTCTCGTGAAGTTTCGTGAGTCTCTCTCAAGATTGCCAAAAGCCAAAAAGAGTGAAAATGAAGACATTGTGTGGAAGAAGCGCTGCCTGCAAGCAGTGCTAACCTCGTTCGGCGGGCTTATTGAATGCCTCACTCTCTCGGCGCTCGCTCGCGGGGGGTTGTCTCGCTATTCATGGTGACAAGCTGTTTCGTGAAGCATTCATAGAGACATCAATAGGGAAAAAAAAGAGACAAAAAGGATACATGAAGGAGCGTTCGAACAATGCAAAAGGCCGTGGGCACAGGTGACAGTCATGGACAGAATACTCGCTTTTGTATCCCCGAGCCAGCAAAAAGGGCCTTTGCTATTGTCAAGCCATGACACCAACGACAATAGCTAGCTGACTGACTCGCCGGCTGGCTGACTACTCATTCGATCCAATGGACACCTCATTCATGTCGAGCAGCTCCCTACCTATCAAGTCAGGTATTCATGGAACGCTAAGGTTCCTGATGTTGTCCTGAGCGTTTCAAAAATGCCAACCGACTGGGAAGGATAGCGAAGAATCAACCTTGCATGGCCTCGTCTCTGCAATTCGGCCTGGTCCCAGCAAGAGAATGGATTCATCATGCAAGACCCCTCCGGCGGTATCACAAGAATATCCCGTGTGCGTTGAAGGATGTCGATCGGGGAATGACGCAGTTACCATTTTCCCGTCCAGCAAGGGCAGCGTCTCCGTCTTTCGATTGGGAAGCGTCATTGTCTACTTACCGGCGCATGGTCAAAGGTCCAAAAAAAGTCGTAGAAACGAACCTTGCTACCGACGGCACGACGCTCGCAGCTCGCTTGGAGAGCTTCCGGCAAACTCGGTTCGTGAGTTTTCGGGACGAATTTCCAAGCTCGACGACTCGTCGATTTGTCTGATCAGATGAGTTACCTACCTGGCGACGATGGAAACCCCAGAGCGAGCGAGTTTGCATCGCATCGGCAGCACCTCCAAAAGATCCCTTTTCCGATCGTTCAACGGGGGCGAGCAGAGAATGAATGATCGCCGTTTATTACGAACACACACACACACACACACTGCGTCTCCTCCGATACCGAGGGCTGGGGAAGGGAAGTGGAATTGCGTTTCCCCCCTCCCTCCCGAGAAACCTTAGACGTTTGTTGCCAAGGGATTGAGCAAGTGCCCAAAAGATACAGTACAGGAGACGACAAGACAGGTGCAACAACAATAAATGGTGGAAATCAATTAATTCTGTGCCAGAAAACTGAACGGGTGCCAAACGATGCGCCCAGCAAGTAGCGACCCTCCGGGGGAGGTCAGACTTGTCTAGAAGTCGACAACGATGCCTTTTGCCAGTTGTCGGCCGCGTTACCGGCGATTTATCGTCTTCGTCTTTTCCGTTTCCGTTTTCGTACTTGGTGTACCTCGCTTGGATTTTGAGAGGGCATCGTCCATCGAGAAAGTCTTTTTCTTTGGGGGTAGGAACCCGATGTTCGGAAAGAGACAAAAGCTCCTTTGTGAGATGTAAACTTCACGTCAAGGCCCGACCGAGTAAGGCCGCCGAATCCGGCCTTCTTGGGTACCAGTTGCCCGTGAAGTCGGTCTACTGTACTAGTCCCGAGCACCTAATGAGCACCCAGCCTGCTAAAAGGAAGCACCTAGAAAAACACTCCAGGTTCGGGAACTTGGAGGGGAGGGGATGGTGTTTGTCTCAGTCTACTAGGAACAAACCTTAACGGGCCTCTTCCCTTCTGGATGGCGCCGTCAAAAGACTCTTTTTTTTTACCTCTGAGAAGTCTGGCTTCGTCATAACATGCAATGCAGTGTTGGTAGTTACACAGCCCACTGGGCAACGGCCATCTCCGCGAAAGAACTGCTCTTGGACAGCGAAGCCGTGTGTGCGTGGAAAGTTGGGAATTACAGTTCCAGGGCTCTCGCCTTCGCTTATTAGAGTGTGAAGAAAAAAATTGTTGTGCCCCCCCTCCCCCCCCAATTTTGTACGGAGTAAATCATCACATGTTACATCACCATCCCAAACGGGGGAAGATGGCGGAGGATCTTCAGTTGTCGAGAGAAATAAGAAAAGGGCAACAAACAAAACACACACGCTATTCTCGATTGCCCGAAAAGAGCATAACGATCCCTATAGGTAAGGAGTACGTGCTGGCGACGTCAGGGTTATTCCCACACAAGAAAGGTAATGGGTGGTGCACACACAGAATGGGAAGAGGGGCCGAGAGCTGTCAGAAGGATTTTTATCCAGTTGTAGGTAGCATTGCAGGTGCAGGGGGGTGTGGAAGAAGGGGGAGATGAAGGTGACGGCATGGCTTTTCTTTGTTTCTCTCTCTCTGTGTGTGGTGTATGGAGTATGTTTTTTCTCCCACCTTGTTTCAACATGTGAGTTGCCGTGTGTGGTGGATTGATGGATTCATGGATGGATGGATGGATGGATGGGCGTGCAGGGACTTGAAATGGGCAATAAATTTAATGCAGACCCCTGTAACCTGGATACCTACAAGTAAGATAGACGCACGGAGTAACTACACCTGGGCACCCAACGCCCGCGAAGGCCCTTAGTGCATGGTGGATGGTGCATGGCGCAATGGTTGGGAAGGTGTTGATGTCAAGAACGGAGTGTCGGATGGCGACGACCGCTCGGCCTGGACTGATGGACCGTCCCACGCAGGGCATACATAAGTAAAATGGTGATAATTATGCAGTAGCTTGTCGATTAGTCTGGCAGCTAGGAATGCAAAAGAGGCACACCAACGAACGACCCGGAGAGACGAAAAGAGACTCCGGACGAGAGCCCAAACGGCGGCAGTCGGTCGGGGCGGTTCAGAGTTTTGGGACGAGGGAGATCCATGATCGGCCAGCCCGAAATGATATTTTGTGTCTACAATCGCTAGCGCTCCGTAAAATGCCACGTGGAAAATTTTCGACCCCATCGAGAGCTGCATGTTCCCATGCAGGTGGTAGCGGGATTGTAGGATGGTAGGGTTTTGCCCAGGGTTGTGCCTTAGGGGGGGAAGGGGGGGTTCCGCCCAAGTGGTACCCGTGTCCCTTTTTGACTCCGAAGTCTGCCGCCCATGCGGGCGCGGGTTCTTGAAAATCGAGCCAGCCCGAGCAATCGAGGAAAATGGAGGGGATCGAATCGACGAAACCCGACCATCCAGCCCGGCAGCAAATCGAGAAATAATACGAGGGATCGCGACAAAATCGGTTACAATGTTCCCAAGCTTTTGGCGGTTTGGCGGGTTTTCCCCATGTCTATCTATCGCTAGGTAGGTTTCTCCCACGTGTTGCCTAGCAGGTCGATGGACCAGGGGAGAGAGTTGAATCACACCACAATCCACAACCTGTCAAGACGTACACACATACAAACCTCCTTCCTACTTGTACGGTATGGAGGGGGGCTTTGCCAGGGTCGGTAGGGGGGAAGGAGAGGTGCTAAAAAAGTACCAAATAATGACAAGAAACAGTTTCTGTACTTGCCCGTGTTGGTTTGGAACAATAATGACACCCATAAGGTGCTTCCGCGGTCAGTGACAGACGTCAAAAACAAAAAATCCTACTTCGCAAGCCCATCTCTACAGTAGTTGCAGAAAGACCCAATCTCCACCAGAAACCGCACTCATGACCCTTGGCATTAGCCACGGCCTTTCCGCTTTGGGACCAAGAAATACATGCCGGATGATGTGCAGCCTGCGCTCAAGACCAGAACCCGCGTCCTTGTCCCAATAGACTGGTAACTCAGTGGATGCCCGTCGCTTTCCGACTTGGTGGGCCGTGGTGCTCGCGTGGTTTCCCTTCTCCAAAATTGCCTCGTGGCAACCTACAGTAGTTCGATGCTTTAGCTCCTCGACCTGAGTGCCATAGCTCAATACGAAAGACAAGCGACCCAATTCGGGTTCGTAAACGTATGGTACAATCTATTTGGGGCGTCTTCCGTGTCTCGGCGTCAAATAATGTACATTTTCGGTTCCCTGATCTGGAGGGACCGGCAGCATTTCTTCTGGTGGTTGTAGATGTAGCTGGTCTAGCTGCTGGGAAGCCAGGCCGTCAGTATCCATCGTGAATCCCATACCGCTGCTCATGAAGAAGCACGTCCGTCCGTTGTAAATGTCCTTTTGTAGTATGTCCAAGAATGCTAGCAACACAAAACGCCACTGCCATAGTCATACGATGCAGTAAACCGGCGCGCCCATGCCCATCCTCACGCGTTTCCCTGTGGTTCCTGTCCCTTTGACAGTCGCTATGCCGCTTGAACGCAGATGACGGGCGGAAAAATCAATGCAGAATGAGACTCGTAACATGACGGTGCTGCTTGTGCCGCACCATTTCTCCGTCTTTTCATCACTTAGAAGTGCTTTCGACTGTGTGCACCTAAACATGGCCTTTGACCAGAGGAGCCTGGCACACATACTACCATCCTACACAGGGGTTTTAGCCACACCTCACTCCTAAACCGTAATTTTTTTCCTGGCCGGATTAAACGATCCTGTTTGCGGAACCGCAAGCCGTGTAGAGTAGCATCTCTGCATTTCTCGGGGTCTCTCGGACCCAGACACTGCCCAGTATTCCGGTTCACTTAGAACGGCGTATGCTCTGGTGTTCGGTGGCCTTTTTCATGTCGTTTCATATTACTCCGCACGCTGAAGCTTTTGCCGCAACCCGCATAGGTGCATGTGTACGGTTTCTCCCCGGTATGGGAGTGCGTATGGATCTTCAGAGAGCTAGGTCTCGAGAACGGCTTGCTGCACGTAGGGCATATGTAGCGTTCTTGGGGCTGAGGCGGAAATGGGGGTGGATTTCCAGGTGGGTAGTAATGGTGATGTCGCCAGACCGGTCCCATTTGAGCATCGAGTGGAGGCAAGCTGGGCCCTGGTACAGGTACAGGTGGTGGAAAATTGGTTGGTAGTGGCATCTGCTGTGGATGATTATTGTATAAGGCTGCTTCAGTCGCAGGATCGCGGAATGCTGTCGGTGCCGGGGCTCGAGCGTGTCCATCAAGATGCATAGGATCGTGCGGCGGCGGCCTCGTAGAAGATGTCCACTGGTTTCCTTCGGCTATAGGAGGGTATGGTGGAGGATGTGTATCGACCGCCATGGGAGGATAATGAGGCGGCCTTTGGGTGTAAAGCTCGGGATTTGTGCTTGCAGGGCCAGAGGAGTAGTGGTGGTTTCGTCCTGGCGCATCTTTTGGCGAATAACTCATAGGCGACGGGCGAGAAAAGTCGAAACTGGACGCCGGAGGCAGCTCTGGCGTGGGAAGGGGAGGACGACGAGGGCTTTCGGAAATGGCTTGTCTCTCGGGGCTTGTGTTATAGCCTTGAGAACTACTGGAAACTCTGCGAGGAGGATGGTCAAATATCGGCGAGGGCAATTTGTCTTTTCCTGGGTCTGTCAGTCTCATGTAACGATCGCGTTCAGTGGCAGACTCACCCTTCTCGTTCCCCGCCGATACGGCCTCAATGAGGCTGGCGATGGAAGGGAGGACGGGCCCGTCTTTCCTCGCTTCTCCCATCGCTGTGTGGGCAAGGAGGGACGCAGGAGACGGGAGAGGGCTATGTAAGTTTCGACTCGGATGATGACTTGGTGGTAACACTAAGGCCATATCATATGTAGTCGACGCAACAATGCAATGCTGCGGCGACAGGGTATTAGACTACAGCAGGCTAGAAGGCGCGAGTCTCAGCCGACAACCCAGTGACTGACGAAGATATAAAGATGTATCGACGTTGGTATGGTCGTGAAAATGCTTTGGGTCGGCAGAGGCAACTTTTTGTGAAGTCCGCTATGGCGGAAAGAGGGGAGATTGCGATATGGTCTAATATTTGTTTCCTGGGACTGACTCGACGTGGGTCCGCCGTGGTCGTCGAGATGATCCGAGACTCACGAGAGGATAGGAGTCTTAGCGGGTAAGTGACAACGGGGAAGTTTAAGAAGAGGAGAAGGGCAGTGAGTGTGTGAAGATGGTCTGGAAAGTCCCGCTGAGTGGGATTGACAGTTGTGACGTTGTCCAGGAGCAGGGCCCGATATGGCAAAGCAGGCTCTGGATGACAGCCGGCTTGACGAGTCGCTTGAGGAGTGAAAGGCCGTTGGATGAAAGGGAAGTTTGGTCGGAGGAGGGCCACCAATTGAACCAAGTGCCTCCGAAGCGAAGGTTCGAGAGGTGAAGGATCGTCAGAAGGAAAGATGAAGAGAAACCAAGTGCTTGAGCGGGGCCGCGGGTGGTGTTTGCTGGTGGTCGTGGCCTGTGGTGCGGATCCGGCAAAGAACGGAGTCGGAGCTAGTGCTTGAGCATGCTGGCCTAAAGGGTAATTTTTGTTCGTTCAGCGGCAGGCCCTGTTGATACGAGAGCGCGTCGATGCAGGCGTGAGATGTGCAGGCTTGGTGGAAGATCAAAAGTGGGCGAGGGGTGAGTTTAAAGACGCCGCCGTCCGGCCGTTGGCAGAGAGAGAGTGTGCCACGCAGGAATGGAGACCCTGGGAATAACGTACATACGCCGCCGAGGCCAGGGGTGGCTTTTAGTAGATGTCGACACCCGGCTCTAGTGTCCAGAGGAGCTCATCTGGATGACCAGGCCACTTTTGCTGCCGGACGGTTTTAGTTTGTGGTGGTGGGTGTTGGTGGTGCTGCTGATGGTGCAGCTGCGTGCGCGCGTGGTGCGTGCGTGTAGGAGCTAACACGGCAAGGCTATGGAGGGGCCCACGATGGCAAAATCAGGCTTGCGTCTGATGGACCGAGATCTGGAGAACAGTCGAGGTAGTTCCGTACACTTGGTAATTTTACTGTCCAAGCACCATCAGACCATAGGAGAGGGCGGGTTTGGAGGTGTGCCGGAGGGTCGTGATGATTTTCGCCTTCCCGACGATCCGGGCCAGATTTTCAACTGTACGTACGAAGGAATAAACGACACCTTTGACAGCGTCTGGACGACAACAGGGAGTGTATTAGTCTGCACAGGCTGAATCTGGAGGAGAGAATGAGGAAGAGAAAGGAGTAGGACGAGGAGGAAAAGATGGCTCGGGTATGCTCGGTCCGTTTGCGAATGCCAGGGGAGGGTCGCAGCAGGTCTTTGGCCGGTCGACAGCAAGATGATTTGGGTGGGATCCAGCAACAAAAAACAATAATAAACAATAAAAAATGGTAGTAGGAGTAATAGATGGTGAGCAGGGTTTGGGCTTGTAAATCCACGGCCCACCAGTGACGATGTTGGGTGGGATGGTTGACTACGGGCGGTGGACATGCGAGATACAAGCGACAGTCTGCTGAAGGAGAGGAGAGCAACGGACAAGACTTGACAGGCCAACTGACTCCACGAGCAGAGATCAAAGAGGGCAGGACGAAGAGTATCTAGCGCTGAGTTAGTTTTCGTGATCTGGTCCATTCGTTGTGCTCCGTACCTGGGTCGGTAGAAGCGCTCACTCGAGTAGTCCTGCCATGTTCTAACAACCGTCACCAGGCAGTATCCAGTTGCGAGTTGCGAGTTTCTCCTGGAGGGTGGGATTTCCTGCTACTAATTGCAGTAAGGCGTGACAAGGAGCAGGACGCAGGGAGCAAGGAGCAGGGCGCAGGCGTGGCCATAGCCAGTGTATCATCAAAGGCAAATAAGCGAAAACGAGGCTTCAAGCGACGGCTGACAACAAGCCAGGTACGAGGTACATTACGGAGTTCAGGTGGTATGTACGGAGTATATGGTGGTGGTATTATGGCTTTGAGGTCAGCTTGCGGTCAATACTGCGTAGAAGGACAGTAATGGCAACCGCGAGGAAGCTGAAAAGTGGCCTGCTAGCTGCGTCTGGACTAGACGCTGAAATTCAACCGGACTGCCGAAGCACGAACAGCGATCAGTGCGGCAATCGCTGTTGGTTAAAAGGCCTTGGGGGCCCTTGGGGGAATCGCGCCCTCCACTTGGGCACAGCTAGGCCTGCCCCAAGCTGTGCGTAAATGGACCGGTTAAGCTTCACTTTCCCAGAGCAAACTCGAGAGTCTCGCTAGGCCAGGATCAGGGTACGAGAGGGAGGGCAAGGCATGGTCTCGTTTATTGCACTTGCAACGCCTACTGAGGAGTAGCTGGTACAAGTAGCCGATTGGTGTTGTTTATTATTCATGCAAACAATACGGATTCAGTACGGAAGAGTGACACGGCATATCATCCCCGTTCTGAGGAGTTGTTAAGAACATTAGTATACGAGCCTCTGCTGGCCTGGCCCGGGTGAGCCTGGAGATCTGCCCTGTAGTAAGTTTCGACACCTGTCTCAACCTGATGTTGGTGTCATACAATATGCAATCCAATGCCCCTAAGGAGAATGAGCAACCTGTCTGATCCCGGCTACACCGATCAGGAGCCACAAAGATCTCGGCCTATCCCAACGCCTCCTTTCCCTAACCATGACCGCTGCATGTCTCGTGCTGCTCCTAGAGAACTTACCCTGGCCCACTGTTTCTCGTATTCTACAGAGTCTGTCTTCCGTACAGCTGGATACAAGCAGCCTTACGGAGTAGAGCATCCCTATTGCTGTCAGCTATTAAGTTGCTGTTCCTGACAAAGTCGACTGCAAGCGACCAGAACCATCACCGCGACACCGAAGCAGACGACAACAGAGCCTGGACATTATTAGCGACATTTGAAGCTCGGATCAAGTGAGCATCAATCAGCCCTTAGCATTGCCCCTAGCAGCGACCGATCAGGCTCGCTTAAACCCTGGCCCGCCCATCACTCCAATAAGCAGACGTCGGAGATTATGCGCATGACATAACGACTAGGCGGTGCCGTAACTCGCTCAGGAAGGAAAAGGGAAGAAGCTGCCGAGTGAAGCACATCATCAAATTGTAACTTCCAGAAGTATTATTATTATTGCTACCGAGGGATCCTCGTCGATCTGCGTAGGCAACTGCGTAACCCGTATTTCATTGTTTTCTCGTGTTCATACAGTAAGGAATACCAGCACTGCTTGCACATCTTGACCGTCCAGTACTCGTATTTATTATTTCACCTCCTTCGTCTTCCCTGACGTCGATATCACAGATCGTGGAGGAGTAATCCCTGTCCCTTGTTTCCTTTTCTCAACATGTACTCCGTACTACTCGTACTGCTTCTCTGTCGAAGTGGTGACAGTGTACGAGCACAATAATACGAGCACTCTATTCTTGTATGTGCCAAGCTCATTCCTTGGACCATAATCTCTTAATTTGGTCCGGCGCTGATGCAGTCATCTCTGCCACCAAACACCCAAATAAAAGTCGGCCGTGCGAGTGCCCAACTCCACCCCTCCCATCCCATCCCAATCTTGACCAACAACACACCCCCTGCTGCCACGATCAACCACCTGAACCCCGGTTAGGGTCGTATTTTTTTTTGTCAAGATCCCCCGTCTCCAGCCACGCGCGTCGATCGTGTTGCACATGGTGCGTTTGATCGTCCCCCAAGCGTGCTCCCTCGTGATTTCCCATACGGCGGCCTTGTCGCGAAACTTCCTCAATTCAGGTTGCCCGCAATCATTTTTCTTTTATCGCCCCCTTGGATTGACGAGGAGTCACCATTTCTCCATACGCTCCATGTCTCCATGCCACGCCATTGCCATGCTTCTGCTGATTGTAGACGTGTCACGAGTTCAAAAGCGAGATGAACAGGCTCACGCCCTGTCCTCCGTCCATGAGACCGTGGTTTGAAGCCCTGGAAGGTGTCAGAGCTTGTCTCGATATGAGCACCGGAGCTGCCGCCACGATGGAAATTTTGGCACTTGCTCTCGCACTCGCCTCGCATTCCCGAGATGTGCACGCTTTCAGAGCTTTCATGACGGTGTATGTACATCGTACATCATGGTTCTCATCGCCCTGCAGCGCTACTGTCCCTCTTCGGGTAATAATGCCAGTCTTTGCGACCAAGGTGTGTGCGTGGAAATGAAGCACACTCCCGATGCCCCCTCTACTTCTCGTGGTCGGGCTCCGACGGCCGGTATGCGAACAAGACACCTTTGGTTTCCTACAGGCGGGCCAACTAGTTTACCCTCCCATAACGGCCTCGGAATGGCTAGACGGATAAAACTGGCAACCGAATTGTTATTGCTCAATCCGACATAGCTTTATTCCACTGCCTCGACCCAAGGGAAAGGAACCATCCCTCCGGAGGGTCAATGTGTTCAGCCACCACCGGATTGGCATTCTCTAGGTGCATTGCAACGAAATGGTAGCAGGGGTCAGCTGCAGGTAGCATGTGCATAACAACCCTTGTTGTTTTGTCGTCAGTAAAAAGCCATACCGGAAAGAAATGGTGGACAGGTTGCAGCGCCCCTCTCCGGAGCATTGGCCTCAGCCTCTTCACACTGCTTTGACTTGAGAGACGCCCAGTTCTACGTAGTAAAGGGAAGTATGTCCGCACCTAGTCTGTCAGCAACACCCGAAAGGGGTGCTTTCGTGCAGTGTGGAATTACCCATTCCTGCAAGGACCACGTGGGAGTCGTCAGTGGAAAACCCTCAAGGCATCACTAGGTACACCGTGCGAGGATCTTGACTTTGACTGTGGACAGGCACAACGCCACCCAGCCGATCGCTGGCCTGTCAACCCACGTAACCTTTCCTCTATCGTCCTAAAGAATGATCCAAACTTGCATATGCCGTCCTAATTTGTCTCTCTTTTAGGTTTGCTCAGAAAGCACACTGAGTGTCTTGCGAGAATTCTCAGAACAGAGTTCACTTCAACAGTGCCTTCTGGGTGAGTGTCTGTGGCGAACCTGGCTCTCGGCGGATGGGCGATGGTTCGGTGAAAATATCTCATCCTCTTTTCGGTATTTCGTAGGAAATTCGACCACTCTCACTGGTCACTTTCCCTAGATCCAAAGCACAAAGTCGCGAACGAAATTGTGATGGCTGGGATCGCCAGGGATGAGGTTTCAGTTCTTCGCGTCAGGTTTCATGTGGATGAGATCCTTGCATCATGGTGCATGGCTTAGCAAGCGTGGCCTCGGTAAGAGTTGACACTGTTCTGGGGGCACTTCTCTCACCCACACAACCAACTTCGTTTAGGCCTAGTTGGCCAGCCTAACAGGAGTTATGATTCCTTCTAGAAAGAAGACTTGGTACACAATCGCCCTAGAGCTCTCCGCCATGGCCTTCCTTCCACCTCTGACCGGTCCGGCACAGCCATTGTTTCGATGGTGCATGTCCTCGCACTTCGATTGAAGTCATTGCAACGCCACTACGAAGCAAGTGTGTATCCTAAAGCAGGGCCCGATGGAGCCCGTCGTTGTCAAACTCGGCCGTTGTTGGGCGTCTGGGCCTGACTCAACGGTGTGATCCTCTCTAGCCGTCCGGCTGTCAATCAGATCGCTTCGGCGGCGTCACCAACTGAGGGCATGGCAGCCCCGAAACACACAGCACAATCAGCTTGCAAGCCTGTTGCTGCAAATTACCCACGCCGCAAAACATGATAGTATTCTCATGACGCAGTTGTTATTTTACTATTGAACGCGGCAGGGGGAAAAAATAATACCTGCATCCCGAGCTCGTATTCGCCTATCCACCCCGTGGTCGGTTGCTCTCTATTTCCGCCGCTCCTAAATGGCACAGACCTTCGCTTAATTGACGCTGCCTGTGCGCCCGCAGCAAGAGTGGCCCTACCCTGTAGGAGCTGCCTTCTACGGAAGCCCTCGGGCCCACGGCTCTTGGTTACAAGTACAATTCTGGTTGACGTGTGTCAAATTTTGCTACTCCGTAACAAGACCTGCAGGTTGTCGGATCTGTCTCCCCACCGACCTGTTTCCACGTGGCAGCCATCCCTGCACATCCCGACGCCCCTGGAGAGTCCATCCGCTTGGCTTCTGGCCTCACCATATCCACTCCCTCAGATTGGCAGCCCGTCCCACGTTTCCTCTGCGCTCTTGAGCCGTCGCTAACGGCATCTCGATTCATCTTTGCACAGGAGCCACAGAGGTCAGCAGGCCCACTGGACTATTTTGCTGCCACCCGCTCAGGGAGTTCACGGGTGGTCAGGCAATTGTGAGAGATGGCGTGTGCTCGGCCAGACCTTCCAACCGAAGGCTTACTGAACCTTCCAATTGCCAATGGGCTCAATAATGATCTACCTGGGTGCATCAACCGTTGGCAAGTTCCGGAGTACATACAGGATACGAGTAGGTGGTTGTGCCTCCTACGGGCTGAACAGTGAAAGAAAAACTTTCATCCTTTCGACACCATCGCCCAACTGTGTCCACGTGGCTTGCGTCAAAACCGTAAATATGCGCTCACTATTCGCGCCGAATGACTTTGGCGTCGCTCGTTCGGATAGTCAGACTCACAAGCACCATTTATCGCGAGTCTTGTGAGACCTTGCCAGGGTGGTGACAAGGTTCCCATCAGCAGCGCTTGGGTATTTCCACCCGGACCGTTTCGAAATACACCGATCAGCGAAAACCCCCGGTATGCCGATGGGCCTCCCCAGCAATTTTCACGTACATTTCTAGCCTACGCATGAGACTACTTCGGCGTCTAACCATCTCGTTGGCTCACAGCAGAGTCACCGCTCCGAGGCGAGGCTAGACCTACTATTCTTCTTGCACTTTTGTAAGTAGCATTCTGAGTCTGGAAGCGCCCTTTGCGTGGCACCCATTTTCCAACCCGTCCTTCTCCTGCTTTCTGTCGCTTGGGAGCACTTCGTCAAGCAGCCAGGATCCTGGGAGGCATATTTATCAGTCATGACCCACATCGAGGCGTTGCATGCTTCACCCGACACTATTCGTACACTGTCCCATGATGGACCTGTTTACAGGGTCTAGAGCACTTACTTGCAGCATGTCACCCTACACACACCAGGCCAGCTGCAAGCTGCATCCCTTATTTCGCTTGTACAATTATCTTACGACCAGAAAGACTAGCCATGCAGGATATGGCACCACATGGAGTCCTTGTTGTTGCCCTATTACAAGGGATCCCCAGCAATACCAGAAGAACAACAACTGCCGTTGACTAGGATCATCTGTTGATGTTTGAAGTTGCACGTGAATTGTGAGGAGCCCCTGGGCTCTTGCGTTCACAGAGATCGATGATCGCTATGTAAGGTGCCTTTTTGTAGTAGCAATTCCGGACCGAACTAGGATATGCTGCCAAGTAGATGAACTCGGAGGACTGTATCCTAGAGTTGCCCTGTCTCTCCTGATCGCTTTTGATGCTCCAATGAACAAAGTAGGATAGCAGCAATATTTCTCGTGGTCTTTCGACGGAAGAACGCAGGTATGCTTAGTGAAGTGCATAGGTGCCAATCCAATACTCTGTTGAAAACTACCACTTTACCTTTCATCAACTCTTGCGCTACAGATGCTTAAGTATGGCGGCTTGAAAACATGCGTCGAAAGCTGACAAAGAAAAACAATGATGAAAGCTTGACAAGAACGACACACAGTTCGCCGTCAAGCATTTCTGCCATCGCCTCTGTGCCACCGTGACACTTCTCACCCTTTTTTCCACTGATGATAAGTCCTTGAACCAACTGAGCATGAACAGGCAGGTCTACGAAACAAGAGATGGGAAATGTTGTGATCGTTCCGACCGCGGGATATGAGTTTTCCCGAACCCCGCATTAGGCTCATACTGGTCATATTAGGCACGAGCACGCAACAAGAGCTACAACAGCTTGGTGTGCATACGCTTCTTGTTGACAGTGTAAATACAGACATAGGATCATCAAGAAGTGTTCTCTGACAATGGAGATGATGTCTGCAACACAGGTGAGGCAGTGAAAGAGGTTGAATGTCAGGAACACAATGTGTACCAAGACACATCACGTGTTCGTGAAACTACTCGTTGCTACGCAACGCAGGTCAACAAACGTGCTTCTATGGCTACTCGTAATGGCTGCACATTCCGGGTGCTCACAGTTCGGACGTGGTCCATGACGATTCTATCCTACTGGGAACTTTATCATCTTTGGAAGATCTCACTCAGATTTGTAGGTATTCCAGAAGGTATTGTCTCTTACTTTCAGGCGATGCTTCTGTAGCCTCCGCAGACCGTTATTAGATCGCGCCTGCCTTTCCTTTCGGTTCCGCCTTTTGCCAACGCAGCCAAGATGGCGCTCGAACTGGCAGACAACGAGAAGTATGAAGTCAAGGAGATTATAGGTACGGCATTATTGACATTGCAATTGATCTTGCGCGCTGATGAGCATGCACAGGGCGAGGTGCCTTTGGCATAATCAGAAAAGTTCGTCGAAAACAAGATGGCCATGTACGTGTCTTCTGAGCTGCTCCCATCGAGATAGTTTGCTGACCGGATGCAGATCTTGTGCCGTAAAGAAATAAACTACCTCAAAATGTCACAAAAAGAACGCGATCAATTACATGCCGAATTCTCGATCCTCTCCTCGTTGAAACATCCAAACATTGTGGGCTACTTCCACCGCGAACACCTCAAGCAGACGCAGGAACTTTATCTTTACATGGAGTATTGTGGCGGCGGCGACCTCGGGTCGGTCATCAAAGAGCTCAAGAGGAAGAATGAGTACGCGAAAGAAGACTTTGTTTGGAGGATTTTCAGCCAGATTGTTACTGCTCTCTACCGCTGTCACTATGGTGTCGACCCACCAGAACCTGGAAACGATCTCTCACGGCAGAAGGTCCGGCCTCCAGTGGCTGGCAAGATGATTCTCCATCGAGATCTCAAGCCAGAGAACATCTTTCTAGGAGAAGACCAGTCGGTGAAACTGGGAGACTTTGGGCTGTCGAAACTAATGCAGTCACACGACTTTGCCTCCACCTACGTTGGCACACCCTTCTATATGTCTCCAGAGATCTGTGCTGCCGAGCGGTACACTCTTCATTCGGACATCTGGTCATTAGGCTGCATTATGTACGAACTTTGCACCAAAGAGCCACCGTTCAACGCCAATTCGCACCTGCAACTAGTGCAACGAATCAGAAAAGGCGACTTCAAACCTATCCCTTCCATTTACTCAAAAGACCTTGCCAATGTCATCGCAAACTGTCTGAAGACGAATCCTACACACCGTCCGGACACGGTTTCATTGTTAACTGTACCTTATGTATGGATAGCCAGACGGCAACAAGAGATGGTCAACATTGGAAAAGCCCTAAAGACCCGAGAAGAGATAGCCGAACACAAACTGAAGCAGGCAGAGGAAAGATTATCAGCGCTTGAAGCAGACCGAGCTGCGATGAAGGCGGCGATTAACGATCAGCTTCGACGCGAATGGGAACTGAAGGCTCGGCTTGAAATTGAGCGACAAATCCAGATCGAGATAGAGAGTTTGCGCAAGCAATTTGACAGCGAAGTTCAAGCCCGCGTGGCCGAGGTCCTCACTAAACAGACTCATACTACCAGATCATTAAGAGACATTCAGAACCCACCAGGCTTTAACAAAGAGAACCACAACCCTGCTTCATCGGTGAATACTTCTAGTGAGGAGGACTTTCCTTCCACGACCGACCTTACCGACCTTTCTGACCTCTCTCTGAACTCTCCGGACACCTCGAGAGGACAAGCGGCACCACCGAAGAAGGCAAAGACGCCGTTTGCCAGATCGAAGACCAATCTTGACTCCCCAGCAGATGTACAGATGTCTGAACCTTCGCCAATCTCTATCTCTGGTCTTGCGCTGTCACCACGAAGAACTGCGGCTGCGCAACTCACGGCCAATTCTACGGTGACTGCTGCAAGTGCTAGGAATATCTTCGCACAAGCTGCACGACAAAAGGCCAAATGGGAGCCTCAACTCGCTTATTCGTCTGATGAGGAGAACCATGATTTTGAGGATGATTCGGACGATGATGGATTTCCGGAATTAGCCAGTCCAACTCGACTGAAGGCAACCGTTGCGAGCACTGACCCATTTAAGAACCCTCAGCCTTCACGCCTGCGGACTAAGCCTGGTCTCGTAAGGCATAATACCACGGCAGTTGTACAGAAGCTGACGACTAAGCCGACACTTTTTCCTTCCAGTGGTGCAGCAGCTCAAGTGAGAGCCGGCATCACTTCCTCAAACATAGCGAGCGGTAAAGCCGTCAGCGATGGAGACATTAGAGCTGTTGGCGTCCGACCGGCCAGCCCGAATAGACGTCTCAGCAAAATCCCAAGCAGGACGGATCTCAGAGAACAAGTTACGTGTGAGAACGGCAGCACAAGCCCATTGAGACGTGCAGCCACAACTGGAGGCAAGTTGGTGAGCAAGCTTGCCGCGTCCAAGCAGCCAGCTATCGGTAATGGCGTTGGTGGACGCACCCTCGTTGAACTTGCTCAAGCCCGAGCTGGGGGTCGCCCAATGAGTGCCGATTTATCAAGCAACCTTTATTCTGAACGGAAACTTGTTGACAAAGATCTGCCTGAAGTCCCGCCTATCTGGGATCCTGAGGTCTTGGGTGATGAGATGCCCAGTCCCTTCCTCAAACGCGATGTGAGAAACGTTCGTATGATGCGATGAATCACGGGGTGGTTGTGAACAGCACACTCTGAAACGATGACATGAGATTACGTGTTGTTGTTACAGCACCTTCTGGAAAAACCAAAATCTTCCCAGGTATCATGGAAGATTCGGTCTCCTTATGCGCGATATGTAATGTGACACAAACAGTGGGAAAAGGGCCAAACGATTTTCTTTTGGACGATTTTCTTTTCGTCCTCGACCAAAACTTGGCTGCAATTGGAAGCATGTATGTCATTACCAGCAGTGCCGGACTTGCGGTGTTTGTGCTTGACATGACTATCTTTTGGTTCTCAATTCGAGCAGTATTTGGGGTGAAGGTGTTACCGGGGGTCTTTTTTTGGTATCAAATGCTGGATTGGCCTTTTCTTTTTCCCTGATGGTCGATTTTAGAGGATCTGACCTCGAGCTAAATCACGAAAGAAGCTTTAGATGAGAGAAGAGGAGAGGTGAAGAAGGGCGACCCAGGTGACGATGGAGACGTGTGTATGTGTGTACAGTAGACCAAACTACGAAAACAAGAAATGATGATTAGCTCTCGAAGCAGAAAGCCCCCCATCTGTACTTAATGATTTTGTTCCTCTGGATACGGAGCGATTGCTGAGTTTTGCAGATTTTATGGTGATTTGCATTGAAAAGGTTAGTAAATGTGATGTACTGTAGTTGTTTTCTTGGTGTACAAAAAGGGGGAGACAAACCGGTAGACGGATAGTTCATATATTACTGTACTCGCTCCGTCTTCTTCGACACAAAACCTCGTGTTGACCACCACCATCAAGCGACCCTGAAATGAAATCTTTGTCTGCCCTTTCCCCCCTCAATAGCATCCTAATTAGAAGGGAAAGATGAGAAGTCATGGTGTCGAATTCCAATCTGGCTGATGGGAAACGCACCAGTTTGGGTATCTTCTTGGGGACCTTGTCTCTTCGAGTCCCTTACACCCTCTTTCATTACCGATTTACTTCGTGATCGATCGAGGTATGATATCTACGAAGTCAGGCAGGTGGGCCGAAAGAATGACCCAGAAAAAGAAGAAAAGAAAACAGAAGAGAAGAGAAGAGAGCAGAAGAGAAGAGGTTGAAGAGATTGGATTTTGTATCTTGTGAGAGCACTTTCGGCAAGCAGAGACCCTCGAGCAGTCTGGTCGAAGGCGTCTTGTCTTTGAAGTCTACCTTGTCAAGGGTAAATGCTTGACATACTCCGTACCTTGGGTAAGGTATGCTGATACTCTAGGAGGTATTACTTTACTTGATAAACCCCCGAACAAGGATCGTGAATATGGCCACAAGTATGACCATGCCTTGTCAATAAGACAAAAGTCTGTTTTATCAGGCATCCTCATCCTCGACTTCTTCAATCTCTACATGCCTGCGTGGTTGGAGCGGTTCGCCGACCGGTCGGCCCTCTACCTCTTGCACTTTTTGTGTTGTTGTGACCTGCTCTGCTCCTGTGCCCTGACCTGCATCTGCATCCTGCATCTCTAGTTCTCTAAGAAACCTCTCCTCTTCCTCTGCCAGGTTCGTCGCGTTACTGGTCCCTCTTGCCTGACCGTCTTGAGTCCCTGCCTGCGCCCTGTCAGAGCTGGTTCGTAGGTACCCTTCGGCCTCTAGCCGATCCATCTCCTCGGGTTCTACCAGGTGTCCTGTTGGCCCTCCTCTGGCCGCTTCTTGCTTCTTTCTCACGACGTCCGGCACGAAACGTTTCACGGCCTCTTTCTTGAGGTCCCGGATCTGCGGTGCGCTCTCGTAGGTGGTCCTCGGGGCGGGCGCGGGCTTTGGTGGTAGTCGGGTGTCTGGCGCCGCTTCTTCCTTTCTGAAGTTGCGCCGGAATTCGCGTGGAATCGGCGGCGGCGTGTCCTCTGGCATCGGTATTCGTCTTACGGAGTCGTCGGTGTCACTGCCGGAAGAATCTCTTCGAGACTGAAAATGTTTGCGTTCCCCATCGTGCCGCCGCTTGCCCAAAACGTTACCGCCGTCTTCGTCTCTTCTCCTGGGGTGGCTTGCGTATTGTGGTGCTTTCTGCCCGAGGGCCTCTCTTGCTTTGCGGACGGCCTTGAGGTCTCTTTCCAGGTCGTCGAGGATGGCTTTTTCGCGAGGCTTGATTTCTCCAGACGCCTCGAGGGCCTTTAGGTCATCGATCTGTCTCTGGATGCGGTCGGGGTTCCGTCGCGCTAGTTTTTCATTTCTTTTGGCCTGTAGTTCTGCCCGACTCTTTTTCAATTGTTTTGCCTTTTCCAGCTTGCGCTGCTGTTGCGCAGGGTTTACCGACCGCTCTTTGTCTCGTGCCATGACGTGGGAGGGGATGGGGCCGGCGCAAGCGATGGGCGAATTTGGTCGAAAGCCTGCAGCACGAGGATGAAGTCAGACGTCAAACCGGCGCGCAAAAAGACGGCCTACGCAGATCAGAACGATTGGTGCCCGGCGTCGGGCCTTCCCCACGGAGAGCCAGTCAATCAGTCAATGGAACAGCGGCCTTCGTTGGTAGTTCGAACCCGCAGCGCGCCTCACTCCTTGGGCCTCACCGGTTTCGAAAAAGACGAACCGCAGAGAGAATACCGACGACGGCGGCTGCAGGAGAGAGGATGGGACGACGTGAGAGTTGCAGTAGCCTGCAGATGCAGCTGCAGGCTGGGGGCTTTGGCTTCACTCTTGTTTGGAGGCAACTCCTGCATGAACGGGCGTGCAGATGAGCGTGAACCACTTTCAGGCCAGAAGACAATTACCTGGCTGTTGCAAAGTTGTGATCAGGTCTGGAGGTGTAACCCGGATTGAGCATGTCATGGGCGCCTTGCGAAGGGTCTGGCTCTGTGGCTCTCGCGAGAGGCCAGTGGTGATGGGTTTCATGCGTTTCCTCTCCCACGAAATAGAGTACAGGTGAGCTCGGAGCCTACTGAGCGATCCGAATGTAGTTGATCTGCACAATGGGATGGCGGCAATTCATTGCGACATGAGATAAATTAGTACCTAGTCAAGACGATGCAGGTGTGATGGGATATCGTCTGAGGCAACACACCCTCCTGGAAGCCCACGTCCACCTCTACTTGCCCTGCTCCCTCTACAAGCCCCACGAAATGCCTCGGGGCTCACCAATCGACTCGATCAATCTTACTGCTGGTTGCAGCCACCCCAAGTCTACGACCCTTGCCCTCTTGTCACGTTCTGCCCACACTTTGCCATCTTCCGTTCGTGGCTCTCTCTCTAGATTCGCCAGGTGGATGGCGACGAAGGAAGAATAGCCAGGGACCAAGGACGAAGGCCTGCAGCTGACTTACTTTAGAACCTCTTTGGTCTCTTGATCTTGAACTCTTTTGCATTTCCCTCTTCTACAGCCGCCCGTTGCAAATCAACACGCGCTGTCTCTTACTCCGTTTTTATTTTTCATTTCTCCTATATCCTGCCGCCGGGCTGGGTCTGCCTCCATCTCATTTCTCTAGTCATCGTTGCGGGCGATGAAACAGTCCTTGACCATCTCAGTCCCCGCTCCACAGCTACCGCTTTTGTCTTGAGTACACACACATACACACCCTACACCCTCTTCGTACTTTGTCCTGACTCCTGCATCGCCGCTCGTCCTACTCCGTTTCTTACCCTGAGGTGACATCTTGATCCCGGTTACACTCCCTTTCCGATCCACAGGCGCCCGCCCAGAGGGGAACGAGGCCAGAGGGACCCAAAGAGGAGGTTGTGTGTGTTTGAGGAAGAAACAATCGAGGCGCCTCGCAAAACCTGCGGCTCTGTGTTTTGTGGCTAGTCGCGGCCATTGATACGTCAAGCTACAATGACCAGCCTCACCCGCATTGCCATATCTCGCAGCCAGATCGCTGTCTGGTGTCTCTTGCACGACTCTTGACGGCTCCTCGCACACCTATCAGCTCCCAGAATTGCTATGTTGTGTCTAATCACCACGGCTACCTCTGTCCACACTCATCTGCTTCTTCCCATAGATTGGTCCGACCTCAGTGCACCGTCCGATCTGGACGTCCATGTCCGCACCTCACTCGGTATCTGACACGGCCTTGGGTTTAACTCAATCTGAAATTGTTCTGCTCCGTCATCATTATCAGGTCGTCACCCAGAACCCACCCTCGGGCGGCGCAATGGCCGATCGAGGCCGAGGCACGAGCAGGCAGTCCCAACCCAGTTCTCGTGCAGTCAGTGCGGCGAGTAGTCAGAGTGTGCCAGGGAGGATTGTTCTGGATCACGACACTCTCAACAATCTATACATACACCTTGAGAGAGTGATGCGTGCTATCCAACAGCACATCGAGCGAGTATGTAATTTCCGCATTTTCCTTGTACCGTGGATGGTACGCTGACAGCTTTTTTTTTAGCTTGAGGAAGCCACCGCACAATCGATTGCCGCTTCGAGAAATCGATCAAATGGTCTCGTCTCAAACGTCAATTCGAATATGGCCAAAATGCAGAGAATAATAGCCGAGATCGATCGTTGCGAAGCAGAATTCGAGAGGATGAAACGAATACGGGATCGAGTCAAGCAGTTGAGGACGCAAGTCGACGAAATGGACGCCCGAATCGATCGCAGTCGCGCTACTGGCCATATCACGGCTGGAACTCGCGCCCGGCGCTGATATTTTGTCCAAATGGGACAGAAGATGACGAGGATGTATAAACACCTCCCGGTTTCAACCCATCCCTACCCATCATTCCGCAAGCGTGACCTGTGGCAGCTTTATGGTGCTCAGGTCGGCGCTTCCGGTTGTCTTGCAAGTCTATTTTCGCGGCGAACTACAGAGTCGGAAGCCTCACGGCTGGTGATTGATTGACGAGACACGTCTGATGATTGTACGACTATTCCTAGCAAATCATGTCTGGAGCTATCGCTCGCAACCTTGGTGGAATCGCTTTTGACTTCGGCGTTGGATGGCGCTATGAACTATTGTCTTCATGGCTAAGCATCTATGTTGAGCTGTGCTGCTTTGTTGGTGAACATGTGCTTAGAAGTGTTCAGGCTCACGCCACAAAACAGAGACCCTGACGGCCGGGAAATATTGAGATCTGGTGTACTATTTTTTCAAAAGGCTGAATTCATCTCTCCTTGGAATATGATCTATTACTTATACGGGTCAATTGTCTTCGTCCTTATTGACGTCCGTAGGTGGTCCCCCTTGGTGTATTTCGCCGACTGGGAAACGCTTGATAGTTCCACATCTGTTGCATCGCACCTCGAGAACATCTGCCCAAGGTTTGTTTTTATTCCGGCTATCGTTCCTGATGGTCTCTGTACTTGTCCTTCCAGGAATGAGAAGACAGTCGCAGCGTTTGCATACGGTGTGTTTTAGCTCTGGAGCGATACGAATCTGTGACTTTCGGGAAACTCCACGGAGATGACCCAAGAGTCTGGTGGATTCTGGGCTGCCTTGACTGGCAGTCCGTGTTTCTTTTGGGGAAGCATTGCTCAAATCTGATTGTCCAGATTGAGCAGGCACCGAGTATCCTTCTGCTGTTGTGAGCAGTGTCGCAGCTTGATGCAGGAAAGATAGTCTCGAGTAAAGATGTTTTTGTGGCACGTTAGAGCCATCCTTCTTTGACGCTTGTGCTTTGGCCATAGTAATTATGTCCAAACGATCTTATTCTGATTCATGACACCAATTGTCTGGTAGACCTGAGAAGTGATACGCCACCATCATAGCCTTATTTCCCTAACATTGAAAATATATGTGGTTAGGACTTTTTCGTTTCACCTTCGTAGGACGAATAACAAGGCTGAGTCATAAGGCTGCAAAAAGGCATGAATGCACTAAACTTCTACGGGTTAGATATATCACGTGCCAAGTGTCTCGCCCCTGCCGCAAACAATTCACCTTTCATCAATAACAAAGGTGTTCGCAGGCATCACTGTCAGTCTCAGCCGTGTTCCCTTCAATCAACTTGCGCCTTCATCTATTCACATCTTGAATTACCTCGCAGGCCTTTGTTGGTTCTGTCACTGATCTCTGACCTTTGTCCTTCTCGACCTCGTTTTTGGCATCGAAGTTTTCATCCGACCCTCAATCTTACACAGCTTTTTGCGCCTAACCAAACTTGCCCCTCGCCCATCCTTTTTCATCGACAATGTCTGCCGAAGAAGATCTCATCGACTACTCCGACGAGGAGCTTCAGGCCACCGAAGCGCCAGCCGCTGGTGCGACGAACGGAGCCGCAAAGAAAGGCGACTTGAGTGTCAGTGGCGGAAAAGCAGGAGACAAGGGCAAAGGCAGCTATGTTGGCATCCATTCAACCGGTTTCCGCGACTTCCTGCTCAAGGGCGAACTGCTGCGAGCCATCACCGACTGCGGTTTCGAACATCCTTCGGAGGGTTAGTCATCCATTCCTGCAAGAAATACCCCTCCACGTTCTTCCTGCGCGAGAGTCCGTCCATCTCCAAGATCAAGAAAGCATGAGTCCAAAGAAGATATACTCGTTTAAAAATTGTTTTATTCCGGTACGATTGTCGGTACCCCAGGCTGGCGAACAGGACCAATGGTTTTATTGCGACCTTGTTCGCGTCCACTACGTTGCGATGTCAACAAAGGCAATCCCACACCGAGCTGCGAGAGCAGCGAGGATTTAGCAAGTCGCAAGATTTGCTTTCGCGGCAAGATTGACATGCTGAGAATGCTGTCAATCCTAAAGCGTATACTTCAGAGTGCGGTTGTTCTTTCGAGGTAATACTCGATTAGCCTAGTGCTCTTGAGGCTGGATTGCTGGTGAATTTTTGAGGAAGCCATAATTTCTGGTTTGAATAGGGGATCGAGGATTAGACTATGCTACGACTGAGGAGATGGATGGACCGATTGCGATACTGTTTCGTCGTTCTACGCACGTTTATTTCTCAAACAAATCTAACATCATCGATACTGCAGTCCAACAAAAGTGTATCCCTCAAGCTCTATTGAGCGTTGACATTTTGTGTCAAGCCAAGTCAGGTCTTGGTAAGACGGCTGTCTTCGTTTTGACAACCTTGCATCAGCTTGAGCCAGTCCCAGGAGAGTGTTCAGTCCTGGTCATGTGCCACACTCGAGAACTGGCCTATCAAATCAAGAATGAATACGCACGATTCAGCAAGTACCTTCCAGACGTGAAGACTGCGGTCTTCTATGGTGGTACTCCCATTCAAAAGGACATCGAGCTTCTGAAGAACAAGGAGTCGTTCCCCAACATCATTGTTGGTACCCCCGGACGATTGAATGCTCTTGTCCGCGACAAGGTCTTGTCTTTGCGGAGTGTCAAGTGCTTCGTTCTCGACGAATGCGACAAGATGCTAGACCAGATTGGTACGTATTCCCTGTACGATTATCTTGAGTATGTCACTAACCCCCAACGGCAGATATGCGCCGTGACGTCCAGGAAATCTTCCGATCGACCCCAACCGAGAAACAAGTCATGATGTTCAGCGCCACCCTTCCCAAGGATATCCGACCAATCTGCCGCAAGTTCATGAGAAATCCTCTTGAGGTCTTTGTGGACGACGAAACCAAACTTACTCTGCACGGTCTCCAACAATACTCCATCCGTCTCAGCGAAGGCGAAAAGAACAGGAAGCTCAATGACCTTCTCGACAGCCTTGAGTTCAATCAAGTCATCATCTTCGTCAGGAGCACCATTCGAGCCACTGAACTTGACAAGTTGCTTCGCGAATGCAACTTCCCCAGTATTGCAGTCCACTCTGGAGTCAGCCAAGAGGAGCGGTAAGTTTCATTTATTACGACGGATTCGATGCAGCTGCTGACCAAATCTTAGTATCAAGCGATACAAGGAATTCAAAGAGTTCAACAAACGAATCTGCGTTGCAACCGATGTGTTTGGTCGTGGTATCGATATCGAGCGTATCAACTTGGCAATCAACTACGACTTGCCTCCGGATGCTGATTCCTATCTGCATCGTGTGGGTCGTGCCGGTCGATTCGGTACCAAGGGTCTCAGTATCTCTTTCGTGGCCAGCGAGGAAGACGAGAAGGTGCTACAGCAAATCGAAGAGCGCTTCCAGGCCAAGGTTCCTCCCTATCCTGAGGGTGGTGTCGACTCCAGCACCTACATGGCGTCTTGAGCAATACGCCCCATGATGTCTCTTCGTAGAGATTCATCGAGTGTGACAATAATGGGGGGGTATTGGGCTAGGCTGTGATGGGATCCCGGGGAAATTGAAAATTGGAGCTTTAGAGTGTTGGTGTTTCGACATTCAAAAAGCTTTCATGGTTACCAATGTACTCAATGTAACACGATGCTCTTCATAGCAATGAATGTGGCAAATGATAGATGCTGATACAATTGTCTCCTGCGCCAGTTCTATAAAGTTCCGAAGCTGTCGACTTTTCATAACGAGGTAGTTGTGTGTTGAGTATTCCCATTTCACACAAGGCAAAGGTGATTTGTATGTGGAGGCTGAAGATGCAGATGCCTAAAGCGATGATGGGAACATGGAGAGAATGACGCCCGAGATACTACTCTGAACATGGTCAAAATCTATTCTTATACATCCGTACTCATGAAGCTATCTATATATGGCTATGCATAGATATATACACCTACATCCTTTGGGCCTGCTTGCCTGGGATTGAGTGAGCAATCCTTCTGCACTGGATTATACCAAAAGGTATGCGAATCAGGATCTGCCTGTCGCCGACGAAAACCGGGTCGGGATTTTTTAGGCATCCAACTTCAACCGTTCCAGCAGCGAGTCGATCTTGCCCAGCAGGATCTGGTAGTTGACAGCGTCGGCGGCGAACTCGTCCCCCGCCAGTTCCCCGTCCAAGGTCCTGACGGCGCCTGACTGTAGGAGTGACTCTGCCGTGGCTTCTGCACCCAGGACGTTCTCGGGCGGGCCGCTGCCGCTCATGTCCACACCCTCGTCGTCGACGTGCTCCTTGGGAAGCCCTGCGGCGGCAGCCGTGCCGGTCGCGGGGACGAGGCTTCCATCCACTTGTGCAAAAGATGCACCGGCGCCGGCGTCGGCGAGGGCATTGGCCACGGCGGCCTCTTCGTCCATGACGTCCTCCAGGCCCGAGTCTTCGAACCGCAACCTGAACCTCTCGGACAGGTAGTACCGTATGTCGTCGAGCAGCTCGATCGAGTCCGTCTCCTGCCGGGCGCTGATGCGGCCGGCCGACTCCTTGACCAGCTCCGCGAACTCCGGGTCGTCGATGAACGCCTCCAGCCGGTACGCCATGTACCGGGCGGCGAACTCCTCGAGTCGCTGGACGCGCGTCAGCCAGGCGGCGCGGAGGATCTCGTAGACGTCGATGTCCTCGTCCTCGCGCGTCGGCCCGTCCTCGGGGGCCATGGCCGTGGCCGTGCCGTTGCCCAGGGTCGAGACGACGAGGGCGGCCTTGGCCTTGACCTTTTCCAGAAACAGCATGTCCGCGGCGAAGAGGACGTCGACCGCGACGTCGAGGCCGAAATTCGTCTGCTCCGTGTACAAGAAGGTCAGGATGACCTCGAGCACCTGAGGCGAGCAGTCTATCGGCACGACCTGGAGGTGCGGCGTGTGTTGGGCCTCGCGGAACGGCGACTCGAACATGGTCATGAAGAACTCGGACCGAATGAGCATGGCCTTGTGGCAAGGGTAGATCCTGCAACGGCGGGGTCGCCGAGAGGGCGAAGGAGCGCGGGAGTTTCGGGAGGCCGGTTCGTCCAAGGGGATGCCCAGCGCGTTGGTGGACGTGGTGGTGCGTGGTCGGTTTGAGTTGTCAACAACACTAAAAAGGTCATCGTCATTTTGGGGTTCGTCCTCGTCCGCACGGAGGAGGACGTCGGCGAAGATGCCATTGTCGCGATCCCATTTGATGCTGTCAGCTCGGGACGTGTCGGTCCGTATGGCGTGCTTGAGAACGTTCTCGCGGAACCACTGTTCGAGCTGGTCACGGCCCTTTTCGACTTCGTCTTGGCGTCTTTGCCGCGCCAGTCGTCTGTCGTTACTGTCCAGAATGAGTTGTGATAAGTTTTGAATCTCGAGGTGTTTGCTGATCCGATCGACTCCGGCGAGGACTTCGGAATCGGTGAAACCTGTGCCTGGCCCACCGCCGAGTTCTCGGGGCATTTCACCCAGGTACAGGTGTTTGAGGGCGATGCCGAGGGATTGAGGGGGGATGGTCGATGGAAGTTTCCATGATGTCGTGTCTGGGGCGGCGGAGAGCTTGCTCCTGAAGTAAGGGGATCGTGCCGAGAGGATGAATTTATGTAGGTGAAAGGATTCGAGTGCCGTTACAACTGAGATGTCGGAGGTCTTTGGTTGTTCTCTGGTAAGCAACGAGATCAAGTGTGACGCTAGTGGTTGTAAGGGATCGGTTGATTTGGAGTAGTCGTATGAGAGTAGAAGATTTCGTATTCGGTCGTTCAGGGCGTTATATAAACATCTGTGCGGATATACATGGTCAGGATGACAGGCGGCATGATCGGGCTTTGCAAAAGGACATACCTCTCTCCTTGAAATGTGTCTCGCTCACAGAGAGCCCCAGATTCTAATAATAACTGTACAACTTCATAGTGTCCGCATAAACTGGCCTTTGCCCAGGATCAGTCTGTTGTCCATTCCAGGGAGACGAGGCGGTGGCGATATCGTTCCCTCAAAAATTTCGTCAACTTACCAAAATAAGAGGCGTATAATCATAATGATCTTTGGCGTTGATGTTGGTACCCTCTTGTATCATCTCCTGGCAGACTTTGAGGTCGCCTCTCCTGCAGGCGCTGCATAGTTTCTGAAAGTTCTCGCTGAAGTCAAGGGGATTATCTTCCTTCAAGATTCCCTCTTCGATCAACTTCTTCTCGTCATGTAGGCTCCTTTCGAGTTGATCTTTACGAAGCAATCCATTGGCACTCATGGTCTTTGAAGACGTAAACAAGATATCTATGTCGGCGCAGAGGAAGACTGAGGAATAATTTTTATACAAAAAAACAGAGATCGAGCAGTGGATGAATGTAGAGTCGAGCACCTCGTCATGTCGAGATCGGATATAAAGATGGAGGTAAACGAGTACGACCAATGGCCGGATCTCAGATTAGATAAGATCTAGTTTCGTGTCACGTGAACGTGGTTTTCTCGCCGCCACAAATCGTCGCATTCGCAGCCCACACTTTGAAATTTCGCAGTTGGACGAGGCTGGCCCACTGTGAGAGAGAAAGGCCCCGATCGCAGTTTGGTTCACCGGTAACCACCTCTCTGGCAAGAAGAAGAGAGCCTCCTACATCCTTCCCTTCGTCCACAAACGTTTCAATTGTCTTAGACTGTCCAATATGGCTGAACAGGACTCATTCCTCCATCTCGCCAGGCCCTTGGGTCCCGCTGCTGTCGGCGCACAACCTACGACTGCTCCCCTTCGAGTCGTGATACAACCACAAGTAAGTGAACCTTTTGCATGGAGAAGGCCACCATCAAGGTGACTGACACGCCCAGGCTCTCTTCTCCATCCTCGACCACTGCACTCGCCGCCCACCTGACCAACAACGAGTCATCGGCACCCTTCTGGGAACTCGCTCGGATGCCGACGAATCCCAAGTTGTCGTCCATTCTTCCTTTGCAGTCAGTCACACCGAAACCACGGACCAAGTCGAAGTCGACATGGAGTACCAAAAAGCCATGCTTGCACTGCATCTACGAGCAAACCCCAAAGAGGTGCTGGTGGGCTGGTACGCGACCAGCTCGGAGTTGAACACATTTTCCGCCTTGATCCAGAACCACTACAGCAGCCAAGGCGAAGGCACATATCCGTACCCTGCAGTCCACATCACCGTGTCGTGCCAACCTGGCCAGGATACCGAAGTGAGAACGTACATCTCATCCCCGGTCGGCGTCAGTCCAGAGAGGGCGGCCGACTCTGCCGCTTTCATCCCGGTTCCGTACGCGGTCAACTACACCGAAGCCGATCGTGCGGGTGTGGAAGCACTTGGGCTGGCCAAGAACTCAGAGACGAGGACGGCAGGGGTTTTGACAGATATTGAGAACCTGGAACGCTCGCTGGAAGACACCCTCGGCATGCTGGACCGCGTTGGGAAATACGTGGAGAATGTGATCGAGGAAGAGGAGGAACCTTCAACGGCACTGGGTCAATTCTTGCTCAACACTCTGGCTCTTGCACCAAAGGTTGATCCTGCGGACATCGAAAAGGACTTCAACAACCACATCCAGGATGTTCTGACAGTGTCATACCTTGCCAACATGATCCGCACTCAAATGGATCTGTCCAACAGATTGGCAACGGCGCAATTAACGATGGGCGGCGGTGAAGCAGGCACGCAGGAGAAAGGACAGAGACAGAACAGACAAGGAGGCCAACCTAGACAGAATCGCGCGGAAAGTGTGACGGTGTCGAACATGTGAAAGAGGATGAATGATTATGCTTGATTTCTCTATTTTTTTATTACAGAAAAAAGTATGATGCAAAAAAGCATACTTGTGGCTCCGGCAATGTTGCCATGACTTTACGGTCTTAAGCCACGAACAAGCGGCGTCTGGAGCCATTGGAAGTGTATCTGAATAGCCACTCGTCCTGAAGTGAGGGCCCGGGGTGTTTGCGAGTTGAGGAAGCAGGCTCACGAGTAGTAGTCTTGCTATGCTGTGACTCGGCAATTGATGATTTTGATGGTCGCACGATCTGGGATGTTGTAGGTAGACGAGCCGGCTACTGGCTTCTAAAAGAAATACCATTATTGCAGCGTTGGCCTCGTATTTCCATGTGCCGTCCAGAGAAATGGTGCAACCCGCCGTCAGAGTAGAGGTATACACCAGCGTGCATCAGACGCTGCGGTAGTCGAGAGATGTTCTGGTCGATATTTGATGTCTGCCAATACATGGACTCTTCCAGAGTCTCGACAGACCGTTTTGTGTGTGGTGAGGGTCAGTATATTCTCGTAATCGTCGTGATAAATTCAAAATGTTTAGCCAGCAAGCGCTGCGTTCAACCAATTTCGCTCCTGGCTCTCTTACTCGCAGGCTCTTCGGCGTCATCTTCCAGAGTCCCGTCCAATCCTGTCCCTACTCCTCCTCCTGCTCCCGGCCCAGCCGCGTCTTCCTCGCGGTCGCGCTTCTTACGGCGTCCGCGTCCTCGACCTTTGCCCTTGCCGGTGCCTTCCTCGCCGACGACCTCGCCCAGGTTCATCAGATCCCCGACGCCCAGCTTGGTCCCCTCGCGGCCCTCGTTGGTGTCGAACAGCTTCTTCTTGTTGTCGATGTCGCGCTTCTTCTTGAACATCTCCTGCACGCGGCCCAGCTTGATGCTGTCCTTGCGCAGGACGAACTCGAAGTCGCTCAGCTTGAGTTTGGCCCGGCCCGAGTACGCGGCGACGCTGACGGCGTTGTGGCACGTCTCGATGATGAAGTCGGTGAGGATCTCGTCGAGCACCCTCACGGTCTCGGGGAAGGGCTGGTTGAAGGGTGTGGGTGCGCTGGTGGTGTTGGGCGTAGGCAGGGAGGACAGGTATGTGGAGGACGAGGACGAGGAAGAAGGACCACCACCGCCGCCGCCGCCGAGAGGCGACACGATGTCCGGGTGGGTAGGTGCGCCGTAGGCATAAAGGAGAGCAGACAGTTCAGGGCCGAAGTTGAGGTTGCTCTTGTGCCGACCAGCACGAGCGCGTGGTTCCATTTGGGATGATGGGAACGGGGTGATATACTGAGAGGTTGGTTTGAGGTGCGGAAAGTCTAGGGCGTAACCTGATCGCCTTCTTAGAAACCAGATATTGAAAACGGATGGATCATATCTCAAAAGGCTGCATTTGCCCAGAGGAGTGAGTTGGTTGCGAAAGTCGAACGAGAAATGTATCGATCGAGAGGTGAAGTCACATCCACGCAAAAGGGAAGGCTGAAAAAGCGTACCTCCGGATATATTTTCCGGTAGAGACAAGGCTGCGGATAATTAAAGAGTCACCTTCCTATCAATCCGTCCTCCTTGAACATTTTAAAACATGTACAGGACAGTCCAATAGTAGTGGCCATGCTAGAAGTGTGTACTCTAGAGTGTTTATAATTACGCGCGTTTCTGAGGTCCGCGCCGGCTCAAACATGCTACAGATCTACCTCCACTGTTCATTCCAAGCCTCCCAGTGATTCTTCGCGGCAGGTCTTCGAGCCAAACCCCATCGTTGTAATTCTTTGATCTCGTTGTCGATACTGCCGTCTGTCTCTCTCCAGATCTCAAAATCAATGATGGTGCTGACCACCCGAACGCCAATATCAGCAACCAAGTCAAAATTCTTTACAGAACAAGAAAAGAAAAAACAACAGGCTTACCATCTCCCAGTCTCTCGCTCCCACAAAACATTCCGTAGGGCACAATCTACCGGTTCTATTCCCAGGGCATATACCGACCTGTAAAAGAAATAATCAGTTGGGCGACAATTGTCCGGACCAGGAACTTCTCCTCGCATGTACGTCAAGTTGGCCTGCCATGCTAGGTATTTGCCTTACCTCAGAGCGACCAGGAAGGCCTGCGTGATCTTTTGTCTCTCTTCCTCTGGCATGCCCCAGAAATACAGGTTGTGTAGTGAGTCACCGGGCATTTTCGTCATGACCGTGAATGTCACATATCCATCTGGTAGTGGACCATCAGGACCCTGTACGGCCTTTTTGTAGTTGACGAGCTGTGGAGCAAAAGAGGTGTCGGCTTCGAGAAATTTCGTCAGGGCTCTCACTTCAGCCCTCGTAGTGTTGCTCGACTCGACTTCGGCTCCTTCAATGGTGTTGTCTTCTTGTCCCCGATGAGGAACCCTGACGCTTTAAGCTCAGCCTCATAAATCTTGGTACTGGGTGTTGTGCCTCTTTTTTTTTTCCCTTTCACATGATGGAGAGAGCCCTACCTGATCTTGATCTTCATGATGTATTCCTCTGAGCTGTTGTCGTCTGGGTCTATCTGTTTGCAAATGAAAACCATTCGTGATTCAGGCGGTGTGCCATCGTGACATTGTCGATAAGTGGTCAACGGCCTCAGCAGCTCGTACGACACACCATCGTCAAAAGAAATGACTTTGTCGATGAACGAGGGAATCACAATCGCGGATTCCTCGCCCATGATCCCAGGATACTCGGTATCATATAGCAAGTAGAAATGCAGGCCTCAAATCATAGGCTTGTCATCCCAATTGAAGTGCATTTGCGTGGAATGGTCTCAAAATATGGGCAAAGATGTTATCGATTCTATTCAATATGAACATATCCAAGGTGTTGGTAAAATGACATGGGCGCTCGATGCGATATATATCCAGTCCACCTCGGACGACAGGGAAGTGATACGGAGTATTCCTCCTCGTAGTAGTTAAAAATGCTGGCCGTCTGACGTAAACATCTTCGACAGAACGTGCGCTTGACGGTCGATACAGATCAAAGTCTGACAAATAATTGTATTTGGTAACAGAGCAGCAACAAACAACCTGGTAAAAGCAGCGCAGATCGACGACCCAATCTAGACGCGCCAAGAAAACCATGCATCGAGGCCAGATGTTCTAACGTCCAAAGCACTTGATTTCAGCCTCGTATCATCATCTTTCAAACCACATTTCAACATCCAACACTTTTCTCTCTCGCCAGACGAACACGACAACACCTCGCCCAACTTTGCTTGTTTCTGGATTCGGAAGGTATCTTGAGACCTCATTAGGACCAACATACCGCAAAGGTCCCTTTTCATAAACCCTTTTGAAAAACATCACAATGGTAATTTACATCAAGCCCCCATTCTTTCACTGCCCTTTCATATATCTCAGTGACGTGTTGTCATATCCTCAATTTCAGCTTCACACACAGAACACACACGCGGCCACCACCATTCTAACGTCCCCCCACAGACGGCGATATTCAATTTTCAATCACTCCTCCTTGTCATACTATTGATCATCTGTACCTCGACATACGTGCACTCCATGTTTCCCAGTGTCCTGGACAGGAACAAAGATGGGTGAGTTTGGCATACCAGCTCCAACAAGTGCGTGTGTCATTGACACAAATATTAGAGTCATGGGTATATTCTGGAAATGTGCACGGATAGGTGAAAGATTATCACCATATGTCAGTATATTCTGTGTTGCAATGGCTGTAAGTTTATTATATTAGCTCCCCTCCCTCCTCCTGTTGTCTGTCGTCTTACTTCCCAAACCCACCTCCCTTTGGGGGGGGATGGTCTCCACCCTCTTCCCTCCCGAGATACTCCACACACATGAAGAAAAAGAAGCCCAACTGACACAACATCTCACGAGACAGGGTTCTATCGTGATGGGATATCTGTAGTAAAAGAAGAAAATGGTTTTTATTTTTCGACACCGTTCTTTTCTTTATGTACCCTACACAGACACTTGTCATAAAGGACAACGCCCACTACGGACACGTCACTCACCTCGCCACACACACACACACACACACACACACACACACACACACACACACGTCTTGTGCTGCACAAAGTTGCAAGAGTATCAAATTGGTTACCGAGACACGGGCCAACCAACCCGGTTTCTCTGCTACCAACCGAAAGGGCAAAAGTCATGACGAAAGGGTTTCCCCAGTACTACGCAGTACTCCTGCGCCGACACATACCCACGGGAATAAAAAGGAGTATCGAGGAACAAACTTTTGTCTCTGACGATGATCACAACACCCACTCCTTCACAGGTCATTGAGACGGATTTTCGTTCCACTGTTTTAATCCTTGCCACAGATCTTTGAGACGACTCTCAACGAGGGGGAAAAATACAGTCGAAGTCGAATTCTCTTCGCTACGAACAAGGTGTCCCTCCCACAGACAAAAAAGTGCAGCAAAAGTGGACCCGGGCGAGAGAGCAATTTTTACTCTTATACACATCAGTATGCAAGCAAGAGAGACAACTTACTTCGTTACCTGTGGCTGAGCACTTTTCCTTGATCCCATAAGATAGTGTGACGTGTTCTCAGAGAATTAGCGTCCCCATTGTCTCGAAATAATCAAAGAATCGAGTACCCAACACTACTTTGTACAATAAGAAGCACGTTGGTGACTGTTGTATGTAGATGACCCTTGTGAACGTTCCTCTCCATCATGCCATTCTGCCTTTTGGGGAAAGGTAAAATACTGCTTGCTGTAGGTAGCACTTATCCAGTGCAAAAAAATGATAGTGACCACCCCCCCTCCTCCCCCCTCCCCCCTTCCCCCCTCTCTCTCACACACAACAGGAGTTTTAGAGTACTAAAAGGGAAAAAGAAAAACAACATCACACGCACAAGCCAAATTCATGTTGAACGCTTCAAATTAACGCCGTCCAGTCCATCACGTACCATGCGTCGTCCCAACTTTGCCCGGTTCACAAAAATAGCCGGGCCAAGTTTTCACCGTGTCTTCACCATCATCATACCAGAACATTTGATGGGATCTCATTCCCCATCCATTACCCCAGAACCCCACCCCCGTCGCCCGACGAGCAAATTTAATCTCGTGTCATGACCGACTACTAGTGTACACAAAGGGAAACCTGTCGTCTTCTCTGATGCGTCGTGCCCTGTGGGCGGCGATGCCACCACCGTGTTGGGTGCCTCGGTCGAGTTCGGGCTGTTGGTCCATGTAGTCCAGCTCGTCCTTGTGCCTGGTCGGTGCGATGACGGGCGCCTTTGGCATGCCCATGAATTCGCCGAACGTCATCGTCTTCTCCTCCTCGACCAGCTGCGGCATCTCTTGGGGATCCGTGCTCCGATCCATCTGCACCAACGCTCGAACCTCGACTTGGCGTACGCCCCGGCGGACTTCCTGATGAGGATTTCCGAACTTGCGCTTGCGGTCGGAGCATTGGTGCTTGAGCAAGTTTCCGACAATCTCCTTTTTGGGGGGTCGAGAAATCGAGCTTGCATAGGCGCGGTCTTCGAATTGGCTGTCCCAACGTCGGTCAAGCTCAAACAAGTGCTTGGAGGACCGAGGTTGCCAAAGGGCTTCGATCCGCCGCGGGGGCGGATCGTCTACTACCTCGCCGTCCTCATCCCCGTCCGTATCTGACTCAAACTGAACACCACGAGCTTGTAGTTTCTGGATTGCCGTTTCGCCGTCAGCGCCGGGCCGATCACGTGGCTGAACTGCCGTTCTTACGGGCTGGGGGTCGTGGTTCAGATCTAGGCTGGATAAAGCCCCCGAAGCTGTTTCGTTGACTTGAATTGCTGGTGCAGCACTTTCGGCCCGCATCGGATCCTGTGCAGAGGAAGGAGCGCTCGTACGCAGATCGTCGCCCTCTATGGGTCCTGGAGCTTCGTCAATATCGACAGCTTCGTCTTCAGGCCCATCTAACGCTTGTATGTCAGAGTCGGATGGGAACGAAGCTTTCGCCATCGCGACAACCGCGTCCCATTCTTGACGTGTGAGTCTCTTGCGTCCTGGATACCGCATTCGATGATCGCGGATGAACTTTAAACATTTTCTGGGTTCCAAAAGGCCGTTCACACCATGCAGACATCGCCTGTGGTGTCCCTGCTCCGCGCATCTATAACATCGTCTAGACAGGCCAGTTGGCCACACTAGATCTGTACTCAAGGACCCAGTCGTGGGAGCCTGGAAAGATGTCTCCCCATTCACCGCCATGAGCGGTTGACCCTGATTGGATTGGCGAGAACTATCCGAAGAAGATGGACGAGTTTCTGGTTGATAAATGCTGCCTGTATCACCAGTCTCGCTTGCAGCCAGTTCATTCTGATCGGATGTGGGGTTGCTGTCACCTCTTGTCATGGAGGTTAACGTGGAGATGGCTGATATTGAGTTTTGACAATCTGAGAGCCTTTCAGATGACGCTAGCTGAGGCGTGTGCGTATCTGGTAGCAACTCCTCTACCATGGCATCAAGCCTGTGTGCCCGAGTCATATCCGCTTGTTCCCAGTCAGAAATAGCCAGCTGGGCCATGCCTGTCAAAGATGGTCTTTCATCGAGGACTGCGCTCTCATGAACGGGGAGCCTCAAGCCAGTGACATCGCCTCTCACCTGGGGATGCTCTGGTGGTGTTGCCATTAGTCGAGGTCTCTTGTATACAGTTGATGAACCACCGGATCCTCGTCGTTTCAACTTGTTAGCAACGAGAGCTTGCTGAAGGATCATCTCGCGGGGCGTCGGAGCACCGTTCAGTGGTAGAAATCCCTCCAACATCTCTGGGGAATGTTGCTCGTTTAAGAATGGCAAGGTGGTTATTGGGGGCAGATTTTCTGTGTTGCTGCCCATGACTTGCTGGGCTGCTGGAGTATTGGAAGCTTGCTGCGGCACGACGATGGCTATATTTCGCCGGCTTGGGTCAAGAGGACTCGACCTTCTGGCCATGTGCCTCTTTGGGGAGGTTTTTACAGGTATCTGCACATTAGCATTCAAATTTGAGGTCTGAATTGAAGACCTTAGAGGCTTGCTTGGGGAGTCGCTTGATGGCTCTTGGCCAAGGCTATCCCGGTTGTTTGGAGGATGTCTTGGCGCGCCGTCACTCGGAAGGCTGGCGAGGCGGACGTTCACTGGAATCTGTCGGGCACTTCTGGCATACAAAAGCGGTGAAGGCTGGCCAGGGGATGGTGAACGAGAAGTGCTCGTAGACGATAAAGTCTGGTTGAGATGGGAAATTGCCTCGACTCCAAGAGAGGACATGCCACCCAGGGCATGAGAATACGGGCATTTTCCATCCTTCTGAAATCTGCATGGCTGGTGTTTTGCCAACCACGGACACGCGTACGACTGCAGAGAGTAGGGTCCTGGATGACTTTGAGCGTCCTCGGCTGGTTGCCATTGGATTCTGCCAGTCTCCTTATGTGCGTAAGAGCACGCCTCCTCAGCCAGTTCGCAGTGCGATGTATGCCAGTAGTAGCATGTAACGTGTTTCCTAGTTGCTCTTTCATTGCTGCTGAAGTATAAGCCAGTATCATTGTGAGCGTAACAACAATCTCTCCCGTCCCGGCAACACTGTCCGTCAAGCCAAAGATGACAAGTGAAGTCTTTGGCAGGTATAGGTGGAAAATTGGGCAACTTCGGGGCGTATTTGCCAGTGTCTGTATGTGCAAATTCACAATGACGTTCAGCAAAGGCACAATCGTTATCTTGCCACCAAGGACATGTAATACGTTTGTACCGATCGCTCTGGATCATAGGAATCACATCCTTCGAACCGTTCGGTGCATCTTTCAAGTGACCTCGAGGTCCAGTGGGAATTCCATTGCCAGGTGGCACCTTATTGACGCTGGAAGCAGCTGTCTGACTGGAAGAGGTGGCAGCATTGGCCAAAGTGGTGGGTTGATAAGCTTCAGTAGAGGCCCTAGGAGTCGGAATTTGGATCGTGGAATTCTCACTAGCCACAGCTTTAAGATCCCTCTTTAGACAATTTCCACATACGAAGGTTTCAAAATTTGTGCTATGACAGCGATCAGATGAGAAGTCAAACATCATTGAATTGACTGACCTTTGAGAGGGTTTGGGGTTTCCGCATCCTTTGTGGAAACCCCGACGACATTTGCTGCATGGTATTAGTGGCAAAAGCTGATTGCCAGATTTCCGACAACCTCGACACACATCTTGAGTACGAGACGTTGTCGAAGTGGACGAGGCTGTCTCTGTCATGTAGGAGCGTGTCACTCCTCCATCTGGCACGGAGAGAATGCCCTTGCGGGCAATGTGGTTGGCCGGCTCTTGAACAGGCTGGTTCGAGGACATAGAATGCTCAGATCCGTCCTCATCGCAATTGGTAGCAAGAGGGGGGCTGAAGGGAGGACTCCTGGGGAGTCGAGAGGTAAAGGCTGGCGGCGATGATGAATGAGATGAACGGAGGGTGGGCATTGCGTAATCGGGGTTCGTCGGAGGAAAAGACGATGCAACGTCGCTGTGGTGTGGTAAACCAGCACCCGCAGTCTGGACCTTCGCATTTTCGTTATGACGCTCATCTTCATTTCTGGGTACGTGGTCGGTCACGTGAGGGGCTTGGAATGTTTCTAGGGCGGGTGTATAGCTATTGCCAGAAGATCTTCTCAGTGGTGGAAGGATTATGACATGCGCGATAGAATGCGGTGCGTTGTGAGAAGAGACAGCAGATATGCCATGATTTTCGCTTGAAGGCGCGGCCTGCCCATCAGGGACCGTGCGTCGATTAAGCATTGGATTCGCAAGCTATCGGGATCAAGATAGCCTTGCGAATCGGTCCAGTTGATTGGGAACTTGAAGACGTTCATTAGGACATACAAGATTGGCGTCGAGTCCGGGCAATCTGGTGAGCGGAGAAGGGGCGAACAGAGAGTCGAAGCGGACGCATCTGCAGGAGCACTTGCGTTAGCGTCAACAATGCACAAACTTGGACATGCAACGAAAAACAAGTCTGTTTCTTCATCAGGTCTTTTCAGTTCTTCAGGTCTTCACTTTGGCTCGCTTGGGCTGCCACAGCGCCGAGGCAAGTCCTAAATACAGACAAAGAGCCCATAGTAGCCACAGAGGCACATTCACACTTTGCGCCGCCGACCAACCAACAATACCAGGCCTCCATGGTGAATGGAACGAGTTCCAGAATGTACACCACTGCCATTGGCTTGAGCAGTCATAAAGACCAGAAGGCCAGCCCCATTTTTGTGGTGTTGAGAGCAAGGGTTCGATGTGCACAGAGTATCAGACGAGGCAGGAGCGGAATACTGTGAGTGCCCTGCCATTCCTGAACACTGCTGTACCGGAGGAAGCTGACAAAGTGGTGGCGGTACACGACGATGAAGCCATCTGTGAGCCACCAGTTTTCCTTCCGACAAAAGGGCAACCTTGAACGCAGCAATCACAAGAGAGATGGACAAAGGCCACTTCCAATCAGACCTTTTACCATAGACTCATCATTGAAGAAAGACGGAACAAAACAAAGAAGGACAAGGGAAAAGAACTCACATGCCGACTCCCGACCAGACTCTCATGGGAACGTCTTGTAAAACTCAGACACACCGTGATAAGGCCCCATCTCAGCTCGAATCCACCCCCCTCGAGATCCGACGCGCGGTGTCACGATGGGATGATTTGACTGCAGAGTTCTCTTGTTGCTGCTACCAGGCGGATTGGGCCTTTTAACTGTACTCTGCTGTATCCGGTCGTGCTTGGTAGGTTGGTTGCTGGGGGCCAACGAGAAAGAAGGAACGAAATGATTGTGGTGGGAAAGAGCGACACACACACACACACCCTCTCTCTCTCTCTCTTTCTCAGCCTCGCGGAATAAACACGTCAAAACACACCTCAGAGAGTGGATGTTTTGCGGCGAAAAGGTACAAAACGACAGTTACACAGAGAATCGCAGTGTATCAGTGGGTGGACAAGACGAAATGCGAGTGTATAATTATGGGCAAAAAAGGCACAACATATGAACGCTGTGGTGATGATGATGGTGGTGGCACGAGCGGTCGAGAACTCCAGAATTAATAAGATTAATAGCAGAAGAAGTAGCGACGGGGGATGGTGGGGGCGACCAGGTTTGTTACGGTGATGCCCAGCCATGTCCTCCGTACTTCGATGTAATTGGTTGGGGATGACGGATTCTAGCCGCCAACATTATGTAAGTCTGGGCGGTTTATCCGTACTTCAGATCTCCGGAGGTGGCACCTCGTAAGGACACGAGGAGGTCACACGAGGAGGACGAAGATGTGATACTCCGGGGTATACAGTCCAGATACAGAGGTTCTGTCGAGCCATGTGCGCCATTCCTGGACAAGAGTCGAAAGATTCAGAAACGAGGTGAAGGAGAACTCAATAAGAGCTTTGGTCCGTCATTACTCTAACATGAACCTCCATCCGAAACAAAGGAATACTATACATAGATCTCAGCACCTAGAAAGTGGCCGCTAATGGATGCATCTAGCAACCAATCCATCATGCAGTCCATTCCACTATGTCCGATAACTCCAAAGTCAGGTGCTACCAGATCTAGGCGTGAACAAGTCATCCTTTTTTATCAGACCATGGCTGGACCCTATATACGCCCCATCACTGTCCTCGATCGTATCTTGGATCATCTCCTGCACGAACGCGGATTGCTCGAATCTGGTAAGCAGAAATTCCCAAGAAAGCTTGTTAGAGCGCATATCATCTGTTAGCATATCGCGCCAGATATGTCGAGCCATGTCTTCTTGGCCATAGCGGAGAGTGCCGTACAGAAGCTCACTCCAGGTGCGTTGGGAAGGGGAACAGTGCCCAAGGTTAACCATCTCGTGCACTACACCAAAGGCATTGCTGAGAGTGGACGGATGAGCACAGTAAAAGTGGACGAAACCATTGTACAAGACGTCATGCTTGGCTGCTTCAAGAAGAAGCGCATCGCCCTGCTTGATCATATGCAAGATCCAGTGCCACAATCGCGAGACTTGCCGCTCGTCAGTTTGACAAAGCGTGATTGCCCATATGGCAAAGGCCAATAACCCCGGTTTTGGCTGGAGAAGTTGCCGGTCTGAGACGTGGAGTTCTTGAACAGCTTCAACGAGCCCAAGCCCGACCAAGGACTCTCGGCTGTAGGCCCTATTGTAGACTGCGAGGACGTGATTTATCGAGCTCTCCGTGGACAGTTTGCGTTCGCCGCGACAAATGACCCTGATGATGTGCATCATATACGATACCAAGTACGGGTCGTCAAACAAGTCCGGCCGCTCGTGGATTGCCGACATGATTGTGTCGATCTTATCACGTTCGTTGTTTTCGAATCCATCCCGTAGCAGAACCAAATGTCGTCGTGCATCAACGTCAATCTTCTCACGCTCCATGAAGCGATACAATTCCCAAGCAACATTTGGTCGGCCGAGCGCGATGGCTCTCTCGATTATGAAGTTATGAACCTTGGCGTTTATTGTGATACCAAGTTGCATGAGTTTCGGGATCCATTGGAAGTTGTGCACTCCTTCTGTTTCTACTATCGTGTCGATCAGGATTACCTTTGCGACGCGATCGAGGATTCTCTGCTGATATTCTTCATGTTGCTCAACTGGGATCAGAAAGAGCAGTTCGACTGCCTGCTCCGCATTTCCTGTTCGTATGTAGTGATCAACCATACCCAGGAGAGTCGGCACCGTGACGGATTTCGTTGCTGCAAAAACGCCATCGATAATGTCTTCGCAGCGACGCGTGGTATTATGACGGAGGAGAAGAGTAAGGAAGGGAAGAGGCATTTCGGCCAATTTTGGCCACGTCTCGGCTCGGGAAATGCGGTCGATCTGTTTCGAGAATAAGGCTTGCAAATCCGGGTTTGCATCGATCTCTTCCCGATGGACCATATCAAGGTAAGCCAGGCATTCGCAGCGCATTCGCCAGTCTCGCGGAAGCACAGGCAGCATTGTCAGCATCAGAAGAGTCTTCCGTGCAGAGTCGACGAGCGAACCAATTAAGACACATGGCAACATCTTACGCCTGGAGACTCTAGGCATGTCCAGCCAAGCGACACGCAACTTCTCGACGTCGTCATAACGCACAAAGGATATAGCGGTCTGTCGGTGGCGTTCTACACTCCGTCGTGCTCTCTCGAGGTCATTGTTGAATGAGAGGACCAAGCGTTTGTACAGCTTTCGCCATGTGCCCTCGAATTTCTTTGGCTTGGGTCTTCTGACATGTGTACCTTCATGCCAGAAGCAACCAGGTCCCCAGAAAATAGCTTCATCTGCCCCTCGTCCATCCTGCGGTACTCCGCGACCACTAAAGCCCTCGATATCTTGAGACTTCCAATGTTGCGGGCCAAGACTATCTTGCGGCTGCGCATTTATGGGACGAAAAGCGACAGTTTGCGAAGATCGAGGGGCGAGTGAAGGAGGTGACGTTGTGTTTAGAGATGATTGCGGCGAGGAAGTCTCATGCCTGCTCCCATGGCTGGTCGGAAACCCTGTCAAATATCGGCAGGCGATGGCCGGGCGAGACGGGCACTTCGGTTTCCTAAAGCGGTAGCATTGAAAGAAGGAGCCTAGTGACCTGACTGGCATTCAGGTGTTTGAACGAGACTTTGAAGCCCTTAAGGGATGTAATGAACGCAGTGAGATTCAAAAGAGGACCATCGCCCATGAAGTTTTGAGAGCAGGCACAAATACCCGAAGTTCTACCATACTCTCATGGCCCGCGAGTATTCTTTCTGATGCACCATTTACGGAGTACCTTTTTCAAATTTCTCTACCACACCGTCGATGCGAACGTCTACTTTACCCAAACCATGTCCGCAACTCATACTAGTCTAGATGCTGCGGCAGTCGATCGAAAGGCTAGACTCGCCAAACTCGCTTCGCTCAAGCGCAAGCAACCCGACTCTGGATCCACGGGAAACGCTACGCCAGATGAAAAGCAAGAGAATGATCAGTCGACATCGACGTCCACAGATAAATATCTCTCTGGCAGGAATTACGATATAGCCTCGAAAAATGCCAAGCTCGGTTTCGAGAATGTTCCCATAGCGAATGTCGAGACGTTGGAACAGCAGGCCGATCGCATTGCGGCCGCGACGGCCGAGCAAGCCGCGCAGGACGAGGCAGAGGCAGAGAAAGGCATCGACCTGTTCAAACTACAGCCGAAGAAGCCGAATTGGGATTTGAAGAGGGACTTGGCAGAGAAAATGAAGATCCTGGACGTCCAGACACAAAATGCGATTGCAAGACTGGTCAGACAGAGAATCGAAGGCGCGAAGAAGGAGGCCCTGGACAAAGGCAAGGCACCGGCGGAGGCAGAAAATGGCTATCAAGGAGAAGAGGTCGGCATCGAGGGCAACACCTTGGTCGAAGGTATCCACCTGCGCGAGCAAGAAGAGGAGAAAGAGGCTGCCCTCGAAGAAGAAGAGGACGACATCTCTTGAGCCAGAGCCCCGCCATTCAAAGCAAGCCCGCCGGCGACAATAGAATTGACAGGCAACCTTGTTAGCCGAGTTCTGGCTCGGACCGCATATCGCCATCATCGCTGAGCTCAACGTTTTATCGCACACTTCGCAGGCACAGGAGGAAGGCCAGACCACGGAAGCCACTTTCACCTTACAAACCACATCCTAGGACTGTGCAAGTGTGTACTTGGCGTTCAGTACGTCAGAATCGCGGTCGCGGTCACGGTTGCGACACCTGGTTCACCTGAGGTCGTGGAACATACCGCGTCTAGTAGTTTGCAAGATCGAAGCGGGATGGTGCCCTTTGACTCTTCGGATCCACCACATGGAGGGGAGGTGTCGATGGTTCAATAGAATGGCAGCATTCACATCTGGTGCACTGCAGCAGGATAACGCGCCTACATGGTCCTCGCACGGATTACGTGGCAGGCTATTCTCGACTGTACTACTTTCTCAGAGTTGGTCAGTATACCGCACGGCCAGAGATGCAGGAGCGTCATGATCAAGAACGATTCACAGTGCATATGACGCAAGAAGGGAGAGCATTCCACAAGTGAATAGAGCATCTATTGCGTGGAACAGGCGAAGGGTCAATTAGACCTACAACGTAGCCTCTATCGTCAAGCAAAAACCCTTCCAATACGCATACAATGTTATACTTCTTTGACATTAACAGCACGAGGTCCAGCCTTGATATTCCAAAAATGTAACGATAGCAATCACATATTCATCGCCTGAGTCAATGCCAGCCTCTTGCTGTAGGGGCTAAGACTCCGCTCCCTCTTGTGCTGCCTTGGCCCAGCATTGGACGATCTCGTACTTGCATTCCCCCTTGATCTATCATCACCGTGTCGGTCGTGTCGTTCGTATCGTCGGTCATCATTCGTACCATTTTCAGACCCAAGTGTCACTCTGTGCTTCGTGATTTGACTCTTGTCTAAGCTTGGGCTGTCCGTTCGACTACGATGACTACCCCGACGGGTCCTGGGGGGCCGCCCACGGTCAATGGGGCTAATAGTACGATGGCGGCGGCTCTTGCGGTGTGATCCTGGAGCCTTTGGTGGGGGTGTTTGAGACTGCGAACGAGAGCTAGATATCGACCGATGTTTGCGCTTGCGTGGAGGTGTCCTTGACCGTGAACGACTTGTTCGTCGGCTAGTCCTATAATTGTCATCGGACTTCCTGGGTGGTGTATGAGATCGGGAGCGAGTTCGGTCGGTTGATATTGTTGAGACTGAGCTTGACGAGGGTGACCGCGAAAGCGACTGGGCTTTTGGGCTCATGGACCGACCCCGTTCATGAGACTCTGTTGCGTCTGCTTTTCTGCGACTGGCTTCTGCCTCCTCTAATTGCTGGTCTGCCACGCCTTTGCTGATAACGGTTAGTACTCCTGCAGTATCGATAAGGATGATACCAGAATACCTATTCAGAAGATCATTCGGACTGTCATTAGTGAGTTTTGGTTTCAGTCTCGGGTTGAACAGTTGTTGCGTTCTCGAAGGCCGAGAGATATATGGTCGTTCTTGAGCGGTCGATTTACATTCATAGCTGTAGTGGCGTGCATAAATAGTCAGCCAAAGAACATGATGATGGAGTACTAGAACCTATCTTTTTGCAAACATTTTTGACAGACGGTGGATGCCGAGGCCTTTTGGGGGCCTAGGCCAGGTATAGTGCGATATCTGTTCATCGATTGGAAATCTGCGATATGCTTGGAGATGATGTTAATCTTCCAAGCAGCAAGTCGACGTGAGGATCGAAATTAACCCGCCTGGCTGTGTAGTAGCCTGGAAACACTGAGTAGAGTTTTGTCCAAAATTTTTAGAATGCCACAAGGACGAATGCAACTGGAAGTAATGGAAATTTGATGTCCGTGCAAAACCTCATGCGTCTTGGAAGAGGTGAGCTTATTACCGACACCAAGAATGTGTGATATCTGAATAGTGAGATGGTTTCAGGCAGGCAGACTTTGGCTTCCTAACATGATATTGGGCTTCCGGAATCTAAAGCAGCGACTTGTTTATTGGTACAAGTCTGGACTTCGCTGTAGAGAGCGCAGAGTCCAGGTGCACAAAGCGGCATCAACTTCCACCAGATTATGTAACCACACCTTGGCATTTTTGGAAACCTCAGTGCATTCATCTCCTCGCGCTTTTGCTGCCTTGACCTGCGCCTCACTTCACTCATCTCCCTCAAATGTTGTCTTCCCTTCAAGGATGACTTGAGCAGGAGTAAGGAAGCCGACAGTGTTGAATGCAGACTTCAGACAAACCTCTCCTTCAAAGTACGATTGGCGACAAACATCCTGCGAACCTGCACTCCTCTCAACGCAGTCAGCCCTTTGCTAGCCTGTCCTCCGCCTTGCCTTGTTCGAGCTTTTCCAAAGCAGTGTGTAAACATTGTCACTGATATTGGTCTGTACATTGCTGTACATTGACTGCGGCCAACAACCTTACCGACAGAACTTTGCAAACTCAGTTTGGCAGGTCGACCAACCTTCCCGAACCTTGACTGTAGCCATCGCAATTGTGGAATCCATGGCGCCCTTTAGGCTATTCTGTGTTGGCTCGTTCGATGAGCAAGAGATTGTGTGAAACAAAGGACAACAATATCGCAGCGTTAGCTTTTGCTCTCGCTCGTGCCACCTACACTCTTTTTCAATCCTCGGCTTGGTGAATTTTCCCTCACGGCTGTTGGACACGACGTGACGAATTTCCTTGGACAAAATGGCGTCTTCTCGGGTTGGACCAGGTCCGCCGAAATTATCGTTTGCAAAGGTGAGCTCCCAGTCTGAGTATTATCGTCGCTGAATGCGCTCTAATTTTTCATTTCAGGTTGCGGCTATGCGTGCACCCACAGTGCCAATGCCCAATTCCCATTTGACCGAAGACAAGAAGCCTCGTTCGACTGATATTGACAACACACAAAACTCAGCTCCACCAAATCCGTTGCAACCCACAACCTCGCCGAGGGAAAGTGACGGGCTCCCACTATCAACCATTGACACAAATACGCAGTCAGAATACGTGACGAATGCCATTCAGGGGTTGTCACTGGTCCAAGGAGCTGCTACTGCACCACCTGGGTCGCAAAGTGCGGACAGTGGAGAGTCGCTTGAAGATGACCAATCGCAACTCTCCAATTCCTCGATCAAACAGCAAAGTTTCGATACCAAGAGCATGGCGTCGGTGACTACATTTGCAATGGATGAGAAGGAGAGCATTCGTCCAGATGACAGTGCTAGTGTCAGAGCTGCAGAAGATGATGAAGCTTCGAGCGCACCAAGCCGAGAAATGAGTTTTACTCGCGACAATGAACGTCTGAATCAGAGACCAATGCCCTCAGGGGTTACGATTGCCGCTCGCCGTTACCATACGTTGACTTTGACAAATCCTCCACGATTTGGGGATCTCCCAGTCATTCCTATGTTACGAGGAGGAGCCGACGAGCAAAACCATTCCGAGGGCACTGGTCCACAACAGATTGGTGTGCAGGAACGAACAGCCTCGCTTCCCGTTGCGCCAGATGAGAAACTTCTAGATGCACTGGCAAGCCCGAAGGACCGCCTCTCTTTACTGCAGTTGGAGGAAAAATTTCTCGGTCTGCTCGCCAATTCTGAGTAAGTGTGCCGTCCTAGGCTCATATCATGGTCTAACAATGAGTAGGAGCATGTTTTTAGATTTGCCTCCCCAAAACGGATTTGCTCGATTGTTGACACACAAGCTTGCGGATTATTACTCGCTTGCCCATCACACAAATGATGACAGCACGTCCATCAGGGTCTTCAAGACTGCGTCAGCCTCTCGGTAAGCACATCATTGCCGCAAGATTTTCATTGCTGACTATGACAGGCCAACTCCATTACACGTCCTTGCTCAGTCAATCCCCGCTGGACCATCTCAACCTCCATCCGCCATGGCAGTCAAGATTATGCGTCGAGCTGGCCTAGGCCCTCGTCAAGGATCGGCTGGTGGTAGTACACCTGCCAGTTCGTCCGCGCCCTCCAAAGCCACCTCGGAAGCTGGTGTCGAGACAAACAGCGAAGAGGGTGTTTTGTCCCCTGCTGAAACTCCTAACAAGGACAAATCCAAGTTGACTCGAGAGGAGCGAGAGGCCCAGTACAAAGCTGCTAGGGAACGAATCTTTGGTGACTTTCAAGAGTCTGTGACGAGCGAAAATACATCTACTGGAGACAATTCGGCCAGCATGTCTCGATCTAGTTCATCGAGCGGCAGAAGAAAGACACGTAAGCAAAAGACTCCAAAGGATGACAGCTTCGAGGCCCGATCCGCATACATTCCAAGCTATGCTCCAATGCACATGCAACAGATGCAGCAGCATTACCAGCCTCAGTATTCTGATCAGGTGTTTCCAAATGCATACCAAGGCGCTGGGAATACGTATGGTACAGGCATGAATTATGGTACTACACCAACCCAATCTTACCCCCAGTTTGAGCCACCTATGCCATATAACAGTATGGGTTATGGTCCCAACAACAATCAGCAATATAGTACACCGGACTCTTGGTCGTCTGTGCAGTCGACTCCTGGAAATGGGTTTATGAACTATTCTTCGTCCCCAACCTCCGGCTACTCTCAGGGTATGCCACCAACGATGATGGGACAGATGAACAACCCATACATGCAACAATCACCGCAAGGAATGCAACAGTCTTCGGGTTGGATGAACAACCAGTTTCAAAATTCTTACTATCCATCATCTGGCAATCCAGGCTCAAACATGAATGGCTGGCAGGGTTATCAGCCCGACCCAGTAACGAACAATGGGGCCTCATACGCATATCGTCAAGGTGCTGGGCAAAATTACAACGCCAACGCATCATACAACATGCAAAATCCTATGCAAGGGTACTCTCGAACCTTGTTCAATCCACAAACTCGGTCGTTCGTTCCCAATACCGCGACCGGCCGCACCGGTGGTCGAGGTGGACGGAAGAAGCCGTCACCACCATCGAGCCAAACCCGAGGCAGCAATATCGCGAGACCTTTCAGCAGCGATGTTTCCGGCGCTAGTAGCGTATCCTCGCGGGGGTTCGACAAACCCGCACCCAGTTTTGCCTCGCCCATGCCAAAGGAAGACTCGTTGCAGCAGAAGTATGGTGCACCTGCTCATCTTCCAAAGAAGCCTCCCCCGTCTCAGGTCCCTCCTTCTTTCGACGTTGAGACACTGGCAAGCAATGGAGGACCCATGACTCTGAACGGTGCGAACAAAGCTCCTGCTGGTGCGTCTCTCACATGAGTCACGGCCTTTTTTCTTTCTTGCTGCAAAATGCATCAGCAGCGCATCAGCGGTATCCTGCTCGAATGGACATGGGATTTTCTTTTTTTTCGACGAAGAAAAAGAAGAATTAGAAAAAGAAAAGGGCCCAACCGGTGGCATTTGAAGTGTATGGAGTAAAAGGGGAAAAAGGCGTATTGAAACAAAAATTTAAGGTATCATTGTGTTAGTTGCAAACCCAACACAAATACAATACCCCCCATGGTTAACTTGAGTGGGTTTCTCTCCAAAGTGGGAATTGATTGCATGGCATCATCATCATTGTCGTCGTCGTCGTCGTCGTCGTCGTCATCATCGCATGGGACTGGAAAGGGTCGGGGAATAAGGATTTGGTTTTCCCAAGAGGAGCCACTGCCACCACTACCACCACCAACCGGATGGTCAAAGGGAAGAATGGGAAGTGCAAAAGAACGAGCTCGGCGCAAAAAAAGAGATAAAGAATTCACTTCATCACACAATTTTTCTTTTCCAGTCGAGCCCTTCTTCTTGTTTTGTCTGATTTGGTCTCGTTTGTGAAGAGGATAGATAACTCACCGAAGGGGACGAGCTGGTTTGACCATTTGCACGTTACGTCTAGAAGTTTGGTGATCCCATTCTCGTTTGCTGATCAGATGAGTACGGCTAGTTTCCTGCCTACGTGACCTAGAGAATCCGTATTGTATATAATTTCTTGGGATTTTCTGGTATCCATAATGTATTGAAGGTCCCATGTCCTCCCAAATTAGGACCACGCCGACGCTATGCCACTGCCTTGTTTTATTCTTCCATTTCCACCCCTGGTGACCTGGCCTTACTCTCTCTCTCTCTTTGTATATAGCTCGTATATGATGTTGATGATGTTGCGTACTATGACCAGGTTCGATTTCCACATCAAAGCCCTCTGTTTTCTCCCCTTCCACACCAGTATCTTTCTCTCCAACACCCAAATTTGCCCTGATGTGGATAAATACACCAATGGTCAAACCAGCCCGTCAGGTCTGATCCTACTTTGGGGTGGTTGGTAGCTCGTCAAGTTCCAAAGCCTCGACAGTTCCACCGTCGTCATGTCCATCCTTGGGGGTCGCCTCCCCACGTTCATCGTCATCGTCATCATCATCGTATGCTTCGTGAATGTCATGATCCTGCATCAATCCAACCACCTCTTCGGTGACTTCGTTTTCTTTCCCACCCGTACTCTCGGTAAGCACTACAGACGACCCGGGGAGCACAGCATCGTCGACGCCTGTGTGAGATGATGTCGTTGTCGTCTCTTCGTCACGTGCCGCGGCGACCCAGATGGCTCCGGCCAAGATGAGACCGCTGCCAATCCAACTCATTGCGGTGGGTGTGATTTTGAAAAAGACCCTGTCGCTCGCCAGCGCGAAAAGCATCTGGACATACACCATACTCGTCGCTCTCGTCCCAGAACCCGCCGCGGTCGGCCTGGGGATAGACTGGAACCTGAAGCTTTCATGGGGGACATTAGGCCTGTCCGGGTCATGATTCTCCACGTCTCCTGTCTTGGCAAAGGAAAGATGATGCTCTGGCGGCGGCGGCACTGACGCCTCTGAAGGCAATGACGGTCCACCATAAGTAAGGCCGGCCGTCAGCAGAAATTGCATCACGAAGCCAAACAGTCCGAGACTGATCAGCAACGTCCATTCGATCAAATTACCTGGCAGTCGAAACTTGACGTCGGGAAAGACGATCAAACAGAACATGGAAACGATGGTGCACCAGACACTAAAGTAATTGATGCTGATGAAGGCATGGGCTCGTGTGCCTATGGCGCGAATGGAGGTAAAGGCACCAGTCGAACCGAGAACACCTACCATTGCAATGGCAATGGCCAGCAAGTGTTCATGTGGGGTCGGGCCTTGTTCAGGCTGCTCTTGGGTCATGGTTGAATTTCTCGCCGCCGAGGTCCCGGGACCACCTGATGACGGTGATGATGTCGAGTCAGAAGTGCTCGATGCAAACAGCGAGGCTGGCTGGGCAATGAAGATAACACCAATCAGGCTGACAAAGCCAGCGAGCTGCTGCTGTTTGGTGAAGGTCTCTCCTGGAATGACAAAACTGCAGAGGTAACAGCTGAGTATGGGGGAGAGAAATGTCAAGACCGTGGCTTCACTGAGGGGCAAGTACAAGAGACTGAAGTACATGCCAAACACCCCAAAAAATCCACACAAGCCTCGTGACACGAGCAACCACCGCACGTCTCTGGGACCCAGGGGAAAGTCAGGGATGGACTTGGTATAGAGACCATACGCCGTACATAACGCGGCGGTAATGGACTGACGGACAAAGAGGATTTGGTATGGATGCATGGGCTCGCCATGGGACCCCGCCGTTTCGAGGAGTTGGGTGCTCACGTTCATTCCCACGCCAAAGAATTGGGCAAGGATCACGAGCATGGCGCCATAGTTGAAGATGTAGAATTTGTGCAAGGCGACGGCGAAGCGGGACCAGAACGAGGTTGCTGTGGCATCTTCAGGTACACTGCGGATGAGAGGACGGGTGTTCCGTAACTCTTCTGAATGGAACGATAACTCGGATAGTTCGGTGAAGGTGCTGTCGAGGGAGGGTCGGAAGGTAGGATGGAATGCAGGGACGTCAAGATAGGATTTCCTGGCGTCGTTTCGAATAGGTGGAGTGGTGGCTGCGGGAGTGAAGGACGACGACGACGACGATGAGGTTATCGAGGGTTCGCCAAGGGATTGATTCACATCGTTTCTTGGTGATACATTGGAAGTGTCAGGGTTGGGCAATGACATGTTCCACGAGTAAATGTCCGTTCTAGCCCATTCATTTGTGATCGAGTCGAGAAGACGGAAAAAGTCGCCGGGCAATGAACGATCCGGTCGGAGGGTATTTTAGTAAAGGACTGAATACGATGACGATACACGTGTAGGTGGCCGTGAGTGAGAAACAGGTCGTTGAAGAGTGGACAACCAAAAAACGAGAACATAAAAACAGAAAGAGAGACTCGAATCTCCATAATGGACTATCGCCGGGATGCACACAAACTGCTTATTATGCAGGGAATCAAAAGGCGCGGCGAATTAGAATGAAAGGGTCTCATGAGGGACGGCGGTTTAGCGGGCTGCAGACCTGAGTATGACAGACACAGCAATGATTGTCGGCGTCTTTGTCACTTATTGGAGACCCAAGTCTGGAGTATGGAGTATCAATGCCCGCTGAGTCCGGAGCGATCAGGGCTAAACATGGTCTGGTCCGGGTATCGGATGCGCCCAACGGAGAACAACACGAGGTCTAGCCAACTCACTCCCCAATGAGAAGAGAGATACGAATGCTCTCCATGAGGCTCAGAATGCAGGATGCTGCTGGCCGGGCCGCCAGAAAAGGGAAAAGAGACCGGGGTACAGAGACTCAGCAGGGTAGAGAGCAGGGCGTAGATGCAGTGATGATGTGATGCACTGTAAGTCGCACAGAGTATAGGAACTAACCATGAGTGAGCAGTCAGTCCCTAGAGAACGTACTTTGTTCTCCATGGGGTACTTTTCCACGTTGGTTTCACAAGAAAGACGAGACCAAGGAGCAGGGGATGATGCGATGTAGTACATTGTGATTACAGCCCTCTAGAGTATACCAACATAACGACAAATCTACGAGGCTGCGTCTGCCTCTCCTCGTCGAAGGGCTAGCAGAGCCCTCACATCCGTCACGTACTGCAAAGCCTCTAACATGGGTATCAAATGGAGCAAATCATTATCCGTCGGATCATTGATCCATCCCTCAATCGGTATCGCGTTGTCTAGCACGGACAATGTCAGCTTCCTTGTTTTGGAATCAAGTCTCCTCGTCGTTCCTCGCACTCACCTTCGTGGAAAATGTAACTGACTGGACTGTTATCCAGAATCATCACCTTGCTCAAATCTGGCTCGATGCTGCTCAGGTCCTTGATGTAAGCTCCGTTTCTGAAAGTACAATGCTGTCGATAATACCGCCCGACAAAATATTTACGCTCTTGCTCTAGCCAGTCAATGACGGGATCTGCATATTCCTGGACCGAAGCAGTAAAGACGACGAGCTTGTACCACTTGGAGATTTTGCGGAGGAACTCGTCACAATGGGGTCGTTTGTGCACGTAATACAGGATGGGATGTTGTGGTCCCAGAACCGAGGCGACCTGGCCAGGCTGGGGTGAACTGAGAGCAACAGGCACGTTCAACTTCACTTCGACCATATGACCAGAAGACATGCGACCGCCCTTAGCCAGAGAATGGATGAGTGTTTCATCGAGATCTAGAATCAACGTCTTTTGCTGTAATGGTGCCGAACCACGGGTAGGTGGACGGGGAACAAGGTTGGCATATGAGGGTTGCCTTCGCGGGATGAGAGGTCTTGGTGGATGTGGCGCATGCGGGTATCGCGTTATCTTAAGTGATGGGGAAGGAGAAGTTGGTGACTTGATGCTGTCGACAGTCAAAGTGCCGTTGTCACCCAGTGGACTTGCAGCTTTCTTTTGCCTGCGTCGCTTCAAGGCAGGGTCGGTCTGTTCCTTGATACGAATAGACGATCTCCGTGTTTCTGACTCCTCGCGTCCGCTCTTCTCCCTCTTCGGTTTGATCTTCCGCGAAGCTTTCTCGGCCTTCCGGAGCTCAGAGTCCGAATCCGACGTGGTGTTCATCGAGTCGGACGAGTAAGAGTGTCGTAGTTTGGTATCCTGCAGTGCGCGGTGCGTGGGCTTCTCCAAGCTCCAGGTGCTATCATGGGTACCACCGGCAAGACCATTGGCTCCAGCTGTAGTGCTACTGGAGATTCGATCTCGTCGCCGCCATCGTGGTGCCGGGGAAAGCTTGCCATCTGGGTCTCTCAGGTATCTGGCGACATAGACAATGGGGGCTCCAATGGCAGTCAGGATAGCAGTTATAGCGTCTGTCAGTCTCTTCACGAATGCCCGCCAGCCATGGGATTCGTTTGCCAAAGCTGCCTTTTCGTCATGGCCTAGCAGCGGCTCCTGCTCCTCGTCGTCCTTAATTGGAACATCCTCATCGTCCGCAGAGGGTGACGCACCCAGGATGTCCGACAGTTCACCATCGCTCTCGTGTTTGATCTGAGCTGTACGGTCGTCGCTGTATGATCTTCCCCTATGATGATCTTCACCGTAACCTCTCTTGAGCGGCTCGCCTTGGGATCTCGAACGAGGACGTGTGGGTGTTGGGCTTTGTCCGATGACCCGGGATGAGATGAGGTTGAGTGAGTTCATCCTCCAGCGCGGATGTCGCGCAGACGGGTGACCGGTCGGAGAGAGAGCGCAGGTACCTGGCAGAATATACCTCTTTAAGCACTCGGTTGACAATTGGAAAATGATGTTATGACAAGGGCATGTCGGAGGTCAAAGTACAGCGGAAAACGAAGGTGGGGAGGTGGGAGGGTCGATTCGAGCGGAATAACGACGCGAAATAAGTGTTGCTTGAGAAATCACATAGTCGGGGTGTCGTGAACAATGAACCGAGAGTCGCCAGAAGGCCAGATACAAAGTAATTGGATCAAGGGTGGTGGAAGAAGATGACAAGGATAATGCTGGTAGGATGAAACAGAAGAACCAGAAGCAGTTGTGGTGGTGGGGGAGGATGAGGAGGATGTTTTTGGTGGCTGGAATCGTTCCGTATGGAGATGGAGAGAAGATCGTGAGCAGCTCGTCGGATGATGCTGTTTCTCAAGATGCCGAAAAGGAAGAGAGAGAGAGAGAGAGACCCGCATTTTCGAATACGAGTCATATTCCGGAGTATTTCTCTATAACATTTTTTTGGTGAGACACTGTACACGAGTGACGACCATACAATTTACATACCACCACTACTACAACAAACAAACGCATCATTCGAGCCAGACTTGTCGCAAATAATTCGACGTTTCCAACACGCCGAGGAAGCCTCAAATCCAACCACACGACAGGACTGCAAATAAATATCCCACAACTGACTACGACCGCCTCGTTGATATTCCCACGCCCACATATCAAGGGCTGCCATCATGGCCCCTTCAGGAGCACCTCTGACTCCCGGCTTTGGTACTTTTCAAAGAATTCTATCTACTGAACCCATCGACTCTTCCGTAACATACCTTGTCTCGTGAGTCTTGCACTTTATATTCTTTTGGCATCCTTCCTCGAGATCTCGCTAATTCTGCCCCCAGTCTTTTCAAGCGACGACAGATCAAAGGCTCGAAACGATGCGCCGTCGCAACCACCCTCCTTCTCCTTCGCACAGTCGAACTCACCAAGCAAGCCGATTCCGAAAGACTGATACAGAGGGTCACCGAGGTTGGCAAAAAGTTGATGAACGCTGCGCCGCATGAGCCGTCTGTTGGAAACATCGTCCGGAGAGTCCTGGGTATAATCCGAGAAGAAGATGAAGACGATGCGGCAGCCGGCGGCGATGGGGGAAGCGCAGAGAGCGATGCAGGTCTCGACCCTCCTACGCCCATAGAACGAACACACTTGTCGCATCAGTTCGCAGCCACCAGCGCTTCCTCCACCGCCAGCCCGTCACCACAACGAGGCATGTCGTCCCGCCCTCCGCTCCTCTCCTCTCACACAGGCGCCCCGGGCGGTGCTCGCCCCGTCACGTCCATGTTCAGCATCATCTCCCACCCGACCATGCGAGCGTCAGGCGTCGAGTCCCCGATTCAAGGCAGTGGCAACGTCACGCCCCGAATGAGCGTGTCCGGGACCTTGTCGAACCTCCGGCAAGAAGTCATCAAGGGCATCAAAGAGATCATCGACGAGATCAGCGGGTCCGACGACGAGATCGCCTCTGCGGCCCTCGAACAGATCCACCCCCACGAGACCATCTTCACCTACTCCTCCTCCGTCACTGTCCAGAGATTCCTCCTTCGTGCCGCCTCGAAACGCAAGTTCACCGTCATACACGCCGAAGCCTACCCGAACAACTACCACAAGACGCACGCCCTCCTGACCGGCGGCCAGGACGGCACCGAGGACGACGATATGCTGCCCAACGAGTCCTTCTCGAAACCCTTGACGGCGGCCGGGATCTCGGTGGTCTTGGTCCCGGACTCTGCCATCTTCGCCGTCATGTCCCGCGCCACCAAGGTGATTCTCGACACGCACGCCGTCCTGGCGAACGGCTCTCTGTTTGCGGCGGCTGGGTCTAAAGCCGTCATCAAAGCCGCCCGTTTCCACCGTGTCCCCGTCGTCGTCCTGGCCGCCACCCACAAGCTGTCGCCGACGTACCCTTATGACCCTCACTCGCTGATCGAGTACGGCGACCCCGGAAAGGTCGTCCCCTTGCAGGACGGCGAGCTACACTCGGGACTAGACGTCGGCGTGAGGAATCCATTGTACGATTATGTCGAAGCGGGCGACGTTGATTTGTTCGTCACCAACCAGGTCCCCGCGGTCGTGAGCACGGGTTATCTCTATAGAGTGGTTAGGGAGCAGTATCACGACGAGGATCTGCAGCTGTGATGGCCGCAGAGGGAGGCCAGTGCTATTCTGATGGAAGCCCATATCTGAGGATGGTTCCCAGGTGTACGACGATGCCGTATCACTAGTCAGACGAAGTGTTCATTCATACATGATGCATGATCATGACACCGTTCTTATTTTCCTGCTTCTCGGAACGTGGTGCTCCGGACGCTGGAGAAATGCTTGGAATTTACTGTGAGCAGATCGCCACGAGTTGATGTTTTGGCTTCAAAAATAATTGACCAAAGCAACGTAATCTTATTGACATCGCTCTTCGAATTGATGGTACAATCAATATACATGACCTCTTTTCCAGGTCCAATCTTGTCCAGTCTAAATTCAAACAATCTTGTCCGCCCCGACAGGTTGTCTCTTCAGCCTCCCGGGACCCTTTTTCTCTTCCCCTCTCACACCCGTGCGTCTGTTCTTCTCGCCCCTCACCCACTCGTAGGTGGTGCCGTCTTCTTCGAAGGCTTCTTTTTCCTCCAGACTCTGGTCCTCTATGGCGGTTTCCAACTTTTTGATCTCCTCTTCGAGCGCCTCTTCACCTCCGTCTCGGAACCTCGTGACTTTACGAATGTTGACCGCCGTGAGTTCGTGCATCGGCAGGTTCTCTTTCCGTTGTCTCACGATGGCTTTGGCGGTCATACTGAACCGCATATCTCTAGGTCCGTCGATGAGACTCAGAATGGCCGACGGGGCCTGGTCTTCGCGGACGGGTTCCTGGCGCAAGAGGCGCGTGTAACCACCGGGTCTGTGTTCGTAACGTTTGCGCAGGGTGTCGAAAAGTTTCTCCATGTGTCGATCTGGTTCCTGCAGCACCCGATGACCACATTAGTACTTGTCTTGTGTGTTATGCATGTGACCGCTTGCAGCAGTCATGCCTGGACCAGTTTGAAAACGTACAAAAAATATAGACTTGGCCCTTTGACGGGCAGCATTTGTGTTCTTCTTCCCCAGGGTGATCATCTTTTCGGCCAGTCGTTGTGCCTCTTTTGCTTTGGCGTAAGTCGTGGATATTGATTCATTTGCGATCAAAGATGTGACGAGGTTGCGGAGGAGGGCCCGTCGGTGGGCAGAGTTCCTCGACAGATGTCGATATTTTATCGAAGACATCGTTTATATGTTCCGTCTTTGGAAAGCCCCGGAAGCTGAGGATCGAGGAGTCGTGGGCTCAGACCCGAATGCGTCGTGGGCTGTTGCAGGGAAATTTAGACTTTGTAATTCGTATGCAGACGATCGTTTCGGGAAGGTCGCTGGGAGGTTGGAGATCCTGGTTCAATATCTTTCAAGAAGCTTAGAAAGACTGTAGAGCACGAATACGAAGATCTAGATTGCGCTTGAACGCCAGTCGTGGTGGTTTTGCTAAATAAAAAGGTCAAAGTCGTCCCGGGACGCAGCTTAGCAACTTTCTCTTTCGGGCCAATCGACTCGGGGAGATCAGCCTCGTCTCGGCGCCAAGACTTGGTTGAACCGTCCGCGCCTCACCACTCCGACCTTGCAATACATCGTTCACAAGTACTCTACTACATCTGCGGTTCCCTCGATCTAGGTCCTCCTGCTTCAATATGCTCGATAACTCTTTGCAAACGGGCAAGTTCGTCAACTTGAACCTCTTCGTTCTTCACACTTTTGCGCATCGAACGCTATAGGAAGGAGTTGAAAAATATACGATATGTCAACGGGTGCAAGAGAAACATGAGTGCCTCGTACTCTTCGCCAGTGACAATGAGAAGGAGCAAGTTGCTTATTCGCTTGGTTCGCCATTATTGTGTGTACGTATGTTAATGGTACCTTACCATCACGAGTGGGAGCATCAACTACGGCCACTGCGCCATGTATCTAGCGCAGAGGAACGAGAACATGATCTATTCCCTGCACACGACAGCCTCACCCGCAGCCTGGTGCTGCCCCCTAGGCCAAATTCGGATCTTATGGATGTGCGAGTAACCTCTTACTGAAGATGGGATATGCCGTCGGAATGCTAAGTGAGTGAGCTTGGGATCCACGCCCGCATGCAGACCTTGTTATGAGGGATGCAAAAATGGGGCATAAGCAGTCAAGGCGCTTGAAACAGCATGGGCCCAACTAGGAAGCATTGGCACCGAGTACTTTTTGGCACCAAACGATTGATCCGGTCACGTCTTTGTTTGCTTGTATGTCAGTATAAGTTCGGGAGGTGGGAAGGTGGGATGGCGGGACGGACGGGAAACTACCGCTGCAGTATTATCCACCTTCCCACGCAATTAGTCTGAGGTGGTTTGAATCGAGATGTATGCATACATACGTGTTAAAATGCCTGGGTATATATAAATTGTGTACAGCACGTTGTTGAGATGCATCCAGCCTGTACTTTACCTCGAGAGTGGCTGAACATCGACCGTCATCATGGTCTCTGCCCGCATAAGATCGACAACTGAGACCAAGGACGGCATCAAATGGTACTACGAGCAACAAGGCTCTGGGCCTGATATCGTGTTAGTTCCAGATGGCTTGGGTGAGTGCCAAATGTTCGACAAGCCCATGTCAATCATAGCCAGCAATGGCTTCCGCGTAACAACATTCGACATGCCTGGAATGTCAAGGTCATCGGAGGCACCGCCCGAAACGTACAAGGATGTGACAGGCCATAAGCTAGCTACCTATGTCGATACTCTTCTGGAACACCTGGGCATCAAGGATTCCTCGGTCTGGGGTTGTAGCTCGGGCGCAACCACAGTGCTTGCACTCTGTGCAGCTTTCCCAGAACGTGTGCGCAATGCGATGGCGCACGAACTTCCAATGACGAACCCCGAAAAGCTTCATGGCATCAACGATCTCAACCCTGCTGAGATCGCGGATAAAATGGCAGCCGTCACTAGGTTCTTTTCTGGCGGTGTCGAGGCTTGGGATGCTCTAGGCCCGGAAGTCCACGCCAGGCTTCACATCAATTACCCTCGTTGGACAGCTGGATATCCTCGCACCATACCCCCATCAGCACCCACGGCAAGTGAAGACCTCCATAAAAGACCGATAGACTGGACCGTGGGAGCGTCTACTCCGTCCGAGGCGTTCTGGGAGAATTTCGTCATAGCAGGCAGGGAAGGCATACACATTGGCATTCTCCCGGGGAGTCATTTCCCATATGTCTCTCATCCCGAGGCTTTCGCCAAATACGTTGTCGATACATGTCGGAAGTACCTTTGAAAGAAAATAAGAGTATGGAAATAAGATGGAAATCAAGAAGTCGAGTGTTTTCCTGAAATGTAACCAACAACCAGAAAGCGAGGATGCAGGCAAATTCGGAACTGGAAATCATCTTCATTTCCTCAAACTCACGACTGAGTCTTTGCACAAGGCTTGTGGGAAGTTCGGTTTTGTTTTCCGTAGCCATCATGTAGGAGAGATCTCGGAATGATCTGATGAAAGCGTTCTCCCACAGTCACATTGTTGCATTCGACTTTCCAACCTTCTCGGTTTCCCACATTTGGCCCGCACTTCTCGTCAAGCTCGTTCCCTTCCCCCGCCATGGAGATATCCCAATCAGGACTACATCAAAGGCCCGCAAAGGAGGTTCAACAGATCAGGCTAGAGCTGGGGATGCGGTCGGGGCTCCCTTGTAGCGCACAATACTGTACTTGCTCCTTTCGGCCAGGCCCTTCATACTGCAGGGAAACCAATATCGATTCTATGTTAGAACCCGATGACCCTAGATGTATCATTCCGTAATTTCCCGCGGCCAAACATCTCTTCATTTGCTCGTATTGCGACGATTGTCGTGCGCGATAGTCTCGATTGTTTCTTGGGAGCGTTCCAATCATATCACTGACATCGTAAATCTTTCCCATCCATCTAGACCTGCGGATTTATCTTCAAGGATGCATGCATCGGTTGCCCCGACGGGCGGGAAGACGCGCAAATGCCCATACTGCTCAAGAGAATTCACGAAGAATGATCATTATGAGCGTCATCTGAGGTCCCATACGAATGAGAAGCCTTTTGGGTGCCGAGTGTGTAAAAAGTTTTACCCACGCCGGTGCGTGCACGCTTGCATTGACGGCTCTTGCATCTAACGAGCGTAGTGATACTCTCCTACGCCATATCAAGATTCACAATGCGAGACGAAACAACGAAGCAATCTCCTCTGCCGACCTCATAAATGACCTAAACATCATTGACAGAGAGAGCTCGTCCTTCATCACGGAACACTCAGCGTCTCGGGAGTATAGCAACCACCTACCTTCCGGATCTCCAGCAGGATCAGAACATCTGGACGGCACTCTGCGCTTCAGCCCTGGCCATGGCACGACTGCCACAATCTCCACTCTACAGCACGAGACTCTGCATGGAGAGAAAGCGAAGGCACCGCTCTTGAGCGTTGGGACTCCTTCGCGGAACCAAGACTCCAGCGATTTTTCCGATCAGGACGTGGGTTTTACGTCAACAGTGGCAGAATCCATTGAAGCCAGCTGGAATCGTAGTATCCTCGCTTCGGAAAACGACGCCGGGCTCGACGAGAGTATGATGGACGGTGCTACTTTCGCTGACGCCCTTGTACAATTCGATGCTTCAAATTGGCTCCTAGACGAAGATTTCATCAATCTGTCAGGCGACGACCTCTTATTTGGCGCAAACCGAATCTCATCTGACCTAATATATCAGCGACCTGCAGCTACAAACTCAACTAAAGACGGCAACCTAGCTCCAAAGGTTTTGGACCTCCGACGTATGTGGCATGTGCAGACACGAAGTGCACTCGTCGACCTTGATTACGACCCCGACGATACCGGAAAACCGCCATCTGCTGCCAGGGGGAGAGATATCGATGAGCTATATCATAATCAATTGACCGAAGGCCTTCGTCCACCGTTGCGCAATGAACCCCTACCATCTATTGATATCCTGGTAATGTTGTCTTGCAATATCTACCTTGCAACTTCTAACGAAGGCCTAGAATCTCTGCATGCGTTTGTTTTTCACAAGATTCAATGTTGCGGTACCCCTTATCCACGGCCCAACATTCAAGCCCAGCGCTGGCAACATCTTACTTGTCTTGACAATGTGTTCTGCGGGCGCGTCAACGATGCCATCTGATAAGGCCTTGCGTCTGGGAACAATGCTTTTTGAGCGTGTCCTCAAAGTTGGAAATGCAGGATCATGGGAGAGGATGCTGTTGGAACGACCACACTTGGAGAGAGACAACATCAAAGGATCCGTCATCGGCGCGACCTTCGCACTGCTATCACAAGACCGTGCGCACCGAGTGATTGCAGATGGGTACCATGGGACCATCATTTCGGTATGGAAAATTCATGCAAACGATGGCATACACTGACAAGAAAGCAGCTTGGCCGGCATGCTAGATTGTTCACAGAGGCTTCCGATCTGGAGTTGCCAGAGCACCTTACCAGGGATGACCTTGAAAAGGTATGGAAACAGTGGGCCAGGGGGGAGGAGATGAAAAGGTGAACTTTAGGTTTTGGCGTATGATTGCTCTCTGACAGCACTGACGAAGCAATCAGGGCAGCAGCCATCATTTACGTTCACGATGCAGAGCTTGCTGCGCTCTTCCACCATGAACCTATATTTCGCCACAGCGCACAACCGCTACCTACCCTGGCTCCTGCAGAGTTATTTCATGCACCAACAGCGACAGTGTGGGCAACAAGATATAGAGAATATCAGAGAAGGCGACAGGTCCAAACAACACCTTCTCCTGCCACGGCCGGTGAGTCTTCGACAATCACGATTGAGAAATCGAATGAACATGGCTTGCGTTCATGGGTAGCTCTTGCCGGTGTAAGTGCTACCATCGTTGAGTGCCGGCATCTTAAACTCCTCTCGGCGCAGCGTATCCTCGACTTTGAAATTGAACTCGTGAACTGGTACGCTTCAAGCAAGAACTGTTGCCAATATGGTGATTGTCGGAGCCTGAGGCAAAGCGAGCTTCCATTCTGCTTGAGACCACTATGGCATTACATCTTCATGATCCTATCGACAGATCTTAACCTCCTGGAGATTGCCGTTGGACGAGAGGGAAGTGATATTTCCCCCAACGTAAGGGACTATGTGAGATCTTGGATTTCGTCTCCAGAATCCAAAAGATGCCTCCTTCATGCTTTGTGTCTGCAGAATCTGCTGCGATCAACGACGGTAGACTCTGCTACTGCCATGCATACTCCCCGAATCCTCTTCTCCGCTGCTCTATGTTGGTACTGTTACATGCTATATCTACCTAGAAGTCCAGATACCGCCGATTCGAAAAACTTGTCTGATGACGAGTGCGTATCGTATCTGAAGGAGCTCCCGGAAATCCGATTTTTGCATGAGTCCGGAACTCATATGTCGCCGCCACATCTTGTCATCGATAAAGTAATTTCAGATCTTCAGAGATTTCTCGCAGGCAATCCAGTTGAAATAAAGGCCGATATACTCTGTGTTCTTGAATCCACACTATACCGACTTCAAACCAGTGGAATATCGCGGAGACTTGGGGAACTTTTACAGGTCTTCATCTCTGGCAATTGTGCCTGAAGAAGGTAGCCATTGTGTAATTCCGGCCATTTGAGTGCTTGATCGCATGGATCTCAGCCAAATCGACAAATGTTGACCAGAGATGGAGGACCCGAACTGGAAGGATCAACAACGACATATCCTTTTGACGCGGGTCATTGAGCAGAGATCAAAATAGTCCGACGGAAAAGAGAAATGGATTTCAAGCTGCACGGGAAGTGTCGAAATGTTTACAACCGCAGTACTCTTGTGCAATTATACAAACACAGACTTGAAGAACGGCTACGGTAAGCCTCCCCTACTCCCTGCCCACCGATATGGCTCGGCCGCAATAGTGTCGAGCTGCTTCGATGTGGTAGCTAAGAGGAAATTCGGTTTATAGTGCTTCCCGCCTTCCCACTCATTGAACACTTCCCACCCACTCAGAATTTCCCACTCCCACCGTCAAGTCCCTGACGCACAGCACACTAGCCAGTCATGGGAACTTCAATACCTTGGCGAGCTTCGACTGAATCGGATAGAGCTCCACCTTTTCCTATATATATCCTTCGCTTTCGAACCTTACAGCCAATGTCGCTTGCAAGACATCCAGAGAGTCACCGAAATGCAGGCCACTATTCGTGATCTAGCACATCGGACCATCATGTTTGGCGACTCAGGCACTCTAGCCATTACGATATGGCCTCTGCTCCTCCTTTTGTTACTTTGGTTGGTCAAGGTTGGTAACTGGCGTTTATTGTTTGTCAGATCCATCGCTTATGGTGTTGCAGACAGTTTACGCGGCCTATTTCACCCCGTTGGCCTCCGTCCCGGGCCCTTGGCTTGCCAAGTTCACAGCTCTGCCGCTCAAGGTTCACGTTATCAAGGCCAGAAGGGTGCAATACATCGACAACCTACACAAAATCTACGGTCCAGTGGTCCGTATCGCACCGAACGAGGTCGACGTAACAGACCTTGATGGCTATCGCGCAATCCATAAGATCGGCAATGGATTTACCAAGAGCCAATGGTACCCGAGGTTTCGAACAGCATACCGTGACCAAGATGTCTTCTCAGAGACGAATATTCAGAGCCACTCAGTCCGGCGCAGAATCCTATCCCGCCCGTTTTCGAAGTCGAATTTGAGGCAAAACTGGGAAGCTCTTGTGCGTGAAAAGGCTCACTTGGCACTACGGAAAATGAGGTCAAAGGCCGAGACTGGGGTATGCGACATCTTTGAATGGTGGTCCTTCTTTACCACGGATGTAATCGGACAGGTTGCTTTTGGTGAATCCTTCGGAATGCTCGAGACGGGAAAGGTAGGCTTCGCCCCACGTTGGAGTTAGAGACGTACCGATTAATCCTGTACAGAAAGCAGGATTCATACAGCTGTTCGAAGACTTCTCGTTCATCGCAACATTACGTGCCGAGCTTCCCTTCGTATACTATATACTCCGCCTGGCACCGAACTTCATCTACGACGTCAATGGTGACGAGAAAGAAATCATCCGTCAGGGCAAGAAAGTCCTACAGCGAGCAGGTGAGGGATCAATCGACAAGAAGAATATCTTTACAGGTCACCTCAGCGGGAAGGAGACCAGCGAGAATTACATCTCGGCTGAAAGCATCGTCGTTGAAGCCACGGGATTAATCGGCGCTGGGGGTGGGACTACGAGTGTGACTCTGACATATCTCGTGTGGGCAGTCTTGTCTAATCCGTGCATACAACAGAGGCTCGAAGATGAAGTCTCTACACTTCCAACCGACTTCACGGATAACGATCTTGAGTCACTCCAGTATTTGAATGCGGTCATTCAAGAAACGCTGAGAATGTACGGCCCAATTCCAGGCAGTCTACGTCGCGTTGTCCCCAATGCAGGCCTGCAAATCGGACAATATTTTCTACCTCCGGGAACAGAGGTGTGCACACAATCATACAGTTTGCATAGGAAGCCGGAGATTTTCGAGAGCCCTGAATTGTACGGCACTCCCTTGCACCCCCCAAACCGTGACGGAAGTCGCAGTAGCTCCACTATACAGCAGAACAAATTCTGACTACACACGCAGGTTCAAGCCCGACAGGTTCCTTCAGCAGAGGTACGCGGAGCAAGAGCAAGCCACTCCATTTGCAGCCTTTGGTGCCGGCTCACGAGTGTGCCTCGGTATACATCTTGCCTACATTGAACTCCGTGTGGCTACTGCATTGTTCTTCCGGGAATGTCGTGGTGCGCGACTGGCCCTATCACACCTGGATGACATGGACATGATCAACTTCTTCGGTGGATTTCCGAAAGGACGAAGCTGCAACATTACCCTGCGAATGCGGTAACTCTTACGGAAAGTGCCCAAACCGGTGTCGAAGCTCGGCGCGGCCACAGATATGTAGATTTGTGCTCTCCTTACAGATCAGGGGCGTATCCCCAATCAATTCATTCACATTTAGATTTCCTTGTCAGCAACAGAGACTGCACGGATGATGACACGCGTGGCAAGAACATTGACGGTAGCAACAAATCTAAGGGCGTCCCTGTCCTCTGAATCTTCCCTTGATCGACCACCGGGTGAAATCTAGCGGTGCCCGTGTGGTCCTGGTATTCTGGAGGTCCCCTTGCTATGCATAAAAGTGGTGGGAAGTGCAAAGCGGGCTAGCAGTGCTGACTACGAACTGGTTTTCAGCGTGTATCATCTACGGGATTGCAATCGTGCAAATATTTTGTTATACACGGCTCATACGAACACACAAGTCCAAAGTCCAGCCATCAATCCCCTCAAGAGCATAGCATATCGGTGTCCCTTTACGAAGATCTTTGAACTTAGCCCCCGAGGCTTGGAGTCCAAAACGAACAACGTGCCACCCTATAATGGACCCCCGGACTATCAACGAGAGCAAATGAAGCCTGGCAGACTCTGTGCGAGGCCGTCCCGCAGCCCGCCCAGTTCCCACTTTTATCGAGTCCCGCGCCTTCTAAGGAGGCGATGGAAAAGGAGGAATCTCCCAAACCTTCGACATCGTTTCTTTCCCAACAGGACGAGCCCACAACCTTTCCGACCCTGGAAGTACTAGTTTGTCCCACGGGGTGATCACCAAATATGGAGTCTAGACCCCGCCTGGTCAGGAATACCTGCACGAAGATGTTCAGTATCGTGCAGACTGTATAAGAAGCTCGGGTGCGCCCGTCCAGAACGGTACCTACCATCTTGAACAGAATCCACACCAAGTCTACATCTTCGATTTATTACGACCAGGTACTGGTCTGCTGAGGATCTCGCAACGAAGGCCTGTGTTGGTAATAACACTTGTTCAGGCGCTATGCAGGCGCAGCAAGTGCTGTCTCGCAAGGCGGAATCTCCGCAGATCGAATTTTCGACTCAACACATGGAAAAGACAGACGGCTCGGCGGAAGAACAGGTGGATGCGGCAGAGCCGAATGTGGTCTACGACAATCCAGAAGAAGAGCCTGCCCTCCATCTGCGAACCTGGACGGCTGTGGGTGCCTTGTTCTTCCTGAACTTGGTCCAAGTATTTGCGCTTCAAGGCCCTCCTTCATTTGTAAGATGAGACGAGTGTCGTCCGAGCCTCAACGTTGAGGGTGGAATTTGCTGACGTGGATGGCTCTCTGGCACAGCTTGGCTACATCGGGGCAGACTTCGATGCTGCCGCGGTGCAAACATGGATTCCCGTTGCCCTCAGTCTCGTGCAGACTGTCCTCGCGCCCGTGGTATCCTCTGCGTCCGACACTTTCCAGGCTCGGAAATCAATCCTCATAGCTTCCTGCGCGGTCGCTTTCGTAGGATCGGCCATAGCCCCCCGGTCGGCCACCATATACCAGGTGATCGCAGCCCAAAGCCTGATCGGAGTCGGCATGGCCGCGGTGCCTCTGGCGTACGTGGTCCCGAGTGAGATTCTTCCCCGGAGATGGAGACCAAGTAAGTGGCTGCCTCAAGGCCAAGTTGGGAACGTTGCATACTGAATGTCTATTTCGTTAGTGACACAGGCTGCCATGAATGTCGGGGCTTGCTTAGGTGGAATGATGGCTCCCGTGGTCATGGGCTTGTTTTCTATCAACGATCGAGCCAAAGGCTGGCGGAACTTTTATGTGCGTGAATTACTCTGTACCTGTGTCTGGATCTTTCTCCGGTTAACTCGAAAGCAGTGGGTCCAGACAGGCCTCTGGGCACTGAGTGCCGCAGGATTGTTGTTCGGATACCGCCCTCTGAAGCGAAAGGGTCGCTTCGGCCATCTTTCCTTCCTGCAAAAGGTGGGCCGAGTCGACCTGGTAGGTTGCTCCATTCTCGCCCTGGGCATGTCGCTGGTGATTGCCGGTTTGAATCTCGGAGGCGGTCTATATCCATGGTCCAACTCTAGAGTCCTGGTCACGATGATTGTCGGGGGAGTGACTCTCGTCGCCTTCGGGCTGTACGAGCGATATGGCACTCAGACAGGTTTCGTCAACCACGAACTTTTCCGTGGTCGAAACGGTCGGACCATGATCGTCTGCATCTTCCTCATAGTCGTCGAAGCTCTCGTCGGTTTCTCTTACCTGATATTCTTCCCGGCACTGTAAGTGGCAACCCGTTCTCCTGCTTGGTCACGGCCACACGAGGTAGCACTTACTGAACTCCCTTCTTCCCCACCAGCACACTCGCACTTTTCGAGCAGACCCCCATGCTGTTGGCGGCTCGCCAGGAGGCATACTGGGTCGGTATCATTTTCGGATGCCTCTCGACGGGCTATGCCAGCACCAAGCTCAGGACCATTCGCGGGCCCATGGGGTTGAGCTTTGTACTGTTGACGGGTGGAACGGTCGGATTTGCAACCATCCAGCCAAAGGACTCCACCACCTCGATCGCCATGGCCGCCTTGACAGGCCTGGGATCCGGTGGGACTTTGATTCTGACCCTGGCGGCCACCCAGCTCTGCACTCCGCATCACCTGCTCGCCACTTCCACGGCGCTCGTCGCCTCGGCGCGCGGACTGTCCGCATCAGCCTTCACCGCCGTCTACTCGGCGGCCGTGCGAAGCCGCCTCGGCTCCAAGATTCCCGCCTACGTCGCAAGGGCTGCCGTCACCGCCGGCCTCCTGCCGGAGTCGCTGCCGGCCTTCACCGCGGCGTTCCTACAGAATGATGCGACGGCGTTGCAGGACGTGCCCGGGATCACGCCGGTCGTCATCCAGGCCGCCACGGCGGCTCTCTTGCAAGCTCAAGCCGATTCCTTCAGGACCGTCTTCATCATCGCGGCGCCATTCGGGGTGTGTGGCTTCTTGGCCTCTTGGTTCCTGGGAGGTCTGCGTGCCACGATGAACTATCGGGTCGATGCCCCTGCGGAAGAGCTGCACGCGAAGCATCAAGTGACAGTTCGACACGTTGAACAAACCGCCTAGTGCCTTCCCTGACAATGTCCGGGGCTGAGCGTCCAAAGATCAACGGAGGAGCTAGGGAGCAATGATTCCAGGAAAGAGTCGTAGAGCGCCGCGAGGACAGGGGAACTTGTCGTACACACCTGGATGAGTCTTCCCATAGTAAGGGGATCATGTTTTGGAATCGATAAAAGGGCGGCCAACGCGTCCGTCTCATCGTAACACTCGACGTGTGGTCCCGTTGAAGGTCATATGCTTGTACATGTGATTTATTATATGATCCACCACCCTAGTTCTGGTACCATCTACCTTTTCTCTGTACAGTACGTATAGTTCCCGGATGGGGTTATGTTGCTGTTCGGGCTGTATTCGGTGCCACCGCCTTAATCGCCAAAGGCAAGACCATGACCCTCCCTGACCCGTACTCTCGTTCCCGTCATTCCTACCCACCCATCTCAGCACATGTCGCGATCGACCAAGGACTACGATAGCGTGGGAAAGATTGCCTCTCACAAACCAGGCGGGCCAGGGGTTCTAGGTGAGGAAACTCGCAAGGAGCTACGGAGTACACACAGTAGCAGATGCCGTCGTCCTGGACATGGATATCACCTTGATGCTTCATTGGCCGACAACCACTTCCGATATCAAACAGCCCTGCCTTGTGTCCTATGTTACATGATGACCGCCTCCACCATTCCGGTGCGACTAATTTTTTTCCCAACCCTCATCACTGTCCAATCTACCACCAGAGGCACAAATTCAGGTCCTTTCCCGTGACATTTATACAAAGTCCGCGATCGCTGCAGCGAGGGGAATCATGGCCAGCCCACCGGTCAGAACTGCACGACTTCCTGCGTTGCCAGAAGTCGCTGACGCTGCAGCACCAGACGAAGCAGCTGTGGCACTCTGACGAGGCGAACGCTCGGGGTTAGCAGAAACTCTGATCTCGGTGTGTGATGTGACATACTCCGGAGCTACCAGATGCGGCGGTTGAGGACCCTGCCGTTGCACCCGAACCAGCGGACGAGCTGGCAGCTGTTCCCTGGGCCGTCTCAGATGGACTCGCAGAATCCGTGGCGGAAGCTGTGGTGGTTGAAGAAGAGGTGCCGTTCGCCGCGGAGGTCGCGTTGGCGGGGACCGGTGTCGCGTCGAGTCCGCAGCCCTGAGCCGCCTGCGCGACGCTGTTGCCATAGTACTGCCAGATGTTGAATTGGAGTGCACAGTCAAGGCAATCGTTCAGTGAAGTCGTGAAGTTGGTTGAATTGCAATAGCCTTGGGTTCGGCCATCAACGATCACGGCTCCTGTAACCAACGAATCAGCCTGGCTTTTGAGATTGTCTTGCCGACAACATTGGAACCTGAACACCTACCACAATCGGCGTGACAGTCATACTCTGGAGTTCCCGGGGCTTGTCGACGGTGCAGAGGCACAGCTTCTGGGTAAATAAAGGCAAGGGCAGGGTAGATGATTGCGGCGAACGCGAAAACCAGCATGGAAGCACGCATCTTGAGCGAGTGTCGGGGCAGTGTGTGGGTGAGAAAAGGTAAGCTTGAGACGCAGGAGAACCCAAATAGTCGATGGCAACGGTTGTAGAAAAAGACAAGAACCCGCGAGGAACGCCCGCCGGTTCATATACTCAGTCAAGGCCAAATCAAAGGCCCGTCACACCCTTGCAACGTGGCGCATGAACCACACTGTTGCCGAACATGTTTTCTGTCCGATGCTCGCATTGGGTTCAACTGGCGTCCCACTCGTGCTCTGGACATCGAGGATTCTCGAAAGTCGGCATCTGCTCGTGGTCACCACGCGAGCAGGGACCTTGAGGATTCTCTGCCGCTCCCCCAAGTATTTTGCCCTTGAGGTGGAGCTTGCCAGGGTCAATAGTCAACGCCTGGCATCGACCGGTTTGTCTTGGGAGTGCGCGAATTATCTTATCTGATCATGTAATTCTTTCGTCTGACGTTACCATTTCTTTCCAAATCTCGCACATTATCGGCCCAAAACAATTCTGTCAGCTCAAAAGAATTAGTAGCCACGCCAAGGAGAGGGGATCTAATCAGATTAGATTCCGAGAACGGCCTCCCTCCCCTACGACGTGGTGGTGGTGCGCCGACTGCTTCTGTGGACCAACCCCTCTGCGTCAAGAACTTCCTAACGAAGGGAATGCTGTGACTCACACCACTGGGAGGATGCGTTTGACAGAGTTAGCGAAAGTTCAAAGCTGCCGTGGCGACATCGGAAGTAGCGGGCATGGCTTTGCCTGGACAAGAATGCCACGAACTGCAACCTAGTGTGTTCTTCATGTGGATGTAGCTCGTGATATACTTCCCACCCTGCTTGCAAGTATAAGACGGCATCCAAACCACACCCCCGCCTCCTCAAAAGGCAAATCTGCATTGTTAATAACAGAAAGGATTGCTGCTGATTCCCTTCCCCAACATCATTGTATCCCTCGCTGTACTTCGACAACGGGCTTTCAGCATGAAGGGCGGATTGAACCTTCTCTCTTTGGGCGCTTGCATCATTGCCCTCGCCCAGGCGCAACATGGCGAAGACTATTCCAAAACGATGGGACCGGTTGCATTTATGTGGCCACCTGACCGCGTATGGGGAGCTGCTCAAGACAATACTGCACCCTGTGGTTCAGTGGCGGGGGTGACCAACAGGACCCAGTTTCCACTACGTATGTTTGTGTGGGCTGTTAAGTTCCTGTGCTAAAATTCTTGCAGTCAATGGCCAGGTTGCTCTTGTAGCACAGGATGAATCCTGGTCGGTCCAAGTCGCCATATCCTACAGCAACAGTAAGACATAAAGAACCAAACATGTCTGAGCACTGAGGCTGACGGGTGAATGTAGATCCCACCTCCAACGACGATTTCCAAACGATCATCGCTCCAATGAGGATACCAGAATTGGATGAAGGACACCAGTGCTTCCCCATTGTGAACCCACCCGCCGACGTCGAGACCGGGTCAAATGCCACGCTGCAGATCAAATACGTTTCCGACTTCGACACTGATAAGAATGAGACATTTTACGCCTGTTCAGACATAACTTACATCCCAACCAGCCAATTCACCTACCAGGTGCCGTGCTTCAACGCCACAATCGAGGACTTCAACATCACCGAGCCGAGCTCCAGCGCCTCAGGCACAGCCGCGGGAGCGAGCGCCACGGCACCGGCCCCTTCGCAGAGCTCGAGATCATCCTCGCCAGGTCTCTCGGGAGGCGCCATTGCAGGCATTGTGGTTGGCGTTGTTGCAGGGGTAGGCTCCATTGCTGGCATCCTCTTGTTCTTCTTCTGGCGTCGTTCTGCACGGAACAAGCGTCTGCGTGAACACGAAGCGTCCGTGAGAGCGGTGAAATGGGACGAACAACTAGCAGGTTCGCCTCCAACGTCACGAGCCTCGACCCAGGATATTGCGCTCTCAAACATGCCAGGCAATAGGGCTTAAGATGGACTTCGGATTGTGGGCTGGATTCGAGAAAAGGGCGATGCCTACCATGGTGACGGTGGGGTCAATGGAGGAAGAAGGGCCTCGATTGATAGGAAAGACATGACACCCGGAAGGGGATTATCTTCCCTTTGAGAGCCGGCACACGAGGTAGCTATGCAGCACTGATATGTAGCATCCATAAGCTCCAAGAATAACGCACTTACGACTACATGTTTTTTGTAACCACAACATATCTTGTCGGATTTCAGAGTAGACAGTGGTAGGAAGGCGGATATACGGAGTGTATGATCTACGAACTGACGTCCTGGTCCACCGTAGATAGTCCGGCGGAGTACCCACCCACCTGAAGTCCGGAAACTTTTCGATGCTTTGAAGCTTCCCTTGTTCGGATACAAGACGCCTCTCGGGCAAGACACCTCTCTTCTTCAATCAAATACCACTTTAACCAAATTATCTCACCTCATTACTCACCCGCAGTCTTCCTAAGACCTCCACGTCGGCCTATCTCGAGCTCTTTGCAGAGTAATATCAAGCTTTGTGTACGGCCGGCTCCAACAGTTATACACACCACCTTGTCCCTGAAGTCAGCAAATATGGGTTTCACAACAGGTTTCGTGAGTTTTCCCTTTCTCTAAGTCATCCTGCCGCTCCTCGTGCTATGGTACTAATTCTCTGCTTTAGCTGGGTGGACTTACCCTAACTTACTCAGTCCTTTACATGTCATTATACGTGCACCGGACCAACAGACACGCGCAACGTACACTCCTCAAACAACAAGCGACGTTACTCAACTCGGCCGTCGACCCTCTGCCTCCGCTGCCCGACCCGCCGGCGTACGAAGTTCGGAAGGCGGGGTTGGTCGAAGAGCTCAAGGACCACTGGAACACCGAGGTCGAGACGATCGTGCGCAACCTGCAGACGACCGACTGGGCGGCCAAGCGTGGGGAGTGGGAAGACAAGATCGCGGCAGGCTGGGCCAAGATCAGGTCGAGTCAGACCGCTCAGGACCTCGAGGCCCGGGCCAAGGACACGGCAAAGGAGGTCGAGCGGAACGTCAAGCAGGCCGTGAGCGAGGGGAAAGCCGCGGCCAAGGACGTGAAAGACAAGGTGGTCCAGAGTGGTGAGCAGGCGAGTGAAAAGGCAAAGAATGCAACGAGAGAACCGAGGCTCCTGGAGTTGAAATGAAAAAGAAAGAAACTCGACAAGAAAGAAAAGATTTAAACAAAAACTAATGCTGATAACCATGATACGAACTTGATTCTCTCGACATTGTCTTAGGGACCTGCCGGAAACCACCCCCCCTCACTGTCATAATAAACTGGACTTCAAGACGGAACCCGGGACCCCCTGGTTCGCAAGATCTTGGTACCAAATTCGAGAAAGAGCGCCTCTGGACAATCCGAGTCCGATTTCCTTGAGCCGACATCGTCAGCTCGTCGAAGCGTTACGCGTGGCACGTGGGCATCAAGACTCTACTACTAGCCATCGAGGTCGTGTCTTTCCATTGTCAACAGCGAGGCTCATGCGTCGTCCAAATTATGGCACCCGGACGCATACAGAGGCTACAAATCATCGACCTGCCCACTACTGACGAACCTCCCAAGTCGTGGGTGCTAAACGAATCGTGGATTGTGAACCAAGATGGATTCTCGCTTGCCCAGGCCATCGAAGATGGTGGCGACTCTTCTGGACAGACACAGCAGATCATGGGTCAGGGGGAACTGGGAATTCAAAAATTCATGGTGGTGACCAGGAGACGGTGTCACTCGCACCGAGGGGCATCAGAGCGCGAACCCAGGGCTAAATAGACGCCGGGGTCGATTTCTACCAGAGTCACAAGACACAAAGGCACATGTCTAACGGAATGTCATGCAATGGAGTCTTGTTGGTGGTGACAGAGTCTTCAAATGTCAATCACAGATCTTGGTCTTCCTAACGATCGATTTCGTTTCAATTTTCTTTCATCTATTTGAAATCTCAAGGCTATCCTTTGGAGTCATCTCCTTCCAGAACGAAGTACTTCCTCCCACCCCTTGATCTGCAACCCTCCCCGGGACAAAACAATACGAAAACAAGCACCCCGTAACACCGTGCATGGTTCATTGCCTACCTACCTTGTGTACCTAAGATTGTTTTCTCTTTTTGTTCTCCTTTTTCTTCATTCTCCCAATCAGGAACACCAACGCCATTGCGTCCCGTCGCATCGCAATTCAATTCAATCCAGTTCGTGGCTTCGTCTCTTTTAATCTTTGATTCATCCAATTCTTTCGTGGTCAATTGTGTCGTTCCCTCGTTCGTTTTTCTCATCAAATTCCTTTTTTCATTCTCTGGCTCCGAGAGTTCCAAGTCCTGATCCTGACCCTGATTTGTCTCTGCTGCAAAGGTGTGCGCCGATGATCATAGCCTCGCCTGAGTAGGAAGAGGCAAAGACATTCTCGACCACCAAGTGCTTTGTCTTTGTCACGTCAGGGTGCCGGGGCTGATGGCGTCGGTGTACTTCTGGCCGCTGGACCAACAGCCTCGCTCGTCGACTCGTTGACTTTGCTCAAACTCTTCTCGAGCTCCTTAACCCTCGCCCTCAGAATCTCGTTCTCCCGTTTCACCGCTTCCAACTCGGCGCGTTGGAGTGCGGCTTCTTCGTATCTCATTGCCGCCGCGGCGCTGGATCCGCCACCGGTATTCGTTGCACTGGGGCTCCGAGGGTGGCCGGTACCTGCTTCGCTTCCCACGACGCTGGTGGCGATGGCAGCCTGGTTATTGCTAGAAACGCTGCTACGGTGAGGATAGCCACCACCAGCGGCGGAGTACGGGCTCATGTTCGAACCGACACCCTGCTGCGTCAGATGGGGACTACCCGTCATACTGCTGCTCCTGAAACCCATGCCCAGACCCGACACGCTCGTGCTCATGCTGTTCTGCCGGCTCATGTCGGGACGTTCACGCGTCAGTTCCATGCTCGGGCGGCTGCTCTGATCTCGCGGGGCTGCGACGCCGGAGACACTGGTATGTCCTGCACTGGCGAGGTTGTCACGGATACTCCTGGCAGATCGAGCGGAGAGGTTGGAACTGCTCCTGTGCCGGCGCGTTGTCGTAGGGATGATGGTCGTCCCTGTGCCAGTGGATGTGTACGGGTCACTGGAAGAGAAGAAGTGGTCTGACGTGCTGGAAGTGGTGGAGGCGACCGACGCGGTTTGTGCTCTCAGGGCCGAGAGCTCACGGGTGAGGCGGTTGACCTGACGGAACCTCTCGTTAGATTCAGGTCCCTCTGAGGCCACGGGGAGGGGGGAGACTGTACAATACTCTCTTGCTCCTTTTCTAGTTCCAGGTGCAGTTCTGCCGCGGTCAACGGCCTCGGATGCCTAATCGGTCCTGGTCATCTTCTTGTCAGGCGTGTGATCTCATATTCAAAAGGCATGGTAGACCTACCTGGTCCAATGCCAACCCCCGTATTGTCTATCATTGTAGCTTGAGCGGGTCGAGGAGAACTAGGAAGACTGCTCTCGCTTCGTGGAAGGGGAGGAGGTGGCATCTGGGTTGACGTTCGTCGGGAGGCGGATTGCGAGGACGGTGGATGGACGGTGTGCTGAGGGTTGGGACCGTTGCGGGGTGATCGTGGAATAGAGTTGAGGTCTGGAGCCATGGTGTGAAAGAGTGAATGCTGTATTGATTCTGGAGGGAAACAGTGGACGAGAAGGACGGAGGTGTCTGAACTTTTGGCCTTGTTGCTGCTATTGACAGTGAAGCACCATCTGCGCAGCTCGTATTGGGGCCACAGTTCATACAAGGTGATGTCGTCAACTGCAATACAGTGAACAGTAGCAGCACTTCTCTCGATCAACAGTTCGAACTTTCCACCAAAGAAATCGAGTAGCAAGGGGCTAGATATTCGAAGGTCTCGGTATTATTAGGTTCAAAGGCGAACGTCGTGGTTTTGGTCGCCAACGCAATCTTCCTTTGGGAAATCAAGTGTCGCGTCGTAATGAACCAATCATGGCCGAATATGGATGCATTTGCTTCGAGACACCAAGAGATCCAACATATGGAGTATAAGCACCTACGTACGGAGTAAGTCCTAACAATGCCATCACGACACAACCAGTAAAGATATAAAATCTCTATATATTTGAAAAGCTGCACGCCAGCCAGAAGTACCTATATATGGCCTCGTAACAAATACCCTTCCTCGACTCCTAAAGATGAGGTAGTGAGTGACCATAAAACCACTCCAGCTTCATGTACATCGTTTCAAAGTTCCAACATTCTATGCTCGCAACGATTGTGATCAGTTCCAAAACGATTCCATACACTTTTTCTCCCTGTCCGCGATGACTCGTTAGGCAATCGCTCCGAACGCCTCATATCATATCCTGACATATCTCTGAAGTTGTGCCCAGAGGATTCATCCTTTTGAAGGAAATCTCATACATCTGATACAGTAGCAGACGTCTCGACAGCATGCCCCTCCTTCTTCAGCCCGGAGTCATCATCTGACCCTTTCCTGGAATCAGAGACTGAGGACCTAGACGGACTCATATCCCCGACATTTGATTGCTCTACTTCCTTAATCAGGGGAGACTGGTCTCGCGCATGTTCAGCCTCGGCTGGAGAAGGTGTCTCAGCATGCTCAACGTGACTGCTGGTTTCTCCCTTGTCCTCTTGGCCGATCATAGCGGCAAGGCTTCTGAAGTTGAACATGGGTTCCAAGCTTCCTGGTGGCGGTGTTCCAGAACCCGAAAATGTGGCTGCAGCTCCTGGCTCAACAAATGACGACGAAGCCGATGATGCATTTGACATTTGTCGAAGATGCGATCGACGGAACGGTTCGGATGCCGTTGGAATTGGAATGGATGATGCGACGGATTCTTGACTAGTGCCCGAAAGTGACAAAGCTGGGATGTAGGATGGTCGTGGCGCTTCATCTTCGACCTTTGCGCCATCTGGAGACGAAGCACCGTTACGCTCAACTCCTTTGCCTTTACCTGAGATGGAGTCATCATCTGCGCCGAGAGACAAATTGCTACGGGATCGTTCCATGCTAGAAGCGTCAGGAGTACTGGTGTTCGAATTAAGCGTGAACAGGCTGTTCTTCCGTGCAGCCTTTTCCGCCTTCCTGGCCTCCTTTTCTTTTCGCTTCGATTCCTTACGAGCCTCTTTTTCTTCTTTTCTGCGACGTTCTTCCTCCGAAGCCAGACTTAACCTTATGGCTTCCATCATCATCATGTCTTCAAGGTCATCCATTCGGCTTCTTCGAGAGCTACTTCCTCGTGGAGGAGGCAAGGCGGCGTTTGCACGACCTTCTCTGGTCTCCGCTTCCTGCTGGCGTGCGGCATGGCGTTCTGCCAGTATGGCCAGAGCACTCAAGCTCGAGTTCGTGTTGCTGTCCGCATTATCGAGAGTAGATCGCCTAAGCATGTTTCGGCGGCTGAATCCTGAAAAGGATCGAGAATCGGCAGTTTGCCCGTTCATCAAGTAGGCCGCTGTGTGAAGAGCTGTAGCTGCTGCTGAGCGGCGAGCTGCATGAGCGCGAGCTGCCGCTAATTTGGTGGCCCAATCAGGTCGGATCTTGTCAGTGGTGATCACTTCTGGCGCATTGGCCGATAGGGAGGTTCCCCGTCGCCGACCAGGACCTGGAGATACTGCGCCCGAGGATATCGAGGTCTGAGATGACCTTGCTGACATCACCTGGTATGGCTGAGACCCAACCCCATAAGTGAGGCCTCTACGGAAAGGTGGCGCTGTGTATGTAATACCGAAGTCGGGGGTCTTGCAGTATGGGCAGGTCGCTATCTCAGAAACAAGTAAGCCTTCCGCTTGTGCTTCACGTTCTGCCTCAGACACCGGGGGCGCATTTGGATCTGGCTGTTCATGTTCCGGAGGATGGGGGTCTGGCCTTTTGATCTGCACAAAACATTCCGAGCAGATTGGTTGCTCGCAACATCTGGTAGTGTTGAGATACGGAGGATAATATAAAAAGCAAATCGGACATTCTGATGCATCCTTGTAGAGGTAGACCTCGATCGGTTGCCCATTGACAAACGGATCCGGAGGCAGCTGAAACTCTCTTGGAGTCATATCAGCCTGGGAGTTGCCACGAGATGAAGTTGTCAGCGAAGCTAACGTCTTCGCTCGAGTTCGGCTTAGTATATTGGTTCCCGACAAGCTTGTAGGAGGTGGTGAACTTGGAGATGGTAAGGGTAGCGAGTTCATGGCGGGTGATAGCGGAGCCGAGCTATCTGACTGAAATGAATGCGACCGGCCACCAATTGGTATTGTAAGATTCTTCAGGGCCGATTGAGTAGTTTTATCGGCTGTAATTCTTTTGGCTAATTGGTATTCCAATTCCGGAGGCACCTCGTCGGCTGGAGGAATTGCCATGCCGCGAGCAGCGGCCATGAGTTGATGCTCTGCCCAGGACTCTGAAAAGTCATTCAAACCTCTCCAGAAAGGTGCCAGTCTGCGTTCAATCTGTATTCGCGTTAGCATGTAACCGCCGCCTGTTCCGAACATCACTTACCATGAGTTGGCGCACAATCCCTTTATTAAAGTCCTCAGTGCCAACATAAACACCTTGTGTGACGAGATAACCTCCATCGACGTTCTCTTCTTTCATGCTGCGCTCTCGTTCCTTCAGTCTCGTAGCTCTCTCCTTCTCGGCCTTCCTTGCCTCCCTTTCCACCTTGGTTTCTCTCCTTGCTTCGAGGGATGAAGCATCTTGGTCATTGCTTCCGCCTATTCCGAGAAACGAGAAATCGTGTCGACCTGGTCGTGTTTGTCGAGAAGACGAATACGGGCGGATTGGGATCTCAGTGCCGTTCGCCTGTGATTCCTGCCGTGAAGTTGGGCTCGAGCTGCCGTTGATCCGAGAGCTGGCAGAACCCTGCCCACGTGCTTCCTTTGTTTGAGAATTACCCATCCTGGCTGCGCCGCTGGGGAGTGTGATTTCAGCCTCCTGCTACTTGTCCACACCCTTATTGCGTAGTTATCGCCACATCTTATGGCCAGTGTGTAATTTTGGACGGTATTCTGCTAAGACCGGCCGGAATAAGATTCGGTCAGATACGTGGGTAGTTGGCGCAGCCACGTAAAGATGACTGTTCTGGGATTGATGTGACAGGGTTTATTGGGCGATTGGTCGTTGACGAGGAATGTTTACACGGGGCCAGAGCTTTGAAGATAGAAGAAGAGAATGAGATAAGTCGATTGTGTGGAGTGATGCTCGCATAACAGGATATTCGACAGGCACGTTGGATAGAAGTCGATGCCCGATAGACGCAATGCAATGCGCAAGACAGGATCAGCCCGTGGTAGGCCGCCAAGTTTACTGCACCCGGAATAACCTTAAGCTATGCAGGGTGATGCTAGAGGATAACAAGTGCGGTTCGGTATGGATCAGGTGGGAGGGAAAAAGAAGTGGTGGAGGAGGAGGAGATGGTGGTGGTGATGTCTTCGGCAACGATAACGATACGGCAGGCCTGTGGCTAGTGCTTGAGATTATGCCCTCTTCCGCCTGTGGCTGCCAGCTGTTTGGCTGCGAGCGATGCCGCCACTGCCCGGTTCCCTGCTGAGTGGGCATCGAATGCCCCGCGTCGCACGGAGCATAATTTTGTACTTGGGCGCAGTTATACCTAAGGCGAGGTGGTAGCCAGGTACCTCTGTCCCCTGTACGTGGCCTAGTAATTATCAAGTTAGGCTCAACCAGCCTTGTCCGCGCCTAAGCTTGGTGCGCCTGGCGAGTTTCTGCTCGCTTGTGGCACCCGCTAAACAGGACCCCCTCCCGCCTAGAACGGCGCCATCTGCGAAAATTCCATGACAATCCTATCAACAGAAGATCTGCGTTTTGCATGTGTGCTCAAAGGTCGTGCATTTGACAGTCGCCCTGCTGGCCCATTTACGAGTAGACGCAATTACAACATGCTCAGATGACGGCGCCTTCGATGCGATTACACATTACTCCTCTAACCCCCGACTTGCTCGCCGCAGTTGTAGGGCCCAAACTCATCAACTCGGTCTCGAACGTTTCCTACCACACTATCCAAACATTCCCCGAAAATAACTACGGCTATCTTGAGCTCCCTGCGATGGAAGCTGAGAAAGTCAAGAACAGAGTCAACGGCGCTATCTTGAAAGGCAAGAAGGTCATGGTCGAAGAGGCTCGGCCGAAGAAGCGCCTGCGCGAAGAAGATAGTACCGAGCAGGCACCCAAGCAAGCGCCGGGAAAGAAAGTGAAGAAGTCCAAGAAGGAACGCAATGTCATCGCAGGGCATGAATTACCTACGGATCGCAAGGTGAAACGTGGCTGGACCGAGGCATACCCGTCCACAGCCAGCAAAAAGAGCAAATCTAGCTCTTCAAAATCGAAGTATTCAGACAAGGACGAGCTACTGTTCCGCACCATTGTGCCTCCAAACAAGAAGGAAAATGTGGAGAAAGAGAAGAAGCAAAGAACCAAGTCCAAGCAGAAAGAAGATGACCATGTGGTCCATGAGTTTAAAAGATCTACAGCGCAGCCGTCCTTCCTCAGACAGAATGTTGGTCTAGGGATTAAGAACAACCTGGAGTATGTCGAGGGTCAAGGTTGGGCCGATGCAGATGGTCAGATAATCGAGCCCGAAAGCGATCGAGTATCACGGCAGCGACGTGCGCTACAGGATGCACCTACCAGGCCAAAACCCACGAACGTTCAAGAGCTGGCTTCGTCGGACACGTCCACATCAGGATCAGAGGAAGATTCACTTACAGATAGCGATGAGGATAGAGAACCTGGACCAGCAGCCAACCAGTTGGACGATAATACAAGCAGTTCTGGCTCGTCTTCCGAGTCAGATTCTGATACAGAAACATCCGAAGAAGCCTCAGATGAACAAGACACCAGTACGTCTGAAACCCGAAACCAGTCTGTCAACACCGAGGTTCATCCACTCGAAGCGCTCTTCAAGAAACCAAGCAAGCCAGCCTCACAAGACGTTGCGAAGCCATCACTAGAGGTAGCAACATCATTTGCGTTCTTCCAATCGGAAGATGACGACGACGAGGAAGACGAGGGCGAGATGACCGCTCCTTTGACGCCATTCAGCTCTCAAGATTTTCGAACCCGAGGTCTACGAAGTGCAGCTCCCACACCAGATTCAGCACATCCAAGTCGTTTCAATAGCTATGGAAGTTCCGGCTTGCCAGGTGATGAGGAAGAGGTGGACGATGACAGAGCAGACACACGGGCCGCTTCCCATGAGCGAAATGAGCAAAGCAAAGGACCAAGCGCCACGCCCTCGCACAAACAGAGCGCATTCGAGAAGAAGTTTTGGGAAAATCGAGGCGACAACAACCGATCATGGAAGACAAGGCGGCGGACCGTCCTGAAGGAAAAACGCCAACGTGAAAATAAAGCACGAAGACCCCGGAACTGGTAGGATGTAGCGAAAGATCTGAGGTCTGAGTGTAACAAGGGTATCTTGCTGGAATTACGCCATTCTAGTAGTCGCATGACATTTATCGCCACAATCAAATATACCTTAATTTTGCACATGGAACCTCGACTGCTTCGTGCTCACAAGCCGCAATACTATGTCGGGTACTGAACTGGGACAATATTGGCCCCTGCCCCAAGCTTGTCTAGGCCACGGGCTCCCCGGACCGACAAACAACAAAAATTGTGCACCCTAAAAATAATAATAACAATAGTGCTCAATTGCCGCTCGTCATTTGCAGCCACAACAACCAGTGTTCTTATTGCTAAACGTGTCCGTTTGACGGAATTCTGGCGCATCCCGTTGCAGAGTGACTGGCAATGATACTTGGGCAGACGTGCTTCGAATAAAGTGTTTCGTGTGGATTGTCCAATATCCCGATTCAACGCCAGATTGTTCGAAATACGAATACGATATACGAGCCTTTACGCTCTGTCGAACACTACAGCACCCTCACACAGATATGCTTGGATAGCTTCATGCCGTATTGCGCTCGGCTCTTTTCGGTTATCATCGTCTCTCATGCCGCCCAAGAATCAACGGCGGTCGCACACCAAAAGTAAGAATGGGTGCTCCCAGTGTAAAGTGCGACGAATCAAGGTTGGTCCCCCTCTGGCAAACTCCATCGTCTCTGGCTCATGCGTGATATAGTGCAATGAAGTGCACCCAATATGTTCCAACTGCGAACGGCGGCAGATATCTTGCGACTTCTCGCAGTCGCCTGGTGTGAGCAGGTCGCCCAGTACCAACATCAACGGCCATGGCAGCGTTCCGAAGGCGGAGTGTAGTGACCGAGCAGGATCAGCCGATGGGGAGGCCAGGCGAAAATCATCACAGCATGTGGTCGACCCATTCCAACAACCTGACTTGGTCAGTAATCAGAAGACCACCGATCTCGACATCACGAATCTCCGACTCATGCATCATTTTACCTCCTGGGTGGCACCCAATCTTGCCAGTTCTCATACCCCCGAAGCTCTAGCATTATGGCAGGTATATGCAGTCAAGCTAGGCTTCAAACACAACTTTCTTCTTCGCGGAATTCTAGCCGTCGCTGCTTTTCATCTGGGCTATATCCACCCAGAAAAGAAAGCAGAGTACGATTTAATCGGGACCACGCATCAAGCCATTGGCCTGAAGGACTTTCAAGATACTCTCGCTCACGTGGACGAAACCAACTGTCACGCTCTTTTCGCCTTTTCCTGCCTCCTCATCGTGCTTGCATTCGCATCCGACGCAAAAGACAAGCCGAAAGACTTCAACACTAATGTCGTGCACTGGTTCTACCTTCTGAGGGGTGCCAATATCGTTCTGGACATGCATTCCGAAACAATTCGATGCAGCTTTTTGAAGCCACTGCTGGACGAGCTGTCTTACAATGAGACCACAGCCGCTTATACGGTGGTAGACACCGACCAGATCACGAAGCTATTTCGGATCTGCAGCTTGCCAGAGCATGATAAGGAGACAGCTCATGCTCTCGATCTCGCGATCCATTCGTTGCTCAGCACATTTATCCAGGCTTCTGTGTTGAAAGGCCGAGGCGATTCTTCGCTGTTGACGGCGTTCGTTTGGCCCATCAATCTGCCGCCGAAGTTTCTGGACCTACTTGGCGAGAAACAACCCGCGGCCATGGTCATATTGGCACACTATTGCGTGATCATGTCTTGGGGAGAAGCCGAAGATCCAAACGACACCTGGTTCATCAATGGATGGGCCAGATACATTCTGAAGTCGGTTCAGGAATCAATACCAGAATCCTGGCAAGAGCACCTTCAATGGCCGGCATCTAATTTTGAGTAAATTGAGGCAGCTAGGGTAGGACAGCGTCATTGCGTGGAGTTGGGCAATAAGTTACTGGAGGTCTGCGTAACGACTGATGTGTGAAGACTATGGGAATAAGGGGCCTTGGGCTCTCTCGCTTGGCTGGATATGCTTAAACGGGATGTATTCTATGTTTAATGGATATCAATGTTGAACCAGATAATACTGGCCGCGTAGGTTGCTGTCTTGAAACATCTCGTTAAGGGGATCCTCATCCACGTAGAGTGTTCACATAATGTTGCTATTGTAAGAATCGAACCAAACCCTGTCGTTGCGTACGCGCCTTCGAATCCTACTAGAGTTGAACACGCATGCCAGGAGTCGTAGTACCCAGAAACATGTCTGAGGTGGCTACGGGAGTACTTGTAAAAAGCTGACAACTCGAGACGAGGCTGCATTCGACCATCTTACACGTCGCTTTCCTAAGCCAATAGGGTGCCTTGCATGGAAAAATTCGCATCCCGCTGCGTACCACTGGCTGCAGGGGGCAAGGAGAATGGCAAGGAATAACGACAGTCTCGATGTAAGGAATACAATGTACGCAATCAGGGGCATTCGCTATCGATATCAGCTCCTGGGGAAGTGCACGATTAGACTTGCCGTGGGAGACATGAGTTGTACAAGTGGTCACTCGGTGTGTTTGGTGTGCTGTTCTCGTCCTCGTACTCGTACCGAGTTGCAGGTGGTTCCTCGTTCCCATTATTCTATGTACGTAGTGTGTCGGCGTCACCCAACACCGATGGTAACGTGTTATGAAGCCTTCTGTTCCAAAGTCATTTGCGCAGGCAACATGTACTGTAGTTCATCCTTCTACCATTGACTGATTGTCCTTCAACTATCATACATCTTTCTTCCTCTCTGCTTCAACCCTACGCGAAGATGATGAAGCTCGATGATGTTTACTTGAGCATGATTCTTGATACAAAGCCCGTCAGGTGAGGGATCTGGGCCATTGTCGACGTATCCTCTTGTGGAGCAATCCTGAAACGAGACCCGAGAAACTGAAGCGCCCCCTTTGTCACAATGCCAACTACTCGACCAGCAGCAACCGTGCCCTTCTGACACGCGCTGTGGCCTCTCCCTGAGCCTTTCACTCATCTACTCCCTGTTCGCTTGTTCTGTTCTTCTCTGTTGGCTTCCTTTTCATCATCACCTCCGTCACCACCACCGTTCTCACCACCCGCTCCTTTTCGCTCCCTCACCTCGCCCCCGTACGCTGACCTTCTGCGCGCCCGGTCGCCGCAGAACGACAGCGTCCCCCATTCCCCATCTCGAGCAGGACTCGCCCTCACTCTCATTTTAAAAGAAAACACCACGACGATTGTATCGTAAACCGGCCCAGCCTCCCTTTTATTTGACCACCGCGAAATTCGAAGTCGAGAGCTATCACAATGGCGAACAAGATCCTCCTTGTCTTCATCGGCTTCGACCTTGCCTTCCTGGCATGTGCCGCGTTGCACTTGGTCATCCCACTGTACACTCGGCAGGCCGTCAAGAACAACATGAATGTGGGCGACGTCGCGACGAACTTGCTTCTGGACCATTGTCCTTTGACTGGTAAGCATGCGCCCGGACACTGGAAACTTTGTTCTATAGTGCTAACATCCTCGCAGCCAGCGAAGCCAACTCGGTCATCATGTTCATCACCTTCCTCCTCTCCATCCCCGCCTTCTTTCTGCGTCGCAACCGAGTTTGGCTCAAAATCCACGTTGCTGGCGTCATCGTTGCCGCACTCATGACCCTCTCCATCGGCTTGGCCATTTGGTTCTCGACACTCGAAATCCACAAGAACCTGACTCCTGTCTGGATGAACCAGAGCGCCAACGTTCAGTCCATGCTGCAGCAAAAGTTCAAGTGCTGTGGCTATACAAACCCCGCGCTCTTTATCAAGGACGATGTTTGCACCAGTGCTGCTACCGCTGCGAAGCTCGGCCCTTGCGTCAGCCCCTTTGGCGTCTTCGCCAATCGATTCCTCGATATCGTCTTCACCACTTTCTTCGGTTTCGTTGCGGTCGACATGATGCTTCTACTTGCGGCACTGTGCTTGATCAAGGACCGCAAGGAGAAGAAGCGGTACAGACTGATTGATGAGAAAAGGGGATTTGGGCCTATCTAAGTCTGACAAGTTCGATAACGAGACCTGGGTCAAATTGTTCTGTGGTGTATGCACTTCATGGCCCGAAATTGTACCTCGCCTCAAGGGTTACAGCAGACGAAGATCGCCTTCGAGCTGCGCTGGACGTTGCGATTTGTTTGGAGAGCGCCCACATGGCGACTTGGTACAGGTTGAAGGACGGATAGGTGAGGTGATGTGTAGCCAACCATGGCTTCAATGAGCTCCACGTACTTTACGACAGCTTTGAGCGTTTCTTCTCATTGTCGAGAGTTCGCGATTGTTCTCGGAGTTTTATACAGCTTCCGTTTTTGAGATTTGTTGTGAATTGGATTTGTACAAGACCCTTTTATCTCATGATAGATAGCAGGATGGCGCAGGAGGAGGGGATATGAGCTTGTACGGATATAACTACACAGGGTATGTGTTTATATATGCAGTCACAGTCATGTCACTCCTATCGCGTGGTTTCACCTTGATTCGTTTCTTGTATTCCACGGGTTTCTAGATCAATGTAGAAGCGCATGAATATTGTTTGAGAGATTCCAAATACGGTCACATTCCGTATGGGTACGGATTACGGACTACGACTTGCACTTTGTTGGGTTCAATGAAATGTAAATGACCTTGGAGCTAGTCTTGAGCATCGTGTTCAGCCCTATATCGATCATCAGTAAGAAGTACTTGTACGAGTACAATTATAACGGGGAAAGGAGGGTCGATCGATTTACTCGGTAGCAGTATCCATATTCTCGTGTTTAGATGCGATGATCGGCAAACCATGATGATGATGATGATTATGATGATGATCGTGGTCCGTCATGTCTTCGACATCATGACCTCCAGTTCTCCCCCTGACATTACTTTACATGCCTAGACCTAGGTACAGTGTTTGCATGTGTCAACGTCTTGAGAAAAGTCAACTTTATTTTACTCTTACTATATTTTGTGGTCATCACTCCCAAATGGCTTGTCTTTATCGAGTACCAAATATCGACAAAATTCAAATGTTTCGTTCCACGAGTAACACGGGACAGACAGAGACAAACACAACTAGCACCCCACATACAACACACGAGAACCGAATCGACGTTGGTTATACATTAACTGAATCAATACAAGTACAACAAGTATACGACTGCGTCAGCAATACAGCTACAAAGGACATGAAATGAAAAAAGGGGTTCAAGAGCATTTTACTTGTTAGCTCTAGACTTGAAAGAAGCCGTGCTCGATGAAATCCGTCTCTCCACAGTACGGATAAGAAACTCTCGAATTACGATGGCTTGGGCGTTGGTCACGCCCTCCTCGCGAGGCATCGGGTTTGCCTTGACGAGGCATCTCCTTTGGACGTTGCCCGCGGGCGTACCAATCGTGGCGACGGCGAGGTCGAACGTGTCAGGCACCAAGGAGGAGCTCTTGTCGGGGTTGGAGGACGTGTCGGATGAACAGGCTTCGCGTCTGGACGTGTGTGAATGTGACGTCCTCTCCGAGTCCTCGATATCGGAACTGGCCGAGTATTGCAAGGGGAAATACAACGACCGAACACGAAACAAGACGGCACACCTACGTCTGGGGTTCATGATTCCTGGCATGTTGGTCCCGGAAAAGGCCCCGGACAAGGTGGAATACGAGTCGGCACTGCAGATGTTGAAGTTGAATCTGCTTGCTCCCATGATGCTCGTCAAACATTTTTCTCGGTTCTTGCCGCGAAAATCGGTGACTCTCGAACAGTACCAGGACGGCGGCAGCAGTCTTCTTCCACGCTCGGCCGTGTTGGCGCTCATGAGCGCCAGGGTCGGGTCGATCGGGGACAATCGTCTGGGAGGGTGGTACACTTACCGGTCTTCGAAAGCTGGCCTGAATCAGTTTGTCAAGTCGACCGACATCTACCTGAAGATGCAGAGTTCCGAAAACGCCATGTGCGTGGGTCTCCACCCTGGCACCGTCAAGACCGGTCTGAGCGAGGAGTTTTGGGAAAGCACTCCCAAGGAGAAACTGTTCAGTCCGGAATTCAGCGCGGAGAGGTTGATCGACGTCGTCAATGGTTTGGGGCAAGATGGACGAGGGAAGTGTTGGGACTGGGATGGTAAAGAGATCCCCGCCTGACACAGACGTACACGCATGATTACAGAGAATGTTACTGCGCCGTGTACTCTGTACCGTGGACGCGGTTGTCGGAAGGCTTAGTCAGACGTAGGCGAGCGCTGTGTCGAAATGAACTGAGGTATGAACGAATTGCATGCAAATACACAGACACAAAAGTAATAAATATGCAAGTCGGTCTTATCTCAGGATCGAATGACTTTGTGATACTCCGTACATCCCGTATCACTATCAGCGAAAGGTGACGGGGCATGCAGCAAAGTAAAGGCCGGTGGCATCCGGCGAAAAGATGATTGGACCAGTTACGGAGTACGGAGGATGGTAATGTACAAGTGGAAAACAGATGAGTACGACATGAGATTCAGGGAGTCGCTGATATCTGGTGCGCAAGCTTACGTAGCCCCCCAAAGAAACGTGTTTATGCACATGTTCATGTGCGACACGGAGTATCCGTACGGAGTACATAGAGCCCTGTACTGTATGTACATCCAGGCGGTCCAGGGGCGGCCATTCCGGGTGTCAAAATGGAAGCTGGGGAAGGTTCCGAGCACCTGCGAATCAATTAATGGTTGGGTCGCCCGATGATTCAGCAAGGTTGAAGGTGGATTGCATGTTTGCTGACCACGGGCTACGAGTTTTGCGGATAGTAAGCTACGGTAGGCTAAGTCCGGGCTAGTCACCCTTGAGGGTTGCAAGCTAAACACGGCAAGGGGCAAGTTTTGGGTCGTCAAGGGTGGATGTAGGCCGAGGTGTGGAGGGATGTTGGTTTACTACTGTACATACAGAGGACCGAGGTTCTTGGGAACATACTGTAGTATTGAGAGTACAGGTGTATAGAACATACTGTAGAGTATAGAAGGGGGTGTGTAAAGTATATTACTGTTACTATTATCGGGATGGAGGAATGATTCCAGGCAACGCATCATCAATTGGAGCCAAAGATGACAAAAGAATCCTGTACGTGTAAAAGTCCCGTCCTCGTCAAGGTGGATTGAAGAGAAGAAGTCACGAGGGTGTCAGACCATCAATTCTTCCCTCTTCAACAACTTACTGTACAGTACAGTAGCCTACGGAGTACGGAGTTATAGGTTTCCAATTAATTGGAGCAGAAAAGACTTCGTCTTCGGAGTCCAACTTGTTAAACTTGCAGGTTGGGTAAGCTAGAGTAGCAACTAGCAAGTGGCACTGGCACAGGACTAGCAGCGTTGATTGAACCATGGCAATCATTGGAACCACTTACGCACCGCAGCACTAGAAAGGTCCACTAGTCACTAGTTAGAACCACCAAGGGGAACCACTGGCTGCGCCTTGTTGCTGGCTTTTCTTGCTTGACTTATTACCTACGGAGTAGTACTGTACTGTACTCACTCTCCCCCCCCTTCGCAAAGGGCTGGAAGCTCACGGGCAGTCGGGGAAAGAATGATCCGCCTGGACCTAGCACCCAATCACACCGCGTACACGTCTGATGCCGCCAGTGGCTGCCCAGAGGCCTCAATCTACAAAAGGCAGGCAGGTCGCCGCTATGCCCTTTCCGACTCCCTTTCCTCTCTCGTCCATCCTCAATTCCCCTTCACAGCGACCATCCCACCACTGCACACGCCGCAAATCTCGTGCCACGCCCTGCAAAACTTCGACAACTGACAAAGAGTAATCCTTGCTGGAACGACAAAATTGTTCAGCCCTTGTTTACAAAGATCGGTACGTTGTCTTGTGTTTATTGTTTGTCGTTCTTGTTGTTGCTTGTTGTTCTGTGTGTACACCATTTTTGGTGGTGCTCCTCCAATGCCCTCTTTACCTTTTTCCATCAAACGTGACGGGATCAACTTTTCACTTTCCCTCATTGAGCCCATACGGAGTACCGTGTCCGTTCGGACTACAAACCAAGAACCCACAAACAATTGGAACAGAAAATGCCCACAACCATGGTCGATTCTTTGGTACTCCGTCCTGAGTCTGGAGTAGCCATTGGAGACTGGCTGTTCTGTTTGCTGGCCCCCCTGAGTACCTTTTTTTGCAAAAGACCAGAAATTGGTGCGCCAGAACGGAAGTTTCCAGACACGGCAGAAATCGCGGTCGAAGGACTCGAGTAACGCACATGGAAGAGTGGCAGAAAATACGGGCAGGGCCTGAAAGGGCATGACTGGGACTGGACGGGGCCTCTGGAGCGGACCAGTTCGGCCAAGCCACCCACTATTCCAGCCTCCTCTGGGTGTCACTGTCCCTGTCACGCTCCGTGCTTCGGGGTCTCTCTTCCCTTCACTGCAACCCACTCACCCGCCTCTTCACCTGGCGCTCTCTCTCACCAACTGCACTGCGACTCTTACCCCCCTCCGCTGCCGCTGGGCCTGGAATCTGCCGAAACACTCACTGCACTGCACACATTGCGCGTCGCTCGTTCGCTCCCCCTCATCCAACCTCCCAAGCCAAACCCTTTTCACTTCCTGTGCACCGCGACAAGGAACACTCGTTATTTCCTATCCCATATCCACCATACCAGCCCATACAGATCAGATTTGTTCTACCTTACCTCTTCTGTATCCCAAACCCACTTCTATCCTCTTGCAGTGCAATTGTTGCACATCCCTCTTCCATCCACAAAGCTTGGTTGCGTTGTCTTCACACCTGTCAGTGATCCTCCCCAGATTTCCTCGCTGCCGACTCGTCCGGGCCTGCTGCAACCGCCCCTGCCCGCTGCACTTCTCCGTCGACGCGTCCGTGACATGTCCGCTCACCTTGCCTTCACTGCCTCAACAAGTTCCTGTCGCGTTCTAAGAAGAACAACAATGCTATTCTACAAACTATTCTCTCAATTGCCAACTTCTGACTAACTTGTCTCTTACAGACCAGGTTACCCTAGACCTTGCTGACAACCCTTGACAAGCCACCCTGCAGCCTCAAGAAAAAGGTACCCTACCACATCCACTTCATTTCCTCTTTCGTCCATTGACACTTTACTTGTTTAGGCACACCTTGACCTAATACTTGACCTGTTCCCTCGAAAAGCGACATGGCCGACATCACCGATCATTCCGCTGGTCTCGACCAACCCTCACCTGGCGATGAGCTCACCGGTAACGGCGTTGAATCTCGAGGCACAAAACGTCCGAGGACGTCCATGGCTGGGGACGACGACGACGATGATGACGAGAAGGGAGGAAGAGAGAGAAGAAAGATCGAGATCAAGTTCATTCAAGATAAATCGCGTCGTCACATTACCTTCTCAAAACGAAAGGCGGGTATCATGAAGAAGGTAAGCGCAGGCAGAATACTCACACCACACGCCATACATGTTAACCATTGTCAAGGCCTACGAACTCTCAGTCCTCACCGGCACACAAGTTCTTTTGTTGGTCGTCTCTGAAACCGGTCTTGTCTACACCTTCACCACCCCCAAGCTTCAACCACTTGTCACAAAGGCCGAAGGCAAGAACTTGATTCAGGTACATTATCTTGTTGAATCTTAGCATCCTTTCCTACGCTAACATTGGCTCAGGCATGCTTGAACGCCCCCGAACCCTCAGGCAATGAGAATGGGGTTGATGGCGCTGATGATGTCGCTTCGCCTGATGATGTCCCCGCAATGCCACCTGCAGTCGCAGCCACGGGCATGCCACGTCCTCCTGGCCATGGCCCCTACATGACTCAAGAACAACAGCAGCAAGCCATGTACTACCAGCAACTTCAACAACAAAATCAGAGTGGTCAATATGCAGGTATGCCTCAGATGCCTCAACACCAGCGAGCATAAATGCAGTCTTTACTCTTGAAACGATGATACCAATCACGCGCCAATGTCTGTTCTGACATGCATGGAGATGCACTCTAAACACCGGCATGTTGCTCGTCAGAGGGGTTTGCCAATGGCGTGCACGGCGACGTTGGGGCCTAATCAGGTGCCACTCGACTCTGGGATGATGGCTTTCTCACATTTATGCAACGATCATCATCGACCTGGAGACCTGGCACATATCTTGTGTTTGAAATTGAAGCTTGTTTTCCAGACGGGGGGGTCTACTTATCTGTCTTTCTGTATCTTGCTGGATGGAAGCAAATTCCGACGATGGCTGAACTAAATCGTCGGGGGCGGGAAGTGTTTACTTGAGGAGTCAACAGGCATGGTCAAGTCCAGGCTTGCGCTGACACGGAAAGTATGAAAATATTAAAAAGATATCCAACAACACATTCCATTACTCTACTCACAGTTTTATTTTTGGGCTTGATATTTTGACCTACAGCTTGCTGGGTACCCATCTCGGAGAGCGCTTTTCAACAAATGCCTTGACACCTTCCCGGATATTTTCTCCTTCGTTCAACCGTCTCTGATAGACTTCGTTTGTGGTTTGTGTACCATGTTCTGCACTGCCATCTTCCCAACCTGCAATGACACCTGCCCGACTAACAATGACACTGTCTGGACTGTTGCCACAAATCTCCTTTGCGTATTGAAGTGCTTTCTTCACGACTGGTCTGTCCAGAATCTCGGCCTCCACAGGTGCATCTCCGGTGACGGCATTGACGAACCCCCATTCTCTGGCCTCGGCAGCGCTCACTGTCCTGCCCGTCAAGGCCATCTCCATTGCCCTCGGCTTTCCGACGGTCCTGACGAGACGTGGTAGGGCCCCCGCAAAAGCCACGACGCCTCGCTTGACCTCGGGCAGCGAGAACTGCGCTCCCTTGGCGGCGACCACCATGTCCATGTTCGCCACCATCTCCATGCCTCCGCCGAAGGCGAGACCGTTGACGGCACCGATGACGGGTTTCTTACCCGTACGTCTGCTGATGGCGCCGAACCCGCTGGCAGGCATGACCCGTTGGCCCGGTTGGCCCTTGGCGGCGCGGGCGTTGGACTCGTTCCACTCCTTCAGGTCGGCGCCGGCGCAGAATGCGCGGCCCATGCCGGTGACGACGCAGCAGCCCAGGGTCGGTTCATTGTCGAACCACGACAGCAGCGCGTCCAGGGACCAGTGGAGAGACGTCGAGAGGCAGTTGAGGCCGCGCGGGTTGTTGAGGACGATGAGAAGGATCGAGGGTGTGGGGAAGAGGAGGATCGTGTTTGGTGTCGACGGGGGAGGAGTCTTGAGACTCGACGGAGGTGATGGGGCGGACATGGTCGTTCAGGTCAAAGGGAACAAAAGGTACCTCGACGTCTTATCTAAGCAGACATTGAGAGAGTGAGACCATGACCATACTGTACATTAACATGACCTTTGTACTTTGTAGACAAATGAACTACTCCGTGAAGACTCCGTACAATACTCGACCTTTCTGCCTCAGAGCCGAGGTCGATTCTCAATACGGTTAGATTTTGATTTACCTCATGATCCGTGTTCGTAGAGATCCAAGAGCCTCCTCAACCCTGCTGTGATTACTTTCTGTCAACAACAACATCTGAGTAATCATTCGCAAAGTACTTTTGATGGCTAGTGCTGAAGATGATCCCCCATACCTTCTACAATTCCTCCCATACCGAAGACGAACCAGATGTCAGCCATACGATCCCTACCTACTAACTCACCAGCATACGAGAGGGAACATATATTTTGCCCAGAGCATCATTTGCACGGGCGATCCGATTCCGCACTGGCATCCTTGTCCTTTCCCGTCAGAATGCCACACCATCAAAAGCCATTGATTTTCAGCTCGCTTAGATGCTTGCAGCAATGATGTTTTTTTTCCAGACCGTGAACCTGTACAACATGCATGCAGGTCGTTTTCCAATCACATTTCCCCCAAATTGCATTGGAATCATCCACTCGCGACCAAAAGAGGGCGCCTTATTGGCTGGCCATTGAGATGTGTGCTTGACAAGTCCTTCCATCAAGCCCCGTTTCGAATATTGAGCTGAAATCCTCGTTTTCATCGCAAAGGTAGGGACAACGAGACCAGTCATGGTCGAGCTGACTGTGCCTTCCTCAACGAGGCCCGCCATGCACTCGCCTTGTGATTGGTGTGATCCATTGGAAACATTACGGAGGCTGAGCTGAACCGCGTCTTGGGGAATGCAGAATTTTGTTACTAAACGAGAGATGGAAGTCCTTGGACCGTGGTGTAACACATGACGGTATGCATGGTCAGCCTCAAAGAAGAAAAGAGAGACATTCCGTCACGTCGGACCTGGGGATGATCTGAGCGACATATATGAACTTCTTGTGCGTCCAGCTACCTCGGTCTATCAAGTACAACCATCTTGAAGTACTCAATACCTCGAAGATGGCTCCCATAGGGAGTTTTTGGACCGGCGTCACCTCTCTGTTTGGTCTTCTTACCAACTCCCCAGGCTGGTTTTTCGATTCCACCGGCACTAATGACCCCGGACTTCAGGTTCCAATACAGCCCCCAGTAAGACCGGAAGCAGCGAAACATCCCATCTTCCACCCTCCGGACGATCTTGAAGGTGCCCCCTTCCGTTGTGACTATCCTGACTACCCAGAGTCACAAGGCTGGGTGGCATGCAACACTCGGAACGACAGGCAGTGCTGGATCAAAAACACAAAGACCGGTCAACGTTTCGACATCCACACCGACTACGAGAACAATGGTCCCAAGGGGATCGAAAGACATTACTATCTGGAGCTGGAGGAGACCCTCAGCGACCCGGACGGCTTCGGTTCACTTCCCGCGCAGCTGTTCAACGGCAGCTTCCCCGGACCTCGACTCCAGGCCTGCTGGGGTGACAAGCTCATAATCACCGTCAAGAACAAGTTGACCGGTGAGCAGCCATACGGAGCGCCCGGCAATGGCACCTCTGTACATTGGCACGGCGTCAGACAATTAAACACTGGCCACATGGACGGCGTCAACGCCGTCACTCAGTGCCCGATTGCCCCTGGCCAGGAATTTACCTATGTCTTCAATGCCACACAATATGGCACCACATGGTATCACAGCCATTATTCTCTTCAGGTGAGCCTCGACTTGTTGGCTATTTTGGGGGCAAAAGTAATATTGTACCTGACGTTGGAATTTTTTTCGCCTCCAGTACGCCGCTGGAGCGATGGGTCCATTGACCATCTACGGTCCGGCGTCAAGGGACTTTGATCATCAGTTGTATCCCATCATCATGAGTGACTGGTTACATCAAAGGTGTGATTTTATACCAGCTCCATCTCTCGGATTAATTTAATTAATACTGTCATGCAGTCCATATCAAAAGTGGGACGTATCTATCAAGGACAATGGTAGCCAGGTATTCGTTGATAACATCTTGCAAAACGGTATTGGTAAGTTTGTTTGTCCCATACATGGTTCCGAGTCCGTAAGCTCAAAGCAGAATTTTTGTCAGGTCATTGGCCACCTCTCAAGCTCGACTCCCAAGAGGATTCCCAAACAGTTGGCAAGCCAAAATTCAATCAAGTGATGTTTCAAAAGGTGAACATTGTCTTGTTTTTTTTTGGAGTTCCTCCTCTCGGAGGTTTTCATATCGCTTCTAACATTGACGACAGGGAGTGAGGTATTTGATGAGATTAATCAACGGTGCTGCTGACACCACATTTGTCTTTTCAATCGACAACCATAAATTCTGGGTAATTTCGACCGACTTTGTCGCCATTGAACCATATTATACCGATCATGTTGTGGTTGGAATTGGTAAGTCTTGACTAACTGTCCAACTCAATGCGCTTCGCTCCGTACCATCTGACCTCTGTCGTGTTTCAGGACAACGATATAACATCATAGTCGAGGCTATCCCTGATCGATTTACCGCCGACCAAAGCTATTGGATCCGTACCAGTCCGGCGCCAAACTGTACCTCATTCAGTCCCTCTGCCCCAATACCCGACGAGCATACCGGTATTGTCCGATACACTTTCGACGACGACAGATTACCCACCACGCCGAGAAACAAGTTTACCTTGACTTGTGCGGACGAGACGTATTACCGTAACATCTCACCGGTCGTGCCATGGCAAGTTGGTACTTCAAGACATGGTGAGTTTTCCTGGAATCTACACACCATCAAAGTAATGAATGAGGTTTAATTTAAGAGTAAAACAGAAATGGACCCTTTTTACCTCACCTACCATCAATTGAAACAGTCACCTTACTACCCTTGTGACAAACAAGTCGGGAGGTTCGAATTGGTGTCCGGTCATCCCATGTGGTTGAACTTCAGCGGTCCTACGCTACTAAACCTGCACGAGGACTTCAGCGAGAAGCCGTGGCTCGCCGTCGTCGAGACCGGCGAAGTGCCCGAAGATCAATGGATTCAACTGACCGTCATTTCCGGGGCGAGGAAAAAGTCCGCCCCTTTACTCCCTCACCCGGTGCCAAAGGTCCCCGGAGTTTTTGTACCTGGAGAACACCCGATTCACCTCCACGGTCACGACTTCGCCATCTTGGATCAATGCGTGCCGGATGGTCACACCGAGTGCGACGTGAGCAAGGCCAACTTGACCCTGGACAACCCTCCCAGGCGGGACGTGGCTTTCCTACCCGACAAGGGGTACCTCATCGTCGCGTTCAAGGCGGACAATCCGGGTGTCTGGATCATGCATTGTCACATCGCCTTCCACGCCTCTTCCGGTCTGGCCGCCCAGATCGTCGAGAACCCGGACAAGATCAATTTCCCCCTGGGTTGGGACGAACCCTTTTTCGACATGTGTAGACGGTGGGACGACTGGAGACCCAAAATCCACGACCCTTCGGACCCTTGCATGAAGAACCATCCCGACCTGGCTCCGCTGCAGGTCGATTCGGGCATTTAGCCCTGTAACCCCATAGCCTAGGGGTTGCCAGCCAGGTCGGAGTATCGGGAATCGACACAAACCTCATACGAGGTAAAAGAGGAGATGTGCGCGACTTCGTCCTTGTAGTAACTTGGGACAATGATAAAGGAATGCGAGATAACCTGGGCGGACAGTCATGTGAGATGATATTACAGTATGCAATATGTAATGATGAAGAAGACAAAGAGAGGAACAGTGATGCTACTATGGGACATGTAGACACATCACAAGAATACAACTCTCGACCTGCCAGAACTATGGTCCGTAAACACGAGGACACAATAAGTGTAAATGTCGAAGAACGGTTTCAGGGTTAGGGAATTAATCAGTTTCGCAAAGGGAGATTTACCACCATACCAAGCCACCACCTCCCTGCCTATCCTGATGGAATTGATGCAAGATACACTTTATGCAAAAAGAGAGAGAGAGAGAGACATGGTTAAGATACAAGATGATCCTTTCCTTCCCCTTTTGTTCTTTCCTTGACCTGACCTGAAGCCGACCAGACCAGATTGCATGACACAAACCGACCCCCAAAGGAGAGTCCATCGTACTGGGTCTTCAAAGCCTTCTCCCCACTTTTCGTAAAGTTCATTCATTTATAGGGGATCTTCGCAGATGATGCCTTGCTCGAGCTGTCACACATGTGTCAGCACACGTTCAGTCCATCTCGGGCTCGGAGATGGATTGCCGGTCGTTGTGAGGAACTTACGATTGGCAACAAGCAGCACCTGGCCTGTTGACCGATGCCAGAGCAGATGTTGGTAAAGTCATCTGGGTCAGTCGGGGTGGTTGGTGCTGTTTTGGGAGAGACGAAGAGTCAGTCACCGTACGGTACACCATTCTTGGGTCATGGGACATCAAGAGACGACGAGAGTACTTCCGTTTCTCAGGGCAGGCAGGAGAGACTCACGAGTGGCACAGTTGAGGTCGGCAAGACCCAAGACATCAGTGGCGCAGCATTGTGCCTGGTAGCTACCGGAGCACAAGGCGCTCTGACGTTCGGTGAGGGCCGGGATCGCGGTCGCGACGGCGGCAGAGGCGCCGGCGAGAGCGACGAAGACGGTTGAGAAATGCATTGTTTTTGTGTGGGTTGTTTTATCCGGAAGTGAGGGGAGAAGAGAGGTTTGTGCAACGAGTGGTTGGGTATATATGTACGGAGAGGAAAGATTGTGTTTGTTTGGTTCTTTTGGTATGAGTAGGTGAGTGTTTGAACTTTTGTGTCTGAAGGATGAGCTTTCTGATCAAGGAGCATAACTTGCTCGACTTTATACTTTTTTTTTACTTGCTGGTATTCCGTACTCCCAACCACCCTACCAGAAGTTGCAAGTGACAAACAGAGCAATGTAGTCGTCATCTGAACCCTCAACGATCCGTGATAATGATGGATCTGCAATGTGCTTTCAACTTTCACTGAAGCCTTGGAAATTGATGACGATCACTTTGTGAATCTTCTCGGTTTGCGCTCGAATCACCAGCGAGAACTCTCGAGGTGAGGCAAGGGTAGACAACGGGGGTTATGCCAGATGAGGCTCCAATACGAGTAACAACGCTCTCACGATCTGGCCCACCCCTTGCAAATCCCCAAGGATCGACGTCACCGGGTTCCTTGTGTGGGTACTTGTACCTGCGGCGATCGCTTCGGGAAACAAGAAAGACTGGATTTTGTAAAAATGTTCCATGGGACTTGGTTGGGCCTGGTCGGAGAGAATGCGCTGTCCTGACAAGATGGCAATTACACCGGGGGTGGCGCGCGGACGTGGAGTCTTTTGTCCGTTAGGGAGCCCACCGGACAGAAGCGAAGTCCTCATGGTCCTTTCGTACCAATCACGGAGAAGTCGTGTGTGTACGAGTAGAGAGCGGGAGAGTCGGATGGATGGTGAAACAGACGTACCTTGAAAGCTCAAAACTATCAACTTACAAGTAGTGCCGGCAGGGAATCCCACAACGGTCAACGGTCCGTCGATCTTTCTCAACGGCGCTTGAAGATCATCAATGGAGAGCCTCAGCCATGTGTCCCGAATAGAGAGAGGGGGGTCTGCGACATCACATGAATAGTCGTTAGTTGGTCCCTGGTCTGACCTTGGAGTGAGACACCGCCATAGTGACGAAGTACGAAGTACATTGTATGATGGTGATGATAGGAGGATACAACGGTGAGTGCTGGGCTAGATGTGGCTTGCTATGACCAATGGAGAAGAAACAAAGATGACGATTGAAAAGAATAGAAACTTGGACAGGGATTGTTCCTTGGATAGTAGTCTCGTAATTCTCGAACCAGTTGAAGTTCGGTGTTTGTTGCTAGGACGTGGATGGAAGTTGATGTTGATCTTTGTGGAGCAAAGAAAGTGATGAGTGGCAGTTCGTGTGGCTGCCGCGTGAGACAAGTACGAATATCATATCCCTACAAAACTCCCTACTGGACAATCAGAAGAAGTATTCAGGGACCAGGAACAAGAGAAACATGGAGAATCAATGAAAGGATGGAGACTGTGATCGGCAACCAAGTCAGCGGCAGGAATAACGGTCGCCCTACGAGGATTTACTCCACCATCAGGATGGAATATACCTACATACATGTATATACACGGAGTACTCATCTTCAGTCTGGATCTGGAAGAGAATGAATTGCCGGTTGAGCAATTTTGGCCGAAATTCAATTCACTGGTGTCATTGATCTAGACCCTTGAATTCCCATCCGGCACCTTTTTCTTTTCTGGCTCACTCCGTGTGACCCTTTACTGTACATGACAAGTTCCAAACATCGAAATTGATTCATTGCCGAGACCCTCCGCATCGCCAAAAAAAACACCCCAGGAAATCATTGGTTCTTATTCATAGTAGACGAGAACATGATGTCAACTTCATTTTAAGCGAAATGGCACTTCACAGAGAGACTGAACAATTCCAAGGAAATACGAAACACCAACTGTTACATCTACTTCAATCTATCAAAAACTCTGAACTCCACGATCGAGGTGTTCATGGAGGCATATCCTGGAAGGACCTAAAGCGCATGGGAAATGAGAATATTGTCGACCCTGAGAACCACAAACCCAACCATCCTCCTGCAAGCATGTCTTTGTCTCTGAAGATCTTTCTGAAAATTCCCACTTTAGCGAGAGACAAACATGACGATGATCTCACCGCAGATCGTCGAGCAAAAAACAAACAATATCCGGTGGTCTTGTTCCAATCATGGTCATCCATGAATTACTCACACCGAGAAGAGTTGGCAGTGCCAGTCACTCAGCTGGACAAGGGGCTATGAACCTCCCTCATCGACGGTCATGTCTACTACCCCTGATGAGCTGGAAGTCCTGTGGGTGGTCATCACTTTTTCTACCACATCTCGCCGACGACCGCGATACCTATACTCGTAGGTGAATCTGACGCAAAACACATTTGGTTGACGCTTTACCAGTCATGTCCTGCCCGCCCTTCTTGACTTCACCTCCGGCCTCATCGGTAGGCACCTCTCACGCCTTGCGTGTCTTACTCGCATCGATGGTCGTGCCATCCAACACCATTCCCATGTGCTTTTGCACAAAAATCAGTCCTTCCTTGACGGCACCGCCTGGGAGAATGATCTTGAGCTTCCCACCATCCACCAAGCCAATCTTCTCCGCCACTCGAATGCTGGGCTTGTTGTTGTCGAACGTGCCGAGCCATATCTTCTCGACCAGCAGGTCGTTGGACCACCACGCGAATGCCGCCTTTGCAGCTTCTGTGGCGTAACCTTGATTGATGTGCCCTTCGTCAAAGGCATACGCAATATCTGGGCAGGGAAATGCGTTCCTGTGCCACAAGGCAATTATACCGATGAAGGTGTCATCGGATCGGAGATGGACCAGGTGAATGGGGTGTGTCGGTGTCTGAATGGCTTCGTCCTTGGAACGAGGTCGTTCAGCCGCGCAACGCCGATCGATCCCTTCAGGTGAGTCAATCCCAAGGTTGGTCTGGAGTACTCGCATGGTGTATGGAGCGTTGTATATGGCAATGGTCTTTTCGTAATCCGAGGGGATCGACGGGTCGAATACGCGCAATATCAACCGGTCGGTGAGTATTGGTGGGAACGCTATCGACGAAGAAGACATGATGATAATGATGCGCACCCCTACTCGTACCGTGTTGTCGCCAATGTCTACAACTCGTGAGTTTGTGAGTTCGTGACTCGTACTACTTGGAAATGAAGCCAGGGCACAACAAAGAGGCAGTACGAGGACGAGGGCTATATCATCTCAAGAACGAATCTCTGCTTATTAGCCAGAAAAAATTACCCTTATGGACTACGGTCGTAAGCATTTCCATTTTCAGACGTCGGCATCAACCCCCACGTCCCAATATTCGGATACTCTGTCAGCAAGGATTTTTCGGATACTACTCTACAGCATATTGGAGACAGGTAGCGTCACATTCGACAGAAGAGGAAGTGATACCATGATATATCTATCGGAGAATCTAGCACCATCGACCGAATTCATTTTCGGTTTTCTCTACCATTTCCGCGTGCTAATACTTGAGTCATTTGTTGTTTTGGTTTCGTTTTGATCTATGCAATGCCGATGGTATCAATCAACAGATTGATTCAACAGGCACAGACCTGGGATTTTCGATCTGGAATAAATCAATTCAATTATGGATACCAGGATCCTAAATTGTCACCTTGATTCATGATCCTTCTGCATTTCATTTTTGCTAACAAACAGAAATGGACAGGGCAATGGTGCTCAACTTTACAGACGCCATTGTACATTTGAGTACTCGACTCGGACCACCATGGAATGCTTGACTCGCAAACGAGCACGACGACAAACCAGAATCAAATTTTACCTATATTATACGACTCTTGACCTCCGTTCAGGTCCATTGTCCCTCATTCAACACAGAAGCTGTGGTATTTACATAAATTGACAAACAATGACCATACATTCATACATACTCGTTCCCATTTCTGCCTTGCCGGGTCAACAAGATTGGGAGACTGGCCGGATGAGCGACGCATGTGAGTTGTTGAACGGTGATTATTGTCAAGAACATTGTAGTTGGTATTTGCCTACGTCCTTCATCATTCACCCAACCTCTCCAACAAGAGTGACATCTTACCAATGAAACCGTGATGGTGATATACTTTGATGTACAGTGATGACAAGGCCAAAATGAACTGTTACAACAAATGGTTACATCACTGTTCGAAAACAACCGTGACGACGACGTGTATGGCCGGAGTAGATCCGTATTGGCATTGTTGGTGTCAGAATAGTTAGGGATGTTGGTGTTGGATCTTAACGATAACCATACTTGAATTGCCCTCGATCGATCACGACCCGTCAATCTATGTGCCGTGGCATCCACGTACACAGGACCGTAAACACGAGACTCCGACTTGAAATATGAATGGTAGTTCGAACCGTGAGTGTCATAATTGCTCCTAACGACAGGTAAGATCACTTCATGAACTGCTTGATCTCTCAAGCGTAGCAGTGTTGTGATAGGTAGCACAAACGGGAATATCACCGCCCTATGGTTGGCCTTTCCAAGTAACTTTCGTATCAAATTGGACAGTATTCTGGACATTCAGACCGAGTTATTTGTTATTCTGAAAGGTTCAGGTACAATATCTGAGCTCCGTCGTATTCGTATCTGGCAAGTTTGCGAGTGTTTCTAATTGCCTCGACATCATTGGTGTGTTTTAGTTTTGACAAGGGTTCTGAATGAATCAGCAATCAGGCATCATCCTCGTGCGAGAGATTCGTACGAGTAAGAAACAATCTGGTCAGAGATACGTTGAACCTGACAACCCACCGTCAAATTGGTCAAATCACACCACCCCCAGGACAAAGCAGTTACATCTCTCTCTTCCTATCTCTGACGAGTACAAACTACCTAGGCACTTAGCCTTTTCAACTCGTAAATACAATCTCAGCCTCTCCCGTCTGAGATTATTGTAATCAAGAGTCTCCCCTCTCCCGCCCCGCCGACCGACGCAGACACAGACACAGCGGGTGGAACTCGATGGCATGAATCCCAATACGGCCGGCAGATCGTTCTACAGCACCATCAGTACCCAGACCTCATTCTGCCGCTTTTCTCCGGTCACTAGTAGATTTAGATTTCGACCTCGACTTCAACCTCTTTCTGATAAAATCACGACGACGACCGTGTTGTCGATAGCAGGAGGACGACACCAACGACAACACCCTGTCCGACGAAGCTCCACGTACCAGCAGTACCATCACCATCACCACCACCACCACACACAACGATCATTGTCCACTTTTCCATCAAATCGCCGACATCATCTACCTTGCCCTCCCTACTTCTCACCCTCAAGACTCACCACTCGTAGCTTTTTCTCCTCATCAACCTCTCAAAAGAACTCCTCCTCCTCCTCCTCCTCCATGGCAGGGCGAGTACCGATTGAACCTCAGAGCGTCGACGCTCCCTTGACGGCGTCGGCGACCTTTCTGGTCTTGACCATCAAACCGGACGCGGACTCCATCAAGACGGTGAGGTCCGTCTTGTCCAGCGTCGACGACCTCGTCAAGAACGTGGCGTTCCGCGACCTCCAGGCTCTTTTTGCGTGCACGGTCGGCATCGGGAGCGACGCGTGGGACACTTTGACACAGGGTGGTGTCCCTCGCCCCCCGGAACTCCACCCGTTCAGGGAGATCAAGGGCAAAGTGCACACCGCGGTGTCGACGCCGGGGGACGTTTTGTTCCACATCCGGTCCCAACGGCGAGACCTGTGCTTCGAGTTCGAGCGTCAGGTCATGGAGTTGCTGGGGGACTCGGTGACGGTGGTCGACGAGACCGTCGGGTTTCGTTACTTTGACGCCCGAGACCTGTTGGGCTTCGTCGACGGCACGGCCAACCCCGTGGGTCAAGCCGCCGTCGACGCGACCATCGTCGCGGCCGACGCCGACGACCGCGGCGACTCCCGGTCGGTGGGGGGGAGTTATGTCGTCGTCCAAAAGTACGTCCACGACCTCAAGCGGTGGCGCGGCCTGTCGACCGAAACCCAAGAGTCCATCATCGGACGGACGAAACTGGACAACGTCGAACTCGACGACGCCGATCAAGGCAAACAAATGTCCCACAAGTCCCTGGCCACCATCGAGGACCAGGAAGGTGGTGAACACGACATCCTCCGTGACAACATGCCGTTTGGTTCCCCCGGTTCAAACGAGTTTGGGACCTACTTCATCGGCTATTCCAACAAGTTGTGGGTGGTGGAAAAAATGTTGGAGAGGATGTTCATCGGGAACCCTCCCGGTCTGCACGATCGGATCTTGGATTATTCCACAGCCACGACGGGCACGACATTTTTCGTTCCTGCTGCCAGTGTCTTGTCCGGTCTTGGTGATGATTGAGAATTACTTTTGCCACTTACCGTTTACTCTGCCTCAGGTACCTTGGTATATGATATACTACATACTGTATCTTGATTTTACTGCACGAATCTCATCCATCAGATTCCAATTTCCAATGCTCGTCAAGTGTTTCTCCTTGTCATCTACAACGTGCACTTTCAATTCGGACCTTTCATTTCAACCATCAACCATCAACCATCAAACACATCCTTCACACCGGAAGTAAACTCCTCGACATCGTCCCATAATTCTCGTGGTCTCTCCATGGCCGCGAAGTGTCCTCCCTTGTCGTGCTGTTTGTAAAACACCAAATTACCGGTCGTCTCGATCCAAGCTCTCGGGATGGGATTGATTTCTTTTGGAAACCACGAATACCCCAGAGGTTTCTGTCCGGGAATGTGCCACTTTTTTGATCCGTGGCTGTCGGCGTTTGGCCCGTAAAACTGTCGGTAAGCCCATACACTCGTGGACGCGCATCTGGTGACCCAATACAACGTGACCGACTCCAGGATGGTTTCGAGACTCGGTTCATCATCCGTCCAATCCAGAAACTTTTCACCGATCCAACACAACAGTGCCAACGGATTTGAGGACATGACGAAACCTATCGTACTGGGTCGAGTGGCATGTTCAATGGCATAACCTGTCCCGTTGTGTAAGAAGAAATTATTTCTTTCCAAACCGGCTCTTTCGGATTCGGTCATCTGAACCGACCGAGTAGTCTTCAGGAGGTCAGGAACAGGCATGGGATGTGTATTGAGGTGAAGCGCTTTACAAGCTGGATGCTTGGCCGCCATGATTCGACCTATCCTTCCACCCAAATCTCCTCCTTGGACCATGTAAGACTCGAAACCTAGTACTCGGCAAGCGAGATTGTCAAAAATCCTCGCCGCGTCATCCGGTCGAAAGTTTTGATTCAAAGGTGGTGGTGAGGAAAATGCGTACCCCGGCAGACTCGGAACGATGAGATGGTACGGCAAGGTGTCGGCGGTGTAGTATTCGGTCCGTAACATGTTCAGGAGAGGTAGAAACTCCAAGAAACTCCCCGGCCAACCGTGCAAGAGCAAAATTGGAATGGCATCTTTACGCCTCGAGAAGAAAGCGACGAAATGAATGTCAAAGGTTGTACTTCTACCTATGTCGTCGTCGTCGTCTTGTATAGGTACACTAAAGTGTGGAAATGAGTTGATGTGTTTTTCATGTCTTCGCCAGTCGAATTCGCATTGCCAATATTCTTTCGCCTTGACCAGCCACTCTCGTCGGAGACCCAATCCAGGTTCTCTCGCTCGCGCCGGCAATGATGAGTTTTCATATGTCGGTGGAGCGACTTCCGACAATTCAAGCAGCGTCCTTAGATTGTCCAGTTCCTTTTGGGGAATGTCGACCTTCCATGGTTTGATGGAACCAGAAGCCTGAGAAGGTAGAATGTCGAAGCCGTTGTATGTCATTGTAAAGTGGTCGACAGCCAAAACGCTGATGTCAAACGACTTCTCAACAACACAAGACAGACCTCACTTGACTGACTATCCATGGTGCGACCATCTTTTAAATAAAAAAGGGAATGTCCGATGTTCGTGCCGGACGATTTGTCGCTCTGATGCTGAAGACAAGTCATATTGGTGTTTGGTGTTATCACCAGTCTTTCCTTTTCTTGGTGCTGCTCTCCGGCACGAAGAGCGACCCTACCACGGAGTGATCAGGTTGGTGCATGAAACCTCTCCCTGAAACACAAAAGCGGCATATGGTGAACAAGCCTCTTCGAAATGGTCCCAGCAAGGACTCTTGATGCCACGAGAATACAGCTGTCACGCAAAGGTCGTGTCACGTTTCGTAGGTATCGTCCGTAAGAAGTTCAAAAAGGGGGCCATCGGGGTAGAAATGGTGGAGGCTCTGAAGTGAAAAAGTGGATGCTCGGGGTAGAAATTCAGCAAATCGCGATTGAAAGCTCATCCGCGGACTTGATTGCGGACAAGACAAGATCTCTCGGGTTCTCAAATTGCTCATCTCAAGATCTGACGTTTGGCAATCCAAGAGTATGATCATATTCTACTCCAATGGTCAAACTGCTGGTAGCAGATTAGGTACCGCTGGAGATGACAAATGGCCATGGTAAGAGGTTATGACCTGTCAATGTCGAGCAAGAAGTCGAGAATTCGCGTGCCATGGAGATACACATGGTGATGCATATATGAGTGTGTATATATATCACATGTTATATCACCCTTGTTCTTTGATAAACAACAGTCTCCCTCCCTATCATGTTTCACAAGAGTTTCACTGAATCTTTTGTCTTCGTATCAAAATGAAATCATCGGCTACCGTATCCAATCTCGTCATGTCTTCCACCACACAGACAGTCTTTCGCCTGACTTCGCGAACCGGAGTGGGCCATATACAAGCATACCAGGAGCCCATACCGACCGCCGGTGATCATGAAGTTCTCGTGAAGATCAAAAGTGTCTCGATCAACTATCGCGATATTGCTATCCAAACCAACACGTATCCACTGGAGGTCACCGAGAATGTCATCCCTTGCTCTGATCTTGCCGGCGAAGTGGTCCAAGTCAGCAGCAAGGTCAAGAACTTTGCTGTTGGGGATACCGTAATCGCTACAACCAGCCCAACCCAATATGGAGTGGTTAAAGACAATGGACAGGTTCTTGGAGGCCCGGTAGATGGAGCACTTAGAGAATACATCGCCCTACCTGCGAACCAGCTGGTGAAAGTTCCCAAATCTTCTCACACATTTACTGATTGGGCTGCCGTCCTGAGCACCGGTGTAACGACATGGAATTGCTTTTACGGTGGCCTGCCTTTGAAGCCGGGACATACAGTGCTTGTTCAAGGTATGTTCCCTGGCGGTAGATCAAGGTACCAGACAATCGCTAATATGTTTGCAGGCACCGGAGGAGTTGCACTGACCGCTCTCATCATCGCAAAAGCTGCTGGTGCAAAAACGATTGTAACTTCATCTAGTGATGACAAGCTCAAGATCGTCCAGGACAAGTATGGTCCCGATTACACAATCAACTACAAGACCCATCCCAATTGGGGGGAGGAAGTGCAGCGCATCACAGATGGCCAGGGAGCTGATCATATAATCGAGAATGGCGGTATAGGCACCATTCGACAAAGTATTGAGGCCGTGGCAAAGGGAGGGATAATTTCTTTGGTTGGGTTCTTGACAACCTTACCACAGGATCAGGTTCCGGATGTGACAATTCTGGCCCTCAGTAAGGGCGCGACCCTCCGCGGGATTCTAGGGGGCTCAAAGCAGCAACTGGAAGAGATTGCACTGTTTGTCGGCAACCACAATTTGCCTGTGCCAGTTGACAAAGCGTTCCAGTACAACCGCGAGGATATTGTTGCTGCCATGCAGTATGTCGCATCTGGAAAGCATATGGGAAAGGTGTGCATCAATTTGGATTAGATAGCATCCGAAAGAAGTTGAAGGCCTGATCCAATGAACTTGTCAATCTCAAGAACATGAACACCCTGGAATATCTGAGCCCAGAGTCGCACTGTAATTGTTGCCATTTGCTGAAAGCGGAACCAGTCATCTTCTGATGTGTTTAGTGTTCCCGAAAGGGACGTTTCCTGAACGATGCCAGTGATAATATCCAAGAGCCTGCGTTCGGAGCTCCGTAATCCTGCGAGACCATATTGCTTGACGACCAAAGACATAATACCAAGCCAATTGTTCAATAGCCATACACACTCAAGACTACTCAAGGAATGCTCGATGCTTCGAAAAGCAAATCGAGTATGTGTGACGAGTCCTATACCGAGGCGGACTGGTATGCTTAACGCATGTGCCGCATGAAGGACGGCTACATCGACTTGCGGAGTTCTGTCCAAGGACATATTCTCAGTACCAAGATGATTTGGTTGTCTTGATAGGAGTGCTTTCCAAGACCCTAGATTTGAATTTAGTCTGATGTAAGCCAAACGAAGCAGAGCGGTGGCATTCAGTCCAAGGGGACCTTTTTCCGACAATGGATCAAGTGTTGCTTCGTAAGTAAGTTCCCAGGATGATTGCCATGTCCTCAGCGCATGCTCGAATCTCTTGAGAGTTGCTGGTTGCAGTGAAGATTCTTTTGCATCAGAATGAGCAATGGTAATCTGCTGGAGAAGGGCATGAATGAGCAGGTAATTAGCAAAGGAAGATAGCGGAACCACGACTCCCTGAAGCAAGAGAGAAAGTGCTTCTTGGAAATGATATTCTCGGTGGTATGAGGCAGTATGATGGAATGCCTCGGCAGTCGTTGTCTTCCACGCTTCAATACAGCTTGGGAGCAAAGTTCCCATCTCCACATTGAGGATTTGGGGAGGAGTGTTGTATGCAATATTCTGCAGACTGAGAAGCACATAAGCACAGAGCAATGTCCTTCGTCGTTCTTCAGCTGCCACCCACTTGGACCACGCTTGATACTCTGGTGTATCGTCATGGTTCTGAAAACATGAATATGCCGCATCTTGAACCTCAGAAAGTCCGTGCCGTCGCACTAGCGTGCTAAGTTGCGTGCCAAGGGTCAAGCCATCTGGAAAGATATCCTTCCCTGCCCAAGATGCATATGAAACAAGAAGGTTCAGCGTTTGAATCTTCCTAAGTCCATGTCGTCGCTCTGCAGTGGGCTCTTCAGGTGTTTCGCTCTCCTGACGGCGTAGCTTCTCGGCGAAGATACATTTTGCCATAAAGTATAAAATGTAAGAGCAGTGACTTTCAAATCTATTCAATGCACCCAAAGCAGCTGCGGCAAGAAGCAGTTCGATTTCTGTTCTAGAAACTGAGAAAGTCGCAGAATGAATGAAAGGAAGGCTCTCTTGAACGCAACGGAAGTAAGATTCCAGGTTGCGACTTAGCGAGTTCCGAGACGGCAGTCGCCAGCCAGATGGAAGGGCCTCGGCAAAGGATTCGACTTCAAGACAAAACCCTTCATAGACAGAATCAGAGAAGGCCCAAGGAATAACACCAATAGAGTCTTCGAATAATCCGCTAGATTCATCGTAGTGTTTGACTTCGTATTGCATGTCATCTAGAATTGGCAAGCGTGAGCTGAAGCGTGGGAAGCTGTGATTACTTGGGGATTGAATATGCGACCGAAGAAAGGCGGGAGAGGTGTCGTTATCATAATTGAAGAGTATTGGAGGTAGCATGTCCTGACGGAATAGGTCGGGATCCAAAACAAAACCTGGATCTTCCTGCTCTGCGTAAGAAGTCTTCTTTACAAGAGACACTGATGTATTGGAATGAAGATCATTTCGAGCGTGATGCTTCAGGTTGACATGTCGAGAGAGGAGGTCTCTATTCGCAACGGTAAGTGACTTGGCTAAGGGGTTGATATAACACCGGCTTACTGTCTCGTGAAATGCTGTCCACAATCGCAAGCAAATGGTTTCTCATGTGTATCTAGCCGTTGTGAGAAAGGTCTCAATACTCCCATTCGAGCGACGTACGTGTTCGTTCATGTCGTACTAGATGCTCTCGTCGAGCAAACTGCTTCCCGCAATAGGTGCATGGCGCTAATGTTCTTCTCGGCCTACCTCGAGGCATTTCAAAAGAGGAGATAGAAGGATAGTGATAATATTTCAGTTATCAACTTGACGATGGTATAGAGAGCCCCCGTCACTCTGAGGAAGTTTCCTTCATGATCGTACAGTTATCGTATTCCGAACCAGCCTTGGTCGCCTGGAAGTGTTTCTGGCCAGAAAGGTGGTATGGTCTTACGCCCGTAGAGCCTGAATTAATAAGCCATGAGGCTTTGTGGGGGACAAGGTGGCAACGAAGTGGACCATGCACTTCTAGGCTTTCTGGCCTACAATTCCTCTCTGCATCCGATAAGAAGACATATGAGCTCAATGACTCTCGATGCCTGGTTTGATTCTAGAGAAATATTTGATGAATTGAAATATGTGTGAGTAAAGGAAGTCACGATGCTGATACGAATACGAGCTCCAACTTCCATCTAATCTGATCTGTCAATCAGTTGACGTCAGCAGCAAAAACAAATGGATTAACCATGACGACGCCGCTTTTAAGGCCTCCCAGGGGATGCCTGCGACTCCATGCTCTCAACTCACCCTCGCAGCATCCACGAAAAAGGTATCCGACAAAGGCCCTGAGCAGTATGAAAGTCCCTAGCCTGCAATGCCGAGATCAATCCAAGATTTTGAAAGCCTGATGATATTTGCAATATGGCTTCAGATCCTATAACATTCAGGTCGCCCTCCAATCCGGACTGGTCACTCTCTTACGTTCAACTGAATCCAGGAGCTGAACACAGTCTCGTCTTTTGCTATGGTGCTGCCGGCAGCTCAACGGTATTGCAAATGTTCCACGCATTTCTCGCGTCCCATCAGAATGTGTCCCTGCTTTGTATCGATAGATGGACGCAGGGGAAAAATGTCTCCCGACATGGCCCATCTCTGTTTCTCGAATTAAGCACGATCACGCTTGAACTTCTGGACTCCTTGCGCATTGAGCGCTTCAGCCTTGCCGCACACTCAGCAGGCGTCTATCAAATGCTCCATCTTGCGAAGACGGCCGCGGTGGGACGAGTCGAGAACTTGTTCTCAATCGCGGCCCACATCCCGGCTCCCTTTACTGGGTCGAGAGCAATGGAGTACATGTGCTCAATGCCCAACAGCCTATTCAAAACAGTCACTACTATGGATTCGGCGCTGGCTGGCACTTGGGTTGAAAAAGTATTTTCACGACTCGTGAAAAAGAACGATGACAAGGAGGCAGAAGATGTCTTTCTGGTTTCTAAAACTAGTCGTGAACGACTGTTTCAGCAGATTCGGGCCGATAACAAGCACTCAACAGAACAGGCAGAGCGTCTTGATCTCGACTACAGGCTCGGTTATGAGAGAATACCGGGTGTTGACCGCGACTTTCTGGTCCGGCTCTTCACAGAATGCACGACGGACATGATCTGGTTCGCTGCAGATGGCGACGTTTTCTTTGGCCCTGCAACTGTTCATCGAATTGCAAAAGATATGAATGAGGCAAAGGTCGAAATAGTTACAATTCCAGAGGCGACACACGCGGACATTTTCGTTCGAACCCGGGTATGGGAGATGATCTTTGATAAGATTATTGGCCAAGACATGAACGGACAAGAAGGTCGCCATGGAGAGACGATATAGGACAGTGTCAGAAAGCCGCTGGAACGAGGGATCTTGTGAAAACAATCCGGACGTGATGTAGAATGTTGAACAAGGGCTTAAAGTACCAGGTAGATTGGCAAGAAGAAAGATGATATGATGACGCGTCGTTTTTAAAGCGGCAAAGGGGGTTGAAGATCCGAGACACGTAGATTCAACTGTTTCTTCATCGTTTCAATTGTTTTTCTTCGCACATGCTTCTTCTCTACCTAGGTATTTTTGCACCTTGAGAGTTGAAATCTTCGGTGAGAGATTATGATATTGAATGTTGGTCTTGCAGCAATACTTTGCATTTTCCTTTTTGAGAACCCCAGCCACTCCATTGTCCTGTAGGAAACCCTCCTGAATCGATATCGAAGGCTACAAAGTAGAGGCAAATCCTTATTGGCTACAGAGTGTAGTAACAAAAAACACTCACCTTCTTCTCGGATCCCGTGAGTCATTGTGGAGACGTTGGAATTCACGAAGCCTCGACTACTGTGTTCCTGATCTGCCATTTCTCTGCTCCTACAGCTTTTGCCCAGCATCTTTGTTGTTCGATGACATAGCTTCAAGTTTGAAGTAGGAAGCTGTCTGGATTGGTGGTCGACGGCATGGGAGACACTCGTGATGAGACGCCGACCTTGCTCGATGCCGCTGACGCGCTCCGACTCGTGTCTGCTTTTTTCGAAAACGAATGGCCTAGAACCGGTGTGAGTGACATTCGCACCAGACGAGTCACTGGGGGGATGATCAACACTTTGCAATTGATCTCGCGAGACACTGCCGCGATTGACGAGCCGGGCACTGTCCTCATTCGACACTTTGGCTTGGATGGAGATGGTGAAGATCCCCCTGAGGACCGTGTGACTTTGTCAGCCGCCCAGCAGGGTCTCGTGCACTGGGAGATGGATCGTAAAGGCTGGGGGCCGAGATTGTATGGCTTATTCCCTGGAGGCCGTCTGGAAGAGTACATTGATTCGCACCCACTTACCGCTGCCGAGTCCACGGAAGCGACCATCCGACAAGATGTGGCACGCAGTTATGCTAGGTTACACTCCCTTCAACTTCCGTTGCGAAGGAATTCCTTCAAAATGGTCGTTGAAAAGTTGAGCCAAAACAGCCAGAGTAAGCATAATCAAGTCCAAGAAGAGCTGCTTGCTGTGGAAGACCCAAGAGCATTGGAATACGCCACCGTGTTTCACGACACAGATTGGACCCGAGAATTGAATTGGGTGTCGGGCTTGTTTGAAAAGCACAAGTGCAAGACGACCGTCACTCATGGCGACCCGAATTATCTCAATATTCTCGTCAAGAATTTTGAAAGTGAATGTCGAACCATTCTCATCGACTACGAAACCATGGCGTACAGCTACCGAGGAATCGATATTGGAGGTCATTTCAATGAGCGCATGTACTGTTACAATCAGGGCGACAGTCAGCTGACGGGTTACGGGCCACCTGGTCTTGACGAACAAAGGCTCTTCTGCGAGGCCTATCTCCAAGAGATGCGAGCTTTGGGACAAGAGCTATCAGAACAAGATACCGTCGAGCATCTTCTCCTCGAAGCGAATATAGGTCGACTATACTCACTGCTGTTCACAAACTTGATGTGCACGGTCCTTGACGAGGTGGAAGCAGAACCTCCATTTCTGTCTGGCCTAGCACATATGATGAACACTTATAGGCAGCTAAAGAGGGAGTTTGTGAAGACTCATTAGATTCTAGATAGCAAAATATTGAACAAGAGCGGCATCACTCTGTTTCCCGATTGGGCGGGACATGAGAGCCGTTCAACCTCATATGACATCGCCACTTTGAGATCTTCTCCCTGCGAAGGACACCAAGTACTTACAAATAGTTGCTGTGATCGTGACTCTTGTCAAAAGTATTATAAGATAAAAGCTTCTCGACAAAGCATCGATCTCAAGTTGACATTGGTCTCTTCCAGCCTTCAACATAGCTCGATCAATCTTATCTCGACTATCTCGTGGTTGTTGTCATCACCACCACCATCATCTCACCATGGCCGACGGGGAGAAGAGAAACATTGTAGTCATCGGAGGAGGAATCATTGGTTCAACAACGGCATATTACCTGACACGACATCCAAGATACGACCCCGAGAAGCACACAATACACCTCATAGAGGCCACGTCGATAGCGAGCGGCGCATCCGGCAAGGCCGGGGGACTACTCGCTCTCTGGGCATACCCGTCATGTCTCGTGCCGTTGAGTTTCAAGCTCCACGCCCAACTGGCCAAAGAACACGGTGGCGTTGACCGATGGGGATACCGCGGGGTAGGCGTCGGCCAGATCGACCTGAAGGGGCGTCACGTCTCGAGTCGACCAAAGATCACGGACAACAGCGGCGCGGATGGCGCCGCCGAGGAGATCCGAGGCATTCATCAGCCTGACGTGTCGAGCGACGCCGGTCATGTGAGTCTACAGAAACGAAGCAAAGAGTCGTACGCGAACCTGAGAAAGATGGGCCTGCCCGACGATCTGGACTGGTTGGCCGAGGACTGCGTGCGAGGATACGACAGCATGGGTTCACCCAAGGATACGGCACAAGTGCACCCCTATCAATTCACCACCTCGATGGCGTCTCTCGCGGAAGAAAAGGGGGCCAAAATCATCATCGGTAGCGTCCAAAAGATCGAGACTTCAGCGGCGGGCGACCATACGGTCAAGTACAAGGACAAGTCGACGAGTACGTTGCAAAGTCTGCCGGCCACCGATGTCATCGTCACGGCGGGGCCTTGGACCAAGACCGTCTGGCCGGGAGCACCGATCGGTTCCCTCCGGGCGCACAGCGTGACGATCCGTCCGACGAGGCCGGTGTCGGCTTACTGTCTGTTCACGCAACTGGCCTTGCCGAAGAACTTCAAGGACGGCGTCAAGTCGGGCGCCATGTATGTCAGCCCGGAAATCTACGCACGGCCCAACAACGAGCTGTACGCCTGCGGAGAGGGAGACCACCTCGTGCCCCTGCCAAAGTCTGCCGCCGACGTCGAGGTCGACGACTCCCGGTGTCAGGACATCGTCGACTACTGCGCTAGTTTCTCGGACGAGATGCGAGACGGTGAGGTCCTGGTCCGCCAGGCCTGTTACCTGCCTCAAGTGGAAACCGGGTCGGGTCCACTGGTCGGACACACAAACACCAAGGGTGTCTACATCGCAGCGGGGCACACGTGCTGGGGAATCCAGAACGGTCCGGCCACGGGTAAGTTGATGAGTGAGTTTGTGTTTGACGGCAAGGCCGTCAGTGCAAACATCAACAGTCTGGATCCGAGGAGGGTGTTGAGGTAAATGGTGGGAGAAATATATTCTGTGCACAAAGACATGGTAGATATAACACATAGCACGAACGCATGATTCTCCACCTTATTCGCCTGAACATCATCATTATTCGTCGTCAAGACACTACATTCCTGTTCAAGTCTATGCTTTCCAAGCACTAACCACTTGCACCACATCTTCATCAGAAACCACGTGTGCCAACCCGACTCGCTGTGGGATATGCTTCGCACTTGCACCCCACACGAGCGCGTACTTGAACGTCTCCTTGAGCGTGCGATGGATCTGGTCGCACACGTCTTCGATGCTGCTATTGCTCCTCACGATCAGGGCCTCTCCAAAGTCCGGGTCCACGCCCTGTCTCTTCGTGTAGATGCGCATCAACCGTAACTCCTGCCAGCACCGCTCGACGACATCCTGAATACCCAGGTCCAGCTCGCACGACATGACGACCGTGTTGGGTTCGTGGGCTAAAGCGTCCAGGTAGTCCACCGTCACGCTATCGATCTTATTGTACACGTACAGACACCGAATGTATTTTCTGTGGTCCTTCATGATGACGTCGATGAAATCGTCTACCGTGACGTTCTCGTCTCGCACCAGCACCTCGCAGTTTAGGATCTTGTAGTCTCGCAGGATGTTGTAGACCATCTTCTCGTCAATGTACTTCGGTGGTGATTGGAACGTGATCTTCATGCCGCCGGCCTTTTTGGCTTTGAGGTAGATGTTCGGTGGGTCGCGGTTCAATCGGATCCCGACGGCTTCCAATTCCGCTTCCAGGAGGGCTCGTTGCTCGGCTCTTTTCGTGGCGTCGAGCACCATTAATATCAGGTCGGATGTCTAGAGGTGCGCAAGAGTACGCACACACAAATATCAGAGAGAATCGATCAAAAGAATACGAGATCGATCTTTTCGAGGCCATGTTACTGCTCACCTTTGCGGCACTGATGACTTGTCGACCTCTACCTTTACCCTCAGAAGCACCTTCAATGATACCAGGTAAATCGAGGATCTGGATCTCAGCACCTCCGTATTCAAGCACTCCAGGAATTGCGGTCAAGGTCGTAAATGAGTAGGCTGCAACTTCTGATTTGGTTTTTGTGATTTTGGACAAAAACGTCGATTTACCGACCGATGGGAAACCGACCAGGGCTATTCGCGCATCTCCCGACTTGGAAACGTCGAAGCCTGTCCCTCCGCCGGAACCGGCGCCCGGGCCTGGCTCAAGTAGTTGTGCTCGTAATCGTGCAAGCTTTCTATAAGGGCTAAGTCAGCTTGGTTTTTCTGTGACAGGATCATCTGCTGTAGAACTTGGTACTAGGATGGCCATCAAGGGGCTCCTCAAGTGTCGTGTCCCCTACACCTCTTGAGGGTGAGAAAGGTCCTTCACACCCATTTTGCATCCTATGGTAACGACCAAAGCAGGCCTCGCACGTGACGAGGCTGGCCATTTTTTGGAGTGGATACGGAATTTATTGGTCTTTGGGCATCTTCCAGTTTTGACACCTTTGATACATACAACAATACAACAATTCTGCAGGAGAGAGCTTACCCTTTCAGTAGTCCGAGATGGTATTCTAGTCCCAATCAGTCACAGACTTTGCAGAAGGCGTTGTCGACCAGTCATCACGAACCTGTGGCTTTGTTTTCTGTTCCACGTCAGTTATCTGCTCCCTGCTATGATAAGAAGACAACACATACTTTGAGTTCGGGCCATTTCGGCCTCGATCCTGGGAACGAGTTAGGAACCAGACATCTTGTGTCATATACAGCGACATACTCTTTGATCTTTTCAGTAATATTCACCATCTTGGCGGTTTCGGTTCAGATATCCTTGCGAAAAACTTGTCCCACCGAAACAAGCAGGGAGTAGACCGCACTACCGGGCAGGGAAGTGCTCCTTGTGAACTCAACAGAGAACACGAATCGAAGTCTGTCGTGAAGAAAAAGAGGTGGATGGTTTGAGTGAGAAACACTGAATCGCCATCACAGAATTGAGAATCGGCTTCCCGGCCTATAGTTGTTCCGTGCCGGACATCTCTTGGCGAGGCTGTGGTTGTTGAGTGAGTCAAAAGGTCAACCACCCTTTCTCTCTCAACTTTGTTCACAACACTCTCACACAACGACAACATTCATGCGACAAAGAATCATGAGATAGGTGGTTGCGGCAATTGCTGCAACTGCCTAGGTAGGTATATATACCCCTCGTTTTCGGGGTAACCTGCCAAGCTTCAAGAAACACAGACATCGCCGAGACAACATCAGATCCCTTTGCGGATCTGGTACTTCAATATGCCTACAAAGAAGAAAACCAAACCCCTTGCGGTGCAGACACCAATTCCAGATCCTCCGACTCCCAATCCGCCTTCATTTGGAAGATCTCATCGTGGCTTAGAAGAGGAGATTGCGGACTATCCAGAAATCCAACGCAACGAGTTCTTGACTACGAGGGCTATTTATCCCGACGAGTTTGAAAGAGTCCGCGGGCGAAAGGATGCCTGGCAGGTAAGTTCCAAGTGAGAGAATGGCTTCACCGCCTCAACTTCTAACACCACAACAGAGATACGAAAACCTAGCCTTTCAAGTCAGGATAGGCCCGCTTGAAAGCCCTGACTATTTTGCAAAACTAATCTTTGAGTTTCCACGCGAATATCCGAAAGTCAGGCCCAAAATCAACATTCTTGACGTTCAGCCAAAGGATCCGGCCATAAGAAAGCGCATTGAACAAATCACCGCCGATTATCCTCGCCAACACCAAGGGAATGAATGTGTTTACGAAGTCACCAGCGCCATAATGGACTTTCTCACCGAGATCAACCTTGACAAGGCTGCCAAGAAGAATGAGTTCAGTCTGGAGGAGGAGCGTGCGGCGAAAGAAGCGCGTACCAAGAAACAGCAAGAATCTGTTCGGAGACGACAAGAGGAAGAAACCGAAAAGCAGGAACTCCTGTTTGAATCAAAGGTCGAAAATGAAAAGCAAAGACGGCTCAAGACAATCACTCGCAAGATTACGGGAGATGAGAATGCCGACTTTTACGACGCCCCAGAGGAACCAATCCGATTTGATCAATCGATGACTTCACGAGACATTGTCACATCTACACCTTTCAAATTCAAAGCCGTGACTGGAAGATCAGTCATTCTCAAGCGCCCAGATAAGAAGGTCTTGATTGTGGCTCCACGCGTGGACATCGATCGAGTGCAGGCTCCTCGATTCCTGCTTAAGATGATATATCTCCCCGAAACCATCGCACCCAAGGCCAAGCTACAAAAGTGCATGGAGGTTGTTGAACAAGATCTTGAATCATCGAAAGAGCATCGTCATCCAAATGTGGTGGACCTCATCAACTACAAAATTGAGCTTATGGACCTGGGTCAAGATGTCGGCCAGTGGAACCTTACGATTCTTTCGGAATTTGCCGAACAAGGCTCATTATCCGATCTTTTGGATATTGTTGGCGCTCTGAGTGCTGCAAGAATTCGCTCGTGGGCACGCCAGCTGGCTGATGCCTTGCTGTTTTTCGACCAACAAGGTTACGTTCACCCTGCAGTCCATGCAGGTAATGTGATGTTGTTTCGCTCTGCCAGTGGAGGTGTTACTGTCAAATTGGCTGATGGCTATGGTACGCAACTGCGCGATCTAGTCCGAGCAGCTCAGAGCCTCTCTGAGCCGTCCGAACAAGATCTTCCACTTTGGATCCCCCCTGAATTGAATTCAACCCCTCCTCGAAGATCAAATAAGACTTGCATCTGGGACCTTGGAATCATTATTATGCAGATGGCCGTTGAGAAGAATGTGAAAGAAACGTACACCTCCCCATACCAAGTCATCGCTGGCTGTGGCTTCGGGACAAACGCGACAAGACTTCTGACTGCAATGTTCCAAAGCGAGACAGGAAAGCGTCCGACTGCCTTCGAGCTTACTCGAAAGGCATTCTTCACGGAAGAGCGGGAGCCGATATTTCGGAACACGTACCCAGAAACACCTGGCACTCCAAGTCGACGTCGAAGATACAGTGATCGATTTGTTTCTCGATATCACAACGACTTTGAGGAAGTCGAACGTATTGGCAAGGGTGGATTTGGAAATGTCTATCGCGCCAGACTGAAACTTGACGGACAGTTCTACGCTGTCAAAAAGATCGAAAGCACCTCCGAACGGGAATTGGAAGGAATTCTCGCCGAAGTCACGCTACTAGCACGATTGAATCATCCTTATGTTGTCCGATATTACAATTCTTGGGTTGAGCGAGAGGATGCAGAATACATCGAGGAATCCCCTCAACCGCGAGTTCCAGATCGATCATTACAGCAAGCTCCGGCGATAAGTACAGGCCATGACTTCTTGGAAGTTTCTGTCTATCGGAACCAAGGTGCTGAATACAGTAGCAGCGACGACGATGGAAACATGTTTGGCTACCAAGAACCTCCATCGCTTGATGAGCAAGAAGGCTATGAAGATGACAACGATCCGTTCAAGACTGATCCAGAGTCCAGTCGTCCAGACGAAGCACAGGCAAAGGAAGAAGAGCCAGAGTCCGATCCTTTTTCGGTCCGTATTCCAACAAGTCCGGGTTTTATGGGTAGCTACGACAACAACCCATTCGAGAACAGTACCGAATCTCCTTCGAATTCAATCGCCCCGACGCGATCGCGAACTCCCCTGAGGCAGAAGCAAAAGTCCACCTTGTATATTCAGATGGAGCTCTGTGAGGGCAAAACCCTCTGGAATCGAATGAAAGAGGGGCTTTCTCAGGATGTCCCTGCTGTCTGGAGGCTGTTCCGCCGCATTGTCGAGGGGCTTGCGTACATCCACGCACAGAGCATCGTGCATCGCGATCTCAAACCAGAAAACATCTTCCTGGATGCTCATGACAACCCCAAGATCGGTGACTTTGGACTTGCTACTGCAGGACAAACTGTGTCGAAACCCAATGTGTCCAAGCCAGGCATGACCATCACAGATTCTTGGGGGGTTGGTACCAAAGGTTACACTGCTCCTGAACTCTTGGAACGTGGCAAGAAATACGACGCCCGAGCAGATATGTATTCCCTGGGAATCATGTTCTTCGAAATGTGCTATCCAATTCCTACACAATACGAAAAGAACATCCTGCTTCAAGGTTTGGCCAAACAGCCACCTCAGTTGCCGGCATTCTTCGAAGAAGATATTCACCAAACACAAGGCGAGATCATTTCACAACTTGTCAACATTGACCAACAATTCAGACCTACCGCGAGGGAATTGTTAGACAGTGGAAAGATTCCGGAACCTCTGGAAGAGGAGAAATTCCAACGCTTCATAGACCGACTGGCCGAGCAGAATCCTGAAGAGTACCAAGACCTTATCGGCAAACTATTCTCCAAGCCAAATGATCCTGTTTCGAGCCTCGCCTGGGAAGATCGTTCTGGAGAAAGCATGGTACCTGTTGATCCAATGCTGTGGATATCAGTCACCGATCAACTGAAGGTGATCTTCCGCCGACACGGCGCAATCGAAGCTCCCAGACAAGGCATCATTCCGAAGACCGGATTCACACCAAATCCCGCCGTCTTTCTTGACCCTTCGGGCCTCACAGTACAACTCCCGGAAGACTTGACGCTGCCTTTTGCTAGAACACTTGGACAAATTCCATGCAATCTCGCAAAGACCTATTGCTTTGGTGCTGTCTACCGTGCTACCGTACCTGGCAACCAGCCTCGACAAGTCCCTGAAGTGGACTTTGATTTTGTCTCACAGAGCGCCAGGGATCTATCACTCAAGGAAGCCGAGGTCATCAAAGTCATGGACGAAATTCTTCACGAATTCCCGGCACTCGCGGCTCGAGAATGGACAATCTATCTCACCCACGCAGACTTGATTGACATTGTTCTAGACTTTTGTCGCATCAAATCCCACGACGTCCCACAAGTCAAGCAGGCTCTTTCTTATCTATCCACGGGTGACGGCAAATGGGAAAAGGTACGCGAGAGACTTCGAAGCACGGCGATCAACATCGCAGAGACCTCTGTGACGGACCTCTCGAAATTCAATGTCGTCGGTGACGTGGAACGAGTCCGGACCAAATTTTCACAGTTGTTCGGCCAGGGAGACCACTTGAACAAGGCCTTGTCACTTTTTGCGCGACTCGACGAGCTCGTCCACGTCCTTCGACAAATGTCCATACAGACACAAGTCCTCGTCGCCCCCCTCCGCAACAACGCCGAACACCTCTACCGAGGCAGCGTGCTCTTCCAGTGCATGGAAAAGAGTCACCGGAAACTCCTCGCCGTCGGTGGCCGCTACGACTCCCTCATCCAAGAGTTCCAGACCAAATCCGACAAAGGGTCGACTCGCGCCGTGGGCTTCCGCCTCAACATCCTGGACCTCCTCGCGTACGTCCGAGGACAGTCAAAGGCGCAACAGCAACAACATCACCACAAGACCGGCAGGTACGCCGGCGGCGGCGCCGGCGGCGGTGGTGGTGCCGAGACCAAGACGGTGCCCCGATACGGTGACGTCTTGGTCACCAGTTTCGACCCAAATACCCTCAAGAGTGTGTGCGTCGAGGTCGTTTCTTCCTTGTGGGCCGCCGGCCTCAGCGCCGAGTTGTCGGAGGAGTTTCGCTCCCTGGAGGAGCTGGAGAGGGCGTACCGCGTCGAGGGCGCCAACTACTGGTTGGTCATTGTCAGGGGGGGCGCCGACCGCGGCATGAAGGTGCGCAGTCCCACCCGCGCCGAACACGAGGTCAAACTGGCCGAGTTGGTGGGCTTCTTGCGCCTGAACATGGCCAAGAACAAGTAGTTTTGTTTTTCGCTTTTGCTTCCTTGGACAATGAGGGAGGTGTCCGTTCTGTTGAGTTTTCATAGCCCGCCTGTACAATTTTGACCAACCCACTTCTTAAGCATTAAATTGTTGTTTCGTTGAACGCCCTTGTTGCGCCTCGACGAACGCGGTCGTTGTAGAGTACTTGGATTCGGGTGTCTCGTCTGTGTCAAAAGAACGAGGAATGGCTCAGGGAGCCAATGCCGTCTAGAGTCGTCCCATCGGTCAAGGTTCCTGTCCACTGTCGTTGAGTATATTGATGGCTTGTCCTTACGATTTTAGAATAGCTACAGCTTTTAAGAGGGGACATTGTTGAACGGGAATATGTGTTGACCCTATCATTATGCAAGGTACCGACACGATCGGAGGTTGTAGGACGGATTTAAATATGCATGATGGTCGACATCATGATAAATCCTTCTATTGAAAGAACAGTTTACATTGTGTGGGCCGTCCATCTACAACTCAATGATCGGATTGCGAAGTTGCATTGACATACAAGTTCTGCAAAGACGGGTCCTCTTCGAGCGCCTCCAGCACTTTACCCACCTCCTCTTCCTGCTCTGGGGTCAAGCTCACCATGCTTTCCCCGTTGGGATCGTAAACGACCTCCGCCTTGTCCACCCGCAGGCCCAATTTCTCTTGCAACTTCTTCGCGACGTCCATCACGTCCTCGGGGGGCGTATCAATCACGAGCCTACCATCCTCATCCGTGCTGACGTCGTCCGCGCCGGCCTCGATCGCATCCTCGAGGGCCTCATCAACCCCGACCTTGCTTCCCTGATCATTCTCCTGTTGCTCTTCGAAAGTGATGCGTCCCTTTTTCTCGAACAGGAACGCGGTCGGAGTGACGGCAGCGCCGGCGCGAGATAGAATCAGTCGTATGTCTTGCAGGGTGCGAGCCTTGTTGTCGGTCTGACATTCGAGAAGGGCCGCGACGCCGTGGGGTAGCATTGTCTCGATGATCAGATTTTCCAGTGTTGCTCCGGAGGGAGACTTTCCCTGCCCTTTGAGGATGGCATGTTCGATGGAAGATTTGGCCAGCTGGCCCTTTTTTGCGGCGACGATGGCGGCACTGAGGCGTGGGTTCAAAGTTGGGTCTGGACCGCCGACTGGAACGAATATCAGTACAATGAACAGCCATGAATGGGCTCAGAACGGGAATGGTCAAGCATACGTCTGGAAGCGATGATAATGTCAGACGACAGCTGCGTCCTCAATTTACTTGTTCGGGCATCTGCGCGTGCTTTGTCGTGCTTGATCTTGGACCAGCGATTGTGTCCGGACAGCTTAGGAACTGCACCTGAAAATTGTCTGCGCCAGGACGACGGACATGGCTCATGGATGACGCGAGAACTCCATGGCGCGGAGTAGAAGCGTAAACTCCGAAGAGGAACTCGAGCCGATCCCATGCAAATTCTCGAGGTGCTAGAAGTCGTGAATTTGATGTGCACCGTCGAGGGATTGAGAACAAGCAGTTTGTATTGTATCCCGACAATACCAATTTCTGATTGGCGGGAGTCGGGAGTCTCTCGAGGACGGTGTTGCTGCTTTAAGGCGGCGACTGCACCCATATGGGCTGAGCTCCTGCATAATGCTTTATCACTCGGGAATATAGTTGCTATAGTCAAAGTGGGAGTTTAATACTTGTACTGGTACTGCGATCAGAACTGTCAATGGGAGCGAGGTTCAGGTATTATATCACCCCTAGGAACATCGTCCCTCATCAAGATACAACGGTCTCGTTAAGGCGGCGTGTGGACACTGTACAGTAATTTGACGACGAACTGGCACGAATGACCTGTTCTTTGGATCTGATGTTTTCTTGGATTCTTCAATGATACATGACAAACATAAAGTGAGACACTCACAATCTCTCTGTGACCTTATTGGTCAGACATAATCCATTTGCTAGAGCGAGACCTTTCGGCTAGTGCGTTGCAAGCATGGAATCTGGAGCCGGTTTAACATCCTGGCACCAGGCTTTCGAAGAGCATCGTATTCCTACAACGCGGGCCATCGAAAAGCAATTACGCGCAAATGCTTCGAGAGACAAGGAAAAGCTCAGAGGCTTGGTTGGGTGAGTGCTGGACCTGTCCGCGCCGACATTGAACTACAATCTGACAACTTTCACAGTGGCAGTTATCGCGAGTTTTTAGCAACTGCAGAGGCGATTGTAGTCTTGGAAGAGAAAGCGCAAGCAGCTGAACGGCATATCTCATCTATAAGTCATGATTGCAGGCCACCACAGTACGACTCGGCGCGTCGGCCGCTGCCCACAGACAAGGTGACTTTGGCTCAATTTCGACTCTTACACCGGTGTTACACGACTTCGGTGACATGTCTTCAGAACCAAGACATCTTGAAATGTTCCAAGTTGACTCTTCTGTCACGACTGTTGTTGAGATCATTAGGAAACGAAAGCTCCTTGTCCTCGAGCCTCGAGCATATGAGAGGGAAACTAGGAGCACTCCGGCAGCGCCTCCTTCGTCAGGTCAATGCCAAGCTGGTCAATCCTGCCTCCAGTGTTCCGGGGCTAGTCGATGCAGTGTGTTCATACTGTCTGGTCACTGATGTCTCGTCAAGCAAGGCTCTAGATCACCTTCGCGAACGTCGACTCGACAAGTTACGTCGTCAATTAGATGCTTCTCGCAACCGCTCGGCCATCTGCGAAGCTCTTCGATACCAGCTTGTATCTCTGCAATTATTCAAAACACTCACCGGGCATCCGGTATCAGAGGCAATAAACAATCTTCAGAGGAAGGCAATATTAGCCGACCCTGCTTTGAGAGAGCTTGAGTCTCTCGACCTGGATCGGACTTGGCCTTTACTGCCTGAGGAGATTCAGACCTTTGTGCCGTACTTCCAACGGACCGCATCTACTTCTGAAGAAATGCATACTAAACTAGAGACATGGTCCAAGGAGTCTTGCGGTATACTCGAGAAAGCCATCAACGGGCATCTTGCGGGATTGAACGATGCCGTCGAGGTCCTTGAATTGAGACGAGAACTCTTCACCCTGCTGTTGCCAATGTACTTCTCTACACCAGCTAGCAGAGACATTAGCAGATGCATCAGGAAGTCGTTAAATGATCAAATGAGAGACATATGTCAAGATCAGGGGTCCAGACTTAACAAGATCGCAGAAGAGCTTGTGACTGCATCACGTTCCAGCACCTCTAGCAATTCACTATGGTCACCTGAGATGGTTCAGACACCTCTCGACCAGGGAGGAACGAAGATGATCAAGAGATTGAAAGTGCGACATTCTGGGCTTAACAAAGCTCTCTCGAAAGCGACAAAGGCGTTGGACGACTGGGTTGCAGGTATACATGCAGCCAAGGATCAAATCAACGAACTCTCCAGACTACGATGGCGAGATATGATGGAAGAGCCAGATGAGGAAGAGGAGGATGAAGCAACACTAGAAGTCCGGATGCTTTGCGAAGACGACCCCGATTATTATAGCAAGAATTTGCAGGAGTCTGCACGGAAAGCGATATCTGGGTACGAGGTATGCCTTGTGACAGCCGCATCCGAGGTCATCGCGCAGCCTTCAGACCTCTCTCGTGTTGTTTACGTTGTCCGCGCGATCAGGATATCAGCCGGAGTCTTGTACAAAGCGTTCCCAGAAGAGACGCACGCATCAAAGGTGGTTGAAAAGATGCATGATCTCCACAAGGTTGTCGCCGATGAAGTCGTTCGACAGCTGAAGGAAGCCGGTCGTGGGAACGGCAGAGCACCAAAATGCGACACGAGCCAGCTTCCTGAGGGCATGCCTTCGCCCAAGGCCTTTACGGCTTTGCGGCGGCTGTGCCGGGTCATGGCTGATATTGGCGGGACCGATATATGGACCATGCCTGCAGTGACCTTGGTCAAGAAAGCAGTTGCGGCAGAGATTTTTGACCCAGAGTCTAAAGGCAACTATGTCGACACGGATTTCGACGAGGCGTATTTTAGAGTGGCGCTGCAAGACGGCTCCGACATTGCAAAGCCGAAGCTCACCGAATCCGAGAAGACACAACAAGCAATTGAGTACTGGACGAGGACGAAGCTGCTGTTTGGCATGCTTGCTTGAATAGAGTTATTCACATGAAGTAATCGCATTCAACTTTTCGAGTCAACCATTTTCTCGTTGGCTTCACGGCTCTGTCCTTCGTCAACCTTGGGCTCGTTGAATGCCAGAACTGGCCCTGTCAATCAGAAAGAAACAATTCCTACGTCGCGTTCCTGAGTTCACCACCCCCTTTTTATAGAGAATCTGAGGTCAAGTTACTGTTATGATGCCACAAGTTCCGCACAAATTGTCTGCCCGTTTTCCAAAGTTGGTGACTCTTGCGCAGTGCCTATTATGAGACATGAATTCGCGGCCAAAATTTTAGGCCAATTTATCTTGTGTTCCTCCATCTCAACTCTCATTCTTCCATCTTCTCTTTGTTCTTTCAAAAGTCCAAAACTTACTGTTGCCAGGACAGGAAATCGTAGCTTCGTCCTCATATTGATCCACTGCTCGTATATATCTATATGTACGTATCTTATGATATCTAAAGGAAAGTTGCAGCAGGCAAATCTCGAGCACTTTCGTCTCCCGAAGAACATTAGGAACAGCGGCATTCGTTGCTGACGAATCCTTACCAAGGAGAATGCACAGAAAGCTGTGGAAGAAGCACATCGTCTCTGGGGTCCTATCGAAGCGTTGAACCCAGAAGCACTACCGATACTGCAAAGCTTTCGACCTTGCGGATGATCTCCGGAACTGGGACAGGGGTCTCGTGGACGCATATCGGAGTCGAGTCTACACGAGATGTTGTTCTCTCTGTGGACAAGACATTGTCATCGCGAACCTTGGTTAAGATGCCCTTGTCAGCAAACAATACCATCGTCAGTAAGTCTTTTTTGTTCTGTACACTTCTGAGTTCATCCTTTCACTTTTCTCTCGTCGTCCCCGCCCTTCTGATAAGGCTTCTATATTGCTATCTTCTCTTTAGACCTTACTGCTGACCGATTTTATCACAGTCAACAAGATAGTGCGACCTGAACGAACCTGAATGACCTTCGACGTCGGACCCGGTTGAAACTTTGAGAAAAGTGGCATCGGCAGCATGACATTACTTCCGACCAAACCGAGTGTCACGAAAACGTAAGTTGAAACCAAACTGTTTGACCTTGTGGTGTACTGACCGTCTGTAGCCTCACGTCTCTCAAGCGAGCCGGTCTGAGACAACTTTGGCCTATCATCCGCAAGCACCTCCCACAACTGGAGAACTTCTGCAAGTATTCTCACGACACCGATGACGACAAGGTCGTAGACGAGACTCTGACGTGCGGATCATGTTCTAATCGTCTCTTTGCAATGATTAATACTGACGGAGGCAGTAAGGTGAAAACCCCTTGGCACCATCACAAATCCAACGTTTGGAAAAAGCAATCACAGCATAGTCAAAATCGAGAGAGAGAGAGAGAGAGAGAGAGAGAGAGTCTTGGTTGAATTGCGTGGTGAGATTGCGTGGTGAGATTGCATGGTGAACGGTGCGCCGGATGATGGCTCTCAAATCTAGAAACCCCAGTCAATCTTTTGTTCACTGAATGCGACTTTGGAACATGAGTCCAGAGATCAAGGGCACAAGTCCTCCAAACCTTTAAAGTCGGGACCAAGTACACAGGCGGAACGAACTCGCAAACCCTACACGTCCTTACGCAAACTAAACCAAGTCCCTTTCAGGGCCTGGTCTGAGAAAAGACCGGGTTAATTTTTGCTAGGAGCCTGTCAATCTCCGGTATGCCTCCCAGTATCTCCACGATACCATGTGAAGAGACATGAGTGAAGAAGGGTCTGGCTACCGTGTACATATATAAAAGCATATCTCGAAGCTAATGTAGCAGTCAGAAAAAACATCTCCGCCGCGTCACGCTAAAATCATAATATTTAATCTTTTCAGGACAATCACTACATCTACGACGCCATTTAAACGCCCGCAGTCGTCCATGCCTTCTCGGGAGGTACAGAGTACAAAACCCTGCGAGCTGTTTCGAGATATACGGGCACCCATCATGGCGAGAGAAGCGATGAAGCATAGCAGAGACCACAAAGTACCAAGTGACAAACACTACAAATCAGAAAGGCTGGATGGATCCAAAAAGAACGAAAAAAAAAACTCGAGTCACGCAGCACCACATAAAAGGCGAAGAAAAGGATGTCATGACGATATTGTTATTATTAATGACTTAGGGTCTGTTGAAACTATGGTGCCGGACATATTCTCACTCATCTCATTGTCCGGCGTCACGTCGTCGTAGGGGAAGGCATAACCCCGGCCGTTGACCTCCAGCTGGTGGACCAGCTTGCTGTACCAATTGGTGGTCTGGGCACCGTAATAGGAACTCGAACTTACTCCGTCCGGCTGGACGTTGCCTCCGTCGAGAAGGAGGGTGGAACGATTGAAGGCGGCGCACAGGCGGGGCACCACCGCGGCCTGGACGTCCGTGGCGGAAGAGTCGAGGACGAACGGGCCGGTCGAACAGCTGAAGATGTCCGTAGCCGAAGGCTTTGCGAACGTCCCACTCGAGCCGCTGTCGGCCGTGCAGGTGAGGAGGTCGCCGCCGACGGTGCACGAAATGTTGCCCACCTGCCCGGATTGGCTGTTGATGATCAAGGGTTGACCGGAGTAGGTGGACCAGACTTGGTCGACGTAGGATGTCCAGTAGTCCGCAAAGGCATCCGGGGTTCTGTCGATGTAGTCGGCGGGAGCCAGGACGTGGTAGGGTCGTCCGTTGGCGTCGGCGACGCAGAGCTCGTTCCAGGGGTACCCATCCGTCGACGCCTGAGATGCCAAGTCCGCGCAGAGAGACTGGATGGCGTTCGGCTGCAGGCCGGGGGTCGTTTGCGTTCCGATGTCCGTGCCCGTCAGGGTGATTTTCAAGTTCATGCTGACGAAGTCGACGTAGGTGGTGTCCGCATAGATGATGCCATCCGCCGTGTACGTGAATTCCACAAAGCCCCAGGTGGTGGCGTTCTCCGCGGGCCCGGAAATCGAAGGCTCGACCAAAGCCGGGCCTGTGGCGGCCAGGACGACCGAAAACTGCAAGCTCCCCTGAGCGAGCCATATTCTGCCCCCGGAAACGTTGGTCGGCATTGTCAAGTTTGTTGATTGACCCGAGCCGGGTACCGGGATTGTGATCTGGTCGGCCGGGATCACGGTGGGAACTGACGAAGAGATCCCCGATGAGGGATAGTACCACTGGCCATCGGGCTGTAATAAGACAAGCAAGCCATTCGCGTCAATGCCAGTCAGGTACACGTTCACACCGTCTCCCTGGGAGTCAATAGAAAGTGGTAACCCAGTAGCGGATGCACCCCCGGAAGATATGGTGGTGCTGGCTTCAACAGAGGCAGTGGTTAGGGTCTCGAAAGATAGGGTGGTAAGGGGCACAGTGGGTGAGGTAGTAACGGGCTCAGAATAGGTGGTGGTAGTAGTAGCTTCAAAGGATGAGGAGGTAAGGGGCACAGAAGGTGAGGTAGTGATGGGCTCAGAGTAGGTGGTGGTAAAGGATGAGGAGGTAAGGGCCACAGACGATGTGGTGACGATGGTCTCGGAAGATGAGGTAGTAATAGGCAGGGAATAGGTGGTGGTTTCAGGTTCAAAAGAGGTGGTGAGGGCTTCAGGATAAGTGGTGGTAGTAATAGCCTCAACGGATGACAAGGTAATATCCTCCCAAGCCGTGGCGGTTCTGGTCAACCACGGCGGAGTGAAGGCCTGAGCATCACAATCGGGTTGCCAGGCACAATCTGGTCGGAAACCATTATTACCTGTATGCCGTGAAAATGGAAAGGCAGAGCTTCTGGGTATCAAGGAAAACGACAGAAATAACGACAGGAGCGCGGCTTCGTGAGGCATACTCGTTCGTTTTCGTCGCGAAAAAAGCTGGGACAAAAAGCTTCCGGGTGAAATGGACTGCTGCACCCCCGACCTACCAGTGCGACCCGGACGCTTTAATATAGCATTGAATATGAACCTCGAGAGAGGCGTATCCAGCAGAAAAGCCGCGACGCTTGATCGACAGTGGTCTTGTATATCTCGAATGGCCGGCTGAATAGTCCCAGTAGCTAACAATTAGGTGAGAAGGCTGGCGGGGGATGACGAAGGAGGTGGAACCGAACAATGCTTGCCTACCAGCCATACGTGTGTGGACAGTAGGGAATAGTAGTCATCCAGGGACCGAGCTCGGCTATCTCTGACCCACTTTGAGGTGGTTGTGGGGGAGAAACAGATCCAAGGGAACCCATTTTTAGTCAAATACGGTGGATGGAATGGTTCGCGCCAGCTCTTTTTGCGGCGACGATCGAGGTCCCCAAGTGTTGTGAAACGAATCTTCCCAGTGAGAGCAGAAGTTACTCACTTCTCATATGGACTCAACAGGAGAGTGTCGAGTCGGTGCGGCGACGCGAGTGTCAACATCATCTTTTGCGCGGAGACAAACATGTGTTCCTCTTACTGGCATGCGTCTGCAGCCGCAGACGACTGTGGCCAGGTTTGAGATGCTCCGCGCCGCCACTAGGTCTGTTCTCAGAGCATCAAAACAAAGCTTCATACCGAGGGCAATCAGCTTCGTTGATCGCAACACTGAGCAGGGACCTTGGTCCCGGCAACCAGCCCCCAAACACCGTCCAGCCACACGGTTCACGTCCAATCTCCACCATCGCAAACGCCACTCTACCAGCCGCAACCCAATCGTATCTTTGACGTGATGGAGATCCACCCACAAGGAAAAGAGTCTGTCGCCGATAGGCGTCACTTGATCCGCTAATGCAGGTACACGATAACTTCCGGCGTGTCGATAGGACTTTTCCCTCGCTCGTCGTAGCCATACCATCGGGACAGAGTATAATATTGTCATACAGAAGAGGAGAGCATCCAACTAAGAGGTATAGACGACTACAAGTCGTGCGTCTTTCGTTCCACACGATTCGGGTGATTTCCCGAACCTTCGTTGAAGAGCGTCGGTATATTGCTTAACTTAAGCGAGAGTCGAGACGTGTTGCTTTTCTCGGTTCAATTTTAGCATAGGATTCCTTCTTTTTGGCGTTGACGTTTCGAAATGCTCATGCTCAATTCTGAGGAAATATGTCTGGCTCGCACCGTGCTCTGGGCGATATCCTTCTGGGTGTAATTTGGATGATCGGGAGACTGCGAATTGATTGAAACAGATGTCGTAGGCTGCTTAAACGAAGTATGTTCTCAACAATGACCCATAATTCAACGGGTATAGTACACTGTGGAAATGAGGGTACCAGGCCGATGCCGGTTGCATGCTTTCTGAGATCCCACAGCTGATGTACGATCGGCCTTGATGGTGCAAACCCTCGGCCGAACGATGATAATGGACCGAAGGTATCCAATTTCAAGACGTCTGCCAGGGGGGATATGAAGGAGACTGTGCGGCTGGAAAGGATTATTGTGATTCATCGAAGAGACCATAGTCCGAGTTGTGTATAGAGAGGAGAGGCGACGTTTCAGATGACCTTTTAGATCCCACATCGCGACGTCAACATCAACCAGCACCATCACATCCTAGGTGTACCTGCAAGATCTTGCTAGGAGGGTACCTTTCACTCGCACCTGGGGGGTTGAGCGTGCTTCGACATGGCTCTTCAGTACAACCACAATCAGCAAGGAAAATAGGCTACCATGATCCATCGACTGTTCGTCAGCGTCACCATATCGAAGCTATGGTGCCCTTCAATGTCTCGCCAAAGTTTCGCCCCTTCAATGTTGAGATTATGAGTGATGTTAAGCATCCTATGTTCTAATTATACGAGTCATTGTGTCCCGATGCGATATCTCGATCCCTGAGGAGGTAGGAACGGTCCATCAAGGCCGCGGACGGGAGATCTATACATGGGACCGTATCACTAAACAAAAGTTCCAAATTCGATACTTTCATACCCATCTCCAGAAACCAGCACTGCAAATGATACTGGTGTTGCTCCCCAGTGAAATATACAATTCCAGCTTCCTCGTCTTGTAGTCGTTCCTGACACCATTCCAGGATCGTGGTCATCCTTCTGCTAGTCGAGTGAAAGTCATAGTTGCCAGATATATTCAAATGTCTCTGGCTGTCCTTCCGATTTTCATCGTTGGTCTTTTTCTCCACAAAGGCGGGCTTCTTTTTCGAGACAGTTTTGTGTCAGTCGGATAGGGACGACGCTAGGAGCTGACAGGAACTACCTAAGGGACATAGCACAGTATTCCTGATTCGGATTCGTATCGAATTGCAAAAGGAAAAAAAACAGAAGCTTGGCTGATTCAGCACCTCTTTCAAATCTCCTAGACTCTCAATATTGTTCCACAATGTTCACACTTTGTAATAGATGTTGAAAACTACTTGAAACTACTGGACTTTGACTTGAGGACATTACACAACGTACACTTACAACGTAACAACAATCTTCTTCGCGCTGACTCCCTTCATCAACAAATCCACACCCTCTTGGATTTTGTCCAGGCCGGTCCCGATCACCATGGGTTCGGGGGCGGGGACAAACTCCCCGCTCGCCAGGGCCTTGGGCAGATAGTCCTCGTACACGGCCTTTCCGACATCGTTGTCCTTGAGCGTGGTGCCGAAGACGGGCTTCATGGTCACCCCCTCGGGGGGTTCGGGGAAACCTCCTTTTGTGGTGGCGACGAACTTGTTGTTCCCTTTACTCTGGGCGACCAGGCTCGCGACGGGCTTCCAGGCCGCGGCGCCGACGCAGTCGAACGCTCCCGCGCAGGTGCGGGTCCCGAACGCCGCCAGGAGGTCCTCCAGGACCGTGGGGCTGTTGTAGTCGTACACCTCGGTCGCACCCAGGGACTTGACCAGGCCGAAATTCCTGGGGGACGCCGTGGCGATGACCTCGTAGCCCGCCGCGACGGCGAGTTGGACGGCGTTGCACCCGACGCTGGAAGCGCCGCCCCAGACCAACAGTGTCTCACCCGTGGGCTTTTGGGCGGGCGACGACGTCGGGTACCGCAGGTGGAGGTGAGAGTCCTGGAACAGGGCGCACGCCGCCGTCGAAAGACCCAACGGGATCACCGAGGCCTTTTCGTAGCCGAGGTCGTCGGGGATCGGCGTGGCCATGTTGGTCTGGAGGATGGTGTACAGTTGGAAAGCATTGTCCGAGTTGCGCTTCGACGCCATCCCCACAGCGCAACCCGCCACGCGGTCGCCGACCTTGAACCGGGTGACGTTGGGCCCGACGGCCGCCACCTCGCCCGCGACGTCCATACCCAAAATCGTCGGGTAGTCCATGGGCCACCACGCAAAGGCTTGAATGCTGCCGTTGACCGGGTTGATGGCGAGGGCGTGGTTGCGCACGAGGATCTCGTTCGCCTCGGGAGTCCACATCGGCGCCGGCTTGACCTGGAACGGGCGTGCTTTGGCTTCGACGAGCCACGCGGCGCTGTTGCCGGCGGAAGACATGGTTGAGTTGTTACGGGACAGCGAACGGAGAGTTGTTGATGAGGTTGATAATGTCGATGGCGGAGCCTTGGGTTGCGTGACTTTGGGACTTGATCGATTTGCAGCAAAGACACGCGAGATTATCGTTCTTTTTGGTAGACTCGATGTGATGGCGGTTCGAATCATTCGCTGATTTGACGGATGGTAGTCCTGAAAGCTGTATTGTGTGATGGATCGATTTTGTTTGTTTCCTACCTTCGGCACTCACCTATATATACCCTTTCTCTCGTCCATATCTGGAGCTGTAGTCTCGCCCGAAACACTATGGTTGACGTCGACATTAATGGTCTGAGCCGAGCCAATACGCCGACCGTATCCCCGAGCATACAGTGACAATGACCGAGCATGATGAAGTAGTATAGTAGAAGCAGGAGATTTTCGGCCTCGCATCGATGGAGAGAGACGGATCCTTGATATGGTGAACCGCGCAAGACTAACCCTTTGCGCCCTAGTGTGCGGATTTAGACCAAATGTCCGTTAACACTTTCCCCCCAAGAATGGGTTAGCGTTGCGCGCAGGGTGAACAACAACGAACAATTACTTTCTTTTCGCTCGAGCCTTGTAGAACTTGGTCTGAAGGTGAAGATTCCTATTATGGGCTGTCAGCCGAAAACTACTGCTCTGAGAAGCTGTTAACTCCTTATGTTGCATACCGAGCTGGTCCCCTTTAAATGAAACAAATACGGGGCATCACCAACAAAGATCGCTAGTGTAAGACTGGACACGGGGCCCCGATTTCATGGTATGGTCTTCATTCATATTTCCATTTGTAGAACTCCACCAGATATTTTGGCGGCAACAGGGGGAAATTTCCCAGGCACTTTACACAAGAGTCTCATCTAGGTCTATCACACGTATTCGCCAAATGTGATTTTCCCGGTTCGAAGATGACATGAACAAACCATGACCGAGATCCTAATCAAGAAAACTAGATAACCAGTGTTGCTGAAACTCGCCACAACAAGAATGCCAACAGTTGCAAATCAAATAGGGCTGGAAAACATCATGATCGTCCCAATACCTTCTTCAGTACCTCCCGCAATTTGCCTTCACCGTCACTATTCATTTCCATCGACCGCCAGGCGATAAATCGATCTGGCCGCACGAGGATGCAGCCATCCTCTTCAATTTCTCTTCTTCGCTCCCTGAAACAGATTGTCAGTCACATTGCTCAACTATTCCGTAGTGTTGTACTCACCAGTCACGATATACATCCACCCACTCTTGTCCCCAGCCAATGCTATAAGCATTGATTTCCACACCAAGCTCACCGCCTACTTTCTTGGCTGCTTCGATCCATTTTTCACCTCCAATACCAGTAATCAGGCAGAATGAGCCGTGACCAGCCAGATCCAGCGTCGAGGTATGCTCCTTGTCCGGCAGCGTCTTGTTCAACCAGGCATGAGGCAGACGATGGCCAGGGAATGTGCTGACTTTGTGGTGCAGAATGGGGTCTTCTGGCCATTCGGGCTTTTCCCGGCCAGCCTTAACCTCGTCCTCCAGGTATATAGCGGAAGATTCATATCGATGATTCATTTCCACTCCGATACCGTGGAACTCATGGCTCGTGCCTTCGATAGCAGCGTTGACCCTTTTCCTCCTCTCGCGAGCTTCAGGCGTGGCATCCTTTAGACTGTTGAAGATGGCCATTCTCTGCTCGATCGTATCTTCCATCAGACCCATTTCTCTCCACACTGGAACGTGGTCACGGATACCCTGGTTTGCACGAGTGATGACACCTAGACCTACAGGTTGTCGTTCTGTGCTGAAGCTGTCCAAGATTGATGGGGAGGCGAGACCCTGGGTGACATACTTGATCTTCCAGGCGAGGTTAAATGCGTCTTGAACACAAGTGTTGGATCCCAGACCATTGAATGGAGGATGACGGTGAACTGCATCACCCAGGCAGAAAATGTTGCCTTCTGAATAGTACTCGGCGACAATCTCGTTGATGTTCCACTTGGACACACCGAGGACCTCCAGAGGCAGGTCATCCCGGCCAACAATCTCCCTGCATCTCTGAGTGTATTGCTCCATTGTCGGTTCCTTCCACTCAGCACCAGGCTTGGGGAAAAGAATAAACATCCACCTGGAATAGGTCAGTGAGTGCAGCCAAAAAGACAGTGGATCAACTTACTCGTTCCATGGCTTGACCATTCGGATGAGACCACTCCAGGCAAAGTCAGGGTATTCCCGTTCAGGCTGGAACACCCAATGAAGGTTACCCTTCCTCGCCTCGACGAAGTCGCTCAAGTCTACCTTGACCAGAACGTTCAGGGCAAGACCTTGTCCGGGCTTCTTGATCAAGGGAATCTTGAGTTCTCTGATGACCTGGCTTCGAGCACCGTCACAGCCAAACAGGTAATCTGACCTGATCAGGTATTCGGTCTTGGTCAAGCCATCAAGAACTCGGCTGAGAATCTTTCCATTCGCTTCCTTCTCAAAACTGAGGAGGCTCGTCTTGAAACGAACATCCCAGCCCTCTGCTGCCGCTCGCTGAACCACGATGGGTTCAAAGACCGTCTGGGGAAGATCCACATGGTGGCACGGGGTGGCTGCGTCGTACTCGCCCTTCCGCTTAGGGTCATTGCCCCACGAATAGATTCGACCGTATTCTTCTCCGGTCATGTCGTGACACCAACGGGTGTGAATCATACAATCACCCTCTACTGCTTGGCTCAGACATGTCTTTTCGAGATCGATATCTCTGAGACATTCCAAGGCGGCAGGGTTTGTGATGTGAGCTCTGGGAGTGTCTGAAGTGGTAGGTGCAGCTGCTATCATGATGCCCGTCATCGAATATGGTGGATGTGAGAGAAAACACGCCAGGGCAGCTCCGGCAGGACCAGCACCTGCTATCAGGAGAGGCGTCTCAACGACCGTGGGGCTGGTTTGCGGAGTCCCATCGTTATCGCCGTTTACCATGGTGGAATGTGGCATATCGACCATTTAGGGCTTGACGATGGAGTTTATAAGTGAATCAAAAGGGAAGAGAAAAGATATTGATACAAGAGTGCTATGAAAGACTGAATCAAACGGGGTACGACAGATTTTGTTGTCGATATATAACAACTCGCGTGGAGTTTTGGAGAAGGGTGTGTGTTCGGGAAAACCCCCTTTCCCCAGACCAAGGGCATGGCAGTCGATGTGGACATGGTCTCCGGTCAAAGCCCGTGTATGCCCAATCATCTCTTTATGGCCGAGTCTAGTGCATGAGATCTTGGGGCGTTGCCGCTGACGCGACAAGGACTGAAAAGGTAGTCATGGGGGGATTTCGGTGGGTTTTGCACCAGACGAAATGGGTTCACTGGGTACGCGCGAAGTTGAACCCTTCGGAACGTGTATGCCGTCTCGTAGTCAAAGCTGAAATCTCGGAAAATAGATCTATTGCTGTGTGGCCTGACGGATTGACTCCATAGGGCTCCGTAGGGCTCAAATTGTATGTACAAGACATCGTGTCCCTGCAGTCAACGTCGATGGTGGTGCTGTAATGATTGCTTGCAAAGAATTTCATAAGCCCCGAGTGGAAACAACTTTTGGGGTATCGGGATACGAGTGCGAATACGAGGTACCTAGAGATCCAAATACTCCGCCGTAGCTAGAGACAGCAATGACATCACCAATTCTCCCCGTACGCATCTCCGTTCTACAGAAACAACGGCATACGGTACGCTTGAGAATTGACCTCAACATGCACTCACAGTGACAAAAGAAACGATCATCTAATAATCCATTTGAATCTCTCTCCTCGTCATCACTGCTGACCTCAACCTCCTCCTGTTCCTCCGCCGCCGCCGCTCACTTCCTTCCCTCGTCATAGTTTCTTTGCTTACTCTAGGGCCTGATCGTTCATCATGCTTCTCAGACCAGCAGCCTTCCGACCCTCCGCATTCCCCTCGATCGCCAAATCAATACCCACTGCCGCAAGGGCACGAGTGCGGTCACCACTCAGTCGACCGGTGCTGGTCGCGTTTGGTGCCTCTCTGGGCGCTGCACCTTTCCTTCATCCCTCAAGCACAGCTCGACTGGACACCTCACCTTATTCTCCTCAAGCCGCCGAGTTCAGCAGTACTCCCTATACACATTCCCGAGATGCCAGAAACCCATTGACAAAAGATGGAAGGACACTCAACCCCGCGGCCGTCAAGCAGATCAGCTTAGGAGCCATACTCGGTCTAGGGGCGGGGGTAGTCTTGTCGGCTTTCTCAAGCATGTTGACACTGATAATCGGGTTGGGGATCGTCTTTTGGCAGTACGCCGCTCGCAAAGGCTACAACTTTATCCCGGTCGAACGCCTACAACGGTATTTCAAGAACATCGACCTGCGAAGTGCGATCAACGACAATGCGGCGTTCAAAATTAGCTTTGGTCTATTATTCGCTTTGACGGCGTTTGGGGATTTCTGAATGAACAAAAACACGCATTTGACCGATCAGAGGCTTATTGCATTGTTTCGTTATGCTCCATCACATGCCTGGTCATATCTATAGGGTTATGACAAGAACTTTTCCCAAAAATAATACATGCTAATATGCATTCCGTCGACCATTCAGGTCCGAACATTTTGCATAAGCTGATCCTCCTCCTCTGCCTCACTCCCATCCGAACCTTCTTCATCCATACTCTCTCTACGCCGTCTAAGATCCACACTTGCTCCCCTCGTAGTCTCGACACCAACGTGCCCCTCAGGCAACAGATTCATCGCATCCTCCACGTCGTCCAAATGCCCATGGACCTTCCACACCAGTCCACCAGCAACCGCAGCGACGACGCCCATAAGTGCATAGTTCCATACAAGCAACGGATCCCTCGCGAGCCAAATCAATGCTTCTCCAATGATGTTGGCTGCCGCAGTCATGCACAGGCCGAACGCCTGCACCATGCTCCTCATGTTCCGCGGGGCTTTGGTGAAGGCGTACTCCAGCACCGTCACGCTGGCGAGAATCTCGCTCGTCGCTATGAGAACGTATATGGGTGTTTGCCACCATATACTCACATCGGCGGGCGCGCAGTCTTCAACACCCGCTGCGGCACCGGGACCACCACCGGCACGGTTGCTATTCGAAGGTAGCCCCTCGTTAGGATACATTCCGCACTCGTTGTGTGTGTAAATGTACCGCTGCAAAGAGGCGGCGTAGATCATGGCGGCGCTCCCGAACCAGAACCCCAGCGTGATTTTACGGATCGGCGTGACGCGAACCCACCCGGACTTGCGCAGGGCAGGGTAGACGAGAAGGTCGCACAATGGAATGAGGATGATCAGCGCGAGAGGGTCAAAGTTGCTCACGATCTCCGGTGGGATGCCGGTGTGCCGCATCGTGTCGGCCTGCGAGATCAGGTTGTTCTGGAGCTGGTTGTACGTGAGCCAGTAGACGGGCATCCAGAGGAAGACGGTACACGCCTGCACACCCCGACGCAGCTCGGCGACCCAGGCGTCGTCGAACGTCATCCAGTTCGGTCGACGGCCGGCAGGTATCCGCGACGGTCGCGCCGCGTTCCAGACATCGTGCGTCCGAAGGTTACGTATCGTGCGGATAGGGTTGAAGGACCATCGACCCCTCGTGGCGTAGAAGATGAAGTGAAGGGCCGGTCCGAGCACGGAGCCCTGGGGTGGGTTGAGACGATAGGTTTTCTTGAACACGATGAGAACGAGAGGGCAAAGTAGGAACAGGATTGTCGGCAGGAGGAAGGCGAGGTAGTATCCTATGTACAAGGCCGCGTAGGACATTGAGAGCTGGCCAAGCAACGCGCCGATGTTGATGAAGAGGTAGAACCAGTTGTAGACCCGCGCCGACGTTTGGGCCGGGTCGACAATGACGCGCTCGCCTTTTGAGCCGGTCTCGATGCGAAGTTTGCCGTCGACGACGATTTGCTCCGCGATCAAGGGCGAAATGTTGGGTTTGAAACCTCCCGTCCCGAGGCCGAAGACGATAATGCCCACGATGAATTTTGCCAGCGCCGAGTCGGGGTGTTGTAGGGACGAAGGTGTGGCGCCGGCAACGAGGATGAAGTGTCCTGCCAGAGCACAAAGAATGGATATCATGATCATTTTGTACCTGAATATACACGCACACTTTGCATTAGCTCGTCTGCTACCGAGACGACTCTCCAATAGGAGAAACATGAGACAGAGAGGGCCTTGTTAGGATGGTAGAAGCGAGTGAGAGAGATATATACATATCGTGTGCTGGAGACTTTACCTTCCAAAATAAGTATCGGCGAGCCACGCGCCCAGCAGAGGTGTGACATAGCACCAAAAAGCAAAAAAAGTGCTGAGAGCCGTCGCCGTCTGTTGTCCTCGACCGAGTGCGCCAGGGTTGTTGTTCGAGTCGCCGCTAGGGTTCAGCGCCGCGCCCGTGGGCGTGAGTCGTTTCCGCTGAACAAAGTTCTGAAACAGGATCTGAGTGCCGTAATACGAAAAGCGTTCGCAGAGCTCGACGAATGCGACCGTGTAGACGCTCCACGAGATGCGGTCGGCCACGCGTGGGAGAGTCTTCAATTCCTCGTCGGTCGGCGAGTACTCATCTCCAGCTGTGCTGCTGACTGCTTTCGCTTCGGGGAGTGTACCTCTGAAATATATCGTCTCCGAATCCGAACGCTCGGAATTGGTCGAGCCTCGTCGAGAGCACCCGTCCTGCAGGGCTCTGAGCTCGATTTGCTGCATTGTTGTAGCACAAGAGTCTTCTTATACTGTCATTTGAAATGATGTGATAAGGATCAAGAAGCTCCGCTTGTCCATTATCACCAATGATGTCGTGCGGAAAGCCTCGTCTCGTGGATATCCAACAAAAGGGGATTTGTTTGATACAATGGCAGGGCGAGTAGTGAGCGTGATAGTTGCTGACTTATTTACCCAGAAAACGTCCTGATAGTTTATTACAGAAACAAACAAGGGACTCCTTAGATGACACGATCATGTCTTATCTCTCGTGAGCACGCAAGGTTGTGATATCAAATGGACGCAAATCAAATACCATGGAGTAAGCCGGTCAACCACCGAAGCAATATCGGTCTCAAGATTCTCCGGACTCCGATGTCTAAATACTTCAACGTAGATTCTCACTCGACGACTCGAGGCGCTACTCTGGTATACATCGTCAGAACAAATTCAAAGAATACATCTCACATCTCAATACCCCGTAGCTTTTCCGCTTTCAACTACCGCAGGGTGCGACTCTAACACGAGCGTCAAACTTCGGGTAAGGACACAGCGACTGCAATCATTGAATAGGGTAAGATCGTTACGTGGTACACTATGTTACAAGGACAAGTTCTTCCTCATCCTAGGCGCACCTTTCGCCATAGTCTCAAGCACTCCAACATATCTGCACCCCCCTTTCCGTGGCCGGTGTTGGATTCCGTACTCTCGCTCACAATAGCTACAAGGGCTGCAGCAAAGCAAAACGCCGTCTTATTCTCCTCGAGCAGTTTTACTTGTTGCTTCTTCATGCCTCCCGCTGCGGCCCAGGACTGCCACTCGTCGAGGATCTTGGAGATTTTCTTTGCCTCACCTTCGTCGTTGCTGCTTCGGTCGACCACAAGGAGATAGAGCACAGCCTCAGCAACTTGGTCCACCGTCCACTCGCGACCTACTTCGCCTTGTTGGATCAGCCAAGCGAGACATGCCTCGGAGACGGCCTTGATGCTCATGCGGGGACTCCCGATTGCTTCTTGAAGGCGACGCTCGATGCGCTCTTCACGGGCCCGGAACGACTCAGTCATATCGTTCATTTGATCGCGTCGCTCGGCCGCTTCTCGGTTCATGCGGTGTATTCTCGCTTGCTCAGGGGCCATGGTGGCTTCGAGTCGTTCGGCAGCAACTCGTGCCTGGAAACGTTGCAAGTGCTTGTTCGACATGTTGATTGTCGCATCACGTAATGCGCTCTCCGGTTCCGACGACCATTGCGGCGCGTCTGTTTCGGCGAGGATGCCTAGTGTTACTAGGATGCCGCAGGGGATCGACTCTTTACGGACAAATGTTCGAACGTCCGCTGGGATGTCAAATGCCCACAGGCCGCCGTTGGACTGTTTGCGGGATAGTAAGGCTGATGATGCACATGTGAACCAGAGAGATGCCATCGACCGTTCATATGTTGGAAAGGGTTCACTGATAAAACCTGTCTCAATGTGCTTTTGTTCCCAGTGGACTCGTTGCACGCGGTTATCTTCTGTTCGGAACCGAAGACTCGAGCTATCCATGCTGTATTTGTCTGCGGCTTTCATTTCCTCGATTCGAGATGGTAGATCTTTGGTTTCCTCCTTGAGCTTGTCCCGTGGCTCGAGTTGTTGGGGCTGGTCGAGTCGTCCCCAGCCTGGAGGCAGACTCGCGACGCCTCGGGTATTTGCCAATGCAGCCATTTCTTTCGTCCATCGGATGGTGACACTCAGGATTCCGTCGCTCTCATCTGGCACGGTTGTTCTCAACACCCAGTCTGTATTCCTTCCCGTCTTGTCTTCCTCATCTCCTGGCTTGCGTAGAAGGATCGTTCCAGCAGGAGTCCACAATCCGCCCGACTTGAGTTTTTCCCAACCCATTGCGTCAGGTATAGCACCCCAGTCGAGCAGGAAATGGACGAGTTCAGAAAATTCAGTCTCGGCAGGTGGTTCGCGAAGCTCATCTTCATATTGTATCCTATACAGTTTTCTGCCTACGATCAACCTCTTCCAGTGGAACGCCCTCCAACTGCCACCACGGAGGAACCCCAATACGCGGCCTTCCTCCATCATGCTCATTGTAGTTTCCGCCCTTCCTAGCAGTCTGTGATCTTCCTCCGTCTGATCCTCACCCGAGTCGGTAGACTTCCAGTAGTCGTCATGGTTTCTCTCCAGTGGTGCAATGGTGTATCTAGGCAATTCCACCTCGATGAGACTTGTCATGGGAGAACTTCGAATGGTAAAACCATCGTTGGGGCGGGTCCTGCTGACTGGTCGGTGACCGTGTCTGAGCAATGAAGCGCGGATCCGTCGTTGTGTGAGGACCGCGAGCATAAAAGTGTAGAGGATGGGTAACACGCCGAGGACGGCCAGCGGAACACCCACGTAAGTGATGATGTCTGTGGCAGACGCCATGCTGAGCGTGCAATTGAAATATTGGCAGTGCGTTTCCGGACTGTTGGGCTATCATAATTCAGTTAGCATCATCAGCATAGACATAGACAGCCCAGGAGGCTGCGATTCAATCTTCATCTAGGTTTTCAAACAGCACCCACAGAGGGATGTTCAGGTTAACCAGAATCCATTCCTGGCCCCCTCGGGCTAGTCTCCGAGTGGGCGCAGTCAGGTTATGCAACTCTTTACTCCGTAATGCTCTCCTCAAGCTTCACTTTGTGAGTGAGAAAAGGGGTAGTAAGGAAATGCACTCGCTGCCCTATTCCTTTTCTTTCGCTGACTCATTCAGACACAAGTATTGTCTAAGCGGCGACTGTAAGAATTTAGGTAACCGCTGTAGGGCGCGTTGCTGGCGTCGTTTAACTAGAAAGTTACGCCCCGGCCAACGATTTAGGCGACCACCACCTGCCTCTTATAGTGGTCTTCAGCCCTATTGAGCCCTAATGCGTCGCTTAACAAATAACTAATACTGTACTTACCGCTAGTTACGCTACATCCGTGCATTCTTGGCTTCCACTCGAAAGATGAGATCAAAATCAGCTTCATACGACTGACGGTAGACATTCAGCAAGTGCCTCGCGCTCCTTTACACCATGATAGAAGTTTTCCATTCCCTGAAACAGAGCGCCTTTTGAATATACCACAGGTGCATTGGCTTTTGGCCTAAGTGCGCCCAACCTCGCATCAACATCACTTGGCTCCTTAGGGGCGATGCCCAGCTCACGCATCACACGCTCTTCTCGACGTCAAAATGCGAGCTGTGATCAATGTCGGCACTCGAAACGTCGCTGTTTGTTAGAAACTCCCAACAATGAAGGCGATTCCAGTAGTAGCATCTGCTTCAATTGTGAAAGGTTGGGATACACATGCACTTTCAACTTTGCGGCATCCCAATCCAAGGGACGAGCAGACAGGAAAGCACGACTGAATGACTCTCAGGCTTCGAGCTTAACACCACAATCATCGGACTCGAGCAGAACCGTCCGTAATGGCATTGTCAATGAGGTTTCAGCCATTGAAACTTCAATGGCTTTCGATCCTGGTGACAGTGATTTGTTACCTTGGCTTGATTTCGACCTAGATGGCATCGATCAATTCGATTTGTCTACGTCGCTATTACTCCCCCAAACCACAGATTCCCTTGCACTATCTGGTGATGTTGTTCCATTGGCGTCACCGCAGAACCATTCGCAATACAGAACAAGATCAGTCGTTGGCTGTGCATTCAACAGCCCAACGCACCTGCTGAATTCCAAATCAAATGCGACTATCCTTGACGAGCACTTGTCTCAGATATACGAAACGATAACTGTTGGAGCTGGTTCGGTCTTCTTGGACTACAATTGCAACATGTATACAGGCCGATATCGATACGAATTGGAAGAGAACATTCCACCCTCGCATGTCAAGTATTCCGCTTCCGTGTGGGAAATTCACAACAAGGGTCTCCCAGACTCAGATCCATATTCTAATACTCCGCGAATCGCCTCTGCGCCATGTGCAGATACATCAGATTTGCAAGTACGATCGCAACGCCTACCCCTGGGAAGTACGACACCGAGGATGAGAGTAATCGGGGCTTTTCGCTTTCTAGATCATTTCAATGATTTATGGGGCATCCCACTCAGCTCAGCCGATAGGAAGCATTCTGACGAAATTCTCAAAGCGGTTCTGAGAGCATTCTCGTTTCAGTGGCTGTCAATGTCTGACACTATGTCACCTTTGGGGGCGTTTCTTTCAACGCCCAACGGAAACATACAGCAAGAGACTGAAGAATTCGTTGATGCATGGCATAATGCGCGATCATTAATCAATGACTCCAGGTCAATTTACTCTTTCAGGGTGGTGTATGCTACTCTTCTCTTTGACACTATCGATGTGCCACAAGAAATAACTGGCCCATCCGACCACGAGTTCCTCGACCTTGGTCTGGACAAGCTGTTAGCTCTGGAGGCACCTCTTCGCAAGTACTGTGCCACCCTAGGCCCTGTCTCTGAATACGCAGGGCTTGTCGAAGCAAGCTTGAACATTGCTCTGTGGTTTGGATATCTTCGAGACACAGTGGTGAGCCTCTTTACACAACGGCCATGCAGGATGCTAGATATCCCCAGGCAACGAAAATTCTCGTTGTCTCAGGCAGATATCATTAAAGTGGAAGGTGGCTTTCCTGATATCTGCAGAGAAGCACTCGCAAACTCCGCTCATGTATGGAGACAGATAAGTCGGTTCAAAAATGAGGCGTCAAGGACCAGCGAAACAGTAATGAAGTCTACTTCGTCGATTTTCGCAGCTATTGATGATTACGAAGCGACATACCATATCCTTCTGGACTTCCCTCTGGAAAGCACAGCGCATTTGCCCGTCGGCTCTACCAAGTTTTGGGGTATGTATCGGTCCCATTAGCGATTTTGTTGACGTCTGTGATACGGGAGATTTGCTAATACACTCGACCTAGTTGTACTGATGTTCTTTTGGTACCTCGGAGTCCTCGTTGTCACTGATACTGTACAGTCTATGACAGCCAGCAACGAAGTTCTGTACCAAAAGTTCGTCTCGATGCTTCGGCATCATCAGCAGCAAGCCATTTCAGCACTCACACGAACGGTAGAATGCGTGAGAACATTACCAACTCCGGGAGCATGGAAGCCAGATAGTGGCTTGAGCGCCGACATTCCAATCACTGCGTGTCATATCACGCCCGCCATGGTGGTGGCAACCCTTAAGATGGCAATTGCACAAAGCATCGACCTTCAATTACTTTCCGATTCTGGGCTGATATTCGATGGCGTTTGGGATCATCAAGTCCGTATCCTTATGAAGGCTCTTGTCTCCCTAAAAGTTACCGTGAGTGGGTCAAGGATTGCAGGTGTAGCTCTTCAACAATTGATGAGAGATCACGGGGACATCCTGTCTGAATGCTGGTCTACCTAAAATCTTGTGTTTCAAGCTTCGTTACCAGCGAGTTCCGAGGCCCAAACAAAACCCCAGCAGAAAACGAGAAAAACGAGAAAACGCGCAGTCGGCTCCGACCCCTGGTGTTGTCAACGCACGGGCCACGTTTGATCTTGGTACCTTTTTCGCTACCACCACTACCCCTTGTCCATGCAAACACAAGTCTTTGTTCCTGCAACAAAGATTCCAAGATCAACCACAAATGATCAACGAAATCGCTACGACAGCGCAGCATTAGGCCGAGTCCAGCATTGTTTTGACCCCTACTTGAGAAGGGTCGGGCCCGATCTCGCAATCGAAGACTCTCATAGGCCACACTGCGTTTACAAGTGTCGGCAAATGTCGGCAAGAACACAGCCAATTCTTCTATCTGTATAAATATGAACGACAGGTTCGAACTACGAGGTACTTGAGCTTCCGGAGATTTTGATTTCCATTTCAATTCTCTGTCAGACCTTGAAAAGTTTTTACCCACCGCAACACTACCAAAATGTCAAAACCTGCAATTGTCCTTGTCCCCGGAGCGTGGCACAAGCCCCAGCACTACAAGAAAGTCATCAACGGACTACTCAAACTCAGCTACGACGCTGTCGGTGTATCACTGCCTTCGGTGGATGCTAAGCCAGCAACTCCTTCGTGGGAGAAGGACGCAGCAGCTGTTAGAGAGGCTGTGTTACAGAATCTGGATGCGGGCAAGGATGTCATTACCATAGGACATTCATATGGTGGTCTTCCGATGGGTGAAGGCGTCAAGGGCTTGGGCAAGAAGGCGCGAGAAGCGCAGGGCTTCAAGACCTCTGTGACGAGGCTGATATATATGTGTTCCGTGCCTGTCAAGGAGGGCCAGATATTCCAAGAAGCCTGCAAACCCGTTACTGAAGAGGAAATCAAGGCTGCAGAGATGCAAATGAAGACTATGAAGGCTGATGAGGTATGTTGACCTGTGGTTTCTTCAAGTGCAATTGTCACAACACTAACGACGAGGGTTTTAGGACGGTAACTTGGTGCCGACCGACAAAGAACTCGGCAAAGAGCGCTTATACAACCGCTGCGACCCCAAAGACGTGAAAGAAGCCTTGGAATTGATCGGATCACATTCTCTCGGTACATTGATCACGCCAGCCACATGGACTCCATACAAAGAGATCCCGAGCACTTACATCGTCACCGAGAACGACCTTGCCTTGTTACCAAGCATCCAAGAACGAATCATCGCGGAAGCAGAGGGCGCTTTCCAAGTCGAACGATGTCAAGAGGGTCACTCCCCATTCTTGAGCAATCCGGACTTTATCATATCCTGCATCCGCAGGGCCGCAGGCGAGAATGTTTAAAATAAAGAGCCAGCCACGAAGAAAGCCCTCAAAACACACACATATGTATATCTATATATATGTACAGCATTTTATACCGATGGTCTGAAACAAGGCTGAGACTCTGTGCAATCATCATCTTGACGGCTTGCGACGATAATTGATTGCTAGTTGTCATCCGGTCCCCAATACATTCATCTCCACTCACCACAAACAACCGGCTCTCTTCTCTCGTGTGTATCAAACACCTTGTCCCTTCTTTGATTGTTCTTGAAAACGCACCAAAGACTTGCAGACCCTTCTCAAAAACGTGTTGCCTTTCAAGACAGGTAGGCATGTTTGGTATCTTCGCTTTCATCACTACGGCTATCTGCACTCGGGATATCACGAAACTCAACTTACATGCATTTACTACTCGTCTGTTGTTGTTGCCCAAGCTACTGCCCATTGCGCCATCTTTCCAAGCTGGAATTCTGTCTTCACACACCGCCACATGCGTTGCATGGTGTATGTGCATCCTGTGTTCATTAACCCTATATACATATTCACAGCCTTGTTTATTGCCCCTGTTACTTACTGCCTTGCCGCCGCGAACCACAACATCTACCACTTCCTCCTTCTTCCCCAGGTCTTCTTCTATCTTCCTCTCTCATCACCGATACCACTTACCAGAATCTCTTTCTGTCGCGACTCAAGCCTTGACTCATCGTCTCCTTGAACTCAGCATCGTGAAGACTGACCGCTTTTGGTTCGCTCTGGCACCTGATTTCCGTCCCAACACAGAAATCCCTCTCGATCGTGAGTACCATCTAGTGGAAACAAAGGTTTGACAGGCCTTATTCTCCTCTCAGTAAACAGTCATGTACCGCCTTCTTCTGTCAGCGGCTCTCCAGCCATTCAAAATGCTGCCAGAGGCCATCAAATACCCACTGACTCGCGTGGGAACATCTGCAATTGACGCCATCGTCAAGGTGAGTGATGTCCGGCGTTTACCATGCGATAGACGCCAGTTTGAGACGCGTGGCTGACCATGACACCTAGAAACATCACACAACGCTTGACAACAAGAATGTTCCAGCACCATGCCCTCGACTGCCTCATATCAAGACAGTCTCTGGAACTCTTACCGCCGAGGTGCAGAAATTTCTTCTTTCCGAAGAACGACAACCTCAAGTTGGCAAGTATGATTGGATCCTTGAAAAGGTGCAATCATCAATCAAAGGACTTGAGACGTCGAACCCCTTCCTGAAGCCCACAACACTGGTGGGACAACAACATGCAAGACGACAGCAATGCAGAACGTTGTTCCCTTCTGAAGTCGTTTTTTCAACGTGGACAAACAGCGTTGAGACTCGGGCTGGGACAGCAGAGCCCATCAGACAAACCACAACCTCTGCATACAGCGGACCTCCACCGGCAGTCGTTGCCAGTGTGCCAAGTCATCTTCAGAATGTGAATGACGAAGATGACTATCTCAGCGACTCTCAATCTGAGACTGAGACGACCGTCCACAACAACATCGATGGACAAGCACCGTTCACATCTTCTGACAGTGACGATGCGAACGTCTCCCCACCTCCGCGTGGTCGGCTGAGCCTTCCTCGAACTCGGCCTCACGCCGCGGCTGCTGGCAACGGTTCTGACGATGCTCATCCGGCAAAGAGTCATCGTGTCTTTGAATCAACCTCAACCGGTGTCGAAAGAGTCTTCTCCGATCCTAACACAGGATCGACAACCAGTTCGCCTCCTCCTGCGTCAGAAGGCAACCGTTTCGCATTCCCACAGCGTGATCCAGATCTGGAGCCTTTCCCAGACTTTGAACAGTGTCAGCTGGCTGTGAAGGAGCAAGAGGTTGAAGACCTGCATCGAGAACTCGAGCAGGTCAAAGCAACGGCACAGCGGGAGAAGTCTCGTCTCGAAAAGGAGACCAAGAACGTTCGACAGGCACTCCAGACCATGTCGATACAATTCCAAGAGGTCGACAGTCAATGCCAAGCGCTGGAACGAGAGAACGTGGAGCTCAGACGACACGTGCAAGTTCTCGACCAGCACAGATTGGACGCTGAAGGGACACGCCGTGACATGGCCGTGCACATTCAGCAGCTGGAGAACATCACTCGACATCTGGAAGAGGGCAACGCAGCCCTAAGACATCGAAATTCTTACCTCGAGGGCGTCGCTAGAGAACTTCAGGCGCGTGCTGATCTATCGGCCGCGTCGCGACAAATGAATGCGGCTCTGCTCGACCAGGTGACAAGCAAGAAGGACGGCGAAGTGGAGAAGCTTCGTGGGCAAGTTGCGTCGCTCACCGAGCAACTTGACCAGGTCACCGAGGAGAAGTGGGACCACTTCACCGAGAGGAATGACATGGAGGACGAACGGGACGATGAGCGCACCGCCAAGGAGGAAGCTCAACGAGAGCTTGGGGAGGTTCGGGAGCAATTGAGGAGACTGCGGGAGCAGGGGCGGGAGAAGGAGCAGGAGCAGGGGAATTGAGGAGGGAGGTTTGGGTCCGACGACAGGGCCATTTAGGCTCTACTTACAGTGCTGGTTCATGGGAGTACGAAGTGAAGTTGTCGCTGGGATGAAAATGAAGTCATGAAACGGCCCAAAGGGCAGAAGAGCTGATTTCCGGCGGCAGCGAACAAACTGCAAGGCTGCAACGACAACAAAAGAGACAACGCTGAGAGGAGAAAAGTGCTCATAGTGTTGTTGCGGCTGATCAATCAGAAATGAACTTCAAATTGTCTCCATCTACTTTGTGTCGTTGTGGCATTCGATATGCGACTGCGCCACAATTACTTTATTCTTGACGTGGCATGTGAAAGAAAAGCCACAAGCCACATATTATGACATATGACATTGACAATGACAATGACCTTAATTAGACATTGACATCAACAACTGACATCTCAGGTAGAATCTACACTTTTCTGCAATCATAACAAACTCAGGTTCCCTTGCATCAACAAGATTACTATCTCCTCCAACGTCGTGGTAACACTTCCCAAGGATAAACAGTACAAGCAGTACACACTCGACTCCTTGAAAACTCTCTTAATCCTCGCGGCAGTGAGGGACCGACCACCTGGCACTCATCATCCCCTCTTCCTTTGGTATCTACCTACTGTTAGTCTTGGGAGACCAAACCTATCGCCAAAAATAATGACTTCCGAGAAATCTGTACAGATTCAGTCGTCTTCGTCGGTCGGCGGAGAAACAGCCACAGACAACACAGACTCGAGCCTCGGCGGTCGTCTGACTGGAACCCTACAAGGCGTCGTCAACAAGACCGTCGCCGTCGGTGGCAATGTCATGGATAGATACTTGCCGCCGCCTCAAAAACGAGAACGATGGAAGACCCGAATCATCACCTTCGCCACGGAAAGGCCGTATCTCGCCGGATTTCTAGCTTCACAGGTCGCGTTGAGTGGTCTACCGTTGATTCTTTTCATCTGTATCACGGTGTCGGTTTTTATTTTTTCTGTACTGGCCGGGATCTTAGTCGGGATCATCGGTGGACTTTTATTCGTTGTACCGGTCATTGGCTTTGCACTACTCGTGCTCATACCCGTAATGTTCTTCACGACTGCTGCGGCGGTGTGTATTTGGTTCTGGGCTTTGGTTGCGTACACCATCATTGATTATTTCAATCACCAAAAAGAAACATCTTCCAAGGCCCAAAATGGTGAAGATGTCAAGATGAAGAACAGTTCATCAAATGGCGCACCACCTCAGACAACAAAACAAGGGACAAAGGATCTGTCTACTCTTGGTTCGGCGGCAGAAGCGGTCGGTCCAGAAGCACAACCAGATTCAAGCTCCGACGGCGGGAACTCAAAGTCGGCGTCACACACCTAGTAACAGCAGCGGTAGCGGTACCAGCAACAGCAACAGCAGCAGTGGCGGCGGCGGCGGCGGTGCTGGGAATAACCCTGCTCCTCAACAACATCAATGACAACAACAATAGCCTACACAACTGCGAGATTCAACCAGTCGCTACCTAGACAATTTGACTCGGTCTTTGACCCCTGCGCTGTCGGTAAGAGAGAGGGCGAACAGTGCAACGAGTCGAGCACGGGCCCGTCAAACCAATGAAGACAGACATCGTCTTCAATCTCACCAGCATAGGGTCTGAATAGACTGCAGACTCTAATTCTTTGTCCCTGAAAGACCCTGTACTCCTTACATTGAAGATGAGGAATAATTATACGAGTTCTAAAATGCTTAAGCACGATATTTTACCCGTCATCGATGGGGTTCCTTCGGCTTTCTTTGCCCTTTCTCGTGGTGCTGGATCCGCACTGTTGGTAGATCCGAAAGCCATGATAGGACCCGTCTGGTGCCGCGTCTCCGTCCACTTGATATGTCCTTTCAATGTGTATCGATACAGCTTTGATGATGATTCCAAGCCTGCGTGAGCCAACCTCGGTGAGAAATCAAAGATTTTGGGGCGTGAAGAATGAGAAATCATTCATCATCGTGTCCCACACGAAGTCGTCAAATCCAGGTTCGGCCAAATCAAATTGCATGTCCAGTTGACTTGCAGAAGAAGTGTTCGGGTCACCTGGTTCTAGCTCCGCATAATTTGTGCTGACTGCTGGCGGTATCGATCCGTGTATGTCCATACTCCTGACTTCCGGGTGCGACAGCTGTGAAAGGGCTGACCGTTTTTGCTGCGTTTCAAATTGCCCCGGAGCAGGTCTATCCTCGGCCCCAATTCGGTTTTCGTACCCAGATTGTATGCTTTTGAGCAAAACCCCATAATTATGCACCATGTCCCTGTGGCCGTCATCATCAGCAAGCTGCGTTGTCACTGTGGCCAATTTCCTCCTATACACATCCAGCACATGAGGTATTATGACTTCCTTTTCAGCAGCTCTCCTGAAGTCAGCTTCTAGCGATTCTGTTATCTGTTCATTTCCTGTGATACCAGCCCCACAGTCCAGGAAAACAGTCTTGATTTGAACGATGACGACGTAAGAATGCTCTTCCCACCAAGAGAATGGAAAACGAAGTAGCTCGGCATTCTCAACTGACAGACTCCAATCCTGAAATGAGACAGTTGCTGTGACGAGTTGCCACAGCATATTGGTCCGCTGCATTGAGAGCTGAATTGAGTGCCTAGTCTCTGGTTGAGTGAGTCGGGTAGGCATAAAAGGGGTTTGCCAAAGCTCGCTATAGAGCGCAACTTCACGAATCCAGACTTCCAGGAAGTGAAGGTGTTGGACCAGAATAGCGTTTCTGTTTGTTGAGCCAATGCCCTTTTTAAGTCCATCAATTTCACGGGCGAAAGAATCGACAGTGATCTGGAGTGCGCGCTCCCCTCTTATGTCGCAGGTAGATATATCGTGGTAACAGAAAGCGTCACTGATCTTCCTCTGAAGGACCTGGGTTTCCACAAATGGCGCGATCAATTGATCGCTGGGAACATCCCTCAGTCGAGAGAGAGATGTGCAACAATCTTCCATATACGATGTGTAGTGCATTATCGTCCGTTTTCTCATCACCATTGATAACCTTATTAGAGTTGACAGTCAGCTCGAGGTTCAGAACAATTGCCATTATGCAGGGAGAGCGTACATGGATGACAAATAATATGTTCCAAGAAGAGCTCTCATCTCTGCGGGATTTCGCGCTTTCACCTGAGTTTGAGCCTCCTCTAGACCTCTCTTTCCCTTCTCATTCAAGTCCAGTTTCAACTCATGGCACATGTTGACACAGAGCTGTAACATGAGGAAGTATTGATGCTTCCCAGGCACACAGAAGTATTGATACCAAGTGACGAATACCAAAAGACCTTGTAAAAGATCCATACTAGCTTCAAGACCCATAACCAAGCGATCACAAATTTGCTTCTTGATCTCCAGTCCTAATCTGCGCTGTAGTATGGGATCCTCAAAAGATGTGACGGCCATAATACATAAGAAGAGGAATGGACTGTCGTATCGAAGAGATTCCAGGCTGACTGTGAGAGGCACAACCACAAATGGGAAGTAGTGGACGAATTCTCGCCGGAAAGTCTCCAGTCGACGATCCGCAGCTGCCAGGCCTCCTAGATCGCGTAGAACAATGTTGGTCAAGCTATCATTATGAACGTCTCTGGACCTGGACAGGGATTCGGAAGACGCCAAGTGACTTCCACTTATTCGGTCGTGCGAGGACGAAAAGCTGGAATAAAGAATCCCAGTGGCAGGGCGATTACTTCGGGGTCCTTGAATTGAGGTTGAATGGATGTGTTGTGTCAAAGCAGCTACTTGCGTGGACAACAGCTCCACCTTCTCCTCGAGTCTCTTAGCAGATCTAAGGACAACTTAGCTTGTTCTATACCGAAGAAATACCTGGTGTATATGGAAGGGTGTCCTCAATCACCGAGCCTAGTTCACTTCAACGACTGCAGATGGGTTTGTGACACTCACGAGCTTTCTCTCCGATATCTTTTTGCCTCAGACGAAGGCTCTGCATAGACGCATCCTTTACCCAATCTTTCACATCTTTCACATGATTCTGAGGCCAACGACGCAGATGTGCACTTGACTTTGGCGCTAGTGCAGCTGAGGCACGCTCGCCTCTTTACCCGCAGATTTATCATCGATGATGGTTCCGGTACGTCCATCGTGGTGGCCTGGGATCTCGTATAAAGATATGAACCAGCTGACGTTTGAGATCCGATGGAGAATACGGGACGGCAGCGGCCAGTCCGACCCGAAATGAAAGCCTGCTTATGTCACCGGAATTCAAAGGCCACCAGGGCCTTGTGGGCCAACAGTGGCTGTCAGAATTGCTGTGGCGCGACTATCTTAGGCCTCGTGCTTGGACATCGGGCATGTCGTATTTTCCGTGCCTCCGGGAACTTTCCCCTTAGCAACACGATGTAGCAAGACGCTCTCTTAACGGGATCAAATCCTCGGAGAATCACCATGCTATCATTTCCGTACCGCAGCAGGAGTATCCGCTGCCGCCTATGGCTATATATAAAGACTTCGATCACTGCCACAGAGCAGCTCAATCACAAAATCCATCAACCTTGAACAAAGACTTTCCATCATAATCATCAAATCATACTTCTTTCCTTTACCACACTCCTTGAAAAAAATTCTTGTTCCATAGTTCTTCCACAATGCCCGGTCCCATTTTTCTTCTCAAGGGCAAGTTTATGCCGCCCAAGCAAATCAGGAAGACTTTTGAAGGTAAGACCGTCATCGTGACAGGGTCAAATACCGGCGTGGGCTATGCAACCGCCCTCAAATATGTCCAACTCGCTGCATCAACGGTCATTCTGGGTGTCAGGAGTCTGCAGAAGGGCGAAATGGCAAAGTCGCAAATTGAAACAGCGACAGGGCGGACAGGCGTTGTCCAAGTATGGCAAGTGGACATGGGCAGCTTCGAAAGCATCGATGCATTCGCCAAGCGAGTCGAGAGCTTGAAAAGGGTCGATGTCGCTGTTCTCAACGCAGGTATCTTTCCTCGCACTTTCAAGCTGTCTGAGAAGGGGTGGGAGAGCAATCTTCAAGTCAATACTCTTGGGACTGCGCTCTTGGCGATCCTCCTCGCTCCAAAGCTGCAAGCGTCTCGAACTGCAGATTCACCGGCACATCTAGTCGTCGTCACATCGACGGGGCACATGGACGTGCAGTTGAAACCTCAAGACAAAGATCAGCTTCTCCACAAATACAACAACGACCTTGGCGTGGGACCGTATCAGCAGCATGTGGCCTCCAAGCTATTCATGATGTGGATTACAAGAGAGCTGGCACATCGCTGTCTCAATGGCAAAGGCGAACCGACGGTGATTATCAATGATGCGTGTCCTGGTGCATGCCGGAGTGATGTTGCAAGAGACTTCGACACCCCTCTATTCACCATTGCCAAGCGCATCGGCTCTTTTCTGGCCATGAGACCTGCGGAAAACGGCGCTCGCGTGCTTGTTGGCGCATCCGCTCTAGGGGAGGATTCAAACGGACGGTGGCGGTCTGCAGACGGAACTTACGCGCCGTGAGTTAACCTCTGAGAAGAGAGAATGGAGTGACGCTGACGAATACAATAGACCTGGCGAGTTCATTACCAGTGATGAAGGCAAGATCTTGCAAAATGCAATGTGGACTGAAGTTGTCGGTGTTCTTGAACAGAAGATTCCTCGAGTCAAGGATGTGATTGCGAGTCTGTTTGAGCCGAGGGCTTTGTGATAGAAAGTATGCTGGAGCGAATATCATAATATCAAGTTAGAGTGCTGATCATCAATAGGCGTTTTACAATTTGCGTTCATGACAGAGATCCGGCCCTTTATGGATGCTAAACTCACGGCGATGCTCTTCGTCGCCGAAGAGCAAGAGTACCAAAAATAGGAGGCGTTGCAGTGGAGAACACCTTGGGGCCATTCTCATTCATCCTTGCACGGCACAACACTATGGCGACGCCTGAGATAGCCGAGTCCCTCCACCTGTTCGAGACCGCTGGGTTGGATGACCCACAGCCACTGCAAGAGGTCCAACTTGTGCCATCCAGCGTCAAAAAGGTGCTCGAATTTGTTAGCACCAAGGGCGGCGGCAAAGTTATACCGTCACGTGCTTGGTTTTGGCTCCGGTCACGTGCACTACGGCGCGCCCAACCTCTTGTTATTTCGTCTTCACCTCATAGATTTCTTTCCTTTTCCTAAGTACAGAATCAAGTTCAGTTCAGCCTCATTCTTCTCCTCGGTTGCCTCTCTCTGTGCTCTCTACAGAATTATGGAGGGAATCTCAAAATGAAGAAGAGAGTGCCATTTCGAGAAAAATTACACCATTATCGTAAAATCCAGGACCATTATCAGAAAAGTTGGCACCATTGTCGGAAGGGATAGCTTGATTTTGACTGATACAGATCCAATCTCCATCATTTCCATCATCATCATCATCATCATCCATAGGCGAAAATCTGCATAGCTGTGCTCAGCCTGACTGACCCGTCCCAGCTGAAACAAAAAGATATGTAGTAAGGGTCCAAACGTGGCTCGTCCTATTCTCTTGGCTTGCTCAGGGACCATGTAGGGACCGAAGCCAGAGCATTCGCTGCAGTGATGGATGACTGTCAGCCCTTCCAGCTTGCTGCGAAACTTCTTGCTGGGTTGATGCTAGGCTCCTAATTCTATCTTCCGTCGAGCATATCCTTAAGCTTGACAGATATCCTTACCACCCAAAGTGGGCCCCTCAGCGCCGGGCACAATATTTTGTACGTTCAGGACTTCTTGATGCGCCCCCAAATGCTGCGACATCTTTGGTGTGAACTTCGATCTCTCGCGAATAGGTCCACCGTACTTGGACACTTTGAGAAGGTGCACACGGCGAAGCGCCAAAGCATGCCCAAAAAACACCAAAAATTAACCATGCTTGCACGACATTGTCGAGTCTCTCCGGCGAGTAGTGGTGGTTGTCCAGACTGACCGGATCCAAGCCACTCGACATTATGTGATCGACGAAGGAAGCAGCCCGAACAGGGTTATCAAGCACGATATCTGAGACCAGAGGTACTAAGATGGGTGACCGTAAAGGATGCCTAGGCAGAGGTAGATGGTCCATGACAACTTCTCGTGGCCGCAGACTGTAAGACGACTGCCCTGCCACAAATACAAATCACTCAATTGGTAGTACGTTCAGCCCTAGTGGTTTTGCTGAACGCAACAGAGCAGGTGGAGATGGTATAAAGTCTGGAAATTATTTGACCTCTACCGCAATGCCAGCCAGGCGGGATGATATCTGACGTTATTGTATTGGCCGTCGCATAACCTGGACTTCAACGTCTGTGATTCTCGGTCGAGGCGAAGTTAAGTGCGACTTACTCGACTCGAGGTCTGTTTTGCGAAACTTAGGCGGAAGGTAGCTTTCTGTCAGAGTCGTGCTGCGTTGTGAACTGATTAAAGTTCAGGCACAGTTAATGGCTGGAGGGAGTGTTTGCACATCAGCCGTTAGTTCAAGCTGAGATTCCAAGCCCGTGGTGGAGGTGGCTGAGTAACGCCCAGAGCCTCCCTCAGCAGAAGGTAAGGAGCCCAATCTGGCTCCTTTCGCCTGACTATACCAAAGTCCTTGTGTACTCGTACCTAGGTGTAGGCTGACAAAAGTCCCATTCAAAGCTACCCAAGGTAATCAACCCTTTATTGCTCCGTAACCCCATACCAAACTTCTTTCCGGCCCATGACAGAATGAACATTTCGCTATCTGCGCGCTATTTCATATCTCATGCCCCCATTAAACCAATTTATCTTCATGCTTGACGCAGTGGCGCACAACGGGGACCAAGATAATACATCTCTGGTTCTATTTCAGTACCATTACTCTCGAGTTGTTTTCGTTTTAGACGCCCATGGTGAAATCGTGCTCAATACCGGGCGTGACACTTGCCATGAACTTCAAAAACACGACCAGGTACTGATCGACTCTGATGGCGACTTTCTCGCTCTCTTCCTCCTTATCCGCATCTTGCTCGTCGAGGACCTCCCACTCGTCACCCGCGCCACCGGTGGCAGCTTTCACTCCGGCGTCGTGACCCCGTTTCTCCTCCTTTTGCTTATTGGCGAGGTTCAACCTCGAAGTGTCGTCGATCAACCCTTCCATCCCGGACACGGGACCTGCAGGCCCGCCGCCGCCGCCGGATGGCTGTTTCTCCAACCGGAGTTTCAAGGCCGCATCGGCACGATCCAGCAGGATCTTCATGACGCTCGCATGTTTGCAAGGGTGCACCGATGCCATTTTCACGCTGGTGTCGAAGAATGGGAAATCTTCCAACGTGACCGTCTTGTCCTTGTAGTCTCCCACGATGTCTTCCATCATCAGGTGTGGCGGGAGAGGTTCGGACGGCGACAGGTACCCGGACAGGTACATTCGTGGAGTGCGGTAGTAGGGAGTATATGTGATGTAGAGGGTGTAGGTTCGTAGGGGACTATTGCCACAAAGAAAAAGTCTAGCAGTCAGCACAAAATTGTGGTTCTCCTTGTGGATGAGACAAAGCCAGCAAGGGAGAAAAATACGCTGATGCACCATCGGTCTTGTCACGAATGATGGCCTCGTTGTCATCATCTTCATCCTCCATGTCTGGAATCTCATCGTCGTCGTCTTCCTCTTCGCTGGCCTTTTTTCCCAGTTGGCCACTTTCGCTCATGGTTCGCACTTCTCCTCTCAGCCCTTCTTGTTCTTTCTCGGTCGTGCCACCGGTTCTCAGCCACCCTTCGTCGTCACCACCCGCCTCGTCATCGGGGCCACCGAGGAAGCCGTCGCGGACAAGGTCATCGGCCGCCCCATTACTTCCGGCAAAGTTGTCGTCCAGTCTTCTATGGCAGGGGACGCCACGGGTGATCAGAAACTGCTTGCCAGCAGGCAAGTAGTTGACTCGGCGGGCTGGGCTGGAGGCGTCGGCCCATGACCACGAGGGGAACTTGTAGACCAGATAGTCTCCGGCGAGCAGAAACTCTTCGGGTGTGATTTGACCGGTATTTCGAAAGGTCGAGGTATGTTTGATCGGTGCATAGCGGTCGCGGACCTTGTCCAACGCTGAGCGGAGGATACTCATTGTAGCAGAGGAGTGTTCAGCCTGACTGTTGCGTGGAGGAGGGGAAGGCAGCCAACACCGGACTGGCCGTATTCAAAGGTACCTAACCACGAATTTGATGGGTAGTGGGCTATATAGAAGATACTTTGGAGGATTATTCAGAATGTTGTCTCTGGTACAAAGACCAAATGTACATGGAGCAAAGGAGGCAACTTGCCAGGCTACAGACGAGACATACCAGACTGCGGCGCGGGAGGGTGACGTTGTTTGGTCTTTACAAAGAGCCAGTGGATTGGCAAGCCGAAGTTTTACCGTGCAGCCTCATGACATCCATCTTGTGCTCATTTCTCTACCGTAAGTGTGGGCATGAGCAGGTGGTGGTGGTGACTACGATAGAGTACGATACTACACCTACACACTTACATCAGGATGTCCTCGGTGTCTGTACTCGAGCAATTATCGAACCCGCTAATCACTTCGAACCAGCTCCTGAATTTCAAGAGCCTCGAGAGCGAAGAAGATCAGTCTCTACGATTCGCCCAGTATCAACTCACATCCGCTGCTGGCATCCTACTACGACTACGGCAGGAAATCATAGCCCAAGCCATCGTACTCCTCCAAAGATTCCTCGTCGCAAGCTCACCAGAGGAGCGCGAAGGTTTCAGTGCAAAAACATACTCTGCCGCAGCGATTTTCCTCACAGCCAAGATCTCTATTACACCCGTCTCGCCTCGGTCGGTGGTCAATATGTATGCCTACCTCACCTCGAAAGCCTCTCCACTCGGGTTCATCAACGCGGGCCAAGAACCTTTAAAAGTCGAGCCTGCGGAATACTATGTGACAGAAGGGACGTACGAGAAAGAAAGGCAACGCCTCTTTGTATGTGAGAGCATGATTCTGGCAGGTATCGGATTCGATGTACGAGTATTTCTGCCCCATGGCCTAGCCCTGACATATCTGAACGCCTTGGGTGTATCCTCGAAAAAGGTATGCCGGCGAGTATTCGAACATCTGAACACAGGGCTGTTGTCGCCTCAGCTGCTATACCTTACACACCAGCCGAACGCATTGGCGGTTGGCGCAATTTACCTGGCTGCAAGAGAAACCGACACCAAATTGGTCGGGCAGAATTGGTGGCAAGTTTTCGACGTCGACAGAGAAGATCTTGGATTTTTGGTCCTGGCGTATGGAAGTATCGCCAATTTTGCAGAAAGTGAACTCGAGAAGTGGAAGCAAGGTCCTCTTTCGTTGGGTTGAACTGGAACGAGATGTCAACATTCGAACATGCCCCCTGTCTCCTACAACAAACGAGTCGTACCGCGGTAGTACTGTGTGACGTACGGACCACTATGGGTTCATCTATCTGTCGAGTTGTCCTATTCCCTCGATCGATCCACGCGATGACGGATCAACGTCGACTGGCTGACATCCATAAATTACGCTGTTTCCTCCTAGGTCAATTCTGAAAGCCTAGACCGGAGCCGCCGTAACGACGCACAAGCTATCAATATGTTGAGGAAAGCCCATCATTGTCCAGCACGAGGCCTAGTTTGTTTGAGCTTCGAATCAAAGCGTTGGAGATGATGTGACATCTCCTTTCTGCCTCTAGATCCGTGGGTTACCAAGGGTGAGTATCGCCATACAATCCTCCTACTACTCCTTGTAGGCAATTCTTCCCGTAAAACGATCGACTTGTTCTTTTGGAAAGAAAGCGCTGCCATCTTCCATGTTCAATACCACTGGCTCCAATGTCTTGCGACATGTCGAATATCTAGAACTTCTGGGAAAGGTCAACGATGTGTACAAGTCCATGTTGCGTGACAATCTCGAAGTGTAAGTCTGGGTTTTGGTGTCTCGTCATGACCATCACTTGTAGCTGGCTTTGTTTGTATCTTGACGGACTGAGTGGGCGGCATAACACAATCACGAAAGCGAAAAGAGGAAAATGTTGTTGTGGAAGGTCTCAATTCCATCTAAACTCATCATCCTGTTGCAAACTGCAGAGACCTTCCACTCCCCCATTGGGTCATCGCCAGCGACGACCATAAAAAGACAAACGAAAAACCCCAAGAACCAACGCCCCCAAATTCCAACCCAAGCAAAAAAGGAAAAAAAAGCAAAAGCACAAGCACAAGCAAGAAACAAACCCAACCACCCAAACGCCAACCCAAGCAAAGAGAAAAAAACACAACGACCCAGCACCCCCCAAATTCCAATCCAAGCAGAGAAAGACCCCAATACCCATACCCATCGACCCCATATCCCTAGGAGAACGTCCTTCCTATCGTCCATTTTCTCTCCATCAAAAGATCATGGACGTTCTCCTAGGGTTGGTTTGGAGGCCAGTTCAGGAGGCGAGGGTCAATGGGCATAGCCGGCGGCGGCGGCAGCGGAGGAGCAGCAGCAGCAGCAGCAGCAGGAGGAGGAGGAGGCGGTGGTGGTGGTGGCGGAGGAGGAACTGCTGCTGGTGGTGGTGGTGGTGGCGCAGGAGCTGCTGCTGCTGCTGGTCCTGGTGGTGGCGCGGGAGCTGGCGCACCTCCATGTGCTGCAGTCCACCACTGCAGACGGAGGCTGTCCAGCGTCCCAATATCATTGCCACCACGGATGACACGAATTGCCACCCAGGCCCCCTTCAGCGGGAACTTGGCAGACCGACCCGAGACTAGATGTAACATTTTGAGTACATCTAGCGGGCCGGTCCCATCGCCAAGGGCGAGCCACGCGCCGCTGCCGGGTCCGAGATACTCGAACATGAACGCGTCCCGTCGAGGCGGGACACTCGATTCCCTCATGACCTTGCCAGCAAAGTCATAGACGAATCGGACGCGCCAATGAGCTTGATGCTCATCGACGCAATCCCATTCGTCCCCAGGGAGGAAAGGAGTTCTCGCCTCATCCTTGACGAGACGCGCCAGTTGGTACTCGGTATGGGGTCTGGAAACACGTTGTTGGTCAGTACATGCTGTGGTGCATCTGTTTCAATGAGGCCAAGAGGAGAGATCAAGAAAGGAGGGTATCGCTGAGGCATCGGGGAAAATGTTGACGATGATGAAAGTCGTTGCAAATAGGAGGAATGACATGGACAACAAGGGAAGTAGACAGGGATGAGTTGTTTGTTTGGACGTTCGACCATTGTCGAAACGTTGATGACTGACGCCAACGTGAACAACGTCATGCTTGGGGGCAAGGTACCATTGGTTGTTGTGAACGATGGTGATCAGGGGATATCCATCAACAGTTATCGACAGTGGTAGAGAGCACTTTTGTGATGTGATCTTGGGATGTTCATGTTGAGTTTGTGTGTCGTGGTGCAAATGACTTTTGGGGGGGAATGAATGATGGGAAGAGGAATCATGGAATAGTACCAACCTAACTCTAGCGGCCATTGTGATTTAGTGAGGATCTTGTGTGAAAATAGTGGTGTTTGGTGGAGCTGTCGTCTTAAAGTAGGAGGTTTGGCGAGAGTGTGTCGAGATGTGGAAAGTCTAGCGAAAGATGGTTGCGGATGTGGAATGTTTAGCGAGGACGGTTAAATATCGGGGAAAGTTTGCCGACTTATATCTACTCTGTCCATAACAAGTGTTCACCCTATTGAGAACATGTACAATAGGACCCTTCACAACAAGCGGAAAAGACTGGAAACAATGGTGAAATCCACTCAGATTGCAAGGCTAGATGGTATTGTTGTCACCCTATTCATGGCGTCCTTATTCACCTGGGTGAGGAACGAACCCCCGCTGACCCACGGGTGACATGGTGTGAACAATAGGCCTCATGCTGGCCGCTTCAGTCGACGATGAACAGGTACGTCTGTCAATAGAGGAAGGGGTTGGTGATATTGAACTTACCCTCCCCCCCAGACCGAATGACATGGGATGAATACTCACATGTGAACCGTAAACAATACAGGTCGAGACGGAACTGGCCGAGGTCAAATCTCAAGCAAAGATGATCTTCAGACGCCTCAATCGGAACTCCGAACAACAGGCCAGTATAGAGTCTGGACAATACACACTCCAGTAAGCAATGACACACACGCAACCCCCCACCCCCAACCACAGACCTAGACACCAGGCAGGGCGGAGAATGGTTCTGACGTGAACTGCGCGAGTGTTAGCTACATCATCAAAGACTCGGTGTGCTTCTTGTGCATCTGCGACCGTTCTTACCCTCGAAAACTGGCCTTCACCTACCTCTCCGACCTCGCGCAAGAGTTCACCACGATATACCCGTCCCAGCAGTACCTGTCGGCGACGTTGCGGCCGTACGCGTTCGTCGAGTTCGACACTTACATCCAGCGCACGAAAAAGGTGTACCAGGACAGTCGGGCGAGTGCGAACCTGGACAAGTTGAACGATGAACTCAAGGACGTGACCAAGGTCATGACCAAGAACATCGAGGATCTGTTGTACCGCGGAGACAGCCTGGAGAGGATGGGCGAGATGAGTGGAAGGTTAAGAGAGGACAGCAAGAAATACAGAAGGGCGGCCGTGCGGATAAATTGGGAATTGATGTTGAAACAGGTTGGTTTTTGCTCTCCCCCTTGGCACGCGGAGATGAGGGACACAACAAACGATACGAGTGTACGCTGACGCTCACCCGACAGTATGGCCCCTTTGCCGGTCTGGGGTTGATCATGATCATCTTTGTGTGGTGGAGGTTCTTCTAATTTCAAGTCGCCGGTCGGTCGGTCAGTTCGTCGCTTCCTAACCCCCATGCGTCGCGAGGCGATGGTCTGGGTGGTGTGTGGACTCTCGACATGATCATGAGTTCTGGTTTGTGACTGTGACTGTGTGATTATTATGAAAACACTTTGTACGATTAGCGAAAGCATGGAGCAACAAGATACCCCCCCGCAGCGCTCGCCGGCACCATTTTTGTTTTGGAACAGACAGACAGAAAGTAATTTTGGGTCTTGGGCAGCTTGAGAAACAGAGAAAATACTTGAAAATTTGGTGGGCTAGTGCGTCACAACCACGAGAGGACGAAAATCAATTGGAACGGACTGTCTGTCTACTTTCTCAGATCTCGTCTTCTTCTTCGTCAAAGTCATCCTCGACACCCATATCGTACAAGATCCTCCCACCTTCGCCGCCACCCCCTCCGGCCTTTTGCGCGTCAAAATAAGGCAACACCACTCCCTCACGCTCTAGTCTCTGCCTTTCCGTCAAGCCAAGCTCAAACGTCATCCCCGAAAGCTCCGAGTCGGCGCTCTCTTGTTCCTTTGATTTCTGAAACAGAGGATGATCGTCGAGTAAAGTAACGATTTCGCGAAATACTGCTTGTGGATTGTTGTTGGTCTGTTGTGTTGTTGTTTTTGAGATGGTGGCGACAGGAGGAAGGAAATACCACTCTAATACTCCCCGACCACTTTTTCTACGATGTTCGAGTTCGAGGACGATACCACCCCTACTACTGGGTTCGTCGTGGGGTTTTTTGGAACTTGCCGCGCGTGGTTTCAGACCGACCAGGACACCTTCGCGTTCTTCTCGCAGACCGAAGGTCGGGCAAGCGAGGGATCTTGCCCGGGCGGATTTTTCGGCGAGTAAAATGGCCAGTGAGTGGACCGTGATGACCGTGGTGGCGAGGTAGGATAGAAGTGAGAGGGGGGACGGTGAATATGATGTTGGCGCGGACGGGAGGGGCACGTCGGTGTGATATACTGCCACCAACGACACTTGCGTAGGTTGTTCGATCGATGCTTGTTGTTGTTTTGGTTGTTGAGGCGGCCGTAGTAAAGAGGACAAGAATGAGGTGAGGGTCAAGTTCGATGATGGATCCGTCGACATTGAAGATAGTCTTGTCAATGAATCAATTATGATCAAGTGTCCTGATGAGAATGAAATATTCGCGTGGCGTTAGTATTCTCTTCTCGTTGCCTGGCAGGGTTTTGTACATGCGCGCACAAAAAGGGAAAAAATAAAAAGAATACGTACGTTTACCCGGATTCCTCGACAAGATTTCGGTGACTTGTTTTGTTATATCTTGTGGGTTTCCGCCTCCCTCGCCACCGCCGTGACATGCGACAAAGTAGTCAACGTCTCTAGGTTTGACGAAAGTCTCAAAAGACAAAAACACGGTGATGGTTTTGGACAGTCTCGACCGACGTAGGTACTCCCTCACCAGCGGGTTGGCGGGTTGTTCCAGCGTGTCGAGGACGAGTGTGAGTGGACTGGCGTGGTCCCTCTGATTGAGAAGTTTCGAAATCAACAAGAGGTTGTGCGTCCTTCGATGGGAAAGATTGGAGTGTGCCATTATTTCTTTTTGGGATTGTTTTTGGTGTGTAAAATGATCAAGAAGATGAAATTACAGGGTTCTTCCTCGAGTGCCCGGTCCAAGATGACCGGTGATTTTGTCTTGCTGACTGGAGATACGCAGTAATGGGTATTGAGGGTACTTTCTCGACGTCCCTTTTCTGGCTCAGCCTCGTCGTCGCCTCTGCCTTCCGAGGCCTTCTGGCAGGTCGTGGATGAAGGCGGCCAGATTTGTGTTATTGCTCTGTGATAAAGTTGGAGGTTGAATTGTTGTCAATTGAATAGTTTTCGTCAGAATGGATTTCGATATTCTTTGTGTACCTTTTTGAATTACTTTACCGTTGGAGTCTCGAATACTTCGGTATAAAAAAAAGAACTTTCCCTCCGGATAGAATGAGCCATCCCCAGGTCTTGGCAACGACATGATGACACCAAACTCTCCACCTCAGCTTACGAGTTAAGTTACCGGTTCTCCGTACATTCTTCTCAGTCACAGACACCCATTTTGGTTTACATCCTTCGCAGGTTAGAGAGAATATATTTTCATGGGCAATGCCCTTTTTACACTTTGAAGGATGCAAGATGGTAGGCGAGGTACAAAGCATCAAGATACCACCAATCGGTCCGCCGACAGAAACAAGGAGTCCAACGATTTAGGTACATTCTTCGAGATCCAGTATCGAGGGTCGGACATTCGGTCGTACAACGACAAATTCACGACGTTGGCGCTGGCCGTCGGGGACCTAGTGTCAGAATATGCGAAAATGGAACGATACATTCAGTCCATGCGTCCTCGTACGCAGCTGGACGTGAGAAGGACGAAACCAACGACATTGAGAGAGGCAATGGCGGAGGCCGAGACAGTGGAGGACATCTACGAGCTCGTGAAGCCTCGGAGGGGGTTCTCACACAACCGTCGGCGATCGCCATTGCCGGTCGTCAAGCAGGAGGAGAATGGCAGTCCATGTACGATGGAGGGCAGGCCGAGACAAAGGCTGTGCTATAGATGCAAAAAACCAGGACACTTCAGGCGTGACTGCCCTGAAAAGGAGAAAGCGTGATGCACCACGCGTATGTATTTACCGGAACACAGGTCCCAGGTGCAGGACCCCAAGATTCATGCCATGGGTATTCTGGGTCTGGATGAATGCTAAAACGCTAACACTGAGAAATAATAACAAGACATTGTTGAAGCCCATACAAGTCATCCCAGTATCCTTTATACTCGTCAAACTCTTTTCACATCGATCTCAACCAACCTCCACTCTCAACACTTTTCATAGTACTCTGGAGGAGGCTCGATGGGGGTGCTGTCTATTTCCGACACGGTTCCGACTTTGCGAAATGACCCTGACGATGAGGACGACAACTCAGAGTGTGTAGGTGAGAGCAGCGACGAGTCTGGAGAAGTGGGATAATGTGATGTCTCGTCTGCCGACGGTGGTGGTAGAGTGGCCAAATTGCCACCTACGAAACCGTCACCTGGCATCTCTGGGGTCTGTGACACTGTAGAAGGTCGGGCGTACGTGTCGACCGGCATAGCTGCCGCTGGCGACGCCGATACTTGATCCATTTCCTTTTTGACTTTGATCTTGGGTTCTTCCTTTTGTGCCTTTAGGTGTCTTTTTCTAGCTTGATGTTCTTTGACGCCTCTGAAATGGCAAAAAGAGTTGTTAGTGTTGTTCTCAAAAATACAAGTCTGAATGGATGATCGGAAAGCGAGGGTTTGAGGGAGAGTATAGTCTTACCTATAAATACCCATTGCAGCAGAAGAAAGACCAGCCGTACAGATTCCCAAGGGTATACCGATGGCAGGGTTCAAAGTACCGGGAGGTCGACGAGAGTGTGATTGTAGATAATAATTTTGACTGTATTCTTTACACGTACAGTGGTGGTTGGGCGGTAACATGGCAGAATGTTGACAGTACCCCACAGGAGGAGGCATCACGGTGAAGTTGGTAGAAGGATAACAGCCAGAATTGTTGTTCTCATCAAAGTAGACAGACTGTTGTTGTTGGTTGATATATGTAGGAGGAGTTGACATTGTTTGTCTACCCCGTGGTTGACACATTGTGTAGTATGGTACGATAAAAAGGGAGGATGAGGTTGGGAGTGTTCAGTGGTAACTAGTACTGTGTAGTACCGGGTATCCGTAACAGGTATCTGAAAACGACCTTGCTAGATGGATGTAAAAAGTACAACATACACTCTGAAGAGATTGACAAAGATCGCTTGAAACCCTGGGGGCCAACGTTCAATTAAATACCTTTTCTCATAACAATCTACAATAGACCACAAACCTCTCTAAAACACAAAAAGAGGAGTCATTCCGCGAGGGAAATAAAACTTGCATCATTTCTTTGTAGTATCTCGGTCGATCTTTTGAAGCTGGAAGATGTACGGAGTTACTGTACAGTACAGTACTCGATAACCGTTCAGGCCCTCGTAGAATGGGCATGAATTGGGATTAGGGTCAAGCAATAGGCGCCACAGAAAGCTCAGAGGCCCAATTATAGGGTTGAGCCGGCTCGATGGGTGACGACACTGTCCCCGAAATCAACAAAAATGTCAAAGGTCCGGGGGGGCCTCGCGAACACAACCGATTCAGGTTTAGTCTGGGCAAGCCTTACAAGCCCGTCATTCAGGCGCAGCCCGAGAAAGAGCACGGGGATTCACCAACACCACGCTGATCTGTGCTCGCTATCCTATCCTGTCGTCTCTCTCGCACTACCTGTATGTACGGAGTACGCACGAATGAATTGGACCCTAGGGAGGTACGGGTACTTGCCCAGCCCACGGCTTGTTGATGCCAGTCCAGAACTCTCATTCGACGGAGATCCTGGCAGATCGATGACACAACGCACTCGACCAATGCTACTCGTAATACTTCATTGGATTGTTGACCATACCGAGAGTCAATCAAAGGCCAAGTCAGTTTGACATAAGAAAAACTACACCCGTCTTGTCCATCGTTGCGTCTCCTGAATAGAGACCAGAAAAAGACAAGCCGGTAATAAAGAATTGATACAAGTCAGATGTACGGAGTACAAAAACAAGGACTGTTCTCTGTTGATCCTATTGACTGGCAAGAAGATTCATCATCACATGCATGAAATCAAAACCAACCCAATGCTGATGCCTCCCCCCCGCGTATAAAATGCGCCAGATGGTATAACCTTCACCTTTTGAAAAGAGCGCCCAATTAAGGTTTCGAGTAAGATCGATATTAAGATGTCACCAGTATAGCCCCTACCGAAGGAGGCAGCCCGTCCGTTGTCGCGCCGGCCATTAACGACTTCAGCCAACAATTGCCCTGAGCCTCGTTGTAAATGGTATTCATGTTGGAATTGAACAAGACGCCGTGACATTTGGTGTCTCCTGCGATTGTGTTCATCTTGGAGCACGCGTTGATGCATGTGTCGAGCGTGTACGAAATGAAGCTGATGATATCGTTGCCGGCATAGTTGGTGTTACAGTTCATGGTGTATGAGTCGCCATTCTGGGCGGTGACGGTGGCTTGGTCATCACAATCCAACGCAGTTGTGTTGACCTGGGTGGGCAAAAGGGGAGAGTAGTTCTTGACGGCGGCGGTCGGTGAGACTGTCGAGGACGCGGTGCCTGTTGCTGTGCTGGCAGCGCCTGCTGTCACTGTTGCCGTTACTGTTGCGGTCGGACTAACAGAAAAACGTCAACATGTACATTCTGATTCCTGTTGATCTTTGACACTTACGAAGAGTTATGATTAGCGACCGCGGCAATGGCTCCTCCCAATCCTCCACCCAACGCAGCTGCCATGACCACCGCCGTTATACCGATTATGAGAAACGTGTAACCTCGTAAGCTGAGGCCCCAGGGCATTTGCGGCTTTTCTGGTGTCCGTACAGGTTCGGGGTTTTCGTATAGTGGCGATGTCTGCATGTGCTGAGGATATGGAGGGTACTGAGGGTTTTGACTGGTTGATGATTCTGAAGGATAGCTCTGAGGCAAAATCATCTTGTGGGAATCGGTTGAAGCGGATATTTTCTCGCGCGACGAGTCGTCCACCTGTAGGCCGTCCATTTTGTAAGTGGTCGAGTTGTACGACCCTACTCGAACGTGAGTCTGTGAGGCGAGGGGAATAGTTGAAAACGCGTGAATAGAATCTCAACGGGGCGAGACTTTTCGATTGAGCTGCCAAAAAGGACCAGGCAGAAAAACGGAAGATCGCAAAGTCGGAGTAGGTTATTTGGATTCCCAAGAGAATCGAATGGTTTCTTCAGAGGCTGTTTAATAATGCTCCATATTGTACGGAGTACGTACCCTCCTGAGACCCATATGGCTTCAGAAAGAACCTGTTCAACCTTATGTAAGTGGGTTTGCGGAAAGGGAATCTCTTGAAATGATTGGATCGGATGTTTAGATCAGGGACCACAACGCCTTTGGGGGCCATGCCACCGGTACCAAAACTAATGGCGCCTAAAGTTAAGGCCCTCCACGTTTCGAAGATTGCCAACTGCTGCAATTGCAAATTAACCTGGGTTGTGGCTTCAAACGTAGATCAATCAGTCCGAACGTGGCGGAGAATGGCGGAGCACAGCCAGGATCAACAACGCCAGAGTCCGAGGAGCAGTCGAACGCCCAAGCACGGAATTTCCGTACTGTGTTGCCCTGAATGCATGCACTTACTCGTCTTGGTTTGTCTTCCAAACAATGAACTCGTACGGATACTCGATATGTATATCATCATCGCCTTTCCTTTGTATATGTATTCAGTGTCGACTGGTTATATCATGGAGACACCTTAACTCGTACAAAGGAGTTTGTTGTTGAAACACTGGGCGACTTGACGGTGGTGGCTTCGGAGTTCGGCAGTATTGAGTGATCGTCCCGTGATTCAAGCTTCAAGCTTCAAGATGATGTGGCTGTAACTCGTATGCTTTTAGCACTCGTAGAGGAGGTTGTCTCAGAAGAGATACAGCGCTGGTTGTCTTCGATTCTCGCTTCCCTGCCTCACAAGCGGCTAAACATATCGTATACCCACCCTGGTGGCCCTAGCCGCCACGTGCTGCGGCACTCTGAGGCTGTTCCGTATAAAAACTCCGCGTAGGATCAAACGATTCTCACCTTCGAAGTATTATCTCAAGTTTGGGGCCTGGAGCTCGCAATGAAGTAAGTGCATACGAGGGGGGCTTGGGCAGTGAAGCGTTCCAGGTGGATGATCTGCAGTTGACCGCAAAAGGATCCACCGTACAGATATCTAGTACGGTCCAACATAAAATCAGCAGCCGCAAAAAATGATTTCTTTACCTGCGGCCGCGGCATGCGCTGGAGAAGTATTGCCTGTACATCTCAAAACCCCATGATTTCTTCGGCTGGTCAACAAAACCCCGATAAAATAAATTTGGAGTGTTCGATACAAAGGGTGTGAATATGGAAGAGCCTCCTTTGAAACGCGCAAAGCGAGCGACGGACGACGATCTTTCACGAAACAGCTCCAAAAATGGAAGAGATCACGCAAAATCAAAATCACGACTTGATGACGGAGGAGATAGGGATGAAGGAGGAGGACGACAACGTCCGAAAATACAACAGAAAGATGGTCGCAGGAACGACAGGTCGAGATCGCGAGATGATACATACAACGACAACAAGCGACATCGAGAACGAAGTCGATCTAGAGAGCGATCACATCGAGACCGGGTAGAGAGAGGTGGCGGTGCTGCTGCAAGAGAGCGCCATGTCAATGGAGGAGACAGTCTAGAGAGGCATAATAAGTCGTCACAAGGTAGATTTCTTGGTTCTCTCCCTCAAAATGACTTGTTTTACTCATGTGACAACAGATTCAAAAAGTTATCAACGTCCGCGAAAACATTCCAGGTCTAGATCGAGGTCACCGGTCAGAGACGGTGGTGCTGCAAACGGTTCGACTATACGTACGCGATCACCCCCTCCTCCTCGGCGAAGCGAGAATGATCATCGGGTAAGGAATCGAGAGGCAACAACCAAGACAGGAGGAGATACGAGATCTACACACGGCGCTGCTCGTTCAGGTCAACCGGCTGTCGTCAACGGCGACAGGATGGCGGTGGATGAGGCCGACGAAGATGCACTTTTGAGAAACATGATGGGATTCACGACGTTCAAATCGACTCAAAACACAAAAGTGCCTGGGAACCAGATCTACGGCGTGAGAAAGGAAAAGAAGACCGAATACCGACAGTATATGAACCGTGTCGGAGGGTTCAATAGACCTTTGAGTCCGTCAAGATGATTGTAATAAAAAAATTGGATTGGGTTTAGCAAGAACGCATGAACTCACTGAGAGCTCGCCACGAAGCGTCATATTGATGTCGATGCGTTGACAGTTGCACCCTCGACGTCGATCCACCTGCTCCATGGGAAATGAGACAACCCCCAAAGAAGCTTACATACCAACAACTTGTCAGTCTCCTTGGACTTATGTGTGTGATATTCCACAACACAGGCCGTGGTTTGTTATGATGATATCTCTTGAGGGAGACAAGAGAGGATTCTACGGATCTTGTTCGAGAGTCGTGGGATCGATATGACTATTGATTGCATCTCAATCTACGGAGTAATGATATCAAGTTTGCAGAACGGTGACCAGGTACATTTCAGTTGACTTTAGTCATGGAAACCTGTTCTCTGTCCATCTCAAAATGTAATTGGCACTCCGCAAGCATCCAAGTCGTCCACAATCTCATTTCGATCCGTATCTTAAAGGTCGAGTGTTCCAGTTAACCAGATCCGTACTCTCGGCTCGGTAGACTAAAGACTCTCCCCAAAGCATGTTGTATTGGTCCCCGTGAATCGACGATGGGGAAGATAAAGTTGAAAATCTAGAAAAAGCACAACCTAGCAGGGTCGGTGTCCGGAGAATCTTTGAATTTGCTCCAGTGATCGTATGATCCAGCACCCTCCAGGACATGGTCGCCAACTTGGGCACTGAGATCGTCGTGGAATTTGTGGTACACCGCCAGCAACTCCATCATCGTCTTCGCCACCATAAGAATGGGCAGTGTTGATTGGACTAGAAAGCAAAGTCGAGAAGTATCGAGTTCGATGGCATGCGGTAGAGTTGCTTGTTGCATGCGACGATTCCACTTGCAATCCCCGTTGCTTGGGTACTGTCTCCTTTTCGCACTGCAGCAGACCGTCGTAGCCATACGTGTTGGCATTGTTGCACAATGTCAGCATCATTCGGTTCTGCTCGGTAAGCTGGCTGAACGGGAACCCAAGGTGGTCAAACGATTCGGAAGGTTGACAGGGAACTGAAGAGGAATCGGGATCTCCTTGCGAGCCTTTTTGGTCAGCGAGGGCAACTGTAGATTGTCGCCAAGACCGATGAAGCCCTTGAAAATCATGACGGGAGCTCCAAGTTGCGTTTGACGAAGCGTCGTAGCCTCAAGTCGTTGGGATTCTTGTATACACTTGTCCTGTTTGTAACACCACACTCTTCTGTTGTGCCTGAACCAAAGGATAACACTGGCTTCTAGCTAGCCTGCTCCATAGCGGACGACGGGAGCCGCAACATCTTGATGACTTCCAACTCTTGGAGTGCTTCGACACAGAGGTCTTCTTGGATAGGACGAAGCATTTTCCTTTTCGGAAGAGCCTTTTTGATCTGGAGGCTTCTTATCTGTTGCAGAGTGAACTCGTAGTAGAGACGGGTAGTCGATATCGTTGAAGATAACAATACCAATTAATATATATATCTAGAGATCATGATCTCTGGTCCTCACAAATTTAATCTTGTGATGGTCACTCCATGGCTCACTTATCACCAGGTCGGACATCGGAAACGCCATTTGCCTTTTTGGCTTGCAAACGCGTGGAAGATTTGATTCTGATCTAGTCACAGACTTTACCGGCTTCTTGCTGACTGAGGATATCGAACATACCCCCGCCGCTCTGGCGACGCGCTCGAAAATTCTAAGCCAGGGGACGATATTGGCCTGTCGTTCCAAAAGGACCTCCTTGCTTGGGGTTCATCATGGAGTCCGCTATCTTGCGGATGAAAGAACTGGGAGGTCTGAGAACTTCCTCAATTATCAGGCCCCTTGTACAGAGGTGCTCATAACTAGTTGAAACTAACAGCTGAAACTGTTGATTATGTCTATGTGAGAATGTCAAACTACGAAAGAGAGGTTGCAAGGTTTTATATCTAGCACCTCGAGGCTTTCCGCCCAATGTTACTGCCTGGCAGTGAAGTAATAGCAATATCTGTTCACCTTGCTGTCGCTGCCTGTGGATGTAGTGACAGCATATTACGGGACTGGAAAACAACTACTCTGTATTCAACTCATGTTTTGAATTAACTTGTCTCATTTCTTCCTGCGACCCCTTTTCACTTCACATATGCTTTGCGATTCCTGTTGACTCATCGACGCAACTGCGCCTACAGATCACTCAGCTTTCGATCCCATTTCGACATAAACACGATGCACCATGGCCTCCAGGAAAGGCTTCTGCGAATCGTGCAATCTCATAACCCCTAACATTCGAGGAGCATATTGCTGTTTCTGTGGATCCGAGCTCTATATTCTCAATTCAAAGCCCGCCAACCAATGCGGCACTGAGTCCGATGTCGTTGCCCCTGCAGATGCTCACAGCCCACGTCCGGCGCCTACATACCACAATGAAAGTGGCCGTGGCACTATTCTGATGGATAGTCCTACACAGACGCCTGCCGTTGTCGATCTGGTTAACTCGACTTCTAGTGAAGCGTATGCAAATCTTCGCGAAGATAACTCCAATATCGGCAAGGACGACGACATCCTGACACTCTTTTGCCCATCTACTGGAGGCCAGGAGGTGAACCAGGCACGGGCTTACTCAAGCGCTTCGCAAAATCCTCGCCGACAGAACCAAGCTACCTTTCGGTCTGGAGCAACATCTCGCGACAAAACCAAGAAAACCAACAAAAACAAAGAGCACGGGAAACAGCTGAGCACAATTGGAGTTGCCAGGCGCCGAGCAAGGGACCTACGCTCTCTGTCCTCTCCTGACGTGGAGAGCCGAAAGCGTGGTACCTCATCAGGCAGACCCAGCAGAAAAGAAAAGAACCCGGCAGAAGTCAAGTCAAACCTTGCTACCTTGCGCACTGTGCTTTGCCACGATTGGGAGGTCACAGGTCCACGCGTGGCTCTTATGAAACGCGTCATCCGCAACATTCTTGTGAGCCCGTTTGCAGCTCCATTCAAGGAGCCCGTGGACTTCATAACACTCAACCTACCCAGCTATCCCAAAGTGATCAAGCAACCGATGGACTTGGGCCGGATCTTGGAGAAGCTGAACACGAAGAAATACGACACCGTCACCGACTTTATCGACGACTTTGAGCTCATCATAAACAATTCCATCACATTCAATGGCCCAGAACACAGTGTCACGACCCATGCGAGAAAGATAGAGGCATCTTTTCTCAACCAGATGCGAAACTTTCCCCCGACAGAGGTACGGGCAGGTGTCTCAATCAAGGAAGAGCCCAGATAGTGAGGCAGAATCAAAGTGTGGACATGTGTGCAGGGCTATTGCATTGTGGCGTATGAGGTTCATCAATGGGTCACAAGGCAGGGATTTGCAGAGGATGACAAAAATACCTGGAGATTAATCACTTGCACGGGATTGAGCCTACGCTTGGATCGACTGCCGGATCGTAGGAGGACGCTGACATTCGCAAGAGCGTGTGGTGCGAGTACTAAACTCAGCCCAAGTCAGATGTCCTGGACAATCTAGTTCAGGAAGAGCTGGGACCTTCATACGAGCAAATATCATTGTGTAAACCGAAACCCCAAAAACATACAGATAGACACAATTACAAGTCTACTCTACCCATCTCCACTGTTGTCTTCCCTGGCCAGCCGTACGTGACAGGACGTGGGAATTCGTGGGTACGAGTCTAAAATTGGCCTTTGATGTAGAACAATGTCAATATCTAAGGCTGCTTATATGGGCTTGGATGGAGGTTGAATTCCTGGCGAACATAAGCGAGCTCCAAGAGCGATACAATCTCTGGGAACACCTCGATATCCACAGTTCAAAGCGACCAAATTAGTCTCTCCTTTCAGTTTGCGAGGGGCTTTGGCCTGGTCCATCTTGGAGACGTCCATGCCTGGATCTGTTTCGGAACCTGGACCACTGAGCACTGGCGACGTGTCCTGAAGCAGTAGGAGCTCTGAATCGGGTTCCATCACGGTAGATGTCGAGGTCAATGCCTCGACTGGATCAGATTACAGCGTGCTCGGAAGTCCGCCTCAGCTGGCATACCAGGCTGGCGGGGAATCTTGGCTCTCCCCGATTCCACTCGGGCATAAAAATACATGCGCTTTCGGAACTCGCAGTTCAGTGTCGGCACTGAAGCATGTGATGTTGGTATATACCCAGCAACGGATTCATCCCTTGTGTTCTACAGGGTCGACTGCAAAAGGTTCTTCCTCAGTACCATGACAATACGATAACTCAACCACAAGCCCATCATGGAAGCCAATAAATCGCTGCGCAAGTCTTGCGTTCTCAGCACGACCAGGGGAAGTCTAAAGGGAATTGAACATTATGACACGTCGGGGCGTGCTATCCTCCGTCGTTACTGCAGGGTGCGCTACGCCCGGGCACCTGTTGGGAATCTTCGCTGGCGCCGGCCGCAACCACCGCCCAGTGACTGGACCTTCAATGATGAGTCTGGTTTGCCTGGTGACTATACGGAATTCGGAGCGGTCTGTCCCCAGCCTCACTACGACCACAGCGTCTTTTATGTGGAAGAGTCATTGAAGACAGCCTCGCCTTCCCCCCCGGAATCGGAAGACTGCTTGTTTCTCAATATCTGGGTCCCAATCGGCAAGCCACCCCCGACTGGATGGCCTGTACAATTCCACATTCACGGGGGATTTCTACAAGTCGGCACGGCCAACCTGGACTGGCTCCGTGATCCAACCGACTTATTGAGCCACGCTGCACCCCGGATCATCGTCTCACCAACGTACCGCCTCAACTTATTCGGCTTCTTGGCAGGTTCAGAACTAGCCGAGATCGCAGAAGACCCTAGCCCGGGGAACTACGGGTTCTGGGACCAGCGTGAAGCGTTGAGATGGGTTCACGAGAATATAAAGCTGTTCCACGGCAATCCGAACAACATCACAGTCGGAGGTTTGTCAGCAGGCGCTTACTCGGCCTTCTATCAGCTTTACTATGACATCCATCAGCCTCCGTCGGAGAGGTTGATCAAACGTGCCTACCTGTGGTCCAACGCCGTGGCTGTACAGCCCCCGGCAGCCCGATCATCCAAGACGACGTTTCAATTCTCATCCTTGTGTGACAGTCTGGGCATCCCATCTGGCTTAACGACGTCCGAGAAGATTGTCCGCCTCCGAGCCTTGCCATCCACCGACCTTGTCCGTGCCATCGCTCGTCTCCCTTACCACGTTTTCCGTGCATGCACCGATGGCTCCTTTCCCCAAGGAGGGTTTGTGCCGCCGTCATTCCTGCTTTCGTTGCACGACGGTTCATTTGCGACACGGATGGCGTCGCAGGGTATAAAAATCATGCTCGGCGAAGTTCGAGATGAAGCTGTTCTATACAAAAGTTTCCACGCTCCAGATTCGCGCGACGCCTTGGTCTTGCAACTGTGCAACGACTATCCTCGAGGTGTCGTTGAGGCTTTGATAAACTTGCCCATGTACAAAGTCCCTGCTGATCCAAACTCACCGGACCGAGAAGCATGGGCTCATGCATTCGCCAAGATCCGTGCAGACATGCAGGTTCACGTTTCTCTCCGAGGACTGACGCATTGCCTTCTCGACCCCCCAGAGAAGCCGGGCATTGTCCCTCTGCCGAAGGAGAATATCTTTCGGTATCGGATAGATTGGCGTGCCAAAGTCTTGGACGCCGTTTTCAAACCTTCCTGTGGAGTGTTCCACAGTGCCGACATCCCCATCTGGTGGTGCACGGGATACAGCATTGGCTATACTGCTGAAGACCGTTTGTCCGCCAGAGCCATATCTGACCCGTTCGGGGAGTTTGCCTCGGGGAGCGAAGATATCGGGTGGGGTGGCGACGGAAGTGAAAACACGCTGAGATATCTTGACGAGTGTGGCAAAGTGTGGGAAGGATGGGTAGATCCAGACTGGGAACGAGGCATGGTGGTGTGGAATGCCGTTTCAAACGCGCAGAAGGGCATCTTGGGCGAGGCATCAAGGCAGCTTGATTCATCTCAACAACTAAATACCACGGCATAAAGGCATCTCGCCTAGGAATATATAGAATGATCCTTCGGCTCGTGCTGCATACAAGTTCTAATCAGACGTTGAGTTCTCTCGTCGCCAAACTCCAGATTACACTTCCCTTGCAGGACCAACACCCCTGTCGGATCATGATCCCATTGTACTTGCAGTCTCTCATGTGTTCGGCAATTGTCTTATATTATGAGCATATGAGGGAGCCGTAAGGTGAGAAAAGTTGGAGAACCTCGACGACGGGTTGAGAGAGGTCACTTAAAGCAAGCCCAAAAAGCAAAAGCAGTAGAGACCACTGTCACACTTGGTGTTTACTTGGGAACGGGTAGGGACTGAAGGCCTCTCATCTAGCCATGCAGAATCATACTTTGGCTCCCCAAAGACATCACAACATTCGCCAGCCAAAAGACCTGGCATCTCTGCCTTCCAAATTGACCAGATACTCCAAGATCCTGCGTCCGATGCCACGGTCGTTCAATTGGAAACGCTCATAGTTGGACGCATTCGCGGCAGAACAACCGAACGATGACATTCCCACGCTGCCAGTAACGTAACGCGCCCACACCGTCGGCACATACTCCTCGACACTGACGACCGGGTGTCCATCCAACGGGAACACGGAGCTTTTGTACGCCTGGTCCTGCATCTCGAACAGGTCGAGGCAAGGTGCACTCACCACCCTCACGCGTAGCCCCTTTGCCCTCTCCAGCATCCGTGCAGCCTTGACCGCGTGGTGCATGTTTGAACCGCAGCTCGCGATGGTCAAGTCGGGGTTTTCCACCTCGACACAGACGTACGCGCCGCGAGCGACGCCGGATCGGCGGGTCCCCGGCACTTCTCCGTCCGTGGGATCTCGGGCAAGCGAAATGATGGCGGGGGAGTGTGGCATCGCCAGGGAGCTTTGCCACGCCCCGATCACTTCTTCGCTGGGCGAGAGGTAAGCGTTCGAGCTTGGACCGGTCACAAAAGATGGTCACTTACCCGTCGCAGGGCCTGTAGAAATACAAGTTTGGCATGGCACGGTACAGAGAATCGACCTCGACCGGTTGATGCGTCGGCCCGTTCTGACCTTCGGCGAACGAATCATGGGTAGCGATGTGGATGACTCGCAGCTTGCTCAGGGCGCCCATTCGCGCCGCTGGCGAAGCCTAAGGCCGATCAGCTCGTTACAAGGCGGTCTCCAGCCCAACTCACATATAGGTAGAACATCAGGAAGGTTGCCGTGACTGGAATGAAAGCGCCGTGATGGTACGCCGCCAAACCGTTTGATATCGCCGCCATCGCATGTTCGCGAACCCCGTAACGAATAGTTCGGCCCCGACGATTGTGCGAGTCGAAGATGGTTTGTTCTGACTGGGGGGTTTTGTTCGCCCCAGCCAGATCCGCACTCCCCACGATCAGCCCAGGGAGCGCTTGCAAAAGGCTCTCAATGACCATGCCGTTCATTTCTCTCGTCGATTTTCCCCGAAAGTCTTTTGCCGTCATGGCTTTCAGCACATCTTCACCACTGCGCTGACAGCCGCCAATGCGTTCCTCGAGTGCTCGAGCTTTGTCCGGATAGGCCTTTTGATAATGATCGATCAATGCATTCCATCTCTCCAGAAGTTGTATACCATGCTCTTTGCGCTCTGTGAAATAGGAACGGATGTCTGCAGGTATCGAGTAAGGCTGGCCGTCAGAAGTGAGAAGCTGCTTCAGCCTCGCGATGCTGCCCTCGTCAATCAGTCCGTGGTGAGCCTTGTTTGTTCCTGCGACGCTCGTATCGACGCCAATCACTGTCCTGACGTTGACCATGACGGGCTTGCCAGTGACCGACTTGGCCTGTTCCAGAGCCGCAACTATGCTTTGTACATCATACCTGCCGTCAAAAACATCAATCACCTCCCACCCGCAAGCGCGCATCTTCTCATTGATATTCTCATTGTTGACCCATGAGAGAGGCCCGTCACAGGTGACCTGGTTGTTGTCATATATTAGAACCAAGTTATCCAGCTGCAGTTGACCCGCAAGTGAGATGGCTATGCCAGTGTGAGTCAGTCTTGGAATCACTCTGCGGGTCTGGTACGTACCTTCTAGAGCCACCCCCTCCATCAGGCAGCCATCGCCAGTCATACAGAAGACACGGGCTTGGATGATTTCGGCATCGGGTTCATTGAACGTAGCAGCGAGATTTTTTGAAGCTATCGCAAGGCCAACAGCGTTGGCGACGCCTTGCCCCAACGGTCCGGTGGTGACCTCGACACCAGGCGCCTCGATCTCCGGATGGCCGTGAGCCAGGGTCACGTAGCCCTTCTCCTTTGGATGAGTGTATCCCCTCAATTGTTCCACGGACCAAGCTTCGTAACCGGTCAAGTGAAGAAGTGCGTACAAGAAGGAGCTGGCGTGACCTACCTCCCGGATGTTAGTGCTCTCACTCCACAATGGCCACTGGGTTGCCCATTCGCTGAATGCAGCTCACCATTCGACAAAACGAAACGGTCGCGATCAAACCATTCAGGCTCTGAGGGACTGTATCGCATGACATACTTCCATAATGCCACCCCTATCGCTGCCATACCCAAAGCGGAACCAGCATGCCCTCCTCCGTGCTGCGTACACATATCCCCAACAACGCTCCGCACGGCTAGCACCGCAAGGTCGTCATCAGTGGATGGGTTCCATGGATATGAAGTAAGATCCTGCTCTGTGAGCCCGGTTGGACAAGGGTGATCCGGCTTTTGTGCAGCCAGGGATGACCCCATCTTGTACTGAAAGAGGATAGAGTCGAGTTTCTGAGCCGGGCTCGGATGCAACAGTCCAAGTTTCAATTAGTTGTTGTAATATCACCGGGCTCTGGGACGAGATGGAAAGTTATATTGCCAAAGTAGTCGGACTAAATCCCGTCTCATCCCCTGACTTATCACTTCCGTCTAGTCTCAGCCAGGCGATGTCATTTCAATCTCAAAGGCCGGAGACAAGGCCAGATACGAGAAGCCAATGCTCGGTTCCGAGAATGATTTTACAAGGCTTGAAGTTCGACGTGCGGCAGCACAAATATCGGCGTTTTCTGATACAAGTTGTAATCGCAGCCATGGTTTCCCCTCGAAGCCATGACCCTGAATACAACCTGCATCATGGGAGCGCTCATATCGTAAAGCAGACATGATTCGTGACACGGCGGCACTGCGTATTGTTATCGTTATTTCTATTATTCCGGTACTATTTCGGTGTTAGTACCTGTGGATCTCGACACCAGCCGTCGCTACCATACGGCGTCAAAGTAATGATACTTACAGAAGCAAAGGTTTACATGGGTAAAGAGAACGGTGTATTCTCCCAGCCTCGGGATGTAGACATAGGCAAAACTTTGTATATTCGGGCATAAATCTGGCTGCGAGGCCGACAAGACAAGAGGTAGAGCCATAACGGAACTCGCAACTCGATTCCGATGAGTAGATGGTCTGGCTATTGAGCTGAGCGGAAGATGGAGACGAGTCTTCGGCGCTAGGTCCCCCAGGATATCATTCCTCAGGATATAAAGACCCCATGGGGTTCTGCAGGAATGAGTTGTCGCCAGAGTCATCTACCAAACGCGGAAGGTCAGGATCACTAGAAAATCATACATCTGGGGACTCGGAAGCCAACTTTATCGTTTCTCAATCTCTTGAACTAAGCCACCTGCTCCAATATCACCATGGCCACCAAAAACCAGTTGTCCGATGCAGCCAAGTCACTCGACCGCGTTGAATCCCACGATGGGTTGGAACTTGGACAAGCTTCTTCACTTCCAGAAGAGGCGCATTTCGACGAGAAGACCGCGGCGACGATACGGCATCGGATTGACTTGCGATTGATTCCTCTGCTTGGAGCCATATACGGCATATCTTTGATGGATCGCACCAACATGCCCAACGCTGCCATTGCGGGGATGCTGACGGATCTGAAATTGAGCCACGGTCCGCGCTATAACCTTGTCAACATGTCCTTCTTCATCACCTATATCCTGCTTCAGCCTGTGATGGTTATCATTGGCCGAAAAGTGGGGCCCAGGACCTTTCTTCCATCGATCTGTCTTGCTTGGGGCGCCGTCATCATCGGTTTTGGTTTTGCAAAGAACTGGCCGACCCTCCTCCCACTACGGTTGCTGCTCGGTGCCATGGAGGCCGGGTACTTTCCTGGGTGTCTCTACCTCCTGTCCTGCTGGTACACTCGATGTAAGCTCTGATGAATTCATTGGTTTGACCCTCACAGCTAAGGAAAGTAGTTGAAGTTGCTCGTCGGTATTCCTCGTTCTACCTCATAGGCAGCGTATCCTCAGCGCTCTCGGGGATCCTTGCATACGGCCTTCAGCAATTAGATGGACTTGCCAATCTCAGCGGATGGAGATGGTTAGCTTCCCCAGAGATGTCCATGATCCCAGATCGCTGACAGCGGCAGGATATTTATCATGGAAGGGGTCATAACGTGCGCCATTGCATCGTTCGCATTCATATTTCTCGTCAAATTTCCCGACAAGGAAAGGGTTAAGCCCTCCTGGGGGTTCCTCTCCCCTGACCAGCTGGAATTCCAGATTGAGAGATTGAACGCTGAGCGCCGTGACGTTGAACTCGAGGATCTCACATGGAAACGCTTTTTCCAGCCTGCGACCGAGTGGTACATCTACGGGTTTCCTTTCATTTTATTGTAAGTACCGATCGAGATTGATGGATCGATTGACTGACAGGACTCAGCCTTATCAATGTCACAGCGTACGCATTTGCCTTCACCCTTCCGATAATCCTGCGATCCAAGCTTGGCTTCAATGTAGCCATGGCCCAGTGCCTCGTTGCGCCACCCTATGTGCTGGCCGGTGCCATTATGTATCTGGTTGCATGGTACTAGGATCACAAGAAAACCCGCGGACCTGTGCTTTGCTGTTTGGCCACGGTCTCACTCATTGGCCTGGCCATTATGGGTTTCGTGGAGCATCCTTGGGTTCAGTACTTTGGTGTGTTCGTTGCTGTCGTTGGCACCAGCTCGGCTGCTCCGGCGATCATGACGTACCAGGCGAACAACATTCGAGGTCAATGGAGACGCGCTTTCTGCTCAGCTCTCCTGACAGGAATAGGGGCTGTTGGTGGCATCGTGGGCTCGCTGATTTTCAGAACACAGGACGCACCCACCTTTGTCCCAGGGTTCGCTACGTGCATCGTGTACGTCACACGCTCGTGGTTGTTGAACTGTACTGACCTCTGTTAGTTGCAATGTCCTCATCATCGTGACAGTCGGCATCCTCACTCTCTACTTCCGTAAGAAAAATGGACAAGCGGATCGTGGAGAGTGCATTCTTCTCGAGGAACCGAACTTTCGATTCACAATCTGAAGCACACGAGATCTCGAAGGTTGGAGAGGCTGAAGGGCAATCTATATCGCTACAAGGGTAGAATACGTGCTTTTGGCATGACGGGCCAGTGACCATAGGCTGATAGTGTAGATACTGAACCGAGGGCGGTCGTGAACAGAGACAGCCTAGATAAGTGCGAATGTGAAAATTGGAACCCAGATTTAAACGATATGTAATAATAGCTAGTCTCTCGGAGGGGTATTTGTCATCTTCAAGGCTACCAGAGAATCGAAACTTGATAGCCAGGGGCGACGTGGATGGCAATAAGATATCTTTTCTTCGAATCAGCCTGAGTTAGACACGCGTGAGAGCGGGAGTGGGAGATTGAGAAGACGTGAGAAGAGGGCGAGTCGCGAGCATGTCGTCTTAAAAGCGGAGCAGGTCGACTCTAACACTGCTTATTGAGGGTCAAAGATCCTCTCGGCGACCAATGCTACACCCTACTCTTTATTTGACTATCCTTGATGAACGCATGCGTTTCTTGTGACCATTTTTTCATCTCTTCTCTATATTTCTCGGAGATCTTGGATTGACAACATTGCTCAAGATATCGGACGAACTTGATCGTTCGAAAGCAATGCTAGGGACTGAGCGTACCGAGCCACAAGAACTCGAGTTCGTAGGGGTGGCCGAACGATCTCTTGGAAACTTGGTCATCTTCTCAAATAACGTCAATGATCATGGCCACATAACAGTCGCGGGCGAGTGTGGAGTCTGTCTTCAAGTCTTACCACGACGGAGAATCGGCTTTGGCGAATATACCACTTTTGACGGAGAGCAGATCGTACCACCGATCACCAGCTTTGGCGTTGCGTAGATCATCCATGATAGCCCCATCGGAGATGGTGCCGGTGGACTTCCGATTTCGACGAGCCTCATAGCCTTATGGGCGGCCTTCTTATCGTTCTTGCTTTCCTCAACGTTAGTGACGGTCACATCCGCACGAGGGGACTCACATTGCTTTGGTATATAGATACCATTTCCGTCTGGGTCGTAGACCGGTCAAGTTTCTGTATCCTCTCGCCTCGAATCCTAGCTACGCGAACTCAAATTGTGAGGATAAAAAGTTTCGATCGGTCTGGTGAAAGGAAACGCCGAGAAATCTTGAAAGATTAACTTTCAGATCGTTTTGCTGATGCAGTCAATGTAGGTGAAAACTCTGAGACACTGTGAATGATCAGGTTCCGAATTGAATACTGAGGAGGTGAATGATGATGAAATTCCAGATCGCGTGCTAAGGCGGTGAATCAAGGTGAAGGAGAATTCTGTTCCTCGGGCTCATGTCTTTACTTGCTTTCACAGACTCATTCTCTTCTTTTCCTCCTTCTCTTCTCTTCCTCTGAATAGAGACGGCCACAACTTTTCAAAACCCACAACTGCTTCTTCCTTTTCTTCTCTATCATTTGTACGTGGGATGCAAGATCAGTAGCGGCTCTCCCTTGACTGGAATAGTCTAATTATTACAGTCGAGGGAGAGTCGCTACGCCTTTGTCGAGTCCAGTCATAATGACACTGAGACAAACTTCTCCCATCGCTACACCTCACCTCATCTACCTCTTCCTCCTTCCAAAATCCCTTGACAATCTATCAATGCTCTTGATGATCACCTGAGACTAGTTGAGACCCTGGTACCTGTTCGTTATCACACCAGCCGTTACGCTTCGCCGGCGGATTTTCAAAATTTTGATCGACTTTCAAACACATTTTACAACGCACACATCCCTGTCCGGCCGTCTCTCTCTCTCTCTCTCTTCTTTCACCGACTGCGGATACAATTCTTCACCTTTTTCCGATACTTCATCCTCCTAATCTACTCGACAAACTATCGACACTCTTGATGATCCCCTGAGGCCAGTTGAGATCCTGGTACCTGTTCGTTATCACACCAGCCGTGACGCTTCGCCGGCGGATTTTTACATTGAAGATTTTACGCAAAATATTCCTGTCCCATTTCCTTGTACGTGTCTTACAGGAAAAATGGAACTTCCAGAACAATGGTCAATAGTCGAAAGTGATGCTCGAAATTGACCGGATCAGTGTTCAGAAACTCTCCCTGTCCTGGGTATGGCCTTAAACTGCCCAAACCACTACCAATCGACTTCCTCTCCTCCTGTATCCGATCGTCATCCCGGCAACAAACCAAGGGCTTGTCAAGGAGCACGGGGGCACGTACTACTGATATCTGAACTTCGGTTCCCACTTCTTGTACGTTTTCAAGAACCGACGCCGTAGAAGGCTTTTTCAACTTGAATCTCCTACGAACAGCCCCTCCTTTGGATTCCATCGTTTCTCCGATCGGCGAACAACACCCACTCACTATACTTAGGTAAGAAAGGTATGCCTCATGTCAAAGGCAAGATACTAATGGTCCATAGTGGCACCAGTTGCGAATTCAAAAACCAACATCATAAGACGACTCCTTCCTGTACACACCTTCCTCAACACCACAACCCAAATTGGAAATCCTGCCGTACAACTGCACCCTCCTCACCACAGCCTCCATAACTGCTCATCAAATCATTCGATCGTTCTCATTCTCCTCTTCTCTCTCTATCCCCTTCTCTCATGTCACATTCAAGCTCCGACTACCGACAGCTTCTTCATCAAGATTTCAACTTTCCAATATCAAATGGATGTGTCCAATCCTCACAATCTTCATGCCATGGTCTCCGTCAGTCGGTTCAGTGGGTAGCCAGGCAGTGAAGAGAAGTCTAACAGGCTGGTCGGATCGCAGTTCCCGCGCATAAAAAAACACACCAATACTCGTGCACACCTGAGACTCATACAGTCATTCTCGATGGCGTATCCTCAAACACCAATGCCGAACACCAGACTGCATCCACACACCTCGTGGCAGAGTTGAGTGATATTATGGAATAGCTGGCAGGACTACCACAAGATCAGCAACAAGACCAGTGTGCTCGGTAGATGACCCCAGGGCTTCCGCCTCATGAGTCGAAGCTTCTTGTGATCACAAATATCCTTTCGGCAGAGGAAATCAGGGGAAGGAGAAGTCAATCGAGTGTGCTGCTCCCATAGTGAACAATACTGTGATGAGCTTTTATGTATCCCTCGCCAAGGATAAAGCGAGAGGAGGTGAGGGTCGTGTGCCACTGCTTCACAAGAAGTCATCCTCTGTTAACGCTGAACAAGACGCTATTATCATTGTGGCAGTGAACACAGTCAATAGCCTCTGGACAGACCTCTTGAGATTCGCCAACTTCTTTGGCCATACTTGGAAAGGTTGCAGCTGCGATACTTGATTCACGAATGTCATAGCCAATACCGCCAATTCTCACTGACTACGATCGGTCAAGCAGTCTACGCAGTCGTGCAAGGCAAAGACCACCATCCCGGAGATCAAAGTATACAACACTTCGTTCAAGAATGGACCACCGTATCCTACAACAAGCTCTATCAACAAGACGGCAGACATCGATCCGAACACTTCTGACGCTTAACCGAAACACCCCTACCATCGATATTGCCTCGCCACATTCTTCGACCACACATGAATGGCTGCACAAGGGTCCGTACAGGTGGCTCAACTTTCCTACCGACGTTCAAGAGAGAGGAAGAGACAAGACACACCCTTCGAGTTGTCAATGGTCAATTACTATGCTTTGAAAGACACTGCCTCAGCAGTTTTTCCCAAGCTTGAACAAGTTGTCTGTCACATTCTACAAAATATTCTCGGCACGCCTTCTACCGAGCCGTCTTGTCCAGTGTGTCGAAATCACATTGCCAGGTGGAATTTCATCTATGTTGCCGATGGTATATTCCATCTTCTACGACATCTCACACCAGCCAACTCATCGCTCGCCCAACCTAGCAGAAAGGCCAAATTCCCTTGCTGCTTTGTCCTGCTGTCTGGACCAAGCAAAGTCTTCACGCATATTGAGATGTTCCTCTTGAGAGCTCTTGAGTTCGTTCGGCCGCTATCTCATCAGAGTTGGCGTCTGGAGAATCTACTTCTGCAAATGAAGACGCCTCGACATTGGCTGTTCAAAGCAGCACTCGAACTGAATTAGCCTTGTTACCCGAAGCGTATCGTCAAATTGTCTTAGACAATGATGCACAAGTAACCTGATCAAGCGCCACATTCACGAACCCCGAATCAATGCCAGCAGGAGATTTATTTCACCCCGTACCAGCATCAGTCGCTCGCACGCTCTTCAGTGCCACGGATCAACAAAGTTCAGATACTCAAGGCATGACCGACACCGTGCATCCTCCCACGCTTTCTCTCGCAGTCTCTCATGGCTATACTCTAGATAATGCCGGTATTGAGCTTTCTAAGCCTGAACAGCAAGGGTACATGAAGTTTTCGGACAATACAAATGTCTTTGGCAGTCAAAAGAGTAGCATGAGACAAGCAATTGCGGAGCGAACGCACAATTGGCTCCGAGGTGCTTTGGAAGCTGAATGGGGCAACGGTGGCTGCAGACAACCGTTTGAGAGTTCACGGGAACTTGTCAAACATATGTCGAATGTCATAGGCAATTGCACAGACAACACAAAGCGTCGATGCCGTGGTGTTCGAAGAAACCGAATATCATCTTGAAAGCGGGCCAATCTGTAAACAGGCGATCGAAGAACATTCGTCACCACCGTCGACATCTTCCATCCGATCTGGCTTGCTCACTATGTGGCCACCTCTGTCGCGCCGATGGTGAGATGTGGAAACACTTAAGGTGTGTTCACTACAGATGGCCTCTCGTTAGCCATGCTATCTCCGAGACAGAAGCAGAGTTGCAGGTACACGTGTGAACTGAGCATCAAGATGTCCCTGATGAAACGAGATAGGATACGGATACATGCCCTATTTGTCACCCGAAATATTCAAGTATGAGATTAGATCACACAGGATCTACGGAGTAAGTAATCTGGAAATGGGTCTGAGGAGGGTTTGGGGAGAGCCTCCAGCAAACAGAATTAGATTGAAGAATGTGTTGGAGTACGGAGTAGTTTGTACGTTTATACCACATAGTTAGGTTCTCAGAACTGGCTGCCTAGGAGACAGGCAATGTATGAATTGAACTTCATGAAATAAATGACATTGCATGGACTCGGCGCTTTTGTAGGAATGGCCTAGAGGAGCAGACACTAAGTGCCTGGAATCATCGAGTGCCACCCATCCGTAGGCTAAACACCAGAATGTTTTGAAAAACAGTCTACGCACCATTCCTTGTGCGGAAGCCGACAAGCCAACATGGTTAATTGTGTCCATCACTTCTACCCAACCTCGCATTCTTCCACGATGATTGTCCCTTGACAGAATTCTGTAACCCGCTTTTGCGGAGCAAAATTTACATAGATGGATAGAGAATCGAGTTTCGAGGAGACCAGTATGGAATTACCATGGGACGGGACGGTGGTTATTGTGTTGGTTTGTAGCATCTCAAAATGTCATGTTTGGCTGGTTTACTCCGGAAGTAGTGATTCACACCTTTTGTTCCGGCATAACAGATTTGCGGAGTTTTGGCCAAGGACAGTAGCCGTTCATTGCTTTACGGAGTTTCAAAAGTCCGCCGCCGCGCCGAAAGAATTGAACACTCATATTTTTTGCCCATCAAATTTCTCAGCAAATAAGTTTGCGTTAAGTTGCACACTCAAAATCAATAAACACGCTTCCGCTTCCTTGGTGTAGTTGGCTATCACGTGAGTCTCATAGTACATCTGTGATCTAATGATATATAAACATTAGAGTAATCTCAAGGTCGCCAGTTCGATCCTGGCAGGGAGCATTTCTTTTTGCTGTGCTGTTGTTTTTTTTTGGCTGTGCGGGGAGCGGAGGTATTATTATTATTATTACGGAGTATTATAGCGCAGTATATCTTGTCTAGAAAGTGGAGAAGATCAGTGGCTACTTAAAACTAATCATGAGGTTTAGTTCAATTTGGCACTCGGAATATAGATAGTCCGTACAAACTCTACTGACGTCGTGCGCCCTCTAGTTGTCCAGTATTACTCCGTACTCTCCGTACTATCACTCTAACCTAGAATTCTCCTTTAATAATATCACTGATATAAGCAAGCGTAGGCCAAGTTACAGAATGCCTAGCAGACAGGCACAACAACAGGTCGGCAATTGGTTGCAACGAGGCAAAGCCAGCAGCGCTTAACAAGGGGGTCCGCCATTCCGGGCTCACCCTATTAATCTCGCCTTAGAAGGACTGATGATTGGCCTCTGCACACTTATTTTTATCTAGACGCCCTCATGCCCTCCCAAACTGCAAAAGAGATCTTGATCATGGGGTCAAAATGAGCAGTGCATTTGCTCATGACGGTAACCCCAGCAGCGGGTTGGTTCTCGACTGATGATGCATCGACCCCGACCGGCTTGCCAGCCTCGCTTCTCGAGAACTCTTCGCATGAAGGCTGGAACTGTTGGCGGTTTGAAGCCAGAAGACTCATTGATCATTGAAGCGGCCAAATCAAATCTCGACACGTACGCCGGCCAGGTTGATCAGTATCAGCCCACGAAACGAGTAATCTTTCCCAATCTTGTCAAACCTTAGAATAGTCACCTAAAAGTGAGCACTCAAGAAGGCGGTGCCATAACTATGAATTATGATGAAGACTCAGGTAGGCTTGGATCCAAAATCCCAAGATCACAAGGCGAGTTCTTTTCACCTCTTCATATCGCGCCCTGATTCCGAACTGCCCATTTGCTGACACCGCCGACCGTCTACACTTGACATACCACGTTACGTCGTCATCGTCGTCGTGAACAGAGCCCCTCGCAGGAGCTCACAATTCCGAGTAGAATTTAAACGAACAACGAATCACACCGACAAGCAGATCGCCTTTGGGGTTGGTCATAAGACCTTCAAATCCTCGAGGAAAAGAGGCAGTAAGACTTATATCATGGACGTTGTCATCTAAAATGCTGACCAACACAGCTCCCAAAAAGCCGAATCCCTCAAAGAATCCCTGGCCATTGAAACCGAAGCCACCGACGCGTGATTAAACCATCCTTTTCGAGACTATCAACCGTTGACGGATATTCTAACGCGGGTCAACGGCAATACAAAGACCTACCAGTTGCCTGAGGCTCTCATTTCAGTTTTGAGTGCTGGAGAAAATCCTGAAATTCCCTTTGAAGAGCTCGATGGATTTTTCTGGTTTCCCCCAATCCGAACGCGTCGTGCGGACGCTCTATCCGCACTTTCCTCTACCCGAGGCCTATAACAAATATTTCAAAGACATCTTCGCCGAGCTCTCCGAGACTCAGGCGGTGCAAGTGATCAACAATATCATACGACATGTTGGCCCGCACGCGCCTGAGCTGTTGGGGGTATTTGCTACCTACTGTGGCGTTCCAGAGGCTGTTCTTGCCGGCCATCTGGCCCGCATAAGCATGAACATCGAGGCAGGCGCTCGACACCGGGAGCCCGCAATGCCAGCGCAAACGCCCGGGAACCCGTGGATTTGGCAGCCAGGCTGGCCACAGAAGCATCTATAAGAACGGCCCTTGATAACATTTCTCATGGCACCGAGACCATGGCCACAAGTGCCCAAACTGCGGCAGGGAGCTTGGAAAGAGTTGCCAAATTGGCAGACCAGGTGGTCAGAGATGTCCATGGCATCTATGTCATTCAAAATTCGCTCGTCGATCACATCAACTATTACGGACGTTGGTCGCAGAGGGTTTCAGCCTTTCAAATTGCTCAGGGGTACGAGATAATCCGGACCCTCGCCGACATTGGAGGGCATCTTGGCGAGGCCAATAGCATCGCCGCGTTGGGAAGCGGAGGACCAGACGGCTTTGCGAAACACGTCTACGACTTCATCAAAGAGAAAATTGGTGTGATTCAGGAGGTGGAAAGGGATAATCATCGTTTCTTTGTCTACCATCCTGATACAAACTGGTATCCAGCGTTTCATCGATTGATCACGGGACACCCACTTCCGCCTACGTTTTGTACCAAGTCGGATGACTTGGACAAGTCGTGTCAGTACATGCAAGAAGTTAGAGCGCAACTGAGAAGGGAGTCGGAGCGTGGAAGAGACATTATTTTTCACCTGCTCATCCCATCATGGTGCACCCTCTCCTTCAAGCAGCCCTTGCATTTCCCCGATTGCCTTCAGCCATTCAAGGTTGAGGGGCGGAAGCACAAACTTAAGGAGTACGTTGCGTTCAACCTTCCAGCTGCGCCTGATGGACTTCTGGACGGCGTTGCGAATGTTCTCGACCCAGACTCGTGGAACAAGATAGCAGCAGGGGTTTCGGTCGCTACAACACTGCCAGCCGTGGGCTGGGGTATCAACGGCGCCTGTCTCGCCGCCGGCGTTGCCTTAGGTACTCTCACAGGTTTGGGACTGTTGGTGGCCGTTCCGGTCTGGTGGGGCACCGCGCTCCCATCCATGAGTGCAGCTGCACCAGTCATCGAGGAAACTGTGTATGGTGCGTTCTGTGAAACAGCACCGAGAGTGTTGGGGTCCACTCGACGTCTAAAATTTGAGGAAGGAAGGTGGTCAGATGTGGGCTTGTGAGGAGAAACAAGCACGAATGTCCGAGTAAGCGGCAAAGAGCTTGAAAGAAGCGATGAAGAGAGGCAGCAAGCTGGAGAACGAGAGCAAGAGTAGACACACCCGTACGTGTTTATATAGGACTTTTTCTTTTGGAGGAGGATCTTTTTCTCACGCTCTCTCACCGGCTCTCGTCCTCAAAATGCCAGGATCGAACTGGCGACCTTGAGATTACTCTAATGTTTATATATCATTAGATCACAGATGTACTATGAGAGTCTAAACAAGATGGACAGGAACCGTCTTCGTAGATCTGACTGTCCACCATGACTGTCCCAAGCAAATGCCAAGACCAGGCGCTCTCGGTAGTATCCCTTTGACATGGTTCCAGATTCATCACCATTGTACGTGTCAACTGAAGTGTATTTAGGAGTTCTGAACAGTCCATACCTACAATGCCGTCTTCCGAAGCATTCATCACCGAGACGATCAGGGAATACACTCCGCGCGCGAGGAACTATGACATTTCGGCCGGCGGCTGGCACGCCACCTTGGGTCGAGACTACGTCGACTGGCTACCCCCGCCACGAGGTGGCGCCGTCCTCGACCTCGCGTGCGGCACTGGCTTGGTCAGTCTACCATACGCCCAGGCCGTTGGACCCGGAGGCGTCGTGGTCGGCGTGGACGTTACAGAAGCGATGCTCGATGAAGCCAGAAGGAAACCTCTACCCCGAGATTCGGGCGCCCTACACTGGATCAAGGGCGATATCGCTGATCTGTCGTCGCTGAACGTCGTGCAAAATGTTCTGTCCCAGAGAGGCGGGTTCGACGTGATTTCTTGCTGTTCGGCTCTCGTCTTGCTACGGGACCCCGCGGCGTGTATTCGACATTGGGCACCATATCTGGTTCCAGGCACGGGCAAGATGATCATCGACGTCCCCACGGAAGATGAGACGATGCAGTATCTGTTTACCGTGTCTCTGAGAAAACCTCTGGGATTGTCGTACGTGTTTGATCGGGAGTGGATCAAGGACATTCATTCCTTGGAGGCCATGTATGAAGGTGCTGGACTCGAAGTTGAAAGGTCGTTCCGCACGAAAAGTTACATACCAGAAAAAGTGTGGCGCGCGGACGAAGCCATGGCCGCGTTTGAAGAGGCGACTACGTCCACGTATAAATGGGTTAGAAGCGACGATAACATTCTTGCGAGAGCCCGCGAGCTGTGGCCTGGTGTATGGAAGAAAAGCCTCAATGACAATTCCGAGCTTCGGGATGGGCATTCATTGTATGTCACTATTGGACTGAGGACACGATAACGATTCTCGCGTCCTCTACACATCTCCAGAACAACCTCACCGTCCAACAAATACCACACCTGCATTCTCCGGGTTTCGGAATCTAGGCGTCACCACATACCCCGACCCATCGATCTCCCTTATCAAAGCATCCCTCGCTTCCTCTTTGGTGCTCATCTTCCCTTCGATAATCATGGGATCCAGACGATACTTTCTCAAAATCGTCGAGATCACAGCCACGAACTCGACCTGGCTAAACTTCCGTCCTGGACAGACTCTAGGCCCAGCACTCCACGCCAAATATGCCGCACCTTTTGGTGGAGGAGCAATCGATTCCTTCCCAGTTTTGGGGTCGACTTGGATCCATCGTTGAGGACGCCATTGCAGACTGTCCTCCCCCCACCATCGCGGATCACTATGTATGCCATAAAAGTTGGTCGAGACGTACATTCGTTTCGGAATGACTTTTTTTTCACCGTTGATCCGGAGGGTTTCGTCGTTACTAGAAGCCCATCGGGCAACGTCGGTCGCTGGACCCCATAGTCGTAACGTCTCATACTGGACACATCTAGTCAGCAGCAATACCCACGGGTTTGGTGATCGAGATTCAACATACCATAACAGCCAACACTCTCACTAGCAGAGGGAATACTTCCTCATACTTTAGTGTCTCGTGGGTGTTGAAAACTCCATCGATCTCTTGTCCGACCCAGTCTTGTACAGCACGATTGGCCGCCAGGTAAGGAATGGTATAGGTGATGGCGTTGGCTGTAGTCTCATACCCAGCCATGTTGAACAAAAACAGGTTTCCAAACAATTCTTCGTCCGTGAGGTGGATTGGTCTACCACCGGCAATACCAAACGTTTTCTCTTCTCGTTTGGCGGCTTCATCTGCCTCGACCAATGCACTGACAATATCTGCATTTTGTCCACCACCACCACCTCCTCCTTGTGTGGTCGCACGATTATACGCAATGACTTCTTTCATATAATGTCGAAATTCAGCTGCCACACCCATGACTTCCTTATACTTTCCTGGACCCAAGTAGCCTAGCCATCCCCAGTACATAAACACAATAAAATACAATAGGTTGTTGAGAAGGTACAACAGCGTGTCTGCGAGACTTCTCGTATGCCCTGCAGGGACATGTTGGAGGCCACCTTCGAAATCGTGGCCATGTCCGAAGCCAGCTCCAGAAAGCACGTGCATGGCGATAAGGGCGGCGTTGTTGCGCACATTGAGCAAGGTTAAAGAGGCTGATGGGAGGCGGCGACCGATCACGTCGAGCATCTGACGCGTTTGTCGCAGGGACTCTTCCCAGACGAGTCTGTGGTTCTGCTCGCGGAAGGCAGGATTCACGATCCTCCGGTGACGCTGCCAGTCCTCCCCGTTGGCCGTGATCATGCAGGGACCGAAAATGTCAAAGACGTCGTAGAGGGTGTTGGGCTTGTACCACGACTTGTACTGCGCCTGGATTTCCATCCCCACCTGGGGGTCGTTGATGACCAGTTCGTTCGCGGTGGGTGAGACGATGACAAAGGCGTCGCCGTGCTTGAGGTGAGGTCGGTGCCGTTCGTGCAAGGACCACGCGTGGTGGCTGTACGGGAGCCAGTATCCCAGGATTGGAATCTGTTGGATCCAAGCGAACTTGCCCCAGATGATGATCCACCAGCGGTCTTCCTTGGAGACGGGAATGACAATGATGGGGAGGCCCAGCTTGCGCGCTTCGAGGTAGTTTCGCGTCAGCCTGAAAGCGCGCAACGAGACCCAACCTAGGATCAGGATGTAGACGAGGGAAAGAAATGTAATCGCCATGCTGTGTCCTCAGTAGTCGAATGGTCAACTAAGTAGGCAAGAAGCTGATGCTCACGGCCCAGCACCGCCTTGCGTACTCATGGATTGAATGATCTGTGTCTGTTCAAGAGGATAGGACGAGGGTCACCTGGGTTGATGCGAATATATACTCTGCCGAATTTGAATAATGCACCGACATCGAATAATTCGGAGCCGAGAACACCATGCCCACTAATCTCCAGGGATTTGCGAGATGAGGACAAATCGTTCTTCGTGTTGGAGACTCGGGATCCCGACTTCACGTTTTGTCCATGGCATGTTCAAGGAATTGGGGCCTGAAAAGGTGAGACTATCAGAGACCGACAATCTGATTCGTTCGCACAATGGACTTTTGTAGGCTTAGACCGAGAACCAAGTCTTGGTGCAGGTGTCAGTACGGGGTTACCTCTTGTGCATTGCGGAATTTCATAGATCAGTAACATCTGAGCCCGTAGAAGTGACAAGATGGTATCTTGGAACGACAGCTCTTTCTTTGACCTCGATAAAGCGCCCCTGTCTTAATATCCAAGAGAGTGTTCATGATAGGCGAGGCAGAACTCCCAAAACAGTCTAGCGCAGATATTTGATATATTAGTCAGCGCTGGTTCCGCGGAAGGAAAAACAGCCAAAAGCACCAAAACACATGTCTGGTTTTCGCCAACACCATATTGTCATGTCGAAACCATAAGGTAGAGCGCTGATATGCTGCAACATAAACCTCGGAAGGTTCGTCTGAATCACGAATCTCGTTTTGGCTGCCACTGCTTGCTGTTCACTGACGAACTAACATCGCCTCCGACAGGCGTGCGACTTTTGCTATCGTCGGAGAATCAAATGCGACGGAAAAACACCTCAATGCTCTAGTTGTGCATTGCATGGCTCAATCTGCGTTTTCGAAGCCCCAAGTCGCAAGGCGCGGAGCAGGCGTCAGGACTCGAGCAAAGACTCTGAAGAACGCCTACGGTTGCAAGTAGAAAGCCTCCAATCAAGTCTTGGCCAGGCGTTGAAAAGGGTCGACGAGCTTCAGAGCCTGGTACCGCCGGCATTGAACAAGACTCCAAATGTCCTAAATGACAGTCTCCCTGGAGAATATCATCAAGTTGATTGGGTCCAAGAAGAGCCAATTGGTAGTGATGGACGCATGCCACTACCGCCGCTTCAGGAAGTACTATCTGCCGCGGAAGTTTACCTGACCACACTGAATGCGATCCTCCCCTTGTTCCACCCTGGTCGATTACTGCAAATGATCAACAACTGGTATGCGCAACCCGGTCGACAAGAGCGTAAAACGTGGGCAGCAATCAACGTGGTTCTCGCTCTAGCGCACGGTCGTATACCTCCCGAGGAAGCGATCTTGAGGAGTGAGAATGCGGCATACTACCTGCACAATGCTCAGACGGTACTTTCCGAGGTCATTATGGGTGACTCTGATCTTGTCAACGTACAGATCGTGCTCGGAATGGTGTTGCTCTTTCAAGGCACCCGAGACCTCAAACCTGCGACGATGTTAATCGCCGTCGCTTTACGTCTTGCGCACGAGTTGGATCTACAAACGCGAAGATCCGAGTGTATCGAACCTTCCCAGACATTGGAACGGGCCCGAGTCCTTTGGATAGCATACATACTTGATAGGGACATTAGCATGCGCACCGGTCGGCCGCCCATACAACGCGAGCGCGACATTACCCTTGAGTGGCCGTCGGTCGAGCCCGATGATGGGGCTGGCATGATGCGCAACACCGACGGTACTATCGCATTCAACTTTTTTCGATACCGAGTACAGCTTGCTCGAATCCAAGGTGAAGTTTACGACTTTGTAGCGGCAACTCCTGCCGCGGGGACGATGAACGACTACCAACGCAGCGAGGACATAGTCCGTCTGAACTGTATGTTGGACGATTGGATCTCTAGTATACCGCCACCATTCAAACCGAACTCAGTACTACACACCGAGCAACCAAACTTGTGCAGAAGCTTTGCAGTTCTCTACGCCACCCATCTTGCCTGTCGGACCCAGGTTTACCGAGCCCACGCCATGGACTCAGGTTGGATGCAGACCCTGCGGAATTTTGGCAAAACAGCTTCACAACAAGGACGTTTCATTCCGGCACCCCTACCAACACCATCATTGCAAGAGTGGGATAAACTGGTCGACGAGACCCGCGAGTTCATGCGGCTGTTTTGGGATGTGGAAAGAAGAGATCAAGCCTTTATCTGGTCAGAAAGACTCTGCTGCTCTCATCATTGCTTGGTGGGATGACAAGCTGACTTTGGATTTATTTAGGATGACCGCGTGCAACTATGTCTCTGGATCAGTCTGCTTGACGGCCAATATCATGTTCAAGCCATACCACGCCGCTGTGGAGTACGACAAGTCGTTGGTGAATCTGTCCATTTCCCTGTTGGACGACTTGATACATCAAACAGGGCACAAACCTCTGAAAGATCTACAAGGTGCATGTGAAGAACTCCTATCTTATGCTCGTGAATTATCGCCCGTGGGTTGACGTCTAAGATACCCCTTTTTGGTTGTACTCGGCTCTGATACATATCCACTACATGTCGACGCCGTTCAGAGATACCCTAAGCTGGAATGATGCTTGGATCTCTTTCGCCCGAGCCTTGAGCTCGTCAACGTCCCAATTCGCCCAAACGAACTTGTTCCTCAAAAAGGCAGCTTCGTCGGACGCGATCCACACGAGAAATTGAGCTGGTAATTCGACTGTCAGGAAGAAGGGAATGCGTCAGTACTACCTACGAAAGAAAGAATTGTGCGGAGTATGGGAGTACAATATACCTGTGTCGAATCCCACCGGAATATTTGGATTGATCTCCGTGCCAACAATGCCCGGGTGCATGCTGACGACGTGGATGTGCGTGTGCTCGGCCGCATAATAGTCGACCATTTTTAGGGCGGCCGCTTTGGCGGCCGCGTAGGCCCAGACCCCCGGCACTTCCGGGAGAGGAGCCCAGTGACTGATGGAACTTCCTATGTTGAGGAGTTTTGCTCCCGGGGCGGCCAACGGCGTAAAGGCCTGCAAGGCGTTGAAAGAGCCCACGAGGTTGGTTTCGAAACACCTCCGAATTTCAGATTCCGGGTAGTCGATCACGGAAGCCTCTTTTGGAAGGATGCCGGCATTGTTGACAAAGATGTCGATCTTGCTGTCGTCAGTCTCGGCGACAATGGCACGCAGAGCACCTTCGATGGATGCACGATCGGTGACGTCTCCCGTCTTCCAAACCACCCGAGTCGAAGGGCTGGCGGCAGTGATTTCTGCCCTGGCGGTCTCTAGGCGATCGATTCTACGTCCTATGATGCCGACAGATTTGGCTCCCGCTTGGGCAAAGGCGATGGCCGCGGCTTTTCCGATCCCCGTTCCTCCTCCCGTGATGACGACGTTCTTGCCGGCTGCCGAGAGTTCGGGTCTCGTGGGAGAGATGCCCGGGTATGGACTGTTGTGCCAGGTCTTGGTGAAGGAGACGAAACTTTTCAAAGGAGGAGACGCCGCGTGAGAAGTCATGGTGGTCGCGGCGGTGTTGAGTTGTATTTTACTGTACAAGGTGGTATGGCGGTTACAGGAGCAGAGGGAGTGTGTATATGTTTAGGGTCTTTATATAGCTCTTGCGAATCCATAATGATTGATAAACTATGTGTTCCGCGGAAGGTAACACCTAAATCATAGTGGTATCTTTTACGTTAAGACACATATTTATCCAGTGATCCCCCATTCCGCGGAACGTCGCCACGCATTTTCATCTAGTGGGTAGATCAAATCCCACATCGTATAGGTTGATCGTCAACAATCCACCATCCTCAGACTGAGCCCATGAATGCCATGACCACATATGACGACCTCAAAGACCCCAACGGGTACCTTCCCCCATCTGACGATCCACAGTCGCTATGAGTCGTTTTACTTTAGCTTCTAGCCCTCCAGATCCCAAAGCTAGATCCAAATCACTCATATCCTAAGGACATCTTCGACGCCGCTCTTAACATCAACCTTGCCAAGTAATGTGTGATGAAATGATCTCACAATCTCTCCAGACCGTTGATCGAGGTGTCGAGCGAGAGCGACAAGTTCGGTGAGAGTCAGAGGGAACTCTTTCTCCGTCTCTTTGGTTGACCCAGGAAACCCGTTTCCAATTCTGAAGCACCTGGTGTAATCGACAAGTTTTGGAAGATCACCGAAGCGGTTCGCCATTGGCGTCGCCGTCACAATCCAGCTATAATCGGCGAAAAGCGTGTGGACGGCGAGGTGATTCCGAGCTGAAGGGTTTTTGATTCTATGACCCTGGTCACAGATGACACGAACAAAGAGACATTTGAAGACGTTAGCCCACACAGTGGAGTTGAGTCTGTCGTCTTTATCCGGGTCTTTACTCTTATCGTCAGACGAACTGGATGTGTCAACAGCCTTTAACGCATATTTCGTCAGCTTGACGCTCTGCCAGTACTCTAATGTGCTCAGCTACAAGAGCCCGCTGTTGGTCGTCCGGAGGGATGATCTTGCGAGCGGTGGCTGTAGGATGGTATACTGTGCAGCGTGTTAGTACTGAGATCTGTTGGGGAGCAAGGGGTTGGGTATAGCAATACCAAAGTCTTCTCAATCGAATCTAGTCGAGTTTTCACAACCAGATTTGATCTATAGACCTCAACCCTTTATACATAAAGACGAGGCGGGAGATAAACTTACTGGGCCGGTCAGGTATTTTTGCCGAGACATGTAGTTTTTCTTCCTTGTCCATCTCGTTGGCTCGTAAGAAGCGATTTGCGGCGGTGTCGTATGCAGTGAGAATAACGCCAAAGACTGACATTGGGTCTGTTAGAGGGAAACAAGCTCGAATAGCACGAAGAGCTTCTGTTCTTGCCTTTTTTTGTTGCTGACACCCTCCTGCCGGTCGTTTGCGTAAAAGATCTTCGTACAGAGAAGCTTGGCCCAGTACTTTTCAAACTCACTATTCCAGCTGTCTATGAGTGACGGGGGAACAACAATCACCGTCGGTCGTGCGCCATAGACTTACTTCTCGGCGAACATAATCATATCGTTATAGTCGCGCCTTTCGATCGACCATCCAGATATTTAGGAATCTGGCCCGGCTGTTCGCGACTTCACTTGATCAAAGTAAGAGGGAAAGCCTGCCATTTCTCCGAGTGTGACATCGACCACGACAAGATCGAATTCGAGGCCTTGAATACCATCCGCCTTAACCATTCTAAGTGTGTTCCACTTGGGACCTTTCATCATGTTGAATCGAATACGAGCGTTGTATTCCTTCAAGACCCGCACGGGTTCGCTGTCGCGCTGCACAGAAGCGTCTCTCATGGTGAGGTACAACAGACATTGCGCGTTGTAATAGCATCCAATCACTATGTTCAAGTGGGAAAGTTGTTGAAATGGTGAATGGCAGTGTAGAGTGCCACACATGCTTGTTGAGCGAAGGGGCATCCAGGGATCTGCGTAGGCTTACGAAGCCATCTTCGACACTTTCTGAGACTTCTGATATGCGTCAACCTCCAGCGCCCACTTGTGGTCCGTGGAACATTTTCTTCATCTTCGGAGTCGAGGGTTTCTGATATATATATATATGTATAAACGGGAGAAGCTAAGTGCTTCTCGTCCTTAACCATGACTAGACACGGCTTCGGATCGTATCGCAATGTCAAAAGTTGGACATCAGTTGTCAACTCTTGAATGATCAATTGAAGACTTGTTATCTTCAAAAACACGTCCGAGCTCGACCAGGCCGAGACTTTCTGCCATTTGTGAGTAAGGTGTCTTCGTGCCGTCCGTTGTTGGTAAGAAATGGACCCTGTACGTTTTGAGGGATGAGCTTCCGGTATGTGTACCAACTCACCACGTACCTCTTTACACTAATGGATCAGTCGTCCCATCTCCAATTCGGAAGCACCTGATGTATTGATCACGGGGATCGATCTATTGGCGAATTCTCACCACGCTCCTGGTACCGTTTGCGCGTGACCTCGAAACAGATGTACTCCTCCGTAAAATAGGGGATGGTGGTGATTATTCTGCATGCCCACCAATCTTTGGTGTGTTCCAGGGTGTCTGTGGATGTATCGAATAGCGAATCGTTTGCATCGATCTCGGCTCCATCGGCAGATTGCGTGGCTGATTCAAGCATTGAGTATTGGATCCTCTGCCGTAACGACCCTCGCCAACGTGGGAGGATTGTAACCTCTTGCGAGGCGGCGCCGTCACCACATCAAGGTCATCCTTGATCTCGATGGCTAGGCTCCTCTTTGACCCGGACGCCGGGGTGACTGGCTTTGACATGGAATTTGTCGGACTCGATGTCGAGACCGGATCGCGCGCCGTGTCGGAACTGGGGGTCAGGTCTTCCTCCCCGGCCTGTGTCGGTGGCATCGCTGGGCTCTGGTATGATACAAAGTCGACAGGTCTCTGCACAAGGGGCGTGTTCAATCTTTGTCGTATCTGCTCCAACCGAATCCTGAAAGATTGCGTTCGAGTTAAATAGCTGACTATTGGTCTTGTGGATTCTGCCTGTGTTTGTTACCTCCAGCAGTTTCTTCCTCGACGACTCTGATCGCAGATGTGATATATATATATCGATGAAGGAGGGAGAGAGGGGGGGCAGGGAGTCGATGAAAGAGGTTGAGGGAGAAAAATGAGAATCAGAGAGTGGGAGAGCCGCCCCCTTAAGTAGTTGACCGACGGCGCAATGAAAGATCACAATTCAATCGTGTCTCAATGGTTTCAACTAGGCAACTTACCGTAGGGACCACTTCACGTTTTTTTCCCATTCATCGCTTGTAATCACTGACATGCTTCGGTCTCGGCTATTGACGTTGCATACCAAAGTCACACATGGGAGTCATTGAAAGTGGAAAAGGTGTTAAGATATGGACCACCATTACCTGAGCCTGGTCCTGTAGTCTGTTGAATGAGAAAAAGGACAATTGATTGATGAATCGATCGATCTTCACAATGTTCTCTGCCTCCGGGTTGTTAAATATGAAGATCAGGAGATACATTTCAAATACCTCAGTGATTGACACCTTCAAGTTGAAGATCGAATGGACAGGACACAATCAAGACCCCACAGCCTCATAGAAGTGAATGGAGCTTTCATATGCTTGCCTTCCTCGCCACTTTGAGTTAAAACATCAAAGTTAGCCAACCAGAGAAACGAACACACTTACTCGTGGTAGAACTGTCAGTACCCATCGTAGTTACACCAAATCCGTGGGACGTCACGAAGGATTGACTCGATGCACGTCGTGGTTTGATAGACCCGAAATCAAATGATCCATGACACATTCCCAACCAAAATGTCGGAAAATTCCCGAAAAGGCATGCACCCGAGAGACCATGGCAAGCATCAAGCGTGTTGAGAGAGCAATAGCCGCAGGGATATAATGTCCCCAACGTCGAGTGCACCAACGGTCGAGGAAATGACACCAATCATTGCCTGACCTCAATATCCAAGCAAGTCCTCTTGCATGAACTTGTCATGCAGGGATTCCTTCTTGTGTCACCCACACCATGCACGGGCCTTTTGGCTTGTGGGGAAAGAGTGCAAAAAGTGCTGACTTTGCAGTCTCAGCAAGTCGGTCCATACTTTTGGTGGCTGGGTTATGTGTTCTGACGCGAGGAAAATCACTTACATCATCGGGTTGGTGGATGGAGGAGGCTCTCCCCATCGTTAGATACGCATTGCATGGTGGAGAGAGCACATTTCCCATGAAAAGAAAGATATGTGTACGCATGCATTGGCGAAAGGACGAATGAAAGGACACCGGTAAAATCGTCATTTCAATCATGTGTCATTCGTCATCAGTGTGGAAGAATGCTCCTCTAGCACATCCACCTGTGGCTGCGGCGTGGATATATAATTCTATGTCACTTCATGGTCTTGGGCTGAAAGATGAAAAGTCGTCACTGTATAATCCTCCCTGGAAAACAATACGCTCACGATATGCTGAAATTTGTCGTAGAGAAAGATGATGACCTTCCTACCACTTGATGACTTTGTTGGGGAAGTATTCGTCAATCAACTCTAGATAGTAAGGCTAGCAGAGGTTAGCGTCGCGGAATGAGATAATGGTAAACGATGATGACATACCTTGAGCTTCTCAACAGAAGGCTTGTCATCACTCTTACTGTAGAGATCGTACGGGTTGAATGTCTTGACTGCTCGAAGCATCTTGTGATCCTTGTCGTTCATGAGATCCTGGTAGGCACCCTGTTGATGCCATGGGTAGAAGCTGTGGTACCGGATCATGGCGAGAGCGTCCTCGGGAAGGGTAGATTGATCCTTGACGACATGATACAAGTATTCGTCGTGGCCCCAAGAGAGCATGACTTTGTCAAGACCACAACCTGGAGAATAGATGCCGTATTTCGTGTTGTAGATGGGATCATTGTAGTCTGGATTCTCGGTGAAAGACTTGTTGCCGTAGATGATCTTGTCATCAAAGGCGCAGCCAACAGGGAACGTGTCTCCCACGACATCCCACTGACCTCGGGCGTCGAAGAAGAACAGCAACTTGCCCAAATCATGAATCAAGCCCGTAAGTTGCATCCATCGTGGTCGACCGTCACGACGAATAGCCTCGGCCGACTGAAGAAGATGTTCAATCTGACTGAGTTCGGTATCGGGATCTGACTCGTCGATCAATGTGTTGAGGCGTTCCATGGCTTCCCAGATGGTCATCTCAGCCCGAGTCTTCGAATGAAAGTCATTTCGAGCTTTGAGGTTGTATGCCACCGTCTGCTTAGTGTGTTGCTCCTTGTAAAACTCCTTCACCCTGTCACATGCTGTTTCATATTGGCGAAACTGGGTCTTGTCCTTCTCCGAATCGAATCTTGATGGCTCCCAATCTCCGGTGTTCTGTGTAGCCTGGTCTGCGGCAATATCGGCAGCTTCAATCTCATCACAGAGTGTTTCAAAGGCATGACCATCACGGTCAGTTCGAAACTGAGGCATATGCGCGGGCTGCTGAATAAGTACGTCGGCCATGATGAAGGGATCTAGACGGGATGATATAATACTTGCGCAAGGGTGGTATATTAGACAGGAGGAAATAGTATTGGATAGATAGATGAGCAACGATCGAGACAGGGCATGCTTGCAGTAATATACTGTCTGATGGGCTCCACGAATCCTGCACCGCACATAACGGACAAGTGACGTGGAACGGGTGAATCGCAGGAACAATCTAACGACCTACAAACACCCAGTCAGTGATGAATGAAAGCGTGTCTGCATGGATCTTTAAGTGTGTTTTACTCCACTTCATATGTTTGACAATCATATGGGAGTGAAAGCGGAGCAACCAGTGGGAAAAGAAAGTTGCCATTTCCGGAGGATGATATCCAAGGGCAAAAGTTAGTTGGGTCCAGGATCCTACCCTAGGCGGGCCATGTCACCGTTGGAGGGCTTATGATGATGATGAAATGTTTGGCCGATTCTTTCAAAGACCTTGAGTGGAGGATTGTGATCCTGTAATTGTTCTCGTATTTGTCAATCATACTCGTACTTGCCACAGCAAACACATAGTTTCATGTGTTTGAACGGCGACAAACGACTGAATTAGGTGGTTGATTGACAATCCTCGTGTTTGACAAAGACGAACAAAGTCGGTGAGAAAGAAAAGACAGAATGATGCATCACAACCGTTGATATGTTATCTGGTGATGCACGAGCAAGGTATCAACAACCCCGGGAGGATGTGATGCACCAACAGTTGACGCTGTGTAACGTGTAGTCACGCTTGAGATGCACATGTCGCTTCCGGAACCCTGTTCAAAGACCAGGGTCCTTACAGACTATCGTATAGAAAATCATACCAGCCTGAAATGAACACCAAATTTTCAATGAGCTTCCTTCAAACAACTGAGACAGAACAATTCGAAAAATGGAGATTCATTCGTAAGGTCATCCGAAGCTCCGAGCTTCAAAGTGGCACCGGTGAGAATTTCCATCTTTGTCCAGCTGGGAAAGACTTTAAATAAGGCGCATCAGGCTGTGGGCTCTTTTCAAGGTTCCACTCGGACAATTGCTATGCGAACCTCGAGTTTTTTTCTTCTGGAACACTGCATGATCTTCGTGGTGACGCCACTCCACGCCTATCTTTTTTTTGGTGTCAAATTACAGACAAACTGATTGTTTAGAGCTCGGTAAGAGGACGTGTGGCTAGATGTTGTGTAACATCAATCTGTATGGAGTATGCGAATCCCGCGGGTAGTCGTCCCATCACTTTGACGGTCGGTCGGCATTATGAGCGACAGCAAGACTCGGTGTTGTGTAGATACAGGGTACTCGTGCAGTGCAGTACAAGGTCTCGTTGATGCTGTTTCGTGAATTTCTCAACTGCTGCAGGCGCAGGCGCAGGGAAATCAATCAGGTGATCAATAGCCGACAACTTGAACGTTCCTTCCAAAAGCCGATCATATTGTAATCACCTTCTCTACGCTTATCGGATCGGTTCATCTTTGCCCCGCGAAATTCGCCAAATACATTTTTATTTAGTCTCCAATTATTACGCAGTGTTGTCCGAAGTACGGAGTACTCAGTATTGTATGTGCATTCCGACTCACGACAATATATAAAACCATCCTCCTCTCACAGGAACTACTTTGTATTTGAGTGCGCATTCTCTCTATTCTCAATCAGTTCACGCCTACTCCAGCTGCAAACATGACCGATATACCCCTCAAACTCAACACTGGCGCAACGATTCCAGCATTGGGATTTGGTATGATCACTTACTCTGATCCCCCCACCAGTGATCCTGTGTGTCTAACATTTCTTACCAGGAACATGGCAAAGTCCAGAAGGACAAGTGCGAGCTGCCGTGTCACACGCCATTAAATCCGGCTACCGCCATATCGATTGCGCTTATGTATACGGCAACGAGAAAGAGGTGGGCGAAGGAATCAAAGAAGGTCTGGCAGCAACAGGACTCTCTCGAAACAATCTATTCATAACCACCAAGGTATGGTGCACATACCATACGAGAGTCGAACAGAACCTCGACATGAGTTTGGGTCTACTTGGTCTGGATTACGTCGATCTATACCTCTTGCACTGGCCCATCGCTATGAACCCAAACGGCAATCATGAAAAGTTCCCCAAGCTGGCCGACGGCTCAAGAGATCTTCTTCGGTCCCGGTCACACGTCGACACGTACAAGGATATGGAGAAGCTACTGAAGACCGGCAAAGTCAAGGCCATTGGTGTATGCAATTACTCCAAACGCTATCTCGAGGAACTGCTGCCCAAGGTGGACATAGTCCCTGCAGTCAACCAGATTGAGAACCACCCTCTACTCCCACAGCAAGAAATCGTCGATTACTGCCAACAAAAGGGTATCCATGTGACGGCGTATAGCCCTCTGGGGTCGACGGGAAGCCCACTCATGAAAGACCCACATGTCGTCAAGCTAGCGGAACAAAAGGGCACCACACCAGGCTGCATTCTACTGAGTTACCACATTGCACGAGGGAATTCGGTGCTTGCCAAATCAGTCACACCTTCACGGATTGACGAGAACAAACATATTGTCGACCTGTCCTCGAGTGACCTTGCTTCGTTAGCTGAGATTTCTCAAAAGGGTGTGACGCGGTTCGTGTATCCTGAATTTGGGGTTGATTTCGGCTTCCCAGACAAGTCATGAGCTTTCTTTTCGGAGGGAATAGACACATGCTTAGACAGGATAGATCTGATAGGCGCCTCAAACATAAAATAAGAGTGTCATGAATTGGCGTCCCTTTCGATCCTGTTCCGCATTTCGTTTCTATCGTACGCAGTTGGATTCGAGTCCCGCGTGAGATGTATTGCGTAGCCCAGGCCACGACCGTCGCCCTCCTCTCACCTATCTTGGGCCCTTTGACGTTGCCATTCCGGATGTCATCTTGTCAATCTCGGCGTCAAGACCTCCCCGAGCGCGAGGAAATGTGGCACCGGGTGGACGGCATCCTGGGAGTACCTTGGGTGCCGGTGGGGATGGCCGACGGCTCGGTACAAATCATGCTGGTAACGACGCCTCACCGGCCGACGACAGCACCTCTCTACCCACCACCAATCACGACGGCGATTGATGATTTCGCCCGTGGTGGTGGTACAAGTCGATTTATCATGCTCTCCCCGTTGTTGAAGACGGTCGCTTACACTCGCGTAGCATGGCCGAAGCATCGTTGCAAATCAACAGGTGGCTGCCCTGATTGAGAACACTGGGGGGTTGCCATACGAGAGTCACGCCAATGAAGATGGAAGGTTTCTGTTTTTGTTTTTTTTGTTTTTTGGTCATTGCCTTAGCACAATGTGAAAACTATCATACATGAAGAAAAGGGAAAAAAACAAAACAAAAAACAGAGAAGCCCACCAACCCCAGCAAGAAAAGAAGAAGAAAAAGCCGAAAAGCAAGAACACAGCAACCACCCCCAAGCACACACAACCAGCCCCGGAAAACACACACAACGCCCAGCAAACACACAACACACCCCCTCCCACCTGGAGCCTCCGGGCCAACCGAGAAAAAACACCCAACTACCGTTTCCCAGGATGCCCAACAAGGACACCAACGAGGAGAAGGACGAGGAAACAACGACGGCGCCCCACAGAGGAAGAAGAGGATCCATCTCACTTTTTCTCCTCCTTCTTCTTCTTCTGCTCCTCCTCTTCTTCCTCTGCGGCACGCCGGCGTTGTTGCCTCGTCCTCTCCGCGGTGGTGTCCTTGTAGACATCCCGGAGGTAGTTGGGGTCGGTGGTCCGGAGCCCCAGGTCCATCCTCCGGCGGGCGTTGACCTGTTTACGGTCAACGCCCGTATAGGTGGTGTCGAGCCCCAGGTTTTTATAAAAGCTCAGGGGTTTTATATTGGCCGTCTTGGCCGGTTCGTAATCGTTCAAGTTTTTTTTGGTGAGCCGAAGCTCCGGGTGTTTGGAGAGGTAGTGCTCCCGGATCGTCGATGCCCGGATGCACGTGTGGTAGCACAGGTGGCAGGTGAAGGGGTCGTTGATGTCCACCACCGACGGTTGCCGACGTCGGTGGATGGAGGGGATGTCGGGGTCGTTGAGGGACGCCGTGAGACTTGGCCCTCCGGGGGCGGAGGCGGGGGCGGCGGGAACAGGTGCAGGGGCAGGGGCAGACGCAGGCGGGGCAGCAGCGGACCGAGAAGCGCGAGGACGACGAGAAGAACGTGTTGGTGGTTCCAAAGTTTGATCTTGTTCATCGTGCCCATCTGAAGTTGACTTGCGTTTACGTCGAGTTGTTCTTGGACGCGATGAACGACTGTTGATGGTGACAGGTTCTTGTTCTTCTGGATTGTTTGTCTCGGTGCTGTTTGGTGCGGGAATATCAATGTACATGTGGGAATAATCTTCTTCGTCGGGGTCTGTTGATCGATTGTAAGCGGCCAAGAGCGCGAGGTTGGGGTCGATTGCCGCAATGTCAATGGGATTGGGATAGCTTGGTGTGGGTGGTTGATAGTGTGAAGCAGCAATGTCCGAAGCATAAGCGTATGATGAAGTAGTGGTTGGATAAGGCGTCATCATTCCATACGCTGGCGGTGCTGGTCCATACGATGACGTTGGTCCATACGCCGGTGCTGCTGGTGCATATGATCCATAGGATTCATATGATGGTGCTGCTGATCCGTAGTAGGATGGTGCTGTTGGTCCGTAGTAAGATGTTCCTGCTGCTGCTGCTGCTGCTGTTGTTGTAGCTGCTGCTGGATTCTGAGTCGTTCCAGAATAACTAGCATACGACGTCGATTGTTGTTGGCTTGGATGATAAGAAGTAGTTGATCCAGACTGTACGTGACCATGTGAAGGATCCAATAGTCCCAGAAGATGCTGTCGATTTGCTTCCATGATTGCAAGATCGGTTTGATTCGTGTCATTATCCACACTATCATGCTGACCGTGATGATCCATAGGCCCGTCAATGTTGCCAGAGGCATCATTTCGTCCGGAGGGAAGATCTGGTTCTGCATTTGAATGTCAGTATTTCAGTTTTCTGCTCATAACACAAACAGTAATCGTCACAGAACAGGAATCTTACCTTGAACATTTGATTGAGGATATCCAGGTGAAAGTCGCCATGTGTCAGGTGCCAGATTCGATGCAACTGCGCCATGAGCTTGGACAGAAAGCGAAGTCTGATGAGGTTCATCCCGATCATCGCCGCCACCAGCCACAGCAGAAGGAGGACCGAAACCACCTGACTCGAGAGCACGACGCGCAATGAGTTCAGCATCTTGTGTGATCGTTTGAGTTGTTGGGAAATCTTCTTGTGTGATTGTCTGGGTTGCAGAATCTTCTTCCCGGATGGTGAAGTCAGATGAAGAGGTGTTAAAGCCACTATCTCTCTAAAATGATTGTCAGTGGATTCGGTTTGATGGACTCCGAGTTTAGTCTACATACCGTTGCTTGCTCTCGATTCTCGAGATCTTGAAAGCTGGACGATGGAAGGAAAGTGATTGAGTTGGTGTTGTTGATGATGGAACTTGTGACTCTCTGTGATATTTGGGTCAGTGGATGAAGTGAGATGAGAGGAAAGACTTGTTCTTATTCACCATGCTTTCTGGTTCGTTTCCCATGGCACGCAAGTTGCCTTGGATGATGTCGTCGCTTCCAGGGCCTTGGCCAATGAGGCGGCTTGGGTTGTTGTCTTCTCTCTCGCTGTTGGACGACATCTTGACAATGACCCGCGTGGATGAGGACGATTGGTTGAAGGAAAGTACCAAGGGGTGATTCAGCCTTGCGCAGAGAAACTAGAATAGAGTCTTGAAGACAATGAAGAGAGTTGTTAACGTGAACGAAAAGTCTTGTTACTCTGGAAGTTGATAACTTGTTGATGAAGGTGTTGATGCAAATGACTTCTCAATTTTGGAAAGTTTCACTCTCAGAGTATTGTGTACACACCGCCATCGCGATCACGTCGCCGTCCTGTGTACGCGCTATGGACGCGGTATAGGCAGTATTTTTCACCGCAGGACACCACGGGTGAGCCGGTGAACTGCAAATTTTCATTGTATCAGGCCCAATTCACTCGTGAATACCATTCGCGATCGCGATCGCCCATTCCTCTCTGACTGACAAAGATCATCCAGCATGAACAGAAGAGCCAAAGAAAGGCGACAAGGTGAGTTGAAGCAGCCATTGTACTTGTTGGGTGATGTACTTTTGTCAACGGGAGCAGAGCGTGCCTTCAGACACTCAAGGCTTTCAGGCAAACCTGTTGACCCACGGCGACCCTGAGAAATCATGGCTGAAAACATTGTGCAACACACCAAAGGACCACCGTACATCGAACTTCAACAGTGATCAAGATGATGGAGATCATGATAGCATTGTGTCATTGAAACATACTGGGGTTCAGCAGTCGCACCGGCACGAGCCTCCTCGACAAACTCTTCAAAGTCTCGCACAATGTTATGTGGTGCAGCCATTATATGTTGAGGTGTCCAAAGACACATGAACTCGGACTTCCGCCCACATCACCAACAATATCGAGGAATGGAACAAGGGAACAGGGGGAATGGAGGAAGTAGGTTGAAATTGAGTTGTGACATCTGACTAGGAAATGCCCAGACCGAAGATGATCCACATCTATATGCGAACCCATTCTCCTCACAAATCATCTATCTGACGGCAATACCCACACCCAAGAATATCCGAGTTGTGCTTCAAGGGAAAAGGAAGAGGAGGAGTGCGTTTGATAATTCTGTGTCATTACAGAGCAAAGTCATGCCAGCGACTCGGCGAACTTCAATGGCTCAATCGAGATTGTGATGACTGCGATTCAAGGAACTAAAATACAGAGACGTGGCTTACTTGATTCATAAAGAAGGGAAGGAATTTGAAAGGTGCAAACACGAAATCCCTCTTGTTTCAAAATGTGAATTCTTATTATTTTGAAGGTTTCAAGTAGTTCTACGAATCCTCTATTTGATAAGCTGCTCACTAGTGCATCGAGGAGTCGGTCTTTGATGGCGCGAAATTAATCCACCTGATGAGCTTTAGGCAATCTCTTCATCAAAAATAACACACACTTTTCATCCTGCCGAAGAGGCGATTGCATACCTCGGAAACCCCCGATGGTGGTATGTTATCGTTGCATTCCGATCGAGGGCAGAGAATGAGACGCTCCGTGCTCAATCTTCTTCCTCAATCGGATTTTGAGCATGGAAACGGCCAGCAATGTCAATCATACCGTCGTCGACAAGAGTTTGGCATAATTCTTCATACCATGCTTCCATGTCGATGTTTGTCAAGGTTGCTTCAGATCCTTCTGGCTCAAAACTCTGTTCTCGTTGAGTCTGTTCAGGAGTGACTGGTCGAGCTTGTTCGGAATCGTGTTCGGAGTTGTGCCCGGTATCCTCTTGTCGCTGATCATGTCCAGAATCAGTACTTCCTCCTTCAGACGACTCGTATGGCTCGTTCATCTCGAACGCTCTCATCTCTCGGAACAAGTCCATCGGATAGACAAGCTCGCCTGGCATGAGTCTATTGATTTCAGCCACAGCCTCTTCGTCTGCCGGTGCTTCGAGTCTAGCCGGATCAAGTCCTACCAGGCAATCACCCCATGGGAATGGCGGTGTTCCTGGCGGTGTGTCTGGAGGCGTATGAGTCTCGCTTTCGTCTTCGTCCACGGTTGGAGATACTTCCCTACCACCATATTGTGCAGACAGAAGTTCTTGGATAGTAGTAGGCGGGTCCACATGAGTTACCACGCGGTCTAAAGTGCCTGGTGGTAGGTAGTTTTCCCAGTTGATGCTATCCCAAGGCTCGAAAGGGTTGTCATTCTCCGGAAAAGGCTGATCATCATCAACAGTAGCTTGGGCATTGTTGACAGGTGGGATGTTTTCTGCAAATTCACCATTGTCCAAATTTTGTGTGCGTGTCTCAACGTTGGTCCAGCCGTTGTCGTTGTCGAGAGGGAGAGATATTCTTTGTCTTCCGTAAGACTCGTGAGGCTCGTGAGGATCACCCATTTTCAAGCTTGGATATGGAATGGATAACCGTCTGTAGAAGATGGCTTGAGGAGGCAGGTGGTTTTCGAGGGCGAACAATGGAAAGGGGAAATGCAGATTCGATCAACAGATGCGGTGATACTTTGATCAAATCTTCGTGGGAGAAAGGAGACGTGTTTACGAAAACCTCACGAAGTGAAGCAAGTAGCAGGATCTCTTACCACAAAGGATAGAGAGGAGAAACAGAGTGAATTGTCAAAGAGCGCTTTCAAGTAGTCTGGCAATCCTGTATATTGTTGAAACGTGTTTGTTATTGCGTTGGTTGTGTACTTGCGCTCGAATATAGAACCAGCAGGGCACATAACCGGACATTGCAAGTAAGCGAAGCGTCTCTCGCTCGTCATTGTGATCCTTCTGACAGTCTGATTGAGCAGTACAGGTATATGATTGCTGGTAAGTAAAATCCAATGACCATTGTTCCGTTACAGAACGACGAGGGAATGCAGACTGAACAAATTTGAATATGACCCTGGTGTATCTATCTCTGATATCACTTCTTCATCCGTCATTGGTAAATTGTCTTTCTGTGTGATGTGATGCTGTACACGATCTCCATCTTGTGAGAAAGACAACACCATTGTGTCTCTATTGGGACTGGAGGACCTCAAGGACAGTCCAAGTCCAGCATCAGTCGGAAAGTGTCGTCCCAGTCGTTCCATTCACGCATGACGACACAGCAGCCAGCTCTCTTGAGTGTTTCTTTCATTACTTCTTTGGGGCCCTCGGTCTTGTACGCACCAACATAACCAATGGTGGGAATGTTTGCTCTGATTGCTGCTTGACAACCAGAAACGCTGTCCTCGATTGCAAGGCACTCGTGTGGTTTGGCACCAAGCTTTTCCATTGCATGGATGTAGATCGATGGGTCTGGTTTGCTCTTGGGAGCACTCATCGAATTCTGTGCCGAAAAGATGCAGTATTCCTCGAAATACTTGGCTGCCCCTATTGTTTCGATCTGGGCCTTGATCCGTCCGAGTGCAGATGAAGACACAACTGCCAGCGTGTACTCGCCTCGGTTGTACAGGGCTTGGATGACTTCGAGAGCGCCTGCACATGGTTGACCGCGGGCTCTGAAAGTTGTAATGACATGCTCCTCTTCGACATTACCATAATACAGAAGTCCTCCTTTGCTCATTTGGATACCATGCTCCTGGCATATTTCAGGCAACATTTTGCGAAAGCTGTAGCCGAGATACTTGGCGATAAGAGTCTCCTTGGTGTATCGCTCAGACTTTCCATATTCCTCAAGGATTTCATTGACAAGCTCAGCTGTGGTGTCCATGGTGAGATACTCGGACAACGTGATGGTATTGTCACAGTCGAAAAAGATGAATTTGTACTGGTGGTTGGTCAAAAGAAGTCACGATCTACCGGAAAGCTCACTTACACCGTGGCGAGGCTCAGACATCTTGGAGATCGAGGGCATGTGAGCGGACTTGAAAGCTATACCTTTTTACCGGGGGATCGCTAAGACTTCACAGTCCAATAAGAGAGGCTAAAGGATAGTAAACAAGAAAAAAATGAAATCTCAAAGATGGGAAGAGTGCAGGTGGAATCATGGACAATGTTTGCTTCAACAAGGCCGGAATTTAGTAAGTCCGTGACGCTAGCCGATCAAGGATGTTATGCTGGTGAATGGATGGGCTGTGATGGTGAAAACTGTGCTTCAGTACTCTGTGTGTAAGACAAGTGATCTGAGGTGGAAATCTTCCCACTGCTTGACAATGTATGAGCATGGCTTGTTCAACGTGGAGTCGGGAGACAGGAGAAATGGGATATGGATTCTACCACATAATTGGATACAACTTATGGATTGTCGATATCTTGATATCTGGACGTTGGAATCCAATTGCTCCTGTCCTCATGACTTGTGTTCGATGTCAGCTATGTCGGCTGTTGCTGAGAGTCCAGCAGTCAAGGACAGGGAAGAACATCCTCCGGCTTGCCAACATCCTGTGGAAGAGGGATCACTTCTGTGAAAGGCTTTTCAGTGTCAATCAGTTTGTCCATGATCGTAAGAACAACATGACTCTTGTTGTTGTCTTCTCTCTGTCTCCTCCAGTCGTAGTAGATGTCCCACCACCAGGTATGTGTTTCTCCATCTCGGCCTAGATGTCCAGCAACTCCTTCATCGCTAACCTGTCGTTCCCAGGGTTTGTCCACAATGTAATGCAAGACTACTAATTTCTCATCCGACCACATCTTAGGGTGCCAATACCTCATGGTTTTCAGGGCATTGTATTTCCACGAAAGAGGATGCCACTTGTCTCGATAGAAGTCTGCCAGGAAGTCTTGATCAGGGAACTGGTATGTTTTGAGTTTTTCTGATGTATTGAAATGATCAAGCATCCTGGACCAAAGTTCCTGGCTTGGATTGAACAACAGCATGCCGCCATTGAGCAGGTGATATGTTGGACGACTGTCAGGGGTGATTGGTGCAGCAACATCGTCAGCATTGATCAGAGGTGTATATGCACAGTTGCCTTTCTGCCATTCTAAAGGGGCCCAAGAGTCGTGATCCAAGTTGCAGACACAAGCATGATTAGCACCTAGCCAATCTCGACCAGGTAGTTCGCACCGAAACAGGTCGTCTGGGTTTCGGAATATGGTCATGTCTGCATCAAGGAACACCGCTCGAGTATAGCCTTGGTTGTAGACTTCAAATGCTCTCAGCTTTGTGAATGTATCCTTGAACCGTTCAGCCACACTTCCAGTATTCTCCTGATCTTTTCGTGGTAAGAGAAGGTCTACTTTGTGTAATTTTATGCGGCCATAGTTACGACTTTCTTCCTCCAGTGCAGCCACAGCTTCGTCACCAAGTGATGAGGTGTATTGGATTATGAATGGGTATTTCGACTTGTGTTGATCGAGAGTATAGGCGAGAATAATGGCCCCCGGTAGATATGATGCTTTGGTCACCAGTGTCACCCAGCAGAAGTTATCCGTGGTTCTATCCGCAAGCGCCATGGCCGTGTCTTTGGTAGTTCTTGATTTTCGACCGTGGCTTATTTGTATTTATCATGTCACTAGACAAATCCCTACTGACGTGTCTTGAAATATATATTCCTCCATTGCCACTGGCTTGAAGTGACAATTTTCTATAGTAACCCGAGTCATGGCGTCATCATCCATCTACAGGTGGTACAGGCATCGTTCATTAAAACTGGTGGATTTGTTTGAGGTTCAATCTTGACTCACGCCACCAGACTGGAACTATTACTAGTAACCCCTAGAAAGAATGAATACGCAAGACAGACACTGTCAGCAACTCGATAATCTCGCCAGGAAGCACAGGCGAAGTTGGTCCAGGGCACAAGGCTCGGATGTCCACCGGCGAGGCTGAGGTGGATGGTGATTGGCTGATCAGATGCGTAACTCCGCCGACGGATGCCGAATCTCATGTCAACAAAGGCACAAAGCACAGCACAAGGGACCATGGACTAAACGCCCCCTCATCACCTGCATCGATCCTCCGCTACCAAAGTATCTCCATACTGCTAGAATCATTTACTTGTTGACACTCGGACCTTTGGGTGAACTTCCCAGCATATCTTTTTGGCCTGGTAGTCTGTCGCAATCGCAGTACATCTTGGTTATCACTGGCATTCCTCATACGAGTCTCGAAACACCACACCGCTGCATCCTGACACCACTTATTGGCCTGCCGGGGGTCTTTCGCCTTATTGTCTTACAAAACACTCCTACATCCAGTCTGCGAGCCACCCATCTGACATGCAGCCATGGTGCTGCTGGAGAAGCAATGGGTGAACGTACAAGAAAAGACGTTTACAAAATGGTACTGACCGCTGATCCTGTTCCTGTCCCAAACCAAAAGTCCTAATGCTTTCAGGTTAAATAATAAAATCGTTTCCCGCGAAGTCGCCGTCAAGAGTCTGGTCACCGATCTCTCCGATGGTATTATCCTTATTCATCTCCTCGAAGTCCTCAGCAATGAATCTCTCGGTCGTTATGCCTCCAACCCTCGTCTGCGGGTGCAGAAGTTTGAGAATGTCAACAAGTCGCTCGAGTTCATCAAGAGCCGGGGTATTCAGATGACAAATATCGGTGCAGAAGATGTCGTCGATGGAAACAGGAAGATTATACTCGGTCTGATATGGACCCTTATTCTACGCTTCACCATCTCGGACATCAACGAGGAGGGCATGACGGCCAAGGAAGGCCTCCTGCTGTGGTGCCAACGGAAGACTGCCTGTTACGAGGGAGTCGAGGTACGAGACTTTTCCTCCTCATGGAATGATGGCCTTGCATTCTGCGCTCTCTTGGATATTCACAGGCCCGATCTAATCGACTTTGACACTTTGGATAAATCGGATCACAAGGGAAACATGAAATTAGCCTTCGATATTGCTAGCAAGGAGATTGGTATTCCAGACCTGCTCGACGTGGAAGACGTTGCAGATGTACCCAGGCCCGATGAGAGGTCGCTCATGACGTACATTGCATACTGGTTTCATGCGTTTAGTGCCATGGAGCGAGTAGAAAATGCCGGGCGTCGGGTGGAGAAATTCGTCAGCAACATGCAAGGTGCCTGGGAGATGGAAACTGCCTACGAAAAGAGAATGCGCGCTTTGCTCCACCATATCAGACAGCAGCGGCAGTCGTGGCATACTTCGAGATTCGAAGGCACATACGCAGACGCCAAGTCGCAGGCCAATGAGTTGGCCAGTTTCAAACGAAACCAGAAAAGGAAATGGGTGGCGGAGAAGTCAGACGTCGCAGCCTTGCTGGGGAATATCAAGACCAAGCTATCCACGTATCGCCTACGACCGTACGAACCACCAGCTGATCTGCGGCTGGAGGTGCTGGACCACGAATGGGCGGCACTGGGCACGGACGAGCATGCACGAAGCAAATTGATCAATGAGACAATACGAGATATCAAGAATGCTCTGAGACGGAGCTTTGCCGACAAGGCCAATGACTTTGCTCTCACGCTGAACACCTTGTCGTTGGCGGTCTCTGGCCTGGAAGGCGACGTCGAGGATCAATTGCAACACGCCAAGCGACTGTCGGCCAACCTCGCGCCTCTCGAGCAGTACCTGGAAGGAATAGCTATCCTGGACGAGAAGTGCCAAGAGGCAAACATTGACGAAAACGACTATACAACCTACACATACGACGAACTCATGTACGAGCTGAGCCTGGTCAAGACGAGCGTACAGAAAAAGTTGACGTTTTTGGAGAACCAGATGGTGGCTAGAAACATGACCAACCTGACTCCGATCCAGCTTGAAGAGTTCGAATCCGTCTTTCGGCACTTTGACCGCGAAGGCAACAACACGTTGTCCGAGCTGGAATTCAGCGCTGCCCTGGCCAGTCTGGGCCTGGTGTACGACGAGGAAGAAATGCACGACAAGTACCTCGAGGTTTGCCACACGGGCATCGACCCGTCAATGTCTCCCGTGTCCCGACGCCAAAGGGAGGCGAGGGGAGTCGGGTTTGAGCAGTTCATCCGGTTCATGGTGTCCGTGACGGAGGATCAGAACAGCGCCGAGCAAGTCTTCCAGTCGTTCCGCGAGGTGGCAGACGGCAAGCCTTACGTGACGGAGATGGACCTTCGACACTCACTCATCCCTGATGAACTGATCGAGGACCTCCTCCACAGCATGCCGGAACACAGGGGCCCGGATTTGGAAGTGGACCGCGACGTTCCCAAGTACGATTACATTTCGTTCATGCAGGGCATGATGGACGGACAAAACAGTCAAGCACAACCTCACCAAAATCAAAATCAAACCCAGCGCGACAGCAGCCGGAGCCCGACCAACGGCGTGGCAACTCCTACTACGCCTAGACGATGAAGACGCACTCTCTGGGGGGTTTCCTGCCACTAATACTGACCATACTTCACTCTCGTCCTCCTCATCCTCGATATTCTCCTATCCTTATCCGTACCCTCCCCCCCCCTCTCTCTCTTGAAGCTTTTTTTTGGATATTCCATTGGGGCCCGGGGTGGGGTTCTACAAATTCAAGCGTAGCGTTATATTACTGATTCGTTTGTTTGGAATTTAAGAGTCTTTGGAGAGCAGGCGAAAGTTTGTCGGTTTGGAATTTTTTGTTTGGGCATGACACGACCGAGGAACCGACACCAACAAAGTATGAGATAGCAGCGATGGAAAATCACAAACACGCAAGACGTACTCTGTACTCGGGTACAGAGTACAAAGTACAAAGTACATAATAATACCCATTTCTTCCCCTAACGACACGACATGATGGCTGGACTTGATGGTGTGACTTGTTAAACATGACCAGGTCGTTATCAACATGTCATTGAATGTAATTTTCAATTGATCGGACGTGCTTTTGCTGTATACAATGGCAGAACATCAATGATCTCTTATACGCTGTTGATGATTTCTTTTCGTCTCAGATGATTTTTACTGTATTCGTACATCATTATACATTTCAAATATTCATGTATGCCAAGTCATTGCACCATGGCACCGACGTTTACCGTTCTTTTTCGGCTGTGTACACAGACTGTGGCTGTTCTAAAACGATTTTACCGGATCTCGTTTTCAAATCTTCCAAACAGTAACATCGTGCGGGTTCTTCGCAATGGCATGTGCGATGATCCTGCTCACCGGACCTTGCTCTTCCCTCCCGTTTCTCCACTCCTTGGGCCCAGCGAGGTACGAGATGAATCCAGGCGGCCCAGAAATCAAAATCTGTCTCTCACTCTGTCTCTGTCGGTGGCCCGACGCTGTCGAGGCGGTCGAACCTTTGCTGAACTCCTTGTCATCGAATCGCGAAAGGGCCCTGAAGACGGCGTCCTCGTCGATCCAAGTATCCTCGGCGTTGACGAAATACTCCACGGTCACTTGACCAGGGTACTTTCGTTTGAGAGTGTCCAACTCCTCGACGATGGCAACCCTTTTGTCCGTCCCCGAAGATTGGGTCGGCGACGACGTGACCCTCGGCTTTGGCCGCGAAGAGAAGAAACCCGACCATGTCGGTTTGGGTGGCATCACGGCCTCTGAAGCCGGTGGCGGGTCGCTCACTCCGCCCACACAGTCTTCGCGCATCCTGCTCGCCCAGAGAATATGTAGGCTCTTGGTGGTAGAACCCCGACCAACACTGTCACTGTTACTGTCACTGGCGGTACTGTCCTTGTGTCCCTCAAACAGTGCATGCGCAACCTGGAGAGCCGGAGCGATACCGGTACCTCCCGCAAAAAAGACAATTTGTCGCACGTCCGGAGTCAACTCGTATTCCAGATTCGGTCCACGCATCTCAATCTCGGCCCCGACGGGGAGTTTGTGTAGGTAACTCGACACCTCGCCGTGGGGATCCTTGCGGATGAGGAAGCGTAATTCGTCCTTTTTCTCCTCTTTCCCCCCCTCTGAACCTGGACCGGTCGCGGCTACATCGACGGGCGGGAGAGGAGTGTAGGCCCTGACGATCTGAAGTTGAGGCTGTTTGAAGTCGACGTTCCAGATGCCCTTCCGCCACGCATCCTTGTACAGTCCGAAACTCGAATAGGCTTGTTTGGGTTCGAGGTGGAATATGCTGGCCGTCGACGACACGGGTTCCTTGGAAACCAACGTGTACGCAACGAAAGAGTCACGCCTGGACTTGTTGTAATTGTAAATCTGCCACCCGGCAACTACACCCAGGGCCGTCCATGCTGCCACAAAGACGCTTCGTTTCGAGAGGCGAGATTTCGGCGGTCGACTTTGCGGGTCCGGAGACTGAGTTCCTTCTGGTGTCGTGGACTTGAAGCGTGTGACGATCCTCAGGGCAGGTGGCTGAGCAGTGATAGCATGGTTCAAATTGCTCGGTGCCCTCGTTGAGCACCTTGCAAACATCGAACGCTCGCTGCAGATCGTCTACTGTAGTTACAGAGTACAGAATACCCAAGTGTGGTCGAAGTTGGCAAAACGAAATTCCCCCATGTTGTTTTGGCGCAGGGACAATTTCAAGCGCTGCTCTTAAGATATTTGACTTGCTGCTTTTAATTGTTCGTAGAAGCCCAAGGCTGTACACATGCCCCTTTTTCTAAACGTCCCTCCCCACGGAGCACACAGTGTTCAATTGTAATCTTCTCATGAACGACTGATTCACTGGCCAAAGGTATACACAAATGTCCAAAGAAGTGAGAGAAGAGATCAATTCATTTTGTGTCTGGTTTCCATGACCACATTTGCTGTGCTTCCTGCGCAACCTTGCCCACACCTAGGCTGAATATTCAAGGCCTAATGATTGATTGCATTTGGCGAGCATCAACAATGGTTGGATTTACAAGCATTCATAGTTTGATCCTCTTGCTTTGCCCATCCGTTCCAGACTCTGGTGGAACCTGTACTCCCCTGTTGCCGAGTCGCTTCTCATCATCAGTTTCATCAACAGCCGGACCCATTGTCTTTTGGCATTTCCACGACCAGTACTTGGATTGGGCATACCAAACGTAACTGTCGGCATTTTGGATCGTCTCAGCGGCTTTTTTCTGTCTAAGTTGCATGGTATTGTAGGGACCACTGTGGCAGGCAGGGATTAGCTTCAGCAAAAAGGTGAATCTCGAGGCAAACTCACTATCCATCCGGAGGATCTGGCCCACCAAAATCGGCAATTTGTGGAAAGCCGTCATCGTTTCCATCAATGATATCGTCGTAATTTGGAATGTCCTCGAGCAAATAAGTCCAATGCATCATTTCGTGCAACATGATCCCGCCCGGGCTCGTCATCCAGTCGGTGTCATGATCCCCCAATCCATCGCAGGTGAATCCCGGTAGAGGGTTTCCTTGCGCGTCTTTCTTGTCAGAGGGTGGATTTTCAATCTGATCCAGAGTAGGGAACAGGAATGTATCATCACAAAGCGAAATCAGCGCAACCGGACCGAGAGCGGCTGGGTCAATGTATGAATACGCAAAGGCTGTTCCTCCATCGAATGTTTTACCGCAGGCCTGCTTGCTCAGCGGCACAGACGGATTGTTGCCCAACGCTATTTCCAACTTGTCAAACTTGGGTTGCAACTCGTAAACCGAAGCATCGGAGAGAATGTTGACGATGTTGTTGGCGTCTATGTCGGGGCCCAAGGGGATGTTGGCAATGGTGCGAAAGACATTCTTGACAAAGACTGCATCAATTGCTCGAAAGTAACGAGTATAGGCCGGCTCACAGGCGTCGAATAGGGAGGCAGTCACTCTTGCCAGGGTGATAGCGTCTTTAAAGGCTTGTTCGAGTTGTTCTTGTGGCTCCTGCACAGAAGTCCCTTCCGCAATGAAAAGCTGTGGAAGTGCTGCGAGGGAAGAATGAAAGGTCGCCAGGAGAAGTGAAGTGACGAGTGTCAAGAAACGAGTGTCAAAGAAGTTCATCTTTCCTGCCTGAGCGCTCTTTGAGGTTCAGAATTTGGGCTGTCGTGCGATGGAGGCATGAGACGCAGCATCTATTGTGATCGAGCGACTTCAATGTTGTCAACATCTTCACTCAGACTTCACTCACTGCCTGCAACAAAGCATTGATTGTGTTACCACTCAACAACTATAGTATTGCTACGGATATCAACACAACTTCCCAGTTATCGTAACTATTTGCCCTTCATAGCCAACCACTTCTCTAGAAGCAACCCATACACTTCACTTCTGGTTGGGAAGCTTGGGACAGCATGAATCAGTCGATCCAGGGGTATTTCGCCAACTAGGGCGACGGTACTGGGATGAAGGAGGTCGCCTGCTTCTCTCCCAACGAAGGTTGCGCCTACCAGCACATTCTTCTCTGCGTTGACGACCCATTGGGCCCATCCTTCATAGTTGAATTCGCCAAATACCCAAGCACCAGGAAAATTGAAACCGACGGCCACTTCTTTCGCATCAATACCTCTTTTGCGTGCCTCGGCCAACGTGAGACCAACACTTGCCAGATGCGGGTCGGTGACCACTACTTGGGAGACAGCCAGGTTGTCTGCTGTGGCATTGAAACTGCTCCACGGTTTCGTATCGGACACATTCTCACCTCGCGCACGAGCAACAATCGCGTTCGCCGCAACTCGTCCTTGATACTCGCCCATGTGTGTCGTTGACGATCGCATATTTGTATCGCCAACAGCATAAAGCCACATTCCTTCCAAGGGCTTGACAAGCATTGTTGGATCAACTTCCAAAGACGGTGTCAGTCCAACATTTTCCAGCCCAATGCCTCTCGTCCGAGGCTTCCTGCCTGCAGCCAACAACACATCTGAACCAGTCACAATCTTCCCTGTTGTCAGCTTGACCGATGTGTATCCATCATCCTCTTTCCATACTTCGACTACCTTGGCAGACAAATGGAAATCAACTCCTTGTGCGGTCAATGCCTCTCTGACAAGCTTTCCAGCCTGTGGCTCGAATTTCGGTAGTATTTCAGAGTTTGGACAAATCAGTGTGACTTTGCTTCCAAAAGTCGAAAACGCAGTGGCCATTTCTGAACCAACCACACCACCGCCAACGATGATCAAATGCCCAGGTACACTCTTCGCCGACGTAGCCTCCCTTGGAGTCCAGTAATCAATTGTTTCAATTCCTTTGATGTCAGGAATAATAGGTTCGGAACCAGTTGATAGCACAACAGCGTGGGTCGCCGTCAAGGTCTTCTGCTGGCCATTTCCATTCCGTACGAGGACCTTCTTGTCGCCAACCAGAGACCCTCTTCCTCTCACAACCGTGCATTTTTGGCCCAATGACAGATTGACAACCCATTGATCGTCATAGTTGTGCACGATCTTGTCCCGTCTGGCGAAGACGCCTTCGACGTCGACGAGTCGATTGGTGGCGATCAACTCCTTGGCGCCACCCAGCATTCTAGCAGCTGCGAGAGCCTCTCCAGGTCTCAAGATGGCTTTGGATGGCATGCACGCCCAGAAAGGACAGTCACCACCCCAGAGTTCATCCTCGATAATGAGGGTGGTGAGACCCGAGGCAGTTGTTTTTGAGGCAACTTGACGTCCGCATGGCCCGCTCCCAATCACGATGATGTCGAACGTCGTTGTCTCAAGTGTGTCAGGAAGGTAATTCGCTGGATGAAGATTAACGGTACGTGATGCAGACGCCATAGTTTCAATCGCTCGGGGATGGGTGTGTTACAACGTTTGTGATGGAATGAGTGCTGATCTAGGAAACCCAGACGGGGGGACACGAATTCAAATACTTCTTACCGGCAATTATTGGTTCTCAGATATAATCCAGCAATAGACACATGGAAGATGACTGTACAACAGACATGGAGGGCTTCTGGCCATGCGGGAGGCTCATCGCAAGTCCCATGCTAGGCTCGATTTGTCTCCTCGAAGCGTGGTAACATGAGGACATTGGGTGTTGGGAGGCTATGTGAGCAGGGTACCCCCCTGACCATTGACAGATATCGAATGTTTCGGTTACCGTACGCGGACTAAAGCTCTTTGCCAGGTCTCAAGCATGATGGACTTCGGAAAATCTTTGTCATCATGCACTAGTAGAAGCAGGTCATGCACCGAGATCAGCACCATCCTTTTGGGGTTGTCTCTGACTGGACGACCAATATCAGAAAACTTTGTTTTGATGACTATTGGTTTCATGGAGGGAGTGCAAGTCTGTAAACGACGACACGATTACTAGGGACCTTGGCTGGTCTGCCTCTGAATCAATCCTTTGGCACGAAAGGTCCTGAAGCTCGGATGACGTCTCGCACATTTTCTCAATGACATACTGGTTTCCATGATGCTGCGGTTGACCTGAGAATGCCGAGATACTTACGCGAATTCGATGCACTCCGTCCCGGACTGGGAGAAAATGATTCCCGAGTTGGTGGTCAGCGGGATTTGATGCGCGAGAAACTAGTGAGAACAAACACCTTTGCAGTAGAGGCTTATATGTTCCGCACGACAATGATGTAGGGCGAAGTATATTTGTTTTCAATGAACCTTTTCAGGGGCTAGTAAAGCCTTAGTATCATTTTTTCTTGCCGAGGTCACAATCACCTTGTCCATTCAAGTCACAATGATAAGATCGATCTTTACAAGGTCGTAATACCGTTCCTTGTACATACGAACGTTCTTGGGCTTGTACATACGGATTTTGCTTGTACATATCACTATTCCTTGTACCTCATCACGGGACACCTCAGATCGACAGGATTCACTGGCCTGGTTGTTCTGGGGTTTTGCCAGGGCTTCTCAGACACCTTCATCTTCGAAGTGGGCATCATCGCTCCCTCTTTTCATTATGGAAATAGATACCAATCCGGACGACTCGAAGATCTCGACCGCAGATCAACTGGCCTACTGGAACCAGATCTCGGCCGACGAGGACGGCATGCTCGGTGGGTACCCACAAGTATCGAGGATCGACATTCAATTCTCGAGGACGTTTCTGGGCAAACTACGAAGACTGTACCCTCCCGCGACAAAGACGACGACGACGACTACAACATACCCGTTCACGAGATGTCTCGAGACAGGAGCCGGCATAGGTCGCGTGACACTCAACCTTTTGTCCACGATCTGCGAACGGATCGACATCATCGAACCAATCGAGAAATTCACAAATGTCCTCACAGTATCCGACTCGCCGCTCGTCAAGTCGGGTCAGTTGCGACGAGTGTACAATGTTCCCTTGCAAGACTGGACCGTCGAGACCAGCCCTTCGTGGCAAGCGTCGAATGATACATCACCACCACCACCAACAACAACAACAACCGCAACCGACGACACAACAATCACCCCCACCCCCACCAAAAACAAAGCCGACCGACCACATAAATATGACCTGATATGGAATCAATGGTGCCTCAGTCACCTTTCCTTTGATGCGTTAGTGAGGTACTTTGCCAGTTTGATCCCCCTCCTCGCCGCCGATGGCTGGATCATCGCCAAAGAGAACCTGTCGACGAACGCCTTCGGGACGGACACCTATTACGAAGAGGACAGCACGGTCACGCGGAGTGATCAGAATTGGCGTGCGGCTTTTGAAAAGGCCGGCTTGAAGATTGTAAAAACTCAATTGCAGACGGGATTCCCAAAAGATTTGGGTCTGTTGCCGGTGAGGATTTATGCCATGAGGCCGAAGTAGCGTGTCGCATTTGCCATTCTCCTTTTTCTTGGTATGTGTCTGTGTGAGCCCTTCACGCCGTATACGATGCTTCGGTACGCATTCGAGTCAAGCCACACCAAAAACAGTCGATCGGTCCATGGCTATTCCTACCGCCTTTAATGCTGTCTTCGATCGGAGATGGGAGGACGTTCAAGCCTGGTGTACATATCGGCCTCTTTCATGCATCAACCTTGTGTGTTAGAGACCGACCGATCCGGTTTCGAGATGGCTACCAACGCAAAGCTTTCTTAGTCCCGTTCGGTTCGAGGCAGGATGGCACACTAAATATCCGTGCCAGTGGCCTCGGTACCTGACCTCACAGAAGACGACGACCGATTGCTCCCGACGGTGATTATGAGCTGACAAAGCACCTTTGGTATGGCTACATATGAATATTAGTTCATGAAGGAGCGACTTCAGCAGGACATAACTCGGAAACAGCGCTGGAAAAAAATGACAAACACATGACAACTGCAGCACTTTAAGCTGGCTCATTACTTGTTATCTCATTATTCAATCACCTGCAGTGCGTGTAACATGTGACAATGGCTTCCCAATTAGTCACACAACAGTAGAAATGTCTTCGATCGCCATCCTGCCAGGCTTTTTCATTGGGCTTCGGGTAGATAGCGGCTGGTGTCTCGTAAAGTGTCCTGCATGGTTTTCTCTTGTTCGAAACGGTATGGTCAGTTGAGGTCGAACATCAAGCGATCAAAGTACATCCGTTGAAAGTCGCGTGTTTGTGATCCATCATTGGAGAGCATACAAGTGCAGGTCCCGAGAGTCGAAATACCATAGACGCAGACTCGTGCCTGGTTTATGAGCCCTCTGCACTCGTAGTATCGGAGAACTACCTCCTTGGACTACCGATCGCCACCGCCACTCCTTTGACGAGCTGGCAAACACTAGGTTCCACTTCCCAATACGGCAGGCCAGGTCTTCCCTTTCAGTGAAATTGCGACACCTGGGCGCGGTGTATCACCGATCCTGCGATTCTTTGTCCGAAGATGTCGCCTCCGAGACCGTTCGTTCCAACTCTGTCCAGGATGGGATTGAATGTCGGCGGGCGATCCAGTCGTCGGAATACATAAATCCTGCTTTGGCAATCTGAAGAACCAAATCACCCTCGCGCCGTTTGACCCACGTGTTGGCTAGCTGTAGAATTATTTCCATGATCTGTTGGTATTGCGGATTCGGCGCCAGGAGCGCGTCGCCGGGGTATCTCGATGCAGATGCACCCACAAATACCAGCCACAGCAACAAATCGTGTCGGAGGTTCCAAGCTTCGTCCCTGATTGTGTCGTGGAGAACTTGTGCCAATTTTTCGGAGAGACTGACGGGGACATATGCATGGGCACGGGCTTCCTTGCAGCACAAATGACAAACGACGTATGCTGCTAGTCGACAACATTCAGACACCGGTCCTAGGTTCTCAGAGGCTTGCGGGAGGACTACAAGGCGAGACACTATCGACGCTCGGATGTTATCGACTGCCACGGGCTGGATCGAGTTCATCGCCACCATTTTCTGGAGTCCAATGATCTCCTTGATGCACAAGAGTGTGTCATGGTGTATCACATCTTCATGGGAAACGAAGCCAAATGGCAACTCCTGCCGAACCTGATGAGTATGATCCAGGATAGCGTCGAACAGACTTGGAAAGTCTACCTCGGAAAATCTCCGTGGTGCTCCAGAGATACCAGCACCAGTGAGGTCGTGCCTGTCGCTAGCATTAGATAGAATTTGTGGAGTTCTGCGACGCTGACAACTCACCAAAATACTGCGCGGAGGACATCTGAAGGGAGCGCCGATCCGCTAGACCTACATACTTGCATGAGCCGGTAAAGTCCTTCCGAGTGAGCTGCATACTCGTTATGTTCGCCAGAGCGAGACTTCTCTGATCAGCCAAAATCACACAAGAGTAGCTCATCAACTCACAGCAGCATGACAAAGCATCAGTATAGCGCAGATAGACAGAGATCGTACAGTAGTATTGTCCCGTGGCAAGGCTTCATGAAGACATTCGATAGCCCGGCCCTTGAGGTGAAGACTCTCATTGGAAGATGTCCAAGAGTTGGATGAGAGGACCATGGAATGCACGAGAGCGAACAGGAACGCCGAATTCCCGAGAAGATCAGGGAACACTGACAAACTTGCCACGTCACATTCACCATGTTCTGCTGTGATCACAGGGGCAATGGCCATTTGAAAGGCATCTAGAGAACATCAGCACGGGATATCCAGCCTTAGTCAAGGGGGAAACTTACTGCTAGTCAGCAATTGATTCACTCTGGCTTCATCTAGCCCTGTGACTGCCGAGATGTCTGATGTGTAAGGATGGGGACCTGGTATACTAGAGGCGGGGCGGCCTCCCTGCCTAGAGTCTGAGTGTAGTCTTCCTGGAAGCAAGAACGAGTATCGTCGAGAACTTGCTACAGACTGCTCCGGCTCATGTATTCGAGCCTCCTCATCGGGCTCTGAAGTCATTTGCGAGGTGGTAGGAGTATCTCTCGGCTCGGAGCGCGACACAAATCTTCTTTTTTCGGGTCTGATCTCTCCATTCTGGGAGAAGTCGTCGACGGACAAGGATCGAAAGTTCTCCATTCGTTGAGTAGTTCGCTGTTGCAGTCTCTCCAGGTTGACTTGCCGCACATGTGACCGTAGCGCCCGGATTTGCGTAGCGTCCAGAGGCGTTCCGGGTTCATTTTCGTGAACGAAATGAATCTTGGGGCTCCTCGGCATTTGCTCAGGATTATAGAGCTCGGTCGGGTGATTCTGAATAGGGTGCGGGAGGTTGACAAGGTGTGGACGGGGGATGGAATGGTCAGGAGGATCGATGAACCGGGAAATGAGTGGCGAATGCAGGGAAACAACGATATGATGCTATGCCTTATGATCCTGGGCACCATTCACGGCCAGTAGCCACCAATGTAGTGAGGATATTCAATTAACGGTATACCTCGCCTGGTCCCATCAAAGCGCCCGCCTCGCAACAGCTAGCCAAGAAGAGTTCTGCAACCACGCTCCAGTGGGCTAGTATCGTTTGAGATGGAAATTCGGAGGTTTGCTATGCTCAAACTTGATATAGTTTCGACAATTGAACTTTTATTGATTAGCCAAATGGTGACATGCCGAACCGACTTTGACTTGTGCGAGCGCTACATATATCAGAGTCAAGACGTTGCTCGTGATTTTCAGCCAGGCGTTAATGGCTACATTTTTCATAGCCCGTAGATGATCTTTCTCATGGATTGTGACCATAGATCGTTTTTGTCATCCATTAGGCTAGGGGGTCCTGGTCGCTGCACATGGCACGACCGAGGCCGTCTTTGGAATCGCTGAGCGAGGCATCAACGATTTGGCTCTTTGTTAGACTTGTTCAGCTTCGGCCGATGGAGCCATCCGGGACGGTTTCCTTCTACGTTTTCCGTGGAAAGAGGATGGAAATAGCATGAAGACATAGCAGTCGCCATCTGGATCTCCCATGCCAAGTATGATGACTTATCAGCGTGGCTAAATCTGTTCCGTTAGTGTGTTAAGGCTGCATGAGAGAGCGGGAAAGATGAAATAGCGCAGGTCTGGCAGTTCAAGTGGCATGTTACAAGTCAGGAGAGCTCATGCTGTTTTTACCAGGACTAATACGGCATCAAGAATATACGTCAAGATATCATATAGCAAAGCGAGCAGACTGGGATAACATTTTGCCAGGGCAATGAGATGAAGACGATCAGACACCGATGCAAACACCAGACGCCGCCACTGCCGTCGTCCGATTCGCGAGGAGCCGCTGACTAAATGCCTCGATTACTTATAGTTTAGTCATCGGGAATCGCGCTAGCCTAAACCAGGCATATCTCAACTCGCTAAGGTTTTTAGTGTCTGGGCATCATCAACGCCTTACATCTCGACTCTGTTTGCTCGTGTTGGCCCAGCTGCGAACAGCAAAACACAAACACCACCACTTGCCTGAGACATTTCTAGGGTTCCGAGCAATTCGAAATTTGCATGCAACATCGGAACCCGCCACAATGATACTCATATTACGCTAAATCTCGATCTTCAGCCATCATGCCACCGCCTGGCTTCTCCGAAATCCAGCAGCCCGTACAATTACCAGGTCGAGATTCCTTCGAACTTGCCTCGTTAGCAGATTCTGAACCCGATGACCTGCCCACATCCGAGACCTCCTCACGCTCTGGCATCTCCTCGTCTCGCCGACTATCCCTCGAGAACGAAGACCCGTTGGATGGCGCGAACCCGACAGGCCGCAGTGCATTACGAGGGGGACGTTCATACTCGGTTTCCTCTGCCTTCGACTTCACGCCCGCACTGTTTCCACTCTCGTCGACGGCCGGAGGGTATACAGCGCTAGGGAATCCATCAGCTGTTTCGCTCTCTGATCGACGCGGAGCACTTCAAAATCTCGAAAAGAACAAGACTTTGACATATCTAAATGGCCTTTCCCTGGTGGTTGGGTTGATCATAGGCTCAGGAATCTTTTCCTCGCCCGCACAGGTCAATTCCCACGCAGGTTCACCAGGCGCATCGCTCATAGTATGGATGATATCTGGTCTGCTAGCATGGACAGGCGCGTCGTCTTACGCAGAACTCGGTGGAGCCATCCCCCTTAACGGCGGCGCTCAGGTCTACCTGGCCAAAATCTTTGGTGAGCTCTTTGGGTTTCTCTTCACCTGGTCGGCCATACTTGTCCTCAAGCCTGGCAGTGCCGCCATCATCGCCATCATCCTGGGCGAGTACATTGTTCGAGCCGCGATTGGTGCCGACGTCGAGGATATCAACCCATGGATCAACAAGGTGCCGGCGCTCCTCGCGCTCATGCTCGTCACGCTGTTCAACTGCGTGTCCACCCGCTTCGCTGCTAGGATAGGAGACCTCTTCATGTTTCTCAAATTCATCGCCCTCGCCGCGGTGACTGTTATCGGCATCATCGTGGCAGTCACGGGTCTCTCCTTTAACGGCCCCGCCAACAACGACTGGCGCACGCATTCCTGGTTCGAGGGCACTTCCAGCGACATCTCCAACTGGGCAGTGGCACTGTATGCCGGGCTCTGGGCCTACGACGGGTGGGACAATACGAATTACGTGACGGGCGAATTCAAGAACCCTTCCCGCGATCTCCCGCGTGTTCTGCACACGGCCATGCCCGCCGTGATCGCATGCTACCTCCTCGCCAACATATCCTACATATTTGTCCTGCCCCTCGAAACCATCAACAAATCCAATACTGTTGCTGTCCAATTCGGCAGCAAGGTCTTTGGTCCGATCGGCGGGCTCATCCTCGCACTCATCGTGTCGGCGTCGTGCTTCGGCGCCCTCAACGCCACGACCTTTACGTCCGGCCGGCTCGTCTACGTCGCAGGACGCGAGGGCTACATTCCCTCCGTGTTTGGCAAGATCGGTTTCGGCTTTGGCTCCGGCTCGTCAGCCTCTGAAACACCCAGACCTCTGAAGAAACTGCGCCGACGGAGCTGGTTCAGCAAGTTCCTCTCCCGGGTTTTTGGCGACGAGTCCATCGGCCTGGGCTACACGCCCGTCAACGCAATGCTCCTCAACATGGCTCTGTGCATGGTGTACGTCTGTCTGGGCGAGTTCAAGACGCTCATCACGTTTTACGGCGTCGCCGGGTACACCTTTTACTTCCTCACCGTGCTGGGGCTGATTGTGCTGCGCATCCGGGAGCCCCATCTGGAACGGCCGTATCGCACGTGGATCACCACGCCCATCATTTTTTGTTGCGTGAGTTTGTTCCTGGTCAGCCGCGCGGTGATCGCCCAGCCTCTGCAGACGGTCATCGTCGTGGTGTTTGTGGCGAGCGGCATTCCGGTTTACTATTGGCGCGTCGCCGGCAGAGATGACGGTGGCGTCTCCGGAAAGAGGGAAACCAGGTTCTGGCGGAGATGGGGACGGTCTTGAGCGGTTGCCGTTGTTTGTGTTGGCGTTGCTATTCGCATGGGCTCATGCATGATGACAACCATATTGTTTTGGGGATCGGAACGAATCTTTCTTGCATATCTAATTGTTTCGTGTACTATACACCTTACCCAAGTATGCATCGTTGGGTAGTACTCATAGCGTGCGTCAAAGAGACTTCTTTTGGTATACACATCCAGTATCGTATTAGGCAGATCCAGATTCCTCATTAAGTTCTGCTCGTACAACCATGTTCGTACAAATCATATATGTTTATCCGGCCCCCAAGACATCCCCCTCGGCAGGCTACCGCAGCGTCTTGTAGGGCGGATGCAGAGATTGCGACTGCTTGGTCGAAGTAGAGTCCCACCGCGTCGATCTTTTGGAAGACGCCGCCTGTGTACTGGTGCCCACGTGCCTTTGGCCGCTCGCCTTCCTCGCTCTTTTGCGGACCTTGTGCGCCCCAGTCTTGTTGGCCGACGAGGCCTCTAAACCTTTGTCCGGCGACTCTCGGGGAGCATCGTGCTTGGCCTTGGTCCACAACGGTGAAAACAATACCGAGCTGGGTGTTTTGTTCTCGGCCAGGTCTGGAGAAGCGGACTTCGCGGTCGCCACGCTCATCACTGTGGTCTTGACTGCCGTCCGTCTCTTTGTCGATAGAACTGTCGTCGAGGAAGGGCTGAACCGTATTGCGCGGCTCGTGTCGGACATGACCGATAATCTCTTTTTCCGCTCTTTGGGAGAGGCATGGGCTGCCTTCTTATCTTTCGGTGAAATCTTCACGTCATCCGAACCTCCATGTGCCACCTCCTTCAACCGTTCAACTTCTTTCGTCAGGGCCTTCGACACATCGGACTCTGCTGATGAAACCTTGGGTGGCACGGCCTCCATCTGAAACATTTCCTCAGGAAGACTGGCCTTCTCATCTAGAGCTTCATATATCTCAACTTCTGATTCGTCTGGAAGGCCTCCCGGCTTTCTTCTTCGTCGCTTACGGGATTTCTTCTTTGTCCTAATTTTAAGAATCTGTGCAACTTCATTCTCGGTGCTTGGCGCAGAGCCAAAGCCCCTCAGGGTAGACAGATATTTCCGATCAATATCAAGCAGAGGTAGCTGATATCGTTCGGCGGCGACAAGGATTCTCGAGACGGCATCATCAACCTCCAGATACCCCGCGATAGTCTCTAGGTTTTCGTGGAATGAGGTGAAAAGTACATACGCATGCAGGTCACCGTCTTCCTCAACATATGCCTGTCTGACCGAGGCTGGAAGGCTTTTGGCCAGCCATGGCAGGTCTTTCGCGTGCAAGGTGTCTTCATACATCGTCTTCGCCATTCCTCTTGCTAGTCCCAGCAAAATCTTCTTACGTTCGACATATGGAAGATTCAACTCCCTATACGTCGCGCGCGCAGGCGAACTGGTATCAGCATAAATCAAGACGGGCCCGAGATTTGGAGACGGGATCTGTCCTTGGCTCTCCGCGGCCGATGCTGCACCAGTGTCACGCGCTCTGCATGCAGCAGCATACATTTTCAAGGCTGCGTAGCCAGTTGAAGCCAGATCTGTCGGTGTCAGCCTGAGCATCAGTCACGACTCAGAGTTTCAAGCACTTACTGTGAAAGAAGAGGGATGGGTTCTGGTATGCAGTTCTCAATCCCTTCGCGAGGTCTGACTTTTGTGAATATGCGCCAGAAGCCTTGGTGGTCCACGAGGCATCGATAGGTGATTGGGCTGTCGCGATGTGGCGTTGAGGTTGTAGCCGGAGGTCATGGTATTGGATAAGCCTGTGACAGAGATATTTTGAAAGCAGCCGTTTCTGGTGCTCGATGTTGAAGCCAACTTTCAGGATAGATTCATTCTCAAGGATCGGCTCGAACAGCCCGGTTGATATGACTTCCATGGGACCCAGATATCCAATGTGGAAGATTGCCACTTCAGTTTCAGTCGTCATGACCACAAAATCAATTGGGAGGCGTGCCGAAGTGAGTGAGGTGCGGGAAGCCCCCTTACTTGATGATACAGCTCTCGCTTCGGGTGCATCTTTCATGACCAGGTCAAGAGCAATGACTCTGGTCTTGGAAAGATCCTGAATAACCGTAGAGGCCCTCACAGACGAGGTGATGTATTTCACAGGCACAGACGGCCCTTGAGGGTAGAGACACCCGGAAAGCGGCAACCGATGATCTATAAACCCTGCGACGGGCACATGGCTTGCCTTCGGTCCTCGATCGACTGAATTAAGATTCTCAGGCACTCTCATCAGGCTTCGACTAACTGGTCGCGGGACAAAGCCCAGGCATAGATCTGCGGCAGCTTTCCAATGAATAGCAGCTTCCAAGTCACGCCAAAATCTGCTCCTCACATGGTGTGTTGCTTTCCACTGCCATTCACGATTTTCAAGGAAAAGATTAAGAGCTGGACGCTGATCCACTTCTGCCTTGAATTGTGGGTTGAACTTCCTGAATCCTTCCATTTCGTCCTTGAAATCGATAACGAGCTTTAAGATATCGTTGAAATTCTGTTGGCATACCGTGAACGGTCCAAAGTCCGACACTCGTGCCAGCTGGAGAGGTAGGTCAGACGAGGTTGAGTCAATGGCAAACACCTTCAAGCCGCGGAGATGATCCCAATAGTGGGCCTTTAGAGTTGAAGCGCCCCGGGCAACCTTTTGTATAAGCAGCCACAAGCGAAGATCAGACCATTTCCTGAACACATTTCTACTAGTTTTGACAGGAAATGATGAATGTACCCAGAAACCGAAGTTACGAGCTTCATGGAAAATCGCATTCGCGGTGTTAGCAATCCGGTTTAGGGCAAGGTAGAACTTGAGGTCGTGGAGGAGATACTGGAAGAGTTCTGGGTGGCGTTCGTAGCTCATGCGGTTTCTCCTGATTTTCCGAAGATGGTGGACTTCCAATGAAATCGCCACTGCATTGATGTCCAGCTTGGGGCGCAGGTCGATTATCTTGGTCAACGCGAGCTTGACATTTGGAGTCTTGCCACCCATGGGACTATACTCCCTCCAGAATCGCACTTCTTCATTCATTTCCCACAGGCCCCGGGTTTGCAGTCCCTCACAGATCCCTATCAGATCACTTGGTGACAGACCCAGGCGAGTCAAATCACTGAACAGATGGCCAGATTCTTGCAACAAGACATCAACTGAATCCTCTTGGTGCATATCTGTCATCTGGGCAACGGTTTCTTCGATGTCAGCCACCAATCGGCGTCTGTAAGTCCGCATTAGTTCGCATTCACCAGCAAAGTGTCGTCGAAGAGTGTCGACATTGTGAGATATCCTGCTCAGACGGTTGTCCAGTGGCATCACCAGATCATTCGCCCTCGTAACAGCTAGATCTTGGATGTATTGCTGTCGTGCAGCTTTCCTCGCAAGGTGTAACTCTTGGCCAATGACATTGTGCTCTTTCCAGGCAGCGAGCTCTTGGTGAAGCCGTTCCAATCTTAGCGTCGCCTTTGCTATATGGCCTTGCAATCGGAAAAAGGCTTCTTCTAGATCTTTCTGCCGTTGCATCTCCTGGGAGGGATTGTGAGGAGCCGGTCGTTTATCATCACTAGAACTCCCTGCCTTTCTTCGATTTCCGAGTGCGGGTCGTCCCGTTGAAACTCCAATACGAGAAGGTACGACCGGCGCTGGAGGAAGGGATGTATTGGCCGCAGGTGGGGGAGGAGGCGGAGGTCTATTCGGAGGTTTGGCAGTCGGGTTGTGCACTCTGTGACCTTGGGGAACAGCTAAAGGTGCGATCGTATGAAAGCCGTGGCGAGACTGGCGGCTTCGCGCAGCGGGCTGATCATCAAGCTTTGACCCAGAGAGAAACACTTTGGGCGTGTTCAGCCTCCTTGGCCGGACTGTGTTGTTTCGTGTCTTTCGGGACCCGTCTGATTGGCACTGGGAGGACAGCCCAGCAGCGCATATGGAATTCGAGCAGCATAGTGCAGGTGGCGGGTGGCTTTTCACATATCGCAATGCCTGGCTTAATGAGAGGCGTTTCTGGCAACAGCAGGTATGAAATGTCAATGACTGAGCAAGTTGGTTACAAGCATTGGAGCCATGGAGGGCCAAAGCGTAACCATTGTACATTGACAAAAATGAGTGCAGAAAGCAGACGTCGAACTCCTCGCACTCGTGGTCGACCGAGTATATCGAGTATTCTTAAGTAAATATAGAGGCTCTCCACGAGTTGGAGTAAATAAAGTACGTTGCTCGGTTCGTAGGATCCGCCCTACGTAGACATCTATACGGCAAAGTAGACGAACCCCAAGAAGTGCTCCTCGTTCATCTACTCGTAACAAGCACATCGTTTTGATCTTGTGTACTGATCTAAACCTCCATCGTCTTTCCCAGCTTCGAACTCTCTCTAGCAAGCTCAACAAGCTTAATCAGCCCCACAGCCTGCTCTGGAGGCACAGGGATCTGAGCAGCATCGCCATTCAAGGTAGCTGCCAGTCTTCGATAATACTCAACATACGTCGGCGGTTCCACCGTTGGCACGACCCGACTTTCAATCTTGTCGTTCTTGCAGACATTGAGCGTTCCGTATCTGTCTTCTGGCTCGTAGCCGTAGCCTTTGTCACCCGGGCCCAAGCCTTGCTTTCTCAACTGATCTTCCTGTGGATCCAAGTGAAATTTCTTGAACGATCCGTTCACGCCGCGAACCCAGAAGCGTAGCTGCTGTACTTCAGGGCTTACTACTCCAGCTTTGATCGTGGCCAGCATGCCTGGGTAGTGCAGCAATACCGTGCAAGAGTCCTCCAGGCCGGTCGGGTTTTCTGCTCTTTGCGAACCCACAAATCCGGTCACTCGCTGGGGCATACCAAAAAGGTGAACCACTTGATCCATTAAGTGAGTGCCTAGATCGTAAACAGCGCTATTCCCAGGGGTCGGATGTGCCTTCCACGTATCGGCCGGTGGGTCAGGACGATGTCGGTCAAAATGGGATTCGAATTCGACGACCCTGCCCAAGCTGCCGTCCTGGATGTACTTTTTGAGCGTCAGGAAATCAGAATCCCATCGACGGTTCTGATACACTGTTACAAGAACACCTTGGGCTTTCGCCGTGTCGACGAGTTCTTGTGCCTCGGCCGCTGTGGGAGTGAATGGCTTCTCCACCACGACTGCAATATCTAGTCAGTCGAGCGCGTCCAGAGAGGGATGAAAAACTTACCATGTTTCTTCGCGAGCAGAGCAGCCTTCGCCATCTCCAGATGTAACTCTGGGCTTGTCGTGACAATCACCACGTGAACTTGATCGTCCTTGTAAAGATCGTCCGCTGAATGATATAGCTTAATACCTGGATGGTCTTTGCTTGCGTCGTCATTGGGCTTCGGACTTCTTTGAACAATCGCGTACAAGTTGAAGTCGGAGACCGCCTTGATGAAAGGAATATGGAAGGTCTTCGCGCTCAGTCCATATCCGATGATGCCCACGTTGTACTTTCCGCCAGCCATTGTGGAAATATTTTGAAGCAGTCTTGATAGTGTTTTGGAACTCTTCGGCAGTGAGATGATATTTCTCTGGATTTTGGAAGGATATTTATTTATTTCTAGTCCTTCTAGAGCGTTGAATTCGTTACGACCACAATACTTTTACTATCGTCAGCGTTTTGAATGCAACTTGATGTTGGGTGGGGAAAGACGACAACTGTTAATATTTCCCTTTTGGGCCGATCCCGAAATCCACTTGACTCAACAGTGGCGAAGAAAATAGCACATGCAAAAGTGAGAATTCAAGAATGCCTGTCATGACTACTACTCGTATGATGATGAGCTTGGAAAGGCTCATAAACTGCTCGAATGGCTCTATCAAACAATCGTGGCTGACTAAGGCTACCTTGTCGCTGATGTTGTCCGGATATCCAAGCCAAGGGCAATGAACGACTTGAATCAGGACTGTATGTCTTTCAGCTCAGGACCAAAGACGTCGCCATCCTTTTCCCGTCGCTCCCTTTCCAGCTTACGCTTCTTGAGCGCCTTCTCTGTGTCGCTGCCTTCCCCCTCTCTCTTCTCAGCAGCCTTTGCCCTCGCAACTGCGACAATGTCAAGCTTTTCCGGGTCCTGGCAGACCGTCAACTTCTTTCCAATCCGTCTCATCTCCTTCCTCTGAGAAGCGTCGTCATTCGGCGATCGATATGCTTCAAGCAGAGCAGCACATGCAACAATTGTTGACACGATCTTTTCCTTGATGACAGTGCCATGATCATTTGCCTGCAATTGGGACAGTTTTTGTTCGAGATATATCTCGACGAGCTCTTTGTCTGCTACCATCATAGCAGCGAGCCAGATCTGACTGGGCGTGTAAAGGAAATAGGCATCCGTCAATTGAGCAGCCGTGGCCAGTAACTTCTTGGCCCGATCGGCAGCTTGGCCTATCCTCTTCGCTGATCCAGTAGATGTCGATATATTTCCTAGCAGGCCTTCTTCGGCCATTACATTCATTTCTATGTGGCCTCCAGCCAGACCTTTCATAGGGTGGCGTACATCCAGTGTGAAGCGGAGTCCTTGTAGGAGTAGAAATTCAGGAGCCTTGACATTGTCTTCTGTCAGGTCTTCGAGCTCTGCCACAAATTTCGAAAGTGAAATGTAGAAGTGGTCAGCCTTTGTTGCAAGATAAAGTGCGCATGCGATGATTTGTTTGGGATGATAAGTCATTGGCGAATTGGTGAGGTAGAATCGCCGAAGATATTGAATAGCCGTGGCCTATATACAAAGGTCAGAATCCGCTCACATGGGCATTTGTCCAGAGGTTTTTAAAAGAGGGAGTCTCGTGGTAGTGACATACCACGACGTGCGAGGGAATCCGTGGATTCATGGCCTCTCCCATATCCTGCATCTTGGAGCAACCCCATTCGACTATCTTCAGTTCCTCATCGACTGTCAAGGTCTGGATTTCTACGGGAGTCTCTCCCTGTCCGTCGTTCTCAAGGGGATCATTTGATCCATTCTGAGATGATTTAGCAGCCTGTGCTCTTCGGAATGCGGCTTTGACACGCTCTGAGGCAATATCGTTAGTGTTTTGGCGTATTTGAGCCAGTCTGTTCTTTGTGTACGACCAGAGTCGATACTGTGACGACGATCTGTACCCATCGTCTTCGATCATGATGGGCACGAGCGAAGCATCGCAAATGATCTAGACTCGATTGAAAATTCACCTGGTGTTGTGTCGTGTATTGTTAATTCGATGCGCTTTACAATAGTATGGAAGTGCCTCTAGCAAAACCTCGAAAATAATATGATGCTCAAATATCGACGATCACTTGATGCCGATATTATTATTCTGCACCCCACAGCAACACTAACACCAAGCGGCTGCATCTGTGACAATGTGTTACGGAGTATGCTTTAATCGCACCTACAGGGCCGTTGGAGAATCAGAGGCGCTCAAACTGAGAATTCTCATTGTCTCGTGTGGTCATCAACCGTCATGATATACATCCATGATGAAATGTGCAGTGGCCCCAAATCCTATGAACACCAGCGCTTTATGCAGCAATGCTTCGATCCCACCCTCTTAATATTCAGGGTTCACCGAGCAGTCTGGCGGTAATGTCACCCATGTAGGCCTCCTCAAGTTCATAGTCTTGTCCCTCATTGCGGTCAATACCAACATAATTAAATGCCTCTACTACGCGTTCCACATCAAATCCCATGTGCACGAATCGGTCAATCAGATCTTTGTTGTACCCATCATACACGGCCATATTTGCAGCTGCTTCACGCTCTTTGCTTGCCTTCTCAGCTTTTTCGATTGACTCTGCGGTAGATCCTCCACTGCTTTCACCGATCAAGGATTTTGGTGCCCCAGCATATGTCACTGCCCATGCCTTTGCTTGCCTCTCGAATTCCTTGGGGTCCTTGATCATCTGTTGGGCGACGACCGCATCTTGAGGATCCTTGGGTTCTGGTGAGTTGAGGAGAGATTGTAAAGATATCATGGCAGCCTTGATGGTCAAGACAGGGGACCAGCCTGTGCTGAGGGTATCAAGGCAAATAGCACCCTTTAAGCATGTTAGTTCTCTGTTGAGCCAGGTGGATCAGCTCGGGCGCTTCTTACCGTTACACTGGAGATATTCGGGTGCCAGATCTTTGTCACGAATTTCATCACCGGTGGCTTGAAAGGGTACTCATTGGGAATCTTGATAGAAACTTCATAGTTGCCGCCTTCGTATGGGGTCCCTGATGGGGCTTTGAAGGTGCCTCTGAGGTTTGTAAGGCTGTCTCCTACGGTCTCAGCAAAGACGGTGGTCTCGGAATCAGCTCGGATGTCTGCCAGCTCTTTCGCTAACCGTCTCGCCTTTTGCCCTGCCATTTTCTCTGCACCTTGATCGGCGGGGAAGCAACTGTGAAGCCGGTATTGCCGTCGGAGTGCTAGCGGAATGAGATAGAGGATTAAGGTGGACGGCTGATCGCAGAGAAAATCTCAGGAATATGAAGAGATCACTGCAATGCTTTTCATCAATGGACAAACAGTGTTAGGAGGGAGAGTAGACTGTCTTTTCAAAGAATCGCATCGAAGCAGGATGAGTCGCAGGTAGCCGGGAAGACAATAAGCCTGAGATCGCGATTCAGGCAGTACGATGCCAGTCGCTGAACTGAGATCTTGGTTCCTCAGGGAGGATTCTGTCAGGTCACACAGTCTCAACCAAGTGTGCCTAGTCTGTTGCCTTCTGATTGCCAGCCTCACTTTGTCAATTGTTTCGAGCATATGAACGCCGTGCGATCTTGTTGGAGAACGCCTTTGGGGGAGTCAGCCGAGGCTGGTTAAAGCGGCAGCCGAACCACTAGTTAGTCAGACTAGGCGCGCTTGCTGGCGTAACTGTGCATCAATTACCTGTGTAGCCATTGAACAACAACCTGGCTGCTTTCATGCTTCAGTGTTGATCTTTTTCTCTCTTGTGATATTTGAATTCGACATCTGGTCTCTGATTAAACATGGTAGGTATTCTCTGTTTCAGTCTGATGGTAGCAAGGCTGAGAACCAATAGGGAAATCAACAATCACAAATGGGAGGCGGCCCTCCTGGGCAGGGCGGCAAAGAGGATAAGGACAAGAAGGTACGCATCGTCATGAATCTCCGCATTGGTTTTGCTGACTGTCTCTTAGAAGGAGAAGCCAAAGTACGAACCTCCTCCACAACCGACCACCCGCATTGGACGGAAGAAGCGCAAGCAAGCTGGACCCAATGCCGCTGCGAAGCTGCCCACCATCTATCCTACTGCACGATGCAAGTTACGGTATCTGAGGATGCAGAGAGTGCATGATCATCTGCTTCTGGAAGAAGAGTATGTCGAGAATCAGGAACGCATACGCAAGACCAAAGCAGCGCAGACACAGGCCCCGGCTGCCGCTACAGAAGGCGCAGAGCTAGATCGGAATGCCGACGAAAGAAGTCGGGTTGATGATATGCGAGGTAGTCCTATGGGCGTTGGCAACCTGGAGGAGCTTATCGACGACGACCATGCCATCGTTTCAAGTGCCACCGGCCCCGAATACTACGTTTCGATCATGTCTTTCGTCGACAAAGATCTCCTCGAACCCGGCGCTTCAATCCTTCTACATCACAAATCCGTGTCGGTTGTTGGTGTTCTGACGGACGATGCCGATCCTCTGGTTTCCGTTATGAAGCTCGATAAAGCACCTACGGAATCATATGCAGATATCGGTGGCCTGGAGTCACAGATCCAAGAAGTTCGAGAGGCCGTGGAGTTACCTTTACTTCATCCGGAGTTGTATGAAGAGATGGGTATCAAGCCTCCGAAGGGTGTCATTCTCTATGGTGCTCCAGGGACAGGAAAGACATTGCTTGCAAAGGCCGTTGCCAATCAGACATCAGCCACTTTCCTGCGTATCGTAGGATCGGAACTGATCCAGAAATACCTGGGTGACGGGCCTCGTTTGGTCCGACAACTGTTCCAAGTTGCCGCCGAGAATGCACCCAGCATTGTCTTCATTGATGAGATTGATGCCATCGGCACAAAGCGATACGAGTCGACATCTGGTGGTGAACGTGAAATTCAGCGAACCATGCTTGAGCTCCTGAACCAGCTTGACGGATTTGACGATCGAGGAGATGTTAAAGTCATCATGGCTACCAACAAGATCGAGACTTTGGACCCTGCACTGATCCGACCTGGGCGTATCGACCGGAAGATTCTCTTTGAGAACCCCGACCAGAACACCAAGAAGAAGATCTTTACGCTGCACACAAGCAAGATGAGCCTGGCCGAGGATGTGGACCTCGACGAGTTCATTGCGCAAAAGGACGACCTCAGCGGCGCTGACATCAAGGCCATCTGCTCCGAGGCCGGGTTGCGGGCACTCCGTGAGCGACGCATGCGCGTCAACATGGCCGACTTCCGCAGTGCGAGGGAGAGCGTCATGAAGACCAAGAGCGAGGGCGAGCCGGAGGGTCTGTACTTGTAACCTACCTGGGGAATATCACAGTTTAGTAATGGACTGCTCCGTAGAGAGCCTCGGGTTATTGCGAGACTCTACAGTAGGGGCTGTGGGCGTGTACTTTACATAGAGAAAGAGGATCGATTGGATCCCGGATGGAATAAAGACTACGGTGTTGTCGAAACTGTGAAATAAAAGTAATGTCTCTTTTTGACGGCCTTGCCCCCCGCTCTTCGTGTACGTTCTCGTTTCTCCTTGCAAGGTATCCTTGATGTTGTGTGTGGCTGGGCTCAGGAATGAAGTTGTGAGCAGATACCATTTACCATTATCAGCGGGATCACAAGTCGGTATATTACGGAGTATCCTCACCGACAACTCCAAAGTACCACTTTGCCCGGTCTAAAAAAAAGGGGGGGAAGAACACAGTCGGTGTTCCATTTCAAAAGTCGATCAAGGAGAGTGTTAGAGGTGTTACGTCCTCCGTCGCCCATGAAGGAGGAGTATAGTACCCGTCAATTCATTTTCATTTCACTCATTTCATACGGAGTATGGGCAGGGTCGTTCCTAGGGTCAGGTCCGGCCAGGTAGTAGCTAGTAGATAGTAGGTCCCGTTCATGTCGTCTTGGGGTTAAAAAAGAGAGAAAAAAAAAGAAAATGTCCGGCCGGGGTACAGTTCCCACGCTTTTCCAGGATACAACAAGGGACAGGGAAAAAGGTATCATTTGATGTGTTCGTTACGTTTCTTGCAGGCAGAGCCCGGAGCGACGCTTCCCAATTTAGCATCACAATCATCAATCAGGTCCTTCCACCACCCAGGGGAAAAAAGGAATGAGTTGACGCCGCAAAAAACAATCTCTCTCTCTCTCTCTATACCCGAACGTGACTCTTTGTAGGGCAAAAACGAAACAGGACACACAAAAAAGTGGCGGCATCATCATTATCATCATCAACAAATCAATCCGTGCCAGAACCCTTGTCACAACCAATTCTGCCCAAGAGCTCTTTTCTATCGCTGCTCCCAGCCAGTAAATTCACGCTGGATGAATGGCCGGATTCGTGTTTTGCTTTTCGGCGACCGCCAGTAACCGTTTCGGAGCTCGTTTTGCGTCCAGGCGAAGTCGGTCCCTTTGATTTGGACTTGCTCTTTGAGTAGTTGTGATCGGAGAGCGAGAAGTTCGGATCAGTGCTCAGCACTTCAGTCTCGAGAAACGGTCTCGTTTCGTGACACAGTTGTATCTGACTGATGCCGTTGCCGTTGCTAGTGCCGAACCTCTTCTCGTCCTCAGTATCCTGCTCGTCATCTTCCTCGTCGTCCTCATCGTCGGATCTATTATCTTCTGCTCCTTGGCCCGTGATGACCTTGTAAGCCACTTTGCATATAAGAACGAACCAGAAGAGCATGATGCCCTGAAGACTTAGCAGCATGCCCAAGAACGTCCACTTGATATTGTTGTTCCAACAAACCAGGCCCACTGGATCGCGGAAGGGTTGTGTCAAGTGATCCCAGTCGTCTGGGGTGGGAGATGGTCCTTGCAAATCCTCCACGCTGCCTTTGTAGCAACCATACTTGATCTCTTGGGGGATATGCGCGTAAATACTCCAGCACACCAACATGTAGATAAAGTGTCGGTTGATGAGCCAGACCACCATGAAAGTCCCAAACGCCACGTCACAGGCCGTTTCGAAATGCAGATACTTTAAAATCTTCGCAAAGGAAAGCGTGATATCCACAATGTCCATTAGACAAAGAATGACTGTTCCGACACGGTATTGGTGATAGCCGTACGATGTGAAAATGAGCGCACAGGTGACGATGTGATGGCTGAACATCTGCCAGTGATCCTTCCTCCGTGCCTCAATGTTGACCACAACAATCTGTTGTAACCAAAATCCAAACTGGACCAGGTAGTACCACTTTGCAATGCCCTCCATTTCGCGATGTGGCCAGTTGCGCCAGAGGGCGTGCAGGTCAAGCCAGTAGTCGGAGTTGTACATGATGTACATCCCTACGCACCAGGAGGTAGAGGAATACAGGACGATCCAAGCTTGTTCTGCGAAGCGAGCCTTTGGCTTTCTCTTTTTCAGACCCCACATGGATGCTAATGGCGTCAAGATGTAGTCCATCACAGCGCATCGTAGACCGGTGAAGACGATGAGCCAGTAAAAGACAAAGAATATATCGTCCCAACCGAGGGCAAAGGTTCCGGTGTTTGGGTTATAGTAGGATATGCGGAAGAATTTCTGGGTGTGATGCCGGGAGGCAGGGAAGAATATGTGTATGAAGAAGAGCATGGATATGAGGTTCACAGATATACCTGCAGTCTGTCAGTCGCATTCTCTCCAAAATATGTGAAAGGAGTGTGTCTTTACCGATCTGGTGGTCGACTACCCATGAGCAAGCCAGTGCTACACTGCTCCTCTCCTTGCCCTTCCTCTCCCATCGTGGCCATGCCATCTTCTGTGAGGGGGCTTCATTGTGCGGACGGCGTTCAGGCGTTTTCCTTCTGATCTCTTCTAATTTTTCTCGGTCGGGCCCTTGAACTCTAGTCATTATGCTGTACCCCAACCCTAGGATGCGTCAAGGGTTGCTGCCCAGGGATATCAAGCTCGCAAGACGGTACAGAGGAGAGAGGTGTTTGGTGCTAGCAAGTCATGTAGCAAAGCGGAGTGGACTGGACTGGACTGGTGTGGACGGGCCGAGCAGCGCAGGTTGCAGGTTGAATATGCGCGTGATCTGGAGAACGAGGGTCAGAAAGCAGAAGCTGCAACGAATGATGGATCTCGCAGACTGCACACTCCTCGCTAAAAGGATAGTGCCAAACAAAGAAAAGGTTGGCGTCGTAGCCGTGTAGAGATGTTGGTCGTAGTATTTAGTACTTTTTTTTAGGAGGGGAACAGAAGTCGCCGGTACTGGGTATTGTAGGATGGTGTGGAGTGATAGGGAGAAGTAAGAAATATTGGTGGGCTGGTGTTTAGGGAGCTCCAGGTGGGTTGAAACAGCCCATGGTGTCCTCAGCCTTTCCTTCCCAAGCTAGTTGCAGCATGAAGATCTGTGGGCTTGCAATTCATCGTCGAATCATCTATCTCATGTTGCCCGAAAATGCCAGAACGCAGACTGGCGGTGACCCAAAATGCACCGATTCTGATGACGATGGCCCATGTCCACATCATCCCAAGGACGGAGTACGCGAGTTGATAGAACGATTGGGCTCGCATGTTATGGCTACTTCTACTCATGCGCTGTCTTTTGGATCAATTGGCTTCGTTATTCCCCCTTGACTCTTGAGCATGAGGATACGAGTTTTGGTATGTGTGGGCTCAGTCCACACACGGAACTTTTGCTTCGGGTTGAATCCCAAGCTCCCGTTCGGCAGTCCCCAAGCTCTTCCCAAATCCCTGCCCCAAGCTTTGCTGCAGGGTTCAGGTCCAGGCACAAGATGTTTTTACCAATGATACCAAGCTCCGATGCTTCCCAGTTCCGTCGATCCATAAGCCATGAGCGCACACCACAGCAGCTTTTTGTTTCGTGTTACCTGGCCATGTCTGACTTTCCACTTTGTGACAGTTTTGACATGACTGATAATGAGACATTTTGAAGTCAGCGATTTAGGCAAAAAATTCTTTTCTTGCCCATCGCCATAATTTTCGATTCCAACCAAGTCCTCTTGTTCCCTTTTTCGGTTGTTTTGAGTCGCAGCGTCGAGTTGATTCTTGTTGATTTCTTGACCCGAACAAACCGATTTTCCATCGAGCCCTCCCCCCACCGGTGCTTCAATATCTCTGAATTGCGAAAGACGAATTATTGAGTTAATGAGTAGCTGTTTCGGATGCCGCTTCTTATGAACTCTATGTGAAGGGGTTAAGAGCTTCAGCTCCAGGGACATCGATCGGGGTATCGTCCTAGTCTGTCGTGTAGTGTTTGGTGGGAGCGTGTAGGTGTGAATTGGGACTGAATGATAGTGGATTTCGTTAGAGATGAGAACGCATGGAGCTTTTGGAATGGCCCACGAGAGGGAGTGTTCTCACTTAGGTGACCGTTTCTGTCCTCCGTCAGAAATGTACGGCAGTAGCCATCTGAAAAGTTCATCGCCAAAGTCCATATGGCTCTTTGCAGGCCTTCCACAATTTGATCGTACCATCTTCACTCCCAGTCGCAAATAGCTTGCCATCGGGAGAGAAAGATGATGACCAAATTGGTCCATGGTGGCCCTTGAGAACTTCTGCAGGATTATCAGTGTCTCGATCATGACTTTAGAGGTCCTCAAACAACATACCTAGTTCCTTCTCTTGTTCAAAATCCCAAACATGGACCCATGTCTGATTGGCCCCGCCTGTGACGAAGCGACCATTTGTAGCATTGATTGCCACACTTGAGATATCATGGTCAAAGTTGACTTGTTTGATTAGTTCGCCTGGACGTCCAGCATCGAAGAACAAGGCAGAATGACCGATTGAAACACTGATGATGCCTGGGTTAGGGTCACCAGATTGGTGTGTGGATAGTTCACATGAGCCAATGTCACGCTCGGTCTTGTAGCTTGTGATCATGCGCTGAGTTCGGAGATCCCACCAGCGAATGGTCTTGTCCTCGCACGCACTTGTCAAGATGTTGTAGTCAACGTTCCAGATGATAGACTTGATCGTTCCCCCATGTTCACCTATTCCAATTTCGAGGCCTTCAGAAGTCTTGCGCGGGGTCACTAGAGAAGAAGAATCGGCTTGTGTAGGCGACGCGGCACTGCCCCCTCTCGTTAGATCGAAGATTTTGAGCCTCTTATCCTGCCCACCAGTTGCGACACATTGTGGTTTGTTTTGTATAGGAAACGCGACAGAGCGGACAATATGGTTGTGCTCGAGGATGTTAAGGCATTCACCGGTCTGTGGATCCCAGATTCTCCTGGCGAGATTATAAGTGTATGAGTTAAAAGAGGATAAAAGCGGACCCACGCGGTAAAATCAGCGGAGCCTGTAGCTGCGAGTCTGGCATCTGATGACAGCCTCGACGACCAGACAGCGCCTTTATGGCCGATGAAAGTGCCGATCCTGAAGACATATTAGCCAAGTCACTGTTGTGGTCTGGTTGAAGACGTACCAGTCGCCGGTGATACCATCTCTCAGCATGGGATTGTTATCTGCACCTTGTAAGACATAACCATTGAAGATACGAACTCCTGCAACAAACCTTTACAGGCGGAGATGAGATAGTACTGGTCATCGTCGACGATAGACGAGAAGCTCAAATGGGTGACAGGACGAGAGTGCCCATGACAGGTAAGAGGAACAACTCGGGGTGTTTCTAAAGACACATCAGTGGCTATCAGAGTGCAGTGTGCTGCGAGACAAGGAGCATTCCAAAGAGGTGTATTATGTCTCACCTGACATGACAGGCCTGAAATGATCCTGGATGATTTGGTTTCAAGGCTTTGTGATTGTTAACGTTATGAATGATGCGAGGTGATTGAGTCTAAGTCTTGAATGGTTTCTGGTCAACAAGTCTTGGGTAGAGACCGGATTTTTCCAAGATATGGAGTCGATATCACAATCCTGGTGAAGTGGTCTCGAAATGTGATGAAAAGTTGAAAGCAGTTGGCCGTCCAGAAGTGACAATAAAGAAAAGTAGTAAAGCGAGGATTGAACAAGTGAGTCGTGTTCAAGAGCAAAAGCATACGTCACGAAGAGGAAAAGGTGTAAATGGTGTGTCCTTTGTTGCGAAGAGGTTTCTCTTTTGACGGTTGTAAAGCGTGCTTTCAATATCACTCTGTGGCGCTGTCTTTCTCTTTCTGTGGTTCCGTGGCTGATGTTGAAGATCTCGTCAAATGGAAGGTCAGCCGAAGATAAAGCCACATAGCCTGTGAAAACATCTACACGTGGCAAGGCTGTAGCACTGACTACCGTCTACGGATACATCGTCTTGGGACTGTACTGTGTCCTGTTTTTGACCTGTAGATATACAGTCTGATCTCCTCGCTTCTAGAGTCTACATAGACGCTGCAGTGACTGGTACAGTTTTCAACCCTTCCGAGTGATCAAAGGGATATGTCCACGCCGGTACTCCGAACCATCTACCAAGCATGCACAGAACCATCGTATGTTCGCAGTTTTGGCTCCGAGGCAGGTGTGAGCTCCTTGACGACTCTTAGCATTCCTCCTATCGAAACTTCAGGGGCGAGTTGAGCTTCAGGCCCTCCCATGTCAGTAAGGACCCTATTTTCTGTGTCAGCTTGTGCGCTGGTGTGGCAGATGTGCGTTTCTCATACCAGCCTGGGTCCATGGCTGTTACTGCAATGCCTTCCTTCTTCAGTGCAGTATACCAGTACTGTGTAATGGTATTAGCAATTTCACTGGATTCAGCCTACGATAGCGTATGTTCCTGACCTTGACTGTCATGTCCAGTGCTGCTTTCGAAGCCGAGTACACCGGCATTGTGTCATCACCAGCTCTTTCGGTGACAGAGCCACATCCGGAAGACATCTGTGATCGGTTAACAATGGAAAACCCAAAAATTTGATCTCGCAATGGCACACGATCCTGCGTTGACAGAGCTACTTACAAATATGACCTTCGCATTTTGAGCCTTTCGCAAAAGTGGCAGAGCCAGACGAGTCACAATTGACGGCCCAACAACATTGGTCTGGAATTCGGCAAGCCATTCCTTGGTGTCAATTTCTTCAGTGATGGGACCTTTGACTCCGTTTCGACCGGCGTTGTTCCAGAGCTCATCGATGCCATTAGGGGCATGTTTCTTGATTTCCTCCAAAGCAGATTTGATCGATCCTTCTGATGCGACATCCATGCCCACAATATGGACATTCTTCAGCTCTCGAAGTTTCTGGGCATCAGAAGGATTTCTCGCCGTACCAATAACGGTGGCTGACTCTGACATTTGCCTAGCAAGCTCATAACCTAAACCGCGATTGGCCCCTGGATGGTATTAACAGCGCGTACCATGGACTGTGACAGTATGGATTCAAAATACCTGTTATAAGGATCGTTCGACCCATTGCGAGAGCTAGTCAAGTGAAAATTGTGACTTTAGCGATTTATATCCAGATTTCGTTCGAGTCAGAATCAGCTCTCAGTCAGTAATGCTAGAGGGAAAGCAAAGTATTGTAATGATGCAAAGACGATTAATAGTACGTGATCGGCAGGACAGCGGCAAAGAACCGGCGTATGGCCGATGGGAATTTAGCCGACTTCAACTCAACTTGCTACACAACTCAAAAATTCTGTCATGAGGATGAAAGTGATGCTACTTTACATCATTACAAGTCCTCTCACATTTTCTCTAGAGAGTGATGAGAGGTGCTTGGTTTGTGCCGCCTGCGATTTTCAGCCTTGTGGATGAGGCACTCGTTGAATAAGGCTGTGGCTAACCGAAACGAGCACAACAACGTCCATGGTATAATGTGCAGCGCGCTTTCTTTCTGCATTCTCCTCTTGCACAGAACTTCAGTCAGTTGACAGTCGATACTCTTCCTGCATCATCTTCTTGTACAGTCTCCCGACCACGGACACCCTCATCTCTTTGTTTGACAGTCAACAACCTGGAGTGTATCCGCGCCTCATTCCATAGGGTGCATTGACCTTGTTACCACTCAGGACAATCCAACAAAAAGCCCAATGTCAGCAGACAGGAGCTTTTGTTTGCTTGGGTATCTCCTTGAAAGGGCCATACCAGCATTATCATGCACACAGAAAGACCTTGGAAAACCCTTTGACACTCCCTGACCTTTGTCACTTACATTGTTTCAGGAGAGTGGCAATGTTAGGATTCAAACTGGCAGAACAATGGAGTGCCTCTCTCAGTGTCCTATATCAATTACTTCCTCGTCCCTTCTGCTTCTCTAAACACAAACTACAAGATCACCACAGTTACTGCTCAACAGCCAGTGTATTCAAAGCGACCAATCGCTCAACAATAACCGCTCGACGTTTAACAGTAATCGCTTTTTCAACCAACCACTTCACAAAGCTGGCGGCAGAGCTTCAGGGAAGCACTAACTATCTCAGCAACATGGATAACCTCAAAAACGCGCTCCGGCGCTCAAAATATCGGCTGACTAATTCTTTCCGAAAGATTACAGGCTCTTCGAAACACTCGCGACTGAACACCAATCAATCGATCAATGCCAGTCGTGATACACTGAGAACGGTAGATATTGTTCCAGTGGCAGCTCGATTGGCGGCGAGGACTGCATCCGGTCGAATTGTCGGTCCGGTCCTTCGCTCCAACTGGGAAGATACCAGCAGTGTCGCCGATCACTCAAGTACAGAAAGTGCTAACAATTTTGGTGTTGCTGCTGGTCCTGCATCTTCCAATGGACAGCGTCGACGCATCACAATCACTGCTCGTTCCGGTATTTCGGCTGCTCATTCAGCACAACCATATGTGGCCTCGGCTGCAAACAGCGTTATGCCTGCAAGTACCTCTGATACCAAACCGGTAAATGATGATGCTAATCTTTCTACTGAAGCAGCACGTAGTGTTTCCGGTTCGATACAGACGAATTTATTCACCCCTACACGAGCAATCGAGTCTGCGACGGTACAGGTAGCAGCACAAGGAGATCAGGGCCGGAACACAGGCATCGTTGCTGCTCCACCATCTCCACGCCAACTACCTTCTGGAAATCTCAGCAGTGATACATTCAACCCCAGTGACAGCCTTTTTCCATGGCTCAATCACCGAGAACATCAACGACTTCCCGGCCGAGGCATTGATCAAACCCAACCTGCACCACCGGCACCAAATTTCGCGCCAACCGTCCGATTTCCACCGGCACAATCTCATGTTGAGCATGAGAATGGGATATCAAATCATACTATAAATATCACTGCGACATCGTCCAGCAAGGCAGGAATAGCTTGTGCAGTATCCGGAGAAACTTCGTCTGCTGCTCTGCAGGATCCCCCTGCCGTTCTGCCAACCGTGATTGTTTCTGATGGAGAATCCAGCAATCGTGCTTGGGACGACACAGATCTTGACCAGTTCGATCCTGATGACCACCACTGTCTGGTACGCGTGGGTTCTGAGGAATGGGCCATCAAATCTGTACAGGGCTCCTCCTCTCGTGGTTCCGGAAATGCTGCTGACACTGGAAAATCCGTCTCACCGTCCTCTTCTAACCGCGCCTGGGATGACACCGATCATGATCAGTTTCAAGACACCGGTGATCAACGTCTGGTTCGTGTTGGTACTGAGGAATGGGCACTTCGATCTGCAGAGCGCAGTTCTTCTCCTGGTCAATCTGAAAATGGTCGGCCATCACCGTCATCATCAAACCGCGCCTGGGATGATACGGACTTGGAACAGTTTGAAGCTGGTGACGATCAGCGTCTGGTACGTGTGGCGACCGATGAATGGGCCTTGAAGCCTGTGACCTCGTCGTCGTTCTCTACTTCGAACAACAATGCTGCCGGCGGTCAGAATCTAAACTCTTCCTCTTCTACCAATCGTGCCTGGGACGACACGGATCTCGACCAGTTCAACGCCGCCGACAATCAACAGCACATGGTTCGAATTGGGACTCAGGAATGGGCACTACAATCTGGGAATGTCAATGCCAATGGCAACGGAAATGATACTTATTCTATCATCAGCAGCAACACCGCTAACTCGAGCAATCGAGCCTTGACACCACCTCAGCCAATTACCAGTGTTCAATTCCAAGGTTGGGGTTTACGCCCTAGAGAAGTGACCTCTCCTTCGACCAATGGTGGTGGCGTCGACGGTGGCGGTGAAGAAGATGATGAATCTCCTGAATACCGAGAAGGTTTGGTTGTTCTTCGTAGAAGAAGAACAAGAGCAAGCCAGCAACCAGTGCAAGAGTCAGCAGCCGCCCGGCCGGTGTCGGAACCTCGTCAACCTGAACCTGTCGTTACTACCACCGCCACTGCAGCTGTCACGGTCACCATCACTCCACCCACACCACGTCTCCCTACTCCGACCCCGACACAAGACGAACAGCAGCTGTACGCGGCCGCTGCTTCTACTCCTGCCGGTGGGAATTTCAGATCTGAACGTGGTTTGTATTCTTCCGACTCTGAGGTGGAGGAAGTGGTCCAGCAGCCGATCACCCCTGGCCCTCGACCACCACCACGCAACAACCTAGGTCCACACGGTCTCAACTACATATTCCCTCACGACGTGTTCTTGCCCGGTGAAGCTCACACCAATCAATGGGACTCTCCTCGACACTTTGTTCCCTTTCAGCAAATGGACTTCGCCGGCATCACGGGGCTCGACCGAGCTCTACAGACCGCGGCCAACGAACATGCCCAGGTGTACCGTGAGCGGGAGGCCTACCGACACAACAACGACGTCAACTGTTTCAAGGTCGAAGTCTTGCAGAATCTTGTTGCTGAACGCGACGAACAGATCCGAAACCAACAGGCCGAGATCCTACGGTTAAATCAACTCCTCCAACTTCGCGACACCGAACTTTTGTCGATACAAGCCAGAGTTGGTCGATTGGAGGTTGAATATTATGGTTCAGGTTCTGCCTCGGTTTCAGATTTGGCCTCTGGTTCTGGTTCTGGTTCTGGCTCTGGCTCTGGCTCTGCTGATGTTGTCGACGACACGGTTCTTCACAATTCTCAATCCTCATCTTCCGGGAGAGCACAGACTGCTGAAAATCTGTTGAGCACTCGTGTATTCAACCGAGGTCCACCACAGCACGCCACCACTTCTTCGCCTTCCTCCTTGTCATCATCGGATTCAATCGATGATGAAGACGATGGCAATGGCAATGACTTGTTCCATACGGCAACTGGAGGTGTGGTTTACAACCCTGATGATGATGAAGACGACACCGATGACGACCAGAAGAATTGTTTCGGTGTGCTCACAGCATTCTCTGGGGTTCATCGTGTGTGGCCACAATGACAGCATTTTGGTGTTGTGCTTTGCATGGTTCTTGTCTTTGGGCATGGTACACGGCAACATAGATATATATTCCTAGGTATCTACTCTGACTGGTTTGGAGTAGAGGCATTCGGAGTTGTTGGGAGATCTTCGACTTTATGATACATACGAGGATGACCTGAAGTCATTGTTACAAATACAAAACATTAAAACAAAAACGAACATTTTCCCTCCTTTTTTTTCCCTTTGCATTATTTCCCTCACAATCATTGCTGTCTTCATAAGTACTCGTACTCATATCCATATCCATATCCATAATTTTCCCTAGACATTAATGATCATATCCATCCCCATAGTGCGTACACTTCTGTAACGTATGCAAAGTGGAAATCATAAACAATGCCCTTCAATCTCAATGACCCTCCCACCATCCATCTCGTCATTCCGTAGAGGCAAGTCAGGATACATGCCTCTTTGGATCGTTCCCATCTCCTGTCCATCCTCCACACTTTCGATACCATTGAAATTATCCAAATCACCCAGATCCAAATCTTCAACATCACTGAAACCATCATCATCCTCCTCCTCCTCCTCCTCCTCCTCATCATCATCTTCTTCTTCACCTCTCATCCTCCACCACCATCTACTGCCCCTCCAGATACCCAAGACGTCCCCTCTCCGTTCTTCATCTTCCTCGCTCCCCACCAACCATTCCCACTTTTTCAAGAACCATCTTTTGGCCTCCCAGCTCCTGGTGTCCCAGGCGACGTCCCCGGCCATGCCCCGGCTGCGCGTGGTCGAGCGGTGACCGTCACCGCCCGTGTCCCTCCTGCCGGCCCTGGTGGTCGTGCCGCTCCCACCTCCCCAACACACCATCCCGCCGTGCATCAGATCCAGAAACAACTCGGCGTGGTCCAACAGTCCACGGGTGCTCGCGCAGATGGCGCGTTCCCTCACGAACGGGAAAACTATACAGTCCAAGTAACTCGGGTGAGGTTGCAACAACTGCGCCGGTGTGGGTCTCAGGGCGGGTTGGACCCGGTCCATGTGGTCTTGCAACTCCTTGGTCACGAGCACTCCGTGACCCAGTGGCCACCTCGTGTCCGAGTGTAACACGCCCCCTCCCGTACAAGGATAGTCGAAGCCGGTGTATCGAACCGGTCGGGTTAGGGATCGGTTGTCCGGCTGGTTGAGTTTGATGTAACAACCCGGGAACCTACTCGGGTGGTCGTTGATGTATTCACTCCTGCTTATCCCCACGGCGCTGGCGACCGCGATGGACGCCTCGATGTTGTCCTCCAACCACAATCTCATGTGGTTGGAGTATGGGTCGGGTAGGTGTGAGGCTTGCACGGGCACGAAGCGGATGTAGTTGCTGCTGCTGCTGCTGTTGTTGTGGTTCGTCCCGTTCGACGAGTGATGGTTATAATTGGCACCGAACGCGGGAAACATCCCGGATCGTCCGGATCGTGATGGTGGACTATTATACTGGGTCGATTGTGGCGTCAGGATCATAGCCGTGCTGTGCTGGTGGTGTTTCCTGCTTCTTCGTTTGTCACCGAGAAGTGCGGCGGGAGAGTATGTTTCTTGCGTTTGTCCGGGAGATCGGGGAGGCATGGGCCATATATGACGGAGATCGACGTCGTCGAGGTCCTCGTGGATGTTGTTGCGCAGGAGACTCGGATCCAGGTTGGGGTCGAAAAGAGATTCGATGTCGTGTGTCGTTGGAGGGGGTGTGGGTGTTGCAATATCTCGCCCGGAGAAATTCATGCCCGGGATAGGTCCCGAGGCAAAGGGCAAGTCGCCAGCGGCGGTGAAGGCATCGGCCAGATTTAGATTTATCGTGTCTGGTATTGTACCTGGTAGTGATGACGATTGATGTTGTGTGTTGTGTGTACGTTTCGCGTGAGGTCTTGTCTCTGATGATGATTGATCATGTGTGTCGTGTATACCTTTCGGGTGAGATGATGGCGACGACCGACGGCGTAGATCTGAACCTCGATGGCAATCATCACTTATCGTACCAGTAGGAATAATTTTGTTTTTCGTGGTCGATACATCGGGTGTCGTTGTCGTCTTCTTCGTATCAATAGGTCTGCCATCAACAACAACCACACCAACACTCTGTGCTAACCCTTCCAAATCTACAAGTTTCTTCTTCAATCTCTCCTTGTATAACTTTTGTGCTCTTCGATTTTGTTCCCGACGTTTTTCCGTGATGACTCGGACGTATTTTTTCTTTTTGGTGGGAATATTGTCGTCACCATTGACACCGTCATTGACATCGATATTACCATTTGTATGAGTATCGGTATTGACATTGGCACTGTCATCGTTTGTACGATATACCCGAGACTGAGTCTGTGTTCGAGTGTGCTTTTGAGTGTGTGGTCGGGTCCATGTACCAAAAGCCATAGTTTGATACCTATTTTAGTACTTTAGCACTTCAGCAAAGGTGTTTTCGATCCGGGTCTCGGCGTTACACGATGCTGTACACCGGTAGTGAGGATGAAAGTGTGAACTTGTCGAGGTGAGCCAGCAAGAAACAAGAAAAAGAGGGTGAGCCAATTCCAAATGTCCAAACGTTCAAGTTCACGTCCTCATCAATAACCCGTTGGACTGTGAGAGTCGCGTACTTGAGGATTTGGCTTACCCTACTTACATAACCCGTTAGCAATCAGGAGAGGTAAGCCAACTTTGCAAACAAGTAAAAAACACGGAGTTCCGGACCAAAGTCTTCCCCCCCACACCCACCCACCTTCGAGTATGTGTACAACGTCGTACTTGTTACTGCGTACTCGGCGATACTCCGTGAAGGGCTTTTTACCGGTGCTGTGGGAGTATATTCTGCTTACTAATATTGGCCATCAATACGAATACGAACAAGCGCCCTGAGAGTGATGCTTGCCATGATAGGCAGGTCGGCCGAACGACGTCATTCATCCTCTACTCCAACAATTTGCTTTCACACGGCACTTACTCCGGATAAAGCAACATTCAAAACGGAGTACTCGTACTCTACATGCCCTTGGAATTCATTTCTTGTCCATTCATAAATTCATTTCACCAGCAACGCCTATCCAACTAGGAAGCACTCCATAACCAGGGTATTATCCATACTATGCAATCAACCAACGACAATTCATCATTAAACCCTTCCCTTTGTCATTCTCATCAAGTTCCATGTCGTTTCGCAATCAACAATACCAAGTTTTGATCATCTCGAATAGACGCCATAGACACTTTGCCAGTGTACCAATTCCTTGGTCAGAGTCTCCATCATGTCCTGACTTCCCATGACCCCAAACTCCTTTTGATCCGTGATGTTCAATCCTGACTCCTCATCCGTTGAGTTTGCCTCTTTCAGACCAGCCTCAACCGCGCGAACCAAACTAGCAGTCGGTAATGCAGTCGCATCCTTCACTCCATTCGGTGTGTTTGCTCCCTTGGAACTTGCACTTGATGGTTGTGACTGTGTGTTTGTTTGCGTCTGCATGTGTCCAACAAACTCCAAAATGGCAGCAACACGTCTTCTCATCTCATTCAGACTAGTTCTAGCAGGGTGTGTCTTCGCTTTGGAACTGCGGCCACTCTCGCCGTGTATGCCATTGGCGCCATTCGGTGATCCCCCGTTGCCGTTGATATCGTGGGATCCATCTCTTGCAGGAGTGCCATCATCACCGTTGGCGTGATCTCGAGTGTACTGATTTCTGCCCAATCTTCCTCTTCTAGTTGCTCCTTTGGGATTTCTGCGACTGTAGTTTGATCTACCGGAAGGAGGTGTATCTGCTTTCTTGCCATTGGCTTGTGCGGCTTTAGAAGGAGAAAGGCTCGGAGTAGGTGGGGGAGAGTCTGTCATGATGAGCCCATATGCATTGATGAATTTCATGAATACAACGTACCATCTCCTCTTCTTCTTTCCGATCGAGCATTCCTTTTGCTGGCTGCCTCCGCACGTTGGGCTGCTTGCTGCTCCTTTTGTCTGTCGCGCATTTCTTTCTCTCGGTTGCTTCGTGCTGCTGCTCCTCTGGACTTGTTGTTTCTACCTTTACAGTTGGTGTCGTCTGCGCCAAGGTCAGGGGAGTTGCTGTGTTTAGAAAGAGTGGACGATGCATTCGACCCTGTCCGTTGCCGTTTTGAATTGTTTTTGTGACTGGAATAATGTCAATTCAGTGCCCACTCTCACAAAACGCATCAGCTTACTCTTCTATATCTTCTCTCATTCTCTTGCCAAGTGTGCCCATTTCTTTACTCTCCTCGATGGCTCTTCTCAACATTTCATCCTCGTCATAAGCACCCCTGCTGTTCATAGTTGCTCTTCTCTTTGTGCTCTCATTCTGCCTGTTTTTGCCATCTTTCTTGCGAGAGATTTCCGAGGCCGACGTTAGAGGAGAGGATCTGGTAGAGACTGCTTCGAGCACCGGAAGGTAGTGGGAAGATTTTGGCCTGGTTACAATTGTCAGCAAATTTTGGTTTCGGCCAGGTTTGAACTGACGATCCGTGTCTTTTGTGCACAATAAAGATGCCACAGTAAACGGCTTGTAAAAGGACATGAGATGACTGTACTTACCCACTAGAGCTCCTGGTGATCTTGTGAAACTCAGGTTTGCATTGTTCACAATAGTACTCATCGGGCAGCATAGATTCGTCCAGCAAGCCCATGCAGCCTCCATGCTGCCAGACACCACATTTGTCGCACTGGACAAAAAAGTTGCCAGTGTCGTCAGTCAGTGTGTCTGGATCAGTTTGTTGCTGTCTCAAGCTGGCCGAGGGGCCAGGATATTCAGCTTGTCCACAAATACACCGAGTAACTTCCTCTTCGGCAGCCTCAGGGTCTACATCTTCTTCTCCATCTTCAATTTGTTGTTTGACTGTTGGTTCTCTGTCTTCACCGTTTCTTCTGCTCCGACGCGGAGGTAGCTGCTCGGCACGAGACATCTCTCCAAGATCACCGGATTCGGATCGATTGATGGAAGGTCTTCTTGGTGAGTTTGTACGGTTGTTCGTGCGGACGTCTCGGTCGGGTTTGGAGTTGTTTGAGGTGGTGAAGGACGAGTTGTTATTGTTGTTGTTGGAGGCGGTGGAGGGTAGCTGTGACGAGCGGGCACGAGACGATCGGCGAGGGCTCATGGTAAAATTAGGCTGAGACACTCAATAAACCGTGCAGAGATGTGATCGAGTGGACGGTATAATGCTACAGACAACGTAGCAAAGCAGAAAGACGTCTGAGTGTGGGTGGGCAGGATTCGCGCCGAGTAGAGGAAGTGGGAAATTCGTCGTGTTTGTTAGAGTGCGGGAAGTGGCAGTCAGTCAGAGAGGCATGGAGGGAGACACGGATGTTCCCAGTGAAAATCGCAGCAGAATCACATTGCTCTCGAGGAAAGGAGCGACAGCGAAGAACGAAGAAGAGGAGGAGAAAAAGGTGTGTGCAGCAGATGAGACTCTCACAGACTGCGGTGACTGCAGCGACTGAATGCGCTGCTGCTTGAGCGAAGGGCCCGACGCACAGTGGCCAGCGCTGCCATTGGCCCATCCAGATTCTGAAGGGGAAAAGCGGGTTCGGAGCATATTGCATGAAAACGACCGGGCTGGAAACTCACGGGTTTTTCCCCTCAGTCTGTGACTTCAATCTCCAAGTTCCCTGCAGCAGGAGAAATGTGCTGACTGCCGTCATAGACCAAAGTGTGCCCGAGAGTGGCTTTGGAAAGAACAATTTCTTGTTTTTTTCAAAGTCGGGGCGTAGGAAGTCATGCAATTTGAATCTGTATAATGAAGTGAATTTGCTGATGACATGGTCGGTGGCTTCGGCCGAGCAATTGCCTGCTCCTATGGTCACGTGCGTTGGGGAAAAACCACTTTACAGTCTTGACCAATCAACGCGTCGCAATTCTTTTCCACTTTGCTCACGCGTCAGAGGTATCAAGGACGGAGTATTAGTGTTCTCAGTACTCCGTAAAGGGAGGTGGAAAGCAGGCCATACAGTACGGAAGAGAGTCTGGAGTACTCATATTCGAACCAAGAGGTTAAAGCAGTGCAAAAAACGGTAATTGATTCTCCAATACCCCTACTCGTACTCGTATATGCTGTAGCTGTTCTGTCCTCCAAGCTGATGCTGGCTGCGCTTTATGCTGCAAACCTCTCGATCAATGCTTCCAACGCCAAGTTGCGTATTTGTATGTCTTGGGGTAAAACGAATGTTCTTCGGAATGTCGATGGCGTATGATACAATTGTTTCGGCCGTTTCGTCGTTAATTCATGTCGTGATACAATAGAATAGCATGTAGTCTTGAGGGGTATTTGGTGCTGTTCAAAACAATGGCTCTGGACTCGAAGGTGAAAAATATCCGGGGTCTTCTCCCGAAATGCGATGCGATGCTGGAAGCTGCACACCTCCAGCTTTGGTGACTCCATCTCTACGTGCCATGATCAGTAGTTCTTCCTCCGTGGCCTTGCCTTTGTCTTTCCCCTTGGGCTTCACACTCGCCTCAACCAGATCGATACCCGGCCCGAGATCCTGACTGCCCGTCTGCGCCCTCTTATGTCTGATCAAGAGACTCAATTGGCTTTTCGAACGCGGTAACTCCACTGCATCATCTGAACTGTACTCATCGTCACTAACCGATGGCGAAGCAGGCATGGATAAGCGCAATGATGAAGGACCCTTGTGCACCTCTGGAGCTTCCGACAATATTGCCTTGTTTTTGCCCTTTTCCTCCTCCAATGGATCTTCATCAGCGAAGCGAACCACACTCTTATTCTTGGGCATGCGCATAAGGACTGGAAGATTGGTGAAACTGTTCAACTTCTTCTGCGCCTCGACAAACTTGCCACGAAAGTCACGCTCGACCAGATCTGCTGCAGTTGTTGCAGGCGCCGTCGCGCCCATGGGGGGCGTGGGCGTTCCTGAATTAACACTTTGCCAGGAGGAGGGAGAAGACATCAGGAAATTCGCCGAGTTTCGCAACACTGTGGACCCCAAGTGTCAGTGCAGAAAAACATGCAGGAGAAGAGAAACAAACTTACCAGGAGGATTGGGGAGTCCGGGTGGTGGACCTCTTGTATTCGCACGCCCGGCAGCATGGCTATTGCTTGCTGGGGCGGATAGTCTTCCAGAAGGCTCTGTAGGTATTCGGGGTGACTTGGGGGCATTTGGAACTGTCGATATCGCCCGAGATGAGCTTGATTTTCGTCGACCTAGTTGAGGTCTCGTCCTGGTTCTCCCTGCCGTGGCCACTATCGGGATTCTTGATCGACTACCACTAGTAGTCCGGCTCAGCGTAGGCCTGGAAGATGAAGCAGAGGCTGTGTTTGAAGCAGAGGCTGTAGTCCATGTCGTTCGTTGTTCTGGTACGTGAATTAACTCGTTTGATGCATCATACACGAGACGCCTTCCCGGTGGCTCTTGACACAACGGCGGAAATCCTTCCAAGTAATGAGGGTCTGTAGGATGCGATCGAGGGCTGATTGACTCGGAGGATCCAACCGTGCACGATTTCGATTCTTGCATCGGAATTGAAGTAGCCTGGATCCATCTTAGCATAGCGCACTTGTGTTTGCTGCCTAGACTGACCTGTGACTGCACCCTCGAGGATACATTGATATGTCCGATGGGACTAAGATCGAACTGTTCGTCACAGCGACGCCAAAGCCGCATGAGGCGAGGGACTGTCATATTATGAGCAAGCTCTGGGTCACTCCAGACTCGCCAAAAGAGATTCCGCGACCTGGTGCATGTTGGATCGCCGGAAAGGTCACTTTGTACAGCAAAGTCTAGCGACTGAATTAGCAACTGCACAAGAGCTGTTTTGAAAATCGGAGTGCACCAACATCTCCAGAAGTGGTGCAAGGCATCGGCATTGTCGGCCACAGAGTCGACAGCACCAAAGGCGTCTTGTTCGACAGCAGGGATCGTATTGATGAGTCCTCGTGGTAATATGGCTGTCATGGCATGCAACGTGTCGACTAGTAAAGTACTTCTCCGGCTTCAGAAATCCAACAATCAACCGCAACAAGGCAAAATGGCCAGCACATGTCCTTTGGTCACCGGCATTGGTAAGAGATTGCGAGGATGAGAATGTTGTAGCAAGAGCGGAAAGACGGGGGAAAAGCTGCAAAGTGTTGGCCCTGTCGCGGCAGGTGCAAATGTGGGAGAATAGGCAAGAACCTTGGGATTCGCCAAAGGTCGGTGAGCGCGATGTTGATCGGTATTTACGATTTGTGGGTTGTTGACCAGCAAATGGCGTGCGAGGAATTGTTGATAGTGATCGTGGAAAGGTAGATATTGGCTGTGAGGAGGCAAATGAGCTGGATGTTGCTGCTAACGTGGACAAGTGACAGTCTGAAAAGTCCTTTTGATAGGAGTTTGGAAGGTCTTGTAGGACAAATGGCTGGAGGCCCGCTTCCCTGAGGCCTAGACCAACGCTGACCAGTGGACCAGATGCGCGGGGTCCTCGACTCTGAGTGGCCAAGTGACTGGTTTCAAGTCTTCACCTCGCGAGCAGGTCTTACGGTCAGAGGTCGATCAATGCGAATCTGAGCTTGCTGTTCAGTGAGTTGAGGCGGGAAGGACAAGGACAACTCGGGGGGTTTTGCCCCGGGTATGCTGGTGGGATATGCGCTGGCAGGTGTGTCGAGCGTGGAGGACGACAATCCTCGGACTCGAAAGTGCGTAAGGGAACAGCAAGGAGCGACCTGGAAGGAAAGGGCAAGTAATATCAGAACAAGTTTGACTGGATGGAGGTGAAGTCAGCCGACCAGAGACAAGGCCTGATGGAGACAGGGTGGAAGCGGATAATGGAGTTGAGTCCAATGCAGGTACACAAGTTGGCGTTGCAGCAGTGAAAGAGCAGGGGATCAGTCCCAAGTATGTACTTCGTACTGTAGGGTCACAGCGGAATGGTCACGGAAGGGGATGGCACTGTTGTACGAGTACCAGGGAGGGAGGGAGACAGGGCTAGAATGGGAATTTCACAAGGCTAGACACAACAGTCATAGCCACAACATGTTACCCGGTTATCGCAAAGATGAAAATCTGGCGATCCAGAGAATGCACTAGTACCATTGGGATCACAAGACGACCGCACCCGATGACCAGGCCCAGGCGGGTAACAGCGTTAGTTCCGTTGGGCGGCGAGCGGTATACAACACGAGTATCGAGCTCGATGGACCAGGAGCTAAGGACCAACAAGTGGAGTGTCAACACAGGAGGAAAAAGTGTATCGGGAGGTTTGACGAGGATTGTGGCATCATTGATGTCAACAGTCGAGGGAAAATAACTACTGTACAAGATACGTGGGACGGACAGGTGGGAGACGGCAGAGGGATCCACACCCATCATTGTACGCAGTACGCACTCAGTACTCGTATCAGACAGTCGAGCATGGCGTGGGGAGAGGGAGAAATCCGATGACATATTTGACTGGAGTAAGAAAAGGTCGATGGCTGGCAGAAGAGCGGAAATACCCATCGAGGCTGTGAAAGTGAGGTGAGGTGAGGCTCTCCAAAGGGTAAAGAAAATGGCAACCACTGCGACCTGCAAACGATACGGACGGAGTACCGAGTACGGAGTAATGCTCACCGCCTCATTGCGAAAGTAGAAAGTATGTGGAAGAAGCAAAACATGGATGAATAGCCACGAGCAAGACGCGGCGCCCTAGTGGCCTTAGGTTCCTAAGGTTAAGACTTAGCTACAGTATTGTAAAGTACCTAGGAGCTGGGCCGGGAACAGGGGGGTGTGAGAGGAGGTGGATCGGATGCCCGACGCGGACCAGAAAAGTCGAGAACATTGACTAGACGGGACAGACATCTGTCGATCGACCAGAACAGAAATTCCCCCGGATGATATGAGATGATGACCATTGATGAGCTCGAGTCAGGTAAACCCGTCAATACTTTGAGTACCTATACATATACTCCGTATTGACATTGGTAAAGAAGCCATGTATCCGTACAGTGCCTAATAAACGTGAGACTAGAAGGTACCTAACGTGAGAGAGAGCCGGAAGACGAGACTTACCGAACCGGCCAGAAGCACAATAATGTGGTGCAACTCCCGACGTCGGACTTTTTTAAACACAACCCCTGTAAGTTTGTACTCGTGCCGGTTACCTACAGGTACTCTCTCTCACCGGGTGCAATGATTCTACTGGGTGGCACTCGTAGAAATAAATGCCTGCATGTCGTCCATTTACTCCGTTCAGTCTCGCTTCCTGTTGTAGGTGCATGGCCGAGTCCCAACGGGGCAATGCACCGCTTACCACCGGGGAAATCACACATGTCGTCCTTCCTTTGCTCCGTCTCTAGGACTCGGATTTCCTTGATGAAGCAACCGGGGGAGTCCGCACTGGGAGAAGGAAGTGTAACCAAACTACGGAGTATCACTTGGTACTACGCCGTAACAAAGCGTATCTACGGCTATTCCGTACCCTTGGGTGCTACCGGAAATGCCCAACCTACTTTATTAGGCATGGAACAGGTGCATCTTTCTGCCCAACGGACTCTCTCGTATACTAAGCGATGCCAGTAAACTGGGTTCTACAACTTCTTAGTGGTTTCCGTTCTTCCCTCAATGCCTGTGATGTGTGTGACGAACGACGTGAATACATTGCTGTTCGTCATAGGCAACACCCAACCACACACTTGAGCTCCGTCAACATTTCGATCGTACTCGTACCTGTTTGTACCCCTGGCACAGTTGATTCTCGCCCTCTTGATCATTCTCCCATGTGCTCCAACACAGCCCCCCTAGTCATAATCACCGGTAGGGGCTAGTCCCGCCTCGCACTACCCAACCCATCCTGTCGATGCCGGCATGTCATTACCGACATATCCCACGTTTTTCTTGGACGGGGGGACCTTCACTCCATCAAGAGGTCAGCCATGGCCGGGACGGCTGTTCAGTGGCGCTCGACTTTTCACAACGAACGCCATGCACGCGCCGTCCCAGCAGCTAGATCTCCGGGTTGGCACTGGCAATCACTGCCGTTGTTGCCACGGCCGGGTGCTTTTCATCCTTATTCCCGGTTTCGACGTTCGTCGGCCAGTACTGTCGAAAGTCGTGTCTGTGTCCTGTTAGCGTCCTAGGTTGTTTCTTCCGTCGCGGGTGGCATAGGAGGGGCGCATCTTACCCGACCAGGTAAGCCCTTTTCATCATCTCCCGTCTGGCCGCCGGTGATGTATTCATCGTCTTGAACGGCTCAACCGATGTCGCCGCAGTCTCAGGATCACTATCTCGGAGGGCGCAGGTGTTGCCATAGCTGACAGGATCGGTGATCTCCTTGTATACCTTGCGTCGAATTTCGGCGTACTTGTCGAGCAAAGAATCATCGCCGCCCTTTCGCAAGACGCCTATCAGGCAATCGGCAAGTCCTCCAGCGTCGCATATGCCACCCGTCAGACCCATACCTGCGTGCCCCATCTCTGTCAGCTATGGATCCATTACCTAAACGTCAGACGATAACTGGGAGAAAAAAGAAAACACACTCACCGCCAAAAGGAGAGCATGCATGAGCTGCATCCCCCGCAAGTAAAGCTCTCCCTTTCCGATATGAAGTGGCCGATCGCTGATGAAGGCGATACGGGCTGATCATCTCTATCTGGTAGGCATCCTTGCTCAGGGGCTTGGGGCCAGGGAAGATGGCCTCAAACTTGTTGTGAACATTGGCCAGAACTTCCTCCTTGGTCAAATGTTCCTGTTCATTGTACGACACTCGATACAAGCCTGAGGGATCGATCTTGCCGACCATACAAAAATGATCAGGGTGTACGATGAATTGACCCCGGGCAAAGCCATACTCTCTGAACGGATACCTCACATTGCATGCCACGAGCCACTGAGGCAGGGTGAAACCTTCATAACCGAGGTCAAGAATTTTGCGCACAGCAGATCGTCCACCGTCACTCCCGACCAGGTACTTTGCTTTGATGCGCTTGTTTCCTTCAGGAGTCTCAACGATTGCTGTGATTGACTCGGCATCCTGCTCGATGTCGACACATTTATGGTTGAAGAGTGTCTATATAGCAAAGGCAACGTTTAGCTTCTCCCTAAAGGTTATGACAAGACAAGAGCTGAAGAGGACTGATAGTCACCTTTGCAGAAGGATATCGGGACAGGTGGTCCTGAATGATCCGTGCCAGCGTGTACTGTCCACATATGACGGGGTCCTTGGACCCTGGGAGTTTATCCTCTGGCTGGAATTCGGATATCAATTTGTTGTCGATGGTGATCCATCGAAGCCGATGGTCGTAGTCGGATGGCTCCATGCCAACCTTGCGGGCATCTGCTGCAACTCCGGCTCTCTCGAGTTCGAGGACGGCTGCGGCTCCATAGGCCATGGCCCGTGGAGAATTGTCAATGTCCGGGAGACCCTCGATGAGAGTAGCGCTGATGCCTTCCTGTGCCAACAAGAGTGTCGTGATCAGGCCGACGGGCCCGGCACCCACGACGAGTACCTCGCAATCTACTGTGGTCGCCATTATTGCAGTGTTTTGATTTTAAGCGAAAGGCACTACCGGGTTCTGCTCAGAGATAGAAGTCTCACCATATTCTACTTGGAAGTAAACGATGTGGAGGTTGTGTCTTCTACGGAGGTACCCCATGGGGGCTTTTTAATAACATTCTCCTGCTCTCATTTACCCCACTTGCCCACAATGCTCTCCTTTTGCTGTCGACGTTGGGGATTGACTGCCGTAGTCAAAGCCAAAGTACAAGCAGTAGTAGTCTCCAAGCTGTTTGCAATAATATCAGGTGCTGAAAACAAAGTCCCAAGGCACGTGGTCCTGATGGTGTGAGTCTCTTCCCCAATACTCGTATTTTGTACGGTACCCATGAAACACGGCGTAGTGCCATCCACGCATCCTAGTCGCCCAGTCTGTGTATTCGTACACTGCATGGAATTCGTATCTGAGTGGCCGCAGCTGCTGGAGTTCCACGTGATCGTACTTCTTGTAATTGCACGGTTAATAAATCCTTCATCATGGTGGGCCACCAGCTCTTTTAGGCTATGCAAAAAGCAACGGCTCGCGACTCGATTTTCAGATTTCATGCTCCACGTCTACAAGTAAGGTAGGTATCTTCCCTGTCCATCATTCTGACCTGATACGACTGATTGTGGATCCGATACATGTCTGAGTGCATGATCGGTGATCAAGCCACAGACAGCAAGTTCCACCCAAAAGGTCCGTCAGTGTACACTGGACTGCGCTTATATGCTCGAAATACTTCACTTCCGATCCTTATCGATCAGAGTATCCGATGATAGATTCCATTGGCATGGATGAGTGAGCCGGCGAAAAGGCAGGCCCGTTTCTTGCCTGCGTTTTCCGCTCGGTTGGTTTGTCTGTAGATTTCCACTCACAAACACCACCAGGACAGCGGGCCAAGCAGACACATTCCATTCTCGGACCAACATTGGGGACACCATGATATTACAATGGTTTCAATGGTTTCTGGTCCTTTCTGAAATACATGAATATCGCTGTAGGCACTGCGATAAAGCTTTTGGAACTTGACTACTTACATCAAACACCTCGTACTCACGCTGATCTCCAGATCTTGGCAGTGGCGTACTGCGTACCCGCGTACAGTATGATTAATATTTCTCCTCGTCTTATTTCGTTGTGTTGCTTGTCGTCATCAAAGATAAGAAGGAATTGGATTCTTTCAGATATAACTGAATCAACTTCTGTCCAGGACCAAGCAAGATAGGTTACAGCTCATTTTCCTCTTTTTCTTCTTCTTCTCCATCATGATGATCAAAGGTAGCTGCTCTTGTGGGCGCATTCAGTATCAAACCCAGGCACAGCCTTCCTCCCCGACCGCATGCCACTGCAAAACTTGTCAACAAATCTCTGGCGGTTCATTTCTTGCTTTTATTCACTTCCCAACTGCGGAGTTGGAGTGGACAAAGGAGCAGCCCGATTTATGGTCGCGGAGTGATATCGCCGACCGAGGATTCTGCAGTACCTGTGGCTCCAGTCTCAGCATGGTGTATCATTTCGAAAAGGAGAAGACGGGCGTGTGTCTGGGGTCCGTGAATGAAGCCGAACCTGCCCTGCCAAAACTGGAAGCACATATCTTCCTCGCAGAGAAGGCTTCATGGTTTGTCGTTCCAGAGGACGGGGCACGACGACAGGATGGTTTTAGTGCGGAGCATGAGGCCTTGATTGCGAAGTGGAAGGCAGCGAATGGACTGAAGTGAATGACGAACGAGCGGACAATTGGCAAAGCTGAGGGATGTTGACAGACGCGGTGACTGCGCGGTGAGAGCTTTTTTGTATGCGCAGGATGCAAACAACCATATGCCATACGGGCAAACATGGCGTCCCTTGTATTCACGCCGCCCTCATCTCTTCCTCATCTTCCATTCACTTGCCCGGATCTCTTACAATCTCTTGGTCACTTGCAATCCTGCAACTATATCCTCCTCCTCCATCTCTTTATCCTCTTTGAATTCCTTGACCCTACTACCCAACTGTCTCACAACCTCCCATTGTCTGCTTTCAAGATGCCGGAGACTTCTCTTTTGGATGTGCCCTCTTCGGCGGCTGCGTCTCATCCCAAAATCATGCGTTCGCCGACGTATAGCATGATCGCAAGCCGCAAGCCCCAAGTCAGCCCTATTCCTCAGTCATGGGGAGCGCCGACAACTCGTCATAGCAGCAACCCCGTCGCCCGCAGCCCTCTCCAGCAGTCCTTCCCAGCTTATCCAGGCTCGACCTCCGCCCCAAGCTCGCCACCACCCATGACAGAAAGCCCTGCCCGACGCTCTCGCACCAACGAGCCAGAAGGTCGCAAGAGAGGCGAGTCCCGATCATCCTCTGTGCCCATCGTCGTCCGCAATCCTCAAGGTCAAGAACACCTAGAGGAGAATGTCAGAGGTCAACCACGTACACAGCCTCACACTCGTGCTTCCTCCCCATCCAAGGGATCCAATGATGACGGCAGACTCAAAGCGGACTCCTTCCACACTCGCCGATCAGTCAAACATCTGACCTGTTTCTGGTGGTGGGAAAAGGGCCACTGCCGATTCTCCGACGAAGACTGCCTGTATTCTCACTACGACACGGGACACCACACATCTGCTCCTCGGCAAGTCATTCCTGGCGAGCCTGCCAAAGCTGGAAAGTCACTTGAGCGCGAGTTGACCAAGATGGCGGTGCACAATCGTTCGAACACTTCCATCTCGTCTTTCCATACGGCCCCGATCGCACCTCATGGCAATGGTCATACCTCGACCATGACTGCCTCTTCCCGAGCTGCCTCCCCCGCCATCTCAGGTACCGATCGCCCCCTTAGCCGTTCCACCACACCTTCGGGAGTCGAGATCAGCCAGGCTGCGCAACTCAGAACCGACAATGACTTTCTCCGCACCTTGATCCAACAGACCCAACGCGAAAAGGTCACCCTCGTCGAAGCCATAGACTCGATGAAGAAGGAAAAGAATCAGCAGCAGGCTCAGATCGAATCTCTGCAACTCGAACACGCCAATTTCCTCCACGAGCGCGAGATCCTCCACGCCACGATCCGAAAGCTTCAAATCTCGAATCCCAACCCGGTCATGTCGACTCGTCCTCCGCATTCTCCCGCCATGGGACACGTCCAGACTCAATCTCCCTGGGGCGCCATTGGAAGTCGTCGAGTCAGTCCGATTGACAACGCACCACATCGAGCCGCGAACGTTCCTGAAGCCGGACAGTATGCCAACATGTCTTACCACGGTGGCGGTGCCACTCCGTCCTACAACCCTAGCGCGATGCCATATGTCCCTAGTCCCCGATTCACTCCTGGTGCCACCGAGGCTGCCAACGAAAAGTTCAAGGATGTGTTGAGGAACCTTGGACCAGGGTACTAAAGATAGGTCTGGGCCCTGCACATCAGTGAAGCCATGAGCCACGACATACTCCGGTGGGAGAGTACAAGATCCGTAACGAATGTTCACACAAAAAAAGAAGATGACAGTTTGAATAATGGATGATCAAGTTTTGCCCGGTCTTGTGACAAATCAAACCACACATCCAGTTGGTAATTGATTCAATACCTGCCGTCCTCAGTCGAGACTCCCCCTTTCCCATTATGGGTTGTCCCAAGAGATAGGGAATCAGGTACCTGGAGATTGTCTTGTTTGCGTCGGCGAAGCAACTGGTGCAAGTTACTGAGGTCCTCCTCCTCCTCATACCAATCGATACCAACAACAAAAAAGTGCTTTTCAATACAACGACAAATCCCCCCAAAAAAAGATTGCATTTTTTTACTCTTTCAGTCAGATTCGTCTTTTCACAGCATACCCTTAATATTCCGACGACAGGAACAACAACGACAGAAACATCTGTCAATCTGTCGACAACACTCGATCAATTTCTTTCTCTTCAATTCACTGGCGGCAAAAAGGACAGAAAGAAAATCATTTCTTTGTCCAAAAAGATGGTGATATCAGGTGAAGAACCGGCCAACATTTTGTAACCAAAACAAAAACAAATGGAAACAGGGTTTTTTCTATACTGTACAAATGGTACGCTGAGGAACTTTTTTCGAATGTTGAGCTTGGATAGGTAGCTGGTATGGAAAACTGCGTCCACAAAAAGTGACCATCATCTCATCTGCAAACTTTCGGCACGCCAACAATGGTCCAATCACCCATGGAGAAGACAGATACGGAGAGGGTTTCCTCCTGAAAGCAGGGCAAAGAAATGGGGTCTCAGTATGCGAGCACAGTTTTACTTGATAGTCTTTTTTTCCTTTCTTTTAGTCATACCCCTTGATAATGATAATCATCATTGAACATGATTTCTTTCTTTTCTGACCCTAACTACTATGTTTTAACTTTGGCAACCAAAAGAACAAGGAATCGGAGGAAGAAGAAGGAACCACACCGGTGCCTTGACTGGGTTGATATGATTGCATTCGCTTTCTCGCTCAAGGGCATAAGGTCGGTATGAGTGATACTCTGTAACTAGGTACATAGTCATGGTACCACCATATCCGTAGGTAGGTAGATCAGGCAAAAGTGGTGTTGGTTGGGGATTGTTTAAAAAGTGCTCTGCGCCAATCTACTGGCCGCGTTCCTCGCATCAACACGATCCTCATCCTCATCCTCCTTGATACTCGTCGCAGTGCCACTTCTAGGCCGGCCAGCGCCACCGGCATTGTTGGACGCCCCACCATCTGCTGTGCCATTGCTCCCAGTAGTGCCATCCTCGCCGGCCTCTGGAATGCCCGCGGGTCCAAAACTACCACTCATACTCCGCGTGAGGGCGTCCCTGCTTCTCGCGACCCCACTCCAAGCGTCGCCTTTGGCCCCTTGGCTGCTGGCCATGCTCACCCTCCGCACCACGGGGTGGTTCTCACGCCCCAGCCTGCTCAGACCTCCCGAGGCGTCGATCGCCCGGACGTCGGGTCTGACGGATTCCAGGGTCGCGAGGGTCCGCCGCTCCGCCTCGATCTGACGGAGGACATACTCGCGCAGAGAAAACATGAATTCATTGCTCGTACGATCGAACCACCGCCTCTTCTCCAGGAGGAGGTTGGCCGTGACGCGCTGGGTTTTGGAGCGGAGATAGTTCTCTTGGCTCATGGCCTCGTCGAGAGAGGAGATGGCTTCGTCGACCTTGTCTCGACGGACGGAGGAGCTGGATTTAAGGCGTTGGACGGCATTCTCTTTGCTGCGACGGGACGCTTCGGCCTGGACAAGCTCACGTAGGAGTATGTGACGGTTGGTCAGGGTCTCCTTGACGATGAAGGCGTCGGAAGAGTGGTAGGCAAGGGAGTCACCCATAGTGGTGGCTTCCGCAGTGCCTTGGGCGGCGTGGTAGTCGCCACACGTTTGAATGACGCGACCTAGTTTGCGGTATGCAGTGGACAAGCCGGCGTGCGTTTCTTGAACATGCATTTGAGTCAACTTTTCGCCTAGAGAAGACTCGGCAAGACCGAGTGCTGTGCAGGGTTAGCATGACTGATACAAGGGGACTGTATTGTATACGCACATCTTCTGGACTTTACAACCTTCTCGAGCTTCTGACTGGTATCCAGCGAGCCGAGGTAGAACATTTTGACCACAGGTCGAGCTTCGTGCAGCTCTGGGGTGTCATCGGGGGGAGGTGCGAATTGCTTCAGGACTTTTCTTCGTACACCAGTCGCAGGTTGCTTCATTCTGACAACAGGAGAGTAACCGAAATCACTTTCCACAAAGAAGACCATCTCCTCATCGCGCATAAGAACATCGTTACCGCATACACAGTTCAACCATCTTTGGATCGAGTTCTTGACTCGAATCTCATCTTCGTCTGTGCCTGCACCGGCAGACGTAATGCTTGGAGGGACAGCGGGGACGAGGGCTTCAGGGTTGGCAGAAATCAAGTGCTCCGCGAGTTTGACGAATTCGGAGTGTGTTCGACGGACATCGCGGAATTGTGTCGTTCGAAACTTGGGTAGATTGGTCTATAAGGACGGTTAGTATGCTTTCTGAGGGTGAAGGGCTGGTAACCGACATAAACATCGAATCTGATGACTGGGTCTTTGCGCCCGGTTCTTTCTAAAGCAGTCACCTTTGCTTGTAGTCTGTACTGAGGCACTGGCTTCTGTGGCTTTCCATGATACCTTGCCGCCTGTTGGCGGGGTTGGCCTTGGGGAGACGGCTGTTGCCCTGCTGGCGCATGAGGGTCTTGTGACGCAGCTACGGATCGACTGGGCGAGTCTGGCACATGCTGTCCTTCAGCATTGTCGGTTGCGTCCGGAGAAGTACTTGTCGCTGGCTGCGAGAGGTATGGGGACTCTGGTATACTGTCTTGCGACTGACCGTATGAATGGCCTCGGATGGGAGCGGGCGATTCTGGAGACGATGCGGTATTGGGAAATCCTCTGTTGGTGCGAGGAGAGGATGAGCCCCAAGGAGAAGCCCCATGTAGAGCATCAGCCTCGGACGAGACCGCAGAGTAGTCCATCGTGAGTTCCGAAGTCGTAGAGGGAATGAGGTTCTGGACGTAGACAGTGATTCTAAGCTCGGGGATTGACCATGTCTGGAGAGGTGCCTGAGGTGTATATGCAGAAGGAGATCTCTCAATAACAAGGAGAAGAGGGTGGTCGGTATTGGAGGTGGGATGTTCAGTAGGTGATCGTCTTTGGTGTGATGTTCAACAACTGCGCATCGTACTCGTAAACCAGCCTGTTGCTCTCCGCTGCGTATGCGATGCTTCTCCAGCCTTGGCAGCACAAGCCACGGAGACGGTGCCGCTTTTATCCGTAAGACGACCTGCTCACAACTCATGCTCTTCTCGCTTTCTTGACTCTTCCATTTCAAGCACTAACCCAGGAATAATGCGAGATTCGACCTTGGTGGCGGACATGAACGCGCCAACACTGTGAATTGTATTTGGAGGTGTATACACAACTCACGACGATCGTGTCGTGAGTTTTCATGACACATTCAGTGGCATGAGCCCACCTGTTAGTCCGAGCGCTGAACGACAGCCAGCAACTACTCAGGCCTGCGTCCGATGTTCTGAACGTAAGGTCAAGTGTGACAAGAAAAGCCCTTGTACGGCTTGCCTAAGATTCGACTTTGAATGTGTCTATCGGCCACGAGGTCCTCGCAAGACAAGGAAACAGTCCACTCCTCATCGGGCCTTGATTCAACGCCTTAAGAGATATGAGTCTTTGCTCCAGGAACAAGGGATTGACGCTGGTGCAAGTGTTGAAACGCCGACAGCACGTAGCGAAGATGCATTGGAGCACGGCAGTCAATCTTCGACAGTAACGGCGTCTCACACGAAAACTCCAGTGCCGGAAATCATTTCTGAGCCCGAGCAAATTTCTTCTTCACGACTTGGCCAAAATGCTGGGAATCTGACTTATCTGGAGAGGTAAGTCTTACTGCTCTGGGGCGACCTTACTCTGATCAATAGCCAGTGCTCTCTGGACAAGGGCAGCCAAAGAGGTAAGTGCGCTCTCAGCTTTGTATCCGGATACATCAAGGCTCACTACCGTTTTAGTTTCCTAAGCCGAGCACCACTTTCGACAATGTGTCTGATCAGGAAAGCGATGATGAGAACAGTGATAGTTACAATTCTGATTTCTTGTCGGATTTTTCGGGGCCTACCCACGTCGTCAATATGACGCATCCACCGAAGGCACACATCCTCGCGCTGTGGCAGACTTTCAAGGACAATGTCGACCCGCTGGTGAAGATTGTACACGCGCCAACAGTGGAGATACTAATTCAAGAGGCAATGGCCAATCCGGACCGGATATCGCGGAGTTTCGAGGCCTTGATGTTTGCTCTCTACAGTCTCGCGGTGTTCACGTTGCAAAACGAGGAATGCGCCCAGAAATTTGGCGAGACACGACAAATATTACTGTCGAGGTACAGAGCAGCAACCAAGTTGGCCCTCGTGCGTGCCAAAGTGTTGCGCACTACGAATGTTGTTGTTCTCCAGGCTTTCATCTTCCATCTTTTCTCAATCCGAGACACGTGTCATCCTCGCACCTTGTGTACTCTTACGGCAATGGCCATGCGGCTAGCTGAAGGCATGGGTATGCATCGTGATGGACGACTTCTTGGATTGCCCCCTTTTGAAGTGGAACTCCGCCGGCGAATCTGGTGGCAGTTGAGTTGGTTCGACTCAAGAACCTCGGAGCTCATTGGCGCGAGGAAATTCCAAAACACTGCGCTCGATGGGAAAAGTCCTCATCTTCCATCAAATATAAACGATGAAGCTCTCCTCCCAGCCATGAAGGAAACTCCAAAAGCTGCGAACCGTGTGACGACTTTGGCACTTTGTGCGATTCGCTGGGAAGTTGCAGGCTTTTGGACAAAATACGTTAGTACGAGACGTCAACAAGGGTTCGAAGAGGGCTTCTGGAGCAACACTCCCTCGCCAGACAGCATGAAGGTAAGGGATAATATCATCAATGACCTCGAGACAAAATTAGAGACCAAATACCTCCGATATTGTGATCCCTCAGAGCCAGTCCAGCTCATGGCTATGATGTTCGCTCGGGGAAACATTGCAACCATGCGGTTCCTTTCGCACCACCCTCGCAGATGGGGTTGCTCCGAGGTTCCTGAATCGGAGAGCGACTTTGTTTGGAAACTATCTACTAAGCTCCTCGATGGCCATATACAATTGTATACGATCCCTCAGCTTCGCGGCTATACCTGGCACACATCGTTTTATTTTCAATGGGAAGCACTGGTCCATGTTCTTGACACGCTACGTGCTAATCCTCTCTCTCCGGAAAGTGACAAGGCTTGGAAATTAGTCGGTGCGACCTACGACTGGAATCCTGACTTTGTGGGCAACAGCAAGATGCCACTGCGTGTCGCGGTAGGTGATCTCTGCCTGAAAGCATACAAGGCTCGCGAGGTCGCATTAGAGAAGCAAGGATTGCCATTGCCACCGCCGCCATGGTACATACTCAAATTCCATCAGCAAAGAGAGAAAGCAAAGCTTCGAAAACAAGATCAAGAGAAGAAAAGTCAGAGTGCCGACCTTAGCCTGACACGGCCCCTTCACGCGTGCAGTCCCGTTGATTCTGGTCAAGGATATCCGAGACTAGCGGACAGGGGTTACACTGGCTTGCAGCAAGGTGACGCAGCTTGTCACCGTCTAGAGTCCGCATTTGTTCAAACTGTTAATGGTGAGCAGACACAATTGTCTTTGGACGACGACAAGGTATCGTGGTCTGGACATTGCCTCGATGACCAATCGCATGGGGTTCCGCTGGCGGTCACAGAAACCCCTACTCAGAATCTCAATTTGTTACTTGATCAAGACTACAACGCGGAGAGCTGGATGAACGAGACGTTAGACTGGACCCAATGGGATACTTTGTTTGGGACTCCCGACATGTTTGGCGGGTAATGTTACCGCATCTCGCACTACCAAAATCAACAGGTGCACCGTGATCATTATTTGACGCTTAGCTTCCACCACTTCTTTCTCAGATATTGCTGTTCTGAACCGAAAGCAACTTCGGCCACTAAATTACTTCTTAAGATACGAAGTCATCTGGTCAGGATTGTGGCAATACCTCGCGTAGCCATCCATCCACCTCCTGAGCCAATCGAAGTGTGTTATTGCCTTGACAATGCACATCGGCACCCGTTTCAGCATTGAGCTCGACGAAGCTCTTCTGGCTGGACAGAATGGCCAGATGCCATTCCTTCGCCTGTTTCTTCCACACCGAACCTTCTTGCTCGCCGATGACCGACAGGAATGGTATCGAGACTTTTTCTGGCTCTGCGCATACACCATCCCACTGCTCAGCCAGATCTGCTATGTCAGACACACCAGCTTTCCATCCGAGCACCTCGAAGTTTTTCCGTGCGGCATCCGAAAGCATAGCGCCACCACCTCCAGGCAGTCCTTTTGCGACTTCTCTGAACAAGTCTCCGGGACGGTAAAGCGGGGTAGTCGCGATAACTGCTGCCAGTCGCTGCTCATCTGCTGCCGCCCGGCAGGCGAAGTATCCGCCAAGACTCATTCCGAGCAGGGCCAACTTACGTGGGTCTACATGCATGTGGCTGATCAAGTGATCAATCACTGCAGCGATGGACCGTTCAGCCTCTTTCTCCCAGTATAGTCCCTGTTCCTGTACGAGGCCCTGGCCCGGCAGATCGACCAAGGCCACTGAGTAGCCTCGGTCAAACAAGTGGCGTCCTTGCGACAGGAAACGATCCTCATGACAGGAATCTGCTCCACCTATCACCAACACTGTGGGGGCATGAGGATCACTCGCCTGGTAGAAATACCCGGGAAGATTGCCATTCTGATAATGGACAGTAAAACTTGTGAATGGAAAGGCCAATTCTGTCATGGCCTGGGCGAAAAGTTTCTGATGAGTGCGGAACAGCGACACGAAGCGCTCGCCTGGACCGACGAACTGCCATGCCAGCCGGTAGCTTGCAAATGCCTTCAGCCGTGTCTCACCTGCGGCTCGGGTCCAGCCACGTCGTTGCCATGTGTCGGCTTGCGCGTTCTGTGCATCTCCGAGGCGTGCGAATGCTTTCGCCCAGGAGTCCACATCGCCGTCGATGATTTGCGATGCTGCGTGAAAAGCCTCGCCGACAGACAACCCCCCTGCCGAACCCCATCCAAGGGCTCCGAGGAAGAAGAGATCCATGTTGGGATCGGTAAAACGATACCGCTGGCGAAGGCGCTGGGTTGAGTAATCCTGATCACGGGGTGATGAGTCCTCCTGACTTGCCATGTCGATGCTTTGTCTTGTTCTACTTTAGGTCTCTTTGCCTAGCGTCGTTGACTTTAGATGGAAGAAAACCTCTCAGACTCCAAGAAAATAATTTAGCTACAGTGTGGGTATGAATTGCAAAGGATATAGGGACAATGTAGAGAGAGTTCACCATGAGGCCCTGATGTGATCGTCTTTTAATATATACGCGAATGGTTCCGGGGCAGGCGAACACAACCAATGGCCTGATTATGCTGTGAGCCCCTCGGAAATTCAAACATATCATTGTCTAGGACGTTCGAAACTACACCCGACCCGGCCCGCCGTCGGCCGATCGGGTGTCGTGGACTTTTTGACGCCCGATCGGACCCCGGCGTGACGCCGCCACTGTGCTCAATGGGCTCTCTCCTTCGATTTCTGGCGCTTACTACTCTATTATCAACTTTTCAGCTAACCCAGCAACGAGTACGCAGTACCCAAGACCATCCTGAGGACCTTCTGACCTCTCTCATCTGCATCGCGTACCTCCCTCTTGATCAAACCATAGCTTGGGAAGTTGCGGCCGCTTTTATCACCTATGGTTGAAATGACACAAACTCATTCGAGTGTACTGCTACCAGGGCACTACCTTATTTTAATTATTACTCCCTCCATGCACGAGTGAATGAAATTTTGTGGTATGGAACAATTCGAAAAGGATATGTAGCAGTTACCAGCGAACAATTGACCACCGCCATTCGAGGTATGGGCACGAAATTGCGCATGAGATGCATTGACAATTCAGGTACCAAACCCAAATTTGCTACCCTCGAGCCTGGTACAACAACGCTTCTGGAAACTTTTCAATTATATTCTAGAAAAGTCCTCACTGCTTGGTACTTTTCCTCCTAAGCGACAGGTCGAGCTTCCACGAAGCGAAGGCCACATAAAAACCCCTATATGGTTGACCGGTTCAGGAATTCCACCTCCATACACATATCCCCCCATCACCTTGTCTCTCTGAATTTGGAGGTTATTTTGCAAACCGTTGGCCGATCTCGATTCTCTTCTTGATCGAAGCATCATTCTCGCCCGATTGAAGCCTCTTGACCAGATCCTCGGGGTCAAAATCGGTGCCGATGGGGTTCCGTGCAAACTCCTTCGATCCCAAAAACCGTGCAACTTCTTCAATCGTATCAAAATTGTCAACCTGAGTCTCCAGTTGGTTGCCGTCCGGGTCGAGGTAGTAGATGGACGTGGTGGGTCCGTGATTGATGCACCAGAACGGCAGGAACCCGTTGGCTTTGCGCTGCCTGTAGGACAAAGCAAGGTCTTCGAGTCTCGTGTACGTGAAGGCAATGTGCTCTAGCCCGCATGACCGTGGCTGTTTTGGGCTTGTTTCGGGGTCTTGGAGGACCGCGATGCGGTGATGTTCCTCGTCATAGGTGAGGAAGGAAATAAAGTCGTTCTCGAACGATGCGTGTGCACCCAGGAACGTCTTGTAGAAGTCGACCATGGGCTTTAGGTTGTTGGTGCGTAGGACGACGTGGGCTAGGTACGAGGGTCGTATGACCTGCTTCCCTGCGTTGTCATAATCAACACTCATGGTGAAAAGTGAATAGATCTTTTACAAGAGTATGTGACTTTGATGCGGAATTACGCGTGCAACTGCAGAGCTTACGAATGGTATGTTTTCGAAGAGAACGAGAGGTCGACCTTTATAATATGTCAAGCCGTGGAGGGACGCGCAGCATCTCTGAGGATATCATGGGACCCAACGCAGATCCGGGAGGAATGGTCTTCCAGCTCCGCAATTACATGTCCGGGGGTCGTTGCGCTGGAGCGGAGTGGAGCAAGCCCCTGGGAGGTTTCAGCCTGACGAATCAGCAACACCACATAAAAACCGAGGCACGGAAGGATGAGAGATCGCCCCAAGTGTGTCATTACTCTGCCCGCCTCGCGTTCATCATTGTGAAGGCAGTGGTGGTTTTGTCTTGACCACGGAGGTGTTGACAAAGGTAAAATCACACAGAAATGGAGTACCCGTGCTTACATGAAACAAAACCCTCGCTCACGTAGCAAATTTATATCGAAGTCATTGAGACCTCCAAGTTCTAACACCCAGAGATCAGTTCCAAAACATCCGACATGACTTTGACATCGCCCTTCAATCATCTTGTTCGTTTTGAGAACGATTCTGGTGAGGTCATGTACGGCGAGGCAGCTGCGGAAAGGCTTGATTCTCTGGTCGGATCCACGGTCGGCGTGTACTCTGGTGATGTACCATGGGATTCTTCGTTTCAAAGAACAGGCAAGAAGGATGTTATCCGCAAGGTCAGGCACAGCTCATCAGTTCTCACGCTGTGACTGTCTGTCAGGAATATTGACTCCATCAGATCCTTGCACCCTTGCCACGTGTGCCAATATTCGTCTGTGTCGGCCTTAATTATAAGGCACATGCGGCCGAAAACAAGGTACTGTAACAGTGTTCTTTCGAGTGGACTTTGGAGCTTAGTTTCAAGCAAAAGACAAGGATACCGGAATTTCCTATTCTTTTCAATAAGCCTGCTGGTATGTCTCATGTGTTTGAACACTTTGGTTTTGATCCAGTAACGCACAGTGCTGAGCGTGTTTCAAGGTTGCCTCGCGGGGCCGACGGACGATGTCCTCATTCACAAAGACGCTCAGTTTCTTGATTACGAGGTAGGCGAAGCCAGAACATTTCATGGCCATGGCTGATTCAGAAATTCCACAGGGAGAACTATGCATCGTTATTGGCAAGAGATGCAAGAGTCTGACTGAAGATGAAGATCCTCTTGATTATGTTCTCGGTTTCACCATTGGAAACGACGTTTCTTCTCGATACTGGCAGATGCCCGAGAGATCTGGTCAGCAAGCGAGCTACTCCAAAAGTTTTGACAACTTTGCTCCCCTTGGACCTGTCATCTGTTCGACTGCTCAGATGCCTGCACCAGATCGCCTCACTTTGGTCACCACTGTCAACGGAGTGGAGCGACAGAGAAGTAGCACAGTAGACATGATCTTTAATGTCCGCGACATCATTAGGTTTGTGTCGAGAGGGCATGCGTTGGAACCTGGCACGGTCATCATGACCGGCACCCCCGGCGGAGTTGCGGCCTTCATGCAGCCACCGGCGTGGTTGCAAGATGGTGACATTGTCGAGGTCAGCATTGACGGGATTGGCAAGATTCGCAACAAGATGGTGTTTGAGAAATAGATGTATTGGTCAGAGATTTCCTAAATAATACGCTCATGGTTTGAAAGTTGCTTATCAGCAGGAATAACCTATGGACCTAGCCTTGTGCATACACAATATCTAGCTTGACTGACCACGATTTTGGAGTATCTTTACATCAGTGTGCAATGGGAGTGGTTCCTTCCAATACCACATCAGCCCAGGAAGAGTGTCAGGCGAAGTCCCTACTCTCTCTGTCCCACGGAGAATCGTCTGGATCGATCCACGGGTCGTGGAACCTCCTCTTGCCATCACTCTAACTGCTCACAACTCGGTAGCATTACATTAACCTTTATATCATCTCTCCAGTGCGATATGTCGACAGAGTAGTGGCTGGGAGGGAGGGTTTAGCGCCCATGGACTGACTTTTCCGACCTGACTGACCTCCGAGGTCGTGTCTAATGTGCTGGGAGGTCTCCAGAACGACATTCTTGGTCCATGGGGTAGCTCTCATCCATGGCATTCGTAGACCGCGCGGTTCGAACACCTCCGACCTGCAGAAGAGGATTCGTTACGCATGAGTCTTTGAATTCCCCACGACGCCGCCTTATATTCTTCACAAGACCTCAATTTCCATTCATTGACTTCAGCAATTGTTATTCATGGCTCTCACCGACAGTATCGATCATGGCCCGCGGTTTCCCCACGGTGTCGCGTCGAACGAGAACCTACAAGCTGGGGACCTTCCTGAATCGACCAAGGTGTTGATCGTGGGAGGCGGACCGGTGGGGATTTTGAGTGCGATAGCAGTCGCCAGGTACGGCTTGGAAAGTGTCGTTCTCGAGCGTCATGCCACTAGACTAGGTCAACCAAAGGCCCATGTCATCAATCAAAGATCCGTCGAGATCTTACGACAATATCAGTTAGACCTGACGTCGTTGAAAGAATTAGGTCTGTCTGACGAAGAATCCCGAACGGTCACATTTGCCTCTTCCATGAACGGAATCGAGTATGGAGTGTTGGAGACCAGTGTGAGCGATGCCCAATCCAAAGCTGCGTCTCCCAAGACCATGTTCAACGTCGCTCAACCACTTTTGGAAGAACACCTGTTGAGAGCGGCCCTGAAAACCGGCAAAGTCAAATACCTACGATCTCACGAGTGGGAAGGATGCACGACGTTGGAAGGGGAGGATGAGGAGGAGGATCACCCTGTCACTTTCAAACAAATCAGGTCAACTGTCAACATACACGGAGTTGACGGTACGAGTACACAGAGGAGCATCATCACAAGTGAATATTTGATCGCCTGTGATGGGGCACATGCCAGATCTAGGGACGTTTTGAAAATTCCCTTTTACCCTCTCAACGGTGGACCTGAAGTTGTCTTGCATTATGCTTCGGTCCACTTCAGTGCGGACCTGTCACACTTTCGACCTGGCTTGTTATGGTTCATCCTCAACCCTGCTGGAATAGGTATTTTTATCGCCTACAACAGGAAGAACAGTTGGGTTTTTAGTGTTCAATATGATCCCGACATAGTTCCTCGTGCAACTTTCACCTCGGAATTCATGAAAGAACAAGTGTTCAAGGTATGACAGCCCCCTCCCAAAAGGGAATTAACAACAGTTGTCTTTCTGACAAGTGAATCAAGGCCGTGGGTACTGTCGTAGATGACTACAAGGAAATAGGAATCACCCTGTGGAAGACGTCTCCCAAGATTGCCGAATCGTATCGATCGCCACGCGTACCCCGTGCATTCCTCGCTGGTGACGCAGCTCACTCGTTCCCCCCGACCGGAGGATTAGGCCTCAATACCGGGATAGCGGACATTCAGAACCTGGCGTGGAAGATTAATGCGGTAGAACGGGGCTGGACGTCGGATGAAAACTTGCTTTTTGACACGGTCAGTTCGGAAAGACTCGCCGTCGCGCAAGACAACTCGAAACAGAGCAAGCTGAACGAGGAGAACATCCATCGCCTCGTCAGAACCATCTTCAGACCAGGAACGACGGCTGAGCAGCTCTGGGCCGACCCAAAATCCCGAAAGGACATACAAGACGCCATCGAGCGTCAGCGGGATCACTTCCACTCTCTCAACCTGGTCCTGGGTTACGCATATGGTCCAAAAGGGGGAGGAGACCAAGTCCGCCGTGGACCATCGGATTATCAGAAAGAATGCGTCCCCGGTGGCCGACTGCCGCACGAGTGGGTCAAAAGGCTCAAGACCGACCACGCAGGTGATCGGAATCGTGTTTCGACCTTGGACTTTGTTAATGGACACGAGTTCGTTTTGTTCACGTCGCCTGGGCTTACGACAGAGCAAAAACTTGATATACGAGGAGTTCCCGTACTCGTGGTACAGTTGGGGCGGGAGTTTGTCGACTCTGTGGGAGAATGGACTGGGATGATGGGACTGAGGCAGACCGCGGCTGTACTTGTCCGTCCAGATCAGCATATAGTCGATTCGGTGACGAACATGAGGGGCGTTGCAGAGTTGTTGACTGGATACCTGAACCCGACAAAGATATAAGATACCTGATCGGATTTCTAGCGTGGAAAACTATAGGAGAATACAGGGTTGGTACTCTGTTGACCCAGTATCTAAACCCCCAAAAGGGTTCGTAACACCATTCGTCTCGTTTGGGTCTCACTGAACAACGTTCCTGGCGCTGTCATAAAATAGTATCTCTCCTCGATGAGTCGACGGGGGCAGATCCACCCTCTACCAACCGCTCTGCCACCTTGATCATTTCGCCTATCGTACTTTTCAACGTCGAACTCCATTCACACGAGAACGAGTCGCGCTCGATGTGTATCACGGTGGCCCGGAGATGTTCTAGGTCAGCTTTTGCTGCGATTCGTCGTGGGTTCTCACAGATTGCTCGATATAAGACGGCAGAGGCGGCGACGTAGTGGTCTGTATGAAGACTGTAGAAGACATTGAATTAGGCTCCGGCCCCGGGGAATGCAAAGTTTGTCCATAAAAACCGCCGGAGGCAGAGAATACTCACGCAATAGGGAATAGCCTTCCACCGGTGCCACAGTCGGCGATACTATAAGACAAATGTCAGCTCTGGCCCAGGGAAGGTGCCTGCACGACTCCTCACGGACCTGTTTGCTGTTTGGACAAATGAGCGGGATGCCGACAAACATTTCATCTCGGACAATTGGAGAGAACGCCTATGACGTTCGTCAACCGCGTCTGAGTTCATGGATATCGCCATGATGCAAGCCCAATGAACGGCCCTTGATAAATTAAAGTACTCGAGATGAAGAGGGGCAATGAGCATATAAGAATCCAAATCAGACACCACATCTTGGCCAGGTTGATGGGAGGTGGGGATCTGTTCTTTCCACTGCACAAGTAAATCGTCGAGATCATTCAGCGCATCTAATCGAGCGTCGGTCGATATGCAGAGGCTACTGATGGTCGAAAACCGGTTACAGTGTTCAGTCAGTCTGGCGGTCCATCTGTGGAGGGCCGAAGATAGGTCGCTGGTGTGCGGCGATATGTTGTGGTCGGGACACATGGGGAGAACTTCGACGTCGTATGTCAGCTCGCGGACAGCAGTAGGTCTTCCCTCAGACATTGCGACGAATCTGAACTCGTTAGATGCATGAGTATGCTTGAGTTTCCTCGTTCTGGGTCTTTCAAACAGAACTTACGTCTCGAAACGAAATGTAATCCACCATAATTGAGACCTGAACTTGATCTCTTCTGGAGCAAGGTTGAAATCTCGGGGACTCTTTCTATGCAGACCAAGTGATTGGCACAGACGGATGCTGAGCCCGCATAGAACCGATGCCAGATTCACCTGACCATTGAGTTCGAAGAACATGATCTCGATTCAGTCAATGCGAGAACGCACAAAACAGCCAAGGGCCATATGAGAGGGGACTTGCAAGAAGCAACATTACTTGTAATGTAACCAGACTGGATTCAGTCAACTGACTGTATACCAACGTACATGCTTTCTGGAATACGTCCCGGGCGAATTGATCTAGAGGCGACGAAGATGCAGAGTTCGTCCGATCACTGGCTGCGCCAATGGTGATGACCAGGCAAAACAGAATGTAACTCGACACGGGGTGCGTCTTTTGACTTGGGTCATATAGTGCTTCCCAGCTAGTTTGGAAATGTTGTTCTCGCACGACGGGGTAATAGATGTGGACGTTGTTGAAATATCCTGTTTGCCAGAATCTGAGCCAGGCCCCTCCAGCAAGTTAATTCATGGACGCCCTTACCAGCTATGCACATGGCGGCCAAAGATTTTGCTGGAAGCTGCTCAGCAGAAAGCTGAATGGTCTCATCTGCGTCCACTCTCGCAATGTGCTTCCCAGCTTGCACAAGCCATTCGAAGTTCAAATTCGACGTGAGATGCGGGTATTTTGTCATTGATGTACGGATGGAGCTTGCAAGCGTTCCTCCGATTGAATTCCATCCTGTCTCTTCGTAAATCTCAGCTCTCAGAGGCTGCGCACGAACGGACTTACCTAAAAAGCCACCTCTTCCCTGGTCGATGCCGATGAAAAGACCTGGTGGGATATAGTTCTGCGAGACCTCTTTTCTGGAAGTGGGCTGTAGTGAATCGATACCAGAGAGTTTGTTCTCGTGGGGATGGTAAGGGGAAATAGGTGTCGTTTTTGAAAATGGAGTTCCTGCTTGTTCTCGTTGACGACTCGTGGCAGGAGTGCTCACAGATCCTTTTGCAAAATTTCCACCAGGTAACGGATCGGGAGAGTCATTTATCAGGTCGCCCAGGAAAGAGAAGTCGTGAAAAGGGACATTTGACCTCAGTACTTCGTTATCAAACAGCTCATCAAGCTGCATATATTGCTGTGAACGATCATCTACTTCGGCTGTCAGTCGGCCTGCTGTCGTGGAGGAGAGGGTTGACTTGAACAATTCAAAGGCTCATCAAAATTTGTGAGAGAGCTTGCGGTCACATCGCCATGGCCTGGTGGCATATTAGGTTCTTCTGGTGGGTTGAGGAAGTAAGATGTGTTCCCCATACGTGTAGGAGTGACCGATGTTTCGTTTTGGTTCGATGCCATATGTTCAACAGTACTTGCCGAAGGCTCGTCTGTTGATTGCCTTGCTGCGCTTCCTGAACGAGAGCCTCCTGACTGTATGCATTCTTTCTGGTAGAGCTTGCAGTTCATGCATGGCCTTTCATTATACGTGCATTTAAGCTGATTTGATCAGATCAGAGATGAATCATCCGATGTCAAAATAACGGACGTACTCTTTTGACACGACAGTTGTCGCAAGCAAGCAAAGTTGATTTTGATCGACCTTGTTTTCGCACACCAGCAGCCATAGCTGCCGGGGCTTTCCTGGGCATCGAGGCTAAAGATTGAAACCTCGCCGTCCAGATCGTATTGGAACTTTTAGCAAGTCAATCAAAAAGTCAATGTAGCCAAGTGTGTGTCAAAGTCCACAATGCCAGCAACTGTGGCGATTTGTCCTTTCGTGCAGCGCTTTCCGGAAAAGAATTGAATTGCTCCGGAATTGTGACAGTGTGCAAATTCAGTATGAGTAGTGGCATCAGAATGTGAAGACGAAGTATTGTGTACGGGACAAAACTTTCCCGAACGCCGCCTGGATGAACGTCGCCGCCGAGACAGCGTCGCCTGGTTGCCCCGCAGACTTGATATCGACGCTCAGCCTTAACCTCGTCGGTCACTATTGCATCATGGACAATCTGCGTTTGACCGACTGTGCGTATGTTTCATTCAGGCTTTAGTGAGTAATAAAATTGATGATGTGAACGTGACGATATCACCTCGGTATGAATAGTCGGTCCGGGGAATCTGGTCAAATAAGTGGATTTTGTTAGCGTCCGGGGGAGTAACGTCTCCGTGGAGGCCGGATCCACAGCCTCGATCGTCGATACGAGTGATCCGGAGTTGACATGGTCACAACTCTCCGTGCAGAGATCCAGCATACGCAAAGATGATGATCGAATTGAAATCTCATTTGTTGAGGAACCGAAATGGTTGCGTGCGATATGATGATACTGGAGGTGGAACGGTGGTGGTCATCTACATATGATAAGCCAGGTCTCGGAAGCATACCCCACAAACCAGCACACCTGTTGTATTAGCGACAAGCACATAACCTCATATTCGAGTCGAAATTCAAGCTGCTGCCCATGGAGTATACTACCACTGAAACAGAGTGGCCGTCGTCAGCGAACGTGTCAGAAGACAAACAAAAATTACTCGACTACTATCTCAGGCTCCTCGATACCAACGAGGCGACAACGGGCGATAAGCTTGCAGAGATCTTTGCAGATGATGGGTACATTATCAGCCCCGCTGGAACAGCTCGTGGCCATGAACGTAGGTCCAGCCCGATTGAACTTGGATGGGGTTTATGAGCGGCCCATTGCGTTCAGTTGACTCTGTTTCCAGAAATTAAGAGATCTCGCCAGCTTGCCTGGAATGTGACCAAAACCCGATTGCACAAGTTGACTCGTGTATATGTATTTGAACCTGAGGCAATGGACTTGCTAGTCATTGGAACAGCTGTTCAAGGCCTTGTCAATGGTAACTCAGTTTTAGGGGAATGGGTTGCAAGGATCCGTTTTGATCAAGCTTCTCCCACCGGAAGCCCCAAGATAAAATCACACCAAGTCTGGGCGGCACGTTACTGTGAAAATCAGAAACACAGAGCAGCATTTAACAGACATATTTCACCCCAGGATTTCGGCGGTGTTCAGAAAGCAATCCAGGAGGCATTGGGTAGCTCGTGAGAGTCGAGCCTCGCTGCGAAAGTATAGCAGCTGATCACGTCTGTGCCCGAGAAATTGCTCGGGATCAGTGAAGCCTAGAGCGGTTATAGTCGAGTATTAGATGTAGACTTTGAGTGGTTGGGCGGTATTGAAATTCTTTCTCGCCGCGGCCTCTCGCAGCCTCGCGCAGCCTTGTTGGGCTTGGCAACACGTGCTTTGAGGTTTTGGTCAAGTTTTCGTCCCTTCCAAAGATACTGATCTTGATATTCTCCAAATTCAATTGATTGGTTCTGATTGCATCACTTTCTTTCGTTGACTGTCTTTTTTGGTTCTTCGCGTTCTGTCTAGAAGGTCTTCTTCAAGTCCATTTCACGGTCAACCACCGGACGATACGTCAACCCGGGGGAATGGTAGTAATCTACGGCAGAGTTCTCACACGCTCCACTCTAATTAGATCTGTTGGACCTTGTACAAAAGTTTTGAAACGAGGAGTGCCTCTGAGATCGATTTCAGCATCATATCGTCTTTCAGCTGCATCGCACGCTTCCCAAGCTGCTCTCCGAACGAGAAATATTGGCATCATAGCTCATATCGACGCCGGTAAAACGACCACTACTGAGCGCATGCTCTACTATAGTGGACACACCCGACGAATTGGTGATGTTGATGAAGGATCAACTGTCACAGATTTCCTACCAGCCGAACGAGCTAGAGGTATCACTATACAGTCTGCAGCCATCACCTTCGAATGGCCTCCGGTGGGTGATCAACAGGCCGCCCAGCTCGCCAAAGATTTTGATATAGGAACCGACACCCAACCGCGCTGTCAATATCCTCACAACATCAACCTAATAGATACTCCGGGCCATGCCGACTTTACATTCGAGGTGCGACGATCGTTGAGAATTCTGGACGGTGCTATCTGTATCCTTGACGGCGTTGCTGGTGTCGAAGCACAGACGGAACAGGTGTGGGCTCAGGCGGCTGAATGGAAGATTCCAAGGATAGCCTACATCAACAAGCTTGATCGGAATGGTGCTGCTTTTGGCCGTACCGTGCGTGAGATTGGTTCACGTCTCAAGGGATGGCCTGCTGTGTGTCAAATACCGTGGTTCGAAGGGGGAAAGGGTCAATTCACAGGTGTCGGTGATGTGATCAACCTAGAGGGGCTGTTGTACACTCCAGGAGGTGATGGAAAGGCTGTCCAGCGCATACCGCTGTCACGAATGGAACAAGAGTACCCGGAATTTGCCACAGAGTTGCATCGAGCAAGAATTGCTCTGGTTGAGCTACTGAGTGAGCATGATGACCACCTTGTGGAAGCCTTTTTCGAGGCAGAAGAGGATCATCTCAATGTCACCCCAGCTCAGGTTCTCCAGAGTCTTCGACGATCTTTGCTCGCGGAAAATTGCAGCATCATTCCGGTGTTTGCTGGTGCAAGCTTCCGAAACATCGGCGTTCAACCACTGCTGGATGCGATCAACAATCTATTACCTAGCCCGGCAGAACGTCCGGATCCCGAAATCAGTCTTGGATCCAGCTCTGGTGGCCTTTCGCAACTAATGAGTGGCGAGCTCTCTCTCCGCAACGACGACCCGGACAAGTCCAAGAAAAAAGGAGCAGTGCAAGGGTCATCCGCTGTTGGGAACACGCTTCAAGGATGTGCATTGGCATTCAAAGTTGTCAACGATCCACGCAAAGGCGTTCTCGTCTACATACGGGTTTACTCAGGCTCGATCGATCGCAACTCTCTGCTGTACAACACGAATCTACAGAACTCTGAGCGAGCGTCGACGCTGTTGCGGATGTACGCCTCAGAATCCGTGCCTGTACAATCATTAAAGGCTGGAGAAATCGGTGTCATTGCCGGTTCAAAATTCGCACGGACAGGAGATACCCTGGTGTCATACGCCGGTAACAAGGCCACACCTCCAGAACCGCTGAACAAACTACAGCTTCGGCCTATCAAAGTTCCCCCGCCGGTATTCTTCGCTTCAATCGAGCCGAATAGTTTGCGGGAAGAAAAAGACATGCATGAGAAGCTTGCTCTACTTTTGCGAGAAGACCCAAGCCTGCAAATCACCCAGGACGAAGATACTGGCCAGACCCAGATCAGTGGCATGGGAGAACTGCACCTGGAAATCGCCCAAGACAGACTGGTCAACGACCTCAAAGCCCGAGCCAACATGGGGAAGATTGCCATTGGGTACCGGGAATCCCTGCCTCAGTCTTCGAAGCCAATCACCAAGACTTTGGAAGGTGACCGCGCAGCCACAAAGGGAAAAGCAGGATGCACGGCGGTCGCAGAGCCAATGTCGGACGCTGATGAGTCTGGCAGCAGCGGTGACGAGGACGACGATGATGTCTTCAGGTACGAACAAGATGGAAACTTGATCTTGATCGAGACGCCCACATTGGATAGAAAGGGGCGACCCATCAGTTCCGACAACGCGTCACTGCCACCACATCTCAACCTCGCCGAGATGCAGTCGGCATATGTCAATGGCGCACTGGCGGCTCTGAGCCGAGGACCCTCATATTCCTACCCGATGCGCAACACCAAAGTCACTCTGAGACTCGTGCCCGAAGAACACATCTTTGGATCCGAGACGACATACTCTTCGCTCACTTCTGCGGCTCGATTGGCCACGATAGCCGCCTTCAGAGACGCGACCAAATCGGGTCCGAGTACACTGATGGAACCCGTCATGAACGTCGACATCAGTGTCGATGAAGCCAGTCTGGGAAACGTCATCCAAGACCTTTCGTCGAGTCGCGGCGGTCAAATTGTGTCGCTGGGGGACCACGAGGAAGGGGATGAAGACAACAACAACACCAGCAGTCATGGTCCTTCTCAGAGGATCGACGTCAGCAAGATTTACGCTCCGAAAGACCCATTTGAATCCGGATCATCTTTGTCGGGAGAACAACACGATCACGTCAACATCCAGCGGACCGTCAAAGCCAAAGTGCCCCTGAAAGAGATGGTCGGGTACCTAAAACATCTCAGGAGCATGACCGGTGGTCGAGGAACTTTTGTCATGAGTGTAGACCGCTTCGAGAGAATCACGGGTCCCAGAGAGAGGGCACTGATGACAGAATTGCGCGGTGGACATTTATGAACAGGCGATCAGATCAGACTCTTTTTTTTTCTTTATCAGAGTTATGGCTGAGGACCTCTTTCGCAGGGTGTTGCCTGTGGATCTGAGTGAGGCGGTTGAATGAATGGCCCGCGCTCCCCCCAAAAAAGGCTTGTCCTAGTTGTACTCCATACTGTACTGTATATTTATTATTTGAAACTCCATAGATCTAAATGTGACATGTACCAACAACAAAATCTAATCTCCAAAACCGCCAACTCTCTCTTCTCTACAGATTTATCCCTTTCGAATGCTATATACACCAAATATATCGATTTAAAAATATGCTGTGCTGACAACATCATCGACGAACTGGCTGAGTAACAAATTCGATCCGCCCCTCATTTCGCCAACTCTCTCCCTCGAATTCCCTTGATTTCTCGAGTCGAAAACAACACAACGCACCACCACCAAAATGGCCTCCAAGGCGATGTGGGAGGTCGATCCAGAGACCAGAAGCAAAGTGATACAACCCTGAGCTCTAGAGAAGTTCACTTGCTGACATATTGTCTGTCTAGCTCGCCCAGATAAGTAAAAAAGATGGCGCAGGAAACGACAAGTGCTGCGACTGCGGTGCCCCTTCACCGCAGTGGGTGAGTCTTTTTTCGAGTCCCTTTCAGTCCTGATCACGACAAACCCCCTAATGAGACGCATGCAGGCATCTCCCAAATTCTCCACCTTTATTTGTCTGCAATGCGCCGGTACACACCGCGGGTTGGGTGTGCACGTGTCCTTTGTCCGGTCCGTGTCGATGGACGCCTTCAAACAAGCAGAGATCCTACGCATGCAGTACGGCGGTAACAAAGCGTGGCAAGACTTTTTCACAAAAAACTCCCCCATCCCCTTCGACGAGTGCACCATCAAAGAGCGATACGACTGCGAAATCGGCGAGGAGTGGAAAGAGCGGTTGAGCGCGCAGGTAGAGGAGAGGGAGTTTGATAAAGCGGCCTTTCTCAAAGAACGACAGGCCATCAAAGAGAAGCAGGCCAGTCGGTCGGCCACGCCCGCCGGTGGTGTTGGCAGCGGCGCTAGAAATAGCGGCGCGAATGGCCAGGGCCAGGGCGATAGTCGGACAGCCTCCCCTGCGCCGGGACGAGGGCCGGGCATATCAGCTGAACAAAAGGCACAGAACGAGGCCTATTTCGCAAGGATGGGAGAGGCCAACGCTTCGAGACCAGACTCCCTCCCGCCCAGCCAAGGCGGGAAATACGGCGGTTTTGGAAGTGCCCCGGCCGAACCGCAGTCGTCCAACGGCGGTGGTGGCATGCCCAGTGCCGACGACTTTTCAAAAGATCCAGTGGCCGCGTTGACCAAGGGTTTTGGCTGGTTTTCTGCAGCTGTGGGAAAGCAAGCCAAAATCGTGAACGACTCGTATATCCAACCGACGGCAAAGAATGTACGTTGTCTGCCTTCGCCCTTTGCCTGTTGTTTTTGTTTCTGTTTTGTTTCGCTAGGGTTTGGGAAAAGCCGGCATGATGTACTGACGTTGGTGATGCAGCTTGCATCTTCAGATATTGCTGCACAAGCACGAACCGCGGCCATGGTTGCCGGGAAGAACATCCAGACCGGTGCAAAAGGTGCCGCCGAGTCATTCAACAAGTTCGTCGAAGGTCAAGATGAAAAGGCCAGTGCTGCCGCAGCGTCAAGAGGAGTTGAACCTGAACGTAAAGACTTTTGGGACAGTTTCGGCATGGGCGGTGGTGGCGCCGGCGCAGGTGGTGGCGCGTCAAAATCATCCAGCAGCATCGGTACGAGTGCGATGAAGAAGACACCAGGTTCATCACAAAAGTCCAAAGATGACGGTTGGGGGGACGACTGGTAAGACATGACGTCTGATGAGATGAATGTTCTCTTTTTTTTCCCTGGCGGGTTGTATATTGATTATACACACCGTACGGATTTACAGTTGCTTGATACCCACCTACCTGCCTCAGGTAGGTATCAACAGCATCGTCAACAGCAAGACCGTCCTTGAATCAAGAAACCCAAACCCCCCGGAGGAGAGGACGAGGTTGATATTGTTTTGTGTCAATCAAAGGGTACTCTCACTTTTTGGACAAACTGGACGATGCTGGGCATGACGAGGCTGCTGGTGGTGGCGGGGGCGGTGGTGATGGTGGTGGTGGTGTTGGTGGATGTCATGCCCCAGATGGTCACTCGATCAACAAATCAACCAGCAAAGGGGGAGGATATTGGACGTTGGACGAATGCCATGTCAATTACAATACAACCATACAAACAGTACACCTCTCTACCAAATGCATCTTGGGTTGCAACCATTGCCAAAAAGCCTAATACGAACACGAAAACATCAACAGGTACCTACCCATTGCAACAAAAAAAATGTCATTTTGTCTCTTCAGGGATGGAGTCATTGTCAAACATCAGGTTGTACACCTTTGCCCGACAAGGCACCAAGTATTGGTATTGTTTTCTTCTTCTTTCATTCAGCGTCAGGGGTGGGCGTCGTTGCTGTTCGCACACAATACTTCAGAAGTATGCGAGTTTGAAAAACGGTCCAAATATCAATATACAAGTTTTGGTATCTCAGCAATCTTAAAACCCTGCATTTGAATAAGTCTTTCAAATTGGTCGGTGTCTTTCGTCCAGCTATATAAATACATACGTACACGTGATCGTGATCGTAAAGGATCGCGGATTTTGTGTCTTGTGCGTCAGATTGCACTTTCATCCACCCGGATGTTGCTCTGCTCTACACTTCTAATCTGTTCAGTATCGAGTGTGTCGTATTCTCTCGTACCTAATCATACATCTAACTGGGTCTTGTGCCAGCAGTTGTCGAGCGCGCGCCTGCGTTCGTGGTCTCGGCTGCTGTACAAACTGAAAGGCAAGAAAGGAGAATCACCTCCCACCGCCGCCACGCCACGAATCACCCCCTCGTCCGCCACGATACCCTCCCCTTCCGCGCATGCCAGCAAGTCTGTCTTGTCCGCGCTTGCCAAACCCAAATTCGGGCCCTTTGTCCACCCACTCTTCGCGATCCTTGAACCGATCGAACGAGTACCGCTTCATACCCTCGTCGCCACTCCGGCCCATCTCGGCGTGAGAGAGACGCATTTCTCGAAACATGTCCAGTCTCTCCCGCGCCACGGCCTCGGGAACGGGTTTGAAGTACAGCTTTGGCTTCGCGGTCGTAGAGTCGAAGAGTTCGTCGAGTGCTTTGAACCCGCGACCGCTGATATCCTGTCTCTTTGGTCCTGTCGGTGGCTGCAGGGCCCTCCCACGATCACGATGCCGGTCTCGGTAATCGTCCCGCGGGTCATTTCTCGGAACCAGCCCGGCTCGATCAGGATGTGCATCACCTCCGGCTGGTCTGTCAACGGACATGCGTGAGCTCAATTTCGGCTCCAATGGCGGTGGTTGCTGGGGTTTGGTCGTATCTACTTCCTGGAAGACTGCCTCAATGCCGTCTTCGTTCTGTTCGTAGACAACTTCGTAGCGCCGTCCACCTGCACGGCCTCCGCCGAACCCGCCACCACCTGTCTCGCGCTCGATCCAACCCTGAACTTTGTCGTCGGGTATATAGTCCACGAAGAGGTGTTCTCGCATGTTCTTATCTGGGAAACGGGTGTCGTGCATGGCTGTGCGTACCCGTGACGCCGCAGAGATGGAAGAAAACGAGACAAATGCATGGGTGCGGATGTTGTCTAGGTAGAACACTTTGATAGGGTCGATGTCGTCCGACGGATCACGGGATTTGGCAAGCGTGAGGATATGATTGCGAAGTGAGGGGATATGAAGTGGCCGTTTGAGATTACGGATGTATATCGATGAGGTTGCTGGATGGATGGCAGGAGAGACATCACGCTCTTCGGAGGGACTTCGTGGGCGAATTGCTTCTGCAGCTGAAGCAGCTTGCTGGTTGATGGTTTTGGTAATAGCATCATCGGTTTCGTTGCGGATCTCCTTGGCAACCTCAGTCGCTGCCTTCATATCTCGCAGGGCAGCGAGCTCCTCGGTCTTCTCATCTTCTCCTTCAGAGCTAAGTCTTGCCTTTTTGCGTGCAACCTCTTGGGCCGTTGGATCAGGCGTAGCGCTTCGCTTCCTCCTCCGTGTCTGATCTTCGGCAAAGTCACCAGGTGGGAGGGGTGTGCTACTGTCTGACTGCGTCTGAACTTGTGGCAGCCTGTTCGAGGGGTCTTCAGCCTTCTGAGGAGCAGTATTGGATATTTCTTGTTTCGTAGCTTCCACCTCGCTTTCCACGGTTTGAGTCTCCGGTGCTAAGTTTTCGCCCTTGACGGTATCAGATTGAGAGGTCGCTGGCACATCAGACATTTCCTCTTTCTTCTCGGCATGGCTATCCTCTTTCCGCAGCTCAGCCGGAGTATCGTGCTCGATCTGAACTTCTTGAGGAGTGTCATCCACTTGTTCTTGTGCATCAGGTTTGGCGATCTTGGACGAAGTGTCCTGTGTAATATCCGTCCCGAATTCTTCGTGCGACGCGTCTTCATTGCCATTGACGTCGGAAGTTCCCACGGCATCCTTCTCATCCTGAGGCTGCGGAGGAGTTAGAATCGTCGTCGCATCGTCCACCACCACGTGCTCTTCGTTGCTGACGATATCTTGAGGCTCAAGATTGTCACCCTCGGGATGTCCTCCGACAGGTTCATTTCCTCGGTCCTCTTCTTCCTTCGCATTGTCATGCTTGTCTTCTCCGCGAGGCTCGACTTTCTCTCTCGCGTTATCATGTTCTTGTTCGTATTCTGTTAGCGTGTCGATATAGTTCTGCTTGAGTTTGAGGCCAGTAAGAGGGATCCCGCGCTTCTTGCATTCCTCCTTAAGGTCAACAACTTTCAACTTGCTCCAGTCCGTCATATTGTCAGATTGCCGCGTCAACGTAAGCGCGGGAAATGAGCGATGATAGGTTAATCTCTACGCGATTGAGTCGACATGAGGGACTCGGGAATAGTTATGGGCGAAACCTGGTAGTTGCACACTTTTTTGACAGCCGACGCGCGCAGTTACAACAGAACACGCAAAACAATTCACTCCTCGATAATGACGTCGATCACGTGAGATCTCTCGCTAAAGGATCGGCGAGCAAGGCTGAACTAAACAGCTAAGATCACGTGCATTTTCAAGCGCAAGGCTGTGAGATGCATACTTCTCCCCTTCAGACTGCGGAATCCCACCCCACCTGCCTTTGTTTCTCTTGATAGTACCACCGCATAAACTCACCTACGAACCTCACATTACCCTTGCCTGGTCTAAGGATCGAGGCTCTGCAGAGTCTTCCGAACGAACGAGTCACATTCTCGGCTACGAAGCGTGCCGGGAAGTGAAGCAACAAACCTCATGGAGCGCAATTCACAGCTCTGGCTCGACTTCGTAAACCGCCTGTCCTGACCACGACTACGGTCGCAATGACCTGGCTCCCCAATACACAACCATCATGGAAGATGACATCGCCAAAAAGGCGTCTGAGACTGTTGACCGTCTGGAAAAGGAGGTGATATCGAGTTTGAAACACAAAGAGCCTGCGTATCCACGGCTAGAACAGCAACTTGCCAGGTAGGAGGGAGTGTGCGTACCAAATGACAGAGTATTGACTTTGGTAGACTCCGCACAGCATGTCAAGATTATGTCTTTGCCGATTTCGAGTTGGCCGCCAAGCACAAGATCGAGTCACGCTTGTGGGAGGCACATTCCAAGGTCAACAAGACATTCAGGGTAATTCTGGCCAGATTTCGAGAGGGGGAGAGTAAGAAGAAGCATGTCGAACGCCGGAAGGCTGAAAAGCTCTATCTCGACTTCATCAAATCAAGCATGCGCTTCTATCGTGGTTACATTCAGCGACTGGCTTCTCACTTTGCCGATATACCGGAGGTATTCGAAGTTGCCCGAAAGTTCAATCTCGATAGTGAGTGCTCGCTTTGGTTACCTGGGGTCAAACTAACAGACCTAGTCACCTCGGCGGACTCGTCTCAGCTGGTAGATTTGGCTCTTAAAAAGCAGATCATTCGCTCCTGCTACTTAACTTTGATTCAGCTTGGTGACCTATCTCGGTACAGAGAGACGGAGCTGCAGACCAAAGAACGCAACTGGGGACCAGCTAAAGGGTACTATGACCTGGCCACCACCCTTGATCCTTCTTCTGGCATGTCTTACAATCAACTTGCTGTAATTGCTCTGGCAGATCAGGATCATCTGCGAGCAGTGTATTATTTGTACCGGGCCATTTCCGCTCCTAATGCTGCTCCTCAAGCTGAGGGCAATCTCAAAATTGAGTTTCGCAAAGTCAAGTCCAAATTGACACAAGGAAAACCTTTGTCAGATGTCGCCACCATCGGCGACGGCAACACAGATCTATTGCACCGCTTCCTTCTTTTCCACGCCCGCTGTTTCGAAGCTGGCTTTACCGGCCATGAAGACCAGCAAAGCGAAATCCTCGACCTCCTAGCGAATGAACTTCGAGCGAGACCATGTGATACGCTACTTCGGAAATTCTGCTTGATCAATATTGCTGCCGAAAAGTATGCAGCAGACAAAATCATGGGTACGTAGAATCGCTCACTGTGGTATGGATTTGACTGACCAATACAAGAAGCTGGGCGAGATAGCGATATACCAGTAGCAACCAGTTCCTACAAAATGCTGCAACATCATAACATACTAACTTTCACCCGCCTTCTCAAGATGCTCCTTGAGGAGCTTCAACGACTCGGATCTGTCAGGGCCGACTCTGTAACTTTTCTATGCAGACGTCTTCTGCCTCATCTGAGGATTTACAGCGGTTGGCTTCTGAGCAATGTCGACCTTCTTCCTTCCAATAACTTTGCGCAAACCGATTTGAGAGAGTTCTGGCAGGTATATGCTCTAACAGTTACTCTTCTTATCCAAAAATTCGCAGTGCCTACGATTGGCGACATAGCTTATCTGCTGGAGGAGGATCAAGACACCTTGGGATTTACACCTTTCCAAAAGTCCATCTGCGAGGAACGCTTCTACGATTTTGCAAACAGTATCAAACCAATGTATTCAGAATCAATGTTTGGCGAGCGATCAATTGAAAAGGAGATGCTTTATCGTATGAAAGGTCTTGTCAAGGACGGGCTAATGCTTTGCCAAAGAACGGTGGGTAGATTACACGAATATATGATCTTGGCTGACATGGGCAGGGTCACCTTGAACCAGAATCGAATGCCCCAAATGCGGCTCCATTGCTCTTTGCTGGAAAGCAGCTGATTTATACGGGACAGACTGATCTTCAAACCTCTTCGTCCCTGGGCTCGTCGATACACATGAATAGTTCGGCAGGAAGCGTCAATGTAGAGAACATTGACCGCGTAAAGAGCTCTCTTAATGCCATTTCTCAACGTCGAAGCAATCCAGACGATATTACAGAAACCTCTATGAAGTCGACCATGGAGAACATGGTGTTTGCCCTCACAGAACGCGAAGAGCCGATTTCAAGTATGAAGACACCATCTGCGCATGGCCTGCTGCGACGGAGGTCGCAATTAGCTCATGGACCAGAGGATATGTCAGACAATGCACATTCCTTCCGACGGTCAACAGGTTCTGTCTCAGGGCTTCAGGGTCATATGGGCGGGCATCCAATAATTCCTCCAGTTACACATTCGCCTTTTACGCCAACAGCCGAAGAGTCTGGCTTCTCACCTGGTGCAGGCCCGGCGAGACGTCCTGATCCATTGCCATTCCCAGTTCAGCTTAGCAGTTCGGTTCAATTTAATGCGCAGATCAAGCACATGCAGCAACAAATAGAGATGAGATCATCGCCACTCGAGTCTCTCCAGCCGACCTTGTCTAGTCACTATGATTCGCCGACACATTTGACCTCGCGGAATCATCAACATAAAACTGCTACACCTCCACTGTCACCTTGGCAAGATCTCAGCCAGGTGCTAGGAAGAACCCTACCAACACGAAGCCCGGAACCGTCTCCATTTGGAGCCATTGGAGAAGCACGCCCTAAGAGTAGCCGTGCGCCAACAAGCGGACAGCCCGGATGAGCGATTCACGAGTTCATGGATCATGCCATCAGATTTGATAGGCAAGATTGTACTATGAAAAGTCTCAAGCCGAGTCAATGAGTAAGGATCTTGCGAGGAGAGGCTAAGATGTGCCTTAACTCTGCCCATCACATGAGAAATTTGGGCACTGGTCACAAGTTGTGTGGCTGCACTCTTGAGTCGCCAGAATGGCCGATGCCACCAAACAATCTCCAGTTCTGAAAGCAATTTTTCGCACAGCACAGAGACCGAGCCAGTGCTATTGCTATTGCAACTGCAGAGTAGACATTCAGGGTGAAAGTCAATGGGCCATCTGGATCTATTGCATCTCATCTTTTCTATCTATTTGTGGTGAACGCTCTCATGCTGCAAGTTCTTGGGCCGCAAAGGGTCCTTCCTGGCTCTATATTGTAGTGCAGCTTCTTCATCATCATGTCGTGGAGGACGTGCGTGGTATCATGCCAAGAGTACCTCTGGTCTTGTTGAAATAGACCGTATCGTACCAAAATCAGAACGCTTTTAGTGTTACAAAATCAATGTGGTAGCCATCATCCTTTATGCCTTGAAACTCTGCTTGGGGATTGGGTATCTGAGCAGATGGTCAGTCAAACATGTTTCGTGTTCCACTATGATCGCAGAGGATGTAACTTACGAAGGACCCAATTCTTGCAGACCCAGCCTGGCCAACCACTGGCCCTTCTTTATGCACGTCTCCAGAGAATCACCCTCGACGACGCCGGCGCAGAAGCCACCGGCGAAGGCGTCACCGGCGCCGTTGGTGTCGTTGATGAGCTCCTTCTCGATGACGGGGACGGGGTACTCCTTGACCTCGGCTTCTTTGTCCTGGCCCTTGATGGCCACGATGGTGGGGTCGGTGCCCTGGGTGACGATGACGATCCGGGGTCTTTGGGTGTTGACCTTGGGTGTCTCGGCCATGAGTTTGGCGCACTCGGCCATGCTGATCCCACTCTTCCCCTGCGACTCGGCCCAGGTCTTGGCCTCGTTCTCGTTGCCGAAGACGTAGTCGGTGTAGGGCATGAGTTCGGCGAGTTGGTCCTTGAAGAACTGGGGGATGAAGCCGGCCGACAGGGAGAGCATGAAGGTCTTGTTGTTGGCGGCGGCGTGCTTGGCCACGGCCATGGCGGCCGGCGGGCACACGGTCAGGTGGTAGCCGCCGACGTAGTAGACGTCGGTGGACTCGACCATCGACCAGATGCGCGGCTGTTGGAGGTGCTCGAGTTTGTAGTTGTTGGCCGCGGCGAGGTGGGTGCACATGGTCCGGTGGTGGCCGGTGATGACGACTCCGCATTTCCCGGTGGGCGTCGAGGTGTCGACCATGTACTCGACGTGAAGACCTTGAGATGTGGGTTATCAGCGTCAAAGGGACCACGACCAGTCCGCGGATACGTGCGTGGGCAGACGGGCCACAGAAGGGTGTTCAATTCGTACCTTGTTCGGCGCACTTTTCACGGAGAATCTTTGCGTACTCGTCGTCGCCGACGCAACCAATGTAAAAGACCGAGTTGGGTGGGAGCATGTACTGGGCACCACGGGCGGTGTTCTGGGCCGCCCCTCCCGGGATGAGTTTCGCATTGTGGTTCTTGATCAGGTCGTCGTAGAGGCCCATCTGGTGGGGTTCGACGAGGAGAGTGTCGTCGAGTTTGAGGCCGTATTGTTGGAGCATTGCCTCGTCACTGTAAAGGTTGGGTTCATGTCAGTGGGTGATTGCTCCCTCTCTCTCTCTCTCTCCTCCTAGATAGAGCACTAAATGTCCTCATAGACGGTACTGGAAGAGAAGCGGTGGGTATATGCTTGACGTACCCTTGTCCTTGGATGTCGAGAAGTGGGTTCTCCAGACAGAGGAGTTTGAACTTTTGGTTGGCCATATTGAGAGGAACGCGGAGATTGTGCGGTCACAGACGTATACGAGTAATGAAGAAATTGAGGGAGACTGAATGGGAAAGTGTACGAAAAGAAAATATGAGCTGGTAAATGAGGACAATTGAAATTCTGTTTACACCAGTTGAGCAGTTTGTTGGAGAATTCGCACTGATGCAATGTGGGGAGAGTGTTAATTAAATGCCGGCACAAGGCTGACCATGAAAAGCGTCCAAAGCTTGACGAGGCTGCGCGAATTGTCCTCCATTCCCACACACATCGTCACTCGTATTGTATCATTTCCAACACCACCGCCTCTTGGATTCCACCTCTCACACAAGATCCCCCTACCGACTTTGTGTGATTCTCCTTGTAACGAAAGAATTATATCTTGTGGTTGATTCATTCTTGTGAACTCAGACAGAGCAACGACAGCTGCCCAGACTCTGACCTTGAGTGTCCTACCACCTCAATACACATCCCCCCCCCATACCACAAATATCATGGCCTCCAACCCGGCCGCCGAGCTAGCCTCTGCCATTCAATCGGTTTCTATAAAGCGTCATCCATCACCTGAGCACGACATCAACCCTTCGACAGCGGCATCCAAAAAGGTTCCCGCTACACTTGTTGAATCACAATCGCAATCCCCTCCTCGGTCACGTTCGGCTTCCCTGTCCACCGCCACAAGTGAATCCACCATCCCCAGCGAGATCATCCGACCTCGTCCTCGGCGCAAGTCTTTCCCCCCGATCCCCGACTTCCGGTTCGAACAGAGTTACCTCGCCAGCATCAAGAACGCAGACACTCCCCTCACGGTCGCCGTGATCACGATCCGGGACCAGGTCCTCCTCCCTCTCTTCCAGGGTGTGGCGTGGAACCTGATCATGTTCGGCTGGCGACACTGGAACAGGGGGACTAAGTTCCAGGGTCAGACCCTGGGTGCGAAGGTGCGGAAGTGGTGGTGGGGTGTGAACAACTGGAAGATCCCGGCGGAGCGAAACGCGACCAGAGACGCAAAGGTCGTCAAGCAGGCCGAGGAGTTCTTCGTGGATCGTTTCGGAACCGCTCTGGGAGATTGACCACCATGGATTTAGAGGGATGAGCTACAAACGCAAGGGCGCCAAAGCCGGGTTAAGCATTACTTGCCTGTTTTCAAGCATGTACAGGCTACGAGGACAGCCCACTCGCCCGTGCAGAAAGACCAGTCGTTTCTCGAAAATGACGGCCGATGATTCCATGTCCTCTCACATGATCACTCACTTGCGATGCAAGCGTTCGACCTCGATGACAGGTCGCCGACACACCACCAACGACAGGCCGAGCGCCGAGCAACTCGCCATACTGGCCGTGGACGGCAGATATTAGCACAAGCGAGGTCGGCGTGGGAGAGGTGACTCGAAACAACCACAGCACCTTTTTACTGTATTCTGTACCTAAGACGCCCATGATCCCCTCGTCGGTATGTGCCCAGTGTGAGATGGCATGGCAGTGGGCCGCGGGATGATTGTTACAGTGACGCCGTCAGGATTGACAGGAGCAGCTCACAAAACCTCCAATACCGGAGGTGATGTTGGCCAAAATCACTAGTCCATGTAGATGGATGTGGCGATAATACCGGGGGTTGACGTCGCACACGGCGGACAATAAGGAGATGGTATCAAACGTCACGTTCAGTAGCAATCAATTTCAAGAGTCAAAGCGAAGAAACCAACGACATGAACTACCACGAATTTTTTCTTTTTGATTGATGATTGATTTCTCTCTCTTCCCCTGAACCAGATCAACACTTTTTTCTATTGGCTTTTTTCCCTCCAGCAACATGATTGACATGTTGCCTTTAGTAGTAGCTGTCATGAACTGCAAACCGGTAGAAACCCTTTGTGCATCATGGAAAGAAAAAGATTCCCTTCCCATTCCCATAAGCCGGGGTGTCTCGTTCTCATGTCTCTTCATAAGCTACACCTTTGCAATCAATCGTGCACGGAACAGGAACGAGGGGATCTCTGTCTCGCAAGATCTTTCGTGTCAAAATGTCTTGAATTTTCCTCTTCCGTTTTTTTATTCTTTCTCATTTCCACTTCAAGAAAAAAAAAGGCTTCGTCCACCATCTCGCTGAACTGTAAACAGGCCTTCATCATCATTCAAAACACTCTTTTGGAAGAAAAGAGGCTCAAATTTATCTGCTGGTGGCCTGGACCTTGGTCGGCTTTCCCTTGGCCTGCTGCTTGCTGGCGATGCCACCGCGGACCTGACCGGTGGCGGCCTTGGCGGCGGACTTTGCCTTCTCGGCCTTCTTCTTGCTCTCGGCCGCGGCCTTTTGCTCCTTGGACTCCTTGATGGCGGCCTGGCGGGCGGCGGCGCGGGCTTCTGGGCGTTGGGATCGACGCTCCTTGATCACGTCGAGGGAGGCGCCGACGATGGCTCGCTGGTGCTTGACGGTACGGCGGGATCTCTTCTTTGCGACTTCCTGTTGTAAATCACCCAAAAAGGACATGGTCAGCCAAAAAACTTCCTCGATCCTGAAACCCAACGGCACCGGCAAAACAACACATCACCGTCACCACCTCCAGTGTCTGTTCACTGCCGTCTCTTTTTCCACCCAGGTTCAACCTCGCCACTGGTTCCATCTGGGGCTGTAGGTGTGTTTGTGTGCGATGTCTCTTCTCCTCCCAATGTAGAACAAAAAACTAGGGCGTGCAGAAACTAACCTCCGAAATACCCTTCTTGTGCATTCTTCGGTAAAGCATGGTCCAAGCTATTCTTCGAGGGTTCTTGCGCTGGAGGAACAAGGATTCGGTCTTGCCATTTTGGAATCGGAATACCTTGCTGTCACCACGGACGTAGAGCTTGCCCTGTTCATCATGAAATAATATCGTCAGTGAATTTGTTCGCTCCTCTTCCCAGTGCGCGTTGGGAAATCTCAGCTACAACGCGGCCTTCTCGAAAAGGTGCGTGGGGTTGAATGATTTTGCTTCTTGGGGACATCTCTAGTAGACTGACCTTGCCCGGGTAGATCTTGGTGGCGCTGAAGGTGTCGTCGTAGGTACGCATCTTGGCCGATTGAAATGCTGTACCTGGGGGTCGTTTGTGAGGTGGTGGTTGGTGGTTATTGGGATTTGAATTGATGCCGCAGTCTCGCTCACAGTGAGGTTCGATGGCAAGGCTAGTCAATTGTGGGCTTGGCAACGCCAAGGCTCATGCTTACGGCGGATCTTCGCTTATTGCTTATACGGCGGATCAGGGCTACAAAACGACGCCATGCACACGAAAGGGGCATCAAACACAATGTTCTGGTTAATTGAACTGTTCGTTCACGACATATCTGACTCCATAGTATCACTAGCAGTCGAAGGGCCCTGAAAGCACCAAATTGCATCCAATTTCTCTCAGAACTTGAGGAGCGTGTCACCACCACGACCATCAGTCACGTAGTGGTACGCATCATTAGCTCTTCATCATCACCCTGTTCAAACAGATCCTGAAATATCACCTGATGCACAGCCCATCTGTCTGTACTTGGAGCCTCTAGTATCTCAAACTCGTCTGAGGTATCATATCAGAAAAGTCCAATCCTTTCACTCTTCATTTCATTCATGACATGGAGAAATCCTGAAGCCGTCGCATTCTTTCCATGATGGCTGAAATCCGTCACTCGAAAGAGAGTGAGGCCACATTCTCATCATGCCAAACGCAGTCAAGAAATGGATGCTTCTTACATCTCTTGCACTGGATATCAGCGCAGCAAGGATTTGGGCACTGGCCGCAGCAATCAGGACAGACCATCTTTCCACATCCAAATTCATCATCTGGGGCACCGTTGCTGCATTGCAAGAAGGTTGGAGCCTCTTGTCCGTATGGGAAAAGTATGCTGATGTTGCCTAATATCTCTTGAGCGCGGGCCAACGACTCTGGGTTGTCTTTGTGTGTCTTGGTAGCCAAGTACGCAGTCTTGTAAGCACAGCAAGCTCGCCCGCAGAGAGCGCAGCATGCATCCTGACAAGTGGTGCATTTCAAGTTGCGAGATTTCCAGCCTCGTGCAGTGTTCGGATGACGTGGCAATGGGTCTGACTCGGAATAGTCGTAGGTCGGGCAATTCAGTGTGGTGCGGAGGTGCTTTTCCTGCAAATGGGTGGTTAGCCTTGACCACATAGGCAGCCAGGAAATGTCTTACCGTATTGAGTCGATGCGCAGGCTGGTTGACAATGTTCTCTTCAGGGCTGCTAGTAGGGCCAGATGGAGACGAGGTATCAAGGCTTTTTCCCGACTTCGGTTTGAACAAATCAGACACCTTGCGTAGGCTTGATTTCTTGGTGTCGAATGTCTCTGAGACTGGAGTGGTCGTGGTTTTGAAACTGTTGCTGGGAGTTTTGGGTCGAAAGAGTGAAGATGAGTTGCGGTCGGCAGTCGATTCGGTGTCAGCCCAATCTTTGCGATCAATGTTGAGTTGGGAGATGCTGGCTCTCGTGTTCAAAAGAGTCTTGTCCGCTTCATCACTCTTGCGTTTTGTTCGACGTATTATTCCTTTTGGGGTGGCAATGAAGGGACTCTTTGGAGGTTCAGTGACCAGTGGGCGGGATCTGAAAGAGTTATTCATGCCGAGATTGATTGCACTTGCCGCAAAAGCATTCCTTCCTTCAACTGGGGCCAGGATGAAATCACTACGAACACGATCGTAGTTGCGGTAAGGGTCGAAGCCGGGTCGTCGTCTGAATTCCGCATCGATCCTCGCTCGATCCTCTGCCCAGCTGCGAATTTGAACTGGTGAAGATGTTGTGATCAAGTTCGGCCGGTCATCAGCAACAGATGGCTTCGCATTGGCACTGCCAGAGATCGCCGGATGCTCCGAGATTTCTGGTGAAGGGATACGGACCAAAGTCTCAAAGCTGTCGACAAGGGTTCTCTCTTCTGACAACCGCGACATCTTGCTTTGTCTATGTTCAATTTCAGTGTCAACAATGAAGAAAACTTCGCTTGTAGGAAGGAAAGTCGAGATGACCTGCCTCCTGCTGGTGAATCGGTGCACGTGATTTCACCGGTGAACTTATTCGTGATATACCGCCACACCCACTATCGCGTATTTCCTTGATATTTCGATAATGAGGGCCGTCAGAACTCCAGTACGGAGTACTGTTGGATTGCTGACGGCCCTCGTAGATTTGACAACCCCAAGAGGTTTGTAAGGGCTTTGAACGCCCATACCCTAAAGCGTTTCTGATATTTTCAAGAATAATTTTGACAGATAATGTCCATTCCAGTTCTTTTCCCCTTCACTGTCGGTGATGCAAAGAAAAGATGAAGGAGTAATAAAGTGAACTTGTTTTCTTTCCTCGCATTGACTTGCGTTTCTTGATCGGCCAATAAAGCCCTTCAACTTCAACATTAGTATCGACACCAAGGTGGACGTTGAGCCCGGCGATGGATGAGAATAGAATCTGCCTTGTTATGATGATGTCGTCACTTGCGCACGCACTACCTGGGAACGAAGGGGAAAGATGTGGACAGCCAGTCGACAAGAGGTTCGAGAGAGTTGATGAGAACGCACCAGCGCACCAGCACCATAGCGTGTAGAGCATCCGGACAGATGGGAGCATGGCAAAGGTGGTTCGGCCGAAAAGGACTGTATATCACTCACCCAAGACACGAAGAAAGCAGTCATGACCGTGATCTATTGCAATTCATTCATCGCTCCATAATTCATAATGCAGTAAGACTCCAATGTTCAACTTTAAGAGGTGTGTCTTCAAGCCCTGGTCTCCTGATCGAACGCGCGCCATGCATGACAGTTGAATTCATCTCTAAAACGGTCCACATATCAAAGGTTCTCAGGAGAGGAGAGCCAGATCGTACTTGAAGCGTGTTGAATGCATCAAGAGGACATGGCATATGTCCTGGTCCATTCTCTGGCCGTCTGAATGGCAGCTTCTTGGTCCTCCTTCCAGCGCTGTGCGACATCGTTTGCCAAAGGATCATCCGGGTTGGGAGCGCCTAAAAGAGCCTGTATTGAGAGGAGGATTGTTCTAATCTGCAGAGCAGGTGACCAATTACCTAAAGGGGTGGGTGTATTGTTAGGGCAGAACGGTTCGCAGCTATGGTGGCGACTCACTCTTCAAGACGTCGAGACAGATGCGGCCGAGTTTGTCAATGTTGGGGTGGTAGATCTTGGTGAGAAAACGTATCTTGGGAGGTGTCATGGGGTAATCATCCGGAAGGAAGAGCTCGAGCTTGAATATGCCACCTGAGTACTCATGAGCAATTGCCTTCGGGCGGGCATGTTTCCAGGACAGGGTCAACAATTACCCTCATATGGAGACTGCGAAGGACCGTGTATGGAGACGTCAAAGTATCTGAGATTGTCTTCGTGTGGAACGGCGCTGATTCCAGGGACTCTGTGTAGCATCTTTCAGCATCAACTCTTGGTAACAACGAATTCAAGAAGTCACCATACGGTTCAGCCATCAACCGCTCCGTCTCTTTTACAATTCTCTTGGGCAAAGCCATTTTTGAATGCGCAGGTCGTCTTGAGCCTTACAGCGCGCTCCGTGGCCAAGAGGTCAATTGTCAGGCCGTTTGCCTCAGGTATCAAGACAAATACCGTAGAAGTATTGGAGGTTCGGGAGGCTGTCAGGCTGAAGAATCCCTAAAGACGGAATGAACCAACTCTGAGAGGACTGATTTGAATTCCGGGGCGACGTACTGCGGGCGTTGCACGACAAGAGGATAAATATCGACCTGCGATAAAGATCAGAGGTATAGATCCGACGAGCACTGAGAATTTTCAGGCTGGAAGTCACTCTCAAACGAATCAAATGAAGCAAAGTGACTATCAAATACACTCGATGCACCTCTGACAATGTTCCACAGTCGATGTTTGACTGCAGCGCCGCGTTTGCGCAGTGACGGAATTCCGCACATGACTCGATGGGATTCTTGGCCTTGTGTCGCTCCAACTGCTTCATGACTCGGTACGGTACCAGTCCACCTGGTTTTCATTGAGCGCTGCATATTGATATCGTATTACGGGTTTCAAACATTTCATGGACAAATATATTGTTACAAATATTCGAAACAGTCTCTTCCGATTCACATTCAACCATTATCATGGTCTTCATGTAATTCTTCTGATGGTAGCATCACTTCCCTTGGAACTCAGCCCACGACTGAGTCCACCTCCTATACCTCTCCCCAAGGTCGCGACCTTACTCCCTGCCCAGGGGTTGAGGCGGACGTCTTCTTCACTAAGCCCCTGGTCAAAGTCACCAAGATCAACAAAATCTTCGCCGTCATTGGTAACTCCACCTGACTGACTGTGCTGACCATGTGCTTCGTGGGATTGCTGCACGGAAACAGATGGTGCCTTGCTGCGTGCGGCGGTCACTGATTTTGTTCGTTGGTGGACCTGCGTTGACGCAAGGAAAGATGCGAGAGTGTTGTCGGAACTATAATCGGTATTGGTCAAAGTGCTGGGTGATCTCTGCAATCCAATCAGATTGCGGCTGTCCTGGCGGCTCATTGGGGGTTGAACAGGTTTTTGTCTCTCTCCGTACCCTGGAGGGTATGGGACATCAACTACGGTCAACACCGAGCAGGGACACGCGCAGCCCGTTGGGCATGTATTGTGATCGTTATCATGACTGGTGGTGCTTTCTGTGTCCATTTCCTCTTCGTCTTCCTGCTCTTGTGAAGGCCTCCTCGATCTGGCTTTGCTCATTTGCTCAGAGCCGAACCACCCTTGCGCACAGTCATAACACGTCATATGGCCACATTGTATGCACGGTACCGCGAGTCCCTTGATGGAAGCATTGCAGATCGAACAAGCACTTCTGCCTGGGGGTTTCAACGTTGCTGATGTACCTGTAGCCGAACTTCGGCATTTCTGATTGACACATTGCCAACCGATCGGGACGCCGTTCTTCTCAATTGAGCCTAATGGCTCTCCACAATTGCGACAGCATCGTTGGATTTCCAGGCCTGGACTTGCCTCTCGAGACAGAGAAGTCATGAACCGTCTCCTCGGCCGTTCCAACAAGCGGCCATTGCCATGTTGTTTGGCCGTCGATGCTCCGTAGAGAATACCGTCGGTATCTGGTGACAGGTCGTCGAGTTTCAAGATCTCAGCACGTTGCGTGAAGAGTTGCCAAACATCAAGTAGATGTGCATAAGATGTCCGGTATGCACTGAATTTCTCGCTTAGGGAAGAGTCCAATAACGGTGCTTGAGAATAACCATCAAGATCAAACTGCTTCTGCTGCCACAAGCTGACTTTGATCCTCTTGCGCCTCGGTGGTTTCTTCCGCTGTGGGTGCTCCGTCACCTCGGTTGTAGCCAAAGATTGAAGGCTACGACGACTTGGCATTGAATTTCTGCCATTGCTTCTCTGAGACTGTCGCAGGTGCACTGATGACTGTGAGGACCGCAAGTTTGTCTGCTGGCTGTCTTGGCTGGCATGGTCACTCCCCTGAAGAGACATACGGGAAGATCTGCTGCCACCATGGTGCCCAAATAGGTTTGTCGATACCCACCCCGGCGTCAGCGATCCTGAAGGGCTGTATTTCTTGAGGCCCGAAGCAATTGCGGAAGCAGAACTTTGACCAGGTGGAGAGTGCGAATAAGACTGAGTCAATGCTGATAGGCTTGCTCGAGCCGTGGAATACGCAGTGCTTGAACTTGCCCGATGATTAGGCCTATTGCCTTCTGGCGATGCTGACAGAGATATTGTCGTAGAATTTGGAGCCCGATCACTCGCGTCATCGATGAGACTGTGCGCACGAGTCGACAGTTCGCTGCCGTGGCGAGAAAAGTCAGGGCGCGTCCTCATTCTGCGTTGCACTGCCAACGCGGCTGTGCTCACGTTGATGGCGTGAACCAAAGAATCCGCCTCAGGGTCGACTTCATCCAGTGAGGCTTTGGCTACGACTCGTGAAGGAAAATATTCCGTGAGCGGTATATCAATATGGGGCTTCGAGCCAGGCTCTGGCCCACAGAGCAAGTCGTTGTTCGAATCAGCCGCAAATACACAAGACATCATGGCGAGCATCTGGACATCTCCTAGTCTCTCATAATGGTCGAATATGGCAGGCAGAAGGTACGTTAAACTTAGGGGATGGTTTCCCCATCGCGTTCTTCCAAGGAGCTTAGCATCTGATTGATGGTTGTCACTCTTGGAATTCCGAGTCTTTGTGGCAGCCCGAGCTATGACGGTGACATCTTCAGCTGCCGGATGACCAAGTCCATGGATGATCTCCAGGGGAATAGAATCATCGAGTATAAGACCAAGCAACGTCCAGACTGAAGCCAAGTCGTCAAAAGAGGCATCGCGGGCCACACTGGCATTATTAGTGCAAACTTGCTTAGGGTCGCCGATTATGGTGTATGCTTCCGCCAGCTGTTGTTTGGAAGGTATCAAGGTATCGAAGCTATGGATCGATACAGTTGTCGTTCGGGGTCCTTCGTGCAACTTATTTGCTCCCGTTGTCGAGAGGTTCGAATGATCAGGGGAGCGTGAACGTTGCTGCTTTCCGGGGACACCTACAGGGTAGGAGGGCACGCCGCGGACATTTTGTTCCGTATCAAAGGATGAAGAGGAGCTGCTGGAGGATTTCCAAGAGGAATCCGAGGTGTCAGAATCGGAACCATCCTCAGCGGTTCGGTTGCCACTGGTGGCTTTGCGAGCAGGCGAGCTAGTGTGAAGACGCCCGAAACCTTCGAACAGCCTGTTTGACGCTGACTCTTCGAGACCAGTCATCCCAAGGGTGCTCAAGAAAGAGACAGGCTCTTTTGATTTGGTCGGGAAAAAACAAACTAGTTTGCCAGTTTCCGACCACACAGCACCGCATCCTTTTGCGAGTGGCACCATGATATTCGCGGATGCCTCCAGTCTTTCTCTAGCACCGTCGATCAAAGGATCGTCGTCGTCACTGCTAGATTCATCGGCAGCAATGTCGTTCTCTTCTAGGATCTTTGAGTCTGTCAGAGACTCATCGAGTACCCAAGCAACAATTTGCTCTAGGTTCTGCTCGCGCAAGAGATATCTCAGAACCGCCTCAAGACAGCCTCGTTTCCTGGAAGCATACGTCTCTGCAATAGTGCGCAGCTCCGTGCTGATCAATCGGTGTGTCGCATCGTCCAGAAACCCAGACTTTTGTAGCGAAAGCACTGCATTGGCATTGCGAGGGTACAGTTTGGGAAAGCGCATCTCAACCCTGAGGAACACTTGACTCTGATCTTCGCCCCATGGAGCTTGTAAAGACATGACGGCTTTGCGATGGGAGATGTCAACAACTTCAAAATCCACCTTTTTAAATTTCTCTCCGACATGACGGATCTCTTCTGCCAGAGTATCTGGATCCCAGGTAGAGATCTTCACATTCTTCAGCCACGCGATCGGGTCTGCGCTTTGGCGATTATTCCCTCGCCCCTGCATGCCTGATCTCTGTGTTTGGCGACCGCCTTGTACCCAGCCTCGAAATTGCGACACAGGCATCTTATTCATGCCGACACTGGTGCTGCTCCGAGGTCGGAAATGCATGATGTGACTGTGGCGGGGAAACATCTCACTTCGCGGCGTCTGCTCAATTGGTGACTCTGCATCTCCTGGTTCATCCCGGAATGTTCGATAAACGGCGCCTCTTCTCGTGAAGTTGAGCCTCTGTACTCGAGATTTGCCCTTTTCGTAGCCGATATCCGCATAAATCTCCGGGTCAAGAGCATGTAGTCTCAGCTCTCGATCAGTGCCCCAGGAGACTAGTTGGAAATCTCGGTCGTCGACACCTTGGTCTACGCTGCCTCGGGCTCGCCAGAGAAACTCTTTGACTTGGCCTTCGTGGCCGGGAAAAGTGGCAACTGGCCGAACCCGTCCGCTTTCCCAGGCTCCATTGACCGCTCGCCGGTCATACAGATGCAAGTCACTATTTCCGCGTTGTGGCATGGCCAAAAGTCCCCATCCAAACGGGGTGTGACGGGCTCTCCAAACAGGGAAAGGTGTTTCAATGACGCGCTCAGGTGTATTATCTTCCGTGTCCAGATCCCAAAACTTGATCGTCCTATCAAGTGAACAGGTCACAATCTTGTTCTGTTGATGACGGTTCCAGTCGACTCCATAAATCTTGGTACCGTGTGCTTGAATGGTCCTTACTGGGTACGCGCCATGTCTGACGTCCCAGATGTGGAGGAATTTATCATGAGAACTGGCGACGACGTGTTCGTCCTGACGACTCCATTTCACTTGAGTTGCACCGGCGAACCAATCTGAAAAGGAATTGGCCGGGCGCAGTGGAGCTCTCAGATCCCAACAATGCACAAAACTGTCTACGGCGCATGTGGCGAGGACATCTGGATTGTGCGCCGAGAAGTTGATGTCCGTGATGGCTCTGGTATGGCCGTGAAGGACGAATTCGATGTTATCCTGCCACGATCGCGCTTCGAGATTCCAGACTAAGGCCTTTTGGTTGGACGTGCTGACAACCCAATAGTCGCGGGCGGCAAAGGGAGACCATTGGACATCAGCCACTTCCCAGGGAGTTCTGTGAGGCAGATACCGTGGCACCGAATAGGGCGAGTCAAGGTCGATGATGTGCAAGCCCTCTTTGGACGCCAACGCAACGTCTCGACCACTGGGAGAAATGGTCATGGACCCGACGGGCTGTTCCAGCCTAAATGAAGCATCCTTTCCAAAGGTCTCGCTTTCGAAAGCGGACGCTGGACCTCGTCGAGCCATACTGTGTAGATGATGATGTCACGACCGTAAATAGCTCAAGAGACAGTTCGTGGACAGAAGATAGCACTCGCTATTGTAAGCATCCACGGGCCATAGAAGCCAGGCGGAAATGCTAGACTTTGCATCTCGGAGCTATACACAACGCTTGGGCGTGCAGGGTCACGATCGGTGAGATAATTGCATGTGCATACACCAGCCACTGTGTGAGGAGGATTGAGACTGTTGGTGTGTTCAAGACACAAGGAAATATCAAAACTCTGAGGAACGATGATGCCAGAGGAATACGTGATAAATGGAGTATGCCAGTATCCGATATCGTCGCGACAAGGCGGAAGAGAAACGCAGCGGGAATTGCCAAGGCCAGTGGAACCTCGCCCATCTATATTCGTTCTAACCCATTTTAGAATCATGATGATGCCGCCTTGTACAGGAAACGTACCGCTTCATCACAATTGTCACCTTTGAAGATGCCCCCTTATGTCGACTGAGAACTACGGACAACAGTCGCTACGGACGTTCGGACACAACCCATAGCTTCAAGCTTAGCTTCCCACGTCTGATGACCTCGATAAAAACTTCTAGGCGATCATCAGTTGACTTCCTATTTCTGATTCCAAGTTTCGCCGAAGTATCCCGAATCTCCTTGATCAATTTAAGAAGCTCTCCACGCTTGATGACTTCCAATCGGCTGAAGAAAGATGGGACAGAGAGATAACTAGGTACACATGTCCTCGTGCTATGTGTTGATTGACGGCCAATAAGCAGTCAACTCTTTGAGCCAAGGACGGTCTATCGTCAAGTCTTTCGCCCTGAAAACAATGGCTTCCATGCATAACCCTGCGACCCCAAAACCATTGAACAACACCAAGGGTATATGTATCTAATACAAATCATTCATGAACGGAATAGTAAGGGCTCAATAGATGCATCAAGAACTCCGGCCCGACATGCACATGTCTTTCACATCACAACGCATTCTCTATCTGGCTTTTCTCCCCGATTTTTACTCCTGGCAAGCCGACTTCGACTCTTCTCCTTCCTATGACCTTTGTGGTGCTCGTGATGTGAAGTGTTCGGCATCGAATCTGACTTATCCGTCAATGATGGTTGACTTAGTTCTGTAACATGGATCTCGGGGCGGTGCCCATCTTCCGCGGCATTGAGATGCACGTCGCGACTTTTCCTCTTGGTCAATTTCGACAGGGTTCGACCCAAACCGCTCACATTATTCCGGGAATACGATCCACTCAGACGTTCGGTCCTGGTAGATTTTTCCGGGTCTTTCGGAACGGCCAGTGCCGTCTCACTTACTGGTTCCGAGCGCTGCTCTGAGAGTGAGATCGCACTCATTCTTCTAGACTCGACAGGAGACCGACCACGAGGATCGTCTGCCGGCGAAATCTCGAAGCTTGGTCTTCCAGATGTAGTTTGGTTTCCAGTGGAAACAGATACGCTAGAAACCTCACTTACTGACGCGTTCCTCTCAGAAACTGCGGATGGGACAGTCTCCTCGCCAAACGTGATATGTCCAGGGTCACCTTCAATGGGAACAATCTGGTAGAATAGCAAATAAGGGGTTTCTTCTCGAAGAGCCTTCTCGATATCGACCACAGTGATTCGAGAAGGCGCGAGATCGTCGAATCTCATCCAAGTTGCGGTTGTCGTCGTGGAGGCGACGCTATTTGCCGAATCAGGAGGCGGTGTTCCTCGCACCAGTGCGATATAATGACCGGAGTCAACGGAAGTGCCTCGATGGCATACCACTGACTGCAATGACAACTTGAAGTTGCCATACAGCGACCTGGTCTCTTCCATGTGCTCGTCCTGGATGAAGTGAGGTACACCGATCTCGACGGGAATGTCAATTTGGGTGTCCAACCTGACGGCTCTGCCTTCGGGCGTCATAGTATATCGCTTGAGGCAAAGACCCAGTACCGGTCGCTTGGATGAGAAATGGGCGGCGACCTGGGCATCATTGGTAGGTGCATTGTCCGTGTACCATGCTAAATGAAATCAGTCTGGAATGTCCATTCCTCGTACAAACAGCAACTTACGAATAAGGCTGAAGAATTGCCACGCCGGCATCATCACCTCTTTCCGCATACTTCCGGCACGTAATCGCCCGGTGAAATCCTTCGCCTCAATTCCAGTAAGAGACGAAGAGCCACTCTCCTTCCGGATGGGAATATAACGCTCTTGAATGATGCTTGGGGTACGCATACGATTCACTGGTCGCTCGGGCGGTGCATATGCGGGCGGCAAACCTATCGGCGAAGCTACAGGAGTGGAGGGGCTCGATGAGTCAGGGTCCACCTCGACAGTCTCGACGTGAACAGCACTTGTTTTCCGCATTGAGCTCAGCGTCGACCTCCGCTCCATGTACCTTCTGACTTCGATGCGGTTGTTGAAGTAATCTTCCAGACATTCCTCGAGAGTGATTACTTTGTTTTGGTCCGTCGGCTCGGGTGGGGGGATGGCGACTTCGAGAAGCCTCTCATTGATGAATTTGTGATCGTCATTGGTATCTTCCTTACCAGTATGATATATGTCCATTTTCAAAGTCAACAGGGGAAGGTCGAGAACCCCAGTGATGAAAGTGAAAGCTTCTGACGCGTCTTGCTGATGCAGTTCCGCAGCCTCTTGCCAGCCACAGTCTGCCAGAGCCTCCTGCAGCACTTTGGTGACGTCGGTGGTTATGAGCTTGCCATTTCGCAGGAGATTGACCCATAGTCGCAGAAGAAACCCGAGTTTGTTGCGTGGGAGATCCTCAAAAGAGTTGTACAGCATGGCCTCGAAACTGTCGAGGCGGGAGAACATCGAAAAGAGGGTGGCATCGAGATAGCAAGTCACACCTTGTCGGTTCTGTGCGCCTAACAGTCTGACTCTGGGATCATAACTAGTGACAATACCCTCAGATGCATCGGACATGGCATGCAGGAGGTCGTATGCGGCGTCCACATCACCATTTGCAGCATTCGAACGCAAAGCCCAGAGCAGCTGGGCATTTCTCAGGATGACACCTTTCGAACTGAGCAAGCGATGTCGGAGTGTTTTGATCTGCACATGCATCAGCCATGAAACATGAATGATATGAAGACGTTGCGCCCGACCTTTTGCTCTTCGGCTTGGTTGGCTGATGTGCCCTGGGCGTCAAACAAGCCATAGAAGTCAGAGGCCGATGTTGGATCAAAGGGCTTCGACATCAACTCTGGACTTGACTGCACAGAAAAAAAGTCAGTCTAAAGACAGGAGAGAGGCAGGAAGGCATGGAGGAGGGACTACAGAAGACCCATCTCGCTGTCTGGTGGGAGTGCAGATGGAGAGACAGAGTCGCTGGAAGTTCGCCATGGGATATCGAAAAAGACTATGAGAATGATACAAGGCTCTGCGCCAAACATCATGGACTTACCGCAGAGGGAGGAGGCTTCTTGGTGATGAGACCTGAATGGTGATGGCTGTCTCGATCTTGGTTGCGCTTGCCATCACGCCTCGATAAGAATCTCTGCACCCCGTGTCCGGTCATATCTGCTGCTGCTGCTGCCCAGCAGGACGGTGCTGGGCACTCTGTTGCCCTACAACTTTCCCTATCGCTGCAAATACTTTAGAAATTCGAAGAAATATTCTGAACCATGACTGTCGTGGGAGGCCAAGGCTGAAGTAGTGTCCGACTTCGGCAATTAAATCTTTTTTGAGGGGGGCCTGTTTGGTGGTGTTCGATGCGGGTGAGGAGTAAATAGTGATGAACCCTGGCCTCACTAATGTCCGCAATATATCACAGATGTCTTGATAATGGCGGCGGCAAATACGATGTGTCTGAACGCGTCATACGCACGATATGATACGCGAGGTATTAGAGAGATATGAACGATGAGAGTTTTAAAGAGGGTTGGGAGGCTGAGGTCAGCGATCCAGCCCGTGATGGGAGGCGGGCGTTTTCTCTCGAATCTCCTGCCTCGTTTTGCCCCGCGGACGCCCAGTTTGACCCCCAAGGAGCCTGAGCCTGTGTTGTTGGGCTATTGATCGCGCCGGGCTTGCGCTGTTTATTGGTTCGGTGGCTTGATGGATTCCCTCTAGCTGCCAGCGATGTTTTTACAGGCCACGGAGTAGTACTCGTACTGTATTCCATTCCCACCCCAGTTAAAGTGACTCGATCCCTCTCTAATTAATGGGTGAGTGAATGGCCCGCCAAGCCCCGATCAGATCAGTCCGCAAAGCTCGCTTGCTTCTCCCTCGTCCTTCCAGTTGCGCCGACAGTCCGATCAAATCAGCATCTCCAATAAAGACCTCACGTTGTCCGACTACACGGCACTGAACCCTCCTGACCTCCTCCCCAACATCAGCACTTTGCCTCCTTCCTTCCCCCTTCGAGCCTCGCCGAGTGCTCTCCGACCCCCTCGCCATGTCGACCGTCACCCGAACATTGCGCAATTTATGGAGAATTGGCTTCAAAGAGTATGGCCACCAGATGCAATACATGGTAAAGGATTTCTGCTTGAACACCCAAGGGGCATCGACATTCTGACAGAGGTATATAGGGCGACACCAAGGCTGGTGTTCTCGTGGGAAAGGATCGATGGGGAAACAAATACTATGAGAACTTGGAAGAAGACCTTCCTCTGAGAACGAGATGGGTAGGGGAAATTGCGAAACTTACTGCTCCGAAGAGCTCTGGACTAAGTTTCATCAGGTCGATTACAAGGACAAGGAATTAGACGCCAGCCATATCGAACCCGGTTGGCACGCCTGGATGAGCTATCTGGTAGACAAGCCACCCGTCGAGGACAAACTGCTAGCTGTCGGTGTACGGCCGTGGGAGACAAAACAACCCGTCATCAACAACACAGGCAGCCGAGCTGCGTACAGACCATACTCAACGTGCGTTACCATCTGTGATCACTTGCGAGCTGTGGTTAACTTGTGACAGGACCAAACCGAAGTATAGTGCTTGGGATCCGGTGGCCAAATCCCGAGACGGATGAGTCCGTTTGCCCAACTTTGGAGACATTCAGGAAGGCGGCGAATTCGAGCCAAAGGCATAAAAACAATGTTACAACGTTGAATTTGGTACAGATGCACGCACAGGGCGTTTCAGAAGGGCTTTGCTTGAAGAACGACAAACAGGTTTATATTGCACAAAGGGGGTATCTTCGAATGCCACGACAAAATTCAATCTCGAAAAACACCATTAGCCTGACCATTTCATGCTTTTGTCGGGCGCGAATATACCCTGGCAGGTCCGAGTTCTGCTCGCACTTCGTCGAGCTGCTGGAGGCCGTATTTTTCATTGCCGTTCTTCCCTCTTTTGCCCTTTGCACCTTTCCGTTTGCCTCCTGGGTTTGCTTTGTTCCAATGACCTAGGAAATCGTCCATCATGCCGCCAAAATCTTGTCGAACAGCACCCTCATCTGCGAAGCTGGTTGTCGAGAGTTGGGACATTTTCGATTGGCCAGTCATGCCCGATGCTAGCGACATTCCGCCGTCCATGTCATCAAACTCGTCAGCCTCGTCCAAAGAGTACATCTTTTCGACCTGATCGAATCGTGCATCCAGCAATTGTTGTCCATCGGTCCTTGCCAAAGAGGAAGATGTCATTGAATATGCACTGGGGTTGGTCAAGGCACCTTTGCGCTTCTTCTGGCGCAGAGGTGTACCGTTCAGTGTGTAAAGCGTCGGGGCTTTATCCTGTACTGCAGACGCCGCGATGATGGAATCTGCTGTTTTTGGCTCAGGTCTCCTTGTGTTGTCTCTCTTGAATTTGGCGAACTCTTTCAGCCAGTCTCCATCTTCAGCTGCCGCAGCTTCGGCATCTAGAGAACCGTCCTCGTTCACTAATTCAGCTCCGGCGGCAGTTGGAAACGATGTCCTCATGGGCAGTTGAGCGGGCTGGGCAGGAGCCTTCTCTGTTGCGTCTGACTCCCATCCGTCGTCATCTTCATCCTCGAAATTTGCTTCAAATTCAGCCAACTCTAATTCTCCAAACTGTCCTTCTTTTGCAAGAGCTGCAAACATATCTTCCTCGTCCTTCTCGTCCACATAAGCGTCATCGTCCAAGGCCTCCAGTACTTCTCGTAGTCGAGGGTCCATGTCAGGTTGGAATCCAGCAATCTCATCCGGAACATCCTGCTGATTCTGGTACGTCGCAGGCCTTGTTGATGTGGACAAAGTCGATAACATCTCACTGCCGACCACACTCTGAGTGTCATCCAGCGATACTTCCCTGAGTGCATCTTCCAGTTTCATTGTTTTTGCCTTCCCTTTGCCCTTGCCCTGCACCTTTACAGGAGCAGCCTCCATGAAATGTGACTCTCCACCGCCTTCTCCGATATCTCGCAAATGTTGCATGTAATCATAATTCGTGTCGTCGAAGTAAACTCCGTACTCTGCCGCCTCGCCCTCGTTCTCGCGCATGCTCTCAAAATCCAGATCATCTTCCAGGTCGGTCAAGTGTAAACCAGCTTTCTGCTCAGTCTTCCGCGAGGCTGGGACTGGACCCGAAACAGGGTAGAGCGCCCGCTCGCCAGCAGTCTCATCGTGTAACGACGGGTCATTTTGTGGACGGTAAAGAAGTTGGAAGGTCTGGGCCTGGTTCTTGTCACTGTTCTCTCATTAGAGTCTATAAATCCAAATCAAATGGGAAACCCGTACATCCATCGTTTCCGAGGCATTTTGGACAATCTTTAAAAAGGTCTAGGTTGGTGAACGTGTAGACTTGTGTCAAGGGTAAGAGTGGCTGCGTATGGCGGGGGGGTGAAAGTGGTGCGGAAAATAATTTCTAAGAAATTTTGGTCTCCCGCATCGAATAGTCAGCGCAACCGCCACTCTATATGACGTCCTGCGCTCGACTCCAAATCTTTCTCTTTCAACGATCAAACAGTGAGGTGCAAACCCTGACTACCTCGATTCGCCTCCCTCCAGTACTGCACGCCCAAACAACTCCGTCAAGATGGTCTTAGCGAAGAGCAAGAACAGCGTCGGGTTGGGCAATAGCCTGATGAACGATCGCTTCGGCAAAGGCAAGGGTTCAGACAGGAAGAAAGTCTCTGCACAGGGTGTACTTCGGGTCGACCACACTACCGGACAGACTTACGTTACAAATGAAGCGAAAGAGGCCTCTTGGGTGAAGATGCGCAGTGTCACTGAACAAGGCGCTCTCGACGAGTTTCTTTCGACTGCCGAACTCGCAGGCACTGATTTCACGGCAGAGAAGATGAATAATGTCAAAATCATACATTCTGATCAAAATAACCCATATCTTCTAAGCGCGGCTGAAGAGAGAGGTGCTAGGAGAAAACATGCACAGAACAAGGGAAGATTGACTGTCCCGAGGCGGCCGAAGTGGGATGAGACAACGACACCCCGACAATTAGATGAACAGGAGAGAGCAAGCCTGTTGGATTGGAGACGAGGACTTGCAGAGTTGCAGGAAAATGACGATCTACTCATGACACCTTTCGAGCGAAATATTGAAGTCTGGAGACAACTATGGAGAGTTATCGAGAGGTCGGATTTAATCGTGCAGATTGTCGACGCTAGAAATCCGTTGCTCTTTCGGAGTGAAGATCTTGAGAGATACGTCAAGGAAGTCGACCCCCAGAAGCGCAACTTGCTGCTGGTCAACAAGGCTGATATGATGACCGAGGAACAACGACAAGTATGGGCAATGTATTTCCAGCAACAAGGGATCAATTACAAGTTTTTCTCGGCTCATCTTGCAAAAGAGATGAACGAGGGCCGAGATGCCATTGAGGAATTAGACGCACGGCAGATTCAACAACAGATCGATCGGAACTTGCCTCAGAAGACCATGGCCCAGAACCTCCAAGATCTCAATCTGAGAGAAGAGGACGGTGAAGAGTGGTCAGATGAGGAAGAAGGATCTGACGAATCCGATGAAGACAACTTCGAAGCTGGACCTTCAGAACTGCCATCTGCTAGCACACAGATATTGACCGTGGACGAACTAGAAGCATTGTTTCTAGAGAATATACCGAAAGACAGCACACAGGATCGGAAAACGACAATAGGACTAGTTGGTTACCCCAACGTCGGAAAGTCATCGACGATCAATGCCATGATCGGTGCAAAGAAAGTCAGCGTCTCATCTACCCCAGGAAAGACGAAGCACTTCCAGACCATACATCTCTCCGATCGGGTCATTTTGTGTGATTGTCCTGGTCTAGTTTTCCCAAACTTTGCAACCACCAAGGCCGAACTAGTTTGCAATGGCGTTCTACCCATTGACCAACTACGTGAATTTACCGGTCCGGCTGGCCTTGTCGCACACAGAATTCCACAGGCATTTTTAGAGAATGTCTACGGTATGAAGATTGTGACAAGGCCTGTAGAGGAAGGCGGCACAGGGACACCGACGGCGTCTGAAATGTTGCGAGCATATGCCAAAGCTCGAGGTTTCGCTACGACCGGCCACGGCCAGCCAGATGAGTCGAGGGCTGCGAGATATATCTTGAAGGACTACGTTAATGGCAAATTACTGTACTGCCACCCACCTCCCCACGACCCAGAAATCGACGGGGCGGAATTCAACGAAGCCCTTTACGATTTCGCGCATCTGCCGGCCAAGCGACAAGCCTGGCTGATCGCACATAATGACGAAATTACGCGGGATGGAGATACTGAATCACAGATGTCGGTGCCTCTACGCCCACAGGAGACAGGCAACAAGTCAAGATCCCTTGATAAGCGATTCTTTGGTCCTGGCTCTGGAAATGCAGGCCACCTGACTATGCCTTTTAATCACCAGTACACAGAACAGGGAGCACAGCAGAAGCAATTGACGGGGCGAAAAGCAAGGACAATGGTTGCGCTCGAGAGAGATATTGACCCGGCGGACATGAAGCTGAACAGCAAGAAGCATTTCAAAGGCGCAAGGAGGAAGGCGAGGACCGTCAGATCAGCGAACGATGATGAGTGATTGACGTTTGTTAACCGTATGGTATGGGAATAAGCGAGATAGAATAATTCCATATCAATGACTCGGTCTTCATGGACATCACTAAAGGGTACATGACACTATGGTAGTTACGATTGCTGACGTATCTACAAATACCCCTTGATCAAGAATATCGCCAACATCCCATATCTATCTTGAAATATACGAAGCCACTTCAAATCTCGGAGAATGACCACCGAACGGGTGTATAGATGGTCTTCGGTCCGAGCACGCCATCAAATTCCATCACCGCAGCAGCCGCTTGAACCGCACTAAGCACTACGCGCAAACTCCGGACTCACGATAACGAATCTTGGTCTAAGGAAATCGGAGGAATTTATTGTCGCGATGGTCCTGGGTGTAGAATTTCTGCAATCTTTGCTGACATTGTTTCTGTGAGAACGACTAGCCGACTATACGGCCGTCTATGCTGATGTTGCGATGGCTGGCACTGTCTGGGAATGCTTGCAACACTTGATATTTGACGCGAAACACCATGAAAACAAGCCATTGCTCGGGAGACCCTGAGGCCACCAAATCGACGGAGCAAAATATATTACCAAAGCCCGATCAAAATGGGCCTGACAGCCGGGTACCTGTTGAGCTTGGAGCTGAAGACCCGCGACGATTGAGCACCCCAAGAAAATGGGTCATAGTTTTGATCTCGTCCTTGATCGCTCATGTGGTCACAGCGGGCTCGAGCATCTACACTCTGGCCTACGACCAGTTCAATACTGAATGGGGAGCTTCGCGGGAGTTGGCTACCGCCGGTCTCTCGTTGTACACGCTTGCAATGGGTCTGGGGCCGCTGCTCGTCGCGCCACTGTCCGAGTTTTATGGACGTCGACCCATCTGCTTGTGGTCACTGATTTTATACCTCATCTGGCTCATCCCTTGTGCTCTGGCGCGGAACATCGAGACCGAGCTCATAGGACGCTTTTTCAGCGGTGCTGCCAGCAGTGCCTTCTTGAGCGTCGCTGGTGGCACAGTCGGCGACCTCTTTGACCATTCTCAACTTCAAACGCCCATGCTTGTATATTCGATCACCGCATTCCTGGGTCCAGATGTCGGGCCAATCTTCGGAGGATTCATATGCCAGTATACAACATGGAGATGGAGCTTCTATGCCCTCATGATCTGGATCGGGGTGCTGATGGTGCTGTTCTACTTCTTCAGCCCTGAGACCTACGCCCCACTCCTCCTTCGGCGGAAAAGTGAACGTCTCCGGCGTGAGCAAGGCCTTGACGTCGACAAAAAATTGCAACCACAGGGGCTTGGAAGAACGATCCTCATCAGCTGTACACGCCCTTTTAAGTTGCTCGTCTTAGAGTACATGCTGTTGTCTCTCTGCATCCTGACTGCCTTCACTCTTGGGATCCAATATCTACTCTTCGGTGGTTTTGCGTATGTATTTCGCACCGTATACCGCTTTGAACTGTCCGAGATTGGTTTGACCTTCATCGGTATTGGTGTTGGAGCATTTATCGGACTGGCAATGGACCCATTGTGGCGGAAGTACCGGGATAAACAATTGAAAGAGAACAGTGGCAACCCGGAGCCTGAGTTTCGACTACCAGCAGTTGCGTTCGGAGCTCTATGTCTCCCCGTGAGCCTCTTCTTCTTTGGCTGGACGGCCCGACCATCCGTGCACTGGATTGTGCCCATCATTGGCAGCGGCTTCTTTGGCGTCGGCGGATTGCTGGTATATTCAGGAATTTGGACTTTTCTAGTCGAAGCATATCCCGTCTATGCTGCCTCTGCCCTAGGTGCCAACGCCTTCACTCGCTTGGCCGCCGGAGCTGCATTTCCCTTGTTTGGCGTACAAAGTAAGTTTGACATGTCTGTCCTTACGATGGAACGAATGCTAACTGTGGCTTACCTAAAAGTGTATGAATCCCTGGGAGTAGGTTGGGCATCTTCTTTGCTGGGTTTCTTAGCGTTGGCAGCGGCCCCGTTTCCATTCCTGCTTATGAAGTATGGCAAGCGTATTAGAGGTGCTTCAAAGTTTGCCAAAGCATGAGCTCCTAGCAAAGCAATCGATCAATCACACCACTAGATCGAATCGTCTTTCCTCTGGGTCATGACTGCCACTTATATCTAGTTTGACTGCGACAAGGCAATGGCCAGATACGATCAGGAGCAGCAGTTTTAGAAGGCTTCGCGATTCCGAGATCATAAGCCTCAATTCTCGCATGTGATTATGGTTGGACGTTTTGGAATAGTCATCTCTCAGTGATTAGTCCCTGATCATGGTAGTCGGTATTTATCCGCCAATCCGCGCCGCTGATGCTGTGGTTGATTTCCTCCACCGGACGTCCGGTGGTGAACTTCGACAGCACTATTCTCCTTCGACCACATCAAGTCCCCCAACTGCAAGAATGAGGGACAATCTGATCAATCTCTTGTTTTCGGCCCTCATCCCATTGACAACCCCACCGCCATACTCCGTTCTTCGCTTAAGCTTGGAAGGCTTGATTCTCCCTTGGTGCGGCAATGTCGGGGTTAGCAAATCATCCCCCAGCCGGGGTGGACTGACTCTCAAACGTCGAATGTATAAAGGACTGGCTGTGTCCCTCATCTGGTTCGGTCGGACCGTCAATACTGTAGACCTAACCATCATTGCAGCTTCGACAAAATGGAGACATACAGTTCATACAATGTCGCGGTAAGCAGCCATATGAGCATTCAGCATCCATACCAGTGGTCGTTCTAACCAATACCGATACTCAGGTAATTCTTTTCGCCGCGTTTGGCTCTCTTTTTGGAGGCTATGGCCTTTCCGTTATTGTGGCTACACTTGGTCAGCCAACGTGGTATTCCTCACTGAACATTGACCCGACATCTAGCCATGCCACTGCTATCATCGGCGCTGCGAATGGTGTCTTCTTCGCAGGAGGCTTTTTTGGATGTCTAGTGTCGGCATACGCAGTCGAGAAACTAGGGCGACTCAATGGTCTCCGTCTAGCGGCTGTGATAGGTATCATTGGCGCAGCAATCCAGACCGGAGCAGTCAATCAAGGCATGGTCAGTAGACTTATCACCCTGTCTAATAAGAAGATGCTCATTCTGGTACAAGTATCTGGCAGCTCGTGTCATCACTGGTCTCTCCGTTGGTCAAGTCATCGTGGCAATGCCGACATACTACGCAGAGGTTGCTCCTCCACATTCGCGAGGGCTCATGGCTGGTGCTCACGGCTCTTTTATCAACGCAGGATATGCACTGGCAGCCTGGATTGGGTGAATTATGCCTCAGATGTATGAAGTATGGGTGAGAGCTGACCACGCCCAGTTTCGCGTGTTTTCACGCTTCCGAGACTAGCTTCGGCTGGCGATTTCCAAACGCTGTGCTCGTGATCCTTGCATTGTGCGTTCTGGGTGGGAGCTTTTTCAGTATGTTTGCTTCATCTAGGCAATCGAAGCAAATACTAAATGTGCGCAGTTCCCGAAAGTCCTCGGTGGCTCTGTTCTCGTGGACAAGACCAGAAGGCATTGGAAATCCTTTGCAGACTACACCACGACAAGCATGATCCTGAAGACCATTTTGCACACCGAGAGTTGGGCCTCATCAGAAAACAACTGGAGGCGGATCGTGTGGCCCTCTTGACTGATGGAAAGTGGCAACTCTTCACGAAACAGACGTACCGAAAACGCTTCATTCTAGCCCTTATGCTGTTGGTGGGTGGGCAGAATGTCGGCGTGCTAGTTAGTGAGTCTCCTTCGCCCCCCAAACTATTGCATATCAACACAATCTGACATCTCAGTCAACAACTACAACACACTTCTTTACCAGTCCCTCGGATTGAGTAACTCGGAAGCATTGATCGTTGGCGCTGGGTACAATACTTGGGCCATGATTGCCAACTTTGCTGGTGCAATGTTCTCGGATCGTCTAGGTCGTCGAAAAGCTCTTCGTAAGGCAACCTACAGTTAAGTAGCCCCATCACTGACAACTGAGCAGTTGCTGGCTACACTGCCAATGTGGCGATGTTTACTGTCGCCACGGCTTTGATCGCAAAATACTCTGAGACGAATTCTAAGAGTTATGCTGCTGCGGCATTGACATTTCTGTTTCTCTACGTTACTGCGTAAGTTAATAGCTCATCAGTCTTGCCTCTGCTCACAGACTTGATGTAGTTATGGAAGCGCAATCGACGTCAACCAGTTCACCGTCGCCTCCGAGATCTTTCCATCGCACCTGCGCTCAATGGGCACTGGCCTTGCAATGTCAGGACTCTTCCTGGCCGACACCTTGTGGCTCGAGCTCGCATCGACGGCAATGGCTACGATCGGCTGGAAATACTATCTCATATTCCTCTGCCTTGGTGTAGTCCACACAATCTATCTATACTTTAGACTTCCAGAGGTCAGTATTCTCCTTGTCGAAAACATCCGAGCGTCATATCAGGAAAAGTTGAGCTAACGAGATCACCTCATCTGCAGACTTCTGGACTTGCGTTGGAAGAGATCGATGCCCTATTTGGAAAGGCAGTAGCTGGACATATTCAGGATGAAGACTTGGAGAAAGTTGCCGTACAACACAATGATAACGTGACGGAGCTGGTCGAGGACCCTCAAAACAGGCATCAAGCCTGAGAAGCCGTGAACTTCAGCCACGAAAGGCTGAAGAGGCACACATGAATTGTAGTTAGGCCATAAGCTGCTCTGTCCACATGACCATTCCCGTGTCTTTACCTTGAAAAGACACCCTCTTAAGCTAGACAAAATGTGCGTCGTCCAGCCGAATACCTAGGTACCGACCTACCCAAGATACCTGATGTAAATGGACTGAGATAGAAATGATTTACTTGACCGTAGAATGCCGAGAGCACCGCGGATATTTGCGGTCCACCCTAGTCGGTTATCCCTCGGCAAGAACGTCTTCCCCCGTGCCCCCGGATTCTTTTCGAACACGCTACTCCGTACAGGCTGCTGGTAGACCTATTTTTGAGTCTCCACGCTGCTGATAGTCTTCTCTTGGTTGCACCAGTGGTCTATGATGTGCTGTAGACGTCAAGTCAATCTTGGAGTCGCTGCGAGGTCGCATGCGCATTTGAGAACAAAGCGTCGACACCCTGTCATCCGAACAACCCATCGTTCATATTTTGCAAGACCTTGAAGAATGTATGAAGTCGGAGGCTCCAAGGATCCAGACCGGATTACCACACCACAGAAAAGGACGCGCCGAGCCTGTGTAAGGTGTCGTCGTCAAAAGCTTCGAGTAAGTGTCCACCTTCTTTCTTCTTGTCAGCCTGTTTAACTGGGCAAAAGTGTGACGATTATCGACCATGTGCACTCTGTGTTCGGGCATGTGTCGAATGCGAAGAGACGGTCAAGCGGCCAAGGTGAGTAAAGCGCGCCTTTCTCTTTCCATACTACTTGAAATGGTAACGAGAACTCCTTCCTATCAGAAAATCTAAGACGGGGCGCGACTCAACTGTCTTGTCCATTCTCCCCAAAACAAGTGTGGAAAATACAACTCCAGTCTCGGCATCGGATCATTCTCATCCATTTGAATCGTTGGCCCCCAACGACAATGGAACGCCCGAACGCACGCCGCAAACCACGCAACAGGCCCCCTCTCCCTTTCGCGAGCGTACATCGACATTCAGCCTAGTCGAAAATGTGTTTCGTGATCACAACGCCAGTTCTGCACAAGTCTCAGCGACAGATGCGCTGCCAGACAGCAGACCACGTAATCCGAAAGCACGTCCTGGTGGAAGCAATGTGTCAGTGCGAGAGATCATGGGGATCGACCTTCCTCCACCTACCGTGACCAACTTTCTATTTTCGTCCTTTCTGAAGAACTATCACTGGCATCTCATGACCTTTCACGCTCCTTCATTCCACGCGGAACTTCAGCAAATTATGGACAGTGGAACGGTACCTGTCGACCGCTTCCCCTTTCTGATGCTCGTGTTGATCGTCCTGGCAATTGGTGCTCGATATCCCTCGTCGGATGCTGCACAAGAGCTTTGTCCGGGAGTTGACCTACATCAATTGGAAACAGTCCTGATAGCCAACATCGAGCAGAATTTCCTTCGCACCTTGGATGATACTTCTCTCGAAAGTGTCACTTTCACCTTCCTCCTAACTTCGTACTCTCTGTACAACCTCAACCCGAGGCGTGGATACAAATTGTTTCAGTCTGTCGTCCGAGATGCACAACTCTTGAACCTGCATTCTGAGTCAGCGTGGAATGTCCAGAACCCTGTATCGAAAGAAGTCAGGAGACGCATCTGGTGGACCGTGTACGGCTCTGACGGGTAACGAGCTCTATGCCGTACAAGATTGATGATTTCGCTGACGTGTTAAGGTTTGCGGCCCTGGTTTTCGGAAAACCACGTCTCATCTCGGATACGAGCGACGAGGTTGGGATGCAGGAAGATATCGACGACACCAATATCACATGTCCAGGTATCGAATCACAAGAACCCAGAGAACACGGAATACTCAGACCTGTTACGATCCTGTCCTACCACCGATATAAAGCCCTCCTTTATAAACTTGGAGAACCTATAACGCGAAACGTGTACTTCCACAGACACGCGGAGACTAACCGGGTCATAGACGAAGTTCACCAAATACATCGAAGGCTTCTTGACTGGCGCGGGGCCCTTCCACCAGAACTGAAGCTCGACTCTGTTGCTGGGAGAGGGACGACAGTGGAGCAAGCGTCGTCCCGCAACACCTTCAAACTCCAGGCGCTTGCTCTTGGCTTAGCCTACGATAACATGCAAATTGTTTTGCATCGGTCGCTAATTGCTTATGGGGACGCTCGCGAAGATTCTAACACACCAACGACAACTACAAAGAGACAAGGAAGAAGCCGTGGCCAGGAAGTTGACGCAGCCGAGGCGATAAAAGCCAGTCGGAACCAGTGTTGGGAATCTGCGATGCGAACATCAATGCTAGGTCAATATCCCGATGTCCTCGAGCTCCTCAGGACCACCCCTGTAGCAGCTTACTTTGCAATTCACGCGCTCACCGCTGGGGTCATGCTTGGAATATTCGCCTTGACAGATCCGTGTTCAGAACGCGCTCAGACGGCGAAACTTGGCATCTCTCGCCTCATACAGATGCCTACCGACTTCAACTTTCGCGAGGCCGCCTGGCAACAGTGTGCAGACATTTTGGAGAACCTGCTTCGCTTGATACTGTCGGAAGAGATGAAGGTCTTGGTCACCGGACGGCAGCACAACAAGTTAAGTGGCCGCGCTCCCGAAGGGCGACGGACGGAAGCCTCACAGGATAGCCAGCATCTCGTTCAATTTTCTACCAGTGTCCAGGACGCTTCTGCGGGGATAATAGAAGCCGACCAGAACCATCATCAACCAGGACAAGCCATGGGCGAGGGTAACTTTCCGAGATCTGCGGATGTATTGCCGGAGACTTGCATGTCTTGGTCGAACGAAAGATATACCCAACAGCCGAGACCTGACATTGTGTCTCCAAGTTTGCAATCCACCATCACCCCTACGGAGGACTTTGGCAATGCTCTGTCATCATTGCAGAACAGTAAGTATCACAGTGTCAGAACTTATTCGAGAACTCCTCTAACACCACACCTTCATGATTTAGTGTTCCGGGACAATGGATCATCGTTTGGGTTCGGCCACTCTGACGGCACGGCCCGTTACGCTCCCACAAACCAAACTTTTGGCTCGACAATGCAGCGACAGTCGAATGCCTCCATCACGGGCACGAACGTTAATCAGATGCATTCGGAAATGGATTTCTTGACGGGGTCGTTTCCGTCGTTCCAAGACGCAAGCCAATCGTGGCTCTGGAACGATGGCATGTCATTTATGTAAATGCAAATGACATCCAAATCACCCTGGGCACATGTCTCAACGGGTTGATTGTGGAATGTATGAATTCAGAAAGGAGAGAAGGGAGAGGTTGTCCCGCGTACAGTCAATGGAACACGTGATGTACCCCCTAATCGATAGGAGCAAGCATCGCCTTGTACAGAGTACTATGATCAAGATTGTCCACTATCTGAGCCAGAGTTGGGCTGTTTGTCAAAGCATGTGGCATTGGCGATTTTCTGGGCCTTACGAGTGTCTATTAATGGTGACAAGGCTGACTTTGGTTCTCTTTGGAAGGTCCCATTCCGATCGAGAACGGTAAGGCGGCGTCGGGGAGGAGCAACAAGTCAACGATATTACCCATTTCGATACACGTGGATATTGCATGTCCCCGGTCACGAGTTGCATCATCGTTGGGTGGTCGGCACTGTTCTTGCCTGTCAACATCAGCTCATCTCTGGATGCTGATAGATTATCACACAATCTTATGCTGGCCGCGCCCAGAATGTATGTACCTACTGTACATTTGACGAAACGCAATGGACTACTCTGTCACGCTATTCCAATCATGTCACCAACTGCGATGAGTCGTGGAGTCTGATGCATTGCAGGCTGATGCTACTGGCAGACGATGTATGCAAGATAGCGGTTCTAGATGTCGACCTCTACACGTCGCATCCGTACATGCACTCTCCAACATCCCTGTCTAACTTCGGATATCCGACCTTCTTGACGCTCGGTCCGGTTTTTCTCAACTGTCCGACGTTTTTGCTTCGGATATCTTTTTATTCAACATGTCTACCCTCTTCTCACAATTTTCCTAACTTCGCTTAAGCAATCCTATCTTTTCCTTTCGACAAGCCTACCATTTCTTAAGAAACGTGCTTTCCTCGGCCACCGTTGTCTGACCACATTCTTTTTCCAACAAAGACTCCCGTGAATCAGAGCGAATAGACCCCCTGTCGCATTATGCACTGCCCCCCCATCATCATCATCATCATCATCATCATCATCACCATCATCGACGGCCACGCAGTTTCTGACCTAGGAACTACCATTGTTTCCGCTGCCCTGGGTACAATTGCATATATGTCCATGGCACATCGTTCACCCAGGGTCACAACCACTCACATCAACTGGAACTCCGTGTTTTTGGGGCGTCCGGAGTTTGCTTCTTGGGTAATGCTTCAAATACCCGCACCGCAACGCCGGAAGCCTGAGTAGGAAGTTGGATTTTTTTCACATCCTACTTTACTTTCTTTTGCGCCCTCGTACCTGCTTGAGTACTTAATCTCATGCAGGCAAATTTGGTCCAGGATGACTTTTCGACTTCTGGACTTTCTGATGGTCTGTCTATGGATGATCCATTGCGTCTGTGTTCATGACCATGGATCACTGACGTTCGAGATAAATTTCATCTGATACCCCACCAGCACCAACTAGATGACGACGTAGGCCTGGAGTCGTTCTCGAATTTACTTTGGACCGATCGTCGAACACGAATCCTTGGTGTCAGCGTACCTGCACCGGCTCTCCGACAAGTCCTGGACCAATCAGTACACCATAGTCTCTCGCCGTCGATACACAACAGCTGTTTCTTACTCGAGACCACGACCCCGAAAATTATGACAAGTCGGTTCGCGTCTACGCGGACAGGATATGAGACCACACTTCCAAGACCCCAGGCGACATATCAAGGCACCCAAGCAAGCCTTTTGAGTGGCCACGAGATGACAGATAACGTGAGTGACGACGATTTTAAGAGGTCCTTGAGGAGGGTACATGTCCTCAACGTAGTAGCCAATCGAGCCTAAACAGCTCCGGAATTCTCGTGGAAACAGTCATGCCGCAGCTCCGGTTCTCACTCAGAGTCGTCACCACCGTCACCATCCACAACAAGTCAAACTCTTGTGGTTCCTTCGAGCGATTTTTGTCGCGCACCTGATCGTCACGCCTTGGATATTGTGTCCCCGAGGAACCGACAGGACCCTCTTGACGAGCGTGACGGTCCTTTTCCTTTTTGTCTGTCATGTCTTTTGGTTGACAATCATTTCCATTTCGATCGCCAGGCAGGACGGGTTCCTTCAGAATGTCATTGGGTACGTTGCAGTCTGTACATTTTTTTTCATCATCAACAAACATCGACATCGACCGGTTCCACCCCATGTACTTCACACTGACAAGAAACCCTCAAAAGTGTCTTTGCGGCCCTTTTTTTCTTTATTCAATTGGCTCAAGCGCCGCCTGATACTCAGTAGGGGTAAATGTCGACACAGACTGTCTACCTGGCTTGATGTTCCGTAGATGAGGAATCATGCTTTCTTTTCCCATGTTTGTGTGTCTGGAAAACTGTCGTAGATTTCGACCCATTACGGTATTGGCATTCATGACTTGGGGACGGAAGATACCAGTCTCCAAAGCCTGGCAACCTGAGCTCTGGGGTTGATTGATTTGCGTTGTGAAAACAAAAATTGATGTCGGACAATACAGAACATATGACTTCAATGTTTAACCCGGACTTGAAAAAGGCCATGATTATTATATGCATTTTGACAACCGCCACTGTTCGATTATCTTGATAAGGTGTCTTTGGATGGGGCTGCAGCGCTCTTTATCCCTTACTGGTCATTGATCATATCTTCCCTCCACCTGTAACAGCGCCACTGGAAAAGCCATTCCTTTGAAACTATAGCAATTATGTATGATATGTATCCGTAAGTATGCATGCAATGCCCATCATCATCATCAACCAAGCCCAGCTGAGATTGAAATCACCATCGTTCAGCAAGGAAGGGGTTTTGAGAAGGGCCTTTCCGCATCATCTTCTTCTGAGCTGCTGAAAAAAATGTTACTCTCGCGTTGGGACTAGAGAAATTGCTCGTGCACGGAAACCTTTTCTCCCCCATAATGTATGTACATATGTGTGTATGTGTACTCTCGTGTGCAAAGTTAAGAGAGAATGTGAACCTCGTAAAAGGTGTTGTGCTTGTTACACCACATCAATATGCTGCACGAGGGGATCCATTCTCGCGCGCCACCTCCGTTTCCCGAAACGCTTTCCGAAGTGTAGGGCATTGTCTTGAGCGGTGGTATCTCCATGTACTTTTCGACTCCGATCCTGCCATTGTTCGGGTCCGGATGGTTATCCCTGTACTGTCGGGAATGAGGTGGGACCTGCCAGCTATTGCTGCTGTTGTGTGTGATGAAGAAACGAGTGGACATACTCTGGTGGGTACTGTAAGGCACAAAAGTTTCCTCCCGGTGGTGATCCATGTCCATGATCATCTTGCGGTCCTCTTCTTCAACTGAGTCCAACGGAGGTGTGATGTTGTCGAGCTTTGGTTTGTCGTTGTCGTTGTTGTGAAGATGGTGAAGAAGAAGAAGAAACGACGGGTGCGGTAGTGTTTCTTCCCGATTCCACTGTTCTGGTAGAGGATAAGGAGGAGGAGCCTGGTGAATGCCATTGCCGCAGGGTAGGGTAGAAGTAGCTGCTACCTGATCGTTGTGGTTACAAAGCACTCGGGTGGTGACTTCGACAATGTGAGAGACATCACATTTGTGAAAGGTGTAGGTATCGTCATCGGCACACTCTAGGAAAGTCTTGAGTTGTTGGTTCATAAGGTGTCGGCCAGGGTTGACGAAACTGCGAGGTAGATGATCCTTGGAGGATTCACCAACGGCACAGCAAAAGAGTTTGGGACGGCATGATAGAGGAGGATCTGCGAAGCCTGAGGAGGGAAAAGAGAAGTCACGGTGGTGGTCATCGTCTCTGTCCCTGCGGTAGTAGTGTTTTTTGTGGTGGCCATCGTTGTCGTCCAGGGAAGACTGGTGATAGTCTCTGCCCGAGGGTGCCATGTTGAACGACACGCGCGTGTTGTCAACAAAGAGACAAAGACGAGAGAGAGGACCTTTTTCAGATTGGTTTTTCATTAGCACAAGACCATAAAGAGAGAAAAGTGTCAATCGAATGCAACATACCTTATAGCGTGTAGTGTACTGTACTGCGGATGACAGACTGACAGATAGTAAGAGCGGAGAGGGTGATATGAAAGAATTGTCGTGAGAGAGCGAAACCAAGAAATCGTAGTGGAATCTTCTCCCAAAGGCGTGTCGTTATAAGTTTACCGGTCTTTAAAATATCACACCCGAAACAGACAGAGATAGAGATGATGATGCTGCTCTTCATCTTCTTTCCAGCTACACTTGCGCAAACCCCTCATCTTGCTTAGTCGCCCTTCCTCCTTGCGTATCTTCCTCCTGAAGGACTTTGAAGCCAATGTCACCAGGTCAAATGGGAAGGATCTGAAGAACATGCACCCGCACATGCCGGAATTTGATATGCTACAAAGGAAGCACCGCGATGGCTTCTGAAGGGGGCAAGCTGGTTCTACAACAGTTGATGTTAATTGTTTAATTCTGAACAACCTGGATATTGTTCTTTTTCTGTTACACCTTTGTCAGAGAAACTGTGCTGAGTATATGGTTGAGAATTGTGTTAGACGAATACATACCTTCCACTTGTCCATTTCATCTTGTCGACTCTTGTATTGCTTCACCAACTCTTCCAAAACCTGCTTCAAGCCATCCGAGTTTGTCTTCAGTGCAGGCAGCACATCCTTGACGGTTCTCTCGACAAGGACACCATTGATCAACCGGAAGCATTTGCGATCATCTGGTAGTGGCTGTAATGTGTCTGTGACCAGCCTAAGTCATGGTCAGGCTTCATTCCCAAGTACCGATGGTTTTCGGAGCCAGCGAGGTATTGTGACGTACTTGTGTTCTTCTATCTCTTGTTCAATCTCGCCAACTTTCTGTGCTAATATCTGAAGGGCAGTTTTGTGGTTGTTGTACTGGGCCTGAAGATCTAAATACGACATCAGCATTGCATATCGACATTCGAACGGACCAGTTCTCTTACCCTGCTGCTTTCGTACGGCAGCATCCTGATTAGCGGCCATTCTGAGTACAGTATCGCTAGACAGCTTCGTAGCAAGTGCGGAGAAATTATGAAGTGAACTGCTGAAGAAGGCCTTCAATTATGTGGTGGTGCAAGGCTGTCGCTGTCGCATAAACTGCGGCAAAACTTTCTACATCGAAATCGAATGCCCGCCACAGATTCTGGGTCAAATACTCACCAAAAAACACTGTACTTGCAACCGTCTCGAAAAATATAGAAGGGTCGGACTCTTCCCACATCTACTCTCAGGACTTCCACCCTTCGCAATGGAACGCCCCTTCAGCCCCAAACGCCGGAAACTCGACGGAGGCTTTCGATCTACGCCCCCAGACTCCGGCGACGACTTGGGACCCTCGCTCAAGCCCCAGTCCTCTTCCAAGGCGCGCTTCCAAAGATCAAACGATCGTAATCACAGTCGTGCTCCACGATCAAAACCGCACCAGGAAGAGTTCGACGGGCCAGAACCGTTCTTTCAAGATGAAGATACTACGGCCATGGATCGAGACTGGTACGCTGGCGACGAATTCGGCCATACATTTGGAGACGAAAGTCACAATCCATTTGGTGGCGCTGATGTATCATGGGCGGACAAACAACGAGAGCAGGCTCTCGCTGATAAGAAGCTTGGGAAACGCATCACTGCCAAAGCAGCTCAGAAACAGAAAGAGGTGGACGCCTGGGAAGCGAACCGCATGATCACATCTGGTGTAGCACAACGCCGCGATACTGGGAATGACTTTGACGATGAAGAGTCTGTCCGGGTACATCTCCTGGTACATGACCTCAAACCTCCCTTTCTAGACGGCAAAACAATCTTCACAAAACAACTCGAACCTGTACCTGCAGTCCGCGATTCTCAAAGTGATATGGCAGTGTTTGCGCGCAAAGGCAGTAAGGTCGTCCGAGAGAAACGGCAACAGAAAGAAAGACAGAAACAAGCACAAGAAGCCACCAATGTTGCGGGTACCGCTCTGGGAAACATCATGGGAGTTCAGGAGGATGAAGGCGACAGTGCAGCCGCTGTGCCTGGGGAGGACACCGGAAAGAGTAAATTTGCAACACATCTCAAGAAGAACACCGGCGGCTCGGCATTCAGCAAAAGCAAGACTCTAAAAGAGCAAAGGGAATACCTGCCTGCCTTTGCGGTTAGGGAGGAACTCATGCGTGTGATACGAGACAACCAGGTCATCATCGTTGTTGGGCAGACTGGATCAGGCAAGACTACACAGCTCACCCAGTTTTTGTATGAGGAAGGATATGGTCAACACGGGCTGATAGGATGTACCCAACCCCGAAGAGTGGCTGCGATGAGTGTGGCGAAACGAGTCAGCGAGGAGATGGATGTCGAGCTGGGCGGACTAGTGGGGTATGCTATCCGATTCGAAGACTGTACGAGCGACGAGACTGTTATCAAATGTAAGTGACCCTTAGCACCACCATGAACCGCAAGACTGATACCTGTACAGACATGACAGATGGTGTCCTGCTCAGAGAGTCTCTGACACAGCGAGATTTAGACAAGTACTCATGCATTATTATGGATGAAGCTCATGAACGGGCTCTCAATACTGATGTGCTTATGGGTCTGATCAAGAAAGTGCTTGCGCGCCGCCGAGATCTTAAATTGATTGTCACTTCTGCCACTATGAACTCTGAGCGATTCTCCAGGTTCTATGGAGGTGCACCGGAATTCATCATCCCTGGCCGGACGTTCCCCGTTGATATACAGTATTCACGTTCGCCATGCGAAGACTACGTCGACAGTGCTGTCAAGCAAGTTCTTGCTATCCATGTCTCACAAGGAGCCGGTGACATACTTGTCTTCATGACGGGACAAGAAGATATTGAGGTCACGTGCGAACTGATCGAAGAAAGACTGCATCAGTTGGTCAACCCACCCAAATTGATGGTCTTGCCAATCTACTCTCAGATGCCTGCAGATCTTCAGGCCAAAATTTTTGATCCTGCGCCTCCCGGAGTTCGCAAGGTCATCGTTGCCACCAATATTGCCGAAACTTCACTCACCGTCGATGGCATCATGTACGTTGTAGACGCTGGTTATTCGAAGCTGAAAGTGTACAACCCTCGAATGGGTATGGATACTCTGCAGATCACGCCCATCTCCCAAGCAAATGCCTCACAAAGAGCCGGTCGAGCAGGGCGTACGGGTCCTGGCAAGGCCTTCCATCTGTATACTGAACAGGCCTTCAAAAACGAATTTTACATCCAAACCATCCCCGAGATTCAACGGACCAATCTTGCCAACACTGTACTACTTCTCAAGTCCCTCGGTGTTAAAGACCTGCTGGACTTCGACTTCATGGACCCTCCTCCACAAGATACTATTACGACTTCATTGTTCGACCTTTGGGCCTTGGGAGCCCTCGACCATATTGGTGATCTCACCGCTATCGGTCGGACGATGACGGCCTTCCCGATGGATCCATCGCTTGCAAAAATGCTCATCACCGCTTCCACCGAGTACGAATGTAGCGAAGAAATGCTGACAATCGTCAGCATGCTTTCTGTCCCATCGGTGTTTTACAGGCCAAAAGAGAGGCAAGAAGAATCCGATGCAGCACGAGAAAAGTTTTTTGTCCATGAATCAGATCATCTCACGCTTCTTCATGTCTACACGCAGTGGAAAAGCAACGGCTACAGCGATGGATGGTGTATCAGACACTTCCTGCACCCTAAAGCGCTGCGAAGGGCAAAGGAAATCCGCGAACAATTGCATGACATTATGGTTGGACAGCAGAAGATGGAACTCGTATCCTGTGGGACAGACTGGGATGTCATTCGCAAATGCATTTGCTCGGGTTACTACCATCAAGCTGCGCGCCGTCGTGGTGTCGGCGAATACATCAACCTTCGAACGAGTGTGACGGTCCAACTGCATCCTACTTCCGCCTTGTATGGCCTCGGAGATCCACCCGACTATGTCGTCTACCATGAGCTTATATTGACCAGCAAGGAATACATGAGCTGCGTCACTGCTGTCGATCCGCACTGGTTGGCCGATCTTGGTGGGGTCTTCTACAGCTTGAAGTCGAAAGAGTACAGCGCAAAGGACAGGCGCATTATTGAGAGCGAATTCAATCGTAAAATGGAGATTGAACGGCAAATGATGGAAGACAGGATCAAGGAAGAGCAACGACGTCATGAGGAGGATGAAAAAGAAAAGATCCTTGCTGGTCGAGTCAAGGGCAGTGGAGTGGTGGTTAAGAAAATGGGCAGTCAAGGAGTGGTCAAGAAGCCTGTAGTTCCCAGAAGACGGATGGGGTTTTAGGGTCAAGGCATTGTGAGCCTCCATCAGCAAGGTTACATGACTGCATATAGTCTCACCACCCAATAGAATTGGGCAAGATGTTTCCCAAACCATTGTATAGCAATGAATAGGAATTCCTCGCTACCTCCATAGCCTCAATGCTGAAGAAGTGAAGTGACAAGGCTTTGTCTCTAGCTGTTTGTGGACTAGCTCAGCCTTTCGCCAAGGAAATGTCCCTATCCCTTTTACAGTGATTGCTGTTTGTCTTTTCAAGATGCAGTCGAACCATTCACTGCATCAGAGCAACACCTGTCGACACCTTCACGCCTGCTTGGTCCATACAATAAGCATCTCACCAGAAGATGCGCGCCGTTCCTATCTCGCGATCGAAGGTAGAGGCTGGTCGACAAGTAGTTCCGCGTGACGGGAATCATCGTCAACCATACTCCTGACACCAGAATTGCAATATCCATACACCTGGACGTTGTCTAATCCAGTTGTTGCTTTCTGGGAGTGGTGGTCAGGGGCTCTCGAGTGCAGTGTGCAACATTGCTAGGCAATGTTGCTATATGTAGCTCTTGGACTTTCCAGAACAACACCATATCACTTTACCGTTTCTTTTCTAACAAGGTAAGTCGTGATCAATAGCAGCCACATACGAGGCATGGCTCGCACCACCCTTGGACCTCATGCACACCTGTTCTGTCCTCTTTCGCTGCCATTACCATTTCGCAACAAACAACTAACTACCATGGCTCCGATAGACAAGAGAAAGGCTTCGGCCGAGAAAAAGACACTTGAACCTCTTTGTAAGTCTTTTTATGACCCTTTTGAGCCCTCTTGGACCTCGCGTTGGCTGTCGCAAGGTTCGCGGCGGCGTCAAGGTTGACTTGGTCTAAAAGAGTCTTTAGCGACAACCGCGACCAGAAGGGACATAGACTGACAAGAGAGTAGCACACTCCGGAACATCTCTCCAGCGCCATCGCTCTGCCGAGGCAAATCCTTTCGCATCGGTCCCTGAGGAATCATTCCCACCACCTCAGAGAAACAGAACTTCATCTGGCACAACACTCAAAACTCCGGGCCGTGTCATTCGACCAGACAATTCGTGGCAGAAGCACTCATCTCAACGAAGCTCCGCATCATACACACCTCCATCATCGACCACAAGATCACCTTCATTCAAAGTCTGGCACAGACGAGATTCTCTTGCAAAACTTGAATCGACTGGTCCAATCCTTCCACAGGAATTCAACCCCGACTCCCTACCTGACTTTCTGAAGAAATTCAACTCACGACAGTGGTCCAAACCTCGGACTCCTTTGTTCACCGACCCATTTCACGCATCTCCAACATCACTCAAGATGGATCGTCTCCGGCCTGTGTCTGTCGCAATGACGGCACATTACAGAGAAGCTGTGCGGCTTGCAGAGGAGCAACAACGGGCTGTGACTGAGAAGTGCAAGCGGTCCAGACAGCCAGAGCCAGACTACACTTTCGATGAGCTTATTGGCAAGGGTAGCTTTGGAAGAGTGTATAAAGGCCGCCAAAAATCGTCAAACAAAGTCATTGCCATCAAGGTTCTCGACATTGATGAAGCAGACTTCCATGCATTTGGCGAGTCAAAGGATGAACAAATCCGGGACTTTCAACGAGAGATCCGCATCCTCCGACAGGCGCAAGAAAGCGGTGCTGAAAACCTGAACCATCTCATTGAAGCTTTGCCCGTTCACAGTCAATTGTGGATGATTTGCGAGCACTGTCCTGGTGGCAGTGTCAAAACCTTGGTAAGCAGTAACCATGTTCAGTCCAGCATTGAGTTCCTCATAGCATGACATGGATTTGTGGGCTGACGTTTGCTTTATTCAGATGAGAGCTACGAAAGATCGACTTCAGGAAGATAAATATCTTGTTGTCGTAGCAAGGGAGCTTGCCAAAGCGTTGAAGGGTCTCCACGAAGCTGGTATTATCCACAGAGATGTTAAAGGTATGATACTTCTGCTGTGCACAATTGGTATTTTTCTTCACTGACTTTGTTCTCTCCTTGTAGCTGCGAACGTTCTCATTCATGAACGCGGATATCTCCAACTTTGTGATTTTGGTGTTGCCAATATCTTAGAAACCAGCACAGACAAAAGAAAGACATTCATAGGGACGTTGCACTGGATGGCACCAGAAGCCTGGTCAGAAAACCCAGAGTACTCGGATGAAGTAAGTTGGACTCTGTGCAATGACTGCTGAGAGACGTACGGGTCATTTCCTTTTCCTAACTTATGCCAATAGGTCGATGTCTGGGGATATGGCTGTACCTTGTACGAATGCGCCGTTGGTCGTCCTCCAAACAGTGACTTGCGCGAACACCAAAAACTCAAAGTGCGAATGAGGCGATTGAAAGAATCAATTGGTCTCCCAAAGGATCAAAATTTCAGTGAAGGCCTCCGAGCCCTGGTCTCCTCAACCCTCACTCCCGATGTTGCCTTACGACCTGATATGGCAAAAGTCTTACAACACGACTACCTGAAAGACACTGAAGAAACACACCCAACCTCAGTACTCTCCGAACTCGTCCTCACCTACTACCGATGGGCAAATCTTGGGGGTCAGCGAGTCTCTCTTTTCATGCCTGGTGGCGCAGCCGCTGCTTCGACTGAAAACCTCGACGCCGACCTTGAATCCGCAGATGAATGGAATTTCAGCATGACGGAAGATTTTGAACGACGTGCCTCTGCGATACTTGAAATACCCGACTTTTCAAACGAAACCATGGAAGGAGAAGAAACACCTCGAGGTCCTTCGAAACCCAGCGCCAGTTCTCCTCCTATGACTGCCGCTCAGAAAGCAAACTTTGAAGCTCGCGTCCAACGCGGTGCAGACTTGTCTAACCTCTTCGACCCCAACAAACCCGCCTACGAATACAAGACCAAGACAGACTTCATCCCTATCCCTGAACAGTCACGACGAATATCCGATTTACCTTTTCGAGCCATGGCAGAAGACAGACCAAGCTCAATTGCGTCCAACGTCATCGATCTAGGCGACTTTGACGAATCCGACTACGCGGTCGTCCCTGCACCAAAGACTGATGATAACATTCAAACCACGTACGCTGCTACACCCAGGAGAGAAGAGACGATAAGGCTTGCGGACGCTGCGACACTTAGAGAGAAGCGCGCGAATTCCAAAGGTCCACGTGAACCCATCAACCAATCTGGTCAATCTCTCACAGCGCGACGAACCTCGTCAGCAGAAGAAATACCTTCCACAACGGCGACTTTTGACTTTGCGACATCCCAAGAAGAATGGACGGTCAAGAACAGAAGCAAAGCGCCCGAACTTCAAGAACCGGCTGAAATCACATCATCTCGTCCCGGCCACGCAACCATGGACTGGTCGTTTGCGTCGGCCATGTCAGAAGCGTCGATTCCACAAATCAATGAGCCAGAACCGTCAATGGGAGAAAAAACTCCAAGTCGCGACGACGTTTCTGCTATCACCGCCGAATCTGAGCACAAGGCAAGAAAACATGCGACGATGGAATGGTCATTTTCCTCGGCCATGGCCGAAGCAAACAATACGACATCGAGCGACGATTACTACGGCAGCAGTGACACTAATAACATCAACAACAACATCAACATCGACATCAACTCATCTCCTCCAATCGCTCCACGCAGTGCATCGTCCCAAGCAGGAACGGCGGCACTTCCGTTGCCCACGTCGAGAGCCACCCCGACCCGCGCGCCGCTCATGAGACAAATGACCATGCCCGTGACTTACGGCGACTTTGCCCAGGCCGAAGAACAAGAGATCCCCCGTCCCTCGACGGCCCTGTCCGAGGCGTACAGCGACGTGAGCGCGTCGAGCACCGACATTGACCCTTTTGGCCTGGAGCGGGAGGACGACGAGGACGACCACCCGGGTCCTGAGACCCTGGACGAGGACGTCGAGATGGGACGCCACTACCATTTCCGCGGCCGGAGCATGTACTCCGACCGCGGTGGCGGCGGTGGCGACCCGAAGGTGACTCCCGCGGCCGCGACGCGGACCATCACGACGACCGCCGCCGCCGCCGCCACAACGGGGCCCGTTTCCCCGACCGCCTCGGCGGGGGTGACGACTCCCATGACCGCCAACGGTCCCGGTTTCGGTGGCGTCGGCCGACGACGGTCCTCGGGCGGCGGCTCCGGTGCCTCTGGTGCCTCTGGCGCCTCTCCTTCCTCCCCGGGGTTGATGACGGCGGGCGGCGGAGGCCGTCCGGTCGTCGACGTCCCACCCGCATCCCCCCCGGGCCTGGGGGCGATGCAGGCCGGGGCGCCGACGGACCGGATCGAGGCCGAGCTCACCCGGTTGCTCGAGGGCATGCAGGGCACCCTGAACGCCGCCCGGGAGGTCGTCGGGGGTCTGGAGAAAAAGGCCCGCCAGGTGGAGAGTGAGTGGGAGGACGAGGATTGAAGCCGACCTCCCCCGGTCACTCACTCACTCTCCCCCCGGTTGGAAACAGCATCCCATTACCATGTAGAAAATGTGAATTATGAACTTGAAAATTAAACCCCTCCCCTTCTTTCCCCCCCAACTCCTCCAACGTGGATATGATTTTGGTCGTGTCGTTTCCAACTTTGGCACATCTCGAATGGCGTGACGCTCCTCGCCAAAAAAAAAAAAAAAAAAAAAAAAAAAGGTCACAAACAAATCTGTCCCCATCAATCAAACGTGAGGAGGTCGTCATGTCCAAGGAACGCCTTGTCTAAATGGAAACACACACATAACGTCACACGCAACAAGAAGAAACCTGAACCACTCAAGGGACCGAGGCCAATGTACAAGGACGATTCCGAAAAGTCCTCTTGATATTCTGACTTTGACCGGAAAAGGAGAAAACAAATTTCATTTCAGCATGAAAGAAATTAAATATTCCATATGTGTTGGCTTGCTTTGCTCGACTATTCAAATTATCTTTTTTGTGATTAACCCTCTTGAATTCTTAACAAGGGTCGTAGCCAAGTACAACATTCTAATTTCTTCGCATCAATCACAACTCAACGAAACCCCTTCATCACATTCCTTCAGGCAATAAAACTCTACTCCTCCCTTCTGTTAGGCCCTTTTCTAGATGCCATCATGGCCACCATTAGCCCCATTCATAAGAGGAGGAATCTTCTCGTTCTCGGCACCTTGAAGGTTGGGCGACTTTGTGGAACGGGCAAAATACGAGTGCACCTCACTAGGATGGTCCTCATCGTCGACGGTTGGATGGCCGGCCTTTTCGGAAACCCTCTCGGCCATACGAGCTTCCCATTCGCCACGCATTTCTTCAACGCGTTGCTTGTAGTCAAGGTCTGCATCGTAGTGCTTGCCGACACCACGAATGCGTTCCCACAAACTCAGGTGCTTGGAGTGAATGGCAATGCCATGGTACGCGTGTTCACGACCGGCGCGAATGAAAGCCCAACGTCTTTCCTGCTCCTTGAGATCGAGACCAGTCGTGTCGGGCAAGAAAACAATAGTCAAGAACATACCAGCTAAGCCAAACCAAGGCACTACATAGAACTTGGTCTGAGTGTCGATGTAGTTGTAGAGAACAGCCGCAGTCAAGGCACCCAGTTTGCCGCAGGCAGCAGAGAAACCGTGCGCCGTGGCACGTACTGCAACAGGGTAGACCTCGGCGGCAGCGATGAAGGTCACGGAATTTGGTCCGAACTGGTTGAAGAAGGATGACAAGAAGTACATGGCTTGGAACTCCTTGATGTGCTCCGGGCTGGTGTAGTACTTGAAGTGGAAGGCTGGTACAATGAACAGGATGAAATCGAGCAAGAAACCCACGGTTTGCATGTGTTTGCGTCCGTAGAGCTTGTTGTCAATCAGGAGACTGGCCATGTAGTAGCCCACAAGCGACACGCCGACATTGATCAGATTGTAAAGCCAGCCAGGCATGATGGAAGTACTGCCTGGCATGATAACACTGATGAATTCACTTTGGAAGAGCTTGTTGCCGTAGAAGAAAATGTCGTTGGCAAACCAGGTGCCGGCGGTGGCCAGCATACGGCCACCGAAATAACGGAACGTCAAAGCCAGAGACTCGGTGTCATAGCCGGTGACGCTGCTCTTGGCCTTGGCGAGTCGTAGTTGTTTGTTGGCAGAGGCCTTGACCTTGTACGTACGCCAGTAGACCAACCACAAGGTCCCGGCGGCGGGAATGGCAAAGGAAACTCGGAAGGTGTACTGGGCCGCGACCTCGGAATAAGGTGCATTCCCACTACCATGATGAAAGATCAGGAGAAGGAGGATCAGGATAACTTGGTTGAAAAATTGACCCCAACCTTGCATCAAAAAGGCGCTGGTAACCTTGCGACCACGATGGAGACGATCATCTCGAGTCGACACCTTTCCTGATCCGACGGCATTTTCCATGCCGGAAGTTGCCGTCATAGGATACTCTCCTCCGACACCGATGCCATAGAAGAAGAGTGACCACGCGTAGCAGATGACCCAGCCATTTTGCGTGACACCCCACGATGCGGTCAACATGATCAAGCCCATGAACATGATGGTAGCATCTTGAATCAAACCCCAGCGGCGACCGACCCAGTCACCGATGACGCCGACCAGGATCTGACCGACAATAATGCCGCAAATTTCCAGGTAGTCGACAGCCTTAATCCAGGTAGGATTACAGATGGCGCCTTTCTTCCAACATGCCGGGAATGACTTTTCAAAGAGCGGCTTGATATTGCCGATGGAAAACAGGACGTAACCCTCGAGACCGAGACCGGCACCAGGCAGCACCATGTTGCGAAAGTAAAAGCCAACCGGGGACAGAGGATCGTTCTTGAACATTTTCCAGAAGGCAGAGAATTCCCGGCTAGTCTCTTCCCGATCGACCTTTGAGACGAACTTGAGCCGTTTCATGAGTGGGAGGTCAGCCCAATAGACGCCGTGTTCATCGAAGCTATCCTCGGGCTTGAGGAGAAGGTTGAATACTTCCTTTTCATTCTGCGTCATGTCGATGTCGGTGTAGTCGATTCCGATGGGGTGTGTGCCCGTGACATCAGGTCCATGAGGGGCATTCGGGCCATAGTCGACGATTCTTTCGTCGGAAGACATGGTGGCGAGTGTTGTGTCTGCCCAGATAGGGTTGTTGAAGATGGACTCGAGAGAAAGAAGGAAGGAAGGAGGAGGAAGGATGAGATCCTTTTAACGGTAGCGAGAGTCGGTTGAGGGTTGCAGAGAAAATGTGAAGCGATCTTTGACGACAGTCAAGGCAAGCCACTGATTGGACAAGACCGGGGTGAGACGGGACCACGGCTAAGCAACAGCCACTCCAAAAGCTAAAGAGCTTGGTGATCGGAGAAGACGGATGGAGAGTGGGAAGCAAAGTTGCAGTGAGAATCAGTGGCTGAAGACAAGAGTTGCCAAACAAAGCTTGAGTCGAGCCACGAGTTTGAAGGAGTTGAGATGATTCGTCGACAAGCGACGACAGGGGCTAGGGCCGGGGTGTGCGTGCTAAGATGGTTGGTGGTCGGAGCTGGCTCTATGGAGTTAAGACCTGAAAGTTGCCAGGGCTGATATGTGCGTTCGTTGCGAAAGGGAACGTAGCGTGACGGGCGGGGCGACGATGATGATCGTTGGCGTCCTCGTGGCCGGCAGAAACGGCAAGAAGACGTGTATTGGGGTGCTGTATCCGTACAAGGACGAGTGATACGGAGGATGGAGATGGAGATTTGATGATGGTGGTGGAGGTAACGCGTCGAGACGACCTTGTGGCGTTTGATATATTGTCTGGTAGCAATGGGTCTTCTCGGTTGACCAGCCCAGATCAAGGAGAATGGGCGCGAACCGCGAGTTGCTCAACAGAAGGATGAAGCAGAATATGGAGTATGAGATGACGGTGATGAAAGGAAATTATGTACAGAAGGAGAGGAGGAAGAGGAAGAGGAGACTTCGGCAGCTTTTCCTTTCAAAAGGGAAGCAATTTTTTCTCAGGGAGGGACGGAATAGAGGAAGGAGCCGAAAGTCACAAGAGTGAAGAGATCGGGCGGAAGTTCGTCGTACCTTTTGCAAGGGACAGAGACAGAAGAAAGTGAATGAAGACGCTGGGGCAAAGAAAAAAAACCTACTGCCGTGTAGGGACAACTACGGGCTTAGGCAAACTCGTCCATTTGGCAGGAACAGCTGGTCGTACTCCGTACCTGTCTAGATCAGCATATAGTATGGATTATCCATACGTAGTGCATGTAATGTCATTAAAAAAAGTGGCCTGTGTTCTCGTTCAAAGCCGAGCGAAGAAACGTCGATGGCGATGAAAATTGATTTTTGACAGTCCAACATTCACCCACGTGTATATTTGATTGGCCAGGAATCAACGACAACAGGAAGGAGGAAACTCCGCTAAGAAGCACTCGCTTATTCGTACGGAAGGAGTGACGAACGCCAAGATCACGTGTCTGAAGAGCCAACCCAGATAGAGCGAAGAGTGAGCACGCGAGCAATACGAGAACTCCGTGATTAATTATGAAGAGATGCTCGTATGGATTACTACGAGTAGGTAATCTCCCTGAGGTGCTGATGTGCGCATAAAACATCCCACGTGTACGCATCCTCTAGATATGGTACGGCAAACCTATCGCCTCAGACTTACCTTGTTGCTTCTAGTGTACTGCAAGGACCAGCTGACGAGATACTCCCCATGTACATATCTCTAGAGAATATCCTTACTCGTACTCCGTACGAGTACTCGAATCCTAGTATACAAACTCGTAGTATTAGAGACTTGATACGCTACAATTCCTACCGCAGCCTTGCCAAGTATTCACCAGGCTGAAAGCGGAGCATACAATATCTTCACGCTACAGTACACCACACTGCACAGTAACGAGTCCACTCTCCCGCCAGCCCTTGAAAATCTTTTTCATCCTCGTACTCAGTCCACATTTTATCCATTAAAGCCCTCAAATTTTCCTCAAGAAATCACACAGAGATCGCTGGCGCCTTGCTAGCTCAATCGGTAGAGGTTTGTCTTTCACTCGCTCTTCCTGAAATATCACTAATTTGTGAACAGCGGTAAGGGACATTCCAAGCTTCAACCAACACAGCGTATACTCATAATTCTTCAGTAAGACTCTTAAACAAGAGATACCATCTTAAGGCTGTGGGTTCGACCCCCACGTAGGGCTCAAATCCCTTTCTCGACTTGTTGAACAAGTTGAGCGTGATTCTTTTTGCTTCCAGATCTTCCTGGCGAATTTTTGCTCATTTCCTTTTTGGTCGGAAAGCCTTCTCCGCGGACCTTGAACTCATTAAACGCTGGCGGCGCACATTCAATACTTGATTTGCAGAAAGAATAGTTGCGTCAACGGCAAACGCTTTCATTGATACCTGATGCTGATATCTGGGTTGATGCTTCACCGAATTCATCAAGATAGTGGTCATATTCTCGTGCGATCCTTCGTGCTTGTCGTCGATAATCCTGAGATATTTCACCATGACTGGTGATAATTCTCCTTCAATCCGTGAAGATTGGTAGCTTCGGGCGTGGGAGTCGACACTGCCCAATGGCACTCTTCCATGGTCACGGCAGCACCGACCTTCACTTGCGTCAAAGTGCAGTGTATGCCCCGAAATGACATGGCTTAGACGCCTTTTGAGGCTGTTCTGATCGGGTCGGTGTGTGGATCTTGTAAAATCATGGAGATTTCCAGCTCAAAGGTAGTATCTGTGCCCAGGCTTCCTGGTATAATGATGGTAGGGTTACTGGTTGACATGTCGTTTCAATCATTCGCAAGTCTCGAGCATCTTTTTGATAAAGCTCTGCAACGTAGGATTCCAAAGGGCGGCAGCCACACGTTCCTTGTCTGCCAGTTGTTTATTGACCTCATCCGCCGTAGAGTGTGTCCCTTCTTTAATTCTCACGTCGACTCGAAACCGAGCGGGCAGAGACTCTTCCAAGCGCACTCGGACTCCCAGGCCGATCACGGTGGCCAAACTACAATGCTGTATGGTAGGCGTAATCAGCACGGTAACAGTTTGTAGGTTCGACCTTGGACGGCTCGGAATCGTAGGCTTGATCGTTATATCAGGCAAGGACACCACCGCCAACGACCCAAGGGTGATGGGATGTTCGGGATCCGACATGGTGGCGATGAGGTCGTAAATCTCTTGGGTGTCGATGGGCTCGTTTTCTAGATCGCTATCACTGTCTTCGAACGAAGAAGGACTGGATGAGCGTGCAAAAGGATCGTTCATAAAGGATGGGGCGGGGTAGGCAAATGTTATTGCGCCGTCGGACTGTTCATTCTGCGCAGAGGCCCGCCGTCTGCGTGTAGGTAGGTCCGAAGGATTGATAATCAGTGGATTGGCATTCTTGCCGTCTTCCATGGCGAATATCTTCTGATGTAAAGTAGACGCTTTCTCAGAGGGGTGTTCAACACAATAAATCGAAGAATACAGAGTGATTGTGGTTGTGGTGGTGATTTCTGGGTGTAATGAAAGAACAAGACCCAATAAAGTCGTTAACCGCAAGGATTGGTAAAAGAACAACGTAGATTCGACCGGGTTATCAATTCTCGCCATGTACATATGAGGATTAGCTCAACGCATTTATCCTTATCGTAGCTCTGGTCACGTGTATTCCTTGCTTTGTCATGTTATTAGTCACGTGCCAGGGAATACACCCAGAGGTTTCTGCTCCTCTTATTTCCCACCACCACCTCCTCCCACTCATAATTGGCCTCCTGTCAATCCAGTTTCCGTACGGCATAATAGTCCGTATGGACAGCTACAAATCACTTCCTGCACACTACTGCGTCGACAGTTCACCAGTGCAAAGCCTAGGCAAGCTACAATATTGTCGCAGCATATTGGCGTCAACTCGTGACGGCAACTCTGTGACCACATGCGACGGCATTTCCCTACGACTTGTACGGATCAGGCAAATGGAATCTAGGTGGCCAGTCGCGTGTACTGCCCTCAGGTCTACGGAAGTACCAGTAGTGTACAGACGTTCAACATGCGATGGTAAATAGGCGTTGCATGAAGCCTATCAGGCTTGCGAAGGTTGTGCCTATCAGCCCCGGGGAATGGGATCCGCAAGCCTATCCACGGGTATTCATGGGTATCCCTTAGCGGTGAAGATCGAGGCCCGAGAAGGCGGCATGGAAGCTTCGGTGGAAGACTGCGACAGCGGGTCATCTCAGTGCTCGGACGCGCCTGTAGAGCCTGGCCACAACTGAGGCCACAGCTGAGACCACCAGCAGTGACAGCCTTGACGACCTGAGTTTGTCAGAAATCATTTCGCAAGGGCCTCGGCGAGTCCAAATGGACAATGCGTATACGATCAACACTACTCGTAGGGGGACGAGGTATCAGTGTGCAACCTTTTGCTGAGGCGAAGGGCCTGTAGAGAGTTGCCGCCATCGCGAATCAACTGTCGTCGATCCCGTAGCGCTTTTCTACTGATCACTGGTCACGCTTAGCCTGGGAATAATCTGACTGCATGTTCCCTGAATGGAGGGGGGATCGTTCCGAAGATCAGTAAGGAGGAGTTTAGAGATGACTGAGACAGTGTTTTATACTCCGTACAATGACTCCGTCCTCGAACTCTTGTTCAGATACAATATTACAATATTGCCACTACACAGGACATGATTAGATAGACTCACCAATTCTATACGAGTAGAACCTGTCAGATGCTTTCTTTGCCACCAAATGACCCAAGACTCGTGCTACGTACTACAAAGTCATTCCTCTTCGACGGAACAAGGTGGAGGGGAAGGAGCAGGATTTTTCCTACGCCATCCTCTTACGTTGCAGCGCTGACAGAAATCCAACCAACGACAAGATCCATGCAACCCTGGTCTCTTTTTACGGAGTCGTCGAACCAACTGCTACATTAGCTGAGACCTGAGGCCTAGTGAGCGAAAGAGACCTGCCGCACCACCATGGCCACCCCATCACCACATGGCACCAACAGCTCGAGCCCTCTTCCTGCTCCTCCTCCCCTCCTCCTCCTGATTTCCCGTCCGAGTTTTCAATCAACCAACTATTGCTTACTCCGTACAGCTGACAATTTAGCGAGACACCTCAATAATCTGCCCCTGTCGACGCACAACCCATTTTTCCTGGAACTGGATACCGACTTCACAACCCATGACGTGCAGGTGAATTCTACGAATCCTCAAGGAGTTCGGGGATACGAATAGGAGGCGATCCAGACCACACATAACGTCAACTTGCTGCCCCCAAACCGCTGACAGCCACAGCGAATATTTTCCCTGGACTCCGTACGCGTACATACACTGAACACAACCTTTACCGGCCTTCGGTGGGCTCCTCCTTGCACACTTCGCATAAGCGGAACCATCTCCTGTCAGGTCGCACCCTGCACCCACTTCTTTCCTCTATCACCACTGGGCAATCGTGGGGAGGATCGCTATTCACTTCAAACCTCGCGCATCTTGTGTGTTTGAGAAGTTCGATACCATTGTTTGACGCATCCTCCGCGTGCCGTCTGCTGCCAACTGAGTTCTTGACTTATCGCTGGGAAAAGGCGCATGTGTCCTCCACTTGCCGAGGTTGGAGTTTGAGATTGCGCCACAACGAAAAGCAACTTTGCACACTGACAACTCGAGCTTTCAACCCTCTCCCTCGTTAGAATTTCCCATTGTGATATATACGAGACGCACTCTCGAGTATCTGGCGCCCCTGCTCTCGCCAACCGTCAACAGCGCGAGCCTCGTGCAGATCGATCATCTGTATACGATAACGTTGACTGGAGGAATCCCGCCCCTCCGCAACAACGGGCATCCGTCTGGATTGAGCTACTATCGCCGCGCTCTGCCCTTACCCAATGTGGTGTCATCCGACACGAATGGTATTGCACCATGCAAAACTACTCGATGGCATCCGGACCTCCATCGGGTCCGAAGAACTATGTCTTCGTCGATGAACATAACCGACACAAGCGCTTGAAGGTAATGAGAGCATGTGAAGGATGTCGCCGTCGCAAGATCAAATGTGACTCGGCCACGACCAACACCTGGCCCTGCGCCGCCTGTGTCCGACTCAAGCTACATTGCGTCCCTCCAGCAGGCGGCCTCGATGGCGAATCTGGCGATACGGGTCCCGACAGTGCCATCGAACCTAGCATCGAGTCGCAGTCCTTTACCCAAAATCCAACACCGTCGATTCAACAAGCACCGAATTATGGACTGGCAACGCCGCCGTTCCCAGCGACGCAAACCGGCAACTTCTCGTATGATGCTTACGTCGCCAACTATTCAAAGCCTCCCTACGACATGTCAGGGAAATCATACGGTGGATACTATCCCAACCCTCAGCAATATTCTGGTGCCCTTGACGACCAATATCAAGCTGCCGGTCAGACTTATCCTCAGTATCAGGGCGACGATGATTCGCAGAGGGAGGAAAGGGCAGGCTCGACTCCAATGGATCAAATGACAGCCGAAGAACTCATGGAGCATCTCGGCGAGCTTAAAATCGGCGAAAATGGTATCGCGCCTTACTTGAGGCCCGAGAAGACTCAAGGAAAAGAGTCGGTCGCTCCAGTTCAGGAGCCGGAAGCGGAGGCCAAGATTGCCGCGGCCTTCAGTACCGATGCTGGCTCACATATTCGAATACCCCCAGCACTGATGCCTTCGGATGAAGAGGCTTCCCAAGCCTTCCAAACCTTCTTCCGGGATGTACATCCATACGTTCCTGTCCTAAACCGCAGACAGTTCTACGATCAGTGGCGCAATGATCGGGCGTCAATATCTCCCTTGATACTCGAGGCAATCTTTGCGAATGCTGGCCGGCTGTCTGACGACCCGGCGCAAGGTGCTCAATGGCTGGCTTTAGCCAACAGTAAGCTTTATCTGTGCTAATGCTCTCGAATCCTAGCTAACCAAGAGCAGAACATGAAGCCTGCTTCCTAGACAGTCCTCGTCTCAGTACAATACAAGCACTTTTGCTGCTTCTCAAAGCGCGGGAAAGTGCTCCTAAGAGAGGATATTACTATCGATCATGGATGACTTGCAAAACAGCAGTTGCTATGGCAAAGGACTTGGAGCTAGACGAGCACTACGAGACCCATACTAGTGGAGAGACGTGTGATTCTCCTAAAATCGAATGCTTGACCAAAACTCGGTTATGGCAGACATTGCTCGTCTGTGAGACCATGGTCGGCGGCCCACAAGGTAGCTAACAAGCAGCATTATCCCTCAATGTCAAGACATAACTAACTGTGCCAGGTCGTACGGATCTCGGTGTTGACCCAACATCAGTTGATACCAGCGTTAACCCACCTTCTTCTGATGTGGATGACTTCGAGAAGGCCATTTCAAGACAATTTGCTTATTTCGTTCGAAATGCCCGCAACATTCGTCTGATAACTGATGTCTCGATCAAGCTCAAGAAAAAGAAAGATTGGGGATTAGATCAGGAATTCGTGGCGCATAATGCGGCCTTCAAGAAATGGCCAGACGAATTGCCCAAGGATCTTCAGGTCACCTTACCGCAGGGCGGAGGTGTACCGACACTGCCATCTCATTTCGTTGGAAACATGCATTCACATTATCACCTCGCCATTGTTATGCTTCATCGACCGCAGCTCAAAGCTTCCGAATCATTTGGACCCGACAGTCAGTGGAGACACCATATGAGTACGTGTTATCGGTCAGCAAAAGTGCTTTGTCGCCTTCAAGAGGCTGTGCTGGCGCAGTACGATCTCACGGGGCTGCTGTACATGCAAAGGGGCATAAACTTTACGATCTATGCCATCCTAACATGTATCATGCTCCACTTGATTGCGCTATCCTCGCCGGACCCAGAATTCAACATGGAAGCAAAGGACTATTTCGTCCGACACATGCGCATCTTGGAGCGATGTGTAGCTGCATGGCCCATGCCAGAGACCGAGGCGCAAATCAATTCCCTTCGAGCGGCTTTCTCTGCAGACGTCAATAGACCCTTCGAACTGAAGGAGTCTTTCCCCCTTGGCTCGCCTTCCGACCAGTCGCGCCCCTCCCCGACGTCTCAAGGATCTTACGAAAAACAGCAACAACAACAGCAGCAGCAGCAGCAGCCAACTCCGCAAGGATCAATAAAGTCCGAAATTCAACAGCCGCAACCCAATTATTTCCCTGCACACATCAACCAGATGCGTGGACCGACAGGCTATCTCGCTACACCTCCGGTGTCTGCGTACTCGAGCGACTCGAAACCTCAGACCCCCATGTACGCGCAGAGTTACGACGTCGACCAGAACCAGTATGCCAACATGCCGACGTCAGCGGGCGGGTATTATCATCCAGGTACATCGGCTCCTGAACTTCAGTGGAATCCGACCCCTATCATCGACCAATTCGACACTGCATTCGCCATCTCAGCGTCCCAGCTTGCGCCTCCACCGTCGATGTACGGTGGCAGCGGTTCCTCGCCTCCTGGCAACATGCAAAACCTCCAGAGCAGCTTCACCTCTACAGGATCGCCAACGTACGGAGTCAACGCGCAAAATTACTCGCAACAGCAACACTACTTTGCGTCGCAGTCTCAGTCGTTTCCGGACCTATCCTCTCCCGTCGCAGGACACATGGCTCAGCTTCCTTCATCATCTTCGACGACTTACCCAACAACTGGTGTAGGTGGAGGCATGTTTGTCACATCCCGACAATGGCAACAGAGCGTGGCAAACGTCATGGACACTGGTGGATTAAAGAGGAGGTGGGATTTTGATCAGCATCACTAATAACCCAATACCCGCGAAAATATGGCGATTCTTTAATATTTTTTGGGTTTTCCAGGTCTCATTTAGCATGCTTTGACATGGCAAGAGAGACTTTTTCCCCGCTCGATTCAATCCTTTTTTCCTCCCGGGCTGGGACTTTCCACTCTATTCTGCAGAGGGACAACGTTTTTATATGAAGAAATGAGATGACGAAATGATTGATATCCAAGATCATGTGCGTTCGTGAGGGTGTGCGGCCCTAAGGGGCGTGGCATGTATTCGCTATTCAAACCTCGGGAAAAGCGCCTTCCCCTTGGTGTGGGTTATCTTTGAAAGATCAATGAATCATATCGACCGTCGCATGAGCTACGAAGAAAGGAAAGAAATATAAGTGTTATGAATTTACTTGAACGTTTTATCCACGAAAGAGAAGCTCCGCGAGGAGATGGATGGGCTACCTATACTTTAGGTTGAGGGAGTATTCATGGACGAAGTGCCTCGAGATAGGATAGTAAAATAAGTATATTAGCCTCAATATCAATGCCAATCCCGCGGCTGAGATTTAGAGACCATGACTGCTATCGATCACAATCAAGCACGGCGAACGGGTATCTTGCTGCATCTTTGGATCTTCTCGGATCTCCGACTCTCGAAGCCCAGTTCTGCACCGGTTCCTACTTTTGGATCTCTTTTGGATCTCTGACAGTTGAACCATCTCCTATACTGGTTCTCGCGGTTTGGATCTTTCTTGGATCCGCGGCTCTTTGGTCGAAGTCATCTTCTATCGGCGTCCTCGAGTCAAGGTATCGCCGTATGCGAAGCGTCGATAGACACGAATGTCCTCTGGCCAGCACCGAGACTGTCTTAAAGACTGTGTCCCGACGGTCCCGCCGGATTGTTCCCTTGTTTTCTTTCGAGCCCAATTCCAAGCACCACTCGTGCCGTCTTGTAGAAAACTCTGGGAAAGGAAAAAAACTCGTCCCGGTTTCTGGAACTTCGGCCATAGTTCCCTCCCTCTCCCGGGGGGTCTTTATTTGCTTGCCAGTCTCCTTCGTCTTCTTCAATTTGGCAATGTCATCATTCTCGTTCCAGTTCATTTATTTTCTCTCTCTCTTTCCCTTTTCCGTCACCGCCTGGTCAACCACTGGGTCAGACTTCGCTCCCAGGCGTCGATGCGGATGGGCATCTCCATCTGCCAAAAGGGGTTCTTGCAGACGAAGTCGGCGTACCGTTCGTAGATCCCCTTGATGAGGACGTCGGTGTTGGGCATGCTGGGGTCGGTGAACAACAAAAACTTGGTGCCCGTCAAGGTCTGGAAGACGGTCAGACGGAAGAAGGAAGACTCCATGCTCTCGATCCCGGAAGGGGCGACCGCGGGGTCAGGGTACGTCCAGGTTTTTTTGTTGGCCGTCGTGGAGGTCGCGGACGACGTGATGGGTAGTTTCGGGGTGATGGATCTCGTGATGGCGTGGACCCCGTGGAACGTACCAGCCAGGACCAAGTAGTCGTTCGTGGTGAGTGTACTGGTGCCCGGTAGACCCAACGTCCCGCCGACCGTTGATTGACCACCACCGGGTTGTTGATTCGGGTTGGCCGTGGTCGTGGCACCACCACCGGGAGGAGAGGTGGGAAATGTACGATGGTAGACCAGAGAACCCGCTTTGGATATGATCATGAGGGCGAAGACGGGCCTGTGTGTCAATCAGTCAGCACCGTCTGTCGAGTTGGTAGCATTCGCGTCGGTCGAACTTACATGGCAATGTAATCGAGGGGGACCGCGCGCTGCGGTCGAGAAGGGTCTTGGTTTTAGCAAGGCAGTATCATCTTTCTGGAACAACAGTTGTGGAGGACAATCAGGCAAACACCTACTCCGTCGGCAAGGTGTTGTTCCTTGTGAGACGGACGATTAACTAGACACTTGATCATTCTTTGGAGTATCGGCCTTAACTCTGTACAGCAGTAAATAGAACAGCCTCGACCCGTCACCGCCAAGGCTGCGCAAGGCTACGTTGATTGACGTGTTTGGAGCCGCCTGCGTTGCGCAACTTAATACAGTACAGTACAAGCCGTCAACATCCAACTACTCCGTACTCAACTTCCTCAACCTCTAAATTCCCTTCGTTCTTCTGGTTGAACCTCCCTTTTCATCACCACCTCGGCTTCATTGTTCTTGCCAGATTGATTATTCTCTTTGACTCTCTCTACAAATCGAAACCCATATCGATCCGTAGCTGCCCTCTCCCCCAGCCGTCCAAAACACCGCCATCATGGGGCTTGAGGCGACGATGATTGTGGTGGACAACAGTGAGGCCAGTCGGAATGGTGACTATCCGTACGTGAACTCGCACACAACTAATATCGTTCCGTTTATCTCTGACGTATCTCACCAGGCCGAATCGATTCTCGGCACAGTCTGAAGCCACTCAACTCATCTTCAACGCAAAGACGGGTTCAAACCCAGAATCCGCCGTCGGTCTGATGACCATGGCAGGAACAGGTCCTACCGTCCTCAACACCCCCACCACGAACTTTGGCGCCATCCTGGGAGGTTTACACGAGACCAAGATCAAGGGACACATCAGATTAGGGACGGCCATCAGCGTGGCCATGCTGGCCCTCAAACACAGAGCGAACAAGAGTCAACGGCAAAGAATCATCGTCCTGATCTGTAGCGAACTGGACCCGAAGTTTGGGGACAAGAACGACAACGAGAAGGAGCTGGTCAAGTTGGCCAAGAAGTGCAAAAAGAACAACGTCTCGGTCGACTTTGTGGCATTCGGTGACGCCATCGAGTCCTCTACAAAGGCAATACTGGAAAAATTCGTCGAGGCCGTGGGTGGTTCTTCAGGTGAAGGCAACTACCTGGTCGTCATTCCTCCCGGACCTGGATTGCTCGGCGACAGTCTCATCACGACGCCTATTGTCAACGTTGGTGGAGACGCGGGCCCGAGTGGAGGCGGCATGGAAGGAGTCGAGACCGGCGGTGGCAGCGGTGGAGGCTTCGAGTTCGGAGTCGACCCGGCCGCAGACCCCGAATTGGCCATGGCTTTGCGCATGAGTATGGAGGAGGAACAGAACCGACTCGAGAGAGAACGAAGAGCACGAGAGGAGCAAGAGCGACAGAGTGGCGATAGAATGGAGACGATAACCGAAGAAGGGGGTCAGGCACAGCAACAGCAGTCGACGAGTGGAAGTGGAGAAGGAGACGCCGACTCGAAGCAACCTCGAGTGGAAGATGACAAGAAAGAGTGAATTCAGGGGGTCGATTTGAATTGTACCAATATTCGATTAGAAAGCCTTATTGCTGAGCTGAAAGCTGAAAGAATAAGAATTTGGTCGAGGCGTTCACGCGATGACTGCGTGAAATCATCGTATTGAGCAGATGGCAAAGCCCATACCTATCCATTAGGCAGCTTTGTCCCAACCTAACCTCTTCAACATCAATCATCATACCTCATGTTCTGATTACCCGACTCCTGGAAATCGTCTCAATTAAATAGAGTTGATATCTTCGACCTGCTCTTGAAGTGTTGTATGTGATGATTTTCCGACATTGCCACTTGGCCTGGGCTTGATATTGTGGCTTGCCTTCTCATTCACTTTGGCGCCATTAGGTACCAGTTGACATGGTGATTTATTACACTCTTCTCACCTCTCATGTAGAGATTTCCCCCAATCAATGCCCTTGCTTTGTCAAACCCTTGATCTTCTTCGGAAAGTGCGCCGTCTGGCCACGAATCCCATGGGATGAAATGGTATGATACCTGGGATATAAGGCATCGCGCGTATGCTCTCTCTCTCTCTCTCTCTCTCTCTCTCTTTTTCGTGACTTTGAATGTCGTACTCCATAATCATGTCTTGACCCATTTGATCCAAATCCTTCTCTCTGTTTTTTTTGGGGTGGTGGCGATTGTTGCGTGTATGTTTTTGTCGGTGTCATCTATTTCCCGTCCCGATAATTCTATCCTCTCTACTCCTCACGATACGAGCTTTATCTCCAGGTAAAGGTTTGAGTTCGTCGTTCGGATCAATTGTTGTTGTTGTCGCAGACATGCCATTGTTGTTGTGATTGTTGGCAGCGTCGCGTTGGTTGTTGGTCATCTGCTGCATCTGCGCATCTTGGTCGTAATAATGACCACCACCACCAGGCGGCTGCTGTTGTTGTTGATGGTTGCGAAAGTATCCTTCTGGATCTTCACCGGTCTTGAGGTATCGCGTGTAGGCGAGTCTGCGGGCGAGTTGTTCTTCAAACGCCGCAATGTCTTCGTTTGTTATTGTGAGAGCGGTAGGTTTGCGGCGAAGCATTGTCTTGGTGGTTTGTGTTTGGCCGAGATAGGATGGGGTCGGAGGATTCACACTCGGTGTGTGAACGGTTATCTTGATTAACGAGGGGTAAGGAATAAGGGATCATAAATCATGAATTGTGGTATGATTATCATTTGTTGAAATAAAGATGTTATAGTTTTGTGTTCTGTAAGATTTATTGTAGTGAGTCGTTATCGATAAATGTATGGGGAGTATAAATATATTTACTGGAATCGCAAAATGTGGAGGAACCGAAGATCATTCGCAGATCACTGCAGTCGCACAACTTTACAGAATACTTGTTGGATGTGGCTGTGTTACATTTATGGAGTAGGAACTTTTGTTATCTTTCTTTTGCCACAATCAAAAGATGAAATGATGGCAAGTCTTCGTTGTCTATACAGTATGTCGAGAACCAAACTTCAAATACGTACATACTTGTGTGGTACAGGTACAAGTACCGTCTGTATTGAATTGCGCGCATCACTACAGGTACTAAACTACGGAGTCCTGAGCACTAAAACCCATCGATATACGCACCATTGGCCCCCCGGGTTTCGCCTAAACAAGTGAATTGTGCCCAACACCTCAATTGGGCCGCCTGGGTCGGGCAAAGGATAGCGCTGGGGCGAGGAGGAAAAGCATCTCTCAGCCTAACCGATGAATAATATCCTCAAACGATGGCGATCATCGGGCAAAGATGTCGTCCTGCCTGTACGCGCAGAAGCCACAAACAGAGACGAACCGGAAGCACAAGACCAAAACGAGGATCAGCAAGAAGTCTGCGCAGTCATGAAATACTATCCTCTAGAATCAGGAGATATCCGAGTACTGGAGATTCTTCAGCCTGATCATGAAAAGGCTTGCCCGGTCATCGATGGGAGACCGCTTCATCCTCCTCACAAGGGTGATACTGGTGGGTCATTAGCCGGAAACAAGATATCGCCATCGTGTCGGATCAGTCATACTGCACTATTAAATTATGCAGGCGATGCTGGGAGTGAGACGAACGCAGCAGACCAACAAAACAACGTGGACAGAAGCCGGCACCCGTTCATCGCTCTCAGCTACAATTGGGGCGACGAGAGTGACGTCGACAGTATAATAATGGACGGTTACGCTCATGTTGTCCAGAGAAATCTGAAAAAGGCTTTGCTTGCGTTGAGAGGTACAGACATGGTACGATCGTCGGGTTGCAGGATATGGGCCGACGCCTTGTGTATCGATCAAAGCAACCCTGCCGAGGTCAACAGAGAAATCAGGAGGATGAGACACATCTACAAGGAAGCCGTCGCCGTCGTAGTCTGGCTCGGCGACGAAGCCGACAACAGCGATCTGGCTCTCCGTTTCATCAACACCGTCGACGACAAGTGGAAGTCCGGGCCCGAAGTCTTCAAGACATGGTTGAGACAGGAGTTGGAAACGAACGGCACGCAGATCTGGCCTGCGTTGTCTAAACTGATGCTTCGAGAGTACTGGTCGAGATTGTGGATTATCCAGGAACTTACCATCGGCGGGCCGACCGCGGTGATTCTGTGTGGGAAAGAAGCCACGACCTTTGCGAAGATGTACCAAGTGTACGATGCGTTCCACCTCTTTAAAGCCACCAGTAAACATCCCGAGCTCGGGGCGTGCTTCGGCGAAGTCCTCAAGACCACCGATCCAACTGTGTATGATGCCTATCGTAACGTCTTGCATTGGCAGTGGGAAAAGTGCGAAGATTTCCAAACGTTGCAAGATGGACAAATACACTCGTCGCACATTCACTTCAAAAGACACTTGCTCACCCGGTGTCGCATAGCCATGTGCCGCAAGCCATCCGACAAGGTGTATGGCATCCTAGGTCTTTTGGACGATGTCATGTCTGCGCAGGTTGTCACAGACTATAAGCTTCCAGTGCGGGAGGTCTACATGTCCTTCGCAAGGACGTGGATTCGTTCAGAAGGAGATCTGGGCATGCTCATCCAGTGCGGCGAAACGGGTGAGCAGCAGAAAGGACCGGAGGTGGATATTGAAGGTCTTCCGTCATGGGCTCCCAACCTGCTGAAAGAGATCAAGCTCCAGCTGAACAACTTCGATCCGGAATTCAATAGTCATGGTGAAATGCACGCATCCGACGTGGAATTCTTGGGCGACGACGGTTCAGTCTTGTCGACCGACGCAGTGCTCTTCGACACGCTTGACGGCTTGAGCGGGACGAGATATTGGGACGACGATCTCAACGGTGTTCAAGATATCCGGAACTCTGCGTCAGCTGCGAATGCATACGGTTCGGGTGACGAAGGTCTGAGAACGGCGTTGTGGCTGGCGCTGAGTGGTGGTCGAGACAGGCATGGTAAGGCCGCTAAATCTTATCATGAATGTGTTCTGGACACCGCTATTCTGGATGATAGATGCGCTCCGCCTGATCCATGTCCCGACACAGGGGACACCGACGATTCGTTGCGCTGGAACTTACACATATGGCTGAAGCGCAATCGATCGTTCCAAGTCGGTGGTAAGCGCCTCGAAGACATTTTCCAGGATCTTGGAGTCATGAAGAGCGAGCCACAACTTTACTACCAGTGCATTGGGAGAGTGGTCAATTGGATGTGGTGTAGGAGGCTCGCGACGACAAGAAATGGATACCTTGCGGTAGTCCCCAGAGTGGCCAGACTCGAGGATGTAGTTGCTATCCTGCCTGGTTGCAGTTGTCCGTTGTTATTGAGGCCGGTTCTAGATGGAGAAGCAGGTAGTCACAAGTTCGAGATCGTGGCAGAGTGTTACGTTCAAGGTATGATGAACGGCGAGGTGGTGAGCTTGTTGGACCAAGGACTCTGCCACATGGAGAGGATTTCCATTGTCTGAGAGGATCAAGCGCGGCCCTGATGGTCGCACTGTGAAACCCATCTGTGAGGATGTCACTGCTCGAGTAGTCTAACCACATCTAGTAGTACATCTGAGGTTTTTGGAAAATGAGAACCAGGGCAGCCTCGCTCAAGTGATTTCTCGAGAGGCTCTAGAAGACATCTGGCCTTGATTGGACCTCCGAAGCGCCGTACTTTGCCCAGCAACAGCCACGACGGAACCCACCGCAATCAGAAGCCGCTGTCACACGGACGGGGAGATTGATGGAATGAAGGGTGCCAAAAGATTGCGATTGCGATTGCGGTGGCTTCGGTAGCTACGAGTATGACGTTGGGCATGGAAATCGCTTGTTGAGTGAGCTCCATACACGTGGGCCCCTTGTACCGTGATTGTTCATTGTTCTCAACGTTCATCTTGCAGTCTGCTGAACGGGGGTACTCGGCACCGGCAGATGAAAGTACAGTAAGGCTCGTTGATCATGAAATTGCGCGCATGATGGGGAAGATATTTTGAGAGAGGACGGGGGTAACGCGGTGGATTGCTTAAGCGAGGTGCTCCGTCTCGTAGAAGGCAAAAGAGATTCCTGAATCGGACTGAAGTGCAAGGGTTTGGACCGGTGTGGTTGATGGTTGGTGGTGTTGACATCCTGCGATCTCCTCTCTGTCTCTCTGTCTCTCTCTCTCTCTTTCTCCCGTACTCCGTACATACTGTATGGAGTGAAAAGAGCCATAAACGCGACGCGACGAAGAAGCTCCTAGCCTTGTCTGTTTTTGGACTAGTCAGGTACCAAGCTCCACTTGCTCTAAGATTGCGTGCTTGGCATCCTCAGCCTTTCCCTCTTTGTTGTTTTCCCTCCTCTGCCGTTTTGCCCCCTAAACGCTCCATCCACCCAACGTCTCAAGCCAGATTCATCAGGCGATGCGATTGTAACGCTCGCTCCAGATGAGTGCTATACCTCGGTCTTCCATCTTTCAACCATGCATGCATGACCTGTGCGCTCACTATGCTTGCTGTCAATTGAATTGTTCTCGTACAACTATGTCAAACTCTCCGCTGTGGTTCAACCTACTCTCCTCGAGTCAATTCCTACAATGAGGACTCAAGTGTCTGTACTGTACATATCAAATCTTGGGGTAAGACAACGGCGACAAACAAAAGTGCTCAAATGAAAAAGCCTCCCGCTCGCCTGTAACACCGGGCACTACGGTAAACAGAAGCACGTCTTGGCTGGTTCATCTGCCCGTCGTCCCAATTTCCCTTATGCTGTCCATCGACACTAGCTCCAAATCCTGGGGCTGAACTTGGCTTCCCTTCAGCCTGTCACAGTCCAGCTCTCATCAGCCTTGTGTGAGTAGTGGGAGTAGTCAGGGGGTGCTGTCACCTCATCTACTCCAAGGTTTTTGTGGTTTTTTCGCCAGCCAATTTACCAACTCGGCGCCCCTACCACGTTGGCTCCTGGATCCCATTGAATTGGATCTTCGTTACCGACGAGTGGGACCTTCTGGACCAGGTCAACAATGGGCTGCCCACACACGTCCACCGGCTGTCTAGCCCCCATCAGGTGGGTGAATCTGTCCCGTCATCAAGGAAATGAACCGCTATGGCCATAAATAACACATCCACTGTGTTATATACTATTACTCGCCTCGTCCCTCGCCTGTTGTTTTCTTCTCTTTTCTCCCCGACAATCGTTCCAAACAGCACACAACAACTCGACCTTTGTGTCCTTACGTTCTTTACCAACCAACGGTTCTTCCAGAGTCTCCGAGCTCTAGTCACTCTTTGAACCTCTCAAAAAAACAAAAATCATCATGGTCAAATACACCAGCGCTGTCTTGGCTTCGGCCGCCCTCGCGACCACCGTCGTCGCCAACGGACCTGTCTGCAGTGTCGTCACCGAGGTCGTCACCGGCGACTGGTACTGGGTTGCCGACCCTACATGGGCCGACTGGGCTGCCACCACCACTACCACCAAGCCTGCTAAGAAGACCACCACCACCCCAGCAGCTACCTGGGCCGATTGGGACACCACGACTACCGTGGTCGACCCAACCTGGGTTGACTGGGACACCACTACCACCAAGAAGCCAGCCCCCACGACCACCGTGGTCGACCCAACCTGGGTCGACTGGGACACCACCACTACCACCAAGAAGCCAGCCCCCACGACCACCACCTGGGTTGACCCAACTTGGTTGGACTGGACCACCACCACCACGACCGTCAAGACCACCACCACCACCCGGGTTGACCCAACCTGGTTGGACTGGACCTCGACCTCCGCGGCCCCGACGACCACCACCACGACCACTCCTGCCAACAACGGTTGGGGAACCACCACCACCACCGTCGCCGCCACTACCACCACCGCTGCTCCCGTCGCGGCCGCCACTTGCCCAGCTGACAACGGTCAGTCTGTCACCGCCGGTGGTTCTTGCCAGTGCGACTACACCGTCAACTGCGGTGTCCACGCCGACACCTCGGGCGGTCCTCAATTCTGGAACAAGGGAACCACCGACTCCCTCGCCGCCTGCCTGACCCTCTGCGACAACAACGACAAGTGCACTGCCACCATCTGGTGCGACGACACCACCCAGTGCGGCTCAGACTACCACGTTTGCTGGCAGACCAACGGCCTCGGTGGTGTCGCCGGTACCGGTTTCGGTGAGATCTCCTACAAGGGATCTTGCAAGGGTGGTTGCGACCAATCCTACACTTCTTAAGTGTTGAGAGAGCATTCGAGAGGGTCGTGATGGGGGGGTTTTTGGCGATGACGACCGAGGAAGGTGGATGAAACGTGCCGCGTAGATTTGGTTTTCTTTTTCAATTTACGTCTGTACTCCCGAGTATGTGTGTGTGCGCTTGAGATAGTGTATGTTTGTGTGTATAGTGGTTGTGTTGGGTATCGCATATATGTATTTTCAAACGCCATGCACCATATTTTTTCGATGTTCTTCTTTTCTGAATTTACCATCACGTTTTTCCTTTCTTTTCTACCGTGGGATCATCATGAATGAATAATGTAGAACCTGGTTCTCAAAGAGAGAGAGAGAGAGAGAGAGTGTGTGTGTGTTGTGTGTGTATTCCTAATACTATCAATAAGTGTGGGCATCTAAATCTGTAATTCATGTTGAAGTTCTTTGTGCTGCTGCTCCCAAAAGATCTTAATTGTACGGAATACGTACAAAGTCCAAAGTACAGAGCACCAAACTCGGGACACACGTTGTTTGGCCGGACATGATTATACCTTGTACTCCATGCTCCATATATTCCGTACCCTTATCTCTCAAAATCCCCGCCAAAAAAAACATTCCAGGTGCAGATCATGGTGTTCACGTACCGACCACATGCTCAAAATTTCCTCGTCCATTTGTCTTTTTTGGGGGGCAGGGCGGCGAGTCAACATCGAACACAACCAACAACCATATTCTGGCCTGGTTCGTCCTGACCTGGTTCATGTTGAATACTTCATAATAGTCGTGACCATATCCAAAAAAACAAACCGTCCAAATAGATTAAACGCTCATGAATATATAGCCCGTTTTTGTTTTGCTTTTGTCTTTTCTTCTTCCTTTTGCTTAGTACACCAAACCAAATCGTCCGAGTCTATTTAGTGTGTTGAAAAACTCATTTCTTATCTGTCGTTGAGAAGAACAGGCACAGATATCCTCCTCATCCCGGCACTCGTACTCCGTAAAGGTCTTTTGTTCTGTTCTAGTTTTTCTTTTCTCTTCTCGGTGATTCTCACGTGTCTTGTCCATCATTCTTCTCGGGTATATTTCGACCACTGCCTCCACTTGGCACCGTACCTGAAGATCAAGACCGGGATGGGAGCAAAACACAAACTCACCCCACCGAGGACGGTGAAACCCCAACCCCAGCCCAAAGCTCGCACGAGTGGTTCGGCCATGAGAGGCAAAAAGGTCGCCATGAGGCAACGCATGACGATGACCGCCGTCATGGCCGAGGCCGAGTACAATTTGAAAGTGTCGACGACGTAGGCCATCAAGGGGACCACTCCCAGGATGAGGGCCATTCCCAGGGCTCCGACGCCGACCAGTAAAACGGCCAAGGACAAATGAAGTTGTGGGATCCAACCGTAAATTGCAATCACAAGTGGCATGGTGAAGGCTCCCAGGATTACCAAAGGTAAACGAAACTCGGGTTGTTCGACACCGTCGTGGGATTTCCGTAACCTGACATAGATCCGGTCCAGGAGGAGATTACACAGGATGACACTGATCGCCGAACCGATGCCTGTAAACCGAGTAAAAAGGACGGAGACATGTCAGTGGATGTTGTATGGCGGGTGTACAGACTCTTGGGGGGGGGGGGGGGTGGGAGTAGGGAAGTGTGTAACGACAAAGGAAAAACCACCCCGGGGATGAACCTTACTGTGACAAACGAAACTCGACCCCGTAAGGGCAGGAGAGAGGTGATATATATCTTGAAGGATATCGGGCAACGTCGTGCTCATGATGTAGAAATAAGAAAAGGTCAGACTTCCGTAGACGGAAAGCATTTGGAGGACCGAACTGTCGGCGAAGACGACCAGCGGCCGCACGATGGACCCCCAGAATCTGCCGTCCTTGTTGTTCTTCTCGCCGACGTCGAACGCCGCGCGGAGGTTGGGGTTGCCCGTCTCGCGACGGCGGCGGGCCGCCTTCCTCCTCAAGATTGTCACCTTGTAGGTCTCCCGGAAGCAGGTGAGGAACAAGACTTCGGCGACGCCGGCGAGGATGACCGACATCCAGAGCACCTGACGCCAACCCAACGACTGGGCGATGGCCCCGGCGATGGCGGGTCCGGTGGCGCCCCCGATCAGGGGCGCCAGCATGATGGAGGACATGGCGCTGCCTCGTTGGTCCGAGACAAACATGTCGCCCACGATGGCCGGGTTGAGCACGTTGGAGGCCACGGCCACCCCCGTCAGGCACCGGGCGGCGATGAAGAGAGGGGTGCTCCGGCACAGGGCGGCCAGGGCCGTGGCCGAGATGAAGAGGATGTTGGCCGCGTTGACGACCGGGTACCTCCCGAAGAGCTCGGAGAGGGGTGCGATCAGGAACGGGCCGCCCGCCTCGCCCAATTCCCAGATGGTGACCAGAAGGACGCTGGAGGATTTGCTCGAGTGACCGCCGGATAGGTCGTCGACTATCCTGTTGGCGACCGGGACCACCGATATACATGTGAACGTCCTTGTCGTGGAGAAAGTAAAGTCAGTCGAGGCAGAGGAATGGGAAAAGTCATGCAAGGCAAGGTCGTGAGGACAAACACTGTGAATGCCATGAAGGCGAGTAGGGCCACGATTCCCCATTTGTACGTATTGGGCCAATCTTCTGGGTTCTCGGGGTCACCGTCGACGTCGAAAGTGACAATGTCTTTGTCCAGGTCACTCGGTATTGGTTCGGGTGGAACGTCGGGGAGAAGAGGTTGAGTTTCGTCCATGTTTTTTTTTCGTAGTATCAGGTTATGATGTTGTAGGTTACTTTTTGTTTTGTCCTGAGAACTCGACTTTACCGCATGTCTTGGAGATGAAGAACAAAAAGATCTCTGTACTTAGGAACAAAAGAATCTCGGATGGAAAGAGATACGGTGGGAATGATATCTATCGGCTTATCGGCGATGTCTTACTCGACCGAAATTTTTGTAATCGTGCTAATCGGTATAGCGGGAATGGCACAGGGGTGGATCGGCGGTCAAGTGAGAACAATCCTTCAGGTTGAACGTGGTAGAGAGATCCTAGACCAATATACAAAAGTTTTTGATTATTATTGTCCTTGATCGATATGTAGGGATTACTTTTTTGATTACATCTTGTTGTAGAGATTTATCTACTCCGTACTGCTTCTTCAAATACCGAGATCCCGTGATCGTACAAGGCTCAAAGATTCAGCCTTGTCATCCTTATATTCAGACTCATCATTCATACTCATTGCTTGTTTCTACCCATCCTTGTAGTCATAGTCATGTTCATGTTCATGTTCATACTCGTTTTTACACAAAACATCACCTTCTACTTTCTACTTCGTGGTAGGTGCCGCCCTCACCATGGCGACCTCTTTGTACCACCCTTCCCCTTGTCCTTCCCTTCTGCCTCGTTGTTCTGTCCATTCTTCACCTTTGTCGCCTCCGTCCTCGAACCGTGCCAGATCCACCCAAAATTCATGGTGAGGCTCGAAGCCGACCGACCTGTAGACATTCATCCCCTGAGGACTCGCCTCCAGAGTGACTGGCAAGTTCAGGGCGTCCGCCTGTGCCGCGACGTGTTGCATCAACATCCTCCCCGCTCCGCGCCTGTGGTGTGCCGGGTCCGTGGCGAGTTGGTCGACACTCACGTGGGCTCCGATGTCCTGATTGTTTTGTTCTCGGGATTTCACCAAAGCTTCCCAGAACCCCGTCACCAGCGCCAGATTGGTGTACGCCGGCCACTCCAACCTCTCCCCGGTGTCCGTGCGCTCTTCGGCCCCTTCGGCCGTCGTGAAGATGTTGTACTTTGTCCAGGCGATGATTTGATCCGGTGAGGGTTGACGATCACCGTCTGTACTCGTACTCGCACCGGCACCGGCACCGTCCCTGTCCTTCTCCCGCACCGTGTCATCCCACACAACGGCAAGTCTAGCTGTAGGGTCCTTCTTTAGACTCTGGAGGTGTCGTTTTTCATTATATTCGTTGATGGCGGGGTAACTAGAAGGTGGACCGTAATAGATTGTCCTGTAGAGGCCGTTGGTCAACCATGCCGCGAGGTGAATTCGGGCAATGGCAGGAATCAATGCCAGGTCTGCTTCGTTGTTGGGTGAAAGTTGATGAATGATTAACGTCATGGTTCTTTGCTCGCGTTCTGGGGTGTTTTTCTCCTTCTTATTCTTTTTTCCTTTTGAAAATCGCACACAGATCAGTCGTCAAATCGTAACAATTCGTGTCTGATCTGACCGAGTGTCTTTATCAATTCTCAGATAGTCAATTATGACAAGGATAATAAACGCCAAAATCTGTTGTATAATCTGTACGAGGTGTAATCTATCTTGAAGACTGCCTAGACAGTACCTAGGTGCTGTAGTAGTGTTCAGAGTACTAATGTAAATATCAGTTCAAATGCGGGTCATTTTTTCGATGTAACACTGTCGACACCAAGAATTGAATATATTCGCCTAAAGGGTCCTCGGTACCCTTGCGACTATCACTCTCAGATCGGCTCTTCCTTGAGTATCAAAGTCCCTTAAACTATCATTCGAATCGTATCGAACTTTTCGTTCGTTCATTCAGTCTCGTAAAAGACTAGAGCCACCACTACATAGGTATGCACACGATTCTAATATGTAAGGAAGGCTTGATAGAGACCACCATAACCTCATATCTCCAAGTCAAGAAGTGAAATCGCTGAAGTGACAACCGCTTGCTCTTTTGAAAACACAACAACAAATCACAGCCATGTCGTAGAAACTCCTAAACCGGGCCTCCCTTTTACCCTCTCACTCCCTTCGTCCTTCTCTCCTCTTCTCGAACAACTTCACCAACCACAATTCGACAAAGCCATTCTCCAATCTGGTCTGCACTCCATCCCCATCGCGGTCCGTCCTCTCTTCCTGCACCATTCCCACGGTAAAACCCATTGGAATACTCAACTTCTTGCATGAACCTCTCAATCACTGCACATTCGGTTTGTCCGATCGTCCAGGTGAACAACTCGCCCATCCCATTGTTCGTCTCATCAATGTCCATCTCACGACCTTCGAGGGCAAGAACGTCAGGGCGGATAGATGCTCGCGTCGGTCCGTGGAATTTGGGCCGCAGTGATTTTCGGTATATAATATGCAGGGTTCGAAAATGCCTGTTGGTGAATTCCCCAGAAAGCCCAAGTCTCGACGACGAGGGTCGTGATGGGTCTGACGGGTAAGATGGTGGAAGAAGGTATGATGGTAACCTTGACTTGGCTTGGGAGCTCAATTTGGTCGAGCTGGACCTTCTATCGGTAGAAGGTATGCTTGTTTTGGCCGTTGCCCACCTCGCTTCTTCGCGCGACTGCTGCATTGGGCTCAATGTGCCGTCAAGATTGCTGATCAGGTATGACGATGCCTCCTGAATCTCGACTGCTGCTGATTCAGTGTTCCTGATCGACTGAGATTGTGGTGTGGGCGTTGGTTCTGATGATGTTGACGAGCTCACAGTATAACCAGAATCTTCAGCTGCGGCATCCTCAACGCCATTGCCTAAATCAGGTTCGAGGCCAGCATCGAGTTCATCCTCATGAGCTTCTAGCTCGCGACGCAGCTGTAAGCCAGCCTCCCCCAGAGTTGTATCATCACTGCCCGTTTTCATGCTGAAGCTGCTTTCCATTCCATCTATATCGACACCTCTTGATCTTTCACTAAACACCACTTTTCTGATAATGGTTGGTGTATCAGCTCTCTCGAAACCTGTCATCTGACCAATGGTTTGTCTGGAACCCTTCAGCGCAGACCGAGGTGTTGGTGGTCGCTGAACAGGTGCGGCGTCTGGTGAGTGTTGCTGAAGGAGTGGAGGCGTAGCGAGTGCCGCCGGTGTATCGTCAACTCCTGGAATATCATGGATTTCTTCGTGTAGAGAGGTTGAGGGATCCGAAGCATCGACAGATACATCTACTGATTCTATCGTTGAGTTGCTGACCCCGTTCATATCCTCAGAAACAGCCGACGCACCCGAGTGTTCGTGATGATCATCGCCCTCGTTCATCGGGAAGCTCATATCTTGGTCATCTTCCTTCTTTGGCGTACCAAGCATAAGATCAATGTCAAAGGTTCCACTGCTTCTTCTCTGCCCAAGCTGTTGTCTTCTGATCTCACCAGCCCCAAATTTGATCTTGCTTTCTTGTTCCTGCCAATATCCCAAACCACTCATTTCGTCCGCATTCGTGGACAAAAAGGTACTTTGCTCAACAGAAGGAGCAATGTCATCACCTCTCCTCCATGGGCTTGGGATGAGACTTCTTCGAGGCTTGTCACTGACTTCTTTGGGCGGTTCGACTTGTTTCTGGTGCTCATTTCGCGTGAGTAGATCAGGTAGTGGAGCAGGAGGCGGGCTCGAAGAAGAATTCTTCGCCTCTGCCAGCCAAATGTCCTCTTCGTCTTCCTCTTGTAGTTGATGGAATTGGTCGTCTTCACCAGTGCTTTGGATTTTCGCTGGCAACATAGACTCATCATCACTGTCGATAATGATGACTTGACTCTCGCTCGCGTTCTCGATTTGTCTTGAGACCGCTTCACGCTCGAGCTGCCATTCACGTTCGCGCCGAGCCATGGTATCAAGCAACTCAGGCTTCTGTTTCATAAGTGATTGACTTTCAGGCGTTTGTGTAACGTTGCTGCTTCCCTTTCTCGGATCTGCTCCCATAGAAGTCGAAGTATGTATCGGTGTATGCTGGACCACAGTTTCCCCTCTCCATACCTGAGTTGCTGCCTGGGCTTTGACTTGTCCATGCCTTGAAGAGATGCCCAACCCGGTGACCTCGCTCTTCCGTGCAGGTGCCTCACTGGAAGATTCTCTCTCGGCCGGATCAGATGACTGTCGCTTCGCAAGCTCTTCTCCAAAGCGGAGGCCAGCTCTCAGCTCACGTTTCGTTCCGGTATCGAAGCCTTCGAACAAGTGATCTTCATGGCTTGATGATTGATGGCTTGTAGAGCTTGGTTTCTGCTGAGAGGGCGGGTGGCCTGCTGAATGTTCTGGAGACACGACTTCCTGCAGAGCAATGCCTGCAAACAGCGCAGAGGCTGATCCTCGGTGCCTGTGGTTAGCAGTCCGTTGATTAACGTTTCTGGGAGGTGAAGGCAGTTTCGGAGATGAGTATGGCTGTGGTGTGACTTTTCGAATCCCTGCCGGTGCAGCAGAAGGTATTTGTAACAGACTCTTCTCTCGTTCAATGACTGGCGGAGATGACGGCACTGTACTTGAAATCTCACTCTCGTCAACATTTAGAGCAGGATAAGATACGGCCCCAGTCATGGATGAAGCCTGCGTAGTCTCCGGGATCTCGGCAGTCGTGTTCCCTCCTTCTGGCCTGGAAGGATTACTTTCGGCAGTCATGGCGGGACTGCTGCGAAATTGTCTCGCCGAAGGCAGGGCGTCAAGATCAATCATTGTGAAGCCCTCACTTTCTAGTACAGTATCAAACCCTTCACCTCCCAGACCGCCCTCTGTATCTTGTTGTAAGGCATTTCCCACATCATCCGGATCACCATGAAAGGATGAGGAAGGCGACGGCGTGGGATAACTTAGTGCACTATTGGATGACACTTTCCGGACCTCTTTGCCCTTCTGCCTCGACGCTTTGGGTAGCGCTTGCTGTTTATCTGGGTCGTTGTCGTGAGAGTCGTGCTCAGAGTCCTTTGTAGATTTCATCGAAACCGGTCTTCCTCGAACCGAAACTCTATTCAGATCGATGGAACGCAACTCTGGAGATTCAGAATCTGGTGTGGCCTCTTGCTGATGGATGTCTTCACTCCCATCTTCAGCATCTGTATCCTGACGTACTTCAACCCGGGCAGACTTCCTCCCTGACTTAAGAGGAGATGATGTCGAATCTGCTTCATCAGTCTTCCGGCCGCGTGAAGCTCTCTTCTTCCGTGGGGATTTCTTCTGCCTCAGCCAGTCGTCTTCGTCCGCATCGTCGCCGAGGGGCCGTACATCCAGGTCCGTCACGCTTTGTCTTCGTGAGCGACTTGTGTTTCTTGCTCCTCGCACAGGAGTCCCACTCCGCTTGCTCTTGCCAGATGCAGTAACCGTATTTCTTCCTCTCGAATTGTATGTATCTATATTCGTAGGTGACGAGTCTTGCCTCAGAGGTATTTTCATTGTTCGGGTCATTGTTCGAGGCGCAACGTCGCCTATTTCTGGATCTTCGGGTGCAGCCTCCACTGTGACCTTGATCTTCCACGGACTTAGGCTCTGCTCGGATACTGAGCAAAATGTTGAGGAGGCAACAGTTGCACCGGTAGCTCGTCTGGAGGGGTTTCTTGAGTGAGCGCAGTATTTGCTTGGGGAAGAGTTGCGCTTGGGGCGCGACACATAGTTTTCGGTTTGTCCGTCTTCGAATGAGTTCGCTAGGGGGTCGGGAGAGCTGAGGTCTTCGTCGTGGTAGGATGTAAGAATGGAAGGTGATCGCGGCATTGTATTTGATAAGGAGCGTCGGGTGGAAATTGGTGACATGCTCGGACTACGAAGTGCATCCAGCAGCAGTATCCAAACAAAACGACAGATGTTTTGGCAATCCGATGACCATGATGGATGTTTTTCTCTGGTTACAGTACTTCGCGATCAATGCCAGGTCAGACTTCCTTCGTGAATGCTACGCGATCTCACCCTATGCTTCCTACAAATGTTCTGGGAACCACGATCTTGTTTGTTTACTATGGCATAACAATCAAAGTCGCTGATTGGCCACGCGCCGAATTGGGGAAAGCGAGAAAATCTGTTGGTCTGACAAAACTAATTAATTCTTCCTAGGCTATAGTTCATTACGCATGCTCTTCTATCTTTTGTCAGACACAACTATTCCGCTTTACCCAAATCATGTCCTGTAAACCCAGTCTCTGGTTCCTCAGTCGGTGCCTCAGAACGTTGAAAAGTCATAAGTGGCATAGTTGATGGCCGGTCCAGTTGTAGGTCCGAAGATCTCATAGTCAGAAACTCCCCACTCTGGGTGATTGATGCCATCGATCCACGCTTGAGTCTCAATGACGACGCATCCATACTTGTTGACAAATTTGGCCGCACCAGCAGTGCCATTATTCCTCTGTTGTTGGCTTTGTTTGACCGGGATCGTGCCATTTTGGCCATTGCACGTGTATATCTGCAAACCCTGCTGGTTTGTGCTCACATCCAACTGAATGCCTGTGGTCTGTGACCAGAGAGACAGTACAGGGAAATTGGAAGACGTCGGACCTGCACTGGCTGGGCGATCGAGAATGAAGGCGTTGTCAATGCCTGTGCAGCCTCCACCACAGAGGCCGGTAGCATTGTGGACAGCAACGCCGAGCAGTTTTGGCGAGGTGAAGTCTAGGTTTGGCAGACTAGATACTGAACTTATGCCGCCCGTAGGGATCTCGATCGAGTCGATGTCAATATATCGGTCAGCGTACGGCATCCACAGGGTTGTATCGTTCAGTATCGTTGCATCCTTGAAAGCATTCAGATTCCAATATATATGGTTCGCAAGCATAATGGGCGTCTCTTGATCCAGTGCATTCGAAACCATGTTGCTCGTAAGTCGCGGGCGCATCTCCCCTCGTGGACCACTGGGGGCAGTTGAGAGGGTGAAGGTTGCGGTGGTGTAGACCGTACCAGGAAATCCCTCGAAGCCCGTGTCGAGAAGGCTGAAGGTAATGCTTGAGTCTGAGGCAGTCACCACAGTCCAGTTCCTCTGGTCGTAACCGACAGTACCTCCGTGGAGGGTGTCACGACCACCATTTTCGTTGGCAGGAATATGGTAGGATTGGCCGTTCAACATGAACGTGCTATTCTTGATACGATTGGCATAGCGACCAACCACGGGACCGAAGTATGTGTGGTTGGTCTCTGTGTCTGTGACATATCGTGTAGATTCATCGTAACCGGCGACAACGTCTTGATCGTTGCCGTCACGATCTTTGACGATCAATGATGTGAGACGAGCACCATAGGGAATGTATTTGGCAGTGATGTTCTCTGCCCTCAGAGTGTAGACAGTGAAAGGGTCGACGGGTGCGGTGAGATTCGCAGTCGTCGAGCTGTTCTGGCACAAGGCCGGCAGCACGACACTCGAGGCGAGAATGAACTGAGCAAGAGACGACCACATTTTGACTACGAACACCAACAAGAGGTTTCTAGTAGCAGCGAGAAGCGCGAGGACAAAAGAAGGGCATGCGACGTAGCAGCACATGGATCACTTATACCTTGTAATCGGACCGGTATTTTGTGTGGCAGGTTACATTCATGGTCAACAGATGTGACCACTCGCTCGCCGACTCCGACGCAACTTGTGGAAAAGAGAAAGATGATGCTATTGTGGATCGACGGGCATGTATTGACCGGGGTTCATACACCATGCAGGAAGACAAGCTTCACAAGAGGACGAGGAATTGCTACAGTGCGGGGAACGTGGCAGAGGAGGAGCTGTTTACTCCATACATTCCCTGTACCTGTGCCCACTAGCCTCACCTAGTAGGGGCCTGGGGGAGGAGCCCCCAGGTACCTAACATGGGTACCTTAGCTTTTAACGCCGCCTAAACGATGGGGGGACAAACAGCTAAAGTGGCCTAAAACGGGTAGCCCAGAAACCAACCCGAGGTACCTACGACAACCACTGCACCTAAAGAACGCGAGTACAATACAGTATTGTACAGGACTTGGAATGAGCTAGCTAAATGCACTATGGGTGGCGGCCTACGAGTACTCGTACTCCCGGCCCTCTGACACGTACGGAGTACTTGACTCGTACCCAGGGCACACACTGGCCTTCTTCGAGCCCTGTCGATCTCAATGCCACTGTGTGACGTCTACGAATACCACATCCTTGTAGCTTGTGCTCTTCGGCCTGATCTGTAGGTGGTGGATTCTCTCTAGGCCAGTACTTTAGCTTCCCTCGTATCACGTAGACTCAGAACGTGTATCGCACGAGTTCAAGTAGTGTTGCTCTGGTTGATCCTCGGAACACCGGCATCTTTCCTGCTTGAGCGACCATTCTGTAAGGCACTTTCAAATTTCAATAAACATCCTTACATGCCACTCCGGTGTCGCAATCCGGCAAAATCCAAGTACCCCATGGCTACCCCGTGGGAACTTGTCATCTAGGCTATTTCGTTCTCCATCCCGGTGTGCACAATGGTCACTTGCTGACCAACAGCCTGGCTACACACCGGCCGTCTTTCTCGGGTCAACGTCCACCAAATGCACATCCAGATAGACTGGCCAATCCGGTGCCAAGTTGCTTCGAGATTCGGAAAGCGGCTTAAGCGCCTCGTCGATAGCCTTTCTGTCCACTTGGCCTTTGGGTTGAGATTCGATTTGTGCAAACTTGAACAGATCCTCTTCCAGTTCCTCGGCTAATAGACGACTTGGCTGTGGCAGGAAGGTACCTTGCCGGCCTTGGTGTGTGTGCAATGTCGCGTATGGCAGAGCTGGACGGGTTGCGGCCTTTTCAGCCAGGTCACTAAGCGCATTCAAGCCACTCATGCCACCAATGGTCCTCGTCGATCTGGTAACATGCACGTTTTGGCTGGCCGATCTCTCCATTTCCGGGGCTTCCAGCTCTTCCTCATCCGAAGATCCACTATCTTCAGAACCAGCTCGCTTGCCATGGTCGTCTTTGCCACGTTTTCTTGTGTTGCTTGCTTCTCCTTCCTTGCGTGATGTGGTGAAAAAGTGTCGTGCTGCAATCTGTGCCTGGTGAGACTGGAAGTTGAGCTCTTTGTCCGTGAAGAGAGAGTGGATCGAGTAGACTGGCGCGGTCTGATTCGATGTTGCGCTTCCTTTGCGGTCTGCCGGAGTTGAGATGCCATTTCGCGACGGGGAGCCCATATCATCATCGACATGTTTTCGTTTGCGCTTGTGCATGTCACCCACCCCGTTGAGGTCTTCTTGCTCCCGGTGTCGGGTGAAACGAGTCTTGCGACTCGTGTGATTGCCTCCAGGACTTCCAGGGTTGGTGATACTGAATTGGCTAGGATGAAGAAGTAGGGCGTTGGTGTCTGCGATATCAAGTTGTTCCTTCTCTTTCATAAGTCTCTGTCTTTTGTGAGAGAGGGATTGGAATAGTCGTTCTCGCAAGGTTGAGGTCATGTGCTCGCATTCTTCTGCAGCAAGGTGCAGTCGATAGTCACATTCGTATTTAAGTCTTTCCAGACGCGCATTGTGGTTGTTCTACAGTTTTCATCAGTGAGTGGGCCATGCGGGATTGTATCGTCCAACCTACCATGAGCTGGATGAGGGCGATCTCTTTTGCTTCTTTGGCATCGTTCACCTCATGTACAAATTCGGCATACCATTTTCCGGCCATCGAGGACATTTGTGATTGATAAGGCGTTCCTGATGCTGCTAACTCGGCTATCCTGGCAATCTCTTCTGGCGAGTCTTCCAAAGGTTCAGGGTCATAGGGGTCAGCTTGAGAGATAAGGCTCATGTCGGTTTGGAGGGCAATGAGTTGTTCCCGGTAGTGCTGCTCTCGATTTGAGGCGAGCTCATTATGCAGCTCTTGCTGGTGTGCGACATGTTGATTCCGTCTTTTGTCTCTCTTGGACAGTGGCTGCGCTGGAGGAGTGGGTGAGCGATGCTGAGGGTATAGAGAAGCGTCAGGGCCCGTCAGCGGCGGGGTGGGCGAGGGAGAGTAAGCCATCGTATTCTGACTTAAGAAACCACGGTACGATGTCGTGACACCGTTCCAAAAGAGTTCTGCGCAAGAGTTGTGTAGAGCCGTCCTGTGCGAAATCTGAGCTAAACGCAGTCGGTGTCATTCTATCTCAAGAGATCCCTTGGAAATGAAGCAAGTTAGCCGGGGGTGCTATCTTATCACCACGTGACTCTATTATTGTTAATATGTACATTTCGATCACGCTCTAATGAGATAGCGCCAAATCAAGAAATGATCTTTAGAGAGAGCTTTGATTGGTCGACATCTCGTGCCTGTACTTTCCATGTTCTTACCAACGACTCTGACGAACTGAAATCACTCTACATATGAGATAGGAGCATGTCCTTTGTATTCTATCAAACTAGGTCTGCAAGGAGTACAGGTGCCGTAGCAGGTCTCGCAGCGACTTGGTTTGCGGGACGAGTTGTTGCCCCGCCTCCACAATTCAGTTACACATGCGGTACCAAAATAGCCAGCCAGACTACGGAGTGCTGACTCCCCACCCCGAAGACCGTCTACACCGATCCCTAACAAAAGGACTATTAATTTCCAAGTTCATGTATATGAAGCTCATCATTTTGACCTGTAGTCAATCTCTCCGTATACGTAGCCTACGATACATTGCGGCCCAGTATCAAGATGGGCTCAACCGTCATCCATTCCGTCCTTCTCTTTGACGGCGTCTCGATTTATTCTGGTGCGTCTGTCACCTTTGACCTTGAGTCTGGCACAATTACATCCGTCTCAACCACTCTCACTCCCAGCACAGACTATCCTTCTGGGGCTGCCGTGATTGATGGCAAAGGGTGCACTCTTCTTCCAGGCTTGATCGAATCACACATGCACGTCCACAATCTTCACCTTCCTCCAGGGGCGAGCGAGGATGATATCTTGCGTTCACCGCTGCGATGTGGTGTCACGACTGTGTGTGATATGCACTCCGATCCAGAGTCTGTGACGAAGCAGAGAAAGGCAGTCGCCGAGGAATTAGCTCAGGCCAAGAAGTCCAATGGAACGGTGACCATGTCGGATCTGAAAAGCTCGCTGTATGGTGCGACCATCGCAGGCGGGTGGCCGAAGCCAGTCGTGTTGGGTCACAACCCAACTGAAGAGGTAAGTCTTTCATCAGAGAAGAAATCGGGTTACAGTTTTGCCGTTTCATATCTTCACTGGCTCATGTATTGCAGCTAAAAGCGCTTGTCGAAACGTGGCCAAATGTGACTGTCGAAACTGCACCAGACTTTGTGAAGAGCCATAAGGCCAAGGGGGCCGACTACATCAAACTCATGCAGGAGAATTGCTGTTCTCTCGCCATGCCCACCGGCGCTATACCTGTAGCCACACTCGAGCTTCAAACGGCCGTGGTCAACGCTGGCCACGCCGCAGGGTTCCCCGTTGTCGGCCATGCACTCAGTGTTGACATGACTGAGGTGGTCCTCAAAGCTGGTGCGGATGGTCTTACACACACATTCGTAGACCAGCCTCCACCGCAAAGCACCATTGACCTTTACAAGAAGAACAACGCATTTGTTATCCCGACTTTGACCATCCTTGCAAGTTTGACCAATGAACTTCAGGATTGGCGAGACCAATTCGCAGATCTTGCCAAACAAAAGAAACTGGTGGACGATTTCACCGTGCAAAACATGAGGGAGGCCATGAACGTGAAAGACGCAGCAGCCAAGCTTGAATACGCATTTGATACAGTTAAGAGACTCAGACAGGAAGGTATTGACGTTGTCGCGGGGACTGATGCTGTAGCTGGACTGAAGGGTTCGGGCATTGGTCCAAGTCTCTGGATGGAGCTGCTGTTGTACATCGAAAAGTGTGACATGAGCGTTACCGAAGCACTTCACTCGGCAACGGCGCTCCCTGCGAAGAGATTCGGTTTCAGTGATCGAGGAATCATCGCCAAAGGAAAGCGAGCCGATCTAGTGCTTGTGAAAGGGAACGTTACTGAGAAGCTGGCTACTCTGTGGGAAGGTGAAGGTATTGTGGGAGTTTGGAAGCAAGGCGTCAAGGCTGGCTGAGTGAGAGATAGATGTGTAACTCTTATCTTCACCCTCGACATTAGTTTCATCATTGACGTGTGACTGAAATGGAACTCATGTTGTTGTGTTCGTACTCGTATGGAGGATTGATTTTCCATTTCTCGACCTCCACTTTTTCTCCTGAATGCGGAACCAAGCACTATATAGAGGACTGCCTGACTTCCTAGGACGTTTACGAGAATCCTTACTTGCTGCAATAAGTCTCTGGAGAGACCAAAGTCCCATATCCGGGATAGATGTGAAGTACCCCAGCGCGGCATGAGAACATTTACGGTTAGCTGCAGCCTTGATCCGCCTCATTCCATACTCGTTATTCCTGCATGTTACTCCATTCCGTGTCCCTGACGCTCCTTCGACCCATTCCGACACATTCACCTCTTGCTTGGCTGATGGTCGCATTTCGTATCGGCGGCCTTACATTTTGTACATCACATTTTGTCCCAAGCATAAAATCTGTCGCGATATATAGCACGCTAGCGAGTCCCCCAACTCTTGTACCTCGCAAAGGTGGATCCGAACGCGCGCTCGGTCTCTCACTTGACACTGACACTACTGCAATGCTGCGTTGTCAAAGCGATTGGTTTTAAATAGGCCATGCCACGTCTTCCCGCGCGTTTCACAAGATAAGGAGTCAAACACCTGGTACGTGTCTACACACTTGCCAGTAAGTACCTTGGAACCTGTCCACGCACTCCATCAGAAACCCTTTTGGCCGACGACAGAAAAGTACCGGTCGGTTGTGACTTATTAATCGAGTCAAGATCATGCTTGACTCCAAAGTCGAAGATCTGGAAGCTCTGGCCGAGACGTGCCTCGAGACTGCCAAACAGATCAAGGGTTACCTCGCGTCCAAGAAACTCCCCCAGCCGACGTTCGACCAGAATGGACCAGAGTTCTTCCCACCCGTCACTCCAGAGGTCGACGCCGCCAGACTCGACCTTCGCGCTGCTGCAAAGAGACTGTACGATCTGGCCGCTGGCCCGGATGATGTTCTGACCTGGCATTCATATCACTGCGTACGTTGAAGACCCAACGGGAATCTGTTGATATTTCGTCGGTAGTAGGTAGCAACGACTCTGACCTTTACTTTTGTTTTCTCCCCCTTTACAGGCTCACGATCTCAATGCGTTCCGCTACGTCCATAGATACAACATCCCAGCGAACGTCCCACTCAAGTCGACAATAACATACCCCGACCTTGCTTCCAAACTGTCTCTGGACCCGTCCCAGCTCAAACAAATGCTCCGCCAACTCATGGCGATCCACGTCTTTCACGAACCCTCGCCGGGCCTGATCGCACACACGGCATCGTCTCGACTTCTGACGCACTGGGGCGTCGGCTCCTTCAACCACTTCATCGCCGAGGACTCGTTCCCCGTGGCCGCGCGTGTGGTCGACGCCCTCGACCACTTCGGACACGGACGACAGGAACCCAACAAGGCGGCACTCAACTACACCTTCAACACGGACAAGGTGCAGTACGAGTGGTACGAGTCCAACCCGGCGGTGCGCGAGCGCTTCAGCAAGATCATGACCTTCATGTCCAAGGCCCCCGTCATGGCCAACGAGCACGTCGCGAAGGGGTTCGACTGGGCCGGCCTCCCTGAGGGTTCCGTCGTCGTCGACGTCGCGGGCAACATGGGCCACTGCTCCATCCCCATCGCCGAGACCAACCCGGGCATCCGCATCGTCGTGCAGGACCTCCCCAAGATCATCAACAACGCGAAAGACCCGGCGACCAGCGTGGTGCCGGAACACCTCCGACCGCGCTTCGAGTTTGTCGAGCACAGCTTCTTCGAACCCCAACCCGTCAAGGGCGCCGCCGTCTACTTTTTGCGCATGATCATGCACGATTATAGTGATGAATATGCCATCAAGATCCTCCGCCCGCTCGTCCAAGCCATGTCCCCCGACTCGAGGATCGTTCTCATGGACCAACTCATGCCGTCGACCGTCGGCCTGTTGCCCTACGACGTCGAGCGCATGATGCGCACGACGGACCTACAGATGATGGCCCTGACCAACGCCAAGGAACGCGACGAGGACGAGTGGAAGGATCTCGTGTCCAGGGCCGGTGAAGGGCTTGTCGAGCAACTCTTTGCTCGAACCGAGGACAAGGGTCGAGGCAAGATTCTGGGCATCAAGAACATCCAGACCCCTCCAGGTAGTACGTTGAGTGTGATTGAGGTTGGCTTTGTCGATCAGACGAAAGCTTGAAACCAGGAGCTCAGTCAACCAATGGGTCTACCTAGTACCTAGGGAGAAACCGAATAAACCGACCCAGGGGTTCCAGGTTCCGTAAGTACCTGCCTTATACATGCGAAACATAAAACCAAAACCCACAGAGAGGTACAGAGACAATGTATAGGACCCAGACACCTCTCAACGCACCTTGGTGCAAGTCTTTTGTTTGTAAATGGTCAACCTACTCCGTACATGAAACATAAAAACAGAGCATTTGAAAAAAGCAAAACGGTGGAAGAAAGTTCATTTCCAATTCTGTACGAGCGATAAACAGTACACTAGCCAAAGGGTTCTCTCTAGCCTCTAGCATCTGCAAAAATGAGGTGCTTGATAAGATAGTGATAAACATCAAAAAAGAGTGTCCCCGGAGGACACACAAGAGAGCTGCTCGATGTGAAATGAACCCAACCGAAGGAGGCCAATACCATGCCGCCCGTCTTTTCCTTCCACACACACCTGCCCTGAGTTCACGTCGTTATCGCTTCGCCAGTCCATCCATGTCCCAAAGTATTATTATTTCTACCACGTATTGTTTGCGTGACTCCTGCGCCTGGTCCTCAGGATTCCCCTCCTATTGAGTTTTCATGTCTCTAACAATCAATCATTTCTTCAGGGTCGGTAATCCAAACGAGCTCTCTTCCCTCGGCGGCCGCTTGCCTGGCAAACTCTTCTCCTCGATCAAACTCTCGAGTCCAGAACTCGGCTGACTCTTGACTGTCACGTTCGGTCCAATTCTTTCGGACTAGGTTGTCGACAAATTGAGACGCGATGCCGGCTTCGACATAAGTTTGCGCTTGAGGCCAATCGAGCCCGGCGGCCCATTCGTCGTATTGGTGTTCTCTTTGATAGTCCGTCATCCCGTCTTCTCCAACAGCAGTGTTGTCCAACTCTTTACGTGCCTTTGGCGTTGGGCTGAATGATGACGACATTGTTGTATTGTTGGGAGTACCGATTTGGCTCCTGGGTCGGATAGGAGGCGTATCTGAAACCTCAATCTGCGACTCACGAAAAGAGCTGATCTCTCCCATATCTTCTGAAGGAGGCGACGAGGATCGTGAGCGCACCTTTTCGGTGAGCGAAAGTCGTGATGATCGTGCTGGTTTGTATTTTTGAGCATCAGACCTTGCCTTTTCCAATCGGCTTTCGGTAGTGTCGTTGACAGAGCTCTCATCTTGAACTGATGAACTTGGTGTCAGGGAAGAGGAAGATCCAGGAAGTTCTGCATGAGACATTCGAGGCGTGCTGGGTCGAGGAGGGATTTCTTCGTCAGTTGTCTGGCCGAGTGTGATGGTATCTTCTTCTTCATCCTCCTCATATTCGTCCATATCAGGAACCCGGAAATGCCCAGGAGAAGGATTAGCGAGAGATGGTCGCCAGGTGGTATCATTCGGATCAACGACGCTGGGATCAAGTCGAAATTTGGGTGATGTATTGTTTGCAGTGTTCTGGAGGGTTTTAGGGGGGTGCATGCCGCTCACGTCCCTCGCGGAGATACTAGACGCAGATGATTCGGATATTTTTGATCTGTCGGAAGGATCAGAAAACATGCTGCCACGATACTCTCCAGAGCGACCGTATGTGCCATACACATGTTTCACCGAGGTCTGTGGGTTGATGCGTACTGACTTTCCGGATCGTGCCAAGGTGGTGTAAGTGTTTGCTCTCAGAGCGGAGCGCAAAGGAGTTTGTGGTGCAATCTTGTTTGATGGTGTGAAAGGCTCATCGCATGTGGGTCGCGACTCTTCGAGTCCCTCAACCTCATTGTCCACGTCTAGATAAGTCTCGTCGATGCCGAAACCACCTCTCTTAGGTGGTGGCAGTTCTCCGTTGAATGAAGCAAGCTTGCGTTTATTTGTGCCTGGGATTTCAGTGGGATTGAACTGTTCCATTTCAGCTTCAGTGTTGGTGTCTCTCAAAGCCGCCAGTGCTTCACGGCCAGCGCGGGTATTCATAGCCCTTCTCCGCTTCCAATTCTCTTTGGTAAATACACGATCATCCACGAGAGCCTCTGAAGTAGGAGGGGCAGAACCGTTTGTTCTTGGTGTGGGTGAAGGTACATCGGAGGTGAAAATGCTGTGGTCAAGTGTTGTTTGTTTAGGTGACACGTCTTCTACTTCACTGTTCGAATGTCGCGTTTGTTCTGCCTGTTCTGCGTCATTCGGCGCACCAGTTAGGTAGCCAAAAATCTTTCTAACACTGCCAAAAAGACCGCCTGCTCTTGCTGGAGTCTGTTGAGCTGGTGTTTCTGGCTCCCTGATCCTTTCATCGCCCTCGTCATGTTTTTCTGAAGTTTTCGGTGGAGTGTTCGTTCGCTCGACGGGAATGATGGCTTTTCTACTATAGGGAGAATCGCGACGCGAAGAGAGCTTAGGCGGAGCGGAGGTAAGGAGGCTTCGGTTTCGCGTAGCGGAGAACATAAAAGTATTTCCTCGACGAGGTTGCTCTGGGGTGACCGCATGCCGCGGTCTTTTCGAGGAATTTTCTGAGCCATCGTCTTCTCGGCGTCGCTTTGTACTCTGCGTCTCTGTTCGACTGGTTAGATCTAGGTCCTCTGTCTGGGTGGAAGCATGCTGGTAATGGGAGACAAAAGTTGCAGGCACTGGGGATGTGCAAGCAACACCTTGGGATTGGGCCATCTTTCGCTCACGTTTTGGTGGTTGGTATTCCGAAAAGCCCTCGGGTCGGGCGCCTTGTCCACGGGTATGAACCATTGTCAATGGGGTGGTACTCGATATAATGTTTTCTGGACGATAAACATCATTGAAGAATGGCAGTGATATAGACTGGTGCTGGCAAATGCCGCATTTAGACTAGTGCCAGATGGCTTGGCCATTGTTCTCTCTACTCGTACTGAGTATTGGAGACACCAACATACTCACCCTGTGAGTACTTTGCCTGACCTCGATCCTCACTGACTTTGACTCGTCAATGGAACCCATCTTGTGTATTTCCAATATGTGTTGACGGCTCTACTGCAGTATCGTCGAGGGGTGGTAGTATTCTCCCGCATCAGGGACCAAACCCGCTTGTTATGTACATCTCCTGCTGGATTTGAGGTTTTTGTCCATGACAGGACCTCTCGTTCCCGACTAAGTGCGCTGGATTTTCACCTACCAGTATTTGCCCTTGATGTAGTCCGTACGTAGCCAGTACCTTCCTAGAGACTACGCTCTTGTCGAGTCTTGATGTTCAACCTGCGCAGCCTCGCGGCCACGAGGCTGAAAACACGTGATGCGCCAAGATTCTCTCGCTACTGAAGCTCCGGATCCAAATCTACAATGATTTTGAACGTAGTCTGATTGATACTTGTATTGGTACGCAGCATCACGCTAGCAATGGACCACCTTTGCACACGATGTGCAAGGCTGAGTCTCAGGGCGAGACCTACGAGCTCGGCATTGCCCCCAAAAAGCACCTTTCGAAGATTTTCTGCCGCCCGCAGCCTGCTAGCAGACGGTATATACATCCTGCATTCTAAACTATTCTCCATCTGACAGTTCTTTGCAGACGATTCTAAGGCCTTGAACAGCAATGCGAGCTCGTCCGGTCCACGTATAATCCGTGAAAAGATAGGACCGAAAGGTGCTGGTCCATCACACCTGGTCCGTGAATCAAGTGCACCAGCCCAGCGTGGTACGCTCCTGAGACGGTCAAATACTGGCCCAGGCGCCGCAGCTCGCGCGGGAGCCGCAACCACCCAGCCTGGCCAGCGTCAAAATATCAACAGAACATCAACACCTGGTTCAAGGCCCTCTCCGCCAGGCCCCGTTCTGCGCCGTACAGGCCCTCCTCGCGATGGCACCTCCAGCCGTCCTCCCTTCCAACGCAGCGGACAAAGAAGCTCTCAGCCCGGTAAAGCTCCAGCGGGACGTGGTACAGGACCTCGAGTAGACAAGAGAATTCAGCGCCGCGATCAAAGGAAGGCAAGAAAAGCTGCAGAGGATGAGGATGCCGATGAAGATCTCGAGATTGAGGAAAAAGTAGACCACTGGGTCAATACGGTGATTGATCCGCCTCCAAACCCCACTGAGGAGATCACCTACACCCCCGGTCAGAACATGGCGGTCAAGGACCTTCGAGCAGACTGGCCAAACACACCGCTCTCTGGCACGGGCTTGACAGAGACTGTTCAGCAGCGGATCGAATGGCTTGCGCACCGCATCCCGCATGGCTATCAGACCCCCGGGCAACTCGCCGAGCGTTACGTCAAGGGCTACTTCACACGCTTCGAGAGTGAGGAAGAGAAGGCCGAAGTGTTGAAATTGGCCGCGGAGATGGCTCAGAAGCGTGCCGATCGAGTGACAGAGCGGAAGAATATCGAGGCTAAGCCACACGACATGTCTTTCAGCGACGTTGTCTCACGACAGACAGAGCGTCAGGGCCTTGCCGATACGTATGTCCGTGGTGACTACCCAACAGTCCGAAAACAGAAGATGCCATTTTTAGACCATGTGGTCGAGAATTTGAACAACAATGGCACTTACCAGGGCACGCAGACGAAGCAGTTCATGAAGACCATTCGGAGATTGATGGCGGCTGGCCATCCCAGCCAGGCTCCCAAACCCGCTGCTCCCAAACAGGTATCCAAAAGGGCTTGATTTGAGCATAGATATGTAGCATTATCTGTTCCGTACGCCACTTTCTGGGATGACTCTGCTAGTTCTGGTATGGGAAATGTAGAGAGGTATTTAGATCGGTCTGGGAAAGGAGCTGTACTCGTACAAAAGGTCATTGATCATTCTCTCACTTTTTGAGAAGTCCTGCTTCTCACGTGGCCTTCTGGTAGCCTCCATGGCTATTCTATCTACCACCTTCTTCTCGCACACGTGTCTTGTCTCGTCATGATGGCGTCCGGCGCTATCATATTACCTCGTCCCCCACCCGTTCCTTCACTTCAGGCTCTCAAACCACCTCCAGATCCCTCGACGGCTTCGACGCTCAATTTGCGCCGCGAGCCGCCGCCCCTGCTCCCGTGCCTCAGCACGCGCCGCAGCCTTCTGCTGCCTCTGCTAGTCGGCGCCCAAGGGGTAGAAGAAGTTTTTCTTCAAATCCTGTTGGTGAGGATGCCGAATCCCCAAGGGCGCCCCCCATCCACCTCCTCCTCCACCGCGAGGTTGTTTCGGAGCCCTCTCCTCCTTCTGGTGTCGTCCTTGCGCCCTATTCTCGCGCTTGTTCTCCTTCTTGCGCAGGGCCCTCTCCTTTCTCTTTCTGATGTCGCGCTGGACCTTGGTCTCGGTCCACTCTCCCGTCACGAGGGAACACTGTGCACACTCCGTGCACCAGCCGTGCGAGATCTCCAAGCCATGGATGCAGTCGACATGCACCCAGGCACCACAGGGCAAGCAAACGAGCATTTCCGGCACGAGGCCGGCGCCGTCGCAAGTCAAACAACCGCCGGCGGTTGTGACCGATGCCCGGTGAAGAAATGGGAGAAATTTCGCATCGAGAAGGCCCTTGAGCCCTCCCAAGTCATCCTTGGTCCGCCACAAGGGCGACACCAAGCCCAGGAAACCAGACCACCAACCCAGAACAACGTCCGCCCAGTCGACATCTGGGGGTCCATCCACACCCAGAGCGAGATGAGGGTCGTTTGGGAGGCGCCACAAGAGCCCAAACAACTCCAGGCGGGGCTCAACCTCGCCAAAAACGAGGAGGAGCAACGCCACGAGCAGGCGGAGAGAGAAGAAGGCGGCAAAGGCGACACACTTGGTGCCGAGGGCGAGCAATGCCATGATGAGTTGATTGGCCTCCATTTTGTCGAGGCAAGGAGAGATGTGTATGTGCGTTTCGAGGGTATAGGGAGGGAGAAGGGAGAGAAAGAGGAAAAGGATTCGAACTTACCTGGGGGGATACTCACAGACTTTCACATTGATGGAAAGAACAAACCTTCCCACGCGGAGAACACAGCATGAATAGGGACAATAGGCCATGATTCATGAGGCAGAGGGTTCAATAGAATGTATCGACGCAAGATGAACGATGGCTCAAGAACGGAGCGCATGAATGAGGGAGGAATTTGCACCGCGGGGCTTGGGCTTGTCTAGGCGGTTGAGAAGGGTGGGTGAGGTGTTGATGGCCTCAGCCGTAAGATGGCGGTCCCAGAATGACCATAGGGACAGTGAAACGATGTGTACAGACGCCGCCGCGACTATATTTGTCCCTACCATGTGCTTTGAGCATGAGATCGTTGGTCTGAGGCTCAAAAAGGCCCATGAAAGACTGCAAGGTGGGCGAGCATGGTGTGTTGAAGTGCACACAGTAACAAACGGAACCCTCAGCCTGGTCGAACTGAGGCAGCATTGTCAAGCCAGGAGGGATCCAGTGCTATCGTCAGTGCACAATAGAGGATACAATGGGATGTCGTCAAGAGGCGAATACCTGTGGTACCTAGGTTGTGTATGAGATAGACACAGTGTTTTTGTGTCGTGTGAAAAGGGGGATGTTGGACGCATGAATGAATTGGCGTGTATTTCGGACTCAACGATAGCTCCAAGAATCTCTGTTACGGGCCATCGATACAGCAGACGCCAACACTGACAGTAAACACCCAAGAGCATGGTCAGGTCTCGACTTGACGTTCTTCTCAAAGTGCTATGTCAGATTGACATTGCATTTGCTACTCGTATGCCCCTCGATTATATGAGATTGGATTACGTTACCCCCCCGGTCCCCCGTTATTGTTGTTGATGACGGAATCCCTCGCCGATCTGATTGATATACGGAGAGTAGATTTTAGGTATATGTACCTCTCCCCCTTCTTCTATTTTATACATCCCAAAAAAAGAACAAAAAAATAAAAATGGCTCTACCACCCAAGTTCTCCGGGCAGCTGCTCGCCTCTGCCGCTTCTCACGGTATTGAAGCCAAACACACAATCGAGATCTACTTGGACTACGTCTGCCCGTTCTCCGCAAAGATCTTCAAGACGTTCTACAACGAGGTCATCCCCATCATTCGAACCAAGTATACAAACCCAGGAGTTCGGGTCATATTCCGACAACAGATCCAACCGTGGCACCCATCTTCGACGCTCGTGCACGAAGCCGGCGCCGCCGTACTGCAGACGGCTCCCAAATCGTTCTGGGCGTTCTCGGAGAAGCTCTTCCAGCAGCAGACCGACTACTTTGACGTCAACGTCGTCAACGAGGTACGCAACGACACCTACAGGCGACTGGCCAAGCTGGCGGGCACGGTGGACGGGGTGGACGAGAAAACCATTCTGGACTTGCTGTTGGTTCCGGACAAGCCGGACGACGACGGTGGTCTGAACATCGGAAACAAGGTTACCAACGACGTCAAGTTGATGGTCAAGGCCAACAGACTCACAGGTGTCCATGTCACTCCGACGGTCTTGTTCAATGGAGTCGAAGAACGCAGCATATCTTCTGGCTGGACGGTGGGACAGTGGGAGGAGTGGCTCAAGAAGAATGCGACATGAGCTTCGTGTGGCCGAACCGATACCTCTGAACTTAATGCGAAAACAAAGATTTGCAGTTAGATTGAAGCAGTGTATCTGGCCTGCTGCCCAGGGAGTTACAATTGATCGTTGAACTAGGTATGCAAGGCCTGAATGAACGTCTAATATCTGGTGCCCAAATCCCGTCCGTTTGCGGTCATTAGTCAAGTCATATAAACCTGGTAAGCACGCTCGCTGAATGCACAATTGAATACAGTTCCCACAACAACAGATTAACGCCATCCCAATGCTGCGCTGTTTGAGTGACCTTGAAACATTCCTTGATCATTGAGCTGGAGGCTGATACCCAATCGGACGCCTGAGAACGTCAGTATGTGCTTTCAACCGAGGAGTTTGTGGACTCACTTGAACAGCAGAATGTGTGGTTCTGGCTCGTGTACCTCATAGTGTTCCCATCCGAGACTCTGCGCAGTCTAAGCCGAAAATCCTTCTCGTGAAGTCTGGATAACTAACCTGTGTAATTCCAAGGGCTCGCCATTCATCTTCCCACAGGAGCTTCAGCGTTCCCTTAGACTCGTCAAAGTAATCTCGTGGAATAGCTTTCAACATGGCTTTCGGCAGTTGGACGTGTCGGTATTCATACTCTGAATCAGAGTACCTGGACGTTGTGAGATTTTGTTCTACACCTCCTTGCTCTTTGGTCTTACCTTGCAGAGTATCCGATCGAGTCGATAAATTCCTCCAACCGCGCTCTCTCATTCTCAAGCAATTGCCTTGGCTTCTTGTTTCGTCGTGACATATCGATATTGGCAGTCATTGTGCGAGTGTCACGGGAAAATCGATGAAATTGCTCGTCGACCCAGTTCGTTCGAGGTAGGAGCCTGTGCTATCGAAGTGGCACCGAGCGGGAACCAAGGAAAGGCTATGTATTGGCCTTGAACGAATGAAGGTCTCGTGCTCCTGAATCGCGTCGAAGAGTTTACTTAGGTTTGTGGATGCGAAAGGAGAAGTCTTGTTAAAAAGTAGGTTATCCTGAAAGTACAACGGTAGGCAGGCGGCAAGAAAAGAAGAGAATGTTGATCGCTGCACCACCACTTTGTCCAGTGTGTTTGTGGTCGAATTTCCAGGTCACAACGACAGTGGCAGAACGACGAAGCACTGTAAACACACAAGGATCGCAATGCGGGAAGGAGCAGAGCCAATGACGGTGGCCGCAGCCGCAGCCAAGCGACTAATTTCCAACCGTCAGGGTCAACTTCGGCAGCTTTGCCGACATTAGGTAAGCATCATTGCCTCTCCACGTGACTCGATTCTTGCCTGTACTGTCGCGTCTGCGGTGGGTTTTGTATGAAGGACAGAGAGAGCAGCACATGGATGAGATGGAGTGATATGCATTGGGGGCCCCTGGTATTCAATGTGTCTGCAATTGGCTTGAATACACCATCCAAGGCTGTGACTCTGTTTCAGCACCTATTATCCAGCCCGCCGACAGTTGCTGCGCGCCAAACCCCCAAGATCGCTCTACGTGTCGAAAAGTTAAGAGTGCCCAAAACATGACCTCGAAGCGCAGAAGCGGCCCTACAGGCTCACCCGAAGACTATCCAGACACGCCTGATCCCAAGCGACGCAAGCGTAACGACGTAAGTCACTCAACCAACTCCCTTTTATATTTCTTTCCTCCAGATCCTATATCCTTCATCCCGCCAACCCCAAACTGCCTCGACTTCTGTCGCACTCGCTACGCCAGAAGCCCCGCGCAGCAGTCCTACCATCGCGCTCCGTCGCAATCATGCCCGCATTGCTCCCGCCATGTTCTTCCGCACTTGACCATGACTGCAGTGCAGTCAAGTAGTTTGCTGCAGCTTCGCTAACTCCATCAATCTTTAACAGGACGCCCACTTTCCCGACGTAGAAACTCGAGAAACCACAACAGAGATAGGCCTCAAACTTGTCGGCTCCCTAAAACGATCCCAGGATAAGAACGGGCGTAATGTTGCTGTTCACTTCCTCGATCTTCCCGACAGGGATGAATATCCTGACTACTATTTGTCGACTGCAATGCCTATGTCCCTTAATACCATCGAAGAGAGCTTGAAAACCCATGAATATGAGAACCTGGAAAAGCTGGAGTCGGACCTGAAGCGTATGGTGCAGAATGCAAAGGACTATAATCATTACAAGTCTGGCATATATGAGGATGCAGAGCGTATTCGCAAGGCCATATCCAATTTCATGCCCAAGCACAATCCAGCATACCTGAGGGCTGACTACAAAGCCTACCCGACCCCAATCCCGCAAGAACTAATTGACCAACTCAGCAAGGCATCAACTCCATCAGAAGCTGTTGTGCCTGAGAAGATCAAATTGACCTTCTCGACCAAGAGACGGCAAAGCGAAGCTGCACGATCCACGCCAGGAGACCAACCGGGTGACCTGAAAGAAGAACAGCTGAATTTCCTCAGAGAGTTGTCAGCGCAAGAAGATGCCATGTAAGTCGCGAGCGACTTATGTCTCTGAAAGTAGTCACACTGACGTTTTGATAGCAACTTCGAGGAGAGGGTATCGAAGAAAGACTATCCTGATTACTATAAAGTCATCAAAAACCCCACCTCTATATCAGATGTCAGATCCATGGTTGAGGACAATGTTGTTCAAGATTGGGACTCATTAGGCAAGGAAGTCCGCTTGATCTGGGAAAATGCCAAAGAGTACAATCAAGAGGGATCCGAGATATACGAGATGGCAGAGAAGCTCGAGGTATGTGCCTGTTTGGACTTGCCATCCCATCCATATCTGGTCTTGCGCACCATATTTTCTCGCTACATGACCCATTTCGAACTCTGCACTCTGTTATTGTCACACGTTCCCATCCGTATGAAGACCATACGGGCATATCGCTAACACTCTACAGACGTGGTCCCAAGACAGACTGTATACGCTTGGCGCTGTGCCGAAGAGCAAAATCAAGCTCTCCTTATCCCAGCCAAAACAACCAAAGGCTCTCAAACTCAAGATGGGCTCCTCCACTCCACAACCGCCAAATGCAGGTTTCACGATCGACAGTGAATCTCTACGGCGGCAGAAGGAAGAGATGGGCGAAGCTCTCAGCCGTGCACGAGCAAGTTCAAAAGGAACTCAAGTCAACGGCTCGACTCCGGTTCCTTCAAGTGCTGCCCTCAGTACCCGACGCAGCACTTCGGTCGCTACAGAGCGCACTGATGTTAAAACATCCAATGCTAATGGCACAAGCGCAAACACCCCTCAATTGACAACAGCGACAACAGCAAACCCACCTACAAACAATGTTGCTCAGCTGCCGACACCAGTCCAGGAGCTGGGCACTCCTGCGCCAGCAGCGCCACTTACCAATGGTGTCCGTAGTCATGAATCTTCCACTCCGCAAGGAATTTCAAAGCAGAGTGTCGTACCGTTCGAGCGACAATATCGTGATCCTGGGAAGGGCATTGAATCGGCCTTGTTGGGCTCTGTGATCTTCATGACAAACCCCAACAATCCTAACGACCCGAAATGGAAACTTGTACGACAGGCCTCCACAACACGCACTCAGACGTCTGGCTTCATTTCCGTACCTTTCGGATATCGAGATGTTCGCATCATCCCGCTGCCAACGACAGAGTTCAAATCACGTCGGCGGTCACGGGTGCTGGTCATGCACAACGCACACGTTTTCCGAGAACCAAACTCGCCTGTCGCCGGGGCTTACGATGTGCAACTTGTTCCTGGCGAAAATACCTTGTCGGTCGAAGTTCTGGCCGATCTCAAGGACGGCGAAAAGAAGGACTACGCGCCCCCACAATTACAATTCGACTTTGAGAAGTGTACTTTGATTGTCAATGTTAATCCGCAACAGGTGTCTTGATTGGATATGGTGTTTCGATTGATCGATGGGGTCTGGCAATTGAATTTCCAAGGCTTTTTCATGTTCTAGACCAGAAAAAGTCCAGTTCCAAGAAATGGCTTCATTGCAATCCTTTGGAACGATATGAGAGAACGCGCGTGAAGCTGTCCAGCGTTTGGAGTTTTGAGGGTTTTGCACAGTGGCATTTTTGGGGAGTTCGAGAAGAACGGACTCGTTGGTTCCAATGGATTGTGCAGCACGCACTCATAGCATGCTGTTTCACTACCTAGCTAGGTAGGTAGGGAGGCGCTGGTGGGCATTCTTCTTTTTTTGCTCTCCTCCGCAGAAGCAATGGCCAATTTTCAATCGCTCACGGGACACATGGTCTGGGAGTGCCTTGAAGGAGGATATGCCCATGTTTTAATTGCGAACTAGATTGCCTTTTGAGGGTCGTCAATTTTCATCGTATGCTAAGTGAGGCGCCATTCAGAGTATACAGCAAATATCTATACAGTAGTGACCGCCTGGGCACCGGAGACCCCTACTCCTCGAGCATCTCCTTGCTGTCATATGGACAGACTTATATATGAGACATATGTCTCAGTCGAGACAACATGAACGTCCCGGGACACTGCAACGGGCGCCGTGGTTCACGCTTTGCGAGTATGTTATTCAAAAGTGATATTATTTCAAGCCTTCAACTTTGTTCGAGAGAGGGCCACTACTTCCCAGCCTTGGGACCGGCGACGCCAGCTCCAATGACACTCGGCAACGGCTCACTGCCCATCTTGAACAGCATGCCGATGGCGCCGGCGATCAAGACGGCCATCAGGACGCCGAAGCTGGCAAACAACAGGAACGGGACGCTGACGTCCTTCTTTTCGCACGCCGCCCCGCCCCACTGCACCGTCTTCTTGGTCCCGTCTTCGTTGACCCTGGCCAGGGTCGTCCCGCATTTACACTTGAAGCAGTTCGTGTGAGCCTTGTAGCAGTCGCCGTGGCCCGAGCAAAAGTTGGTGGTGTTCTCGCACGCAGACTTGGAGGAGAAGCAGCTTGGGATGACGGACGGGAGGGTGAAGTTCGCCGACGCGTTCGTCGGGGTGACGTCGTCGATGATCGAGGCCACAGATGTAGCGGCGGCGGGAAGATCAAGAAGTTCTTCTTTGCTTTGGACGGGGACAGAGCGGGCCCGGTGCTCGTGTTCGTGTTCGTGGGTGGAGGGCTTCGTGGATGGGTAGAGCTTGGAGGGCAAGAAGAGCACGGTGGACTCGATGTTCTCGGTCGCGCAAAAGTGTTTGAGGATGCGAATCAACGAGGGCAATTTCGATTTGACCTCTTTGGGCTTGCTGGGGAGGAAGCTGTGTAGAGACATGATGATGGGTAGTGTCGGAATCTCGGCCGGTGAGAGGCACAGAGTATCCTGATACAAAACAGCGTCAGTGGAGGTTTCACGGAACAGGCAAAACCGGCAGAGAACGTACGCCATCGAGATGGTATGAAAGAATGACTTCGACGCCGTATGCGCCGGGAGTGTTCATGCTCGGTGGCACAATGTACTCGCAAATGCCTTCTGTTCTGTGCCGGCGTGGAATGTGTTTGAAATCTGTTAGCAGGTCCTGCGTAGGTTCTTGGATCCACAGGTCAGGCATCGCTGCGTCGAGGTCGTTGATGTTCAGGTCGACATCTGTTATCCTTATAAACATTTTGCCCGGTCTCTCCTTCTTTTCCCTGTCTGCGTCGGCGAACAGAGGCGCCTGATATCCTCCGTATACATTGATGTCCTGAAGGAGGGCTTCATTCGTGATCCCCAGCACTCTGTCATCTGTGAGGGCTCTTCTGCGCGCGATAATGGCACTGGCTAGCTCTGAGTCGATCATGCCCGTCGACGACGACACGACACTGTTGTCGATGGTGTAGAGATATGCGCCTTGGGCTGCGACATGGTGTGCGAGCGCAGCACAAGAGGCGAGGAGGGCGACTGACTTCATGGTGAATTTGCTGCCAGCTCCAGGAACGGTGGTTGAGATGTGCTGGTAGCTGGGAAGGAGGCAGTTGTCAAAGGACTACTCCGTGTTGGTAGAAGACGAAGTGCAGCTGGGTCGAGGATGGGGAAGTGTATGTACTGTACAGAAGTAATATGGAGTAGGGACACTATCGTAGAAGCGTGTTAGGTACTGACCGCCCCCTGTAGCCTTGTGGCGGGCACCTCTTCACGTGTCAAATTTATCGTGCGCACGTCTCCCCCCGCTGCCAAAACCATCAATTCTTTCGAGAGTCTAGAGTCCGCAACGAGGCTTACAACTCCCCTGACGCTCCATATCTCTTATGTACGGGTATCCTCTGCTGTCACATCTACTATAGGCGTTCTCTCACGCACATTTGCTTGTGTTGAAGCAGGCTGGCCTGACGGATCGACATCCTCTATCCGCTACCATGCCGTCTGTGAGGCATCTCAATGCTGCGCTATCTCTTTCGCCGATCGCGGTCCATTCGCGTTCCGCTTAAGAATGGCGTTTTCGACTTGCAGAGGGTATCGGTCAAGAAGCAGTCAAAGTAGGTTCCCTGGTCCCGCTCCAGTCGTTGAGGCTGATGTGGTTGGCAGACCTATAGCTTCTCGTGTCCTTACTACATTCCTCATTAGTTATTGCGTACTGAATACGATCCGCTATGTCGTGCCACAAAAAGATAGCCAAGGAAAGCCAGGGCCTGTGTCCGAGACTAAGGATACCAGCGGGGGTTGGCTTGACGGTGCAAGAGATCAGAGCAAAGTCCAAGAGCATTCCCAGGCGACCACGTTTGATTCGAAGCTGCAGCAGCAGGAAGGATTCCGCGTGTGGCTGCCATGGATGCGAGCGAGAGCACCACCGATGTATACGCCCGATGATCCGGACTGGAAGGAGTACCAAAAATTACAACAAGATCAGAAGCTGATAACTTCCATCAAACTTCAAGTGGTTCAGATGGCCTTGGAAACGGCTCTGCCTCGCTATCGTCTTAACATGGCTGCGGTGGGTGCTAGCCCTTATGTTGTCCGGATGGACCTTGATGTCGTTCCTCCCATCTATCCACCGGAGATATATGAAGTCTCATGTCTGTGTTTTGAGTCAAACAAATTGAGCATCGCCTGGCAAGAACTGTCGCCCGGGGTTGGTAGTAAAGTATACCACGTCTTCCATCCAGTACAGGCCGGTAATGCCTTCTACTATGGCATAAGGCAGTTCGTCACAGTCTCTTACGCCATCACTCGGGCTCGACTCATCGACTTTTACAATTTTGTCCAGAAGCCGGCCGCTGACGGTGACAAGGATGTCGGAGAGAATACCCCGAACACAAGCGCTCTTTCTGAATCCGATAAATTGGAATCTAAGCTTTGGATCAACGGCTTATCGGAAAAAGACAAGGCGCCTTTTCTGCCGTATCTGAGTGGGGAGTACAGTGAACAACTCTCCGTGAGAGCCTACAGGGACATGGTCAAGTCTATCACCTATCAACAAGCCATCGAATCGGGAGTGGTGGTATTTCGCGCAAAGATGAACGCTCTAAGAGCCTTGTCCGGACAACTTCACGTAAGAGATGGAGTCTCAGTTGAGGGTTCGCTCGTTTGGGTTGGAACTCGAGGTAGGTTTCGTCTGAATGTAAGGGCCATTTATTCTCCTGAACGCGGTTCAATCGTTGGAAATGTATTTCTGGAACGAGCATACATCGTGCCAGATACCAGCAAGTGGCACAAAAAGAAGCGAAGGCAACGGCAGAATGATGTGATAGTGCAGCCACCAGTTGAGACAGACTCGACACAGACGCCCGTGAAGCCATTGAAAGACTCCGAATCGGCACAGCCAGATTCTTCGACCACGGAAAAGGATAAATAACGAACGTAGACGGGCGATTTGAGGATGTGAGGACGAGGGTAGTGAAGTATCGGTTCCAACCACTATTTGGACTTATCAGTCAAGCTCACCTTGTCGGGCAGTGAAGCTCATCAACACTCAATATAAGATCAGTATCGACATCGGTCTCAAACCGCCTCGAAATCTCTCTACTTTAACAAGTGCCCCCAAAAAAGCTCGCTTCTCGTCGCACAACTGCGGTCAATGATGTCTACTTCCTGTATCGTGTCGATAGTGATCTACTTCTTCCTCAATCTCCTGGTCACGATCACTAGCAAGCAACTTGTGACGTCCACCTCGCGCCCATACTTGCTGACTGCGTCCCATGCCTTTACGACGTTCATCGCTACAACCGCGTTATCAAGTCTGCGTTCACTGGTGTCATCTACTCCCACGGCCGACCCACTGAACTCACCACCACCTCCTCCTCATGATGACGAGTCACGGCTGTCAATCCGTACACATGCCATCCTCCTGGCATTTTCGCTGTTGTACACTGTCAATATTGGCATCTCAAACCTGACACTCGGTCTGGTTAGTCTCGCTACGCATCAAACCATTCGAGCATCGGCGCCGGCCATCACTGTGCTCTTGACCATCATCGTCCTCAAAAGGCCACTGTCTTCCTATCCCGCCGCGATTTACTTGTCACTCATACCGACCATCTTTGGTGTCGCTCTGGCTACGATACCATCGGCCCCTACGTCTGCGTCTGCCACCTATCCTGATGATGACGACAAGGGGGTGAACACGGGCTTTGGTATCGCATTGACGTTCGTCAGTGCCGTCCTAGCTGTGGTCAAGACCATGATCACGCACCAGCTTCAGCAGCAGCCTTCGTCGTTGTCATCGTTCTCCTCTCCTCGCATCAACCTAGGCCTCGGCCTCCCGGCGATAGAACTGGTCAAGTACCTATCGCCGTACGCCGTGGTACAAGCACTGTGCCTTGCATACTGGAACGGAGAACTTGAACAGCACTTTGTTAGTCAGTCGTCTCTGGCGGGTCGAGTCGAGGAGGCCGAAGCAGGTGGAGGCGCCCAACGGATTGTGATACTGGCGATGGTGAGTATGCTCTCCGCGTCGGCGTTAAATGTAGCATCTTTCGAAGCGAATCGTCGTTGTGGGGCATTGAGTATGGGTGTCGCTGGGAACATGAAACAGGTGGCCATTCTGTTGGTGGCGAGCTTGAGGCGGCGCGACGGTCGCCATCACCAGGTAGTTCCGGAATGGAGGGTCGTGTTGGGTACGTTGATGACCACCGCCGGGGGCATGTGGTACGCTTGGGCTACTAGGATTATGAAGGATCGCACGTACAGCTAGACTCGTCAAAGTCAGTCTAAGGAGAGGGTCCGTCTTTACGCACGCTCACACAGAGTCAAAGAAAAGGCCGTCATGGCTGCTCAGATTGCAAATTGTCTTTTGGCAAGAAGGTCGACATCGGGTATGTCATACATGCTCTCACAGCACTTGTAGTAATGTCCGAGCCAGAAGAGTTCGGGTTTGCATCTGAAGAAGACTGAGCGCTGGCAGTACCATGTGCCATGCCCTTGTGTATTCCATCATCTTCAACATATCACCTGTGACTGTAACAGATAATGTACATGGAATCACCTCGCGATAGAAACCACCCTTTCTCCTGTTACGACAACGCACCAGGCTCCATTTATGTGTGATTGTACAATGATTTTTAGGGTATAATTCGATCCAGGCTCTCCAGTCCATCCCCCCCCTTCAGGACCCCAAAGCCTTGACGGCAGCCTCGTAGACCTTTTTCGCCTCGTCCTGACCCTTTTTCACCACGTCCTCCATTTGCTTGTGGGCCTTGCGCAACTCGTCGACGATGACCAATTTCCCGAGCTCCATCTTGCGGAATTTCTTCTGTTGGTCGCCGCGCACGTTCCGGATGGCCTGGCTGGACTTGTCGTAGACCTTTTTCGCCTCCTCCTTGGCCTGTTGCCTCGTCTCGGCCGTCACGGGCGGTACGGGCACATTGATCAACAACGGGTTACTGTCGTCGTGTTGGGGGGCCAGACTGTGTTGGGACGCTTGAACCGCCGAGGAGATGGGTTTGACGTGCTACCCACGGTGTCAGATCTGTACGCTTAAACGGAAAATCCCCGAGGGGAAACTCACGGATTCTTCGGAACAGTAAACTTGAAGCATCCTCCCGCCCTTTTGGACCACACTGGCGATGTCGCCCAACTTTGTCCGCTCGTGGTGAGCCCGGGTCCCGTGGGCGGCGGCCCCCTTGACGTTCAACTCGACGGGCAGGGACTCGATCATGTCGGGAGTGACGCGGCCGGCGTCTCGCGTCCGGACGAGAGCATCCTTGAGCCGGGCGACGGCGTTGGCGATGCCCGCGTTCAAGTCCGTGAAGTCGTACGGGTCGACCTCGCCGTCTCGGTTCTTGGTCGCCGCGTTGTCGGGCACGTGGGTGTTGACTTTTGGTGGTGACACTTCCGGAGACTTGCGTGACGACTTGGACGATGACGACGACTTTTTGAGGAGGGCAGAGGACGTGGCGAATGCCCGGCGGCGGCTGCTGCTGCTGCTGCTACTGACACTCCGCCAGTGTGGTTGTTGTTCCGTCCCCCTGAGGTTGAAGAACCGACGACTATGGCATTGCGGGCACAGCGGTGCCGGTGCTGGCGCTCGGGCTGTGAAAGGACGGCGGGAAAGAGAAACAAAGTCATTCAAGACTCGCACCGCAGCGTCCTGTGTTCGTCTAGACATTTTTGTTGACCGCTCCAGGTCTAGCAGAAACCCGAGTAGAATGTATGAGTGACGGCCTATCCTCCTGCGAAGTTGCTGTAGTTGGAGCTGCCCAAAAATTCGTTACCCCAAGTTTTGTATAGCGTCGACTCTATGGAGCTGAAATAGTTTCTGTCCCGTTTCTCAGCCTTGTCACACCAGCCTCGTCCACATAGCACCGCTTGCCTCGACTGCAAGCAGAAGATCTACGACGTTACAGATATTTATAACCTTTATCGAAAGACTGAAGCTCTGAACTACCACTTTTCAAGGCACTCTGACTAAAACGTTGGAAAAGAAACAGGACTTTGTCAGGACGAGTTCATATTCGGTGATGTTATCCTGCCAGAACGATCCGAGCTTAGACGCATATGCTCGTAAAGAACCTCACAATATTGTGCTTCTGCATGGACAGATTGCACCAGCTTCTCACTCTCTTCGCTAGTCAATCAAGCAGGCGACTCTTGATTATGCATTCAATTCGCCATGTTCATTATCATGTGGCATCCATAACAGTCATGTTCCACCAAGAAATTAGGCGAAGCCACGCAGGCCTGGCATTGCCGTTCCCCTGAATTTGTCGAATCTGCGACAATGGGCTTACTGCGGGTCATCGTCTTCAGGCTGCTCGAATAGGAAGTTGGCTGCCAATTCTTCGTTCTTATCGCAAGCAAAGTACGCCTGGATGACTTGATCTCTGGTGAATCCAAGTCTACATAGTCGCTCGATGGCATCGCGCTCTTCGGGAGTAACACTGATGGCGGTGCCACCCGGGGGAAGTGGACCATCATCGCCTTCTTGGCCCTGAATTTGTGTTTAGTATCAGAACGAATGGAGAATGAAATACAACGAACCTCTGCAAGCAATTGGAGAAACTGATCAGGGTTGAGACCGATCATCTGTGCAAGCTGTGGGTTGCCTTCAGCCACTTGTTGTAGGATGGGCTCGAGCATTGATGGTTGTTGCTGAACTATTTGACGCAGTTGTTGAAAATGAGGACTATTTCGCAGATAGGTCAAATCCATGTTTGTAATGCCACCGGCTCCAGCTGCTGTAGCTCCAGCACCGCCTCTTGTTGCAGCCGCACCAGTACCGGCACCACCGCTACCACGGCCCCCTTGATTTGCTTGAGCAGCGGCTTCAAACAAGTTGATGGGTTCGTCACCACCAGTCTGGGCTGGCTGTGCTGGCTGGGCGGCCGCAGGTGGAGGGGACGTGGCAGATGTGGGTGGCTCCGGGTTGGCGCCAGTGTCGGGAAGACCATTCAAGAGGTATTCGATTGCTCGATCCGGGTTGAAGAACGCAGCTCGTAGCGCGACCTCAATTTGTGATCTTTCGAAACCCATGGCTTCCATCTCCTGGATAGCACCATCGTTCCGACTGCCCATCAAGAAGGCTGAAGGATCATTGAAACCTCCTCCGCCCGCTGCAGCGTTAGTTGTAGCTTGGCCTGGAGTGGGTGTGGAAGGCTGGTTGGCTGCAGCAGCGGGTTGGCTCGCAGGTGCAGCAGGAGCAGGAGGTGCGGCTGGCGTGGACGAGGATGTTGAGGCAGCTGGCGTCGAAGGAGGGGCTGGTTTAGCAGCTGGCGCGGCCTTGGGCTAAGAAAGGTCAGGAAAGACAACGGAGGTCATGGAGTACCGTCATGAACTGACCTTGCTGACCATGCACACAATGAAACCCTTCTCTTCAATCTTGTATGACTCGACTGTGTTTGCGTCGGCCAAAACTTTGCCTGCGCAAGTGTGAATAGATCGTAGTTGACCACGTTGATCTGTCTTACCAGAGTAGATGAGCTTCTGACTTGACGCATCCCATCCTTTCTCCGCTGCGACCTTTTCCTTCACTTCAGCGATCTAAAGACCAACAGTCAATTGAGGAATCAAAGCGGTGAGAATATGTTTGCTATACCGTGTCTGTGGGCTCAGCATCGATCGTGAATTTCTGCTGTTTCAGATCCTATTCATCTTTATCAGTCCATGATCAAAGAATCTTTCCGAATGGTGAGATCAACTAACCCTGAATGAGAGCTTCATCGTGCCCCGCGACCCAAGAGGATTTGACAGAGACTATGATTACACAAGATGCGCCGAGCAAACAAAGTGGATGGACTGATCGATCTAGTCTTCGTGCACAAGCAGTGTGTTTGTGATTCTGAACCGCGACGGGGATTGAAAGGTAAGGTGGAGTGAGAGATCGAGGAGGCAATGCGGCGAAATGTGTTGCAGTGAATGGTGATGCTCTTTTGAGAATGACGCCGCCGCCTGCCTGCGTCTGCACCTACGCCTACACTAGCCCCCATTGGGCCTGGAGCATCGCAGCCAGCCTTGCAAAGACTTTCACGTGCACCAACACAAGGCTGAATTTATCCAACAGCCAATATGCGCTGTAAAGAGCACAGTGGCTATAGCAATTTCTTTGGATGTCTGGCTCTCATTCAGTTTTCAATCTACCATGGATCTATGCCATAATTGAGAGTAGTTATCTAGGTTCTCGTCGCTTTCGTGAACTAGAGCTTAGATATTCATTCCCATACAGCGGATGCCGACCTTTGGCTCCACCATGCTGTGTTCCAACCAAGCTACGGAGTCCATCCTACGGACTTGGCTCACCAGCTTTACTTTTGCGCCTCTTGATCTTTGCCGGACCATCAGGCATAGAAGTCGCCTTTTCTCCCGGCTTTGACCCCTTGACTAGTCCTGTACCCGGACTCTTTGCTCCAGGTAGCACCGATGCCGCTCGAGATTGAATGGGCGTTCCTGTAGAAGGGCCTTGAGGCTGGCTTTTTGACTGACTAGCTGCCGCTTCTCTATGTCTCGAGAACCTGAAGTTTCCCGGCTCGCCAACCAGAGAGACGTCGTCCGTATACTCTTTGCCGTGTTGAAGAGTCATACGCAACGCATCCCATAACGTCCGACCGTCGCTCTCGTTCTCTCCATGAGGCCGTATTCCATTAGAAGCAGGCTTTCCTCCAGTAGATGCCTGGTTTCCGGGTAGTGGCGTGGTTTCCTTACTTTGTTGAGAGGCTCCGTTCAGGGAATGGCTTGTGAATTTGTGAACAGGTTTATGATAGGTGTGCCCATGAGAGACGTCAAAGTAGGACATGGAAGCCGGTGCAGACAACACCTTTTCCAGCGCAGAAATCGTGTTCAACTATGATTTCACATTGTCAATCATCGCCGCTCAGTGGTTGAGGTCCAGAGCTTACCATTCGGTGATTGAAAATACTGGCCACAGGAGGGGCTTGGTAGATCACATCATTGACGATGTAGTAATATCCCAGGGTCGTGACACTGCTGTCTTCCTCGTTTTCTCGATTCTGCTTCCGAATTACCCATACATTGGACTTCTCAGGACCATTAGGGCCATCTTGCATCACATTCTCTTCGAGAGGATCATGCTCAACAACATATTGGATGCCACGCTGATGTCGCAGGTTTGCTTCAAATTTGGCCCTTGTCCCGAGAATGTCATTTTGATTGGGAGTGCCGGCCCATTGAGTGAATAGAGATTGATTGCCCGAGACTTGATCAAAGAAGGGCGATGTCGCAAAATAAAACAGCACTTGGTTCCATTAGCATTGTACATCACAGTCTGATTTCTCCTACCATTGTTGGAGTGTAGATAACCTCCATTCCAGGCAATCCAATTAGGATCAAAGTGTGCCTTGTCAGTCAGATCATCCTTGGAATCGGCCATTGTGAGGGGCGGTATTGCAGATACAAGACATGCTCATCTTGATCTGAAGCACCCAACGAAGATGGTCTGCCACTGGGGACCTGTAACAGATTCTGCAGGCTTCTCCTTTGTTTATGGCTCTCACAAACAGTCGTTGATGGCTGTGACCTGGAAAGGCACAACGTCTATGCCGGAACCACTGAACCCAGCCTCGCTTTTCCTGCCTTGTAGGGATTGCCGCTAGCACAGAACCGCTTGGCAAACACGGCCTCGCCCGGACACAATCCTCGTCCTCTGAAAAGTTCCCAATCCTCGAGTCGTATCGAAACAATCTGTTTATGTTTGTCACAGGCTTGAAATCAGTCCACGGGTAGGTGCCTTCCTTTTCCATCGTGTTTGGCGTGGTGACAGTCGTCGCTTTCATATTCCTTTGCGGCGTTGTTTGCGAGCCTCTTTCACTTCAATTTTCTCCTCTGAGATGGATTTTTTCTGAGACTGTGTATGTTCACACTCTGTCTTTCCTTTTCTCAAAATGGCACAGCAAAAGACCATACTCTTCATTGATGCTTACGACTCGTTTGCCGAGAACATTGCTGCATTGCTTCGCCAGCAGCTTTGTGTGCAGGTCACATTGATCAGAATAGACTGTGACATTCCCACGCAATATGAGCAAGGATATCAAGAGTATTTCGCCAGTTTCGATGGCATAGTTCTCGGTCCAGGCCCTGGTAATCCTTCCAATGAGTTGGATGTTGGATTGTTCAATTGTGTCTGGGAGTATGCACCAATGCTCAACATACCGGTGCTTGGAATCTGTCTGGGCTTTCAGAGTCTTTGTGCACAGTACGGCCTGCCGATTGTTCGAATGGGTCTTCCCTGCCATGGACATGCTAAAGATGTGCTTCACACCGGCACTGATATCTTTGCCAATTCAAAGCATGTCGTTGCAACTAACTACAACAGTCTTGGCGTTAGAGTCAAGGACTTCAAGCTCGACACGACTAGAAGTCGACGAACTTCGACTGGATCTCTCGAAAGCTTTGTTTCTCTTCAAAGCCTGCAGTCCGCTGATTCAATTTTCTGTACCCCAACCGGCAGCAAGGCGCATGTGCGACCAGCAGACAGTTTAGACCTGCTGGCATGGGACAAGGACGAATGGGTCATGGCAGTCAAGCACAAAGATCATCATTTCCACGGTGTTCAATTTCATCCAGAATCGTGCAAATCAAATTCTGCTTGCGTGGAACTGCTCAAAGAGTGGTGGGCTTCTGCAGTCGAGCACAACGGCACGCACGGAAGACCCACTTCAACACCTCGTCAGGTCGAAACATCGAACACGCCAGACAACGTCTGCTCAGATCATTCTGAATCAGAGATAGGGTCTGATGATTCTGAATGGATCCCTTCAACCGGAGCTCCACGCACCTTTGGTGCCATCGACGACGATTTGAAGGACATTAGTGGCTCCGCTCAGCGCCTCCTCGACCTCCTTCGTGGGCTTGTAAGCAGAAACAACGGTACTATAGTATCTGCAAACGTACGCTTCGACCCGGAACGTCAAGATCTTGCCGACATATGGAGACATCGAAGCCCAGAAACCCCCCTGGTGATGCTGGAGTCCACAAAGAGAGGACGATACAGCATCTATTCATGCAATGATTCGTCAAACTTTCGAATTGAGTATATCAATGGCGAATGCTCTGTGTATGAGGGTCTCGAAACTATGGCAAGCGAGTCCGTTGCAATTGACCGAGCCGAGATGGTCAGACTCTTGGAAATCTTTATGTGCAGCCAGCATATCAACGATGATGGTTCTACTCTTCCATTCAGAGGTGGGCTTGTGGGCTTTCTATCCTATGAGTTCGGAATTGACTCCCTTGATCTGGACGCTCGATATACCGAAGGCGAGCGACGCATACCAGACCTCAGCCTCTTGTGGGTGGACCGCAGCATTGTCGTCGACAATGAAACTAAGCGTGCATACATTCAGTCTATCCGAGGACGTTCAACTCGGAGAGGCTTTAATGATGCTGATTGGGTTGCCGAGATGAGCGATAATCTCGAAACAACCGAGCCAACCACCATACCGATCACTACAAGACCTAGCGACATCGTGGAATTGCATGGGGTGCTATCATCATCCACATTCTCGATGCCTGATCATGACCAGTACATCGCGCAAATCCGTGATTGCCAGGCCGAACTTCTTGCCGGCAATTCTTACGAACTCTGTCTCACGACCGAAGCGACGGTGATCTCTCCCAAGGCCCAGCCTGATGTGATACCAGACTATTCCTTCCTCTTGTATCAAAACATTCAGCGCCACAACCCTGTCCCGTTCGCAGCTTACATCCGTCTCAACAAGACTACAATCCTTTCCTCTTCTCCCGAACAGTTCCTCTCCTGGTCTCGAGCTGGGACCATTGACATGGTCCCGATGAAAGGTACTGTCAAGAGAACTCCCGACATGACACTTGAGAAAGCCACTGAGATTCTCTCCTCTGCCAAAGAGTCTGCCGAAAACCTCATGATCGCCGATCTTATTCGTCATGATTTGTACAATGTGGTCGGCAGGGATGCTTTAGTTGAAGTGGTACGCTTGTGTGATGTAGTCACAACAGAGACGGTGTTCAGCCTGGTCTCTCACATCCGCGCATATGTCCCCCTACCCTCTGAGATTCCACGAAGCTCTTCAGAGTCTATCAAGGAGATGATCAAATACGGTATTCGCGCGTTGACCACCGCACTTCCCCCGGGAAGTATGACGGGTGCACCCAAGAAGCGTTCTTGCGAGATTCTTCATCACCTTGAACAGCGACGTCGAGGTGTCTATTCCGGAGCGATAGGCTACATGGACGTCACTGGGAACGGTGCTTGGTCTGTGTGTATTCGCACGGCATTCTCTCACGCGGACGAGGATATTCCAGCACCGGACGAAGGAAGATCAGCAATGCAGAAATGGCACATCGGCGCTGGCGGTGCTATCACCGTGCTCAGCGACGAGGAACAAGAATGGGAAGAGATGATGACCAAGCTGGAAAGCGTCCAGAAGGGCTTCAAGAGACATGGTAATCTGGTCATTCTCCAGCAACTGATCGATCAATATCGGAATGCTTTGGCGCGGGGAGGTGGTTTCATCGACCGAGACTATGCAGAGGAGACTGTTGAGAGTCTTGAGAGAGCACTGGCAGAGTGCACACTTTGACGTACTTTGTTCGTCTGACCTGCGTTGCGGTTACGTGAGGTTGTTTTGTATGTGCACACATGTCCGCTGAGCCAGCCGAACAGAAGAAGGCTTTGAGGGCGACCATCGACTTTGCAAGGCATAACACCGAAGCAACCAATCAATGCATGCTCGGAACTGACAAGTACCTCGGGAATTGTATCTTGTATTCAACACCTGGGCTAACTGAGATGTCTACGTTCTTTACGAGTGGTGGAACGGAAAAAATGGGCTGAGTCGTGATTTGTTGTATGCTGACAAGTACGAATTTACGCCAGAAACAACGCGGAGGGAAAACACTACACCGACTTTCAAAACATGTATGACTACGACGACATATTTGCTTTTGCCGACTTCAACGCGGCTCGATACCCCATAGAGTTTCCTTAATATTCTCAAAATTCGAATTCAAAGTCTACATTGACTGACAAAGGTTTACTCTAGAGTGAGGTGCTAGTAAGTCTCGTCTGTCAATGGTGTTTCGCCTCTCGCCACGTAGTTGAATTCTTGTAAATCTTTTACAAATGTAAAAAATCGTTCCAATTCTCCCAAGCAAAATCAGTGTCTCCTGTCCACCCGAGGTTATCGAGATCAGAAGAAGGATCCAAGGTAGATGGTGGTAGCTGCTGGACGACGGTGGTTTCGACCGCTGTTGCTGCTCCGCTAGTAGCTCGACGTTTCTCCCAAAGTCGCTGAATGAAAAGGGGCACGCTGCTGGCATCACAAACCCCATGAGAAACGAAGAGTTCCTTCGCTCGTCTATCCCAGGCCTCGACAGCCAAGTCCCCGAGGGCCACGAAGAAGGTGTTGTCCGTGTCGTCGATCAGCTCGGGGTGCTCCTCGTACAGATCCTGGACCAGCTTCCACGCCAGATCGACTCGGTCTCCGGACCCTCGCCGCCGCAGTTCGCTGATGACGTAGACGTACACGTCCGTCTGGAACTTTGTGGTGGCCATGTGCGTGAAGAGATGCGAAGAAAAACCGCTCCGCACTCCGACGTCGACAAAGTCCAGGGCCGACACGGCCGCGTCGAAGAGCACATCGCCATCCTCGCGCGTCATGTATGAAGCTACGCCGCCGCCGTCGTCGTCGGAAAAGACGACCGCCCGGAGGCGAGGATGGTGGACCACGAAGCGCATGCGGGCAATGCCCAGTTTCGCCATCGTGTACGTGAGTGCGTGAAGGGGCACGCGCGTGTCACACTTGTCGAGAAACTTTTCATGGTAAGTGGCGTCGAGTTCGGCTACCGCTTTCTCTTCCAGCTGCCTGGAACCCTGACCGTTCGCGTGGCCCTGGAAGATGTTCTCAAAAATCTTGGTGACCGTGGGTGACGTACGGAGCCAGTTGGAGACTTCGTACTTCATCAGCACGCATGTCATCTCGGTCGGGGAGCGGTGCTCGATTGGAGGCCCGACCATGTCCGGATGCAAGTCGGCGTCGTTGACGTTCAACGGGAGACGAATGTCGCCCAGGTGCGAGAGCTGCGGCTTGGCGATGGATCGAGTCTTACCGTCGAGACCCATCAAGCGCCACCACAGCCTGATGCGCATTTCCTTCTCGAAGAAGGAAATTCGACTGCCGTCCGTGTTCTCGCGATTGATGCCCATCCTCTGGCCAACTCTGACGGCAGCCGCGGTCAAAGTACACGTCAGTTCCGAGTCCGGGTTGGTAAGGAGGAACAAGAAGAACGCTTGGAGAACCTCAAAGTCTCGGCTCGTCAAGAACTCTGCTGCCACGAGCGCACGAAGTGCTGAATGTCGGTAGCGCATCATGAGCAAGTCTCTGGATTCGCCGAAGGAGGACTGACATTCCGCCGAAGAGAGCGACGTTACAGCTAGAGCGTATATGGCGAAGAGCATCGCGTTGAGTGACTTGGAGACGCCGTTCAGGTCCCAGCTTGCGTCGAGGATGCGCTGCTGTAGAGTAGGCACGTGGACGATCTTGGTGAGGGGATTGACTCGTTCCACGAATATTTGCCAGAATCGGAAGATGTGTCGTGGCTCTGGGTGTAAGCCCTTGAGCTCGGTGTGGGTGGTATCACCGGAGCATATAGATTCCAGTGATGGCCCGGGAAGTAACAACGGGTCTTCCTTGTGACGTAACATTTGAACAGGGGGATATTTGAGTTCTGAACTCAGATCGGACCAGAGACATCTGGAACGATATGTTAGTTCAAGTGTGTGGGAGTCGAATGAAGGATATAACGGCCTGGATGATGGCTTGGAGGACAAATCAACTTACCGTTCGAGATCTGTAGACTGCGTTTCTGAAAGCCGACGCGGAACGCTGCCAGGTCCAGATCCACGTTCTGAATGAATTGTGTCTTCTTGAGAAGGTTGATAGCCGGCAGCATTTGTTTCAGACTGCTGCGCGTGGGTACCACTCGTGATCGAACTCGGAGTCTCCGGCGCGATCATTCGATTTCCATGATCTCCCACGTTCGCCTCCAGCTCTGACGGCACCCAAGTATGGACAGTTCTACCGAATTCGATATTGTGTGTCTTGAGGAGACCTTCATACCGAGCCAACCGGTCGTACAGGTTGTCGTTGAGTGCCCTTTTCCGCTGTCGAGAGGGTTTATTGGCGACAACAACATCGTTTTCGCACTGGACGTTTGCTTTGACGCAGCTGGAGCATGTTCCGTTTCTGTTGTCGCGATCGCAACGAATCTTTCGGCTCGCACATCGCGAACAAGCGTGTCTGTGAGGCCGATGTGGCACTTTCGGCGAGGCTGGCGTCGTCATATTATCTCCAACGGGAGGAATTGTGAACATGTGTGATCATGATAGGAGGTGTCATATTTCTGATCTTGCCAGAGGACCCTGAGGTTGAGACATTGAGATCAATAAAGAGTCATGGCAGATCACCCTAATTTTTACTTTGCCAGAGGTGATTGATACATGAAGTATTCGTAGTACACGAAGGTCGGTCAAAGTGGCGGGGCGGAAGTTTTCTTTCGGGAACTCCGTCACTTCCGTAATAGGTTAGACTACCAGAGCCTGGTCCACTTGTCTACATAACTTCAACCTGCTGTTGACGGATTGCTCGGGTCTCGGTCCAACGAGAACCTTGCCCGGTAGTCGTCAATATGAGAGGTTTCCTGTGGATTGCGTGGATTACAGGTAGATTTCCACATCCGCACCTTGCTCAGAACGGTTCTGTCCGAAACTAGGGTGTCCGCGAAATGCGCTTGCGGGCCCCGTCTCCTCACTGTGCTTTCAAAATACCGGAGACGAAGACGGAGATTGAATCCCAAATGAATACGGAGATCCTAATATAACACTCTCAATTGTACTTGCATTAATAAAAAGAATTTCTCGAAAAGTCATCGTTGCTGCGTTTTCATCTTCTCAATCTTCGTTTCTTACAGAAGCTCTCACCCTGTCCCAAGCTACGCAAGGGCCAAGTCACCTTCTTGGAAGTGTTGGGTTATCGTAGCCAGAAGTGCTTTTGAAGCCTGCACGTCCTGTCAGTCAGTCAACACGATGGGTCTCACCACGGTGTTCAACAGAAAAGAGAAGGACAAATCAACGCCGATTCCCGAACCACCAGCAGCACCATCCCCCTCCGTCGAAGCCCCAGCCAGTAAAGAAGTAGGGAATGATGTCGAAAAGGCCACGACAAAGGATGGCAAGAACGATGATTCCGACGTTGTCTACCCTTCCGGTCTCAAGCTATGGTTATTAGTCATGTCCATTTTCGTCGGCATGTTTTTATCTTCTTTGGTACGGTTTTCACACTTCTCCTGACCCTGGACTTGGACTTCTCCCCCAGTTCCAGAACATATAAACTAACCATGATGTTCCCTATTCGCAGGACCGCTTGATCATCTCGACCGCAATCCCTCAAATCACCAACGAATTCAACTCGGCAGACGACATAGGCTGGTACGGTACGGCGTACATGCTCACCAGCTGCGCTTTCCAGCTCGTGTTTGGCAAACTGTACACAGTATTCAACATCAAGGTAACATTCATGACATCGATTTTTCTATTCGAGGTGGGCTCGGCTCTATGCGGTGCAGCCCCGAACTCGATTGCTTTCATATTCGGACGGGCCATTGCTGGTGTAGGTTCTGGAGGAATACTTTCCGGCATTGTACGTTATCAACGTTCCCCTTTCCTACACAACGACAATATCCAATTACAAGTGCCTCAATGTTCTTCGATGTTTCGGGATTTACAGGCTAACTTATCTCCCTTCACCATCAGGTCGTCATCATCGTATACTCTCTCCCACTGCACAAACGTCCAATGGTTCAAGGTTTCATGGGCGCAGTATTTGGTGTAGCTTCCGTCGCTGGTCCCCTGATCGGTGGTGCATTCACGACAAACGTCACATGGAGATGGTGTTTTTATATCAACTTACCTCTTGGTGGCGCAGTCATGGTTTTCGTGTTTTTCCTCCTTAAAATCCCCGATCGTCCTGGGATGAACAAGCCTCTCAAAGAAAAGTTACGACAACTCAACTTTCTGGGTCTCCTGGCTCTTTTCCCCGGGATCGTGTGTCTCTGTCTGGCTTTGCAATGGGGTGGGACAAAGTATGCTGTAAGTGGCTTCTTCTCTTTTCCACAATCTTGTGGTGCGATACAACTCCTCCCTCTCAGCCTTCGATCTCATGACAAAGATTCACTACAAAATGACTGACCTTGAGATCAAACTAGTGGAGTCAAGGCAGTGTCGTTGCGTTGCTGACCTTGGCCATCGCACTTCTCATTGTATTTGTACTGATTCAGATCTGGAAACCCGATCAAGCAACCGTCCCACCTCGTATTATCACTCAACGAAGCGTGGCCTCTGGAGTCTGGGCGAGTTGTTGTATAGGTTCACATCAAATGTTATTCCGTAAGTTTTGGCCTTGATTCTTATTACCCTGCCTCACCGCATACCTTGAAGATTACCCAAGTACTCCTAGCTAATAACAAACGTGTATCTTACCAGTTTACTATCTCCCCGTCTGGTTTCAAGCCATCGACGGCGTCTCAGCCGTGACGAGCGGCATTCACCTCCTCCCGATGCTCTTGCCCGTGGTCGTAGCATCCATCTTCAACGGTCAACTCGTCTCGAGGATAGGGTACTACACGCCCACAATGATTCTCGGGACGTGCCTGACGGCCGTCGGGGCCGGCCTCCTCACCACCCTCCACGTCACCTCCACCAAGAGTCAGTGGATCGGATACCAGATCTGCTACGGCATCGGCATGGGGTTCGCCAACCAAGCGTCCAACATGGCCGCGCAGACCGTGTTGCCCCGCCAGGATGTGTCCATCGGCGTGTCGCTCATGTTCTTCGGGCAGACCCTCTTCGGTGCCATCTTCACCTCGATCGGCCAGAACGTGCTGGACAATGAACTCGTCAAGAAACTGCGCAACCTCCAGATCCCCGGGATCAGCACCCAACTGATCCAGAACCACGGTGTGACGGACTTGTTCAATTTCATTCCCGCCCGGTATCACGGTGAGGCGTTGAAGGCGTACAACGATTCCCTCAGGGCTTGTTTCCAGGCGGCGCTGGTCATGGCTTGTCTGTCTATTCTCGGTGCCCTGACCATGGAGTGGCGCACCGTCAGGAAGAATTTGCCGGCGAAGAAGAAGCCAAATCCAAACGCCACAGAGGCCGCCGCCTCGGCGGAGATGAACAATGGTGGTGGCACGACAACAGCGAATACCACGACCGGTACTACAGCCGACACTCGGACGACATCGGCGTCGGTGACACCTGCAGCTGTACATCATCACCACTCGATCTCGAGTGCTGATGGCAACGTCTCGACCCCGGATTCACGAGCGATAGAGATATCGCGGCAGCACAACAATACGGAAGCCTGAGTGAGAAGCGATAACCGGACAGAGGGATTGAGCCTGAGAGAAGATGAGAGCAAAGAGTTGAATCAGAAACTCCCTAGTGCTTCATGATGAGGCGAAGAAGGTGTAATTCTTGGGCCTTGGTTTTTGAAAAGTGTTTCCAACACTCCGCTTGAAAGATTGATGGCGTTCCGAATCTCAGCTCGAATCTTTACACTGTACTGTAAAACCCGGGAGTCGGAGAGCGTGGAAAGTAATTTGGTAGAGCTCTAATCAAATTCACCACTCACAAACACCATACAAACTAATCTTAGAAGTCTACACTCATGTTCGCTTTCAACACCGAGAGAAGAACGATAAGCCAGAGTCTATGAAACACTGCCTGCCTGCTTCCCGACCTTTTTGTCCAAATACTTCGTATACTCGCCGACATCCCCTTTGTAGGCGTCCATCCCGGCCTTCATCATGGGGGACCCCATCAAGGTGTCCCAGTTGTGCACCATCCTGGACTGGACGGTACTGATTTCCACCTCCTTGGCACCACGCGCCTTCATTTCCGACTCGTAGCTTCTGACCGCCTCACCCAAGGACTTGATTCCGTGCTTCACCTCGACCAACTCCGACACGATCCTCTCTGCGTCCGTGAGTGCGTTGTTCAAACCCTGTCCCCGGAACGGCGGCATGCTGTGCGCGGCGTCTCCGGCTACGGCGACGTGGGGCCAGAGCGGGCACGACGACGCCCAGTCGACGGTCACATCTGGCTTCCAAATGGCGATTCGATCCACGTGGAGCTCGGTGTCCTCGGGAATGTTCAAGCCCGCACTCTTCCACGGCTCGGCGTAGATTCTTGCCTTTTCCTTCACAAACTCGACCTTGGACCGTTGGTCGGGGAAATCTTCGGCGTGAGGTCGACCGGGCCACGAGAGGAGTTGTTGGAACAGGAACGTGGTCGGATCACCGGGGTCTTTGACGTCCTGGATGCCAGACACCCATGTCATCCCCACAGGGTGATAGCCGACGCGAAAGACGGGACTGTCTTTGCGTTGAAGCAAGGCCACGTCCGCAGGGAGCCTCCAGCACGCGTTGAACACCTGCACGTCGATGGGCGTGTTCACTGCGCGTTCTCGACCGACAAGTGCCTCCCGGACAGCTGAATGGGCCCCTTCACAACCGACGATGAGCGCGGCAGTGGCGGTGTCACCGTCGGCGAACGTTGCCGTTGCGGAGGAAGAAGCTTCGGTTCGTGACAACTTCACCAGTCTCTTTCCGTATCGAATGTCTATCCCCTCGCTCAACAAGGCACGGAGTTTGCGGTGAGAGACACGAATGGGGTTGTGGCCGGGCATGTCGAAGAACTTTTCTCCAGTCTGGCCGTTGTACAGGGGCCAGGAGGTACGCCTTTCAGTGTCATAGGGATCGCAGAGTGCTTCATTCATTCGAGACATCAGGTTAGGAGGGATGCATTTGGATAATGAATTTTGACCGAAATGAAGTGACATTCCCCATTCTCGAGGCCGGGTGAGGTATGTAGTGGCTGATTCTCTTTCATAGACCGTTGCTTTTATGCCGTTCTATGCATTGTCGTCGTACGTCAGTCAAGACCCCTTGATGGTGTCGCCTGGAAATTTTGATAAACGTACGAGCTTCAGGCCTTGAGCGATCAGCAATCCTGACGCACCAGCACCAACGACAATCACCTCGAAATTGGTTTTTACATCCATTGTTTCTACCAAGAACTGATGTATCTTATAGAGCTATTCTGTCTTGCTGTTTCTTTCTTGCTGACTTCAGGAAGGGAAATGACGGCTGAGGTGTCTTTGGCCAGACCGATAGATACCTGTAAAGGCGTATGGATTGTGAAATGATATCTGCCTTCGTACTGATCCATAACTCTTGGGGCGATTATATACCCCCGGGAGATAGTATCTATCACGTTCATTCGATGGCGTGAGAGACAGTGGTGGATTTCATCACCAATCGACGAAAGAGATTCAACAGGGAGCGTAAGAACGCGGCTTTCCGATGTCAGGGCCGGTGGGTCATCACCATCTGGCATTCTTACAAACGTGTAGATGTTAATTTCAGGGCATTTGGTGATAAAATGAGATCCTCCTCGCAGGAAGGGGAAAAAAAGACCATGCTGAAACATTGTAAGAAAAAAGTGCTTATGGAGTTGCTCGTGATTGTGCTCGTAGAATGACTCTTTGTGTGTACGTACCGTATATTGCGGAGTAAAACAACGGGGCAACCTCAATCGGGAAGGCACTCTTGGATCCACTCTTTGGTCAAGTTCGATCCTTGGCACATCCTGACCACCGACAACTGACAGTCTTCTAGTAAGCCGGCCATGTACCGAGTGTCGGTGAGACCGCGTATAGGAAGCTGGGCATATTAGTCAGGCCGATGATTTCTGTAGCAAGGTAGGTTGTTGGTCTAGAGTGAGAGATGCCTGTTTGAGCCATATTTAACGAAACAACATTGCCTCAAGTGACTACGTCCAGGAGCCTCATCGGCCTTGGTAGGGTATAACTGGTTTGTCATTCACGCGAACACGGCACTGGACCAACAGAGGGTCCAATTTTGCACAGAAGCACGAAGTAATGAAATGCACTCACTTCATTTGCGTTGCGGCATTCTGATACGTCAACGAACCAGGTAGATACCGTAGTCATACTCGTAGACCCCTCTTTGTTGTTCAAAGTTTACCAGTCAGAACTCTTCTAGTGCTTCTCCCTCTTATCCTTCTTGTCGTTGCTAATTTACAGCTCAATCCATTCCATTGATTCATAGAATACAACCATCATCCTTCTTCATCTTCACAATCTCCCCCAAGACTTGTCCTCCCCACAACCCATCCTCATCGTCACACAAATCACGCACAGTATCGTTATCCTTGGATGGTTCTCCAGTCCCTTTTGGCCCTGCAACCACCGTCCACGCCCGTCCATGTAGGTTCTCATCCACTGCAAATCTCATCGCAACATCGACGACACTCTCGATATCCACAAAGTTCAAACCCTTGCCCGGTTCAACACCCGATTTCGCAAGCAAAGCCAATGCAGGTGGGACCAACGGCGTACACACAAACGACGGAGCCAGCATGTTGACACGGATGTTGAGATCCACGAGGCTTCTATGGCGGATACTGCGAAACAATCCTCGTACGCCAACTAATCAATCCGCAATATCATCACCGTTTTGTCAGCCATGGTTAGGGGAGAAGAAGTATGATGACCAAGCAACAGAGCGAGGGAAAAAGGGCAGGAGAGACCAGCATAGGTCACAAGCGGAGCGAACGGAGCAGGATAAAGCAAAAGCTAGAAGCACTTGTAGTAATTTGACTCACATTTTGATGCCTGATACTGATAGAGCTCGATGGGTCGTTGACAGATACCACAAGGCCAAGTACGTCGTCTCATAGAGTCCCGTAAGATTGACGTCGATAGCCTTGTGTCCAGGTCTAGGTGGATCTTGATTCTGTTCTCCTTCTTGTTCTTCCTCGTCCATTTTGATTCCTTGTTTTGTGTCCTCGACGACGGCACTCGCCCGAACCACTTGTTCCACCGAACTTCCCTTTTCTCCCAACACGCCCGCCATGAGAGCCACGACGTCGAGGCATCCACTGTCAGACGACCGAGCTGCCTCTTTGAACGCAGCCTGGCAACTGTCGTAGTCTTGCACGTCGCAATGTGCAAAGGACACCGTGTAACCCTTCGAGGATAGCTCATCCGCGACCTGCGTGCCGAGTTGTGACTGGCAGTCCGCGATGGTGACGTGAGCACCGGCGTGTGCGAATCGCGTGGTCAGAGCCAGACCCATGCCTGAAGCTCCTCCTAAACAATGAAAATCCATCTTGGGTCAGTATAATACTTCCACGGGTAGAAGATTTCTGTGTCAACACCTGGCTGGTAGCATGTCATATTGTGCCTCGTCCAAGGAAAAAAGTGCTGACTTGAGTACATACCTGTAACGAGGACACTCTTGCCCTTAAGAGTTGACATGTCGATTTGTGATTCCATATCGTCTTGCAAGATTGCCTTCATTCAATCTTCCTGCTGGCAACAACAAAGCTGGAAGTTGGTTAGACAGTCTGTAAGTCCTTCACATGGACCGAAGGAAACTGCGGGTGCGACATACGATACACAGAGTTGAGTGCAGGCGGATACCTACCACTGCATTTGTCGCACAGGAGTGTACTACTAGGTACGTGTAAAATTCCGTACCTCTTCTCTCGTGGTACGAGCGCTGCACGAGAACAGGTCTGAGCAGTGATCTCTTCCAACTAAACAGACTTGTCTAAAAGCAAAATCTAAAACAACAAATGGAAGAGAGAATGTTTGTGGAGAATATCTTATTGTGACACCGATATTTCAGATCGAATGTTCTGCAGAAACTCTCAAGACCATGTCTAAACGAACAGGTTGGGCAACGCTAAAGCGTCGCAAGAGGCTAGGCTCGTATCTTTTGGTTCAACCTTCAACACCTTCGGGCATTCCGTAAAAAATCATTCCATGTTTCGTTACTCGTATGCGAAAAAAGAGAGAGAAAGATGTGACAGAGTTTGAGCACGTATTGTGGAGCACTCATTTCTTCTCGTCTTGGACGAGCTTGACCTTCTCCAAGACTTTAGGGTAGAGAGGATGATCCTTCTCGAGCCCAGTGAGCTTGGTAGTGGCCTCGTCAGCGGACATGCTGCTCATGATCTTGGCCAGCTCGAAGCTCTCCTCATCACCTTCAACGTTTTGGAAGCGAAGAGCCATTTCAACACCACGGATCAAAGCCGTCACATCGTAGCCACGTTCAGCAAGTTGGGCCGCAGGTCCAATGAAGCGTTCCTTGCGACCGAGCTTGCGGAGCGGTGCACGTCCGACGCGGACGGGGACATCCTCAAGATGAGGGTTCGATATCCGAGAGACAATGGTTTCGACGTACTGCTGCTGCTCCTCGGTGGTGATGCCATGCTTGCCACTGATGAGGTGAGCAGTTTCTTCGAGTGCCTCGTGAACCTCCTGTCTGATCTCAGGGTCGGCCATGGCCTCATGAATGGTCTTCAAGCCCTTGTTGTACCCGAAGTAAGCCGCGGTGGCGTGGCTGGTGTTGACGGTGAAGAGCTTGCGCTCAATGTACGGTTCAAGGTCATCGACCCAGTGAATACCCTTGATTTCAGGATGGCCTGACTTGAAGCCGGTGGTCTCGACACACCACTCGAAGAAGGTCTCGATGACAACGTCAAGATTGGCATCAGCAGGTTGAGTTGGGACAATTCTGTCAATGGCAGAATTGCCAAACTCTGCCTTTTCGGGGAGCTTTGGTAGGAAGTCAGGCTTCATGTTCTTAGGGTCCACAATCTGCTCCTTGAGGGCGTCGGTGGCATTGATCATGTTCTCACAAGCAATGACTGCCAGTGGCTTGGACTTGGTGCGTGCCATGATACCCTCGGCAATGGGCTTGGCGATGAATTTCAGCACGTTGGGTCCGACAGCGCAAGTCACAATGTCGGCGTCGGCAATGGTCTTGACCACCTCTTCCATGCTATACTTGGAGTTGAGGGCTTTGTAGTTTGTGATCGTCTTGCTCTTTTCACCTTCTGGGCCAACTTCAGTGATCTTGTATGACTTGGAGGCATTGATGCGGTTGATCAGGTCGTCGACGACGTCAACAAAGACGACGGCATAGCCAGACTCGTGCAGCAACTCGGCGATGAAGCCACGTCCGATGTTGCCACCGCCAAAGTGAACGGCCGTGCCAGAAGGCATGATGACGACAGGTGGAGGAGAGTGGTCTGCGGTTTTCGGTGAGGAATGTGCCTGCTACAGATCGACGGTCAGTGGGGGGCATCCAAGGCGAAGGCAGGGCAGTAAACAAAGAGTGTTGACCTCCTACAAAGTCGTGGACAATGAACGACAAGGCAATGATGGTGCAGACGACAACGTACTTTCTGGCAGCGTAAGATAAATCTACGCTCTGGAGGAAGCTGAAAAGTGGGTTGAAAGAGTTGAGAAGTTGGCGAACGAAGGGTGCGAAAAATGCAAGAGGAGAATGGAATGTGCGGTCTGTTATCTGACCAAAGTGTTCGGTTCACCGCGAAAGATTCTAGTGAGGTGACGGTGAAGGTGTCGCGAGAAGAAAGTACGGTCAACAAGAGTACAAGTAGATAGGTGAATGAATTAATTGAGCGGGATGTGAAGATCACTTAATACGGAGGACGAAACGTGCAGAAGCTCGACGGGGAATCGGGCGTCAACTGGTTAAAAAGGCACAGTGCATTCTACTGTGTACTGTATTGTATTGTACTATGAGCTCTAAACGCCCTAGGTACTTAGGCACCTCTCTGATCTACCTAAGTGTGTGTGGTAGTAGTCCTTAGTAGTGGGCCAGTGGGCTGAGAGCCACCTGGAGCTAAGGTATCTTCTGTACTGTACTGTACGGATACCACCAAGTACGGAGTACAGGAAAGCAACAGTGAGAATCACGGCCAGCCCCGCGATGCCGTCATTTACCCCGTGCAGGCGCCGAACAGCCTCTGATTTCAGCCCTCTCTGATTGGACTTGAGAGGGCAGTTATTAGGCTGGTGTGGACACTAAATGCTGTAACTTGACGCCTCCCACAGCCCAAACCCCGCCTATCACCCGCACACCAAATGAAATTACGTCACTTGGTCAACAAGCAACAATTACTACGCCGTAGGTATGCAGCACGAGATATGTGAGGGATATTGATACCGAAGGCAATAAAAAAAAGGAGAGGCAGTAAATTCACAAAAAGAATCTATACAGTATCTTGTCACTCCCAGGTATGAATTACCGACTCCTCAACCGAGCGAGCACGCGCTCTGCTAGCAACGCCTCCTGCATTGATGCCCAACTTGATCTCCGAGGTATGTACGCGGGACTGGTATTCTGCGGTACTACACACCATCTCTTGGCAATTTGTAGAAGAAAAATAAGAAACAGGAGTCTCATCAATCTGATTAATACTACATCATCATTGTCATTATACCCAAGGAGGTAAGGAAATAGCACACAGGCAGCACACTCAGCAGACGCAGAATGACACCTGACTGTACAATCGATCCAAAGCACCCGGCCCTCTCCGACACCAACAAAACCCAGCCTAATATGATCCCTTCTCGCCGTATCGTCGGCTTCTTGATCTCGGCGCACAGCACTGGGCAATGGACACGACTGACGCCAGAAGCATGACCGCAGTGGCTGCCCAGGTCATTCCCAAGAACTTGCCTCCCTTGTCAGCAGCAATGCCAATGTCATGTCCGTGTTTATTAACCGCATGCACGGCCTTGACGATGACCGCGGTAGCAATCGCCGACGCTATACCGATGCTGAGGAATGCAAGCTGTTTTCAAACCCTGGTCAGCACAAGTCTTGAAATCTCCATAGGCGCGGCGGCGCAGGGACTTACCACATCAATGAGAAAATTGACCATTGCGGACAACCGTCCATCCACAAAGATACCCGCAAGAGCTCCCAGGACAGCTATGCCAGCGAACGCGATACCAATAATATACAATGCCGTCATGGCGACACTGGCCACTCTGACGGCCTTTTCCGAATCCGTAATCTCATCGGGCCAGTGGATGTCATCCAGCGTAATGCCATCCGGCAGATGTTCTTGCACAATCTTGGTAGGTTCAAAGTGAAACCCGACAGTTCGGTTGGAGCATTCTGTAATATTTTCTTTCGCATTGCGTACGGTCGCATTCGGCTTGTATGTTCCCTCGCAGAAATCCATTAGATGAACGTTGAAGAAATCGGGCAGGTCCAAGGCCGTGGCGACGTCGGAGCTGAAATCATTGAGAAGGTTATTGAGGTCGCTCTCGAGGCTGTTGAGGATATTATCCAGAGCACTTCCATCTCCATCTGTGGTGTTGAAAAGGCTCCCATGTCCGATTCGGGAGATATTGAGCTGGGGGTTTCAATCAGCAATCGTGAAGTCTTACAGTGCGAGCATCAAGGGGAACATACCGTCAACAGATCGGCATCCTGAAGGAATGATTTGCTCGATCCAGCAAAAAGGCACAGCAGAGTGAGGACCAAGGCAGCAATGGAACACGCCAGCGTCAAGACCGAGGAAAAGCGCATTTCGTGAAAGAGCACAAGCGGTATATCGCTCCAACAACAGTGACAATGGTAGATACGGTGTACAGAAATGATGGCAGATTCAAATGAACGGTCAGTAAATGGCAGATAGGTCAGGAGAGCCAGCACGACTGGTAGCGAGACGTGGCCGGATTATATGCGGTGGCAAGCCTTGCATGTTTCCTGGTCGCCATGTTTTGATGGGATGCTTCAAAACCTTGCCTTGACCATGGCGATTGCATTGTTTGTGTGGTTGACGGTGACGCGCGGGCCTGACTCTAAGCGACAAACAACCCCTGTAACTCCACAGATGGCTGGTTCACAAGCCTCGCGCAGGCATGTCGGGCGCTTTGAAGGACGATCTTGGTAGCTCTAGGCGGCGCTTAGCGCCCATGTGGACGGCTGTTCCCTGGCACAAAGAGCCTCCCAGGCGGCGCCTACAAGCCTTCTGAGTATCTCAGCCACCATGAGATCGTCCTTCCCAGTATGTGGGTAGACGTCATCTTTTCTCTGTCGCCCAACAGTGACCTTGTTGATCTGCATACTGATCGCCGCGCAATCCTGGATTTTTTAGGTCAGCTTTCGCATACGTACCATCTGCTCGACTTCATGCAATACCATTGTTGCGAGCTGTATTGGTATCTTGGCGGTACCTGAGACCGGGTCTGCATTGGTTTGCATCTTAACAACTGCCTCCTAAAGACACTCCGCCAAGATGAATCTGGCAAACCTTTGTCGATGAGAACATGTTGTACCTGCACCCGATGCCTGGCCTAAGACATAAAATTACCTAGGTCTTCAAGTAGCCAAATCCAGCATTACGCGTCTCAGGTCAGCTCCGAGAGTCACTCCAAGTAGCGAAAGGATGCTTGCACTCGCCCCAACGCATGAGACAGTATTAAGATGCAATGCTGAGCAGAGAAGGAAGATTTGAGATATATGATATGCACGACAAAGAGTACGGGTCCGCTTCTCAATGAGATGGTGGTGGTGGTGGTGGTGGACACATCTGTTACAGGGATTTGAATCATTTTGATCTTGCCTTCAACATATCGAAACCATGGCCTCCAGAGATTGACCCAAACCACCCATGCACCATGTAATCCTGACCCCAAGCTAGCGGTGACTCCCATACATCAGTCTGTTTTTGAGTACAGCAAAGTCATTGGAGTACAAGATTCGCATGTCTTCATGCAAATAACGCAATCTGCATCATAACCACAAGCCGTGACCATGACCCAGAGTGCTACGGTGCTCTGAGTTAGACCGTCATGTCTCAGGCAAAGTTGGGCGACTCTGAGCTTTCCAAGTACGATCGAGTACGCGACATGTCCATCTTGAACTGATATGTTCCGAGACCTCACAACACTGCGTTTTTAGGTACGGTAGTAGCACCGGCTGGCTTGACTTGTTCGTTTACCGAAAGAAACCTCCGTCATCTTGCGGGTGCAAGAGGGGCCGGCCCGGACAATGTCGACGCTTTCAATACCTTTTCAACGCGTTGGGGGCATTGAATGATTTCAAGTTTTGGTGGTCATTCGAGGTGAAATGCAACTTTTCCCCTGCAAGTTGAGAGAACAGATATCTGGCTCGACAGCAATCTGCCCAACTACTCTGACATTCCGGAGTCAGGTTGTAGATCATGTGTGTCTCGCTTCAATTCCTTGATAGCAGTCTGATCGATAGTCAGTGACTATGCCGGCATCGTACCGCTCCAACCTACGGCTAGGGCTTCAGGGTTGACCCCATTTTCAATCAGAGAGACACAAAGAGATAACTGAGTCCGATCCAGTTGGGTATTCTGGGGTTATTGGTCAGCTGATATCCCAGAAGCAAGGGGGTTTTCTCTCTACCAGTAGTACAGATATCTCCTCTAGGATGTCAACCACTTCTCGCGCCTTTTCACGTTTAGAGTCGGTAGACGGCATTTTCCTGCGTCGTGAACAAGGTATTCAGTTACTGCTTGAAGATCTCTACGGAATCGATCGCGAGAGACAAACTATGGATGGTTTCGGTGAAGGGGCTTGATGACATCAAAAGGCCTCGATTGACGCGTCTTTGAAGAATGCAAATCACGCCTAGGTTGTCGTTGAACTTCTGCGCGCCTTCGCCCCGATGGGGAAAGAGAATGGTGCCGCCCTTGCTGACTTCCTCGCTCGACTTGCCGTTCAGGTCACCGGTGCGGAATTTAGGCAGGACCTCATGTTATGGCCGCTATATCCATAACGAGACTTAATATCAGCACACTATTAAAGTGCTGTTCGAAGTCCTTGAACCCTTGAGAGCACATATACGCGTGGGAATTGCTAGCTGGACAGACGGTATTTGATCTCTTCATTGATCTTCACTATATGCATAAGTGTCTCATGTGGGGCGATCGTTGCTAGGCATAATCACCTTCATACCCTCGCTGGGCTCGCTGTGGATAGCCAATGCACCAGATCTATTCCAACGGCACAAGTAATCAGACGCTACTAAACCCACCACTGGAGGCGGTCGACCGAGGAGTATTCGATAACAGGAAATGACATGAATGGGGAGACCGCCGAGACAATGTGTACACTAGCTGCAACCCTCTGGGCAAAGTGAGGCCTGCCGGGGGTACGAAACTAAGTGCAAGGTCAAGGTTCCGCACCAATTGCCCTCGAAGAGCATTCATTCTACCTTGACAGCATGCGATGTCCGTCTGCGGACCGTCACCCACATATCGGTCTGTAGGTGGATCCCGAAACACCTCGTCTTCCAGGGGCTCAAGGGGTCCATCAGACTGAAGTCGAAACGACGAAATAATTCCAAGATTACCTTATTCAGCTCGATCATGGCCACGGTCTTACCCAGACATTGATACTTGCCGTAGCCAAAGATGAGCTCGTTGTTTTGCTCCATGGCCTTTAATTTTTCGGCAGAGGGCTCGTCTCCGCCATCGCTTTGGAGGATCCATCGTCCAGGCCGGAAAGCGTACTCATCGGGACCAAACAGAGCTGGCGAGTGGTGTACTTGCTTCGCCGAGTAGCTAGATTGGAAGAATTCAGCAAGTTGGAAATCTGAAAGCAAGGTGAACCTACGCAATTGAGGTGCCTCCAGGAACAAAGTGACCGCTGATGGTGTCACCGGACGGCGGAGTCTATTGTCCTCAGCAACTCTACGGCCCTTCGATCTGCGGGGCACTTACCTTCTTTGCTAACATGCCGGCAATCGGAGGGTACCATCGTAGCCCCTGCACCATGGTCAACAGATCAGTCAGCCCCAGGCATCAAAAAGTACTTTACCTCCTTGATGCACGCCTGCAGATATGGAAGATCCCTCGCTTGGGCATTTGATATTATTTGGTCATGTGAAGGTATCTTCCCAGCCGCGGCTGCCTCGTTGATCTCGGTCAGCAATTTCTCATACACCAGCGGACTAGAGATGATGCCGCGCAGCGTTGCTCGAAGCCCGGTAGCAGTTGTGTCCGATCCGGCAGCCCTGTACACCTAGTTAGCATGCGTTGGCGGAAAAAACATAAGGGCAAAGTCAAACAATTGCATGACACTCTCCGCCTCAGCTTCTTGTTGCGTCAGCCCGTGTCGGATGAAGCTGCCAAGCATGTCACTATATTCACCCTTGGCCTCGCCATCGGGTCCGAAGCGCTTGGCCACCTGTTCTCGGGTAATGGCCAACACCTTACCCAGACCAAGCTTGCTGTTGGCAGAGGGAGCGAAGAGACCGAGAAATCCGATGTTGGTGAGGATCTCGATGACTCTAGGGATACAGCAGGTACAAAAGATGCTGGGAAAGATCGTCTCGAGTTCATGGATGTATCCCAAGTTGTCATTATCGTCGCGGAGATCATGGAATTTGCCGTCGAAAGACAATTTGCTCATAATGTCGCTGGTAAAGAACTGAATCTTTCGTGCCAGATCCATCGGAATTATCTTCCCCGGATCGCTGGCGTACTTTGCGTCGATAAGGTGGACTAAATCCTTTACGCAATCGTCGATGTCTTGCTCCAGATTGAGATTCTCCTTGCCGGAATATCCAAACCCCATCCTCCGCCTCAGGTCATCGTGTTTGGCCTCATTTCGATTCGAGAGGACGTTGTCTTGGCCTGGGTTCAAACGCATGGCAATGTACCAGTCTGACCGCGTATATGGCGACCGTGCCGCTGACATGCGACGCAACACATCTGGATCTGCAGTCAACAGGGTGTTTGGGGCTATTCGGACCAACGGTCCATATCGCTGATGAAGTTGTCCAAATCGGTCGTAGATATCGCCGTCAAGGTGGGTTTTGAAGAGGGGAAAGACCGACAATCCCCAGAGACGCGGGCCCGGAATATGGCTCAGACGAACGTACGCTCGTACGTAGAAGATGGCGAGCAGCACCGGAATGATCCAGCCCCAATCGATCACCACAGAGCCGGTGACCACCATGCTGGAAGGTGTCGCAGTGACAGAAGAGGCCGTGGAGAGGAGCTTGGTCTGTGCGAGAAGGCTGGTTTTCGACTGTCTTCTCGAGGCTGGCGGTAGAGGATTCAGAAGGTGAACGGTGCGCCAAGCAAACAACTGCGGTACTGTAACATCGGCTGTCGCAAAGCCAAGTCATCCAGGTGGAGTGATGTCCAGCTACAAAAGTCCCTTTTCAAGTTGAGGGGCTGGCGGAAAGTCTGCGCGGGGTCAAGAAGCTAATCATACCACGCTTGTCCGCATCCATCCAGATGCATCAAGACACTGTCGTTGAAGTGCCTCGCTGGGTTCATGATAAACTTATCGTTGGTTCACATTAATACGTCGTTCCAAACCTTTTGCCGTTACAGTCATCCCTTTCAAGCCCGGAGGCGAGTATCTGTCGGCCATGAGCTCGCCATGGCACCATGAAGATCACCCACACGTCGAAATCGAGGCAGATGAATGGAATGAGGCGGATTCGGCGCTGGGCGACGACATCTCTCAATATACCTTGTCGGTCAGCTCCAGCCTGCTCCAGGGGGTCGAGGAACATGGGCGAAAATATCACAGATACAAGGATGGCTCGTACATCCTGCCGGAGGACGACAAAGAACAGGAGAGGCTCGACCTACAGCACGAGATGTTCCTCAGAACCTTTGGACGGAAGCTACATCTGGCCCCCGTAGACTGTGAGCTCCGTGAGGTCCTGGACCTTGGGACAGGCACCGGGATGTGGGCGATTCAGTTTGCAGACGAGCATCCCGAGTCGAACGTCGTCGGCGTCGACCTGAGTCCCATTCAGCCGACATTGGTTCCGCCCAATTGCAAGTTCGAGGTGGACGACTTTGACACCCCCTGGACGTTCGACCGGCAGTTCGACTTCATCCACGGCCGAATGCTCCTCACCGCCAGCGCCGATTTTCCTGCGCTGTTCCGCCGGGCGTACGATGCACTGACACCGGGTGGATGGATTGAAATGCAAGATCTCTACATGCCGCTCCTGTCCGACGACGGGACCCTGGCGGGCACTGCGTTTGGAGAGTGGAACGAGAAATACATGGAAGCTTGTGCAGTCCTCCACAGAGATCCCTCGTGGACAGCCAAGTACAGGGAATGGATCACGGGGGTAGGTTTCGAGAATGTCAGAGAACAGATCTTCAAGTGGCCCATCAACCCGTGGCCCAGGGATAGTAACCTGAAAGAGATGGGGATTTGGAACATGACCAACATGCTCGACGGCTTGGACGGTTTCACCGTCAGGCTGTGGACGATGGCTCTCGGAATGACACACGAGGAAATTCAAGCGTTCCTCGTCCAAGTGCGGAAGGACATCAGAGACACCAAAATCCATTCGTACTGGCCTATGTAAGTCTTCAAGTCTCCTTGGACCTTCCTCCGCGAGGTCTGCTAACGTCAACGTCTCCAGACACGTCGTCTACGGCCAGAAGCCCAGGTAATGATTTCGAGTCACTGGCTCATGCTTGGAGGTCCTTGTGCTCCTTCAGCTACCCGTCGGTCGGAGCTTCATCTCCTTCGCTCGAAACACGGATCTACCTCTCTTCCTTTGTCTATACCTACTTGGGGGGTGTGGCTGGTCATGAAGCAGTCCAGGTCTTCTGTATAGAGCGCTCCTATTTACCTTCGCCAACCAGCGCCGGAATGATTCTCTTGTAAATCTTTCTTTTTCTCAAGTGCGGGTTATTAGCCTTTTCCTCCGCAATCCGACGATCTTCCTCGTCCCAGTATCTTGCCGCGGAAAAATCCATTTGGCTGGGAGAGATCCATTTTGTTTTATACCACAACTATGCTGGGTTAATATCCATTGCCCAAGAAAGTGAGAGTAAATAAGACGGAGACTAACCTTATAGCCGAAGTATACCACTACATAGAGTGGCAGAGTCAGGTATGACAGCCAGAAGTTCTCCGCGGACGGGCCCTTTTCGCCAAATGGATACAAGGCAAGATAGAATTCGGCGATCATGACCACGAGCAAGAGTAAGAGGCAGATGTATTGATTCCAAGGCGCGAATGGAGCGTGGAACGGCAAAGTTCTGTGATCAATTCCCTGCGCCTTCAACCCACGTCGGAAGCAGATGTGCGAGACGAAAATGATGGCCTCCATCAGGAATCCCTGAATACCAACCTATCGAAGAATTTAGTCAGTATTCCAGGAAGATGAAAGAACTGGAAAAATTAACATACCAATGACGAAAACCAGTCATAGACCACGATACCAGTGTTGCTACAGTTCAAGTAGCAGAGGCCCATGGAGAGGAGGCTGGATATTATCAGAGAAGGTAATGGTCTACCTCTGGAATCCTTTTTGGCGAAAAACTTGTGCACCAGGCCCATTTCGGCGCAGTCCGCAAGGGTCCGACTGGCGATGTAGATACTGGTGATGCCACAACTGACAACTGTGAGAAGGATGAAAGCGTTAAGCAGGTCTGCAAGCCAGGGATATCCGGCCTCCAGAATGGCGATCACAAATGGGCTTTTCATGGTTCCGGATCCCGTCAAGAGTTGTGGATTGTCAGGCGATACACACATGCCAATCAACCAGACGCCGCCGACGAAGAACGTGGCCATTCGCCAGAACAAAGGCAGTACTGCCTTTCGAACTGCTTTCCGGGGGTTCGCGGCCTCACCAGCGCAAACGGCAATGATCTCACCTATTCCGAGTATCAGTCAGGCTGTTTGTCACCTTCTTTTTGCCGTGCTGCCAAAACCAATGTTCATTTACCACTTACCTCCGCCGATACTGAAGCCAGCCTGGATGAAGGCCTGACTAAGACCCTTGACGCCATTCTTGAATGCGTGACCATTGGACCAATATCTGAACTCAATCGGGCCATGGGTCCCAGGGAAGCCTCCAGATGTCATGACAAACAGGAAGATAAGGACGGCAGTGATTGCGACGACCTTGCACAAAGACAGCCAAAATTCGAATTCACCATACCAGCGGACGTTGAACAGGTTTACCAGGATCATGAGCACAATGAGGATCGTAACCCACGCTGCCACGGGGACATCGTTGGGCCAGTACGAGATGACTGATATGGCGGCGGTCACCTCCGCAGGAACCACTAGCACCCACTGGGGAAGTCACGCCAGTCAGTCGAGGAGGTCCCGCCGAAGGCAAGGCCGGTGCTTCAGACATACGTTGTACCAGAATCCGAGCCCCTGCGCAAATGCCAGCGCCTTGTCGGTGTAGTCTTCTGTCTGACGGACAAAGCCACCATTGATGGGCTTGTAGGAGGTCATCTCGCCGATGCACATGTACATGGTGTAGATTATATAGACCATGACGGTGTAACAAATGGCCGCACCCGCAGGGCCAGCTGAGAGGTCCAATCAGTTTTCCAATGCTCCCCAGCAGGCCTTGCCGATTGGAAAGAGAGGGGGGGAGGGCGAAGGGAAACAATCATCACTGCGTACCTCTGGCCAGGGCCGTGCCCATCCCAACCCACAGTCCCGTCCCAATACCACCTCCGAACGCCATCATCATGATCTGGCGAGACGAGAGGGCACGACGGTAGCCGTGGTCGACACGGGGGGCTCCAGACACTTCATATCGATCGCCCACTTCCTGGTTGATCTCTTCGTCGCCGGCCATGACATTCTTGCCAACGTCTGCCACGGGAGGGCTTTTAATCTCGGCCATCGTAGCTCGGTGTTGCTGGATATGGAATGCACTGGTACACGTCTTTGGAGTGGCCAGTTAGAGACACTTTATAGGGAACGACCCCCCAAAACTTGGCTGTTCGGGGAGTGCCATGTTGGATCGGCTTGGCGCGCCTCGGCGCAGTATTGCCTCGTACTCCGCCGGAAGCTTATTTCTGAATCTGCGGGGCTAAAGGGCAAGGCTCAGCCGTTCCACGCACTCCACCGCATACCTCCGGTATGTTCCCCCATATAGCGACGTTTCCACGTGTGTTCTCCCCGGAAATAAAGAACCGAGGCCTGGAATATTCCGTGTTTCTTTGATGACAAGAGAAAGGCCCATAATATCATTCCTCTCCATTCGACGGGCGTACACTACCTACAACATAAGCATCTCTCTATCATATTGTATCTACTAGGGGCTGGGTACCCTGTTTAGCCGCCGGTAGAGCAGATCTCGCAAGATCAGTCATCGTGCCAGATGCCCACGGCCCTAGATCTGATAGTTAGCAAGGTTGGGGGGAGGGCCAGGGGAAAGTTCTCTTGAGCATACCATCCCGGGTTATTGTATCGTTTTGGCATCCCTCTACCGATCGAGCTGATGGTCGTCATATCTTCCATCGTGAGCTCAAAGGTTTGGATGTTCTCTTGGATACGTTTTTCGCTCGACTTTCGAGGCCCCAGGTTAGCGTGAGTACTCCTCCGTCGGATCACGCCAGGTGTCGAGACTCACAGACTTGGGCACCACCGCCCAACCACTCTGAATACCCCAGGAGATCAGGCACTGGGCCACGTTTCGCCCGTGTTTGGCAGCGATCTTTTCCAAAGACGTCTCTTTGATCAGTTGTGATGATGGGGACCCTAGAGGGGAATACGCTATCAAAGCGATCTGCTTTGATTTGCAGTAGCTGACGAGCTTATCTTGGGGTAGAGACGGGTGTAATTCGACCTGATTCGCAGCAGGAACGATAGTGGCGATCCTCAAAATTTGTTCCAGATTCGTCGTGCTGCAATTGCTCACACCTATAGCTTTGACTTTGTCTGGGTGTCGTTGGAAGATCGCTTCCATTGATCGCCAGGCGTCAAGAAAGCCCCAGCCTTCCTCATAGTCGGGTGAGCCGTCGGGACGCCGAGGAAACTTTTTGTCGTTGCCATTCGGATTCAAAGACACGGGCCTGATTCCAGATGAGTATTCGAGACCTGGTAAGTGGAAAGGGGCTTGCCGAGGGTGTTCACCAGTGCATCAGCCAGAGATCAATGTAATCCAGTCCGAGAGCTCGAAGGCTGTTGTCGAGGGATTCTTCTGCGCGGCTGAGCCACGTAGGCCATACTTTGTCCGTCACAAAGATGTCGGAGCGAGGAATCCCCGATCCTCGAATGGCTTTGCCGATTGGTGCTTCGTTACTTTTGCGACCTGTATGTCAGCAGTGGTGTCGTAGCCCTTGGACGAGAGCCGTACCCATAGGACGCTGCCGTATCAATGTGCCTATAACCGGCTTTCAGCGCCGCTGACACGACTAGGGTTCTGGTCAGTCACTGAGAAACTGGCGATGGGAATCATTCCATTATTCCCTGGGACTGGTATGTCCAGACCTTCCGTTGCAACGGCATCCGTGGACTGCCATGTCCCCAAACCTATGACAGGGAGTTTGGCGCCGGTGTTGAGTGTGATCACACGATTTTCCGCCATTTCAGTCTCAAACTGTAGTATCTGGCCGGAGCATTGGGGCACACCTGATGTAGGGATTGTATAGTTCTGTTGTGAACGACACATCACGTGGCTAGCGCATCTAGACAAAGTTCCATGAGCACCGAAATAGGGCTTCCCCGTGTAATCACGGCAGCCCATCGGGCAAACCCTAACAGACCGTCAAAGGATGAGATAGAAACTGTCGGCGCTGGGCGCCCTACGATGAACCGCGCGTGGCGGCTCGTGTGAACAAATCCATGATACGCCTTGGGACATCGAAATTTCACTCATTGAAAGAGAGCCCCTTATCATGGTCTCAGGCTCTAAGAAGGCAGGTTAGACAGAATACTTCTGACGATAGTCGACAATGCCATCCGCTACAATGACGTTCACTGTGTCCGAAAAGACACGAGCAGTGGTTTCGAGCTACGAGGAACATGTTGCAGGTGGTTTTGGACCGCTCCCGGTAAGCCATCAAATCTTCGATACTCGTCTGACTGACGACCTAATTCGGTGCAGGTCGCCCTCGTACGGGCCCAGAATGCAACAGCCTGGGATGTCGATGGCAAGCAGTATCTCGATTTTGTAGACAGTACCTCCTCATTCGTTGAAGTATGCGAATGCTGATATTCCGCGCCAGCTGAGTATGTTCTCGGTGGTCAATATGGGGCATGGACACCCGCGGATTGTTTCGGCCGCAGTGAAGGCAGTGCAAGAAGCAGCTGTTGTTAACATCGCCTTCCTCAATCCTTTATACGCCAAGCTTGCCACCAGATTATGGGAGGTGAGCACCCTTGTCCTGCATAGTACATATGACTGGGTAGCTCACGGGGACAGATATTTGGCTACGACAAGTTTGTTGGCATGACAAGTGGAGCCGAAGCCATCGACGCTGCAGTGAAGATAGCGCGCAAATGGGCGTACTTCAAAAGGGGAATTACCGACGGCACAGCACACATCCTTACAGCTACCGCCTGCTATCATGGCCAGTCCATGTCCACAGCGTCAATGGCAAGCAAAAGGTCACCGTGTATGTTTTGGTGTCTCTGGAGTAGTATCGTTGCAACGCTGATACTTTGGCAGACTTCAATCAGTATCTTCCGAATGTAGGGTCAACATCGCCCAGTGGCGTTCTGGTTCGATACGGGGTAATCGAGGACCTGCGTAAAGCGCTCAACAAAGATGCAGACAAGATTGTAGCTTTCATGATCGAACCAATCCAAGGCTCGGCCGGGTAAGTTATGCTCTTACCGAGTCGGATGATATACTGACTCTGATCTCCAGTATTGTGGTTCCACCTCAAGGATATATCGAGGAAGTTGCAGCTCTTTGTGCTCAACACAATGTGCTATTCATCGCCGATGAAATACAGAGCGGCTTAGGCAGAACAGGAGCGAACCTCTGCCACCAGCGTAATGGCGCTCGGGCAGACCTGGTGGTACTGGGCAAGGCCTTGTCAGGTGGTTTGTATCCTGTATCTGGAGTAATGGGCAATTCTGCGGTCATGGACATCGTCGGCCCTTTCGAGTAAGTTCCTTCGGGATGCTTCTCATCATCGACTCTGCTGACTTTCTCTTTTGAGGATCGGCACAACGATGGCAAACAACCCACCTGGATGTGCTGCGGCTTTGGCCGCTTTGGATGTGCTTCTCGAGGAGAGCTTGTCTGAACGTGCTAATCGGCTCGGCAAGATGCTTATCGATCGATTGAAGTCTTACAATTTGCCTCATGTGCTCGAATTCTCTGGGAGCGGACTGTTTTGGGCCGTCGTGATCGATCAAAAACCTCCCAAGATTACCGGCCGGAGAATTGCAGCTCTATTGGCACACCGAGGGCTTCTGGCGAGCTGCACGGCTGTCGGAGACCGACTCCGACTCTGCCCACCTTTGACCATCAGTGAGGAAGAGCTAATGAAAGGCGCAGAGATTGTTGCACGGGTATTTGATGAAGTCGAGCACACAGGGTATATCGCCGGAGAGCTCGTTGAATCAGTCTAGTGACTGAACGACGATGCCTTCACGTTACCCAAAGAGATGTTGCCCCGGAGCTGGAGATTTAGGCGCTTTGACCTCAGTGTGAGAGATGAGCATGAAGTGCTGATGGAATAAGGATGGGGGTTGGGTGCAACTTCGAGTGAGTCTAGATCTAAAGTAAAGCTTCCCTTGTAGATATCTAGATTTGAAGTCCCGCTGGGTTTCGCCCATTATAGACTTTGTCTTGAGACAGCGTGTGCTAGGGAGGCTACAGCAGAAATGATACTATTGCTAAGGGTGCATATGAACGTGAATCGGAAGTCAAGAAAAGAGGTGAACATAGAGGAAGAGGGCGAATTAGCTGGGCTGCCAGGAACTCGGAGCGGTTCGATCAATGCTCCTCCGTACTTGTGCCGCCAAGGCTTTGAATGTCTAGAGAAATCTGTTTCCAGTCTTTCGTCGAACTGCTCGAAGGGCCAGTTGATTGCATACTCAGTACGGAGTAGTATGCATGCAACTCATATCAAGTGCTCAATCTCCCTCGTCTCTGTTGACTTTCCTGCACTCTACGGGAGCCAGCAGAGGGTCTGTTGCTTCAATGTTGCACTCTGAACAAGTCATCTTCAAAGAACTACGCAAACTACCTCGATCAAACGTTCCAGCTATCTTAGACGACATGCGAAAACTAGAGAAAAAGACCTTTGCTGCAAACGAATTATTCTCTTTCGATGATAATATCGTTGGGAAGCCAAATATGGTCATCCTTGTTGGTCTCTCAAACGCTGGTGGGGTACAACAATTGACTGCCTATGCAGTTGGCGTAAGATGGAATCATCAACTTCTGCTACACAAAATCTGTGTAGCTCCAGCCTATCGCCGGAAGGGATTGGGCCGGAAACTATTGCAGATGATCATAGAACGCGCTCGTTCTTGGTCGTGTCGAGGAATTGACCTGTGGGTAGATGAGGCCAACCAAGATGCCAGGCGTTTGTACTCTCAGCATGGCTTCAAGGATGAAGAGGTCGTGCTAGACTATTATTCCAAAGGGCGGAACGGCATTAAAATGTGTCGGACGTGGAATGAGGACCCATAAGTCTCAGTGCCGCATACTCTGCAGGACTATCCCTTGCATCCCTTCGATATGAAGCCAGCCCCTCGAGAACTCTTCTTAAGTGCTCGCAGCCGCACGGCCGGATCGTCCTATGTGACCCTGAGCAGATCACAACACTGAGGCAGACTATACTGAACAAAAGACCACTTCCTCGACTGCCTGTCCAAAAAGCACTGCAGTGCCTTCCCACATGAATGACACTTGTTGAGGTGTTGATGCTTTCCAAGCTGGGACTTGTCGTGTCGCTTCTGGTGGGCACTGCCTTAGCTACACCACAGCTCGCCTTTCCAATAAACGCTCAGTTTCCTCCGGTCGCTTACGTTTCTCAGCCATATAAATTCGAGTTCGCTGTCACGACTTTTGTGTCTACACTACCACAGCTTGTCTACACCATTACCGATGCACCGAAATGGCTCGTTTTCGACAGTGCAAGTCGAGTCCTGACGGGAACACCACTCTCAAAAGATGTCGGAACAAATACCTTTAAGCTAACAGCAGCAGATTCGACAGGCGAGGCGGCGACTACTATTACTTTGATAGTGCTTTCTGAGCTAAGCGTTTTGACGACGAATTCTCCGGTGCTTCCACCATTAAAAAAGGCCGGCCCAGTGTCAGCCCGGCAATCCCTGATATTGCATCCTTCGCAGCCTTTTGAAGTAGTCTTCCCTCCAGAGACATTCCTGGGAACTGATTCGAGCACCAACTACTATGCGGCATCGCAAATCCATTCCCCTTTACCATCGTGGATACAGTTCGACCCGTCGCAACTCTCATTCAAAGGTACTAGCCCTCCTTTGATTCCGCCCTCACCAGCACCTCAAACCTACGGATTTGTGATGATGGCTTCAAATATCCCAGACTTTACACAAGCCATGATTCAGTTCGACATTATTGTTAACGATAATGCCCTTGCGTTCACAACACCCGTACAACAATACAACATCTCTAGTAATGTCCGCTTCGAGACACCTCCACTTCGTTCCTCCCTTTTGCTCAACGGCGAGGCCATCACAGACGGGCAGATTGCAAACGTGACTACGAACGCACCGGGTTGGCTCAAGCTAGACAAACGGCAGATTACGTTGAGCGGCAGCCCTCCAGCTGCCGCTGACATTAACGTTACAATTAGTGTCACGGATACCTACAACGATATCGCGAACACGACGATTCAGCTTCAGCATGGGGGGCATATTGCCATGTCGATTGGTAGGATTGCATCTGTCAGAATAAATCTCGGTCAAGAGTTCTCCTACAGTGTGAATAACTCGGAATTTGCTGGGCCAGGACAGATGACCATCGATTTGGGAACCATGTCTAGCTGGCTTCACTTTGATGCGCAGCGGCGAATATTATCGGGCTACCCTCCGTTGGACCTGCCTTACAACACAATAAACATACCAGTAACGTTCAGGAATGTCACCATGGACATCATGGGCACTGTCGACCTGCAACCGGTGCTGATGAAGACCAAAGCCTCTGGCACGTCTATGAGTGGTACCCAGCCAACATCTACGACAACACCAAGTAAGACCGACATTTCCCACAGCACAGCTGCCCGACCCAGCACAAATCCCAGTCGGCATGTAACAACCATCATATTAGCAATGCTTGCCGTGGCATGCGGGCTTCTCACCATACTCTGTCTCGTACTATGGATTATGAAACGGAGAAGGGAAAAGATTCAAGATGTCGGCGAGCAAGAGCAAGAGCACTATTTGGGGGATAATCAGAGAGGCGAAGAGGCCACGACGGAACGTGCAGAACCCCCGTCGAATACTCCGCTTCCTGTGCAGTTGATCAATTCTCAGGAAGCAGGCCCTGTTCCACCACCAAACGTTGATTTGACATGGAAAAGTGATGTGACGGGGCGACCTAGACATGGTTCTCCCGGACGAGCGAATCTGCCGTCAGCCCAAGCTCCTCGAAGCACATATACTGGGGGACCACTTGATAATCACCCGGTTCGAGGAAGTTTCCCGAACACTGGTGCACTGCGCAAACAAGTCCCTCCGTCGAGACAGGAGGCTCGCAACTCAGTACCTCAAGAGCCTTCGGTCTCGAAAATTGATGTGAATAAGAGAGAGTCACTAATACCCGTTCGTCAACTGAGGTTGCAATCTATAATTGGTCTTCCAAACAGGAGAAGCGGAGCTGGACATGGGACCGGCGTTCTAGTCTACTCCGAGGCCGATAATGAGCACGAAACTCGGACAACGCAAACGCCCGTGGAGAGTAGGCGGACTACCATGGTGCTTGACTCATTCCCGAACCCGCCACATGATATATCAAGAACGACCAAAGTCCCACCGCTCAACAACTCTGCCGGTCCTTCCCTGCACACTTCCGAGGACAGCAATCTTACTTTCGAGGTACGAAGACAGCAATGGCATACTGAACGCGCTCGGGCACAGTTGGAAGGAGGAGCACGTTTCTCCAATGCAGGGTCCTCATTCGTGCCGAGAGGGCCCCGGGATCGGACGGGGAAACATGCCGCTGCTCGCCATACCAAACCGTTGTCTTTGCTATCCTCGTACGAAGAGAATGACCGGCCTACTTCGAGAAAACCCTCCTGGTCGAGATGGTCAGGCACTGGTCCGGCGGCTCACGATGCGTTCCGGTCCGCAAGTCCGCTGGATTCGCTGACCGAGAACCTGCCACAGCCCGGGAGATGCGCCGGTTTTACGAGCGCTGGGCAATTCGACTCTGCTGCATCTTCTGACAGCCAGTGGGAATTTGAAGATCTCGTCGACGAGGACACGAATGGGGCGACGCGTCAATGGCAGACGAATCGAAAGCCAGCAACCACGCCGCGGCTGCCTTTTGACACTGTCCCAAGCTCACGGCAAAGCACCAGTAGTGAGGTTCCTCCAACACGACCCTCAAGGGCACGACTGTCAGATGTGAGGAGGAAGCATGCCAGTGTAGCGGATGGGGAGCTGAAAACATACCAGAGTCAGTACGGAAATTTTCGCTTCATATGAATACATGCAAATGTGCCAAGTTGCTTTATTTCCTGTCGGCCTCATCATTCGGCTTTATCGAGTTCCGAGTAGACGGGGTCGGCATAGGTTTTCTCTTTCAGTGACCAGGCCTCGGAGATTAGAAGAAGTAGTCACACAATATCTAAGCCAGATGGTCTACTCGTGGTGTGTTGATCCTCATCCACTCTGCGAGTCAATATGTGATACCACGCGCGTGACAGGCTGCGCATCTGTGACTCTCGGCACTCGGCACAAGACTTCGGTACAGACTGACCAGGTCGGGGCAGCTGTGGTAGTGCGACAATACATCGAAAAGATTCGTCGCCAGGTCGAGCCTCAAAACAATAACTAGCGGCAACATCATGATGGCCAGGAGCAGGCACCAAATGATGCCTTCCCAACTTCTCCGCGGTACAAGATGGACTTACTGTTTCAGGTTCCTCGGGACCTCTGTCCGAACATGGACCTGCTGGAGACCGGCTTCGTCGAGCCATTGGATTTCGACAACATGACCCTGCCATTAGGTGAAGACATTTCGCTTTGGACCGGCGAGCTTTTGCCGTATCTCTACCTATTCCGAATCAATATGTCCGGTGACTCATTCAACTTCATGGTGGAAACCTTCACACTCTCAACGCTGAGATAGATGAAAGATCAATGTCTTGAAATTTGTGGACCCTGGCTGTGCAAGCAGCTCAATCAGCGGCCCGAGAACCCGAATCGGGATGGCTCAAGGTCCGGCTTTACAGGGTTCAAACGACCAGTGCCGAAGCCAGCGGTGATAGTACAAACTGCAAAGATCTTGACGGGCATAAAATGACTACGGCTGAATTTAGAGATGCGATGCTGAGAGTGCCAAAAGATGCCAATTCCTTCCCCGATAGAACTAGACATGGGCCGACAGCCTAGTAATTTTGGCGGTAGCAGTCTCATGTTTTGTAGAGACCGCGTCGTTCTGCATATTTGATGTCGAGAGAATCGGGTTATATCGAGCACTAGTTCTATTGTGCTTTGCAAAGTTCGGTAAAAGCCTTATTTTGTGCAGCATTCAACACTTCGAACCAACCAAATGTATGTGACAACATGGAATCCCGTAAAAAACAACCCTTCTATCTCATAATATCTCTGTATAGGTCTACTTAGAATTCGATTCTCTAATTCATCTATACTAGCAGTACTAGTTATAGAGATGTACTCGACCCCACGCAACAGTAAGAGAGTATCACTAGTCGATACAATATAACAGTAGTGATTACATTCCGCCATCGTACTTCATAACTCTTGTATAGATTCTGAGTAAATTTATACAGAGACTTCATAGAATGAATTCGTTGTTGTTCCAGGATCGCATGTTGTCACATTTGGTCGGTTCGAAGTGTCCAGTGTTGCGCATATTGTAAAAGCTTGATGGTTTTACGGAATCTCGAGAAGCACAATATTTGGGAAACCACCCTGCGCCTCTGCCTCATAACTCCTAGTTGAGTCCTTCGTACTGAAATTCATCATTTTCATCGCTAAGCGTGATAGTATCACTGGTGATGATTTGTTGTATCAACGATTACTTTGAATGGCGCGTATTTCGCCAATTGGAAATGCAGATAGTCCTCATTGTCTAGACAAGCTAGGACAAATCGATAACTTGTTGCCTCGACTTGACATCTCTCGGACGAAGTATAATCTGAAGTGGCTTCTTCTGCCACAGAAGATAGACATTTTGCTTATCCCATCCCTCAATCTGGGGGGTAGCCTCGATATCGAAGTTAAACAACAGTCGGGCTAGGGTGAGACGCATCTCGAAGTACGCCAGGCTGAATGTATGTCATTAGTAAGTGGTTCGTCTCAAGGAATGTGACCCTCTCTGAGAGAGACTGCAGTACAGAATGTCAAAACAGCTGGACAGTAATATATACTCACTTTCGACCAATGCAGTTCCTTGGTCCGTAGCTAAATGGCTGCACGACAGCCAGATTGTCGTTTTTGAAACGTGCATCCTGGCCCAACCAGCGTTCCGGAATGTACTCATCTGGTTCAGCGAAATACTCGGGGCTTCGAAACATTACCCAGTGATAGATTCCCACGGTTACCTGTAGATCGTGAGCCTTCTCAATCCCTACTTTCTCCAGGAAGACGGGTTCCATACATTACGGGGAACAGATTGGCCGGCAATTGTATCTGGCTCACGCGTTCGCCGAAGGAGGGCGCCAGGAACAGGGGGGTACAAACGGAAAGCTTCATCAATACAAGCCAACATGTACGACAATGAATTGACCGCCTGAAAATCAATCTCTTCTTCTGAACTGAATGTGGTGCGTATCTCGTCGACCAGTTTCTTCAGCGCTTTAGGATGCTTCAAAAGAAAGAATGTGAGGCCTGACAAGAGAGTGGCTGTGGTTTCACTGCCACCGAGCAGGACGGTGTCTCCGCTGGCGATGAATTCTTCTTGCGTCAACCCGCCCTCTGGAGCCGCCATCTTGGACATCAGATCCATGCGGTCGGTTTTCATGCCCAGGCGATGTAGTGCCTTGTGTTTGACGAGCTCGATGTGACTCTGAAACCCCTGGAGAGTTTCTTTGGGGGTCATCAATAGTAAAAACTTTTTGAGCAGGGGATAATAGTCGCTAGCCCGCAGCATGGTTTGCATCTTCAATGCCTCGAAAGTATAGTCTATCCAAGGGTGATTTTTGGAGAGTTTCAGGCAATCGAATGGATCCGCAAAGGCTAGGTCACCGATAACATCGAATGTAAAGTACTTTTTACGTGTTAGCTTCCTTAAAAACCCAGAGGGACCCAGTGTATAGGGGTAGGTATTTACATTGTACCAGGTCACAATGTCGATCGGTTCTCCTTTCTCGCTCAGCTTTCGTAGGCGTGCAACCAACAGGTCCAGATAGTACTGGATGATAGTCTCTTGGGAGCGAAGTGCCTTTTCCGAAAACCCATGAGATAACAACCTTCGAAGTTCTCCATGGCGTTTCGACGGAGCGGCAAATATGCTGAGTGCTCCTGCTGAGGTGTTGAGATACATCTGGGGATCCTTTGGCATTTCACCTCCAGTGCCATGCTTGTAGCCGTAGATGGCTTTCCAGGCATCAGGATCCAGAAATGAAAGCTCGTCAGGTCCCAAGCGTACTGTGCGACCGTATTTCTTGTGCGCTTGCTCAACAGCGAACGGCAATTGGCCTTTCACCAGATGATACACATACCACAAGCGAGTGCATCGTGCCAGAAAAGGCCCAGGGTAAGATGATAGAGGATGCAGATAGAGACAGTAAAAGATGGAAAGTGCATGGTACAAAATGTACTGATTAGCGTTAGACAAGAGCTTCATAACTTCGCGGAGGCCCCCGAGGCTGAGACGACATTGCTTACCACTATCAACGAGGCCCCCAGGACTCCCTCCAGAGTTGGGTGCTTGATGTGCTCTCGCGCCCTGAGCAGCACTTCTTGGGCATCCATGTTGGTAGTGATATTCAAGGAGACAATGGAAGAGGGCTAGAAGAACAAGATGCTACGGATGATCAGAGTCTCAGCATCCTATCGAACATCCTAGCAACCAGAGCGCGGGGTTTTATAAAAGAGACTGTTGTGGTGGCATAGAAAGTCGAATGCCACCATAGCCGGTCGACATGCTGGCAGTCTTTCCCGACCAACCCCAAATACTGGGCTCGCATGCTACAGTATTCACCCTTCTCCCATTGGCTAGTTACAAGAACCGCGGAACTACTGTACCAAGTCGTTTTCTCAGGCCACCTCTGATAACGATGGGATCCGCTTGTGGCACCTATCCCTGAAGGTCGTGAAGGTTGATTACAGACTTTTCCCAGGTTCAAGATCTTGAAATTATGAGGTTAAAGGTGTCTCCCCGTCGTCCCTGCCAGCTAAGATTTGGATTGAGGATGGCGGTTCAGAGCGTGAGGTTTAGCAGAGGTGGATGTTTCCCTTTTACGCGGTTGCAAAGACAGCCGTCACATCTCCAAGTCCATCAATATGTGCTATGTATGTTTCCCCTGGCTGGACAGTTACCATAGGCCCTAGAGCGCCAGAGAGAATGACATTCCCGGCTTTCAGAGGAAACCCACGTTCATACATGACCCTTGCTAGCCAGACCACTGCGTTCAGTGGATTTCCAAGGCATGCAGCACCATCCCCTGTCGAAACCACTGTTCCTTCTGAAGAGCCACTCATGATAGTCATGAGACAGTAGCGCAGGTCCAAACCCTCAAGCTTGCGTAGCGGAGTGCCCAAGACGTATCCAGATGAAGAGGCATTGTCCGAAATTGTGTCGACTAATTGTATATCCCAATTCTGAATTCGACTGCCAACAATCTCAAATGCAGGAGCAACGTAGTCGATTGCCTGGATAACATCTACAATGGTCGGGCGTGCCATATCGAGATCTTTTCGCAAGATGAATGCGACTTCGGCCTCGATCTTGGGCTGCTCCAAGCGGGACATTGGTATCGGAAGACCTTCGGGGAATTCCATATTGTCCAGCAATACGCCGTAGTCAGGCACATCGACTCCTATCTGTTTCTGTACCGCAACCGAAGTGAGACCAATTTTTGCTCCGACGACTCGAGCCCCTTGTAGAACATGGAAATTTATGTTCTCTTTCTGAATTGCGTAGGCATCTTCTGTACTCAAGCCCTTGAACGTGAGCCGCAACGGGGGAATGCATTTTCCAGAGCTCTGTGCATTTCTCAACGCTTTTGCTGCTTGACTGACGATGCTATCCATGATGACTTTGGACATGGGGAATGCGCTGCCCTACCTTCACGACCTCCTGCTGTTCCGTGGCCAAGCTATATACGGTGAGCTCGTACCACATTATCCCCAGTGCCAGCGACGGGCGACGGACAATCCAAGACTGCCAGGTCTTCGAGTGATATTGAAAATATCTTAGTAGTATAGGAACCTTACTCCTGGTACCAAAAAGCCCTGCCTCCTGACTTCTGAGATAACTGTGCTGAAAGGTCTCACATGAAATCATGTCTTCATTTACAGCTGAGGACACAGGTCGATTTGTGACCATTCACGAGGATGGAAAGCCTTTGCAAATACACTACAACGACTGCGGCCACGGCAAAGAAACAGTTGTGATGCTGCATGGATCAGGTCCAGGTGCGACTGGTTGGGCCAACTTCCACCGAAATATCGAATCATTTGTCGATGCTGGATACCGGGTGCTGCTCATTGATTTTCCTGGTTGGGGCGACAGCGACCCGATCATCAATTCAGAAGCCCGTTCATTTCTCAATGCTAGAGTAGTGAAAGGTGTCATCGACCTGCTTGGAGTCAGTAAGATCCATCTTGTAGGAAACTCAATGGGCGGGCATAGTGCTTCTGCGTTTACTCTGGAGTTTCCCAATCATGTCGGTAAACTTGTTCTCATGGGAGGTGGCACTGGCGGCATCAGTCTCTTTACCCCGATGCCTACTGAAGGAATGAAGCAAGTCATTAATCTATACCGTTATCCCACCTTGGAAAACTTGAAGAAGTTCAACGACATTTTCGTCTACGATAGCAGTAGCCTCACCGAAGATCTACTGCAATTACGACTGAGGAACATGCTCTCCAGAGAGGATCACCTGAAGAACTTTCTAAAAAGTTCCGCCTTGAATGCAGTTCAGTATCCCGATGTTACACCAAGGCTCCCTGAGATCCAGGTGCCAACATTGATCATTTGGGGCCGTCAGGATCGAGTTATGCCGGTGGATGGAGCATTTCGCTTGGGAGCCGGCATTCCAAATTCAGAGGTCCATCTGTTTAACAAGTGCGGTCATTGGGCTCAATGGGAACACGCAGACAGATTTAACAGTATTGTCATAGATTTCTTGAAAGCTTAGAGTTACACTTGCCATTGCTTGGACATAGGCATGCCTCCGAACAAATACTGGTGTTGATACACCAACACAATATAGGAAGTGCAGTTTTCTCTCGTCCATGTTCCAGAAAGTCGGTACATACATCACCTGTATGCATCCGGACTATAGCCTATATCTCCACCTACCCCTAGCTTAATATAACCCGTGGTGTAGTCATAAAATCATGTACGGGATGTCGATGGACTGGGACACGAGACGTGGCGTAGATAGTGAATGAGTTGGTTAGTAGATCCGGTGATACAGACCTGTAACTAGCACAGTAGCTGCTCTGTGGTACTACAATAACCCCATCGGGCAACAACGTATGCCACCTTTTCCCCAAGGTCTTGTCAGAGTACTACTGTAGTGCAAAATGAAGTACCCTGATTAACTCAAGTCTTTGCTGCCGTCTTCCTGGCTACGTGCTTTTCACATTTTTAAGGCTCTTATATCCTCCCTGGCCGATCTCTTTGCCATATGCCTGGCATGTCTGGGTTTTTACAGTGCATGTCACACACGCCTCTGATCGGATTAGTCAACCCGGCCGATTCCGTCCTTGCAGAGGTCGAGGATTATACCCAAGAAGCACGGAGACTGATTGCAGAGTACGATCCAGAGCTTGTGGTTGTATTCGCACCGGACCACTTCAACGGCTTTTTTCACGATGTGATGCCTTGCTATTGTGTGGGCATAGAGGCACATGCCATTGGCGACTTTGGCACCTCGAAAGGACCACTGGCCACTGCGCCGGAACTTGCAACTCAGCTTGCAGAATACTGCATCCAGAACGGTGTAGACATAGCAACCTCCCAAAAAATGCAAGTCGACCACGCCTTCTCACAGCCTCTGAGCATTCTACTTGGTGGAATCGACAAGTATCCGGTCATACCGATCTTCGTCAATGGCGTCGCGCCCCCCCTACCGACGTTCAAGCGAGCCAGAGTGCTGGGAGAAGCCGTCGGAGGTTTCTGCAAAAGACTGGATAGAAGAGTACTCTTCATGGCGTCTGGAGGTCTGTCTCATCAGCCGCCTGTACCCGAGTATGCTACAGCTCCCGAGCCAGTACGGCAGCTCCTCTTGGGAGCTGGTAAAAACCTTTCAAAAGAAGCACGGGAACTCAGAACAACTCGAACCATCGCCGCTGCGAAGCAATTCGTCAAGGATCCAAACTCACTGCACGCGCTTGCTCCGGAATGGGACCAGCAGTTTCTGCATAATATTGCCAGTAACAACATGTGGATACTTGACGACGTGGAAAACAAGGATGTGACAGAGATTGCTGGCGCATCAACCCACGAAACCAAAACATGGGTAGCGGCTGCATCTGCCATGGCCATCATGGGACCATACGAGCCTGTACTTCAATACTATCGGCCAATTCCTGAGTGGATATCTGGATTCGGAGGCCTGACTGCCAAGTCCATTTAGCGAGAGAGTGGTCCATGTTGATGTGATTCCAGCAGCAGAGCCTGTTCACCTCGCATCAAATGGAGTCATGAGTATTCTGGGCAATTGAGGAAAACACTTTGAATTTCGTTTACTACTTCAGTGTTTTCGGACCAGAAGTTTTCCTTAGAACGGCCACTTTCAATCAATCGTGCACCCGTAAACTAAATCCATGAATACGTGAGGAAAGTACAAGGTGCATTCGCAATGATATATGAGGATAGAGCTTATAGAAATATATGCCAGTGGTTCCTGGGTAATCAACGTCTTGACCTAGGCTTTCTAGCCTAAATTTCTCTTCAATGATCCTATCTTCTTTCTTTGATAAGAGAAAAGCAATTCATTATCCTGTGTTTTAGGACCCCTCAGGATGAGATCATGTGCTTTCTATTCATTGGCCCAATCAAGGACGGCAGATCCTGCCAACTGCACTCAAGGGAATCATCCAAGTATTCCCGCATTTCAAATAGCCAACCCAATCGCTTCAAAAAAGCGGTCCGATACGTCTCCTATCGTCTGAGGAATTGCCACAGCTGCAACAATCCGATCCGGTCGTATAACCACGAGGGAGCAAGGATGGTTGCTGAACCACTTCTTGAGTTCAGCACTCCTGCTGTCCCCCACGCCAAGGACCCCAAGTTCGCTCTCTGCAGCTTCCTGGGGGCTTCTCAGTTGACACGACGGTAATACTTGAATGAATGTGGTTCCTAAGCGCCTCCATGCCTGCACCTGCTGGGGATTCAGTCCCCATATCGGATTCGTGCCCCAGGCGATCAATCCAAAGTTATCGGAGCCGATAACGTCGTCGAGACGGTATTCCCTTTCAGAGTCCTGGTCCTTGAATATAAATGGTTGGATGAACATAGTCCCTACAGGTGCGAAGCGCTCTTTTTCCAGGACTAAAGCTGCTCCTCTGCCATATCGTGGCATGGGTTTGAATCTCATTTCCAAAAAGTAGCGTTTAACTGATGGGAAATATGACATGATCCAAGTCATTCCATCCCTTAGCCAACCTAGCCAGCGATAGGGGGGGCAAAATATCTGTCCAGTCAGCACAGAGAGATCGATCATTGCTCTGGCATGACTGCGACGCTCCGCTTCGTAGGTGTCTAGGATTGATGGGTGTAGTATGCCCTTTGCGACCCGAGCAAGTTTCCAGCCGAGATTGAAGGCATCTCTCAGACCACTGTTGTACCCTTGTCCCTGCCAAACAGGCATAATATGTGCTGCATCTCCAGCAAGTAAGACGCGTCCGTGGCGGAATCTGGCAGCCAAGCGAGCATTGTGGGTATAAACCCGACTCCGAATGACCTCGATGTTGTCCGGATGAGGTAAAACTTTTGCTAGAAGCTTCCGCATATTCTGATGTTGACTTAGGTACTCTTCAGTCTCGCCTGGCATGACCATGAATTCGAATCGGCGAATGGCATGAGGTAGTGCAGCAGAAACATATGGCCGTGTGGGATCACAATGCACATATACATTGGGAATTCCTAAAGGGTCGTTACGGATATCGACGACTATCCACGGGTCCGGGGCTGTCTTCCCTTCGAAATCAATGTTGAAGTGCTTGCGTACGAAGCTGCTACCACCATCGGATCCGATCAGATATTTTGAGTGAAAAGTCCGGTTGTCAGAAACCACTGTAACACCCTTCTCATCCTCATATACAGATTGGATGGTGGTGGACAAGAGTATTTCAACATTTTCAAACCTGCCCAGGCCCTCATAGAGGACCTTATCGACCTCTGGTTGCGTGAAGGCATTGCGACGGGGCCACCCAAAATCCAGGGTTGTCGGCTGAAAGTCGGCAAAGCATCGTCCCTGGGGGGTAATGAACCTCAACGAGTGGTTTGGCGTCGTGTGAGGTATAACATTCTCGACAAGGCCGGTGGCTTGAATCATGCGAAGTGACTCGTCGTCAATCCCAATAGCCCGAGGATAGTTGATGATCCTGTCACGCTTCTCAAGAAGTAGGACTTGAACCCCACAATTCCCCAGATAGTTTCCAAGTGCAAGGCCCACAGGTCCTGCACCGACTATGATAACATCTGTGTCGCAAGATGACATTATCAGCCTTGGCACACAATTGCTTCCTCTGCAAGATTCAAAACGACTGGCTTTCCATGATCGGTGTGATGCTTAAAGGCAATGCATCCTTGCGAAGGATTTACTGTGTTCGTGGACTTGCAAAAGCCACGATATCCCATGCCCGGATGTAGTGGCTACCGGACACTCCATGGCTCACAGATCTAGCTTGTTCGAGGCTTGTTAATGGAGTATTTCCGGTCGAATCACAGTGCCCGCGAAATCCATTACCTAGTTAGTCGTTCCGACTCCGGGAACGGCGTTGTGAGAAATCAATGAATATCAGCCCTACCTACTGCTGTGCCACAGCCTCATCCAATTACAGATGCTCTCTTTGGTGGGGCTACGCAACCTTTAAGGTCCAAGCCGGTGTCAATGGCGCTTCTGCGGAGATATAGACGATACAAGAAAACTGCAGGGCGCGACAGAATGTTTTCCATTTAGAAGTAGGGTGCGATGGTCAGTCAGTCTCACCCTTCCCCCATTTTCACCCCTGGGCTTTTATGGATGAGCCTCTGCTGGGATAAGTGACTAGTACCTAGTGACCTTGAATAGATATCCGTGTCTCTTTAGCCCCCCCCCCATGCAGCGTGGAGCGTACCGCAGCAACCTGCGTGGCCAACAAGTTGTACTTGATACATGGCTTTGGTCGTCTTTTGTGTCTCCTCGAAGCTGTTTGATATCGGCAAAAGAATCTTTCAGCAAATTTCAATGACGAATCTCGATGAATGGTCCAGCCGTCTCTGATCCATGCCTACTTTCAAGACGTCGGATGATCTTTATTTAATCGTGTATCAAGTGGCTAGTAGCTTAATGAACATCACAAGACACGAATCTGGTACCGTGCCTCACCCTACTCGCAGGTAATCTTGCTGTACGTCGGGATCAATTTACGGGGCATTGCGGCTGTATGGCTGGACGAAGCTCAGAGACCGTAGGACTGCCACTATAACCGCCCTTGTCGTCCAAATCTCGGCATCAGTCCACTTTGGCTTTCACAGATTCTTGCACAAATCTTTTATTTTATATAAGGTACTAGAGGGATTGTAGGACCGTAAATTTCCGGGCCCTTAGTGTTGTATTCTACGCAACGCCTTACATTCTGACAACAATTTTCTCGGGGCGCAGAGTCCTTCAAGTTGGAATGGGGTCGCTGGCTCAAATCGATCCAACGGATCAAAAGCAGGCTCGAGTTTTGGTAGAAGCCTGGTTGACAGGATTCGAAAATGCCCTCACTGGCGGCGATGCAAAGAGCCTTCATGATCTGTTTCACGAGGTGTCCTACTTTCGGGACAATGGGGCATTTACGTGGGACTTTGTGCAGTTTCATAGCCGCGACGCATCCATCTCGACACTCCTACGGACCAACAAAGTGATCAAGGCACACGACTTTCTTGTATCCTCCGACTGGCCTGCACCACGATTTCAGGTGCAACAGGACAACTCTTTGACGCTGGAAGCTTTCGTAGACTTTGAAACAGACAATGGAAGGGCAGTCGCAGTGCTCAACTGCTTACCGAATATCAAGTCGCTGAAGCTAACTGCCATGTACACACGGCTGGAAGAACTCAAGAACATCAAAGGCCCCGAAGTGCATCCTCGCGGAAATGGCTACACGCCCAGTTATGACGGGGAGACGTGGAAACAACATCACGACATAAGGCGGCAATACATCGACATGAATCCCGAAGTGCTGATTGTGGGATCAGGGCAAGCAGGATTGATCGTTGCAGCTCATCTCGAACAACTTGGAGTCTGCACACTGATCGTCGACAAGAATGAGCGAGTGGGAGATAATTGGTACCGTCGCTACGATGCACTGCACCTTCACAACCCGGTGGAGATGAATGGCTTTCCGTTCCTCGAGTTTCCCAAGCACTTTCCCGAGTACCTGCCCAAAGACCTCATGGGTCAGTGGCTCGAGACCTACGCTCAGTACCTGAGTCTAAATGTATGGACGTCGACAGAATTTCTCAAGGGCTCATATGACGATGGAACGAATAAGTGGACGGCAATACTCAAAACCGCCAACGGAGTTACGCGTGTCCTCCACCCAAGCCACATTGTTCTAGCCACTGGAGGAGTAGGTGGTAAACCAGTCGTTCCGGAGCTGCCTGGCTTATCATCTTTTACTGGTCGAGTCATGCATTCATCGAAATACACCAAGGCAGCAGACTACGGCATCAAGAAGGCTATCGTTGTCGGTTCAGCAACCAGTGCACATGACATAGCCGACGACCTGTACAAGAATGGCGTCGAGACGACCATGATTCAGCGTGGTTCAACCGTGGTGGTCAATATGGACACTGCAAATCTCACATATGCAGGCTACATTGACCCCTCCATATCTACCGAGCTGGTTGATTTGACCTACGGCACTGCGTTGATCAATCCCATCCGAGAGCAGCGTAGCCAAGCTTACCATGATATGGCCACCGAAATGGACAAGGACTTGCTGACTAGGCTGGAAGCAGTCGGATTCCATATAGGTCACGGCGTTCGACGTATGGGATGGCTAGATCTGTTTCTGCGCACTGGTGGTGGATATTACTTCAACAAAGGCACCTCCGATATCATCGCTGCGGGCGGAATTCGGGTCGAACAGTACTCTCGAGTCTCACAGTTTCTTCCCAGTGGGCTCAAGCTCAACGATGGCAAAGTCATCGAGGCTGGCTTGGTTGTTCTGGCAACCGGCTATCAGAATCGCAAGGCTGAAGTCGCAGAACAGTTTGGGTGTGAGATTGCCGAGAAGGTCGGTGACATTGGAACGCTCCAGGACAATGATGGCGAATGGACCAACATCTGGGGACAAACTAGGCAGCGTGGTCTATGGTTCAACGGTGGTGGTATCAATCAAGTACGACCGGGCTCCAAACGGCTGGCACTGCTTATCAAAGCTGACCTCGATGGCTTGATTACCGAAGAGTTTCGCAGGCCACAAACGGTGGTGGTTAATGGAACCAATCTGTCGAAGTGATCAGGGTACACATTGATTAGTAAAGATATGATGTTGGCCAATTCTGTTTCCTCTTACACTGATAATAACTCTTCCGAATGTCATGTAACTGCCTTGCTCAATGGTGCTAGTATATCGTTGCTAAACCCTTGCTGTTTGCAACTATCCTCCCGCGATCAAACGTCCCAAACCAGGGCGTGTATAACTCAAAGTTGACAACGCACATGGCTCTGGCTTATTGCTGATTCAGGAAATCTTCTTCAACAGGTATGATCTCGCGGAAATTGATACCGGGAGAGTCTTCTGACACTGTCTGCAAAAGCATCCCAGTTCATACACTTCAACCTCTGATAGAGAAACACGATGCTAGTCAGAATATGACAATGACTACTGGGATGATAAAGATCCAAGCCACCAATGCTCGGTGGAGCCGTAAGAGGCTGCAAGGTGGCGCCCTGAGCTCCATATGTTGTCCAAAGCACGACGGATGCATGGTATAAACCCATGAATGAGAGCATAGTGTACCGTGCTTTCTTCATGGGATTCATTCTTGCCTCGTTGTCAAGGAGTGACCAAATCTTCGAAGCGTGATATGTGGCCTTCCTTCCTTGTGAGTTATGTGCCCAGCGAATTGTTTTCCGAAGCGTCTGGTTGTCAATAGTGGTCTTGTTGCAGCGACCATCGGCTATTTGATGCAGAACATCCAGCGAGGCATTCAGTTGAACGTGGTAAATGTGGAACAGAAGCAGGCTACTCAGTATACTTCCTCGATCAATGCTGAATCCAGCGCGGTATCTGCTGGCATTGAAACTTTGGTTCCATTTCTCAAGAGCCTTGAGAAGCCGCCTCCTATCGAGTATCAAGTCCTTCATTTCCCGATGGTCGATCTGGAGTCGGTCTCGTGGCTTGGAATGGTTGTCAAAGACACGAGTGACCTCGACGTCCAGGAAATCAGCATGTTCATCCTCTTGGGGAGTATGGCCGGTCAAACGCTGAAACATATCGGGATCGTGGCTGAACTTCCATACTTCCCTCTGCAGGCCGAACAGAAGCAACTCATAATCTCTCGCCTCCATATTTAAGAGGACCTCGTGGCGATCCAAGGTGATGCGAACGAGGTCACAAAACAGAAGACCGCTATTCTGTTTACCGGCCTCATCTCTCAGGGCATCCAATATCTCTTCTGCGGGTAAATTCCCGATCGACTGCCACAGAGAATCTGGGTATGGAAGGGAAATTTTCAACTCTTCTGGTGAGATACTGGGCGGACAATTCATAAGAGAACTCATGAAAACGTCCGCTCGAAATATACCAAATGCGACACGTCTTCTTGTTTCTGTTCGTACCCACGCTGCGACATGTTCTTCAGCACTCCGGGGGGCTGAAAAATCTTCATTCTCGGTGCGCCGAAACAAACCCATGCGCCGACTTTGTGACAGTAGAACCGCGCCCAGATGCTGTGCGTATGTGAGCCCTAGACCTTGGCCAGAATACAACGAAACGACTTGGATCGTATTTCTGGCTTGAGCCAACCAAATTGTGTCCGTGTCCGTAAGCTCTTCTTCTATGAAGGAAGTGATCAGAGCTGTTCGTAAGCCCTTCTGCAAGATGTCGCCAAAGACACTAGCTCTTTGATCAAGATACATGGCACCAATTGATACAGCGACCAGGAAGAGAACTGGGTGTAAGCTTGTCGGGTCCTGGAGATCTTTCTCGCAGATCATGGGCCACAACGGGAGGATGTTTTGCTGGTAGAGTTGAACCATCCGGACGAATATGCAACCACTGGGGTCAGACGGCTGAGAAAGACCAAACACCTTAGACACTTGGGCGGATTCAGACTCCCAGTAACGACGTCGTTCGACTGACGATACGTCCGAGGCTGTGATGGCGTAGTCAATCAACCTTTTAACAAGCATGCTCTGCTTAGAGTGACGTTCCTTTCGAGTCTCGTTTGTCTGGGGTCCGTCTGGATCGATAATGTTGTCCTTCCAAGAGAGAGGTGGCATATGCGCCAAATCAGATTGGTTACTGGCCTCATTATTGTGCATTACGCTCGCCGTTGGCAACGAAGAGAGGGTAATATCGGGCCAGGTGGACGGGAACTGGAAACTGGGGTCTCGTAGCTGATGATGTATCATTTTGTCCGTTCGTGGCAACGCCATCTCAGACTGGGTATCCTCTCGGCAATCGCTCTGACCTGCGTGGCCCTCTAGAAGAAGAGTATGGTCTCCAAAGGATACATCTGGCAAATCAGGGAGGAGAATATCCAAAAACTCAGGGATTGTGGAGGTGTCTAGTTCAGCGAATATTTCGTCATTCTGGATCCTGTCCGTAATATCGTTGCCCTCCAGATGCATTACGTCTGCAAAGAGATCGGCCTCGTCCGTTTGGGGAAGGTCACCTTCAATTCTCGACCTCTGTAAAGCATCACCAGTTTCTGATGAAGGAATGCCGCCCTCAACAGGCGATCCTGGCACATTTTGCAGGAAGGAGTCTGTGTAGCCAGACGGTGACACAATGGTGGAGCCATCCCATAGAGCTCCATTGGTCACTGAATTCATCGTGGTTGTGCTTTCTTGTTGGTGTGCAGCGGTAGATCTGGTTTCCGCCGTCGCATAGAGGTTAGTATCTGCGCCGCTTGGCCATGGTGAATTGCGCAGAGAGACGGTTCGGTCTATGCCTCTCTCACGAACTTCTTGGCCGTGGTCAGAAGTTTCGGTATTGTTGGCCCCCAGAGAGTAGTGTCTCCCATCCGCAGTGCCGCTGGTGCTTTGAGCAGGCTGACTGACTCGGCGAGATCTCTGTGCGTACACACATTCTCGGTTTCGATCGCGGCACATATTACACGGTCTTCCTCCATCGCACTTCTCATGCAGGTTTCGACATGCTTCGCAAGCAGTGTGACACCTGCGTCGATGTGTACGTGGAGGATCGTCATGGATTGCCTTGTGACGTAGCATCAAATCCCGTCGCGAAAAGGCCAAGTCGCATACCGAGCACTTGTGTCCGGTGGTTTGTAGAGAGTGGTTGTTGAGATGCCTATTCAGAGAGCCTTGAGTGACATAGTTCCTACCGCACTCTGGACAAGAGAACATGATTTCTGGGACTGTGAGGATCTAGATGTGTGTGGAAGTGATTACAGACAATCCTCCGACAAACGAGATCTTGAACCCAATCTTAAGATGGATATCCATGGTTAGTTTTCGAGCGTCTGCCCTTCTGGAGGACATTCGACTCCACATTCCCCCGTGCACAAAATACTATGCATAATAATGTGAGGAGTATGCCACAATATCCCGGGGTCCCCAGAGCTACAAAACGGCTCCACAAAACCCCTCCTCGGTAAAGCTCCATTCAGAGTACTCTCGGAAGACCTGTTACAAAATGGTCAACTTTCTTCCCATTTGCTCAAATCGTTCCGAGGCTAGGCCTAGTTGAGCTCGCCTAGAATGATCAAATCCCTCCGTCCTAGTAACTATTCACGCATGGCTCCTAAGCATGGCTCACATTCCTCCGTTTACTTGGAGTGCGCAAGTCCGCTTACTGGCGCTCGAGACCGAGATAATTATGTACTGTATAGGGATGTCGCGGACTTGACACACAACACTTGATTGCTGTCAATGGGCATTCCAGGTGTAGCTTTGAAACCTGCCGGTCCCCTTCGCCTCCTCGAATGCCTTCTTGTAGGACCCTTGCCTGATGTCAGCAACCAAATCCACGTGCTCCGGACTCCAACCTAATTCAGATCGCGCTTTCGGCGCACGCAAGCGACTGTTAACCGCCAATCCGATCTCGACCCAAGTGCTTCCCCAGAGTTCGACGGCTTCTGCAAGGGTGACGCTTCTGGTGGGGCACTCGGTGACTTCGCCAACAGCCTCGGCGATGGTCCGGAAGTTGACTTCACCAGCAACCAGGTGATAGACACCTCCAGCGACCGCTTTCTCAGATGCGAGATATGCAGCAGTAGCCACATCGTCCACGTGCACATGTGAGTAGAGATTCAGTCCCAGCCCAAGGTAGCAGACGTTGCCCGTTTTGCGAGCCGACTCAAAGAACTGAGGAATTTGGATACTCCCTCCATGACCCCAGACAAGTGGGGGTCGGATAATCAAGCCACGAAAGCCGTCTCTGGCTGCATTCAGAACCAGTTGTTCGGTAGCCAGCCTGACCTCTCGGTTTCTCAGCTTGGTGCTGAAAGGAAAAGGGTCGTCTTCTGCTGCTGTAAAATCATTCCATTCACCATTCACAGCTGGAGTTGACACGACGCCAGATCCAGAAATGAAAATTAGCGTTTTGCCTGCTTGTGCAAACCCGCTGAGGAGAGATCCTATGATTTGCTGTTCATCTTCAAATGAGACGGTAGCGGCAAAGACAATGGTCTCAAAATCATCCAGATGTTCTGTCAGCTGTTCGATTGCCGTCAAATCGCCTAGGAGAGGAGTTATTCCTGCTGATAGGAGTTCACTCTGGCCTCTCTGTGTGCGTGCTAATCCGTAGACATCATCTCCCTGTGATCGAAATTTGTGAGCGATCCGGGAACCGATATAACCTGTCGCACCAATAATTAATGTTTTCATTTTCGGGGAATATTGGCTCCCCGGTGGCCACAGATTTAGTAGCTCTTCGAGACCTCTATATTGACGATGACTACACCTTGCCGACTTTATGAACGATTGAGGACGCTGAAGTCACGATTCGTCCCAGAAATAGTTCAAGCTCCAGCCCACAGGCCCGGATATCGTGGCACTGCCCAAGATCTGTAAAAGGGCTTAGATTTTGGCCCCTCACAACCTCCACATTTGTCCCCTAGGGTTTCGGAAATGGTGGCAGGTCGTTGGCCAAACTTATTGATCGGTCTCACTATCTCAATCGAGGTTGGTGAACAATTCAGGCACCACAGATGGTTCTTCCACACCGTTAGATGGATGAACAATTTACAGGTCACAATATACTCAAAAAAGCCCCAGGATAGAGCTCCATCAATCGTGCAGAAATTGTGACGAGTCAAAGTATCGAGCATTCAAGAGCACAATACCGGGTTGATACTGGCCGGTCGTGATCTCTGGGCCATTCAGTCAACCACATGCAGCCGTTATTCTGCGTACCGAAGCCTTATGGCCTTTTTTTTCGGTCAGTCCGTCCCAGCGAATACAGTGGCTTCTCGATAGATTGCAAGCGCATACACTTAGCCCGCTTGTCTACCACCAGGATCCTGGACGTAACAGGGTTTGACAAAGTGTCCGATGTTATTGTTGTCGGATCAGGAGCAGGAGGCCTCACAGCCGCGTTGCGCGCAAAGTATCATGGACTGGAGCCGCTGGTCCTTGAGAAGACACCCAAAATCGGTGGATCTAGTGCGTACTCTGGCGGCGCGCTCTGGGTTCCAAACAACCATGTGTCAAAGGCAGCAGGTCTGGAAGATAGCGCGGAGGAGGGTCTCCGCTATCTTGAAGCCATTGTCCCGCCGAACACACCATCTAGCACCAAGGAAAGAAAGCAGGCATACATTGACCAAAGCCCACAGATGGTCAGGTATCTGGAAGGTCTGGGGTTCAAGTGGCATGCTGCATTAGGCTATCCTGATTACCATTGTCTCGAACCCGGCTCCAAAGCACTTGGTCGTGTAATCGAAGGCCAGGTCTTCGACCTCAAGAAACTCGGATCCTGGCGCTCGATGATCAGGCTCCCGGGCGACCCGGCTCCTGCGTGTTATTGTGACGAAACTCCGCATATATATCGCATGGGCGCGCATCTTTACGACTTCTATAAATTCAGTGGGATGATTGCAAAGATGTGTCTTCGCATGCTGATTGGCCAGAAGCCTGTGACATTCGGAAAGAGCTTGGTTGGCCAGTTGCTTTATCTCAACAAGCAGCATGGGACTGAGATTTGGCGGGAGACTGGCTTAGTGGACCTTATAAGCGACAAGGATGGCAAGGTGATTGGAACGCTTGTGGAGAGAGACGGGAAGAAATTGAGGATCGGAGCCAGGAAAGGGGTCCTTTTGGCAGCAGGGGGTTTTGCCAAAAACTCAGCGATGCGTGAGCAGTACCAGAAAAGGGCGATTCATGCTCAATGGAGTGTGGCATCGCCAGGAGACCAAGGCGATGCTATCAGGGCTGGTCAGAAGCTCGGGGCTGCAGTGGACTTGATGGACTCAGCATGGTGGATGCCCATGATCATTGTGGGCGAAACACCCATCTTCGATCTCACCGTCCGATCATTCCCCCATGCCATCATCGTTGACGGCAAGGGCTCCCGCTATATGAATGAATCTCTTGACTACGATGACTTTGGTAAGACCATGAATAAGCACCACGAAACCACCGCTGCTATACCCTCCTGGATCATCCTCGATTCAAGGCACCGCAACAATTACATGCTGGCTCGCTTCGGCCCGCGCTCCACACCGAAATGGGCTATTGAGAATGGCTTCATTTACAGAGATGACACTGTCGGTGGCCTAGCAAAACAGATAAATATCGACCCTACAAGCCTGCAAACTACTGTGGAAAGGTTCAACGGTTTCGCCCTCAAAGGTGTCGACGAGGATTTTAACCGCGGAAAGAATGCGTACGATAACTTCTTCGGCGATCCATATCACAAGCCAAACCCGAATCTCGGCACTATCGCAAAATCCCCCTTTTATGCCCTCAGAATCTACCCAGGAGATCTGGGTACCAAAGGAGGTCTTCTGACGGACGAGTTCGCACGTGTCTTGAGGGAAGATGGCAACCCTATTCCAGGACTTTATGCAGCAGGAAATACCACGGCAAGCGTTATGGGGAGGAGATATGCAGGTCCAGGTGCAACATTGGGGCCTGCAATCACATTTTCGTACATTGCGATGGACAATATTGCGCAACGGACTCAAGATTAAAGACTGGACAATCCCATGATATGTTTCCAAAGCCTGTGTGTCAGAATTGACTGCTTCAATACACTGTCACGTTGACCATTTTGCTGTAGGATAGTCTTTAAGTAGAGGCCTCATTCTGGCGTCAATGCTAGCCTTCCAAATTTTTTGTTGTTCTCAAACCATCATTATCGTCATGAGCGTGGTAGCACCCTTCATAATAACCGCTGCTCTTGGTGAGATATACTGGATATATCTGAAAAGAATTCGTGATAGAAAGTTTAGAAGGATCTAGTTGGAAACTGCATGCTCCAAGGGTGATCGGTACCAGACAGATCAGCTGTTGCAGCCGTTCAGAATTCTCGTTCCCATTTGATTTTTTCCCAAGTATGAAGTATGAAGTCGACACGCAGTACAGCTCCATATGAGAGCTTGAATTACTGATTGTAAAATCCGCCATCAATTACTTGAGTAGTTCCGCTCATAAAAGAGGACGCATCCGACAGCAGCCACTGTATGAGATTTGCCACCTCCTCTGGCTGACCATTTCTTCCCAGCGGCGCCATTTGCTTGAACGCGTCTTGCCCTGGGCCTCTCAGATGTGAGATCATGGGGGTTTCAATAGGGCCACTGCGAGACACCAACGTTAGTGATTCTCAGAATTCATCGGAAATCAGTTGAGCAAGTACTCACGGACAAACGCAGTTCACTCGAATATTCTTATGTCCCAATTCTATGGTCGCTGTCCTTGAGAGACCGACGACAGCGTGCTTTGAAGCCACATAAGCACCATTTTTGGGGATTCCAGTCACACCGGCCAGACTAGCCATGGTCACGACCGAGGCGCCATCTTTGAGGGTCGCATAAATAGCTCTTAAAGTGTTCAATGTACCTTTGACATTGACGTCAAAGACAAAATTCCAGTCATTGTCATCGATATCCTGGATATCGTCCTTCATTATCTGCTTCCCTGTTACCCCGGCGCAGATCGCCGCACCGTCCAGTTTTCCAAAGGTTTCCACGCCCTTCAGAATCCACGCCTCGACGCTCTCGCGAGACCGAACATCGACCACAGAACAAAGCACTTCAGAGCTCGAAGCAGTTAATTCCTTCTCCACTGCTTGAAGTGCCTTCTCCTGAGCGTCTGCCAGGATTAGCTTAGCACCTGAAGAAGCCAGTACTTTCGCTGTGGCAAGACCGATCCCAGATGCGGCTCCGGTAATAGCTACAACCTTGCCAGCAAACGTCATGGCGGCGACGCGTTTCAACAATCCAATAAAAGTTGTTCAAGGATGAGAGACGTGAGAAATTGGACGATTAGCAGCTGATATTTTAGGTGCCGTAACGCATTTCCTAGATGATCGCAAACACGAGATGATAGTAGAAAGATAAGAAAAGTTGCAGGAGTCGCCGGATTCAGCTGGATACCTCGCTTTCTTCAACAAAATCTCAATGGATAGACTGCAGTGATCAGACACTTTAGCGCAATAAATTCAGAACCTCACTGAGTCGGGTAATGTGGTACCTCTTCCCATGATGAGATCCTTGCCTCCCCCTGGGGTCCGCTAATTTGCAAATGGGATCCAGGATGATCCTGTCTTCGAGACCTCCAGCAACGGCCGTCGGTCAAGAAACGCAAACACTGCCAATCTAGGCTCTATGTGCAAGAGGAAATATATCATGAACTTTTTAAGCCGCCGATATACGAAGAGAGATACTGCTTCATTCCGCCGTAATCGCCTCGAATATAGCATTCGCCGTGTCTTCCGGAATACTCGCGTTTGGAAAGTGTCCAGCTCTAAGTCTACTAACAGCAACTTTGTTTCCACTCTCCCGTTCGATCATCACAATAGTCTGTCGTTGGAAGTCTGCAGTCAGGATATGATCGTCTTCACACAGTAACCATGACACAGGAAGATAGTTATAACCCGCAAACATCAGCTTGTCCGCAAAACTGGCTGCCGAATGAACAGTCATTCGTTTGACCCAAGCAACTCCTTCTTGCAGCGGTAAATCTGAGAATTGAGACTTTGCGCAGTCCTCATATGGTTCATTTCTCATGTACCCGTCCTGTGCAAGGTTAGATCTCCGTGTTGAAACAAAGATACGCTAATTCCCTCACCTGGGTCTTCAGATTCGCTGGAGATCCCAGCACATCATTCAGAGACTGTCCAAGCATCGGCACAACTGCAGTGACATACACCAGTCTTACCAGCCCTCCCTTCATACCATTTCCTTCTCTCTCTTTCTTCGTTAGCCCTCTGCAGACCTCTGTACCCACAATACCTCCGTACGAATGCATAACGAGAGCAACATCTTTGCCCTGATCGACGAGTTTTGCAACGACATCGTGAAAGTACGCGACATCTTCTGCTAATGTGGCTGCCTGTTCAGGCGGCCTTCGGCTCGCTGATGGTAGACTGTGTATTATTGCCTCGATCCCAATCACTCGGAGCTTGTCAATGGTCTTGTTGTAGAACGAAGTCGGGGAGAAGGAGGCAGGAATAAACACAACCGCTGGCAGAGGACCGGTTTTAATGATCGAATCCACTAGCATTATGAAGATACGCAGCGAGCTAGATGTTGGCACGAGGCGACCATCAGCAGCAATTACTAGAAAAAGGAAGGCAAACATACCAGGTTAGCCGTGGTTGAAAGCGGTCGAGACCGGTCGAGTCAAAGGAGGACCGGAGAGACAACAGGCCACCTTGTTCTTCTATGAGAGAATAGTATGAGGTCAATTATTTCTTTCTTTACGGGGGCTGCATATGAGGATACCAAAAGTGGAGCCTCCATAAGGATATAATGAGGAATGAAAAATGATGGAATTCACCCTTTATCACCACTAAGGGAGCATAAGGTGCCCAGACGAGTAGAAGACAGGCGGGAAATCCTTCCCCATGGCTGTGAGCCTGCGGTTCCGCGAGTTCCTCGACTGTGGGTACCTATAATCTTGATCAATTGCAGAAGGCAAGGACGCTGTCCTCGGCTACGAGATTAATTCTCTCCATGACTATAGGTCCCCATTCATGGAGACTACAGCAGGCCCTTGAGGGGTCCTAGGATCTGGGAAAAGAGAAGTTGAAACCTCAAATGGTGGATTAATACGGGTAAATGTGGTTTCTCCATACCAATACATATCCTCCGGTTGCTACGGGGCCCAAGTTACAGCACAACCACAATATCCGATGTAATCTGTGAACGGAGCTCTCTATACCCGTGGTATGGAGGGCTATTGGCGTTTGCATAACAAGCGAGCTGATATCTCATATCGCTACGACGAAAAGTTCAGCTTTCCTTAGACCCCGACTAGATCGTGAGGGCTGTCTTACCTACAAGGCTTAAGGCGACATATTTGAGGAAAGCGAACACTATCGACACAATAATTGAAGTTCCACTGCACCACATTCGAACATGGACGTCTCGATCGAACGGTGTACACCTGAAAAGGAAAACTGCGTATCGCAACTCGAGGCCGGCATCAGAGACCCACATACAAACGGCAGTGACCAGGTGACGATGAAAACATGGGCTATTGTTGTGGTAAAGCCAAGTCTATCTCACGGTTCTCGTGGTTGTTCTAATATCTGCCAGGTTCTTGCACTGTCATATGGTATCTCCTTCTGGCCCGTCTCCTTTTTCAGCATTATCCAGAACCAGTTGGCGACAGAATTCGGCTCAGCCCCTCAAGAGGGAACCTGGCTCACCGCGGTATATACGATGGGCGCCACAAGCTCCTTCATGGTCTGTGGTACGAGTAGTGATCTGTTCGGCCGTAGAGCATTCATACTATTTGGGAACGCACTTGTGCTCATCGGGTCTATCATTGGGGCTACCTCTCATTCAATCACTCAGTCAGCCGCCTCGCACTTCATTCTCGGGTTCGGTGCGGGTAATTGCATGCTGGCGTCATTTGCCTTACCAGAGCTTCTACCAAATAAGTGGAAACATATCGGAGTCGTCATCGCTGATGCCGGTCTCTATTTTGATTTCATTGCCGGCCCTGTTGTATCACGCATTGCCGCGAAGCATCATGCGGTAATGTCTCCCCCCCTGATTACCTCGATGCAAAACCCCCCAAGACTAACTATCTGTCTTATTAGTGGAGGTGGGGCTACTGGGGAGTGACGATGTCAATAGGAATGTCGATGGCGGTTCTTGTTCTCTGTCGTAAGCCCCATACAGGCATAATAGTTCGCATGATCCGTTGCTGACGTGACTATAGTGTATTTTCCATTCCTGTCATCTGAAGGTTTGGCCTGCAAAGCTTTGCTGACGTCCGTTATAAAGTGTACTTCCCGCCGAAGCATCCAAGAGGTATTCCCTGGCATCAGGCTGTTCGAGAGCTTGACTACGTCGGCATGGCTAGTTTTGTTGGGGCCACCATCATGATCTTATGTGGCATTGCCTTTGTGCAACTGGTGCCCTCAAACTCACCAAAAGTGATTGGACTGCTTGTGGGTGGTTTTGTAACTTTGGCTTTCTTTGCTCTCTGGGAAACATTCAACACAAAGCTCAAGGCACCTGTGACCCCACCAAGACTCTTCGCCGCAAACAAGGGTCGGACTCTAGGTAGTCCATTCATCTGTGGATTCGTTGTTACCATGTTCTACTACGGACAAAATATAACTTGGCCCACAATGGTCAATGTATACTTCACAGACGCCACCACTTCAGACACAAAGGTTTACTGGCTCTCCACCGTCCAGGGATTTGGGATCCTAGCTGGAAGCCTTATGTTGTCTTGCTTCGGCCGGCGGCTCAAACATTGGAGACTGCAAATGTTCATCCCATTCACCTTGATGACCTTTTTTGGAGGTTTAAATGCCTATATCACGCCTCAAAAGGAGAGCCTCGGGATTGCATTTACGTTTCTGACATCAATGTTCTTTGGCTATGTCCAGTATCTCTCTATCGTCTTCATCCAATTTGGAGCCGAGCAGACTGAGCTGGGAATCGTTGGTGGGCTCGGCGGTGTTGCCAGAACCGGTGGAGGTGCAGTTGCTAATACGGTTTTTATGACCATATTGACAACCACTCAGTCCAACTATGCGGAAAAACATGTGATTGCAGCAGCCGAGGCTGCGGGTGCTACTCCGGCCATTGCAAAGGCCCTCCTTGCAGCTCTTCCTGAAGGCGCTACCGCCCTGGCCAAGATCCAAGGGTTGACAACTGCCATGATCGGAGCGGCTGCGGCAGCGTTCCAGCAGAGCTACGTTGAGGGTGTCAAGTGAGTTCTCGCCTTGATTTAACTATTCCCCAGACTTCACTGACCTATTTTCAGGAATGTCTCGTTGGCGTCAATCGGATTTGGCAGCCTTGCTATCCTGGGGTCCTGTTGGCTAGAAGATATTGGGCCGAAAATGAATGATAAAATTGAAATCTTCCTTGAAAATGATGTTCAAGCCGAGAAGAACGTGTACCACTAGGGTACAACCACAAGTAGGGGGCTAGAAGGGTTCTTATGCTAGGGGGAATATTGTACGTCCTTCAAGTGGTGGATTGTTTCGATGCCTCAAATTCTCCATATGTCACTTTCACTGGCCGTTTGCTTGAGGAACAGAATGTGTGTTGCGTGGTGAAGACTATTCCTCAGACAGAAATGCGACGCTGCTTTGGCTACTTGAAAATTTGGTGTGCACCTTCGCTGCTTGGTCTCGGCCTACCAAGATAAAAGCTATTTCGGAGGAGGAAGTCTCTTTTCTCTGCCGATGCTGATAGAGACCAATTTATATGACACAAGGCCCCAAGCATGATTTTAGCTAGAAAAATGGAGCTAAAAACACATTCGAAGTACCTAGGTAGCGATAACGGTCTCACACAAATAATAGGTCGCTTAGGCGGCGAGCCTGCCAGGGACAGGAACGGCTAACATCGACAGCGGCCATTCTTGCTACGTTCCCTTTGCGGAACTTCAGTTCTAACATAGGTCACTGGCTTTTGTGAGCCCTCAGCTATGCAATCTCTGAGCACTTCTCCTTTACTAAGCATATCTTAATTGCTTCCACGTCCATGAATCTTGCTTCATCGGCCTTGACCTCTTTATAAAGTTGGGAAGTTGCACAAGATGCCTGACACTCCTCATAGTCCTCCTTGGTATCCCACCACACTTCTGTGACTACATCGCAAGGTGCCCCTCCCGGACGGTTATTGAACATTGCATCTTGATCGACATAGTTTCGCACATATTTTGAGATCTTTGGGAGAGCCTTAAGGGCTAGCGGCGCGTGCCTGTCTTCGTAATATTGCTGGAACTGTTCGTGCGAAAAGTCAGACCTCCTTGTCAGAAAGGCAACTAGCTTCACAGCAGGCGTGTTCGGCATTGGGGACGACGGGGACTAATAGTCCTGGAAAGTGTTAAACAGAGTCTGGTGATGGTGCGTGCAGCGGTGGGCTCAGCGTATTACTTTTATGGAATAAGCCTCCTAGCATGACCCCGGATATGGCCAGCCACATGCCACACGAGGTTTTATAAGGAACGCCGAAGAGCCGTATTATATCCGAGCAATGCTGAATGGCTTCAAAACCACAATATCCCGATTTTCAGGGTATCGTGGTATTGTAAGCTCGTGCAAACGACAATGAGTAAAATTGTCTATTGGACTTGCGTATATGTGACAAACAGAAGTCAGGTCGATACAGTGTAATAAACTAAGAAGTCGCGAAGAAATCATTGTTGACGTAGGAGGGACTGCGGAGTCCACAAGCGCAAGGCTTGAGCTAACCGAAGACAACATCTGACGTTTCTGTAAGTCTTACATCTATACATCAATACATGTACTCAACCAAGCCGGGCAGACCCAGTTGGCAAATTTCTCAGTACCGGAGTTTCGAGGAGACTTTGCAGGTGCGAACTATGATCCACGCATCGACGCACTATGAGTTCGCCACTCTTTGAAATTTCTCAGACTATCACTCATGAGCCTACCATTCTCATGTTTACGTGAACAGTTTTGGCCTCCAGGTATTCTTTTAGGCCTTCCAAGCCTCCTTCTCTACCATAGCCGCTCTGCTTTTTGCCACCAAAGGGGGTCTCCGTCAGAAGTACATGAGACGAATTGATTGAGACTGTCCCAGATTCCATCTCAGCGGTGACACGAAGTGCCCGAGTGATGTCATTGGTGTAGATAGTGGCTAATAGTTCAGTGTAAGCAGATGCTGGTTTTTGATAAGAGTGCAAAAACTCACCTCCAAGGCCATAGCTTGTGTTATTCGCCAGTGCAATGGCTTCCTCCTCATTTTCAAATGTCTTGATCACCACGACTGGTCCAAAAATTTCGTCGGTATACACCTTGGCAGTGAGATCCGGGTTCATGAGAATGGTGGGCTCGACGAAACAACCTTCTTTCCCTTTGCGACCGCCTCCAACGAGGACTTCAACTCCATCCTTCTTTGCACCTTCTAGGAAGTCCATGACTCGGCCGAACTGGCTTTTATCGGCAAGTGGTCCTAGAAAAGTACTCTCCAGAGCGGGGTCGGCCATAGATTGGCTGAATTCAATGTATGCCGCCCTGAGAGCATCGATGAATTTTGGCGCAATCCCACGTTGGACTAGTATTCTCGACCCTGCCACACACGCCTGGCCACTGTTCAGTAGGAATCCCTGAGAGTTGTGCACCACAGCATTTTCTAGGTTGGCGTCGTCAAATATAAGGACCGGTGACTTCCCACCCAGCTCAAGACTGACTCGTTTTAAGTTACTCTTGGCCGCGGCAATCTGGATCTGTCTTCCTGCATTGGCCGAGCCGGTGAAAGAGATCTTTGCAATGTCCATATGGGATGCCATAAGGGCCCCAACCTTGGCAGCTCCCGAGATAAGGTTGACCACCCCTGGAGGAAAGCCTGCCTCCTTGAAGAGCTGACCGAGGTATAAAACACCCAATGGACTCTTCTCGCTGGCCTTGAAGACGAAGGTGTTTCCGACAGCAACAGCGGGTGCAATCTGAGATATTCAGTACCAACAACTATTCACTTCTCTCTAATGACACTTACCTTCCACGCAAGGAACATCTGCGTACCATTCCAAGCTGCTATTCCTGCACAGACACCCAATGGCTCATAGTTGACCATCTTGAAATATCCATCCCCATTCTCTGGAAAGGTCTCACCAGGAATCTTGTCGGTGAGACCAGCAAAGTACCGCCAGTTTGCGACCTGCAATTCGACTATGCCCTTGGCCACTGAGATAGGTTGCCCCATGCATGCTGATTCAAGTCGGGCTATGGCGTCCTTGTGTCGTTCAACGAGGTCAGCAAACTTGAGCATTATGGCCGAGCGTCTGCTGCTTGGAGTTCGCTTCCACTGCGGGAAAGCAGCTTTTGCTGCCGCCACGGCCTCATCGACATCTTGCTCTGAGGCAACCTGCACCTTGTTCGTCACTAGGCTGTCGTCTTTGGGATTGTGAACTGAGAGTGCTTCTCCACCGGACGAAACAACGTACTTAGAAGTTAGTCAGGCCCGAAATCTCCTTATATCAACTCCTACCTCGTTGTTGATGAAGAGATTCGTTTGAAGGGAATCCATGCTGGAAAATTATGGCATCCGGCTTGACCATGAAAGTCGGCGTGATGGAGGGATTCAATACTTCTTCTACCATATAGCCGGCACAATCGCATACTATTTGGGCAAGATTAGTTCCGGTGGACTGGGTTCTTTAGCTACCGGCACTAGTCCTCGTCCTGACTGGCAAAGAAAGCTCCTTCATGTTCTCGAAGGCTAAACCATAATAGGCAGCGCATTCACTGCATCTGGTCCCATTTTGGCTTGAGTCTGCTGACGGTTATAGTGGTTCCGGTGAGCACTCTGTCGCACTCTGCCCCTGGAGGACGAGGCGGGGTTGCAGCTTAGGCGCAAGGCCGCTTCAAGCTCCGACATTTCGGTGATCCTGGCAAGTTGTATCGTCTCGGGCTACATAAATATACTCGGGGATGGGCCTCGTTATCTGGCCTCAGCAATGCCAAAATGGACATTGAAACTCAAGCACTTGTGGCCTATGCACCCGACAGCAACCTCAAAGCTGACTGGAGACTCGAGCAGGTGAAGCTTCTGCTCTCTCCCAAACAACATGAGCTGAAGGTTCGGATGGTAGCCACTGGCATATGCCACTCCGATCTCGTCGCCGCATCAACTCCGCCTATACCTGAGTGGGGGATGACCTTCCCCAAGGTATTTGGTCATGAAGGAGCCGCCATAGTCGAAGAAGTGGGGCCTGATGTTACTGTTGCCAATATTGGTGATCCGATTCTACTGTCGTACAGCTACTGCGATGACTGCAGCCTTTGCAAGATTGGCCAACAACCCTATTGCTTGAGGTGGGCTCAGATGAACATGTCTAGCGGGCAGGGTTACTTCGAAACCCACGATGGTCAACATGCTTCCGGCATGTTTCTTGGCCAAAGCAGTTTCGCAGGAACGAGCATTGTCAACGAAAACAGTGTGGTTAATGTGAAGCATCTCCTTCAAAGCGATGACGATCTGATGCTGCTGGCACCGCTCGGTTGCGGATTGATGACTGGGTCTGGGGCGGTCATCAATGGGGCTGGTGGGCAGCCTCACGTTATCGTGCTAGTCACCGGTCTTGGTGCTGTCGGTCTTGGGGCTATCATGGCAGCAAAAATCGTTGGCTGTGAGGAGATCATTGCCGTGGACCGGGTAGCGCATCGCCTGGAAACAGCACGGGAGCTAGGGGCTACCAAAGTGCTGGACTCGACCAAAGTTCGGGGCAATCTTTCTGAAGATATTCGAAATCTCGTACAAGGGCGGCGCATCTCGATCATCATCGAAACGACCGGAGCTGCACAGGTCATCCAAGAGTGCGTTCAAGCTCTTGGTAAGCATGGAAGATTTATTCAGCTGGGAGCGCCTCCTTTGAATTTCGAGATCAAACTACCTCTACATGCATTCTTCTCCGCCAACCAGTCCTTCGAATGCCACTTCCTTGGGAACACCACTGGGCAAGAGTGGGTTCCGGTGATGATCAAATGGTGGAGAGAAGGGAAATTTCCAATTGAGAAACTCGTAAAATACTTTCCGGCCAGGAAAGCTTTACAAGCCATACACGAGATGGAGACTGGTACTGCAATCAAGCCAGTGTTGGTTTGGTAGATAGGGGCATAGTCGAAAAAGTTCAGGTAGGCGTGTTTGCGACTCGTGGTCTATGTTTATTCTCCTTATCCCCGAGAAACAAATCACGTAGCCCCCCAAGTTGTTGTGTTGTAACACATCCCCTTCAAAATGATTCATGGAGAAGGTGGCTTGCGAGAGGGCTCCTGAATTCTCGCGGGTAGATACCCGCGTAACAGAGTGGCCACCCTCTGTTAGTCAGTAAGAGGTACAACTCATCGAGATATGCCCTAGACAATGAATGAGAGTATTTGGGATCTTGTCATGAGCTGTCGTACGGTGATGACGCGGTGGCTGTTTGTACGTTCGTTTGAAAATTCAATGAGGTCTCCATCGCACCCCCATCTGTCTCGACAGCCTCCCAGTGGTAATGTGTGGGTGTTAAAGCAGACTGGTGCTAGAGAGGGTTTTCTGCCCAAATTAAATAGTTTTTCAGAGAGGCTGCAGCCCTGTGCGTACTGGTGACTCTACAACCACTCATTTCGACGAATTGAACTCCTTCATAATTGGTTACAAATCAATCAATGCTATCCCAACCTCCTCACGCGATAGTTGAGCTGCTTCGAGGATACGCGGCAAACTCGGCTCTCCTTCACGCTTCCCAAATAGCCCGAAAGCAATGATATTGAGTCGTCTTCCTGGAGAAATTACAACTTTGAACAGGATCCTTTTTTCTGCAAAACCGCACCGATCCGCTGTAGGTGCAAGTGCAAATTTGGTGTCTTTTCCACTGAGCCTAGCTAACCTTCTCGGTGTCATGCCTCTCGTCGACAACACCATGGAGAACAGACCCATGCTGCAACTTACGAGCAATGGCATCTGTGAGTTTGGAATCGAAGGCTTCTCCATCAAGGCTAAAAGCAAAAATGATGGCGAGTCCTCCAAATGCCAGACTCACAAGATAGATGAGTCGGAATGTTTTTGCAAACGATGAAACCATTACTGACTCTACAACCTCGAGGATGTTTGGAGTTATTCCAGGGATCTTGAGTAGGCTGGATACGGGGGCGTGGTTGGCCAGTCCTTCCAGTAGAGTAGGGACAACCTTCACAGGTACGCCTGCCTGGATAGCTGCAGGAGCCACCTCTGTCGTTAGATAGTGTTTGACCTTGGTAGAAAGCTGCGTGCCCGTTAGTGTCCTTCAGTGATCTGGCTTTCAATTCAGGATCACTCACAATTGCCGAGTATACTGAAGCTATAAATTCGTTTAGAAAAAGGACCTGATATCGAAGTGCAAATCCATGAACTTACTTGAAATAGTTGCAAGAACACCTCGCATGGTAGAGACAACCCCTGTAGCAAGCCCCATATCTTTTGAGTCGATCTGCAGAGGTGCACCAGCCATAGTGATGACCTCCATCACTCCAATCATTGAGCTCGAGATGATACTGAAGGCGATTGCCCGTCCCTTGTGGTTGACGGTCACTTCGGCCATACCGCCAATGAATGAAGTAAAGATGACACATGCTGTAACTAATTGCCACTTCAATGGGACCCAGCGAGTGAGAAAGCGAGTCAATGGCATAGCTAACGCTTGTCCAAACAAAGTTCCTCCAACGACCGTACACTAGAGCAAAGTCGATTAGTCTTAACGACGCTAAAGAGAGGAGTGAGGACATAGAAACACTCCACTTACCGACATCCAGCCGGTGGTTTCTGAGGGCTCAGCCCATACAGCGACGATCTGCTGTGGGTATATGAGGTTCAATGCAAAGAAGATCATGGAGCCAATTCCAGAGACCATCGTAAGGCAGACAAAGTTTCGATTCTTGAAGAGAGACAATAGGACTAGGGGTTCTTTGAGTGGAATAAAGTACTCTGTGGTCGTTAACATCTTGAGTATTTCTGAATTCGTATACGTTGGATGGTGACATACCCCATAGAGCAAATGAAACCATTCCAAACACTCCGACAACGATTGGGACAATAGTACTCGCAGATTTCCAGGCTTTTATCTCATTAGTACCAGCGAATCCTGACACTTCGAACACAGGACTCCGAACATACGATATTTTTGCCCGCCCCAGGACAGGCCGAGGACGAACGACACTAGGCTTCCACAAAAAATAATCAAGCCTACATAGTCGAAGTTCCGGATTGCTTGACGCTTACTAATACCCTTGTGTAGTTGTTCAAAGGTCGGTGGAAAGTAGAAGAAGACCTGGAGGAGTACGACCAGGGCATTTATGATGGCAGAAAGATAATATATCCATCGCCATGAAGCATGTTCAATGATGACCCGGGCTATATGCAAAAAACTTTTGTCAATAAGGATTCTCCGAAAGTTGACGATCGTGCTCACCGAGACCGGGACCAACGCCAATAAGCGGGCTGAATGTGACCCATGTGATAGCGAGACAGATCATCCGATATTTATTTGGGACCAGTTCGCAGAACAAAGCACCCTCGATTTGCTGCACTCCGTAAGCCATGCCAATGATAAAATTCTAAGTCCAAATCAGCAGCTCTTCTCACGGCTCGTCCTGGCACAGCTAAACATACCGCCCCGAGAATCGAGTTCAAATTTTTAGCACTGCCGCTAATGATCGAGCCTATGAAGCCCAGGACGGATCCGTAAATAAAGAAGTATCTTCGCCCAAATATGTCGGACAGTCGACCGTTGACGGTGAAGAAAACAGTCTGTCCAAGAATGATGTTGAGGACGACCCAGATGTACGATGTGCTTGGGCCTGTGTAGAAAGTGAATGTCAGTATATACTACTCTACCAAAACTCCAGAGCAATGGGGATTCCGTACCGAACACCTCTTCGAGGACACCAACACTGGTAGAAATCATGACGAAACCCAGGAGGGTGGCTACCCAAGCCAGTGAGACTGACTAGTTGACTCACAGTGTTAGTAAGGTGTCGACCTTCTTCCCCGAAAACAAAATAACTGACCAGGAGTGAAACCAGGAATCGCGGACTTCGGAAATAATGTGGTGGTAAATCGTCCACAGAGTGTCCCCCTATGGCCGCTGCAGAAATTGATTCCATAGGAGACAGATCATTATTGTCAAGGTTACCCTCTGGACGAGCCCCTCCAGACAACCTTTCGGCAAACTCCTCCTCGTTGGTTTTTCCTTCGTTCCACATCATAGACATTGGGGCCTGCTGTGCAAAATACTTTTCAATAGGAATGGATGATACTAGGCACGTAGAAACGGACAGTGGCATCTGTTATGTAGCAAACAAGACGTAAAACCTCTGCCATTCAAGAGTTTCTCGGATAGTGTGGTATGCAACACTTGATCAAATGTTAAGAAGACAAACGGTGTTGGAGCTGGTCCCGGATATCTAATTGATCTCTCCGGCCCACTATTTCTCATTTCGGCTTAGTTGGCCCCCAACAGGAGAGATGGGGCCCCGGATCTGAGTCGTATACTCCGCGTACTCCTAAGCGATTCACCCTATTGCTCGCTACAGTACGTGTATAATGGAAAGAGTGGCACGGTAACTGAAAGGGTCCCTCTAGCACTGTATCAGCTCCCGTGAAGAGGCCCATTTCTATCCACCCTTTGCGGCTTCGATACACAAAGACTTTTAGCGTACAGAAGCCTCCCTCCGACACCAGGGTTATTCGGTAACAATAGCGTGACACAATTTCATCTTTCTCCGAACAGAGGTCTACCTCTCCCTTGGAAGCTACCTGGTTGTGTGCTTTACTTGCAGGTCCATCTGTTCGTTTGCAGCGAAACTCCTGGAAGCATCGGAGGGGCTCCTCGTGATGGCCGACCTTGTACTGTTAAGGAATGATGCCGACCGGTGATCATAGCCTTGTTTGAAAAGAGATCCTGACGCATGAGCCCTTCTTACCCAGACGATTTAACGGATCGGAGCAACGCTGTCTCATCGCACAGGGGCAAACACCAACGAGGATTAGATTTCGCCCAAAATCTAGCGACCGCAGCTGCATGGGTAACGGGACCCCCAGAATCTCCACAGCCAATTCCCTCTCCTATCCATGTGGAGCCTGGGACAAATTTTATTCATAGATAATACACTCCTCGATACAACGGATGATGGTGCAAGACCCGTGTCATTGAATAGGGAAGCTCTATTCAAAACTATGCAGTGATCACTGTTCATTCACATATTGGACAGCGGCTCTCTCTGCCGCAGCTTCCTGGGACCCGGCGCTTCGCAATACCTCCAACCAGCCTGAGGTTCGCGGCTTCACAGTTTGATCCGTCAATCTGGGAGCCGCCGGCTCTGGTTTCAGTCGCTACTGAGATCTCAACGACACGATTACCCCCTAAAGGTGAGCGCCAGACGAAAATCTCTGTGATGATCCTTTGAGGACAGCTTGAAGAAATGAGCATCTACACCTGCGGGTGATGTGGCATCATTCCCAGTTATGCCTGTTTTCGGAGGCTCAAATTGCTGGAATACAATGACAAGTCTGATCCTGCAGTCTTCTCAATATGGCCTAGGGGTGACTCTGAGATTGTGATGCCCGACGCTTTCAGGCTCTGGTAATCTGTAAAGCCGTTCCTCTCTCCTGGTGGGAAGTGTCTAGGGTGAAAAATTGCCATTCGATATTGCTGAGGTCATAGCATAATAGAAATGTCTGAGGATAACAAGTTCAATCTATTTCGTTACATGGACTAAGCATGTCGGGCTTTACCACAAATAAACAAAATTTCACCGCATCAGAATCCAAAGCGGCACGCCGACTCCGGCCCCGTCGCCCAATATTTGCCTTGACTACTAGTAAGTTCCTCGCATCAACACAATATTGGGCCATTGTGTTGATTATGAGCCCCTTTGAGGGTTGTTTCAGGCATCAACCAACTCCGAGAAGAAAACCGACCACTCCTCAAATCCTAACTCGTTCATATCGGGTCCAAGAAACTAGATTTTGTCACAATGCTTAGTTCCCTCGGAAATACAGATGGGTTTACTCACCTCTGGCAAAGAGTAATCCAATGATGCCTCAAAGGTATCACAGTTATTGACACGATTGAGATTGGTAGAGACCTCCTGTGAACCATATGACGTGGATGTTCTTCCGCCACGCTTGACAATCTCCCTTGCGTATGACACGATTTTCCGGGGAACGTTGGCTCCAAGCTCGGAACCACTTGCGTATTCCAGATAACCAAAATGGCCAACAATGGTATCCATCAGAGATATGTCGGAATTTGTAGTCGGAAGATTAGGATGTTGGATTACGTGTAGAAATAAATTGATCAAACCGACGAGTGGAAAGTATAGAGTCACGCTAAATGTTGGCGTCAGCGACAAATGGACACTCAAGGGTCTGAACAGCCGTCATACCATATCCCGCATGCTGCGGTAAGGTTCAGGCTCTGAGTAGCTACAATGATTTCTCGCGAGGCCGATGCCAGTATGTCGGTGCTCACCTGTCTTTGATACAGTATGTCCGAGTCATGGGCATTCCTACAGCCTGGTGGATGCCAAGGATAGCAGCTGACAGTGTGAATTGAGATAAGTGTGTTGTTGTAAAGGCAAGTGACAAACCCAAGATGATAACGGTGCACCCCAGGTGGGAGGGAGACCGAGCTGTAGGGCGGTTGGGCTACGAAACACGTCGGTAAAGAATCGTGCCACTCTCGAAGTTGTTTGTCCAGGTCCCTGACTACAGGCAGCAGCTCCTTCAATCCCTTGCTAGCAACTTCTGCAGAGGACAGACGAGCCTGCACCTGACTGGTAATCTGGTAGTGTTTGGCCAGTATTGAGACGATGCTTTGACCGCAGTCGTTTCCTGAACCTCGATCCAGGGGCGCTGGAATGGTGATGTCTTTATCATTGATAGCCTACCACAGTCAGCTGCGAAGCTTTTATAGTGCGGGCACGTTTTCTCACACTAGGTCGGCCTGACCGAAAGCATAGGTGCTTGTCAATGCTGTAGATAGTCCACCATAGAGTGTTTCGGAAAGCAATCTCTTTTTCGCTGAGCTTCCAGGACTTTCTAGCTTTGAGATGCAATCCCTTCGACTGCGCTAAGCGAACCGCATTTGATACAAGCATAAATTCAAGCGCCGGTGTTGCGAGGACTTCCGAAAAACAGGCCTGTAAGACATTCATAGGTCAATGTTGGTTTAGAGCATCTTACAAGATCCCAAAACTGAAGATGAAAAGAAACGGGCTCGCCGCTTACCATTGCGATCATCACCTGAACAGCATCCATCCCACTTCGCGCATAGATCAGTTCCGTGTGTACAGAAAGAGCATTCTCAAAGTAACGCCAAGCTTGGGAACGAGCTTCGACAAATGCTGATGGGTAAGGCCCTCTGCTAAGTGCGGAGAGACAACCGATGGCATATACGGTATTCCGCAAGGCGTACCAAGCAGAGTCGAAACGGACGCTCGAGCCTTGGGTGCTATAGTGATCACGGAGGCGTTGTTCAAAGACAGAGCGATCGATAATGCCAAAAGCCACATCTTGACTTGTTTCAAAGTAGGCTGCCACCAGAAGTTTAGCTAATATTTGTGCAAGGATATTGAGGTCGAGAAATCACCCGTTGCCCATGCCCATGCCGTTTGGAAGTCGGGCTCTATAGCTCTCTCAGCTGGCACCGCCCTCTCCCGATCGTGACCCATCAGTTCCAGAGTGAGCTGCTTGGCGATAGACGCAAAATCCGGCACACCTATGTGGCGCGAAACCCAGTCTAGAGCGGGCTGAGTACAGATCGGAAGGTACGAAGCTGTCCCTAAACAGGGTGTCAGCAAAGGGGGTCCAAAGAATATAATTTAACCCTGATAGGAGGGAGACCTCGAATTTCACCATCTAACTGCCGCTAATGTTAGCATTGATGAACGCCGTAGTGCATCAAAACTGGGTATTGGTTACCAGAATCCCTTCATCAGCGCCACAAAACTGGTCCGCAGGTGTAGATGGTGATATCAATGCAGGAGCGGTATTCAGAGAGTCCTCGGGAGAGCAAACATCGGCGTTCAGCACGTCATCTTGGCCACATCTGGGGTTTCTTTGGCACCATACCGACTGTGTCACTTCTTCGGGACGCATATCAAAAGACTCAGATTGGACACTGATCTGCTGTTCATTATGTTGTGAGCGTGAAACGCTTGCACCTGCAGGGACAGCATGGTCTTCGGAGGTTGGTGGCTGTGGTGCTTCGACACCCTCTCTGGAGTTCCCCAAGGGCCGTATGGGTCTTGGGGGGGCTTTCGCCCCCGAGGGCTGTAGAGTTGAATTTCGTTGCGGGCTTTTCTGAGGCCGGGCTGCTTTATTGGGATAGGTATATGGCTGAAAGTGGGAAAATTGTCCCAGCAGACTGCCATCTGTGTCTTTACGCTTCCGCGCGGTCGGAACCGGATACCAGCAGACTTCTTGGTGAGACTGTGTTTGAACAATATACTCAGTCTCTGTTCATAGTAATGATAGGACAGCATCAGCACCACATACCAGGCAGTTATGGCATGGTTTCGTTCCACTACCTTCTCCGGGTCAGCAATCTGGCTTCTCGAAAGTAAAGGATTACAACTCTCACATTTGGCCTTCTTGACTCGGCAGTAGTTACATGCCGAAGGACATTTTGAGCCGGATGATTGGCTGGTCATGTTATGTCGATTATCTGGGGGATTAGTTTATAGGATGGGCACAGTCAAGTGGTGGCTGAGATGAAGCAAAATCTGTCTCTCCGGGTGGATGTGTTTGCTAGTTGTCCCCTCGAGATCCGGGGAAGGTGCTAGGGCGGGGACCGGGGAACTTATACTGGCCATACCACCCCGATGCACAAGATGCAAACCTACACTATTTACGCACAAGCCTGTTCATACGGGATATGGGCAGGCCTTGTGGCGGTGCACTAGTTCAATGGTCGCAAATAGCGAGAACTCTCCTTGCCGGTTTCTTGTCCAGGGATGGAGTGGTTACGTAACAATAAACCCACCAGATCCGGGGAGTTAATGGGAGACCATTGTACCTGTATAAGATCGGCGGCTACCTCAGGTGTCTCTTGGGTTGGGATTCTGTACTTTACACATAACGACTACAAGGGTCAGGGGGGTGAGAGTTCTCAGGTCTCTCCAGTAGCAGCATTGTTAGAAGTTCTGTCACCGCCTTCTCCACTCAGTACTGTGTAGAGGTACTCTGTACAATGCTTCAGATCCCTCGCCCTTAATTCGCGGAATTTCACCGCCATAAGGCCAGCTCTTAATAACATCACTCCCAATCGGCCTTGGTGAACCCAATACAACGGGCCTTTAAGCGTCGACTAGGTATTCTTCTTTCAGCGTCTTGCCTGCGATAGTAATTGGATTAATGGCCACAGTTATTCCAACTAGACGAGCTGGCTTATCATTCGACAGGTTGATCCAGCGGTGGTTGGTGCCTCTTTGAATGACGTGGTCCTACACTCATCAGCTCAAGTTCGCACTTTCTTCAGTGACCGTGGATGGTCAAAAGCTTTCGCGAGGACTTGACTTACACCAGGAAGAAGTTCTCTTCGGTCTCCACTATCGACATCCATCGCGACGTGCCCTTCCACACATATCGTGGAGTCAACCGACACTGTCCGATGCATCCTGGTTTGCGCCCCAGGCGCAAGATTGGTCACCACCCAGTTAACTCCGCCAGGCACAGTTGCTCTGACCACCAGGTGTGAGACAGGATTGGATGGATCTGATGAAAGGTAGCTGTTGAGGTCCTCTTCACCAGTGAGGTCTGCGGGAACTTTGTCGACCGCATATGAGTGTGAGCCGGCAATAGCGTCGCCACCTTTGGCCCAGAGAAGAGGCGGGCTGTCAAGATATATCGCCTTCCCGGATGCGTCATGGCCGGTTATGTAGCGACGACATTCACGCATCCCAAAATTCACCCCAGGCACAAGACTCGCAGTGTTCAGCCCATGATCGTCTGACATGGTGAGACATGCAACAACTCGCTTCTACCGTCTGGATAAGTTTCCTTGAGTAGACTTTGGAACTGGTCTGGTCGCAGTCTCAGGCAACGGAAGGACTTTTAATCTGTCGTTGAAAAGAGCAGTAAGTCATCCTTTAACATCCTAACTGCTTTAACGAATTCTACACCGGCGGCATTAAACGGCTGTATATCTCTAGGCTCTTGTTGACTCGTGTCCCACCAATCGGTGGCCAAAATGGTCCGGATCCGGATACAAAAGTGGGTGGGTTTAATCTTCCCAGGCTCCGGCACCACAACAATCCGGAATCCTCAATTCTCAAGGGTAAGCTCTGTTAGATATATCTTTGAGACGTATATTTTAAGCTATTTGTTTTTACCCTACTGACTCGAACAGTTATACTAAGGAAGTAGTCTATTCCTCTTACTCCATCGCTGAAGCATACAGCGAAGGAACCCGAAATCACTACACAATATGGAGATTGGTCCAAAGACGACAGCTGTTGTGACCGGGGCAGGAGGTGGAATTGGTCGATCGATCGTTTTGTCTCTCGCAAACAAAGGGGCTGCAGTGGTGGTTGCCGATATCGATGAAGATGCTGCTTTGAAGGTTGCCGAGGAAGCCAAAGGGCTCGGGGCAAAGTCGCTGGGTGTCAAAGTGGATGTTTCCAAGCTGGAAGACGTGGAAAGATTAGCCTCTTTGGCCTATGATCAATTTGGCAGCGTCGAGATATTGGTGAACAACGCAGGAGTGACGATGCGACCATTCAGAGCCTCCTGGGACACTTCTCTCAAAGATTTCAAGTGGACGATGGCTGTGAACTTTTGGGGAGTGCTTCATGGTCACCTGGTCTTTGTACCCCGAATGCGTGAGACCCCGGGACGAAAGCATATTGTGAATACCTCATCCATGTCAACGTTGATCGCGTTCGCTGGTCACTCTGCTTACTCGGCGTCTAAGGGCGCCGTGGATGGGTTTTCATTTGCTGCTCGTGAAGAGCTAAAGACGCAGAACATCGGACTGAGCATTCTCCATCCAGGCCCTGTCAGAACGAGAATCGTGACCAGTGAGCGCCTCCGGCCTCAGGAGGATAACTCTGAGGTACGTAAGGTGAAACCGTGGAGCGATTACTTGGAGAACGGAGGCAGCACTACTGCTCGCGTGACTCCCTCCACTACGACCACTTCCAACGACCCGAGCTTTCCTGAGCATCCTTATCATTACATCAACCCGGACGAGTGTGGTCGTTTCATACTCGAAGGCATTCAGCATGATAAACCAGTCATCTTGACACATCCTCCTCAAGTTGCCGAGCTTGATGAGCGAAGGGATGCCATCCTTGCAGGTGCACCGGTCAGAGCTGGTGGAGCTTGAATCTCTTGGAACAGAGTCCGCTACCAAGGCTTTGGTGAAGCAGTGCAGAAGCCTTGCATACAGATTGATAGACCAACGAAGTTTTCCTGTAGGAATTTTTCGAAACTAGTGAGATAATAATGACATGAGTAGCCTCATACCTAGGTCTTCTGGCCCTATCACTCATTGCGAGGCCACCTAGCTGCATAGTTCTGACTAAAGAAGGAGTATTTCTCCAATAGGCACTACCTGAATACCACTTGGACGATCATTTTACTTTCAAGTCTATGAAATAAGTCATATAGTCCGTCACGGTGTAAGGCGGAACGAGTCGACCTACGAGGACTGTGTCTTCCAGTTAGTCAATAAGGTGGTACATCCGAAGCATATAGCTCCGCCCGCAGTCTTCCTGACCTAGGCAGAGGCCGGGAACTCGGACAAACTTGTCCAGCTAATGGATTATACCTAATATTATTGCCGGAAGCCCCCTCTCGGACGGAAATGCACGATTGCATGAACATGAAAGTCTGACGGAGATCATGACCCTTCTGGGTGTCCAAGTGGGTCGACTCTCCGGAACATCCTTGTTATACTCTCCGCATACCCTGGAACAAGGTCATTATGAGCCAGGTACTATTTGAGTCTTCGACAGTCTCCAAGTATAGGTGAACCATTTCTTGTTCGCGAAAGATATTGACGAAATTGGAACCAGCAGCCATGGCCGCGACAGAAAAGAGAACCGCGCGATTGAAGGCACTGTTCCAGTCGCCTCGGACTACTCTGATGCCTTTTGGGGTACTACCTATACATGCGCAGATGGCAGAAGCTGCTGGATTCGAAGCCTTTGAGATCTCAGGGGCTATGACCTCGTGGTGGATAGGAGGATGTGCAGACGTTGGACTCCTGACCATGACCGAGATGGTCGCACATGCCAAGCGTGTGGCCGACTCGGTCAATATCCCAGTCTACTGCGATGCTGATACAGGCTACGGAGGCCCTGCAAGCGTTCGTCGCACGGTCCATGAGTTCATCCGAGCTGGAATCGCTGGCATCCACATCGAAGACCAACTGAATCCAAAGAAGGCTGGGGCTCAACCTGGAATCGAATTGGTGTCTGATGAAGAAGCAATCGGACGCATCAGAGCTGCAGTTGATGCTCGCAATGAGTTGGACCCAGACTTTGTCATAGTTGCTCGGACCGATGGCTATGGTGCCACTGGCGGATCTGCCGAGGAGGCTATCCGCCGAGGACGTCTCTACCAGGAGAAGACAGGCGCCGATGTCATATTCTACGAAGGCTTCCATGACTGGAACCAGGTCAAGCGAGCACTAGCCGAGACACCGGGTCCGGCATATGCCATACCTCACCCTACGATTTCTGCCAGGCCAACCATGGATGAGCTGTCTAAAATGGGACAGTCGATCGAAATTGTACCGTTTCTTCTAGCCGGTGTCCAAGAGGAATGGAACCTCTTGCTGAAAGTCAAGCAGGCAGGCCACTACGGACCGATGGATGAATACCTTTCCAGCCTGGCTCGGTATCGTGGGACGGCAAACGGCATTGGGTGGGGAGACAGGTTTGTAAAGCCAAACTACAAGGAGGTTCGGCAAATGGAAGAGAAATATCTGCCCGCGGAGTTGCAACGCGACTATGAGAATAATGTCAACGCCGAGGATGATGCGAAGAATACGTATCCATGAGAAGTTATTGATCAGGTTACCACCAGCTTTTGTGCAATGATAATTTCTGTCGGCTGCATTCTCCACATGTTTTGTGGCATGGCCGCACTCAAGGTTCAGAATATTACTCAGGGCCGCGTTGGTAGTATAATTGCATTGGACGTATAACAGGTGCAGCATATGTTGGGGTCGCTGGGTTCAAATGCTACCGGGAGAGCTATCAATCCAGACAGTCATAGGTTTCCGATTGGATCTCTCATATCGTTCCTGGGGCGTGGATTGTGCAGGATAATGTGTGTTCCACTCCAATAGCACTCCGTCTTGGATCATTGCACATGGCCAGAAGATCCTCCCCTGGAAGTAGGGGCAAACAGTGTGTACTGGTCCCGGAGACCCAAAGGTGTTTTGGATCTTTCGCTCCGAACTCACATTTACCGACGTCCAGACAGCTAGTTGTAATCCGATTCGTGGAATTGAGATCGTGATAGAGACTCCAAGACCCCAATAAGGACCCGCACACCCCCTGTCGGCCCTCTATAACCAGGCGGACGTAGCGCATGGTTGTCTTCTCCAGCAGCATATCGCATTATCTAGGCAAACATTGGTATTGTGAGAATCTTAGAAGTATTCATTCAGGGGAATCAGATAGCGTCCAGCAAGATGAATCGCCCTCCAGTTTACAATTTCTTCTTTATGGACACACCGTCACATTTCTCCCACGGTGCTTGGAGGATGCCCGACAACCGCAGCACCGAGTACAACACGCTCGATCTTTGGGTCGGTGTAGCCAAGTTAGCAGAGGAAGCAAAAATCGACGGCATATTTTTTGCGGACGTGCTCGGACTGTATGAAACCCAAGGAAAGGACTGGGGAAAGATGGTACGCCATGCCGTGCAGTTCCCGGTCAGCGACCCAATGATGGTGCTGTCAGCGATGGCGTACGCCACCAAGGATGTGGGACTCATGTGCACGAGATCGGTCTTGCAAACACATCCTTTCGAGTTCGCCCGTGCTGCTGCGACCTTTGACCATCTATCCAATGGCCGTTTCGGATGGAACATTGTGTGCGGCGCTTCCAAGAACGGCGCGCGCTGCATGGGTCTTCCAGACGTGAAAGACCATGCTGCTCGGTATGCTTGGGCCGAAGAGTTCGTGGACGTGACCTACAAGCTGTGGGAAGCGTCTTGGGACGAGGGAGCGGTGGTCAAGGATGGTGAACATCAGATATATGCCGATCCGAAAAGGGTTCACAAAATCAACCACAAGAGCGAACGCTACAGCGTCGAGGGTCCGCTAGATGTGGAACCTTCACCACAGCGAACACCGGTGATATTCCAGGCCGGAGGCTCAGGACCTGGCGTTACATTTGCCGCAAAGCATACAGAAGGGGCATTTCTGATCTCGGGGAATCCTGAGGCGGCGAAAAGCAAGGTCGAAGGCATGCTGGCAGAAGCACTGAAGGCTGGTCGACGTAAGGAGGACCTCCACTTCATTGAAGGCATCGCCATCATCACAGGCGCGACTGATGAAGAGGCTCGTGCGAAAGAGGCGGACATCGAGGCAAATCTCAACGACGAAGCACAGAGTTTGATGTATCAGGGTGCAACCGGGATCGACCTGTCTTCGTATGACCCTGAAACACCCCTTGAAGACCTCCTCGATACGGCGCCGGGCATGAGAGGTGGGCTCAGGTTGGCCATTGATTCTGTCCAAGGCCGTAAGGCTGTGGTTAGAGACTTGATCCGCGGCTCGACCAGGACCTACCGTGCGGTAGGTGGTCCCGAAACCATTGTCAAGAGAATCCAAGAATTTCTGGATGCCGGCATCACGGGGTTCAATCTTTTGCCCATGACCGTGCCTGGGAGCGCAGAAGACTTTTGCAAGTATGTGGCTCCGGAGTTGAAGAAGCGAGGATTGATGCAATCCGAGTATTGTCCTGGTACTTTACGCGAGAAGATGTTCCCTGGAAGCGGACCTTACCTCAACGAGCGGCACCCTGGCTTCAAGTATCGCAACTCGATTCCAGAGGGCACAGATGCTCCTAGTGACCAAGTCTTGTAGCCCTAAATTTTGATCTCGAATTACTGGATTTGACATTTGCTCCTAGCTCTCACTTGTGACTTTTCTGTCTTAGTAATTAGCAAATTGGAATTCGGTGATCGGAAAACTAGTAATAGAACATGAACTCGACATTCTGCAGTCATGTCGTCTCTGCATTGATTAAGACAGATTAGACCCTGGGCAGTAACAGTCCACCAAAGGGGATAGTGGCAGGTCACAATAGATGATTTGAATTTTTGACAAAAAACATTTATCTATTCAATTGGAAAAAATACAAACAAAATACAAACGTCAAACGTGTGGCATACAACTCAACTTTAAAACGACCCAACTTCCCAAAACTGCCCCTTGTTGCTCATGTAGACTATGCTTGTCCCAATGGAATATAGCTACCATCCACGTACACCAAAGGATCCACTGGCCCATTGGTTCGCGCGCTCCGGATATGCCCAATAAAAACCTCGTGTGTTCCGTAGGAGAAGCTTCCATCCAGCTTGCAGAAGAAATTTGCCTGAGCATCGGATAGGTAGGGCATGTATTGCTCGTCTTCTGCCCAACTGCCTTCCTCGAATCGTGCTTCGCCCTTGACCTTCCCACTGCACATTCTGGCTATCGTCTGATGCGAGGAGTGAAGGATGTTGATGCAGAAGTCGGCGCCTTTGGTCAAGGGTGAATGTATCGAGGCCGATTTGTTGACACAAACCAACAGCGAAGGGGGTTCCAAGCTGAGCTCGCAGGCAGCGGTAGCGGCCATTGCATAGCGTTGACCCTCGTGGCGGCATGTTATGACCACCACTGCCTTGGCATGCCTGCGAAGGCCCTCTTTTATCCTTAGGGGTAAGTCGTGGTCGCCATTCGTCGCGGGATGTGGGATATTGCTTGCAGGGCAATGTGATGAGTGGACTGGCACTGGATTTGAGTCCTCCAAATCACGCTGCAACTCCAAGATCGATTGTGGCTGATCCGCTAATACCCGTGGCCCTCCTTGGTGTTGAGTCTCGGACTCCTCTGACGTCTTCTTGACGGCGTTGTATTCCTCAATTGTGCTCGCAGCCATGTTGGTTCTCAATTTTGCATGTACGTAATCCATGATATCCGAACTCTTCTCAGAGGTGTATGGTGACGCTATTGAGATATCAAGGATAGGTTCATAAATCATTGGCATCCTTTCTGCCTTGCCGGGGCACTGTGTGTTGTTTCAATAAGGTTGGCTTGTGGATGTAGGCAGTTAGGAATAGTTGGTCAGCCTGCTGTTTCCAAATAGTTGACTACTATTGCAGTCGGATTGCTTCCTTGGATGTCGAGTTGCCATTATTCAATCAGGCTGTTCAGCCTCCTAAAGTAGGTAATTGAGTGGCCGAGAGACACATACGCAGAGGCTTGTAGGCAGTCAAGCATCCGCCAATAGGAAGGGTCTCGGCGTTCCTCCAGTAGGAAGACAGTATATGCTTCCGCCAATAGGAGAGCAGCCATTGACGCCGCCAATAGGGCTAGTCAGCTACCATCACAGCCGATACAGGTTTGAAGTACCGGAATGGAGACATTTGGCGCATGGTTTCGGTCTCGGCCAAGCTCAAACTGATGGCTGACAAGGGAGTCACCTAATCGTACGCTGGAGAATTGAGGCTTGAGCTTCCAACCTCTTTATTTCAAAGCCGCTTCCTCAATCACTCCACGACCAGCAGCAAACTTGATCCGAGCGCATCATTATCTTCATAACTATCATCATGAGTCATCAAAGCAATCCTCGCGTCCTTATCGTGGGCGCTGGATCTATGGGTCTTGTCTGCGGCTACATTCTGAGCGAGGCAAAGGCTGAGATTACGTTTCTCGTGCGGCCGCACCGTGTCAAGGACTTGAGTCCCCCTCGGCGCTTGTACTGCTTCAATGATAACAAACTCAAGACATTCCAGGCCTACCAAGTGGCCACTGATCCAGAACACATGATAGACGCACAGTACGACTTCATCTTGATCACCCTGGACACCCATGCCCTGATGAACGAAGTCGGAACAGAGTTGGTGAAAGTTATTGGCAAGGCTGTGTGTGGAAGCAGAACCATGGTGGTAATCGGCAGTGTCTCTTTTGATATTCGGCCATGGTTTCTTGAAACCTCCCAAATCCCTAGCGAACAGGTAGCCAACGGCATGACCCTTGTCCATGCGTATGCACCAAGCGTTGTGAAGCTACCTATCCACGAGGGCACCGACCGCAAGCTTCTCCAAGAAGCCGACCAGGGGTATGTAGACAGTCTTGGGGCTGGCTTCATTATCAGCGACAGTGCACCTGTTGTGGCCGAAAAGTTTTTCGCTCTATACAACTCGAGTACGTTATCATCATGTGCGGTATATCCGGCAGAGAAATATCTCCTATTCAGCGCCAGCTTATTTCCAGTATTTCCAGCCTATGAGCTGCTTGGTTGGCCTGACTACGACGCGATTGATCCTGAGGGAGAGATCTGGCGTCTCTGCATCAGCGCAATGAAAGAGATTCAAAGACTTAGTATCATGGGAGTCATGGGTGAAGGCGCCGCCGAAAGTACGTCTGGAGTTGGAGTTATACAGCAGTTCTCGGGTATGGCAAAAGCGATGTTTCCCTTCCCGCTGGTAGAGTTTTACAAGTACCACCATGGTGGTAAAGTCGTCACTCAAGACAGAGAGTTGATGGAAATATGTGTCTCTTATGGCAAGGCGGAAGGAAAGCAAATGTCAGCATTGAGAGAGCTGCTTCGGCGCACGCAGTAGTTATAGGGCGCGGATTGCTGGACCTGGTGGCACTGGATAATGGGCACGAGTGTTAAATATCCCCTCCCTCAATGAAGCGCAGCCCGTGAACGTCCCAGTCCATTATTACATTTGGTCTCGAGCTCAGTTCTTCCAGAACAACAAATATAATAGTGTTATTAGGTCTGTGTAGATGGTGCGTCCACGGACACATGTAAGTAATGTTCTCCCTAGTGCGATGAAAGTAATCGAGCTTGGTGCTGAATTATATATTCTAGACTTTCTAAGTACAACTGTTCACCCGACAAAGCTCTTGGAATGGTCAAGTAAGTCACTCGATTCAGATTGAATTCAAGACTTTCCTCAAAGACTTTCATACGACCACACAATCTGTATATTGTTGCACTACAGGTACTATAGCTCATGTCGTATTTCTAATCTATGGCTAGAATAATGCCAGTGCATTGACGGGACTTGCTACGAGCCCTGGTACATTGAGCGGAACACTGGTGAGCAGGAAACTATATTTCCCAAGCTCTTTGCACTTCTGACTCAGGGCCTTCAGGTCCCAGAGCTCTCCAATTGGCATCCCAAACAGAACGAGGAGGTGAAGGTGCAAATGGACTTGGTCAAAGGCGGCATCACTTCCATCCGGCTTTTTCGACGGCATTGCCTCGAGTCCTAGCGCATCTCCCGCTGCGGCGGCGACTTGAACTCGTCAGACCTATCGGAGGCGTACACCCAAGACTGGTTTACTTACAACGATGATTCCAGATCCACTTCGCTACATCCGGGCTACTCTGAATGCCACAGGAGTGGTGAGAAGCCATCTTCAACTTTTGTTCGTCCCTCGAGAGGTCCTCGAGCGCCTCCGTGAAGCCCGATCTAATCAAAAGGACATCACCGGGCTTGAACTGCACGCCCTGCCGCTTGGCGATTGCTTCAATCACGTCGGTCGTAATCTCATGGTTGCTAAATGGGTCGTACTCGATCCCATTCTCGTCAGCATATGCTTTATAGTCGATCAGGACTCCCCTAGCCACGAGGCCACCACGCTTGTGCCAGTGATTCAACGTCGGTATCTTCTGCTCGTGATCTTCATTGCCGTAATCTTGGACCAGCCCTTCTTTTGTAGGTCTAGAGCCATTGTAACCTCTGACGCTAGCCTGGTGCAAATAGTGGCACAACCCATCCCATTGACTAGAGCTTTGCGTGTTGAATTCAAGTTCATCGTCGAAGGAGTGGACCTTGGCTGGTGTGTCCATAAAGCTTAGGATCTTATGCTTAAGCGGTGTTCGACCGAAGCCCGGAGTGGATATTGCGCCGAGAGGCCAGTTCAGTGAGACCGACACACCCTCTTTGAGCTCGCTATAGGCCGACTTGACCACGCCTGGTGTTAAATGATTCAAGGTGCCGTAAACATCCTTTTTGCCCTCTTTGTCGAAAACCCCCCAAGCGCAGCCTATGATCATAAGCAGTGTGCTACATAGCCCTAATCTTGGAATGACTGACCCTTGGGCATACCCTCCACCTCCGGCAAATCCTCAAAGTTAGGCACATCCGTCATTTTTGCCGCGCTTTGTCAAATAGCTCCGAAGTTGGTTGAGGGGCCAGAGTAGATTTGTCTGTCCCTATCTGGAGAAATGGCTATATATACCCGATTTGACGTTCAGCAGAGTCTGGCAACCCGGCAATGAGACGTCTCCAGGTCCAAAATTGATTCAGGGCCAAACTAACGGAGCCAGCCAGCATCCCGATTAGGTAAGTTTCTCTGCGTCCATCCGGCTCCGGGGAACCTCCAGCCAAGCGGATTTTGTGGGATGGAACTCCACTTCAAAGGACCGCCGTCGTCCAATAAGTGACCGGAGACAGAACCATCTACCCAGGTTTCTGCGCTTGTCCTAATTGTTTCACCAGAATTCCGGTGGCGCATAATATTGAATCTTGAACACCGGGACAGTCTTCTCTATAAGAGCTACTGATCCCGCAAATCTTAAAGGAGCCTGCCGATGGTGCTAAAACCTGGGATAGAAACCCTCCCTCCTACAACGTTCTGACTACAGAGGCAATAGTTTGTTGGGCAACATTTGACCAAGGATCTGTGGCAACGTCTCGATTTTCTCGGCTCCCATCAAACAGCATGGCTATTTTAGGGTCGATTGACTCCTCTACCATCCTGTACGGGACTGGCCTAGGATTGGTGGTCTTGGTAAGTCTATGTTGTTCGTACTGGCTGGCATGACATCCTAATACAAAGTAGCCTATTGTCTACTATGGCACCATTGCAATCTACAATCTTTGGTTTCACCCTCTTGCCAAGTACCCTGGGCCACGATTGGCTGCTGCAACGTCCTGGTGGTATGCTCTAAGACTTATGAGAGGAAGCGCCCCTCAGGAGACGCTAGCTCTCCATGAGCGGTATGGGCCTATTGTACGGATCTCACCAAATGAGTTGTCATTTGTGGATCCTGTTACGTGGAAAGAAATCTATGGCCACAGGAAACCCGGCGAACCAGAATTAGTTAAGGACGAGAAATATCACGCTGGAGTTTCCACAGAACCTACGCTTCTCAATGCCAATCGAGAGCAGCATATCCAGCTACGCAAAGCCTTGTCCCATGGATTCTCCGAGGCCTCCCTTCGTCTCCAAGAGCCAGTTGTCCAAGAATACCTGGAGATCTTTCTTAATCAGCTTGCGGAGAAGGGTGAGAATGGCCAGGTTCCTATGGAAATGGTATCGTGGTACTCGGCAAGTTGTGAATTCGCCTTCTGCTTCGATCAATCTAACATGTGAATAGTACTTCTTATTCGATACGGTCGGCTATCTCAGTGAGTATTGCAACGTCTTCGATCCTGGTAATGATGGCTGATCTACAAACCCAGCCTATGGAGAGTCCTTTGATTGCTTGAGAAGCTCCAAGTACCACCTGTGGATTGAGTTGTTTGGGAAGCTACTCGTAATGGGAGCCATGTTTCAAGCAGCAGGACGACTTCCATCTTGGTTAAGAAAGCCGTTTCTAGCGCTCACGGTGCCTTCCGAATGTAGGCGAGCCGCTAAGATAGAGTCAGAGATCTTGACAGTGAGTGATTTGTGGATGCCGGGGTATTTCAGGAATTGACACCGACAGGCCAAAGTCAACTATCGTCTAGAAAACACGCCGCCCATCCCTGATTTCATGGGGAAGCTCTTCGATTCGTATAATTCGAAGTCGAACACCATGTCATACTACCAGTTGAAGCAGAATTCTCGAATCTTGGTTATGGGCGGAAGTGAGACTACCTCGACCGCACTGTCAGGTAAGAAGGCCATTCTCCTCTAGTAGCACGACTCGGACCCTGAGACTAATTACTTCGATAGCTGCGACGTACCTACTGCTGAAGAATCCCGAGGTCCATGAGAGGTTAAAGGCAGAGATACGCACCTCGTTCGAGTCTGAAAAGGAAATCAATTCGATCACTGTCAACTCTTGCAAATACCTTCTGGCTGTAATTGAAGAGATGTTTCGATTTCACCCGCCATCACCCGCGGCACATGCACGGTACACACCTCCTGGTGGCATGATGCTCGCTGGCCATTTCATTCCCGGGGGTGTTGCTGTTGGCATCACAACCTGGGCTATAGCACATAGCTCCTTGAACTTCGAGCATCCCGAAAAATTTATCCCCGAGAGGTGGCTGGGGGAAAAGTCGATCTATGATCACGACAGGAGGGATGCAATCCAGCCATTTTCCACCGGTCCGAGAAACTGCATTGGCCGAAATCTTGCCAATTTAGAGATGAAGATGGTTCTGGCAAAGCTCATATGGAGATTTGATTTGGAGGACTGTACACCTGGGAATTGGCTGGACCAGAAAATCTTTATGGTGTGGGAAAAGAAGCCGTTGTTAGTGAAGTTGCACCCCCGGAAATTCTAGAAGAACAGACGGTGGTTGGTCGACAGAGGTAATCTTTAAGATCATACGTTGACTACAACCATGACTCTTCGCGGGAGTTGATTAACAGGTGGCCTCGTGAACTGCGTTTCTGTTAAACGGCTCGGAGCCGCCACAGCGATATGCATTGCCAATAGTGCAATGATCACTGCGTCGCAGGATGAGTTCTCACTGCCGTAAGAGCCGCGCACAGCTTAATACCTGCTCCCGGTAGCTGCACGAATCTGCAACATTTACTACTAGTGTCTCAAAGATATGCAGTATAAGTAAGAAATTACCACTGCTAATTAAGAATTCGATTCTTCCACAGGAAACGCGTTTTCTATGGTATTTTGGCTACGTTCCGCTGAGTGTTATAAGCGATATGTAATCGCTTTGTCAAAGTGAGAGTCACTTCTAACCGTTTTGTTCTTCTTTAGCATGATTGATATATCAATATCTAAGCTAACTCAATAATCGAATCGGACTGTCCACCCACTTTTACTCAGTGCTTTCTCGCCGGACGTAGACACTTGCGAATGTTGCAAGTAGTTGGGAAAGCAGCCGCCAGCGCTTTTTTCATCGCCGAATTCAGCCTACGTACTCCTCAGTAAAGACGCCATATTTCTGCAAATCTGGGCCGAGATCTCGGCATAAGACATTCACTGTACAAAACCAAGATTTTACTGCTGAAAAACTACCTGAGTAATGTTGGCTGGTGCCGACAACTCGAGCCCCTCTTGTGCCGGTCGTGATTTTGTGGTCAACCACGAAAAGAAATCTTTTGTTCAGATCTAGAGCTGTCCCCGAATCATTTGCACTGCATTGCGTTGCATGGCGCGGCATGATTGACGTGTTAATACATTCCCTCCCCTGTGCCTACCGTTCAACGTTTTCGTGTTCGGCATCGACTAGAGAATTTGACGTCTACAGCCCGACGACGACAGAACTCGTCACTTCCGTCTGCGAGGTGGGTGTGGAAGATGTCGACGCCGTAGTTGACGCGGCGGTCCAAGCCTTTGAGGTCTGGTCGGACCTGCAAGCGGCGGAGCGAGGGCAACGGTTGACTCGTCTGGCCGACAAGATGGAACAAAACATTGCCGAGTTGAGTCGTCTCGAGGCCATCACCATGTTACTCAAAGTTCCGAAAAGAGTCCCCTGTCGTGTGTCCTGGTGGCTAGGTGGCTGGAGAGGAAACCAATTTCCCAAAAGGAACGCTCAACATCTTGAGTGAGTTCGGTAGACCTTTGGCGGGGCACTCGCAAAACACGTGGACATTCGAAAACTGGCCTTTACCGGTTCTACGGCCACAGGTAAAGCCATCAAGGAAGCTGCCGTAGAGAGCGATCTGAAAGCGGTCGCTTTGGAATTAGTGAGGAAGTCCCGCTCCCCCTCTTCCTCCCTGGCATTTTCGACGATGCAGACCTGAAAAAGGCAGCCGTCGACGCAGCCAACAGCATCCTAGTGGTACCCGGTCAGGCTTACATGGCCAGGACAAGGGTATATACTGAAGAAAGTCGATCAAAAGAAGTTTTGGATCTGGTGTGTGTACTCAATTTCAATATTTCTATCGTAAAGCACGTTTTCTACATTCATATCAAGGTCGATGACTGGTCATGCAACCACTGATGCTGATAACCGAACAAAAAACAATGGTTGAAGACTGAAATTGTCAAGAGAGGTGTCTGGAGATCCTTTGGCGAGCGGCACCCTCCGTGGACAACAAGCGGATCGAGTTTAATACGAAAGGGTGCTCGATTTCCCCAAACTCGCGCGAAGAGGAAAAGCTCGAGGTGGTGTTGGGAGGAGATCGAGAAGACAAAACCGGAGATTTCGCACAACCGACCATCACCTACAATCCGCCCCACGACAGTAGGTTGGTGAGGGAAGAGATTTTCGGCCCCGTGGTGAGCGTCTGCACGTTCATCGCCCACCAAAAACTAATTACAAACTACAACCCAGGTAAACCAGCCATGTTCTCCGGAACTCTAGCAAAATCCATCCACATCTCCTCTAGAGCTTCGGCGTTGGTCATCAAGTCAGGTTGGAAAGGTATCAGAGAGTCACCACTCAGTAAAGGTAACTGTGACATACTAGCGCCGCCCACGTCGGGCTGTTGCGGGTTCCAAAATGATGCAGCGGTAGCGGCAGTCCATTCTTGTCTCGACGAGTTGTAGGTATGCGAAAAGACCGTACCGTCCGACGATCGATCTATCGGTTTGTTGCTGGTGTTGGTGCTCGTGTTGGTGCTGGAGTTTGTATTGATCGTTCTCATGTCAGTGTGTGATCCCGTGACATTAGGACTATTTACAACTGTCGTGTCAAGAACGGAAAAGTTTTGGGTATGATTTTGGTCTTGATCTTGGTCTTGGTCAATGACCAAACTTTCCGGATACACGTCGATGCTAGTTAGAGGTGTAGAAAGTTCACCGTAACTTGACCGAGGAGCCCGACGACCGCTTGTGGCATGCTGTTGCTGTTGTGATTGTTTTTTGGTGGTGGTGATGGTGCTGCTGCCGCCGTTGCTGATTAGTTTGATACGTCCAATAATGTGATCAATGGTCTGTAAGATCCATGCAGAAGCGAATTGTTGTTCCGAAAGAGAATGTAGCATGACTCGACACTCTTCCAACCTCCGATTGGCCTCGGCCCGAAGCTTGATGTCTTCCGAAAAGGTATCAAAGACGTGGTGTATACTGGCCGGCATCAAGCAACTTACTACGGTCGCCGATAAAAATGTGATTAGGTCGGCCCGGAAAAAGTCCATGGCGATCTTGGTGATTTCCTGAGCGCAGCTCCTCACGATGGCGCGTGACGTGTCTTTGCGGTATTGCTCCGCGGTGTTGGTTCCCCTGGGGCTTGTCGTGGTGCCGGTGGTGGTAGTGGGGGATGATGCTTCCGCTGGCAACATCTGAGGTCGGTGTATGGTCATCAACGCCAGGTGATAGAGCATGGCCAGTAAACCTCGGTGACACAACTCGGCTTTATGCCAAGGGGGTGGAGGGTCGAATGGCAAAACACAACCAACCTGCCACCATAGATCCTCACCAAGCTGTTGTCGCCAAGCCATGAGTTCTTGCTCGCAGACATTCAAATCTTCAATATTTAGTTGCCGTTTCGACGCGACGTGATTCGAACCTTCCATTTGCTGCGCCGAATAAAGCACCGCCGTCCTGCCCGCCGCGTTTTCAGGGCATGCCGCGGCCAAGATCCGGCCAAAGATGTCAATCAGTTTTGTAAACTCGACGGTAACTCGCGCGAGAGCCTGACCTTGCTCCTTGGAAGGCGGCGGAAGGCCCATCAACGAAGTTTGAGGCGTGCCTTCTCCTTCATCGTCATCGAGGTTAAAATCCTGCAAACAGAGCATGGCCACGTTATGATCAATCGGCTTGATCCGGGGAGCACGACTCATACCAATGGAACTAATGACTTCGCGCGTGTGCAGAGCCCACCAGAGGCGGCGTCGATGTTTTCGCTGCTGGTGAGCTGTTGGGCTTCCTCCGTCAACCCCAGCAACGGGCGGCTCCTGGGGTAGATCAACTGTACGTGCAATGGAATAGGCAACGCCAATCCAGTGCCAGCTGTCCTTTCTTTCGTTGGTGCCTCTCCACCAAAAGGCCCACAGCAACAAGGACTGGACAAGGCAGATCCTGTCTTCTTCGTAATCCATGTCGTAGAGCAACCTGATTTTTCGATGCCAACTCTGACGAAAAGCCTTCCTGGTCAGGAACCCGGCATTTCGGACTAATCGGACGTCAGCCCACATGCTACCAGCAAAGATGAGGGCTTGAAGCAAGAGCAAGCTCAGAAGTTGATGTCCTTCACCGCCGCGATTGATTGTTGACTGAACTTCGACAATGTCCACGGTTGGGTATAACGGATGGATGTAGAGAGTGTAGCACCGAAGACACTCCTCCATCAACGGGCGGTCTGGCAGTGTGAATGCGCCCTTCTTCTGGAGATATTCGATGTCGTCTGACTCGAGAGATGGTGGCAGAGGTCTGACATAGTCGGGAAGATTCGGCGACCTTGACGTATTGTACGAGTAGCTCATCGGGGCTAAGTTTTGTAAAAACAATGAGCGGCATTTCCTCCAGGTGACATGACTCCATTACTTACTTGGTTCGGCCCACTGCTTCATTTGGTCTTGGTTGGTAGGGTTGACGGGATCCGACAATGACGGCGGAGGGTCCTCCTGAGCATCGACGAGGTCGAACGAAGCCATGCTTGATTCTTGGTACTTCGTAGATTGTGTAGTTTCTCGGTTCTTGGTTCTTTGGTACGACGTAGGTGTCGACGGTCCAGCATCTTGGTTCGCATTGACGTGTCTAGATGTCAGTCTGGACTTTCTAAAACCCCCGCAAGTTAGTGGGATGAACGGTGAGCTGCGATGGTGTGGAGAGGAGACAGACTTGCGACTTTGTTTAGGCACCAAAACACAAGGGACATTTTCGAAAGCACATATAGAACAGCGCTTTCCGTCCCTCGAGTCGCACCGGACTTTCTTCAGGCGACATAATTTACACGCGGATCGAGCACGCGGCGCAATGGAACGAGTTGCACCACCAACACCACCACCGGCGACTTCCCCCAAGCTGGAGGCCGAGGTTTGCATGTCGATGTTTTGAGATGATGTTGATGACGATGTTCCCTGTTGAATTAGGCCTAGTTGATGTAGTCGGTAACAAGACATCAAACGTCTTCATACAGGTATTTCGCGGTGATGAAAGACGTTACTCAGCCATGAGTTCGGATGATTAGTGATACTTATCGTTCAAATTGTGTGTAACGAGACGGACGGGGGAGATTCGGAGGAAACGAGGATCTGGATCTGGATCTGGGGCACCGAACATACTGTATGGAGGAAAAAACTGTGGAGAGACAACGAGAGACACAAACGAGGAGCGCCGAATCTACTCCGTCTGCCGAGCTCTTCTACTCTAGACTCCATCTACTTGAATACTACGATTAACAGACTACACGGTATGATTGGATGCCATTAACACGGATGGTTGCTCAAAAATACTCTGTATGTACAAGTCATATTGCATGTCTATTTACTTCGCCACGGTCTAAACATTGAATTACTTCTCAATATACCACGCCAGATTATTCCGGGTGTCCAGTTCGAACCTCGTGAATCCATTCCCCAGAAAAGACCATCTGTTCTTACTCCTATACTTGATCTCAAAATCCTCGGGGCGGAGATCCTCGAGCACTTGGCGGAAAAGCAACGCACTTCCCCTGTCAAAGCAGAAAAGACACCGTCAGCAAAGAATCGGACCACAAGGCAGGTGAGAGGCGAGGGAATATATTGATTCTTTTTGAAAAGAAAAGAAAAAACTTACCCAAATCCAGCAACGTTCCGGCCGTGAATGGTATTCCTCTTGAACCAGCTTCGACAATTGTCCGCCCACACAAAGGTTTGATGTACGGCATCTTCATACTCGATCAACTCATCAACCACATCACGTCGTGGCACGATGGTCTCGATGTCTTCCTCGGCCATCTTGCGAATCCACTTGAGAAAGTAATTGGCCGACCAGTTGATAGACTCGATGAGTGACCCATGTGTGACGACGGCGTTGGGCCCCAAGAACATAAAGTAGTTGGGCATGTCCGCGGCAGCGATCGATAGGTACGCGCGAGGGTCCGCGTCCCATTCCTGCCGGAGGTCGACCCCGTTCCTCCCGATCATGTGCCAGGACGGCTTCCACGATACGTCGAAGCCCGTGGCGCAGGCGATCACGTCTACTTTAAAGGTTCGACCGTCGGCCGAGGTGATAGAATCTTCATCCGCGCTGACCACCCCCTGAACGACCAGTTCGACATTGGGCTTTTGTAGTGCTTCGAGATAGCCTTCGGCCGGGGTAATACGACGACATGCCAGGCCCCATTCAGGAATTAACTTTTCACACAGAAAGGGGTCGTTGTGTAGCTTTTGACGCATCTGCTCACGAGCGTCCTCGGTGATTTGTTTGTTCTCAGGAGAACCTTTGATGAACTACAACGCATATATTAGTGAGATTTGCCGATGAAAAAAATGCAAAGAACCTGCCCGTTTGAATCCGGCATTGATAGTATGGGTGATCTTTTGGCGGTAGTCGCGATGAAATTCTGGGTCTTCGCGGAACTTCCTCTTATCTTCTTCGGTATAGGCTGGATTTCCTGACTGGTCGTCTCGACCCAGGAGAGTGGCCGGCGCAAAGGGTGTGTACACATAATTCGAGCTTTTCTGGAAACAAATCACTTTGGTGCCTGGCAGATCGGCGAGCTGGGGGATGATTTGCACCCCCGAAGACCCATTCCCAATCACACCGATGGTTTTATTCGAGTAGTCATACCCTTGGTGCCAGTCGGCGCTGTGGCACTTGTGGCCCTTGAATTTCTCGAAACCCGGAATGTTGGGCCATCGCCAGGAACTACGCACAACCGCGAGTCAGAGGAATCTGGACAGATTGTAAAAAGACACCGCAACCTACTTCAAGACTCCCTGGCCTGAGACCAGAATGTCGGCGTACAGCGTCTTTTCGCCATCTGGAGTCTCAACCTTGATTTCCCATTCGGACCGCTCCTCCAGCCACAACGTTTGTGTCACTTTATGGCTGAGCCTAACATCTCGATCGAGATTCCACTTTTGCACCGTGTCCTTCATGTACTCATGGATCTGAGGTCCGGTGGCGTAAAAATGACTCCAGTCTGTCTTGGGATCAAAGGGAAAGGCCTATCCTGATCAGCCACGAATCGAGCAGACCATCTGCACGCGTTGAATGTGAATAACTCACGTAGATGTGGGCTGGGACATCACATTGTACCCCGGGATAGCGGTTGACCAACCAAGTCCCCCCCAGGTCTGCGCGTGCCTCAAGAATGGTATGGTCAACCAGATCCTGGAACTCAGGTTGTTCATGTTGCAACTTGTAGGCAAAGATGAGACCAGAAAAGCCTGCGCCAACTGTGGCGATGCGGATCTTTCCACGAGGAGTATAGGCTGGCTCAGGATACAACGCAGCAGTCTTCCGATGGCCACCAACATCCATGTTACTGCAACTTTCCATTTTGTATACTGAAGTGGAAGTGACTCGCAAATGGATACTCAACCGACCTAATGTATGAGGTCCAAATAGTCCAGAGATGAGGTTGAATAAAGCCGAGTCTAAGCATGCTCGGCCATCATGCCTTCTCTGGTCCGGTGTCCTGACCGAAAGCATTAGATGACTTGCTGATATCTCATCTAGGTCAATAGCCCACTCATCATTGATAGATAGTGTAGCGAAGCCGGCTATTTCGTGGGCATGGTGAGTGTTGTCGGTCCGGTCAGCATGCAGGACGAAATTCCAGCCTCCGCGGCCCGAACTCTTGGACGCAAGTATAGTACCTTTGAATCCACAAGTCATTCGAGGACCAAGATATGAGGTTAAATTCTCATAATAAGCCTTCCCATTGCACGTTACCACACAAGCACGAGCACCAAAAACTCAGCCATGGCATCTTCGAACAATACTCAGCTTCAAGGCACTGAATTAGGCCAGCAAATGGCCTCTCGATTCCTGGGCGAGGAATTTCTTGCCTCAGTTAAGGCGAAGTTGGTGAGTTCACATGCTTGATTCCCAGGAAAGTCGAATGAGGGACTAAGGACAATATTGTAGAAAGATGACATCTTCACCAAAACCAGCATGGAATTCATTTACGATCCCTGTTTTACTGGCTATGCACGGCCCGGTCTCGAATTCCGAGAGAGGGCATTGATGAACATCGCCATGCTCATTGCATTGAACCGTGAAGCCGAATTACGGATTCACATACGAGCCGCTGTCAACAATGGTCTGACTGAGCAGGCGATTTGTGAAGCGTGCCGCCACGCCATGATTTATTGTGGAGTCCCAGCCGGACGTATGGCAATGATTGTTGCAAGCGAGATCTTTGCCCAGTTGAAGGAGTCTGGAGAGTATCCTAAAAAGGCCTGAGAGACTTTAGCAAATAACTTTAGTTGGCTAGTCAATCGTAAGAGATTAGTGAAATGGAATTCATGCATATATTGATACTTCAGGCTGTGGCGTAAAGGTGCATAATAGTCGATGCTGTCTCCGAGCCACAGGTGCGTAGGACGGGTGCTGACCGGGGGTCTTTGTAACCATGAGCAATTCATCATGACCTTCCATAGGCACAAATACTCCATATCTTAATAACCTGGAGGAGGTCTGCAGCATCTCACTACTTTCCGCGGGCCGCGGAAGATCAGAGCAAGTGAGAGACAAGCTGCTTCACATCCCCGCGCCTCCGGATCGGCGCATCTCGGTGCAGGAATAATGTGGGGAGTGCATGGACCGAGAGTCCGGGCCGGGCGTAGTGGGTTTCTTCGGTTCCTAGGGTCCATGGAAAAATGTATCATTGATAATGCCATGCAAGTCGCAAACAGATGGGGCTGCGTGGAGTTTGTTGCGTGATACTCCAGAGATGTACATGCAGCAAAGATGGCCAACGTCGAAGTGCCGAGGACCATGTTGGCATGGCAGAAACACATCCCCAGCAAGACACCGGTGAGAAACCTTTTGGTCGACTCTTTTCCTCGATTCAGAGTCACGATAGCAGCGTAGATTGAAGGCAACAAGTAAGACGAGAAGTTCTGACAGCACGGACATGATGATCTAGGTCCGCGTAGAAATTCCTGTACCAACGCCACAAGATGATGAAGTGTTGGTTAAGATCCACGCAGTGGGAGGTGAGCTCGCCGACTGTCCCTTACCTCACTCTTGTCCCAGAACTTTGACTGACGCTCTTCCCCAGTGTGTCATAGTGATTACAGTATCAAGGAGCTAGAAGTTCATCCTGTGGAATTCACATCAGGAAGGATGAAATTCACGATGGTATATGACTATCCAGCACGCACGGACAATTGACTGACCACCAGTCACGACTGACAGGGCCATGAGGGTTGCGGCGAAGTCGTCTCGATGGGACCAAGGGCTCACAAGTACCAAGTTGGTGATATGGTGGCTCTACTGTGCGTGCCAGGCTGCAATGGCGCTGAATGTCCGGAGTGTTCTGGCGGAGTTCCTCAAGTGTGTTTGGTCGGTCCTCGATACGGGGCCGGACCAGATGGCTTCTTTGCACCGTATGCGGTGGTCCGGGAGCATGCTTCCATCAAAGTTCCCAGGGGAGTGGACGCTGGAGTAGCAGCAGTGGCAACAGATGCTTGTATGACGAGCTATCACGCTGTTATCGACCGCGCACGAGTCACCAAGGACGATGTGGTATTGTTGTTCGGTTTGGGCGGTCTCGGGTTCAATGCTCTGCAGTTGATCCTGCACATTGGCGCGCGGGCCATTGTGGTCGATCAACGGCAGGTGGTTTTGGATGAAGCCGTGAAATTCGGCGTCCGTAAGGAAGATGTGGTTCCGGCAGGAACGCCAGATATTAGCGCATGGATTTGTGAGCGGAACATCAGAATCGACAAAGCCATCGACTTTGTTTCTGTGCAAGATACTTACCAAGCCGCAATTGATAGTGGTGAGTTATTTCCCGCTCTAACCTGTACTTACTACTTCTAAGGGGCACAGTTCGTCGAGGAGGTACCGTGGTATTAGTAGGTCTTTTGAGCCCAGAGCTGAAGTTTCGTACTGCTACCCTGGTTCGAAAACAGCTGGATGTATTGGGGAGCTATGCTGGTACAAGTGCTGATATTGCAGCTTGCCTGGATTTATGTGCCCAAGGTGTCTTGGTTCCGCAGATCCAAGAAGGGAGTCTGAAGGACTTTCCGCAGATTCTTGAAGATCTGCACCATGGGAAAATCAAGAGCCGTATGGTCATGAGACCCGAAGGAATGGAGAAGGCTTGATTTAGGATGGATAGGCTTTTAACCGTGTGAAAAGCATCTTGTGATTGTCTCTCCTTACCTTAGATAGGTAGTTTAAATCGGTATGGCCGTTACGTGAGTGATGGTACGAAGGGACCTTGACGAGACCATGTTTGTGGCGAGAGTGTCAAATGATACTCTATGCATGTATGTGCCTAGGTATGTACCGTCATTCAGGCACAGTCGCAGTGGTTCAGTGAGTGAATGTGAATTATTTAGTAGGGAGAGCGTGTCCTCAATATGCAGTACGAAGGATGTACCGATTTATTCGAGCCATGGAAATGCTTGGCATTGGTTAGTAAGGCAGCGACTTGGGTTTGCAAAGTGAGTTCGTCATTTATCGCACTCGCTCAGGCCATAGCAACAGTTAAAGCTGCAATTGCAACTCGATGGAAATGCCATTGATCAAGTCTCAATTCTAAACTCTTGCACGCGAACCTGTTTGCATCTGGCAAACCATCAATACCACTCATTCCTACCTATTTCTCGTCGCGTTTGTCGACGTATGTTCACTTTGTCTCCTACCCTCAAAGCCTGCGTCACGCCCTCTTCCTTTCTGATCCTCGCCCACCGATCCCTTCCAGTCACCTCAGACAGTATATGACAATTAGTCTATGATCATCAAGACAAAAAATCACTGTCACATCTTGAAGAAATATAAGTATGGGTCAGACTTTGTCAGAACCCGTGGTCGAAAAGGTGAGTCCAACTTCACTTTCAGGGCGTTCTTTCGGGCCCCTTCATGACTGCACCTCGCAGGCGACGCTGGAAAGGCGACGCTCAGAAGTGTAGCATGACATCAGCCTTTGTTCTCTTCACAGGCTGCGCGGTCGCAAGCTGATAATACTGTATGAATAGACGTCCGATAGCGGGGCTGATGACTTGTTCATATATGGCCTCTCGGCCATGCAAGGATGGCGCATATCCATGGAAGACGCGCACGCCGCCGTCCTCGATCTCAAAGCAGAGGATAACAACAAGTCACAACGAACAGACCCAGAAAAACGATTAGCCTACTTCGGCGTCTACGATGGTCATGGAGGGGAGAAAGTGGCGCAATTTGCAGGCGAAAACATACATAAAATCGTGGCAAAACAAGAGGCTTTCTCCAAGGGAGACATTGAACAGGCGCTGAAAGACGGCTTTCTTGCCACGGATCGTGCAATCCTCAACGGTATGTTACCAATCCTACTTGACCTGATGATTTGAAGCTAAATCACGCAGATGCAAGGTATGAGGAGGAGGTTTCCGGATGCACCGCCTCTGTCGGTGTCATCTCTAAAGACAAGATCTGGGTTGTAAGACATCCCTATACACCGCTTTTTGCATCCATACTCACTCTCTTAGGCCAATGCTGGAGACTCGCGAACGGTCCTTGGTGTCAAGGGAAGAGCGAAGCCTCTATCCTTTGATCACAAGCCACAGAACGAAGGTATAAAGCTATCATGAATCTGGCTTTCTAGTCACGATCTGACTCCATACAGGCGAGAAGGCTCGAATCAGTGCCGCTGGAGGTTTCGTTGATTTTGGTCGAGTCAACGGCAACCTTGCCCTGTCACGTGCCATAGGCGATTTCGAGTTCAAGAAGAGTGCCGACCTTTCCCCCGAGCAGCAGATTGTCACGGCATTCCCAGATGTGATCCAACATGAGATCTCGAGCGACGATGAATTTTTGGTCATCGCTTGCGACGGTATGTCCTCTTTCCCGAATCGAACACCGTCAAATTGACCATGATTAGGTATCTGGGATTGTCAATCCTCACAAGCTGTTGTAGAGTTCGTACGTAGGGGTATTGCAAGCAAACAAGATCTACATCGGATTTGTGAAAACATGATGGACAATTGCCTCGCCTCGAACAGTGAAACCGGCGGTGTTGGTTGCGACAACATGACCATGATTATCATCGGTCTCTTGAACGGCAAGACCAAAGACGAGTGGTACGAAATGGTTAGCAAGAGAGTGGCAGATGGTGATGGGCCATGTGCGCCACCAGAGTACGGCAAGTCCAATCCTTGAACCTGGGGCTAAAGACTGATCTAACAAGGCACAGCTGAATTCCGCGGTCCCGGTGTCCGGCACCAGTTCGATCGTGACAGCGCGGACGAATTCGAGGTCGACACGGACCATCAACTCCGAGAGTTTGGTGGCCGAACCGGCAGAATCATCTTGCTTGGGGACGGCACTGAAGTGTTGACAGATTCGGATGATGCAGAAATGTTTGATCAAAGCGAAGAAGAAGACAAGGACACAGCGAACCAAGTTAAGAAGCCAGCTTCTGAACCATCTGAAGATGATTCGGCTCGAAGCGAACGGGAAGGGACACCTGCACCGCAATCATCCAGAGGCAAGGATGCTTCCAGTCATCGCGATGCCTCGCATGGGCCTCAGACCGAGATCAAAGGAGTTCTTGATGAGCCGACTGATAAGTAGGCGGGTGTGGACATGTCGGTTTCAACTGGCAGAACAACTTTGACGAGAGCACTAGATACCGTGCATTAGCCTCTCAGGTACTTCAAGAAGGATATCTCTGCATGCAATGTTTGTCTAGAACCACACGGAGACAGGAGGGCTGTTGATTGAGACGGGTTTTTTCATGTGGTCATGTTTTCATTTTAGTGAGATACAACGAGAATCACAAAGGACAGAAGCGATGGGTCTTTGTGAGTGCCTTAGCTTAGGTATGCATGAGGGTCGACGAGGAACGGTGTAACGATTGTCTCTGTTGAGTATCTCGTAGTCGCAGTGCTTTGATGTTGTCTTGTGTGATTGTTTTTACCTGACTCCTTTGCGCAAACCGTCACAATCCCGTCAGCCCACTGTTACATACCTGCATGGGAAGCGAGGTTATACACAAGGTAAGGTCTGCAATGTTTGATATTCCTCTGAAATGCTACACGGACTCGCCTCGTTGTGTTACACTGTTACACCTATTGTGGTATTGAACTTCAGACACGTTTCCCATCGGAATGACGTCGCGTTGCAGCTCCAGCTCCGCCAACAAAAGCGCAGTCATCACCAGAAATGAATGGAGAAGAAGGAGAATCAAGGCATTTGAGGGAGAAAGACAGAGGCACATAGAAAACTTGCACATGCAAGTGACGGCATCCTCGATTCGTCCATCCCTCCAAACTTGAATCTGTGAAGCTGTTTGTGACATTTCATTTATTTCTGGCTCCCACAGATCGCGTCACTTTTTCCGCTAATCAGCACCTTCAACCACAACTTCCGATTCTCACTTTCTCGCTTCATTCTGCCTCGTTCGCTTCCTGGACTTTTCTGGAAATTGTTTTTTTCGTTCCTTGGCAGATCGTGTCATTCTTACCTGGACTCTTTACGACTCCGGGACTGCGTCTTTGTGCTCGCATAATACCATCCTTATCACCACCCACCTCAGCTGCTCTCCTATTCTCTCCCCGTCCGCCACGACAGTGGCATTTCCTACATTCATGTCATCTCCATCTTCCCCAAGCTCCGCAAAGAGGAAGCGGTCCAGTGCGTCGGACCGACTCCCGTCCGCTGCTGCTGACCTGCAGCAACCCTTATCCCGGGATGCATCAGGTGAAGAGCTGGCCGATGCACCCTCACACCATACGCGAACCCGCAAGCATGCAACGAGCAGCTCTCTTGACGACAACGTGCCTCCTAGTAAGCGGGCACGAACACGATCTACCGCGAAGTCCATTGAGCCCAACGGAGCAGACGAAGAAGACCCCGGTGAACCGTCGAGCACTACGGAAGAGAGCGAACAAGAGATCGAGAGGAGCAGCAATGAAGACAAGACCCAGAAAGTTCCAAGCTCTGTCACCAAAGCGGTGGTCAATGGTCAAGATCAGCCGATGACCTCAGTGCCCAAGGCAGGGCTGAGAGATCCCGTAGGGGGATACAAGACGAATCCACCTCCTGAAGGGCGAGCTGTCAGGGTGTATGCCGATGGTGTTTTTGACCTCTTCCATCTAGGGTGAGCTAGAACCCCGTCGTCCGATATGGCTCGATGTGAAAATACTGATGCTCTCACAGACATATGCGCCAACTCGAACAGGCCAAGACGGCGTTCCCTAACACCTATCTCATCGTCGGTGTGACTGGAGATGCAGAAACTCACAAACGCAAAGGTCTCACGGTCCTGACAGGCGCCGAACGCGCCGAAACAGTTCGACACTGCCGTTGGGTTGACGAAGTAATCCCCAACTGTCCCTGGATCGTAACGCCCGAATTTCTTGCGAAGCATCAGATAGACTATGTGGCCCATGACGATGAACCGTATGGTGCGGCCGAGGGTGACGACATCTACGCACCGATCAAGAAAGAAGGCAAGTTCCTCGTCACCCAACGTACCGAAGGCGTGTCTACAACCGGTATTATCACAAAGATCGTTCGTGACTACGAAAAGTACATTGCCCGACAGCTCAAACGAGGCACGTCGCGTCAAGAGTTGAATATCTCATGGCTCAAGAAGAATGAGCTTGAGTTGAAGAGGCACGTCCAGGAACTCAGGGATAACATCAAGACAAACTGGACAACTGCGGGCGGTGAAATTGGTCGAGATCTCAGACAGTTGTGGCAGAATGCCAGCTCTCGACCAGCCAGTCCGGCACCGTTCACTAGGTCTCTCTCCGCCGAGGGGAGTGGGCTTAAGAGCCCAACCGGCAGCACCGCCGCCAGTGCTGTCGAGCATCTCAAGCACCTGGAAGTCCCAGGCAGTGCGGAGCGAAGGAGCGACTCGCCTGGTAGATTCAGCCGCAGTGATGACTTTGCGGCAGGTTACTCTCTGGGGTTGATCGGTGGTGTCAAGTCTTGGGTATGTCGAATCTTGTCTCCGCAGTATTGCAGCGATGGTCCTGTGTGTATGTGTATGCTAACCTTTCCTACTTGACAGATGATGCGAGGCCGACGCGCGCTCAGGGACAGTCAACCACCCAGTCCGGATGGCAGTGAAGATGATGAAGCTAGAAGCCCGGTGAGCGTCACTGTAAGCAATGGTGGCGATATCATGCCGGGACTGAAGACGCCTCCATTCTTTGGACGAGGCCGGAAGGGAAAGAGCTCAAGCGAAGACCTCGAACAGGGTGAGACAGAAGACCATGAAAGGGACGCTATGGATGTCTTGCACTGATTTTATCTTTGTGGATTCTTCTTTTACTTATCTTCCACTTCAAGAGAGGGAAATTACATGCGAGGGAAGAGGTTCAACTCTCTTGTGTGGTTGACATTTCGCCTCTGAAACGCGGATGCATCGTGGTTTTGCACTATAATGCATTAATTTGATTAGGTGGTGATGCTGGACACCAAAAAAAGGTTGCCGGTGAGATGTTAGCAGGGACTGGTAACAAAAGCTGAGCTGGTACACGCAGCAGTGATGGAAGAGCGAGGAATAGATGAAGTCTGTTTCCAAGTATAATGTAGACTTCGGGCTGGATGTTCCTTCTTTACATGTCATTCTGTTGAGATCAACGTATAATCAAGTTGAGAATAGAGTAATATGCACTGCGCCGACGTAAGCTTTTGCTTAAAAGAAAAGCAGTTCAGGGATTTTTTGTTTCAATGTTTCAAGTAATTGACATTTTGATAGTCTTTGAACCAATCTATCAAAAGTGCATTCATCGGGTGCTCATGTTTCTAAAGACGGATCCCTCGTCCCATTGCACCCATTTTGTTTTGTTTCGGGGAAACCACAAAATACACGACCCATTTTGTGTGACTCCCCAATGTATTGTTTTTCTCTCTTTGGTGGTATCGTGACGTTCACTCGCAGGGGAGGGTTTAAAACTCGTTTCGCGCTCCGTCATTCAGCCGTTGTCGTGTGTCGGAGATTCAGCTGTCCGTCGAAATTGGTAGGCGCCTAGTTTTCTCTTCTCTTCGTCCGCCTTTTCCTTAGCCCCTGACGAAACCCTTTCTTCCCACTTCCCCCAAACAGCAACAGAAAAGCCCCAACAAGATCTACGATCTGGGCTTCTCCTTCTTCTCCTTCCACAAGGCGCTCAAACCGACACCCGAGACCTTGACGACCTTGAATCGTACACCGGGAATATCACCCTTGGCTTTACCCTTTCGACCGAAACCAGCCAGGAGGACTTCATCGTTTTCGTCGACAAAGTTCAAGCAACCGTCGTTGGGGACTAATCAAACCAAAAACAAGTCAGCAAGCTCTTCTTTTTTTCTGTGATTTTGTGTGGTTTCGAGGTTTCTTCGGGGAAAGTCATACCGAAAGCGGTGACCTTCTTTCCGTTCTTGATCAATTGAACCCTAACACATTTTCGAATGGCAGAGTTTGGCTGTTTGGCTTCGACACCGACTTTTTCGAGGACGATACCCTTGGCGTGAGAGGACCCACCGAAGGGAGAGGACTTGTAGGCGGTACCGAGGAGTCGCTTCTTGTAGTGAAGATCGGCCCATCTACCTTCCTTGCGGGCGGCGACGAGCTTACGGGCGGCGTTAAGACCGCGGGGCTTGCCTCTGTTTGTCATTTCTGTAAATGATACCAAAAGATATGTTAGCTTTCTGAGGTAGATTTGTGTCCTTCGAAAAGAGTGAGAATTCTTTTGGCAAACGGTTCGTCGCAGGCAAAAGAGTATTTCCCTCTGAGAAGTGTGTAAGAAGTGTCAAACTGTCGACGCGACAGAGAGATGGGGACGAGATGGAGGTAATCGTTCGCACGTACTGGATACTGTGACAAGCAGATGTGTGTTGAGGGAGGTTTCTAGAAGATTGTTTGGCGACTGAAACTTGAGGTCGTTGTCGGTCGCGAATTTGGATTGATGGGGGAGGATCTCGAAAAGTTCAGTGGGCTTGGCAGCCAAGACTGCGGTTGTGTGATCTCAGGTAGTGCAAGAAAATAGGAAGGTGTGCCGGCGGTGAGCTGACCAACAAAGGCAGAATTATTACTGTGGAGCATTGGTACACTCTGGCAAGGCCAGCCTGACGTACTACTTTCACCTACTCCATCATATTAGTGTGAGTGACATCCTCACAGCAGCCTTTCATCACATCAAACATAAGACGAAAGTCTTTCGAAAAGGTACTCCGTAGTCGGATAAGACACCACAACCTTCCCTCTCAATGTCAATTCAATAATAGAATCTTCCCCCCTCCCATCTCCCAAGGCGAGAGCCCACCGCTCTCGGCCAACCGTTTTGGTTTTGGAATCATGGCATCGTCCTCCGCGCGCAAACCACCTCTGTTGGAGGTACCGGCTTCGCCACTCGACCGGCCCAAGTCCAACATGTCGCGGTCCAACACCCACCGCCTCCCGCCGCCGTCGTTGTTCCAAGGGCCACCGTCGAAGAATGCTTCGCACGTGTCACTCAGCCTGCCCGGGGGAGGCGGGAGCGGCGGGGGCGGCGCCGTCGACCGGTCGGGAGGGTCTGAACAACCCCCGGAACACCACCACCGCATCACCAGCCGGCCATCTCGGGTCCCCGCGGCGGCGTCGTTCTCCGGCCCGCCGCTGCGCCAACCGCCCACGCAGCCCGACGGCCACCGCGCCGAGAACCTCTGGGCCGAGATGCAAAAGACGCTCGCCGACGTCGAGGTCTCGGCCCTCAACACCAGCCACGTGTTCGGCGCGAGCCACGTCCGGGCCCTCGAGGACCTCCGCACGGCCCAGCTCTCGCTCGCCCAGACGTGGGCCAAAACCGAGGCCGACGAGCTGCACGACCTGGAGCACGAGAGGAGCGCCGACAGTGGAGCCGCCGCCACCGTCGGCAAGATCGAAGCCAACACCACCGCCAACGCCAACGCCGCCAACGCCGCCAACAAAGGTCGGGGCAACACGGCGTTCACCAACAACAAGAACCTCGAGGAGGAGACGGAGCGGGACATTCGGCTCGCGCGGCGCCGCAGGGAGGCCAACGATCGGTACTTTGAACAGGTCAACCGTGGCGTGTTGGACGTCGTCAACAAGCTCGACGAGGTCGCGGGCGCCATGAGGAGGGTCGAGCGCGAGTCGCGCGAGATATGGGACGAGTCTTCCGACGACGGCATGACCGGGAGCGAGACCGGGTCGGCCACGGATCATACCGGTGTCACGGATAGCCCCATGACCGCCGGTGGGAAAAGGGGCAGGTAAGTGAAAAAATGAAGGTGATCTTCTTTTCACAAATAAATACAACACACGCCTCGATGAGGAAACGACCGAGTGGAACGGAGATACGTTTACCCGCTCTCGATGCGCGAAGGTACATATCGTATCACATGAACATACAGGTTCGCGTATGCTGAGGGCGAATTCCAATCAGGGTTCTTTGACAGCGAGAGCCATGGAATATGACAATGTCACACAGATAAATGCCCCTTGAACAATTCGACCGCGTGCGCAGCATATGCGCGAGGTATTCAGACAAACGGCGAATGACTGGTGGAGAGATAGAGAGGCACTCCCTAGGTATATTCAGGAGTACCGGGCGATTCCGTGCACTTGGTTTGAGAACACCTTCTGGCAAAGGTATATAAACAGATCTCGGTTCTTGCCGGGCCAGAATCAAAATCATGGCAACAACTATCATCTCGAGTCTGGCCGTGGGTCGTTCTCCACCAAAAGTAGGCGGCAGACACTTTTCAGAAGCCTATACATGTCGCACTCATAAAGGGACTCATGGCCATGAAACGCTCTCAAAGAACCTTGGTAGCTAGATACTGCCTAGGCTAGAGATCGAAATCAAATGCTACGAGGCAGCTTTGACTACGAGGATCCCCAATTTCAAGTCAATTACAGCCTAGATAGGGGAAGTTCACAATTTGCATCATGCATTCATATTACTAGGCCGTAAATCCGAAAAAGACTGTATGTGGAAAAGCCACGCTCGCTCTAATCTAGAATCATCTCGACCATTCATTCTCGCTCAGGAACCATCTGCGTCATTTCCACCACTCTGGTCAAAGCGACTTCGACTCGCACGCTTTGGATCAGTCCTTCGCTCCTCATCATCGGCGAAGCGTACAGATGTACTTGAATGCCTGCCACCTTGATGGTAATGTGTCCCAACTCCAGTCCGGGGTGCACTGCTGTTTCTTCGATGCGCGGCGTTTCCCTTTGGCTGGAAATCGGTTGCTTTGGTGTTATCTTTCTGTCCTTCCTCTCTGGAGCCTGACGAACTCGGTCGGCTCCCAGTAGAAATGGCTTGTGATGACCCTGATTCGCCCCTGCGTCGGGTTCTGGGGTTCTTGATCGAGGGAAAGGGACCCGGAGCACGAGGGAGAGATGCCAGATAGTCATCTTGACGCGCCTCATCATCGAGTTGTGCCCAGATATCTTCTGTATCTGTAGCAGAAATGCGCCTAGATGATCCAGTCGCAGCGCGAGGTCGAGCGCCCAGTAGGGGGGTTTGCTCATCTACCGAAGATCTCATAAGTGATGTTGAGCTTCCTTTTCTTCCATTCGGCAAGTACAAAGATTGGTCGTCGGACGCGGATTGAACCAATCCTAAGCCCGGAGTAAGTGGTGTTCGAGGAGGAACTGCTTGAGGAGCAGCTTCTGAAGGTGTTATGTCATCTAATCTCCACGAAAGAGACAGGACACCAAGGAGCAATATGACCGTTCCCAATGCCACCAGACAGGCATGCAGCACACTTAGTCTTGATGCTTGTTGGAAATAGATCAGACCATCTAGAATGGCAATAATGTTGTAAACACAAAAGACGAAGGGGTATAAAACGCTGGTACTGCACAATCTCAAACCGAGGTGTAAGTAATATAATTGAGTCAAGGCGAAGAAAAGCAGAGCAATTAGGATAAGCCAGGATTGAAAGCGATTGAACTGGTTGTTGTGGTCAACGATCGTGCGAACAAGTAGTTCAACGGCGGATTTAGCAACCAGGAGTGAATGTGCTGAGAGAATGCCGGATATGAGAGCGTACGACAAGCCGCGAATCAGGCGTAAACGGTTGACTTTGATCTTGAGATGCTGAGGTAGTTGAGTAGTGAAAGTGGTGGAGAGGCTTAGCTGTGGCCTCGAACTTGAAGATGCCGATCTTGGTCTTTCAGACTTCGGTAGGCTTTGCGCAATGTGTCGATTGGATGACCACATTCTCAAGACGTGCGCAAACAATATGGTCGATACTGCCACAATCATTGTCCCAACCATCCAGATTATGAAGTTCCTCCGATTGAGGAGGTGTAGTAATTGTTGTAGGTTGTGGGCTGGCTCGCCAATGGCCCCAAAGGTCGCTATGAGTGCTGCCCCGGAACATGTCAAGACCGTGCCCAAGAGGGAAAAACGAGTGAATGGTTCTCCTAGCAATAGAGTCGCAAATGCTGTGTTGAATACCAGCCCTGAAGCCTGCAGGGTTGACAGGACCGGAAGAGGCAAAGTAGTGATTTGTATGGTACTGCCGACGAGGTTCGAGATGACGAACATGAACATTCCCAACTGCCATTTTCGCCTCTTATAAGGGGGTCTTCTTGTCTCCAAGTCTTGTTTGGCATCTTCAATCATATGCGACTTGCGCTGGAGGGTAAGTCCCAGGCTTTGGATCGAGGTGGACAACAGGCCGACGACAATACCGACCTAAATCATCAGCGGATTGTTTATCTGGCACGAATTCAAGACGTACGGCAATGGTGCCCTGAGGCGAAAGGTCGCCGAGTTGGCCCATAGTCGTGGATGGTTGTGGTGTTTATTTCAAGGTCCATCAGTTGGGTCAGCCATGCTGCGCCATTCATCTTGAGGTTGCAGGCATCAAGGTGGTAGTTCTGTGGGATGATCGTACAGGCGGGGTCTTTCGTAGTGAGGAAGGAGAAAATAGGTGAGGTGTGAAGAGGCAAGAGAGAAGAGAGAATGGAGGGTGGTGACAGATATTGAACGGGCAAGGGACAATGTGACGCGGGCGGTGTATGGGGCGTATGAAGTGTGTCAATACAGACTGCGCTTTGACGGTGACTTCATCCGGTTCAATAATTGCTTGGTACGATCACCTAAGGTACGAGTACTCCGTACCTTCTGCACTATTTATCTAGGCGCTAAAGCAGGTAGCTTGGTGTGCCTGAGGACTTTAACCAAGTCGCTAGTGGGCTTCACTTCCCCATGTTCAATGAGCTTTGGCTGCGATTTCCCTGCGTCAGTTCCTCATACGTACCAGATATCCTGTTACAACCACCAGCTTTGACTGTAGTTAATCTAGTTCAAGACAACCTACACCGAATTTAACCTCCACTCTTCCAGCTGAGGGTTTTACTCAGTGTTCAAGAACTCGTGAAGGACTACACCCAACCGACTTCGCGCAGACGGTTGCCTCGACTCTCCAGCTCGTTATCAAAGAGCACCATCTCACTTCCCCCACGAACCATCTAGACCGTAACGACAAACCAAACCGCCAGAATGTCGTCCCACGCACTCTCGGACGACCAGGTACACTCTCCCGCCTATTTTATAGGCTATCCTCGTACTAACCGACAGTTCTAGGTCGCATCCGAGCTGAAGAAGATGACTGCCTTCATTCGACAAGAAGCCCTTGAGAAAGCTCGAGAGATTCAGCTCAAGGCAGATGAAGAGTTCGCAATCGAGAAATCAAAACTGGTCCGGGAAGAAATCGCAGCCATCGACAAGGAGTACGAGAAGAAGTTCAAGCAGGCGTCAATGTCGCAACAGATCACCCGCTCGACAATGTCCAACAAGACAAGAATAAAGGTGTTGAGTGCACGGCAAGAACTACTGGACAAGCTGTTCGAACAAGCACGATCCAAGTTGGCAGAGTCTGGCTCGAAGACCAAAAACTACGAGGAAGTTCTCAAAGGCTTGATCCTGGAAGGTCTGTACCTCCTCGCCGAGAACAAGGTGCAACTTCGGTGTAGGAAGGCAGACAAGGACAAGGTCGAGAGTGCAGCAAAGAAGGCGGCAGCCGACTACAAGAAGAACATGGGCAGCGAGTGTCAGCCAGTGATAGACGAGAAGAATTGGCTGCCAGAAGAATCGTGAGTATATTGACCTACACCATTATCAATTTGGTGGATGAGAGCTGACAATCTATACAGCACTGGTGGCGTTTTCATTGTTGGCGGTAATGGAAAGATTGAACTGAACAACACCTTTGAAGAGCGATTGCGCATGTGTGAGAGCGATGCTCTGCCTAGCATCCGAGCCACGTTGTTTGGCGAGAACCAGAACAGAAAGTTCCACGATTAGGCGGATAAATCTGATAGGTTTGGTTTGTAGTCGGTGCGATGCGCGGTGGGTTCTATCATGGATGGTTTGGCTGTTTGAGGCGCGGTCTGGCAAGGGTTCGATAGATACGGATTCTCAACCAGAAACAGCTTTTAGAGAGCCCGGCCTCACGCTGGATGTGTTACAATATATTGTCATGCATACCTTGCATATGTCACTAAGTCATGTTCCCATTCCCAAGTCAAAAACCATGTTGTAAAATGCAAATGCACGCAGTATTCCCGTTTTTAAACCACCAACACCACGCTGATAAGACGAAATACATGTTTCAGAATTGCCCGGAAAGAAAAAAGAACGATCACGTCAAGCCCGTCACAAACCATGCTACAACCAGTCAGAGAGACCTAGTTGTTTACGAATGATCTCTTCCGTCTCCGACTTGGTCTCTGATGCCTGGGAAGAAGAAGGTGCCGACAGACTTGTACTCTTGGCAGAATCGGCCGGTGGTGCTCCCACCACGCTCGCAGTCCAGGTCGTGTTCGTGGTGGAGGCGACAGTCGCAGACCTTGGATCGTTACCTCCAGGCCGTGCCAGAAACCGCTTCATGACATCTTTGCCCTTTTGCTCGCTCCGAAAGTCCTGCGAATCTCGGATGCGGCCGGTCTCGAGGTCAAAGATGTTCTTCTTCGGTCTCTGTTCCGTGCGCACGCCGAACAACAGCCGCCAGTACAGGGCCTGCAAGGCGGCCTTGGCTTCCGTCCGACTCAGATGAGACGCGCCCGTGTCGATGATGGAGACGAGAGTCGAGCGGACCGTCTCGGCGATCTTGTCGACGGACTTGTTGAACGTGACTTCGTCGGCGCGCGAGTCGAAACTGGCGGGCCGTCCGCCGTCGGCGATGGCGGCGTCGAGGACGTGCGTGAGGGCCCGGAGGGCGGTGTAGTCGATGTTTTTGGGGTCTCTGTGTCGGTGGGGGCTAAAGAGCGAGTGTCGAGAGACGCGCTGGGTCAAGGTGTTCAGGTACCCTGAATCCGGCAGGCATTTACCGTCCTGCAGACTGTCGGAGCCGAGGATGAATGTCTGCGCGAGGACCAGACGGGCCTTGATAGCAGTGCGAGAGACGGGCAGGATGTGTGAGAGGAGATGTGCTTGTAGTGTCGGATCTTGCAAGTGCTTCCCGACGTCCGTGAGTATTCTCTCGAGGACGTGAGCTTTCATGTCAGGGTCCGGAAGGCTGAGCAGGGCCCGAAGCGTATCTTCGACTTTGACTGACACTCGGCCGTCGCTCATGAGTTCAGAATCAATGGCAAGCCGACAAACCAGGGAGGTCAGTTTGCTCAGAGCCAGAAAATCCATGTCGTGAGAGATGGCCTGAAACATGTCCAATGCCGAAAGGAGATATTTGGGGTTCGTCCTGTCTGGCTCGGGCGCCACACGATACCTTGGTTCGATCGTAACGGCTTCTTGTGATTTTGACATGTCTGCGCCCAAAGACTGGAAAATCGCCTGCACATCCTGAGCCGTGATATTGTGTCTCGTCCAAGCCGGACTCGCGTTTCTTAAGCACTCGATATACGCACGGCGTACGTCATCCTGTTGTTCAAGTACAACCGTGTTGAAGGCCCATTTCAACGCCTCTTCGGGCATGCGTCCTCTAGCAGAGAGATCCGCAATATATCCAGACGTGAACATGCGTGCTCTAGCTTCATCGTCACCTGCGCGCCATAGATTCTCTGGAATTGCATGTTCGGGGAATTCGAGTTGAATGGGAATCTCGTCTTTCCAGTCTCTCAGCCTGCCTGACCCGAAGAATAAAAAGACGCGATCCGCAGAAAGGGCCTCTGTACGTTCCACAGCATCCATGAGCCTGGAAACTCCGTCATGGTGGTCGTCATCCTCGACCTTCGTCGCGACCGTTGCGAGAAGACTCCTATCCAGACTGGCATTATCATTATTTTCTGCGGGGCCCTTCGACGCCTCATAATCCGCGCGTGACTTACGCACCTTTTCCTCAATGCCCTGGTCGTTCAAATGATCGCCGAGAATTGAAGAGAAGTCGAAATCCGTCGCCTTTTGTTTCGCCAACAGAGCACGGAGCCTATCCTTGCCGACCAGAGGGACCGACCTGCCTCCTGTGAAAGCACTGAGCGCTCTAATCCGTTCAGCCTCGAGTTGCGCTTCGTCGACTTCCGGAGAGGACGAGCGGGATGTGATGTCCCCATTCTTTTTCCTTCCGAAGAGACCACTCAACGATTCTAGCGAGTCTACAGAGTCTGCATCGTCGTCATCAGAATCGGGAATTTCTGTGATCTCGGTATGACGAGAGAAACTCTGCGTTGACGGGGGTACGGGTACGAACGAAGGCCGCTTGATCGGGGTTGGAGAAGGGGACGAAGAAGTTCTGTCTGTATTGTGGAGGGCAGATCGTTTGGAAGTCAATGGCGAGTTTATTGGGTTTCGAGGTTTGGGACTGCGGAAGGGTATGGACTGCGAGTTCGAGCCTGGTCCACTCAGTGGTGAGAAGGTCGGGGATTTAGGTGTTCTGCTCTTTGCATGCGGTCTTCTTGAGGTGCTGGGTGTTGTCACTACTCGTGTAATCTCTATGTTTGGGTTCTTTGTCTTCCTAGGTGTGGTCACCACTCGAGTAATCTCAAGGTCAGAATCGCTCTGCGCGGCTGGGTCGGCGTCGGTGGATGGCGTTGAGCGTTTCGCTGGAACTGTAGGATTGATGTAGGGTCTGAAGAAATCGGATATTCGCTTCTTCCGAGGCGTGGGAGTCGACATAGTCGTCCCGAGTCACCATGGTACTGAGCCTGGAGCCACAGGCTACAGATGAAGCAAAGGGATTTGATGGGTGAGCGGGTGGTTTGTATCTATTTCAGCGTCGACGACAATTCGCAATGCGGCGCGACACGTTCGTGACGAAACGTGTAAAGTTACGGAGATCATCACGCCAAGTTCTCGCCTAATTGGTTAGACCAGCGAGTGCCTATAGCAAGGATCATAGTGGCCCCCTTAGGTAAGTAATAGGCAACTACGGAGTAGTTACGGGTGCTTTAAGCCCTTGACACGCCCCCCGGAGTCTTGTTTGTTCTTCAACCTCCCACCATACCATTTTTCTTCAATGCTTCTTTTTTCCTTTTCTCTGCTCGACCCTGCTCCAACAGGACTCGAACAGATTCTTTACAGCCTCCTTCATCTCAGAGCTGGAGCTCAAGGGCTCACACAATCTCCTCATGTTATTTCCATTCTCTCGTCACGATATCTTACTGTCACATTGAGATGTCGTCCTTCGAACTGATGGCCTTTGTTGGCCTCCAAGAAAAGAATGGTAGAAAGACGTTCTCAACCCTGATTCTGTATCTGCTGTGCTGGACCTCCGGGTATGAAAGCTCAGTTCGTTTTGATATCAGACATGTCAAGTAGAAGCGTAATTTGGTAATTTACCCTGATGATATCTTTCTGGACGTACGTATGTTGGAAATCGGGATGAGATGGTGCCGCACACGTCATTGTCTACGTCCGTATCCCTCTACTTTTGGTCTAGATAGCTGCGTGTAATGAGGGCCAATCGCCAAGACACGGCATCATTGAGATCAAATGAACCGAGTTCGAAGTGCTTTGGACACAAAAACTCACATCTATTTGGCGAAGCTATACGAGAATGCCTGAGGTATAAGTATATGTCAGGTGAGCAGACTTCTTATCCTTCTCTTCTAACGTCAACCCTCTGTCGAACAGACCAGCTCGAAGCAATTTTTCTCCCGACTCATCGTCAACTTTCTTCAGAAATAGATATATATATATATATTTATCAACATCACGATGGATTCCAACACCATTCTGCGTACCACTTCTATCTTGGGCCTGTCATCTTCCCTCTTCGTCTCTGGCGTCTCATTCTCACAGTCTTACCTCACCATTCCACTATTCATCGGACTACCACAGGAGACAACCACGCCGCTCTTCAAAGACCTCTACTACAGCGGAGCCAAACTCATCGTGCCATTGGCCTTGACGTCGACCTTGAGCACGGCGACTGCAGCCTATCTCGATGTCGAGAAAAGGACGGGGTATGCTGTCGCAGCGGCCGCGACAGTCTCAATATTGCCATTTACCGCAGCGGTCATGTTCAAATGCATCCACAGGTTGATAGCTATTGCCGACGATGCCAAGGTCAGGGAGAAGACCCAGCCAGGAGAAGTGGATGGGCTGTTGAACCAGTGGAAGTGGATGAATTTCGTCAGAGCTGGTCTGTCAGGTGTTGGAGGCGTTGTTGGTTTGTTGGTGTACAGTGGAATATTGTGAGCTTCACAAAAGACGTTGCTGAAGCTTCATATCAGGTGCTGGGTGTCAAAATGTAGGCACGATGTCGCATGAAGCTAATCATTTTGTCCAGTCTGGCTTTGAGAGGGGGGAATCCCTTCCTCCCGCGAACAGATTCTCTACTCACCGAGCTACCTCAATGCCCTGTATACAGTCCTAATGAATATATACCACTTGCATAATAAAGATGATTGCTATCATGGAATGGCCGACAACCTACTGCGCCTCTCACGTGATGTAGTTCTCGGTTCCTTTTCCAGCGCGGACCGAAACCGTTGGACTCTTTCGCTTTTACTCCTACTTCGACAGACACATCGTCAAAACAAATCGTCAAAATGCGTATACATCAATTTGACCTGATATGTGATCTTTGAACGAGACACTCTGTCGCCAAGATTCTGCACAATGACCCTTACGACCCTTACGGTAGGCTCGCTCGTTTGGGCTGACACAATTTCGGCGAGGCCACATACGAATATCCATCGGCATCACATCTCACAGCACAGCACAGCACCATCAATGCGATACCAAGAAGCCAGGTCTATTGCGGGGGGGGCCAAGTATTCTCCCTTCTTGTGCATCAGCAAGCTCGTCACAATGCAACTTTTCATTGATGCATCATCAGGCAACCATCGGCATGATCCGCCTGGTGTTACTTGGCTTATGCTCTTTTACTAATCCAATGCCGTAGAGCGATATAAGCCACGACTTCATGTGGGGATGACATACACCAAGGTATGAGCACCACAAGGTACCTATAAGTACTCGTAAGCCACATCCATTCCCGCGGAGATGGCATCTCAGCGGGCGACGGATATCAAAACAAGTTCTCCCTCATCATCAATCTCAAAAAGAGCCCAAAAGCGAAAGGCAGCTACAGCATGGCGACCTCAACGTCACCACAACAACCACCCACTCTACGCTTGGTTCATAAAACGCACTACGATCGACAATACTTCTTCACTCCTCCTCTCGAAAAGTTAGGCCCCTTGGGCGAATCCAGCGTCCGCGTCCAGACCAGCCTGATCACCCTCGCCTCAAACAACCTGTCATACTGCGCCCTCGGCACCGTGGCACACTGGTGGGACATCTACCCTACACCATCGTGGCTCGACTCTCCTTACGACGACTCGTCCGAGTACGGCGTCGGGGTATGTTGGGGCTACGCGACGGTGCTCGAGAGTAAAGTCCCGCAACTGCAACCCGGGACTTTGCTCTGGGGGATGTGGCCCATATCGACGTTCCCGGTTGACCTACTCCTCAACCAATCCTCAGACGTGCCCGCCTGTTTTGTGGAAATATCCTCGCACCGAAGCCAAGCCATGACTTTGTATAATGAGTACTTCACCACGACCGAAAGTCTCGGCGACCCCAAAGGTCTCGAGATGCTCGCGTGGCGCTCCGTCCTGATCGTCTGGGCCGCGAGCTACGTGTACAACCGGTTCAACTTTGCCTCCGACCCGAAAGACCCGATCATAAACCCGGCCGGCGACGGCTTGCCTTGGTCGCGTGAGGACGCAGACCTCAGTTCCGCCGTCGTGATCTGCATGGGAGCGGGGAGCAAGACGAGTCGCGGGTTCGTGCACCAACTCGCCACCAACCGCGCACCTGGCTCGGGACCCCTGGCGGTACTGGAAGTCTCGTCGAGCACACCGCTCAGCACGCTGTCGTCGAAGATTTCTCCTCCATTCGCGCACCGCGAAACGACTTACGCCGACCTGGACACCCCGTCTGTACAAAAGTTCATCTTTGACGACGACAACCCAAACGTCAAGAGGATCGTGGTCATGATCATGGCTGGCCGGCAGGAAGTGGTTGAGCCTTTCGTGCTCGGTCTGCGGAACAACCATGCAACACACCGCCGCCAGATCACCGTGACGGCGATCAACGTCGGCGCGGAAGCCAGGGTCCTGAGTCCCCAGGAGATCGCAGAGCGCGGGGCCGTGTCTCGACGCATCAACGCGTTGTTTTGTAACACGTCGCCCATCCGCGACGAGGCCATGAAGATCCTAGGGCCGAAAACCCTGGTGGACCAGCAGGACGCCGAGCTCAACAGGGTCATTTCCGAAGAGACCAAGTCCCGTGAGGACGGCAAGGTGTTTGGGGTCAGCTTGAAAGTCTACAAAGGGCTGAGGGGTGAGCAAGGGGCCGAAGGAGCTTGGGAAAGACTTGTTCGTGGGAAGGTGTTGGGTGATGAAGGTTTGGCGTTTCTGCTCTGATGACCATCTGCAGGTGCCAGCTTCTAATTCACACGCCTTGACCGTACCTAGAACAGCCGCTGGAGAAGGTGAACCTTTGGGCGGACTGGTATATGTATCTATGAAAGGGACGATGCTCAATTAGTTATTATTAGGTAGGTATATACAGTACATGAGTCCACCATATATAAATATGCGTATACACACATCTTCACAATTTCAATAATGGTCCGTTTATTTCTTCATTTCGTTTGCCGCGTTATATGGAAAAAAAAGGTCGTAAACGGTTTATTTACATCGCAAGGGCACCGAGGAGGGGTAGGAGGAGGGCAGTCAGGCCAAAGCTGCCGACCTTGTTGTTGCTGTTTGCGGCACCGGTTTGGGATTGAATGGCGACCGAGTTCGTCGACGAGGCACCGCCCGAGACGGTGGCAGAGGCGGTGGTAGTATCTGGACCACCAAAGATGAAGGGCGGGCCAGAGGTGATGGCCGCAGTGGACATGGTGCTGTTGGCGTGGGGCTTGCTGGTGATGAGGCTGCCAGAAGAGGTGGCGGTCGCGTTGGCGCTGGTCAGGGCCGCGATGACCGGGGTGGTGGAGCTACCACCGCAGTTGATGCTGGGGGTGGTGGTGGCCACGGTGCTGACGCTACCAGATGGAGTGGCGGTTCCGACGGTCGAGTAGTCTTGCACGGTACCGCTGACGTAGGTCGGGATGGCGGTCGTGAAGTCCGAGTTGTCGACGAGACCAGCAACGGACTTGATCCAGGCGGCCGCCTCGTCAGAATACATGTTGTAGTAACCGAGATGGGTGGATACGAGCGAGTCGGTTTGGTTGGCGGCACAGATGGGATCGGTCTGTCGAGATGGGTGGTTAGCTGGCCAGGTTTTGTGGTCGAGGTTGAGAGAAAAAAACAAACATCTAGGGGCAGAGGACGTGTGTCGGTGCAAAAAAACTCACCTGAAGACACCAATCACGAGTGACGGCGGTGTACTTGTCGAGAGCGGTCAACATGTCGCCGGATCTGGGGAAGAGACCGTCGATGCCGGATCCGTTGCCATAGTTGTACGGTTGGTTCGCGGTGTGTCTGGTGTTGCCAAAGGTGAGGACAGCGGAGACTGAAACAGAACAAGTCAAAAGTCAGTAACGAGGAAATCATGACGGACAAGGACAAGGAAAGGGAGAAAAAAAGAGAGCGGAGAGCGGAACTCACGTCTGTTTCCCGGGCTCGTGGTGGGATCCAGAGGAGGCGTGTTTGGTTGAATACAACCGTTGAAGGATTCACCACCTCCACCGCCCAGGATGTCGGTCACAATCTGTGCGCCTTGAGAGTACCCGGCGAGGATGAGCTTCGATTTCGGGCATCGCTCGGCGTAGGAGGTCAACTGGGTGAAGCCCGCAATGACTCCGTCGTAGGTGGTCTGGCACGACAGATCGGTGTAGAGCGCCGAGTAGATGAGATTCTCGTAACCACAGCTGGAGAGACCGTCGCAGGTCGCCGCCACGAGATCCCCCTGTCTTCCCGGGTAAGGTTCGTTGTTGCCGCGAGCCAAGAAGAAGTGCACGTCTTCGCAAGGAGTGCACGTCTGAGCCAACACCACGGGGGCAGCAGATAACAGCGAAACAACAGCGACGAGAGCTGCTGAAGAGATCATGATTGTTGTTGTTGTTTTTTTTTTCTCGTGTTTTATTTTCCTCCTCTCTCACATACACACACAAAAACAAGAGCGATCTAAGAGATCAAATAGTAGATATGATGCTCCAAACAAAAAATAATAATAAGCGAGTGCGTGCTGTGTTATTGCGATCAGAAACGACGAAAAAAAAACGAGGCAAACGATGCGCAATATATGAGGTTGGGGAAGCGATGGTACCTCGAGGGTAATAATAGTAACAGGAGAAAAAGGGTTTTTTGATACCGTACCTTATTACTCCGTACTACTTGTACGAGTAGAGTAATAAGTAATAAAGCCCACTCCAGGGTGCTTCAGGTTGTGTGCGATTGGGGGGAGCGGGCGAGACAAACGTGTCTCGCGTGGGCGGTAGTGCTTCTCTAAGGGTAGAGCTAGACCTCGTTGAGGCTTTTGTTGACAGGCGGCACTCGGTACTTCTCGAGGGAGACTTACGTACCCTCTGGATAGACGACGCTGGGTGGAATCGTTGTACAGAGGCGAGTTCAAGCTTGTTCGTTGTCTCTCCACCGCCGAAAATTTACTGTACAATACACTGATGACATGTATCCACCAAGGGAAGGGGGGAGGGGGGGTGGGGGGGGCATTGACCTCTGCCACTGTTGTTCAAGGGCCATGATTCCGGACTCAAGGAAAATGGTCAGGGGAATTTGACGGGAGATCGGTCTCTGGGGTTTGTCGTCTTGTTCCCCCCGGCGAGGAGAAGAACAGACCTTCTTGTGCTTCGTGTATTGTAGAGTGAACGGGTAGGTACTTGTGATGCCGCCGTGGATAGTACGGAATCCATGACTCGTGCTCAGTGCAAGCATGTAATTGTACCGAGTAATCAGGAGTCGGATAAATAAGCGAAGAACAACCCCCTGCAGTCCGTTTGCCTTCGACCTACTGTAGACGACTTGCCACATATGAGAAACGACCCATTTGTCTGATGCTATTGAACCCTGTTACTCCATACTACAGTAGGACAAGTCCGATCTTGTTAAAATTCTGGATCCCAAACATCTGATCCCCCAGCAATAACAATGAACCAAATGTTCCACTGCTCTGGAAAATGGGGAAGGCGGCGAGAGATCGTATGATGTTTCCTGCTGGATGGATGTCCGGAAGTTTCGGAAAATGAGCGGGTAACTCTCTCGTATTGTGTCCGTGTGTGTGAGAGAGAGAGATTCACCATCCCGTCCTTGGCCTAAAATCGTGTCGAACCGAGACCGAAGAATGAGATCTGCCTCTGACTGGCACGAAAACAGCAGTTGTAACTAACGTCGAACTCAGGCGACTCGAGTACGACATGTACTATTGAACACTCCATACAATTTGAGAGCCGCCCAAACATACCCACAGCCAGCCATGAGAACTTTGAAGCGAAGACTGTTCGCAAAATGAACCGTGTAGGAGAGAGTCTGTCTCACAACGCACACGCGACACAAGATGCTGAACACGCATTGGTTGATGCGTTCATTGATTTCAAGACGAGACTGGCTCTGGGTCCAGATCTTGCATGGTCGGCATCTTTGACATACTAGTGTACAGTGAGATTTTTTTTTTCTTTTTTTCAAATCGACCACGATTGGTGGCGAGCATGTTTTCCTGCAGCGCCACCAACGATGCCTGCATCTGATCGTCCTTCTATGCAAGGTACCGGGATTGATCAACCCGGTTTCTATGCGGCTCACGAACTCGGCTCGTGCTCGCCAGGCACAGAGAGCCGTTCAATCTCGGCTTTCGACCTCGTGGCGTATGTAGGGACCATCAAAAACCACGATGTGCGTGTCGACGAACAATGTCACTTATGGCCTCACCATCATCATCTGTCAAGACATACAACAAACATCCCATTATTATTCGTACCGGAGAGACTCCGGTTGTTCAGTCATTCTTCATTAATTACTATTTAGCGGCATTCTCTCCTCCAGCAGTCACAAATTCGTGCACCCAAGATAGCTATCTCTTGCGCGGCTGAGTGGAAATTGATCCACCTGTCAGATGTTCTGGACGACTCCACGTCGGAAAGGCCGTGCTTCCATAGCAAACTACTGAAGATGTTCCTTGATGATCATCAGAGGAAGGAGAAAAAAGGTCAAGTGCCCGATTTTGCAGAGGTGATGATGAAAATGAATTGTCTCATCATTGATACTGTAAGTTCCGTGATTTTTTCCGCATTCTAACAACAACCAAATTCCTGCCGAATATCACTAGAAGGGACTTCAGTGACATGCATGAGTTCATCTCGACCGCACAAAGGTCGATTATGATCCCCCTAGGCTGCAAAGCGACTTCTCGCTCTCAATTTCTTTCCCCAACTCCAGTACAAACCTGCCAATAGTCCGGCGCAAGCTGCAGTCAGGCCGGCCAGTAAGCTCACTCCTCCATCGACGCCGATGCCCTTGAACATTGCACGCCCCACGAGTATAGCAACAAAAGCCAAAAGAGAGCGAGAGACACTATTGGCCGCGAAAATGCTGGCGGCATATCTCGGATAGATCGCGGGAATGTACAAAAACACCGAGTTGGTGAGAAAGTACATGGCCACCATGTAGAGGAAGATGGCCACGGTCGGGACCATCCAATGAACAGACGATCGAGCCGTCCATGCTAATTGTGTTCCCGAATCTACGAGTCAGCTTTCCACCGAGTTCGACGACAGCAATGAGTAGGAAAAGTCACTCACCAAACATGAACAGTGAAACAGGCATAAGTACACTCGCAATGACACCTTCCTCCAAAAAGTTCTCCAGGTCACCAAACGTACCACTTTGTAATTTTGGTTGAACCCTTCTGGCGAGCCATATACAATGTATGGGAAAACCGACGAGGACAGCTGGAGGTGTGACGAGCCATATGAGGGACGTCGATGTCTGCGAAAAGCCGTACATTGGTGGATAGACAAGTGGCAGTGACTATGACAATCAATTTTGGTCTGTCAGATGAAAATCTTCACCGTCTCTGTGAGTGCTGCTTACCTCGAAGAAAGAATACAGGATTGCGTAAAGCAAACCCATGTAGAGTGTCATGAAAAGCAAGGCCGGATCCTTGACGTTGACCTCCCACGGCTTCACGACCGAATTCCACAATCGCTGACCTACGCCGAGGTGTGCCTGCTTCAGCTCTTCTTCGGACCGGAAATTTTCGTTACCATCGTTGAGCTCTCTCAGTCTCTTCGCTCGGTAGTACAGGATGGTGGGAGCTGAAGTTTCCGGCATCAGGACCATAAAGACCGAGTAAAAGGATCCGGTGATGATGAGCAACTCCCAGCTCGAGAACCTCCAACCCATGGCCTCGACGGCAAAAGATGACAGGACCGGTCCCAAGGCAGGGCCGAAAGATGTCGTGCCTGCCCACAACCCGATGAAGTAGGGGAATTTGACCGGGCCCCATATGTCTCCGAGCGTGGCACCCGCCGTCGCCAGACAGGGGGAACCCATGAACCCGAGCAGGAAACGCAAGACCATGAGGCCGGCATAGTTGCGGACGAGCGAGGTAGGAATGCACAAGATGACAAAGAGTGCTCCTGAGATGGCGTATGGAGGATTCCTGCCTATCGAAGGCACTTCCGACAAGGGAGAAAAGACCAAGCCACCGAGACCGTACGCCAAAACGTACAGAGCCAGGCCCAGGGACGATTCGAAGTTGCCGACACCAAACTCTTCTTGGATGCCTGGTTGACTGGAGGTGTAAATGGAAGATCCGACGTAGATGGCCCACGTGTACAGGCAAGTCAATGCTGTAATGGCACCCTTTTTGGCGTTGGAGAAGTTGAGAGGGTTGTCAGGGTCATCTGGACCATTCCACGTAACTGTGACTGTGTCCTTTTCTGGGTCTGCATCGGTTTTGTCCGCTGTTGCCGAACGAATGGCACCATCCTCCAGGTTTCGTAGAGGTTGAGGCCAGTATTTACCATGGATACCAAATCGTATCAGGGTGCTCAGGGCAGATTCTTGAATCATTTTGTGTGATATCACCCAAGTCGGAGTTGGGACTGTTACTGCTCACAGTATGAAACAACATTAACTGTTGAAGAGTCGAGTCAAGGCTGTCCATTATTTATATGAGCAGCATCCATTTCCACAAGACGGACAGCGTATATTCATGTTCGGAGATAAGGCTGTCCATAAGAAATGGTGCGACTCGAACATGACGCTTCACAGCCAACTCTAGCACCAGTATCTGGTGCCTGTTCCGTATCTCCAGATTACGAGGCTAGAGAAGTGAAGGACCAACCGGAGAGAGGCTTTTGATGCTGAACGTCGTCCTTACAATATTGCAACCCCCTGCATGACGATGGGAACTAAACCATTTCAGGTTTGGTGTGATCGTCAGAGGCGGATTTCTTGATGATGAAAGCGAATTCTCCGTACGGAGTTACATATAAGAAACCTCATCTTTGCGTCTTATCCGCAAGTTCGTGGGATCTAGTCCCTCTTTGCTTCTCTTCCTTTCGATTCAAGGCCATGAGAATGGGAGCGCGAAGTCCCATTCTAGTATGCTTTCTCCATCGGAAATCACCTGCACTTTTTCACGACAACGATGACGAGGATACTTCGGAAAGCATGCCGCGCTTGTACCTTGGCCAAACGACGGTGTATCGTACGGTTACCTCGATGTCAAAGGTGTGAGGTCCGAGGTATCGATTGCTTTTATGACCTTGAACCTCTTGTCAATGACTTTGAAGTGTCAAATCCACCACAACCGGCCAAAATTACAAAACACGCTTCGTCTTCTTTGCAAAAATCTAGGGGCACAAAACATTATGATCATGGTTATGATGATGACAATCATAATCACAGTTTCCTCCGTTACGTGTCATCTCTACACATGGATCCCAATCGGGTAGCTCTGTTCCAGAACAACTTTGGTGGTGGGGGTTCGAGTAGTCCTACGACGAGATGTTTGACCGTTTCCAAGATTGCAATCACGGCCGACAAGTTTACGGTCGGATACGTGACGGGTGAATTGTTGAGGATCGCCAAATCCGTCGCCGAGGATCAATCGGCGGTATACATCCACTCTCAGATGAGACCAAAAGCTCGACCGAAACTTCTCGGCAAGTTTTTAACGGTGGACATGGAATCCATAACCACCATGGACATCCAGCGCCGTGGGCCCGATGCTCGTCGAAACAACAACAACAGCAGCAGGTTGGTCTTGTGTGATCGACTCTGTCGGCTTCTCACCGAGCTAAAAGTCTCCAAAGAACCGTTACCCGAAATCTTACAGGCCTTTCAGGTTCTCATGTCGTTCATCACGACCCTCCTTTTTACCGGTGGTGTCGGTGACTCAGAAATGGTTGAACAAAAAGAAGACTTGCTTCGTCACATGAGGGAGGTTTCGGTCAGATTACTCCAGGACGGTCCGAGTATGATGATGATGATGATGACGACGACGACGACGATGCCACCGGCAGACCTGTCCCTATCCAACAGATGGCACGCTTGGATTCTGGCCGAGAGTGTACGGAGGGCAATCTTGATGACGTGCCTCATCCAGGGGGTCTACCACGGATGGCTTCGGGGATACTGCTATCATGAAGTCTTCATCCAAGCACTGCCCTTTGATGTCAGGCCTGGGTTGTGGAATGCCGAATCTGAAGACGAATGGGAAAAGTCGTTGATGATGGTGAAGAACGTCAGGGGCTGGAATACATGGTCCGAGTTGGTCTCGTTTCGTGAGTTTGCGCACTCTTTTGCAGAATCCCCTTTCGACCCAGGTCAAGACACTTTTCAACGATTGCTCCTCACGGCTCACCACGGCAAAGAACCTGTCGATAGGACACTTGGGAATTTGTCAGTATGCAATATCATGAATTGGTAGATGAATTTTTGTTGTTTTTCCAGAAAAACAAAACAAAAAATAATCATTCATTCCATGTGACATACAGTACGTAACATGGGTTTTACTTGATAAAAGTCTCTTGTTTATAAACACTCAAAGGTGTCCCAACGACATCTGCTTTGATCTGAAGAGCCAAAAACCTAGAAAAGAATCGACCAAGATGCGCACCGCCACCAGTGTACCATATACCTTGTTCTATGAAGGTCAAAATTAGAAAGGGGCGAGTTAGCAAGTACTTTTATGGAATCGATCGCGTATGGGTAATGACGCCATTCATCCTCATTCATGCAAGTCCGGAGACTGTAGAGAGAAAACTTACGGCGATGAGGCCTCCATGCTCCTATAATTTCCCCTTCCTCGTCCGTGTCGAAATAGTCGTCCAACAATTCTCCGGTGCGCGGACCGACGATACTGACAGCCTGCTCTCGGACGTCGTTTTCGAACCCGGTGCAAAACACCACCAGGTCTGCATCGAGTCTGCTTCCGTTGCTGAAGGCCAGACCGGTTTCATCAAAGTAAACCAAGGAGGAGTCGTTTTTGATCTTTATCTGTAACCAAGATTAGAGTCCGCCAAGGCCCACAAGGATCTCGCGACAAGAGTACGATTGATTGTACAGGTACAACTGGATACAACGTGGTGGATGGAAAAAGAGAGTGGCCGAACTCACCAATCCATCCCCAATCTTTTTCGAAGTGCCAACGTCGACATAGTGCCCGCCTTGCTTGCCACAGAGTATCTTCCAAATGTCGACGTTTCTGTCGATGCGGAACCCCGCCTTTTCCAGTGCATCGTACCTGTTGGGTTCTTGGGAGGACAACGTCTTGTATCCGAGTCTGTTCATTTGACGGATGATGACGTTCGGAAGACCCATTGCTCCACGGTCAGAGACTTCGATGGGCATGTCTTTGTTCTGCGAAAACAGAACATTGATGTTAACTTGTTGAAACTCTTTGAGTAAAATTGCAAGATATGATTCAGGCCTGCCTGCCTGCTTCTCCATTTCAGTGGAATGGAGTGAAACTGCAAACAGTCAATAGAGAAAGGAAACGTACATATAAGACTGTGAAACAGTTAGCATGTTCGATGCGCACTGCGGACAATATGCAGATATCAAGCAGCCAATGTACCATTAGACCAAGCATTATTATATTCAACAGGGTATATCTCTGGTCACAAAAAGTCAGTCAAAGTCTGGGATATCTGTAAGCCACCTGCAGCTTAAACGAAGATGAACATTAACGTACGAGTAGCACCACGTTGGACCATGGTGACAGAACTTAGTCCTTCTGCCAACATATCTTCTGCGACATCATGTCCTGACATTACCCATGTTGTTAGTTGGTATATTCTGGTCACTCATGAGGAGCAGGCCGTGGACGCTCGGATATATCATCATGAAGGCTCACTCACCCGTGTTTGCAGTGCCCACCACCACTCCCTTCTTGCCAGCGAATCCTTTTGAAGATTTGTATCTCGCAGAATGAACTGCTGTACCTTTGAACTTCTCCTGTTCGCAAGTACAAGAGGAGAATATATCAGCAATCATGATTCTCATTTCACATGGAGTGAAAGTACAAGAGACCGACCTTGTCTGCCAAATGAGGCATCTTGGGAGTCTGTCCCGCACCACCGATTGCGAGGACAAAATGGCGCGTCTGAATTTCTGTCTCTCGAGAACCATAGAGAATGCGGAGTGTCCATAACTTTCCATCTTCATCCCAGCTAGCTGTCCTAAGGGTTGAGTTGTTCTGAAGGTTCTGTATCGAGTTTGTTGGTAACATTATCTTGAATCACCCCCAACGGAAAGAAAGACAAGATGTATCGTTGATCGTGATTTCTCTTACCAGGTGATGCTTTTGAGCAAAGGTTTCATATCCTCTTGCTAAATCCTTCTGATTCAAATAGTACGGGTCATCTTCTGTGAAAACACCTCCCAGGGGAAAATCGCTCATGGGTCGACCAGTATGGACTGTCGGTTGGGCTCAAATTTAGTACAATCTCCTCCTTGATGTATGCGTTGATAGCGATGGGTGGGAAAATCTTACATGTCGCCGATTCATATCTTTGTCGCCAGTTGTCGCCTACCCTCTCATTCTTCTCCAGCGTAATGTATCGCACATGGAGAGCGTGCAGACGAGCCGACAAGCACAAACCAGCGAAACCCGCTCCAATCACGACACATTCATACGGCTCGGATTCACCTGATCGGTCACCGGTATAAATGTTGCCGTTGGCCAAGGTGGCCGGAAGGGAGTCTGGACTCGTAAAGTCTTTGAGTCGCTCTAGGACGGTGGTCAAAAGCCAAATCTTCCAGGTGCCTTTGGTGTCTGAATCTGGGATGAGACCGATGGTTCCAGAACATAATGTCTCTGGAGTGCCCGACGTGGAGAAAGTGAAAGACGCCGAGACCCAGGCTATGTCAGTTGAGAGTCTCATTACTCGAGCGCTTCCGGGTATGAGTGAGAAATCTGCAGGGCGTTGAACGGGGTTCAGGTCTTTCCACGCTGTAAACAGTCTATCTCTACCGATGAGTGTTCGTGGGAGGCCTGTGAGAGCGTAGAGATCTCTCCATATGGCACCGGTCGTGAGGTGGTCCTGCTTCAGCGTGGCCAGTCGTGCAACTCCTTCAGAAGCAACTGCTTCGACATCGACATCGACTGGAAGTTGGACCTCAGGTAACTTTCCTGGTACCTGATCAAGGGGAACACTTGGGGTTCTCTTCGAGGTTGATCCTAGTGCTGCTTTTGTGTCTGACGGAGTCAGTGTAAAGGTCATTTCCTCTTGACTTGGTCGCAGCGCCGAGGCTGCCATGGTCTCGGATGGGTATAAGTCTTGTAACAGCACTGGGTGCGCACAGTTTTGGTTGACGATCCGTCAAGTTTTATATCTTGTGTGTCCTGAAAAGGTGCGCGGGTTGTGGCCATCGAACTCGTGGGGTATCAGGGAATTAAAGGGCATCGAATACTTCATGCCATGGAGACGCAGTCTCGGTGTACAAAGCAGCATGGACAGTCAGAGTCCGGGGATGTTCTGGGTACTTCTCCATATTGTCCCCAGGTCGAATGGACCCCGAGATCTGGGCAAGTTGTAAGCCCGGGGGGCCTGGGGGAAGACGGAGTAGTGTAGGTACGAGTTCGCCGAACTATGCGATCACACATGTACATTTCTTTACCTTGTATTTCCTATATGCTGGAGATATTTCCCAGAGTCGAGTTCAGCCTCGTAGACCGGTGTAATCAGATTACAGAGAAGGGGTGTTGCGAGAGTCCGTGATGGAAAGTCATCGTTCCAAGATCTCCAGCTCCGTTTGACGAGTCAAGATTCTAGGGAAGAGTCAACATGATCAAAATGGCTTTGCTATTATCTTCCTCTGACGGTTTTTCATCATCACATTCTCGATCTCTCATGATACTTCAGTACGATCACAAAACATGCGTACGTGTTGATGTTGATGAACCGGCCCCCCGCATGTTCGTTCCCCCCGGATTCTTGGCTTTGCATCTTTTGAGCCACGATTTGCGTCTCGGCCCGAGTTGATTTCAACATCTCCGAAGTATCGAACTTCTTCCATTCCTTCAGTAAGCCGTAGCTTCAACTCCGGAACTCCAAAGGCCAGGTTTGACAGTAACAACGATACAGTCAGTAACCTTCAGAATCGGAATTCGACGGATGCGATGTTCTGGGGCCCCGGCGCGGACTCGAGGTCAGTCCTCAGAGGGAAGAATGCAAAAACAGCAAGATAGTCTCTGACATAATCTCACCTCGACAAGACTGTTTAAGGCGTAACACTGCCTGGTAGTTTGGACATCATCACCGGCCAGGATAGCAGTCAAACCCGACGTCTCTACGTGGCCTTGCTCCTTCCTGGAATGTCTCAGCCCCATCAACTCCTGGGAAATATCAGCCCGCTGATATTCAACTTCTTTTTATGGCAGGTGGCTTCTTTCATTAGCCTTCTGAGCTGGTCCTGGACGAGATTGACGTTCGGCTGGGCCAACTCGCATGATGAGTGAATATCCAAGACCAAAGAATAAGAAGCACGTTTCGCGTGATGAATGAACACAACAGGACTCGACGCCCCTGAGATCGAGGAGGAAACAAAAATTTGCACGTAAATGAGTGACTACAGCAGGATTCGAACCGAGATCCAAAAATCAGTGAAGTTGCAACGGACTCGAGCCCCTGAGATGCAAAAGAGGTGAAGTTTCGCGTGAAGAAATGAACACAACAAGACTCGAACCCGAGATCAAAGGCAGTGAAGTTGCAATAGGATTCGCAGCCCCTGGACACGAAAACAAAACAAAACAGAAAAGGCTCCGCGTGAATGAATCGAACACAACAGGGCTCGAACCCCCTTTCCTGAATGTGAATCAACCAATCCAGTCGAAAAGTAATCCGTCCAAAAAAAATTAGTCGAATGACAAAAACTCTGCCCCGAAACCCTGGACTGATCAGGTCCAGGCGTTGGAGTGAGGTAACAAAGCCTAAGCAGAGCTTCTTTTCAAAGGTGCTATCATGGGTACTCGGTTTTTCCGAATGGCAGCTGAATGGTTCCCCCATCGTTAGGTCAATTCACGAGGAGTCTAGCCCGTTATCGCATTCGCCCGTTGCCGGGATCAGGACTTCGCAATCACCTCCGTCTAGACGTGACCTGATCCTGGTCTGTCTAGTGTGCACGGCCGAAGGGGCTGGAGAGGTCGAGCGGGCTCGCCATTGAGAAACAAATTTCACTCTTCAAAAACATAAAGTGATGGTTTATTTCTGGGTGGCTCATTGGAGGGCGATGGTGAAAGGTGCCCACAGGTAGTGAAGTCGAGTACCTGTGAAATCAAGCACCTACTTCAGGTACTAGGTTCAAATTCAAAACAAAGCCATCTCGCCTTTTTCTTCTTCAACATCAACACCAACACCAAAAAACAAAACAGCCGTGGCTACGAATTGTCCACGGCCTGTACAATGGCACCAGCATCTCCTTGATCCAGCGAGTCCAACGTCCTCATATCCTCGGCCGAGATATCGAATCCGTACACGTCGGCATTCTGCTTTATCCGATCTGCGTTGTCACTCTTGGGTAGAGGTACCCAGTTCTTCTGAAGACAATATCTGATCAATATCTGTGCTGTGGTTTTGTTGTACTTCTTCGCCAGGCCCACGAGGGTTTCGTCATTGGCCTTGTAATTTCGGACGAGAGGCGAGTATGCCTCGACGACGATACCGTGTTTGTGGCAATACTCGACGGCTGTACGCTGCTGGCACCAAGGGTGTAACTAATAGGTAGGCAGGTAAATCAAACGTTAGTCAGTTTCTCTCTCTCTATATATCTCTCTTCCCAGCCTGTTATGAATCTCAAGCAATGGACATGTGTACTCACCTCGATCTGATTGACGTGCGGTGGCCAAACCTTTGCATAACTCTTCATCTCCTCGATATGACCAACACCAAAATTACTCACGCCGATGCTCTTCGCTTTTCCTTCCTCGTACAGCTTTTCCAGCGCCTGCCACATCTCCTTCCTGGCCTTGCTGCCGGCGTTGGGGCTGTGTATCAGGAACAAATCCACATGGCCATCGCTACCGTCGATCTTGTTCACACTGTCCACGCACTTTTGATACGACTTTTCCACGGTCCCGCCTGCGGAAAGGATCTTGGTGGTGACGAAGATGTCGTCGCGAGGTAGGCCGCACTTGCGCACCGCTTCGCCCACTTGCACCTCGTTGGCGTAGAACTGAGCGGTGTCGATGTGTCGGTAACCTGCCTCAATGGCCGACAGACATGATTGTACGCACACAGAGGCCGAAGATTGGTACACGCCGAAGCCCAGGCGGGGTATGCGGACGGAGGAATTGGGGAGTGGGAGGGTGTCTTTGATCGTGATCGAGGTCATGGTGTGGTCAGGAAGGCAGATACAGCCACAGATATGAGAGTATACCGGAATGGTGCAGTGTGTATGAGACAATTGTTGTGACTAGGTACAGTTACAACCACCTGGTCACTCGGTCGTAGTTGACACAGAGTACAGAATCCCAGACGGGGAAACAATTTTCTATGATGCAATTATTTCTAGGGATTGTGTTTTCGCGTCGATTATCCGTAAGCCCCCCACTAACTGAATGCATACGTTATTCCCGCACCACTTACAGTATTAAGCGTATCAGTTCTAGTGTTCTCTAGGGCGCCACCTAGATCCCGAGAGGATCACTGAACTATGATAGGAAAATTACTATCATCTCTAGAATCCTTCCGGCCGTTGCATCAAGAAGGAGTTGACTGCCTGCAGGGTTGACCTCGAAGGATTGGCCCCCGGGATTGCAGAGCTGATCCATGCCAGACGTTGCTTGACAAGAAGTTTATCAACCTTCTCAGGCTTTCCCGTCCTGAGATTGTCTTTGACGTGGCCTTGTGGAAATAGTCAGTCTCAAGCCGGTATACAAAAAGGGGATGAGTGACTCACCAGTGTCATCGTAGTAGAGACAAAGAAGAGCAACCGCAACGCCCACACTCAGGTCCTTGCCCGTTGTGCAGGTTATCAGAATCCGAGCGTGGTCATCCTTCAAGAGTCGATCTTTGACAAGTTCAGCAACCATGGGTAATTTCTCTCGAAGGTCTTTGCTCCCAAGCTTCCCAAGACGACATGCCAGACCGATGGTCTCAGGGTTGACTGCGTTACTTTCAGCGTCGCCGTTACAATCAATGACGAGGTCGTAGGTATCATCCTCGTTGCCAACAACTGTGCCTGCACAGATGTAAAGACTGTCTGTCGGAGTAATGACTGTGCCTTCATCTTTGTTCCGACTAATCCCTTGATCATCCTCCATCAATTTCCCAACAAGTCCTGGAAGTTCTTCTTCAGATGTAGACATCAGGAGTTGTCGATGCCTCCAGAATACCTGGGCTGTGAGACCGTAGCTCCAGCCCTCACTGTCATCGCCGGCCCCTTGAATGTAGCCACCCTCGGAGATTTCGGCTCCATGGACACGACGCGAGGCACTGCATAGCACAAGCTGGTGGGCTTCTTTGGGAAACATTGTGGAGACCTCTGCATCAGGACCGACATCGACATCGACATCGAACGAACCGTTGATGGCCCATTGTAATCGAATCGGGTGCACCAACTCATTCCGGAGAGCCACAAAGTCAAGTTGAAGTTCTCGGAGGGAATTTGCAAACATGTCGAGTCTAGATTCGATTTGAGAGATTTCGGAACGTCCCAGGTCATTTGGAGCTGGAGGAAGCTGGAGGATGTGGGCGTCCGGAATTTCAGGGAACAGCGTCCTGTTGATGACGGACACCCAGATCGGTACGGTCTTGCTGAATGCGTCGGGCAAGTTCTTACCTCGCCTCGTCGAATCCACGACCACGGCTCCACCGTGTTTTGCCAGCAAAGGTAACAGTTGCAGGTTGAGTCGTCGGAGCGAGAACGACCACTGCCCATGATGACCGTCGGTGCTTTTGAAGTACGCACTTCCCACTTTGTCTCCTGGATCGATGTACCAGCTTCCACACCGCTCATTCGCTACGAGGGGCAGATTGTAATGTTCGGAAACTTGTTTGGCGAATGCGGCGTCTGCTAAAATGGATGCTAAGCGGTGCGGTACGGAAAGAACAGATTTGCGAAGAGATCTAATGTTGGCATAAAAGGACGGGTGAATGCTGGCATCGTTCAACGACAAGTCGGCTAATCGAGTGGGAAAGTTACTAGAAGTCATCGTTAAAAGACACTCAACGAAGCAGATATTTGTGGTCTTGGGCTTGTAATGAAGTTCTTCGAGAAGGGTCAGAGGAATCCGACTGGAACCTGACTCAACACCCTATCACCTATCCAAAAAAGTGCCAGTTCTAACTCCAGCCCGTGCCCAATATCATAAATCATCGTGCTTGTTCTGGCCATCTGTCTCTATCAGGTGCATCTCGCCAAATGCTTTTGATCAGGTCCTCAAAACTCCAAGATTTTCCCAGCAAAAAAGCAAGAAATGCCAAGGCGGGCTTCTATTGGCTATCTCCATCCGCTGCCCAAGGCATTTGCAGTTGGCAGGCAGAAGTTGAAAGTAGTCTCCCGCGTACTCTGTAATGTACATTGATATCGCTCTTGACTTGGTATCTCAAGCCACTGGAATTGGATCTGCCGCCGGCATGGTTCCTGGCATCATCGGCAAACCGTTGGTGCTCATCATACTAACCGCATCATCGTTGTGAGGATGAAGGCTGTACTGAGTCGCAGCAAAGTCTTCACCATCGAAGAGCAGAAAATTCTGCAGAGGAGGTTCCTTTTGTCCCAGCACATTGATGACATCTTGTGCCAAAAAGCCACCAAGGAATGCAACTACTGGGCTAATTTCAGAACCAAGGTTTTGCAAAAAGCTCCGTAAGAATTCTGCGCGCAGGGTTTCTTCAGGTAGTTCGAGTTCAATGTGTTTCTGTTTGGCAAGTTTGGTGAAGAGTTCCAAGTCAACTCTATTGGGTCCTGGAAGCCGACCTTCGCTCTGGGTTTGGAAATCGAACAATGCCCTCATGCACGACAGAAGTGGAGAAATGCGCGTCAACTTTCGCCGAGTGCTCTTGTCTCGTGATGGGAGCGGAGACATGTTGGCGAGTTGAAAGAGCGTGTATGTCTCTCTGTAGGTGATCATGTCGGTGACCTTATCGCTTTCCGTCTCTGAGTCGACACTCAAAACGCATCTCGTAGATGTTTCCATGTCGCCCGCCTTGGCCCGCTTGTTGCTCTGCGGCTTCTCAACCATGAATTGATGAATACCGAGATCGGCGAATATGTATCCATACATACCGTGAGTGGCAGCGGCGTAGAACTTGCGGTTGAATTGGCGACAAGACATATTGACCAGCGTAATGACGTCCGTCATCAGGTCGGTCGCGATGACAATGTCGAATGACTGGAAATAGACGGGATCTTTCAGCACAACAGGGTTGGGGTCGATGTACAACTGGACACGAGGATTGAGCTTCTGCAATTCCGGTAGAGCTGCCTCTGCTCGGTTTCGGCCAATCTGAGTCTCATCGACGAAGAATTGAGTTCCTAGATCCTCTTCTGCAACGACTTCGTGATCAAGTATGGTCAAGATGCCGATACCTGCTAGGACAAGATTCTTCGCTATCTCGGCACCAAGTCCTTTCATCCCAATGAGGAGTACGTTTGCTTGCCGCAGCTTTTCTTGTACCTGCATTCCCCAAAGTCTTATTTGTCTGTCATACAGCGCGACCTCATCAGCAGGGATCGACTGTTGAGGCAGTGTCGCAAATAGCCCAGATTGCATGCCATTGTCAGGAAGAGGAATATTGCTGAAGGAGGGGTCGAACATTTGCGCGTGACCATTGAGATGCTCAAGAGAGGCATTGGCAGGCATGTTTGCATTCATAGCAAGCAATGCAGGATCTGGATTTGTGGCCTGGGCTGGCTCACCGGCACCATTGGTGTCCATGGTATAGGCGCATGGAATGGAAGAGGTCTTGATCGATGCAAGCGCAGAATACCTAGCTTGGAGGAGTGAGGAAGTCGGGCGCAAGCTTGAGATAGGGAGAAAGAGGAAGAGAGGAAAGACTATGAGAGAGGTCGGCCGAGAGAGATATGAGAGAAAGGAAAAGAGATCCGTCCCAAGTAAATTACGAGTGAGGTAAATGAAGCAGAAGTGAACGCAGGGCGATTCTTGCTTGTAGAGACGCCGCAGTTGGAGCAGCAGCCTCACTCTAGGCTCACTAGCCTCATGCGGGCGCCCCTATCACTCTGTTAAATAGGTGAGTAAACGAGGCTGCTGGACATTCCCCGGATGCTCCCTTTGCCATGCCGTCACTAGCCCGGCCGCCCTGAATAGCGTTCAAATCGTGGGGCACTGGCAGACGCCTAAATGGATTGGCAGAACTGCAACCACTTCTTCGCTTCGTGACTGGAGACTTTCCGACTACAACCCTCTCTTGATTTAATCAATTGTTCGGACAAGACTTGACAAATATCAAATACCAGTCAAATTCAACTACAATTACCGCCCGAGATACTGGGAGGCTTGGTGCATGTTGTCTTCAGCCCTCCGGAATTTTGCACTCGTCTCTGATTCTTACTCCTCTGTGTTCGAGAAAGATGGTAGGACGACGTCCAGTTGTTTGGCAATCACCCTATGCTAACATATGTATCAGCCTGATCACGACAACAACCCGTGGTCTGACATCTCCACAAGACTGCAAAATCTCAGAAATCTCCTCAGCTCCGAACGAAGTCTGGTCACTGATCACCAACGAGCGATCGAGGCAATTGATAGAGAGATGGTACATCATGAAAGGAGAAGAAGAGATATGGAAACAGCACATCTACTGGACGACGACTCATATTCGACGTCTGAAGATCTACCACAGCCTGGCAACTCTTCCAGTCTGGTGCGTAGTAGAAGAAGGGCCTTTCGTCCTAGCGAGCGGTTGCAGAGATACCAAAGACAAAGATTGGGTCAGTGGACTAGGGCATTGTCGTCTGGATCTTCCATGGCTTCTTCGTCACAGTCCAACAATGACCGTGGTGACCGATTGACGGCAAAGCGGAGAAAACTTGATGATGGTACCTACGAAGACGAGCCTAGGACTTTCAGCTACGGTCACTACGGACAGGTTGTGCCGGGCCTGTTACGAATGGAGGTGGCCGTCTGCGATGGAGGGGAATATCTTGATCCTCGAATTCCTATCCACTCATATCCACAGCATATCCTTGTCGACGACTCCAGAGTGTATTGTACAAAGAGCAGCCAGTGCGACCTCTTACTCAAGCATGTGGGAGGAATGCCCTTCACCTTGACAAAGGTCGTTATCAGGGCGCCTAGAGCGGGATTTGACGCTCCCATACGAACTGGACTCATATTTGTTGCTATGGATGAAGCTAATCTTCTCGAAAAGGCCGCCAAGTATGATTTGGTGGAAGACCCAGAAGATCATCGGTCTAGACCTCTGCGCGAAGTGACTCGCCCTTCTCGTGAGTATATGAACTCGACGAGATCACCGTTGCATACGCGGTATCGTTTGAGGTATCCTGAGAATCTCATTGGCCAGGATGCTGCTCCTGAAGCGGATACCACACGGAATACTCGCGCAGACACTGATTCTCCTGACGGAGAGGACGAGGAGGAAGTCGAGGGGCCATCCTCACCACGACCGTGGCACGACGACGAGTACTCACTGAGATCCTATGTTGACAGATATAGACCGACCTACCGCACACCTGACAATGGCTCTGTATCGGGCGAATCCGAAGGCTGGGACGATGCTGAACAACACGCTGACGAAGATCCGCCAAATCATGAAACCCAGGTCCCAGATGTGATATCAGTACATTTGCCTCACTACAACGATAGATCTTTGACAGAGCGTGATCCTGGCCCTGATAACGATGCCATTGAAAGTCGACTTTCGATACAGAGGAGAAGTTCTATACGTACGTCTAGATTTCGCGCCTATCAGTCTGAGCCCATCTCTCCAACGATCGACCCATCTAGTCCTTCTAGGAGTCTTCTTGACGACTCTATGGCCAAAATCTCGAGAGTCGAACCTGAAGCAAACAACTCGGCCGGAAGTTCAAACCCTGGTACCATGCCGCCGGCCAGGTTCGATATCAGTCAAGGACAGTCCAGTGCTTACGTCAAGTTTGAACCTCCATTGTAAGTCTTCTACTCCTACCAAAGGCCTCCATACTGACGAAGACGCAGGACTGGCCGTTTTATCTTGATGAAGCTTTGGGCGCCAAACAACTGTAAGAATATTGATATCCAGGCCATTCTTCCGTGTGGGTACGGAGGTCCTCGATTCTTCCCGAGCAACGAGTTCAGATGAGTTTATGATGGCTACGAATTCTTAATGTCTTGAGTTTCAGCACACTGTGATCACGAGATCAATGATATGGATTTGGAAAACATATGATCATCTCATAGAGGCTTTCATAGCCCACCCAGAATTAATACTATTTTCGAGTATTAGTAATACTGGCGAAGACGACGTTAGATGAATTGATAGCTTGAAAGCCTGATAGGGTCAGCAATTTTCTTGGAGGAATAGTCAGCTTTACAAGTGATATTCGTATGATAATATGCTGTGAGTTCCGACTCTGAAAAGAACCCCATGAGCGAGCCTGGGGCGTGTACTCTGCTATTGCGTCACCGTAAACTCCGCCGCCGAACAAGTGGTATCTCGGCCTATTACTTTTTGTTGATACTAGCCACGATTGTTTCTTCAAGCGTTGTCCACCCCTCGGTCCAGAATGCCACGCTTTACAGAAGGTACTGGGATACCCATCCGTAATGTACAAGATGTGTTCCCCGTGGCCAAGAGCGCGCCCAATCAATCCGCTGTGCCGGACCAGATCCGCGTGAAAAACCGTCGGAAGCGATATCTGGACACGCACCCGGATTACTTTGGCCCGCAGCTTGAGCTCGCAGGTGCGGCTGCCTACCTGAGGTGGTCCATGGGCGACTGCTTCTCCTCAAACAGTAGGTTTTTTGTTGACATTTCCTCGCAGATCCCTTGTTGTATGACCGCCTGATACGCAGGTTCCAGACCCCTGCCGAACGCGAGGCCGAAGGACGACAGAAAGGCTACTCTGGTATCCTCGAGGCTGACCTCTACCGTAGCGAGGCCAAACTTGATGCTCTACGACACCCGGATCCCAACAGCATCTTCACCTATAAACGAGGCCCTCATGGGGAGATATTGGCGGAAGAGCGCGACGAAGTGCCCGCGAACAAGGAGGACGGACAAGCGCGGTGGCGATGGGAGATGGAAACCAGATTCATGCGAGGGGGCGACGATGACTTTGACTACTCGACGGTAGACGACAATCCCGACTACGATGACAGGGCGATTGAAGAGCAGGACGCGGAAGACCGGTATTTTGACGCACAAGAACCCGAGTTCCTCGTCGAATCCGACCAAGGCAGCTCACAAAGTCAGGGCAGAGGCAGGGAATTGCAGGGTGAGACTGGCATTCAAGACTTTTGAAAGATGACTTGATGCCGTGCAAAAGTTGACTTGCGATATCGATGTTCGGAAAAACCATTGATCATGGTCCCACAGTTCTCAGGCGGTCAAGATATCTACAGGATCCATCAAGCCCCTCAAGCTACTGGCACATCGGACATGAGGCATCCTGCGAAAGACCTGCTCTCCTTCGGTCTTGGTCATGAACTCCTGCCACTCCTTGGTCGCGATCCACTCCTCTCTGGCACGCTTATTCCGGAACTTCATCAACATCACAGTGTCATGGATCTCTTCGGGTGACGGCCGCGCCTCACGTTTCAGCCACGTCGGGGCAGGGTCAGGAATCTCGACAGGATACGTCTCGAACTTTGTGACATGCGGTGAAAACGCTGCCTGCATGCGTAAACGGGCGACCATGGTGTCCAATTTATGGGTTGGCTCATCGGGGAGTCTTCCTCTCTGGACGAGATCTCGGTCTGCTGGTTGAATGTTGCGCTTCATCTGGGAAGCAAAAAAGTAAAACATGCATGTCAGTGGTCGTTGAGAGTCGGCGATTTGACTGTTTCGGTGCAGCTGTCCACCGACATCCCGCGCCGCCGACGTTGCGTCAGTGTCGGTCCTTCTCAACAACATTTAGAAGTATTTCCAGACGGTACGCTGGTGCTCTTGGTGTCAGCCGAGAGAGGACATATAGAAGTTCGAAGATTTGTATCAAGTAGTTGGTTGGAAATATTGTGGTCGGCCACAAGATAGCTGGTGAGCCTAATCTCGACACAAATCCCAGACAGGTCGAGAACACTTCCCCCGCATTCGAGGTGTCTTTGGATGGAGGTTGATGTATATACGGATATGGGGTATGGAGTTATGATGGACATGGGTGTAAGCAAGTGATGACGACGTGACGCCTAACGTTGCAACAGGTGATTGTTTGATGGGCACTTGTGCAACAGACTTGTCCAGGTATGGACAGGTACCTCCCTAGGTAGATGGGCATATGTGGTACCTATTACTTGGTTGAGCTTTGTAACATTTGTCACTTGTATCTGTGCTAATGTTGCAGACAGCATGCCTACAGAATTGGTCAAGATATTCCGGGGCAGGATGATTTTCCATGGCTTGCTGTCTACTGTTTACCTGAGTACTCCTTGAAAGAAGTCAATGGCAACGGGAGTGAGAATCCCCGTTGTACTCGCAAGGGCACTGTATCTATCTCAATTTCTCGTTGACCACGGAGTATTTCACTTCCTTTACCCCGCAGAATTGTGCATCTTTCTATTCCCCTCTACTATGTACTGCGTCAAGTTACCTAGGTAGATCACACTGTTTTCCTGGACTGCCGGGTCCGTAACCTGCCTGGAGGAGTGCTGTAAATATCTGACTTACTTGGTAAGTATTCCCGTAACTTACAGATTTACCTACAAGTACCAAATAGTAGCCGTGTGTCTTTTGCCCATATTGACCCGCAATCTTTGCTCTCTGTACAGCCTAGGCTGATCGGCCTCCCCCGCCTCCATATTTCCTCTCTCCCCCCAAAATATGGCGCCTGGAGAGTCGAGTCAGTGACTTCGGTGGCTTTTTTCTTGTCCCCCCTTGTACGGAGTAGGAGGACCAGCAGTTTTGCTCGGAAAGAGAGAATAATTAACCGAAACAAGCCCCCAAAACCAGCAACAAGAGAGCTGACACATTGTTTCTCTCGTCTTCTCTCATGCCTCATTGCTTTCGTTTTGTTTTTGTTTGATATACACGTATTTTTGTGTCTTTATGTGTCTGCCTCTGCCATACGTACAATAAAGGCACACTTGTTTGTCGTGTTTACCCACCGAACTTATCATACCGACCAGGGCGGGGGATGGTTGATGGTTTACGGTAAACATAGTACCCAGCCGATATCACAGGTACCGTACCTTGGTACATATGTTCATGTGTTCATACATGTACGAGCTATCTGGGACGTGGTAGTTTACAAGTTACTACTCCGGACAAGGTGTTCACAGAGGACCATCTTTGAGATACCTGACCTTGTCGCCTCAGCATACCTCCGACCTAACTCTGTAAACCACCTTGATCACGGAGGAGGTGTTTCCGAGGGTTTAGGTGTCTAGATACATATCACCAGCATACTGTTACCCGACCTCAAGTTCGAAGAGTACGATGATAACACACATCCAACATGCAACCACTCTTACGGTCGCGAAGAGCAGCAAGATGGCGGAGGCCGTCACTCACACAGTCTACTACTTTTGTGTCGTCAAAGCTACAGCGTCGTGACATCTTGACGACATCTCGAGCAAGGGGACCTTCTCAGCCACCGCTACTCGAAGAGACGGTCGGCGAGAACTTTGCCCGGATCGTTTCTGCACACGGCGACCGAGACGCCGTCGTGTCGAGGCACCAGAGCAAGCGTCTCACGTTCAACGAGCTGGACCTCGACAGTAATGTGGTGGCACGGGGTCTGCAGAGTCTGGGAGTCAAAAAGGGTGATCGAGTGTGCGTGTCTTTGGGAAACAATCTCGAATTCGCCACTATAACGTATGCCTTGTTCAAACTGGGAGCCATCTTGGTTCCGCTGAACCCAGCTTTCACCGCGGCCCAGATCATTTCGGCCTTTAACCACTTATCAGCCACCCACCTGGTCATTGGGACGGAGACGAATCTCCCCTTTAAAGCTCCCCGGTCCAACGCACCAATCCTCGAAGCAATTGTTCCAGACGTGTCCAGTACGACTCTTACCTCTGAAGCGATCCCGTCTCTGAAGAACATAGTCTTGGTCGACAATTCCGCCAGCCGAGTAGACGCTGCCAAGTACAACGTTACAAAACCGTGGTCCTCGATCTGTCAGGACACGAACACGCGCCCACCTACGCCAGACGCTCCTCTTTCCAATCGCGAAGTGGTCAACATCCAATTCACATCGGGGACGACTTCAATGCCGAAGGCCGCCTGTCTCTCTCACCGGTCGATCCTCAACAACGGTCAACAAATAGGCGATCGAATGCTTCTCACGCCCGACGATGTCGTGTGCTGTCCGCCGCCACTGTTTCACTGCTTCGGCTGCATTTTGGGTTACATGGCCACGGCCACGCACGGCTCGAGCATAGTTTTCCCCACCGAAGCGTTCGACCCCCTTGCGGCCCTGAAAGCGGTCCAAGAGGAAAAAGCCACCGCCCTCTACGGCGTGCCGACCATGTTCCTGTCCCAACTCGAGCTCATAGACGATGGTGCCGTCGCGAACGAAGGGTTCCAGTACCTCCGGACGGGCATCGCCGCGGGGTCTTCCATCCCCGCCGAGTTGATGAAGAAGCTCCACAAGGTGCTCAACCTGACCGAGTTGACCATCTGCTACGGCATGACCGAGACGTCCCCCGTGTCGGCCATGACCACGACCGACGACCCCCTGGAGAAGCGCATCAACACGGTGGGGCGACTCCTCCCGCACGTGGAGGCCAAGGTGGTCGACCCCTTTGACCACGACCGCGTGCTGGGGATCGGCGAGCGAGGCGAACTGGCCGTCTCCGGTTACCTCGTCATGAAGGAGTACTGGGGTCAACCGGAAAAGACGGCCGAGGTCATGAAGGCCGACGCCGAGGGGACGACATGGATGCACACGGGCGACGAGGCTTCCATGGACGAAGAAGGCTACGTCAGCATTACGGGTCGCATCAAAGACCTCATCATCCGCGGCGGCGAGAACATACACCCCCTCGAGGTGGAGAATTGTTTGTTTGCGAACCCCAGGGTGGCAGAGGTGAGCGTCGTGGGCCTGCCGGATCCAAAATACGGCGAGATCGTGGCCGCCTTCGTCATCCGCAGGCACCACTTGCCCTCGGGAGAGAAGAACCCCATCACCGTGGACGAGGTCAGGTCGTGGGTCAGGGACAGGATGAGCCATCATCTCGTGCCCAAGTATGTCTTCTTTGTGGATGACTACCCAAAGACGGCCAGTGGGAAAATTCGTAAGTTTCTCTCCTTCTTTTCTCAAGGACCTTGATTTTTTTTTGTTGATGTACTGACATTTGGCGTCTTTTCCCCAGAAAAATTCAAACTCAGAGATCTAGGGGTACAGTTGCTGGAAAAGGGACAAGGCCTGAAATGAGGCAAGCCATATAGAAGAGCAAGTGCTGGATATCTCCGGTGTACATATCTCGAAACGAATTTCTCGCAATTCTGGTCGTACATAAAAAATGCTCTGATAGAACCGCCAGGTTGAGTAAAAGACGACAACATTAACATCATAGAGCTTCATGACTTTGTGAAACGCATGGTTTCCCGTCCGGCTATACCTGATCTTTATCGCGACTATCAGATCTTTTCCGTCTTCGCTCACGATGATCACGATCTTGCCTCTTCTCGTCACGATCCCGATCACGATGGCTGGATCTAGACTCGTTGTGATCTCTGTCTGCGTCTCTGTCACTGCGTCTATTTCGCTCGGAACGGTCTGCATGGTTCCCCTCGTCTCCGTGTCGATGTCGATGTCGGTGTCGCCTCTCTTCCTCCGCAGCATCATCATTATCATCGTGACCTTCCTCATCTCCGTGATGGCGACGATGTTTGTGCTCCGTCTTCCTACCATCTTCATCCTCATCTCGGTGTCTGTGTCGATGTCGACGTCTTCCCTCATCCTCGACGTCCTCGCCATCTCTACGTCTGTGTCTATGTTTGTGCTCAGATTTTTCTTTTTTGGACTTTTGGCGTTCTTTCGCCCTTTCAATTTCCTCCCTCTTCTCTCGGATTAAGTAATCGCGCATCGGATCTTGTTCTTCGTCTCCGCCTTGTGTGATGGCTAGCATCTTTTCCAGTTCCCGCTCTTCCTTCAACATGGGTCTGTGTTTCTTGTGTCTGTGTCTGCGTCCGTCGTCATCGTCTGTGTCGTCGTAATCGTCGCCACTCCCCCTCTTCCCGTTGCCGTTCATATCGTCTCCCTCGGCTTGCGCTTCCAAACGGTCGATGCGGTAGGTATCTTCGTCCTCGTCGTCCCTTTTCTTGTACCTTGTATGGTCGACTCGGAGCAACCTGCCCAAAACATCGGCACCCGTCAAATTGTCCACGGCCAAATCGCAACTGCGCTGGTCTTCGTATTTCAAAAAGGCAAAACCTTTACTCTTGCCCGTCTCTTTGTCCCTGATCAGATTGAGGTGCGTAGGGTTACCGAATTGTGAAAATATGGTGATCACGTCGCCTTCTGTCAAATCTAGATTTAGGCCACCAATGTATATGTACGCTGTGTCTCTGTAATCTGCGTGCCACGAGGCCGATGGTGGTGTGGCATTTTCGAGTTCTCGCTTGTTCAAGGCCTGGGTTTGACGGATGGCGTTCATGCTGGATCAGGGAACTTGCAAGAAAAAGACAAAAGTCTTTTCTACTCGCACCTAGTTATACTGGCAAGGGAGAGAGACCACTGAACAAAAAGTAGATATCTTTCGCATGTGCAGAGTATTGAATTGTACTCGCATGGAAACATTGGAGAATTAATTAATTTCTTGTGGAGAAAAACGACGCGATGAACTTCTGTTCGTTCTCCATCGAATCCGCATCTGCATCTGCACGTCAACAACACAAGCCTCGTTTGTGAATAACATCCTTTACACAGCCAAAAAACAATAACAAGACGATTGTGTCCTCATGAAGAATCTCAATCCCTCATAGTCACGATAGTTTGCAATCTCCTCGTCCTTTGATTCCACATCTCCTTCGCCATGTTGGCGGCATCGCAACCAGTCTCCTCCAGCTTCACCTCCCTACCCCCGTCTCGATCCATGTCCAGACGGCCAGCCAGCAAGGATGGGGATAAGCCCGCGATATGGGTTCCGATGCTGAACAGCGCCTCCAAAGGCAAAGACTTGACAGAAAAACAACTCCTCGTCCTCGGTGGCACCCCCGATCAACAGCGCGAGTTCCTCGAACAGCTCAACCCTCCAAACCTGCGCTCTCGATACGCCAACAACGACAGACGAAGACCACCGCGGACGACGGCACCCCTGTCGAATCGTTACGCGTTGGGTTATACGTACTACGACGTGATGGACGCGGATCAAGAGGACGTACTGGCGAGACTGAACGTCTACACGCTGTCGAACCCGAGCGCCAACTTCGCACCACTCTTAAAGCCCCTCTTCACACAAAAAACGGTCAAGGACACTCTGATAACGATACTGTTGGACTGGCAAGACCCTTTCAAATGGGCGAGACAATTGCGACAATGGATCAGGCTGCTTCGATCCGTCATCCTCAGCTTGGACGAACAAACCAAGATCGAGATGGAAGAGGTCATGACGGCGTGGAAGGAGAAACGAGTCGGACCGGACGCGCCGTCAGTCCAGCCTGGAGGAACCGCGGCGGCGACGACAGCGACGACGACCGAACAGCAGAAATCAATAGGTGCGGCGATAGTGCCTCCGGGACCAGGGGAGTGGGACGAAGGGTTGGGAATACCGCTGTCGGTCGTGTGTATACAGGCAGAAAAGATCGAGACGCTAGAACGAGAGAACAGCTGGGGAGAAGATCAGTTCGACTTCCTCATGCAATGGTTGAGATGTGTTTTGCTCAAGCACGGTGCCTCCCTGGTCTACACTGCCACGTTCGACCCGAACAATGTACGGACACTGATACATTCGAGCTTGAGCATACATTCCCTCCTGAAAAGAGAAGTCGCCAAATACAACATCATCGACCGAGATAAGATCTTGGTGCCCCCGAATTGGGACTCGTGGGGGAAAATTAGGATCCTCAAGGAAGGGTTCGATCCGGAAGCGGTTGGCGATGCGTGGTCCGTGGAGATTCAGGATGCCCCCGAACAAGCGCTGGACTGGTCGACGACGAAACAACAGGATACCAGACAACCGACCCAAAATGGCCAAACGACATCGTCGTCCGAACCCGAATCGGAGTCGGCGGTCCAAGTATACGAATCCACACTCCGCAACCCGGCGGACTCCAGACCGGCGTTCCAACCACGGACGACGCACGACGAAACCGTCACCGTCCCGACCGTGCAGGAATTTTTGCTGGTACAGTGTGAAAGCTTGGAAAAACTAAAGGCCGAGGACGAAAAGGCCGAACGGAAGTCCCGCAAAGGTGCTCCCGCCCCGTCGGGTGGTGCAACCGTCGAGGACGCAGACGATGCGATCAAAGGGGTCTCGAATCCCCGGATGGCAGATCACATTGGACCGTATCAGATCAACGTGAACGGTATCGATTTCGACGCGGAAGAAGCCACGAGACGGCTGCGCGAGCGCGAGAGTGAACGCGTCTCGGCCGCCGCGGCGGAGAGAAGGGGAGGCACACCAGTCGGCGGAACAGGCCCCGGTGGCAGCACTCCAATGCGTCGACAGGGGAGTGAGGCTGGAGCCGCAGAGGGAGGGACGGCAACACCGACCTTGTCTTCCGCGACGAGTGCGTACGACAAGCAGAGCAACAGGGCTGCGGCGGACTTTTTCGCCAACCTCATCAAAAAGGACAAAAAGGGTGGTGGTGGTGTCAGTGCCGCTGCGAGTCCTACGAGGATGCCCGGTAGCGGTGGGAGTCCACTTGTTCGAGGAGGAGTGACCGGAGGTGGTGAAGAGAGGAGAAGGGAGTCTTGAGGACAACACTCGAGGGGAGGGGGCAGTTTTCGCCCGTCCCAGACAGTCCAGTCCGTCTCTCTCTGATTCTCGAGAAGCTTTGAGACCGAAGAAACAAAATGTACAAGGTCGTTTTGTTTCGTCTCGTTATCTTTGTCAATCGCTAGGAGTCGAGTCGAGTCGAAGTTTTCTTTTTTTGAGCGTTTTTCCCCCCAAAGCAAGCGAGTATTTGCGAGCAGCAGGAGTAGCTGATATATAACAATGCATTCCGAGAGACTGGAAAAATGGAAGCTCAACAAAACGTTCTCTCGTTCTATTCTAGTTTTATGTAAAACGCAACGAAACCTGTCACAAGCTGTAGGACCGTTTTCATTTTTTTCTTCTTCTTGTTTTTCGTTTTCCTCTTTGCACAACCCCCATCATTTTCCCCGTCAGAAGGAAGTAGGAGGTCCGCGGGAGGTATTCATACCCATGCCATTCTCGGTGTTGTTCGTGCCCACATCCGATGAGCTCTCTTGTCGAAAGTGTAGTGATTTCTTCAGTCCTCGACGCCACCATCGGCGGTCCAGCCTTTGATCTCACACTGTTTGACAACATCGGTAGGGGAAACTTTGGCGATCAGAGAATCCCTCAACTTGACGATTTCGATCTCACTGAAACCGCACCTCTCGCTGAGGTACTGCTCCACGCTACCCAATTCCCGGTCGAGGACGAGTCTGAGAAAGGCACGCATGTTCCCGGCTCGACTGCCACAGATCCTGGCGGCCGCCTCCCTCGTGATTTGTGGTTTGTCTCCGGGCCAGATTCGGGGTGGGTTGTGTTGTTTACCTCCTCCTCCCCCTCCTCCTCCTCGACCACCACCACTTCCCATCCCTTGGGAACAGATACGATCGATGAACTCTTTCCTCCAATGACCCAACCCGGGTTCGGTCAAGGCGTATTCCCAACAAATCACCTCGTCCGGAACCCCCACCAACCTCCCTATCATGGCACCAAACACTCCGGTCCGGTCTTTACCGGCCGTGCAGTGGAAGACCAGAGGGGTGGTCGGTTTTTCCAACAAGTGTCTGAACATCTCCCCGTACGCCGAAGCCCCGTGGACGGCGATGTCACGGTAGGCCTTGACGAAACCTTCACTGTAGGCGAACCCGGCGTCCTCGTCGTGGGCGTGTTCGGCAGTGTACCAAGCCAGTTTCGTCGCCAGGGCCACCGGACCGTAATCCTCGCTCTGGTAAACCGGCGTAAAGTGCCGGGTGAGGCCGGGCACGGAATCAAGACAACCGGTTCGTGGGTCGGCCAGAGGGTAGACGGCCTTTCCAGACTCCGCCACCGTGGCGGCCAACCTGTTGATCTCGGGTTGACTGCGGAGATCGTACATGTCTTTGACTCCCAGCGTGTTGACGAGGTAATCGGCCCCGGATTGAGTGAGGTGGGTAGGGTGGGCGCATCGAAACAATAGACCTTTGCGTAAAACGTAAACGCCGTCGCCGTCACCACCAGAACCGGACGACGATCTCGCCGCCGCCGCCGCCCCAGACGATGGTGGTTTACATTCGTACCCTCCCAGATCTCGAAAGTTGGGGACACCCTGGACGTGCAGAAAAGGTGGCGTGGGTAGGTCTTGAGGGAACGATATGTTGAAATCCTCGGGTTCGGGCGTCGCCTGACGATCTTCACGTTCACGTTTCTCGACCTCTTCGATCTCCCTTTCCGTCAAGGGGGACCCGTTGGCGTCAGACAGGCCCGCGGTCGTGGGCGGTCGGACGTCCATGAATGGTTGATAAGGTTGGTCCGGGTTGGGAACTTCGTTGTTGGTGCCGAGTTGAGGGGAGCCTGATGAAGAAGGAGGGTTTGCCATTTGAATTTGGTTTGGACAACCTAGGTAGGTAATGCTGAAAGTGGTACTTTCGTAATTGTACCGACGACTTTTTCCTCGTGTCTGTTCTTTTTGATTATCGTGATATCAACACCTTTTAGCCTGTCGACCTCTTGACTCAATAGGCCAGAAATCAGGAAGGACAAGCGCCGATTTTTTCTTCCTTTGGTGTTGACAAGACTGTTTGCACGAACACTGGTACGGAATAGAAGATATTCCCACAGGATCAATAAGAGTATGTAAAGTGTCCCCAACGGCAAGGAGAGAAAAGAGAGAGCGTGTTGCGCCTACCGACAACGTTTCAATTCACTTTTATTGCTCAAATCACGTCAAGGCACGTTGCCCACGCAGCAGGCTAAACCACCACTCCGTTACCGGCTTATTTGTAGGTAGGCCACGGAGTACTGCCGAGGTTAGCTGCCTACCTGGTAAAGGACCAGGATACTAGTACCCGGCAAGGCTGGCGACACATGCTATTTTACACGTGGGCACGAGGCTGAGCCTACTTTGTACACCCACATACTTGTACGTACCTAACTCGTATCGAGGGTGTGTTGTTGTACAAAGAGGGTTAAATGATCGATATCTCATTCATCCAGAAATCCAACGCAATTATAAACCCCATGCGAGACAATGACTAACTACTTCATCACTTGGAAGATTCGTCAAAACAACTGTTCCACCATCATCAACGAACCTTGTCGATGTGCTGTCAAGAGGCGGTCAAGCCTGTGCTGTTCATCTTCTGCAGCATTCGACTACCCTTCAAGTTTTGATCATTCTCTGCAACCTAAATGACCTCCAGACATAAACTCATATTGATACGAACTTTTACCGGCGAGGCTAGTCTTGCGAAACCATGCCAGGTCATGATTCCGGATGAATCTAAAATGCAGTCTACCACCCAGGTTCATCATTTCTCATCGATCCCATTTTCCAGATGAGAAATTACTCGCACCCAACCTATTCTCAAGATCGTTGGTTTCTTCAACACCAGCGTTTCCGAGCACTTCGTAACGCGAATATGATCCTGACTCCCCGATGATCGATGCAAGCATACCTCCTATAAAGAATAAAAGGAACCCCGGAATCTTCTCAGATTACCGATAAGGAAATTTCCAACACGCTCCATCTCAGTCGTATCTTGACGTACCGTCCCCCATGTCAAATCGATGTTGCGGCAATCGCTTTACCGGTGGCGGCAGATGATTATGCTTTGCCTGTATTCTCATTCGAGCCGCTATTCTGTCAGAACCCATCTTTGTCACATCAATATTGGTCGTTGTCGGTCCCAAGGTTTCTGGTGAGCAGCAGTCAATGTTCTTGATCCACCGATCATTCAATGCCTCAGCCACAGTGCATCGCCTGTCAGGATCTGGGTGAAGGAGTTTCAATATACAACGTCGCTGTGAATGTGAAGGCAAAGCATTGAACATTGGACCACAGTGAGGATAGTTGTTTTCGTCGATGATCGTCTCTCTAGATCCAGAAAGAAAGGTTTCCCACCCCTTGAAGAATGCTGCATAGTTGGGTTCGTGCCTGCGAGCACTTTGCCATGGGTTTCCAACCAGGAAAATCGTCATGAACAAAACACCACAGCTCCATGCATCGAGCTTGCTAGGGTCGTACTCGCGATCCTCGGCGAGCACCTCTGGAGAAATGTATGGCCTCGATCCACAGATTCCCGGCGGCGACATTCGATGTTCCCTCATCCCTTGGCCGCAAAGCCCCCGAGATGACGCGATACCAGGATGCTCACCGCAAAAGACCTCCGAGACCCCGAAATCTGTAATCTTGATGTGACCTTCGTCGGTCATGAGCAAATTTTCCAATTTGATATCTCTGTGGGCAATGCCATGTTCATGCAAGTATCCAACACCCCTCAGGACCTGTTTAAAAATGCAATTCCGGTCTTCGGCCTTGAAATACTTTCGTTCGACCAGGCTGAAAAGTTCACCTTGTTGGCAATACTCCATAACATGATTCCAACGACCGTTGTTCGTGCATAATCGAACCGTCTTAACGATGTTGGGATGATTCGCAGATTTGGCAATAGTGTATTCTGACTTGACTTTGCGAAGATAGTCATCTTCTGTCTCTCTCATGGACTTCTTTCGAAACTCTTTCACAGCAAAGAGAGGGGCGCCGTCAGATTTCTTGTCACCCCTTCTCAGCATGATCTTCACTGTTGCGCTAGCGCCTCTACCGACCTCCTTCCGACGGCCGATCTTGGAAGCTGAGACAAACTCGTCTTCCAGTGGGCAGACGTCAACTACAAAGTCATCCAGAGGGCTCGCACTAAGACGTCGAGATTTCAGGCCTGCTCCTTCTTGTGCAGGCACCGAAAACAACGAGGCACGGTTGGAATGATCATTGCTGCTGCCAAAACTACCACTTCGGTGAACAGGTGGGTGTGGTTGCGGGCTCAGATACTTGGGGTCCTTATGTGATTTGATCTTGGACAGGAAGTTGAGGCCGCTTGAGCTCCGTGTTGGAGATGGTGGTTGGCTGGTCACCACCGACATGACCTTGGAAATGGCCACTACCACCGGCGACAGTGCAAGATGTGAGACGATGTTGGTGGCTCACTGAAAGTGAGCGAGAGCCTGTAAATTGCTAGTGTGCCGACCGAGGGTTGCAACTGGGGTGAAGAAATATGGTCAGGAAATCCAGCCTCGTGAACCTGGTTGACTAAGAGACATGTATGGAAAGAATCGGGATCAGGGTCCTCGTTGTGTTTATAAGCGTGTTGTTAGTGGAACAGCGCGATTGTAGAAAGCGACGGCTTCTGCAACTATCAGCACAAGATGAGAATCTCGAGATGCGATGATTTTGTGAGAAACGGAGTTGATCGCCAGAGAGGTAGGGGAAGTTTGGCAGAAATAGCGGCACCAGGCGGCTTGATATGGCGAATCGATGAGGAGACGATGGAGGACCAGGCGGGTCTGAGCTTGGGAGTTTGTTTCCCGCCAAAGTCCTACGGATGGAGCCTCTCGCTTTCCTCGTGGTTGACAGTGATGGTGTCAGTGGTCAGGATGGTTCAATGTCGTCCCTGATACCTCGTCGCTGTCACATATGCTTCCTACTCTTTTGCACCGTCCTTGAGTTGACGGCCGGCACTGGCGTCTATCGGGTCGAAGGCGAGGTTCTTGTCTCGGACTTCAGTGACGTTCCGTTGGAGTAACAGTCCTTCGACTCTGCCGGAGAAGATCCAGATGCCAGTGGGGTCAAAGTGTACCAAGCTTTTGCTTGTTGGAGAGGGTTACGATTGTTCGTTGAGTGGTGACTATCCGTATAGCGTGCGGCACTGTGGTCGTAGGAAATGCTCCGAGTACGAGTAGAGAGGTACATCCACGTCTGCAGAATGGTCAGCTCATGCTGGTAGATAAGCAATACCTATCGAGCCGAATAACGGCCAGTAGATAAAGTCGAAAAAGGCTCATGTTGGGACAATTTACTTTCTCAGCTTGCAAGAAGATATGAAGATCGATCGGAGATTCGCATGAGGTGGAGGGTTGCAAGGATGACAAGCGAAGAGTGTGCGGGATTTGCAGAATGCAGCTGATCACGAGCCCTCGAGTGCTGGTCTCGTTGTTCTTATACAATGTACAAGTATCACCACCTTGACGTATTTATTTCTGTGGGTGCGAGATAAGGGGAGCGCTGGACAAAGATGCCCTGTGTCCATATCAAAACGTCGCCACGAGAGCAGCCTCCTCACTAAGGTAGTTGATTGACGACGTGGAGTGCCTTCCCTGCGCAGACTTCGCTTGAAAAAAAGGCTCACCAGGCGTCGATGCAAGGCTACTGCAATCTGCAATGCACTCCACGTCCATCCATGTTGCTGAATGCATCAACCCCGCGCACAATGCGTTCAGCAACGGAATGCTTAACATGTCTAAGCATTGATGAACACGATCCTCGTGGCACCATGACAACACTTGTTTCTAGAGCTTTGACGTCCTATTCAGAGAAGCCATGTATTCAGAACTCGAGGCTGATATGAGCACCAACTGCCCCCCCAGAAAGCCCCTTCAACTGAGATGATCCTTCGAAATATCATGTCAGAAGGACAAGCGTCATGAGCAAACAGCAGCTGTGGATTAGGCACGACCGGGTGCTTCCCTCTTTAACCACATTCATATCGGGATGAAGCACTTCTGCGGAGAAAAGGCTGCAAGAAGTCACATCTCGTCGGTGACACAGCATGGCCCCAACCTCGATGCAATGTTGCTTCTTTTCTGCCCGATGGTGCGCGATTTATTACTCAACCTCTTCTCATTGCTCAATTCTCCAAGAGGCGGTCGCAGTGCTTGACGTCGCTGTCCACAGAGAGAATATCCCCCGGCACCAGGGCTGCCCAATGCTTGCACCACCAAAACACCAAGGCACCTTGGGTGAATGACCCCTCCTCCACAGCCCCCGCGTCCACACCATCAACGCAATGGCCACTCACTAAACTGGATGGAGGAAGTATGAGAATTTAGGCACACTCCTGCGGCCCCCAAGAGCGAAGTTGATTCACTAGCAGCTTGAGTACTCCGTACATCCCACGTCTTCCCGCACCATGGGCCAAGATACAGGGGCTCGAGGCCCCGAGGCTTTCGTTGTGTAACCAAGCAAGCAAATTTACAGGTGGACTGATCAGCCACAGACCAATAAATAATGGAAGTGATATTACGACTACGAGTCCTCCGCATGCTCCCCTTCATGGAACTCGCTGCTCAAATAGTAGTAACTTATGCACAATCCTTGACATGTTCGATTAAAAAATGAGTCTCTTTTCCAGGCCCAGTCACCGCTCATTAAAAAAGGTCGCTATTCTACTAGACATGACATGTCTCCCATCAGCAACAAAAGCTTGACCCACAGACGAGTCTTCAAGCCTCACCGCTTCAATGACGCTTGAAGTTCTGTGCAGCCTCATCTCCTCACGCAAGTTCTGCTTCGCTTTGAAAAATCCATGGCCTGCATGAGACAGCAGAAAAAGAAAACTTCTGCGGATCCCCGGACGTCGTTTATGCATCAGCCTGGCCGTGACCGTTGAGGTCTTCCACACCCTGGCTCTGCTCACGCTGCATGCGTGCCTCGATTTCACGTAGTTGAGACTCGCGTGCCAACAGTTCTTGTCGCTTCTCGTTGATTTCACGTTGGACCTTGACCTCGATCTCACGCAGCTTCTCTTCCTCGCGGCGCAGTTGTTCTTCCTTGAGCCGGACTGATTGATTGGCAAGGTCCTCGGGGTTGATCGACGAGTCTTGTCCACTGTTGTCACATGTATTAGCCAACGATTCACTAGTATGGATGATAGGGAGCACATACGAGACACCTCCGTCCACGCTCTTGCTGAGTTTCTCGGTACGGTAGTTCTCGTACAGGAAGTCGTGCGTGATTTCTTTGAGATCGGCAAGATGGGAGTGCAAGAGGGCACTACGAATGGCAAGGAAGTCCGAGTGACGCGGGTTGTCAACTTCCACCACACCCCATGGGTACTGTCGTGCGCGGACTCGTCGACCGCCAACTTCGATCACGTCCTCTGACCCCACAATGGCAAACGGCATCAACCCACGGAGCTCCGCATTCTCTTCCACGGTGTCCTCGTCATCTTCTTCAATATCGTAGGGGAAATTGTAGACCGGGATACGGTAGTGTTCAATGTCTTCCATGACCAGTTTCTTTGACTCGGCCAATTCAGCAGGGGTCAAGGAATCAGCCTTGCCAATGACGGGGATGACGTTGACACGGGGAGAAAGGCGCTTCATCAGTTCAATGTCCAGCTCTCGGAGACCGTGGCCGGTGGGAGTGATGAAGTAGAGGAGTGCGTGGATACGATTGTCTCTGAAGCGAGGGTTTCTCTTGATACGAGATTCCTCGGCAAGAATATCGTCGTACTGCCGTTCAAGGTGACCAACAATTTCGCCAAATGCCGATTCGTTGTCAATCTGATCACCGAAGCCGGGAGTGTCGACGATAGTCAGGGAGACACGAGTGCCCTCCTCATCCAGTTCAAGTTCTACCTCTTCGTCAGCTTACAAGTTATTTCTTGCTGTATGTTGTCCCACATACCAACTGTTACCGGCTTGATTCTCACACCTTCCTCGAGGTGCGCATTGGCTGCATCGTCGGCGTCTTTGGGCTGGAGGACTCGTTTTCCGCATAGGGTATTAACGAAGGTTGTTCGACCTGTAGTGCCGTCAGCACTGGCATATGGAAACAAGGCGAGAGTCACTCACCGGTTCCGCTTGCACCGCAAACCATGAGACAGAACTGGATTCCCTTCTTGACATTCTTCTTCCTCCGAATCTTTGACTGCGCCAGGCGCACTTTGTTAGTAATACAGAAAACAGGGGTAGGTAAAGCATAGGAGGCGAAGAGATATTCCTGTCGGTATGTGATGATGGGAAGGATGAAGAGTTGGCCGGCATACCGCATTCATAGGTGAAGACATCTTGACAAATATCACTAGAAGTAGCGCTGTGGAAGAACAAGGACGAACGAGATGGTCGCCGCGGCGATGAGAACGAGATTGAACAAACGATTGAAGAAAGACCAGAAAAGAGTTGCGCAACGGTGATGTGTTGGACTGAAGGAGACGGAGGATCAAAGTGAAGGCGTCCAAAAAATTAGGGGGTAAACGGTCGACTTGTCAATCTACGGCTGTTTAGGCCCTGGAACTGCCACTGACTGGCACTCTGGGGTCGCGCTTGCCCTCGCGCTTTGCCTCTTTGGGCCTTGCAGCCTCGCCAACATGACACTTGGGTCGATCTACTATATATCGCCGTCTGGCCAGGGGCTTTGCTACAAAAAGGTGATTGCCGCAGCTTCGTACAGAGTACCCGACAGAATTTTTTTTACCAGAGCGGGACTCCAAGCAGTACCACCGTCTAGACGATACACACAGCGTACTCTGCACCTTTGCTGCCATGTGCCAGATCTTGACGCACAGTATTGAGCCCTGACTTGTCAGACCACAGGAGCCTTACTGTGACAAAGGGGAAAGATATCCGGTCAGACTGCGCCCATTTTGTATGGGCCGCCGTCCAGGCATATATAGCATCCACCCATAGGTATGATTGTCACAACAATCACATATTCTACGCTACAACTCCAGTGCAGGGCATTCATTCTACTTGACATTGAGTCTATTGTATGTGCAAGCTACTGATACTGGCTGTCCTCTGATCTCGAACCTCAAGGCAGGTACTTACCTACCGAGGTAGGTTACACACCGCCCACAGAAGCCTTTGTTACATTCCACGGCCCCTGCGTGGTCCAGCTTGAAATACCAGCCCTCTACACAATTGCAGTCATGTCATATCGACGGTCCGGCACATCAAGGCGGCAGCAGTCCGTCGACTTTCCTCGCTATCCTCCAATTTCTCAGGCGCAGCCCCAACAACTACCTCCCGCGCCTACATCTACTCCTCTACCTGCACCGATGCCCCTCCCACCTTCACAGCCTGCCATACTCGCCTCAGACTACGAGTCAGACAATCCAGGCTATCAATCAGACTACCCTACGGGACCACCGCCTCCCAATCGTACCAACGAAGAATTAAATCTCTCCGTCCTCAAACGCCATAATCCCGAAATCTCCTCCATCTTATCTATCGCACCCTACGCAGTCGTGTACGAATTCTCACCTATACCACAGCCCGAATGGACAAAGACAGGGGTGGAAGGCTCTTTGTTCATTTGTGAACTTGTACCTGGAAAATATGGAGAAGACAGATATTCAGCCATCGTCCTCAACCGGAGAGGTCTGGACAATTTTGAGGCGGAACTGAGAGAAGGTGAAAACGCGGGTGTTGAAATAACAGGCGAATATGTGATTATCAGTTTCAAGGAAGGCCATGAGCAGAAGATCTACGGCGTCTACATATTCCACGAAGCAGGTTCTTCCACAGAAAACGCGCAACAATTGAACGGCGAGCTAATGAAGTCACTTGCGGATCACGCTGGTCTCAGCAAACAAGCCGCCGAGGCCGCGGCATCTGCTGCCGTCGCGCAGCATACAGACGGACATATACAGCAAGCCGAGGATGCTTTGCAGAATCAACAAGCCACGGCGACTTATCCAGGTCAACAAATCAGCCTACATCAGCTGTTCGGTCAACAGCGAGCGTCTGATGCGGCGTGGAGCGTAAGAGCACACAATCTTGACAGCAATCAGCAACCGCCCTCGCAACCACCTGCCAATGTCAATGGTCAGCAGAATTACAACTACCACAATTCACAACCCGTACCTCAGAATCCTGACGTGCTAGGAGACCTCTTTAGAAGAGCAGGTCTCGCCGCAAAATAGGTAATATGGAACGAGGGTTCTGTCAACACAGCTGTAACTTCCCTGGCATATTTGGAATCTTGAAGCATGCAACCAGAAGGTATTCTCAGACCATAGTCTTCATCAAAGCTTCAGCTTTTCGGGTTTACTCCATGATCTCCTCTAACCATCGTCCCACCTGTGCCGCGACCATCTCACTCTGTTCCAAACACCAAGCGTGCACCAGTCCCTCGGTCTCATCAATCACGATCGTGGGCCCTCGCTGTTGACCCGTCGCTCTTTGACCCCTGTTTCTTAGAATGTCTGTTCTCGTCATATCCGCGATCCAATGATCTTCTTTCGCAAACCAGAGATACATTCTAGGTGGACACTTGCGGTTTTCCGCGTTCTCGTTTCGTTCGCCCTCGTCTCTCGGTGTTGTTGAAGTCGTCGCATCTCCCTCGTCCTCGTCCACCGCGGCTCCCCAAACCTCGTCACCCCACCGATCCGCCCTGATTTCTCTCAACTCGTCCGCGGCCATGGACAAGGCCTGCCTGACACCACTCTGGCTTTCCAGGAACGCCATTGTCGAGTCGAGACCGTGGCCGCCTTCCTCCATCCCCGTGACCTTTTTCACGAAGCCCCGGAGCCAGTGTGCCGGAAGGACACTTTTGACCACAACGGCGTGGACCAACAGCTGAGCCAAGCCGGGGACACACCCCGACACGAACGGTACACTCGTGAGGAGCGGGGTCGCTATCCTGCCCGACGCAGAACTGTGCAAGTCCACTATCGTAGGCGTGAGTAGGATGCAGTTTGACATCGTCCAAGGGGGTTCTTCCCTCTCGTGTTTGGACGAACCATGCTCCTTCTTTGGCAGTCGTCTCTCGTGCCATAACCTCACCATTTCGAGACAGATGTAGGTCCCCACGCTGTGTCCGACGAGTATGACTTTTACACCATCGGGGCCAGTACTCCCTTTCTCGCCCTCGTCCAGCCGTCCATGATACTCTTCCCGTATCATATCACATAGACTCTGAACCCGAGCGTAGCAGAGTTCTATCTGATCCTTGAGAGAGTAGATCCTGTTGTTGTTGCTTTTGTTGTTGTTGGCGCCGCCGCCGCCGTCGTCGATTCCTCTGTGTGATCCACGAGATGGGTACATCAATTCTCGCATTTTCTTCTTCTTCTCCTCCGCCGCTGACTGGTCGTCGTCATGGTCATCGTCGTGGTCACCTCCGTTCTTTGCAACGTCGAACCCACCGAGACTCAATCCGGCAGTGATCACAGCCTGCCTGTCTTGCCATCGATCTTGCCGTTGCCGCTTTCCTAACCGTTTGGCCAAAAGATCCAAAAAAGGATGGTAGTATGAAATCAGCCCCGGGTTGCCTGGAATAAAAAAGACCAGCGTCACCGTCTTGGTCGGCTTACTCCGAGAAGGAGCACCTGCACGCCGCGACGGACGATCTGTGGGGATTGACACATCCCGGGGAACATGCAAGAATACATCTGCCGACTTGGTACTGGTCAGCGGCATGATAAGACTGACCGGTGCTTCTGGGTAGACAGTCTCGACTTGTGAGATGATGAGCAAGGATCAGATAAATCCACGTCAGTATTGGCAATTTATGTGGGTCTTTAAGAAACTGCATTTACTCTACGCCGTCCGACCTCTTCAAGACTTGCAATCTACGAGTCTCTTGATCTCTTCTTCGATCACTCTGATCTGCGAAGATGAAGGTCAAGTATTCATAAGCACAAACATGCATATTATTGTGTCTATGGAAGAGCACCTTCGCTGCCATCTCGATAAGCAGAGTCAACCTGTCCATGTATCTTAGTACAATAATAGTGCCCAAGCCATCTTTTTTGTGTAATTTGGATGCTCTCATGATACGCTTGCTTGAATAAAATCGCTTGCTTGATGGGGTATCTCTGCTTCAACGCAAAATCATATTTAACATAGGGGGAAAAAAAAGGAAAAGGTCGACTGCAGTTGTCCAGCTAATCGCAAAGTGCTAAGTTCTCTCCTGCTTTCAATATTAGCTTGTGTTACTTTATCTGTCTGCTTTCAACCTCGTCTTGGATCCATGATTAATTGTTTGTTGGAGCCGCATTCCAATTGGCCGTTCCGCTCATGGGCAGGTCTCCATCATCGAGGCTTCGGGCGCTCGTATTCAGGTTCGTACTCCCGAGAATCTCACGAAATGTATCGTCGTATGCCCAACCTGATTGAGCCGCCAACGCTCTCTCAACCACAGGAGGACGATCCAGATCCTGACGTCCAAAGGGAGGTGGTAGGTTAGGATATGGCTGAGTGGGCGCATTCGCGTTCGGACTTCCCGATGCCGCATAGTGACCGTGAGAAGGTGCGACAAAAGGCGGCATCCCGTTGACGTAGAGAGATCTTCGTAGGGCATCTTGCCTGGCTATGCGCTCATTGTCTGCCTCAGCTCTCTTTTTTGCGTGATATGCAGCAGGATTCTCTCGGAGTAGTTGCTCGTCTTGATACTCTTGTTCGGCCTCCTTTTGTTCTTCTTCGTTGAGTCTCTCATCGTCCTCTTTCTGGAAAGTTTCAGTTAAGACTATCTTGCAGATAAAGTCCAGCTCCTCAATGACCGCGTCCAGAACATTGGGATCTTTCCCGCGGCATTCCGTAAAGTCTTCTTTCACCACGTCTTTGACGGGAGCAAGATACTCGGCAAATTTTTTCGTCGCCTGCCTCATGGGGTTCTTTTTGTCAACAACTCGGCCGAAAAGTTGCGTCTTGAAGATGGATGTATTGAATAAGGAGTCCTCGAATGTTCCACCAGCTTGGAAGCGATATACAAACACGGGAGTTTTTTGGTTCAGACGGTACGCGCGCCCGATTGCTTGTTCTTCCCAAGCTGGGTTGAAACCAAAGTCGAACAAAATGACACGATTGGCACCCTGTAAATTCAAACCCAAAGCCCCAGCTTTCGTAGAAATTAGAAACACCTGGTGCATGTCTTCCTTGTTGAATGCCTTTGTAGCAGCTTGACGGGTCGATAGCTTTGTGCTTCCATCCAGTCGGCAGTATGAACACTTCATCTTCTTCAACATTCTGTCGAGGAAGTTGAGAGTCGGGATACTGTGGGAGAAGATGAGCACCTTATCGCCCACTGCAATGATTTGTCTGACGAGTTTTTTGACTGCTAGTGTGCGATAAGAAAATGAGGGATTTATCATGAGGTCCTTGTCCTTGATCAAGTCCTCCATGATACCTTGAACCTCCTGCAGAGCCTCATTCATTGGCCCAGTGGTATCGATTTCGGGGTTGTCATCAAGATCATCGGGAGGACTTAGATCTCCGTCCTCGATAGACAGATATGATTCGTCAACTCCACTGGTTGGATCTCTTCTCTCTTGTCTGCTGGTTTCAAGGTCTGCTCGCTCTTTCATCTTCGATAGGAAGATTGATGGATGATGGCAAAGCCATGCCAACATATTGATCCAAACCCAAAGGCTTGCAGTCTGTGCATTTCCCGATTTCTGATTAATCATTTGTGACATGTGCGTCGCGTAGACATTGTACGCTTTTGTCTGGATATCGGTGAGAGGAAGCGTGATGAAGAATTCCGTCTTTGGGGGCATGTCCTTTGCAATTGCGGAAATGTCTGCCCGGTTGATTTTTGGGTCCAAATCTCGCTTTAATACATGGAGTTTTTTGAGTGCAATACGTTTCTCGGAGGCATTGCTATCTGCGTAGAGTCCTGCGATTATCGGCTCAGAGTATTTTGATCTAAACTGCACAATGTTCCCCAAATAGCCAGGAGAGATCCAGTTGACCATAGTGTAGTATTCTTCGAGATGATTGTTCAGAGGCGAACCCGTAAGAGCGATTCGACTTGTGGTTTTCAGTTGACTTGCTACTCTGTTCGTGGTGGATCGGGGGTTCTTCAGTTTGTGGGCCTCGTCTGCAATGACAAGAGTTGGTTCATCCAGCAAAATTTGTTCCAGGTCTATACTGACAACGCTGTGCGATTTAGCTTTTTGACTATCGCCGACGATGCGTCTGAAACGTTCGTAGCTTATAAGCAAAAGCCCGCCAGTTCGAGACCAGTCAGCAATCATTTTTGCATTCGAAGTGTCAAGTTTGTAGATTGCACCCAGGTTGCTGAGGTCGGGAGGAGTCCACATCAATAACTCGTCATACCAATTGTCCACCAGCGTTGCAGGGCAAAGAATCAGTGTTTTCCCCTTTCTGAGGTGAACTGGTATCTGAGATCGGACAGCGGGGTCGTCGCTTCGATTGCAAATGGAAATCGTGACGAGCAGAGAAATCACCTGCATTGTTTTACCCAGTCCCATGGTGTGCGCCAATATACACCCCTGGTGCTTTGGGTCATCGATGATCTCCCGCCACATAAACTGTATGCCATTCAGTTGATGCGGCTTGACACGTCGAGCAATATAAGAATGCAAATGGATATAAGGCTCGGTAGTGTTGACAGGGGTCAGTATTGGCTGGCCTTCTGCTGTCATCTGTGCGAATTTCTCTGCCATCTTTTGACGTCTCTCCTCTTGCTGCTGAATCCGCAGTTGGTCGCTCTTTTGCAGAGTCTTCGCTTCTTGACTCTCTTCAACTTTGCGTTTTCGCTGCTTCTTGTGAGCAGAGCTTGGGTTTTCAAGCTCTAAGGCATCAGCGGACGTATCACTAGGTGGAAAGTCGCTGTCATCCACAAAAACCACAGAAGAATCAATGTGATCTATCTTTCTCTTCTTTGTACGTCGCTGTGAGCTTTGCTGTTGCTCATCGTCTTTCTCGAAGGTGATTATGAGATCAGCTAGAAGGTTAAAGAAAGGTTTCGACGCTCGCTCAATGTCGTTATAAGCCTCGTCGCGGCTTCGTTTTGTTAGAGCCCCATCAAACATATTTTGACCACAAACAAAGGTAATGTAGAGGAGTATGAGAACATGAGCACTTGACTGATATTTCGCTTTGACATCCTGAATCTCATGGTCCTCGTTGTCGAGTACAACTAAACCGTTGACCAAGACGTTTTTGCGGCCAGTCGCAGTCAAAGTCTTCGCAGTCAAAGTCTTCAAGAACACTTTCAATTCACCGATAGTTTCGCTGTCCAATTCATAAATGGCTTTTGCAAGTGCTCGGCGCTTGTCAGGTTTACAATCATCGGCAAGTCGCTCGAGGAAAGTCCATTCAATATCATGACGCATCCCTTCCACATCGTGGATAGGTGGCAAATCAGAATCATCATCGAACAGACGATACATTGGCTGAGTCAGAGATGGTGAAACGGATTTCTCCTTTTTCTTTGAACCTTTGCTCGGCTCGGGCTTTGGTAGCGGATTGAGCTCTGGAGTGTGCACAGAGAAGTCTGTACTATCCTCGACAGCACTTTTATGAGCCCCTTGGTCAGGACTGGAAAAGGTCAAGTCCACATACTCTGACTTTCTGCGACCTTCGCGTCGGGAGTATGGCTGCGAGACACGTGCTGGTGTATTGAATTTCGCACCGTCGACGTCCGAGTCTTCGTTGGCCAGTGAACTCGGATCTGGGGGAACTCGAAGCTTATAATTCGAGTTGGCAGTCCGCGGTGTTGATCGTCGGCTCAAGTGCCTTTTCCGTGCGGGTGTAACAACCTCGTCATCACTCGTTTCGATATCTGCATCATTGGCTTGTGCATCAGGAGTGTCCACAGTCTCATAAGTTCCTGATTGCGGCTCAATGTCAGGGTCAACGTGATTAGCGCTGTTCTCATGTCCCTTGGCGCCCGATCCATTCCTCATCTTTCCTGGTATTAATGGATTCCAATTCTCTAACTCAGGTTCATGGTGGATGGAGCCTACTTCGGAAGCATCATCAACCACGAAGTCGTCCTCTTCCTCGCTAAGTGGTTCTGGATCAGATTCGATAAGCTCCTCGCCATCTTCGAGAACTTGCTGCTGACGTGGTCGGATCGCTTTCAATACTCGCCTAGTTGGACGCTCGGGGGCTCTGTCTTGACTTAAGACAGTCTCATAGTGCCGGTATTCTTCCTCTTGATGGACTGAAGCTTCAAGACTCTGGCACTGCTTTTTGACCTCAATAGTATTATGCCAAACATCGTCCATCATGGCCTTTATGATCTTCTTGATCATCTTTTCAAAACGTTCCTTTTCGTGCTTGAGGTAGTTCAATTTTTGCTGGCGTTCCCTCTTTCTGGCAGCATCCCTCCATATGCGGTAAGCCTTTAATTGTATCTTTGGCAACTTTGTGTCTCGCCAATCTCGTTTTATCTCATTGATCGTTTCCTCAATGGCAGCACGTACCTCATCCGCTGTCAAGAGTTTCGTAGCTTTCTTCTTTTCACGTCTTTCGGCCTCAATTTCCGCCCAGGTTTCCTCGTCTAATTCACCCTCGTCGCTGGAATCGCCATAAGCGGGGAGGACCTGATCAGACTCTTCCACCGGGTATTTCTCAAGTAAATAGTCGAGGTCGGTCCAGTCTGGTTGTGAATCTTGCTTCTGCTCAGCTGGGCCTTCCCTAGAACTTACAGGCGCGAGCTGTACTTTAGAGCGCTTCAATTCTCCACGTTTGCCCAGATCAGCGTAGTCCTGAGCACGAAAAACCCGAGGGCGGTCGCCGTTCTGTTTGAAAAGCGTAAAGCATGGCTCTGAATATGGCTTGTACGCTCGACCCAGAGGGAAAACTTGATAAGGGACTTTAACAAGAGCTCCATTACCTGGGAGCTTGGTGACAGGCTGTCGAAGAAAGTGTCTGATGTGGTAAGCAACGCTGAGTCTCTGTCCAGTAGGGTATTGACCTCCGATGACGAAGGTATTAGACTCGTCCAGGAGAGGACGATAGAATGTGTCACCAAAATCGCTGGAGATCTTGTGGTAGAACGTATCCTGCAATGGCATTGCTGATTTCGGCAGATACGAGGCACTGGTACATTGGAGAGCTACTTCCTGCTGCTGCACGACAGAAGTCGGGGCCATCTTCTTTTTCTTCTTCTTTGAAGTGGTGATAATGGATTGCTCCTGGTGAAGGGGCTGCTTTTCTATCAGGCGAGTGTGGGGCAGATTTACTTGTCTTGACGTTTCTGTCGCAGTAGATGGTTGATTCCTCTTTCCAATAATCTCTCGCGCGTTTGTAGAAGGCGAGGGAATCGTTGTTAATGACGCACCGATGGTATGTGGGCTTCCAGATCTTGGGGCACCCTCACCAATGGGAGGCATGCTTGTCTGAGGCAATGGTTGGCGGATAGCCTGCGGATCGATATTCGAGTTAAGGGGGGGTGAGTGTGTCGGCAACCGAGACTCTACAGAAGGCATGATACCAAGTCCACTGTACGCATGCGAGTGTAGTGTCGTTGGTGTTCTTGACTGCACAAGCCGTGGAACATACATCTCTGACTGCAACCGTGCCATTCCATCAGCTTGGAAAGCCATCTGTTGATAGCTTGGTGAGTTCGATCGAAGGTAATCGATGATCTTCATCAGGGCTCTTCTTTGGCCGAACGATGTGAGCCCCAAGTCATCTCTCAGTACGGACATGTCTAGAGCAAGTAGATTGTCCCCATCTAAGTGATTTTGGCGGATGACATCTTCAAGGAGCTTCCGATCAGGCATAACTTGGAGTTGGACCACCGCTGACCAACAAGGGGTTGGATTGTGACATAACTCGTGGACCACTTGGTCGATAGTCCAGTTCCTGGCATCGTCATCCTGGTCATCTGAGGCGTCCATAGTTGAAGAGAAGGAAAGTGGGGTGGTCGTAGAACAAGAGTTGTTGGAATGAAGATTTCATGGAAGGCCGTGGTCGAGAACCTGGCGCTCTTTGTTGACAACGTAAGTGAAGAGCAAACGGGGATGTTGACTCTAGCCATGAAGGAAGTGAATTCAAAGGCAAGCAGAGCAAAGTGGCAGTAATTGCTTCACTGAAATGAGAAACAATGTTTGATGAGACCAAGTCCAGCGTCAAACGGAAAAACGCCCCCGAGGTTCACCCCCAAACAAAATGAGTTATTAGATGAACTTTTTTCGCAACATCGAGGAAGTTCTTTATCCTCTGGAGGAGGCAATTGATCGCTAAACGCTTCGAAAAAAAAAGGAACCCAGTGAAATGGTGTTTGAGAGTGGAATGAGGCTACTCCGTATTGCACATTGAATTAGCGGTGATCGGGACTGCCTTATAGCGCGACTAACAAAAGTCACTTTACGCGTGTACTGAATCCGGAAAGTCAAGCGGATGCCTACATTTGCTGACTAAACGCCTAGCTTTAGTAATTCACGTCTTGCAACCAAATCGCCCGTACCAACATTCACATTTTGACCTTGTCGGATTCACTGCCCTCAGATTGATAGAAAGTTGCTTTCTGGAGATACCGAACCACAAGTCCACTTGCTGTGGTCCTCAAAAGCAACATGTCAAATTCCATTTATACCCAATATCCTCCTGACCTGGACAGCCAGCAAGAAGCTTTTTTAGTCCAGACAGTCAAAAACTGGACGGTAGAACATGCCCTCACAGTCAGGCCTTCGGCGGCGATAGTGCCTACAGAGTTCAATTCAGGAAATACGTTGGCTACTAATGCGCCTGTGACGCTGTTCCCGAGTCCTTTTCCCGAGTCCTGCTTCGAGCAGGCCCGAGGTCTTCAACAGATTTACAACGAGCTTTATGCTGCGATAGCGAGTGATGAGCAGTGGCTGGAGACTGTTATGAAGGAGTAAGTCCATACAATCTTTTACGTGCGCCCTCAATGGTCTTGTTCGTACCTGGGGTGGATGCGAACGAAACTGCTACTGATCCGGATCCCAGGCTCATCGAAGTCGACGACTTTCTTGCCAACTTGTGGAAAATCCACCTCGATGTCAAGCGAGAAGGCTATGTTCAAGATATGACTCTCGGACTGTTTAGATCTGATTATATGCTCCATACCCCCGAGGATGGCCCGCAGTCCCTGCGGCAGGTTGAATTCAATACGATATCCTCATCCTTTGGAGGTCTCTCTTGCCGCGTTGCCGAGATGCACACCCATCTGGCAACGTATCCTTCGCCTCAGCATCCAGTCGCGTACCCTCCTCACCCTCTGTTTAGCAACTCCAAAGAGACACGGATCAAAACTACCGGACGCCCGCCCGTCAATGCTGCAGTATCGACCCTAACAGCAGGCCTCGCCGCCGCCCATCAAGCTTACGGACCTTCGAAATCATCACCACAGCTCCCGACTTGCGTACTCTTTATAGTTCAAGACACCGAGCGCAATGTCTTTGACCAACTAGCCCTGTCTAGCTTTTTGCACAAAGAGCACGGAATCCCCTCTTTCCGCCTCCCAACGAGCAAGATCACGACGTATACAACTGTCGCGTCCACACCCACCCGTCCGTTGATCTACACGCCTCCCACCGATAAATCAACACAATACGAAGTGACCGTCGTCTACTACCGTGCACTCTACGCCCCTACAGAGTACACCGACGCCCAGACATGGAACGCGAGACATTGGCTCGAGCGCAGCGCAGCCATCAAGTGCCCCAGCATCCTCCTCCACCTTGCGGGGTCCAAGAAAGTCCAACAAGTCTTGACGTCTAAACCCCCGGGTCCCGACCACCTGAAGTCATTCCTGCCGAAACAGACGGACTCTACCCTCGAGAGCCTACGCTCGACATTCGCCCCGCAATACTCGCTGTCATCATCCGACCCGGCCGTGCCAGCCGAAGGCATCAAGCTCGCTCTCGATGCGGCCACGGCCGCCAACCACGTCCTCAAGCCCCAGCGCGAAGGCGGAGGGAACAACATTTACCGCACCAACATCCCCGCCTTTCTCAAATCCATCCCTGAGTCTCAATGGAAGCAGTACATCCTCATGGAACTGATCCACCCCCCGAAAGATGCCAAGAACTTTGCTCTGCGCAGCGACGGCGCCGCAGCGCTGGACAATGTGATTTCCGAGCTGGGCATCTTCGGCACCTGTCTATGGAAGAAGACACCCGGCGGTAAAACCGCCGAGATCCTCCACAATACAGAAGGCGGGTATCTATTGCGCACCAAAAGCAAAGAGAGCGATGAAGGCGGCGTCGCGGCCGGCTTCAGTTCATTAGATAGTGTGATTTTATACAAAGACTAGAAGAAGATATGTGAGATATTGTCAGCGGATGTAAATAGTCTGCCCTGCAAATAAAATATTGAAACCACATAGCACGTAATATATCGAGTAATGGTCTAACGCATAGTTATACGAATGAAACAGGAACCAGCATGCCTACTTTAGCCATTGCGCCTTTATAACACCCATCGCGAATCTCAACGTACACAGTCATTCAACCCCGAGGGGGTATATCTCTGGGTCCCAAGCATCCCTCGTGGTATATATCTTTATCGCTGCACTTCACGCAGTAGCGATCACCACTCCCTGGACATACTCCCGCACGTAACTTGTACGAGTGGGATTATCAAACAAAATAGGACACGAATAACTCCATTCTGAAAAAAAGCAGACCTCGGTACTTCCTTAGCTCGCAGCCTGGGTGTGTGATACCTTGGCCCTCTTTTCGCGATCGCTAGAACGTGGAGCTGCACTCCTCCTCGCAGTCCGAGCATCTTTGCCGGGTGCTGCCGACTTTGTCGTCTTGGAGAAGTATTGTTTTGGCCACGCAATAACCGCATTGGCCATTTTGCCGGGTAGGCTCAAAAGATATAGCAGGTACTGCGCGGGGACTACCACCATCGCACACGCCCAGTTCGTCAAAATGAGAAAATAACTGTCCGTCTTCCGATCAGCATTTCGTTGAACGGCGGCAGCCAGTGATACGACATCATTCAGCCGTGCTTCGAGGTCCTGCAGCCTCGACTCGAATTGGACGGCGGAAATCGTGGTTCTCTTCTCGTACCGGCGCATGGCTCGGTTCAGCGCATCCACTTCAGGCTGCACCGTCTTCTGGACTTCTGTTCGCACCACAGTCGGGATCTTCGCGTCGAGAGCCTTGCCGACAGGTTCTGGGATCTGTGGTGCCTCCGTGTCAATCCGATCTGCGACATGAGCTTCTAGTTCCTCAAGTCGATGGGAGAGATCTTTGAGCTGCTGATTGTCCACTCGTCTGCTATCAGCCAGCAGGTCAGCACTGACCTTGCGCTGCAAAAAGAGCGTCCTCTTCTGTACCATTTTGATGAGATGGGAGAGCGGCCGAATTTCGGACACCAGTATGAAAATGGTCAAATTATAGTCAGACACTAGACCCTCAGACGGTCGACTGAGTTGCGATCGGATGCCGTGAAGTAGCCAGGCTGCCAGCAACGGGAAAGTGAAGCAGCAGACCAGTGCGGCAAGTTCATAAATCCGTAGTTCCTTTCTAGCAGACGCCTTTTCGGCATGATGCAATCCACTTGAACTGATGGACTTGGGACCAGAAGGGTGGGCAGATGGAGAGCCCTCGCCACCAACAGGGTTCGCCGTTGGATCCAATTCCTCGTCCCTTTCATCGATTGGAGTAAACACTGGCGGTGTAGCCGACCCGGGCGGAGCTTGAGTCTGTGCAGCTCGATACCAATCCCTGCAAAAGGCTATCAGAACGATGCCTGCATTCAGTTTCAAGAAAACAACTTACCATGGTGATCTGAGCGCCCAGTTCATGAAAATAGCAGCAAGACCCAATAGCGTGATGTCGGTAATCACCGCGCTTCCATTCTTGAATAGCAAACCTCCAACAGCCGGCAGCAATGCAAGGCCCAGGGGAAGAGATTGCCAATGAGAATTCTCATCATGGTCGACAATGTCGTCCCCGTCTTTTAGACGTGGTAGAAGAATATCGTCGGTAGATGATCGCAATGACCTTCGCGTCTCAGATAATGTTTCGGAGATGAATGAGCTTGATCGACGTCCCAACCGAGAGTTGTCCTCAGCAAACGTGGTCGCCCTACCCAGTGGACGTAGTCTCAATCCCTGGGGAGATGGGCTGACTCCACGGCCGGTCGGACTCGAGGAGGGGAGGGTAATGGAAGGTCTCTTTTCCGAAGCCATGACAGTTTCTTTCCATTCCTCTGCCACGAGATCAATGCAAGGAGAGTGCAAGTGGCAAATTGTTGTTCTGGTGGTGCTGGTGAGTCGCTCTTTCGGATAACAATCCCGAGCCGCGGCCGACGCGCTTTACATTTCTTATGAGCAAGCAGCGCGTAATATTGCGTAGACTTTGCAAATTCTCTCTCGGAGTCAATACCCACGCGTCGTTATGGATAACTGCGACCCGTCCAAAGGCTGTAGTTGACAAGCTGACGGGAGGACAGCGAGAGTCACTCGACATCGTCGTACAAACATCGAGGCGAGGCGACTTGATTTGATGTCAATATGGGCTCCATATAGGGAAAGTCAAGCGAAGAACTCACAACATTTACAGTCTCTAGTGTCTTGGCACAAGTACTCGCCTGCTTTGACCATACGAGACGCGTACTCTGTACTTTCTTCAACAACAGAGCAGACCAAAGAAGTGGTCGCCACAACATCTAGCAAAAATTGGCTGGGACCAGTAAACGACGGCAGTGCGACGCTCTGGCTCCTTCGTTCATACGTGTTGCTCGCTCATAATGGTCATCTTGATCCGTCGAGCAGAGTAGCATGTTAGATGTTACTCCTCGTGAGTATCTCGACAAGTGTATCCATGGTGCGCTTCAGCGATGACTATACGACTGAAGGCTCCTATACTTACTCAGAAATGCCCAATGCTTCAGAGCAAAGTCTCCAGGTGCCCTTTGCGAAGGGTAGGAAGCAACCCTCCGGCTTTCCTTATTCAATACCGCTTTGGGCAATATGTCTCTCAAAAATCTACCAGCAGCGTTGGCGAACCACCTCCTGGCAGTGGTCTAAGAGAGAGTGTAAGGCACTATGGCTTGAAACGGCTGGAGGTAGGTAGGCGCTCATATGCCTGCGCCCTTGAATGTTTGCAACCCCTCAATTCTACCAAGTGCCTCAACATCACTTTCTATGTAACCCCTTCGGTCAGCTCAATAACATGCAGTACTCCTCATATTCTCTTGTATTTTCTATTCTCGCTGTCATAGCATGCCTTGCGTGTATACCTCCCCTCATGGTTCATACCAGAGCCAAGAACGTTGCGGCCATCATACTGACCGTGGGTGTGATTATCATGTGTTTCTTCAACGCCTTGAACGCCTTACTATGGCCGACAGCAGCTCAAGATGCTTGGTGGGATGGCAAGATATTGTGTGACATTGAGGCCAAGTTGTATTTCGGGCAGGCTGTGTCCTTCAACGGGGTGTTGGTGTGTCTCTTCCGCCACATTGCCTCTATACTCGACACACAACGCATATCTCTGGGCCACAGTCGTCGACAGCATATGGTCACCATCACAGTGGACATAGGCCTGTGTATTGTACTCCCATGCATTGTGATGGCTGCACATTGTCTGGTTTCGCCACAAAGATATTGGATACGGACAATAGCCGGATGCACACCTTCACTGGACTCCTCCTGGCCAAGCCTGGTCCTCATATATTTGTGGCCAATAACCCTCTGTCTTGCTGCATGCGTCTACTGCGTGACAGCTATGGTACGCCTTTGGAGGCATAGAAAAGAAATGTCAACTGTCCTCTCGAGCACACCGGGGGTGACTCGATCTCAGCACATCCGCCTCATAAGCTTTTCTGCTATCCTCCTTCTCATCTACTTACCACTGGATGTTATTGCCTTCGCAGGCTTTATGAGCACAAGATGGCACATCTATTCCTGGGTCTACAATCATCCTGCGAACTGGTCTGATCTGGTGGTCTTCGTACCTCAAAAAACGGTGTCTTTCGATCGCTGGTCGCAGACTTTCGCGGCATACATTCTCTTCGGGTTCTACGGAACGGGACATGAGGCCAACAAAATGTATGCATCCTGGCTTCACTCGTTACAGCAACGCCTGCCGAGGAGAGGGAGGAAGGAACCGAGTACTATGGGCCGTATCAGAATATTGCATTCCGTCGCATTGGAAGAAAGAGGCAGTCGTACCTCGAGGGAGACATTCCAGCTTCCAGAACCTAATTAGTGATTTCAGAAAGCAGCAACTGAGGCTTTCATGACGAAGGGAAGTGACGACTGTTCATGCAGAGACCAAATATTGTCAACGACATTGTAGGTATACAGGAAGGTATGGGAGATATTATGCATACAGCAGAAGATGACTTTGTTGTTTCTGCTCCACGGGAAAGCAACATCATGAGTGGCGAAGTATATAGGAAGCCATCCCTCACACATCCATCAAACACCATATGTCCACATCCTGCCTAGCAAGGAAATTTTTGTACATTATTGGATGTCCTTGACGAGAGCCTGCCCTCTCCGATGAATCAAACACCGGTTGGGCCATCGTCACTTTCTCCTTCCTTGGGATATGGTCGCTTGAGCACATCCACCTTCGTCTGCACGAGGTTCAGTGCGCTTTGTTTCTTGCCATCAGCATCGTTATAGGTACGCATCGTCGCATCGCCTTCGAGATAGACAAGTGTTCTAGAAGATCCACAGTTAGCCAACTGCGTCGTCACGGCTTGCGCTCGACTCACCCTTTGCTTAAACCCATGATGTAGTCTCTTGCGGGACCCTCCGGCGCAAAGCTTGAGATGCGGAACCATGATGTTTGTCTGTTGTCCTTTGGCCCAGAGCTCGTTCCGACCACATATCTAATGACTTGGGCCTTCCCGGTGTCGATCAACTCGGGGTCGGTGCCTATCCGGCCAACAAGAGTCATGCGCGCCAGTTGTGAGGATCGTGTTGTCGAGAATGCTCGCTGCGCAAAGGCAGGAGTGGCGCTGCCCGCACGTCGGGCAGGAGATAGAAGGAAAGACATGATGGAGAAGGATGAGTCTCTGGACAGAGGAGAGATGGTGAAATGAGGTCGGAATGCTTTTGCGCAGGAAGTTTATGAATTGAGTAGCTAGGTGCCTTTATGCAGCCACGGTGTCTGTATATTTCGAGATGAGTAAAGGGGTTTGTGTTATCTCAAGGTGCTATTTGTTGCTGTCAGGAACCGAGAGCATGTGAATCCGAAGCAATTGACGCGGTTTGCGACAGAACGCGGCGACTCAGGAGCCGTCCGGAAGCGGCTTAGTGCGTACGGGAAATGACACAGTCAACGTGTCTTCTTGAAAGCAGTCAACTCGCCTTCAGGGCCAGATATCGTGCTGATGTTTGCTGTCACGATATGAAACATGCTTCTGGATGGCATGGACGAGTGAGATACCTAGTCCGATGACATCCCTGACATTTTCAATGTCGTTAGGCTACCTTTATAAGTACGATCCTCCCAGGACTCGACCATTAATGCCGCGAGGACGTCCGTATTTGCACATCCAGGAGGCTATCCTCGACGATCAGAACATGGAGGGCCATGCATGGGCTCTGGTACTATTGCAGCGCACGGTATGCCCTTTGTTGTTCGACGGATTGATCGAGGTATCATTGTCACAACAAAGGTGGCACAGCCTCGCCTCCGGAATTGACCATAAAGAAAGCTATTCTGAGCACGAAGGAATCTGTCTGTGAGGTGCCTAGACTTAAAGCTGAGTATCATCTACGACGGTGAGTTGATCTATTGTTGTGTGTATACCCAAGAATATACAATACCTCGAGCTCAACTCCAATATGCCTTCACGATCCAACATGTCTGGAGTCGCCTGGCTGGCTATCGCCATGTTCGCTGGTATCATCGTGATCATCTCTATGGTCTACCTCTACACTCTCAAAGTTAGACGCTCCAAAGAGGGCGCGATTCGAAAATCTGAGGACGACGAGATCTTTGGCGGCGTCATAAAGAACCCAATAACAACATAGGATCTCGGAGAACAGCATCACCAAGCACCCCGTTTGCTATTATCACAACGATAGTGCTCTATGCTTCAGATAAAAGTTCTTGCAAATACGCTAAAACATCCCGCTTGGTGTTTTCCATGCTCTCTTCGACCCGACAGTGCCACTGGTGAACGTTCGCGGCTTCTTTGTTCAAAACCTTCTATGGTGTTCCTATTCGAGGCAATGTCTTTGTCCCATCGTACCTATTCCTTTATTCAACGGTATCACCACTCTAAGGCCAAATCAATTTCAACTCGATTCCACCAGTCCCTTCGACCCAGCTTCAAAGAATTTTTCGACCCCCGCCCTATCCCGATACCCTCTCCTCAAGATGATTCCAACAGCGGCTTTGGTCGTCCTTATCGCTGTTGTAGCGCTTGCTACATCTACATTTTGTCTCGCAATATACTGCTCCATCTCAGATATGCTTCGGTCGAAGAAGGACGATAAGAACAAGAAAGAGACCAGTGTGATTATGCCACTGACAATAGCTGCAGCAGATATGGCAACCATACCACAGCCCGAGGCTCCCGCACAACCAGAAACACCTGAAGCCGAATCCCCTCCGCCCCTACCAGACGATTTCGCGAGTATGGCTGAAGCCGAAAGTCCCCCTCCTCTCTTAATGACCGTCAGGGACAGCACGCATGACATCATTAACTTGTACACAAACGATGCCCGGAACAAGGCTTCAGTGCCAAGTTCTGCTCCAGCCACGATAACTTCATTTAGCCAAGCACCTTCAACGTCGGGAACAAAGTTTACCCCCGTCCCAGAGAAGTCAGCTCCTCCAACAATAACCACCTTTGCCCAGGCCGAGTCAAAATGGGCTTACTTGGGTGAGAAACGTGCAATGAGGGATATTGTTTGAAATGCAATTCTATTTTTGGATACAACGTCCAACTTTTTCCAAATGGAAAAATCATAAGTCACAAATGGCTTGTTCGATCAGTGTGATGTGAACGATCCAGCATCCTGTCCAACTCATCTTTGCTGCTCTATCCGCTCGCTGAATTTTCCGGTCTTCGCTCCCAATATCTCACGACTCAAGTCCAATTCTTCGGCGTTTGACCGGGAGTGTCATACTCGACGTCGTCCTCGGGGATACCATATTGACTATGGACCTGTGGTGCTTTGGCAAACTCGGCTCTCCGCTGCGGAGCGTCGAACACTCTGGCATGACTCTGTTCCCTCTTGGGCGCGGGGGCGGCCATCAGGACAAACGGCGGTAAATCGACAACGGTGGCGTATTGAGTTGGCGGTGTTGGTTCTTGGGGTGTCGGTGGAGTAGGTGGCAGGCTCGGGATTGTCAAGTCTCTCCCTTCGACGCCGACTTTTGCTGGTGCTCCTTGGATCTGTCGATGATTCCTGTTGCTGCCGATGTCGAGGGTATCTTGTTGACTGGAGATTTGATTTGGAATGATGAATTTCCCGTCCGGTCCACGCCATGCTAGTGGGAGTTGTCTCCTCTCTCGGGTTCGCTCTCGCGGAGGTGCAACTGCGACTGGTGGGGTGCGGATCTTGCCCATCTCGAATGATGTAGGCATGGTCTGGACGATGTTCTGGAAGGTTTTTGGTCCTGGTTTTCTCCGCTTCCTCCGCTCACGGAATTTGCGATTCCCGTGCCACAGGATCGCAGCACAGGGGAGCAGGAGAAGTAAAAGTGCTAGGAAGATGAAGAGTGGAATTGCTGATTTGGATTGCACTGCCATGGTTGGAACTTTGATTGTTTTTATGTTTTTTAAGGCGTTGATGGAACGATGCGTACTTGGGATGCAACGCTTGTTTGCTGACGTTCTAGTCTACTGTCTGTTTGATGCGTTTCCTCTTTTTTTTTCAAGGAGGGTGCTTTTGCATACTTTTGCGATAGAGAGAAAAATGTAATATTCCCAGGTTACTGGCTTTGGTTCTTTGCCCATCACTTTCTTCATGCTTCGCCACTTTGTGGTTCTCGGTGGGACAATGGAGAAAAACAAAGGACATGCACATCGCCCGCGACTACAGTGTTTGTTTCGCCAGACAATGTCTCCTACACTACAAAGAAAAGCCATTCTTTGGAAATGATGCCCTGCTGGTTTGTCTGAGTGTGCCAGCTCTCCCTGGATGTTTGGTGAGTAGGATGAATCACGAGGGCCGTTTTACCTTTCTGGAGATCGTGTAACAGAAAATAGAGCACAATGAAGACTTGAGGCCAGTAGAGAGGCACAGTATGACGAAAAATGGATGTCAGACATTTCAAAATACAAACTAATAACAAAGATATATCTGAAGGTATTGACGCGGCCATGCCAACATTGCACAAACTCAACAACGATGGCCCAAATTAAAGCATAGGATCAGCCTGAAGAACGAAGGACCGCGCCATATGCCGATCGGTCAGGTTATCTATCGCCACTTGGTGGTAGCCAGCAAGGGCAGCATCGGGACCACGCTGCCAAGTCTCATGTATGAAGAAATCTTCGATTCGATGTGGTGGGACCTCGTTGACCCGGATCTGAGTCTGCCCGACGGCCGGCCACTCCCGCATGGCGTAGAGCACGCAGTTTCTAGGAGGGTTGGGATGGTTGGGCATTTGGACAATGTTCGAGTAGCTTAGATAGCCGCTTACCAGTGACTCCTCAATTACGTAGCCGCATTCCGCCCACTGACGCTCGCCGAACACGGGCTCGCTTGGATCAAATTCGATGTCAGAGAAGTCCTTACGACCCTTCTTCGCGGACAGCTCGTAGTAACGACTGACACGGTGGAACCAGACAACATGGGCAAGCTCGTGGATCAGCGTGACGGCCAATAACAGCAGGCGGGCATTCTTCTCGTCGTCGCCAATTGTGTCCCAGTCCTGTCGCTCGAAGAATGCTTGCCATGTGGTGCAGATGGCTGATTGCGGGTAGAATTGTTTGTATGGGCGCGTGTGTGACGGACACCATATGAGGTCGGTGACTGCCGTGTCCGTCTTTATAAAATAGCACTTCGGCTCGTCCTTGTCTCCGCCCTGGGGCTTGGGCCGAAATGCTGTAACTCTGTACATCTTGGACAGTCGAACAAGCTCGGCGTTAAGTGCTCTGTATTTGGCAGGGGTGCCTCTCCACGCGCTCAGCCTTTGACTCGGTTTCTCCTCGTGGTATGGTTGTGGCTCAACTCCTGCGTTAAATATATGTGCTAGCTCAGGAGTGACCAGCTCGAGAAACAAGGTTGCAAGTCTCAGGCCTGGCTTCATGCGGTCGTAAACGCCCTCATCTATATTATACTGTGGCCTATCCAGCTCAGGGATGGATAGATGTTCGCTGAAATTGGCGTTTCTGAAAGCACTGTAGCGCCAAATAGGGTGGATAGGGAAGCCATCCAGTCGAAAGTTGTTGGCATTGTTACTCATTATCATGTGACTCCCTCGAAGGGTAGAAATACCAAAGGTGGCTGTTATGTCTATCGATAGGTATCCAATACCGAAGTACTGTAGCTTTGCAACTCGCAACATTCATGAAGACAGCCATGTCTTATACGTACAAAGTATGTGTGTTGAGTCGTTCAATGAAGCTGGTCTAGACAATGAACCGATATGCCATTTCATTGTACCCAATAATACCGATACACGTTGTTCGCCATTATGACAAAGGAAATATGAGCAAAAATAACTTTCGAGAGCCGTTTGCTTCCAGCCATGAACTGGACCGTGCTGGTTCGTTAGTAGTCATTGTCAAACCGCTGTTGTGGGTGAAAATGGTGAAGACTGCGCGCTTTTTCGCAAAGTGGGCATGACATGACGACTATGATTTTCATGGTGATTGAAGATCTGAATTTTCGATGACCTTAGCCATTAGTACCTCCATCATGGACTATCCCATACCATAAATGTGGTTCAGGACCTGCCGCTGCCATTGTGGTTGAATGAAAGGGGTGTCAGCCTTGTTCGGGTGATCTTCGGGTTAGATCTAGTTCCATGCTCAGATGCACAGGCATAGAGAAGAACACTCTCCTCAACAAGACGAAGAAACACGTTTAGATTGATCGACGATGAGACTTTCATGGTGAGAGATAAAGTAAATGGAATGTGAAGTCGTTCATAGTGTCGTTGAATGAACATGAACAGGCGAGAGCCTTGGCCGCGCCCTTCCTTCCTCCTGGCCACAACACTAACATGCATTCTCTCCTCCCTCCATTTTCTCTCATCCCAGACCTCCCTTCCCACACTTCGATTTTCTTCCAAAAACAACAATATTCTCCTCCTTGTCCTGCTACGTCAATCCTCTGGCCTTTGAAGGCCATTGGGTAGCCCCTCTTATTCTGCATGTCAATGAGATCAGCTTAGCCCAGTATGCCTTTCCCAAGTCTCCGCCGAAGAACGGTGACCGAGTCACCAACAGAACCAAGAGAGCAAAATACCTCATCATCACCAAGTCCGAGTCGTGCTTCAACTATTACAAGACTTTCTCCCCGTAGAAGCATCACCGCTCTCTTCGACTCTGCTAGAAGAGGACGGACTGCCAGGCAAGTCCACATTCACCTTGATGGATACAATTGTAACCACACTGACTATGTGCAACAGTCGTTCACCTACAAGACCTACCGCCGATGCCATTGAGGGTGACCTGTATCCCAAATATGATGCTTTGAATCCTGATCACGATCCACAACGAGCCATCGATGCTTCGTCTGTCGACAAGCCAAAGCAGTTTCGTCGACCACCGAGTCCTCATCCGCTCAAAATATCTGGGTTGTCACTAATGAGCAAAGCTAGCCATGCAAACTCGGACAAAAAGTCATCTGAGTCATCGTCCTCGGACAAATCATCTCCTCCTAAGACTTTCCTTGGAGCAATAACGGCGCTGTTCTACAAGGAGAACAGGGAGCCAGCCAAAACACAAGATGAGGATCCAGTGATTCAAGTTCACATTTCACCAGGGAAAAAGAGCCCTAAAAAGTCGGTCAGATTCAGACCTGAAAACACGGTCATCGACGCAGAGACACGATCATCTCCCATTGACATTCCCAAGCAACCACCATTACTGCCACCCATTGATCTCACTCGGACCCCGATCATGACAGCCATGAGAAGACTGCAAGACACCATTCCGACAGGCAGACCTCAACCAACACATGTGCTGCGAAATTCTGCCGATTTTCGTCACGCGAGGGAGACCACAAAAGCCAGCGACATACTTCCTAACATGAGCAAGAAGCCTCTGACAGAGATTTTGCCTTCTCAAGCTGGCCCGACTGTCTTGCCACGTGCAGTCAACCCTCCTGTCGAACCTCCAGTCAATCCTTTTGATGATCCCCCAGAAGAGATTGATCCCGAGATCAGTCGAATCGTACGTGACCAGTATGGAGCCGGATACCATAGGAGATTATCAAGCCTTTCTTCCTGCTTGGAGATTGCCAGTGGCCAGGGAGTTTTTGGAACTGGGTCAAAGGCACAAATGTTTGAAGGAGAAGATACCCGTGGTACTGCACACATCAGTGAGAAAAAAGAGGATGCCTTTGAATGCTTTCCCACCATGAAGCTATCAGCCAGTTCAGAGAAGGCCTGCGCTGGAAAGACTTCTCCTAATGATGAGAAACCCTTTCGCAAACTTCGACTTGCGCAAGAAGACAAGTTGCCAACAACACACCCAGATCTCACGGGCCAGGATGCTTGGAACCCACAACCCTATGATGCAGATTCGGACTTGGATCCACCTGACGTCTTCTCTGATTCTTCGTCTACGTCGAGCGGAGACGTGTTAACCATGGTCGTACCAAAGAGAACCCGGGTGAGTATTCAAAATGATTTCCATCTTCTGAAGATAATGCTAACAGCTTGGAAGCCATTTCCACAGGATAAGACAACCGCCCCTGAATCTCTGACAGACCCATTTTCATCTAGCAGCACTCGAACCGCGGCGACTGACCCAGAGAATAGCTTGGATGCTGCTACATTAGCTCTTGAAGAAGCAACCGCGGAATCCTCAATGGCCTCCTTGGCAAACTTCCCGCAGGAACAAGCAATTGCGAATGGTAGAGTATGTATACAGCGTCCAATGCACCAACATGATTGCTGACCTTTGACAGCACTTCGGTCAGGAAGAGCGGCTTCCCTTTTCTCACACAGCCCCAAGAGATCCGCGAGCTGATCTGCAGACACCACTTGCTCCTTCACCTGCGTTCATCCCCCTCCCAATGTCTCCATCCGAGACCAAGCTGGGTCCATACACCGACCAATATGGATAGTGTCCATTTGACGAGGATGTTTTTGTACCTGCGGTGCTGGAGACTATTGAAGCGGGAGAGATCGCTTTTAGGGAACTGGTCTGTCAAGAGGGGGGATTGCGCAAGTTCTGGGACCAGACTCAATTACCTTCGAACACAGCTCCACGAAAGGATACAAAAGCTTTGTCTCTATGGGAAACTGATGATGTATTGGATGCCGCTCGGCTAGAGTTACGGAAACGGCAGACAGATTCCCGCAGCATGGTTGATGTGCTTAGGAGAATCATTTCGCAAGCCGGTTTGGGGCGACCTCTGCATGGAAACACAGAAACCGAAGACGAACTCGACATCACTTCTCTTTTCGACATGGAAGGCTCATCTTCCGATGATGAAATTCAACCTAGATCCTGGCTTGCTGGACAAGCCGAGAGCTCGACAAGTGCAGATGTGAGAGGCCTTTTCAATGCACTCACTGTTGACGAAAACAACTTCGCCCGGCCTATGTTTGGGACTACCAATTTTCGTCCAAAGATGATTGATCTGCCTTTGCGATTGAAACGTGACATGGTGGACAACCCAAGCACCTCGGAAGAGGGCGGATATGTGTCAGAGAACGAGTTGTGTTCGGAGTCTCCGCCTGACATGACGAGTCGCCATACTTCCTCTGAGATGGAAGAAGCCACCACCAACAATGACAAGTGGTCGCCTTGCGATCATAGTGAGCAAGATGCATCCGACAAGACAGGTGCTGCTATGGTCTTGAAGTCTCCATCCGAATCCCTGGATGAAGACGAAAAGTATTGTAGAGGCATCATTTGAAAAGATGTGGATCCGTCGGTGAGATGGTAAGAAAGTCATCCAATCAAGACTGGAGGAATGATCGAACGGACTATTGAGCTTTATTATTGTGTGTGTTGACCGAGAAAGCGTCTCACCGACCGACGCAGACAAATTGGGCCAAGTGCAACAGGATGTGCTGGAAACATCGACAGGACTGCTGCCACGGCATAGCCAAGGAGCTGGGACCGGGCTTTGATGGAAGTATTTGCTAGGTACGGGATGGACAGACAAGAGAATCAAGGAATAATGACAAGCATAGATAATACTTGTGAGCTGTGAGCAGTGAGGTGTGAGCTCAAAAGCTAAGCATATGTACTTTAGCCAAGGAATGAGAATCTCCACTCGAGTCGGCATGATTCAATGAGGGCTGCATGATTCAAGGAGGCCCAGACTGATCTACTCCCAGCTTGTTGGCAGCCTCTCGCTCCCGATGCTCCTTGTGGTGCTTGACGCTCCCTTCCAGCCCATAGAGAGTGGCGGGATCCCCGGGGATGATCATACTGAAGGGATCCGACGCCATGATGTATTCGTAGTAGCCGCACCTCGCGATGGGTTGGGTCTTGTTGATGTCGATCCTGCCGTCGGTCAACACGCGCTCGTCGATGTGGATGCCGACGACTTTCCCTATGACGACGTCGACGGTCCCCATGGGAGGGTTCCCTGGGAGCCTCAGGGTGGTGTAGTACTCGCACTCGAACCTCACGGGGGAGTCCGCGACCATGGGTACCGGGGTCTTGAGGACGCGGGACCACGTCTTGGTCAGGCCGGCCCTCTCGAACTCGTCCACTCCGTAAGGGAGGTACTCTGCCGACTTGTTGACGGCCTCCCGCAGAGGGTAGGTGGCGAGTTGCCAACAAAACACCCCGGTAGCCTCGGCGTTGCGGACCGTGTCCTTTTGGGCCGACCGAGGGTTCTGGTTCGCCGAGAACATGACGTACGGGGGGTCGAATGTCAAATTGTTGAACTGTGAGTATGGGGCCAGATTGGCCATGGGTCTGTTGTTGTTGCCGTTGGTATTGTCGTTGTCATTGTCATTTTGGTTGTCGGTATTGACGTTCGTAGATGATATTGTAGATATCCAACCTATAGGACGTGGAACGACGCAAGCCTGTCGTTTTTCGATTGTTATCATTTAAACGTCCAAAAGCGGTTATGAGGTAACGGGGAAGAGCGTGACACCGTCAGAGGGTGTGGAATCAACAGTATGGAATACACGTGAGGTACAGAGACTTGAAATGTGTAGATATCGAGGAACATACCTTGAAAGGATCATGAGGGAGGTTATGTTCTGTTTTTCCCGGTTCGTAAAACATGTCTTCTCCCTTTTTTTTTCTTTTTTACCTCTGTAAATTCCTCTATTGTATCTATCTGTATGTGTCGTCTGTACGGACAAAACTCTGTAATCTGTATTTGTAGATCGTGTTGGTTGAGAACGGTTATGCGGTCGAGAGATGGTGATCAAGTAGGTCAATGCTTACAGTTATATACACAGTACCAAGTAACGGAGGATACGAATATTTAGTGCGAGATCGGAAAGAAAAGATGGTAGTTGATGTCGGCACATTGGATTCTTGTATTATGAGGTAATTGAGTACCGAATGAATGCACTGCCGGTCCTTGAACTCGATCTCTTACAACAAATACCCAATATATCCCCGCAGATCGAGGGAGATGGAGATCTTGTTCGGGGGGCCGTGGCGGGACTTGGGGCATGGGTTTCCCCCGAACTACCCACTAGAGTAGCTCGTACATGGGCCCAATCAATGATACCTAGGTACTGTAGGTATATAAAACTACACAAGGCACGGAGTAAGAAACCAAACAAAGGATCTGTCAACATGTCCAAAGTGCTCTCGGAATCCTTTCATACACCGAGGCTAGAATCAATCTGGACGATGATTACACGTGATCCAGGTTCTGCGATCATTGCACGTGATCTCCAACCAACAGCCCCCTCTGTTCCTTTGTTGCCTCTGTACTCCGCCCGAGTAAAGTTCTTCATTGCTGACTGATTATTATCAAATCCTTCGTCACTCGTTCAATCAACTCACCACGGAAGCTTCCCGCACAGGGGGATTGTCCGTCACCTGGCAGTAAAATAGCAGAGACGTCGACATTTCTTTTTGGGAAAACAGCCATTTGACGACAAAGAGGATTCGGATCTCATAATGCTTAGATCTCCAAATGCTTCTCTGATAAAGACCTCTGCGCACCTTCTAGTCTATTCGAAAAGACTCCCTCGTCCCAAGGTATAAGTCCTTTTGCATTTTCAATCTTCCCATGAAGCGACTCCTCTCTTTTCTTCTCACCATCATCACAGCACTATTGATTGCGTATTTCACAAACACCGACACCCTGGCTTCGAAGAAGAACATCCTTGGACAAGTCAGACCTGCATTTAACAACTTGATACGACAATCCCAGACACGACCAAAAGCTACAACGACAGCGACACCTTTTCCAGGTCTACCTTTGATCCCCGCGCGTTTCGCATCGACGACCGCCAACATGACCACTCCACGAGCCATCCAGTTCTCTTTCCTCGCCCGCGAGCAATCCGAAGGCGCGGGCGCCGTCGTCAGGCGCAGCGTCGGCACCCCCAAGTTGCGCAACTTCACCCCGTTCCTCATGCTCGACCACTTTCGCATCCCCCCCGGCGCGGGCTTTCCCGACCACCCGCACCGTGGTCAAGAGACCATCACCTATCTTCTCAAGGGAGGAGTCGACCATGAGGATTTCGCGGGGAACAAGGGCACAATCGGTCCGGGTGACCTTCAATTTGTAAGTACACACGTCCCCGAATGTGGTCTTTTTTTTTCTTCGAGGGAAAACTTTACTGACCACGATTCTCAAACACAAAAACAGATGACGGCGGGACGCGGAATCATGCACGCCGAGATGCCCGTCCAGACCGAGGACATCAACGTCGGCATGCAACTCTGGGTCGATTTGCCCGAGAACCTCAAGTCCTGCGAGCCGCGGTACCGCGACCTGCGCGCCGGCGAAATCCCCGTCGCGAGCGCCGACGACGGCAAGGTCGAGGTCAAGGTGATTTCCGGCAAGAGTCAGGGCGTCGAGTCGCTCAAGGACCTCGCGTACACCCCGGTGTGGTTCCTGGACGTGACCGTCCGGCCGGGCGGGAAGATCACGCAGGAACTGCCGCAGGGGTGGAACGCCTTTGCCTACACGCTGGAAGGGACCGTGACGTTCGGGGACGGCACCAAGGAGGTCGGCGAGACCGTCACCCCTTACCACAACGTCGTCTTCGAGCGAGGCGGCGACGTCGTCACGGCCGACGTCGAGGAGGGAGCCGCGGAGGCGGCGAGGTTCATCCTCGTCGCCGGCTTGCCCCTCGACCAGCCCGTCGTGCAGTACGGCCCGTTCGTCACCACCAGCAAGGAGGCCGTGTACCAGGCCATGATGGATTTCCAGACCTCCAGCAACGGGTTCGAGAGGGCCGCGAATTGGGAGAGTGAGATTGGAAAGTCAATGGGACGAGTCCGTTGAAGCAGGACCTCCCAAACTTTGAAAGGGGGACGACAAAAGTATATGATCACCGCATGTGACAACGGTTGACGTTTTTGGCAATTTACACCGGAGTTTTGCGTTTGTTTGGGCACACGGGGCCATGTATGGCATGCTAGAGTGGTGTACGGCGCTCCGACGTTGGACGGATCTTCCCTTTGGCAAAGGGCAATTGTTTATATCTTGTTGGACGTGCAGATACCGATTGATAGTCAGAGAGTTCGAAAAAAATTGACATGACCAACAGTAAAAGGCATTTTTTTCCATCAATCATTTTGTCTGAAAGGCTTCTATCTCGTTTCTACTTGTTCTCGTAACTTTTTTTCTCCTGCCCATCAAAAAAACCCCATTTCGGAGAGAAAATATTCCGTTCTGACTCTTCCGAGAGATCTCTTCTAGGACATCTCGGCGCATGTGGCAGAAACAGGAAGTAATCACCGCCGTATGCACTACTCCCGCCCTTCTCCCCCCCAATGCACCACCGACCAAACCAACCGACCCAGCCACACAGGCACCCACGCAACGACCAGCAGATAGTCTACTCGTCGTTACCGCCGTCGGGACCCTCGGTGGCCACGGTACCGGTCATGACGTCGTCATCTTCGTCGAAAGTGTTGAGGGGGACCTCGTACAGCCTGATGACGGGCTTGTTGGGGTCCTTGATGAGCACGTACTTCTTGTCTCCCGCACTCTCCTCACCGCCGTCGGCGGCCACGCTCCGGACGAGGTCGACGATGGTGCGGACGATGCCCCATCCGTTGCTCAGACCCAAGTTCATCTGGCCCGCGAACTCCCGGGGTTTGTAGCCCACGACGCCCAGGATGACGTGGTTCGCGGCCGACTTGGGGTTGACGCGCGACACGAAGCCGAGCTTCATCTGGTCGGCCTTTGCGAGGATGGCCTGCGTCGTCCACCTCGCGAGCTTGCACGAGTTGTTCTTCATCTCGGTCGCCACGACGGCGCCGCGCTGCGACGTCAGCTTGGTGCGCCAGTCGAGCGCGCCGCCGGCGCCCTGGGCCTTGTGGTCGAACTCGTTGAGCGCCTTGATGACGAGGAACTGGTCGTCCCCGGAGATGTTGTTCTTGGTCGCGGCGTCGAGTTCCGTCCGGACGATCAGGTTGAGGGGTTCCTCGTCGCGCTCGAGCGACAGGTCGAACCGGCGGTACTTGTACGCCTTGGACGCCAAGGGGTCGGTCTCGTCGCTGGAGCTATAGAATGGGTTGGGGTGGGGGAATTCGACCTTGTTGTTTGGGTTTTCGAGCACCGTCTGGAAGGCGAAGTTGTGGTTGATCATGGTGGCTTCCATGGCGAGGTTGCCGGGGGTGTTGATGCTGTCGGCCTTGACACCCGTCTGCGCCGTCGTGGACTCCGCTTCCAGAGGTGCATCGGCGGCGTTCTCGTTGACCGTGACCAGGTCGATGCTGCTGTCGGGTCGCTTGTCGAGGAAGATCTTATCGCCGTGCTTGAGCACTATAATGTCCCAGGAATACACCGAGCGAGTGGCACACATGAGCATGGACAGGATGTCCGAGGTTGCAAAGATGGTGGCTTCGTCTTTCTCGGCCAGTTCTTGAATGACCGGGTCTGCGGAGGTTGTCACATTGTAGGCAGCACGATCGAGGGACATGAGTTTGCGCTCGGTGTTCTTCACAGGTGGCTTGTCAAACGAGCGGTCGTAGTAGTACAGGAAACCGTAGCCTTCGATATCGTCGCCGTCGCCGGTTTCGAGGTTGAGTTTGGAAAGTCGGTTGAAGTCGATCTCTTCCTTCATCACCCAGTCTGGGCGGATGTTGACCGATGCATCTCGGTTTCGTTGTGGCTTGTCATAATCTCTCCAGCCGAAGCGGCGGCCACGTCCGCCTCGTCCACCTCTGTTGTCGTAGTATTGTCCTTGCTGTTGCCCTCCTGTCCGGCCTTGTCCTACTCTTTGGAATGTGCCTCTTCCACCTCGTTGGGCGGCTCCTCGTTGACCACGACCACGGAAGACCGCCAAACCGCCTCTGCCAAAGCCACGGCTCTTGTTTGTCGCTCGTGTGTTGTCGACCACGGAGAAGGATGACTCGTCCTCGGCCACCTGCACAGCGAAGAGGGAAGATGTGCCTGCGCCATAAATTTGTTGATCTTGGAAAAGTCGTCAGTCGTCAAAACACTCAAAGGCAGTCGAAGACGGTGCTCACCTCTAAAATTTCTGCCATATTGTCTACCAGACCGATCTCGTCCCTCTTTGCCTTCCTGTGTCCAGTCGGCCATACGACCTAACTTATCGCTTTTCGAGTAGGGAGCATAGGGTACGCCATCGAGAGTGGTGCTCGAACCGAGTTCTGGGCCCCATTCGTCGTTGACGTTGAGATTGCTGATAGCATCAGCAAGACTGATTCCCGGCATGATTGTATAGATGGAGAATATTGTCAGTTATCGTCCAAGATCAAGTCTAGTACAGTATGCGCATGCCTCGAAAGTAAGGAAAGGCGATTCTGGGCGCGGATTTCATGAAACTCTTGGCACTGAATTTTGTCAGTTCACAAAAAGGTGCGACCCCGCGCCCGTTTTCTACACAGTAACGAAGGGGATTCTTTACACCACAATCCTTCCTTTTGGAATGGATGCGACTACTGAGCGACTCTTGATGGTTCCTGCATGATAATCATATTGTAATTGCAACACACTTTTCAATAACCAGTCATGGGAATATCTGAACATAATTCATTGCCGTAGCGAAGCCACCAGAATATTGGCATGCCCTCACACAATAGGTAACTCATGCTGAATTCGGCTTCCTGTCGAAGAGAATATCATGAATACATCTCATCAATTTCCGCTGTGTAGTCTGTGCCCAATTGATCGTAAGTTTCCGGTTTAGTTGCAAATATACTCGACAAGGCATCGCGAAGCTCAAAGTCCTCCATAACTGCGCCGAACCCGTAACAACGAACTTTACTTCTGATGGAATCAATCATGCCCAGCACATCTTCCCTGGTCAGGGTGGCATAATTCCTGTGACCTTTGAGGGATTGTAGGGCCATGATCGGAGTCACCTGGCCACTGGGGATGGCACTTCCTTTCAGACTCTGGCTCAAATTGAGCAAGTTGTTCAAGATCTGTACCGACTCGGCATCGGGAACCTTGTGCTCGTATGTTGGGTCTAGACCACCGTTAACAGCAGGAGTACGTTGAATGTGGCTCGGTGGTGGGCACGACGCCATCAAAGCATGGCCGGAGAAAACTGCTTCTTCGTCATTGTTTGGCGAATCCATCGATCTTCGCACCAGATATTCCCCATGATCCCGACAGGTTTGTTCAAGCCTAGACCAAAGGTTAGCCTTGCTATTAGTGCCTTCCGAGGCCAGCAACACCTACTTCAAGATGAAATCAATTCCCAGTTGCGGGTCTTTCTCGAAGATCCCCGGTACAAGCATGCCCGACATGCCCGGCATATCCGAAATAGCTCCAGGCTCTTGCTTGATCGAGACTTCCTGGATCTCTGGGCCTTGAGGTGAATGGCTATGGTGAGTGGTACCGGGAGAGTGCCCGGACGTGCTCATAGCACTGTTCATGTTCAAGGAATACACGGTTGGTGTTGGTTGACCCGCTGAGCCATAACCTACAACAGAACGTCCCGGCATTGAAGTTGGCGAGCTGAAAGCCATATTGGGTGGACTCAAGGAATTCTCTTCTCGTTTTGGTCTCATGGCAATCACAGCCTTGCGATTTTCAAGTTCATTTTCGAACTGAATGCCCCGGTTCATAAGAATCTCTCGTAAAGCCAGGTTCTCGTTTCGTTGATTTTCGATTACGAGTTGCTGCTGTTTGAGCGTGGCCTCGCGGGCATTCTGCTCAGCGAGGTACGTTTCTCGTAGCCGCGCCAGTTCCAATTCAAGTGCTTTGATATAATTCTCCTTTCGCTCTCGATGTGTTCTAAAATTGACTGTCGTCAGAATTTCCACCCAGATTGCGCTGAGAAGGCGGTTGCCTACCGTTGAGCTTGACGATTTAATTCCTGCCGCCGTGTCTGTGCTGGTTTACTGTCCGGTTTTGGTCCTCTTCGTTTTGCTGGTTGTCCATCTAGAGAAAAATTGAGTTTTTGGCTGCCTGACTGCCAGTTCGCGCGGCGCATACCTCTTGTCAACTTCTTTTGCATGCCACCAAACCCTTTCAGTAAGCCTCCGTAGCCGGGCCCTTTCGCTTCGCTCACCACGCCATTGTCTACTCAGACATCAGTCAGTATATCGACAGGCAAGATATGCGCACATATTTCGATTTGAACCGCAGCCCAGCGATCCACTTTGCCAACACGCAAACCACCCCAAATTGGAGCAAACGGTCGCGCATTTGCGGTCATCGGACACAGAACAATGCAAACAGTAACCAGGAAACATAATGACTTACTGTATACTGGGACAGCACCGTAATCTTGACCGGCCCATGAGGGATCCATTTCTGAATCTTGTTGCATGTTGGATAGCATTTGCGGATGCGACGCCATGATATCAAATACGGCGAACAGACCTCGATCACCCGCTTATTCCACGATGATCCTGAGTCGTCGGTCCGAAATTGACGAACTTTGCGTGGCCAGCAGGCAGCTGAAGCACCTAGTCGTTTTGCGGAGTGATTGTTGACGAACAGCAAATTCGGCAAGAAATGAGCCGAGGAGACTGATGGCGGAGGACTCGACGGACAAGGCCTTGTTTGCACAGTTTACGCAAAGGCCAGGGGTGATTTGGAAGTGGCAGGGATTGCGCAGGACTCTAGATTGGGCAAGGCGAAGATTTAGGATTTCATCATGAGACAAGGTCGACGATGTTGATGTTGAAGATGGTGTAGTAGGATTGCCTGGTGACTTGCTGATGGGGGACGTGCGCAACACAATATTTGTGAGCGGGACAAGATTGCCGATCGTGGTAGGTTCGTTTGTGCAACAGGAACGTCGCAGGTTCTCCGGCAAAGCTAGAAGGATGTTGCAAAAACGTTGAAACCACTGAGAACTCTGCTGGAGTTGACAGAGATAGGAACAAGTGGTAAATCGCTCCGATCGACAAATTGGTTTGAACCAGATAAGTCAGAAGAGTGTTGCGACGAGTAGGTAAGCAGCTCGGAAAATGCTGGGGCTGAGTCGCTCGTCGACGGCGAAAGCGCCAATCAGACCCAAGGATGCAGGACGAAGGGTGGAGGTGTAGCTCGCACTCTTGAAAATGAGCACGTATAAGACGAGCCCAGACAATTCCGGCTCGGGATTGTTGTGTACAACAGTATGTACCCGATGGGTTCAACAGAGCGGCAGAGCGGGTAAGCGAAGCTGGACTGGTTTGAGCAGGTAATTGACGGAGGATGGATGGACAGTGTTGCACTTAGGGGACAATCGATGAGAGGATATGAGGAGGAATTCAATATGTGAAACGAGTTAGATTTGACAGAAAAGCATTGTAGTCTCACCAAGCCAGTGCTCCAATAAAAATATAACAGTTAATATGATGCAGTGCGTAAAGATCAATGTACTGCAGATTCGGGAAGTGGTGGGATGGAAGCGCCGAAGTCACTGGTTCTTCGGAGCCAGTAAATAAGTAATCAGCCGCATATGGTCTGATATCCATGTGTATGTTACCGTTTCGTTTCGCCCAGTGAAGTGTCAATTTGGGTGCTTGACATGATCGCATAGGGTGAACATTTCCAGAACAGCATTTTGCACGGAGTACATGCATTTGAGACCATTCAAAAAAAAACATCGACGAGGGATTGGTGGAAGGGGAAAGGTACTGTAGGTAGGTACCCAAGGACGGTAGGTGGTATCGTGTTGTGAAACCAGCCCAGGCATACACCCAGGGAGGCTGCTGACCTCCAATACCTAGGTAGATAGCATTGGGTAGGCACATGTTAGGGTTCTATGCTCCAGGGGTCTTCCGTAGGGTTGCAATACCCCCAGACACGACGCAAAGATCCCTCGATCGATGCCCAGAATGACGCAGCATTGTGCGCTTTGGGCCCTGGAAGTCCAGACCTTCTTCAACAGTCAGCATTATGATTTATAGCCCATGGGCTTTTGGATGATACCCCTCCCACGATTTTGTCATTTTAGAAGGGGATATTCATGTTCTCTTACCTCCATGCCGCTGAGATCATAGGCCAACACATGAAACGTTAAAGCTTCCTGTTCGATGACTGTATTTTCATCCGACGAAACAGTGTTGGACTCATGTCGTACGAAGACAAAGTCTACCAACGCGTTGAAGAACGTTTGTTGGTATTCATCCTCGTATAAAGGCGAGGCCAGCAGCGACAGAACAATATATAGGATGATACTCCCTATTACAGTAGCTGATAGCTTTCGATCGGAACCTTCCTGAGATAGTGATCAGTAGGTCCCGCCCCATCGTTGCATACCTCAGCATCCAGATCAACTCAGTGGCTATCACTCCTCAGACAGTAGCATCAATAGCTAGCGGGAAGTGATTGGCTAAACACACACCCGGCCACCTCTCATTTGGCATTTCAATTTGGAATTTTGCACCATCCTTCAGTCCACTAGCACGAGGCCAGCATCTACTCTCGTTTTTCTTTCTCCATCATCAAATCCTGGTATCTTCATGTTACAAATCACCTAACGGCTGTTTGCTGCCGGCCTGAAATCGACCCTGTGTTTGCTCGTTCGGGCCTGGGAATTGCGCGTTGACGCCGGGCCTCCAGTCGTCGATCCCCATCCATGGCATTTCAGCTGCCTGATGCTTCCAGGGACATTTCAACGTGCGAAGTCTTGGTCCACATTACCGCACCATCTTCTGCGCGAGATGATGCCCGGTTTGCATCCATCGCGGCAAGCGTCCTGAACTTCCAACCAGCGAAGAGAACAAAGGTATCCGAGTTAAATTTCATTCCTTCCTGCCCTCTTGCCACGAACACAGATATCAACGCCACTATACAAACGCCCTCCCCGAAGCAGAGGTAGGTTGTTATCGCCTGCGGCCATTTTTATGCGCACAATTCAATGACCTATCTATGCTTTAATCGGGTTCAATTTTCCCGCCTCCTGCCTGCCTTCACACAGATGTACAAGAGACTGACTCTTTTCCTAGACGATTTCCTAATCTTGAGGCAGACGCAGACAGGCAACCCATAGAGGGCCTAGCAACAAGTCGTGATACAGACCACACTGACTTACAGAGAGCAGCGCAGAGTCAAGGATGTGCTAATCCAGAGACACTGTCTTTTGCCAATGTCTCTCGCTCGCTGTATTCGAGATTCTCCGATGCCTGGCCTCATAATCGAAGCATCGCCAACACAGGAAATTCGACTGAACTTCTGGTGACCGATTGCTCAGAAAAGTGTGATAACAATGGGAAAAGAAGGTGCTCTAAACGACGACGTCTCGCTCCCATCGAGCATGATTATCCTTCAACCCGGCGGCCACAGCGATCTCGACAACTCGATTCCTGTGTATGCACGCGGCAACAGGGCAGTACCACCCTGGACCTTGCAGAAGATATCTCTGGAACGTCCACAGTGTCGCCCTCCCAACCACTCTACTGGCAAAATCGAATTGGCAAAAACAGAGACGCTGGGCCAGGATCTGAACCGGTAGTGAGCTTCTCCATGCCAATCTACCTTGACACAGCCCGACAAAATGAAGGTCTTACTCAGCAAGAACCTGCCCGCCGTCGTCGCGATGCTGGTCCAAACAAATCTCACCGACTCGATGCAGCTTGGCATCTGCAACGGAGAGAGGGTTTCACTTCCCAACTTCCAAATGAGATTCATGGTCCGAAACCTCACGGTGGCCGCGCAAGATTTGTCACTCACACCACCAAAACTCTACGAAAGCTAGCTATACGGGTGCCGCTATCAAAACACTTTCTCCCATGCCGCGTTACCCGGGATGTCAACGTATTAGAACGAGGTCATTGGCAGTTCTCGGTTGGAATTATCGAGTCGTCAATGATACAAGGTCCGAGACAGGCACTGCAGAAACGTGGCAACGATGAACTTGTTTCCCTATTATCGGAGAGCGAGTTCCTCCAGCTTTGGAGAAACATCTGTTGCTTTATCCAGGATGGCAAGGCGGGATGGGGAACATCCATCGTAAAAACCCAGATTGGGCAAGGCCTCTGGCGAATTCGCCTATTCAGCTGGGCTGAAATTCTTGGACACGTTTGGCTCGTGCTATGGGTGTTGTCGGACAAACTAACCGAGGACATTCCCATGCATTGGATGGATGGTCGTGGAACTACTGTTGTCACCATGGCGGGGAGGAAGCCTCAGGCAAATGGTACTGGCAAATGGGTACAGAAAGGTGCTGAAGGTGAACAAGGTTACTGGGGGATCCAGTAGGCGGTGATGATATGATCGACTAGATATCCTTATATCTAATACTACGTGTCTACAAGTATGGCATATATGCTATATCTCTGATCCACGACTAACTGCTGGAACTCGTACTGATTCTGAAATCCGGAGTAGATGCTCAACGTATCGGTGCCTCGGAGGCTCTCGTAAGCCTAACCATGTGAGGTAAAAGCTTGGCGCGCTCTCTGGACTGATTAGCGACTTAGCGGTAATCTAGTGGGAACCTGACTTAGTGAGGCTAGTGGGCTGGGTTGGCTCTTTTTTGCCCTTGTCGACCTCTTAACTAGTCGAACCGCCGCATCGACTCCGTACTCCGTACTGTCCTTGTACTTGCGTTCTTCCAAAACCTTCACATGCATGTGAAGATTTGCTCACTTTCACTTCTATACCTCATCATTTCTCAACTTCCCAGGCATCCGTGTCCTCTTATTATGCCACCCTTTCTCTACAGACTATTCTCCCTCGTTACCTTTTCATGACGGCTCACTCTGCCCACATTTGCCCCTCCTGCCGTTGCGTAATAGCTTCGACCCGCCTGGAGTGACGAGCGTCCCAACAGATCTTCCCTACAAGATCCCGCCCTCCTCGAGCACATTGGATCGTTGGCCAACCTTCAGCACGATATCTGGTCCATGTTCCTACTCGACCCGGGTTCTGAAAATCTACCACCTTTCTGATCTTGCCGAGAGTTCGCTCGAGCATACCCATCTCAACCATTATTCACGGCCTTTCATCGAGTTCAGTTGCAACCCCCCACGGTAGATCCCCATATCACATACCCATCTGATTACAACCTGGGGTTGAGGCTGCAGCGCGCAGCCTAGGAGAGGCAGCGCAGTGTCATCACGTGGATGTTGGCAACACAAAGCATGTCGTCCCATGGTGGACAACCGAATTTTCCTTTCGGATGTAAGAAACACCTTGTCATATCCAGATTATCATTGCGGGAAAATATACTTACTTTTGGCTTGTAGATCAACAGGAAAATATCCATGGCTTAGGCTTGCCTGAGTTCATCACGCCAGGTCCTCCTCCCGGCCAGCCGTTGCTCAACGCATCCGAAAATCAGGATCTAGATTCCTTCTTCAACGAATTTGACCAAAATGCGCCTGCAAAACAATACCCTCATTTCCTTCCTACGGGACACGACCAATACTTTGGAATCCCACCTTTGTTTGTCGGATCGGAAACAGACCTGGGTCCTCAGTCCATGAATGCTCCCCATCCGTTGCAGAATGCAGGGTTTCAATATGGCGGCGACATGCTTGGTCATGATCTAAGCCACTTTCGCCAGACAGATATGGGACACAACGGCATGCAAAGTCACCTGTACGGCGATGCGCCCATGCAGAATCCTGTGACGAATCGACTCCCACCAGTAACCTCCCTGCAACCGACTTTTGGACCTGCATGGCAGCAACAAGATTTCCACCAACCCACAATGCTGAACTCTCAGCAGCAGAGTCGGCAGACGATGGCTTTTGGTACCGACGCGCGGTTCCAGCCCAACGGCTATGCTGCCCCTCATAATCCCTCCGATCCGGATCTTCCTAGCGGAATGAAGATTCACCCTATGGACTTTTTCGAACCAGCAAGTGGGAGTACCACTCAGCCAAACACTCGGCCAAGCACCAGACCCAATACGCAGCCATCAAGTCCTAACTGGCAGAAGAAGAGGACTTTTGAGGACTTCCAGCAAGATCAGCCCACTCAGAAGGGACTTGTTGCCCCGACGAATGAGTGGCAGAGTATCAATTCGACAGCATCGACCTCTCGGAAACGAAGTTCTATGACTAAAAGCGACAAGGCCAAAAATTCGCAGCAACCTACACCGCCCTTGCATAGCAAATCACAGACGCCTGTTAAAAGCGAAGGCGACGATCATGAAGAAGATGCCGAGGTAGAAGACAACGACAGAGACGCTATCGAAGGACCAAAATTGCCCTCACCGGCGCGCCCGCGCCGGCGGATCCCTGCTTCCCCCCAGTCAAAACCTCCCCAGAAAAAGAAGGCTAGTGCAAATACGACAACACCTCCGACCAAAAAACCCAGACCGAAGAGCCTTTCCAAAAAAGTGATCAGCAGTAGAGTCCCACTTACCCAGGAACAGAAGAAAGCCAACCACACGAACTCGGAACAACGTCGCCGCGACGCTACTGCCCGAGCTTATGCTGAACTGTATGACCTTGTGCCCGAGCTTGAAGATCATGGCAAACAGAGTACAATGAAAAAGCTCGAGTTCGTGGTGGCCAAGGTCCATCGCGTCAAGCAAAGAGTATACGAATTAAGGATGAAGCTTGGCCTGGACATTCAGACGGGCATGCCCCAGAGCCCATCGACGCAACAACATGACGACATTCACGACTGATACCAGGAAAGCTTGCATAGTATTGGATGACAAATGTGGTGGTCGTCAACCTAGGAGATCTATGATCTGTATCTCTGTGTCAACTAGTAACGACGCGCTCCTGGTCTTTCTTGCCAACAGGTGCGGTCCGATACAAGTCGAAGCTACAACCGATGACAGGCACGATCCCTTTTCTCATTATGATTTTCTTCTTTCTTCAATACGATACCCCTCTTCGATTCTCAGATACATGAACTACAACTATGGCATTGATGGATATGCCAGCTTGGACAAATGGGTGGCAAAAGAGCGATGAAGTTATTTTTACACAGCATGGTACAAATCACCCCGGAAAATGGAGGTCTTTTGGAACATATATACTCTACGATCAAACGGGGTTTATGATTAGCGAGCTATGCGCTTTGGGCAGCTGGACTGCAGAAGAAGAGACCTTGGTGGACGGAGAACGGGAAGAGATGGTTCATCTTGCTATCACAACCACTCTGAGGCATAAAGTGTGTGTGTGTGTGTGTGTTTGTATAGAGAGAAACCTCGCGCATCGTCATGATTCACCACCTTCTTGGTGATTTGGTACTACCGTGGATGGGTGAAGTCCCGTGCGATGTCGAAATTTCTCAAAAAACCTATGAATCTCCAGCGTCCAGGACAACGTCAGTTTCTGTTGTTGAACCAGTATCATGTGAACTCGTATCCGTACTCGTATGAGGAGTGAAAGTAGGTAGCTGTACCATTCTCGCCCAGGTACTCTGTACAGAAGTTTATACTGTACTACGTTTACACACTTCGCCGCACCCCCCGGAAGTACTTTGTACAGAGCACTGTACTCCCCCGCTTCGTTTTTTTCTTTTTCCTTTCCCCTTTTCTTTTTTTCTTTTCTCTCACTCCCTCTCCCCTTTTGTTTTGTCGACCGACATATCATCATTGAGCTTCGGCTTCTTTTTTTCCCCCCCGGCGCAAAACGATCGAGACTTGGTCGGATGAGCCACCCAACGCGCAGCCGACCACACCACCACGGGGGGATATCCGGTCGTGGTGGGTACGACTTGGGTAACCCCCCTACGGCACAACTTTCCTACGGAGCACGAGTACGGCAGTACTCGGTGGTCGACTCTTTGTACTCTGTAGATCTGGCCCACCATGGCAAGATGTTGTGCGCACCTTTACCTCGTCTTGTGATCCATTTACGACACTTCGTACCGTCCATGTGCCTGACAAAAAGTACCTCTCGGACCACCAACATGCCCGACGAGTACATCTGCTGTTACTTGGTGTACGGAAGTCACTGCTCCTGTAAATCATCAAATTGAACCAGTACGGACTGAACAATCTCGATCGACGTGGACACCCTTCGTCATTTCTCCTATTACATATTCCTTCTTTTCCCGTCTTCATCCTTCTTCTTCTTCTTCTTCTTCTTCTTCTTCCCAAACCCCCTCGCATCTCTTACTGTGTTCGAGTGTTATAATTCTCCACACTCCATAACCCCCTCCCCCCCCACCAAAACAGTATTGACCCTCGTAAGGTCCGGCACCAATGGCTGTGTACCAGGCCGTGTTACTACTACTACACATCCCAACCTATACTTTGACATCTCTCTCGTAAGAGTCTTGACAACATTCCCCCGTCCCCGTTCGGTTGACCGTCGTGCCCACTCAACAAGTCGGCGACTTCGACGGCCTTTCTTGCCCAGAATCGAGGCCGTTTGTAATCCACAAAGTATTCACCGTCGTCGTCGTCGTCGCCGGCGTGCTGTCCACGGGCGGACTCGTGCTTTCCTTCAAGGTCCACATTTCCATCATCACCCTCGGCATCGGCGGTCGATACGTAAAGGTCGATGGAGAGATTGAACAGTGTTGTGGCTAGCCATTCGAGCTCCTCCGTCGGATATGCTTGGCGGCCTGGCGGTGCTTGTACCGTGGCTCGCTTATGCTGCGAAGTGGAAGAGCATGGAGGCACCACCGAACGAGCCAGACTCAAAGCCTGTTCCACAACGGCGTGGACTGTGGTCAACCCAGTCTCCTCTTCCGTGCCTGGAATTCGAACCTCGTCACCGTGTCGATCCACGACGACTTGGACGACGCAGCGAATCCAGCGTGACGCCTGCGAGATGTCGTAGTCGGGTTGATTGCTGATCCCCTCGATGAGCTTTATGAGTAGCTGGGTCACCCTCGAGGTCGGCAATGGCACCGCCGCCACCGCCGTACCCTCGGCATCAGCTACAGAGCAGGGACAAGCGGCCGACAGAATCATATCCGCCATGCACGAATAAGTATTCCTTGGTGGTTGAAGTTCGATGATCTGATCTAATAGACTGGGAAGTGAGAGGTCATGGTGACTCGCTGCAGGATCTGTGGCTGTCATGAATAGAAGCGCTTCGAAAGCGAGAGGTGCTATCGAAATCACTTTCCGCATCGTGTCTTCTGCTGTCCCGGCTTCACCTCGTGGCAACTCCTGCATCTTGAGCTGCATCTTCAAGAATCTGTCAAACCCGTTCCGATAAAGCAGCTTCTTGATATCCCCTTGTGATGGAGGCGATTTGCTAAGGTATGACGTCTTCGGAATGTCTTCGATCGTCCAAGATGTGGATGACGACCTCGCTTGACCAACGTAGAGGACTGCTTGCAGAGCCATGGCATCGAATTGATGCTTGAGTTGTTCGAGCCGGAGACTTGCTTGAATCTCAGAAGGGAGAGCAAGCTGGAGTATGTTTAGATTCGATCAAAGTGTCAAAGCCAATTCCTTGGTCTTACCTCACAGGAATACTGCAACAAGTCTATTATACATCTTGCTGGCCAGGTTTTATGATTCTGGACTGCGCAATTGTACGCCATCTTCTGGAACCATCTGCATTCTGGGAATGGCAAGACCTTTCCAGCGGAGGTATTTTGACTTAGTGTCGAGGCTGAGCATGGTCAGCGACAAAGTAGCCAAGGTTTAGGATCTTGATGGGTACCAAATTTGAACACTCCACCAAGTCTCAGATGAAGCTCTTCATGGATGTCATTCGTCTCGGAAAGAGCCAGGATCAGAAGCCGAGCTGTAAACCTTCAGACGTCAGTGGCATGGATGTGGAAGCCTCGCTGTCGAACACACCTCAGTAGAGCATAGGCATCAACTTCCGACGGAAGATTCTCCCTGTACTTGTCCAATATTCGTTGAAGTAATTGTGCCGCCTGAGTATTGGTGCCATGTTGCAAGGTCTCAGTAACTGCAACGAAGAGGATTCGATTTCGATCGTCGTGCGCCGTCGCCAGTGAGCTTAATGCTGACCTCACTGCGAACCCTTAGTTGGGGTCCTCCCAAGATCACCCATGCTCACCGTTGGCATCATCCCCCGTTCGAAGTGTCAGACAATAGTAAAGGTACCGACTGATGAAGTGTTGTTTCCCCGCCACTGACATGGCATCCCAGGCTTTCGAAGCAGCATCCAAGTCAGACAACTCCAAGTAACACTGAATGACCTTCCTGTGCATGATGAGCCAAGGCCCTGCACCATGAACGTCATCGGTACCTCTCTACTATGCAAGCATTCTCGACTTGTACACCGCTTGAGAAGAGTCCATGTTGTGCAGCACGACACCATTCTACTGCGTCCTGTTTCGCATCTTGGTTGAATGAGTCTTCAGCTCGTTTCCAAAGAAGCTACTAGAGTCAGAAAATCGCCCCCGGGGTGAGTATCCAACTCACGACAAATACGCTTTGCGCAGCGTTTGGGGCCATGTTTATGCGGCCCGCCGACTGGATTTGGTCGAACCGACACGATGTATGATCATGGATTGTCGGTGGGCTGCTAGGTCCAGAGAGTGTCATCATCCACACCAAGGCAACAATGGCACTGTCTGCCCAGTCGTACTCTTCTCCGACCACCAACCTCGTGGTGATATAAGTCAACAGGGCCTCAATGGCATGATGGATGCTGTGGGCAATGCTTGTTAGGGTCGAAGACTGAGGAGCGGAAAACAAGCGTACCTCAGTGATTGCATATGATGAACATAGTGCATGATTCTGCCAACAATCAACACCTTGCCTCGCACATGTCTCCGTGTAGTTTCGCACTTACAACTTATGATTCGATTTGATCAGATGGACGCATCGAATCAGCTTCAACAATTCTTTCTAGGTCAGTATGATCACAATGCCTGGGTATTGCCAACTCATGCCTCGAGAAAATGCTTCAGGGTCTGAATTGCCGTCATCCTTGTAGATCTCCAGCTGAAGGATAATGACACAGATTTTCTGGCCAAATTGCTAGACTCGTCATTGCCTGAGCCGTTTGATGACCCAAGCTACTCACCTCTTTCAACTTCATCATAGCCTTGCAAGCCTCGTCACGGCCTTCAGTATGTCGACTAGACCGCAGTGCTCTTACTGATTGCAAGGTTAGTGAGTTCCCTGCCGTGCCAAAACAAAAAGGCAACCTTTACCGAGTGTATGCAACAACGTGAGCCTCATCTCGTGTACATCAGCATCGCCAATTTCCGCATCATACTGATCTGATAGCTCGCAACCTCTTTGTAGCCATTGTGCCGCCACATGGCCTTGCTTGTGATTAAGCCGATCACTCCCGATCTCATAGCACAGGTCGATCAGACCTCTCACAACTCCGAGGTCGATCCTTGGTTCGACGGCTTCGAGTTGTACGTAGAAGTGATCCGCAAGTTCGATACGGTCTTGTTTCCATGCCTTGCTTGTGGTCAAAATTCTCGCCTGTCACAGACGGAAGGGGTTCCGGACGCACCAGTGCAATCCGCACGAGCAAATATTCCGCACGCAAAGCATTGCTTAGCATCACTTCACCACGACTGTCCTCTTGGTTGATCTCTCCCAGACCTTCTTCTTTTGCTGCCAGGTGTTCCACAAGGCGAGCACCGAGCTCGAACAACCCGGCATCTAGTTGTGGATTTGTCAGTTCATGAAACGCCATTTCTTCAAACGCATGCTCAGTCCATACCAAGGCAGCTTTTCGAGGTCTTCAGAGCGTGTCTGAGTAGCCTGAAAGCACCTGTTGAACGAGTGAGATTGAAGTCCAAAAGTCGGTCGAAGCGGTCTACTATATACTCTTTCCGTGGGATCTCGAAGCGCTCTCCACCAGGAAGTAAGAAAAACATCGTACTGCGCACCGAGATTAGTGAGGTGATGGGGAGTGGTATTGAGATGGAATATGATATATCGTACTGATCGCCAGACTCTTCAGATCTTGTGTTCCGTCACTTTTGCCAATTTTACAGCATGTGTTCCACAATGAAACTCCGACCCGATCAAATTCAACTCGCTGCTGAGGTGAGAGCTCTTTGCGAGGGAGAGGCAAGGCTTGTACGTATGATAGAGTGTCAGCAATGGTTTGGGATGGGACATTCTCATCTTTGTCGAGGACATGCTGCAGATGCAGTGCAAAGTCTGATTCGTCGATTAGTTCGATGCGTGGACATCTCAAGGTGACATACCTAAAACAGATTGGACCTTGCTTGTAATCTCCTGGAACGGCATTGCAAAGGTTCGCGGCAAAATTTCAGGTTGTGGACAAATCGTCTGGTGTTACGAAAGTGTGAGAATCTCAAACTCGAAGGATGACGAGGTTGTGGTAGTGAACCACCAACTGAAATTCCAACTCTGAAATTCATGAAATGCACCAAACATAGAGAAAAGTAGAAAGCTCAGTCTGCACGTTTATTTGTTTTTTTCATCCGCATTTAATGATTTGATATACACAAGGCATTGCCACCAATTCTTTTTTAATGCTTCGGCGGATTCATCGGCAAGAAATTGCCTACAATCAATGATGGTCTGGAGTGCTACATTAGCATTTCGTCACAAAGACATTAAATATACTCACATGTTGTGGTTGTCTCGTCGAATCGTGAACGAAAAACAACAAGGGATCTCTTCTCCCTGTCCACCATTGGCGCTTGGAGACCGCAGCATACAACTCGTCAACATGGCCTTCTGCTGCTGATCAAAGCAGATGGCGCAAAACTTCTCCCAGTAACTAACAAGCTGGTCCTCAACGATGATCTCGTGAATCGCAAGTTTGCCCTGTAAATTCATTCATCAGTATGGCCACAGATCGCCCACATCCTATGCACCTACATCACGAAGACTCTCGATGGGCACATTTATCAACTCGGCCATCTCTTTGTTGCCTCTAAAGATCTCCCCAGTTCTTCGCCAACAGCACGCGGGTATCGCCATACTGGCAAAAATCCTATCGTACTCCATCAAACTCCTCTCAAACCACATCTCGACCAACACAAGCTCAATATCAGTCAAGCTCTGCATTCTCTCTCGAAACTTCGGCCTGAACTGATCCAGCTGCATCAAGATCTTGTGACGCGACGATTGTTTCATGTTCTTTTCCATGTATTTGTTGAGCCTGGCATAGCCGTTGACGTAGTTGAAAGGTCTGAGCATTCCGGCGTCGTACTTGGCCTTTAGCAGTTTCTGCATCCGTTCCTCTGGGGGTGCTGCCCCCGTCGGGTCTGCTGCCATCATATAGTACTTCTCTTGCGCCTTGTCCGAAACCGGTTTCACACTCGACGGTCTGGAAATCAATGCTGCTTGAGCGGCGTTGTTCTGAGCCGCAGTCGAACCGTCAAGCTGCTGTTCTTGTGGAAGCATGGTCTCATGAGGGTGCACACCGAGTGTCGACGCAGCCATGGTATTCATGAAAGACGGGTCGTTGAAGGGTCCCTGAAACTCGTCCGTGGAATACATGCCTGTCTCTTCAAATAAACTGTTGCTGAGAAAGTCGTTGAGCAAATTGTACTCGTCCGTGACCTCGTTGGCATTAAACATGTAATTTGGGTGGAAAGCGTGCATGTCGTGGAATCGGTTTTGCACTCCAAGCCATGGGTCATTATAACTAAAATCTAAACCCCCCGGGCATTAGTCCGTGACGCACTCAGACATGCGCAATACTCACGAGGTTGGGCGTTTCCATTGAGCCCTACCGTCGGCGTCGGTGCGTTTGGATTCGAGACTGGCATCGTGTCATTCGTGGAGGGTCTCAGCCCGATGTTGTTCTCTTGCAACAGATTGTGGCCGGATTCATCGATCAGCGTGGGTGCAGGCACGGAGCCTGGTGCCGTGGGAAAGTCATCCTTTGGCGGAGAACCGTCGTCGACCCCAGTAGGAGTATCTGAATCAGTCTTTCCTTTCTTGTGATATCCGTGTCCGTCTCTTGGTTCGTCATGACACAGGTGCCCGATGTTTCTCTTGATGCAGCGCTTACAGGGTCGATCCTAAGACATGCCCCATCGAAGGCACTCGCGTCAGCCTGTGGTACTTAAGAAGCTGTCGCCATGGCAGTCCAGGCGCGATACAAAAGCAAAGAAGGGTGTCGTACAGAATCGCAGGTCATATGCTGTGTATCCCCCCGAAAGTACTGCGTTAGCCTATCCAATGCCTCACTACGCACTCGAAATTCGGTGCTGCTGGGTTCAGGTTTGAGACCGGGCTTACCGAGCGACGACAATAGACACAAGCTACATGCAACAAACACGCTGTCAGTGAATGGCACGAAAGCTAGGATGTTGGCACGGGATACGAACCATGATTCACTTTGCGCTTCTTCTTTGGTTGGTCGGATGGAGACGCTTGATTCGACTTGCGCTGAGTCGCGGGCGATGCGCCGCCAGTCGAGAGCGACGTCTGGGTATCTGCGCTCCTGTTCATGCCGTTGCCTGCATGATCAGGCCCATCTCTGAGATCTGACATTGGTAGGTGAGTTGGCAACCGGCCGAAGACTGGACGAGGCTTAGAGGTGGAACTGCGGGTGGAGGTGGGAGGCGACACGATCGCATGTGTTCATGCTCATGGCATGCTGTGCGCACCGGGATCAGACAAGGATGAGCTTCGATTTACGTGAATATAAACAGGGTTGTAATAAATAGAGTACAAGTTCAGAGGACGGGAAATGAAGAACTTCCAAGTACGGGAGTAGAGAATAGCAAGAAAGCTGCAGCACCATGGGTCTCGAGCCGACCCCAAGCGCACCTCAAAAACACCCCGCAATAGCCCAATACCGGATGAGTACGAGTACGAGTGCCAATGACTACCTTTACCTAAGGTAAATGCCCAGAACTGAGTTCGCCAGCCGCCTACCAGCCTTGCCCGCCGAGGTCCTTGAGTCGGCGAAAATTCGATTGAGCAGGCTATCTTCCTCGCACGGACGGACTTTGTCGAGACCTTGCAGAATCCAGACGCACAACACCGTCTCAGTGGCATCGTTAATGCAGATGCGTGGAGTGACGGCATCTCGCTTGAATGGATCGTTTCCCCCTGTCTATCTTTTACTTTGCAGCCTTACAGATGCCCTTATGCAGTTCCATGTTTTCGGTCAACCATTGCATCCGGGTATATCTTGACAAGGGCCTACGTTACTTCTGCTCAATGACATTGTCTGCACCCAGACAATGGAGCGTTCATACTCCGTAGCGAGTATCAGACTTGACTGGACTGGTACATGGTTTGACATGAACTCACTTCTACGGAGTAATTACAACGTCCATGTCACGTTCCCCGAGCGATGAACTATCGTGATTTTGCGCAAATGAATGTTCTTGCAGATATCTTGTTGAGAGGGTCAATCGTTTAGACCAACCATAGTCATTACTCTCTTTTTGGATCTTCCTCCGCATATCTCTCTAGCTGATAGTACAAATCCGGCAACCAAGGAACTTTTTTGTTGTGCACTGGGCGCTCGTTACATATGCTTCACACATAGACAAACTCCAAATCGACGAGGAAACCACCAGTCTTGTTACATACAATGACGAAGAAGTGAACTCCGGGACTCCCATTATTCATACATTAACACTCGGTCGCATTCTCTTTCTGCCTTTGCCACCACCTGGCGTTCCCTCTTCGTCTCGCTCTCTGGCCCTCTTCTCACGCTGGTCGAGCACCAGGCTCAGAACGTCGAAACCAAACTGTGGATACTCCAGACACATCGCCTTGAACTCGGTCTCGGCCTCGTGCCGCAGGACATGGGACCTGGTGGCCCAGAACGCCGCCACCGGTTTGCGGATAGTGGTGTCCCCAGCAGGTGTATTGCCATAAACATATCTTGCATACGCGATCTCTCCGACCGCCGTCGAGTCGATGCGATGGATCTTCGAATGCGCGAGCGTCGTAAGCTCGGGCATTCCGAGTTTCTGCGCCAGGGTGTAGACGCGGGCATGTTTGAGAAGCTGGGCGCCGTTGTCATCGACAGCAGGTACAGATGGGTCCGACTCCAGGCCCTCTGCCGGATTGGGCAGTCGCCGGGGGAAGTATTCGCCAGTGTATTGGTATTGTAAGAAACAAGCGACGGCATCGAGCGACTCGTCTGGGAGTTCGAGTGAGAGCTCGTCATCGTCCATGCCGGCAAGAAGATCGCTCAAGTACGGCGACTGTGTGAGCATGGCCTTGTGTGCCGTCAAGGTAGTTTGTTCGTTACCAGAACCAACTACCAGCTGAACTATCGGCGACTTGAGGTACTCGAGAAACGCGGTTTGGGGATTTCTGGGAGCAGCGTCGCCGTTGAGTTCTCCTGCGCTGTCGCCAGCGCCCTCTCCTTCTGCATTATCGTCCTCCACCTCCTGACCGTCTTCGGTAGTGCCCATCTCTACGTCTCCTTCACCAGACTCGGCGATCTGGGCAGAATCATCATTGTCTGCCATTGTGATGTGTGAGGTTGTGGAGGGTAAATAAGGCAGGTACGAGAGGTCACGAGAACGGAGATAAATGTCTAACGAATAATTGAAAAAGGAGTGGACGAACCCGTCAGTTGGACCCAGAAGATGACTTCGAAATGCAGCTTGCGACTCCAGGTCTGCGGAGAGGACTTGAAGCTGCGCTATCAAGCTAGTCCCCAGCCTCGAAGACTCACTAAATTTAAGGGACCCTGACCGGCTACGGAGTACATACTAACGCCGTTGTGAAGGGCACCGTCCCATCACGTGCTTGACATCACACCCTACGAGCACCACAAGCAAAACAAGGACAAGTATAAAGTACTTGTGCAGACACAGAGCAAAGTGAGAGAAGATTCACGAATGCCGGACGGAGTTTTTTGCGGACAAAAGTCCATTTGTTATTTTTTTCTGGTTTTGTGGTTTCTATGTAGATAGCCTCCTCATAATTCGCCAACTATCGCCATACCATGCCTGGTCGCCTAGTCATAAAAACCTGAGATACAAAACTTAACCCATTTGGCAAAACGGCCAACAAATGAGGAACATCAACTCCTTCAAGCCAAGGCAGGTCCATGCTATACTCGCGACACAATGTTGACCAACATAACACCTAGGGCTGACGCAGTAGCCACTGAAAAAGAAAGTAGATCAAGCAAACCGTCCGTATCATCAGCAGCGTTCGTCATCCCGGAACTCCGCGCTCGTAAAACTCATTAGAATAACCATAAACTCCTGTTTAATCTCATCTCTGAGCATAAGTCGTGAAAAGTCTTCCGAGCGGCGGTGGAAAAGCATCTAGCGGTAATGAACCGGCTCGCTAGCAATTTCCACAAGGTGCTTCGATTGCTGTACCACCACCTCATTTTTCTTGTTGATGGAGATTTGGGCTGGGAGATTACTGATCATGGGGTACCTTGCTCGTCGTTCAAGTTCGTCGAGGGGAATTTGAGAACGGATGTACTTGGTCCGTCCATCTTCATGACCCTTCCAGTCCCAACTTTCAAAACGACCTTTGGTCAAGGCAGACCAGACAAATCGACGTTGACGCTGGCAGGTAAGAACGTCATCGGTGATCTTCTTGAAGTCCCATTTGGCATTGGCTTCATTCTCGAACGCCTTAAATACAGCCTGTGTTTGGGTGTCGTCGCTCGCGGCAAGGTTCTTCAGCTCCAGTGGATCATCTCGTAAGTTGAATAGTTGAGGCGGGTCAATCGGACATGTGATATATTTCCAATCACCTCTTCGAATCATCATCAGCGGTGCCACCGTGCCTTCTCCCATATACTCAGCAAAAACGGTGTCATGACCCCCCTCACTGCCGTAAAGGTGTGGTAACAAGGAGAGACCGTCCATAGGCAGCCCTGGGATCAACTTTGAACCGATGAGATCGACCAGAGTCGGCATCAAGTCCAAGGTTGATACGTTTTGAGAGACACGATGTGGCTTGAACTGTTGAGGATGAGAGATAAGCATGGGAACTCGGACAGAGTTCTCGAAGTATGACATCTTATACCAGAGACCCCTCTCACCGAGCATGTCACCATGGTCACCCGAGAACATAATCACTGGGGCTGGGTTAGTGCCGCTCGAGGGTTTGATAGATACACAACTTACCTGTGTTGTCATCCAAGCCACACTTCTTCAACACATCAAGCAACTGGCCGATGCAATCATCAACATAGCTCACCGCTCCATAGTAGGCACGCCGAGCACGCTTGATCTGCTCGTCGGTGAAGTCATGCCCTTCAATTTCGCAAACACGCATGAGGCGCTTGCTGTGGGGGTCTTGTTCTTCCTCCTTGAGGGAGACATTCGGCAGGTCAATATCAACGCCCTCATACAGATCCCAGTACTTGTCTTCAATTGCGTAGGGGTCATGTGGGTGGGTGAAAGAGACGGTCAACGCGAAAGGTCGCTTGCTGGCGGGTTCTCGTGCATAGTCATACAGATACTGCTTAGACTTGTACAGAACCTCCTCATCATAGTCAAGCTGGTTGGTCCTGACGCAAGGACCAGCCTGCAAAATTGAGCTGCTGTTGTGGTACCATTCCAAGCGGCGATCTGGATCGTCCCAATCAACAGCCCACCCAAAGTCACCAGGATATATGTCGGCAGTCAACCTGTTTTCATAGCCGTGAAGCTGATCTCCAATGAAGTGCATCTTGCCTGCCAGAGTTGTTTCGTAGCCTGCCGCACGCAAGTAATGCGCGTACGTGGGAGTCTCGGAGGGGATGGAGCATGCGTTATCGTAGGAGCCGATCTTGGAAGGAAGTTGGCCGCTGATAAGGCACATGCGCGAGGGTGCGCACAGGGGGCTGTTGCAATACGCAGAGTCAAACACCACCGAACGCTCAGCTAGTTTGTCAAGGTTGGGAGTCTTGATCAGTGACTTGGGATTGTGCATCTTCAGCAGAGGGGCAGCCAGTTGGTCCGCCATGATGAAAAGGATGTTTGGCTTTGCCGGGAACAGGGGAGTCGAGAAGCCTGCCGCACCCTGGTAGCAATTTGGCGGTGAGATGGGCGGAGAGGCAGGGAAGGGATTGTAGGAACCCATGGTCGAGGCTTTTGGCTGTCAGTGGTCTTCTTGAGTCTCTCAGGTCTGGATGGTCAAGATGTGCTGGGGCAAACTCAGAGGAAAGAAGAAGCAGAGAACAGAATGAGCGGAAGCGGTCAGAAATAAGTAACCGCAGCAGGAGAGCAAAGGAGTGGAGCGAGACCGGATGTTGTCTTGCTAGTTCGCACGCAAGAGAAAAGAGAATGAAGGAGGCAGAGGAGCAACAGCAGCAGCGGGCAGAAGTTTACTCAGCCTGGTATCGCTTATGTGGGGAATTGGTAAAGGTGGTCAACGAACGAGTACGAAGCGCCTTTTTTTGGCGCTGCAGGACGAGCAGGCGTGTGCACCGTGACCAGCCTGAGAAGATTCATCATCCCATGTTCCTCCTTTCCATCGCCAGGGGGGACAGCGGTGGAGAGGATGATGGAGGCGAATACATCAGTACTGCCTCTGATGACGCGCGGTTCTGAGCATTTTTAAGGAATGATGATTGTTGAGAATGAATGGCAACATCTCATGGTAGAAGCACGCCATTCCTTTCCACAAGTGGACTGGCTTGGGCGGTGAGAGATGGCAGTTCCGTTCAAAGCCGTATCCGTCCTTCTGCCTATCTGTACTTTTTTTTCATGCGGAGCCTTGTTCTCCGTGTTCAAATGTCTTGGCCCCCTTGCAGCCAATCTGCAGGGTCCGGCTGGAAATGAGGGCAGATACGGAGAAGATGGCATCATACGCGAGGCCAGCCAATGCTTGCGCGAGTTTTCCTCGCTTGACATGTTTAATGATACGATAATCTGCCTTGCAGCACCTCCAACATCCGTGATTGGCTTTCTGTCAACAGGGGTCCAAAATCAAAACATGCTTGATGCGCGCAGCGGGGGAGCGCTGAGGGGCAAGGCTGAGAACATGTTCCTTTCGCTGATCTCAGCCTTGAGTGTACTAATGTCTCATCTTTTCATGCTCTTTGTGACTCACCACTCCCAATTGTCGTCTTATCTGAATCTCCTCCTGTCCGCATAGACCTCATTTTGGTCATCAGAAAATGTCTGACCCTTCGCCATGATCTGACTCGGCTGTATGGTCACGTTGTCTGGCTGAGGGTATCAAATCTCTAAGTGATAGCCTTGGCGCCCTAGCCATGCAAGGCTCAGTCACTAGGCCGTTCCTTATCATCACATCCCTGCTCACGTGAGACACCATCTCGCACTACTCGTATCGCACATCCGTATCCTTCTTCCAACGCATCGGCATTGACAGCTTCCTGAAAAAGTCATAAATTCCATGTGACCCTATCTGTTCATCGACCACTTTTAACTATATCTCTGTGACTCTAGTGCTAGCGCTTTACAGACATGCTAAATCAGCATTAGTTCATCAGAGACGATAAAGGGCTCGTTGTTCGAGATGGTCTCTGTTGATCATGCACTCCTTCGTCAGTCGAGAGTCTAGATTGTCCTGAAATGATCTAGACCTCTTATCAATCCGCGTTGCACGCTTCGAAAATGATGCGATAACGGTTTTGGACCATTGCCACGATACGATTGACAAGGATCCGGGACGCGACATCCACCAACGAGGATGCTCTGTCTTTTTGTGTATCAGGACATTTCCAGCACAGCGCGCTCTTCTGGCTCTAATGCGGGTATCTCGGTTCGTGCTACTGCTCATTGTCGAGCTAGTCAAGTTGTTGTGTGTCTAGGAATCATCGATTGACCACGCGCGCTATGTTACGCTATGGTTTGTCACATGGCGTTGAAATGCGACAGGCTGGTAGAAAGAGGAATACGGGCCGACTCAACAACACAGGAGAAAAGGGCAACATAGATGACAGCGAGCTTAGATCCAATCAGGTATCATGATGCACTAGACTAAAATCAGGCATAGAATCCATGTGACGTACAAAAGTTCTCAATTTCCCCCCCTCTGCGACGCACCAAGTCGCAGCAGGTCGAGGCCGGCGATGTATCTCAAGCACTTGTCCACGACAGCCGTACCAAGGTCCGGCTCCTACTAAAAGTCTGGCCAGGGAACCTCGAGACCTCCTGTCTTTCCGGCTCACGACCAGAATTGTACTACGTCCGGAGACAATGATAGCGCCGTCCCATCCAATGGCCATCTCGATTTCTGCCGGGCAGAAATCAGCGCTCTGTTTCGCAGTGTCATTTGACTTGTTTTGGAAGTCGCCTCCATGCTGTCTCCCTGTCTACTCACACCGATCACTGGAGCACTGCGCATGACTCAAGAACACGTTGCGTCCAGAGCCTTGCGTTACAACTGCAAGCGATGCCTGGCGTCTACTCCTCACTTGGCAAAGTGCAAATCGTATCCCAGCCATTTTCTCGCATTAACTTGCTGGGGATTCAGACCAGGCCAGCCATATGTGAGAGGGAAAAAGAAGTAGAAACCGTAAATGACCACGGCTAGTACGACTGCTGTAGCAACCCAAGTTGCAAACATGCTCTGGCCTTTGAGACGCTCCTGGGCAGTTTGGAAGGACCTTCTGGTTTTTTCGGGCACCTTGCTGACGACCTTATCCTTCTTCGCGGCGATGACGGATGACGTTTCATCGTCAAGGATGGGGTCGACGTTGAAGATGAATTCCACCAGGGCACCAGTAACCAAGCAAGACGCCAAGTGTGCAGGCAAATAGTGGTGAAGGAACAGTTGCCGACCCATGAGATAGAATGGGAAATAATGCGCAGCCCAGCAGAGGAAGAAGAAGCCGGTACTGTTGTACAGGCGAGAACGAGTGCCTACAGAAAGGTCAGTATCAGCAGACAACCACATGAGGCGACCATGAGGGGAGGAGAACTTACGTTTGTCGAGAGCGTCAACTCCACGTCTCAAGCTTAGCTGGTCTGCTCCCATGATTCCGGCTAGAACGGCAAGCAGGGCAGAAGTAATCCAATACCCAATGGGATTTCCGAGAAAGTAAATTTGCTGCTTGGTGCTCTCTTGAGTCCAGAAGCTGACACCTCGGAGAAGGAAAGGCCATTGGTAAGGCTGAGAAGCGTAGGGGTGACTGGACGTCAAGGCGTTGTTGTGATAGAACATAGCGCGTTGCAACTCGAAGTACTTGGTCAGGAATGGCAACCGTTTGACCTTCTTTGGCTCCTTAACCAGTCTAGGCGAGTCTTCGGGTATACTTGGAATGTCATCAACATACCAAATGTTGCTAGATTGCTGAACGTTCTTGTTGCCATTAATCTCGGCCTGCTTGAAGGCCCATTCCGGAAGAGGAGTTGTGTGTGTCCACATAGCCACCTTGGTCGGGAAGTGAATGAGTTTGAACTGGCCAGAGTGAGATCTGAACGGCTGTCCCTGCTTGCCTTGTTCCATCCGAATCTCGAACAATGTGTCATTATGACGGTCACCAGCTGCCAGGTCTAGAGCCACTGTGGTGAATTCCTGGTTCGTAGGGTAAAATGGAGATGCCACGTCATGTGTAAGAAGCATCGTATCGGTCACGATATGTCGTAGCTGAACCACGTCCCCATTCAATACAGGTTGTCCCTCCTGAGTCGAGTCAGAGTTCGGAGTGCCAGGGAGGATCTGCCACTGGTTGTTGGTGTCATTGAAAGGATACCCGGTAACCTGTTGTCCCTGGCTAGAGATACGGCCATCTTCGTACCGAAGTGGGTATTTATCAGGATGGCTGTGCAAGTACACTTTTGTATCTTTGTGTCGCAGGGTGATATAATCGCCATACTGGATGTCGACAGAAGCTTGATGCATCAGATTGTCACTGAGGGTTTCTTGGAATTCGGGTGACATGAAGTCATCTCCAGGGCCAGACCGTGTGAGTACGGCGAAATGGACCTGGAACCAGAACAGATAAAAGAAGAAAGGAATGATGATCAATCCCACGGCACGAGCGACGAAGTGCTTTCCGAAGGTCATCAAATCGAGTGCACCACCCCGTCGATTGACATCCAAGAGATCCCAAAGGTCAATAAGTACAGCACATCCAATGGTGACGAACGTGAACGTTCCGACGTATTTAGTGGAAATGACACAGCTCATGCAGAAGCCGGTCAACAAGAGCCACTTCCACCATTTCCGACCAAAGGGTTCATGTCGCTGTCTGTAGAATCGAATGTAGGCTAGGATGCTCAATGCCATGAAAAAGACCAGGGTCGCATCGAGAAGAATCAGCCGAGTCTGGCCAACGTGTGAGTTGTCAAAGAGTACAAGTCCTGCTGCAAGAACACAAGCTGGAAGAGAGTATCCGGATTCCCACATGATCAAAAAGACCACTACCACCGTGAGCGCCCCAAGAAGCGCAGGAAGAGCTCGGAAAGCTAGATATGGCACATTATTGGAGATGTAGGATTCACCGATGTTGTCAAAGAGAAAGTGGCCATCGTATCCTACAAGCCAGCCAACGAACGCGAAAAGAAGTTTGGCGAAAGGAGGATGGACGTCGAAGAAGTAGGTCCTTTGAAGGTAGTAGGATGCAAACTGCATTCACCATCAGCTGTGCACTTTCTCCCTTCTCATAGTATCTGAACGTACCTTTCCAAAGTGGACTTCATCAAAGACGACCTCATTGGGGTGACTGATACCGAAAAAGCGAGTAGCGAAAGCAAGCAGGGTGATCACACCAAGCGCAAGCTTATAGTCCCACTGCTTGGACGCTCTTTTTTGGACATCCGCATAAGCCTGCGAGAAAATGTGTTCATCATGATCCTCATCGGCAAAGGCCTTGTTCTTTTCCTTGCCACCTCTTTGGCGCAGGCTAGCATTAGGAGTGGCCATTCTATAGGTAGGTGAGGGTGAGGGTGAGGGGAGGCTTCGAGGGCGTGCTAGCACTTGCCCTTCAGGGATGAGCCTCGTTGTTGAACACAATCTGCACTTGTTGGATAGGGAAGGGAGAATAATAAAGTCAGAAGGAAAAGACAGAATGGAACATGAATCGAAAGAAAGTCGCTGAAAAGTCAACCTCTGAATTTAGATAGATGGTGAACTCAAGGGTAAGACGTGTCCAAAACTTTTCGAGACCGCGACAGCTGGTCCGTGCGTCGAGACGTTGGAGAAGGTCGCGTTCCCCTTAGAAAAAGGGGCTTGAACAAGGTACTTTACTTAGTTTCTTGGGTATTTTAATGAACCACTGCCATCTTTTCCCTCGTAGAGTCTACGCGGGTGGCCTACAGATTCTTACTTTGATCATTAAGTGTCAAATAATTTCAATGGCCGACAAATGCTGGCTCCTAGTCATGCCTGTCAAAGATGCTCAAGGTTTCCAACTCCCGCTGAACGATGCGATCAAATTCATCGCGATCCATGCCCGCGCTCTTTGCTAACCGATACATGCTCTTCAAAGTAGTGCTGATGTGCTGCCTAACCCCAATCTCAGATGCGCCGTACCGCTCGGCATGCTCCTCTAACCGTGCCACCGTGTCCGATCCTCTCGATGATGGCGATGATGGTGCTGGCTGATTGACTGCCGTTTCCTTTTCCTCAGGATTGTCCTTGAAGAACCGTTGGTATGGTGGAGGTTCTCGATCTTGTAACAAATCCGACTGGCCGGCCGATAGCAAATGTTGCAAGGAATGCCCATTCAAAGTTGAATCTCCAGTATCTTCCATCTCTTCATCCGGGTCATGGGCGTCCATAGCGGGCTGGACATCGGCGTAACGAGCATAGTAATCATCTTCTGATGGACCATTGCGGGCTGGTTCAACTGGGGTCTTCCTGGCGGGCGTACGTCCTTCTGATCTGTCGTACATTGCCCAGTAATCGTCCTCATCAGCTTGTGGGACGGAAAGGTTCCTTGTTGTCCGTGAATTCGCTCGGTCTGCTTCTTGTAGAGCCTCTGTCACCAGTCTTTCCTGAGAAGATTCATTTGCCTCGGTTATCGATGGTGACCAGGACGGATCTCTTTGTAGATCTGCGTCATGCGGTAACAGCTCAGCCAACTTCCAAGAACTCCCTCCTTCTTCGCCTCCCGCGCACCATAAGTACAAGGCTGTAAATGGCCAATCTAGGAGTGGTATCTGTGCCCGCAGTGTTTCCTCGTCGAACCGCTTATACTTTATTTGATCATGGTCACCGACTTCGATCTCTCCAGAAACTGGATGTGGCTCGAAAACCGCCTCTTCGATCTTATCCTTGAGGACATCTCCTTTTCGTGCATCCCAACATAATAAACTCGCCCAGTTGTCTCTTGACGAGGCAGACGTGTGGAGATCAAGACGCTGACGCAGTATTGGTGAAAGTAGAGAGAGCAGCACGGGCGGAGGTTTGGGAGAGGCAAACGACGTAGGGAGACAGGCTAGTAGCGGTGGCAGTAGAGAATGAGGATCTGGAGGCGGGATTATTTCGACCATGCTGCACAGGGTTGGCCGATCACCATCGGACGAGCAAGCTCAACAACGTGTTCTAGTGGTAGGTAACTTTGAGGGGAGTTGTGGGAGCGAAAGAAGACGTTCGTCTGCAACCATTAGTAGTAGAATTCGGATGGAGCGTGAGACACATGGAGATGTCAATAAAACAGGAAGCTAGACATGTTTGAGGATATGCGGGATGGTCGCTTGCTGGACTATTGTACGAGTAAGAAATGAAAACGGAACCGATGATCAAACCGTGGGACGTATAGCGGGAGGATCAGTAGCATGTGCCCCGATCTTCGATGTTGTCCCGGCTGCATCTGTGCGGCGGAGTGGAAGATGTGGCATTCTTCCATTCATCCGGGAGGATTGTGGCGTGTCATTTGAAATATTGTCCGAGCATACTCCTGTCGTTCAACTCCGGTCGGTGTACGAGTAAGAATACGAATCCTTAAATGATACATGTAGGATCAAAGAATGCGCCGCAATTCCCTTGTATACGGGCGCCTTTCCTTCGTTTCTCGATGCTCATATTTATTTTTGACTAACACTTTCCTTGCTTCAGGGTATCGTAATTGTCCGACAACATCAGCCTTACCAATCACGTGCGACTCAGCCTTGCTGACAAGCCACAATAAAATATCTCTTGTTTCACGGGTCCAACAACATACCTTCATTCCACCAGTCCTCCCAAAATCATTTTCGTAAGTAAAAGTCATGTCATAGTAAGTAGCACTGTGTGTTACCCTGCAAGACGATCCACATCTGGGACAAGAAGAGGCCATGCCAAAGTACAGTACAATATGACTCGCCGTTATCTTGCCTCGTTCAGAATTTCCCCGCAGTGGAACCGCAGTTATCGCGACATTGAAAGATTTCTCTGGCTAGTTGTGCGGTGACTGTTTGCTACGCCTACTGCATATGAGTGCATCGTTCTCTCGATGCCAAGGTAGCCATCGCCAGCTTCGTGAACTGTGCCGACATAGCTGTCGTCATCGTCGCGATGGCAAGCGTATCGGCCAAGAGTGGCATCAAGGTGTTTGGTCAATCGAGGGCTTCGAGCGCCGCTTACATAAATGGCAATGATGAGCCTGTCGAGCATCCACGCGAGGATACGAGTCGTGAACCGGACGTCGATGTCATCCAGAATCGCTTTCAGGATGAGAGTATCCGAGCTGAAGCAGAGTTACTCCTGCGTCGAAAGATCGACGTCCGACTATGTACGATCGCTGGCATATTGTGCAGTCTGAATTTGCTGGACAGTGGGATCATCTCGTCAGCCTCGGTGACCAGCATGCTGTCGGACTTGGACCTTGTCGGAAATCGCTACTCTGTGTCGATATTCATTTTCACCGTGGCCTCGATCTGCTTCCAGCTCCCTTCAACAATTTTTCTCCGGCTGGTGGGCCCCAGGATATTCTTTGCCACCATAACATGTGCCTTTGGCATCATCACAATGTGCACAGCCGCCATTACTACCTGGAGGCAGATGATTGCACTAAGAGTCCTCCTTGGTATTTCCATGAGTGGTGTCTTTCCTGGACTGAGTAAGTGACCTTATGTTCTTGGGAGAAACTTTCATCTAATTATTCCCAGCATATCTGATCTCAACTGTAAGTCTCGCTACGAAGAACGGCATGCTTCGACAACATGCGCACCAGTTCTTGGGTGTGCCCGCTCTTCACGTCTTTCAGCACTGATATCATGATAGTACTATACCCGGAGAGAGCAGCAGCTTCGTTTTGCAATCCTTCAATCGGGCGAGATCATAATCCTCGCGACAGGTTCGATCGTCAACTATGGCCTCAACCATCTTGATCACCGTGATGGCCTTCGTGGATGGCAATACATGTATCTTGTCCAAGGCGCAGTCACCGTCTTTCTCGGGATCATAACATATTTCTGGATGGTTGAATTTCCCGATCAATGCGAGAACTCATTTCACTTCCTATCAGATGACGAGAAGATCTTGGCCATCTCACGTATCAATGAGGATCGGCGTGATGGTGGAAAGCCTGAACCCCTAACCGTATCCGCCATCCTGGTGAATTTCTTGGACATCAAACTCTACATCTTCTGTACATTGTTCTTCCTTCTGAACATCGTATCCACAGCCCTCAGTTACTTCCTGCCAATAATATTGGTATGTCTCTCATCCTTGAACAAGACATCCTTCTCGTACTGATAAAAAGGCCAGCAAAGTGGAATGGGCTTCGACACCAACAAGGCAATATTACTTGCCTCGCCACCGTACTATTACGCCGTGATCCCGGTCCTTTTATCCTCGTATATTGGCGACAAGTACCGAATTCGGGCTCCAGTAATAATCTTCAACGCTGTCTGTCTCATTGTGGGATTCTGCATGCTCGGTTTTCCAAGTCAAGTGACTGTCAGATACATCGGCACTTTCCTGGCTACCGGAGCGTACATCTCAAATTGGGCGGCACTAAACGCTTATCAAGCCAACAATGTGGTTGGACAATGGAAACGCGCCACAGTCGCAGCGGCCATCTCAGCTTGTAATGGGCTAGGCGGAATTGCCGGGAGTTACATCGTGCGCCAACCAGAAGCGCCTCGGTACTTTACGGCCATATGGGTCAGTATAGGAAGTCATATAGCTATGATCGCTGTCGTTGCGGCCTGCACAATATGGTTCTGGCATGCGAACCGCCGAGCTAGACTAGGCGACCGATTGATAGAAGGGGTCCCAGGTTTCCGCTATACCTACTAAACACAAAATAAAATGAGGAACTGCGAGTACCTCTCTGGGACACTGCGACTTTGTCATTATCAAACAAACGATTACAGCAACGAGACCGATGCCTATACTTCAGCCGGGGACGAGCATGGTGTTTTCCTTTCAAAGACGTGCCCTTCCACCACTTTCGATAATGTTCTTCAGAGATCGACTATCAGGCAGGGGATCCCCTGAAAAGTCATCAGTCGGAATCTGCTGTGAAGCAAAAGCCAAGAACACTGCCTCCCAATGACCATCAGGAAATCTGAGCAGAAAGCCTCCATCTTGTTTGACGCCATTGTCAAAGCCGGCGCTTCCCTGGTTCATGTGGACTTCGTGGATCCCTCCCGGCCCAAACGACGAGCCATATAGATATATGTCCGCCCGTTGCTCGATAGCATCATCGAGAATCGGCTGAAGTTGATCGAGAATGTCATTGTCTGGGCCGACTTCCATAAATGGCAAAATTCGACCAGCCTGGAGCTGCAGGCGGCCGGGCGTCCGAGCGTAGTCAAGTGCATAGTTGTTGGCCTGTTGATCGTCTGGATCAATTGCTTGAAACCCGTACTCGAGATTCGCGAGAGACTGAGTCAGTTGATTGGAGAAGGCACGGTCGAACCAATACACCAACTCGTGTGGCTTGGTCTTGGACTTGACGTTGATGGCTGCTTTCAGTTGTGTTGGCCCGTTACTCTGGAAGACCAAATTGATGTGAGGTGTACGATCTTGTGGAGGGTCGACTTCGTAGGATACAGGCTTCCCCTTCCAGACCCCATAGTCCTGGATGGGCATTTCGAGTCGTTAACGGAGAGTTCCAAAATTCAGTCAGGATGTTATTCAGAACTTGGGCAAAGACTTCGGAGGTTGGGAGAGTGTGTTGAGGGCAGGCAGAATGCCCATCTTATAGAATCATAAGACACAGGCGCTGTTGCGGCTGAGACTGATTCTTGTCCTCGTATTCGCAATGTCTGTTGGTTAGCTGACCAACGATCCAGACCCAGCCATCAGTCCGAATCACAATCCTGCAGACTCAGTCTTTTCTGGGAGACCGCGGCCACGCGCGTGGGCTGAATGCACCCTTGACCCACAACTTCCATGGCTGTGAAGGCTGGATGCATAGTTGAGAGCTTTGAAGCGAGGTGGGCTTGGTAACGAGTATACGGGTATGAGCTGAACCAGATTGACAGCCTTCGTGATCGTGTCTCGGATATCCAACCGCCCTTTCTGTATCAGGTGCGGCTGAACGTCTAGCAATGCTTGAGCACAAGGCATCATTTTGCCAAGGTAGAGGACTCAAAGACTGGCATGGTTAGAGTGATGGACTGATTCACGATCGGTGGCCCCAGTTAGTAAGGAAGATCACGGCGACCATACTCCGTACACCATAATGCGACAAGGCTACGCTAAACCGAAACCAAACATACATCAACACGCGCCTTGCTTGATCACAAGTCTCCGGCCACAGTCTTTCCAACATTTCAAGACGTTTTCTGTGACGGAATCATTGCCACATTCACGCGTCGAACTACTGCAGCAGACTTGTCTCTGGACTGAAAATACACGATGGCGCCTTCGAAATCATCTGCTACACCTGACGAGACGCGTTCACGTTTCGCAGCCCTTGAACCACGCATCAAGAACGTCCCCCAAGCGACCATCCGAAAGAAATGGAAGCCTCTACCGACATCATCTCAGGACAAGGTCCGACAGATCCTTTTGAATGTCGAAGCGAAGCGAAGGGGGTGCAATGCGCGAATTCCTCCACTCAGCAAAACCCGCGCGGGACAAGCGTCCAAAGCCAACACCAAGAATGCTCTCAAGGAAGAAGAGTACGACAAGATCGTTGAAGAAATCGCAGACAAGTAGGACTCTCTCTGGATCATCTCGACATTTCGCCACCACACTTCTCTTGAATAAAGAAGCTGACAAGTCTTGAAAAAACACACAGACTGATATCCCGTCTCCCTCGCATGCCTTTCCCACCCGCACCCACCAGTTCCTCTCAAGACGACACACCTTTCGACCTGTCCAACACCCTCCACCGCATCTCATCCCTTCAATCGACCCTGAACATGAACACGTCCTCGTCACACCTCCTCCGCCGACAGATCAAGCGCGAACGACGACTCCTGAAGCGCGACACGGCCGAACTCGACGCACTCGAGACGGGTCTGAGGTCCGCCAAAGACCTTCGCCGGAAGAAAGAGCGCGGTTTGCATCCGGTGGTTCGGAAACTTGCCGACTCCGAAATGGACTCGAGTCAACTGGGCCGGGTTGAAAGGATCAATAGTATCACGGGCATTTCTACCAATTCCTCAGAAGACACAGACTCCCGCCGTCCGAATGGTCTAGCTGAGACTCTTGGACAGGAGGAGGAGGATGAGAGGAAAGATGAAACTCTGAACTCGATGCACAAACAACTCCGCAATCATTTGACTAGCATGCAGAATAACACGGCACCCATACATCCCGTTCTCGCGGCGATGGATGAGACAAAGGCGATGCTGGATTCTTTTGCGATGAAAAAGTTTGATCACGAGACACTGTCACAGATATACAATGTTTCAGGATGATGATGACAATGACGATGACGATGTAGCGAGGAGGACAAGAAGCACCAACGAGACGAGATGAGAGTCATTGTACTTGTGATTGTCCATGTAAAGATATGAATCATGACCATGAATGAATGTATGATATATTTGCCTTCACAAACTGCCTTACCTCAGCTTGAGTGTACCGCAAGAAGGTATACCCCAGTTAGTAGTGTAGACACTACGAGTATGCAAAGAGACGTTGTGAGAACGTGAGAAGCGTATAGATTTTTCGTACAGGACGATTGACTGACAATCCTTCATCGTCATTGTGGTTTTGCTCGTCGCTTCCAATCTTTCCCAGCATGGCCATTGTGATAATGAATCTCTCCTGTTTGACAGAGAACCAAGGAGCGACCTCGAGGATCACCAAGACAACCCCCCAGCGCGATTTCAATAGACCTTCCTGTTCCAGTTCGCTACCAGTCACTCTGTCACGCTCTTCTCTACCCTTCTACCCTTGACACCAGTAAAATACACATCTTTTACCTACGGTATCTTGGGCACCTTGGGTGCCTCCTGTGACTATTTATTTTCTTCCATGCTCGCCTATAGACGACTCTGCTCGGGGTATTCATCTCTTGTCTGCCTAGGTATACTCCTTGTACCTGAGAACAGAATCAAAGTGATTCTTTGACGGTACACCGTACACCCCGAGTAGAAAAGAGTTGATTCGTTTCTCGATCCTCGTAGCCTCGTCTTTCTCGTGCTGAACCTCCCTCGCCAGAAGGTGCCTAGCTAGGTACGGAGTAGAAATCAGTCCGATTTCCCATTTGGGGTGTGTCCTTTGTTCCCGTTGGTCGACGAAAAAGGCGAGGTTTCTTCCCAAAAAGGCAGGTTACAGTTCCCAACTAGGAAGGAAACGACGTCAGTGACAGATAACCCGGGGAGGGCACCAACCCGATCCCTATGTACGCAGTATGTAGGTATCATTCAAGAGTATGAGTATCGTTTTGATTTCCACCGGGTGGAAGTTTACATGTACTCGAACCAAAAAAGAGGTATCTGGTCATCATTCGTACTTGTGGCATCAGGTAGATTGTCTAATAAGATGACCAAAAAACTACAAATAACCACGCAACCAAAGCCCCTTCTTCACGATCACCATCAGCAAAAAAATGTCACAGGCAAGGCATTGAATAATATTCATCAAGTTCAAGACGTTTCTTCCATGTATTTTTACCATTCCTGGCTATCCCTGGCTGTCCTTAGAACGCTATTCTTGCTTGACATTTTCGACTACTCGGATCTTTGCCTAGTTGGCCTTTTTATCGCTTGGATACGAACGAGTAGAGCGGAAAAAAGTCAATGCTGTTCAAACTATGTCAAGCAACCCGGCATACTTGGTCGTTTTCCTCACCATTCGGAACAGGCACAGCGGAAAAAGAACCAACCAACGCAGAAACAAGAGAACGATCGTGTGGTATCTTTCAGAAGGAAGAAAAAACAGCAAACTGAACTTTCAACAAGATAACCTCCCACCAGTGAACCGACCCCTTCTGTGTGTTACCCTGCTCACATACCACCAGCAGATGATATGAAAATGATACTCAACCTGCCTAGTATCCCAGTCCCGTGCGTGTATGCATTCCCAACTCCTCAAGCCACCCTTGCAGCAATTTGAGACCTTCGGAGCTCTGTCCTGCCTCAATTTTGGATCACATCACCATACATTCTAGGACCTTCGTTCAGACCAGGAGTAGCTGGAAACTCCCCAGGAACGTGTAGGTCGCTGATGGTGGTATGGCTCTTGGATCGTTCCGAGGGCCTGATGACATAGTCTGTGGGTGCACCCTTGGCGGTTCTCGGCCCAGTGAAGACTCCATTCGCATCAAACATACTCTCGTTGCCCGCAGGCAGGCCTGTACTGGTAGGCACTGTCGAAAGAGTCGCAGTATCCGTGCCAGATGATGTAGCATTTCCGGCGGCTGAACTTGGTGCAGTTGTCGATTCGCTCATTGCACGAGGACCGCTTGGAGCATTGACAGGGACGGCGGTCGCGACCGGTATCGGAGCAGAAGATTGACCTGAGGTTGGGATGGCCGCTGCTCCGTCCATCTGGCTGTTAATATTCTCAGGCGGCACCTGTTCTTGGTGATTCTGATGGTGATGCATCACACCAGCTCCAACTGCAGCGCCTCCCGCGCCTGCTGCGATCGGCGCCATCCATTCGCCGTATTGGCTGGTGGTGTCCTGTGTCGGTGAGATGGTGGTGTGTGCAGGCATGATATTTGGGTGCTGGCCAGCGGTATAGTGGCTATTAGTGTTCATCGGGTTAGATTGAGGTACGGTTGGTGCAGTGGCTGGCTGTAGCTCTGTATGCCTGTCGGGACTGTTCGAGAAGGGCACGCCACTTCCGGGAAGGGATCCTGCGGCTGCTATAACATCTCGGTCTTGGTCAGAACTGGCTCCACTAGATGGGGAAAGCGGTGCTTGTAAGCCTCGCTGAATGTTGAGGTCGGATGGAAAACGCCCACCTGGTGCTGGTCGTTGCTGAGGAGGACGCCATCCTGCTTCTGACCTAGAATCCTCGACCTCATTTGCACCGAGGACACCCAGTCCAGTGGCTCCAGCCATGTCGGTCTCATTTGCGATAGAGTTTCCCCGGACAGATTGCTCTCCGGCAAATGCGATTTGATCGGCCTCGTCTTCCTCCATACCGCCTTCGGAGCTAATTATGCTCGCTGGCTTCATGCTGTTTCCAGACAGGGATCGGGCATGAGTTCGACGGACGAATTCGTTTCGTTCTTCGCCACGCTTCGAGGTGAGTTCTTTTATATCCTCGTACCATGCAAGCATGGTGTCGTGGGTCTCCGCTCTGAAGACCCAAGCATGACCTCGGTGCATTGAACCGGTTTGTCGCCCTTTAAGCATAAATTTGTGTGACGAGGATCCGGGTTCGGAGTGTGTGCCCAATTTTTGCTCCGGTAGGTATAGTGACATGACCGGAGTTTGGCTGGTGACACGATCGGCCGATTTGAATTCGTGTAGATGAGTTGGTGATAGAATATACCTGAAATCCAAATTAGCAAGGCAGATGACCATAATCAAAGGGTAGAACCTACCATCCGGGAGTGTAATTCTTCAGGTACTTGCTCTTTCTTTCGAGCATGCCACTTCGCACTTCGATGGCCGCCGGATGATCCTTGCCAGGATAAACAATGTTGCCTATCTGCCGAATCGGCCGGCGAGGGTCGATCATCTGGTTATTGTTTGTTGTGAATTCGTCCCATTCGTGGTCCTTGGGCATCGCAAGGGGTCCTTCCTTGAGTTTCTCGGCGGTATCATAAGCGTCGTCAGCTTCACGGCGGAGAATGCCGGCTAGAACATTGTATGCTTTCTGGATCTCTCCAACCACAATTGATTCGAGTTCGCGACCAGAGGCTTCCAGATTCAAGTATGCCTGGATGAGTCAGCAACCAAGTCCAACAACCTCAAAGTAATGCGTTGACTCACTCGATGGAGGTAGTTCTCTTCGTCAATCTGCCTTTCGATCTGTTTGTCGACGCCCAATTTGACCAAAAATGGATCCCCCTTCCCACTAGTAGATGCGGCATCCGTATCAACCATACCCAGTGCTTCTTGGAGAGATCGAACTGCCCTTTTGGTCGTTTCCTGTTCCTTGTCTACTGAATTCTTAAAATCACCAGACAAGCTCTTGATCTCCTTGATTTTCTGTTGCAGGTCGCTCCGGAGACCGGTCAGTTGAACGATGACTTCGTTCTCGAGGTCGCGCGCCTTGTTGGCCTCGCTGAGAGCCTGTTTATGAAAGTCACGTAAGATGTAGTTGGCCTCGCTGATTCCTCCGGAAGACAAAAAGTTCGGCGGCATCGACGTATTGTTGACCACGTTTGACGTAGACATGAGAGCTTTCGACCGCATCTCGTATGTCTTGTGTAAGTCGCGAAAGTAGTTGATGATGTCTTTCAGGACTTTGCGCCACGCTGAACAAGTATTAGCAAGTTCTTATCAGATGTCGTGTCTCGGACTTACCTTGAAACCTGTTCGCTAGAATTTCGGTGGGATTTCCCGAGGTAGGAACAGGACAGTAGAAGACACTGTTCGTCTCTTCGGTTTCGCCATACTTCTCCCTTTCGCCTAGTTTCATGCTTCGTACCGATCCGGCGTAACTGCTTCTCTTGCTGGCCGTCCTTCTGAGACTGGCGCTCTTGTGCAAGGAAGGCTTCTTCTTCAAAGTTCCACCTCTTGACGGAACTTGCGATTGCGACCCGGACATCTGTGAGTTTGACCGAGGAAGCATGGGAGCCCCCTCTCCAGTCACGGCTTCTCCATCGTGTACAAGGCCAGTTTGCGACATCGCACCTGGATCGTTGGGGTAGGAGCTGGGATGATCATAATTTGACGGGGCATCAGTATGCTGGGTGCCGATGTAGGAGGTTGGCCGAGAAGACGGTAGTCGGACGCTCGTCGGTCGCGCAGATTGCAGAGAGGGATCAGGTTGAGTGGGAAACGGGCTGCGTGCAGGCGATATGGGAGTGATAGGTCTAGACATTTTGTGGCTGTACTGGTATTGATAGGCGGGAAGCTCGATCTAGGAATTGAGCTCGAGTGAGAGAGGGAGACAGAGGGTCGACGGACACAAAGATCGGGGGGGTGTTGAAGTAGATGGCTATGTCGAGAGCAGCATTGTGTTGTGTAATGGGTTGGTTATGAATATGAGGACACTGTGAGCAGCGGGACGGAGCTTGGGGTCGACAGACGAGAGATAATGACGAAGTTACCAGACAAAAGCTGGAACGATGCGGACGGTGGGACGTAACAGGAAACACGAGGGAAATGAGATGCGACGGGAGAAGCTGGAAGACGGCAGAGCACAGGAAAAGTCGAGGAGCAAGAAGCAGAATGAATGACGTCGATTCCAAGGAAGACAGATGGATGATCTTGAGATGCTGTCGACAATAAAGTACAGCCAAAGCGACGAAGACGGATGGTTGTGCAGTGCAACGGGGACGGAGGAGCAGAGGCCGGCAAAGCGGGAAGCAGACTCTCAAGTGGAGGGGTGAGCTAGTGATGATAGTGGGCTACAGTACAATAGTTCTCTGTAGGCGTGGAGTGACCCAAGCTGGACCTCTTGGGGCGGCCTTCGAGTCTGACGGCCCGAAATATTGTCATGGATCCCAAGCAGGGCCTCATTGTTAGGCGCACTATCGCCCAGCCTGCGCCTTGGGATTGCGCACGTTGCATTCGTCAGACACAAAAGCACATGATGGCTCTGCATCATCGTTTTCTGCCGAGGCGCTGATAGTCGCAGAAACTACTGCAATGAGAGCCACCACCAGCCACCGACAAGAACACCCTTGGAAAGCATAACTGACCCTTGATTCTCTGTGATAATGAGCCGCCAGGACTCGAGATTTGGGTCGATGGATTTTGCATGTGCCGCACAGCTACTCCGTATATGCAAGCGACGAGTACTCCGAACATGCCCTAGAGATAGCACTTGAGAACTGGGAGTTCATTTCTACAGTATTCGGAGAGAGATTTTTGCAGTAGCAACTTAAAGTTAAGCTCTCGGGTCCCATTCTGTACCTAGGTAGATACCTAATCAAGGAATACTTCTCCATCTTTCACAAATAATAATAATACATACACTGGTCCGGAGATATTGAAGCCTGGTAAAGCCTCTGGGTCAATGATCTTCTCTGCTATTGAGTGCGAGGTTGGGCTCCAGGAATTGCGACGTTGGCCGAAAGAGGTTGCAGAGGGGACGCTTCATCATCAATCAGTCATTGACTCTAGTAGCGCCTCTCTGCAGCTTCCCCACCGATCGACTGTAGCTCCATCTTCAGCAGACATTTGTACACCATCGACTCGAACGATTACGAGTGCGCCTTTTCAGCCACCTCATCGTCCAGTCGAAGAGTCAACATTGAGATTACACATACCTGGAGTATATGTTTACGACAGCTGGTACTACGTATACCAGGTTTCTATGCCACAAACCTACCTACCTACGAATCATTCATTGTTGCACCGCCTCTTCGGCCTGATGAAGGTCTCATCCTCGCCTGACTTTCTTGGAGAATCTTGGTAGTGGCTCTTGCGCCATCAACTATTATCGACGACCGACGTCCCCAGATGAGAAGAAACTTGGGCCGCTTAGCGTCATAAAGTCCCCCCAAAGAGTCCAGGAAGCGACATTATTGCTACCCCCTCCCAAAGGCCCTCGTGGCAGCGCCAGCCCAGCGTTGATCCGTTAGGTGTTCCGGAGCCCAGTAACTCGCAACTGCTGCAAATAATTTTACGGGTTGAGGCATCCGGAGTCGATCCTTACATATGTACAGGATGTTCGAGAGAGCATCCCAGCTACCCATGACAGTGTCCAATTTGTTCTATGCTCATTCTGCATATCCTCAACGTAGATATCGCCTGCATCATTTATCGTGCCGGAGGTGTTGTACTCGTAAAGGGTTGAATGATAGCTCCGACCGCGGAGACTCCTGAGGTCCCCTGAATGTCAAAAGATTTAGCTAATCACAGCCGATGTTTTTAACTTCAAAGGTCCAGACCGCCATCCTTGTATCGCACACCGGTCCAGACGTATCATTAGACTTCACATGCTGCAGCCATTCCTCTGTCACTACCGAAGACTCAAACCGAGAGAATCATTCGCATCATATGCTACCTCAGATGTCCCGGGGTCATCAACTTCGATGGCTTCAAAGATCACACGTGGACGGTTCAATTTCAATCGTACAATGTTGGATCACAATAAGCCGATGCCTGTTGAACTCAAACAATCAATCTGGTTCCGGTGAATGCGGGCATCAAGAAGACACGAACAATGAGTCAGCCGGAAAACAGACTGCAACCGTGCGGTGCTTGGGAGCGATTCCTGAAGTCCTGTATGCAAGGTGATGAAAAAAACTTCATGGCGGGTGCCATGCTTCTCTCTGTTTCATTTGAGGGATATCTGTACATGCGTCCACAATCTAAATTGTCCGTTCGACAATATGTGTAGCAGCTGACCTCCTACTATTCCGATGGAATGGCCTTTTGGGTGTTGATGGGTTTTCAACCGCAGCACCATCCAGCTTCTTCTTGTGATGCAAGACTGACTGTCTTCAAGCAGGAAAACTTAAAGCCTAGAATTCCGTCCCTGCTTCAGCGGATTTGTTGGTGTAATATGGTTCTTGAACATCGATACCGTATCGTTCTTTGATCCTTTGTTTGCGTCTTTCGGCGTAGCCGGGTCCATAGATACCTAAGTGACATTCCATTTTAGCCAACTTGATCATGGACTGGTCCGAAAATGGAAAACAACTCACCTCTACCCTCACCGAGTTCGTTGATAGTCTCGTTCAGAGGTCTCCTGTATCTGGTCTTTGCCTCATCCTTGTAGGCTAATCGATCTAGTTGAGGAGCATCCGAGGACGATTCGAAAATAGGCCGTCCGGTATAATTAACAACAAACATCACAGCCCCCAGGGCAAACGCACTGCCGAGAGTTGAGGGCATTGATCGCTCTGTGCAGAAAAAGACCCGGTCAGCGTACTGTGTCTGGGAATCATAAACTTTTTCAATTCATGGCATGCATACTCCTCAGACCAACAAGTGCACCGGCGCATGCACCACCGAGTGCGTGATTCATAGGATCGTTCCTTTCAAGGAGATTGGCGGTAGCCGTGTTGACAAACGCATAACTTCCACCCATAGCAGCTAACCAAAACAATGTCAGTCCACACTTCTTTGAGTCGGTATTGGGCGCTGAGATCCCTTACCAAAAAGCCCTATCGTCTTGCCGAACCGAGAAAATACACCCCAGGGTCCAATGCTCTCTTTCGCTACCGTGTTCTGCACAGCCGCCAGGAACAGGCCGGCGGTACCTGCATATGTGATGCCGCGGACCGACGCCGCCAGAGCATCCCTGGGATGGTACGTATCTTCGAGGACGGGTTTCGCGTCAAGCAGGTCAGCCATTGTTTGTGTCGCTGTTGCTATCTTGCTTGTTGCTTTCGGAACAGTCCAGAGAAAAACGAACGGGATTGTCACGTCATCAGTTGATCTGTTGTCTCAGACAGTGTGAATCGGTGCGGTAGAAGGAGGAGGAGGAGGAGTCGAGTCGAGTCGAGGAAGAAATTTGCCGGTGTAATCGAGCTCGTTCAACTGAGGTCTATCGTTACACTCTTGAAATCGACCTACTAGCACCCCCGTCAATGGCACGGCGCAGCTTGCAAGCTTCTTCCCCAAACGGTTTTCCCGACAGGCTTGGCGGCCAAAGAAACTGCTCTCACCTCATTGGGCGCTCGCTCAGACGGTTGCCGCTTTTAAGACAAGACACCAACGACTTATTACGGTGCTTCATCTCAACTTCTTCTCACCCCAACTCGCATGTAGCACGACTGGCCCTGGATACGAGTACGAGTCCTGAGCGATAATCGAGGCAGTACAATTTTACAGTAGAATCCTACGACCGGTCACTCAAATGCCGTCCTATTTCCGGTCTTTCTCCTTTGTACTCGCGTCTAAGGCTGTGGTCTTGTCTGGAGCAGGTTGATAATCATCAACTGGCTATATAATCCGGCCCAACTATAGTAGATACCATAGTCCCCCTTGGCTTGCCGAACCTCTGTCTCGAAACCGTGCTGTTCACCAAGTTGGATCCAGCCTTCGTCTAAGCTAACTGGACTCTGGCGATCTCAAGATCATACACGAATAAATTGCCTCAGAACGCCCAGGATCTAGATACTTTTCACGAATTCTTATACCAAGGGTTGATAAAATCAGCCAACAGGCAAGATTACAGCCCAGAGGATTAAGACGCTATGAAGACTCTTTTTGTGCGAGGTTTAGTGAGGATCCCCTAGTGCGTCGGTTATCGGATGTCTTTCTTTCGACTCGATACTCCGTGACCGGAGTCTAGGTCAGTGCGGTGGATCTGTTCGCTGTCCACGGCCCCTGGATGTGACCAGTGTGGGCTTTCTACCACGAGTGCATTCATAGAATATAAACAAATCCTCATGTCCAGGTACATATCGTGGGGCGGACAAATGATTACCAAACAGCTTGAGACTGTTTGGACAACAGAAAATTCTCAAGGAAGGGTGATCGCTTTGTGACCTCAAATCTATGGTCAAATTGAAAAGTATGGTGGTCATCAGCGTCAGAAAAGCTCGAAAATATTGAGGAACCCACTTCACGTAAAGATCGCAGCGAAATCTGAAACGGCGTGGCGCGGGAAATTATACGATGAATCTTAACCCAGCATCTACAAAAGAACCGCTACTAGGGCCGAGCAAGCCATCGCCAGCGCCCAGGATGTACGCTTGGCCAACACCGGGGCTTCACTCGATTTTGCTGTTCCAGTGCTTTTCGCCGCAGAAGCTGTTGAATCGGTTCCAGACTGTGCGGATCCTGTGCCGTGGGTTGTTGCAGCGACTTCCGCAGCCCCAGTCGCAGCCGTGATGGTATACACCACTCCATCACCACCGTTGGTGTAAGAGAAGACCTGCCCGCTGGCTGGGGTTGTTACAGTCCCGGGTCCGTTACTCAAAGTTTCCGTTCCAGTCTGCAGAGGGTCCGAAGGCTTGAGGTATGTACTGACGCCGTCGAGCGAGTACGAGAGTGAGGAAATGCAATCATATGTCTCCAGGTATTGTCCGCAGGATGAGAACGGCGTGTTCAACTCTGTCTCGAGATCACTGATTCTCGAGAGCCCGACAAGGGTAGGATCTGTGTTGGGGCAGATCTCAAAAATACTGCAGACGGTAAATTTAGCCTCCAGATGTGTCAGCAACTGACTCGATGAATGTTTACCTGGAAAGTGCTCCGCTGATTTCACAGCAATTACATCCTTGGATCTGCTGCACGTTGCTCGAAGCGTCTCCAGAGTTGGCGTTGTTTGAACAAGTCGCAGTCTCTTGTATCGCGTCCACGACGGCCATGTGCACCTTGCCCAGGTTGCATGAACAGGCATCGGTAGCATCATCTGGAGCCGGGAAGTAGGGCACTGGCAGTTTCGCAGTGGCGCAGTTGTTCATGTACGAGATGATATATTCCTGATACTCGCATTCCCAGACCCTATTCCAACAAAATTCGGCATAGCAGTTGTAGTTGTTGATGTAATCCGCACAGCTACAAGCGAGGAGCTCTTCTTGACTCGAATCGCGCTTCGCCTGGTTGATGCAGGAGGTGGTTTGGTCGTTCGCTTTTTTCTGACAAGATTGGAGCCCAGAAGGGTCGACGCAGCCGGAGCTCGTGAGGTTGACATCAGCGCCTACAGACAGTGACGTTAAACAGAGACCTAGGAGAAGTAGTGTTGCCATCATGTACCCGTATATGCAATAGAGTAAAGCGAGATCGAGAGGAAGAAAGGCTTGGAAATATCAACCCCTCTTTGCGGGTGTCAGGCAAGAATTTATTCTCGCCTCATGATTCTCAAGGACAATTTCCGCCTCGATTTAGGCTGGTAGCAAACCCGCTCAGTAATCATTGCGAGTCGAAATCTGCCTTGCTGTGAGCTTTGTGGGCCTGACAGTTGCAGTACACTGATGGCTCAGAAACGTGCTCCGTGGGTTGTGAGGGAAGTGAAAGGGCGTATATAGCCTCGTCTTGGCACGAGGCTTGTACAAAATAAGTATGCGGTAGCTCTCCAGCTAACCTCATCCTGCTCGGCGAGACGAACTTTCAGAGCGAGTCCCACCTCCGTACGCAATATTGTGCATAACGCCGGATAGTGATATTTTCGGTGACCCGGCCATTAGCTGATGCGATCATGTACGCGGTTGCGGTTTGGGGGCGAGAAATCAGAAGTGAGCTGAATACAGGAGGACCGGAAAGGGTTGCTACCTGAGCATAGGGTCCCCAACACTGAGTTCATTCTGTCTCAAATGAGGTTATATCGGAGAGTATCTTGTAGTCCATTGGTTGGAAATTCATGAGACGGGCCTCAATTTGTTTCGTTGAGGTGTGTTGGTAAGGTATCAGAAAAGCGTCAAGGCGAGTAGTGATTCGGTAAAATGCAGGTTAAAGCAGCATGAAATTCTGCATCACTAGTCCAGGAGATTCAGGGGGACACTTCCAGTGCCACGGTGGGGAACTGCTGGACATTCTGCATGGACACCGAAGACAGGAATCGCTCCTGACGCTCGACGTGAGTTCCACATAGACAAATGTGAATTATCTATAGGTCGATATGAGATAGAAGCTTGGTTCAAGTTTGAAAGTTTACAGACCGCCAAATTCCACCACAGTTTTCACACAGGCCTCACAACCCGGCGATACCGAAGTCTGAGACTCAGTGCTGTGGATCCAAAAGACGACGGGCTCTGTCGAAGCTGTAAGCATACATCCTCCCTGCGACTTGCCACTACTTTAATACTCAGTGTGCTTCATGCGGGATCTTCCTCCAGCGGCGCATCGACATGCATATTTAGTTGCTGAGATGGATCTATGAGGAACATCGAACCTGTTTGAGAGAGAATATAACTTAGCAAATCTACGATCCATTGAAATGCCTTGTTCGTAAGGGGCTGAGGGTATACGGCGGGATAAATAGAACGTATACTAACATGAAGCCGCGATAAAGGCAAGGATAGCAGCCGTCACCCAGACATATCTCAAGGAAGACAAGTAGGCTTCTTGTAGACCGCGTGCTCCAGCTTGAATGATCTGCGGCGTTACACCAGGTACTGATATCAAAATCGACTCGTTGCCCGTAGTAAGGCCGGCGATGAATAGGGGGAGAAATTCCTGAGAAATTCCCAGTGGTAATACTCGAGCAGCGATGTCGGATCCTATGCTGGTGGTGATTTTGGACTTGAATATCGCAGTGTAGATGGGAAGCGCAATAGAGCCACCCAAAGACCTGGTCGAAATCAACAAACCACTTGTAATGGCAATCAGGGCTGGTGGTGCTGATATCTGCGCCGCTGTCACAACACAAGTGAGACAAATTCCTAAACCAAGTCCGAGAAAGATCGGGTAAGCCCATAACGCTGTCGAGATGGACGTCTTGACCGTAGCCAATAGTACTTGTGGAAGAGTTAGCCTAGGAGGTTCGAATATCGAGCAGCACAAGCTCGCTACTTACTGAAAAATATCACTATGGAACAGAACGCCAGAGTCGTTGGGAGGCGAATAGTTTTGGTCATTGACGAGTAAATTGCAATACCAAAACACGCGACGATCTGCGTGAAGAAAGTGATGGAGAACCTCAAGCCGACTCCAAAAGCATCCGTCTGGAATAGCACTGACAATTCAAGTGGGAAAAAGTCATTTACAGCGAAAAAGCACATGCCTTCCACCAAGATGCCGACGACCGCAATCGCAAAGTTACGATCCTGTTGGAAAAGACTGTGGTGGAACATCCCGTCCTTCTTGAGCTTGATCTGGTATATACCGAGGCAAACGAGGAGGAACACCCCAACGACGAAGGGTGCAATGATGTGAGCGTTCTCCCACGAGTACGGGTTGTCAGACCAGGTGAGAGCGATACTGAACAATACGAGTCCTGATGAGAGGAGAGCATAGCCAATCCAATCGAGTCGACCAAATTTCTGCGCCCTCGTCAAAGTTTTTTGCAGAGGTCGCGGAACTGGGGTGTAGAATAATGCACAGAGAATAGCGGAAACGGCGTTGATCGCGCCCGTAATGTAGTAGTATATCCTGAAGCCTTCCGTGTACTTGTCGATCAGAGTCGCACCGACGAGCAAGCCAAAGATTCCAGCTAGAGCGACCGAGACATTGACGCCTGCTTGGGCGGCTGGTCGAAAACGTCGTGGAAGGATTTCGGAAACAACGGCATACAAGAGCGGTTGGGCACCGAAGCTGATTGCAGAAATGACTTCTCCCCCAATGGCCATGGCCATGCTTGTACATCGGGAGACGACGATGCTGCCGACGAAGCCGAAGAGTGTAAGTATCACAATCAGCCACTTTCTGCCCCAAAGATCAGCTGCTTGGGAGACCGGTGGTGCAAGTACACAGGTCACAATGGCTATGACCTGAGATAGCCATGTTGTTTCCGTGGATCCACCTACGGCAGCAGCAATGTTTCTTGCATACTAGTCACAAGCAATCAGTCTTTGCCGTGTTGCGCAAACCAGGGAGAAGCCCTGCGATCAGAACGTACCGCGCCGGAGCCCACCAGGTTCAGGATCTGGGCAAAGGCAATGAGATTAACAGACTGCAACTATGTCAGCAGCGGCTCGTCTCGTTACGACCTTACAAATTCATACCACATAAACAAGGATGGTCTTCAGGTCGAGGCCATGAAAGTTGTTGGTCTCAACGTCCGGGGTTGTCCTGGTTGTCTCAAGTTCCTCTGCATGTTTTGGAAGCGCAGCTTCCACTTCGGTCACGTCTCGTGCTGCCATGAAGACAATATTAATATTATGGATTATACCGGCCAACGAAAGGTGTGTTTTGGGGAGGAGCCTGGGGCCTGTTCTGCAGGGGAGCCATACCTTATAGTTCGTTTACATCCCTGCCACGCATAAGACGCATGGAATCAAAGTGCACGATTGAATACCTGGATGCTCTCCTGGCGGGGACGCCCCCATATCATGCACTAGCTCGTGGAGAACGGGAGCGGAGATGCGGAGGGGCGGAGAAGTGACGATACCAGGAGTGATCCCATCTGGAATTGCAGCAACGCCTTCACCGACGAGCATCCAGGATAGCTAAGCACGGAGAAATGCTTGTAACATGAGCTTGTTCGAACATCCCCTCGGCGACGCAGTCAGGAGGCTTCTGTCTGTCGTTCACAGCCGGACGTGTCCATCACCGTTGAAAGCATTCAGAGTTTCAGACACGTGTCACAAGGGGGCACAGTTGTCGTGCTGCCAGCTTTATGGAGTGTAGGAGAAGGTCGTTCTGGACAATAAGAGAAGATGCTTCTCCACCTTGGTCTATTAAAGGTGCTGCGCAGCCATGTTGCCAGATCCGCAGCGTGCAGCCCAACTGTCCGCACGTGTCTTCCGTTCTTGGCCGAGCACACGACGTGGGCCAACAGTATGGGGATCCATAAACGCCGGTTCTATTGTCGATAGTCGGAATTTTACTCTCAGCAGCTTCGTGTGCCAGAGTCGACACTCTGTGCACCCATGATGAACAAACACTTGGTAGTAATCGCGCTCGAGGGCTGCGGTGGGGAGCACATTCCTCTGTGGGGACGAAGGCGAGAATCGTAGGGTTTGGTGGGGAGGGGACACCACTCAGCGGGGATGATTCGCGTACATTACCTGCCCCGATGAAGCGTATGAGAGCATGAGTATCTTTCAGAAATTGGCTATATCAGTCTCGTTCTTGTTTAATGTTGAAGTAAATTGTCAGCACCTTTCTGAAATCCAAGCAAGAACTATGGCTTCAACTACAGAGATGCTGGCTCAAAGATTTCCGGATTTGGAATATCATCCAATCCCAAGTGCAGAAACCCATCCTCGTTACAACTATACTGGCTTCCATCCGAGCAGTCAAACGCTTCAGAAGGGGTTTGTCAAATCACCAGGTAGACGAGCATTCAATGTCGACGTGCGCTTTGACCGAGATGTCGCGGTCACCATGCGGGATGGTGTCAAGATTTACATGGACATTTTCCGACCTCTGGACTCTGATGCTAACAGGGTGCCGGTTTTGATCCCCTGGAGCCCGTACGGCAAGACAGGCACAGGCCCTCAACAGTACGAGACCATGGGACCATTCAACTGCGGAGTTCCGACGGGCAGGGTTTCAGGCTTCCAAAAGTTCGAAGCACCCGACCCGGCTGAATGGTGCGAAAGAGGGTACGCGATCGCCAACGTGGATGCCAGAGGGGCCGGCAAGTCGGACGGCTTCATCAACTACTGGGGACAACAAGAGGCCGAGGACATCTACGACACCATCGATTGGCTGGCGAACCAGCCTTGGTGCAGTGGCTCTGTGGGTATGGCTGGAAACTCCTGGCTGGCCATCGCACAGATCAACTTCGCCTCGAGATTGAAACACCCGGCCTTGAAGGCTTTGGCGCCGATGGAGGCACTGAATGATCCTTACCGCGATAGAATCGGGAGGGGCGGGAAACCTCACCTTACGACGTTCATGAAGATGCTGTTGAATGGTTTCGCGGGCCCGAACGGTGTGGAAGACATGCCGGCCATGTTGGAAAAACGTCCCTTGTACGATGAGTACTGGGAGAGCAAGTACATTCATACGGAGAATATCGACGTCCCATTGTATCTCACCGCGTCTTACTCTTCGGCGCTGCATACGGCAGGGTCCTTCAACACATACCGAACGGCCAAAACGTCACACAAATGGTTGAGGGTTCACCCTTACCAGGAATGGTATGATCTTTACAGACCAGAAATCACCGACGAATTACAACGCTTCTTTGATCGGTACTGTAAAGGGATCGAGAATGGATGGGAGCATGATACACCCCCTGTGCGATTATCCCTCTTGGCCTTGGATGGCAGTTCGACACAAACCATCGTCGAAAGGCCTGAGCTCGAATATCCTCTTTCTAGACAAAAGCTCCAAGCTTACTATTTGGACGCCTCGAGCCACACTTTATCGACTCGTCTGGCTTCATCCTCAGCTAGGACTTCTTATGACTCTCACAGCCTTGCTGCCAAGTCGGTATGTTTTTCGTTGTATCCCCCCTTTGACGTTACTTGCCATTGACGTATAGCCCCTAGGATTTCATCATGAGGTTCGACAAGTATACAGAGGTTGCAGGTTACTCCAAGGTCCACCTCTGGATGTCCTGCGCCGAAAAAGATGACATGGACGTTGGTGTAATGATCCGCAAGATTGATTCCGCCGGCAAACTTCTCGAGCACTTGAATTACCCCTGCCCTGTCCCGACCGAACAAGTGCCCAACGTCAACGTTGCAAAGACATTGGGGCCTCAGGGCTTCCTTCGTGCGTCTCACAGGATTTCGAGAGACGACTCTCGCTCCCGTGGCGACGGCCAAGAACTCTTTTATACTCACGATCGACGTGAACCCATCAAGCCCGGGACCATCGTGGAACTACAGATCACACTCTGGCCCATAGGCATGGTCTTTGCACCCGGCGAGGGAATCGTACTGAGCGTCTCGGGTCACGACATGATCTATCCCGAGGTGGATTTCCTGAGATTGCAGGAACCGGACGATGAGAATGTTGGGACACACAACATCCATACAGGCGGTCAGTACGAATCCCGTTTAATCCTCCCCATTATTTCGTAGGGGGGTTAGACGGGTGTATAAACACAGCTTCGATTTATCCTTGCCGGTGGCCTGATAAGCAAAGAGAGCTTCTCCTGAAGATGAAGCCCCAGTCAGGTCTCTGTAATAGTCTTTACCGTCCCTAGAATTTGTATAACCTAGAAGTTAAAAGTCACGACCAAGAGATTTAGTCCACACAAAGGCCGGCTAGCTGTGCCTCTAGAACCTTCCCGCATAAGTTGGCTCAAAATTCCCATTGTCCTCACTTCTTCCGGTAGCCGTGTATATACAAAGTGATCGCGATACAGGTTGCATGTTCACTTAAGGTCCTCGAAAGCCAAGACACCTTGAAAAGCGACATTTTCTTTAGCCATTGGACTAATGCGTTTTGAGCCGAGCAGACGACACTTGACAAAGGAGCTTTAGAAGGCAAGTGTGACGTGTTTTTCGATCCTCGAGTATAAAAAGCCTCACAAGCTCAGCTATCTCACTCTGATGCTTCCGAAAAGTTGGTTTTGTGAGGCAGCCTAATCTCAAAGAGCTTCATTTGCTTTCCTTTCCGTGTGCCCCATTTCATCTGCATCCGGGCTGTTCGGTCATAGCTGCCCGACCTTAAACCATCATGATGTCCAATCTTGTCGCCCAGCTAGGCACATTACTCCTGCTACTGCTTTCGATCTCTGGAACGGAAGCCCACCGGCCGCACCTCGACGATGGCACGCATGTATCCATTGCTAATGCGTGGGAATGGCCAGATACCAGTATCGCAAGAATCTTGATGACTACCCAAGACTGTCCATCTTTGCCAGTCTATACGAAGATCACCATCACCAATATTAGCACGCCAGTAGCTGTCAGCATCGGCATTCCCAATATAACAACACTGTACGACTATCGCCCGTCGCTATGGTTCATCGGCAAATCCGTTGTCGTTCCAGAGACCTATCAAACAGATGGCGACATATGCAAGCAAGGACTTTTACCAAATGCGACGGGCCTTCAGCCGAGGGTACCTCGCGGTTTCAATGCTGTTGAATACCCAGCAGAGGCCAGCAGCCTCTTTCGAGGGTTCAGCGAATCCGACCTGATATCTGGTTATGCAATACTTGGCGCCAATATCACGGTCTCGGCACCTGGAGATGTATTTGTAGTGCTTCAACCGACCGAACACAGGCGCGCTCGTACTTGGATTGCCGTTGGACGTGACGAGACTCCTGACCCGAACGAGGTTGGGCGTGCTAGCGAGGTGGATGAGCATGCATGGTTCTCCTCTACTTCAACGCCGCTGTTAGGCTCGATGTGCGTGCCGTGGGGGAGTATGCAGTAACACCGTTGCTACTTGACACAAAGGAGGGCCAGTACCAGGTTGATGACAAGAGCTAGCTGTTGGGACGATGGGTAAGAGATGTATTTCCGCGAAGATACAATAATCAAATCACCCCTTCAGTTAGCAGACCTATACCATTACATAGTAATCGTTGCCAATAGAAGCTCGGTTTTTGAGTTGAAGAACTGGTCAAAGATCTATAAAGCCAGCAGGTAATGGCTCGTCTCTAAACCATTTCTGCACAGTGTCTGCAAAGAGTTTTGGTGCTTGACGGTTCCAAGGATGTCTCATCTGAGGATGCATCACGGCACGCGTGTTATTGTTTCCTCGATTGCCGATGCCGGCCAGCTTCCGAGCATCGTGTGGGTGATCACTTGTCGGAAGAAGACCAGCTTTCCCGGCGGCAATGACAAGAGTGGGTTGAGGCCATGGGTCTGGCCAGCCATCCGAGGCAAGCATAGGCTGACAAATTTGGCGGCAGAGGTCGAGAGTACAGAATGTATTATCGGAACGTCTGATGTCGGTGCCGTCCATCAACCAGCGAACCAGTGGTCGAGGTACGCTGTTTTCGATGCGTCTCATCGCCCAGGTCAAATGGGGAACGTAGGGTGATAGTCGTGTGGTAGGAAAGACCTCGAAGCCCGAAAGCAAGACTCGAGAGACAACCTGTGGGTAGTGCGATGCTAGATGGACCGCTATGTGAGCACCCAGGCTATGGCCTACAATATAAGCGTGAGCATCATGGGCATGTTCCACGATCAGCTTCCGTAAGAGACGTGAAGCATTGTCGACCGAAAAAGGCGTTACGGCGCGCGAGTTTCCATGCCCGGGCATATCAGGAATCAGCAAGTGATAGTCGGTCAAGAATGGCGTTACCAAATCCCAGTCGCTTCCAGCAGCGAAAGCTCCATGAATAAGTACCACAGTCGGCTGTGCATTGGGGTTGAGGGATATATACGCGAGATTGTCTTCCTTTGACGAGGGAGAGGTGGTGACACCCATGGGAGAACGTTGATTGGGTGGTGCTGGATCTTCTAACATAAATCAGGAGTCGCACAGGAACTCGAAGACCTGTGTAGCAACGGAGGCGATCTTCCAGTTGACGAATTTCAAGTGGCCAACAGATTCAAGTGATCCTTGTGTACGGAAAGAGTGCGTGCCGAGCAAGACATAAAGACCTACTGAACGAGGAGGAGGATGAAGGGTTCTGGCCTTGAACTCATCCAGCCGTAAATTGAGGATTCCCTTTATGGCAAGTTAGGCGAGGCGTGCTGAGCAGCCAAAGCCCATGAACTCCGTACTCCGTACAGTACCTAGTATCCTCTAATACCCGCAGATTCTGATGGCCATTCTCTTGCCTCAGAAGCTGAAGTTCACTTACTAAAATAAATCGAACAATGTAAAAGTACAAGTTTGGTCACTTATTTTGGAGGATTCATCCAGACGTCACATTCAAGTCATGAACTTTGACCCCATGAGAAGCTGGTCAGGCTATCTCACAAGTACGCAGTGTGCCTACCCTCAAGGAAGTGTGAAGGATTTGTGGGTCACGAAATGGTTTCCGCCTTAAAGTCTGCCTTCGCCTTTCACTCGCAGCTTGTCACCATACAACAGTATAGCGATGGTGGCCGGAATAGTGGATGTAAGCACAACCAACCCAAGGACAGTATTTGCCCACCCATAACCCAACGCAGAATGCATCGCCGGAGCAAACAATGGAAACCCAAACGCACACAGGCTGCGGAAGAGCTGGGACGAGGCGGAAGCTGAGCTAGCGTACTCTGGAGTTGCGTCGATAACGTAGGCCTGAAGAGCCTGTCCGGTGATTTGTTGTCCACATGTGAAGATTGCTACGCCAAAATCAACCATCAGCCAAGACCTTCTTCTTTGGGCGCCCCAACCATACAACAAGAGACCAAGGAGTGTCACCAAGCTGGCAGGTATCATGACTGGGACATGGTGTTCAGGCTTTGTAATGCCATTCGCCCGGGCTTTGAGACGGGCGAAGATATGGTCCATCAAAAAACCACCAATTTGTGCCCCGATCACCTCGCCCACACAGACAGATATATAGTGTAGTCCACTGGTAGAGACACTTTCGTGATATGTCGAAGTCCAAAGGTCTGAATACGATGACAAGACAAGATATAGGATTCCATAAGACAAGCCGGACAGACAAGCCTGGATCTGAATGATATGGTGGAAGAGCAGCAGTCTGATTGGCCTGGAAAGGGACCATCTCAACACCCAGAATGCCGAACGGCCTTCTACCAACTTTTCATTCGTTGTGTGATAACGATGATCCCCACTCTGAGTGCGAAGCCGACGTGCCTTTCGAAACAGAATCAAAGGAGCATAGGTCTCTTGAAAGATTGGGACCGACGCCAAGGTCATTATGGCCTGGAATATCGATGTCGACCAGAAAATCCAGCGCCAGGTCGTCCCTGCCACAATGAAACCTCCAATGATGGGGCCCACGGCAACTCCAAGAAGTGAGATCAGTAGATACATCCCAAGTGATCGCCCACGCTGCTCCGGATACCAAACATCTCCAAGCACACCACTTGCAAGCACGTATACCGCACCAGCACCAAGTCCTGCAAGCAGACGGGCTGTTATGAGCAAGGACTTTTGGTGTGCGAAGCCACACGCGGCATTCCATATTAAGAACCAGAGATTGGTTGCATGCAGTAGGGGCGCCCTGCCATAGATCTCTGAGAGTGGACCAAACACAAGCGGGCCAAATGCTGTGGCAAGCAAGTACACAGACATTGCCATGACCGACTCGAATTCATTGCTGATATGGAGTTCAGCGGCAATGGCTGGGAGAGCTGGAGCCATGATCGTCGAGACCATGATGCGATTGAAACCCGTTGCCGATAGGACAGAAGTCACCATCCATTTTCTTGCAAGTGACCAGTCTTTGGGGTTATCGGGATCTTTGGGACAATCGAAAGTCACCAGGAATAGGTCGGCGGATTGTTCCAGGGATGCTCCGTCTGTTCCATTTGGTCCCTCGACCTTGCCTTTAGCTGATTGTGCTTTTATAGAATCCGTGTTCATCTTATCCTTTTCCCTCGAAACTCACGTTGTGAAGTGGTCGAGGCCTCAAGTCAATTCCCTGCAATGATAAAATCAACATCAGAAAGAGTGCCTGCACAATCAGGCTCCTTTACGCCTTTAAATAATACATAGTTATGTTGCGATAGGTAGTTGTTGTGGAGGTTAATCCTTGGATCTGCGACGTAAGCCTCTCTGATTCAGGTTTTGATGCTGATTAGCTAGCCCGTATAATGGTCTCTACGTCCACCGGGCCTTCAGCAGGGCAATTCCAATGAAGCTTAGAGAGTGCATGGTCCGGTGTCGCAGTTGGCTCTTAGACTCAGCGTTTGCATCTAACGTTGTACTCTGAATCATGCTACCTTACCTTCAAAGTCAACAGTCTCGACCCTGAATTTACTTCAAGAAACTGCCAATGGAAAGGCCACGCGCGTATGGAAGCTTGAGGTGCCAAGGCACGACCCCCATCAGATAAATTTTCTGCAGAGAGCTCGTAACTCACAGATATCAGGGTCACATGAAAAGATCAATCGCCCGCGCCACACCGAGCTTTTTCGACAGGGTACACGGGGAGGTGATTCGCATACCATATGTATCTGACACCAGAGACACTTTAAGAGTATAGACTTCAAGCGCGCTAGGCATAACTCTAATCCAGTCCGAACTGTTGATTGGCTCTAGCGTAAGGAATTTCCGAATTCACACAGTGCCGAAAGACCCACATTCGACTTGTCGATGGAGTCAACCATGTGTCCAAAGCCGATGACGGGCAAGTTTTTCAGCAATCATACAGGAGTGTTGAATTTATCTAATCCGATAGATTAGATTAGATGAGGTATATAAAGAGACGACGAGCTTGCATTCTACCTCTGTTGTTCTGTCCGCCGTTCTTCGTCTGAGATAGCTTGAAAGCACCTGGCACCTGGAAGAACTCAGCATGGAGACCAGTGATCAGGGAGCCTCATCGTCCACAATGATCTCCAGGCAGCCAGATTCTCCATTCGCTGAAAAGCATGTGCATACAGCCACCCAGCCAAGCACAGGGTTGTCCGAACAGAACTTGGATGACTCTCCACTGGCCAGAGCACAGAGAGGCGTTGATCGGGTTGAAGCCACGACACTTGGCTGGAATAGAATTTCCTTGATCATTACCTACATTTTGTGAGCCCCTGACGATACCAGCCGCGAGCCGCGAGAATTAACACCGTACATAGGTTGTGGGGTATGTACCTGCTGTTCGCGTTTGAACGGTCATTCAATCGCAACCTTGGACCATACATAACCAGCGACTTTAACCAGCACTCCCTCCTCCCAACTGTTGACTTGGTGGCAAGCATCCTGGGCGGAGTGGCATATCTGCCAATGGCCAAGGTTCTGAATATATATGGGCGACCCGAGGGTCTTGTGGTCATGTCCCTTGTAGGGGCTATTGGGTTGATACTCACCGCAGCCTGCACTAACATTCAAACTTATTGTGCTGGAGTGGTAAGCGCAATTCAATCTCGAATTACTGAGGAGGAGGTTGACTAACAATCTCTGTCTGAAGGTCTTCACCACAGTTGGTTTCTATACTGCCATATATGCTGTTGATGTCATTACCGCCGACACATCCATGTTGAAGAGCAGGGCGCTGGCTTACGCCTTTACGTCGACACCGTATATCATAACCGCGTTTGGTGGCCCAGCCGCATCTCAGTCACTGCTCAAGCATGATCGGAATTGGCGTTGGGGCTTTGGTGCTCTCGTCATTTCCGTCCCGGTCGTGGTTGCGCCGTTGGCTTTCACCATGTTCAGGGGAGAAGGCAAAGCTATCAAAAGCCCACCAGCGACCAAGACTGGAGGTATTCTGAAGCGGGCATCGAGGCTTCTGATAGAGTTTGATGGTGAGCAAAAGAATCTCCTTGGTCGAGCCTTCATTGATAATTTTTTTTAAGCGGCGGGCATCTTCGTACTTGCAGCCGGCGAAGCGTTGTTTCTCCTTCCGTTCAACCTAGCAGGCTCTGCAGCTGACAAATGGGCATCTCCCCATATCGTGGCCATGTTGATCCTTGGTTTCCTGCTGCTGGTATTGTTCCCATTTGTGGAGAGATGGGCACCTGCTCCCTTTGCGCCCTGGAAGATGCTGACGTCTGGTACGGTTCTGATCATCTGCATCATCAACGCATTGTTCGCCATTGCAGAGGATACGTGGTCCAGCTACTTCACTTCTTATCTTCAAGTCGTGTACGGCTTGAGTGTCTCGCACGCCGGGTACATCAATGGCATCTCTAGTGTCGTTGGAGGTATCTGGCAGCTAATAATTGGACTGCTGATACGTTGGTCCGGGCGGTTCAGATGGTTGCTTCTCACTGCCACGCCTATCTACGCCTTGTTCGTGGGTCTGTTGATCTACTTCCGAACACCAAGCACCAGGGTGGGGCTCATCATCATGTGTCAATTCTTCCTTTCCTTTGCCAGCAAAGTGATTCTCCTGTGCGTGCAAGTGGGTGTCGTCTCCACGGTGCAGCACAGCGAGATCGCTACTGCCATCGCTCTCCTGGGCCTGTCTGGGTCTATCGGCTTTGCAATAGGAGATAGCATATCGGGAGCAATCTGGACAAACACGCTTCCTCAAGAATTGGCTCGCTTGCTCCCGGAGACGGCCAAAGCACAAGCTGCGGCAATTTATGGCAGCTTGACCGTCCAACTTTCTTACCCCCTAAACTCGCCCGTCCGCAATGCCATCATCCAGGCCTATGCGATTGCACAAACTAGGATGCTGATTGCGAGTGTAGTGGTGTCGGGAGTGATGCTCTTCTTCGTTCTTTTGGTGAAGGATGTCAAGATTTCAGATGTCCAACAGGTGAGGGGCACCTTACTGTGATCATCTCAGGCTTGGGAGCAAAGAGGCGGACAAGGAATGGTGTTTGGGGATTCAAGGGTGCTCAGACTAGACTATGTGTTCATGAGGATGGTATGTTATCGCTAGGGATAATCGAGGCTTGCGATGTTGGAGGGCTCCAGAGTGATGTATGAGTTGTCAAGGGATCATACAAAAATGACCGTGCGCGTTAAGACTTGAGCCATAGCTGCTGTCTATACCTAGGAACAGTTGGGAGAATCTCTGTTGAGGTTTCAATGACCCCATAGTCTTCCTCGATAGTTCAAATCTTGATTCACATACGTTCCTAATGAAGAAGCCGTGGGAAGCTATACCAAGGCCCCAAGCATGAATAAAAGTGTCCAAAAAATTTGGTCCATTGCCGGTTCTGTGATCAATGTTTGCCGTTGAACATCCACAAGCCAACATGAAACATGAAGCAGGAGACTGTATGGATCAAGGTTGCCCGTTCGATGGCTTTGGCTTCGGTGTCGGCTTCATCACAATCTTTTCGTGGATCCTTCGCTCAGCATTGATCACCCCTTGGGCGCCTATTGAGCTTGTCAGGTTTGCTGATAACAGGGGGTGCGGCAGCATACGCACTGTTATACCACTGAGTGTCATAGACAGGCTGTCTTTTCACCATATAACAAAAACGGATTCAGGGTGATATTGTACTAGGGTGGGTCGTAACCCGGTATCCGCATGGTTCGTGATCCTCACTTGATCATGACGAGCGACGCCATACCCGATTTGTTCCGCTTCCCATCTTTCCAGAACCGAAGAGATCGTGTGCCGCCCATTCTTCTTCGACCAACTCGTGGGACCCAACAACTCGTTCACCAGCTGCGCAGATGCCAGTAGTCCATCCGGGAAAGCGGCGGCGCAAGTATGCACCAAAGGTTCGCAGTGGCTGCAAGACGTGCAAAATCAGACGGAAGAAATGTGACGAAGCACGACCCTGCTGCCTGAGATGCATCAGTGACCGTTATCATTGCGACGGTTATGACACACCCAAAGCTTGGATATTCTTGCCATGTTCTGGAGACGATAGGACGAACCAGTCTTTTCAACGTCAATCGTCTGAGCATTCATATGTTGGGATAGCCGACGAGATCAAAGATAATCCCGTCGAGGAAGATGGCCTCGGAACCCCTCCGAATAATGCAGAATCACACGACCGCTATCCGAGACACCAGTCGCCCACGCGTCCATCTGTCATGGAAGCCAATTCCTTGAACGACGGTCATGGCCAGGAGGAAGACCATTCCGGAACCCCGACGAGCAACGCAGAGCTGCACGACGTGTCTGTTATTGGGCTAAAGCTTTCTGATCACTGGGCATCTGGGCCTGACGCGTCGTACACTGGTTACTTTGTGCATCAAGTCGTGCCGCTGCTTGCTACGACGCAAGAGTGGCGCCTTTTTTGGTCGAACCTGGTTCCGCAGGTCAGCTGGAGCAACCAAGCCATCCACCATGCTATGATTGCTCTGGCGGCCGCCTACGAGTCCAAAGTGTCTGGAAATGATCTCAAGGAGCTGGTCATACGTAGGAGCAATCAGGCCATTCGCAACTTCAGAACGCAACACACCTCTGTCGACGTTGCATTGATACTATGTCGCATATTTGCATCCATTGCACGATGCAACCGTGACCCTCGTTCCGCCATGATGCACATGCGAAGTGGTGGTCAAATTATCCGAGAAGCAGGTCGGCGGACTGGTTCTGATATCATGAGGATTACGGCGCCAGCATTCCTGGGTGCCACGGCATACGACGCCGCGCACGAAGCCGATCGTGTCCTTGACCCAGGGCTGCTAGAATTGAACTCTATCAGACTTCAGTATCAACAACTACTGGGGTCTCTCCATCGTCGACGCCGGTGGCGCATCCTACACCCTGCTTCTAGGTCTTTCATCCTCATTTCCTGCGCTATCATGACTCAAGCTATTTGTGCAGCGATGTATCCGGACATTCTGAACTTCAAGCTCAACGACACAGTACTCCCGGTCAGAGATGTCCGGGCGGCATTGATAGCCCACCAGAATCTGTGGTCTGCGGCCACTCTAAAAGGACTTTTCGTTCAAGCCAATGAACAAATCCATACCTGCTTGGAGCAGGCGTCCTCAGTCACCGCACTACCAGACAGTCTCCAACACCTTGTCAAGACCTGTGTCGATAACTTTGTGGTCCAGATTGCCACAATTGAACCACGGATAACGGCAGGTACATTCTGGCAAGATCATTATGAAGTTCCATGTGCAATTGATTCATATTTTGGGCATGCTTCGAGTCACCCAACTCCGGCTGTTACCCGCGACTATAAGTGTGAAGGAAGGGAATTTTTCCTCGAATTTGTATGCCCCTATCGGAGCGGGTTCCTTCTGCCATTTTGTGATTGAAGATTTCAGTTTCTAATCAGTGAGATAAGAATAGAACTGTTAGGCCAGGCGGCTCTGCTGGAGGACTTGACACACATAGAGGTCGACCCTTGAACGCAGTCCGACTAGTGTTAAGGACGGTGGCCTAAGGAATAGGTAGAGTAGGAGGAGGATAGGACGAAGAGTCTTCTGTTTAAGGGTGCCTTAGATACTCCGTACAGGAGCTCAAACTATCAGGGCTTGCTTATGGGACAAGCTTGTGCTCACCTACCTACTGTATGTCTCTTAGCGACGCACTTTGATTAGTGTATAGGGTGTGTCGGCATGAGACAAGGCTGATCGCTAGGGGCGACCAAAGGCGGCATCACCCTGTTTCCCGATTGGTGGTTCAGGCGCGAGCAGTTAAACCGCCGCACCTTGGCTTGGGGAAGAATGACGCGCTCTGCAGCCTTGTGATTCGGTGGACATCATTATCTGCTTGTTCCAACGCAGGCCGCAATCAATTCAATTGGGACCAACGTGCCAATTCTTTGCCAGGACCACAGCAATTCTTGACTGTTTCTTCACATAGATCCCACTTCCATACAACGTTCCTCTGCCGGTCCTGTTCACTACACTCCCCCGCCAGTAGGCTTCGCCGGAAGTAGATTCAAGATCCTGGCATTTCCACCTCCAGCTGCGGACACTAGTACGGGGTTCTGCAAAGTCATCCATGCTGTAGTTCCAACCCATTCAGTCTTGCTCATGGTCATACAGAGAAGCGACACCATCTCCCTTTCATTCTATTGACCATCCGACGTCCTGCTGGCTTCCCGACCCGGCAGCACGGTGCCAGGCGGTCTTGTATGGCCAGCGTGCAAGGAAACATACGGTCCTTCATTGCGCCGATCAAAGGATCTGGTCTGTCATGGCAGAGGCTTCACCCCAAACGAATTTGTCCTAACTAACATCGGCAGGTCGGCTTGCTCCTACCCTCCTCGAAGACCTATCGCTTTATGAACCATGGGGCGATCCCCAAGGCCCAAATCTGCTCGCGGACTGGCCACTGAGGTTCATTCAGACTCAATACCTAGGAGATCTCCTTCCTCTTGATGGCTGTCGACACAAGTTTGGCCTGAAACCGAGACAATCGAATCCTCCTGCATTGGATGAGAAGCCAGATTCGCAGACAATATGGACCGTCGCGGCGTTCTGTCAGCTGTGTCGCCTGCATGTACATGTCAAGGTCGACTTCTCCCTGCGATTCGAGGAGTTGCCTTGCCCCAATCCCGAACATCCTTTACATCATTTTGTCAGATCGGAGTATCAAGAACCTTTAGAACGCAATGCATGGCTGCGGCAGAATCCAAAATCAAGAGATGAGATCTATACGTACAAATGCTCTTCAAGGACTTGTTCCGCGACAGTCACAGTCCGCCTATGCCCTCCGGTGCTCAGGCCCAGCGACGTCAAAGTCCTGCTCGACCCCGACATGCTGCACCAAAGAACAGAAGCTGCCTTCAAGGACAGGGGAGGTAATACCGAGGGCATGGGCCATCCGAAGCCAGTTGATGTGCTTACCGACCTGCGCGCTTATGTCAAGAACTCATGGAAGGCACGACAGGATCCCAAATATGGTTCGATAAATTTAGGCAACAAGAGATTTATGGTACGGTTCGGGCCTGCAGGAACTGCTTGCAAGGACGTTCTTGAGCACCTTGGGTTTGAACTTGTGGTACGCCAACCTCTCTTTGACTTACCTTCTAGCTTTTACTTACGCCTTTTGCCTTAGCCTGGAGATTGTTGGAAGGTTCCTCAACCCGACTTCAAAGACACCGAGCCCTTCCAAAGTCCGATGAACATCTGGCTGGACAATGCCGAGCATGAACTGGTCAGCCTGCTGTTAGCACGACCCCAGGAGGAGCAGCAACAGCTACACGACGTTTCACCTCCTATACCCGCAGAAAGAGAGCTGTCTCGCGCCTTGGGCTGTCAGGATTGTTAGGCACTCTGAATTCCTTCCATACAACAAACAAGCTGACGAGTATAGATGACACCGATCCATCGAGCAGGACTGCGAAACTGTTACCTGAGATGAGAACTGCGTACGTCTTCTTTGATGCTAAATGCTGCACTGGAACTGACACTGATCAGCCCTTTCATTGCCCTTGGATGTCCGAGAGATCTGGCAAATCATTTGATTGTGAAGGCGTACCATTGGCAGGTTGAGACAGATCCCCTGAATGCACCAACGTATCTAAGCAACCTGCGCTATATCGCCAGCAACCGTCAAAGCGAAGTACTTGAGACTGAGGTAATGTTGGAGACGTCGGAGGGTCGATTTGACGTAGAGACATTGAACGCGGCGTACAAGGCCTTTCATCTCACCGGCCGAGAAGGTGTCGTGAATGACGACGACATTATTGGTGCATTCACGGCTACACTAGCGGATGCTGCTCCCAGTCAGCAACATGAACTGAGAGAGTATTTACGCATGATAGGTGTCCATCGCAATAGCAAGAAGATTGCTGATGCAGCGCAAAACGGTGAGATTCACGCGGATCACCACAATTCAATCGCTGACAATTCGTCGCGCAGTTATCAACAACTATGAGCAAGCACTGGTCTTTCTTGGTGCTGATCAAACGACAGAAGATGCTCACATCCAAGCCTTATTTACCGTGAAGGTTGGTCATGTATATCTGTCATCTCAATCATTAGTCTCTAACCTCAATCCCAGATCGCTGAGAACAGCGATTTACAGCCACAAGCTATTCAGGCTGTCCGATTGATAGCGGAACATCGCAACAGCCAATTTCTGTCGCACCTAGTGGAGACCGGATTCGTGCAAGAGACACACCAAATGGAGCCTGCGGAAGGTTACCAAGCCTTGCAAATCGAAAACCGTGAGGTTGACGATGAGATGATCTTGCTTCAGTACGACATGGCAGTGGAAGAGAACCCCGGCAGCGTTGAGTACTATACCAAGGCCCTCGCTGCCATCGCCAGTGGTAGAAAGAGCGATGTTTTGCTCAATCATTTACACAGCAAAGCTCCACAGGCGCCTGAGGGCACACAAGATGAACCTGTGGGCTTGGAGAATATTGGAAATACCTGCTATCTCAATAGCCTCCTACAAGCTCTTTTCACCTTAATAACATTTCGGCATGTTGTCCTCGATTTTGATGAGTACAAGATGAGTCTAGAGCCCAAAAATATGGAGAGCAAACGAGTCGGTCAACGCAAAGTCAGTCTGAAGGAAGTGCAGACTGCCCAAAAGTGTACGTGCCTCAATCGCCACAGTGGTCTGCCTGCTAACCATTCCAGTTGTCGAACAACTTGGGTATCTTTTTCGTGGCATGATCGAAACACCACAGTCCTCCATCAAACCAGAACAAGAGCTAGCACGGCTGACCCTCGAGACGGAAAGTGTTAAAGAAAGAATGCGTAGAAGGTCTACGCTCATGTCTGAAAGACCCAGTTTAGGCCACATTGATAGTCTGCCGATGTTGGGCCCTCCAACATTGGCGGAGTTCAAGCAGAGTGGCATGCCAGACGACGCACTCGTGCAATCCCCGACCGAAGACGTGCTATTCAACCCCCTCGTTGAGTTCGGTGCCTCTCGAGTCGAGTTGAGGGATGACACGAACAAACAAGAGGAAGACACAAAGATGGACGATAACTCCAGCGAGGCCACCTTGGTGTCCAAACCCGACACGGATCTATTGCGAGCAGAAAATACTACCGAAGTCGAACAGCAATCAATATTGGACAACAAGGAGAACCTGTCGCCTGTCAAAGAAATACCAGTGGCGCAGGCAACTTCGACACAGACTGCCGAGCCTCTGGCGCCAGCATCACCTTCCAAGTTGAATGTGCAAGCTGGAGCTTTGGCACAACCCGCTACGCCGGCTGATAAAGGCACAGAACAAGATAAAGTGGAATATGAACCTCCTCCAGGAAAGCCCCCACCAGTACCCCCCAGAAAGCCTGCTCATACAGCGACCACGACCCTCGAGGAATATGCACGTCAGCAAGATGTCACAGAGGTTATGAATCACTGTATCATTCAACTGTCGTGTGCCATTCGGCCTACAGGATTCGACCAAAGTGGAGAACAAATTGATGAGATCCACGACCTCTTCTTCGGCCAGCAGATAATTCATACGCAGCCGGAGAAAGAGAAGCCTCAACCTCTCCCATTTCTCAACATTATCACAAGAGTCTATCATCAACCTGCAGATGTCTATGCTGCCATCGATAACGAATATGATCTGCAAGACGCACAAGATGGTACCAAGGCTTATACCTCCGTCACTCGTTTGCCGCCAGTCCTGAGTGTCGCCCTCGACCGAGTCTCGTGGAATCAAGAGGCAAGGCGCCAGGAGAAGCTCAACCATCATGTTGAAGTGCCTGAGACCATTTATATGGATCGATATGTTGAAAGCGATGCTATCTCAGACTTGATGCAGCGTCGCCAACAAACATGGGAGATGAAACGAGAGCTTGCGACACTTGCAGCTCGGAGAAGTATTCTAGAGGAGAAACAAGTGAGTATTGAGTCCGCCATTCCGCTTTTCCGTCTAACACACTGTAGGGTCAATCCAAAGATGTTCCCAGTGTTCTCGAGGACGCAAAGCTTGTTCTCGAATACCTGAGCACACTCCCGGCCGATCCGATCTCGGAAGAGCTCAATATCAACCCCAATATCACCAGTACTCTGGGGCACCTGGCGGAACAAGCTCGGTCAGAACTCGAAGGTAACGCAAATGTACATTCCGTAGTTCCGGTTTGACTAATATTCGTACAGGAATTCGCAGCCGAATGGATCATCTCAACCAGCAGGTCAAAGAGGCATTCGTCGACATGCGCAAGCACCCTTACAGACTCCATGCGGCATTCTTCCACCGTGGTGGCGCGGCAGGAGGACACTACTGGGTCTATATTTTCGATCACAAAAAGGAGATGTGGCGTAAATACAATGACGACCGCGTCACCACCGTACTCAACCGGAACGAGATATTTGGCAAACCTGCGCAGGACAACTGGGGCCCGCCACCAAACCCCTACCTGCTGATTTACATCCGGGCCGATCGGATCGACGACCTGGCCGAGACGGTCAAGCGGGACATTGTCTATCCTCCACCGGATGAGGCGCCACCGCCGGTACCCGCGCGTAGTCAGATGAGTGAGGTGCCTCCAAACTGGTCATCGCAGCAGCAGACCTCCCAGGGGGGCGATGTAGAAATGCTGGAGTATGCCGATGGCGGCAGTGGTGGTGGCAATGCCGGTGAGCAGGCCCAGAATAATTCCACACCCGAAGACGAACCGTATCCGTACGAGTCGGACATTTCGCGGCCGCCGCCCCAGCAGGCCAAGGAGTCCTCGAAAGGGTTGTGGGATGACAGCGAGCTGATGCCCAACAGGACGATTCAGTGGTGACGGTCATGATGATGACGACGACGAAGCTTGTTTGAGACTCGAGCCTTTGTTGTAGCGGGATCTACGAAACCAGCATCCACGACCATGCTTGGGGGACTCGGGCCGTGGCGAACGACATCACCGGGCTAGCTACCAATCAGCTCAGATCATTGTGGTATATATCAAGACAACAACATGTTTTTTGGTCATTTGGATCACAGGCCGGCTCTAGAGAATGACGACAGCCTGAAAGAGTCGTCAGTTTTGGAGGAAGTGGGAATTGGACGAGTACCGAACCCGCGGCGAGTGAGGAACTCTCCAACTTTCGATTCTTCAATACATCATTCTTGTCTTATTTTTCAATGGCTTGGTGAGTGGGCGGGGATTGCTTTCATCGTGCCCTTTCCTCGCTTCAGGCAAACCCTTTTTGAGACACAGCAGGCGGAGCATTGCATCGGGTTATTAGAGTAGCTACGGTACTTTGTGGAAACTACAAACAATCAGATCTCACGCTTTGCAAGTGCGCCATTTTGTTCTATCTTGGTAATTTACATGCATACCTGACGCATGCAATAATGATAGGCTCTCAATAGGCCCTTGACCGAAAAGGGGTCATGCGTCGTCCGTGGTCATCCGTGGATGTCATTACTCATACATCAGAGGCGATGGCAAATTACGCCACCACAGTCGCCCTTTCGCGGCGTTCCCGCTCCCAGAATCATACACACACCCACAAAGCCCATCCTCTCTTCTCGTCTGTGCCGGTTTCAGCACGTTGACAAAATCCGCCCTCACGTGGAACGTCGTGTACCCTCGAATAAGTCCAGCATGATGGATCGCATCTCAAACGTTCATGGGCACGGCTCGTCCACTCCGCAAATACACCACTCTCAACCCATCCGGCTTTGGGGGTTCAGTCTGACCGTCCACGACTGCTCTCCGACGGTTTCTTGTCTCATGGAGGGCCCGGGAGAGGTGGGGATCGTTCTTGATGGCTTCATCGTACCTCGCTTTGATATATCCTTTATCTTTCCCGGAGGGACACGCCACGAGGTATTCAGCGGCCCAAAGCCACACCGATTCAAGATCTCTCTGAGTTGGGGAACGTATCAGGTTTGGAGCTGAAGTGTCGACGAACAAAGGATTTCTGGCCGAGTCAGAAATCATTGAGGATCATCAAAACAGAGACTTTAAGCTTACTCATTCCCATCATACTCCAGGATAATTGGAGGATCTCCAGCCTCATCTCGTCGTACAGATATCCACTTAAGATACCTCTCCAAAATCATAGAATCTGGTGTAGGATATTCGCATGTCGACCCCGGTAACTTTCCACTCTGCTCCGTCGTGGTTGCATGGCGATAGATAAGATAGTCATAGTCAGTCTCAGGGGGTTTTAGATTGCTATATCTGCAGGTTAGCTTGATCAATACGAAAAGAAGATGTCCAGCAAGTTCCAGGCTCACGCTTTCCTCTTTCTAGCATTCGCCTTGCCCTTCCTGGACTTCTTCTTGGAGCCTGCAGAGGCTGAGTTTTTGGGAGCATCATTGGAGTTGGGGCCCGTCTGAGCCTTCTTCAATGCAGGTGGCTGGTTTTCATTGTTGTTCGAACCACGTCTGAGGGGTAATTGAATAGAAATTCCTTGCCGGGGCTGGTTGATTGGGGGACCTGCTGAGTGGAAGTCGCTAGGGCCATGAGATCCTTGATGGTCAGTTGACCCTGGTCCATCTCGAGACGCAGGAGGCGAGCGTCTGCGATCACCTCGTTGGCCATCAGATCCACGTGGCGAGCGGGATCGTCGTCTGAGTTGATCATCGCCACGGCGACCCGATCGTGACGGAGATGTCGATCGAGGTTGGCCAAAGGAATCTGTGGCATACCAGTTATTGGGCTGGCGACTGGACTGGGCATGGCTTGCCGGGGGAGGATTGTAGCGATCAAAATGTCCACCCTGGGGTTTGGAGGGGAGCGGATGTCGGAAGGTGAATTCAGCTTTGGGTTGGTTTTTCACCCGTGGACCCAAGAATGGTTGCTCGTTGTCCTCGTCAGGTTGCTGTGCGACATCAGGTGCACCCGCAGTATGAACACCAGCGCGTCCTCTGATTTTCAAGCCATCGGGTCGTATCCCGCGATTCATTGCTTCATGTTCCAACTGCTTTGTGCGGCTTTCGAGGTTGAGATTGGTGACCTGGACAGATGCAAAAGGCTTTAGCGACCACCGTGCTGTATCCGTCTTCCTCGCATCGGGACAGTCACCAACTAGATGCATTTTGCTTGCACATTTGCAGCATGATATCCATAAGGCGATGGGTTTGGTCTCATCGATTGTGCCCGATTTGAAGAATCTGCGGGCACACGACCATTCGGTATGATGTAAACTACCACAAAGATCGCAAGGGACTGTTGTGACCTTCATCCCTGTACATGACTCTGCACTATGGCCTTGCTCGCGGCAATGAGAGCATCGAGTGACATTCGGGCACAGCCGGCTAGGGTGTTCGTCGATCGCCGAGCAATGCGGGCATACATGTTCAGGACAGGTCTGCTCTGTGTGTCCGGAAGTCAAACAGGTGAGGCAGGTCACCGGCAGATTTAGATTCACGTCTTCTTCATTGGTGTCAAAGTATGCATACTTCAACTGAAGAGCGAGTTGAGTCTTTGACAAGTCTCTGAGACGCAACACCGTGTCAGCTGTAGTGGGACTAGATCCCTGAACACCATACAGACTGGCATCAAGGTGCCGCTGATTTTCCGCATGAAGCTGCATCTCAACGTCCTGATCAGTAGTATCTTGTGGAGCCGACATGTCTTCATTCGTGATACCTGACATTGCAGTGTCTTTCTTAACTTCCAATATCTTGTCCTTGTCACCATTCACGCGGGGTTCTGGCTCGGGCCCAGTGGACGAGGTATCGTCAATGTTAATGACCATAACACCACCTTCTGAGGATTCGCCCTCATCGCTTGAGATCTCAATTGCGTCGTCTACCGAACCACCAGGACTAATGGGAGCATTCGAGGGAGCACTTGGATTCTCAAGCTGTGGCTCGGGCATGAGGCTGGACGGTCCTTTGAACCCAGTCGCGAGGCGATTGTTGCCGAAGCCAGATGTAGTAGCCATGTTTACTTCGGAAGGAGGTTCAAGAGAAGAGTTATCCTGTGCAGATTCGAACGGATTAGAGTAACTGACAGATGCCGCAGCGCCCATGTCAACGGAGTCGGAAACTGTTGATGCTGAAGTTGGCGACGGCATGGAATGAGATTGTGTTTCACCATGCAGGCGAGAGCGGTTATTTCTCAGGCTGACGAACACTGTCCTGGACTCACTGTCATCGTCGGACCCTTGCGAAGACTGACGCATGCACACAGACGACTGAAGTAGCCAGAGTACTCTACCATGAGCGTGACCTCAGGCCAACGTCTTGATTGTGAGTTTCGAGGGCGCAGATGGATTGAGATTTCGAGAATTGGAGAGTCGCAAACATTTGGAGAGTTTGGTTAGTGGTTGGCGGGCGGTGAGTTACTTAGCGGGCGTTCCTGGCTAGTAAGGTCAAGCCTAGTGAGCCCCGATTCGACCTAGGTCTCTCGAGGTCTAGAGCCTGATCTTGGGTGGCAGGTTTAACGAGCATCGAGGCGCCTAGCGCTTAAAGGCCAGGGCGCAGCATATTAGTTGTCGCGTGCTGGGTTGTTAAGGTACAGTAGTTATGCAGAGGCTGCTTGCGTGAGGCACCGGCCGCCGACGCTTCCCCATCGATCTAGTTCCAGTTCCAGTTCCAGTTCCAGTTCCCAGTTCTCTCCATCAAGGGAATCTCTGCCTGCATTACTCGCCTCTGCCGTCTAATCTGAGACTTATCCATCCTCAACGCCGCCGTGTCTTACTTGCTTCAACCTGGGTCTTTTTTTTCGGATACTGCATACTGTATCCTCTTGAAAGTTCAGATCCTCAGACCTGCCACCAATCTGTTTCGTCATCTATCCTACCTCCCAACAACTTCGTCCGACCTCATCTTTCATATCACCTATCCCAAGCGAACAGTTCCGCTCGACTCGACCAGTCCATCCTTTAGGTGAGGCTTACTGGCTGCCTCTTATACAGTCAGATATAGAGGTGTAACTGACGCTCGAGGCAGTGTTTCCCTTTTTTTCGACCAGATTCAATTTTCCGTCTCGTCCATGACCTCCCATACCACCCTCCATCGAACAATCTCCTTCCAAGCCGATGCCAGGCTAGCACCCCCAACATCGTCGTACGATTCAGCCATGAACAATGAGAAAAGTGGTCGAAGGAGGAGATCTAGCAGTATCATCTACCAGGAACCGCCGGAATCATTGGAACAGATCAGCGACCAACTAGCCGAACCAAATCTCAACTCACAATGGGTCAACGCAAAAGGTGGGACAGTACAATCCAGTTCAATCCGTCGAGGCTACTCCCATGGGTGAAGATTAAGACAACTTTACTGACATTTTCGGTGCGTGTGCAGGTGCATGGACGATACACCCCGTCCTGATCATCGGCCTCAAGATCTTATTTGACATTATTCCGGGCGTGACGCAGGAAATATCATGGACACTCACCAACATCACATATATGGCCGGTTCTTACCTGATGTTCCACTATGTACGAGGCGTGCCGTTCGAGTTCAACGCCGGAGCCTACGACAACTTGAACATGTGGGAACAAATCGACAACGGGGACCAGTACACGCCTGCGAAGAAATTCCTCCTGACGGTACCGATTGTCCTTTTCCTCTTGAGCACGCACTACACGCACTACGATTTTACATATTTCACCATCAACTTCATGGCTCTCATGGCCGTCGTGATACCCAAACTCCCTCAGTTCCACCGAGTCAGAATTGGTCTATTTTCAGAGCCGCCCGAGGAGTGACCCACGGGATGAATGGAGTACCTCTCTTTTTTTTGCAGGTCAAATGCGATATCAAGATCCTTTTTTTGATTGGTAGTAACCTGGCTTTCTACCTCGACATTCCTTTTCTAGCCATGTGTTTTATGTCATTTTTTGCCTTTTTTTCCAGGAGAGACAAGTCTCTACGACGTGTGTAACAACTCGGCATGGAGAAATCGGTTCGAGGGAGAGGGAAGGAGGGTAGAGTGACCTCGTTGGGAATACTTTACGCTGGAAAAAAAAGAAGTCGAGGTAGAAAAAAGGGAGACATGGAACGGCACAGAGGAAAAATTTGATGATGGGATATCACTACTTCTTTTTAGCAATCCACGAGTCAGTCCGTCATGATTTCGCAGATTCAATGCCATTCTCTTTGTCTCTATAACATCTTTCCCTTTCTTGTTACTTTTATTTTGCATCGTATGAAATGGGGCATCATGCGCCGTCCATGTTGGTGTTTTGGCGTCTAACCACATCAGGAATTATCTTGCGAGAACAAAAGACTCGGGAGTCACAACACATTCGTACAGAGTATTTCGCAACAGCACAGGCGCAAGAAATGGCACCGCCCTTGGTTTTTTTTTTGCGCCGTTTGGCCGCCATCGGCACCCCACAAGGGAGGGAACATCTCAACCCTTGGGGACAGATGGACAGATGGACACCATTTGATTGATCATTCGATTGGTAAAAAAAATGAGACAAATGAAACCATTTTATATATGCTACGATTGAACGACCTGGGTTCTCCCCAAACCAAAAGCGACTACACAACCCATTTCACGCGTCGACGTCGACGTCGTCATCTTTGAGGAGATGTTTCTTCGTTCGAATTGCGACTAACGTCGGGCGGTCCACAGACTCGTGGCCAGCCGGAGGGACCAGCCGATCGTGCAAGAGGAGCGTTGGTCACCGACTGCGGCGTGCGTCAGTGCATCGTTCAGAAGGCTCTCGATGGCCCAGCCAGGGGCGAGGGCGTGAGAGAGCTGCGCGCGCGCACACACACACACAGGTCCCCTTCATGAAACTTGATGGCTCATTTAAGTCCATGATTCTCCTTTTTACGTTCGGGCGGGATGTGTGTGTGTGTGTGTGTGTGTGTGTGTGTGTGTGTGTGTGTGTGTGTGTGTGTGCTGATGGTGGCGACCGCTACCACTCCCCGGACTCCGCAGCGATTTGCAAGGGAGATCATCTTCGATCGTTGTCGTTGCTGCGAGGCGTGCGAGAAGAAAAGAACAACAACAGCAATTTCACCAGGGATAATTTCCACGCCCATCCATGTCCTGAACGGACAGTACGAAACCGAGGACACAGTCCAAGTGATCAAGTCTTGCGGCAATAAAGTTGGCATTCAAGAGGCCACCATCCCTGAAGTGACGGACTTACTCCGGAAAATTCTTGTATTGTTTGTACTTGATGTGAGATGAACGCTGATCTAGATTCTCAACTACGGTAGAAGCATTAGATGTTCAACGCTTTGCTGACAACGACAGCCTGGTTTCAGTCATCACGGATAGCAAGATCGTCGACGGGTATGACACATATTGGAAGCCCGCTGTATGCTCGCAGTGGTCAACTCTTGGGCACTTGTTGTTGTACTCCATTGAGTTTCAAGAGGAGTCGGAATGTTCAATGAGATGGCAGGCATTGGAGACTGAAGCTTACATGTGTGCGATAGGGGTGCTTCGAGGTCAGGTACTTGCTGTTGCCCAATGCGAGCTTGGTTGTGCTTGACTTGCACTGGCTTGAAACTCAACGTTGTTGTTGTTGTTGTTCCATGGGTCTGTCATCATATTGCTCGATCGTTAGGAGTTTCGTGGGGATCACAAAGGGCAGACGAGGCACCGAGCACAAATGAACAGTCAGGATCACTGTCAAAGCAGGACGCCGCCTGCTCAATCTCATTACTACCTTTGACCGTTGGCGGCCTCTTCCTCTTCTGCATCCAATCGGCTATTCAAACATATGGTGCATAGCCATAATTCTGCAATCGTTAGCTAGGGCACTCAACATGTGGTCAAAGGGGGGGGGGGGTTCTGACCATATTTATGATGTAGTATTTGATCACGATGGTTCAAACAACCCTGGTGATACCACCCAATTGAGCAATGCGGGTTGTCACATTTGACACTGCCATTGTCATCAATGTCCCCCATCCTGCAAATGCACCATTCCTCGACGTCGACGTCGTCGCCCATCTCTTCTGGCAGTTTGTTGTTCTGGCGCAAACCTTTTATCTCCTCGGCCAGGTGGTTGAGTATGACTTTGTAACGTTGGAGAAACCCCTTTGGGAATGTTGCTGTTGCTGTTGCCGTTCTAGATGGCGTTGCCGCCCTTGCGCCGCTTGCACCCTGCTTTGATCCGTTGTTTGATTCATTATCGCTGCTATTTCGACGAGGCGATAGCTCAGGAAGGGACGAGAGTTCGCTGTCAGAGCTCAATAGAAAGGTTTCCTTGCTTGATTCGGCATCAATGGTGGTGTTTCGAGGGTCTTCTTCATTGTAAGGAGTGTCCGATCCTTGTGACAAGGGGTCCTGGGAATTCAAAGGTCTCGGAGAGGAATCGATCGTGATCTGAGGAGTCATAGTATCAGGTACGTCGATTGAAGGTAGCTGCAGATAGTTAGGACCCAGATTCGATGCAAGCCAGAACCCAATTTGATAACGAGGCACTTACCAAGAAAGGGCCGCAAACTGCGATGTTTGAATTTCGATTTCGACTTCGCGGCGTTGGATAGACAAGGGGACGGTTCTCAAGATTCATGATCTCCCACTCGACTCCATGTTGGAGGCAGATACGCACAACATCATCTCGCGGGTAATGACTTCCTACTTGCTCGTGCCGTCGCTTTTGTCCAAGTCTCTCTGGTTTCTTGGTTGCGCGAGTTGAGCGTCGGACCCAGTTCTCAGACTGAGACTTAGACTTGGAAGCCCTTGCCATTTTGTCAATCCTGAAGTGTAACAAAGACAACAAGACGTGGGTTGAGCATGATCGACCGTTAGGGTCCAGTAGGAAACGGCGACAGTCATCTGAAGAGAGGATGGAGTAGCACTATCGTTCACTTCACTGTGCCTTTTCGCGAAGTCGTGAAGTCGCGAAGTCGCCTTCACTGTTGGTTTTCTGCTGCAACTTTGCACACCGCCCCAGGTATCCCGGTACACCCCCTTCCTCCCCAGCAACGTCTTCCTGAAACAGATGGTAGATACACAACAAGAATATGTGCCTCGTTGTGCATGATCACAGTCGCCATCATCATCAGGCATACACATAAGACTTGAAGAAATGAACCGATGCTGGTCGTTGAGGACAGCTCAGGCAGTGGGTATAGAATTTCTTTTCGCGCTCCTTGATTTGGCTATATGTGATGACTGCTGGCCGCGATGAAAAGGGGCAGTGGTCAGATTTTCCAAGTTGAGATTCAAGGACGAGAAGAAGACAGAATTCCATGACGCCAGCTATGGAGGTAGCAAATTGTCTAAAGTCAGTTTCCCATATATATTTATGCCTACCTTGTCCACTTGTACAATGTAAACTGGGCAGATAATGCAGAAGTCCATTCTGCACTGTGCAGTCCACAAGTGAAAATCACCAAGACTTACAAATTCGATATTTATGGTGCAGGATGCTGTCTGTATCAGAAGCAAACTCAGCCAAACAATCTTCCAGCAGCGAAGGAACTCATGTGCCGCGGTTTACAAAGAAACTTGAAGAACATCAACTTGATAATTGAGACGAGGAGAGGAATGGATTGTGAGGCTGATGTCCAACTCCTCGAGCCTCGCCCTCGATAGGGAAACAGAGTGACGCCGCCCTTTCTCACCCCCGGTTCGCGCGGCCAGGATGAGTGATCACTCTTGACTTATCGATTGGAGAGGCGAAATTCTGGCAAGACATTAAGGGTTATCGTGGCTTCCATAGATCCGGGAGTAAAGCAAATCAAAGGGTTTGCCGTGCATTGAAGTCAAGTCCTTACCGGAGAATGCTCTTGGAGTTTTGTGGATGCGAGTGGGTCAAGGATAATTGCATATAGCCGCGAGTCCTTGAGCTGTGTATTGCCTCCTGCAGTCCCATCACCTCCTCATATCAGCGGGACGAGAACAGCCCATTGGCACCTAGTAATAAGCTTCAGAAAGGCGATCCAACATTGTACGATTAGATCGGCCAAATATAACGCTGGATGCTTACCACGACACCGACTTTGGCTTGTCTCTGGAAGAATGCGTTCGAGCATCCTTGAAAGCGGTGACTCGCGATTCGCGATACGACGGCTTCGATACCCACCTGCTAAGGAAAAGTCGAATTTGTCGCGGTGCTCAAGGATCGAGGACAAACTTCTTTTCGCTTCATAGTCGATGCGTCCATCTGCAACAAGGATGGAAACCTTCACGGCGGCGCATGCTCTGCACTGCTCGACAACATAAGCTCGACTTCGCTTTACACCATCAGGCGCCCGGGATTTTGGGACAATTTGGGCGTCAGTCGCTCGATGTACGTTGTGTTCCACAAGGCCATGCCTAAGGACATTACAGTTCAAGTTCTTTGCGAAGTCAAGGCAGTCGGGAAGAAGATGGCTACGCTTTCCGCGACGATGCTTTCACCAGATGGAGCCACGGTTTACGCGAGCTGCGTCACGAAAAGTTCGCCTTCCGAGCATTGAAAATATGATGTTATCATGCGATGGCTGCTCTCTTTCAGCGAACCACGTCTTCATGTCAGGGTCAAGTGCTGCTTTTACGATCTTGTATATATTGACGCCGAGTATCGAGATCCTACCTCTTGCCGGGCCAAGCTCCGCCCTATGAAAGCTGAGTTGTCAGAAATGATATTAAAGGCACTTGACGACAATTGACGCAGGACACAGTCAGATCTCAATCGCTTCTTACATGCAATAGCGTCAAGCCAAGGGTGATGTGATTGACATCTGGCGTCATAACGGAGCGGGTCATGAAGCAGCCATTGTCTCATACAATTAGATTCACTTTGTCCACCGCCGGCCAATATTGCCGCTCTCAAAGGCAATAATGTCAATTGTGCTTTCAGATAGAAAGAGATCCTGGACAGACCAAGCGGCGGCTGCGGTAGAGACAGTCTTAAATCACATAGGCAAACAAAGGTGTAGGCCCTTCAGCATGTTGTAATCAATCCGACAATGCAAATACTTTGGAGTGCGAGCTAACTCGGCGGAAACGGGGTATGGCCCAGGTTACGGCCGTGTTATTAACGATATTGCAGACCCAGTTCCCTCTATTGGAAGCTGTGAAAATCTGAACGACAATTCTCAGCGTTGAGGTCACCGAGGATCACACCAAGCGCTTCAAGACCCCGGATGAGCGCGTCTTCTGCATCTTTCCGCGTTTAATTCAATGAGGTGAAGAGCGCCTGACTTATCTACGGACAATGATTGGCTTCGAGTTGTCCCAGTCACTCGATCTGTAGACGTCTCTGGGCCTAACAGATAGTCGAGTATCTACGAGACGGTTTGCTTCCAGACTCGCGGCACCGAAGCGGATCCCGATGTTTTGACCAAGAGGGACATCAAGGCCGATCTTTTGACCAAGAGGGACATCAAGGCTGGAGTGACGGAGCTTGGTGTGACGATCGATCCAGCAGACAAGGCCGGTCAAGTGCTTTGTATGTGGTGGACCTTGGACGAAGTAGTGATCGGTTTCCAGATCGTGCAAACCGACCCGCCATACAGATTGCGTACTCAACCATGTTGACTCTATAACTTCGACGCCAAGGCGAACATGTGGCCGGATGCCAAATTTGTCAACAGTGTCGTTCAGATACTGCAGGATTTCGGGCTGCTCAGCAAAACGCTTTGACCAGTTTGGATTCGGGTTGAATGAAAAAGAGTACAGATGTGAATCAGCGTCACAGCCCACGCCAGGATAAGTGTTCAAGAACCAAGTACCGCCCGCAGACTTTTCACGCTCGTAGATGATGAAGTTCCTTTGGCCGAGATCGAAGCGAAGTCGTGCTGAAAGAGCAATGCCGGCAACTCCGCACCCAATGACGATGAGTCGGGGTTCGTGTGTAGATGCCATATTCCTTCGCAACACGCCGGTGCTTAATTAGATGACTGTCTCGTTCATGCTTCTCACTCCTGCGGGCATAAATAGGTCTGTTGTTGCACTTTATGGACGTCCATAATTTCTCCTGTCAAGTGGGGTACTCCAGCAGTGAGGAAGATAGGCTATATGCCTTCGGCGTGGTTATTGAGTATTGCGCAACGGTAATTGGAATCAGCGCCCTCGGCAGTGCTTTAGGTACCAACACAATGACAACGTACTGACCAGTTATCCATGACCTGGCACTGACTGCCACTTAGGACATGTCATCTGGGTCTACACTGGTCCTGGGTTTGCTCCACACGCTAGGAGTGAAATTCTAGAAGAAAACATAGTCTCTGTAATTGTCTCTAATGAAAGAACTTGTCTCAAAACAGAATATAGTCGAGAGACTACAGTGAAAATTAAACTATCGCTATAAAGTGAGTCAGAGCGTGAAGTGAGAGGGTGAGAAGAAAGCGAGAAGAGAGTGAGTCGAGAGCATGTCGTCTTAAAAGCGGCACCGTCTGCATGAGCGCGTGCCGAGAGCTTGGAGCAGTTCGAGTTCCCTGAAGCGGATTCAATTTAATGCAGAGAGATCAACAGGTCTGTTCATTCATAGACATTTAAGGTAATACTATTCTCTGTTTGCCTATTTACTTGTGGCCTTTCATATAAAATGTTTTTGGCATGGTTCGTTGTAGATCTGTTTGTGATGATGTTATATCCAATGCTTCGGCATTATAGGCGTCGAGTTCTGGGACACTTTCGGGAGCCCGAAATCAAACGACCGTGGGCTTGGGATGCTTTTGTTCTGCTCGAGTTGCTGCATGGCCAGGTCACGCTCATGTCGGATCGCGTCCTCACTTTTTGGCTCGTCTTCGGTCTTTCCAAGTTTTCGGTTGAAGGTAAATTTGAATTTCGATCGTCGCCTGCCGCACCACAATAACAGCACAAGAAGCATGGCGAGACCTGCCATTCCACCAAGGACACCACCAGCGATGGCTCCGGAATGTTTGGAGGTTGAGGACGAAGATGATGGTTCAGGGCAGGCACTCGATGTGGCACTTCCTGTCGCGGAGGTGGATGCGGAAACAAGATGGATTGTTTTGGTGGTTGGAACAGTACTTGAGAGGGTGATGCTGGTCACTGAGGGTGTGTGTGCAGCACCAGAGGCCAAGAGAGATCCTGAATCTGTTACAGATGCGCCTGACGTATTCGAAGCATCACTCTGGTTGACATTGATAGCACCAAAGGTAAATTCGGCACTCGAGATTGAAGGGGGAGCATCGGTCGAGGCAACAGTGCTAGTAGCTGCGCCTTGCAGCACAGTTTGAGTGACGGTGATGGTACTTGGAGGAGCACAAGGATCCTGTCTTCGCCATAACCAGGACATGGTAAACAGTTTGTATGTAGATGTTCGTGTCAATTATGTGGCTTATTGAAGGGAGCCAGGGAGGAGGTTCTGCTATTGCAGGCTGCTTTGGCAGGATACATGGCGACCCAAAGAGCCCATCACCAGGGGTGAACATATATCTGATCATTGTCATTTTCGAAGCACCACTCACCTTTGTCCCCAAGTTATTGAAACCTTTACAAAACAAACAATCATGTGTACAAAGGGATTCTAAATTTGGTCAATTGGGTACATAAGTGTAGCAAAGACAGCTCTATCGCAGTTTTCTTTGTTCTGCGGAATTAGCCACCAATGGAGATGGGTTAAGAGACATTGGAATTTTCATGAAGAAAGGAATGAAAATCGAACTTTTGTGTTGTAGGCTCATGCACACAAATGCTACGAGAGTACAATGAGCATGTTGCGATATTTCCCCCATGTACCGGTTAGTGTGTGGATGCTTTGAGGGAAGGAAGAAGTCGCAACAAGGCCGGAAGTGCTTCCAACAAGTTAGACGTGGCATGCTGGATGTAGGGCCACAGCTGGAGGATGGACGACTTGGGGGATTTTTACGAGTTCGAATAAGTCTGTCAAAATCGTGGAAGCGCACATTGACCTCCCTCGATAGCGAGCGGGAGCAGCCAACCCACAACCATCCAAGTTGTGAGGGAACGGGATGTGGCGCCATCCTCCTGTTGTAGGGGCCATTGCGCTACTGCACGTCAGTGACAATGATGAGCTCATGTTTTTTTTGTCTTGTGCATTCGGCCCTCCTTTGACACTCGCCCCCCTTTGGTGCTGACTTTTTCGATGTGAAGTCGAGGATGACACAAGATCAAAGATTTATATGATTTGGTGGGTTTCGTGTTCTCGACCTTTTGATGCAATGCGAGTAAGATGACGGTGCTGTCCATTCGGAGCAAGATGCAAAAAGGCATCAAAAGCTAAGCTCTGGGATGAATCTTGTGGGGTAAACAACGCACGGGTGACTTTGAGATCTCGGATCATCCGAGGGCTGGAACTAAAATAAAAAAAAGTTTCCCGGTGGACTCTCAAGGCATCATCTTAGACAAGATATTTTGATCGTTCGATAGTGCCAGCCCCGGTTGGACCACTAATGACCAGTAAGCCCACACCAAGAAGCCATCGCCTCCCCTGGGAGATCAACGGCCACGAGGGGGCATCAAAAACGTGAGATGAAGATCTCTACAACGGCATGACAAGCTTGGATTGTAAGGAACGGGCATGTGGCAGCACGACCACGATCCTCGAGGTTGAAACCTCACGGACTACGAAGTAGCTTGTGCTTTGAAAAAGGGACCTTTGCTTGTAGGAGGGGCCCTCTGAGAAAAGAACACAAATCGTATAGATTCTCAAATCCACATGTTTATGACTTCGGGAGAGCAGCAGGGGATGCTAACCGCGGTAGAATGATGATACTTCGGATAAGTCAAAAGGGAAAGCGCTCTCCCGTCCATTGTCCGCATCGACCATGTGATAGCTTACGTACCAGGGCAAGTAAATAGTACGTGGTGGCGCAAACGCCAGCTGGAAAGCCTTTCTTTGGTAGAGCTTTTTGACAGGGCCGCAGTATCCGTACAATAGGTTGGGACAGCTTCCAAAGGAGGATGCGAGTGGACACCAACTACGTCTTGTGTGCACTGTAGCTGGGTTTTACAGAGTGCCAATTTCGTGGCTTGAGATTCATTCTTGGTTACTATCCAGCTAAAAATGTCGAAAGAGTTTGTGGCTTCATTTAGCTTCAGGTGTTTTCAGGCTATGACCAAGGACTGCATGAGAGGCTTGAGAAGAATTGCAAAGAAACACGGGGACAGTCTAAGAACAGCAAGATGCATTTTACAGGCCTTGTCGCGATGAGGAAAGGCGGACATACATCGATGCCTGGAAAGGTGTGTGGGGAACCTGAGTCGCGTATCTGCAGTAGTGTGTGTCCCTGGCTAGTGGACGGACGGGCACGGGGACGGGCATGAGGCTACGGAGTTGTAATAAAAATGGCCTACAATAATACTTCATAGAGGAGGGAGAGGCTGGTTTGGTCGTCATCAGAATCCTGAGGCTGGCTGAGGGTATTCAAGATTGCCGGCAAGAATGTTGAGAACAGCCCAGACTGTTCATTCCGGAATTCTGGACAAGCAGACTTTGAGATCACACAAAGGCAGAGTGCTCGAGAGGTGTTGACACCCAAGACAAGAACAGTCGATAGTTCTAGTAGGTTGCTGAACCAGGTCGATATGACCAGGGCATATCCCTTCCAAGTGGACTGATTGGCCCTTTGCTCCTTTGTTATTCCTCCCAGACGAAATTTCGTTCACGAAGGAGGCCACAGGTTGAAGGTCCGCCAGCGCTACCAGCCGTAGGGAGTAGAGGCCCAGCCATTTAGCACACGTCTTACCAACGACGACGTGCCTACCCAGGGTATTTTAGCGCCAATGTGGTGGCTTATTTTTGAATGCGACCGCAACTTTATCCATGTCCGTCGGAGGCCTGGTATAACGCCACGAACATCATCCCGTAAGTGTGAGGTCGTAGGCAATAAAGTAGCTGTTTTCGAGATGCACCTTGATTCACGTCCGAGAGTGTCTGTTCAAGATCCTCTGAAAATTGAAATTTTTGTCTCGCGCCGACTTTTGAGTAGCTTAGCAACATTGACTGCGCTGTCGGCGAGGGCGAGGACGAGATGCAGGGCGAGATGCAAGGAGGAGGACGAGTGACCTGCTGGCAAGGGAGAAAAGATTGTCTTTCCGCGTAGTTGAGTTTACAACTCGCATGGATGACGCAGAGACAAGGAGTTTGACGTACGAAGGACAAGAAAACGCAGTGCCAATGGGTCCAAGTGGCCAACGGTGGCGTCGGGTACGAGATGCAAGCGAGTAGCTGTAGATCTTTTTGCCCCAAACCGAACAGTGGAAGCGCCATGTTTTCTCGCTCCCTCACGATGTTCCTCGTCCTGGCCGATCCGCTGCCCTTGCCAGCATTTTACTCTTTCTCCATCCTCGTACTTTATGTGGTGGCCATCTGGCATGGGAAAGATGCGTGAAGGCTAGTACAGATTTCTCCAGTTGCCTCTGAACTCCACCTGTCTCCCACATCGTGGTGCTGTATCCGCCTTGAGGAAGTTCGGACCACACCCTTTGTGAGTGACAGGCACCGCACTCTCGTGACTGGATGTTCTTTCCTGCCACCCAGCCATGCATCTCTTATTCGCCCGTGTCGACAAGGGGTGCAGGAAGTCAGTCCTAGACAAGTGCAGCCATCGGTTTATAGCTCGTTCGAGGTGTGACAGAGAAGGAAACTGATAAACACCTCGCCATTTCTTCGTGTTTTCTTCTGCCTCGTCCATTGACAACCTAACCAGTAGTCGAAACCTGCCTCCTTCCACCATCTTCAAAAAGTAGTCGTTCGATTGGCATAGAGAAGCATTCTCAAGGCCGAGGGACTTGCGTTCGCTCACACTGGACCCTCCATCCTGCCCAAAAATCTAACTCATTCTCTGTCACCCTGTCATCTACTTCGCTTCAAACCCTTCTACTATTATCTTTCGAGGAGCACATCTCCAACACACTGCCCTTTGTCTCATCTACCGCACACCAGACATCAGTATCCAGCTTCCAGAAAGCAAAAGCCATCACCTCAGATCAACAGCATCCTTTCACCAGTCAGGAGGCATATTCGATCAACTGCACATTTACTCAGGACTCGCACACAATGGTTCTCTCACTTACATATCGCCGCCCGGCCTATGTGTCTTCTCACAGCTCTATTGACTCGGAGAAGCCAGCTGAATCGATCAGCTCAGGTACCAGTAGCCAATGTGGCATTCCTGATGCTCTTTCGTTCGACAAGATCATCAGTGGTGGAACATGCCCCGTAAGGTTCCTTTCCTTCGTTTGTCCTCGCATGCAAACTGACAGCTTTCCAGCCTGTAACCCTGCGTGAATTCATGGACTTCCTCTGCTACATCGAGCACGATGCAGAGAACCTCCAATTTTATCTCTGGCATCAGGATTACTGCAAGCGCTTTTCGGAGCTTCCCGAGAGCCAGCAAAGACTGGCACCGGAATGGACCGCAGAGCAAGCATTGAATGAAAAGACGAATGCTGAAAAGGAAAAGCTGCCTAAAAAAATCCCCAACAGCGCCACCGCTATCCTGAAAGGGACCGATTTCGATCCGAATGCCAAACTCGGAGTGCCTGAAGTTGTCCCAAACCCTTTCAATACACCTCCCCGGACGCCATCTGCAACCATCGCCGACCGTGACAGCATCGCCCCGTCGACAGTTGGCTACAGCGAGGACGGCACCACCCTACGCTCCGGAACAACCGATCACAGCAGGAAAGCCGAGGCCGCTTTTGAAGAAGCTGGAACCTTGCAACCATGTAAGAACAGTCCCACTATACCAAGAAAAGCTCTGACAGGTTCATAGTCACCATTCAGCCTTACCGCGAAGAGATCTCGAGAATCATCGCCATCTATATCGCTGAAGGAAGTTCAAGAATGCTCAATCTCTCTTCGAAAGAGAGAACCGTTCTCCTGAAGGCGTTATCTGTCACAACACATCCGTCAGCCTTTAGAGACGTCATCACCACCGTGGAGTGGTCCCTCAGACGACAGGCTCATCCCAACTTCATCCGATGGACAATCTGCAATGGAAATAAACCAAGACAGACTTTTGCTCAAGGCCTGGGTGTTGCAGGGATCGTTGCTGGCATTGTATATGCCATTGTCATCACACTCAGCTCGGTCAATCGTGGTTGGAGGGCTTTGGCATTCCTCGGTCTCTTCATTGGCATCGCCACCTTGTTTGCGGGATGGAAGGGCATGTGTGTGGTAAGTTGATCCAGCCTCCGCCGTCATATGATTTTGACCGATATTTCAGGTCTTGCATGGCATGCACCATCGACATCTCCGTCCATGGGAACTCTTCAACGACGACGATGAGGCTTCCTCGGATTATGCGTCGAAAAAGGATTCGTTCGATAGCCTGGGATCTGCCAATAGCTATGAAGATGCTCCCTGGGTCGCCAAATATGAAAAGCGCAACATCATCCGCAAGATCTTCGATCGTGAAGTCTGGATCCGAGAACCGGCGCTCCGTCAGATACAGGACACTATTTTCCTGCAGGCCATCATCACCGCCTTCGTCATTTCCGCTATCATAACTGCCATCTTCCTGGCTGTAAGTCGTCTTACCGCTGGGCTATCGTCAACGCTAATGCTCTCTTAGGTGCCTCGTGGTAATTACTTTTAAATAGTCAGCATATCTCACGACAAGCACATACTTAAATCCAATTTCGACAAGCCAAACAGTATGCATTTGTGAGACATGTTTCGAGCGGATCGCGGGCGAACCAGTTTGCATGTTCAAGTGTCTATTTGGGCGGAACAGGGTATGGCATCTACAATATCAAGGAGAATGAAGTGAAAAGGGGGAACAAACATTTCTCAGTCAGAATTTCGTTCAAGTCGCGATATCTCGGTTAGGATCGTGTGCCGTCGCTATCAGTAAAAATACCCTTGTTGGGAGTAGGAATGGATTTTCATTCAACATCGTGATCAGTGTCTCCTCGGGTCTTCTTCTGCATTAGAACCACTCTCAACATACGGAGTGAGGAGTTGCTCAGTAGTTTCTATCCAGATACTCCGCCAAATCCAAGAAACCAATTGTCGGGTATGATACCCGATACGATGGTCGCGTAGAGCGGTGGGGCAGGCGCGACCGCGTTCTGTGAAAGTGAAGCGCAGCCTAATGAGCCAACATTGATCGGATTAGTGACGCCAACTTTTGCACTCTGAAAAAAGACCACTGTGAGCCAACTCGACGAGATCGTCAGGCCTATCATGGCTTCCCGTGTGAGTCGCAGGTCTCGAGCGCTCGACTCTGACGATGAGGACTCGCGACCAAATACACCCTCATCAACCGCGCCAAACGATAGCAAGCGACAACGCCAAAGATATGCACATTCCCCGGAAGACGATGACGAAGACGATGAGGTTCCCTCTGATATGAGCGCTACGCCGAACATTACACTGAAGCCCTTACATCGTCGAAATCGACCTAATGATGTTCAGAGTGACTCTTCAGGCCGGCAAAGTCGGCATCAGCCGGGGGCTATTGTTCGTGTCAAATTGATCAACTTTGTCACCTACACTTCTGCAGAATTCTATCCTGGACCCAATTTGAACATGGTCATAGGACCAAATGGCACAGGAAAGAGCACTCTAGTGTGCGCAATTTGTCTTGGGCTTGGGTGGCCGCCCTCGGTTTGTGCTGTTACCCGACCGCATTTTAAGTTGGCTCACGTTTGATAGTACCTTGGACGCGCCAAAGATCCGGTCGAATTCATCAAGCACGGATGTCGAGAAGCATCTATTGAGATCGAACTCCAGCGATCTGCCGACTCACCTGAAAACCCTATCATTACCAGAGTTATCAAAAGAGAAGGGAGCAAATACACCGTCAATGGAAATGCTACCAGTGGCCGACAAGTTCAAAAATTGGCGAATTCCTTCAACATCCAAATCGACAATCTCTGTCAATTCCTGCCACAGGATAAAGTGGTGGAATTCGCACAGATGAGTCCGATCGAACTCCTCGCGAGTACCCAACGAGCTGTAGCAGGTCCTGAGATGACGTCGATGCACGACGACCTCAAACGATTACGCAGTGTCCAGAGCGAGACACTCAACAAATCCAAAGCAGAAAAAGAGCGACTGGCCAATCTCGAAAATCGACAAGAACTGCAACGAACGGAAGTTGAGAGGATGCGTGAACGAGCATTGGTCAAAAAGAGACTGGAATGGATGGAGAAATGCAGACCCCTCGTAGAGTACGCCGAGTGCAGGGTCAAATACAAAGAGGCCAAGCAGAAGGCGAAAACAATGACTCAGGAACTGAAACGTCTAAAGGCTATTTCTGCCCCCACTTTGAAAGACCTCGAAGCAAAGAGAAAATACGAAAGAGATGTCAGGTCCTTGAAGGAGAAGCGGAAGAAAGATCTGGCGGTGAGTGAAAGAAAGTGTGAGGAAGCAGCAAAGAAGATCGCCGAGACGCAAAGCACTGTCGACGATTACAAGAACAGACTGGAGGCCGAGAGAAAAGTTCCCGGCGAGAAGAAGGTGGAGATCAGCCGCAATATGAAGGCGATCGCAGAGTTTAGACAACAGAAGGAACAGGTGCCACCAGCATTTGACGCTCGTGCCATGACCGACGAAATCCTGCAAGTGAAGAACCGACAGAGAGCCGTGGAGACTCAGAAACTCGAACTGAGTGAGCGCAAAGATGTTCTCAAGACACAAGGACTGGAGGCCAGGTCACGACGTGAGGCACTAGAAAAGACCCTTCGTGATATGCAGACAGAAGCTGGAAAGCAGGAATTGAAACTCAAAGAAACTTCAAAAGATACCTTCAAAGCTTGGGAATGGATCCAACAGAACCGCGAGGAATTCAGCGCGCACGTGTATGGTCCTCCCATCGTGGAATGTTCGCTCAAAGACCCCGCAATGGCTGATGCTGTCGAGTCTCTCCTTCAGCAGAATGATTTCAAGATCATCACCGTTCAGAATAAGGACGATTTCAGGAAGCTGCAAGACAAGCTTTCAAAAGGCCTGAAACTACACGACGTCAGTCTCCGGGTCTGCCCTCCTGCTAACTCTCAACAGCAAGCCCATCGTCCCTTGAATCCAGAAGAGATGGCGAAGTTTGGCTTGACTAGCTGGGCGATCGATCACCTACAAGGCCCTGCCCCTGTCCTGGCGATGCTATGCGCGGAGAGAAACCTCCAACGCGCCGCAATGAGCTCTACAGAACTTAGTCAACAACAGCATGACCAGCTCGCCGCAACCTCAATAGCCAGCTACGTGGCCGGGCGAAAACTCTACCAATTCATGCGCCGAGCTGAATATGGCACTGCAGGAACCTCGTCTCGTGTAGGAGATCTTCGTGTCGCCAAAATGTGGACAGATCAACCGGTGGATATGGGAAGACAGGCGGCGATTCAACGACAGATGAATGAAGTTTCAGGAGAAGGAAAACTCCTGTCGACCGAATTCCACAACCTCAAGGCAGAGATTGTCCGACTTGATGAGCAAATAAAATTGCTAGCAGCGGAAGAATCAGCCAAGCGATCGGAAAAAGATACAAAGCAAGCTGCCCACGCAGCTTACAAAAAGCTTGACGCACAGATTGCGGAAAAAGAAGACAAGATAAGGATCGCGGAGAAGGCATTGGCCGAGTCCAAAGAGCTTATGAAGCGACTGAACGACGGATTGGCCAATGCAATGGTAGAAAAGACGAACGCAGTCCTTGCTTTCGCCTCTGCTGTAGGAGTTGTCAAAACCAAATCGTCTGCACTGCTCGAGGCTGAAGTATTACACGTCGAAGCCAGTTCCGACTTTACATACTTGACCAGCCAGAATGAGCAGATTGTCCTTGCGATCAGAGAGAAGGAGAGAGAAGTGGCCGACGCAGAAAAGGTTCATGAAACACATCATGAGCGAGCGAGAGCCCTTTATTCCGCTTGTCAAGGCATACAGGCCGAAGCTCAACAGCTCCAGCAAGATGAAGATGACAACGGGTTCATGGAATTGATACAACATATGGCCGATCAAGTTAAGACTCTCGAAGCTCTGGAGGCTGAAATCGATGCCGAGAAAGCCAAACTCGAATTGACCGAGGGTGGCAGTACGAATGTCATCAGGGAATATGAGGACCGAGCGAAGTTGATTGAAAGACTAAGAGCCAAACTCATAGACGATGCACAACAGCAAGCTGATCTCAAGCACGGTATCCAAGAGATTCGTGGCAAATGGGAAGAACGTCTGGAGGCTGTAGTTGCCAAGATCAACGAAGCATTCTCCGACTCTTTTGCGAGAATCGGCTGTGCCGGTCAGGTTGCTGTCTACAAGGCATCTTCCGAAATGCCTGCCGACTGTACGGAAGAGAACGGGGGCGCTGACAACGGACTCGATTTTGCGAATTGGGCTATTCACATCAGTGTCAAATTCCGCGAGCAAGAGCCGCTCAGTCTACTTGATAGTCATCGACAATCTGGTGGAGAAAGGGCGGTCAGTACGATATTCTATCTCATGGCCATGCAAAGTTTGAGTCAAGCTCCTTTCCGAGTCGTCGATGAGATCAACCAGGGTATGGATCCAAGAAACGAGCGTATGGTACATGGCCGGATGGTGGACATTGCAGCAGACGATGGTGGTAGTCAATATTTCCTGATCACTCCCAAATTGTTGAGTGGTCTGAAATACAGACGAGGCATGACGGTGTTGTGCATTGTCAGTGGTGAGAACATGCCATCAGCACGCGTACAAAATGAGAAGGGTGGATGGATCGATGGCCCCAAGGTTGATTTCAGATCATTTTTACAAAAGGCCCAAAACCTTGGGCACAGAGGAGCCGCTCCAAATGATCGAAGGGTTGATTCTGGAGTTGGCTTGAGAGGCTTCGAAACCACGAGTCGGTTTACACCGGTTGGGGCATGATGAGAGCAAACAATAGGTTGCAGAGTTGAAGATGACAAGTTATGGATTGGGATGATGATGATCATCATGACGACGATGGTCCGAGTTGGGTTCTTGAGGTACTACAGTATACGATTAGTATCAAGACAAGCATTTCTGAGATGCTTGTTGATAGATAGTGCTTGGAGCATCGTGCATAACCTACCGATTACTCCGGAATGCGTTCCCGGACTCTGCCAGTTGAGGTAATTTGATGCCAGTGACTGTTGCTTCAGCCGAGGCTTCATACCGGCAAGTGTTGATGATATTGGTTTAGTCTGGTGGACTTTGTCTACGTACTCCGCATTTTCCTCTCCATCCCCAACTCTCGATCGTCTCTACCCGGCCATCGACGCCGATATAGCCGTGCGGAATTGATAAACTCGTCATGTTTCAAATAAATACTGTACTCCGTATTCGTAGGAGAGGGTACGGAGTGACTAATTACCTTACTGCAAAGTTATTGTACCGAGGGAAGATGGCAAGCATCTGAAAGATCACACACAAACACTTTACACACACGTTTTGATATCTTGGGAAATCCCCCACGTTCCGTCGAATGGCCTTTGTGAACAACCATCTCTGAACGTTCCGATTTACCCTCTTTTACATTTCTCTTTATCCTTACGGTCTTCGAAAGGGGTGTGAGTACGAAGTACGGACAGGTGATTTAGCTTGTGTCGAGAGATATATCCGGACAGTATCCGTATTAGGGGGAGACACCTTTTTGTAAACCATGGTTCTCTTCAAAACTCCACATCCGGACGTCCAAGGTATGCTTTTATCTACTTCTCATTTCGTTTCTGGTCATGTTTGATCTCTGTACGTGGAGTACGTGGAGGAGCCTATTGTCTAGGAGGGTGGAGGGGGGCCAAATTCACACTGAGAACTCGCCACTGACAAAGACTTGAAATTTCTCAACAGTACCCGACGACATCACGACTTGGGAATGGGCGTTTGAGGACAAAGGTCATTCCCCTCTTTATGACGAGTCGTCCGGACCGCTGTGTGGTTACATCAACGCCGACACGAAAGAAAGATTGGATTGGAGAGAGGTCAAGACCAAAGCCACGCAACTACACACGGCGTTGGTCAGAGAATATGGGTTTCGACCCGGTGACACCGTTTCGTTGTTCAGTACCAATACGATATGGTACCCCGTCGCCATGTGGGCGGTCGTCAGAGGTGGTGAGTGTCAGACTCTTTTTTTCCCCCGCTCAACGCCGTCGATTAAATGCAATTGTAACCACTGACTCTTTTTCCTCCTCGCGACGCAAAACAGGCGGTAGGGTCAATGGTGCGAGTCCGGCTTACAACGTCGAAGAAATGACCTACGCCCTCAAAGTGGCCAAGACCAAAATCTTGTTGACCTTGCCGAAAAGTTTGGACGTTGCTTTGGCGGCGGCCAAAGAAGTCGGCGTCCCTGCCTCGAGCGTCTTACTTTTGGAAGGCAGGGTGGATGGGTTTCGAAATATACAAGATTTGATGGAACGGTGTGAAGAGCAACAACAACAACAACAACAACAACAACAAGAACCTCCTTGGACCATCCCCAAAGGAATGACCAATGCAGACGTCTGTGGTTATTTGAACTTCAGTAGTGGTACCACGGGACTTCCCAAGGCTGTGAGTTGTGTCTTTCTTTGTCTGGGTTTCTAGAGACGCCGATTCCAAAAAGAAAAACTAGCTAACAACGAGCAATCTCACTCAGGTCATGTTGAGCCATCAGAACATCATCGCACAGTGTCACCAATTGAAGCAGCTACAGGCCGCTGGACAGTATAAGATTCTGGCGGTGATGCCACTATTTCACAGTACGTGTATACATCACCTCGCATGACCCTTCGGCTTCTTCCTTTCTGGGTGGAGAGAGACCGACAATCCATCCCTGAAGGAAAAATATGTACGTGCGAACCAACTGACATGAGATTGAAAACAAAACATGAATAGTCACCGGAGTGGTCCGTTTCTGTCATTACCCGGTTTTCATGAACGGCGACAGCGTCATGTTGCCGGCATTCACCATGGAGGCCATGCTCCGAGCCATCTGCGAGTTTCAAATCAAGGAACTGATCCTGGTGCCACCCATCATCATTCGGTTGGTGAGGGACAAGATCGTGGACGCTTACGACCTTCGACACGTGGAGAGGTGGTCTTCCGGTTCGGCCCCCATCTCTCCCGAGATCATATCGCTGTTGCAGAAAAAGTTTCCCTGGACGGGATTCAGACAAGGGTACGGGGCGACCGAGTCGACGGCCTGCATCACCGCGCACCCTCCCTCTCACTACGACTACAGGTACGCGACGACGGGGGGCATGTTGGTCGCCAACACGGTGGCCAAAGTCTTGGACCTGACGACGGGGAAAGAGCTGGGCCCGAACCAGACGGGCGAGATATGCGCCAGGGGCCCCCAGATCGCCATGGGTTACCTCGACAACCCGACCGCCACGGCCGAGACCTTTGATCCCGAGGGCTTCTTCCACACGGGCGACGTGGGTCACTTTGACGACGAAGGGCTGGTGCACATCGAAGACCGGATCAAGGAGATGATCAAGGTCAAGGGGTTGCAGGTGCCCCCGGCCGAGTTGGAAGATTTGTTGTTGGGTCACGACTTGGTCGAGGACTGTGCCGTGCTCGGCATCGCCGACGACTACGCCGGTGAGAGGCCCAAGGCGTACGTCGTGCTGAGGAAGGGCGTCGAGCCGACCGAGGCCGTCGGGAGGACGCTGTTGAAATTCGTCAAGGAGAAAAAGGTGAGGTACAAGTGGATCGTCGAGGTCGAATTCACCGACCAGGTGCCCAAGAGTCCGACCGGAAAACTGTTGAGGCGGATCTTGAAGGTCAAGGATAAAGAACCGGGAAGGAAAGCTGGAGTGAGGGTCAGAGATGACGCTGAGAGGGCAAGGCTATAGTAGCGTATAAGTGGTATCAGGAATCCCTGAAAGAAAGGAAAGACGGGGTTGTGGGTGTGATGTGCCACGACAAAAGATTTAGACGTGATCGATGGTTGGGATTTTAGATACGACAAAGAATCTGTATGCCATATAGTGGAGTGATTCGCATTAGATTGGAGTTTCTCTGTTGAGATTTAGGGTCAGTACAGACAAACACAACATCCTCTGCCGCTATGGTCCATCCTCATGTTGTTGTTCGTCAGGGACGTCTCGAGCAGGAAGGAAGAACCATTCATCAATGACCTTTGGTCTTGGAACCGGCTTCAAATGTTCATCCTTGGGTATGTCCAAATCGCCGGGATCTATTTGAAAGGGTGATTTGTCCACTGTCACGTTCGTGCTACGGCCATTCATCAATCCGGTCAGTATAGCCGAAAACAAAGCACGAGACCGGAGTGGAAAAAGTTACCAACTAATCTTGCCTGGTGAGCTCTTTCCAATGATCAGATTATCCCAGGCACGTCGACATTCGTCAATGACACCGAGAGCGAATCTAGGGCATTGTGAGTAGACTGTTCAGTGCCCTGAGGTAAGAATCCAGGAACTTACTTCTTGTTCTGGAATTTGCCATCATATGCAAAATCGTTGGGAGGGTTCCCATTTGGAACCTTGTACAAACGAAACCATTCTCGCGTGGCCGTGAGGAACCCAGGCATGAGTCGTTCAACGTCTCCGATGTCGTGCATGTCCTTGGCCATCGGATCACGCACGTCGATGACGATGAGCTTCCAGTCCGTCTCTCCGCCGTCGATCAGCGCCAGGACACCCAACACCTTGACCTGTTTGACCTCGCCCGTATGAGAGACGGCTTGAGCAATGTCACAAGCGTCGATCGGGTCATTGTCGCCTTTGGCGTTGGTGTCGGGGTTCACGTAGTTGGGATCTTCCCAGGTCTTTTGCAGAAGCAGTTCAGCATGAGAACATGAAAAGAAGAGTCGAGGGGGGGAGTTGATGCAAACCTGAGGTAGAGCACCGTAGTTCCATATGTATCCGTGGTGCGGGTATCTATTCCGGACATACCTTGGGATACCGTCGGGTTGATCTTGGTGGATTGGGTTCAAGGTTTTGTTTCTTGAGATCTGGGTGAAGAGGCGTCAATGACCCGCAACCGTCAGTATTCCAATAGTCATGTAAGTCGTGAGTATTGATGGAGGAGAACTCTGGGGGTTACTGCTCTGATCCTGTCTTGCCTCGACTTGCGACACGCTTACTTCGTATTTCTCATTAGTCCACCTTGGAATCTCGACCACCATGTTGAATACGTGGTTTTCTCGGTCTGCGTACAACGGAATGTCATGGAAGGGAGAGATAGGGGATCCATTCTTTTCAACGAAGACGCGGAAATCGGATGTTCGAGGGCGGCCGTGGGTTCGAAGGGTATAGGGATTTGGATACGTTCGAGCAACCATTGTTTACCATGTAAGTCTCGAGACCACACACAGTCGGAGGTTTCTGGGCTGACTTGAGGTTTTGCTGCATCGTGGTATACAACCACATGAGTCCCAATACGAGTACATCTTATCTCCTCGTGCACCTGAAACACGAGCATGACGTATTATGTGGGATGCGGTCCCATGGCGTGTGATGATGCTGGTTGTGAAGCGAGGAATTAAACGTCATGCAAGTGGCGAGAAGCTGCGTACCGTAACGAGGGGCTGATGAGTGTATTGCATAGGCCCAGTATTTCCCGGACACTCCAAGCTTGTTAGAAGTGTTTGGGGTGCGCCTAGAGTTAGTGCCGGGGATGCACCTTCTAAGGGGGTCATTGTAGAAATAATTGGCCACTAAACTGATCGACCCGCCTATCCGAGGCCTGATTGCCCTCTGACTTTGATGACCTCAATCGAAGGTGATACAGTACAAGTACGAACAGGAGTACAGAGTACTACATGACGACTAGGCCCTGACCGCGATTTTAGTCTGACTCTTACAAACTCTGAGACGCTTACTTGAGATTGTAGTAGTAGCTCTTTTCTCAACGACATCCTACACACCGGGCAGGATGATTTCAGCGGGTTATGGCCGGTCCAACATCTACAGCTTTGATCCACATCAAAAAGGAGTCGGTCGTTGTCGAAGCGGAAGACTTACAACCTCACGAGCAGCGAGATGAAAGCGACAAAGGAAAAGAAGAAAAGTTCAGAGAGCTGTCGACGCGACAGAAACTCCTCGCCATAGTCCGATACAGCGTGAAACCATTTTCTGACAGACTCGACCCCTTCGCAGCTCTGCCCGTGAACCTGGACCGTCTGCAAGAACACCTCGTCAGCTTCTACCTGCTCTACTATCCCAAAGCAACCTATGGCTTCAGTTCACGACTCCGGCCACATCCAGTTGCCAGCAATTTCTCCATTGCGCTGACAACGCCAGCTTGTTTCCAAGTCATCCTGGCTCGGTCTGCACTGTATCGCATCGGGTTGAACAAATATGCTTCGGAACGCGAAAAGGACGAGTTGAACATGGCAGTGATGAGGCACAAAGGTGAAGCCCTCAAGATGTTGCGGGTCCTAAGCACCAAGGCAAGCCCGAATCGAAAAGATGACCTGCTCGCCTCGATCATCAGTTTGGGCACATTCGACAGGCGGACCGGTGCCAAAGATGCAGCAGGGATGCATTACTCTACGGTTAGACGCATCCTCAAATCAACCGGCGGGCCTCTGGCTGTCGGTTCAGTCCTCCTGTCTCGAGTCATGTGTTTCTTCGAGTGCATATACGGGACGAGTCCGGAAAGCTACATCTGGGACGAGTCAGACTTGGACAGACTGGTCAAGGGACTGAACGGCTTCTTGTTCGGCCTCTGGGAGCTCTGGAAGTCACTGTCAACGATAAGCGGCCTCACAGCGGTGACATCGAAAACTGCAGGACCGCCACGAATACATTCATTCGGACTGCAGCTAGACTCGAGTCTGCTCTCGCTCGTCGAGCGTCGGCCACCTTTGGACGCCGAACTCACTCAACAAGGTCGGCTGGAAATGATATTCCAAGTGACTTGTCTGCTGACTTTTGGTATGGTGACCTTGGATAAGGCCGGCGACTTCCGGAGCCTGCAAGAGTACATGGATGGTGTTCACAAGCAGGTAGACGACCTCCACCTGACGGGCCAAAGTTGCAACAACGTCATGTGGCAAATCCAGGTGAATGACCATAGTGCGGAGCATAGCAAGAGGATATGGAAAGCAGCATCATATGCCTGGGTGTTGAAACATGTCTCATACAATGTCCAGGTGAGCGTGAAGGAATGGCTGTTGGCGTTCTTCAAGGGTGAGCCGGTGACTGAGAAACAATTTCGTCTTGATCCCTTTCATTTCAGTTATGCCAATTGAAGGGTACGGAGTATTTATTGGAGTTTAAATATATACCCTGTACTTTGTTCAATCCATGTGGGAGGGTTAGAAAAGCCAGATTGCTGGAAATGGCATTGATATCGAACCCAAAGCGACCATTCTACGTAAAAGATGTCGTGCTGATACGGATAGTAGGGCAGTGTCAAAAGATTTATCGATACGAGATACTCCGTAAGTGGCGCTGTGACCACCACGAGGGGAGGGAAGAAAGAGAAATTTCTAATTAAAGCTGTATGGCTAATACGGAAGAGGCTAGTGTGACTTACCAATTTACAGTATTTACCTCGTATTAGTATCGGTCTGGGCTGTCGGGGTCTAACCTGACTAAGCCCGGATATTCAGGTACGAGGGCAATTTCACTTGGCAGCCGTGACATTTGACCTAAGAGAGGGAGAGAATTGTTCCGGTAGAGTGGCATTGGAATGGGAGCTATTGTAGGGGGGGAAAAGCTCGAGCCTCGTCTTTTAGTGAAACCCGTCCCGTAGCCAAGGCCACTACTACTCGTGTACTTTGTTTTTCACATGGCTTTTGAGATGATAGAGGAACTAAAAAAAGTCCCTACAGTGTGTATTCGAAAGGAAGTAGACAATAAAGAAAATGCTGTATGTAATAAGTCGTAGTACGGGGTAGGTAGGTAGTCTCAGACGTATGGAAGATTCGAAACGTGTGGCAGTACGATAAGGTATTGTAATGCCCAATACAACAAGCCCAAGCCCCTTCAGCCTTTCAGCCCCGTCGAGAAACCTCCACCCTTTAATTTCTCATCCCTCTCTGTCACGCACCACCTGACGCCTTCTGCCGCCGACCAACCTTGTTCCCTTTCAACCCGCTATCAGTTACGCTCCGTATATTCTTCTTCGTTCCTCTAGAATGTCCTTCTCTATTGTATCACCGTGAAAAAGAGATTCCTCAACCCTGGGAACAGTTCCTCTGTCCTTCTCACTCACTTATCATGTCCTTCGTTTAGAAAAATCCACTGTTTCAGTATCCGTACTCCGGAGGTACCTTTTTTTCTTCCAAACAGGTGCCAGTCACTCGTTTTGTTTTCCCAGTTCATTTCCACCTGTACCGAGTACAAAACAAACCGATCCTTGTCAACCCACCATACAATACTCGAATACACCTCGTGTGCAAGCTCCCCACGAAAGTCCATCGTCTCCCAGTTATATAGAGTTACCACCTAGGAACGAACAATGGCTCCTCAAGGTATGTTACATCTTCTTCTCGCGTACCAAACAAAACGAGATCGACTGACCAAAAGGTTTCGCAGATGGTGTCGCGACCATCTATGGGGTCCCCACGAAATACGCATCGCTCTTGACCCTCGTCATCCAAAACTCCTCTCTCGTCCTGATCATGAGATATTCCCGAATCCTGCCTGGCCCGAGGTACCTCAGCTCGACCGCCGTGGTGTTGTCGGAACTCCTCAAATGTATAATATGTCTCACCGTCCACCTACGCGAACAACGGTCCCAGTCGCAGTATTCCAGACTCCCCTCCTTCGTCGCGGCAGACGACATGGGCAACACCGCATCTTCCAACCCGCCTTCTTACACCCTCCACCACCTCTGGGCCGACATCTTCAGCGTCAAGAGTGGCTTCCTCAAACTCCTCGTCCCCGCCGTCCTATACACCCTACAGAACAACCTCCAATTCGTCGCCGCGTCGAACCTGGACGCCGCCACGTTCCAAGTGACGTACCAATGCAAGATCCTGACCACGGCCTTGTTCGCCGTGCTGATGTTGGGTCAGACCCTGTCGGGGAAGAAGTGGTTGGCCCTCGTGATCCTCACCGCCGGTGTGGCCTGCGTCCAGATCCCCTCCGGGAGCAGCAGCACGCAAACCACCACCACCCGTCAGGAGGGCAACTACATGCTCGGGATCGTCGCCGTCGCCGTGGCCTGCCTCTGCTCCGGCTTCGCGGGCGTCTACTTTGAAAAGGTGCTCAAGGGCGGCCACACGGCCTCGATCTGGGTGCGCAACATCCAACTGAGCATCGGCTGCCTCGCCATCGCCCTCTTCGGCGCCTTCGTCTGGGACGGCCGGGCCATCCGCGCCGAGGGCTTCTTCCAGGGCTACAACCCCGTCGTGGTCCTGACCATCTGCACCCAGGCCGCCGGTGGGCTCATCGTGGCCATGGTCATCAAGTACGCCGACAACATCCTCAAGGGGTTCGCCACCTCCTTGTCCATCATCCTCTCGACCGTCGCGTCCATCTTCATCTTCAACTTTGTGCCCACAATCTATTTCCTTTTCGGTTCGGTGCTGGTCTTCTTGGCCACCTACCTGTACAGCATGCCCGACACACCGAAAGCGATCGACTCGGCCGACGGCGACGGCGCCGAAAAGTCCACGGACACGACGACGACCACCACCCCGACCGTCAACGTCGAAGATTACGACGGAGAAAAACCCTCCGCCCCGTCGTCCACCACGAGAAAACCGTTCCGCGACGAAAGCGATCTCGAGTCCGGTGACGAGAGCCACGACGGTGCCAGCATCTACGACCCGGACGACGGGAACAAGAGCCGGAACTTTTCAAACTCGTTGATCAACAAGTCGATCCCGACGAAAGAGAAGCAGGTCTTGACGGAACTGGGTCACGTGGGATAAGCTCAGCCCTTGCGTCTTTCTCATGCGACGCATCTCCCGAATCTTGTCTACGATGAGGATGAATTTTCTTTTTCTTTGGAGATATACATGGAATATCTGGTCTTTTTTGGCATCTTAGATCCAGCGGGTCATTGACGTTTACGTTTTTCTTTTTTGGCATATAGCACGGAGTCAGTCCTTGGAGGGGACCATTCAAGATTTTTCTTTTTTTTTTCTTGACGGCTGGTGGAAGGCACTTTACAGTAGCAATGTCTTTCTTGGATAAAAATCTATGATTGACTAGAGTGGATCGATATTTTGGGAATCGATCGAGTCTTTTAAATACCCCCTGATAGCTTTGTCAGGATTGCTTGGAACGGGAAAACAAGAACAAGAACAGAAGAAAAACAGATCGGATCAGAACAGACTACTTTCGTATCAAAAAGCTGATCTTTCTGAAATCATGTCATTTTGATAATACTCCGTACTGATTAACATATTGGGTAGTAATCTCGAACAATAACCTCTAACATTTGCTTTCTGGTGTCATTTCTCAAGTGACGGAATCCCCCCTAGTATTACAGAGTACTCAGTACTGCGTGTTACCAAGGTAAACCGACCTTTTCACGAGCCCACATGGTCCGATGCTCCCACTCACTGCCCCGGGGGTGCAACATGCTCGCGACCTCGGCGACCAGGGCCTTTGCAGAGTTGTGCGACCACCAGAACGACTCGAGGTTCCTCAACAAGACGGCCCAGTGTAGGAAGATCAAGAGCGCCAGAGAGTCGCCGTGGTGAAGCAACGAGACAAAGTCGGCGCCGGCCATGGCCAGCCAGCCCAAGATGTGGCCCTTGTCACCGACTTCGTTTCCACCGGTCGTCGGGCCCTCGGCACCACCTACCCCTGCATCACCAGAAATGTCGTACTTGGCGAAGCACAGCTCGAGATTGTCAATGGCACGTTTGTTGACTTTGAACTTGGAATTGTCGGCCGAGTCCGTCGCGTCGTTGAGCTCCTCATTCAGGCTCGACAGTTGACGCAGGACCTGCAGGCTGTCCTGGTTCGAAAGCTCCCATTTGCCGTCTTGGAATTCGTGGAAATGGACGAGCACGTGCGCCCAGGGGCCCTGGTAAAACCACTCCTCACTGGCGTCGATGATAGAGCCGAGGCCCTTGAGGAACTCGAACATGGTGAAGACCGCTTGCATCGTCTTGTTGGCCGGGTCTTTCTCACTCCCATCCTCGAAGCCGGGGACCGCAATGACCAGGAGCGTCGTGAGGACGGAAAAGGCAAAAGCGGCGTTGCAGTTGTCCTGTGTGATGTGGTCGAGGACCGAGCGGAACGACTGAAATGCTTCGTCTTGGTACTCGAGGGCCTTCTGGAAATAAAAGGACGACGGCGCGGAAAACATGGTCGTTTCACGACCACCGTCCATGATCATGGTTTTGTCATCACCGGACTTATCCTCGGTTGGGGGTCGTGTCAATTTGGAAATGTGTAGCGCGGTGAACGCCAACAGTCCGTACAAGAGGAAATCGTACTTCAAGGCCTCTCGAGGTACGAAACGTTTCCAGGCATTAACCGTTGCAGCGCTCTCTCGAAGTCCAACACAGCTCATGTAGGTCGAGGTCGAGTAGTGGTGCATGAGCTCAAGCTCCAACAGGTGTCTCGCTTGGATCTGCGACGACTCGGGCACAGGCGTAGTGGCTGTTTGGCGGATGTCTGGTGGTGTCGGAAGGTGGGATGGTTGTGCGCGCAAAGTTGATGATGTCGGTCTTGAACGCGGGCGTGGAGGGGGTGGGAGTGGTAGTTGAGCAGGGCTTTCGGAGGCGCCATTGCTGGGTGTGGTCTCGTCGGTGTCGGTGAGAAAGGAACATGGAAGTTGACGTCTTGCACAGTTTGCGCATACTGGGCCCATCTCGTCACACTAGAATGGCGTCCAATGTGTCAGCAAACGGTTTACAGTGAGTCTTCCTACCACTGAGAGATCGCGCGTAAAGCATGGCAAAGTATTTAGCCTCGTAACCACGACGACACAACATAATTCAACCATCAATCACATATCTCTTAGAGACGGTGTGATGTTTTGTCAACCGCCAGAAATGACGCAAAAATCGAACTAGTTCATGTGTATATGATGAGATCTTACCTTGACGCGACGCTGTTTACACTGGGCACAGCCATTACGCGACTTTTTATGCGAGCGCCTGACAGGCATGAGATATTGATCTCGGAGATCAAGCTCCTGCTGATTATTTCAATCGTCGCACGAATAGACTGTGGTTGTAGAACTAAGAGGGCGATCGTGATGAAAACGTGTGCTGTTGTAGCCCGTGGTCGGAGATTTGTGAGTGAATGAACTTCTTGGGAATTTAAAATATATTCATGACTTTCTCACGCTCGGCAACTTCCCAAAATCCTCGTACGACACAATTCTGGCTGCGACTGCCACTTCATGCAAATGATATCCTACTCTGAGCAAATCTTGCCCACATTCAATTCTACATCATATAAGGAGTTCTTGGACAGTCCTTGAACTCCAACACAAGAATTTCCGCTTGCTCTAACACCAACACGTCTCAAGCTCTCATATCGTAACCACCTCCACTAACTCCAGCTTCATCCATCTCATAAATCGAAACGACGTTGTGCACGGCTTTTCCACGTCCGTCACCCCTCAACAATGCATTGACCTCGCTCGGGTGTACGAGTGCAAACAACACCATGGTCACAAACATGAGAACAGCGTCGAAAATGTACAGAAAGACCTCGTGGGAGATCAGGTAGCCGTCGTTCCCCTGCTCATACTCAATGATGCGAAATATTGATCGCACAAGAATGAGAAGGCTGCCGCTGTAGAGAGTGTAGAGGTGTTTCTTCCAGACGGACGCCGCTCTCCCTCCTCCCAGGATTTTCGAAGTTGGAGTCTTGTTTATCCTGATGTTGAATATCATCGACACAACAATGAAGAAGCCGAAGAACAAGATTTGGACCGCGAGACCTCCGACGATGATGTTTTCACCCGTCTTGACCGACGAGGAATCTCCGGATGACATCAGACCACCACCAGAAGCCTGCATGAGGAACGACAAGACATCTCCCATGACGAAGATCTTGGTCAGCCACCGCAGCTTGATGACTGAATGCACCGCGCCGTCGGTCAATCGGATGATGCGCCCTAGTTCCATGTACATCGAAGCCGCGAAAAGTGCAGGAGCGATCAGGATGAGAAGGGTCTGGAGGATGAAGGGTCCGAGGGTCCAGTTCGGGGTTTGATGCGATGACAGGGCTCTCTGTGAATTCGCTGTCAGTATTTTCTGGTCTCCCAAACACTATCGCGAGGCGAGCCTACCCCAATATAGCCAATCCATTCGACTGCAAGCACTCAAGTCAGTATGTATGTTTTGTCTTGTGAGTGAAGGTGGAATTACAATAACCCCCAATTACGAAAGGTATGAAATACCAGGTTCTTGTCCGAAGAAGCTGATATGTATGGAGGAACGTTACTAGGGCGAAGAGAATGATGAAGAGGACGGCTCCCCTGGGGTGGTGGGTGTTAGTGAACTTTTTTCCACGTTCGACTCTCGGAAAGACTGGTCACTTACGCCATGGTTGGGTCATATCGGTAGTATACAAAGTGATCGTCGGCAGCCATTTTGAGAAAAGATGTGTGCAAAATCCTTTGCCAGTAAGTCGCACCTCAAGGAGAATGATCAAATGCAAGCAGTAAGAGTGGTTTGGCAGTTGAAATAGAAGCAAGCCGTAGGGCAAAGCCTATCTATATGTATGTATACCCTGGACACGGACAGTATTCCCCACGCATAACAATGGATTCTTCTGCACAAATTTGCTTGCTACCTGCTCGACGACATTGACCTGGCATCGCATGATGCTTGCGTATGTATACGAAAACGAGAGCATTATTCCCACCACCTCCACTGCCACGATTCGTTACCTGTATAGTGATTGGACACATCGGATTCGTCGACCTCCCGGGTCTAGTCCAAGGAAGGTGGCAGTGTACCATGTTCTTCTTGGTGGGAGTGGACCGGGCGTCTCGTTTTCGTAGTCTAATCCTTTTTCGCGCGAAAAACAGACGTCTTCAACTTCGGTCCCCCGGATGCGAGTACGAAAAAGGGTCTTGGAGGCGGAGCATTGGGATGACCCTGGGAAATTTTAACAGTACAGGTCTGTCGAGAGAAGCTGCAGGCAACCACGAAAAAATAGAAGCTGCGTCGTGCAGTTCAGTGTTTCCACAATTGTAGTTCTGTCATTTTTCAGTGAGTGGGTGACGAGATCGCGAGCCCCGTCAACAATTCTGGGTGTTTTTAGCCAAGCTTTTTTCCTCCGTGCCGAAATTTGACCCGCGTCGACCAGCCGGTCTCGTTTTCGTTTTCGTATTCGTAGCAGCCACCGAACCGCGATTTCAGCCTGCTTCGTTTTCCTTGTCATTTTGAGGTTTTGCTTTGTTTTATTGTGGGTGAGTCGTCGGAGCGGAATGACTTATGTCCGTGGCTGGGACGGAACAGGGTGCGTTCTTTGCGTCCGCAACAAAAAGGACAGAGAAGACCTGCTAGAGACAACAACTCAGACTCATACAGGTCATTGAACTATTGTTGACTACCTGGGTCCAGATACTGGTAAGCATCGTTGAGATTTCTGCTTCTTCCTTCCATATTAGGAACAGTATGAACACGACGTGTATTATCTCATTGTCAGAGGACTTTTTTCCTTTTTAAACAAGAAAGCGTTGTACGGAACGAGAGGAGAGAGTCCTGAGTGACCAACAAAGAAATCGGGTATCTACCTATTTCTGGTACAAACTCCCGATAAACAAGGCACCACAATCGTTCCTCTCCACTTCCCTCGACTCGGCCGTGATCTCACCCATGGCGGCCTTGACGATCGACCGGGCGATATGATCCGGGTCCTCGACCTTGCCCTCTTTGGCCCAGACGTTGAACCTCTCCCGTTCCTCGGGCCTCATCACCTCATCGTACTCGCCGTTGAAGATCTTGTCCACCATGGGCGACTTGGTGACGAGAGGGAGTACCCCAAACACGTCCACGACGTCTTTCTCCTCGTGGGCGAGCAAGTGGATGAACCGAGTCAGGGCGGCCTTGGACGTGCAGTAGCCGCTCCAACCACGGTACAAGACCGTCGAATCCACGCCGCTGGTCACGACGATGACGGTGGGTCTTTGGTTGCTGGCTTTCCTGGACGCCGTCAGGTGTGGCAGCGACTGCTGGACGAGGTCGACCACCGAAAAGTAGTTGATGTCAAAGATCTTTCTGTACTCCGTCATGGGAACGTCTCTGATGGTTTGGACCGGCAGCATCGTTCCAATGCAGCTGATGAGATGGGTCATTGCGCCAAAATTTGCCATCGTCTCCTGGACCGCTTTTTCCACGACTGATGTCTGCGGGAGGGTTTGTCAGTACATGGCCAGTCACAAGCATAAGAGCAGGTCAGGGCAGGACGGGGACCGCGGATATTCTCTTACGTCGCACGCATCTCCATAGACGGTCTTCAGTTGAGTCCTCCCATACATCGTCTCCAACGCGGTCAATTCAGGCGTCGGGCATAATGTCAGGACTTGAATTCGTGGCGTTGGTTGTTTTTCCAGTAGTTGAGTGAGGACGCATAACCCGATTCCACTGCCCGCTCCAGTCAGTAGTACCGCTGGTGTCGACATCGAGTCTCAATGTGGAATAGGTCTTGTGGCAGGTGTTTACTCCAGTCAGGGTGCTAGTTGGGTATCAATCGCGAGAATGCTCGTGTGTGATGATGTGTTCAATGGGCAAAGGGACTTTGTGATGCAGGAGATACAAACACTCTTCTCTTCATCCACTTATTGTATTCTATACCTTCCATCTCGTTCAAGGTAAACCGCTGGCCGCGGGGGATGAACAAAATATCCTGGGGGCGCCTATCCCCGCTGTCACGGTGTTCAGCGAACATCGCCCCGGAGAGAGGCGCCACCTTTGACGTTCTTCAGGCATATTGAAGTTCTGTAATGCAAGTATTTCATGAGAACCATCATTCTCTCCCTCCCTACCTCCCCCCCCCTCTCTCGGTCATACTCGTCGAAGGGTATCCAAGACGACTGCGTAATCAATCCACTAAATCCGGTGTTTGTTGGTGGCACATGCTCGTCTTCTAGGGCCCTCGGACCTGAGACAACAGGGAGCCTTCCAGGGGCGGCTCTCACTCTCCAACTGTCAAAGAGTCAAGACTCACAATCGAGATTCCCGAATGCTTCTGCAAAGCTTGTCTCACTTATTCGGTCGCGGTGTTGCGTGCCTGTTTGATCATCTCGGTAACCCGAGTCGAATTGTAGATCGCAGAACCCAGACCTTTATTAGACGCCCACCAAAGTCTCGTCTCGAAAGAGACCCTCACCTCCACATAAATTCGTCAGGACTATGAGACGAGAAAGTCGCCGGATAGCGCGGAGAGGTGTCTTGTCTGAAATGCTCGCCACGGCTGGTTATGCGAACTTCGAACCAGGAGATGACCCAAGGTGACGTGTGTCCTTTGACCTCCCTAGTGGTGACGTTACCAACAAGTCGTAAACCTACTCCATAGAATGGATGCAAGGACTACATCAAGCTTCGGCAATCACGAAACGCACATGAGACACGTCCTCGGCTTATCGCTTACAGTGCAAGAGATTGGTCGATCTCGCCAACACCTGCCGCCTCGGCTCGAATTTCGATTCTCATGAATGGCAGGTTCAATGGTCGACCGCATCGAAATCGGTTGGACCCATGAAGACACGCAAGGGTAGGAGAGTGGTGGTCTTCAACGGAGGCCAACGCGGAAACGACGATTGGTTTATTGAGGGTATCCTTAACGGGGTGAGATATTCCTATGAACGTGACAGCAGCAAGTCGACCGGAAGTATTGTGGTTTCTGAAAAGATTCTCATTCCTTCACCTCGTAAATCTCGTAGAGCGAGCTCATGTGGGTATAATATCTAAATAAATGATAGTCGCGACAAGCCAAAAAGTCGTTTGTTCCTTGCGGAAACAAAGCTCTGCTGTCATACATACAACTTGCAAGAACGCAGCAGCAATCGAAAAATCCTCAGGTCGCACTCCTGGAAACGTTCCACAGAATGTTGCCCACTTAGCGCTGTCGCAATGCTCGAATATTTTTTTGAGAAGCCAAAAGTAGTATCGGACCTTTCTTCTGTTGTACAACGATGCTGGAACTCGCCCAAAAAAAAGAACGTGGAATCTAAAAATTTTCCTTGCCCCAGACGAAGTTGTACCCTTTGTCACCCTCACTGTACATATTGCACTTAATGTGCAATTGAGAGCCGAGGCCCTTTGGACCGCAGAAGAACACGCCAGCCTCGCCAGGTGAATGTAGCTTTCGAATTGCCCGGAAAACCATATCCCAGTTTGGACGGCCAAAGTTAGTAGGGGTACGAAGACCGGTAATGGCATCGGTGTCAGTAGAGTTGAGCATGATGTTGTTCGCGTCTGCTGCGGATATTTTGGCAGTGAGGTACTAGAACTTGTCAGTAACTGGTTTCAAGTCAAAAGCGGTGAACAACTCACAGCATGGATCTCGATCTTGTGTTGCTTGTCTTGCGCCTCAATGGCCATTAGAAGACTTTTGAACCATTCGAGAGATCCAAAGTCACGGCAGACCCAGAAAAAGTACACTTTGCGTAGGCGTGTATTGCCGTCGTTACCAGCGCTCATGCGGTACCAAATCGATTTCAGAATACTGGCGAATGGCGTCACTCCAATACCAGCACCGACCAGAACGGCGGTCTCGAACTTGAACACATCCTCGGAGGCCGATCCAAATGGACCGTCAACATAAATTCGGGGCAAGAGTTTCGTCAGGCCAGCGCCTGGTGCCATAGAAACCACTTCTGAGCGCTGCTTCTTTTCGCCAACTTCACCTCCTTTTCCACCCTTACCTTCTTCGCAGCCAAGCGCTTTGCCGAGGGCTTTGGTGAAGTTGCCGACCATGCGGACGTGGACGGAGATGTAGTCCTCCTCAGGAGCCGACGTTAAGGTGAAGGGATGGTATTGCCAGATAGAGATTTCGGGACAACACAAGAAGATATACTGGCCAGCCCTGGTTTTGGTTCTCTCCTTGTGCATTTGAATCTCGACGACGTTACTGGGATGTTGAATGACCTTGGTGACATAGGTCTTGTGACGGCCACGGATCTCTCGAAGGACCCGTTCCAACAGGTATGCAAAGCCGCCGTACATCCAGTACTCCCAAAAGACACCTGTACCGAAGCAAAAGGGTGCGGAATCGGCCTTAATCATACAGAAGGCCCCGTGGATGGACCAGAAGCCGAAGAAGATGACGAAGAGATGGTGTACGGACCAGAAGCGTTCGTAGTTCGCACGCCGAGGCTTCTCAATCGAAGTGAAGACCATGGCCATTAGAGAAAACAGCATGACGTAGCCGGACCAGCCGGGACCAGTGAAAAAGTTGATTTTCAAGAACCCAACGAAACCGAGCTTTTGCTTAGCTGCAAGTTGGGCAAAGTTGTGCCAATGCGCAATGGTATGGACCCAGGTGAATAAGACAATTGAGTAGGCCACGGTCTTGTGAAAAGTGATGTTCTTGTCGAAAGGAACGATACTGTTGAGAGGTGTTTGTCGCAACAAGGATATCAGGGTCCGGCAGACGGGAAAGAGGATCAAAGCCACGTCGAAATGTAAGACCAATGCCGCAGCTCGCGCAATTGGATACGTGATCCCAAATGTCGCGCGGGCGTTTGTAAGGTTGTCCTTCAGCTGGTAGTTCATGAAGCCGAACGCAAATATCAGTCCGTGAACCAGCACGAACACTCCCACCACCACTCGTCTTGACCCTTCATTGACCATCCATCTTTCCAACTTCTCTTTCAAGGTCAAGTCTCGAGGCGCTTCTCCGCTGACCTCCCCCGACAACAACAACCTCGAGAGAGGGGTCGACCGTGTTCGTTCCGACATGACAGACGTTCTCGACATTGTGTTTGATCTGGCCAAGGGCTTTTCCAGGTAGTACATAGGAGCATTATTATGCGTCGTGGTATTCGACCGTCCCAGCGGCACCTCGTATAAGTATGGCGGCGGTGGCGTAGACTCCATGGTTCTCGCTTTTGAAAAGAGGAGTCCACAGCTCTGACGTTCGGCCCTAGCAACCCACAGTTCGTCTACGTTGCTGCGGTAAGATCGAGACTCGACACACAGACCACAAGATGGCTGCGGTTTTTGAAACGCACACTTGACACAGAATTAGTCTGAGAGGAAATGACGATGTTTGGGGACATTGGTACACGTACCTTGGTCGTGTGTCCACCGCGGACGCTCTGTAGAGTCGCGTCAACAATGAAAAGCAATAATAAAACCTATCTATCAAGACAGTTGGGCCAAGAAGAAGAGAATGATCAACGGTAAACAAATGGAAGATCAGGGCGGAGAAGTCATAGATAACTAGGAACCCTGTGCACGGAGACTGTAGAATATACTGTGAGCGCTTGAAGTTGCCTCCAGGGCCCAGTAGGTCAGCAGTCTTCGCATGCACGAGATAGGGGGCATCAATCGGGCATGGCTTGTGGGCTCCGTGGGTGCCATCGAAGGCTGGTTCCTAGGGCGAGAAAATCATCCTAACTGGACGCGGGACATGATCCTTGGGTGACAGCACGTAGCCACCAAAGTCCAGACGCTGTGGGTGCCGCCATGGGACGATGTTGAGTTGGAGCTTCGCAAGAGTCGAAAATTGAGGTTCGACGCCGTGATTTGCAGAAGAAGCGAGGTGGATGGCTATTGGTGAAACACACTAGGGGCGAGGAGACGCTTCAAGACGACCCAAATATCCACGGCCTCGCAGTCTCTGTTCGTCACCCAGCCTTACCCCCTGCTTGCCGCCCAGGGTCCTTGTTTCAGTACTGCAAGGCTCTCGAACAGCTTACGTCCATGCTGCTATTCTGGGCCAAAACAGCACCCATTACGAGTAGTTGGCACCTACGAGTACGGCTCTAGAGACGGGCTATCAGTGCCTCCTACGCCATGTCTACCGGCTCCATCCGAAGGCGACGGTGGTCGCAAAAAGCCAAGAACATCAGTCATGCTGTACGAGGATTCCGTACATGTCAAGTCGCTGACATGTCTTCTATTGGAACTTTGCAATCCTCCAATGGGCCTGGACAGATCCTCCGTCGGGCAGACTCTAGACATAGTGGCAACGGTGTTCAGTCACAATCGTCATCGATGGCTCCGGACCAACGTGCAGCAGCTGACAAAGAACGAGCGATAGAAACAAGATGATTGGCAATAATCTGGATAGCAGAAGCACGTTGTTATCCCTAAAGCACGCCCTTAATGTAATGCATCATAACAGTTCATCCCAGATCGTGCCATTGGCACACGGCACCCCTTTGCATCGTCTACGCCCGTGTCTCCGGTGGCTCTCATCGCATTCTCTGAAGTGCATTTCGCACCATCGCCCCCCACGAAACAGAATTCGTCGTTGCAGTCTTTGCCTTTTGCTGCACAGCAAACCCGGGTTTCCAACCAGTGCACTGAAATCATGCCGTGAATCGAGCGCAGACCAGTCAACACTTTTCACCCAGCTCAAAAATTAGATTGCAAACTTTCTCGTCCATTCCCTCGCAGTTGCCTCGTATCGAGCGCGATCGGTCTTGTACACATGGGCAATTTCCGGAACGAGAGGGTCGTCAGGGTTCGGGTCTGTGAGCATAGAGCAGATGGAAAGGAGAACTGTTGCACTGAGTCAGCTTGTGCCCATGATTACATTCAATGATGACTTGTACCTTTCGATATCGTTAATGCCGGGCTCCATTGGTCTCGGAGAATGTCCAGACAGATACTGCCGTTTGAATTGATGTTGGGATGATAGATTCGGGTTGTGAAGTTGACCTTCGGTGGCTTGAAGGGGTAGTCTGTCGGGAAGTGGATGGACAGGAAGAATACACCGCCTTGGAAAGGGCTGTCACTCTGCAGGGGCTGTTAGGACAAGGTCGAAGCCAGTTTCAGGTGCATACTTACAGGACCCATGATGGTTGCTTGCCAGTGAAACTACAAATGATATATTAGCCATTTATCCCAGGACATCCATCCATCGACGCCGGGGCGCGTGACACCATTGGGGTCGCCAGTCGCGCCGGCGCTTTAGGAATTTACATACCAAATCATCTCCCATAGGGCCTGCCGAGCATGATGAAGGAGGATCACTATATGACCGATCAATCAGTACCTGATCCCAAAGTAAAATTGTCTTATCAAGCCTCAATCTTGCGGTGACCTAAGTCACCCGGACAGTTCGGACATGGAAGGGACATACCGGCCAAGGTCTGCGAGTTCCTTGTTGATACGCTTCAACGCCATGGCTTAGATCTGGTGTTCTGTGTAGATGCGGAGGAGGATTGAGGAGTGGTAAGGTGCACAAAGTCGACCGAAGGCGGGGCTGCAAACTGAGTCAATACCGCAACAAAAGTTGGTCCAGCGAGAGGAGGATGGGCGGAGGGACGAACCTGAAGTGATAAGAGGAGATGAGGAGTATTAGAGGTGTAGGTAAGGTGGACAGTGGGGGTTTAGGGAGTTGTTGTCAAACACTTGATTGTGAGAAAGTCGTTCAGTAGTGGAAGTGAAGAAGAAAGGGACTTGGTGATGCTCAGCCGACGGCGCAGTAGAAGGCAAACTTCTTGGCGATGAAAGAGCCTTGGAACATGCTGGCACTGCCTACGGTGTCCAATGACGGCGAGCTTTGGGCCTCAGTTCCTCAGTTTTCGCTGCCCTCGCCACCAACATCAGTCATCCGGAGTTTGCTCAACTTGCGGACGGGCCATGACAAAGCAGTCTTTTACTGAAGTTTTATTCACTATCCCGTCATCAATCTCAACTCGTTGATTTGTGTTTCTGCGACTTCAACACAGGCACGGAGTATCTATCACTCCTCTCAATACGCATCCACTGATGCTATAGCATCAAGCAACACAAATATCTGACTGTTGCCTAATGCTGGGCTGAAAATTGATCTTACGGCTGCAGGCGCCAATATGATGCCTTGAGCTACCTCTATTGCGCTACTGATATGGAGGGACGCCGCCCTACTACACGAACGGCTGAATGCCAGTAATTGCTCGTCCCAAAATCAGTGAATGGATGTCACTCTGTCTTTCGTAGGTTTGCGTAACGAAACGGTTCGACACATGCCGCCCAATATAGTACTCATCACTGACAGCATTACCACCGAGCATCTCTTGGAGGTGTCGAGCGTTGATCAAAGCTCTGTCGCAGTTCGGTCTTTTGATCATGGAGATCATCTCGGGTGTGAGTTTGGCTTCATCCTTCAGCCTGCCGACCTGATAAGCTGCGGCTAGTCCATATGCTATGTCTGTCGCGGCATCGGCTAATTTCTTCTGCACGAGTTGATACTTGGCAATGGGACTGTTCTTGAACTGATTTCGTTCCAAAGCATACTCGCGAGCTCGAGCCAAACAATCTTCTAGAGCCCTCATGGTACCCCAGGCGATACCATATCGCGCCGAATTAAGACATGCAAAGGGGCCTTTTAATCCTTCAATGTCGGGAAACATGCTCTCTTTCGGCACAGGACAATTATCAAGCTGCATCGATTCGGTCGACAATGCTCGAAGACCACTTTTGCTCTTCAATGGTAGCGTCGTCAGGGTATCGAGGGGGCACTTTTCGTGTGCAACGAGGAATCCTCTAATCTTTTCAGTATCTTGAAGCTTCGCCCAGATCAACAGCACCTCCGCAATCGGGCAGTGTATTATCCATATCTTTGCTCCCGATAGACTGAAGAATCCCTTATTATGAGGATGTGGTTTCGCAATCGTCTCCATTGAGCCTGGGTCTGAGCCGTGATTGGGCTCTATCAATCCGAAACAGCCTATCAATTGCCCTTTGGCGAGCTTTTCCAGGTATTTGTCCTTTTGTTCCTGCGTTCCGAACTCATCTATCGGGCTCATAACAAATGAAGATTGGACAGACATTCCTGATCGATAACCAGGGTCGACTGTTTCCATCTCTTGAAATGAGTCCTGGGGCCACTCTGGAAATTCCGGGGCAACCATACCCCTTGATAGTAGCCCCAAGCAAGCCCACCTCTCCCATCTCTTGCAGAATAACTTTGTCATAGTCTTCTTTCCTGTATGCTTCCAAGACCTTGGGCAAAAACTTTTCTTGACAGAATTAATGTGCTGTTTCTTGAATGGTCTGCTCCTCCTCGGTCAGAAAACTGAAGAAATTCAGGGGATCTTCCCATCTAAATGCTGTGGGAGTAGAAGCATTTCTACGACAGAGCACCCTCAGCGAGGCCAAGCGCGCCCGCATTGACATTCTCAGAGATGACTCAAGATGGACAAGAGAAATATAGTCACGTAGCGAGTGGTCTCCGAGACAAGAATGTACTTATAGGCACCGACAGCTTCGGGCTTCATGCTGTGGGAGAGCCGAGGCTCATCCCCAACCTCTGAAGTATTGTAGCTCACATGGTGATGATGGTGTCTATTGTAGTTCTGATTCTTACCAAATCGTAGTGTGGCTGTCGTGGCGTTCTGTACCGTGCGGGTATGGTAACTGGCTAACACGTCATTATTGGAAGTGCGCGGTACGCGACCATTGAACCATTTACGCGCAGCGGCGGACTTTTTGTTCTCTGCGCAGCCACTCCAACTTGAACCGATCTACAACGACACCGCACTTTCGCAAGCATGGGTATCAAAGGTAATTTATGTTTGCCCGGCATTGAACTCGTCTGACCCTCTTACAGGACTTTACCATGTCATCGCCGACGAGGCACCAGATGCGATCAAGAATGGTGAGATCAAGAACCACTTTGGCAGGAAGGTCGCAATTGTAGGTCTCATGGTTCCGGCAACATCCCCACGCACTGACAATGGCACAGGATGCGTCGATGAGCATATACAGTTTCCTGATAGCAGTTCGCTCGGATGGCCAGCAACTCATGTCAGATACTGGCGAAACCACCTCACACCTGATGGGCATGTTCTACCGGACTCTGCGCATGGTCGACAACGGCCTCAAGCCTTTATACGTCTTTGACGGAGCGCCGCCCAAGCTAAAGTCTGGCGAACTTGCGAAGCGATTTGCCCGGAAGAACGAAGCGAATGAACAACATGAAGAGGCGAAAGAGACTGGCACCGCAGAAGAAGTGGAGAAGTTCTCACGAAGAACCGTGAGAGTGACCAGAGAACACAACGAGGAATGCAGAAAACTACTCAAGTTGATGGGCATACCGTTCATCGTCGCACCCACGGAGGCAGAAGCACAATGCGCGGTTTTGGCCCGGGCGGGCAAGGTGTATGCAGCCGCATCCGAGGACATGGACACGTTGACCTTCAATTCGCCAATCTTGTTGCGACATCTGACGTTCAGTGAACAACGCAAGGAGCCCATCCAAGAAATCCACCTCGACAAGACATTGGAGGGCTTGAACATGGACCGAAACCAGGTAGATATGATGGCACGCGCATTCGGACAATTGACTGACTTTCCTAGTTCATCGACCTTTGTATTTTACTCGGATGCGACTACGTGGACCCAATCCCCAAGGTTGGCCCGAATACGGCGTTGAAGTTGATTCGGGAACACGGCTCATTGGAGAAGGTTGTGGAGTTCATGGAAAATGACTCGAAGAAGAGATACACCATTCCTGACGATTGGCCATACAAGGAAGCGAGAGAGCTATTCCACCACCCGGATGTGCGATCTGCCGAGGATCCCGAGTGTGACTTCAAGTGGGAAGCACCTGACGTGGAGGGCCTTGTGCAATTTCTGGTCAACGACAAAGGCTTCAACGAGGACCGGGTTCGGAGTGGCGCACAAAAACTGCAGAAGAATGTCAAGACGGCGCAACAGTCTCGGCTCGAAGGGTTCTTCAAGGCGGTTCCCAAGACCGAAACGGAGAAAAAAGACCTGAAGCGTAAACACGACGAGAAGATTGCTGAGGCAAAGAAGAAAAAGAAGGAGGACGCAAAGACCAAGAAAGAGTCCAAGGCGAGGACGCATATATCGACATGATGGCCTCATTTGTTGCAATGGGACGGCGTCGAGGACCCGGGTGAATTTCAAGGTCATGTGACTGGCAGGAGAATGATACCAACGAGAATATTTCATCGCAAGGGCGTTCGGCGGGGGAGCATAAGGAGAGCGCAGGGAAAAGATGGTGGTCCTCAGTTCGGGATGATCGGAGAGGAGATGCCCGTTGAGGAATAAATGGCACGTGCCTCGCAGGTCGAGATAGACTTGGCACTAGTGATGCTGGAGGCTTTGCGTTTGTTCACATGACTCGCCATGAGCTCGAGAGGGGGCATTCCGAATGGTCGAGCTTGATTCATCGTCTGCCCAACTCTTCGCCATCACCTTGTGGACGAAGCATTCCTGTAACAATAATAGCAAAACGATGCCCAACAAGGCAGAATATGAGATACAACGTGATCAGAACCCGATCAAAGGCCGATCCTCTACGACAGCATTAGATTTTATCTTGGCCTACATTGACCTGGAGAGGACTGACCCAGTATCGTCGTACTATGGAATGTCGTAAACAAGGTCTATGAAATAGCCGAGTGCATGAGGAAGGAATCTTGGCAGGTCAAGGTCCAACAAAGACCATTTGGGGTCACGAGAGGGAATAGTAAGACTGAAACCATAAGCCGTGGGAGGTCAACACGAACAGACACAGGCCACACGAGAAACTGAAAGAAGAAAGGTGGGTACGCTGGTGGTCAGACCTCATTCTTCGAGATTAATGGGATGGAAAATACCGTGACACGAAGAGGGAGGAGAGAAAAAAGAGCGAGGGGAGGGACGCGAGGGAAGGGAAAACGTGAGTGGACAAAAACAAAGCGTGGAGGGTGGGAAGGCACAAACAGCTTTGAGAACGAGGCAGCGCGTGATCTGGCACGACGATTGATTATTGTTCTGGTGCTGAACTGGGAACTCGATGATTTTCCCCCGTCGCCTCGACCTTTTCCAACTGTTTAGCTTCCGCCCATTGATGCGGAATTGTGATTGGCTGACGGGCGGAGGAGCTGGATTGATCTGATTGTCCACGGCACGTCACATGCGAGGTATAAACATCTGCGTGTCCCCCGCTCGCCGCGCGCTGCGAGTACAGCCCATCACCCATTCCATTCTGCTTCCTCTTCTTTCCGCCTCAAGCTAACAGTCTCCCGTTTACTCGATCCATAGCTATCTTTCGCCCTTGATCTATCTATCAGTCGATCCATCAACACCACACCATCATCATGCCTCCCAAGAAAGCCACCGGCACCGCTGCCGCCACCAAGGACAAGAAGCCCGCCGCCGCCCCGGCACACGCTTCATACAAGGGTGAGTTTGCCCGCCACGGCGCGTCGCATGATCGCGAGAGCCTGTTTGTCGTTGTCGCACGTCAATGCTGACCCTGCCTGCCAGATATGATCAAGGACGCAATCATCAACGTGAGTCAATCCCATTTGCGACACCCTCGGCGCCGTCGGATCTGCCTACCTCATTGTCCAAAGGTGCATGTGAGATTGGCGAAAGAGTCGGAATGTGTTATTGGAAGACTGCCCGCTGGAGAATACCATTGCTGACGTGCCTTTGTCACAAACAGCTCAAGGAGCGAAATGGAAGCAGGTCAGTTATCCCCCGTCCCTCGTCGTCGGCGGCTCGAGGTCTCTTATCGCATGACTTGTTTGTTGACACCTCTATAGCCGACAAGCCATCAAGAAGTATGTCAAGGCAAACAACAATGTCACCATCACATCCGAATCCCAATTCGACTCTCTGTTCAACAAGGCTTTGAAGTCGGGTGTCGAGAAGGGTGACTTCCAACAGCCAAAGGGTATTGACACCTGCACTCATACGCATACTCGAGCCTGCGTGCTGACAAGTAATCTCAGGTCCCTCAGGTCCCGTCAAGCTCGCAAAGAAGGAAGCCAAGCCTGCCGAGAAGAAGGCCGCCGCCCCTAAGGTCAGTCTGAACCATTCAGACCTTATCGCCGCCATGCTGACCCTTGTGTAGAAGGAGAAGAAGGACGAGAAGCCAAAGGCCACCAAGGCAAAGACTGTCAAGCCCAAGACCGCCGCATCAAAGGTCAAGAAGGCCGCTGCCCCTAAGAAGGCTTCCGCCGCCAAACCAAAGGCCAACACCGCTACTAAGAGAGCCCCCAAGACCAAGACGAAGACCGAGACTGTATGTGTGACCGACTCCGATAAACATCCGGTGAATATTAACATTACCACTTAGGCCCCTGCCGTCACAGACGCCCCAACAGTTCTTAAGAAGACGAAGTCAGGGCGCGTCAGCAAGCAAAAGACCACTTCTGGCACGAAGAAGGCTGCTCCCAAGAAGGCAGCCCCCAAGAAAGCTGCCGCCAAGAAGTCGTCTGCCACACCCAAGAAGGCAGAGGCCTCTGCATGAACTATAACAGGGCTTCATGTTGATGTTATGACCTGACGTGTGTTGCTTTTGCTTTTTCCAAACTTCGTGTGTGTGTATGTGCTGCTTTGGAGTGATTATGTTGATGGGACATGACGTTGGGTGGTGGCCGGGTGTGTGGGGCGTTGCTGATTGCCATGAAAGGGCCGCTCACTTTTGGTTGCCGATGTGTCTTTTTTACATAACCTCGGGGGCGTGCTGTGTTTTCGACGCGTTTGGAAATTCGATGGCTCAAGATGGGGAATCTCGGCGTTATTCGTGATGTGATTGGTTTTTTTGGGACTGGAATACGTATGGGACAAACGCAGGAGATGCAGAAATTCAGGGGCGCAAAAAGGTGTGTGTGAGTGTGTCTTGACAGTGCACGAGAGATTATTATCCATCAACGGCGCATCTCATCTCGTCTCCTTACTTTTGTATAAGAGGATGGATGAACGATGTGGGTGGCAACCTTTTGCATTTTTCGATCTTCACACGTACACAGTCAATCGAAAATGCCCCTTGTACAGACACTAGTATTACCACACCATTTTGCGCGCGCTTTTCAGTATAGCCCGGATTTTGGGGGGACTTGACGCTCTGGTGTTGATCTTTCGTCAGGGCAATTAGGTAATCACATTCTTTCCAAAACAATGTGATGTCATTAGTCATTCGGTCGGTAAACCTACCCGTACTGTTGGGAAGTACAATAAAGTGCTACTTGTAGTTACTGTTCCCACATCTCGTACTCGTACTTGGTTACTCGAGGTACGTGGACGGCCAATCTACCGGCATTCGTTCACGACACGAATCACTCGTGTTTGGTCACTGGCGGTACTACCCGTACGCGACAAATGTTCATCGTCTGGTCCACTTGATCTTGAGGTCCTCGAACCGGTTCATCTGCAGGGTCAACCTGGGCGAACTGTCTTCCATGACGGCCTCGAACCTCGCCTTGACCTGGTCGTCCGTCTCGTCGTCGCGGAGCCGGACAGGCGCGAAGGTGTACCTCTCGCACACGGTCAAGAAGACGCCCACGAACTCGACCTGGGCCATCTTCATGCCCGGGCAGACCCGCGGACCCGCGGACCACGGCACGAAGCTGCCCTTGGGCATCGTCCTGACGTTGGCGGCGATGGTCGACTTCGCCGACCCCGGCTCGACGGAGGGGTCGAGGATCCAGCGCTCCGGGCGGAACGCGTCCGCGTCGTCGCCGTAGGTTTGGAGGCTGCGGTGCAGGGCCACCGAACTGAGGTAAATCACGACCCTTCGCGGCAAAAAGTACGACCGGAGGGACGTGGCAACGGCGACGTCTTGTGTTTTGTTGACCTGTTTGGCGATGTGGACCAACGGTGGGAAGAGGCGCATTGTCTCGAGCTATCGTTGCTCGCGGTAACGGCACCCAGGGGTCAGCATTCGGCCTTTTCTTTCTCTTTTGGCAACACTCGTGTCCACGCGAAACGTGCGTGGCTTTGTGAACATGTCTGCGTGGGGAAAGAAGACTCACCATCAACGCTAGACAGCGTGGTAGCCGGGGGAATGTGTCGGCGTACTCGAGACTTTCGGTGGGCTTGTCGCCAATCACCGCCTTGATCTCCTCGTACAGCCAATCTTGGTACTTGGGGTACGTGGCGAGAAGCGCCAGCGCATACGCCATCGTGTTGGCCGTCGTGTCGAATCCTGCCGCGGTGAAGATGAAGAGGTTACCCAACATTTCATCCTCGGTCAGGTACTGCGTCGACTTGGCGCCGTCGGCGTCGGAGAGTCGAACGAGCAGGCTCATCAGGTTGGTCCTGGCTTCGGTGGCGCTCTCTTGCACCTTACGTTCGTTCTCGAGCATTTCCTTGGTAAGTTGGGGGAACTCCGTCTTCGCCCGTCCAATGTCCTGCCAGGACGAGGGGAGGATGGACAGCGTGAGCAACCTGGTGGGGAAAACGGCGCCGACGATGTTCTCAACCACGATCTTGGTGGCTTCCATGTAAGTGAAGCGTTGGCATTGGCGTTTGGGTTGTGACGTGGCATCATCCTTCCAGGGCCGTCGTATCCCGAACCCGGCCGTGCCGAGGACATTGATGGCGAGCGCTTTTCTATCGAGTCCACATTCAGTAAGGTGAGAGCGAATGCAGATTCTTGCAGACCAGAGGTGACCAACGTGGAGGAGGAGAAGGGGAAAAACTTACAACCCACGCACCGTGTCATTCGTCACTCCCTGTGCCTCGTCCACGTACGAAGCGACCATCTCGCGGGCCTGCCGTCGAGACTCGCCAAACACCAGACTGCTGATCTTCTCATTGATGTTGGGCGCGATGAGCTTGCGTTGTCGAGACCACCGTTCGCCGTTGGTGGTGAGGAGGTTGGGTCCAAACACGCCCATGATGACGTCTCCAATGTCGGTGTTTGGGAAATCCTTGGGCCGTCTGAGCACCTCGCTCACCAGGCCCGGGTCGACGGTGTTCAACTCGACGGCGCCGGTGGTGACGAGGACGAAGGCCGGGCCGTATTTTTGGAAGATGCCGCTCTTTTCTCGCCATTCGAACCCGTACGACGCGCAGTTGACCCGCTCGTAGAGGTGCCTGGGGAGGATCCTTTTGTACAGCGGGTTCAGAGGTATACCGCTCGCCATCCAAAGTGGGTTGTAGTTGTTGATGGGGCAGACGAGGATTGGGAGACCCGTCTTTCGTGCCACGAGGTAGTTTCTCACAAGGCTGTAGACATTGGACAATGCCCACAGGCCAAGTAGGAGAAGGATGATCATAGCCCAAGTCATGATCCTGAATACTCGTTTTCGTTGACTCGTATGTGTACCTAACCTAGCCCTAGACTTTTGAACAACGGAGCGTTGTTGATGACCTTCTGCTGGTGTGTAGGCAACAAACCAGTCTTGTGAAACCCCGTCGGAGATATAAGTATTCCTTCTGTCAGATTCGTGCCTCGCCTATTAGGTACTTGCCTTTTTTTTTCTATTTGTTTTTTCTGTCTTGTCTGTCTTGTCTCTCGTCGACATGGCTTTAGCAATATTATTTCAATCAAGCGCTCGATGGCCGCGCTGTTCGGTCCAACAAAGTCAATCTATATATATTTCGTAACCAACCATCAGCACTAACAAACACGGCACCCCGTTTCTCTGTTACTTAGGTATTCGTGCGGACGTATCCAACCTATCACGAAAACCAATTTTTATCCGAAAATGATCCAGGGGGGTCAGGGTCACCATAAGGCGCAGGTTACACTCCGTACAGACAGCTAGGTATAAAGTACAACTGCCGTGCCGCTTACGAAATATATATACCCAACTTTGGGATTTATGGAGTAAGAAAACAACAAAAACAAAAGTACCGCCGCCCTGCCCCCCACAAGAGCATATCTGTCTGTCGGTCAGGTTTCGAAACCCCCTCTTGACCGCCTCGAGAACAAGTCCTGTGTCCCGGTTCGTGCGAGTAACGGACTACTACAATACGGAGATAGTACAAATCGATTCCATCTTGTAAAGAACAAAACCACTCGGAAAATCTATCTACCAAGCTCATTGGCCCGCCGCGTACATAGGCATAACATGTACATACCATGACTTGACCCTCTACCATTGACCAGTACAATAGCTCAAGATCTCGAAAGCCCCGCGGCGTCGCCATTAATCGTAGGCTACAAGTTACGGTCCATCTACCAAGGCTTGCATATCTATCAGCTTGTAGCAACATTCATGTCGTGTCTGAAAGGGGTATAACAGTCCCACGTTATGGTTGGTTACAATACACCTTTTCCTGGGCCATCAACACACCGTTTCCCCAAATTTTGGCTTCTTGATCATCGTGACAAGGCAATATCATCAATCCGTAAAATCATCTTGACCGTCTCCGCTGCCAATTCGATGGCGCTGGTGCTCACGAGCAGAGGTTGGAGAACCTTCTCGTCCGCAATATTCGTCTTGACGCCTCCGCTCCTGATGCTCACACCAGCGTTCTTTTCACCCATCTCATGTCGGTGCCGGAGCTCAGTCACCACCTTGATACTGTTCAGACCGGCGTTTTCCGCCAATGTGGTTGGAATCACTTCCATAGCGTCGGCAAACGCCTTCCAGCAGATGGCTTCGGTTCCTGTCAACTCTCGTGCTTGCTTCGCTAATTGCTGTGCGACTTCGATTTCGGGGGCTCCACCGCCAGCTATCAATGCCTTTTTCTTCACCAGACAACGAATGACACAGAGTGCATCGTGTATCGATCGGTCGGCTTCGTCGAGGATCAAGGAGTTGGCCCCGCGCGCTACTATTGACACGGTCTGATTTTGTGTTGCGGCAGTTCGGATGCCGGTGATCTTCACATATCGTGCACCAGAGGATTGGACCTCTTCTACCAAGTCCGCGCTTCCGAGCTTGTCCTCCGTGAAGGTGTCGATGTTGGCGATAGGTTTGCAGCCTGTGCTCTTGCATAGAAATTCAACCTCGTCTCGCTCGATATCTTTGATCGCCATGATCTTCAATCTAGACAGGAAGTGCAGAGACAGGTCATTAACTGCGTCTCGAAGGATGGATTTCTGAATGAGCAGCACGTTGCACTTGGTCTTTTGAATTTTCTTGACCATGTTGAGTAGATATGTCCTCTCCTCTTTCAGGATCTTGTCCATCTGTCGGTAGTCATTGACAACAATCTGGTTCTCCATATCAGGCTTGGGGGGGCTCAGCTGGAATTGAATCAACGCGATCCGAGCCTTTTCTATTCTGGTCGGGCCACCACTACTCTTGATAACAGGTTGATTTAGCACCAAGCCATCAATCATCTCTGAATCTTCGATAGTACCACCGACTTTCTTGACGATGCGGATGTTCCGTAGATCTACATTGTCTGCGGTCTTTGGGTCGATCGTCTTCAGCACAGAATCGACCGCCATAGGACCTAGCAAGCCGGAGTGTTGTGACACAATTTTGGAAGACAGCGACGTCGAAGCTGCTTGTAGAAGTGTGGTCCGATCCGTCAGGGATATGGGTTGAGACATGCTGTGTAGTATCTTGACCGCCGCGGCCGCCGCCCTCTGGAACGACTCTGAGATGATGGTGGGATGGATGCCTTTTGCGAGTAATCGATCGGCGGCTCCGAGTAGGCTACCTGCGATGACCACAACGGAGGTTGTCCCATCACCGGCTTCAACATCCTGGGCTGCACTGAGGTCCACCAGCATTTTTGCTGCAGGGTGCATCACACTCATGCTCTTCAGCATGGTGTTACCATCGTTTGTGATTAGGTTCTCGCCTTTCCCAGATTGAATCATTTTGTCCATTCCTCGGGGGCCAAGCGAGGTTCGAATGGCATCGGCCACGGCTCTGGCTGCCATGATGTTGGCATTCCGGACAGCCATAGGCTTCTCCTTGTCCTAAACGAGGTCAGAAAGTAGTCCACATGCATTTCGAGATGGGTTCGCACCTTGAATGCCGCATTTCCACCACCGCCAACATTGCCTTGAATACCCAATGCAGCCGCCATATTGGCCGTTCTCTGTCAATTTATTCCTGGCTCAGATAGTGCTGGATCGTAAGAGATTGCGTGGTGGGAGAAGGGTAATGCCTACTGCGAAATTGTCAATTGCGTTCGGCGGGCACATATAAATTTCACGAGTGCAGAGTTTAGGCGGGCGCAGGCTCAGAGTGCTTTGACTGTGACCGCATTGGCACTAGTGGCGCTTGACTGGGTCCGCAGCTAAACGACTCGCTTCCTGCGCATTCAGGCACCGCGCGATTACGGAGTTCCTCATCAAATGGTCAACACTCGCCATCACAGCATTTGCACACATCAATCCTCCTGTTTCTGCATCATCCTCTTTGCCAACATTAAACACTAGAGGGAAATTTTGATACAGCGCTTGCTCCTCCACAGCTCTTCACCCTACCAAGTTCTCAAAATGCCGAGTGCCACCGGCCAGAGCTGGGAAAAGTACCAGAAGACCTTCGCCGACGATGAAGAGCCAGAGAAGAAAATCACACCTTTATCAGAGGAGTTAGTTGTGCCAGAGATATATGTACATATTCGCTGACTGAATACAGGGATATCCAAGTATTACGGACGTATGGAGCTGCTCCGTACGCAGCCGCGTTGAAGAAGCTCGAGAAGCAGATCAAGGACAAACAACAGAGCGTTAATGAAAAGATCGGTGTCAAGGAGTCAGACACAGGACTCGCCCCTCCACATCTATGGGATATTGCCGCCGACCGACAACGAATGTCCGAAGAACAACCTCTCCAAGTTGCACGATGCACCAAAATCATTCAAGACGAGAAGGATCCTGACAAGAGCAAATACGTAATTAACGTCAAGCAGATCGCCAAGTTCGTCGTCAATCTGGGAGAGAGAGTCAGTCCTACAGATATAGAGGAAGGCATGCGGGTAGGCGTGGATCGACAGAAATACTCCATCATGCTTCCCTTACCACCAAAGATCGACCCCAGCGTTACCATGATGACGGTGGAAGACAAGCCCGATGTGACATACGGAGATGTTGGAGGCTGCAAAGAACAGATTGAGAAGCTCCGAGAAGTCGTGGAAATGCCTTTACTGTCTCCAGAGCGATTTGTCAGTCTGGGTATCGATCCGCCCAAAGGAGCACTACTTTATGGACCTCCTGGTACTGGCAAGACGTTGTGCGCTCGTGCGGTAGCCAACAGAACCGATGCCACCTTTATTAGAGTCATTGGCTCTGAGCTGGTACAGAAGTATGTTGGTGAAGGTGCACGAATGGTTCGAGAACTGTTCGAGATGGCGCGGACGAAAAAGGCATGCATCATTTTCTTCGATGAAATCGACGCCATCGGTGGCGCTCGATTCGACGATGGTGCGGGTGGAGATAACGAAGTCCAGAGAACCATGTTGGAGCTTATTACTCAATTGGATGGTTTCGACTCGAGAGGAAATATCAAAGTCATGTTCGCTACGAACAGGCCGGCCACTCTTGATCCTGCCTTGATGCGACCAGGTCGTATCGATCGTAAGATTGAGTTTGCGTTGCCGGATCTGGATGGCCGTGCGAACATTCTCAGGATTCAGTAAGTTTGGGTGGACATGTTTTACTTCTTGACACTAATTCGATATCAGCGCGAAGAGCATGTCCGTCGAGCGTGATATCAGATGGGAACTGATTGCCCGTCTGACCGGTCAAGCGACAGGTGCCGAACTGCGAAGTGTGGCGACAGAAGCCGGAATGTTCGCCATTCGAGCGAGAAGGAAGGTTGCCACGGAACAAGACTTCCTGCAGTCCGTCGAGAAAGTCGTATGTATTGCAACTATCGATGATGAGCGTTGTGATATACTGACTATGATTACAGATCAAAGGCAACTCCCGATTCAGCTCTACGAGTAAGTTTGCAATCTCTCTGTTTTCGTTTTGGTTGTCCCAGACATTTCTCTAACGCTTTCTGGTAGATGTTTACGCTCAATACAATTAGCGGCCTCTTTTGGTGGTGTTTTCGGCATAGAAGAGCATGGATTTGCCTGGAGTTTGTCAAGAGTAGATCTTCGACGCAAAGACCGCCCTGGGTGCGATGGTCGTGTAAGAATACTTTCAGAATGCAAAATATTGCACTGTATTTCGTGTCTGGGTCTGATCGATTCTCTTTCTACGCCTTGTCTGTGATTGTCCATCCAGTAATGAGCCAGAATAAAGTAGTAGATTGGCTTGTACAACTGCTCATTCGATGCACCACACTGGAAGAATTGTTCGGCAGAATTGCTGTGAAGATCGTACACTCGTGCTGATGCAGCCAGCCTGGTGGCACTGGTGGACAGGATATAGCTACCATCGAGATTGTAAATGGTATACCTGACGACCGACGTTGATCACACTGGTATTTTCTTGCCTCCAAAGACTTTGCCCCCTTCGGAAGAGAGGGAGTACTTGTATATGGAGTAATTCGGGTAAGGTCGTGGAATGTGGTGATAGGGAAAATACGGCACCAATAATATGGAAGGCCTTGACAGGGCAATTATCCGACCTGCCATTGGTCATTCCCAAACCTTGACTGCGTTCTCGGCTCGGCTTGGACGCTTCATTGACGCATTCGAGCTTTCCACCACAACTCTTTCGCCTTCATCCTCCTCTCCTGCCCTTGTGTGCTTCTCTTTTTCCTCTGCTTGTGCTGGGTGCGTTGAAGCCGCCACAAGATGAGTTCTTCAACCATTCTGCGGAGCCTGACTCCTGCAAACAAGGTACGCGGAGGAGCTCGTTGTTCTTGATCCGGTGCTGATCCGATGCGATAGTTTTCTCGAGCTTTCAGACCAACAAGAAGACATTTCTCTTCAACGAGGCCGGCTGGTATGAATCCTGTTGTGCCTTTTCCTTTTGGCTAGCTGCTGACATCCATTAAGCGCGCATTGTCGCAAACAACCCCCTCCGTGCGAAAGAAGCCTCACCTCACGTGTCTAGCAAATATGCAGTGATCGACCATGAGCATGTTCCTCCCTCCTTGGTGATGTCACGATGGACTCCTAACATGAGACAGGTATGATGCGGTCGTGGTTGGAGCCGGCGGCGCAGGTCTGAGAGCCGCATTCGGTCTGGCAGAGGCAGGTTTCAACACTGCCTGCGTTACAAAGCTTTTCCCCACAAGAAGTCATACCGTTGCCGCACAGGGAGGTATCAATGCTGCCCTGGGTAACATGCACGAGGATGACTGGAGATGGCACATGTACGATACCGTGAAGGGGTCCGACTGGCTGGGCGACCAAGATGCTATTCATTACATGACGCGCGAAGCACCCCGATCGGTTATCGAACTCGAAGGCTACGGCTGTCCATTCTCACGAACCGAAGACGGCCGGATCTATCAGAGAGCCTTTGGTGGTCAATCACAAAAGTACGGCAAAGGTGGACAGGCTTACCGATGTTGCGCTGCTGCTGACAGAACTGGTCACGCCTTGCTGCACACGCTCTATGGCCAATCCCTGCATTACAACACCAACTATTTCATCGAATACTTTGCCCTGGATTTGATCATGGAAGGTGGCGAGTGCAAGGGCATCCTTGCGTACAATCAAGAAGACGGCACCCTGCACAGATTCAAGGCGAAGAACACCGTTTTGGCCACGGGTGGCTACGGTCGGGCCTACTTCAGCTGCACATCTGCCCATACTTGCACTGGTGATGGAATGGCCATGGTCGCTCGTGCCGGTCTACCCAACCAGGATCTTGAATTCGTCCAGTTCCACCCCACCGGTATCTATGGTGCCGGCTGTCTGATTACCGAAGGTTCTCGAGGTGAAGGTGGCTACCTGCTCAACTCCGAAGGTGAACGATTCATGGAACGTTATGCCCCTACTGCCAAGGACTTGTAAGTCAGCCTCCACTCGACTCCTTTCTTTCGCATGGCTAACAGCGTTCATCGTAGGGCCTCTCGAGATGTCGTTTCCCGATCAATGACCATGGAAATTCGTGAGGGACGTGGTGTTGGTCCTGACAAGGATCACATTTACCTCCAACTCAGCCACTTGCCTGCCGAAATTCTCCACGAACGCCTTCCTGGTATCTCCGAGACTGCCTCCATCTTTGCTGGTGTCGATGTCACCAAACAACCAATTCCTGTCCTTCCAACTGTCCACTACAACATGGGTGGTATCCCGACCAAGTACACCGGTGAAGTGCTCACGGTCAACTCCAAGGGTGAAGATGAGGTTGTTCCTGGATTGTTCGCTTGTGGCGAGGCTGCCTGTGTCTCCGTTCATGGTGCCAACAGATTGGGTGCCAACTCGCTGCTGGACTTGATCGTCTTCGGACGTGCCGTGTCGCATACGATCCGCGATAACTTCACTCCGGGCCAGACGCAAAAGGAGATTGCAGCCGATGCCGGTGCCGACTCGATCAACGTTCTCGACAAGGTCCGTGAGTCGGACGGCCCCAAGAGCACCTACGATGTCCGAAGCGCCATGCAAAAGGTGATGCAGACTGATGTCAGTGTTTTCCGAACACAAGAGTCTTTGGACGAAGGTGTAAGAAGGATCAACGAGGTCGACCAGACGTTCGATCAGGTCGGTATCAAGGACCGAAGCATGATCTGGAACTCCGACTTGGTGGAAACTCTTGAACTGAGAAACTTGTTGACCTGCGCGTAAGTTCTTCTTTAAATTCCACCCCGTATGAGCATTTACTAACCATTGCCGAAATAGCACTCAAACTGCGGCATCTGCTGCCAACCGTAAAGAATCTCGTGGTGCTCACGCTCGTGAGGACTTCCCCGAACGTGATGACGAGCACTGGATGAAGCACACTCTGTCATGGCAAAAGTCACCACATGGAAAGGTCGATCTTGGTTACAGAGCGGTTGTTGGTCACACCTTGGACGAGAACGAATGCAAGGCGGTTCCACCATTCAAGAGAACGTATTAAACCTGAAGTGGCATGTGTTTAGGGATGAAGGGGGATTTTGCCCTCCGTTTATATGCTGGTTGGAAAGTTACTATACCATGACACAAACAATGTAAAAATCATCATATTCTCATAAACCATTATGCATTTGATAGCCTGTGCCGGTCATTCCCCTATAACATATTCACACCCTGGTTCAAGATCAGCTGGGCCACGGTCGAAAGATAAGGAAAAGAGCTAGCCACCTTCATTGCCCATCCACACTTCGTGCACTTTGCTCGCCGGTACGTCTATCCTCGCGCCCGCCCCGAACTTTTCCTTTGTGGGGTTGGAATCTCGTGGGTAAGTGATGGTTAAACTGCCTTGACGGATGAGGTGCGTCGTTAAGCCGGAATGAGAGTGCGGAGGGTAATGGACAAGAGGCCCGTCTGTCCACGTGAAGACGTGGTTGAAACCCCATTCCCGAACGGTCTTTTCGTCTTCTGCACGAGAGGTCGTCTTGGTAGAAGACATCGATGAATGTGTTCTTAAGATGTTGTCGTTCCTGTCTGGATTGACCATACGCTTCACGGAATACACATATGGAGTGGCACTTGTACGAGAGCTGTGAAAAAGACCCAGAGTCATAAGAGATATTGTAGATGGACGACAACGTGATATATAAAATTCATTACGTAGGCCAAGGAAGGATTTTAACTCCTCCATACGACTAAGACGAGTTTCTTTTTACACGAGGCTGCACATTATATTCCCTCTACAAGTATCTACCCACGGAGTATGCGTGATCCCTCGTGTTAGTTGTAATTTTCTGTGTAGCCTTCCCTACCTACGAAGGGGACTGATGATGATCTTCAACATTATACCATACGACATCATTCGAGACTCGGCTTAAACGTAGGATGCACAACCAAGGTACTTCGTACTCGTCCTCACAATCAGGTCAAGTGAACCGTTTCCAAGTATTGAACCTACATGTACGGATCTGCAGCTTGGCCCTCGACGCCAACCGAAAATTTGAATGATTAAGATTCTCGATACGGTCACTCAACGGCTGCGTATTATGAGAAATTGGTCAAGGTCTCGAGATTGCTACATCGGTTGCCGGGAAGATGGAAGATATGTTTTGACAAAGGGCTTGATATAGGGTTATGTTTATGATGTACTCCCTGAAAGAGAGCTTTCTCACATTCAACCATTACAGATCTGCGACGAATCAAGAGACGCAATCCAAAGGAAATGTCGTTTAACCTTTATGTAAACCCTCATCTCACTCTAATTCACAGCATCAAATGAAATATCACTTAACCTTTATGTCAATCCTTCGTATAACTCTTGTTCAGCACTGACCGCCATGATATCCGGGACATGTTGATTGTGTACACATCATTTTCCCGATTCAATGCATTGTTGTAGAGTGCTAAAAATGGGATCATCACCCTTCCATGGCAACACGGACAAGGGAATGTCTGTCACATTGCGGCAATGACATGCGTACTGTACTGTCCTCCTTACACGACTGGTCTTTCAACCTCGCAACGGGTCGCTTCGGAATTCGGGTGGATGCATCCATGCCCTGTGCATCCGGACGCCGTCGTACTGTAGACGCAGGAGCCACGTGAAGCAACAATATAATTGACAATTTTGGGGGTCGGGGCCAACCTTGGACATCAAACCCTGCAAAGGATTCCAGGCTGATTTCTTGTATTGATTGCAGTGATATAGACGACCCATACCAAGTAAGCCGACATCATCGACAAGGCTTTGTCCCAAGTCCTGGGCTCGCTTGGCCCCAATGAGAAAGGGGGATCATTGAAAATTCCTCCTCAGTAACACAGGAAAGATCGAAGTAGCCTCATCTGGCCCGGCAGAGCTGTTGTAATCATGCTCCGCATTCCAACGACGTTGTCTGTAAAAGACATGTAGTCCGTACACTAGCGACCCGTTTGTACATACGGATACTGTACTTTATGAGCGGTATGCACAGTGTTGAGCGGTGTTTGTTGTCGAAAACGTATAGTCGTACGGCGCACGTGGATGACGACTCCTGCTCCCAACGCTTCGATCGGCACTGCGGTGGCCGAAATGGATGGATGTAATTTCCCCCAGGATGCAACCCAAACGTAAGCTCGTCAGGGTACGCAGGTACAAGGCTGGGACAAGGTGGTGGCGTGTACTGGCGCGAGAAAGGGGTTTCCAAGACATTGACGAATATGGTTAGAAGAAGGATCTTAGTCTGCCGAATCGGGACTAGCAATGTTGACGGACAGCAGCCATCTTTCCACCATAGGCCGTTGGCACCACCTGAGAGTCGCTTTGCCATGAGAAGAGCAATCTATCTGCTGTCATGTACGTATTGCGAGGGCGCCCGTTGCTGTGAAAACAAAAGACTTTTTGACAAAGAATGAGGTCCGAGACTGGATGGAAATAATGCATCAACAATGTCCTCTTCGATCTCCTATACAGCTCCATCACCAACCCCGGGATCATCTTTGAAAGAACCCGTCTCAACGACGCGCGAACTCATCGGCCTCGTAGCTAAACAAAAACCACTCTCCACATCAACGCGAGCCCCCGTCAAGGTGCCGAGCTGATGGCATCCTCCCCCTGCGTTAATTCTTCAATTTCCCCTGGCGTCTTTCCTCTTTGTCCGCTGGCTTGACTCCACCTTGGAGGGCCCGGACCCCTGACACCTTTGTGCAAATCTCCATCTTTCTGCCCAGGGCTGGTCCTCGTCCGGCCGGTTATTTTTGAGATCTGAGCACTTCGACAATCTGGGCAGGACGGCGGGAGTGGGTCGTTTGTTGTTTCACGACTCGGCTTCGCGGTCCATCACTTGGGGCTGGATGACGGCGTGTTGAAGGCACCATCACACAACCCCAGGCCCTGGCCTGTGGCGGTAAGTATATCTCTCTCTCGCGCGCGCCTCTTTGTCTCCCTCCCCTCTTCCTTTTTCCCTTTCTTTGTTGGTTCATCACATTCCTTGACCGTACAAGTACATCCCCCAAAGTCTGTGACTTTCGTTTCGCCCTTCGACTCCCCGTCGCCCACACTCATTCATCCCCGGAGGATATAACCACATTCATTGACTCAAGCTCGTTCTTGAACACACTCCCTCGACGAAACGAAAGAATTGTCCCGCACGCCCTCCCCTTGAGACCACTTCGAATTTTCTCTCTCGAAAATCCCCCCCAAAAAACAAACATTCAAAATGTACACTCTCAAGACACTCTCTGTCATGGCGGTCGTTGCCGGCGTTGCCGTTGCCGCCCCTACCCCTGCCGAGGACGCCGGCCTCGTGAAGCGATGGAGCCACGGCTACCGCTGGTGGTCAAACGGAGACGACAGCACCTCTCTGGTCGTCCCTCCTGGATGGGCTCCCGGCCAAGCAGCACCAACTGACACCCCTTCGACCACCGTTGTGACCGTCGTCACCGAAGTGGCCGGCGGTGCTCCCGCTCCATCTGCTCCTGCTGCCGCCGCCCCAGCTACTCCCACCGGCTCCTCCAGCGGTGCCTCTCCCACTTCCGGCTCCAGCTCCGGCTCCGGCTCCTACATGGATGTCGTTTCCAAGTGGCGCGCCGCTGGTGGTCTCCCCGCTCTCACCCAGGACAGCACCCTCGAGGCCAATGCCCTCAAGACTAGCACCAACAGCGTCGGTGGCCTCAAGCACGAGCTCAACCCAGGCACCATGGCCCAGGTCCTTGCTCCCGGCAACCCAACCGACTTCCAGGACGTCTATGTCGGCGGATGGCTTTGCGAGATCCCCAGTCTGCCTGGCTTGAACGGAATCTGCTCTACCCTGTCTCAGGGATGGAATTACGACGGGCAGACCGGGCATGCTGACATTCTCACGTCAACATCCTATTCTAAAATTGGTAAGTTCTTGATGGAAAGAAATGCTTGAGTCAACGGGACCAAAAAGTTCGGGTCGATTTTAACACATCTACACGGATCGGACCTCGAATTCATCGGTTGAGACAAGACACAAGACTTTCAAGTCCGGGTTGAGAATACATAAGAACATCGCTGACTTTTCTCTCATTACAGGATGCGCAATTGCAAGTGATAGTATGGTCTGGTCATGCGGTGAGTACCCTAATAAACCCGTATCGTTGTTGCAAGACGGTACTAACTACTTGATAGATCTTGCCTAAGCGACAATATCGACAACCGACATATGCTGTGGTTTTGCGTAGAGGACCGAGTACGTTTTCCTCAACCCCATCAACTCATCTTGTGTGTCCGATATACTGACGATTGCCTAGTTTTGCTTAAGCATCTTCTTCTGATGACTCGGTGGAGCATACCTATGGTCTTTTGACGAGTTTCTATGATCATTCCATTCAAATTGTGATAGTCTTCTTCAACCAAGTTTGCATTATCTTGTACGATACTGAGGAAGTTCCAATTTGCTACTGCGTGATTCAAGTTTTCCACTTCATCTTCCTGCTGTTTGTAAGCTGGGTGTCCTCCGTATACAGAGTACAACTCCATCCCCAGCGCTGTCGTGTCCTTGCACTGCTGGATTGGGACCAGAATGTCTTGTTGGTAGGGAGTATATCTGTCATAGTCTGAGTTGACACAAGGCAATGGTGAGTACTCCGTACTGTGATGAGGATTGTAGTTGTGGTTGGCATCACCGGATGTCGATGACAGTGGGTCTCCGCGACTCGATTCCAGCTACTTGTACGGAGTAGGAACAGTTGGGTGATCGCCTTGATGTTCCGGAGTATTACTCTCTACTCGTACTCGTACCTGCCTGAAATCAGGTACTTGTTAGGCTCCCCAGGCCACTATTTAGGCGAGCTACGTCATGTTGCCAAAGGGGGATTTGTTACCTGTGTCGTACGTGTAGAATCGCCAGACGTGGGCGCAGCCGTTACTATGTGATTAACATTCAACTAATATTCCAATCGTGCCTGGGAACGTACCAAATGCCAGTTTTATGTCTGGATGAGCAATCGACTCGATCTTGCTGGCTCAGAGGTGAGACGTTACGTCTTGGAATCCTCACTCACCGTCACTCAGAAGACCTCCACCTTGCCTGCGTCGCCCTCTTCGCATGAGTCGTCCTTCCCCCAGAACCTGCCCTGCTGCGTCTGTATGTTGGCGGCCTTATCTCTCTGCGGCCACGTTCACCAGGACAGCTGAAGCACCCTAGACATTAGTCGAACCATGTCCAAGGATGGAGATACAACGTCGCTTGCCGTACGTGCTGCTGGTGGAGGCCAGTCGTCAGATGCAGCAAGCGAATACCTCCTCAAACCTTTCTCAGAAGCAGTGCTATCACATCTCCTCCGGGCACATAAGCAGTTGCCGCTTGAACAGCAACAGCAATATCCGGACGAGTCTTCTTTCCTGGCACATATGGCTTCGGACAAGTCTGCTGCAATGACAACGTCCCCGGACAATGATCTCAGTTATCCGTTGTCTTCGTACTTTATCAGTTCCAGCCACAATACATATCTGTCAGGACATCAGCTCTATGGAGAAGCCAACGCGGAGGCCTACACCAACGTTTTGAAAAGAGGTTGCCGTTGCCTAGAAATTGATGTCTGGGATGGCGATGACTCGGATACTAGCAGTTCAGATGACGAGGATGATCGCGTAGCAGGACACCACGATCGCGGGATTGACAGTCACACCAAATCTTCCCGCTGGAACCGGGTGAAAGCACGCGCAGCCAGAATGAGATCGCGTTCTCGCTCGGGTTCTCTGACCGATCGCAGAAAGCCTCCAACCTCCACAGAGGCTCGCCCTACTGACCTCAACACTTCCAGCGAAACCGACGCAACAACCCGGCAAATCGAGTTACCGGCCCAGAATATGGATTTCTTATCGCCCCAAACGTCACCTGCATTTCCACCCAAGGTCGAGCCTCGTGTACTCCATGGGTATACCCTCACCCAATCAATAACCTTCCGTTCTGTCTGTCATGCTATCAAGGACTATGCGTTTGCAAGCACAGATCTTCCTTTGATAGTATCTCTCGAGGTGCACGCATCGCTTTCGCAGCAGGAAGTAATGGTTGAGATCATGAGAGAGGTCTGGGCCGATTTTCTCATCGATATCACCGAGTGTACGAAAGAGCTTAACCTTCCATCGCCGGACTCGGTACGAAAGAAAATCTTGATCAAGGTCAAATGGACCCTGAACAGTGAAACGGGGGATTCCAACAATCCACTCGATCATGTTACTTCACAATCGACCGACGGAGGTACCGAAGACAGTGCAACGACTTCGCCCGAGAAGAAGAAAGCCTCTAAAATTCTGACTGCGTTGTCTGAACTTGGTGTTTACACTCGAGCCTACAGTTTCAAGCACTTTTCTCAACCAGAAGCGTCAATCCCGACCCATGTATTCAGTTTGTCGGAAACTAAGATGCTCCAAATGCATGGAGATCCGACGTATGGTCCAGCGTTGTTCGACCACAACAAGAATTTCCTTATGCGCGTTTTCCCCAAAGGGACAAGGATTAACTCATCCAATGTCGACCCGACCTTCCACTGGCGACAAGGCGCGCAAATGGTTGCTTTGAACTGGCAAAAGATGGACAAGGGAATGATGCTCAATGAGGGTATGTTTGCAGGAACCGGGGGCTGGGTTCTTAAACCAGAAGGTTATCGCTCCACAAGCCTTAAGTCCACAGAGAAATCGAGACCTGAAAAGCGTCAGCTTGATCTCGAGATAACTTTCCTTGCTGGACAAAGAATACCCCTGTCCGCTGACAAAGATCCTGCTCATGCTGCCAAAGTCAAACCTTATGTCTTAGTTCAACTCCACGTAGACACTCATGGGCCTCCTGGGGAAGGAAAAATTATGAAGCCTCATTCAGGTCTACCACCTGACTCCGGCCCTTACGGGTCCGACGAGAGCGACCAAACGACGTATAAATGGAGATCGTCGACATGCCGCACCGACTGTCCTGATTTCGGCGGTCAGAGCCTCAAATGGCAAAATGTACCCGATGTTGTTGACGAGCTTAGTTTTCTCAGGTATGTCATTCTTCTTATGTTGGCATTCTCCATTTCCGGATTCTCTGCATTTCCGCGAGACAGTTCTACAAACTCTATGCACCCGACGATGTGTGATCCTGGGCTGGGAAGCTTGCCTCCATTTGAGGAGTTGACGTGTTCCCTCCTTCGTCGTGCATCATCTACATGTCAATATGATGGCAATCCAAGACAGTCTGGCCCCTCATATCTTGCTCATGGACCAAGATCCGGTACCATTTCCGCACACAAGGACTGATATCGACAGTGGAAGCTTTTGTACCACAAACCAAGAACCTGTAAAACAGTTTTGTGGGCTAGTTTGGTACAAAAGGGTACATGCAGGATCGGACAAGTAACCGCGGCGAGTCAAGGAACACATTTGTTCAGACTACCCGGCGCGTGGCTGTCTTGCGGTTCATGCACTCCTGGTCGATCATGTTACACGAATCTGCTGCGTTTCTGATTTTCGTGCTCTGAGCTTTCGCCCAACGTTTCTGATCCGTCACTTTGCCACCTTTTCATGCAGCTACTGAGAGTGCTAACCAAACCGTAATGAGTAGGCTGAAGATCAAGGACGACCGCTCCTTCGGCAGGGATACCTTGCTCGCCTGGGCATGCATCAGACTTGACCGCCTAGAGTCAGGCTATCGCTTCATACATCTCCTTGATGCGGCAGGCCAGCCGTCGGTAGGGGCATTATTGTGCTTCATTTCCAGACGTCTTGATTGATTTTCAACACATCTCGGATCGAGTTCTTTTGGGCGCTCCTCCCCATACTACCTCAACGCATTCCCTTCAGCTAAAGGTCACCATGATCCCCGCCAGTGAAACATCTCTAGCGCGGCAGAAGCTATACAGGTCTAGAAATTTACGATGCCCTCGTGATGGCATTAAATAGGCGAAAAATGCCAATATTTTATCACTTGTCTGGGGCTCGGAGTTTTTCCGAACCGCGTCCCAATGTCTTACATTTCTCAGAAAGAGGTGCAACCATTCCATGTCACCTGCTTTCTTCCACGAACACGTCCTTGGACTCGGCTTTATGTCCGCAAGTGCAGCCCTGGTCATGCTCGCATTGTCAGGCTGACAAGCACAAATCGTAATGGGGGTGATTTGTGGAGAGACAAGCATAAGGTTCGGCGGCCACCATTTGAGGAAATACAATAGCGGTGATGGCTCCCACTTGGTATTCGAATGTTACTGGACATCTCACACCGTGAAGCAATGTCCTCGCGCAGAACCCTAACATCTGCTCTGCGTCGAACCTACGATGCCATCCGAGGCGTCCCTACCGGCACTACAACACTGGACATTTGCTGGCCAAGTGCCACTTTTCCGATTGGCTCTCGATCAAGAACATAAGACCTCCTGAGCATAAGATGCTCGCTCACCGTTTAGCCTTTTCCCCAAAACCATACATATCTCTGACATGGTTGCGAGTTCCCACTCGTTCATTTGGGCAGTTGTCACAGAGGCGATTCTCACGAATCGATATGGTAATGATGCCGGGAAGACAATTTTTTTGTTCCACAAAAGAGAAACGTGGACCGGCCAGCTCCTCACCGATCCGCGCGGTGGAACACGATCTGCAAAAAGAACACACTGGATTAAGTTCAAGCCTACAGGTCGAGTGCCAGGCTTGTACAGGTGTCATTAGGTAGAGAGTCGAAGCTAGGTCAGTATACCACTTGCATAGTACGAAGATTGATCGAACTTCATCTTGTGACTCCTGTCCGGTGTACAAACGTCGGAGTGCTGTGTCGATATGTCAGTGGTGCATTCTCACCAGGTCGAAACTGATACTTGGCCTGTGACTATAAAAGCAGGCAAGTCATAGCTTAACATCATGCTCGCCCATCCAACTCATTTTCCATCAATCCCATCTTCCATCGCCATCAACGTCAATAAACTTTAACACTATCCAAGCTCGTACTTACCGGCTTTGTACAATGAATCCCACCAGTATCACGATTGATACTTGTCTGTGGCAGCCAAAGGCTCCATACATTCCGCAGCCAAAACAAGATCGTCCGACAGGAGTTAGTCGACCGGTTCGTGTTTCCCTATGTCTTGATTGTACCCTTCCATGACTCAACAGACTGCTTTCCAGATGAATGGCATCCGATGCCCCCGATGCAAGGGGAGGGGCCAAGAGGTCTGGGTTATCCCAGGAACACGATGTCACAAGTGCGGCCACCCGTGCTGAGGCCATAGTGGGAAAATCGGAAGTCAGAAGTGTGCCTCATCAGCACAGTTTCTGCCGTCAGGGGAAGACACGACGCAACAATGACATCGTCTCCGGGCATAATTGTCTGAATTTGGTGGGCAGAATAACGGAGCAGATTCGATAGCTGATGGAAATATGATAGTGCTCGATTACTGGTATTTTTTTTTCTGGCTTGTATCCTGTAACATTATCATTGACTCGACATCTTTGTAGGACAATCACTGTCATACAGGACAGCGGATAGATGTACTGTAACGCTGTTCTCACCAAGACTGCAGATTTAGGCAGATGAGAGTTGAAGTTGCCAGTCTCGACGTTTTGACCACGTTCAAGTAATCTGAAATGTGTAGGTTGTCGATTTCCGTCTTTGGAGCCTACGTAGCAACAGGTCCCGAGTGGTTGCGACACGATAAGGTCCACGACGAAGCATCAAAGGCAGCATCCGCTGAAAGAACAATTCACTTCCATTCTGCTCTACCTGCATTTCTAGGCAGGACGTTCTTACATGGTCGAGAGCGAAAAAGCGGCAGCGGCGTCATCAACCACAAACTTCTATTGGCTTGACGCAAAAATCGAACCTCCACCCACGTCTTCTTTCGCGCCTCAGCACATGATCGCTTCATCATCTTCTCTCATATTTCCCGTGCTCGCATCAACTCAGCATATTTCCCCATTGACTCGACGTGGGAAGGGAAGCATGCAGCTTACGCCGCCACGTTGAATCATATTCTTTCTTTGGACCCTGGACCGTGATGGCAGTGGCATGATTCGGGCGCCTTCCCAGGCGAACCTCAGCCTATCAACATTGCCATCCTGCTTCGAATCACCGGATTCTCTTCTAGCTTCTTCAGGTCGGACTGCTCTTCCCTGGACTTGCATCTAGGCACCTTTCAAGCTACGGCGTCCGCGCCGAGCCTGCACATCATTGCTAGGACTTTGCAGATACGCGCTGCTTCCATCCCGGCATTAGCCGGTAGCAAGCACATGTACACGCTTTGGTGAAGGTCAGGTAACTTGCAGCTCCTCCGAGCACCCTCCGCTACTCTCCACCATTGTGCGCGGCAATTACGCCACCATGCCAAAGCCGAAGATCGACCTCTACGCAGAAGCGCTGACCAACATCCGGCAATTGACTCTTCATGCGTCTCTCCAGAGCGAGAAGAACGAGCACACGAAGATTTACATCTCCTCGGACAAGAAAATCATCACGGCGGTTCACGATGGAGAATCGTCTAGCATCTATCTGCCCACTCAAATTTCTGGCACTGCAAACGTCACGCTCCCAACCGATAAACGGACGGAATTTTCGGCCCGGTTACAGATAGAAGACGTTAGTCAGTTGAAGGACAAACAGGACGAACCTGGTAATTCGGAGGTGCCCTGGTCTGCAAGCGACCTCACGCCAGAAGCCGCCATCCAATGCAAAAACTGCGGTGCTGACATTGTGCAATCTGGCGAGATCAAGACATGGAAAGATCTCCCCAGTGATCATTGGGCAGATCTCATGGACTTGTGGTTCTGTCACAAACCACACGAAGGATATTCGCCACATGACCACGCCGCCGAGTCTAAAGGGTTCTCCGCAAAGAGCCAAGTCGCCACCACCGCTGGTGTAGGGCTCGTGGACACTGTCTCGTTCCTTTTACACCGAGAGGATTGCCTCAACCTTCAGGTGCGTATTCATCAGCGTCAGCCGAGTGATCGGCGATCTTTGTGGCAACGTTGGCGTCAAGAAAGAAGCTTTTCAAGTCTCGAATTTAGAGCGTCAGTTGATCCAGTTTCTGATACACTCGCCGTACATTGATTGATATTCTCCGTTTGTGATTGGCCGAGTCAACCTCTTGTCTTGACAAGGATGGATGACCGGCCGTTTACCAAGTCCACGGATCAGCTTCCTCCTTATTTCACCTTTGCCCGTCCGAGCTGCCGGGGCGTAAAGGGATACACGTGAGGAACATGCATCGCTAACACTACGAGTCCTTTAGGCAGCACCTAGCTTGAGGGAAGAGAACAAAATTGTAAGATGTGACGTGTGTGAAACGATGATAGGATCTTCTCAAACAGGGCGCTCCGGCACTCGACTCTACAAGTCACGATTACAAGTTCTACCGGATCCGGGACAGGATTGGCAGAAATATCCGGCTGCCGTTTTCCTCGGCGCACAATTACTGTCTCTTATCGAGAGCTCTGTGAGTCGTAAGATTGTGGTTCACCGAAGCAACGGTGAAGATGCGACATCCGGTAAGCTGGGCCTTTTGGTGTGGGTATTCAACCCAGACATCTACTACTCGAGTAGCAGACGAGGGCCTACTGCTCATCGGGCAATGAAGATCTTCTACAAGGCTCTCGCAGATCCTGAAACATTCCTTGACGACAATTCCAATACCCACGAAGAGCTCGCGGTTCCAGAAGACGATTACGCCGAATTCAAAAAAGTTTTATTCGAGAGCACAGAGATACTCCCCGAGGCCGCGCAGACGTTCCAGGACTGGACGGTCGGGTTGCTGGACAGATGGGAGAAACACGCGTCGGGGTCCGCGAAAATGGACGAGAATCCTCTCAACAAGAAAGTCGAAGACGGGTTCGAAGTGTTCAAATTACCGGCTGGCATGTCGGAACTGTACCTCTAAAACTTTGATTTACCTGTACGAGATTCTTGTATCACACATCCAGTCTCTGTTTTGGTTCTGTCAAGGTGTTGCACTATCACGTATATCACGACATAGATCTCAGGGAACCCGGAACATGTAGGAATAATCCGAATACAAATATAATTTCCGACGACTATAGCCAGAACGGATACTGAGTACTGGGAAGATCCTCAGGGTTGTACCACTGTGAGTGTTGCTACAAAAGCTGTGGAAGATGAACCTCAATGACACTAGAACTAAAAGATGGAAATTGCATCGCTGCTTTGGTGGAGTTTGACCATTTGATTGGATAGTCTTCAAAGCCGTCTCGCGCCTCGTCCGGGCGGCTTCAAGACGAGCACAAGGCAGCATCAAATTGGCGCCAAAACAGGACAAGGCCCAAGTAGCTAACCCAAATCTTGGCAATTCTATCTTCAGTTGCGGCATCTCAAAGAGCTCGATTGGAGCTTGCACCAGCAATATCAGAATCTCTGCTCCTTCACGCCCACCACTTGTCGACATGAGCGCCCTCCGACTGTCTCGTGCAGCGCTGCGCGCTAGATCCGCAGTCGCCATCAAACCCATCCAGCGTCGAGGTTATGCTGAAGCCGTCTCGGACAAAATAAAGCTTTCACTCGCCCTGCCCCATCAAGTACGTTTGTCCTCGGAAGTGTCCCGTTCGAGAAGCTGGAATTTGGATGCGGATGAGATGAACATTGACTAACGTGTCTGGAATCTAGTCCATTTACAAGTCACAAGATGTGTACGTCCTGAATCCATCGAACCCGGCACCGTTCACTTCGACCCCATGGAACTTCGAGCTGACCGAAATGATTCTAGTGTCCAAGTCAACATTCCCGCCGAGTCTGGTGAAATGGGTATTCTCGCCCAGCACGTTCCTTCGATCGAACAGTTGAAGCCTGGTTTGGTCGAGATCATTCAAGAGAACGGTGAAAACAAACAATTCTTTCGTACGTCTAGTACTCCTTTGACAACATGGGAAAGAGCTGGAATACTGATATTATTCGACAGTCTCTGGAGGTTTTGCCGTCGTTCAGCCCGACTCGAATTTGAGCATCAACGCAGTCGAAGGCTTCCCCATTGAGGACTTTAGCGAAGAGGCTATCAAGTCCCAGATCTCGGAAGCTCAGAAAATCGCCAGTGGAAGCGGAAGTGAGCAGGACATCGCAGAGGCCAAGATTGAGCTTGAGGTAAGACTCGGCGCCTGACCCTCCAATTATTTTGCCGTGCTGATGATGCGCTTCTACAGGTCCTCGAGTCATTGCAAGCAGCGATGAAATAAAGAATTAGCCATGCTTTTGTACATATAAACCGATGCTCGAGAAGAAAAGCGCAACTTGGTCGTCAAGTTTGAATTGTACCACTCTGATCATCCTCTCGTCGTTTTTTTCCGCCCAAAAATGTTGTCTCTCTGCGCCATTGATTAACCCCTTTGCTCATGACTGACCACTGGTACAATCTTTTCTTGATATGTTGTTTCGCCGGAGCAAATCCTACCTGTACACGACACTGGCGCTTGCCGTTAGCTGACTCGTCTAGCATCAATGCTCCTGCCTCCTAGTTTGGAAGTTCACGAAACAACAATGTCGGACTTAACCTGCTTTCCCTGGACCTGCTTGTTACGCTTATCCAGTTACGATTTTCAGTTTCTACCGCTATTCTACTGTCGACTGCTTTTTTCCCCCAGGACCCTAATATGACCAATAGAACAATTCTACACAGTCTTCAATATGGATAGCTCTCAAGCGTTTGTTTCTCTCTCGCCCGTCATAAGTATGGCTAACGGAATGGTAGACCGCAACGTGGCACTGTGGCCGATCGAATTCGAGCCTTCCAGGATGTGCAAACACTAGAGTCCCGAGCCCCCACCTTCAACCTCGCTCCTCGGATTCTTACCCACGCAAAAGAGTCGGGGACTTACGAGGCTCAAGGTCGCAGGGAGAGTCTGAGCTTTGCTTCGCCCGCGGGACGGGCTTCAAGGGACGGTAATGAGGGCTTGCGTGGCGATGGTCGACCGCCTGTCGGTTCAATCATCTACAAGCAACCTCATTCGTCCAAAAAGGTGGCAGGACATGAGGACACAGTGAAGGTTCTGCCCGCTCGACCTGTTACGAGCCTTGATGAAGTGTTTAATTCTCATGCTGTCTCTCGTCGACCCACCGAAGGGGATCAAATCCATCAACTTCACCGCAGATTTCGATCAATGGAGGCAGCTGCGGACCCGTCTCAGGAGATAGCCGTGGCTAGATTGAGGCTTCGTTCGGTGGTTGAAGATAGATTGGTGAACGAGAACCAACCAACCGAAAAGGCATGCACCCTGGCTGAACTTAACAATATGTTGGATCATGCCATCGAAGGGACAGGACCTCAAGTATTTTCTGATGACGATATGGTAGATTCAGCACAGAAATCCACCACGACGAATCACTTGAATACGACCAATACCATAGATCGTCGGTCCCGGTCCAAAGCCAGAGGAAATAGACGAAGTGTTGATTCCGGCGGACCACGCAGCAGTAGCGAAGAGTCCCTCAGAGTCGATTACGAGAACGACTCGATCTTGTCTCTACGTGAACCCTTCGCCCCTGCCCAGGACCACCGCGTATCATCTATCAATTCGTCTTTGGCAGTGGCTGGCAGGTTACAAAAGCCCATCCTTGCTCATCCAGCAGACAAAGATCTGGTGTCAGTTGAACAAGTGCAGTCACAACCGGGCAATGAACTCAGTCCAGTCAAGCGAAGAACAGCCATGTTCGAAAGTCTCAACAAGAAGCAACTCGACTACGATGAGGTCCACAAAACTCACCATCATGCGGTGGCAAGCCAAGCTGATCAAGATGAGCATCAAGGGCCAAAAAAGATGCACAAAATCAAGTTCGGAGCTACGATTGAGGAGAGATCTGGGACACCATTGATACCATTAGCTTTACCAGCTATGGTTCACGAGCGACAAAAATCAGGGCTTGCAGCTGTGTCTCCCGAACCGAAAGGTAACGAAGACGATCATGTGCGTGAAGCAGAGGAGCAACCCACTGGTGATGAGGATATGCCCCAGGACAAACAACGAAAGACGTCCCTGGCCTGGCCTTTTAAATGGGGACTCTTCAACAGAGCCTCTGCCACGACATCGCAAGTCCCAGAACAATCATCTTCGGACGAAATCAAGCGTGAGAATGCACCTCCGTCTCTTCCTAAACCGAGCATTGTCAGAAGCAGGGTCCATGAACTGTTGCAAGCTGCTAGCGAACAGGATGATGCGCTGAAGCGCCGCAGCTATTCTGAGCGAGAAAGATTCAGCCGTCGGCAGACTCGAGCTCCGACAATGCTCGTCAAGGAATCAGCCTTGCGAGAAGACAAGGTCGATGTAGACCAGCTCAAGCCTACGCAAATTCCTGCTCTTCAGATGCCAGCAGATGAAGAATTTGAAGGGCTGAAGTCTCAAGGGGATCCCGAGGATATACCCCTGCCAAAGACGCCGCTACAGAGAGCCATGTCCGAAAAACAAGTCCTAGCTCCGCCGTCTGTGGTTGAAACAGAAGACAAATCCAAAGCCAGTCCTGTCAAATCTCCACCACTGACTCCGATAAGAGGAAGGCCAAGAAAGTCCATCCACCGAGGCTCCGTTGGTGGTCAGCATGGGGTTGAACAACATTTCAAGCTGAGTCCTGGGCCGAGTCGGAGCGTGTCGAGAAATGGTAGGGGAGGAGTCAAGGTGGAAGTTGAAGTGCGTGATAGTCCGGGACGAGAAGCAAGAGAAAGAGGAGAGAAGATTGTCATTATCAGGGCAGATGTTGAGGGTCCTGACAATGAGGATAAGTGAAGTCGACAAAGATTGGTTTGGTCGAAAAGCAACGGAATCCAGTCGTTCATATGGGATTCGAGGCATTACTAGTAAGTGATGCGACAAGCAGGATAAATACCGCATCTTACATGACAAGGATAACAAAGAGGCTTGACTAGAGGACTTCAATAGAGTATACTAGAGCAGTATAGGTAGGTATAGAACAGTATTTGATTGATAGTATTCGTTTGAAATTTCAAGCAATTCAATGCTCTTTCTTCCACAATCGTGATCTGAGCCGAGGAGCCTGACATTGATAATCTTGGGGGAGATGTTGAAGTATATGTGTTCCTACTTGAGCATTGCTTTCAAGTCGTCTCGTTGATCGATTTCTTCAATCATTTTTTTGAAATCTTCATCACCGTGTTCATAAGCTTGAGATTTGAAATATGACATGTTATCTTTTAACCAATTTGATTCATTACCAGCCTGACGAAACAGTCAGTGTTAGTAGTGATGGTGTAGGTAAGTAGATGCTGTACAACCGTACTAGAGGATATTTCGGGGGATGTAAAAGGGGGAGGAGGGGGAAATGAAATTGGAAATTTTAAAAAAAAAGACAGAGCGAGAACGAGAGAGAGAGAGAGAGAGAGAAGGCAAAACAAAACAAAACAAAACAAAACAAAAAACTTACATCTGGTATAGTAACACCATTTTCCCTTGCAGCAATCATTGGATAGAAACTTATCATGTGCATTTTTCTGGCCGCCTTGTTGTCTTTTTGGTGGTTGTCGTCGTCGTCGTCGTTATTGACAACATCATACCATGACTTTTCTATACGCAAGGCCAAATCATCAAAGATTGCCTTTGTCCTTTCCGGGGACGTCCTGACTTGTGCAATGATACGGTTGGGACCATGAGGGTGATGATGACTGAAAGGTTCACCCGCCAGGTAATACGTAGGGTCGTCCTGTTCGTCGGGTGCGGTGCCGGAGGATGTAGACGACGACGACGCCGTCGACGTGGCGGGTAAATATTGAAATATGACATTGACAAACAAACTCGGAGTCAAAAATGTCGTAGAGTGTAAACTCGTGACGGATTTGGCAATCGATCGTTTTTGATCAGGTGTGAGTGGGTAAGTGTGTTGGATCTATTTTTTTTTTTGAATAGGTTGTGAGTTCCTGGGTAAAGTGACGGAGTAGAATCCGTATGATCGAAGGAGTTGTGCTGGTTGATGATATGGTGGTGTTTCTTTTTTTTTTTTTCTTTCTCTTCGACGTCGATCAAAGTCGTTGATTCATATATGAAGAAGAAGAAGAAGATTTTTGGGGGGGGGGGGTTACCTCGTAGATTGGCATTGTCGATGAATCCTACTCGAATCTTTTTGTTTTTGTTTTCCCTCTCTGTTTGCAATGTTGATGTTTTTTTTGTGTGGATTCGAGCGAAGTGATGCTTTTGCTTTTGCTCTTGTTGTTTCTACAAGAAAAACGTGGTCCTGTTCCCCGGTCTGCACAGGTGTGGATGACGGAGGTTGTCAAGAAAAGAAACTGGAAAAAACAAACAAACCTACGGTGTATGATGCCGAAGAGTTTGTAATGATCCTTCACATTGTCAAAGTACTCGAGGGAGGCGGGAAGAATGGTCAGAAGTTCATTTTCGAATATGAATAGTAATCATGATAAAGAGCATCACCCCCATACGGAGTATTTTCTGTCAAGCGGGGAGAAGGATCGGCTTATGTTGGTTCTTACCGTGAAGTCGTACGTACGAGTAGTGAGTACCCTAAGGTACCTCGAGAATACGTCGTAGGTAGTCAGAGTGGCCCCGAGAGTACGTCGTAGGTGAGGACGTCTTCCTCATAGGTCTATTCTCTATTCTATTCACACGTCGTCGTCAAGGTCGAATCGACTAACTCTCGTTTGTAGTCTGCGGAAACTTCCCCCCCCCAGACTTTTTACCCAAGTTCCGGGGCTTTCACGGGGCACAATGATTTGATCATTTCATTTCACCCGAACGTTCGCCGGATCAGATCACAAAGTCCTCTGGCGAATTTATGGATTTTGTCGAGATGACCATTTTATTTCCCATTGGAATGGTTCTGGCCTTGACAAGAACTCAATGCATCGCCATGACGCCATCTTTGAGACGAGCTTTCGAGAACTCGGTGAATTCTATTGGATACCTTCATGCCCTCCAGGTACTGCGTCGCATCCGCACTCGAAAATCTGACACCAGTGACACACCATGATCATCATGCTAGCTTTTGTTTCCTCCATGTCGTTTGGAACGGAAATTCTCTCTTGCCTTTCATGTTGGGTTTCTTTTTTGGGCTCGACACATAAACTTTTTGAGAAAAAAAAGTGTTCAACGCCCCCAATTCTGATGCACAGGTTTGTGTAACAATCGATAACCATAACCTTGGAGAGTCATGTCAATGTCCTGCCGATACCCAAGGACCACCCCCTCCCCCTGATTAACCTGTCATTGTTGTCGTTGTTGGTCGCTGTGGACTCATCCACGAAGCATACGAACGTGACCTCGTATCCACTCAGCGATCCGTTCGCGGAGAGGTTTGGTAGCCGGTCCAAGAGGGATAAAGTTGCCAAATATTGCGAGACTGAGAACAGATTCGAAACAAGTCAGCCAGCCAAACTCAAACACATACTCAACGCCACTCGTGGCAGTGGCAGCAACGAACCGATGCCCACGTACTCTTGGACAAGCCACAGTCTTGATACTTACGTGATGACGACAAAGCCAATGACTGACATTCCAGTCAATAGTCCGATTCTGCCCAGGGTCACTGAACTACCGGCCGGAGAATCGATCTCGTTTGTCCAACCGCTCGGAGTTGCTAGAAAGGTGGCGTGAGGTGATGTGATGGTGGCTGTCAGGTTCGAGGGGACAGTCATGACGGTGACGATCGTTGGGGTCTCTGTCAGAAAGATAGTCTTGTCGCCGTACGTTGTTGGGCCACCTGTGATGTTGAATCCTGCAGGGGTTTCCTGAAGTGGGAATCCGCCACCACATCCACCACTTGCCACTATAGTGGTGGTGGTATTGATCCAGGTTGGTGTTGTTCCTTGGGTTTCGGCTTGGCTGATGAGTGTTTGAATGACCGAGCCTTCGGTGGTGATGTCGACATTGACATTGGTACTGGCCGAAGTAACAGCGGCGGCGACATGGGGACCGATGCTGTTATTTTCACAGGTAGGTCAATGTTTTTGCCGCCAACCTTGCAAGAAATGAGGCATTCTTTCCGTACATACCTTCTGTTGTTATTGTTGTTGTTCACCATTGTGGCCGTACACTCAATGATCGAAACAACGAACCCTCTTGTGGGTTGGAAAGTGATGTTTGATTCAGTCATTCTGTCAGTCATGGATGAACAATGTTTCTTGATGTAGTGATAGTGGAAAGAATGGAACGGTGAGGTGTTGAAACGAGTGTTTGTTGTTGCCGCGATGAACACAACAAGCCGTAATGGATCAATACAAAAGGTTGTCGTCGTCGGGGCGATGAAAAGGAGTGTGATATCGTCGGGGCGATGAGAAAAAAGAATGACGATGTCGTTGGTTTTGTGGGAGAGCACAACGAGATAGATATGGAAAGGCGCAGGCTAACAAAATTTTCCATCAACGACATGTCTGTTCAGTAAGTGACGACAATCTAAATATAGTCCATCCATGAGCTTTGAAATGATCGTTATGAGGCGCAAAACTGAAGTGAGAGGAAAGTGAACCATATCGGCTGAACACGGAGGTGAAGCAGTATTGGTTTATGGGGGTATCTAAGGAGAGAGAGAAGAAACGACATCTCAGCAATAAGGGGAGACAACAGACCGTACTGTACGTTTCTTTTTGTTCAATACCTTCTTCATCTGGAACTCACACGTCCCGCTTTTATATCCCTCCGCCGATACGTGAAGATCATTTTTCATCTCACGCATCCTGCTCCAGTGCTACGTCGGTCGCCGTGGCTGGTGTGCCCTCTGTGCTATCTTCAGGAGGTGCTGCCACATCTGGGCTTGCTATTGCCGCAGGTTCACTTGTCGTTGACTGAGTCTTTGGAGGAATGGCTGCTGCTGCGGCTTCTTCTTCGGCATCCATCTGTAATAAGAATGTTTCCCACAATTCGATCAACTGTTGACAGGATTAGTTCAAAGAGAAAACATCAGGCAGTAAAGAGATGGACACACCTCTTTTTGGGCCTCCACGGCTCCCTCAAGGAACGTCTCAACACCACTCTTAAAGTCCTCGACCTTTTCCCTCTCAAATCTTTCCAGCTCTCCGCGCATGAGACGTCCCATATCTTCAAACAACAATCGTGCCTGGTGCGCCCTTTTCTCGGCATCACTAACGCCAGCACCGACCTCATTGAGTTTGTCTTGCTGACTTTTACCCTGTCGAAGCAACTTCTCATGGGAGCTTCGACGCTTCGCAAGCTCGCTCTCAGCAGCATGCCAGGAGTGGAATGCCTTTTGCCTCTGTGTGAAAGCTTGCTTCACGCTTCCGATCAGGCGAATATACTCGTCAATCGTGATACCCAGAGTCAGAACATCTTGCTGAGCTTGCCTCTCGTACAGTTCTCGAATTCGAATCTGCAGATCTGCAAGACCTTGTACTGGCCCAGAAAATATCGGTGACAGTTCGACCCTCGCTAGATTGCCCAGAGACAATGCAAAATCCCCAGCAGCTTCAGCCAGACCCTTTCGCTGTGCGACTACCGTGTCCAGCGCCTTGAGCAAAGCTCTCAACTGATTTTCCAGAGCATCCAGATAAATCTTGCGATCATGGAACCAATCATCATGCTCAACAAACTTCCCACTTGATCCGCCTACATTGATACCTAGGGAACTTAACATGCCTTTGTTTTGGCCCAAGTCGGGCTCTCGGTTCTCCTTGTTCTTTACGTCAAGATTGAAGGCTTCACTTTCGAGGAAGATCTTGAGATCCGCATCGTGGTGCAATATCGGGTGAGCAGCAATCTTGTTTAACATTCGTTCCAGTGCTTGCCGGCGAGACTCGACAAATTCGTTATCGAACCGACCGACGGCTTGTTTCTCTGGAGGGGGGGGAACCACGACACCCGGGTTGTTATTGTGAAGAGCATTGTACAGCCACCGGAAATCTCGATACCGCCGAGAGACGGCGAACTCGGGTTGTTTGTAGGCTTTCGATGTCGTCTGCAGATGTGAGCTTTGCGCATCTACTGGCCTCTTACTGGGGAACTAACCTTCGTTCGCACTTGATAGACAATATGACTGCTAGTCAGATCTCCAACCTTGTGTGGATCTCCCACCGAAATATCAAACGTGGGTTTCGCGGCTTGCTCGACGCTCACGCTAGGTTGTGTCTGACGAACCGCCCCAGTGGCCTGGGGTTGTACAGGTGGTGGACCCTTCGTCCTTCCCACAGGAAGAGAGCCATCTTCATATTCTGAACCTGGAAAGCCCGGTGAGGGAGCAGAGGGTGGGCGGTTTGCTTTGGCGCTGAGCTCTTTCCTGGGCGGCGTCGGGGCCTGGTCTGCCTGTATCGAGGGAGTTGCCGGCGAAGGCTCTGCACCCAGAGGGCCCAGCGGATCTAGAGAATCGTCGACGGCCTCGAGCTTCGTAGGTTGAACTTCGATCTTGCGTGCGGGTATCTTTCGAGATGAGGATGGTCGGGGTCCGCTGCTGGTAGGTTTCGAAGGAGTGGATGAGCCTGGTGAGGCATTGGTATCAATAGATCCATCTTGGTCTGCGGAATGCTTCATACCGGGAGCGGCATTCTCTTTCGAGGAGCTCGTTGCTGATTCTTGAGGCTCGCCCTGTGATTTAGAGGGGACGTCTGGGTTATTGTCAGCGCAAGTTCATACGTCTGGGACATCATAGAATGTACCGTCCCAAGGAGAGTCCATATCCATTCTTGTTAGGTTCGCAAGTCTTCTAAAACCGAGTTGCAAAATAATCGAAAGGACTGAGTAGCAGCGATTGAAGTATGCCTGGTCACGGTTGCGTGGAAGGTTGAATGCGGAGGAGATACGGATACAAGCCACAAGTCTGTCATCCACCATGTGCCTAGAGGGCACTCGAGCTCCGTATTGATACGGTATTGATACCCTCCAGCACGATTACTCGCCCACCCAAATACCGCCTGTTAAAGCACAACTCCTCCCACTTTCTTCATTCAATGAATATACCTAGCAGCTACGTACCTCAACTGCATACGATTCATCTTTTCTGTAACCATATCAATACGAACAGCCACCCACAGACGATGCACACAGACGATCTCTCCTTGAACTTATATAGGGAAGTTTGACTCAATTCTCGCTCCATTCATATCGACTCCCCATGGGTGATCCAATATAGTTTTGCGTTCCTTTTGCCTATTCCATCGCTCTGCACTACTGAAACTAGAATCAGACGGCCTTCTCACAAGCACAAGGGCAGAGCAGCACATCAGGTAAGTCTGGCAGGGCTCACTCTCCCCTCAACGAAGGCCTGCACCTTCGTTCAATCATACAAGGGAGCGAGAAGCTTGTCGATACGGTTCATCCAAATCCAGCATAGACTGTGGTTCTGCCCTGCATGACCTTCCTTCCAAGCCCCAATCTCAAAAACATTCGTCACGTACTTGTTCAAGCGACTGTCTCTGCTTCCTAGCATGTCGCCGCGACCGACGTCCCATATAATGAATACCCCCGAACCTACGAAGCTTAAGAAAACCATGGTGATGGGCTTGAACACTGGGTTTCTTTCTCAGATGGCCCACCTATACAAGTAGAACGCTTTCGGCTAAATATTGTGACACCTATACTGTACATGTAAAGCAGCTGACACAGAACCACCTGGGCGCCGCTATTTCTTTCCACCCTTCTTGCCCGAGGACCCTTTGTCCTCCGACGGGTTCTTCTGGCCAAAGGAGCTTATCATGTCCAGAATGTTGAAATCATCCTGCTCAAATTCGTTGTGCTCGTCCTCGAACTTGATCTCTTTTGCTGATTTGACCTCCGCAACAGGTTTCACTGCCGCATCGGCCTGCTGTTGTTGTTGTTGTTCTTCTGCTGCTGCTGCGTCCTGTCCCTTTCTTGTCCCCTTCGCGCTGTCAAAGCTTGTACCGAACCTCGCTCGGAAACCTGCCAGTCGTCCAGCTTCATCCTCCTCCACGCTCAATAGCTCCTTCGAAGTGGGATGCCACAAAGGTGAATTTCTCGTGTCCCGTGTAGATCTGTAAACTGGGGTCGGGGATGTGGTTCGCATGGTGAAGGCGCTTCCGTCCGAGAGCGTCACGAGCTGGGTGAAGGTGTAGGGTCGCTTGGGTCTCTTGAGAAGTCTTGCATGCCTACACGACTGGCAAATGTACGTCGTTGATGTGGTGGCAGAAGGTAGACTGGGTAGCTGGCCAGGCCGGAGAACAGGTCGGAGTGCAGAAGACATTTTTGGAGGAACGGAATTTGAAGGTCAGGGATTGTTCAAGCTGCTCTTCTTGTCGATGGCGTCGATTGAACTTCTTGTTGAGGTGTAGAAGCCGGCGGGCTCATAGGTATCACAGGCTATTTGCTTTATGCGATGGGCTGGCTTGAGGGCAAGCAACTTCAGTGGAACTAAAAGGCTGGATCAAAAAGATTCCCTGCCAAGGCCGCAAGGCTGTGAGTGAGAAGCGGCCACGAGGCTGTGCGAAACCGCGTACAGTGCAATCCAGAACTTCTTCTAGTGCTTTTGGTCCCTTGGAACCGCAACACATTCGTTTCTTGTGCTCCTATCTCTTTACCCAGGCCAATAACTTTTGATACGGGACAGAGTATTGGCGAATTATCGTTTCCCCAATCTCAGTACCATAACAAGTCATGGCCGACCCTAAGAGGGTCGTTAGTTTCGATGCAATCATCCAAGCCGGTCAGTGTCAAACGTGTTTTGCAGATCACCACTCCCACACACACCCCCCAACTGACCACCCTGACTTTAGACCGCCAGAGAAAGAAGAACGAAGCGCTAGCCAACGAGATTTTTGGCAGGAATAAACAAACCAGAGGCGACTCCCGTAGTTCAAGCAAAGTATCGACGAGGACACCGGACCTTGCCAGCAGAATCACAAAGGTATGCGCCACCCAAACACAAACTCTCAAACTTTCCCCTCCTACGCGAGTACAAGTTCTAACTGTACAAAACCTTTTACTGACCAAGCTAGGCCTCTTCTCAACAACGCTCGTCGTCCGTAGCGAGCACCGCCTCGGCCAGAAACAATACGCCCTCTAGACCCTCTTCCACGACCCCTCAACAAGCACGCGCGTTACGGCTCGCCTCTGCGCTCGAAACGACACAGCAACAGGCCAATATCGTCACGCCTTCACGTCGTAGTACAAAAGGCTCTGGTCTTGGTCTCAGCATAAAAGGCAAAGCGGGACCTTTTGCCGTCGAGGCGAGCAATTTCGCGCCCGGCACCACGGCCGCAGACATCGAATCGGCGTTGCAAGGAGAAACAATCGACGACAATGGCGCGAGCGGGATGCTGTCCTGTCGTATCGTGGCGACCGCACCTGCGGTGGTGGCGGAGATGATCTTTTCCGAACGACACATCGCAGATAGGGTGATTTCGACCTACAACAACCAGAGAGCCGACGGGCGAATCCTACACCTCTACTTGAAACAGTCCGGTTCAGGTCCTACACCCCTTCCAGCAGGGAACGCCATCGATACAGACCCATTACCACCGGATGCAATGGCATCAGACCAACACGGTGACGACAATGGCACGGAAGACATTGAAATGGAAAGTGAAGTTCCTTTGGCGCAGGACGATCGAGACCGCGAACGCGACAGACGACCTGCCAAATCTGATTCTGACAGCCGTGATGGAAGACGCGACGACTACGACGACAGAAGAGACGACGACCGCCGAGATAGGGATCGAGATCGAGACAGAGAGCGAGAACGGGAACGAGAACGAGATAGGGACAGGGAGCGTGACCGTGATCGGGAGAGAGATCAACGCTACGACCGCCGGGGCGACGACAGAGGTCCAAACTCCTCGTCCTACCGCGACACCGCCAACAAGGCCAACAACGCCTACAACAATAACAACAATTACAACTCTCGACCCTCCCATTATGGCAACGGCGTAGGAGGGCCTGGGCGAGGCATGTACGGCGGTGGTCCCCCCGGCGGCATGTACCATCGAGGAGGGCCTGGGCGGATGTACAGTGATGGTCGAGGTGGACGAGGTGGTTTCGGTTCGGGATACAGAAGGGGATATTAGCAATATCCGCCCTCGTCGTCGTTATCCTGAACACTTGAGGGGTTGGGGTTGGTCTTTCCCGGCCTGGTCTACGCCTTTGTTTCTCTCCCTTCATCATTCTTGTTTCAAAAAAGAAGGGAAAAAACAGGTGGATGTTTTGAATTGAATGGGGTGACAAGTGGGGATCGATATCATAAGGAGGTAGTCAGTCGCAAGCACCCAAGCGAGTTTCGACATTTCGAAATCAAAACTAAAATTGAAGAAATGATGTTTGGATACGATTTTCTTTTTTTTTCTCTCTTTTTTTTAAACAAAAAGAAAGATTCAAAAAACAAAAACAAGAACAAAACAACCACGACAGATGGCAAGTAGGAGTGACGAGTACTTTAAGGTGGCGAGTTCGCCAAAATTGAAAATCACTCCCTCCCCGAGAAACCAAGTTGAAGTACGGAGTATGTGATTGATATCCTGGCCCTTGCACTTCTCGGTTGCAATAACCTCTCTCTCTTTCTCTTTTCTTCGCAAGTCAATCACGTTGACCACCTCCCTACTGCCCTAGGAAGGTACCTACCTCACTCGCACTTGCAGGTACACATCTATACACGTTCGTAACCCTGAGTTCGGAAGACAAATTGTCCCTTGGGGGCCGCCGCACCGCTACGATGAACAAAGGGAGAGAGAGAGTGTGTGTGTGTGGTGGAGGAAAAAAAAGAAGACGCCATACAATCATTAGATTTACCTACGATGTTGTAGCAAGCTCTAGTAGGTGGCGTCCCCGGCCCTCCTCGCCATCATTACGGAGTAAACGTTTTTTCCTTTGGCCCGAAAGGAAAGCAGCTCTCTTTCTGTCTATCCATGAGACCGAATCCATGCGACACGGACGACGTCTTCATCCGAACTCGAGAAAACATAACCCAGTTTCACAGCGTCAAGAACCAAAGAAAAGACACGCCTCCCGGATCGCCGACACAAATCTCCACAGACATAGGCATAGAGTATGTATGTATGCTGCTGCTTGATGCTGAAACCTTGAAACCTTCTCCAAACCAATGACGCCCCCAAATCTCATACACTTAGAATTGCCCCAGTTTCGTAACCATTGTCCCCAATGTCCTCGTGTCTGTGTCTTGTCAAGTCCCAAAGTTGAATCCCTAATCACTCTTCAACATACTCTCGACCAGATCGCCCAGTGGGCCCCAGTAGTCTTTGCCGCCGCCCTTCTCGAGCCCATGCTCATCGATGAACAAGACGTAATGTTTGAAGCTGGTGTTCAAGTGCGGTTCGAGACCCAAATGCACGATGACCTGGTAGTGGTGACAATAGATGTGCGCGTAGACTCGGTAGAGTCGCTTGAACAGTTGTCGTACCGTGCTGGGGAAGTGTTTCGGGAATGGGACGCCGATACGGGACGGGAAGGTGGATTCATTGTCGACGTTGGATTGTACCCACGTCATGAGGTGTTCAATGTATTCTGGAGCGGGCATCTTTGTAGGTTTGGGATAGCCTGTCGCGGCGTCTTGCCAGAGGTATTCGAATCTGAAGACCATACGTTAGTTTCTCTGACGTTTCTTTCGATCTATTTTCGTTTCATATTCTTATCGAACATATGATCGAAAAAAAAGGTAGTGAAGCCTCTAGCGAGGAACATGTTTCCAGACACCAGCGACAAAGACAGACATACTCATCTGTGGCTTTCATCTCGGGACAGGACTGCGGCGAGCAGAACTCTGTGATTGATCCATAGAGCAGGTTGATCTGATTGTAAAAGTCGACCACTATACGATGAGTTTAGTCTTCCCATATCCAGCAAAAATCCTCGGGGGGGAAAATATACCATTGACCGCGAGCCATTCGTTCAAATCTTCGCCCTCTGGCAGTTTGACCGCCTTCCGCAGGCTACCGCTTCCCAAGGTCGCTTCGGCAAACTGTCGTAATTGGTAACTCGTCGTGCCTTTGTTGGTACGCTGTGGCTTGAACTGGCCCCGTGTTCGGGCATTGCTAGATGATGGAGAGTCAATATGCGATACAGGAGAGGAAGTCAACCCTTGACGCAGGAGTTGTGCGGCGCGAGAGGGCGTGCAGGGCGATGGGCACGGTGATGAGTTGGGCTCGCTGCCGCCGTAACAAGTGAAGGTGTTGACTGTGATACATGAAGAGGATTGCTTGAATGTCAAGTGAGGGTTGAGGGGCTGCGGAGGGTATGAGGGAGCAGGTTTCAGAAATTCGTACATTGTAGTGAGCAGTGAGGCCATTTGGACGATGGTCTCGGTTCGAGAGAGAGATCGCGGTAGTCTGAGGGTTTATTCGGATGCCAGCTTGTGTGATTCCTATAGAGCATTCCAGGTTGTTGGTCAAAGTGTCACACTTATTGAAACTGTGATGTGATGGAGGGTGCGGCGTTTCTATGGCCACGGCTCATGAACTTACCTGCAACTCTTTTCAATACGTTGTCGTGGTCAGCAGTCACAGTCTAGATGCCTGGATGACAGGAAGCGATCTAGTTGTAAGTCGCAGTGATGAAGAACTTCAAATTATTCCAAGTGAGTGTGAGCGCGTCCACATGCAACGAGTACGAGTAACGTGGAACAACTTCGCTCTTCGGGCAGCGCAGGGAATGGAATCTTTGCCGCCATCACACTAGTTCCCCTTATCGTGCGTTGCCCAGGCAACCTTGACAGGTCGCACATCATTGAGCGTTTCGCTAGCTGATGCTCAGCAAGCACATACTCCGTACTCGTCAAGAAGACTCTGCGAACTATATAGTACTTTCGTAACTACGACAGATTCACTGTACTATGCTTGGGATGTGTAACAATAATGAGATTTTAATATAGCCATACCGTTCAGGTCCCGCCGCTAATTCATCCAGCAACTAGTAAAAAGGGTATCCCATAAAGCTATTACATCTGCATCGCAACAATCTACAGTCGTGGAGTCGCAGAGAAATCCTGCACAAGCTCGCGCACCTCATCCTCGAGTTCCTGTGTCTCTTTGTGGGGGTCATACATCTTGTCCTTGATCCAGGCTTCCAAAGTCGCATCATCCATCTCTCGCAAGTGGTGTAGACGGTCGACATTGTCCTTCTGCGCGGCACGAATGACGTGCAGTGCTACACGGGCACTGACATCACGAATGCGAGTAACGGAAGGATACAAGAGAGCAAGTTGCTTTTCTTCCTCAGTAATCATAGTTGGAACTGCTTCACCAGAAGCATAGATCATGCCCTGCGTCACTTGTACCGACTTGGAAAGAATGGTACCAAGACCAATGCCAGGGAAAACGTACATGTTGTTTCCCTGACCACCATGATACATCTTTCCATTGTACATAACGGGCTGGAAGGGCGAGCCTGATGCAAACAGAGCACGACCTTCGGTGTGGACAATTGCTTCCTCGAACGTGCACTCCGACTTGGAGGACGGGTTGGAAAGTGGGAAGATGATTGGTCTTTCATTCCACTTGGCCATCTTTTGTAGGATCTCCGGGGTGAAGGCGCCGCCGATGGTGCTGAGACCCATGATAATGGTTGGCTTGACATACTCGATGACCTCGTCCAGATTCTTGAACTGTTGGCCATTATTATCTGTCCTTGAGAAGTAAATCTTGTGCTCAGCAAGCTTGTCGCCACGATCTTGCGTTACAAGGCCTTTGCTGTCGACGAGCCAGAAGCAGGACTTGGCCTCGTCTTCAGTCAGGCCTTCATGCACAAAGTAGTCAACAATCTGCTTGGCGACGCCCACGCCAGCGGAGCCAGAGCCCAGGAAGACAGCTCGGTGATCTTTGGGTGCAGTGCCTGACTGCTTCACGGCACCAATAATGCCGCCCATGATGACAGCACCGGTTCCTTGGATGTCGTCATTGAACATGGCATAGTCTTGTCGATAGCGTTCCAGAGATGGGAAAGGATTCTTCCAATCCTCGAACTGGATCACAATGTCAGGCCAGCGTTCTTTCAAGGCCGCCATCAGTTCGTCAAGGAATTCGATTTCCTCTGCCTGGGTGACTTTGTCTCGGCGGCTCCCCATGTACAACGGGTCTTCGTGAAGGGCCTTGTTGCTGGTTCCAAGGTCAATTGTCAAGGGCAGAGTACCTTCCGGTCGGATACCAGCACAGCCAGTATACAGAGCCAACTTGCCGATGGGAATACCCATGCCGCCCACTCCGAGGTCACCCAGGCCCAGGATCCTGGATCCGTCGGTGACGACGGTGATCTCTACATTCTGCTGGGGCCAGTTCTGTATAATGGTTGAAAGATGTCCTTTATCCTCGAAACTGAGGTACATTCCTTCAGGCTGCTGGTAGATTTCTGACCATCTCTGGCAGGCCTCTCCGACCACAGGGGTGTAAACCAGGGGAGTCAGCTCGGTGAAGTGGTCCGTGAGCAATCTGTAAAAGAGGTGGACATTGTTGTATCTCAGAGTGCTCAGGTACAGAAATCTCTCGATGTCTGTGGTTTTCAATGCCAATTGAGCCAGACACCTCTTCTTTTGGACTTCATAGCTCTCGGCGCGAGGAGGAGTTAGACCATAGGTCTGGAGATATTTGCGGACTGGAATGGAGAGGGAGGTGTCGAAATGTGCCGCTCTGTTGGGCACGTGTGCTGCCGGAGCGTTGTGCTTGGGTTTGTGGTGTGCGGGAAGATGAGCAGTGGTGGGAGATGTGACGGCGGCGAGACTGCCCACGTTATGGGCAACAGGAGCCTGGGTTGTTGTACTGGTAGTCATGTTGGCGGAGTGGACGAGGTTAATGAGGTTGGTCCTCGACTTGGAGTGTCTTGAGAGTTTGTAGAGCATATGGAGAATTGGGTATCGGAGGCAGGGAGCTATCTTATGTGGTTCTCCGACGAAGGGACAACGGTGCAGGATCCGATGCCACTGGTCTGGATTTCGATGCCCGGGCGCAACAGTGGAGTGCAGGTGAGGATACAATTTATGTGCCGGAGGACAAAACCAAGAGATTGTATAGAATATTATGGGTCAGACTATGGGTGAAACCGGGTGAGGGAAAGATGTTGAAGGAGGAGAGACCGTGACGAGAAAAGGAAACGACACCAGGGTTAAGAGTCACACAGGGAAAGTGTCACCAATGAGACAAGAGGGAATAAAATGTTCTGACAGGGGCTGAAGAGAACGGTGAGCGAAAGACGTGAGATCCGTGGCCCGTGAGAGATACTGTAAAGTCTGAGTTCGGGAGAACGTTGTGAGGCTTGAAAGGGAGAGAAGCATCTCAACTTTTTTTTTTTGAGCGACGATGAATCACAGGGCGCAAACAGCCAATGCGATGGAGCGTAGAGTGACTGGAGTCGGCCGGACATCAGCTAAACAAGACCCGGGAGATGGCAGATTTCCTCCGCAAATAGCTACTGTACTCCGTAGAAACATGGGAATGGGCGGACGGCTATGCAGGGTTCTCGCCTAGGTTCGTTCATACGGAGTACGACAGTCCAATAGGGCTTTCCCCTGCTCATTTTAGGTGCCTCCAGTAGGCTCGGGGTCTTGTTAGGCACGCTTATATCCTGTACATATTCACACAGCCCAAGATCCCTGTGCCTGATGTCACTAAGCTGTAGCCTCCCTACCTCAATGGGGCAAAGCACACGTAAAGCTTCGCCATTTAGGCGGCTCTGGCTCCCCTTTTTAGCTTGTCCGCTCTTACAAGCTCGGTCTCAGAGTCCGACGTGCTGGTGAGACTGTGTGAGAGACTCGCCCCCAATTGCCATCCCAGTGTCATGCCCGGACACCGATCGGTGGGTTACGACTGTGCACGCGAGACACACGAAGCAGCCGGACTATATTTTTTTCAACTGCGAGGCTTTACACTCCTGGGATCAGCCGAAACCCACGGCGGATATCCGCTCGTGTTCGACGAAAACTGAAGAACTCTCGACGGCGAAAGGAGTACAGTGCGAGAACAGTAAAAAACATGTCCGGGTCACTCCCCAAGCAGTATCCTTCTCTGTGCTCCAAACAAACGCGTCTTTCTCCAATAGCTCCTGGACATGTGGCCATGGCTAGGGAGCATATTAGCACACCTCTAGACTCATCGTCTCAGGCTGATCAATTTCCGTCTAAGAGACTCGGTGCGAAGGCCACCCGGATAAGGCTGCGACGCCATGCACAGATTCTCTGCTCCGTACTCCGTACTCCGTATTGTAGGCGGTCAAGATGTCTTCCGGATTGTCATCGTGAAGATGGTCGTGTGACCCACTGTCCGCTTCCCCCATACTCAAAAGTACGAGGTAGCATGAATCCCGTATATTCGTGGTGCATCCGCTTATGCAGGAACTCGAGCTGTTTCTCCGTAGGTTGAAATTTGGTGAGACCGTCAAGTGCGGAGAAGGTGCATGGGAAAGTCCTGTGCATGAAGTTGAAGAAAATTGTTGAGAGCCTTTGACAACAGCGCTATGGAGCATCTGTCTGTGAATCAATGCAATCAATAAACCTACTTTAACAGAGTCCCGAGTACGAAGTATAATGCCGAGTTTCAGCGAGTATCCTCCGTGCGGGTACGAGGATCCGAAAACTAAGGTATTGTACGGAGAACACGGACAATCCAGTTAAGAAGCAGGAAACCCCGCTGTCGTTTTGACCTTCCTGTTTGAAGTTTCGTGATGGGTAAAGGAAAGCAAGCCCAGCCCGCATGAAAGGAAACGCGACATAGTCCGTAGTGGACAAAGTATTTAGTACTGTAAAGTGCCAGAAGTGATAAATAAGTTGAAACAACTGGGTCATCTGGACAGCCTCGTCAGCACCGTGGTCACAGTCGCACAAGGCTGAGGTTAAATGCCGCAATGCGTTTGAACACTTGTACTGTGGTATTTCTCGCTACCAAAGGCGATTCATCCCTGCTAACATACCTACAATAAGGTGCCTATTAATTAATTGAATGACCTCAATGACTGGCGCGGATTCGTGCTCCATTCCAGCTTATCAGGCGCTTTACCTGTGGCCTCGGCTCATTGGCTGAGAATAATGACGTTTCACATGGCAGGGCAACGCAGCAGCTTCAACGAACCTCCGCAGTTTGTTGCTCCAAGTCGATTCTGTCACTATTGCGTAGGACTCAATGAGATGGGTGCCTACTCGCACCATTTGTGAAGTCTTGTTTGATCATTCGAGTCGTCGATACTACACATCCTCCTGGTTGAGGCATTGATACCATGTCTTTCATCGCGTCCTGCTGCGGCTTTGGCCGTAAAAACAGGGCAGATGACACGACCCCATTGTTACCTCGCTACGAGGACGACACTGCTCGTGAAAGGGCTCTTCATCAGAAAATCCACACTTATCAAATGCTAAGAGCTCTATCAAAGGGATACATGCCATCCAATGAACAGACCATAGTCAACCTCCGAACCCTCCTCGCATCCGACCTCCTCAGTCCAAATAATCGTGAGCTCAGCGACTCTGGCCGCGCCCTAATTCGAAATTGTCGAACGTGGTTGAAGATATTCATTCAGCTTCTACAGCACAAAAATAGCGATGACCAGATTCAAGACTTCATTTGGTACCTGACGAAATCTCGAATCTCCCTGGACGTCAACGACATCTCGCATTCGGCCTCCAAAGTCAAAGCCAGGGCCGACGCCCAAGCAGCATACCAAAGCTTCCGGACTGTCGGCAGCCTCCTCCTCACCAACTCGGATTTCCGTTTATTTGTCAATGATGTTGCCACTATAGGAAGAGAGGTGCTTGCGGACACCGCCTTTTCCTTGTCAGAAGTGGCCGAGAAGACTGGCAAGCAACTCGAGCTGTCTGCCGAGGAGGAACAGGCCATTTCCAAGCCAGGCGCTGATGAACGCATCCAACCGTCCAAGGAGGATGTGGAGGAAACGGCACAGAGAGCGACGGATGAGATTGCCTCGCAGTTGAAAAAGGTTGGGACAGATACCGTTGTGAGCGCCAAAGAGCACATTGGCAGTGATCAGAGCGACACTCTACTGTATCGCCTCAAACAAGCTGTCCTCAACCTGAAGAGCAGGACCGATTATCACGACTCGGTGTCCACCATTTCCAAGCTGATCCAGAGATATGCCATCGCATATTCCCGAGTTGCTGATGCGGCCATATCGACTGCGCAAGAGGATGTTCATACCAATCCGGCGTTGGATCGCGCGATACGCAACTTTTGGGATCTGATGAGCAGCTTCGGCGATCGCGAGCAATGGGAGCGACTCGAACAAGACTGGAACAAAGTCCTCAGCCATGCCAGGTCCGATCCTCAATTTGAAGATTTCATGGTCGACGTTGGCAACACCGTGCAACGGATGTTCACCGACCCAGAGTTTTTCGACAATGCTGACAAGAAGCTGGACGAGCTCAAGGACAAATCTGCCAAGTTGGGCCATGACTCTGAATTCCGAACCGACTTTGACAAATTACTTCGACAGGCTCAAGTTACCATCAACTCGGTCATGGAAGACAAGGATGTCAACGGTCTGCTTCTAGCTACCCGCCGCATCTACAACGCCCTGTCTCCGCCCAACCGTGTCATGAACCCAGACCTGATCACCGATTCCATCCACATCTTCCTCCCATTGCTGATCCGCAGCGTTCAATACTTGCCCATACCTCGCGTCGAAGTTTCCGTGCCGGAGATGGACCTGCTCCTCGAGAATCTCATCCTCGAGCCAGGTCGCAACGTCAATTCGACCTCCTTCCTCCCCTACCGTCTCCTCGTCTCGACCAAGAACGACCTCGAGATTCGCAAGACACACTCCAAAAAGACCGTGTCGAACACCACCTCGCAGATGACCATAACCGTCAACGGTCTCAGCGTTGCGGCACAGGATCTCGGGTTCTGGATCCGCGGCCACGCAGGGCTGGTCCGTTTTGCCGACGAGGGGATCGCGAGCTTCTATCTCGACGAGAGAGGCATCGACATCTCCCTGGACCTCGAGATCGGCCGGGAGCGCCTCGAACAGATCCTGACCCTCCGCGGCGTCCGGGTCCACATCCACAAACTCGACTACGATCTCCGCAAGTCCAAGCTGTCCTGGCTGGGGTGGCTGTTCAAGCCCCTGTTGAAGCACCTCGTCCGTCGCTCCCTGGAGAAGACCATAGCCGAGAAGATCGTCGAGGGCCTCAGGGCCATGAACCGGGAGTTGGTCTTTGCCCGCGAACGGCTGCGGGCCACCCGCGTCGCCGACCCTCGGGACGTCGTGACTTTCCTCAAGGCCGTCGCGGCGCGCCTCACGCCCGCGGAGGATCCGGATCTCTACACCAGGATCGGCGTCGACGCCCCCACGCGCGGCGTCTTCAAGGACGTCTACACCCCCGGCAGTCTGGTCAAGATGTGGCACGATGAAGCCCTGAGGGCCGAGGAGACCGTGGAGGAAAACGAAGAGACCGGTGGAGGTTGGAGGAATGCCATTTTCGACGTCAATATCGTCTGAGTCGAGGAACCTTTGGTGTGTCGTGGGACGACTGTGCTTTTGCCGGTGTGCGAGAACGGCGACTGGCAAAGGATGAAAAGTGACAGCCTCTGTCTGTGGGTGTTGTTCAAAGAAGCAGCGTTCCCGTTTTGTTTCTTGCTTTCCCTCGCCACCGTCCAAAAGGTAACAAGGTATGCAGGTGTTCTCTAGGTTTTTTCTCTCGGACGAGTCAAGTCAAACAGTGTATGGTTGTTGGTACATCCCCAAGTCAGGTATAATGAACAAAACGGCAAAGCATTGTTGATGGCGTTGGGTCGGAGACGTTAAAATGTACAGACACTGACACCTTCGTTTCTGAATTTTCAATGACGCCTCGACACCACCGGTGCCGTGGTCCGTCCTCGTCCTCGACCAAGAGTCCTGTAACTGTTCTTTTTTTCCTTGTTTACACGACTATCTTGATCCGAATCGTCCTCATCTATCGTGTCCCGTCCCGTACTCCGTACAATGGGGTTTCCAGCCTCGAGGAAGGGTTCTAGTAGAATACAATTGAGCAAGAAAAGAAAACAAAAACGGACGCCTTACTCCCCCCCCGTGTGACAATGCAATGAAACTCGACTTCATTCTTTCTTTTTGACATTTGAGTCTCTCTCTCTCTCTGCCCGTACTTTCCCCCTCGGTCTGACTCTGATTTGATTCCATGTGATTTCGATTTGATCAATCAAACCTTTTCATTACAGTAGACACCACCACCACTCCTTTGCAATACCTTTGCTTGGACGCTCGAAGAAAACACCTCACTAACGCTATGCCGCTTCTTTTCTCCTTTTGCTATTCGAAACAAGAAACAAGAAAAGGACAACGAGTATGGGAACCAATCCAGCCACAATCGGTCCGAAAATTTTTTGTTGTAAAAAAAAACACACACAAGGACCCAAGTGAGAATTCGAAAAAAAACACCGTTGAGCAACACCGCGCCCCCAGGTGAAGGAGACGAGGATAAAAAAAAGTCCTTTTCCGGGTCGGTCTCCCTCCTTCTTGGTCCTGTTTGTTCCAATGATGCCTTTTTCCTTCTTTCGCCATGCAATTCAGGGGTCATGTATTAGATACAAGTTGGCCTTTCTGTTTTTGGTCTTGTTACCACCAAAGGCCCTGTTGGGTTTGTTTGTGTTCGCTTGTGTGAATGTATGAGCGTGTAACACAGTAAGTAGAGAGAATCATCAGCTCATCGTTCCCAGCAACATCAAAGAGATCGAGGAGGGGATCATCATATTGTCTCCTGAGAAAGGTCGAAAAAGGCTGCCCAAGTCATGATTTCTTCTCATCCTCAGCCTTTTTCGATGCGTCCTTCTTGGATGAATCTGCTCCTTCTTTCGATTTCTTACCCCTAAGGCTCGCCCATGTATTGGACACGGAATTCTTGATTTTTTCCCATAACGATCGATTCAATCTATTGCTTAGCTCTCGATAGCTGTACATCTCGGCCCAGCAATCCCTACCCCATTCGCAACCAGCCATATTTACCATGAAGTCTCGATCTGTCTCGCTATAGTGGAAGCGTGGGTCGGTGACTGGTTTCTGGGGCTTATTCTTATCAGTGTCCTTGTCCTTGTCCTTGGTTTTGGGGTCTTCTTTCGTTTTGACCGCACAGGCTCCGGGAGGGAACGAGTTGATCTTGCGTTGCTGAATGAAGGCAAAGTGAGTCCTCATGTACGGTTGTGAGGCATACAGGTGCTCCAGAGCATCTTGTTCCTTGTGCTCCCACTCCATATGTTTCTGCTCGTACAAGACCGGATCCCACCACATGTCGAGCAGCCTGTCTGTGAATGGAGACCTTCTGATGAAAAAGGATCCCAAGTTGAACCCGCTGCAGTCCTGAGGTATGATTATGTCGATGGAAGAGGTAAGGTTGTCGCCCGTGGGTGATCTGGAGATCGGGTCGAGGAATCTTGTTACAGGAGGATGTGTGATGTTGAGAGGGTTGTAGACGTTGATGTCGCGGTAGACGTTGTTCTGGAGATCGCGGAAGATGTGAGACTGTAGAGACTTGGAAGGCTCCATGATGAAGGTGTTGAGGTCAAGCCACCAGAACCTACGAAGCGGCATGTTAGTACACACACTCCTCCGGTGATCAAACAAAACACGAATTGTGCCTGTTTATATCAAACGTACCACTCGGCCTGAGGATACCTCGCCATTGCGTTCCGCAAGAGATCGACCTTTTCCCAACTCTCCCTCCACTCGTGAGCGTATCGTTTCTTCGTGCTCATGTCGGTGATTTCGAGTTGGTAACCCCATGTTTCGGCGTAGCGTTTCTTGTTCTTAACACTGTCACGCTCTATCGCCCATTCTCTCGGACCTTTCCACTCCATGACACCACCTCCTTCATTAGCACCAAGGACGATGACGAACTTGCTGCCTCCGCCGAGATGTGCATTGCTTCGGATTGTCGACAGTAGACCTGTAGTTGCAGCGGAGACGGCTGTAGATTAGCCATAGAACGCACCAACACCCAACGTGGACAGCACACCCAAAAGAGGAAGGAAAAAAAACACCTACTCGTCTGTGACATTGTTAAAGTCGTGATCGTAATCAGCGCCAGTATGACGACCAAAAACTTGCATTTCCGGAGGAGGTTTCCCACGAGGGTCCTCGTCCTGGAAAAGATGTTGTCCCTTCCCGGTGACCACCGATTCCGACCTAATTTCTCTACGTCTTTCCAGTCGGCGGACAATGGAGTGTACGGACTGTTGAAGACGGGTAAAGTAGAGGTCAATTTTCGTCGTGAGCGTTGAAAGAAACCCTCATTTTTTGTCTGGATGGTCGGGAAACCTCTCACTTGCGCACTCCTCGCTTTTGCCGCCGCCCACTGGCCATCATCATGGTTACCACTGTAGCCGTTTAATCCCGCATAAAGACCGTTTGGGGTGGACGCCCGTCCAGCGGCGGATGAGGAGGAGGAGGAGCCCTGTGCTGATGACCATCGCCCAGTTGGCAGTGGGGAGGGAGTCCGCGTCGAGGAGGACATCTGAGCGACAGGAGGATGCGAATGGAAATCTAGGCGGACAGGACGAGGAGGTGGTGGACCGAAATAGCGCAGGACATGTGATCGGCGAAGTTAAGGAAGGAGGACTATCGCAGGAAGTGAGAGGACGACGCCGACAAAAAGTTATTGCTGCTCCGAGTTGTATGGAGTCTTGAAGGAAGACAACGACGCAGGCAGAAATGGTCTTTTTTTTCTTTTTCTTTTCTTGTGTCGTTCGTTTGGTCGTTTCGTGAACAAAGTCAAGGCTAGGAGTACGAGGAGTAGTGAGGCTCTGTCAAAGACGCAGGGTGGTTTTAAGGACAGAGATTCCGGACATGTGAGGGTTCGTCAAGTCAAGTCAAGTCGGGGAGACATTAGGGTGACGAGGTTTGAGTGAATGGAGAAAAGGTGGTCATTGTGAATTTCATTCTCCTTCTTCACTTTCCGTATGTTTCCTGAAGAGCGATGCAGCCAACAACCATGACACAAGAAAGTATTCAAGGGAAAACGGGTGGAGGCTGAACGGACCGGGATTCGCATCGCCAAGCGGCATACGGAGGATTATAAAATAATTCCATCCACTGTACGGACTTGTATCCCATTCATATCCGATACTAATACTACTTATTACGAAGAAGTCCCATGCAAGATCTATTCTGGAGTGTTGCTACTCCGTACGTTTATTATCATATATGGAGTGACTGCTTACAAGTCCTAGCTCTTACAATCTGAACATTGCTTAGGGCGTGCTGAAAGATATCCTAGGTCCCAATCATATCCATGCGGCTAGACTCTTGTTTGTCTGCAGGAGTTGTACAAGATTTTGACAAACCAAACCTTGAGATGTATCTCGTGTACCAGGCTAAATTCACACATGCAAGGACGCGCAAAATGTCATGCGCGGGGGAGAGAGACACACGCGCGCACACAGATCTCACTCCCTTGTCCTGGGATCGAAACAATCAATACCTAATACACCCTTCTCTGTATTTGTACGTGCATCCCGCTTCTCCTTTTCTTTTTTTAATTGTTTCACCTGCTGGCTTTTCGACTTCCCACATGCAACTGTATGGGAAAGGAAAATGATAAGTTCTCCGACTCCACCTTTAAGTTCGGTGTGTTACGAATACTGTAGATCCTCTGATCCTCTGAGCGGCGGCCTTCAGACTTGTATTGGCCTAGTGCTTCGACATCCCCTGCTAGTTGTATGGTGAAGACCGACCAAGAACTATTCGTACCCTTTACAAGAGGTAAAGAATGAGTGTTGCCTCCACCGTGTCCTGCTCAAAAAGCAATCCCCATCCCGGCCTGACCTGCAGGAACCCGTACTTGCAAATCAGTGTCACCTCTGGCTCTGGCTGCAGCTTGAACCCTCGCACAAGTACGGAGTAGCACGGAAGATTCTGATGAGTTTTCTATACGACATGACAACCATTGCGCATGCCGAACCGGGAGTGTTCCATTCATGACCACAGCGACATTGGGATGAGAACGAGCAATGTTCCACTCCCAAAAAGGGAGTCAAACGGAAAGGTAATAGTCAACCATTGATTGTCTACATAATCGATTAAGATGGGCAGGGAACAACAACTACTGACAATCCTCAACGCCGGATCATCATCTTTCCAAAGCTGCCCCAGGTTTTCGCCACGCACACAGCCCAGATACTCCGTATGTACCCCGAAATCTGCCATGTTTGGTACAGTTCATGAATGAGTGGTTGGTTGCTTGCTAATATACACATAGGATCATAGTCCTGCCTTGCTAATTCTCATACTTTCTCGCTCCTTCATACGTTGATGATGATGGCGTTCTTCCTGCACGATGAAGCCTGCCTCGTTTGCTGGTCGAGTGCGAGCACTATCACCGAATGTGACTTCGACTCGGAACTTCAGAAAGTCACCATTGGCACCATCATATACGGTGATGATGTCGCCAGTGTAAATCTTTCCAAACAAGGCTGCATCACCATCGGGAGACTCTTTGCGCAATTCGACCCCATTGACGTAGATACATCCACTTGCAGAAGTTGCCAGTACCGTTCGAACTCCGGAGATCTTGGTCCACTCACCGCCTTGCTCGACATGCTTTTCCATGCCTGGCGCCCAGAATGTGATCTTCAAAGCATATTTGGGAATTCGGGTGTCCTTTAACTCCGGGTATCTGATCGTGCAATCGACGCCTCGACCCCAGGAGGTGAATCTTGCTTCAAGGTTGAAATTGACCTTTGCAAAAGAGCCTGGGATGCTGGTCAACTTACCAAACCGCTTCGGCGGCTCAATGAAAGGGGATGTTGCGGCTTTCGTTCTGTTCGTCGCGTCCATATTCGAGATTGGGCGTAGAATTCGATCTGCCTGGGGAGCACGGTCCCCAACGAAGTCAGTCTTTGCGTCCATTGTCGTAGCAAGCTCAATAGATGGCGGGTGAGGTCTCGTGGAGATGGCTCCATGGAACGTATCTGCCTTGGCTCGAAGTTTTTCAGCTCTCGATGCATTGCGGGCTTTCAATTCAGCTTCGAAAGTCGTGGGGTCTGCAATCAGACCAAGATCCAAACGACGCGTGAAAACTGGTTCTTCAGTGCCGTGCAGGGTTTCACCTAAGCCGTCATCCAAGTGTTGACTCACGCTACTGGATGGTGATAATTCACGTGTGTGCGGTGTCACTGGATTATTTGTCTCCGGCGACGCGGCATCTGATACTTCCGCCTCGGGCGATGTCATGTTGAGTTGACCAATTTGATGCTCAGTCCCCATTAAGCTGGCTGCTGACCCGGCTCGAGGATGATGTTTACCAGTTTCTGCTGATACTTGAGTGGCTCCGCCCGCAACCATGGGATGATCTATGCTGCCCATCGATCCCTGGCGACCAAAATCATTGACGCTGATCTGTTCGACTCGATTTTGAATGTCGTGAACATCGGCTGTCGTTGTGGGTGGAAGCTCAGTGCCAAACAATCCCGAACTGCGCAAAATCGATTGAGAAATCTCACCGAACAAGCGCTGAGCAGGAGGTGCCATTGGCGTAGGCGGCAGGAAACTTTCTCCAGGATCCGGCAATGAAGGGTATGTAATGTCATCCGGTGAGATGACTGGATCAGCAAAGGTCTTCGCTCGCTTGGGGGCGCGGTCAGGAGATTGGTTCGATGATGGTGGCTGAGTCAGTGCATGGAGGTCGTGAATCAGTTCATCATCGAGAACTTCTTCATCCACCTCGTCAACAACATGGAGTTCTCGATCGAGAATGTCTGGTTGATCAAGAAGATCGTATTCGAAGACATCAGCGACGTTGCGTAGCCACGGATGTCGCAAGCACTCAGCCTCTTTTGGTCGAAGAGAGGGATTTCTGTTGAGTAATTTTCTAATCAAATCAACCGCAGCATCCGATACACCAACTTCTCTGAGAGGCTTGAAGTCGACATCTTTCGTCATGATATTATTAAGCATCTGGGCACCGCGATCATCGCCTCTTCCAGTGATAGGGGGCTTCCCGCACAACATGTGGAAAATGACCGCGCCAAAGGACCACATGTCCACTGACTGATCGTAGGGAGATGGAGGAGGCTTGCTAATAGGCTCCCCTAGACGATGTCGCTTCTGTGCCGAGCCATGTTTGTAGCTCGCATAGTCTGGATATACCTCTGGAGCACAATAGAGAAGGGTGCCGCAAAAGGTCTTTAGGAAAGTCTCTTGATCTGTAACGCATTTTGACAAACCAAAGTCTGATAGCTTCACAATCAAAGGAGACCGGGAGGCGATCAAGATATTGTCGGGTTTAATATCTCGATGGGTGATGTTTCTTCGGTGCAGGTAGTCCAAGGCATGTACAATCTGTCTGGTAATCTGTTGCCCATCGGCTTCCGCTATTCTTCCTGACTTTCTGAGTTCTTGGGAAAGCTCGCCGAATGGTACGTATTCCATCAAGATATAAATCCAGTGAGAGTACGTATGACAGTCAACATAATTGACAATGTTCGGGTGCTGAAGATGTTTCATGATGTTGAGCTCGCTATCAAACTTCATATCGAGAACTCCGTTCTTGATAAAGCGACGCTTGTCCAGCTCTTTTGCCGCATAGATGTCACCTTCTTTCTTGGTCTGGACTCGATAGACAGTCGCAAAGGCGCCTTTGCCCAACAGACCAGTGAAATTGTACATGCTACCTCCATTCCAGTGATTCCCATACGAGCTTTCACGCATTGAAGCAAACTGTGCAACCTCTCCTCTTGCGGCAAGGTATGCCCGAAGGTTCTTCTCGTAGAGATCTTCGCTTTCGCCACGTGAAGGTATTCTAACCATCAGCTTGATCTCCTCTCTGTCTCTTCCACTGAATAAAGAGATAATAGAGCCATTTCCAAGTACTATCGTAGCTGGAGGAGCCGGAATCTTGCCACGTCGGTCCTTCACCTTGATATGAACATCATCGACAATGGTGCCATTTGTAGACATATCCTGCAACATCAGACTCCCTTGACTGTTTACAAAGATTTTGAAGTGTGTCTTGCTCACAAGGACGTCGTTTTCGAAGGGCGTCAAGAGGATGTCGTTTGCAGTACTGGATCGACCAAATCGAAAACCGTCTCGAGGATTTTTGACTTGAGAGGATATGCGTAACGCTATATCGCGTGGTGCATTGTACTGTGACGAAAAGATGATATCGTCTTCGGTGTAGTCTTCTAGGTCCTCATTTTGTAGGATGTGTTGCCTTCCATGAACAAGGTTGGCCTTGACAGCATGGAATGCAGCAGGAGAAGTTGGATGTAGAAGACAAATAACGTCGACAGCATCACCCTCGGATACATTGGACAAATTTTTCCCCAATCTTCTGGGATCTTCGACTGGCTGTGTGAGCTGAGTTGGTTGTGAGGAAGCCATAATCACCGTGTCGATTGTTTCGTAAGATTCATTTACTGGTAGGCGAACGGGTGTAGACCCTCTCTACAAGAGACTGTTAGGAGAGCAATTTGACTCTTGCACCCTCAGAACCAACCGGTACAATAGAGGCCAGGTCTTCGGGCCGGTTTTCGTAGTACTCGATAGAATTTACATCGGTGTTATTCGACGGACTGTTTGGGAGGTGGCCATTGTTGTATTCAGGCTCAACCTCTTCGTTACCATTAGCAACATCCATTGTGATGATATGATAGTGAAGGGGTCGTTGAAGAGCCTGTCGAGTACATCTTCACAATGGACATCCAAACCATGATCAAGCGCCTGGAGACTTGCGTCGCTGCCAACAGGCTACTTCCAGGCAACGGTGCCATATCATATGATCATATAGTGCAACTTGCGTCCACATACCTTCTCGTTATGTCCGCCCCTGTGAAAAAGGATCACACGGTTCTGCAACTGTACCGGTCAGCCTCACGACCTCGACAAGTGCATAGGTTGCGAATATCCGTCCATGCTTTGTATTATGGACGACGGCTCCACTGAGGACAGTCGCCTCCGACATGATATGCGCAGAGGTATGACTTCAATGTGCTAGCTCCTTTCTTTTTCTTTTGTTTGCAGTGCATCCGCAGCATTCGCCCCCAATAAACAGTTGTTCATCCTCAGTGGCTGAGACATGGTTGGGAACACAATGGCCCAGCAGGCGTGACCGGGTGATTTGGGCTGCTTACCGCTTCTAGAACCCTGCAAGAGAAAAGGAAGGAGGTACCCTGTTTTCCAGAAGTCAGCAGTCATGCTGGATGCTCGAGAGTGTGTGTAACTTACCGATACCAGTGAGAGCGACACTCTCCCCGGATTTCTTTGCACCGGCTTATCCTGAGGTTTGGGGTATACAATCAAGCGAGTAAAAAACAAAACGCTAGCAGAGAGAGCCACATACAAGAGCACGAAGGGAGTAAAGGGAATGAGTTGACCAGAGGATGGGCGAAGGAAGTCGAGATTGAAACTGCGGCCTCGAAGAAATTCCCCCGCCAACCGCTTCTACCAAATCCCTGCGACTCCAGCATTGGGGCTAATCGCGTCGTGCCTCTCGTGCCTTGCCGGATCCCCCGTTCCTGGCCTAAATTAGTGGGCTTGGAGCCTATTTGGCAGGGAGAAGACGTGCTCATTTGCTCGTTAATGCGATGCAAGCACTCAAGAGGTGGTCATTGCGATCAGAGCACGTAATGAAGCTGTATCTTTGATTACTCGCGTATCTACTACGTCCTCACAACTACTACTGCTACACAAAATCCAACAACAACACTCCCAGAGACGACGAGGTTCAAGGCAAATCTCCTCCAGACCTCATCTTGCAAGTCTTCAGGCTCAATACTGCGTGATTCTTACACCATGCGACACAACCTGTGTTATAGACAGATACCACTTGTCCCACCAATGTCAGAAAATCTGATCACTACCACCCCGCGCCATGGAAAGCCTTTGAGGATTACATCTCCATGGCTGCCTTGGCAAGTCGATCCCGTCGTCGAATCTCTTCCTCTCGCTGTTTTCTCGCGGTAGTTGGTACAGCTACTGCCGGTGCTGGCGAGTTAGTATTCTGCTGGATAGCTGGAATAAGGGGCGCACCGGCTTGCAGAGGTTGCCCAATTTCAATGCCGCTCTTCAGCTCACCGGAACCATTGACCAACATAGCGTCTGTCGCTAATTTGAATGCTTCGTCGAGAGACAAAGGTCCCTGCTGCACCTGACCGGGGGTCATTGGTACAGGCTCGCCATTTTCACCGATTCCATATCTTATCATCTGGGCTGTTTTGTTTAGTTCTCGCTGGCGATTCCTTGCCTGAGCAACCGCGGCGCGATATTCTGGATTGTTCCTATCTTTGTCAACCCATTCCTCCAGCCCAAGATCTTTGAGCTCTTTGAGCAGAATTTTGGTCGTATACTGGATTCTGGGTTTGGGCAGTTTCGCCTTCTTCCTAGTCATTTCTTGGTCGTAAGACGTCGGCGTCGTAATAGCAAATGGTTCGTGCGGTAGGCGACGAGGTACGAGTTTAGGTAGTGCTGCAGGTTCAGGGGCAACACTGCGACCTTCGACGGGGCTATCAATAGGTTTTTGGGTTGATCTTCTCCTCCTCGGTCGCTTGTTTGTTTCCAATTCTACTGGCACAGGCTCTGCAGATCTTCTGTATACTGGCGACCTTCTAGTCCGAGGTCGCAGATCATGCCCTGATTGAACTTCTGAACCATCCTCGGGGGGATCAGTATGAGAGACCTGTGCATCTTGATTCGATGAGGGATTATTGACAATAAAAGATACCACCTGTTTTTCGTTCTGTTGTAGAGCTGAAGTGCCGTTGGGACTTTGAAATTCGACTTCTTCTCCATTGTCATCGTCACTGAATTCGACATTGTCTGCTCCTGATTGCTGTGGCGCAGAAGCTTCGAGGTCGACGACCTCAACATCACTGTCTTGCAGGGAGGGGTCGCAGTCTTCCGGGTTGATTTGCAGGGTTTGTGAAGCGTCCCGAAGTCCAGAGAGATCACCATTAGACTTATGCGAAGTCTTGACTGTTGGAGATGTTGCCCCCTTTGGTCCTTTCGCGGCGTGGCTTGAGTTGGGTTTACGCTTTGCAGGGATGTCGCTCCCGGCTTCGATAACAACTTTTTCGGATCGATCAGAATGCTTTTCGGTTTGGGATCTCTCACCCAGTGCAGTAGGTGCATAAGCGTGGTGCTCGACTGACCCAAGCTCTTCGCTCGCCTGTGGAGCTCTTTGTAAGGCCATCCCAGTCTGCGCTTCCAGGGGACTAGAACTCCTTGATATATTCGACTCATTGAAGGAACGAGTGTCTATAGAGTTGCTTGACTGGGGAGTTGGCATCTGAGTGGAAGACAATTCATTCTGGCAGGAGGAATCGGTATATCGATTTGTGGGGTCTAGGGGGGTTGGGGCTCGTGGGTTCGTGAGGGTGCTGCGTCTTTTGCGTTTGCCTAGCACGGTGGAAGCATCGATATCTTTCAAAGAACGATCTCTAGTCGTCTCGAGATCTTCGAGCCTCGCCTTGATGGCAGAATTTTCAGTTCGAAGCCTGTCGACATCGATCTCATTTGACGAAATGCTCCTCGTACCTTGATATGGTGACCTTGGACTGTTGGTAATTTCATTGGAACGTGTATCGTCATTGCGCACGACCGCGTTTCGCGATTGCATTTCCCGCATTGTGGTCTTGAGGTCGTCCATGGTGCCTCGGAGTGTTTCCAGCAATGTTGTCAAAAGTCGAACCTGTGTATCCTGCTGTTGAATCTTCTGATCTTGAGCTGCGATCTTTTCATCTTGGGCTCTAATCCTGGCCTCTAGTCCCGTTCGATCTTCCATAGCGTTCGGAGAGGGTGTGCCGATGAACGAAGAATGGTTGAGTGATGAGGGCTGGTAGGATCGTCCTTGCGACTCTGGATACTGAAAGGGAGAAGAAGTAGACTCGGGGTACTGCCGCATGGGAGTTTGCGACCATCGAGGGCGAGGTGCCACACTGGGCCGAGGGATCTCGCCGCCAGGCCTGACGCTTCTGGGCAGATCAATGTCACCCGAATAGCCAAAGATGGCATCGATGATGGTGTTCGTCTCATTATCCTTCAAGTAGGTCTTTGACAACTTGTAAAAGTACTCGTCTCTGTCCATCATGGTTAGTAACAGAAAAAAATATGTTTACACGCCCATGGATTTCTAGATGTATGCATACTTCAAGTATCGCTGCTGCGGTGTCGGTGCGGCCTTGCAGTACTGACCCAGCGCCGCCGAACATTTCTTGCAAAAGACTTCTGCCAAAGTGCATCCTTGGACCGCTTTCTGAGAGACCCCGTCCGGGACGACCTGTGCTTTGTTTCCAATCTCGGTGCCAAAATGCTTGCCTTGGTGTGTAGGATAGACGTAGGAAGAGGTAAGGCGGGTCCACTCGTTCACAAACACGCCGATTTGAGTGTCGCACTGGGAACAGAAGAGGTTGACATTGGGTGCTGCTGCCGTCGGCGGCACCTGAGATCCACGCCGCGATGATGACGACGATGATGCCATGTTTGTTCTTCTGTGGTTGTTGGCCTCACTTGAGAGATCGTGCGCGCAAGCTGCACAGTGGCAGAATCATCGAAAGATGCGCCCAAGACTTTGGGTGACTTTTGACAGGTGTTCGACTTCAACTTCGAACAAAAGTGGTCTAGAAGCGCGGGACGCGAGTCGCGTACAGTACGAGTTTATTCGCGTGCCACACGCAGTACTACGCAGTCGAGTAAATTATGTAAGCGGGTGTTCTGTACCTCCATCTTCACACAAAACGGAGTAACTCGTATTCGTATTGATGTGTACATTCAGTATTTCCCGTCTAATGCTGTCTTGCTCCACCGGCTTCGGATTTGTACGCCCTTTACTGTACAAATGCTTGACGAAGAGCTCATATAGATTCACTAGGAGGGAGTGACAATCTATTGCTGTTGACCAGAGATATGAACGTACTTATACCTCGAACGGCCTTGCGAATTATCAAACCCACACCCATTCTCGCCTCTCGATATACTTCAGGTACATATAGATACGTTCACCAGTCAACTGCTGCATGGTCCGACAGAAAAATGCCCCCGTCGATCGAAACATCCAACGCCAATGCGGCGACTCAAAAGACATTCAACGCCTGGCAACAACCTGGCCCGGCGTCCTTCGACTTTCGCAGCGACGTGGTGACGACTCCCACGGAATCCATGCTCAACGCCATAGCCAACACGACGCTCCGGGACGACGTGTTTGTCGAAGACCCGACGACCAACGACCTCGAGTCCCACGTGGCCAGTCTGTCGGGCCACGAGGCGGCTCTCCTCGTCATGTCCGGGACCATGGGAAACCAGGTGGCCCTGCGCACACACCTGACCGGTCCACCTCACTCGGTGCTGTGTGATCGGAGGGGCCACATCTTCAACTACGAAGCCGGCGGAATATCGACGATTTCGGGCGCCATGCTCATCGCCGTCGCGCCATCCAACGGCCACCACCTGACGCTCGAGGACGTCCAAAAGCACGCCATCCTATCCGACGACGTGCACGCCTGCCCGACGACCGTCATCTCCCTGGAGAACACGCTCGACGGGATGATCATGCCACTCGAGGAGGTGCGCAAGATCTCCGCCTTCGCCCGCCAACACGGCATCAGGATGCACCTCGACGGTGCCCGCATCTGGGAAGCCGTCGCCGCCGAGGCGGGCAGTCTGTCCGACTTCACAACCTGCTTCGACACCGCGAGCCTGTGCTTTTCAAAGGGTCTCGGCGCGCCCATCGGAAGCATTATCATCGGGTCAAAGGCCTTCATCGCCCATGCGAGGCGCATACGCAAGATGTTCGGCGGAGGCACGAGGCAGGCGGGCGTGCTTTCTGCCGCGGCACGCGTCGCCGTGGATGAGACTTTTGGCAAGGGTCCACGCGGCGAGGGCGGCAAACTACGAGCCAGCCATGCCCAAGCTCGCAAGGTCGCCGAAATGTGGCAGACCAAGGGCGGAAAACTCTCAAATCCGGTCGAGACGAACATGGTGTGGCTCGACATCAATCACGCAGGGTACTCTGCTGAAAAGTTTGCCGAACTTGCCGCCATAGAAGGCATCAAGGCCAATGGCGGCAGACTAGTAGTACACTATCAGATCACGGACGATGCAGTAGAGAGGCTAGGAAGAGTCATGGATAGAATGCTAGGTAATCAGTAGAAGAAGAAAAGCACACGATGGACTCATCGGCCGTGAAATTTCCTGTCTTTGAACTGGATTCGCTATCTCAGGAAGGTCGTTTGACCTTGAGAGATGCCCGCAGGAGACTCGCTCAACTAGACATGAGATTAACAACTCGAATGATGAAAGCCTTTGCCTGTCCGCTCATTCAGCCCTAGTCATTTCCCCAGTTTCCGCATATGCCTCAGTCCCGATGGCCCAAACTTCCTCCTGTTTTGTTCCGAATAGCATCCAAGTACGGATGAGGTTGCCCCGTGCGGACAAAGCCATGAGTTCCTCTCGAGTCATATGATGACATGGGGTAATGGGCGCGAGAGCAATTTGTTGTTTCGTAAATACTCCAACAAAATCATTGTAGGTGCCTCAAGATCAGAAGATGAATAGTAGCGGAAGTGTCCAAGTGTCCCTTCGCTCTTCAATCTGATGTGTCATTCTGAGGCTACCTGACCAGAATATCCAACACCCCTCAGGTTTTCCAAGAGTCATATCCCAACAAGTAAAAGAGCATAGTTATGCTGGACGAATAAACGCCACTGGCGCTCAATACCAGCATGCGAGGATTTGTTGACTAAAAAAAGTTCTGCGAAATTCCGAGTTCGCCTGCTGTCAAGGTGCAATGCATACCGCACGCAGTGCTTAACATGACCGCAATGATGTCGGCAAGAAGTGAAAGCCAATGTTGCAAGAGCTTGGAAAATTGCCGAACTTTGCGGCGAGATGTTGCTCTTGAGGCCGTAAGAGCAATGAACAAAAGAAATAAAATGTCAATGTCGTCAAGTTCGTTCTCGCAATGAGCACGCAGCTCAATGCTTTCCACAGCTTTCTCCATGGCAGCTGCACAAGGACCACCATTTTAGTCCCCTGAAATAGACCCCTGGGTGACCGATCATAACCCACAAAGGTGAAAAACGCCACAATATGCTGAATATTTTTGGTAATATTGGAGACAACTGATTAGCCTGCAATGCCCATCTGGCCAGGTCTTGGCTGGAAACTTTGTCTGCCAGAAGGGGTGCCTCCATGGCTGCCGCCACTTCCGGAACTGCCAGCTCGATCTCTGACATAAGGACTGTTCGGAGCGCTAAAGTTGAAGTCATTATGAGAACCAGGTGCGGCCGTAGTTGTGTTTTGTACAGGACGGACAGAGCTCTGCTTCTGCCACGCTGTCGCTTGAGAAGGATCAACATCAACGCGGGTGGCCACAGGTCCGATGGAATTCGAAGCTGATACGGGACTGCGCATGGATCCATCTGCTGGTTGCACAGTCTGCTTTTGTATTTGACCTTTTGCAATGTGACCATATCTCGACAATATCTCCTTGGTGGTGATTTCTGCAGTGCCGGCGTGAAGGCTGCTGTCACTCAGAATAGATTGTAAATCTTCCGGTACCTGTATGAGTCAGCAAAAGATATACTCAGCTTGCAGGGGTATGGCATCATACTTGACAAAAGTAGTCGTTGTATTCGATCAAGGTATTGACGGCTTCGATGGCAAGGAAACTGTCGTCGACTTGAGGAACATGAGGCTGCTTAGCATTGGGCGATTTCTCCTTTGCGTACAAGATATTGGGAGCCATGACAGTGGCCAAGTTGTGAATGTCCATCTTACTCCCGGATTCTTCGTCAACTTGCGAAAATGAGGCCGCCCACTTAAGGAAAGAGAAGAGGACCTCCATGGTGTCACGATGACCTTTGGACATTAAGCAACATGTCAAGTGTAAAACGCGCCTCCGACGTTCCTCCTCAACAATCTTCTGGGATGTTATCCACAGTTTGTGCAGTTTGAATGTCAGCAAAGGCTCTGGCATTTCTCTCAAGAACTTCTTCAGAAGCGCGGCTACTTGCACAGGGTTCTCGCGGTTGAGGTCTGGTGTTTGGTTGGTGTCGATTGCTTCGGATGCCTCTTTCAGCCGTTTGATGTTGCCGTTTTTACGGAAAACTCCTTCGACAGACATGTCCATCTGTTTCATCGCAGCGACACAATCATCAACAATTGCAGGAACTCGCAAGGCCCCTGGCCCAACTCCGTTGGTCGATTCCGCGCCTTCCCGTTCGACAAGAGTCTCGAGTGGGATACCAAAAATGCCCTTCTTCTTGGTCTTGCTGTCATTGCGCAAAGCGCGGCTGACTTTGCCCCAGAATGTCTGTTTCCTAGTCTCAATCAAGCCCAGCAGATCTTCCAGGGTGTATTCCCCCTCCAAGAGTGGTTGCATGGAAAGGACCGCAACGTGTCGTACGATGAAGTATTCGAGAGCAGACAATTCCGAGAAGTAGATCTTGGTGCGAAGCGGGCTGGGTTCGCCTGCCAGAAGGTCATTGCCCGCCGATGCTCCTCTTTGATGGCCGTTCACCAGTCTCGGCTCGTTGCCTCGGTGTCCGATAAGGTTTGTGCCTGCATGGCGGAATGCATTGGGTCGCTGCTCCTTTGCCTGTTCGGCAGCCACGATTCTAGGAATGTCATCAAGGGTCAAGCCATCTTGGTTACCAAAGGTCAATTCCGGCCTCATCCTGCCATCGACATCTCGTTCTTCGACAATTTGGAAGCCACCACGACCGCGACCCTCTGGGTCTTCTCCTCCCTCAGACCCTGGACGAGCTCCTGATGGTCCGTAGAGGACTTTTGACTCGCGAGCTTTTCGGAAGGTCGTAGAAAGAGTTCGCTCGTTTCGGGTGGATCTCAGACGTTTCATTTCGCCAACTGTTTGTTCGAGGGATGACTCTTGCTGCTGGCTAGATGCGCCAGCATAGGATCTGGAGCGGGAACCCATCTTTGGCTGAGGAGCCAGTTTCTCCCCAGTCGGCGAAACGCGGTGGCCTTCAGTGGTATTGTATGGGGTCAGATTTGGGTCGTCAGAAGTGTGTGGCAGTGTGCCGCCAGACTTGAGGACCTCCAGTAGTCTTGCCAATGCAACTCGGAGCAGGAAAACATATTGTTGAAGCTTGGTGACATGCGAAAATCCTGACACTGGATCATGTACTCGTCTGGCATGGTCACCACAGTACACTTTATCTTCCTTTTCACTGAAGACTGCATACTGAAGGTCAGTAGTCAAGTCGCACTGACATACGCTGCAGGTGAGATGTGGTGGCTTTGCATGCCAACGACGTCCGTAGATCATGACACATTCATCGTCAATGGGTTCCATACACGCTGAGCAGCAGTCTGACTCTTGACTTGCAAGTCCTGCAACGCTTTCCGATAGATCGAGCGACTTCATCTCCTGATCTTTGATTGTCTCCAGGTCTGCAAGTTCGTCCAAGAATGCGTGTAGCCCTTCAGGAGATCCACGCTCTCTCTCCAATTTCAGTGCGCCTTGAAGACCTATACGAATAAGGAGTTTAAGGTAATGCGCCAGGCCAGTGACCAAGGATAGGAGCTCCTGCGTAACTCCAAGCTTTCGTACGCCAGTTTCCTGAGTTTTCGAGAGGAGGGTAAAGAATGCCACTACCTTCTTGCAGAGCAGTTTTGCTTCTCTGCCATATGCCAACTCTTTCAGACCAGATGCTGTGACCAATGTCGCAAGGGTGTCGATCGCGCCGAAGAGAATGTCAACATGCCAGATAAATTTCCGAGCCACAATAACTCCATCGACATAGACGCCATTGCTGACGTGCAAGAGCATGTCGGAGATACAAGAAGCAGACGATTCTTCGAAGGTAGATAGAGTGCTCCAGATCCGATAAACCTTGTCCTCCATCTTTTCCTCGTCTTCTTTAACTTGTTCACGCTCATCCTCAGTAACTGGCGCACTAATGTCTTTCCTCTCCGCAACCGATCCACTCTGAGATAACCTCACATTCCAAAATTTGTGAATCATGTAGCATTCGGGATGCCAGTGTTGATTTTGTCCGTTCCTGAAGATCTCGACAAACTGCTTGAGGATGGCTGTCTGACACCCGTTGCATCGCTGTGCAAATTGTGTAGAGTAGTGAAAATGACAATAAACTTTTCCATCATGCTCGTAGTAGCTGTCTTGAGCACCAAATACAGTTGGGCACACGGAGCATGTAAAATGTTCGATGTGGTATTTGCGGTCAAGCGCTGTAATGTAGGATCCTCGAAGAGCACCACCGCATTCGAAACATAGGAGGTCCAGTCGGCGAAAGTAGTCTGTCTCACAGAGGGGAAACTGTCCAGATCCGTCTTCTGCATCGACAGGAAAGAATTTTGAGGCGACAATCTGCCCGCAGTCTGCGCACTTGAAACAATCAAGGTGGAATGTGCCTCCTAAAGCCCGCACAAATTGACCTGTCAAGGGCTCACCGCACTTCTTGCATGTACGCACCGCAGCGCCAGGTGACTTGCCAGAACTGCCATTTGTTCTCGATCTGCTTCTCTCGCTCCCACCAGGCCCGCCAAAGGACCTCTTCCTGCCAGTGCGGCTTTCTGTGGAGTGCCTCGCGTCGCTATCATATGAAGCATCATTTGTGTTTCCGTTTGCCTGGTTTTGTCCGTACGCATTGTACTGGCTCGTCCCGTTTGAGGATGTTTGCTGCAGGGGCTCATTCTGTTGGCGCGGAGTGCCTATCGTGTATCTTGTTGTCCCAGGGTTCCCCTGAGGCAGCCCTTCAAGCGGAGCCGCCATCTTAAGTGACTGCTCGACTCGTCTTGCATGTATGATTCTGAATCAACCGGGTAAACATTCGACAAGGACGACTTCCAGCAGCCGCGGCTTTCGTGCACAGAGGTGTCGGTGTTGTGAGTCTCTCAAAATTCTGGGATGTGATATTCTGAGGTCCTTTGTTTGTTTTGCGACCAGCCCACATACGATGGAGGTGAAACGCGAGTCCGGCGAAGGTGAGGCGACAAGGCCGGGCGGTGTAATTTTGGAAATCTCACCGGTCCCTGCTGTTCTTGCCCGAAGAGAGGATTGAAGAGGTTCAGGTTCGTGAGGGCTCTTGGGAGTATTCTCTAGCAACTCGGAGGCAAGTCTGCATTCAGGGCGGCGCGACTGATGGTACAGGAGTCTTGTTCGGGGACTGGGTGATCAGGATTCAGGGCAAGGAAGGAGTCGGTTCGAAAAAGGTTCAATTGGCGACCAAACGCGTCTCTATGTTCTTAAGAAAGGTTACGGCACTGCCGACAAAAGTCTGAAGACAATATGATGAAGAGCGTAAGGCAATAGAGTATATGGTGGCTTGAGTTGTCAGATGAGATGCCATGCTGTGCAGCAGGTATAATTAGCAGACTTCACGCTAATTGGCTGGCCACGTTGGCTGTCTAGATTGGGCCAAGCGCCCTTTACAAAGGAGCGACTCCAGTCTTCATCAGGCTTCAATTTGGGGTTCAACGATGAGGATTGGCTCATACCACCAGTGTCAGTCTGACACTCTGCTTATGGGACACTGAAAAGTCTGGACATAATCAATCAACTGTGTTCTATATTTCCCACGGCGCGAGAAAGAGTGTCGATCCCAAGTATGGTGCAGTCACGGGACCAGAGAAGTGGAAGAATGGAACAAAGGCACAGAACACTCCAAGATTCACAAGACAGAGAACTCCAACAACAGTCTCTCCAAGTTCAAAAAGACATCGTGCAGCGTCCAAAGCCATGTTGGACAATTGACAGAGATGAGAGTCAGTCGAAGCCTGCCGCCTCGCCTGTTGACTTCGTTCCAGAGCACAAAACCACCCAGGCCTGCCTCGAGAAAGACATACCATTCCTCCTACTCCGCCCTCAGGACCTTGACCAATAAAACACCATCCTTGACCGCCATCTCGAGTGTTTGCGTCTGGACCTTCATTGGGAACGTCACAGAGCGCTCGAACGACCCCTCTTGTCGGTCCCTGTGGAGTGGTTTCAGCTGAGCTGCTTGAATCCCGTTAAAGCCCTGCAATGAAGTCATGATCTGACTGGTAGCGCTCGGAATCTTCCCTCGTATGAAGATTATAGACTCGTCGATCCACTCAATTTTGATATTCTCAACTCTGACTCCAGGAAGTTCTCCGACAAGCAACCAGCCGGTCACGGTTTGCGGAACGACGTTGCCCGAGCTGCTGCTGCTTTGGCCACTCGTATCGATCTCGAATACATCAAACTTAGGTGATAAGATCCCTTGATGTGATGGCAGAGCGTCGACATTGTAATACTCATCGCCCAAGTGCTGGAGTTTGGCGCGAAGGGAATGCCTGTCAATCAAAGAAATGTGGTGAGGATGTCGGAGGCAGTCGAGAGTAGCCATGCTTATGGCGTTTGGTTAACTGTGCACTAACCCGATACAAGAGCCGGCGCCTTACCTGTCGCGATTTATCACTCAGTTATATCAATTCGAGGCTGTTGTTAACGTATGGTCAAATGCCTGTGATGGTAAGAGTCTAGATCCGAAGAACGATCGAGTCGAGACCGCTCGCGAATGCAGGTCCAAGTATATATGTGCCTGAATTGGATCCAGACCAAGTCCTCTACGTGCTGAGACTTACCGTTGACCAGTAAGACAAGCCATCAGCTATCGAAGATGTCTTTCATGAGTCTTGACTGGGCGTTTTGGCGGATAGTGGCGATGAACCCCAGGGCTCCAGCAGCTCAACTCCACGAGCATTTTCTCGGAAACGAAACACGTGGCGAGGAACTCTGATCTCAATGGTGACAACGAGTTGTCATGATCCAAAGGAATCAAGCTCATATAGGTTGACAAGCTTGAACTGGAGCTTGGCCTAGGAGGCTTTTAGAAAGTGGTCAATAGTATGGGACGCTCTGGACTTCGCCTAACACAGTCGGACGTCATGATCAAACCACATGGTGATCATATGACTTAACAGCTGGAACATCCCTGAGCCAAGATCAGATATCTGCGAGCCGAGACGAAGTTTCGACGCCATCTAGAAAACAACACGGGGAGCGGAGGAAAGATGAACACTACCAGAGCAAGGACCGCAAGGGATAGAAGAACATAAAGGCAGCACATAAACTTCAATAGTCGGCTTGGCTATGTAAATTGATTGAAAATAGGTTGTAATGACATGCTATAGTGCCGGATCTTCGCCTGCTGTCTGCGGCATATTTCACGTAATCAAGGCACGTCTTTTGTGTAACATTCATTGCACCAAAATTACCACATCGAACCACTTGCGCGTTTTTAGCTTCATGGAACCCGAACATCTCCTGATGATATGAGATTCCTTTGCTCATCTTCGTCTGTTTTGATCCAATGACACGTCACCGGTCACAGCTCCTCCGCATCTGTTGCCCTGTCGTCGAAAGCTCTCGAAGCCGTCTCCCTTCACCGATGCTGGAGATCGACCCTTTTCTCGGTCTCGCTCGGGGTATCCCAGGTTCACAAGGCACTCAACCGAAGCCACTGATTGGTATGTCATGCGACCGAGAAAAATATTGACGGCACATGGATTGAGAACTAGTCTTCGAGCTCGTGCTCCGCGGTCTGCCAAGTGTTGATGGATTTCCAGCTTCGAGCCCGCCCGTCTCCCTCTCCCTGATGGATCGAGGAGGGGGTCGCATGAAGGCCGATGTAGATATAAGAAGCCTCTCCCTCGTCGCATATCTTGTCCCGTAGCATCCAAACATTGAGTCTACACCGCATCGAAATCAGCCATTGAACTTCTACCTAGACGACCTCAGATCGCTAGACCTTAGCACGTCTTGACCACTACCAACCCATCTACATATAAACAAATCCGACATCAATCACCATACAAAGCCATGGCCTACGCATACTACTATGATCTGCCACCGCCACTCGTGGACAACCTACATGAACGCCACCATCAGCATCAAAGCCTGATGCAATATCTTGCACACCGACATCCCAGACCAGAGGACCACCCCAATCAACCAGACGTGGACTTCCGCGACGCCATCAAAGAGTACTTGGTCGAGGTGGAAGTTCCCGGCGTCAAGAAGCCAGATGAGGTGACAGTTGCTTGGACCGGCTCGCGATCACTGCTTGTGACGGGGGGTATCGCACGCCCGGACTATGGAGCGCCCGAAAACGCCGAAGTGGAGGAAGAAAAGGACAAGCCTGCTGTAGGCGGAATCCACCTTCTGGTGGGAGAAAGAAGGATTGGGCCTTTCAGAAGATATATCAACTTCCCATCAGACGTTGAGAAAGTCAGCGTAACGCTGGAGGCTGGTGTGTTGAAGATCAGGGCCCCCAAGAAAGGCTTTTCCGAGATTGCTGACGCCAAAGTTGATGTCAAGCACGCGTGAGTCTTGAATCAGTCTCACGGTCGTGAATAACGATACTAATTTATAACGTTGAATGGAGTGACCCTCAACCTATTCTGCGTACTTTTGGCGGCATTTGATCAGCTGCAGTTTTCCCTTTGTCCTTCCGAGAGAAGAATTTTTGCGTTGACGTTAAATTGAGCGTTGTTGTAATGGCTGTGGAGTCGATAAGCTATCACTCAGGTATTCCTAATCAAGCTTGATCTTGCCATCTACAATTACTACTTTGTGCTTCTGTACAGCTTGAAGAGAGATCATTCGCCCCCTTCTTTACGAGGAATCCCGCTCGTCTTGTGCAGTCACGCCCTTTCCCATCACAAATCTATTCCTTGGTCGACCTCTGACTCCAACCTTGAGACGGAATACGCAACCTTCGACGCCTACTGGTCTCTCAGGATCCAACATCGCCGACGTTATGAAGAGTTCGTCAAAATCTGGGCCTCCAAAACACGGACAGGTGACTCGAGACACTGGCAGATCGATCTTGCGAATGACCTCCCCTTCCGGCGATATCTGGAGGACTGCGTAGCCTTCCCACAACGCAAGCCAGACATTGCCGTCGGCGTCAACTGCCAGACCATCGGGAACGGCCTCGCCATCGTGGATATAGAATGCCCGTTTGTTGCTGATGGAGCCGGACTCTGCGTCGAAATCGAATGCCCACACGGTTCGATCATGCGAATCTGCAAAGTACATGACAGTATTGTCAGAGTTCCAGCCCAGACCATTCGCAATTGATATGCCATCCAGCATGGTATGAACAGAAAGATCGGAGTCAAGACGATACAATGAGCTGTTGCCTGTCTCATCAGCCCCGAACATCCCAATCATCGAGCCGGCCCAGAATCTGCCTCGACAGTCGATATTCCCATCGTTCAGACGCGATTTCTTGCCCATAACCGGGTCATTCTTCCAAATGTCCACTAGTGGTCTGAAACTCTTGTCTTTCCAATTCCATAGAGCAAAGCCGTTTTCCGTTCCCAAAATCAGTTCGTCTGGACGTCCTTCAATCTCGGCGAGGACAGTTGATATGACTGGCAAAGGGTAAACCTCTCGCCCTCCCTTTGCATCAATCCGACTTCTGCTGATAGACTTTCCGGCTATGTCAATCCAACACAACTCTTTAGAATCCTCAAGGTATATCGGGCCTTCTCCCAAAATATTGCCTGCCGTGATCCACGGTTTTATTTCGTCGATAGAACCCATAGCTCGTTACCTCCTGCAATGCAATCTTCCAGTAGTTCCACTGATTGCCTGTTGCACATGATTTTGACCAATTTCGATCTCATATGAGCACGATGTTTTTGGCAGACATTGGAACGCCTTCAACGGGACAACACGGAGATTGATGCCGACATTTGACAAGCTGGAAATTTTGATGTCCACCCTATCATATGCTGTTCCCTCCGCTTTTCCACCCAGCGGAGTATGGAGATGCCACTTATGGAGGGCAATTTGTGCCACCTTGCAGGTATCTATCCTGACGTACTTCTGCTAACACCCTACCGTTCGTGCTTCAGTCTATGGCAGGCCGATTGGGGAAAACAGCGCGACTGATGTGAGTCGAGACACCCAGGGAGGTACAATATCGGGTCATTCTTACGACTTTACCATGAGTGCAAGACATAATTACAAGACCCTTTGCTTGAAAATTTATCGAAGTGTAGCGTAAGCAATCCCTTGGCTTCTCTTCAACGTCACTAGGTTGGGACTCATTCAATCGAAGTGAGCTGGTACGAAGCACCCATTCTTGTCCCACTCGGACTCCTTTACAACTTGTACTACAGCATCATGATCGCTGCTTATGTGAAAAGCAAAGGAGATGCTATCAGCCACAGGCCTCATTGGTGTGAGTAGTCGTGTTAGTGCCAGTTGCTGCGGAACAGCCAATCACCACTACGATCGGATAATCGGCTTTCGTACTCCGTAGTGAACTTCATCGTCCTCTTTCTGCTCCATATTTTGAGCACATCATCACCGCATATGGAGTATGACCGTTAGAGTCATCACCACAGAATCGGCGTATGTGCCGATTCTGTTCCGCTTGTCAATTCCATGTACATGGAATCATTGTCTCATGTCCTAGAAAAACCCCCACGCACGATTGTCTGATGAAGTGGAACAACCAGACGTTCACCCACAATTTCTCCGGCTATGGCAAAATCTCGCTCCCCAAGAGAACTCCGCCATGATCAACCTGCAAGCTCAACGACAAGCTATAGCCTAGGGCCCCTCCATTGCTTAACCTCGGGGAATCCGAGTATCCCTGTCGCAGGAGGGCAGGTCCACACCATGAATGTGGTGGTATATATCGCCATGTTGAGCATTCTGCGACGCCCTGCTTTCCCCTCAGCTACTCGTATACCCCTTGGCTAAAGAAACTCTGGTTGATCGAGGCAGTGGAATTCCTAGTATGGCACCCTACTTCGGCCTCAGAGGTCTTCCTCTGCTCATTGCTATCACGTTTACTTGCTCTGTCGGATTTCTTCTTTTTGGTAATTCCCTTGCTTTTCACCCAGCCCGGACTCTAGACACGACTGACTCCTTCTCAGGATATGACAATGGTGTCTTTTCAGGATTGACAACGGACCCTCGGTTCCTTGACACTATGGGAAACCCAAATCCTACCCTCCTCGGGTTCATCGTTGCTGTTTACGAACTCGGTTGTCTTGCTGGTGCTCTTGCCTCAGCTGTTTGGGGAGAGGACATGGGTCGAAGGAAATTGACAGCTCTCGGCTCGTTCGTTTTAGTGATTGGCACTGTCATCCAGTGTACTTCCTACGGCCAGGGTCAAATGATTGCTGGACGAATTGTCACGGGATTGGGAATGGGCGGGTAAGGAATCTTCATGCAGTATTTGTCATGACTACTGCTAGAGGACTGACCACTTGAACGTTATAGAATCACGAGCGCTGTACCTGTATGGCAGTGCGAGACAACACCAGCAAAGTGGAGAGGCCGGGCGATCGCAGCAGAGCTCTCTACCTTGATTGTAGGCATTGTGATCGCCTACTGGATCGACTATGGGTGTTCCACCTACACCAACGGTTTCCAGTGGCGCTTTCCCATCGCCTTTCAAATCGTCTTCGCTCTCCTTTTGATTGTGCTGTGCTTTTGTCTCCCAGGTCAGTCTTCAGCAATCTTGGAGTTTCCCTGCTATTGCTGATTTCGAGTAGAGTCTCCACGTTGGCTCGCAAGCCATGGCCGCGAACAAGAGGCACTCGAAACCATCTGCGTCTTGAGAGACGGCCATCCAGAAGATGAAATAGTAGCGTTGGAGTTCAACGAAATCAGAGACGCAATCGCTCTTGAAGAAGAAGAGTCTGGCAGCTGGAAAGACTGTTTCTCTGATGGAGGCATTATGGGCTGGCAGCGAGTTGCCATCGCATGCTCTGCACAGGCGCTGCAGGAATTCACCGGGTACGTGCTATTCTGGAGTCTTAGCCATTGCTCATGTACGAGCATGCTGACATTCACCAGTACCAATATTATTACCTACTATGCACCTTATGTGATGGTTCACTCGGTCGGACTGAACGCTCACCAGTCTCTTCTCCTGTCCGGCGGACTTCAGTTGTGGTTCTTGGCGGCCTCCTTTATTCCCTGGTGAGCAGGCTCAATTCTGAATTGTCTGTTATCCAGAAGCTAACGGTTTGGGAAAGGTTCATTCTCGATAAAGTCGGGCGACGCAAGCTTTTCATCTTTGGAAACTTGGGCATGGGGTCATGCATGCTGATCTCGGGCTTGACGATCATGGCGGGCGGGCGGAACAACGGTATCGCCGCTGTGGTAATGCTGTATATGTTTCAGGTACGTTTTGCCGACAACGACATTTGTCAAGGCCTTCGGTCTAATGTGTCTTTCAAGGCTTTTTTCACTTGGGGGTGGATGAGCAACATGTGGTCCTACCCGTCTGAGATTCTACCCCTGCGCATTAGACAACGCGGCTCGGCTCTGTCCGTGGTGTGGCAGTGGCTTATCACGTTCCTAGTGGTTGAAATAACGCCGGTCGGAATAGCCAACATTGGATGGAAACTATATGTGGTATTCTGCATTCTCAACTGGGCCAGCATATTCGTTGTTTGGTTCTACTACCCAGAGACCGCTGGCAAGACATTGGAGAGCATCGACTTCTTGTTCGCCAGCCAGACTAGCCTAAGACAGGTTGTGAAGTTGAGCAAGCGCAAGGATATCGATGTGGCACACGAGATGCAGCGCCAAGTGCATCAGCAGAAGGTGGAAGGTGGAAAGACGGAGCATGAGGAGGGAACAACGGTCGAGATTGATTCCAAGGCATGAGCAGGCATCATGCATAAACTCGAAATTAAAAGCATTCTGGACCTACAAGAATCTCTGTGCTTGTAGATAGCACCGTGTCTAGGCAGATCGCATGGGCGATTCGGCGCTAGCACCAAGCTCTCAGGACAAGGCAGGTGAGGTGCGTGCCGCGTGAAAGACCTCCAGTAGAGCTCGTCAACAGTGCAAGCCATCATCTTCTTCTCGCTTGCACTATTGGAGGAGTAACCCTTCGGTCATGACGAGTCCTGGTATATGTGCTGTAAGGTCACCTCAAGCTTCCTTGAGCAAGACAAGCTTCCCATATGGCTATGACATCCGACGGCAAGAAACCGGTCAAGCTTTGCTTGGTGGGATTCCAAAGGTCATCCATTACTTTCGGCGTGTAGTCCGGCCAGCGGAGTCACGATAGAGGAACGAAGTACCACATATTGGATGGGGGCTTGCGGAGGTACCCCAGCGCTCATCCCTGAGTCGGACCCCCACGCGGCATAGAACCAGGTGGACAGTACACCTAGGGAGATGGTCGGACACAGAAGACGCGAGCTCATGGACTGGGCGCCTCCAGTAAAAGTAGTCCAAGATAGAAAGCACGTCTCTAACGAACCACCGACGTCCCTTAGCATTTCAATTTGATTGAGAAGTACCACGTATTGAAATAGGTCTTCGATAATACTCTGCTCGAATTGTGTAGAAGAGCTCCCTCCTCCCCTTTCAGAAATCCCTCACGACGGATCTTATCAGCTGCTGAATCAGTACCGGTAGACATGCGGCACGGCCACTCTGGATGATAAAAGCCTGCTTCGGACTGTACAAGCGGACTGATTCGAGTGGCCAGTCGCGACAACGCTGAAGATGGTGTAGAGTGATGATTGCAGGTGGGTGCCCCTACAGCCCGCCGAAGTCGCACACTTTGATCTTATCTTATCAGCTTGCATTGGCAAGGCTACCGGGCTAAAAGCGCATCCGCGTCGTACGATTGGAGTTGTTGATGGGGGACAATTTTTTGGAGGGGACACTAGAACACCGCAGGCCAGGAACAATTATACACACAAGGATAACTCTACCACACCTCCTTTTTTGCCTGTGTGACCTTTCACTTGAGTATCTTGTGTATCCTGCCACTTTCGTTGTTTCCGCTGTCTGACGACGTTCCGCTTGCCTCAACTTCCCGCCCAACTACACAGCATGGCCACCACCAACGGCGCCAATGGCGTCCCTCACAAGAAACCCTCTCTGCCGCCCGTGTACATTGTTGCCGCTGCACGAACACCGGTGGGCATGTTCCTAGGGTGAGAAAAGCCACAAAGTCTGTGATATCGCTCCGTATTGACAGCCAACAGTTCCCTGGCCTCAATGACCGCTCCCCAACTTGGTTCCCATGCCATCAAGTGTATGACCCCTCACCGCTTCAAGACGCAAGGTGCCCTACTAACGACTGCATGAAGCTGCCCTCGAAAGAGTGCCCGAGATCAAGCCTCAGGACGTACAAGAAGTATTCTTCGGTAACGTCCTCTCTGCAAAGTAATTATCTGTCCCTGAGTTGTTTCGAATGCCCTTCTGACCCTTTCTAGCCTCGGTCAAAACCCTGCCCGACAATGCGCACTCGGAGCCGGTCTCGACAACTCGACTGTCTGCACAACGGTCAACAAAGTGTGTGCATCGAGTGTGAAAGCTATTGTCCTCGGAGCCCAGACAATCATGACTGGCAACGCCGATATCGTCGTGGCCGGTGGTGCTGAATCGATGTCCAACTGCCCTCACTACCTCCCTAACATGCGCACCGGCGCCAAGTTTGGAAATCAGTCACTGGTCGACGGTGTGCTAAGAGACGGTCTGACGGATGCGTATGGCAAGCAAGAACATATGGGTCTACAAGCCGAAGAGTGTGCTCAGGAGCATGGCTTCAACCGCGAACAACAGGACGACTACGCTATCCAGTCGTACCAACGGGCACAGGAATCTCAGAAGGAAGGGCTGTTTGACTTTGAAATCGCCCCTGTTCAACTCCCCGGAGCACGAGGAAAGCCGGGCGTGACGGTGGACAGGGATGATGAGCCCAAGAACCTCAACGTCGAGAAGCTGCGCTCAATGAGACCTGCTTTCATTCCCGACAAGGGTACTGTCACTGCTCCCAACGCATCGCCTCTGAGCGATGGCGGAGCGGCCGTTGTGTTGGTCTCGGAAGCCAAGCTCCAAGAACTCAACATCAAGCCATTGGCAAAGATTCTAGGTTGGGGCGACGCCGCCCATCAGCCCAGCAAGTTCACTACTGCTCCGGCACTGGCAATTCCCAAGGCTCTCAAGCATGCCGGTGTCACGCAAGATCAGGTTGATGCCTTCGAAATCAACGAGGCTTTCAGCGTGGTTGCTCTCGCAAACATGAAGCTTCTGGGTCTGAGTGCAGACAAGGTCAATGTGCACGGTGGCGCCGTTGCCATTGGACATCCCCTTGGTGCTTCGGGTGCCAGAATCGTCAACACATTGCTTGGTGTCCTGAAAGCTAAGAAAGGAAAGATTGGCTGTGTCGGTATCTGCAATGGCGGGGGTGGTGCAAGTGCCCTTGTTATTGAATCTTTGATGTAGAAGTGCGTTGCGTATGCTTTGGACAGCGACATCAGAGCGGGTGTCGGGAACAAAAGGGCGCTTTAGGGGCACTACTCGAGAAGGGTACATAACTTGGTCGTGCTTTGGTCACAAAAGAACATTAATACTGCGAAAATACTGCACATATTCAATATCCATCAACATTTCAAGACAATTTCATTTCATCTACTCCGTGCCTTGGTACCTTCATAGATGGTACTTACGGTTCTCGGCACAATGGTAGACCGAACGAGGCTGTACAGTACGAATATGGGAATTAAAATTGCCGGAATAAAAACGTCTCCGCATCTTCTCCTCCCATCACCATTTGCCAACATCCGACCATTCCCTCAATGTTGTCGTCACCGTCTATCTGAAGGTAAGCGAAGACACTTGTTGGCTGACATGCAGTGTTCCTCCACTAGGGTCCGAAAAGCTTGTGCAACCTTCTCCATTTACCCAGTGCTACCCTAAGCATAAAAACCATATTGTGTATGTCGATCAAAGTGCTATACAAGGAAGGTGTCTGGATAAATGACCACAGGACATTGAAGCTTGTGGAGGATCGTCGCCCCCCGCCACCGGAGTGTGTGCATACAAGGTATAGACCTCAGGATGGACCTGGAGATCGAGGCATTACCACGGCCATGTCCCTGAAAAGGCGAGGACATGGCCATCTCGTGTGCAGGAGTACCTTTGTCACTTCTACAACTTCGTTTACTTTCTTGATTGACGAGCAGCAACATCGAAACAATGAAGCTCGTATTCGCTTCTATCGTGGGTCTCCTGGCAACGCAGTTGTCGGCACTCGCTGTTCCTAGCAATACTTTCGGGCGCTACAAAATCACTGACCATCCTGATCCCGAGAAACGAGCTTTGTTACAAAACCTGGTACGTCGGGACTGTCCGAGTAGATTGATACCTTCACTGCTGAGACAAGGAATAGGTGACATGGGACGAGACATCATTGTTTGTGCGTGGAGAGCGGATGATGATCTGGAGTGGTGAATTCCACCCGTTTAGGTGAGCGGCTTCTTCTTCGAAGCCAATAGGACTACGGAAGACCCTGGATCACGCAGAGAGTGGCATTGACCACGGAATGAACAGACTTCCCGTTCCGTCGTTGTGGCTCGACGTCTTCCAGAAAATCAAAGCTCTCGGATTCAATTGCGCGTCTTTCTACGTCGATTGGGCTCTGGTCGAAGGCAAGCATGGAAACTATACGGCGGACGGCGTGTTCGCGCTTGAACCCTTCTTCAACGCCGCCAGCTCGGCTGGAATCTATCTCCTTGCTCGTCCTGGACCATATATCAATGCAGAGTCTTCAGGTGGTGGATTTCCAGGGTGGCTTCAAAGGATAAAAGGCAGACTGAGGACAACTGATCCAAGCTTTATCGAAGCTACGCAGAAGTAAAAACCTCTATCTTCGTTCTTATACATGCATTGACCTTGTGGCAGTTACGTTATCCATGTTGCTGGCACCATTGCAAAGGCTCAAATCACGAATGGAGGACCGATTATACTATACCAGCCGGAGAACGAATACTCGGGTTTCTGTTGTGGCATAGATGGTTCGTCGATATCCTTTCAATAACGACAATATGATAATTTCAAAGACTAGGTCCTGATGGGAATTACATGCAAATTGTTGAGGACCAGGCCCGTGAGGCAGGAGTCGTGGTTCCGTTGTTGAGCAACGACGCCGGTGTGAACGGCTATAATGCTCCAGGTACGGGCAATGGATCTGTGGATATTTACGGTCATGATAGCTACCCTCTCGGCTTTGATTGCGCGAACCCTACTGTCTGGCCGGCCGGAAAACTTCCTACGGATTATTGGCAAAGGCATCTTCGACAAAGTCCGACGACACCTTACAGTATTACGGAGTTTCAGGCTGGCAGTTTTGACCCGTGGGGAGGCCCGGGCTTCGAAAAGTGTGGTGTGCTCGTCGGTAGCGATTTCGAAAGAGTCTTCTACAAGAATGACCTCAGCTTCGGCGTCAAGTTTCTCAACCTTTATATGATATTTGGCGGCACGAACTGGGGCAATCTCGGCCATCCGGGTGGCTACACTTCCTACGATTACGCCGCACCGATTGCTGAAGGGCGCCAGGTCGACCGGGACAAATATAGTCAGCTGAAACTGATCGGCAACTTTGTCAAGGTCTCACCGGCATACTTCGACGCGGTTCCTTTGCATAACTCTACTGCCCTGTACACCGACAATGAAGATCTCCTCGTTACCCCAGTCAAGGGCAACAGCAGCGCCACGACCTTCTACGTCGTCAGGCACACCAATTATACCAGTCAAGCGAGTACCTCCTACAAATTGATGTTGCAGACAAGTGCTGGCAACCTGACAGTTCCCCAAGCTGGAGGCGTCCTGACTCTCAATGGTCGAGATTCCAAGATTCATGTGACTGATTATGATGTAAACGGAACAAAAATTCTCTACTCGACAGCAGAAGTGTTCACATGGAAAGATTTTGGTCAGAAGAAAGTTCTGCTAGTGTACGGCGGAGAGGGTGAACACCATGAGATTTCAATCTCCTCGACCTCTACGCCCTCACTTGTGGAAGGACCCCAGGTCGGAATCACCATGAAGAACGGCTCCCAAGCTGTCGTTGCGTGGGAGACAACAACTCAGCGTCGCATTGTTGAAGTTGATAATTTACAGATATTCATACTCGGTAAGTGGTATCCATTGGTAGTGCATATGCACACATCAATGACGCCGAGCAGACCGAAACTCAGCGTACAATTACTGGGTCCCTGAGTTGTCTGGAAATGCACAAACAGTCGGATTTAGTTCTCAGGAGACAACTGCATCGTCCATCATTGTCAAAGCCGGCTACCTGATCAGAGCTGCATATCTCGAGGGCAGTAACTTACATTTGGTCGCTGATTTCAATGCCACCACTCCGATTGAGGTCATTGGAGCACCAAGTATAGCGAATGCACTCTTCATAAACGGACAGGCATCACAGTACAGCACAAGCAGCATTGGCTCTTGGACCACCAACGTCACCTGGGCTGATCCAAAACTGACGTTACCTACTTTAAGCAACCTCGAATGGAAGTACATAGACACTCTTCCTGAGGTCCAACCTGGCTTTGATGACTCGCTTTGGCCGGTAGCTGATCTCACGACGACGAATAATACCTGGCGCAAATTGACGACTCCCACATCGCTCTATGCGAGTGACTATGGTTTCCATAGCGGCTCGCTACTCTATCGCGGCCATTTCGTCTCTCAAGGAAATGAATCGACTCTCTATGTCAACACTCGCGGAGGAACGGCCTATGGACATTCGATCTGGCTGAACCAGACATTCATTGGTTCGTGGGCTGGTGTCAGCACTCAAAACAACACCAATGTGACCTACGACTTGCCGCCTAATCTGCAATCGGGCAAGGCATATGTCTTCACAGTCTTGATCGACCATATGGGATACGATGAGAGTGGAACCGTCGGCAGCGACGAAATGAAGACTCCTCGTGGTGTCTTTGACTACGCCCTTGCCGGACGTGACAAGGCCGATGTTGGTTGGAAGTTGACCGGCAATCTTGGTGGCGAAGACTACCGAGACAGGGTCCGTGGTCCGTTGAACGAGGGAGGAATGTACGCAGAGAGGCAAGGGTGGCATTTGCCGAACCCTCCGACCCAGAATTGGGACTCGCGCAGTCCGTTCGACGGCATCTCACAAGCCGGAGTGGGATTCTTCAGTACGCAGTTCGACCTCAACATTCCTTCAGGGTGGGATGTGCCATTGTCATTCACTTTCGGCAACAGCACTCTGCCTCCAGCGGAATATCGGGTACTGATGTACGTCAACGGGTTCCAATATGGCAAATATGTCAACCACATCGGACCTCAGACAAGTTTTCCTGTCCCGCAGGGTGTGTTGAACTACCAGGGTACCAATTGGTTGGCATTGACTTTGTGGGCGCACCAGTCTACAGGAGCGAAACTGGAGAATTTCCAAATTGAGAGCGACACGCCCGTCATGTCGGCTCTTGGTGAGGTGGACTTTGTAGGTGGATCGGGGTATTCTCAACGAGAAGGTGCTTACTGAATAGTCAAACATCAGAGAGCTACTGCGGTTGTAGTAGTGATAGTAGTAGAATCGACCTAATTTGAACGAGTTTTTGTGTCGGATGAGTGGTTGATTCGTCATGCTGTACTCTGTAGAAGTACAACGAAATTTTGTGAAATGACAAAAACTTCAACCACCAATGGTGTCGATAACCATTGATGGTGAAGAAACCCCGGGAGGGATTTTTTATCCTTTCAATTCGATTCGGTTTTGCGATTCGATTCGGTTTCTTGCAAGACTTGAAGTGGTGAGGCCGGGTTCGCAGGCCCTAACTGGTGAAGCCTTTTCGAGGGTTTCGTTCACTAGTGAGGGCCTGTTTGTTGTTATTTCGCAAGCCGGGTTCGCAAGGCTTGAGAGAACACAGGCTCTACTGGTGAGAAAACTCGGAGAGGTTTCGGTAGTAGTGAGGCTTTCGGTCTCGGTCTCGCCCAGAGGAAGTCAGATTGTCGCCGATTGCAGGAATTGCTGTTGAGCTATCTGACCGCCTCTGGGGGTCTTGGTGTTGGAGGTAAAAATTGACCTCTTTAATATATATACCTAAGTACTGTTTCATCAATCTAGGGGCCATGATTGGTCGTTGGGCGCGTCAGAGAAGTGAAGGGGTTCACTCGTCCAGGTCCTCAACCGCGTTGGCAACGAAACCGATGGGATGGCTGGATTGATGAACCGGGAAATGGAAAACAAAAAACAGTCTCCATCAATAAACGTGTCGCAATCGTCGTCAGACGGTTCGGAAATCCTAGGTCTTCATCAAGATGTACTTTATTTGGCAAGTCAAGTCCATCTCGAACCTTTGTGGTAGGTGTTGAGAAAGGGGGTCAGATGGAATTAGGTAAGCGAGGCTGCGAGGCGGAAAAAAATACGGCGAACTATACAGGCCGATCAGTTGCTCCAACGTACAGGAAATAATTTAGTTTTGTACAGAAACTCCGCAAAAATCAAAGAACGAAAGCGATCTCGAACTTTTGCGCCCACGACTTTTCCTTGCAACCCACGGAGGCTTCCCCTTGGCAGTATGGATGACCTCTACGACGAGTAAGTGTTTGTTGCCGGGATACGGTCTGACCATCAAGTTTCTGACATACCATCCGTGCAGGTTCGGCAATTTTATCGGCGAGGCAGCGTCCGACGAGGAGGGCATCGAGGCGGGCGACGATGGCCAGAACTACGTCTACGATGAGGACTCGGACGCGGAACCACAGACACAAGAAGATGGGTTGATGGAGGTGGACGACGAGGCGCCCTCGAACGCCGTCATATTACACGAAGACAAGCAATACTACCCCACGGCGCAGCAGATCTATGGCGAAGATGTCGAGACCATGGTGCAGGAAGAAGACGCGCAGCCTCTCACCCAGCCGATCATCGCGCCCGTCACACAGAAGAAGTTCCAGGTCCAAGAGGCGGATCTGCCACCCGTGTACTACTCGCGCGAATTCATGACCGACCTCCTCAGCTTCCCGGAGGGCATCAGAAATATCGCGGTCGCGGGGCATCTGCACCACGGCAAGACGGCGTTCGTGGACATGCTGGTCATGCAGACCCACCATCTCCAAGACAGACTCGACAAGAGGATAGGTCGGAGGCGAGACGAGCAGCTCAGGTACACCGACACTCACTTCCTGGAACGGGAACGAGGCGTGTCGATCAAGGCCGCGCCCGTTAGTCTGGTCATGCAAGGCACGAGGGGAAAGTCGCACATTCTCAACATCATCGACACTCCCGGACACGTCAACTTCGTAGACGAAGTCGCGTCGAGCTTGCGGCTCGTGGACGGTGTCGTGTTGGTGGTGGACGTGGTGGAAGGCGTTCAGATCAACACCGAGCAGGTCATCAAGCATGCCGTGCTGGAAGATTTACCCATGGTCCTGGTGGTGAACAAGATGGACCGACTGATCTTGGAGCTCAAGATCCCACCGACCGACGCGTATTTCAAGTTGAAGCACGTGGTTGAAGAGGTCAACACCATCATTGAGAACACGATACCGGGCCGCGGGGAGAGCAAGAGACTGTCGCCGGAGAAAGGCAATGTTGCTTTCGCCTGCACGTCCATGGACTGGATCTTTACCCTACAGTCGTTTGCCAAGATGTACGCAGAGACGTATCCCAAAGTTGATGCCGGCGAGTTCGCGAAGAGATTGTGGGGAGACATCTTCTTTAACCCCCAAAGTCGAAAGTTTACCAGGAAGGGAATTGAAGAAGGGGCGAAGCGATCCTTTGTCAATTTCGTCCTCGAACCTATCTACAAGCTGTATTCACATACTATCAGTGAAAGCCCGGAAGACCTGGCAGCGACTCTGGATACGTTGGGGATCAAGCTGAAGCCGTCACAACTCAAGTCGGATGCTAAAGATCTGCTGAGACTGGTCTGTGCGCAGTTCTTCGGGCCTGCAGGAGGATTCGTAGACATGATTGTACAGCACGTGCCTTCACCAGTCGAGGGCGCGAAGCGAATGTTGGACAACTACTACACTGGAAATCAAGATGGTACGGTGGGAGAGTCCATGACAAAGTGTGATTCGGATGGTCCACTGGTCGTCCACATTACGAAACTTTTCAGTTCGCCGGACGCCAAAACATTCAATGCTTTTGGCCGCATCATGTCCGGCACTGCGTCATCTGACCAGGCAGTACGCGTTCTCGGCGAATCCTACAGTCTCGAGGACGAAGAGGACTCCACCAATGCAACGATCACGGCCACCTATCTTGGATGCTCTAGGTACAACATACCTGTCTCGGGTGTACCGGCTGGCAATCTAGTCCTTCTTTCTGGAATCGACAATTCGATTGTCAAAACTGCGACCGTCATCGCACAGAAGTTTCCAAATGATGAGGATGCTTATATCTTCAGACCGATCCGACATTTCACGGAATCCGTTTTCAAGGTCGCCGTGGAACCAGTAAACCCGTCCGAATTGCCAAAAATGCTCGAGGGGTTGCGCAAGATCAATAAATCGTACCCTCTCATCACAACCAAAGTCGAAGAGTCAGGCGAGCACGTTGTTCTTGGGACCGGCGAACTGTACATGGATTGTGTCTTGCACGATCTACGAACGTTGTTCTCTGAGATGGACATCAAGGTTTCTGATCCAGTCACCCGATTTTGCGAGACGGTCACTGAGACGAGCGCCATCATGTGCTACGCGCTGACTCCAAACAAGAAGAATAAATTGACCATGATTGCCGAGCCACTAGACGACGGTATCGCCGAGGACATCGAGGCTGGTGTCGTCAAGATCCGAGACCCTATCCGCCGTGTTGCCAAGTTCTTTGAAGAAAAATACGAATGGGACAAACTTGCTGCGAGATCGATCTGGGCGTTCGGACCCGAAGAAATGGGGCCCAATGTGCTCTGTGATGATACGCTGCCATCAACCACCGACAAGAAATTGCTCAAGTCGGTCCAAGAAAGCATCAAACAGGGTTTCTCGTGGGGTACGCGTGAAGGACCATTGTGTGAAGAGCCAATTCGCAACACCAAGTTCCGGGTCACTGGTGCTGAGCTTGCTGCCGAACCCATCTATCGCGGTGGTGGACAAATTATTCCCACGGCGCGAAGGGCCGTGTACAGCTCATTCCTGATGGCTGGACCTCGACTCATGGAGCCAATATACAGTGTGCACATGACTGGCCCCGCGGACTCGATTTCAGGGCTGTATACGGTCTTGATGAAGAGACGTGGGCATGTCGTTTCCGATGGTCCTGTCGCGGGTACGCCATTGTACGCAGCGAAAGCACTTCTTCCTGTCATCGACAGTTTTGGCTTCGAGACGGATCTGCGTATTCACAGCCAAGGTGCGGCCAGCGTTTCACTCGTATTTGACAGATGGGACGTTGTACCCGGAGATCCTCTAGACAAAAGCATTCGCATTCGACCCTTGGAAATGGCCGGACCTCAACAGGCGGCTCGCGATTTTGTGCTCAAGACTAGGAGAAGAAAGGGGCTCAGTGAGGATGTTGATGTCAAGAGATTCTTGGAGCCAGAGTTATTGGCTGGCCTTCGTGAAAGTGGTGTTTTGGACTGAATGTTTGGGTGATGAAGAACGAAATCTATGCAATTTTTGATGAAACGAGGAAGGCGTGGCTCTTGTGTGCCCAAGAGTTTCAGCAAGCACAAATGGCTGCTAGTTCTCAAGTCTCGTTCACATGCAGACTGTGAACCTTTGAAAGTGGAAAGCTCATACTTCATTTCCAGGTCATACAATGACGAGGCAACCCCATAGTGGCTGTCCATAAGACGCTCAACCCATTGCGCCGAATGCTTCCACAAGAGCCGAAGGCCGCTGACGATACGCCTTGCTTGTGTCATACATACTGGGTTATGTAGACACTACAGGAGTCATATCCACTACGAGAATGCCCAAGCGAAAGCGAACTCAGGAACCGAGAAGGAGGAGTGGAGGGCAGGCCGAGACAGAGAGGAAAGTGGCTGAGAAGAGATCACATCGTGGGGTAGAAAAATAGCGACAATTTAAGTGATGTAGAACTATAGTTGTATAAATTTGACAAGTTGGGCATTCAGATAGCCATTTGAATACATAGCCAGGCCATTTGCTCCCTTTCATGGTGCTCGTATGAGCATTGAAGAGTCCCAAGTGCTTAAAACTACCTGTAGGAACAGCCTCGCTTAGTCACGCAATTAGGCGGGACTAGCTCGGTTCAGCCACCCACTAAAATCATGTGTTGCCACTAATCCAAAATGGAATTTTTTTTAAAGAGTTGCAAGTTGAGGCTGTCGCTGCGAAACTTCACCTACTCTTATCGCCTTTTTCCACTCTTCCCTCTCACCTTTTTTCCTCACAGAGTCCGATATTTAGGGACATATTTCTTTGTTTTTCACCTCTACAATCATGTCGGACGAGGTTTACGATGGTGCCATTGGCATCGACTTGGGTGCGCTGCCCTTTTCTTTTTTTTCCGACTTTCTCACCGTTTGTTCTGCGCCCACTGACAGACTGAAATAGGTACCACCTACTCTTGCGTTGCCAACTACGAAGGTAACAATGTCGAAATCAGTATGTTCTCCCTTCCTTCGATGACAAATTCGTTTCCATCACTAACACCGACGACAGTTGCCAACGAGCAAGGTTCCTTCACAACCCCATCCTTCGTTTCCTTCACCGATGAGGAACGACTTATTGGTGAGGCCGCAAAGAACCAGGCCGCCATGAACCCTGCCAATACTGTCTTTGATGTCAAGTGAGTTGGAGATAAGAAAACACAAATGAAATTGTCCACATGTGCTAATGACAAGCGCAGGCGATTGATCGGACGACGATTCGATGACCCTACAGTTAAGAAGGACATCGAATCATGGCCATTCAAGGTCATTGACCAGGGTGGAAACCCCATGGTCCAGGTCGAGTACCTGAAGGAGACCAAGACTTTCTCTCCCCAGGAAATCTCGTCCATGGTCCTCATGAAGGTATGTTTCTTCCCACTGACAAAATTGGTGTGTGATCATTCTAACAATATCGCACAGATGAAGGAGGTTGCCGAGGTCAAGCTCGGCAAGAAGGTCCAAAAGGCCGTCGTCACCGTCCCAGCCTACTTCAACGACAACCAGAGACAGGCTACCAAGGACGCCGGTGCCATCGCTGGTCTCAATGTTCTCCGTATCATCAACGAACCCACCGCTGCCGCCATTGCTTACGGCCTTGGATCCGGCAAGACCGACAAGGAGCGAAACGTCCTGATCTACGATCTCGGTGGTGGTACTTTCGATGTGTCTCTACTGAACATCCAGGGCGGTGTTTTCACTGTCAAGGCCACTGCCGGTGACACTCATTTGGGTGGTCAAGATTTCGATACCAACCTCCTCGACCACTTCAAGAAGGAGTTCCAACGAAAGACCAAGAAGGATCTCTCTGGTGACGCCCGAGCTCTCCGAAGACTCCGTACCGCTTGCGAGCGTGCCAAGAGAACCCTGTCCAACGGCACCCAGACCACCATCGAGATTGACTCCCTCTTCGACGGCGAGGACTTCAACGCCCAGATCACCCGTGCTCGTTTCGAAGACCTGAACGCCAAGGCATTCAACGGCACCCTCGAGCCTGTCCAGCAGGTCCTTAAGGATGCCAACATCGAAAAGTCCAAGGTCGACGAGATCGTCCTTGTCGGTGGTTCTACCCGTATCCCTCGCATTCAGAAGCTCCTGAGTGACTTCTTCGATGGCAAGAAGTTGGAGAAGGTGCGTTGTTGATCTGATTTCCCTTAGCTTACGTGATTCCTGACAGCTGTACAGAGCATTAACCCTGACGAGGCTGTCGCCTACGGTGCTGCCGTCCAAGCCGGTATCCTCTCTGGCAAGGCCACTTCAGCTGAAACTGCCGATCTCCTTCTGCTCGATGTCGTCCCTCTGTCCCTTGGTGTCGCCATGGAGGGTAACATCTTTGCTCCTGTCGTCCCACGTGGTAACACTGTGCCATGTCTCAAGAAGAGAACTTTCACTACCGTCGTAGACGTGAGTTACCTTAAAGACCCTTGTGATCTCTGATCTGTTCCTAACATCTATACAGAACCAACAAACTGTTCAGTTCCCCGTCTTCCAGGGTGAGAGATCTTCGTGCGCTGTATGTGTTTTCATGCCCTCCACCCCTGACCATGACTAACAAACCACAGGACAACACCTCTCTCGGCGAATTCACTCTGGCTCCAATCCCCCCTGCCCGTGCTGGCGAGCCGGTTCTCGAGGTCGTCTTCGAAGTCGATGTCAACGGTATCCTCAAGGTTACTGCCACCGAGAAATCTTCTGGCCGAACTGCCAACATCACCATCTCCAATGCTGTCGGCAAATTGTCAAGTTCGGAGATTGAAAAAATGGTTCAGGAGGCTGCGGAGTTCAAGACTAGCGACGAGGCTTTCACCAAGAAATTCGAGGCCAAGCAGCAGCTCGAGTCTTACATTGGCCGTGTCGAGGAATTGATCTCCGATCCCGGTTTGTCCATGAAGATGAAGCGTGGCAACAAGGCCAAGATTGAGGAGGCTCTTTCCGACGCCATGCAGCAGCTCGAGGTCGAGGATTCGAGCCCCGATGACCTCAAGAAGAAGGAGTTGGCCCTCAAGAGAGCCATGACCAAGGCCATGGCCACCCGATAGAGAAAAGCGGATCTTCTGCTTCCCTTTTCGTCTAGTCATCTTGTATTCTTCTACACCTCGCCAACACACACACCCCCAAAATTTCGACCGCTAGCCGCTTCCTTTTGCGAACTTCCATCTCACACCGCTTTACGAAAACCGTGCATTGCAATCTTTTTTTTTTTTGCAGACTTGTGGCTAGGGCGTCTGTATCTAGGACATCTATCTAGCTGAAAGCTAGCTAGCTGTTTTTGGAGGAGTCTCTTCTTTGCCATCTCTCGGTCGGTTTCAGGACGGCTTGCAGACAACTTTGCCACAAAAAAAAAGAAAAGATCGACTGGGGACAAGGGGAAAAAAGTTGTCAATCCATTGTCAGATAGAGTAGTAGCGGGCGCCGGGGGAGAGGGGAGGAGGAGTCTTTTCCTTCTTCGCCCCCCTCGATGCCCCCGCGAGAGAAAAGTCAAGCCAGAATGATACGAAGTTTTTTCCATTTACTTTTGTGACGTTTACGTTCGCTGGTGACTCGGGGTGACATGGATTCCAAAATCCACGTCTCGAGTTTCGCCATCATCATTGATGTACAAGGCAAACATTCATGTCCGTATCACTCGATACTATCATCCTACAGCAAGCATCAGTCTCAGACGGACCAGTTGATTGGTATTTCGTATATCAAATCATCCTTTCGTCGTATATGATGACAAAGACTGTACACATTTCCCCTGTAACTAACCTCATGTACAACCTCTCTCTCTCTCTCTCTGTCTCTCTTCTATTCGATCATGGGGAGGAAAAAGACAAAACTAGACACTAATCACAATTGGCTAAATGTGTTTGCAAAGCTTGACATGGACCAAAACCTCACATGACACTTTCCTCATCAGACTTTGCCGTCTCCCTCAAATCCTTCATCGCAGCAGCGGCGGCAGCAACGACCTCCTGTTGTGCCTCTCCTTGATCATCAACCTCTACCGACACGGTCTCACCGGTATGTTTATCAATGTATTGAACGGGGCCACATATCCTGTCGACCTTCCACACCCCCAACCCTCGTCTGCCGACCACACGACTCAGGGTCGGAACGAGCCCGTCATCGCCAAAATCCATGTCGTCAAGGTTGACGTGCGGGCGGTACGTGAAGATGTTCGTCATGATCAGTTCTGCGGGGGGCATGTCAAAGGCAATCGAAAAACTAAAATTCGAAACCGGCGGCGTTGTATTGTCCAGACGCCAGGCGGCCAGGGGTGCAACAACAAACACATCTGTCTTTTCCTTGTGAAGTGTCAATCGCTCAATAAGCGAAGGGTTGCAAGTTGGCATGTGTTGCATCAACATGAAGACGAGTTCGGATTGAGGGAAACCCATCATTGGAACTGTCGAGACATTGAGACTGTTGTTCGTGTATGGATGGCGAGGTTCGGTGCCCAGCAGGAAATTGGGTGGAGGGTAAGTCTTCCACCAAAAGACTTCAATGTTGTGTGCACTCGAATGCGAATTGGTGATGGACCGGGTGAGGAGCGATGGGATGGCCAGTTGAGTTGGGATGACTCCACCCTGGTGGTAGATTCCCATCAGGATCGCGAGGAAGGAATTGAAGAGTATCCAGCTTGTCCAAAAGATCCGCCTCCAGAGAGTGCTTGAAGGAACGCGGACACATGTGAGCAACAGCGGGACAGCAGGCAGGAGAAAGCGTGGTTCCTGGTGCGGGACTAGGCTGAGGAGAAGGGTTCCAGCTGTAGCAGAGGCGAGGCGTACATTGCTGAGCATTGTCTTGAGGATGCGAAGATTAAAGGGGTAGGCGGAAACGATCAGAAGAATCATCGCTGGCCCCAGTAGTTGTGGCAGATTGACCAAGAGGTGTTGGTAGTGTGGGTGTAAGCCGTGCTGAGCCAGATTGCTGGTCTGAGTGTTGTACATGAGATTATTAAGAGGTGTTATTACAGGAACATGGCGGACGTGGTCGTATAAGGCTCGAAAGGATCTGGTTGCTGCAGCGTCCGAATAGTAGGCCGTGTCAATGATCACAGCGGCCAGCGTCCAGAAAGCGCCAGAAAGAACAAGGGCCAGAAGACAAAAAGGTCTTGCAAATATCAGCCTCCCCATCAACCGTCTTCCTTCGGAGGGCTTACCTATTCAGAAAATGTGGCAACATTTGGATGCCGGGTATCACGATGAAAGTTGGAAATGTAATTCGATTGAAGGTGCCGAAGACGACAAGAAAGCCCAGGACAACACAAGAAGCAATTGCTGATCGTTTCTATGCTGACTGTCAATTCCTGACACTTGAAGATGGAAAGTAGAAGGCTTACGTTTTCACCCACGATCCTCTCGATAACGACCAGGCTCCACAACACAAGCAGGGTCTCAACAGAATTGGAAAAGGTATGTGTCTGAAAGGTCCATGTCACATATGAGGAGCACACGAGAAGTACTGCTTCTGGGCGGTGTCGTGGTGACCGGACCAAGTCATGAACGGCCCAGTCTTCAAGGACAAAACTGAGCACAAACATGACCAGGCGTAGGGTGTAATATATGATGTAGGGGTCGACCAAACCATCATCCTCCTGAGCCCATATCCATTTCAGCAATGCCATGGGCAAGCCGTAGACCGGCCATAGTGGAAATACACTACGGATGGGATGGTCCGAGTTCCACTCCCATGTCTGATGGCTGGGATAGGGAAACAGGTAGCCTGACAAAGGATAAGTATAGTGCCCAACATTTTGTGCTCCCGCGCATACCAGCAATAGGTTCCGGGCCTTGAAAGATCTCGTCCGGATGGAGGTAGCTCGGGCATAAAGCGAGGTAAGCGCGAACGAAAAGCAGAAGCAGGTAAACAAGGCGCCACATGCTTGTCGCATTCACCTTGGAGGGTTGGTCCTTGACTCTTTCATTGTCTTGTACGGGTGTAATCTTCTGCAGATTCTTTTCAAACTCATTCTCGGCCGCGAAAAGGGTAATTGTGAAGAAGCGCGTCCAAGGACGCGTCTGGTGGAAAGAGGGCGAAGGGGACAAGGAGGAAGATGGAACAAAGGTACGGATGAAGGGGGGTCGTCGCAACAATAAAAACGCAAGCGATGGCGCCGAAGGAATGACAGTGACAACAAGGGTGGACGGTGTCGATGGAAACAAAAGAATAAAATTGTGGCCGGTTGATAAGGTGAGATTGTCTACGAGTTCTCGCTACTCGCTTCTTCGCTTCCTATTGTATTTTCCACCTTGCATTGTAAGTCTAAAGCGCGATACGCAATCGGGGCAAGTGATGTCAGAGGTAGATCACGTGAGCACGTTCTACATTGGAAGACGTTGAGCATGGTGGGATACGAAGTTGTGCTACGAGCATAGAGTGAGTTATTCGTGAGTAGAAGATAAACGAGTTCTGCAAACGAGTGCTGCGTAGGCCCCGTGGCTCTGCATCCAGCAAGCATGGTACTGCATTCGTCCCTCAATACTAGCCTTCAGGCCGGATGTAAATTGAAGTGACCTCACATACAGAGGAGAAATATTCCAAAAAGTGTAGATTCATCCATTTGAACACATGTTCATGTTGCAAGCGTTCTATAGAAATAATAGAGACCCGAGAACAATGTGTTGTGTTCGTAAAATTGACTCGAGGCTGCTGGTGATGGCGTACTCGTAGGTGAAGATGACTTGAGTGACTGACATAATCCTCAATAGTGTCGAGGCTGCGCCAAGTGAACCATCACCGCCTGGAATTGCGGAGTCTGCCTGACTTTGAGGGCATTCATTATCACCTCAAGCCAGACAACTTTACATTTCACTGCCTATTTGCCTTCAAACTCGTTACCGAATCCGGATCTCTTTGTGCCTCTTTCTCTCTCTCTCTCTCTCTCTCTCTTTTCTTTCCTCCATCATCGCTCGCCACCGAACAAGATCCATCAGATCTCCATCTCAACCTGTCGTTCTACACTCACAAGCATCAGCATGACTCCCAAACCACTCACGCTCCAGAGCTCTGATGGAGAGGACATCCTCGTCGGTATGTATCTCGGATTGTTTTGTTCGCTATGGCTACTGACATATGGACAGAACGCGAAGTTGCCGAGCGATCAGTTCTCATCAAGAACATGGTCACCGATCTTGGTGAAGAAGCCATGGAAGAACCCATCCCGATTCCCAACGTAAATGCCGCCGTCCTGAAGAAAGTCATTGAATGGTGCCACCATCACAAGCACGACCCTCCCTCCGCCAACGAGGATGATTCCGACTCGCGCAAGAAGACCACAGACATTGAGGAGTGGGATCAGAAGTTCATGCAGGTCGACCAAGAAATGCTGTTCGAGATCATTCTGGTATGTTGACTAAGACAGTAATTGCAGGGAGTTACTGACTGGAACATAGGCCGCAAACTATCTTGACATCAAGGCTTTGCTCGACGTTGGGTGTAAAACCGTTGCCAACATGATCAAGGGCAAATCCCCCGAAGAGATCCGAAAGACGTTCAATATCCAGAACGACTTCACCCCCGAGGAAGAGGACCAGATTCGACGGGAAAACGAGTGGGCGGAGGAGTGAGTTTCTTTCCTCCTTAACTCTTCTCGTATCATGTACTGACTCGATGACAGTCGCTAAAGCACTTGCCGTACACTTCGGCGATGATATCAGGACGTGCTTGATGGCGTTATGGTTCCAGTCAACATGCACGCACGCGGAGTTCAAATGGGATGATGGAACTGGATGAATGGTATTTTACAAGCGTCACTGACATGCTACAGTGCTATCTTTGACCTCAACAGGTTGCAACGATGGCATGGTCGAGAAAAAACGTGGCTATGATTGTACCAGCAAGGTAGATAGTTGCTTGCCAACAAAAGCAAAGGCGCTCGGTACAGCCCGAGTCAATGAGGGTATTGCTACTTTGATTACAGCGTAGAATCCATATTTCATCAATGAACATGACCACTGTAAATCCGAGTCCTTATTTACCGTACCACGGGATCAGATCAGGATAGCGACTCACGTACTTACGCGGTTAAGAGGTAGGCTCAAAGTAATTGGTCATTGATTTTGATTTTCGTTGTGTGCACTATCCACGATAGACCATTTCCATGTGAAAATGGCAAGAAGGTTGATGAAAGATGTGCTTCAGAGTTTTGCCATACTTTGCAATTTCGTCCTTGGATTTCTTCGCAAGTATGTCAAGTGAAACCTTTCCTCAGGGCGTCCCTTGAAGCTTCCCGCATGCCTGGTTCGGATCACGGCGATGGCATCAATAATTCACATTGCCATTTCCCAACAACCACAACACAACCTCCCTTCCCCTCCCCTCGTAAGCATATCGACTTTTCCCCCTCGGACTCCCATAGATGGTGGTCGTTTTTCTTGAACCGAAAAGTCGATTGATTGGAGAAAATGAGCGAGTCGTCTAGATTCCGAGTCTAGTCTTGCGCCAGTGCCTCCTCTTGGCGTTGTATCTGTGTAAGAACAAACAATGGTCAGTATTCACTTCTGCTTAGAAAAAGTACGACGGCGATGTTATTGCAAGGAACAGCCAGCAAGTAATTCCACCAAGTGTCGGCCCTCCCTGTGTGTCTCTCTTTTCTCGAAGTTTTCCAGCTTGGTCCCTCAGAGTAATTTTCGCTGGTCTCATATACACAACCCGACTCGATTTACGACAAAACCCTCATTTCCCAAATATATCCTGACACGATTCCTTCGCGATTGATATGGGTAGGGGGTGCGGTGTATGTATCGTTCGAACAAAAAACACGAGTCGTGTTGGGAAAGGTGAGAGAGTATCTAACCTAATGGTGTTGCCAGTTCTCAGACGGATCCATTGAGGGATAGGTCGGTTCTGCTTCTGCGCTTTGGCGAGCTTCTGCTTCGTACGGAAGGACTTGTGGCTCTGTTTCAAACACAAACAAACTCAGTTAGTTGTTTGCTCTTTCTGTGTCTGCTAAACGGATAGAATTCCCCAACAACGACTGTCCCCAGGATCTTGCTTCAATCCCGTGGTCGAAGTTGGATTGAACAACAGCGACGGGCATTGCGTTGAAAGCATACTCAAGGCGAGGATGGAAAGGGGTTCGAAACATACCGGCATCTTGACGTTGTCTAATGCGATGACGAGACTTGGTGGTTGTTGTAAGAAAGAGATTCCTGTCTTTGCGAACAAAACTACAAAAACGCCTGCGTCTTAGTGCCGTGGGTGGACAGCCCATTCGTTCTGTGGAATTTGCGTGCGTCTTGGCGTGATGCCAAGAGCGAGCATGGACCAGTCACCTGACTGTTGACTTTTGAAGAACTGATGACATAATGAATGACTCAGTAGATGGTATGATACAGCCGGGTCTCGTTCTTGTACTCGTACATGTAGCCGAGGGTCAGCGCGCCGAATTGATTCCGGTCCAGCTCCAGAGACCTTGCGCTTATAATCGGAGGGCTTAGTAGCGTACCTAGGTGATCCCGAGGCCCAGCGATACAGCACCTAATAGACTGCGCTCCGAATTCGCCCAGAGCATCCATCATACTTGACCTAAACATTTCTATACACTTGCTGCACCACTCCCCCCCAGACCGATAGCTTTCCTTTTTGTTTCCCCTTTGGCAGTGGTGTTCTTGAGGTCGAAACAAGGAAACACACTCTTCGACATTCTACTTGATTTTTGCATACCAACATGTCGTCGAAGTTGAGGATTCTCGTGCCCGTCAAGCGGGTCATTGACTATGCTGTATGTTCTAATACTCATCACGACCTCACCCTTTCCACGCCCAACCTGTGGCTTTCGTCTCTGAAACCCGAAGAAATGACCGCCACACACCTCTCCTTGTATCGAAGCCTAGAGAGGTGTGGACACACCCGAAGGCTAATGTTTTCTCTCGACGACAGGTCAAACCACGAGTAAAGTCGGACCGGACGGGGGTCGAGACGGCCAACGTCAAACACTCGCTCAACCCCTTTGACGAACTCTCCATCGAAGAGGCGGTGCGCCTGCGGGAACGCAAACTCGCCGTCGACGACATCCTCGCCGTGTCCGCCGGGCCCGCGAAATGCGCAGACACTCTCCGCACGGCCATGGCCATGGGGGCCGACCGGAGCATCCACGTCGACGTGCCCGAGGACAAGCCTCTGGAGCCCCTGGGCGTGGCGAAACTCCTCAAGGCCATCGCGGAAAAGGAACAGAGCAACCTGATCTTTGTGGGCAAACAGGCCATCGACGACGACGCGGGACAGACGGGACAGATGCTGGCGGGCCTCCTGAACTGGCCTCAGGCCACGCAGGCCAGCAAGGTCGAGATCGACGGTGAAGAAGTCACCGTCACCAAGGAGGTCGACGGAGGGGTGGAGACGCTCAAGGCCAGACTGCCCATGATCATCACCACCGACCTGAGGCTGAACGAACCCCGGTACGCCAGCCTGCCCAACATCATGAAGGCCAAGAAGAAGAAGCTGGAGAAGAAGACCCTGGCCGACTACGGCGTCGACGGCAAAGCCAGGCTGAAGACGGTCAAGGTCGAGGAACCCCCCGCGAGACAAGGTGGAGGCAAGGTCGAGGACGTCGACGGCATGATCAGTAAGTTGAAGGAGTTGGGTGCCATCTAGACATGAAGCTTTTTTCTGCGAGTACAAAGTGGGTGTATACAAATCCACCTTTTACCCTTGTATACAAGACAACACACATTGGGAAGCGCCTACTCTATTTTCACCATCCTGATTGATGTATGGATGCATCGATCAATGTTCTTCGCCTAGGGTGGCAGTTCCATCTTTTCGATCCAACCAATGAAAAAAAAACCACACGCACAGGCTTGGGAATGGGCTTAGAGATTATGTGTGTACGGAATATAAAACTATGAGAAATAAAAATGCATGGGACAGGTATTCATGATCTTCTACTTAAACTACCTTGGTTGGAACTTCAAGTAATAGCCACCCATGCTTGGTGTGCATGAAAGACCATAATCAGCGGTAGAATACCATCCTATTGCCAGTCCATGCATTTGGGAAAGAGCGACAATGTCTGCCTGATGCACTCATTCCCTCAATTCTGCTTCTCATTGTGAGAACAGCTCGGTTTATCAAGTATTCCCGTCAATCAAACAAGAAACCAAAAGACTCCATTCGCTATGCTAAAAGCACTCCCTTCCCACTCCAATTCGTCCATCATCCAGCTGTTTTTCAAGATTTTGATCTGTTGCAGAATTCCAAGGTGGTTCTTGTGGTTGTTGTTTTGGCTGTTTGCATGGGTAATTGTCATATTCAGCCAGACAGACAGACTCGGAAAAATCAAGCACAAGGGGCCAAGGTCGGAAAAAAGCAAGACCGTGTTCGCGTCCATAGTCCTTCCCTGGAGAACCGGTGACGCTGATCAAACAGTACCAGCGATGGTCAGATCTCGAATCTCCGAAAGGACCTGTTCGACACGGTTGTCCAAGTCTCCACGGGCGTATTGATCTCGAGTATCCGGATCCAAGTATTGTTGAACCTGTGCCATGCGACTGTAAGCTTCGGCGCAGAATCTGAGTTGAATCTTGACAAGAGCTTCGAAGCTTGGGTCGAGGTAAGGGACACGAAGGTCGATGAGTTGGGGTAATTCGGTGAAAAGTTGTTCGTTTAATTGTTCGTAAGCTTGCTTGGCCATTTCAGCTTCCTTCTCTGCTCGTGGTAGCTTGGTCACGTCCTTGTCCGGTTTCTCTACCAGTTTCTTGACCTTGGCACGCAGCGCGTCGTAATCGAGGAGTTTGTTGTTTCGTTTTTTGATACACTCGTTGATGTCGGGGAAGTATGCGCAGAAGCGAGAGATTGGTTCAAGAACTGTGGTTCTATAGTTATCCGAAAAGAAACGAGATTAGTTTCATCTTTCATCATCAACCTTTTTTGGGGGGCAACATTCCCTCTACTCTCCCTCTCACAAAGGGTGGGGTAGAGATTCGAGACACGATATAGGTAGGGGGGCAGTATATCTCCGTACCGGTATGGTCCGTCAAGGGCTTTGATGGTCTCTGCGTCCAAATCTTCGACGGCCTGCTTGTACGATCGAGAGACTCCATCTCTTGTACCAGCGTCTCCGTAGAATGCGTCGATCGTCTCTGCTATTCTCATTTGCGACGCCGTCATTGCTATGTTACCAACCCGGTAAATGTCAGTTTCAAAATGAACTTGTGGCTCTCTCTCCCTCTTCTCTTCGGGTCATATCGGTATTTACCTCTCAGGCTGTCCAGATATCCCTTGGCTTCTTTCTGTAATCGATTGGCTGCCGACTCCATCGTTCTGTATCGCCTGTTTGCCCCGCGTGCGCCTGCGTCAGCTTCTCTCTTGAACGTTGAATCGACATCGGGTACCGAAGACGTGAGCTGTGTTTACCTTTCTTCGACCTCGTAGTCTCGATCGTTGGTTCTTTCGACGTGCCCTATAGTCAAATCACCAAGAGTCAGATCGGAACGTTTTATGACTTTCTTCTCCGGTCCAAAGAAAAGGAACCTCACCAGTCTTCATCATGACCTGGGTCGTTGCCCGGTTGACGTTCTTCTTGAACCCCGCCCACGACATATTGAGGTCTGCTTCGTCGTCTGAGGTAGTTGTCTAGGTGCGCTTGGAATCGGAGCTGGAACTCGAACACGCTTTCCTTCGCGGCTGGTCCGTGGTCGAGGATGTCGAGGATTCGTTTCAAGTTGGGCATATCCTCCCGATATTCATCCAACTTGTCCCACATGGATGCCGTCCAGGCGGCCAAGTCTTCACGTGACCCGTCAGCCATTGATGACGTGTTGCTTTGTGCTCAGAGAGGAATGTTTAGCGAGGTGGGCCGCGGCAAGGGGAAGGTCTAGCGAGAGGACCCTCCTCCCTCCCAACCGGGTGCCCATGGGCGGTGAACACGACCACAAGCGATTGTGCCTCACCTCAATTGACCACCCTGTCAACCATTGTCACTTTTGTTGTACGTGTATGCTTAGTCTTGTTGCCATTGTGTCTCTGGTCATATTCCGTTGCAAATTGGCACAGTGATGTGAATTGATACTGACGACAACCCGACGGCCATTACCGGTATTGACCATTGAGCATGGTGTTTACCATGTTACTTGGAGTTCCTTATTGTTCTCTACAATAGCCTTCAGTGGACATCTAGTCGACATCGTTGGACCCTTAATTCATGGACATAGTAGGTGATAAATTTCCATTGAGAAGAGAAAGCCATGTTCAGCGTGTCTGTCACCTCTGAGACAATGAGAGCGTTCGCACGTGTTGTCTTCAATGCAACCATTATGGCTATATTCTGTTGAAGCGGAAGATATTCACAGTGAGATTTCTATGGACATGTCACAATGCAACCGCTGTGGCCATGATCTGTTGGGCCTGAGGTCATTAACGATGTGCAAGCAGGTGTATACAACGGTGTTATGCGGTGCTATGCGGTGTCGTAGCACTCCTTCGCGATATCAGAAACCGATCTGAACTATTTGTCCTTTGACACTGTATAACGCCAACATATCCTTTCTTTTTCTTGTTCATCATTATTGTACAAAACAGAGACATTGTTTCATCTCTCTAGCCCTGTTTTCCCCATAAAGCATTAAATGATATGGTCTCTGACTCACAATTCGATGCCCTGGCTGGTTGAATGGAAGGTTTGCACTTCATTTTTTTCAAGAATCATTTTGCAATTCCGATCATTTTTCAGCACTACCTACCTAGGTAGGTAGGTTCAATGAGTCCTTGCCTAGATAATTCCTGGACTAGACTACCTGAGGTACCTGAAGCTCGCTGTCCACCGGGAGAATCTGGTCCCCGTTTGGAACAGTGAACATTACACAAAAACGACATTTATGAGTCGTTGACATGGCTATGAACTTCTCCTCTCCCTCCCGAAAAGAATCAAAGTCAACCACGAAAAATACCACCTTCCTTGTTGTATTCCCCAAAGCCTGCGTGCATCACCTATTGTTCGTTGTTGTTGTGGGAAATGACTGACTGAGCCCATTGTCGAATTCTTCAACCAGCAACCAGCGCGCTCAAATTACCTGACCTCTCCAAAGAACAGAACTTTTCGATAAACTAAACTCATAACAGAACTTAAACAAAAATTTGTACTGACTCCTGCACTCGGGGTACACCACAACCGTTAACTGTTGACCGCTGACTGCTGTAGGTCGAGAAAATTGAGATTTCTCATGATGAAAAAAGACCGAAAAGATCCAAAACAATGGAAGACATAATGACATAAGAGCTTGCCAAACCAACGTCGAAGGGAACTCGTGAGACCTTTGCTGAAATGGACTGGACTGGAACAGATGCTGGAGACCGCGACAATCCTAAACGTTGGAAAACACGAACATGATGTCGCAATGAGCAATGAAGATGAGATAAAACAAAACAAAGCGGCGACAACATTCGATCGTCTTCCGAGCGAGGAGGAGAAGACGAGATGACAATTCGACAAAAAATTGAAAAGCAGGTTTCAGGTCTTCCATCCTTGTATTTCGATATACAAAGGCGTCCGAAATTCGTAAGATAATAAGGGAGGAGTGCGAGAACCTGATGGCGGTAGAAACCGATACTCTCTGCTGCATTGCAAAGAACAACAGAGTCGATGACGATTGCAGATGTGAAGATATCGGCTGGACAACGAATCTTCGGAACCTGATCCCAATAAATTCAATCCAAGAAGTCCGAAAAGTTCCCAATGCTCAATGCTGAACGGTGTAGAAATCAGTCGACGTCATATCAACAGCGACAGGCTGCGCGATGCCTTGCTGGTGATACATGTCGGCAACACTCATCAACGTACCTCCATGCTGATCCTGGAAGTCATGGTATGGTTGCATCGTGTCCATCAGAAGCATACCACCACCACCACCGCCGCCGCCGTCGAGGCTGTTGTCGTCCATGTCGTTCGTCTGACCAAAATAAGCGAGCGCCGACTCAGGAGCCCGTGCGGTAGCGGCAGCGGCCATCATGTGAGGGTGAAACCCAAAGACACGGTCAGGAGGTTCCGGTCCCATGTTGGGCATCATTGCCATCCATGGCTGGCACTGCTGTTGCGGCAGCATACCCATCTGTGGAGGCTGCCGAGGGCATGTATCGATGTAGGAGGACATCATGTCGTGCATCATGTTGTTCATTTCCGGCTGCTGCTGCTGACCACCCTCGTTGTCCTGCTGTCCGCAGCCTTTGGTGGCCAGCATCGTCTGGGTCATCACCTGAGCAGCTGTTGGTTGAGAGACAATCATTGTTGTTGAGTGGCGAGCATTGATTCTGCGATCTCCCGTCGTCAATGTTATTCGATCCTTTGTCATGTCTTCTCCTTGGCCGGACCCATCGGGTTTACGCAGGGTGGAAGGTGAGCGGTATGGAAGTTCCTGAATCATTCGTGCACTCATTGATGACGAGGTGTTTGAGCGACCAGAACAAGTAGGAGCAGATGGTTTTGAAGATCTTCGCACGCCTCCAGATCGACGCACCGACGATGAGGACTCGGTAACCACGGTGGTAGAACCCGTTCCCCGTTTCCGGTATTTTGGCGGCTTGCTGTCCAAAGACTGCGAATGCATCTGGTCAAGTGGAGAACCATGTGTGGATGAGCTGGGTGTAAAGACAACAACCTCATCATTGCGTTGTTGTAGGTCTTCCTCGGTAGACTCATCGACCAACTCTGTCTTCAAGATTGTGCTCTGCAACGACAACGAAAAGCCTCGCTCAGGATCCTCGCCATCGACATCAGTGTACGACGACCTTGCAGTATGAGCGTAGTTGTTAAGAAAGACCAATGCATCGCCGTCTATCAGATGTCAGAGAGCATCCGACACCACGGATTGTCATTATAGACTTACCTATCTCACCAGCTTCATACTGTTCCATTAGATCTCGAGCTCTGCACACTTGCTCAATGATATCCCAAACCCCTTCTTTCAAATCCGGTTTTCGAGAATCGAGGCAATCCAAGAGATCGGCAGCTGTGACAAAGTGTGTATTGTGCGGGTCTGGAGGGTTTGTAATGACCTCAAGTGGCGTGGAGGTGAGGAGATGGACCAGCAGACTTGTTCGATCTATACAGTACATTAGTCGAAAGAACCGCGTACAACGACAGAAAAAAGCTCACCGTCACGGCCTATGTGGTCTGGTTCCTTGTGAGGAACATCTGATACCGAGTCAAACCAAGTCTTTTGTGTGCATCCTCGTCCATGAAAGACAACTTACTACTGGGCCAGTAAGGAGGCCGAGTCCGCTCAGGGTTCCGATGTTCACTTCGAGGAACGCCACCGTTGTAAGGGTGAGTTGATTGCTGATTTTCATGAGTATGGACCGCTGTGTTCTCAAGAACGAAGCTCACCTTCCTAGGATGGATTCGCTTGATCCACATTTTGGCGATGATCCGACAGGCGACTTGCTGCATAGCCACGAATGCCTCTTTGAACCAGCGTTGAAGTTTGTCGTGATCATCTACTCTGATTTGCAGAGCAGGGCCTTCATTGACCACTCTCAATTTGCGCTCAACCCGCTGAACTGGGTTGTCACAGCCTTCTCTGCCATTGATGGTGCTGGCGCGATGACGTTTAATTGGTCGCTGGAAAGGATACGTGATTGAAGCGACAGCCAAATCATTGACTCGGTCGCGGATTGGTTTCTTTCCTTTCCACCTCCGACTGCTCCATGACTCTGAAAACCCTGTATACGTTAGTTTGTGCAACGAGCTCTTATGTTTGCGGATATACATACTCGGAGAGGCATGAAGACATGATTCGTTCATGTAATGCGAAAAGTTGTCGACTGCATCCCCCAAGATTGCAAGACTCTCCTCCTTCAAGTCTGTAGAGACTATGATCTCAGGCACACCATATTCCCCTGGAACAAGGGCTATGAAACTGTCACAGCTTTCAACAAGCTTTTTGATCTGGTTCTGGAAACAGGTTAGCTTGAATCATGTCGACCACGCTCGAAGTTGAAAAGAGGACGTACAAGAGCATATCTCTGCTTAGCTCCCATGGGAAGCTTAGAGGGCTCCAAGAGTGAAGCAAGTTCTTCTGTCTTGAGTGGCATGAGGTCGGGGGATGGTGTGGCATTGGTTTCGGCAGTCATCATGTTCTGTAGATCGAATTCCCATACCCGGATGAGTTGGGCAAGCACTTGAAGATGATTCTGACTACCTGAAATCGAACGCGAAGAGCCTTGTTTTTGTAGCAGCCGATGGAGCCCCTGTTTAGAAGGAGCGAGGACAGGCGCCGGAGACTGGGAAATCCAGACAATCCCCTAGGGTAGGCATTAGCGTTCATGATGCTCATGAGCTGCAGAAAGGCGTCGAGAAAAGGTGCATGGTCCATCTCTTCAACAGAATGATGAGATCAGACCAAGTCATGGAGGCTTGAGACTATTGACCAGTAGGCAGGCAAAGCACCCCGGCCATGAGACGCAGAGCTAGGGGCGAAAAGAGAAGGAGATATCAGAACAGCAGTGATAAGTCTCAGTCCCCGCGGGATCGAGCTCGAGAAGGCCAAGACAATCAAAGCAAGGCCCCTTTCGACAATGCTCGTCTGCATCGTCCAAAATCGGCCTCTAACTTAGTGTCGTGTACTAGTTCCGTTCAGCCTTTCCCCAAAGCTGATGCTGGTACTGTTTGCTGGGAACGCGCTAGGGGCGCTCCATCCGCAGATCCGGTACGCCAGAGACAAGCAGCATCGCCAAAGCAGCTTCTTCATTTGGGATGTGACGAGGATGTGACGAGGATGAGACAGGCTTGGTACTGACCTTACTTTAACTAATCCGAATGGATATAATGCTGACCGTGAATGTGGAGTTTCTGGAGTCCGCCTATCGCAGGTTCAATAGTAGTATTCGTATTGCAAGACTCGCGGTCCCAGATTGCAGGGTCAAGATCCACTTGTTGAATGCCACCGACGACGGAATATGACCAACCCCAAAATGACCAAAGCAAAGACGAAGCCGACCGGGTGTGATAAGTTGAAGACCCTTGTCCTTCTAAGCAGCCATTCTGTAGCAAATGGCTCTGCTTGTGGGGTTTCTTGCGTGGTAGGCGAAAAGTAGGTGACGACAGAAGCGAGGCCCTACGCCGGGCCCCTTGCAGAAGAGAATGCTTTTTGAACTGTGTGAGACTAGACTGCAAATGAACCTCTGCACCTGACCAAAATGCGTGACCCAATGGGTGTTGCTAGCGTTGAGGTGTGAATATAGCTTCAACCAAGCTAGTCGAAGATGATCGTTTGCCTCCCTGTCCTGGTTGACTCGATCGTGTCTTGGAAATGATGTTATGTTTAAGCGATAGCGTGGGGTCGAACTTTGTTGGGATGAGGTACGGATGAAAGCTGAGAGGAAGAAAGAGAAACAAGTCTCTCTCTCGGATGGCCCAGGCGAGGGAAGTATATGAGGTTGCCAATTGGACGAGGCAGCACAGAGCCAAACAATCTGAGGAACAGAATGGTGTGGTGACATGGGGGCATCGACCCTTTCACCAAAGGTATGCAATTGATCACCTTGGTCGACCTTTTTTGGGCGACGCTAGCGGCCATCGTGACAGACTGTGTGAGGTTGTGTCGCAGTCATCGAGGAGCTTTAGTTGGTCACTCGGTATTGCCCAAGTGGCTCGAAATTCCGGAGGAGGCGTCGATCTGAACCTCTGGTAGCACCAGCTACGGGGGAAGGCTCCTGTGTTCATGGCGTTAGTCAAGGACTGGATTCTGGAGTAGAGCATCCAAGCTCCTTGGGAGGGTTGTTCGTGTCTAGACCGAGAGGCTAGTAGCCCTGTTGCGCTTGCTCGGTGCATGCTGCGAAATCCAGCTGCTCAAGATTCCCGGGTGGCTAGATAGCAGAAGCTCCATCGGAAAGGATGGCGATCGGCGTATTGGAAAAGCCTACGGACAGGTGGATCAGACTGTGAGATACCAATCATGATACTCAACGAGGGGGGGTCCCTCCGGGGAAGAAGTATGCACCCAAAGTCATGTCGCTAGCCAGCGGCTTGTGTGCGGGACGGAGGCCACTCTCATCACAGCCCCTGTCGCCTTCCGCCTTGTGCCACCATACTACTGGTACGTAGAGAGCGTCATTCTCCTGATGATGCGGCTCAATCAAATGGCCTTCTGGGGGAGGAGAAGGAGGCAGATTTTAGGCTTCAATGCCTTGACTGTGTGCACTGGGTACTCCGTACCTCTCCTAACGTCATCCATGTGATGATCTTGGTGCCGAAGTTTCAACGCTAGCATCGTATTTTCCTCTGGAATTACGACGCCTAAGGGCAGTAAAGGGTCTCGGGACTGAATAATGTGTGTGGCCTTTGGAGTCCAGGAGCCAGAGAAAGGCTACATGGAAGTTGATCGGACGGAGCCGTGAAACCGCATCGATACATTTCCGGCTCGAATTTCCCCTTGGCAGTCGTAGTGACCAAACACTGCAGCGCTATCCGGACGTATCGTATGCTCGTCAATGACGAAGAAGAGAATTTGCATGGACTGGCCTTTCCTTGAACTCTGAACCGAGGTGACAAGGGGATCGAGACCATGTTCTGGTTGCATCCAATGTCGAGCAAACACGGGTGAGCGAGACGTGAGGATTGAATTTGCTCCGCCTCCCAATCTGGATACCCCTGCACATGCTCTGTGCGCTTCTGAATCCTTCGATTCGGGCCGTATCCAACTGGATCATCATCTTGCTGTGGGAAGCTGGACATTACAAGACCTCGCCAGCCTCTTCTAAGGCTAGTGAGGTCTATCTAGCTTGAGATACCCACTATAACTAGCAATCGCCTTGGAGCTAAATGTACGGAGTAGTTATTGCTGGCTTTTTTAGCCTCCTGTACGGTACATAGGGAGATTGTCACGTTGCGACTCCATTGATTGGATTCAAAACATCCAATGATGGGTATTGCAAGTTCGTGTTTGAAGACAAGGGCATAGTCATGTGGATGATGAGGTGCTGCCTCCAGGACTCAACTGGCTCAGAGAGACACGCTGGACCAGAGCAGCCCAGCACTGCCGTCTCTTCTCGATAGTATTCCACAGGCAGTTATGCGGGCGATCATGAAGATGCCCCCCAGGAGTGACCACATACGCGTGGGTCCTGTCTGCACCTCACACAGCTGAGATCTCAAGCTCGAGGGTAGCTTGTTCGCCTTCCCGATGCGGGTCTCGTCGCCACTTGTTGTTTGCTCGATGCTCATGGTGCACAGGCTGAGTGCCGCGATCGAATGATGTTGAAGTGATGCATTGGCATGTCGAAGAAGCCGGCAGGGCGTCCACCGAGCTAATGCATGCAGGCGAGCCCCCTCCGCAAACTGATCTGTCCAGCTCGGCAGCTGTCACACAGCCGGATGCTGGGCATCGGGAGCAGGCTTCAACCGCCGTTCACACTTGCACTCTTCACATCTAGTTGACAGATGAGAACGATCAGACCACGCCAAAGATCTGGGGAAAAGTAGAAAGATCGACACCTAGATCGAGAAGCCAGGGGACTCGCTCGACAAAGGCAGCAGTTGCCGGTGATGTCGATGATGCTCTGGGCATTCAGCCGCGACAAAGAATCCGGACAGGGATACAGCAATCGGCAGAACTGGGTGACACCACTCGCAGGCTGCGGTGGAGATTGTGATGTAGCACAGGGTCGCAAGCCTCCCGTCCTTCTCATTCAGACCAATGCCTCGCCGTGTCTAAGTTTATGCACTGTACTCCGGGACAAGCAATCCACCCCTCCTTTTGCAAAGCTCGGCTGCATCCTAACCAACAGAACAGCGTGAGTTTCCTGAGATGGAAGGGGAAGCCCCAGCAAGCACGCGGAGTTTATAGACTGGAATTCATTTCCGGCGCAAAGGGCAGTGAAAATTGGTTCGCTTCCATCGAGCCTACACTGCCAGAAGTCCATTCTCCCATAGCTTGCTTCATGTGCGACTCGTCTTGTGGCCAATATGGGATCAGCTCGTACACAGTTGACACAAGCCTTGAAAATTTGAGAAGTCCTGCGGTTTCACGGTGCAACCAAGCATGTGAATCATTTGTGTGTGCACAACAAGTAACAGTTACAACCGTGATGGAACCGAAGGGGATCTCTCCAGAGGTATATGTACCAACACGTCGGATCGCAAGTGCCAGCTATTGAAAGAGCCATAGGATGGCCATCGCCATCCTGTGCTACCCACCACTTCCGATCCGGTTTGAATGTGTCATGTCTTTGCTGAGAGGCGACTTTCCCATGGACGCTCGGGGGGGTCCAAGAACTACCAAAGCTCTCGGTTCCAGATCTTCCTGCAGCAGCCACAAGCCTGCCTCGACAGGGTCGTCGCACAGATACCAAAGTTTCTCACAGCCATAATATCAAGTCTGACTGCATTCGGACAGTGCCGACGAAGTACTCGGCAAGAGTCCGTAGCAATCCGTGATCCTTTCTTCTTCTCTCATCTCGTTGGATCATGTCGCTGAGCTCATGATACAAGCTCGTCCCCTCGAGGATCCGATGTACCGGTTGGAATTGGTTTGACATCTGTTGCAGTGGCCCAGAACGTCTCGAATGTATCATAATACTAACAGACCCCTAATTTCAACTTCGGTACTGCGGTCAAATTGGAGGCCCACGGAGAAGACTCAAGTGTCAACTACCTTGAGGGATATCACCCAATGGTAACACATCAATGTATCCGTTCGTATCATTCCATACCCTCTCTTCTTCGTCGTGATGATTGTATGCCCTGCTTTGATACCGCGTTCAAACTCTAAACCAACGAAGAAGATAGGATTATTGACCTAGGCATATCATTCAGTGGAAACAAATTTAAGTACCTATTTTGTCACTTAACGTGAACTTTCGTTTTAACAATTGGAAACGCTGCTTTTGATTCCGGTACCCAACTCCAACAAAATCTTTCTTGGGACATCAGTATAATGTTGCTGATGTTTCTTTGCGCTGATTAGATCGTACTACACGATAGAGGCAATATCGATTTCTGCAGCGGCCAAAATGCGTCGTAGAAGACGCAAGGAGGTAGTCCATATCTCAATGACGTCGACTCAGCGTTTGTTATTGCCAGGGGTCTTGTGAGCCCACAAAGGTCGTTGAAGTAGTCATTACGCTCGAAATTTGCTCATCGAATCTTTTCTTCTTTCCAATCAACTCTCAAAGCTATCAAGTAACCCAGCTTCGCGGACGAGATCGTAGAAAAGCCCCCGCTTCTTAATCAGCTCTTTCGGAGTGTCAAATTCGACAACTCGACCCTGTTCCAAGACCACGACTTTGTCGGAGTCAATAATGGTATTTATTCGATGTGCGATTGTAATGACGGTGCGGTTGTCGAAGATAGTGCTACGAAGAGTCTTTTGTAAGAGCGCGTCAGTCGTGACATCGACTCCAGCTGTTGCCTCGTCGAGAACCAAAATGTTGCTGGGGGTGAGCAAGGCACGAGCCAAAGAGACGAGTTGGCGTTGTCCATGGCTCAAATTGGAACCTAGATTTGCAAGAGTGATAACGTCAGTGGCAGGCCAGAGCAAGCTGAAGCACGGGCAACAATTCATGTGTTCACTTACCACCTTCGTGGATAGTGGCGTCCAGTTGACCAGGTAGATCTGAAACATAGTCCTTTAAGCGGGCATGATCAAGTACGCTCCAGAGTTCGGTATCATCATGTACGTGCCGCGGGTCCAGATTGTCGCGGATTGTTCCCTCGAATAGTGCAGCATCCTGTGGTATAATCGCCAGGCGTCTTCGCAAGTCTAACAGACCGATTGTGGACGTGTTAAGTCCGTCGATGCTGTGAGATGTGAGTTCCAAGGTTCGTGAAGACAACGTTTCTGGAGATCCAACGTACCTGATATGTCCTGATGTAGGTTCAATTATGCGAAAGAGTGCTAATGTTAGAGAACTTTTTCCAGCTCCTGTGCGTCCAACGACGCCGACCTTCTCTCGAGCCTGGATGCTTAGGTTTATGTTTTTCAAAACGGGATCCAGACCCTCCCGATACCTCGTCGTGTAATCTTTGAACGTGATTTGACCATGAGCTGGCCACCCGATACTGGGCCGGCTCTTGAACATAACATCGGGAGCCTCACTTGGGAGTTCGGCATACTCGAGCACGCGCTCTACAGAAACGATGTTGGTTTCAACTTCCACGGTTTGGCGCACAATCCAGTTCAGGGACTGGGTGATCTGTAAGGCATATGACATCTACGATCGTTAACCCACACGTTCACAAGCACACACAAGCTAATGGTCACTTACCGCAAGGCCGACCATGCCTGCCGTCAATCCACTGCCAGTTGTCACAGAGATTATAGCGAAAACAGCAGCAGCCAGGATGATGATGGAACCGATAAACTCCAAGCGAACTGCCAGCCATCGATTGGCGCTGATTGAAGGGAAGTATGCTCGTAGATTTGCATCCATTCGCCATTCATTCTCCTGAATGAACCTTTTCGATTGTCGATAGGCACGAATAGTAGATACGCCACCGAGGGACTCTTGAAAATGCGCGTATATAGGACTGCGACTGACACTATCAAGTCTTTTGAGTTCCCGAGAAGTCCGAAGGTAGTATCTTTGGTAGATAATGTATACGGCACCCAGAGGAACGGCAAGGACCAGGAAGATCGGTGTCGAGGCTGCGATGACACCGAGGGTAAATAACGCCCTGCCGGCGTTGACAAAAAGCTTGGAAAGTTAGACCAAGGCCAGAAATGAGTGCTCGGAATTGCTTACCATGTTAAAGGTCCGAGCAATGACTTCGTCCACCCGATAGATGTCACTACGTCAATTAGATGGGTGAAGCTGCTAGAGCAATGTCACTAGACCTACCTGCTGAAGCGGTTGAGAACCCTCCCGACAGGAGTCGTGTCAAAGAAGCTCATCGGAGAACGGAATATAGCATAGGCCATGCGGTCATGTAGCTTTCTAGAAGCCTGCGAAATGTGAGTAATAGTTACTCTCCAATAAGAAAATTGTGTACCTCTATCGAACAGAAAATCCAGAGGAGAAGCGTCTGCAAGCTGTCAGTGTTTGTACCATGATGAGTTAAGAAGAAAAGCATACCTGTATAACGACAAGTGCCGAACCTCCTATACCAAATGCAAAGTAAATACCAATGTATTTCCCGACGGAAGGATTAGCGCCAAACCGCTCATTGATCTCCGACCAACGCTTCAACCAAAAGTTGCCGGCGACCTGTGCTGTCTGAGCGGCAACAAGAGCCAGAAAGTAGAAGCACACCGCAATGAGGTTACTCTCCTTGGCATAACTCGTATAGACTGACCACTTGACCTTGCCCTGTTCAGAAGTTTCCTTGGTCTGCTTGGATTTGAGACCGGCCTCTTCATCAGTGAGACGGCCCATTGGTCCATGAAAACTAGCGGTCGATGCACGTCGCAGAGTGTTGAAGCTAGATTTGCGCGCCGTGAATGCCCCAGCACGGATGGGCTCTAAACCACCGATCTCTTGACGTGCTTCCTCGGCTTCTTCGGCATCGAGCTCGTCTTGCACTCCATTAGCCACGATTGTTGCCGACTCATCTGATTCCATCCCTTCGATGCTTGGACTCCGTTCGCCTTCGGATTCTTGATCATCATCGCTCGTAGAGGTCCGGATCATATTGGCTACATCTCCTCGCATTGCCATCAATTGTTGATATGTTCCCTTTTCGGAAATAACGCCATCACGAAGGAAGTACATATAATCAGCCTCTTTCAGGACCGGGATGGAATTTGTGGCTAGAATCCTGGTCTTCCCATTCAACAGTCCATTCGGGCCCAGAACATTATTGATCAAATGGCGTCCAACATGAGCATCGACGGCTGAGAGAACGTCGTCGAGGAGATAGACATCAGCCCTGGCATACACTGCTCGTGCTAACGCCAAACGAGCCTTTTGACCTCCAGATAATGAGATTCCTCGCTCCCCGACTTCCGTTTGATCACCGTCCGGCAGTTGTCTGAAGTCAGCGACAAGAGCACAAGCTTGGACAGTTTGGTTGTAGAAGTGAGGATCCCACCTATGACCAAAGGTGATGTTGTCCTTGACGCTTGCATTCATAATCCACGCAGATTGTGCAGCATAGGCAATGCGACCTCGAACGACTGTGTCGCCACTAAGTTTCCAGAGATCTCCCAGAAGCGCTTGCAAGAGCGACGATTTGCCGGCTCCGACACGTCCAACCAAGCATGTAAGTTCTCCCTTGTTGGCATTGAAATTAATATTACGCAAGACAGTCCTGTCCTCGTTCTTGTTCCAAGTGTAACTGGCGTCTGTAATGGAGACCGACGATTCTCCAGAACGTTTGGGCGGTTCATCAATGTATCTGACTGCATCTTCTTGTAGTTCGTCGGCCGTGAAAAAATCTGTCAATCTCTTCACTGCCACAGTCGCCTCGATGATGCTAGTGATCACCATTGGCAAAACAGTGAGCGGGAAAGTCAGAAGGTTGAATAGCGTCAGAGCCGGGAATACAAGGTCCGTGGTGAGCGGCTTGTTGTTGACCAGCACGAAGACGGCAAAAGTTGAGCACGAGACGAAGAAAGGCGTAGATGACCACGTGAAGGTTGAGAAAGATTGAGCGGCTCCAATCTTACGAAGATTGTTCAATTCCAAATCGTTGCGCACGTGGCTTAACTTTTCCATGAAAGCCGAACCCCATGCGTATAGCTTGATGCTCTTCATGTTGTTCAAAATTTCGGTCATCAAGCGAGAACGTCGATCTTTGTATTTCATCTGTGACAGCTGAAGCTTCTTCATGAATCTGGCAATGAAGCCATTGACCGGAATCATGATAATCATTGCCGCCACGCCAGCAAAGCAGGATACGCCCACCAGTTGATATAGAGACAGCATGCAAAGGGTGATCTGAAATGGTGCCGACCAAAGTTGTTGGCCCCATTGTGCCAGGTCAGCAAGACGTTGTTGGTCAACACTCATATAGGTAACGATGTCGCCGGTGGATTTTGTCGCGCGGGACTCATTTGACAAACGAAGCGATTTGCCGTATATCATCGCAGTTAACGACGACTTAATCCTCATGCCAGTCTCAAAAGCGCGCTGGAAGTATTGATGGAGGGCGGCAGTCTGGCAGACTGATGTTGCGAACATGGCCAGTGCAATGGCAATGCCACGGATGGCTGGTTCTGGTTGTCGTCCTGCACGGTAAGAATCCACGAAACGAATGAGAAGCCGAAGCAGTTGAGGCTGCACAAAGGCAAGCATATCGCTGATAGTCTTGATAAACGCTCCGCGTATATATGGCCCTCCAAAAGCCCTGCCCAAGGCTATCCATAGGTTCGGTTTCTTCTTTTTGAGTTCAATTTCCCATGCTTCCTGTAGCAAATCGCCCGTTACCTTCGTACTGTCTCGAGGGCGCAGATTCCACAAGTCATCCTGAGTCAAAAAATTCTTGTAGCCAAACTTCATCATTGGGGTCATCCAGCCGAAGGTGAGGATTGAGAAAACATCGGCGTATTCGTAGGGACATTCATCCTCGGCTCCCAGTGCATCATATGCACTTTGCTTTTTCTGCACAAAGTATTCCAGTACGAACTCCACGACTGCCAAACCAAGGCTGATGACGAAGGTGACAAAATAAGGAAGTTGATTCTTCTGAGCGTCCCGAGCAATGAGAGAGCGCAGTTTCACGGCATACGCCAAAATGAAAAAGACCCAGTAGAACAATACGACGCCATTTGGGTTCCTCGATCGCCAATGCTCATGGTACTGTATATAAAGGACGACAATGAGTGATTTAATTGTAGCGACCGACGTGTAAAATCTTATGTCCTGGTACCATATTCCCGGCAGTTCTTGGATTTGTAGGGCGGTCTGGAGGGCAGTCGAGAGGATGATAGCAGTGAGCACAGTTCTGCGACACCGAGATTAGGATATATAGTCAAGATCCAGAGACGTCAGACTTACAGCTTCGTATAGAAATGCCAGTTCTTGGGGACATCTTGAGGTACTCGCTTCTTGAGCATAAACCAGAGTGCTCCAGCGCCGAATAACACCCCCCAGACAGCAACACCAAGGACCCAGACATCAAGAAAGCAAGGCGTAAGATCCCATCGGAGCGAGCTGATCGGACCCCAGCCTTCTGGATCACCACATAGAGGCTGTCGAAAAAATGTCGTTGGAGAATTGAAATATGGCGGACTTTCGCCGCCGGGAGCAGTCAAGACGGACTGCTCTTCAACAAAGCCCCTCATCTACTGTAGCCAATACTGCGCAAAGGCGATTAGTGGCAGGTTCGGCGGTTGATAGCAGCAAATTGGAGGATGAAGGAATGGGAACGGGAGAGATTCGAGAGGTTAGTGACCAAATCATATCAAAACGCAGATGCAGGCAAAGAGCCGCTCACCGAAGAGGCTCAATGACCTGCAGATGATGCGCACCGGCTTAGTCAACAGCATCCGGCGACTCGGACTTAAGCCCTCTGAATATTGATTTTTAAGTGGAGGATCACGGAACAACTATGTTCCGTTGACCAATCAATGTCGGCGGATATATGGGTGCTTCGTAAGCGGTGCGTTTGGTTCTACTCTGTACTCCCCATACGAGGACGACAAGGACTCGTACTCCGTTTTCCGTACGAGATATAACTCTGCAAGAGAAGCCCAGTGCAAATCCGTTCCACTATTGGACTCTGAATGATCGCCGGGAGCCTACAATTGCCTGCTCCTGCAGACCTTGTTGAGTCTGTCTGGGGCCGGTTCAGCCTCATGCCACCCAAATCCAGACCCTTTCGCAGGCGGTCAATGCTTCGTTGCTCTGACCAATTTCCCCAAGTTCTGGACTCGCTTACACCTAAAGTTCCGGGACCCTTCGCCTACCCGGTCACGGGCAGGGCTTCTTTGTTATCTCTGCAACCCTGGCGTTCCTGACTGTCCTTCTTAACAGCGCACGGGTTTTCTGGGCGGCATTTTTTTGGCCACCCTCGAATGCAAATGCACAAAGAAGTTGAGTGAAGGAACAATGCACCCTTTGTCGCCCGATGCTCGGCCGGAACGTTACTCGGGTCTGTATCATGATTGCGACCCTTCGCCGCTTGACGATGCCTCTCATGCTATTTGAACCCGCAGCTCAGCCTGCGTCTCCTGAAAACATCACGACGCCGCTTATTTCTTGTGTTCGCTGTACCAGCCGACTTGTCTTGTTTTGGTTGGTTTACGCCCACCTTCGCTGCTTAGTCCAAGTCCGCCTGCAGCGGACTAGACCTCGACTGGCAACATTATCAATTTCTTACCGCCTGTTCGTGTGACGGGCGAAGCCCGACAATGCTGTTGTCTGCCCTGCAATAGGAGAGCCAAATCACCCTAGTGCCTCACATGCAGGGCATAACGAGGCGGTGGCCTGCCTGCTATTGTTGTTCATTCTCCCCTTCTAAGCCTTGTGCATAGCAGACGCTAGCATCCTTTATATCTCTGGACCCTGAATTTCCTTTCTTCTCCACACTCTCCCTCTTCCATAGCCTTGCTCCTCGATACGACGGGAGCATGTCCCGGCGACGAGTGTCTACTCGGAATACTCGAGGAGGACACCCTTTCGAGAACCACGTCAAATATACTGATCAGGACGACTCTGCGAGCGACAATAACATTATGGACCCACAGAGTTCCAACTATCAGCCTGACGAATATCAGGACGAAGGAGCCTCGAAGTCGGATATCAACATCGAAGCCAACCCGAGCAATAATGACCCAATACCACCAGAGGGTGGCCTCCAGCTGGGAGGTGGCCAAACAATCAAACTCATGCTCGTCCCCGACAAGGTCCATGCACCGGCTGCTCCTCGAAAGAAGAAAGAAAAGCCACACCCCCAGGCCAAGATGACCAAGTTTTGGGACAATTTCAACCCCGAGTATCAAGGAAAAGTTACCCGGATTCTGCCTGAGCGCATGACCGACAAGAATTTGTCTCTGTCAAAGCTGGTGGGTGAGATTGCTCACCGGGCCACAAATTCATACGAGCTCGCCAAGGAGAAGTGCATCCGGGACGTCAAGAGAATCATAAGGGAGTGCCGGGACGCAAATCAAAAGTATACCGATCCTCACTTCGACATAGAACGAGATTTGAAGATCACCAGAGCTCGAGATTGCTTAGATGGCTTGGTCGTCAACGATGGTGATAAAGAATATCCGGCCGACGTGAAACGTGTCACTGTGAGAGCTTCGCATACCCAACAAGCAAGATACGCTTGTGACTGATTTTCTTCTTCATCATCTAGGAGATATTTGACAATCCCAAATTCTATGTCGATGGTGTCTCGTACGATGATATCCTTCAAGGTTCAGCAGGGTGAGTCACCAGTCAAGTACAGGAGTGACACAACTTCCGAAGACGAACTCACTGACCCACTGCCTTTTGTGTTTTTTAGTGATTGCTGGTTTTTGGCTGCTGTATCGGCGCTCTCATGCAACCAAAAGTTCATCGAGCGCGTCTGTGTGATCCAAGATGAAGTTGTAGGAGTGTACGGTTTCGTATTCCATCGAGGTATGCGTGTTCCCCCAGCTTCTGGATTTTTGGTTTGCCCCCCGCCTGACTGACACCCTCACCAGATGGCGAGTGGCACCAATGTATCATCGACGACAAACTATACCTTCGAGCCCCCAATTACGATGAAAGTGGAGACGTCGTGCTTGGACAATATGGCGTCCGCCGCAACAACCAAGAAGACCAATATCAAGAATTGTTTCAGAGGGGTTCCCAAGCGCTATACTTTGCGCAGTGCCGCGACCAAAACGAGACATGGGTCAGCTTACTAGAGAAGGCTTATGCCAAAGCACATGGCGACTACGCCTCGATCTACGGGGGCCAAAGTGGAGAGGCCCTGGAAGACATAACGGCAGGAGTGACGTCCGAGATCTATACGACCAACATCCTCGATACCAATGCTTTCTGGACCGACGAACTCTCTCGATGCGGCAAGACGGAAGATTTTGTCTTCTCCTGCGCGGCGGCCCGCTGGCGAGAATGGCGCCCTTACCTCGTTGCGAATGAGAAGGTTCGCGAAGAAAGACGGTCGGGGATCGTCTCTCAACACGCGTACGCCATTCTGGACACGTACGAAGGTCATGGTGAGCGCCTCGTGAAAATTCGCAACCCATGGGGTCGCAAGGAATGGACCGGTGCTTGGTCCGACGGCTCCAAGGAGTGGACCCCTGCATGGCTGTCACGATTGGACCATCAATTTGGCGACGACGGTATCTTCTGGATGACGTACAAGGACATGCTCAGCAAGTACAAGTATATCGACCGTACCCGAATCTTTGGGCCCGAGTGGCACGTCGCACAGCAGTGGTTGTCGGTTCAAGTGCCTTGGAGCACTCTCGACTACCAAACTAACCATTTCTCCATCGACGTGCCTGAAGACACCGAAGCTGTAATAGTCCTGTCACAACTCGACGATCGATACTTTAAAGGACTTCAAGGGAAATACAATTTTACTCTTCAGTTCCGTGTCCAGAGGGACGACTCAGAGTCGGATGATGATGATGATGATGATGATCATGATGCTGGGAATTATATCTCACGGAGCAAGTTGAATTATGAACTCGTTCGTTCCGTCAACGTCGAGGTCCCCCTGTCCAAAGGCACATATTCGGTACTCGTGAAAGTGGAGGCCGCGTCTACATCGCGTGACGACGTCGAGACGATCATTCGCCAAAACATCCATCGAAGAGATAAAATCACACAGATTGGTAAGCTTTACGATTTGGCACATCAAAAAGGTCAACTTCCGGGCGTGTCTTCCGCCGGAACCTCGTTGTCACCTTCGGGAACGAGCACACCAGGTGCTAGAGTCGCGCCGGAATCGCCAAAACCAGCAGCTACTACACCCGCGGCAGAGGCAGAAACGGAAAAGACCAAAGAGGAGGAAGAAGAAGAAGCCGAGGAAAAGAAGGATCCGAACCGGAATCCGTGGAACGCAAGCTGTATTGTCGGTTTGCGAGTGTACAGCAGGCAACCCGACCTCGGCCTCAAGGTTGTGGTACCCTCCGAAGAGGAGGATACCGAGACAGCGACAAAACCGCCGACGCTCGACAGGGATGATGTCGCCAAGAGTGCCCTCGACGAGGTACAAGCTGCCGCAGCAGACAAAAAGATCGAGGAGGAGGAGGAGGAGGAGCCGGTCAAAGGAGATGATAATACTAATAACCAGGAGCCACCAGCGGAAAGGACCCAAGAGTCAACCACATCTAGAAAGAAAGTCAGACTGAATCTGGATAGTAGGAGTGTTGACGAGGAACAAAAAGACAATAATGGAGAAGCATCATCGTCGTCGTCTGATGAAGAAAGCAGTCATGCGTCATATGATGGATGATTGATTAGCTTCAAAAACTGCGGCGAGGAAAGGAAAAGGGTAGTCGTCCACATCTACTATATACCTAGGTGTACAAGTAGGTACGGGGTAAAAGGGGACATCCAAAGAGAACACGGCGGCGGCTCACAAGAGGATCAATATTTCGTGTCTCTACAGCGGCCCTCCTCGACCATGATGACCTAGGTAAACACTTTTGGATGGTGCAAAGGACATTTGATATTTTTTGGGTTGTTTTATTTTGGCGCAACATATATGGTGGTGGAAAATACCCCTGAACAAGCAAGCAAGCAAGCAAGCCGACATTTAGAAAGGGCCATCATCAATTCATCATTTTATACCTAATATAGCGGTAGTACATTCAATCAGCCCCGGTATCTACCTAGTGAGCACGGGTGGTGGCTTGTCTGTAAACTTCTGCACTTTTATTTCCCATTCGAGAATCTTTGTCTCTTCCTTCCGCCGTCCCCTTCATATGGTATGGGGAGACTGACTCGAGGCTCACGAGTGGCTACTTGAAAATGTGTAACCTGCATTCTCGCAATCCCAGCATCGCCGATATCCGTTTCATCCTCCAGAATTTTTAACTCACATCCAAAATACTCACTCCTTCTCCTAAACCTGAAGACGGGTTGATGGTACTATTGGTGCTTTGCGCCCTACTCCGTCCTTCTGTCTTGATACTGGCGACCTCGGCGCCCTCGAGCAACTCCTGATCGCGTTTTCCTAGATCAGCACCTTCCTCTTGATCGTCATCGTCATCCTCGTCATCTCTGTACGCCCCCTTCTGCTGCCCTTCGCGCGCGTTGCGTTCAAACTCACGTTGCGCCTCGTCCATGCGCTTCCTCATCTCCACGGCCATTCTCATGCCGTCATTGACGATATTGTCAAGTACGCCTCTGAGACCGCGAGATCCAGGCTCAACCACTCCGCCGGCACGTCCGACGTCGATGACCGTTCTGTTAGAGCCGCCGCCTGCGCCGTTGATTAGATTTTTCACGGGCGTGCCGAGGTTGCTGAACGTCGTCAGGTTGCCGGACAAAGTACTGCTCGGTAACGAAATCGTGCTGGCGCTGGGAGAGTCCGAGAGGCGGAATGACTGAGGAAAGAACGTTTCGAAGAACTGCTCGAGAAGTTCATCGGCAAGAATCACCATACGGAATGTCGGCAGCGTAATATGCAAGGGCTTGTTCGGGTCGAGAGCGAGATTATGCGACGCAGCGCGCGATGCTGAGCTTATACGTTTGTCCTTCGCTGCTACTAGAGTGGCTGGCGATGGTGAGCCAGGAGGTGTGATTTCGGAAAGGGGGTCTTTTTCTGTAGGGCGCGGAGACATGATTGTTTTGTGGTGTATGTCCCCCTCGGCGAAGTCGAGAAGATCATCGGCATTTTGGTCGGCCGTGTTGACGCTTATGTTTTCGAGAGTAGACTTGGCCTCTTCTACAGCCTCGTCGGGATCAGCGTATTCGAAACAGCGCCTGATAAATGCGCTGACGCTGCCGAGGAACTTCTCATTGATACTTTGTTTCAGTGCGCCGGTTGGTTCGTTCGCGGAGAGAGGAGAATTGACACCGCTCGAATCGGTGGGGATGATTGTGCCATCGAAGCCTCGACGGGATAGGAAGAGAAGGGACTCAGACATTCTCAGTATGCCTTCTCGGTCAACTTTTCCTGTGGAATCATCGTCGAAGAGGTCGAAGAACAGGCTCATCGAGTTCATGATATCGGTAGTACCTTTGAATTGAGCCAGACCCCGTACTAATTGTTGTAAGGTCATCGCGCCCTGCTGGGATTCGTCCCATTTGCCATATAATCTTTGCATAAAGTCGTGATCTGCTGGTTCAGGACCGGAGCCCCATTGAGAAAAGGTTTTGCTGCGGTTCCGTTGGCTCATGCTGGGACTGCCGACATCTTTTGCCGACATGCTAGGCGAGTCGCTCGCCGCCCATTTGGCAGTATGGGCAAGGAACTCCCTAAAAGCATCGTAGTCCATGGTCTGCAGGGGAGCCTCATTACGGCCTGGTTCGTCTTGGTTGTACGATGAATGATGGGCCCAAACGCCCGGTCGGACCTTGTGATGCTCTTGTTTCCGTCGTTCCTCTTCTCTCGCCTTTGCCCGAGCCTGTCGCTCGGACAGAACCGCAAAGAAGCGATCGTAGATAGAGCTGAGATCGTCAGCACTGAGCTTCTTGCTCTCTGGACCAAGGTTCCTGATAGATGTCCGTTTGGCGAAGGTAGCTAGTCCTTCTTTGACGCTTTCGATGTGCTTCCCCCGCAGCTCTTCCACACTGGCGTTTGTGATGGCTGCAAACTCTTTGAAAGCGGTGACCATCAATTCTTGAAACTTTGTGATGGCTCTCAACTTTTCATTTTCAGAGTGCGGATGAGCTGACTCGTCGAGCCTTGAGAAGTAATTCTTCAAGATTGAGATGAACGAGCCGTCATCGTTGACGTCGAGCAAATCTTCACCGTTGATTCGTAAAATGGCCAGTCCAACCTGAAACAGAACTTTTGGACCTTCCAGGAAAAAAACATCCAGGACTCTGAATGCAAATACAAGAGGCATCGAGTTTATATACAGCGACAAAAACCAAGGTAGTGATACGACGGAGAGATTGACGTCCGACTTGACGAGGTGCTCCCATAACACGGGCATCGTCCGCTCAACAAGGTTTTCAAAAACGCGTTGATCTAGCAGAGTGCCGTACATGTCTTTCGAATAGTATCCGGGTAGTAAGCGATCGCAAAGTGCGCCTAGCGTGAAGAACGCTTGGGCTTCGGACTGGTAGATTAGTAGAGCGGCCACGACTATATTCATGGCCTGACAATAACCGACTTCTTCGTTCGTCCAGCTGTATGCCGTCAGCACCCGCCGCAACCTGCCGATCCCTTCTTCACTCTGGAAACCAGGATATTCTGGCAAACTTCGATTCAGATCTTTCTCAATCTCATCGATGGCCAGGGATTCCTTGCCGGTGAATTTGGTCAAGGTCTTCTCATACAAGTGAGGATTTCGTAGTCTTGTGTAGAACGACCCTGAGGATATCTCCCATATCTCGCCTCTCAGTCGGTTTGGGAGACCAACTCGGATCAGTTTGTGGAAGGTAGGCTGTCTAACTATGGTTGCGTTTCGACCATTCTCTCGCAGGTATTCGCCCCATAGTCTGATCTTACTCCTATCTCTGAGTTTCCTGGCATCGCCTGGGTATCTGAACAACATTCCCAGACCAGTATCAGGCGGATCCGGAGCCTGCGTGCCATCCTCTTTCGCTTTGATTCGGGCAGGGTCCAGCAGATACTCAGAGTAGCACTGTGATACCACAGCCCGTAAAGTGTCAACTTCTTTCATTCCCTCTCTTAGACCCTTCTTCAGCCCGTCGCAGAACCGCTCGCAGGCGGTCCGGCTTCCATCCAGGGTGAGGATGAGTTTCCGGGGCGGGGGTAGTGGCGCTTTAGGCTTCTCGGCTAAAGGCTTCTGTATGGACTCGAAGGTAGTCAAGGCAAGACAGAACTTGTCTTGATGGCTGTTCAGTCTTTCGACTCGCCGTATCGAGCAGAGTGGTAGGGTAAATCCATGACCGCCAGGCCCTGCTCCCTGGGTAGGGCCTGTGAAGGAGGTGGAGGAGGAGTGACTTGCAGTTGGGAGGAAACTCGTCCGGATGGTAGAAAAGCACAGAAAATGTTCACTCAGATGCAGTTCCCCAACATATCTGTTTCCGGTGTCTCTCGACTTCTCCCCAGAAGTTACCGGTCCGCCTGTCGAAGACGATGGCAGCGGAAGGAAGAGTTCGGCGGTAATTTCGTGCAACGGGTTCTGGCCCGCAGGGAGTCTGAATTGCTCCCGGAAGAGAGAGGCTTTGGAGGGACGGCCATCATTAGTCGAGGACAGGGGAGACTGATCGATAAACTTCTGAACGAAAGAGCTCAACATCGCGTAGAGGGCGCATTGGCGGCTCGGTGCTACAGTTGATGGTCACTGTGCCAATCACGCGTTCGTTCGGTCACTCTGTTCGTGTCATGCTGTGTGTATGCAGGAGTCCGAGAGTCTTACAAGCAATAAAAGGCCATTATAGTGGTCGAGACTTTTATGTTAATTGTCCCTGCGATGTCATAGCAACGCATCTCACGTCTCGTATGAGGGTGCAGGGGCCAAGGCGAGAGGACGCATCCTTCGGAGCCTCACGAGCCTTGGCGGTTCAAGCAGCGGGATCTCTACAAGAGTCGATGTACCTTTGTACCTAAATCAGACGGCGAGGTACTTTGGTCGCTGGAGGCGCCGCTTTTAGGCAATGCGACCCCTTGTGGCCTGCTGGTGATCATCGCATATCAACATATCACATCTCGCGACCTGTTAAGTGGCCATGTCTCAGCTTGCAGCTGCTCTCACTCCCTTCACTCGAATTCCCCAAGATTAGCTGTGACTTCATTCGGAATGTCGATGGATCCGAAAATCGTCCAGAGTTGATCATCAAAATCAATGTTGTCTGAAAAACCATCCGCGATCTGTGCAGAAGTTAGCTGCCATCATGGTCAAATTGAGGGCGTAATTCACGATATTTTCGGAACTTGAGACTGTTATCACAGCATCTGCGTCTGTGGACTCATCCGAAAGACCGTTCTTAGCCCTGGGCGGATCATCACGGAGACTTTGTGGAGTTACAGGTACTGTGCATGACTCTCTTCTAGAGCCTCTGCTAGCCCTCATTGTTCGCAAACAGAGAGCGTTGCAATCTCTCGGGAAATCAAATGACAACCTGCCTTCCGTTGCGTACTCGAGCTGCCCAAAGTGACCCACTGCCACATCAAGCAAAGCCACATCACCGCGTGCAGTGGCCGCGTCAGGTTGTTTCAGGAGTCAAGGAACAAGTTGATATAAGCGTACATGAGATGGTGGAAGCTTGCCCACATGAGCATTGTTAGGTCGAGTCGATGGTCCGCCAATCCCAGTATGATTTGTCGTGCAGAATAAGCGACCAGCTTGCCCGACATTATGGTCTGTTACCGGAATACCTCATTGTTATCTGATCGTAAGCTTGACGAGATCCATAGGTAGAAGAAAACGACGTGTGTAGCCATCATTGTAGCGTAGATATCACTGTATAGGTATGCCCTGACCAGTCGTCAATTGGCGCTCAGTGCTGCAGATGATGTGGTATTGCCATCGATGGAAGAAGGCATATCTTGCAACAGCCCTTCAAGCTGCTCTTGTATATCGCGAATCGTCTCATACGGTCTGTCAAATCCTTGCTTGGATGCTTTGACTGGCATGATGCGGTCCATTACCCGGAAACATATTTGAGCGTGTCGTATAATGAGCGTCACCACTTTTACATCAATAGAACTTCCTGGCGGCGCCGTGGTTGGGATTGGGGTGCTTATGTCGTCGTCGAGGATGGATGATGGACGACCGCTTTGTATCGACATCTGCTTGTCTATCACGGAGATTGTCCACCAGAGCCAGTTTCTGGTGAGCAAGTCGGCAGACGACAAGCCCCACGATGCCAATGATTCACGTTGAAGTTCCTTGGCATGAGCCAATTGTACTGCATACTTGATCATGGGATACTCAACACACAGTCCTGCGAGTCCCATAGCATGAAATGTCTGTGGCTGACAGGTTAGAAAAGTCATACAAGTCATACAGCGGCGTTGGGGGGCTCACCATGATGGTCAGGGCTTGAATTGCAGTCATACCCGAGTGACTGACAATCATCTCTCCAATGACCGAAAGAGCGTTGCAAAACAGCAGCCATGACGTGGCCTCAGCATGCTGAAAGGTGATTGACGTGCTATTTGCCAGCAAGTAGCGACGGCTGGTCGCATAGGTAGTGTTGCGTAATGCGAACCATACAGGATCCTCCATCCTGTCGACATGATTCTGACAAAAATGTTGTTTTAATTGGGCTTCTAGAATTGATTGACTCAACAAAATAGGCTTCATGAGAGTCAGTACAGTGTCAAGTTGGCAGTAGAAAAGACAAACTCCACCGTTGACATATTTCCATGCCATTTCTGGGTCGGACTCGGGATACCGTGTGGTCAGTTGTAAAAAACGCTGGACCTTCAGGTGTTTACTTCAGCTCTTCATGAAATAACTTGCAATGCCATCAAACTCATTTGAATTTGTTCTTCCACAAACCCAAGCAACTCCAGGTGATGAGCATATGGACACCCAAGACCAAGGACCATGGTATTCCCAGTTGACCTTATGAAGCGGAACCAGACATTGATTAGAGTCGGCTTGATTGGTGGTATCCTCACTCGTATTCGTTGCGATGTGCTCAGGTACGGATCGTGACCGCCCAGACACTTGCACCGGAGATTGCTGGATTTGAGCATGTTCCCTTCTCTGTGCACGTGGCCAATGGCCACTGCTATCAGATATCAGCGGTGTAGCATTGAGGCTGTAAACACCTTCGCTCAAGTTGTGGGCGGCAGCAGGGAGATTTGGTCGAATGGTGCGACGAACACAATGAGCTGTTTTTGAGTCGCGCCGTTGCCCTGGACTATGCCTTGATTTGCGTCGTTTGCCTCTTTGCGACCGCGGATAGTGGCAATGCCTTTTCAGTCTTTGACAATGCTTACACGGCAATTCCCCCGTGCCTGGAGTTCATCAATTTGTTAGTACCTTCATTCAAGGGCACTTGGATCTCTTGAGCCATACGTTTCACTTTCCTGTCACCACACTCCTAGCACGCATCGGTCAGTCGAGGAGCATATGGAGGAAACTGTATGTCGGAAATCTGATCCATGACACAGTATCCCACAGTTCCAGTATTGCGACAAACTGGGGAAAGATCTGGGTAGTTCCGACAAATGCAGGAGATATCAACTAATGGGAAATGTGGAGCTGCCCAAGCAGTCTGTTATGTCTTTCAGTATATCGTGAAATGACTTGCGTACCTAATCTGGCATCGATGGATTGGTCGAGGTGGAAGGCACTCCGCCTACCTCAGTTGGCAATATCATTCATCGTGTGGTATGATGTTTATTGCTCAGCATTGACAGAGTGCAACATCATGCAGCGGAATGACTGCTGCTGGGGTTTCATGGTAAACTGCAGCACTATGGACTAGAACTGACATGGAACTATTCAAAATACCGAAGAAACCGACTTCACCGAGGAAGTCTTGTTACTGGTAGATGGTGGCTCGTTAAGTAGTGCTCACTGTTAGTAACTTGACAAATACATCGATTTGTATTCACCGACTTATCGTTGGTAGATCTTCGGTGATCAGTCTCATGAGGTCACACTTCATTCGCGACTGAGGAGCTGCAGTTCATAGCTCTCGAGGTATGTGGTTACATTCGGTTGAAGAAATTACGCCACGCTGATTTGGTAACTCAGTCCCTGTTATTCTGCACTCTCTTCCTATGCCCAGAAGGGGATCCTAAAAATCGAATCCTTTCCCCTTTGGATGCATACCTGCGGGGAGACCGACGAGGCTTGTCTCGAGAAAAAGATATAGCAATCGTGTGAGATGAGACAGCCGTGAAGTTGTACACCTACTCTCTTCTCCATGTACCTCCTATGTAACCAGCCAATTTTATCTAGTAAGGAGCATTTACCGCTTCAGAGATCATTCGAGCGCAATTTTCTGAACGAGGCTTCAATTCAAACTGGAAGGGTTTCGGTATAACATTCGATCCCTCAGCATAATCCATATCGTCGATCGGTACCACTTGACCATCCGGCCCAAGTTTCTTCGAAATGTTGCATGTCCAGGCCAATGTCGCGATCTGTATGATGAGTGATCTGTCGGCAGTTTCGAGGCCGGGACAGATGCGTCGACCGAAGCCGAATGCTGAGAATCGTTTGATATTGGGATGAATCTCAATAGGTTCCTTGTAAGTGGGCCAAGATTCCTCAAGATATCGGGTCGGGTTGAAAGTCTTGCCGTCAGGGTACAAGCCACCATCTCGATGGATCGCCCATTGGTTCCCATGCACGAACGAACCTTTGGGCATATGGTAACCATTATATTCGTCGTCTATCGTCAACCTATGCGGGAGATCTGAGAAGTTAGCAACCATTCCAAAACGACTGAAATATGTGATAGTTTTACTTCCTGGGACGACTGGTCGCCACCGTAACATCTCCTTAGCCACTGCTCTGACGAGTATGAGCTGAGGTAGGTCGGCAAAACTAGGTAGCCGATCCAGTCCCACGATGGAGTCGAGCTCTTCTTGCAGCTTCGTCTGCCACTCCGGATACAACGCCATGGTCATGACGAAGGTCTGCATCGCGTTTGAGGTGGTTCCTGAGCCACCACCGTACAATGTGGCAAGTACGTAGGTGATGTCGGGTAATTCCAGCTCCCAACCGTTGTCGTGCTTAAGCCAACATCGAGCAAAGGAGTCAGGACTCTCGGGAACCTTTGAGTTCCATCGTTGTTTGGCTTCCCCAATGAGTTTTGTAAAGTAGGCCAGCTCTATGTTTCGTAATTCTTGAGCTTCGCGTCTGAAAGGAGCCATCCAAGCTGTTAACTTCAGTAAAGCTGGGATGATCTCCACCAGATAGCCGCCAGGAGTCCCCAGTCGCTCAATATTGTGCATTCGATCCGAAATTGCCATTGTATGGTACTCCTCATCTTCTGGAGTGTCCACGATCTTGCCGTAGATTTCCTTCAGTGACACCAAGGTGGCATAACGATCGAACCAGTACACGTAACGTTCGGGTTGTTTCATCAACGATTCGACCATTCTCATGCACTGGAAAGTTTGCCACGGCTCCCACTGCGCAGCCATTGGTGGAGTCAGCAATGATGCTGCGAATCGTCGTCCTAGTCGCCAGTACTCGGACTCGCTGCTGGATGCCAAAAGATCTCATCCTCCGGTAACGAGCTTGATCATATGCAGAGTCCCTCGGTCTGAATAGATGGCTCCTCTTTTGGCCAGGAGATCCTCAGCAAGGGTCTGGTTCGAAACAATTACCTGCGTCTGGCCCAAAAATTCGATTTTGAAAATCGGACCATATTTTTCTGCCCACTCTTTAAACTTCAGGAATGCTTTTTCTCGTGGCATGTCGAATAGGTTTCCGATCAGAGGATATCCTATCGATGGTTAGTCTGAAAGTCAATGTCAGGATGAACAGAAGTGATCATCACCTTTGGGACCTGGAAGTTCTTTAAGATCCCCATGGCTCCGTCGGTGGAACATTGCGTAACTCAGGTCCAGAAAGAATAGTAGCGCTGCCGCCAGCGAATACGTAGCGAAGAGAGACATTTTCGTGAGGTTATCGCCACAGTCTCTTACCAGAGCATACACTACTCAGATTCCTAGACGGTCATCGTGTTGAAATTTGTAGGCAAGTATTTATATGTTGTTCTGCAAGGCACAAGTAGACAGTCGTGGGGAAGAAGGTGGATCTCGGTGTCTTCAGCCTCGCTGTCTATCACTTCGCTATCTTCGTGATCGGTGATGCGGAGCCCCTCGTTGTCTGAGGAGCACATCTAAGGGGCAGCAAATAGTGCAGGTTAGCAACGGGAGATCTCCGTCGGCCTGTTCTACAGGAATAGATGAAGTGGCCGAGCCTATTTCAAAAAAAAAAAAACCGAAACCTCGGACCAATGCGTTCACATCGGAGTTATCAGTTCAGGTGTATCTCTGTGCGGAAATTGTAAGATATACCTAGGTGAGATGTTTAGCGGGATCAGGTTGTCTGACCTTGGTGACCATATGTAACATGGGCCCCCTTCACGCCTGCAAACTTTTCCCCTCTCTAAACAAAGGCGCAGAGGGGCTCGAAGAATTTGTGAAGTACAACACCGTGACCGGGGCGCATCTGTTCTGAAACTGGACCCCATTGTATCATTTGCTGGAGCCGCTCCGGCAGGGTGCTGAGTCGTCTACCGCGAGTAGAGTGTTGCTTCGTCGACCCTTTCCAGGGCCAACAGCGCCGTAGAACACCAGAATCAGTACCTAGAGGAGGAATGAGAACCTCGAACTCAACTTATTTGTTTCAGTCCGTCTTGGTAACAAGACAAATTGGCCATGAGTTGATTAAATCTGACCAAAGGTCAGCAAGGATACCAATCTTCTCTTGTACCCTTACCTGCAGAGTCTCGTAGGTTTGATTCTTCCTTCACACCCCCTGTCATAAGTAAGCCCTTTCAGCGTTCGGATCTGATATCTTCCTGTCCCCATTTTATCTCCACCATTCTAGGTGGCGGCATGTGGCGGCACAAATTACATTCAGGCTGTGTCGACTTCTTCCTTACGATCTTCAATCTCGCTCCAAAGAATGACTGTTTCTGCTCGAGATATTTCTGCCCCATGTGTACCCCGCGAAATATTCTATAGTCGGAATTGACACTTCAAAGTGTGGGGGCACTCACGCTCTCAAATACGAAATTGGTAGACAACCTCGAAAAGCCTGGGGTAGTCAAAGATGGCATTTAAAGAGATCCACGGCTCCGCAAAAGCCACTTACTCAGTCTGTGCTATTTTCAAGGTCTTCCTTCACTTTCTATTCCTACGGTCGATAGATTGTCCAGGATTCAGCATAATTGCATTTCACCATGGCTGGTGTTCAGACTCTTCAAGGCAAAACTTCTTTGGACGAAAAAGGATCCCGAATTCATACGGAACAGACAGAAGATATCGATACTTTGCCTGACCCAGACCAAGGCAAAACCGAAGAGGAGAAACGAGCCATTGTGAGTTGCTGCTTGGGTGTCTCTATCAATCAATCCTGACGATTTGTTTCATTTAGGACCGTAAGCTGGTGAGGAAGGTTGACTTTCGCCTCATCCCGTGGCTTTCGTTTCTTTACCTGCTTTCTTTCCTTGATCGGACCAACATTGGAAATGCGCGACTCGCAGGCCTCGAGGATGATCTCGGCATGAAGGGCGAAGACTACAATGCTGCTTTGAGCGTCTTCTTTGTAAGGATGCACTGTCCATACAACCGAGATTGGAGGCCAGTTCTAACCTGTTTCTCAGGTCAGCTATGCCATAGCAGAAGCCGTGACCAATGTCTTCCTGAAGCGTTTGACTCCACGAGTGTTCTTTATGCTTGTCATGGTTCTCTGGGGTAAGTTATGCTTTGGCCATCACCCTTGGCCATCACCCATGGCTTCATATGTCTCCAGTGTAGTCCTTAAGGCCTCGAGATGTCTCTTGTTCTATCGACGGGAAATTGACACAAGCATTCAGGTTTTATCATGACGATGATGGGTCTTGTCACGAATTTTGCCGGACTAGTCGTCGCACGATTTTTCCTCGGCCTCGCAGAGGCCGGTCTTTTTCCAGGTAATTCTCCCACCGCAATCAATCTTGACTATTCCGTCGCCTGACACTGTGTAGGTGCTGCTTATTACATGTCCTTCTGGTATCGACGAGACGAGCTCGGGATTCGAGTTGCAGTATTCTTCTCCATGGCAGCCCTTGCTGGGTCATTTGGTGGTTTACTCGCCGCAGCTATATCTCAAATGGCGGGCATTGGTGACAAGCCAGGCTGGGCATGGATATTCATCCTCGAAGGGCTGGCAACCATCGTTGTCGGCGCCTCATGTTGGTGGATGGTTCCCAACTGGCCAGACACGGCGAGATTTCTCTCAGAAGACGACCGAATCCGTCTTCGCCGGCGTCTGGCCAAAGACAAACAAAGTTCAACAGCGGAAGCATATGACAAGCGACATATCATTGCTGCCTTCAAGGACTGGAAGACGTGGGGCTTCGGTTTCGTTCTCGTAGGAGCAGAGATCGCCCTCTACGCCTTTTCCTTGTTCCTTCCCACGATACTGGCAGGCATGGGCTATGCCGGAACACACGCTCAGCTTCTCTCGGTGCCACCCTATGCGTGTGCTGCAGCTGTCACAGTCTTCATAGGTTGGCTTGCCGATAGAACTCGATGCCGTGGATACTGCAACATGGGCACAGCGCTACTCGGCATGACCGGATTTGTATTGTTGTTGGCGACGCCAAACCCCCGCGTTCAGTACGCAGGTACCTTTCTTGCGGCCATGGGCATCTATCCGACAATCCCCAACACTACGGCGTGGGTTTCCAACAACATCGAGGGGATCTACAAGCGAGGTGTCGTGATCGGTATTGTCGTCGGCTGTGGTAACATCAACGGGATTGTCAGCTCCAACATTTATGTGAAGAGTCAGAAGCCGCGATATTGGACCGGTCACGGAACCGTCCTCGCGGCGTTGACGCTGTTTTTGTTCTGTGGAAGTCTGGCCATGCACATCGCGCTGCGAGTCGAAAATGGCAAGAGACTCTCGGGGAAGCGAGATCAAATGCACGAGGGAAAGTCGGCTGACGAGATATGGGTTGCCGGTGACAATAGACCTGACTTTATCTATACGCTATGAATCTGGCTTGAGTATAGCTATGGAAATCTCTGAAGGAGTGTTATTCTTCGTCGCCAATCAATTCAAAAGCTATGCTCGGAAACGAATCGAAGGAAAGTATGCTCTAGGTCGAGTGAGAGTCACTGTGAGCACCTGGATACCTGAATGAAATGAGTTTTTACTCCAATTCTTTTGTCGTTGCCTCGAACGACAACGATAGTAATGAAGAGATTCAGATACTTTATTTCCTTGTTTGGACCATAGTAAATAGTCTCGGCGTATCTGAACCGATCGTCCAGGCCCGGGTAGCCTAGTAGGCACTTAGTAGAGTTACCTGCAGACGATATCTTCACATACACTACCCGTGTCCGCATTCATCTGGGGGTATTTTCCCTTAAGACAGATGTCACATAGCATTCTCTCCTCATCTATGTTTACTCTACATTTGACCAAGATTGCCCCACTGGCTCACAGTCGGAATGTGTGGTCTCCAAGAATCCCACACGTTTGGAGGCCGAAGTGGTATCCAGGCATGTGGCGACACAATGTGGCGGCAGAGAGATACTCCAAAGATCGCCTCGAGGGGTCAGTATCATCAGTCAGTATGGATGTGAGAATGATATCACTCCTATGGCTTCGCATATTCAGGTGAGGAGAGAACCCTCGGGATTAGAGAAGTGGAGAGAATGCCTCGTGAATTGGCAGAGAGATATATATGCACAACCACACACATTTATATATTGTCAGCACATTTACTTCGAGGACATCTGTATCCTAAAAGACCAAGCAATATTTCTTGACATAGTCACTCGCCTGAATTTTAGCCCCGATGGATTCCGAATTGCATTCGCTGAACCTGCCACTCAACCTCAGGGCCGCCCCCTGGGATCTGGTCCAAAGTCTCGCCGTAACTTTGGTAGTACTCTTTGGGACGTACCTTTTGGTCAGCGAGGTGAATCGGGTTCGAGCCAGATTGCCCATCAAAGGCCCGACAGGACTGCCTATAGTAGGCAACCTTCACCAGGTCTACCCTGACCCGGCCGAGCAGCTCCGGAAATGGGGTGAAAAGTATGGAGGAGTCTATCAGATCATGTTTGGCAACATGCCGATTGTCGTCTTTACCTCCATGCAGGCGGCCAAAGATGTCTTTGTCGGCCAGGGAGGCGCTTTGATTGACCGGCCTCGATTCTACACTTTTCACAGCCAGCTATCTCGTCTCGCTTCCACCATTGGGACAACTCCTTGGTAATACATCTACTCTTCTTCCATCTCTCGTCTAAGAAGGAGGCATTTACTGATCCATGCGTACAACAGGAGTGATTCCACCAAGAGACGTCGTAAAGCCGCCGCAAGTGCCATGAACCGGTCCGCTGTGACGGCGTACACTCCGCTTATCAACGAGACCTCGCGTGATTGGATCTCTGAGCTTCTTAAACACGGCGCATCGGGCCAGAGTGCGATCGATCCCAAGCTACTGGTCCTCCACACCATCCTCGACCTGACAATGACGGTGAACTATGGCCGCAGGTTGCCTCGGGAAGAGGGTCTATTTGAGGAACTCCTGGATGTTGAGGAACAAGTGTCAGGTTTCCGATCGGTGGTCGGGGCTCTCCAGGACTATGTGCCATTGCTCAGATGGAATCCCGTCAATGCGAAGTCCGCTCACGCGAAAAACACAAATATCAGGCGACTGGCGTACCTGAACCGATTCAGTGACGAGCACAAGCAGCAGATGAAGCTCGGGACCGACAAACCTTGCATTCAAGGAAATGTCCTGCGAGATCCGGACCACAAGTTCACCGAAGTTGAGTTGATGTCGATCAATATGTCCATGGTCTCGGGAGGCATTGATACCCTTGCCAACACCCTGATCTGGACCATCGGCACACTGGCCCGCCGTGGGGACATCCAAGACACTGCATACGCCAAGATTCAAGAGGTGTACGACGCGGGTGACTGGGGAGACGGCCGGGAAGAAAAAGTACCGTACCTCTCTGCCATGGTGAAGGAGAGCTTGCGCTTCTTCTCCGTCCTTCGTCTCTCATTGCCACGAAGTGCGCTGAGGGACATCCAATACGGAGATATTTTTATACCTCAGGGAACCACCGTTTTCCTCAACGCCTGGGGTTGCAATCGTGGTAAGTGAGGATAAAACACCGCCCCATCTCTCCGGCAACTGAACAGTGACTGAATCGCCTGTAGATGAGTCGTTCTTCGGGCCTGATGTCAACCAGTACCGCCCAGAGCGCTGGATGGAGGGAGCAGAGACAGACTTGCGTCTTGACCACGCCGCATTTGGCATGGGTAAGCAATGCAGGTCCATTACCTTTCAATACTCGCGGGCTGATACTACTTGAATCTAGGTACACGGATGTGCGCAGGCAATCAGTTGGCCAGTCGTCAGCTATACATCATGCTGTTACGTCTGATCTGGTCTTTCAAGATCGAACTCAGCAAGGACGTGGCCGACAACAAATGGAGAGTTGACCCTCTGCAGGTGAGTGTTGTGTCTGAAGCATTGATCCTATTCTGAAGACTGACGGCTCCGCCCACCTTTCAGGACTCGATCGAGCCTGACCAATTCGCGGCACGACCACCTGCGTACAAAGTGAGATTTGTACCCCGCGATCCGCTTGCTCTAGACAAGATTCTGAGCAGCCAATAATGACGAGGTCGGTCGGCTTATACAGGGTTATGCATGATTGAGGAACCGTGATATCCGAGGTTGGAGACAGAGAGAGAACGATGGAGCCGCCTCCCTATTTCTGAGCCTTGCCAAGATGCGGGGTCAAATACTGCTGTGAGGGGGCATTCATACACTGTATGCGGGGGCAGTTGTGTTCACTTTTGTCCCTCTTCTTGATGATAGTCGGTCCCTACTGCTAGTATTTCCATAACGTGATCCCCTAAATTGAGATCTTTTTACTTCACATGATCTTTCGAACTACTCGTCTACCCAAGTCGTCTTCTGGTGTGTCTCCGCCTCAGAGTGGACATTGACTCTCTGGCCAGAAGCATTCCCCACTTCGGTCATCCAGCAGAGTACGCGGTCTCGATGCAAGAGCCACCAATGACACCACAGCAGCCACACGCAAAACGTAAGGCGCGGCGCCGGGCACCGCCGGATTGTCAATACTGCCAACGATCATTTTCTCGTGCCGAGCATCTTCAGCGACACCTTCGGACGCATACACAGGAGAAGCCGTACGGTTGCTCCGTTTGCTCCAAATCGTTTGGCAGACGCGATCTATTGGTCCGCCATAGCCGACTGATTCATCCATCGAATCAAAGAGATGAAGCGAGTGACGACCAGGGTGGCTTGCACAGACGACAGTCTACTCCCACGACGGCCATATTCAATGCCATCTCGTCGTCACAGACTGTAGATCGGACCTGGAGCACCTTCGATGCAGATCCTTTGAATGAACCCGAGGACACAGCTCACATTGAACACCCATCGATCGAGTCTCAACAAGAGCAAGACAGTGCTACAGTCCCCTTGGATGGCCCCAGTGAAGTGACCACTACCGTGGACTTGGACAACGATGATCTGCTGCGATTCGCTTTGACAGGACCGTTGCAAGATCCCATGCAAGATTTCAACCATTTCCTAGACAGCATCGGGCTCAGTCCAAGCTGGGAACCAGAACTCTTCTCTCAGGCTCCATCTTTCTCCGTCACACTTGAGTCTTCCACATCCGTCCTCAACTCCAATTTGCAACCAGGTAGCAGCCAAGTGTTGTCTTGTCAGAGTCCACGCGTACACAATGATGACGTCCCCTACTCGACCTTCGGGTCTCGCCTGCCTTCACTTCAGCCCCAGTCTCGAGACTCCGATGACCGCGACTATATGGGACCGATTCAAGCACCTGTCGTACCTACGCCATCAATTGCTAGTATTGGAAAGCAGGAATACCAAACATTTGTCAAAAAGCTCGAGGGCTTGAAAGACGAATTGCCTTGTAAGTTCCTCCCCCCATCCAGGTGGGCTCTCGCACGGTCGCTCGACGGATTCATCGACGGCCTGAATGAACACCACCCCTTCATCCATGTACCCACCACATCCATAGACCGCTGCCATCCAGCACTCATTCTTGCGCTGGCTGCATGTGGTGCGCAGTATCGCTTCGAAGAAGAGCGGGGGTTTGATTTCTTCTACGCGGTGCGAGCGCTTTTAACCCGCGATCTGGACCGTTGCGGGTGTTTTCCTTTGTCGTTTTCAACCAAACAAGGCCGGTCGATGGGGCTTGAGGATCGCGGAGGAGACGAACTGATGGAGAGGATTCAGACTCTCCTCCTGCTCACTATATTTGCCCCATGGGGAAAGAATCAGGATATTCTCCAGGAGCTATTGTCACTACAAGGAGTCTTGGCATACATGATCCGCGACCATGGTCTGGCCGAAGACGACCAGACCACTTTCGCCATGACAAGCGACTCGAATGAAGTCAATTGGCGCCGATGGGTGAGGCAAGAGCGCGATCGTCGAACAAAGCTCGCGGCATTCACCATTTTAAACCTCCACTCGATCATGTATAACCGAGCTTCCTTGATCAAGAACGCCGAGCTGAAACTCAACTTGCCATGCAATACCGCTCTCTGGAAGGCGTCCAGCGCAGATGAATGGCGCTTTGAGTATGAACGGGCATTCAGCTCTGGGGAGGCATCGGGCATGCCGTTTCAAACCTCTTTTGCCCTCCTTTTTACCCGTCCCCCTTCTCTCCCAGGTGACCTCTATGCGTCGACGCCAATGGGGAATCACGTCCTTCTCCACGGTATTTTTCAACACATATACTTTGCTCGTCAGCTGTGTCTGTACCCGCCTTTGCGAGATGGTCAACATCAAAACCAGAGCGAATGCCTGAGCGTGAGCCTTCGAGCCGAGGATCTTTGCGTGCTCGAGGACGCGCTCCACGCTTGGAAACTCCGCTGGAAACAGACACCAGAATCTAGCACAAACCCACGCAATCCGGCCGGGCCCATCGCCTTCACCTCTGCGGCGCTCTTGGGCCAGGCATACATTCACATGTATCTCAACATCGGTCCACGTCGAGCTCTCATCTCGCAGGACCCGGCCGTGATTTCTCAATCTCTAGCATCGTCCCCGCCGCTCGAGCGCGGTCCGGGACTCGTGAAACCCTTGCTTCACGCCGCCCATGCTCTATCTATCCCGGTGCGGCTGGGCATTGATTTTGTCGCGCGCAGTCATTCATTTTACTGGAGCATTCAGCACTCTCTCGTCAGTCTGGAGTATGCCTTTCTATTGAGCAGGTGGCTCCTTGCTCTTGGAAGGGCTTCAGCTACAAGTGGGTCGCTCAAGATGTCGAAACATGAGCAATTAATTTTTTTGTGGATCGAGAAAATGGTAGAAGAGACGAATGTCGGCCCACTCCCGGTCTCACAGCCTGAATCAGTGCCAGTACGCGACAGAGACCATGGCTGCGGGTCAACGTTGGAGTCGGGAGACTATGCAACCAGAATGGAACAGTTGGGAAGCAGAATTGCTCGGATCTGGGCGAGGACGTTCAAGGGTAACACCGGTTGGGGCGTTGTGGACTTGATTGGTCAGAGCCTAGAAGAGTATGCCGAGCTGCTGAAGTAGCCGTGATATGAAGGTGCTTGCGGCAAGGCTGTGACCTTGAATGATGTGAACCACATTGTCTTGTGCTCGGTAGCACGGGGCAAGGTTCGCGAGAGGTTTTGGTGGGTTATAAGAGGCACGGTGTCCTTGTTATAGCTTGGGGAAGATGATGTCAAGCCGACAGATTGCAGCTTCATCAAAGTCGGATGAACACTCACCGGGAGCAGCGAGAAGGTGTACTTGTCTTCACTGTTTAGTCTTCATCGTCGATCATGCGTCGAGTCTTCGTAAGTGCTTTGTTTTCTTTCTAAACAGTAGACTCTTCGAGATGATGTAAAAGTCTGAGGCTGGCATACGGACGAAAGAGAGATATTTGAGATATTGAAGACTATATATATTACCATTATTCCATCACACTGTCCCAACCCGGAGGTGATTCATCCTCCACGGAATTCATTTGACCCAAGTCCCCATCTTTTGATATCTTCCTCGATTCATCCATATTCCGTTCAAACCCCCCGGTATCACAACAAGGACAAACCACCTACTGCCTCGTACTCTCCCATATCTTTGTGTTTCGTACCTTTTTTACCCCCTCGCCTTCTCAATCAAACCAACCGTACAGCCCTGCCATGACGACCGCCACCACGGGTGGGAAAATCCAATGTTGAGTCTCACCACCTCCCGTCAACAACCTACTCACGAACCCGTCGGTGAGGGACATGGCCACTCCGGCACCGAGACCTTTCGCCATCAATCTCTCATCCCCGGTGTTCCAGATCAAAGCCAACAGAAACCCGACGGACAAGTTTCGAACACTCCAGATCCTCATCAGCGCGAGATTCAACTTTTTCGCCGTGGGCTCGTCGTGTAGAGGAAACCCGAGTGCCTGCAAATGAGCGGTGGGTCGGAACATGGCATTGACCCCGAAGAGGAGAGGGAAAACGCTCAAGGCGAGACTCGTGTTGTGGAAAAATGGATGTGCTTGTGACATTTTTTGATATTTCTTTTTGGATATCTTTTTTTGTTCTTGTTGTCTTTTCTTCGGGCAACAAGGATGAATCGTTATGGAGTAGGTTTTGGGTGAGATGTAATTACCAGAAGGACCGATACTCTTGGTCAAGTATTGATGGAAGGTAAATGTGGTCGTTGATGTTTTTGGTGATGGTGGTGACGGTGATGATGGTGATACGGGGATATGTCGAAATGGAATATTCTAATCAAGTGTGTTCTCGTTATACATTCGAAACTTCTCATTGAAATGTTGTCAAGTACTTCGGGTTGGAAAAAAAAAGTGTCTCCTTGTGAGTAAAGGAAGTGGACCTTTGATATAAATATACATGTACACTCATGAACATCTCTCGTTTTCTCTGGTTGCCTTTTACACCTCGTTCGTTCACTTCGTCAATTCCGTCCTTACGGAGAGCTAGCCAGTAGTCTTCTGGTCCTTTGCCCTCTCGCTTCATTGAATCTGTCCGTCCCCCGAGTCCGACTCAGACCAATCACACATGCGAAAGAGGTTTTTACCTCCCCACTACATCATCTCCGGACGACATCATTAAGCAAATTCGGGCAAAACCAAGGCACATGGCGGCAGAAAGTACAGGCTTACAAAGCATTCTGCCTCGAAATCCCTTCGACGCCGGGGGGCCTGAACCGTCCTTTGTCATCGTCATTGCAAGCCACACTGAGTGCCTAAAGGCATCACATCAGATCAGGCACCCAAGATTTACTGACCACCAAGGGACATCACATCTCGTTGTGCCACATCTCGGACACCATATTTGTACTTCCGCACGGACTTAAGAAATTCCCCAATATAGGACAAACATTCAGAAATAGTACGATGAAGACAAAAAAGGTGTGATATTCTTTGCTGTTCTTGTACCCCGTATAATACCACTCACTCGTCAATAGTAGTAGCACCATCAACACTAACAACAACAGCCATAATCCAAGGTCGTTCAGTCATGCCCGTTCTCTCTTTCCGCAAAAACCTTATCCGAGTTCTTTCAGTCCAGGTGATTCATTACTTGACAATAAATACTCCCTCCTCGGAGTTCCCGTGAAAACAAGCCAATCCCTATTCCGTCTCGGTCGTCAATAGCAGCTCGACGAGAACATGACTCTTTTCATGTTCCGGATGTTGTAACACCAGCTTCGGCATTCGTGGTGCATTCCCGAAATTCTTGAGTCCTAGTCCATTAATTCCACCTCCTAGAGCAGCCTGTGTCTGGGCACCGCCCACACCGCCACCGCCGTCATCAATCAATTTGATGTCTTTACCGACGATGACCTGCTTGAGTCTGCCGTTCTGGGCATCTCGAATCTCGACAAAATCGTCGTCCACCAGGATCAAGTATTGCGCGTATAGACAGGCCGACTTGGCTCGACCCACAAATTCCATCACCACTCCACGAGAAATGTCTCCGTGTTTGTTGACATACACCGCACATTCTTCGAACGTAACCAAAAACTCTGCTTCCCCAAGCCTGAACATCCCCAAGGGTTTCAGATCCTTGATACGACTAGCGATCGAACTCAAATGAGCCTGAGTCTCGGGTTGTTCACTCCTCAGGTTGGGCACGCTCCATGTCTGTTTCTTTTCCAGCGTCAATACCTCAACCCCTCTTGCCGTTGATATCGCCAAGCTCGACTGGAACAGGTTGAGGCTGTAACACTCGGCCGGGATGTAGAATTCGTCATACTCCCTGAAGAATTCCGTTTGGCCTCGGCGCGACGCAGATGGCAAAAAGCGTGATCGACTGGTCGTGCTCTTTTGCAAAACGGGCTCAAGAACTTTGAACGTCGATACGATACCATCCCTCTTCTTGTAAAACACCAAAGTGCGTTCCTTCATCCTGCCAGACACAAAAAAGCCGACATCCTTCGAGCCAGACAGCTTCTGAGGTGCTTTGCGACTTGATGTATCGGCGTGTGAAGGGGGAAGTCCCGATGGTGGACATACCACATCCAAGTGATATGCAATCAAGGCTTTGTCTGAGATGAGTAAGAACAAGTTGAATTCCTCGAGTACTGAAATTTGCGTCACCCGTTGCATCTGAATAGCCTATTCAAAAGATGTCAGTGGAAACTTGCCAACATAAAACCAGGCGGCTTACCCTGACCCATCCCCGAGAGTTTTGATACTCGGAGATGTAAACACCATAGTCAGTCCCGACCGCACACATGAGTTTACCATACGGTTGGTTGAAAACAGTTGCACAGTTGACTTGGGCTCTACACACGGGCGCCGGCCGACCTTGACCCTCAAACTTCTTCTCGGCTTCCTGGATAGCTCGATCGAGTGGTGTTCCACGGATTTTGATTTGTTTCCCAGGGTACGCTAGGCCTTCGTAGCCGAAAGACGTATCTGCCAGAACACGAAGCTTGAATGGCTCGGCATTTTGAGAAAAGAGTGCCTCTGCATGTCTAGTCTTGGCTTGAATGATGGCCTCGCACCAGTCTTGCCGATTCTGCGCCGTGGGAGCGTATAGGGTATATGTTTCAGTCTTTCCAAGATGCTTGATGCGGAAAGGATACATAATCTTTTCCTCTTTCGAACTCCCAGAATCCAATGTGGTTATTGGCACCATGGATTGACTGGCACTTCCAGATCCTATGGACAAGTTTGTGGTTTGATGTGTCAAGGTGCCTGGGCCGCCACTCGAAGATGACTGTGCCCGATTGAGTCGAGTATCCGTTGTTGGCTGGCCTCGAGGGACCACGGTCGTCGTAACGGCACCGATGCCTTTGACGGAAGATTTCACCACAGCAGGATCTGTCGCACTTTCTAAAACGAGCAAGTCCATCGGTATAGGCACTTTTGACACGTCATAATAGCCTTCTTTTCGGTCTCGATTGAGAGGCTTCGCAAGCACCAGATAATGGTCGAAAAGAATTGCATGAGTGTCGACCCATTGGAAGCCCTTACCACCGGCTCGTTGTAGCTCACCCCGAAAGACGATCTCGCGACCCAGGTGGTCGAGGTTGAGCTCCACCTCCTTTTCCATCGGTGGTCGAAGTCGTAACTTGGTTTGCATCTCAATCAATTCCATCTTCTTGGTCATCTCGGCGAACTTGGCATCGCATTCATAGGTAGCGGCACGGATTTCGTCCAGTGCGTAGGCAAGGTTGTGCTTCTCTTCCGACTCTTTCAGCATGTTTTTCTGGACAGTTGACAGCAAGAGACTATAACGCTGTAGTCTTGTGATGGGGGCTTTCAGGTAATTGTCCCAACCCAAACGATTGGACCGCTTGTCATCTCGAGCGTGATCGAGGAAACTTTTGAAATGGAAATTTCGCTCGGCTTCACGCCGCATAAGATAGTCGGCTCGAGGAAAATTGGAAGCATACTCCACGTAGACAGGCCGAGCTTTTCGGATCCATTCACGAAAGATGTCGCTAAATCCCGCTATCCACGGGCCCTGCTCTGTTTGACGATATTTGAGCTGGCCCAAGAGATAGTCTTGATTGACTTTCTTAACCTTGTCAACGCCACCGAAAACTTCTTTCAAAAAGGTTGGCAATTTCTTTGAAGGCACGATGGGTGGCTGTGCAGTAGAGAGTCTGTCCCGGTAGAGGACACGTAGAACATCGAGCTGACTGATATAAAGATCTTCACTCGTGACAACCTCATGAAGTACATTCTGTCGTTCGATTTCTTTCTTCTCGTGACTTTCAATGTCTTCTTTTTTGAGCTTGTAAAAAGTGGCCCAATCTTCAGACTTCTTTTCTTCAGGCAGTGTGTCAAGATCCACCTTTCTCAGAGTCCTCATACAATGGTACGAATAGCATCTTCCCTTGGCTTGTGTGAGATGGAGTTTCGAGGAGTAACATCCGGATCCAGTCAATTGGTAGAGAACACCTGAGGTGGTTCCAGGTCCAAATTTGACCCATTCCTCTTCTCTTACCAATGCATTGGCGGCGAGCATCTCCCTTACTACCCTTTCTCCCAACACTTCGGCTTCCGTAACATACATTGTCGGAACCTTGTTCATGAACAGGGCAATAATGCCTTCGGCAATGTGGTGTTCCTTCAGGTCAACTTCTTCTTCGGCCAAATCTTTGATCCAAGTCACAATAGAGCTCAAAGCCCACGGCTCCGAGCATTTCTTAAATTGATCAGCGGTAAGCTTAGCAGGGTTGTAGCGTTTTCTCGGGATGGTTGGGAGGTCCAACGCAACGGCTGACTGTGGGCTGGCAATATCATATAGGTCTGAAACAGGCCGTCCTTGCTGTCGTAACGCCTTTTGGCGATCTGCATCTGTTTTGGATCGGATCGGATATTCCACGCGAGGAGCACTTCGAGTACTAGACAAGGAAGTAGACCTCGGCACAGATGCTGGGCTGAGCAAAGCATTGGTGTATGCGTCAGGCGCAGCAGGGTAACTTTGTCTGTTTGTCTCAGTGTATTGTGAGAACCGACTTTGCTGAGTATAAGTGCCTGCGGGCATGAGATGTGGCACCCGGCCAGGATCCGAATGCGAGGGAGGCGGAGGCAGTGGTCGTTGTTGGCTCATGCCAGGATGGAAGAACAAATCTGGAATTGAATCTCGAGAAGGGCTGGTGTCACCTGATCTTCCGCCAATATCTGAATCAACAAATACACCTTCGTCGCCATCTTCATAGCTTAGTCGTCTTGGATGCGGACTTGGTTCTGTAAGACCTCCTGTTCCCCCAGTATCTACGCGCGCGACATTGGGAACTGGAGCATAAGATTGAAGCGTTTCGATTGGCGGTAACGATTCATGACCACTTGCCTGCGATTCGCGTCCCTCCGAGGACACTCCGGAGCTTCGAACCGAATTCATGCGGTTGTTCAGCCTGCTGTAAAGCTCGCTTTGAGGCATGGAAGCGGCAGCAGCATAGTTGGACATCGTCGGCTCGCCGTACGAGAGATCGGGGACATAGCCGCCGCCAGCAGAACTGAGATCGTAGCCGGTATAATCACTGTCACTGCTCTGCTCCTGGGACGATGGGTGTGCCGCACCTCCGTCTGAACGAGGTTGACTGGGAAACAATGTGGCCGAACCACTACGCCTGCGAGCATCTTCGGCTCTTTCTTGCTCATCTAGAGCTTGCATAGCCGCGAGACCAGCCGCCGCTTCTGCATCACTGTCATCGGTGAATGCTCCATAGTTGATATAGGTGTCACCGGTCGAGGCGATGTTTCCGTTGAGGTGAGTAGGGGCTTCATCCGGGGAAAGGCGAGGCTGCGGAGAAGGCTGTTGCGGGAACATGCCCTCCGCAACCCCGTCTCTTGAATTGCGATATCTTTGATCGCTCGCAGACCTCGCATGCAACGAGTTACCTCCAATGGCCTCGTCGAGATGGTGCATCAGATCATCGTAAGCTGCCGGGGCTGAACCGCGCTGTCGGGCGTTTGGAGTCCCTGTTGAATTGAAATAGTCATTGTCAGACTCTGACTCCGATGGTACCCCTGGAAGAGATCGGCCTTGGGGGTGTCGATTAGTGCCTGTGCGCTGAGGAGAGGCATTAGAAGGGTTTCTACTCGGCGGAGTCGGAATGGACGGCTGCGGCGACACCGATTGATTGCTCATGCGGCTCGCAAATGACGCATTTCGATTGATATCTGGTGATGAGTATGCGTTCAACGAGGTGTTCTGGTACGGCGCTGCAACCCCTGTCCCATAGGAGAATCTCTCATCTTGTATGCTCGTGGAGCGCGAATGCCGTCTGTCCAACAGCGAGGCGTTGTGTGGTGGAGGGGCGGGTGCGGGAGGGGAATGCGCCGATTGACTCTGGCCAGTGGAGGATGTGCTGTGGTGACTGCCGAAAAGCTGAGAAGGATCGTGCTCATAGGCGTTGTATGCTTGGAAATTTGGGTAGACGGCTGGTTGGTCCGGACGGGGCGGAGGAGGCGGAGGTTGAGATGTGGAAGTAGAATAGTGCACTTGGGCATTTGCATCGTAGTAACCGTAGCTGTTATATCCTGAGTTCTGCAGATTGATATTTTGGTCCCCATATGCGGCTGGCACATACGGCTGATATGTGCTAGGGTAAGATGAAGAGGGCGATGTGGCATAACCTTGGGGAGCGTAGGTCGACTGCTGCTGCTGTTGTTGCTGTTGCTGTTGATATTGGGCAGGATTATAGGGTTGATGAGCGGGCACCACAGGATGTTGATATTGATGCTGATATCCTCCTAGCGTCGCATGTTGCGTGTTGGTTCTGTACGGAGAGGACGCTGAATTGTATGTAGCTGTGGACTGTGTCCTGTTTGTATGCGGGCTCGTCCCAGCCGACCCTGCGTACGCTTGGTATCCTTGGGTAGGCTGCGCCTGCGCCTGGCCTCCGCCAAACATTCGTTCATCGTCTCCGGCATCGAAACTTGAAGTGCGTTCAAGAGGGCGTGAGGGGTAGACAGGCTGCGAGCCGTAAGGGACATTCTGGCCTGATGCAGGATGGTTGTTCTGGGGATAGTAAGGCTGTCCATTCTGGTAGCTGGCCATGATCAGTACTGCAGCCGGGTCGGACTCGCGCAATGGGGAGGAAGGAAATCAACGCAGGCTTCGATCGTGAAGTCGCTGCGCATATTCGACAACCCGAAAAGGCTCGAGAGCACAGGAAAGGCGCCAGTCAAGTTGGCCAAAAGACGGTCGGGCTGACTGGGCTGGCTCATCCGCAGCGGCGACGACGGTAATGATGGGAGGGTGTGGTCGCAAGCAACCCCGGGCAAGCACGACTTCCGCTTAAAAGCGAGGTAATGAGGGCGTTAAGAGGCGGGAATAAAGCTGGATCGCCTAGTACTCGTGCCCATGTCGACCAGAAAGCAGTACTCGGCAAGGCGACGAAGAGGTGAGTGTTGGCAACGAACAAGAACGAGTGTCGCAGGCTGTCAATAGTGCAAGTCAGCGTGGAATGGGGATAATCTGATCTGCGGGAAAATGACAGCGTTCGGGCAATAAGGCTGCCGACCAAGGCACTACGAGGATAGAAATGGATACACGACGGATACAAAAGAGCACACAATACTGAAGGGCACGCAGCTAATCGCCCTATTTTAGATCCAGTACTCCGTATTTCCACTGTAACTAGGTATGTACGCCGCAGTTCTCTGCCCTTACGATTAAGCTAAGTATTAGATCTTTTTGGCTGAGCAACAACACATCCGGTCAATTTGATACCCTCTTCATCCGCAAAGTAGGACTTCTTGACAAACAAGAGCCTGCCGAAGTGCTAATATAGCTGCTCGGATCACGATACCATTGTCTTTGTGGATGCATTCATTCAACGAAAAGGCGTCAGGCGTCAAGGCGTCGAGCGTGCCCAGGCTCAAGCCCATTACAGCGGTCACGTGCGATCCTCAGCTCCAGACAAAGCCCCCCGGTAGAAACACGAAGGAATGCGAGTCGCAGAGCGATGCGAGGCCGATGCGAGATCGCTATTCCAGACAAAAGCAGGCCAATTTCGACGGTGATCTTGGCCTGCATTCATGCACACAATGTAAAAGCACCACGATGATTGATAGACTGAGGCTCTCTAAGTCTTCTTCTCTTCCCTGATACTCTTCAGGATAGCCTCCGCCACTCGTACCCCTTCAAGCCCAGCCGGCAAGCCACAGTAGGCGGCTACCTGCATAAGAGTCTCCCGAATTTCCAGCTCCGTGGCGCCGTTGTTGACTGCGCCTCTTATATGCACTCCGAGTTCAGTCATCCTGTTCAATGCACAAAGCATTGCAATGTTGAGCAGGCTTCTGGTTTTGCGCTCTAGTCCAGGCCTGGTCCAGATCGATCCCCAACCCCATTCCGTTGCCAGCTCTTGCATGGGCCGGGCAAAATCAGAGGAATTGTTCTGAAGTGAGCGCTCGACATGTTGAGGACCAGTCACCTCGGTGCGGACTGGAATGCCCTGTTCATAGAGCGTCTTGTGTGCTTCGGCCACTTTGTCTCCCGACGACATGATTGCAACGGATGTTTTGAGTTGTTCCTCGTGATATGAACTTTGGAATTTCGGATCAAGAAATAGATTACAGTTCGAGGAGCTTTGACGGCCGAGGCTCCACGATTAAGATTTTTTTGTTTGGATGATCTTTGTGTACGCTGGTTTATTGATGTTCCAGCACTCGTATCCTCACACAGTCAGCTGAATAGGTATGTACATACAGTATAGTTACAGAAGGATCTTTGGATCATTTGCTTTGCCCTGTGCGGGGCTTGACCGACTTGCCGACTGGGCGTGCTTGTCCGAGGTTGTGAAACGTCTCTTACATCTGATATGTGACCATCGCTCCATGTACGATAGTCGCACTACTCAGCTCGCGAACACGTTAGTGGATAAAGACTCTTTAAGAAACTTCAAGTAGTTTTCCAATGATTCTTCCTTCTTCACCAGAATTTCTTTCATAGTGCCGTCTATTGATACCGCACTTAGCAAGAATTGCGCCCCACTGGTTACCTCTTCTCCACACCCGGGCTATCCCCATGCTGTCCCAGGCATTGGGTTACTCGGCAGAGTTCTCAAGCCACACCGGAGCGGCTCAAGATGTCTCCTGAGGGTTGGCCAGATCGCGGGGCTAGACATGGTTTGGTGGAGGGCCACGATAAAATAAGCCTAAGCGCGCCCTTTTTGGTAACTGTAAGCAAAGATTTCATATATTTTTCTTCTACCGAGTACAACACATACTAGTCAGAATGACGGCCTCTGGAAAACCTTGGACAATCATCGTCGGATCCGGGCCGAGTGGCCTGCTTCTCGGTTTGATGCTAGCAAAGAAGGGAGTCAGTGTCCATATCCTCGAGGCATCTGCTGAGCTCGACGACTCTCCTAGGGCCGCATATTATGGTCCTCCTGCTGCGTACGTGCTCCGCCGCGCTGGTGTCATTGACGATATTCGAGCGGAAGGGTTTGATCCGTCGGTGACGAGTTGGCGCAAGCTTGACGGCACCTTTTTGGCCGGCCTAGACAACAGTTACCTTCATGATTATCCAGACAGGATAGCCTGTCTTCCGTTGGCTCAACTGGACCAGTTACTGTACCGGCATGCAGTTGCCCAGCCCACGCTGACAGTTTCATTCAATCATAAAGTTGTCGACATTGGCCAAGACGCAGAGAAGGCCTGGGTGGACGTCGAGACATCCGAAGGTCCGAAGCGTTTGGAAGCGACTTACGTTGTTGGCTGCGATGGCGCCTCTAGTGTCGTGCGAAGGTGTCTGTATGGAAAGGAATTCCCTGGCTACACCTGGGACAAGCAAATCGTTGCCACCAATGTGCGTTTTTTCATCCTGGGTAAAAGAAAGGAGAACAGCCCCGTGCTCACTGATACTAGGTTGCATACCCATTCGAGAAGTATGGCTATGATGATGCCAACTTTTTTATCCATCCAGAACACTGGCACATGGTAGCTCGTCTTACCAAGAACGACGATGGCAGTGGGTGGTGGCGTGTGAGCTATGGCGAGATCAACGGTCTTTCTCGAGAGGAGCTCGTTGCACGACAACCCATGAAATTTGAGGCCATGTTGCCCGGTCATCCCAAACCTAGCGAGTACAGTCTCGCTGCTATCAGCCCTTACAAGATCCATCAGAGGATCGTAGACAAGATGAGAGTGGGGAGATTCATGCTTGCAGCCGATGCAGCACATCGTAAGTGTATCTTGTCCACTGATATCACATCTGCTAATCGGAAACGCACAGTCAACAACCCTTTTGGAGGTCTCGGTCTTACGGGCGGACTAACAGACGTTGGAGGGCTTTATGACTGTCTGATCGGCGTCTACGAAGGGAAGGCGGATGAGAGCATCTTGGACAAGTATTCCGAGATGCGACGACAGCGATTCAAGATCGTGACAGATCCCATCTCCACGGAGAATATCAAGCGACTGTACGATCAAGACCCGGACAAGGCACTTGAGAATGACGACTTCCTCAAGCTACTGAAGAGCATGGAAAATGACCGGGAGAAGCAGGTTGATTTCATGAAAGGTCCCATGGCTCTTTGGTATGACTTTACGCAGCACTATAAGACGTCGGAAGGCAAGACTACAGGGTCAAAGAACAATATTGTATCTAACGTGGAACAGATACCGGCAGTGGGCGTAGATGGTTAGAGAGGTAGACGTTTGTGTAAACTCATACAGTAGATAGAACATGGTGATTGTCATCTTGTAATCATTGATGTAAAAATGCCACGTGAGATCCTGTCAAGGATCGATCGACCGCCTTGGACAATGATGTCACAACAATCATGCGCTGTCCGAAAGCCGGATGCTGTTGTATCGCCATGCGATGGTTGATTGTACTAGCCTGTCGGTAAGTTTTGAACAAGGGATTTACATGTCGTGAAGCTCGTAATGAAAACAAGACAAATGCACAGTTGTCTGAAGGAGGTAATATGAGGGCCAGAATGCAAATCGTTAGAAAAAAAGTGGTGATTGGGGGAAAGGGGGGTACACAAACCCCAATGCAGGTTCGTAATAGATACTCGGCTAGGTACTCCGTACCTGGTGGACGATAAATAAATAGGCACCTCGCAGGCTAGAAACCAGAGATCTGAATTGGGTGCTGGGCGTACTCTGTCCCCAATATGTAGGTCGAGCTACGGTTAGCGTACTCGTCACACTAGGTACCTTATCGAACGTCATTGGAAGAACGTTTTCCCCCCAATTAATTGTTCTTACACCTGCATCATCAACCTGGTGTGGCTGCGCCCGATCGTCCTTCATTTGTTCCTCGAAAATTCACCAGCAAACAAATTCTGCTTGACACCGAGTGGTTCCTTGTTTGTGTCTGAGAGCATATACACCAAGATCCTACCGAGCACATTATACCATCATCTTCCTCATGTATCGAACTTCACGCCGTAGTTAGGAATCCCGGAATTCCTTCCCTACATCCGAATACCCTCTGCCAGTCGCATATGCAATTTCTGCTGGCGCAACCATGAAACCCTCTGATCATGGCAGTCCTCTGCTTCGTCGAATATCTTCCACACCTCACTATCAAACCTTTGGCGGCATCACCCCTCCCAAGTCTCGAGGTCGTCCCCTGTCCGAGTCGACCAACTCCTCTAGTAATGACATCAATTCTCACTCCGACAATGAGCGCCACCACGAATCCTCTCCTCTACCAAAGAAACAAATGGCCATTCTGGCGGTGATAGCTCTATGCGAACAGACTGCTCTCAACTCAATAAGTCCCTATCTACCGGACATGGCGTCGACATTTCCAGAAGTCAAGCCAGGCCAAGTCGGAGTCTACGTTGGTCTCATCGCTTCGGCCTTCGCCCTTGCGCAGCTAACAACGAATTTCTTCTGGGGATGGTTGTCTGATCGCATCGGGCGAAAGCCTGTTATTCTCCTGGGTACACTGTTCACAGCGGCGTGCTTTGTCGCATTCGGCTTCTGCAGAACTCTCTGGCAGGCAATACTGGTACAGGCATTGATGGGTCTTTTGAACGGGAACCAGGGTGTGGTATCTACATGTTTGGGCGAGATCACCGATCGGAGCAATCAATCACAAGCATTCACGTACCTTCCTGTGATATATGGCATTGGTGGAATCACAGGCCCTGTCATTGGCGGAATTTTGGTGTCGCAAAGGAATCCGTTCGACAAATCCAAACCGAATCCATACCCTTACCTGATTCCGAATCTCTTATCGGCAAGTATATTGTGTGTTGATCTGGTCTTGACGGCGCTCTTCCTTGAAGAGTCTCTGGAGGAAGCACAGTATCTCGCTCCTTTGGGCACTCGAGTCAAGAACCTCTTTACTTGGATCTGGGAATTTACTTCGTCAAGCCGACCGCATTATTTGCGACGTCGGGGCAAATCGCACAGCCAACGCTCGCAGCCGAATGGTACTGTAGACATATCAGACGCGGACGATGACGAGAGTGACGGGGGCTCTGAAGACGCAGCATTCATCGCCAACGCAGAGCAACTCCGCAGCAAGGATGTCCTTAACCGCGACACTGTGCTTCTTCTCCTGACATATCTCATCTTCCAATTATCCAACATATCCTTTAACTCGTTATATCCAATCTTTGCACAGGCAAAGCCACCTACAGGACGAAATCTGCACCCCAACGAAATAGGGTTATCACTCGCTTTCGCCGGTCTAGTGACAATCGTCTTCCAAGTGGGTGTTTTCGGCAAGCTTCGTGACAAGATGGGGAATAGATGGGCGTATAGAACAGGTCTGGGCGGATTCGTCATTGCATACCTTCTTATGCCTTGGGTTGGATACAAGGGCAGCGATGATGGCGGCGACGCTTTATCCTCTGGCGCAGCGTGGCTATGGTTCGAAATATGCCTGGTACTTCTCATCAAGACTGTGGCAGCGGTCGGGGGGTTGACTAGTGCTTTACTCTTGGTAAGCTTCCTTACAATGTCTGTCTGGGAGGCATAGAATTGACTGACTGTTTGATAGATTACAAACTCGGCCCCCAATCACAATGTGCTGGGAACATTGAATGGCCTTGCGCAAACACTGTCCGCCGCGGGTCGCGCAGTCGGACCTTTCCTTTCGGGTGGCCTCTTTTCACTGGCCACAAAAGTGCGACCAAAGGGTGAAGCTCTGGCATTCGGTCTTTTCGGGGGAATCGCCTTTATTGGTTTCCTCCTCAGTTTCGGGATCCGTTCCGCTGACCTGGAGGCTGATGGATGGGAAACGGGGTCCGATGTTGAGGACGATACCAGCGATAAATCGGAGGATGAAGAGACGTGATATCGTCGTATCTGGAAGTCTTTTGGGATACATTTCGGCTGTTTGTGGGAATAGAAAAGGAGGGCAATGGTGTATCAGTATGAGTAAATGGTGGCTATTGTGTCTACCGACTTACGCAGTAATGAGACATGGGAAGAGAAGGATTGGGACGATCTACTATCTGTCTTGTCGATGATACACATATTCAAATAGACGGATCGTTTGGTGTCGGCGGCAGTACAATCACCAACAATGTGAATGAAGTCCTTCTATCGAATTCAGTCATTCACTGACTCCTTGTCCACGCAACTTTCTGTGGCCATTGTAAATCGACCCTATCTACCTTAGGTATGTATCTTGCACCCTGCTTACCCAGCCTAGACAGATGAATCCAAGTTTATTGCTCCAGCCATCGACACTCTTATCAACTCCTTCAGATAGGTGCCATCAAGAAGAGACCTGTAGTGTCAGGATTCGACATGCTCCGCCCACCCTGGCTTCGAAGATGGCTTCGACTCACACTCGTACTGATCGTGTTGAGCGTCTGCGTACACATCTTACAGCGATGGTGGGAGGCATCTCGTCACACCGATCTCGATTCCGTCGCCGGTTTCCAATCACACAGAGATCAAGAAACGCGCTTCACGGCTTTCAACATCGCCGAGTTTCAGCAATCATCTCTGTATCAGGAACAAAACCAGTACCTTGGACCTCGACGGCCGATCCAGCCTGCGCATCCACTCGTCCGCACCCTCACGACCTGCACGAGCGGCACCTTCAACCCCGTCACTCGCCACATTCGTCTTCCCAACGACCTGTACAACGTCACCTTGACGCCTCCCGACGCACCTCACGACGACCGGGCGCGCTTCTTCAATCCCGCCATCTTACCTTTACCGTATTGGTCCTCGGCCTCGGCGGCCGCGCGCGGTGCCAGATACGTTCTCATATCTCGTCTCGTCACCGCGGGTCTGCATCAAGAGTCGCACATTTGTCTTGCCGACATTTGCGTTCCCTTGCTGACATCACAAACATCCACGTCTGAGACTGCTACTGATGATTACAGCAGCCACTTGCCTTTGGCCACCGCCAATGACAACGACACCTCCACCACCCACGACGACAACCACCAGTGGACTGCACCGATCCGTCCGCGACGAGCCCAAGGCGGTGGTCGTCGTCCTCCAGCGGATACACGACCCTGCACTGACTCCGACGCGAGACTCTTCGGTTCCCGAGGCGGTCTGCGCTGCCTCACAACGCCCGTCAAGATCAACATCCCACCCACGCCGGCCGAACGGTGCGACGACGTGTGGTCTGCATTTCCCGACCTTCCAGGCTTCCATGACCCGCGCGCATTCTGGTCGGGAAAGGGCGAGCCCTTGATCCTGGTCAACTCGGCGAGTCAATACGGATGTGCCGGGCTGTGGATGGTGGATCTGCGGACGGTATTTCCAGACATCGAAAAGGTGCTGAACAGGGGGAAAAGGATCATGGGACAGGTGACGAGTTACCCGCACCTCACCGAGATCACGAGAAACCCAAGAAAGAGCCGTGCGAGCGTGGAGAAGAACTGGGTCTTGTGGTTTCCCGGTCGTGATGAGGCGTACATACAGTATGAATTGCTCGGGAAGCCCGAGGATGGTAGAAGCAATCATCCTTTGACCCTTGCAAATGTCGACATAATTGAATTAGGAATAGGGATCAACACTACCAACCTAAACACTTACACAAACACTCGCATCGATGGACATTTCAAGATCAGTGCGTCAGGGGCCAGGAGTGTCGACAATAAAAGGACAAGACTCGAACAAGGACGCACGTTCGCCAAACTCATTGGCCACGGTCTCACGAGCACGAACCTTACACATGTCGACGAAATGCCTTGTTTCGGGCCAGAGGATATCATCGACGGACTGGGAAATCGCGGCCATTGGCATCAGGGCTCCAATTCCCTTCGTCTGATACTTTGTACGCGTGCACAGGCAAGGAGAGGCGAGTGTGAACAAGACGCCACGGTTGAAGATGGGCGTTCTGTGCACTTCGCAATTGTGCATCGGAAGTTCACCAATGATATGAAATTGCCGATGCGATACGAAAGGTATGTCGTTGTATGGGAGAGTCGAGCCCCGTTCCAAATGCTAGCAGTGAGCAAGTGGCCACTGTTAATGAGCAATGAACGTGCACATCCATGGACGGTCGAACAAAATTGGCCTAGTATGAAGAGCGGATGGAACGCATCAGGGTCGTTCATGTGGATGAACGAAAAGAGGACGCACGCTGGTAGGAACAGTGACAGTACCAGTACCAGGGCACAAGAATTCGAGAACAGTGCCTACTTCATGTATACACCGAGTCTCGCGTGGGCTTGGAGGCCACATTCCGTGTTGGTCGGCGAGGAACTGGAAGAGGATGGGGACATTGAGACCATGTCTGAACTCGGCACAGGATATCTGGGTGATGATGTGCTTATGGGCATTGGCCTGGATGATGTGAATCAGGCTTTTGCTAGAATCAACGTGGATGACCTCTTACGGTGTATGAGAATCTGTCCAGGAGTCAGGTTCAAAGAACCACACTCTTGAAATGCAAATACCTCATACATATCTTGTTGAGCTTGTGCAACAATCGATGAACGTCTCGACCCTCAGATTAGCTCTCTTAAGTTCTCATGGACTGCCAGAAACAGGGATGATTGCAGAGGCAATGCATCGAACCCATAACGGCTGTCTTTGACTTTGGCTTTTTGGACTTTTGAATCGTCTTCATCATCACCGGGTTTGGTTTGTTCCTCAAAATGTTGTTACTCGATCTTCACTCGTCAATATCCCTGATTGTTATCGGCTTTAGCGTGTCCGCGGAATCCAGGCTTGGGTAGAAGGGATATATGATGTTTCTATGTATAGGTGAATCCCGTTTTTTTATTTTTTTTTTCTTCCATGATCCTCAACCTGGATTACCGGAGGTTGTGATGACCCTTTTCCCTGTTGTCCCAAACACACACTCGCATTTCTGCGCAACGAGGCTCAGATTGAAAACTATATTTTGTTCCCTCAATAGCAGCGCAAGCAGAACGGGCTGATGCAGCAGTCGCTCGAAAAGGACAAAGAATCAGCGGTAGCAGACCGGCCACAGACGCTCGCGCATTGGACAGTATTACCACATACCGTCGCTTCGGGAGTAGAGGTGCTTTGGTGTCCTCATCGCCCAATGTGTGTTTCTGGAGATAAATCATTCCTTCATTCGACACGCGCGCACCCATTCGACTGGATCATCCACCGGTTCTCTTCCCCCTCTTCACATCAAGTGTCATTACCCGGCGTCAAGGTTTCGGTGCGATATCTCGGCAAACGAACGGCGACGTGGTGTATAGTGGTTCTGGATGAGCAGCTGCAGCAGGCAACAAGAAGTGAAGGAAAAACACGGCGAAAAGAAAAAGCGGGAGGCTTGGCGGATAACAACGAAAAGAATGGTTTCCAGCGTTCACAAAGCACAAAGGTCTCGGGAACCTGCATCTCTTCGATCTCTGTTCTTCGGTGTGTTCACTGGGGATAGCCTCAGGCTTCGGATCCTCGCAGTCAATCGAAACTGGAAGTACCAATCGCCTGCGACTCCCCTCACACTTTAGCTCGGTTGTGTGAAGAATTCGGTTTCGGCATCGAGAAAAGGACCTGAAAATTGACTATCAGCGTTACTGTCATGATTGATGCCGGTATGACGGCCTCGATATATCCGCGAGAACTCACCTTCGACCTTTGTACTGTACAGAAACACAACAAAGGGTCAGAAAACCAAACGCAGTCGGATCAATTAGGGCTCCACAAGATCTAGCGACGTGGGCACGGCAGATCTCTCTCTCCCTTTGACGACTGGCTAGTGCGGCTGTAATGGGCCGTTCCCTTTGATCCATGTGCCAGAACATGGCCGTTCTCTTTCCTACCTAGGTGGCCCCAGGATATTCCCATCCCTTGCATCTTCCCTTAAGTGCACTGATACGGGAATATGCACAGTAGCCTCTATGGCTGAACCCCGTACGAAGAGCAACTATCCTTTAACATCCGATCTTCGGGGTTCAAAGCTACAATGGGTGGGTTGCACGACGTGGAAACTCCGGTTTACTTAGTTCTCATGTAGGGGACGGTTACTACGCTTATGCAGCTTTCTCTATGCTGAACAGCCACCACTGCTTAACAAAAGCCAATCATGCTCTCAGCCTGCAGGCAAGTTGAGAGTGGCTCGCGAAGCGATCTTTGGGCCCCGCGTACCTATACAAACCAAAGTACCTTGGCCCAGACTCCTCGTATTGGCATGCAGCTGAAGCGAACGTCCACTTTAATCCCATCAATCTTTTGCAGGCTTGAATTTCAGCTGCTCTTGACGCTATTGTCTTTTATCTACAGTTTATAGAGGTGTGATAGTGAGATGACTGTGCTTCACATCCCGAGTTACAATGGGGAGTGAACCAGAGCGCCATGGCTTGTTTGTCCTATACCCTCTAAAAGAAAACGCATCATGGGATGTGGACATTGTGGTTTTACACGGCCTAGGTGGGGATCCTTTTACAACATGGACAGCAGACAACAAGCGAATGTGGCCTCGAGATTTCATTCCAGAGATCATTCCTACGGCCAGGATTATGACCTTTGGTTATAACTCGAAAGTCGCATTTAGTCCCAGTACGGCCGATATCAAAGACTTTGCTCTAGATCTCCTGACGAGGCTGCGGAACAAGCGATGGTCCGCAGATGAAATGAACAACCCCATATTTTTCATCTGCCATTCTCTTGGTGGTATTGTATGCAAGCAAGCACTGCTCTTGGCCCAGAGCCAGCCTTACTATACCAATATCTTCGAGAAGACGTCTTCCATTCTTTTCTTCGGATGTCCTCATCGAGGATCACGAGTTGCCAGTTGGGGAACCGTCTTCGCCAATGTCATCAACACTACTACTTTTCACAAACCGGTCCAGAAGGGTCTCCTTACTAACCTTTCTTTCAGCTCACAAATATTGGCTGACATCTCTACCGCCTTCAAAGAAATAGCCTGTGATATTGACATTAAGACTTTTTACGAGACAGCTATCATGCTCCCTCTCAAAGGACCAGTTGTAGAAAGAGACTCGGCAATTCTTGGCTTACCAACGGAGCAAACTATTCCGGTGGCTGCAAATCATCGAGAAATGGTAAGGTTTGCAAACATTAACAGCGAGAAATTTGATCCTGTCAAATTCGCCTTGAAGGAGGTCAAAGAAGGCAGACCACTGGATGTCAAAACGGCAAGAGATGCTCTTCTGTATCTCGTAATTGAGTTAAATGTCGCGGACTATGACCAACAGCTCATGAGAATCCCAGACCAGTATCCAGGAACATGTGAATGGCTTCCGAAGCACACGAGTTTTTCTACCTGGTATACCGAGAGTGAGTCAGATATTCTATGGTTACGAGGCTACGCCGGCGCAGGAAAATCCGTGATGACAAAGTACATCATTGCGAAGGTTCTTCGGGCACTGTATATCTGGTCCAAGATGCCACCAGTCACGGACGGCGAGTATCAGAAGAGCCACGGGAACTTTCTTGCATACTTTTTCTGCAGTGAGCGAAATCGCCATCTCCAATCGGAACGCAACATCTTACGGTCTCTGCTACATCAGATGCTGCTTGCTGCTCCCTTCGAAGTCAACAAAGCCCTACAAGCATTTCGCCGACCTTCTGCTGACTATACTTTCGTTGCCAGGCCTGCCGCACTGTGGGATGCTGTGAAGGCAGCGATGATTGCTACTTCCTGGCAAACTGTCTACCTGGTATTCGATGGCCTGGACGAGATGGCTTCAGACAACTTGGACAGCTTTATGAAGGGAATCAAACAATTGGTTGACTCGGTAGCACCACGGATAAAACCACGAAGAATAAAGCTCTTGGTGACAAGCCGTCCGATATCGAGCTTGGAGGTCATGCTGGATTGTCCATCCATCTCGGTACGAAGTGAAAGAGACGTGAAATTCTACGTCCAAGGAAAAGCCAATGAGTTATCGCGGAGGTTTGAATTGTCACACGATCTTCAGAGGGACATAGTCGAAAAGATCTGTGAAAAAGCCAGAGACATGTTTTTGTGGGCGGTCCTGGCATGGCAAGAGCTATGCCATGAAGCAAATAAGCCACAAGATTTCTCCCGGAATCTCGCTAAAGCTCAGAAGCTGCCAGCGTCACTGGAATTTCTGTACGAAGATATCATGAACCGCTTACCTGTCTCGTCCCGAGATCTTTCGCTCAAGATCTTGACCTGGATTGCACTTTCTGCAAGACCATTGCATTCATATGAGCTACGCTTTGCCATTGCAATGGACCGTGGGGAGACATATCACCAAACCATTAACTATATGATGTCCGAGCTTCAACTCAAAACCATATGTCCTGCCTTGATCAACCTTGATGATGATGGGTATGTACAATTTGTGCATTCATCAATCAAAGACTTTTTCCTCAGTTCCACCACACCTACCTCATACAGAGTCGACATAGTCAAATCCCATGCACATATCGCCACTCAATCAATGAAGATGTTGCACATGCCGGGCTTTTTTGCCAGGACAGTTCTATTTGACCTCTCCTCCCACAAAGTTCATGAGTACAAAGACACGTGGGACCTCCCTACTATCTACTATTTTCTACCGTACGCTGCAACAAATTGGCATTACCATGCTGGTCTGGCCGGTGAAGACTCGAGCATATGGAAAGCATTCAAGGATTTCTTGAATGCTCCAGAAAGCGTGAAGTTGTGGTTGATGCTAGCACTTTACGACGGTTCAATCGGAGCACAGAGGGGATGGTCGGAGGGCCAGAACTTTTGGCGAAATCTTACGGTGCCTCCATCAATTCATCTTGCAGTCTATCTCAGAAGTATGTTCCTTACATCAAAATTGGTGCAAGACGGTGCCGATATCAACGCCGTCAATCGAGGCTGGCGCAACGCAGCAAAGGAATACTGCCGGCCAGTAATGTCGGTTGGAGGGACAATTCTTGATAATGATCTTGACCCCCATACATTGGCCGCTCTTGTGCGGATGGGCGCAGATGTCAACGCATGCGCTGAGGACAATCTGAGTGTCATTACGAGAGCTATAAATGACCGCGACGAGGAACGTGTTTCGATGTTGCTGTCGGCCGCTAGAGAAGCAAGAATAACGTCAAACAGCCTCGGATATGTTCCAAGTGTTCTATTCGAAGCTTCAGGTATGACGATGCGCAAGGTTGTCAGCGAAATTTTGGACGATCCGAGAATCAATCCTTGCCACGATGGTGTCTTGCAAAAGGACACGAGTATCCTCGGGACCTGGTATGCTACACCATTGGAACACGCATGTCTCTTCGGGATGGAGTCAATTGCCAAAATCATGATGCACCACCCTCGTATGATTAAAGCTCAGCAAAGAATTGAAGCAGAGCGTCCTGGCCGCAGCCCGATATCGCTGGCCTTCCTTTGTACCTTGCAAGGTTGGAGTGAGCCAGCACTCTTCGCTCTTCAGAGCTTTCATATCGATCTATCAAAAGAAAGGGACGTCAATCGGAGGTCAATTTTAATCCATGCTGTTATGGAGGAGTGGCATGATGTCTTAGAGCATTGCATCAACCACTTGCCGCGGTCTAAGCTTAATATCCAAGATAAGAACGCTATGACGGCTTTGCATCACGCTGGGAAGGTCCGTAATTGGTATGCGGCGAAGAGACTGCTCGAGGCCGGCGCTGATGCCCATATGGAAGACAGTAACGGTCATACTCCAGCTCACACAGCCGCCGAGGCAGGATCTGACCGTGTGCTTCGTATCATGCTCGACAAGGGCATTGTGGACACGAATGTTGTTGATCACAATAAGAGGACTGTGTTGCATTACGTGGCAACATGGAATCTAAACGCTATTGCAGAGGCGCTCATTGAGATGGCACCAGATCAGGTGAAAGTCAAAGACCATCATGGCCGCACTCCGGTCCACCTCGCAGCGCTGTTCGGATCGACAGCAGTTCTCGCTCAAATGCTTGCGACAGGTTTAGTGGATGTGAATAGCCAAGATAATCTCGGCAGAACCGTTTTTCATTTGGCAGTAGAGGGCAAGGTTGAATCATGCATCGATGAACTTCTATCCCGACCGGAGACTGATCTGAACACCCTAGACCGCAGCTTGAAATCTCCTCTCGACATCACAACGACTTACAAACATCCACATGAAGCTGATACTATCAGAACTATCCTCGAAGCTGCCGGCTGTCGGCCGGGTTTGTGGCGTCCTCGACGGTCGTATGGAAATATCCTCGACTCGGCTCGTCAACCGGAGCAAGATTCGAATTACTTTGGTCGACACATGGACAAGCCTGCCCTTACACTTGTACGCTATGACCCCGACCTCGCGAGGGAAGCTGAAGAGGCTATGAATACAGATCACGAAGAAGGAATAAAAACCCGGACTATAAGAGATTCGTCTAGCGAGGAGACTTCCAAGAGGCGTACGCATCGACCTTCATCAAGAAGATCGCCATTACCAGAACATCGATCAGGACATGGAACACTTCACATGGACCCAGGGGAACATGCCGCCACGCAAACACAGGCTGATACTGATGGAGCTAGGCGAACTAAGCGTAGATTCATCAGGAAGCTTTTCAACCGTGGTGATGGCAACACTCCGTGATCGCAGTGGGATCAGACCGAGACCGTGATGAAGATCTCATTATGTAAGCACTACAAAGAAGCACGACCCACTTTCTGCATCTACTGGGCCCTACGAATACGAGTATTTTTGGCCCCTTGCTAGATTCACAGCCTAGTGACGTGGGAATCTTTAACCTTCAGATATTGTTGCTGCCTTGACCATATTGTCGCTGCCTGAAACTCTTGAAGTACAAGAATATCCCGGATGTCCCGAAATAGGTGATTCTACATTCTGCTCAACTTGCATCTTGAGCGCCTCCAGAATTGACAGCGTTCAAAATAATTGTGTACATTTCTATGACTGATGTCTCCAACCCTCATCTCCCCTTGCTTTATGATCGGATCGTCCTACCCCGTTGGGCTTCTCTCATATCAGCCCCATGGCCAAAAAATCCTCCTCAAAAAAGGGTCGGGCTGGCAAGGGAGGCGCAGAGCACGAATCAATACTCCGGCAAACACATGCTGCCGCTGCCGCCCTGAACGATGCCGCAAGGACCACAAGAGAGAACGAACCCCCATATGAGGCCGACCTCGTCACTTCCGAGGAAGACGAGTACGAAATTCCCCCTCCAGTTTACGGTGACATCTATGGCGAGATTCACGATGAAAAGGGGGGATCGGGCACCAGCGCCTATGTCGCCGAAGACGGCCGTGTCAATATTCGAATCAATCAATTGAACCGCCGCTTGTCCCAGCTTTTTACTCCTGCTTTACATCACCAAGTACAGAGTTCTCAAGATAGTCACCCGCTCCCTTCCCCTTATGTTCCTCCCTCCCTGGGAAGCGCAGAGGGAGTACCTCCACCTCCTCCGATGAACATCGTCATCCATGTTGTCGGCTCACGCGGAGACGTGCAACCCTTTGTTGCCTTGGGCAAAGTCTTGAAATCCACATATGGCCATCGTGTACGTCTGGCCACTCATTGCAACTTCAAGGACTTTGTATTGGAGAACGGCTTAGAGTTTTTTAACATCGGCGGCGATCCCTCTGCGCTGATGGCCTTCATGGTCAAGAATCCCAGCCTGATGCCTGGATTTCGCAGTCTGCTGAGTGGAGACGTCGGTCAGCGGAGGAGAGATGTTGCTGAGTACATCCAAGGCTGCTGGAGGTCATGTTTCGAAGCTGGTGATGGGATAAGATATGATGCTGATGACACTCCTGGAAAAGATTCTCACTCCGAGCCCACGTCAAGACCTTTCGTCGCTGATTGCATCATTGCCAATCCCCCTAGCTTTGCCCACATACACTGCGCAGAGAAGCTGGGTATTCCTCTCCACATCATGTTCACTATGCCATACTCTCCAACCCAAGCTTATCCGCATCCATTGGCGAATGTCCAATCCTCCAATGCCGACCCTCAACTCACTAACTACCTTAGCTATATTATGATTGAAGTCCTCTCCTGGCAAGGCTTAGGCGATATCATCAACCGCTTCCGTGCGAAGTGCCTCGGTCTAGACCCCATAAGCATGCTCTGGGCTCCTGGGGTCCTTCAGCGTCTCAATGTCCCTCACACCTATTGCTGGTCTCCGGCCCTGATACCCAAACCGAAAGATTGGGGCCCTCATATATCTATAGCAGGCTTTTCATTTCTGCACTCTAGCTACACCCCTGACCCGGATCTCCAGAGCTTTCTCGACGCCGGTCCGCCTCCCGTCTATATAGGATTTGGAAGTATCGTTCTCGATGATCCTGATGCAATGACGGAGCTCATCTTCGAGGCGGCGAGGAAGACTGGACAGCGGGTCCTACTATCCAAAGGATGGGGAGGGATGGGTGCGGACGCACTTGATGTCCCTGACGGTGTCTTTATACTTGGGAATGTACCGCATGACTGGCTTTTCAGGCACGTGTCCTGCGTCGTTCATCATGGAGGTGCAGGCACCACGGCGGCTGGGATTGCCGCGGGTCGACCGACTCTTGTCGTTCCATTCTTTGGAGATCAGCCGTTCTGGGGCGCCATGGTCGCGAGAGCAGGCGCCGGGCCCAGACCGATCCCTCATAAAAAACTCACGGCAGATAAATTAGCAAATGCCATCGACTTTTGTCTGAAGGCCGAAAGTCTAGAGCGCGCGAAAGAACTCGGAAGCAAGATCGCTGCAGAAAGAGGGAGCGACATGGCCGCGCAGTCATTTCACCAGCATCTTGAGCTTGACAGGCTCCGTTGCACCCTTGCACCGTCTCGAGCCGCTACATGGCGCATCAGACGAAGTCAGGTCAAGCTGAGCGCCTTTGCTGCATGTACCTTAGCGAATGCGAACCTGTTGGATTTCCATGACTTGAAGCCCTTTCGACCGCAAGAATATCGCACCGATGAAGGCCCTTTGGACCCAATATCCGGAGGTGGTGCGGCATGCTTCAGGGCCTTCAGCGGCATGGTGATGGGTTTGGCTGAGGTTCCCACGGAGACGATGAAAACCTGGAAATCTCCGACTGCATCCAATCGACAGCAGTCTAAAGATTCAGTGGCAACAGTCACAAAGACAGAGGAGGCTTCGCCAGCCTCATCAGAACTGAACCAGGCCAGCTCAAGTATGCAAGAACCTCTTCGCCATGTTAAGAGCCCATCCGAGCTCTCCGATACAGCGTCTCTCTCGCCGACCATTGCATCCAGCACTATCTCAGATCCATTTCAGGGCCAGTCGGATCCCAAAACAAACACAAAAAGTCGAAGTCGAAGTCGAAGCCATAGTCGAACTCCATCCAGCTATAGTAAGGACCACGATATGATGCGTCGAACTGGGCCGCACTCGAGCAAAGGCTTCGGGCGTTTCTTGACGACGGCAGTGCAGACCCCTATGGAAGTAACAATGGGTTTGACTAGAGGATTTCACAATATGCCTAAACTTTGGGGAGACGATACTGTACGTCCTCAGGAACGAGTCACTGATTTTAAGTCAGGGGCCGTGGCAGCAGGAAAGGAGTTTGGCTTCGGCTTTTATGATGGTGTTACTGGATTGATCACTCAGCCCTGGCACGGCGCCCAGAAAGAAGGTGCTATCGGCGTCGCCAAGGGAATAGGTAAAGGTCTTGGAGGGTTTGCAGCTAAGCCATTCGCAGGATTTTCTGGTCTCATGGGTTACACCATGAAAGGGGTGCAAAAAGAGGTGCAGAAGTTGTTCCGTGGTAATGTGCAAAATTACATTATCGCATCCAGGATGGCTCAAGGATACGAGGAGTGGCTACAGAGCTCCGAAATGGAGAAGGAAGATGTCCTCGTGCGATGGAAACTTATCCAGAAATACCTCAAGAAGAAACACAACACTGACGACATGGTGCGAGATGTCCTGGAAAAACAGCAACAAAGGAAAATCGAAGAGACACTTGCACGTGGAGATTACGCCACATCGGACTTCGCTCAGTCTTCTAGTGCAGATGCCCTGACATTAGATTCTGGGAGTGCCGCACTCTCCAGGGGTGTTTTGGGTTCCTCTAGAGCATCACGAACGTCGACTGAAGGCAGCGACCGAACGGGACTTTCAGATAAGGCCTTCTTCCGTGAAAACGCAGAGGTTGATGCCAGGACGGAGCGCTTTACTCGAAAACCCGTGCCTATGCGGGAGGTCACTCGAACACCCATGCCTCCGCTTCCGCCGCGGCGACAGGAAACTACAGATGATCAGTCAGACTACGAGAGTCTATGGTGGGGTGTTGCAGCCAGCGAAGACGAAGCCCAGCGACATAAAAGCGAAGAATTGGAATTTCAGAAACAGCTGCAACAAGTTATGGCACAGAGTATGCTGGAACAAAAGGGTAATGAGAGTGAGTGGCAGTCGGGTCCAAGTTTCCGCATCGAAGACGAAGAAGAGCTCACGCAGGCAATGCATGAACCTGGAAACATATCTGAGAACGTCCCCTCTATGGTCAGTGGTTCAGGAAGCATCCAGCGACCCTCGCCCTATGATCCAGGGCATCTTGGGGGCACCACCCAGGCCGAATTCGAGGAGCAACAACGGCAACAGCGTGGGGAGAAGACGGCACAAGAGAAGACGGAAGAAGAGATTGTGCTGGAGTACATCAAGAAACAAAGCCTGTTGGAGGTGTACCATCAAAATATGGGTAAGGGTAAGGGTCGTGCCACGCCAATAGAGGATAAGAGCCACGAAAATGGGGGACAATGATCCGTTTTTCATGGGACGATGGAATTTCGGGGCCGAAAGATACAAAACCGACGATCATCACATGTCGTCGTATCTCAGTGTATTGCGCTAGAAGCTGTCCGGAATGGATCGTAACATTCTAAGCAAGAGACATTGGAAATTTTGATGCACTCATGACTCGCTGATTACATGTAAGGCGCAGCGTAGTGCTCGCGACTCACTCTGCCCCTCCATCTGCCTCGCGCTTCACCTCCGTTGGTCACATCGAACTACGGCCATCAAGCGAGGGATTGAGTGGCCCCCGAGACCTCAGAGAAGCGAAGTTGGAGGGAGAGACTCAGCTCATGCATGCACGGTCTGCATAGGTGAGGTCGCTAGACCCTCATCGGGTCTAGCATTGTGAACCACCACTGCCTCGCATTTGTACTGCTGAGGTCTACCTTCCTGCGGCTGCCTACATCATCAGCCTTCTTATCGATGGTCTTTTATGTCCGTATCTTCTATCTATAGATATGGCTCATCGGGACATGGAAACAAATTGCTCTCATCAACACTGCTGACGTTTTCCAGAATCGGCTTTGCGATGGCCGACAGCGAGAGCAGCGGCACAACTTATCAGGCCGAGGAAAGCAACAATAATGCAGTGAGATCAATTTACTTTGCCCTGAACCACACAGTAACTAACACAGCATCTCTAGCTTTGTTCCTCATGCCAAAAACTTGATCTGTCAATTGGCAAGTTCATTATCAGTAAAAAGGGGTTGTCGCGCAACCAGGCAACAGTGACAGATTCATCGGGAGATTTAGCCAACACCAAAGACTTCCAATTGAGTTCAGGAACGTCCAGAAAGGTGTTTACGACATTCAACCAAGCTCAGGAGAAGCATACTAGCTGTCACTTCTGCAGCTTGATATGGCAGGCGATTACACGATATAGTCGACGACTTCCAGACGCCTCAACTGCGTTGTATCTTACATGGGAGGTCGACGGGCGACGGATTACCTCCACACATGAGTCTCTGGTCAATAGAACCAGGAGGATACGTCTATCATGGGGCGACAAAGATGGCAAGGATGAGAGTGTATATCTTGTCCTTGTCGCACCAACAGGCGGACGCAGGCCAAACTCGGATGCCTACGCTTCTTTCGCAACCGATACACACTTCCTTGGTCGCGGGCGAGTGGACTCTAGCGAGAAGCAGGCCTTGATGAAAAGTTGGATCGACCTGTGTGCAGAAAAACACGGTTTGAGGTGCCAGAAGAAGCATGGGACCAAGAGCGAGTTCAAGAAACTCATTGAGGGAACCTTCTTCGGCGTCATCGATGTCATTGACATGCAACTAAAGGCCCTGCCAATCGTTAACGGGGAACCAGAGCGGTTTGTGGCTTTGAGCTATGTCTGGGGCAAACGACCGAACGGGGAGTACACATACATCACAACGAGAAACAATGTCATGATCCATATACAGCACGGAGGGTTGGAGAAAGCATGGCATAGATTGCCCAAAACTATACAAGATGTTATTCTACTTGTGAGCCGACTCGGGGAGAGATATGTATGGATCGATTCCTTGTGCATCGTCCAAGACAGCCTCAGCTCATGGGAGCTCAATGCCAAAGCCATGCATCTTGTCTATGGCAATGCACACTTCACCATCTGTGCCGCAGACGGTGAAGCGACGACGGGGCTTCGGGCGGTGGCACCTGTCTTACGAACTCCCATCCATAGAGCGGCACCGGTTCCCGATCGTGTCACCACAGTCAGGTTCATGGAGAATACGACTGATCGACACCACTCGGACGATACTATACAGTCAGAGCCGATCAGTGCACAAATCCTCCCAGGAATCAGGCTCCTGGTGTCTCGACCACCAGAAGCGGTAATCCAGAATTCTCTATGGAATCAGCGTGGTTGGACTTTCCAAGAACGACTCCTCTCCCGCCGCTGTCTTATTTTCGCCGAAGGCCACGTGTACTTTCAATGTCGCTCTGCAGTTATGTCCCAGGACATTTTCAACGACGGAGGGACTACTGGGTGGTCACTGGACTGGACCAACTCCCCGCTCCGGACCCTGGGAGAGTTACGGCGTCGAGCCTTTTGGTTTTACATGACATGCGTCAGACTATATACAGGACGTGAACTGACGAAACCGAAAGACGTTCTTACCGCATTCCAAGGCACGTCCTGGCTCTTGCAGCAGAACTTGAACGCGCCTCTATTCTATGGTCTTCCTGTATCACATTTCGATCTTGCACTTCTCTGGATGCCTCTAGCTGTGCTTGATCGAAGGAGACAGAAAGGACTGCACCGGCCTAGCAACGGACTATGCAGCCAAGATGAGCTGGGAAATTGCAGTTGCAAGATTGAAGAGGAGGGCTATGATGGCAAAGAGTTTCCCAGTTGGTCCTGGTGTGGCTGGGTTGGTGGGAAAGCGGGCTACCAGACCGAGATGATTGAAGGATGTCTGTTGAATGTGAGGGACTGGCTCAAGCACCATACCTGGATTCTATGGTATGTTCGGGACCACGAGGGAAACCTCAGACCCCTTTGGGACAAGAAGGCCTTTGAAAAAGATGTAAGCGAAGACGTAAGCTGGAGAGGATACGCTGGAAGGGACAAGAGCCCAGGTCAATACCTCGCTAGAAAGCGAAGCAGGCTACGAAGATCCCGGGGTCCATCATCGCTAACTAGCTTGGTACCTGAAATCCAAGAAGTCAGACTTGATGGTCCAGGACACAACTATGTGCCAACATATCCAAACGAGTACCCGCCTCGAGGACCACAGCCGCCGTATTATGCACCACCACCGCCACCAAATATGATGTATCCACCGAACAGCGGTCAGCCGTATTACCCTCCTCCACCAGGGCATCCTCCGATGCCAGCTCCCTATGGTCCCTATCCCCACGCGCCTCAACTGGCGCCAACAGATATCAAGCCGGCTTATATACTGAAAGGCGGGTCCAAATCCCGAAGTCGACATAAAAACGCTGACCGAGAATGGGTCAAACGAGGAAACATGGCCTATCTACGAAGGCTTCCGACCGGTTACTACGACAACCTCGTGGACGAAGAGGATCTGAGTGAGCGCCCAAGGGAGCCATATGTGGCGGAAGGAGGATCTCGAGTCCCATCATACTTGCCCCAGCATGGAGTAAGTCTAGCTGCGGGCCTGCCTCGAAGTCCATACCAACGTCAGGTGCGTGAACCGATCACATCTCGGAGGAGGGACGTCGTGAGCTCAGGAGCCAGCTCTGATGGTAACGGTGAGGCTCTTGAAGACCGAAAAAGCAGCAGTAGTACTACTGGGTCTGGATGTGACTCCGACACATCCGAGAAAAGCTCAAACAGCCAAGTCTCCATCGGCGAGTTCATCCCTGTCAACGATGCCACTCGCACTGATCCAGCGGGGTACTCGGAAGATCGAACAGTGAGTGACTCAAGTGACATTGACAGCGACTTGTATGGCCGCAGCAGGCGTAGCCGACGTCATCATCACCGCCGCGGAAGAGGAGGCTCTTCTCGAAAGGAAGACGCCTATGGTAGGCCGGTGCGAAAGGGCCTCAAACGAGGGACCGAATTTACTGGCATTCTCCCCGACAATCCGTTTGGGATTATCCGTGGCCCCTTCCCCAAAGACCAAAAGGACCAGATCCGCGCCATGCCGATCTTACAATTTTGGACCTGGAGGACCGAGTTGTTTGTGAAGGTTCGTGGCGATCAAGAAGGCCAGACGTCGACGTCGACGTCGATGGACAACCAACGATGTCAATGCGACATCGTCGACAAAGCCGGGGACTGGTGCGGGTCCATCGTCCTCCCGCGAGACTGGATCGCAGAGAGACAGGGCGTTCCACTGTTGTTCATCGCCACCTCGGACGCCAAATCTCTGACCGAGGAAGAGTGTCCGGTGTGGAATTATTACATCCCCAAGGAGAAAGACGAGTCCGAGTGGGACTTGTATTACGTCTTGCTTCTAAACAGGAACCGGGAGAGGGCGCTCTGGGAACGTGTCGGGTTGGGTAAAGTCTTTCAGGCCGCGTTTGGTGATGCGGTTTGGGATGAGATTAAGCTTGGGTGATGAATGATGAGAGAAGAGGAAAAGAATGAAAACAAATGCAAGTACTCTTATTGGTATGAATCAATCTAGTTTAAATCTCCAGCACCCAGCTCCAGAGCTTCGAATCGCTGCTCAATCCATGTCCCAAGTTGGCTGTGTATCGCATTCTGGTCCTTTCCATGGCCTGAGTTGAAATAGCTGAAAGACGTATTTGTTAGAAACCCGAGGCCATTCAACATGTTCCCAGCCTGAGAATCTGACTTCGACTCTGACTCTCTGTTCGTCCAAAACAAAAAAGACCGAAACCTGTCTAATGTCCGACAACCTCGTTTCCTAATTAACTGCCTGGAGTTCTGCTGAACCTTGGTAACAAATGTTGTCAAAGTGTTTCCACCTGGCCTCTTGCCCGTACCTCGCAACGATGAGGCTTCTGACTCGGTCGATTTTAGGTTCCAGCGTCTCGCCCACGGCGTCCTTGATTCGATAATCCTGCCATTCCAGCAAAGTCCCACGAGTCCAGCGCTCCCAGTTCTTGGAGTCATCGTCGCCGTGGACGGACCGGTGGACCCAATCCAATTTCGCCTCTTGGAATCTGTATTCCGTTCCGTACGGGGCAAATTCCCACGCCAGGTTACAAAGGAGCTTGATGAGCTCGTTCTCAGACCGTATGGTGGAAGTAGTAGTGGCACTGGTAGAAGTAGAAGGCATCAACCTCGTCATCGTCGTCGTCGTCGTTGTCGTCGTCGTCGAAGTGACGGCCGGCGAAAGCAACAACGACAACTCCGCCTTGCGCAAGCCGAGTCTAAGCCGGTACTCGTCACCAGCAATGATTCTGTTGGCGAGGTCGTTGAGACGTTGGGCCTCTTGCAGGTCCTTGAGATCACGTTCGGCAACAAGAGCGTGGCCACCGTTGATCTCGATGGCGGTTTTCATGGTCGCCAGACGAAATAGACACCAGTTCAATCTGGCGGATTGGACGGGTCCTGCTGCGGCCAAAATCATCTCTTTGACCTTTTTGAACTCATCTCGGACCTGGACCGTGGTTTCTCGCAGTTCTTCTTCTAGTGATAGGTCTTCAAACATTCTTTCGGCTTTGTTGAACGCCGCCTGGATTCGTTGATCTGCGGTTTGAAATCGACGTGCCCGCTCTCCAGGATCTCGGCCGGGTTTGAACATGTCCCAGATCTTTTGCTCCAGGTTGGTCAGCTTTTGTGGTGGCGATGGTGGATGACTGGTGTGTTTCTCGCCGTCGTCACGGTCACCATCATTGTCAGGAGAGGTTTTTGACGGAGAGATACAGCTCAACTCAAAATCTCCTAGCCGGACAGTCTTGACGAGTGGGCCGATGGATTCACGGATGCTCGTCGAAATGTAATCGAGAAAGACCTTTTCGTTTGGAAACCCCCACAGCTTCTGGGCGAGACCGGGGACAAACTCTAGTTCGAACGAGAATTGTCCTTGTGTGGTTGGGTTCGAGCGCCATTGGTAACTGTGATACTCTTCGGCCGTAAACATCCATGATTCGCAGTACAGGCGAAAGTCGAGGATGGAGATGAAGCTGTTGTAACCCTTTTTCTCGTGTGGGTCGGTCGATTTGACAGTCAATATCGGCTTGATTTCAGAGGAGAAGGTGGTGGACAGTGACGAACGTGACCGAGCCGGCTGCGGCAACTTCCACGTCGGAATGCGACCTGTTCTCGGTCGAAAGTTGGGCACGGCGACAAAGGAATTTTCCCGCAGAACGATCGAGCCTTCCGTCAGGAGTTGTTTGCAAGTTCTGAGGACGGCCGTGTTCATGCTGTAACTAACATCGTGCTTAGGGCGAGTGTAGAAGTTCTTTTCGAATTTCCGAGTGACGGTTCGTACTTGGTCCATGCCCAGTAGGTAACGCAGGATGACGCGTCGAACGTCGAATGGAAGGTCGAGAAAGGCACAAGGAACTGGATCCTCTACCACCGGGGTCACAGCAAGACTGTTTTCTTCTTCTCCCGCCACAAGAGGCTCAGGGGAGGACAGGGGCGGTAGGGTCTTCTGTTGTCTCTTTTCTTTGGCTCTCTGTCGTTCCAACATTCGCCGATGAATGATCTTCGCGATCGGGTCCATTGTTTTTGGGTCCATGATGGTGTTTAGATTGGCGTCTGTCTCTTGAACTATCAAATCAGGAGTTCCGCGAAGGTTCTCTTCCTCTCTTTTGGTCTTTGGAAAATTGAAAAGAAGAAATTTGGACTTTGGCCATGAATTTGGCGTTTAATCTTGGAGATGTCTGCCTGATGCTAATAGATCCACCATGTTAATAGTAATGTTTCTCGTTATGCACCAGGAGCTTCTTGTTTGTTGTCTTTGTTTTTGTCTTTGTTTGTATCTCGAGCGAATTGACTTGACTATAAAGGGTCGTACTCGTAACGCCACAGATTAGGGGGAAGAGACAAAGAGACCACGGCACTGCCCATAGTCAACACAACAACAAACACACCAGTTACTCCATTTTGGATAATGGGCGTTGACAACTGTTCGTGTTCCAGGAACATGTAGGTAGTTAACTATTCAAGCGGATCCAGCTTGTCCTGTATTCAGGAAGAGATCGCGTAAAATGTAGGCAGATACAATTGCCTCGCTGTTCCGTTCTTGTCTCTTTTCGGATGGCGGCGATTTCATTACAAGTGCAAATACCTGAATAAACGTGCGTGACAATAACATTATGCTAGAGTCGTGTGCTTCTAAGGACCACTCATGAAAATGGCTCCTTTCCTGACTTGTTTCGCAATGGTCTCTGCTGCGCCGTCCGTAGACTTCAGGTCGACGGGCAGGCGAACCAAGGCGCATACCCTCAGGAACTGTTCGCGGATCCATTCCTGCTGACCTGACCGGAGATAGCTCGCCACTGTCCTTCCGCCGTGGTCATCGGAGAACAAGGTGAGCAAGTTACTCAGAGGGCTCACGATATGCCATGCACCGTAGGCAACCATGTGGCGGTGGTGTTCGTCCCCAGACATGGGACTGTGATGATCCCGTGTGGTGATTCTCGTGTCATCTGGTGTCAGTAAGTGGTAGCTAGGAAACAGGATCTCCGGGTCTGTAAAATCACTGAGTCTGGATTGTTTGTAGCGATTGCCGAGATAGAAGGGCACGCTGTGGCAGATGCTGTCCACCAGATCCTGGATGTGGTCACCTTGAGTGGCCCTTTCCATGTTCGTCGGCACAATCCATTCCTCGCCTGCAGACTCGTCCCGTGGCGAGGTCGAGATATACTGTGTTGCGATGACGGTTATCTTAAGGAGTAAGAGGCGGTGGAATCTCCACAAGTTCCACAAGGTCGCAATCTGACACGATGGATAGACGTCACAAGTGGACCGATATGCTGTGATCGACGGACTAAAGTCTTGACCACTCGTGAGCCTGACCGGCCGCCAACGATCGGGCACATCCCGCGCCCAAGACCACGGAAGCTCTTCAATTTGTCCCGCTTCTGTGATCCACGCTCTGCACTGATGCTCCAGTAAAGCACCAGAAGTGGTTTTTCGTGATAGTTCGCGCTCGTAGTCTGCTTGCAGCTCGGCCACGGAGGCTCCTATCCAGTCCAAGGTCGAGCTAAAGTTACCTGGCACCAGAAATGAGATATGTGGACTGTTCACATAGGAATAAGCATTAGGGTGGATCGACCGTTTTTGCCGCAACGCCGACGAGATTTCGCTGTGAAGCACGAAACCCTTCACATACGTGCTAGCAAGGCCATCTAGGCTGTCCCATCCCGCGATCGGCAGCAAGGCCAACGCACCTTGATGGTGAACAGGTATTGCTTGGCGGGAATCATAGACGGCGCTGATGCTCTCGTAGAGATGTAGGGCCAGAACCGCGAGTGCTGTAGCAGGCCTGCAACGGTCCTCTGGGCGCTTGAGAGCTGAACGAAGAGACGCGACGGCCTCGGTATACGGCTCCAAATGAGGTTTAAGTTGGAGGGTGTCATCGTTGCGCCATATGGAGAAGACCCTCGCGGCCACAGCCGAGACAGCCAGTGAAAGCGGCGAGTCAGGAGACTGAGAAGTGGAAATAGGGATCAAGATCTCGTAAAAGCCGCGGGAGACAGCGAGGTTGCGGCCCAGACCAGCGTAATGCACAAGGAAGAAAGGCACGGCGACGTCGGCTCCCCTAAGCAGAGACCGGGAGGGTTCTCCTGCGGCACCTGACGAAGGCTGCGCCAGCGCACGCCGTCCCTCGGAGGTTTCTAGGGTTGTTGCAGAAGAAGCAAACTTGTGGTTTTGATCCCTGAAGATGTATTGCTTGGTGTATCCTCCACAATCAACACCAAGACTGCGGCACTGTGAACAAGCTGGCCTCGCTTCGTCGCACTTGACGCGTCGTCTCTTACACGTAAGACAACGTCCTGATCGGCCATAATTGGGCATGTCTTGCGATGGGATGATCAATAAGGCCCATTGGATCGCAAAGCAGGCACCACATACGGATTCCAGCCTTCTGCGAATGCTTTCTTTTATTATCTTCCTCCTCCCCGCAGGAATCTCAGTTCAGCCTCGGCGTTAAGTCTGACTCTGTCTGGCTCCAATATAAGTGGGTTTGTCCCCGCAATATGGAGAACAGATATTCAGGCTCTCCGTCGCAAAAATGGTCCAGGATGCGGTTTAGCGGCATTATGGATGATCTACATGCAATAGCATCACTAAATACACAAATCGCAAAAGAACGTCTCCATACTGTCTATCAGGCAATCACAATTCATGGTGAGAGTGACGCCATTGCCTAGCTAGGCTTCCCATGGAATGGCCATCTTCTCCGAGGGAGTCGACGGAATGGAACTACAAGTAAGAGCCGAAAGACGCACATCAATTGAACAAGATGATATATCTAGGTAAGTCTGTCTCATTCCCATCGGTTTCTAGACGTGACTACTGCATATCTCATTTTTCACGAAGTGTCAACCTCTCTCAGCAGCAATGAAATTCATATCTCTTTCTGTCGCCCAGCTTCTGGCTGCGGTCGTATGCCTACAAACCGCATCCGGGGCGAGCAACTCTTCCTCCTCCTCGTCCAAGGCGCCGACCTTGCCGCTGAGCACCGACTCGACTTTCAATTTTGATTTCTTGATTCCACTGGGCCTGGCCCTCACTGGAGGGTCAGACATCAGCCCGGTGCTGGGCGTCGCCAACGTAGTCGAGCCCGGCAACATGACATCGTATTACGAAGAGTTCTACAAGCTGGCCAATTACACGAAGAAACAGGCCGAGGATCCGGAGAATGCGTACGACCCGATCAACGTCCGGGACACCTGGTTCTCGACGGCCAACTACTTCCGCCGCGCCGACTTCCTCATCCACCAGAACTGGAGCAACCCGGAGATCATGACCCTGTGGGCAGAACAGCTCAGCGCCTTCGACAAGGCCATCGCGGCGCTGCCCGTCCCCGGGGTACGGGTTCGCATTCCGGCCAGGAGCCGAAACTTCACCATCGAAGCCATCTGGTACGGGGCGGCAGACGCAAACTCGACGGCCAAACTGCCCACCCTCGTGGTCGGCAACGGCTACGACGCGGCGCAGGAGGACTCGTACCACAACTTTTGTGCACCCGCCGTGCTCCGGGGCTGGAATTGCATCACGTACGAAGGGCCCGGGCAGAACACGGTGCGCCGGTACCAGGACGTCGGCTTCATCCCTCAGTGGGAGGACGTCGGGATCCCCGTGGTCGACTGGCTCTACCAGAACAAGGCGGACGTGATCGACAAGGATCGCCTCGTCATCCTCGGCAACTCGTTCGGGACCCTTCTCAACCTGCGTGTGGCGGCCTATGAACCTCGCATCAAGGCCGTGGTCGGCATCGACGGCATCTGGGATTTTTTCTCGAGCGCCATAGCTCCCGTTCCCTCCGACCTCGTCCCCCTCTTCGAAGCGGGCCAGAAACAAGAGTTTGACAGCAAGCTGCTCGAGCTGCGGGACACCAACCAGCTCTCCACCATGGCCGCCTGGGGCCTCGACCAGGGCCTGTGGTCCTTTTACACGCACTCGCCCTTTGACTTCCTGACCATGGCCAAGGAGTACAAGGTCAGCGATTTCGTCAAAAACATCACGGTCCCGGTCTTCATCGGCAACGGCGAGTACGACACTTTCGTCACGGGTCAACCACAAATGCTGAAGCAGGCCCTGGGCTCTCTGGGCACGCTCCACGACTTCAACGGTACCGCCGGCTACCACTGTCAGACCGGCGCCTCGCAGGAGATGGTGAGAGCCTTTTTTGCATGGTTGAACAAGACTCTCTAGGGAGGTTTAGTATTAGTTCTTCAGCCCACAGTAATTCCTTTCTGAACGAAATATATAATACATGCAAAGACGGAAACGCAACAGCTTTGTATAGCTGCGGAGGACTTGATAATTGAGAAAACAAACCTCATATTGACCTCGTTGTACAGTCAAGTCAGCACTCACTTTGTCAAAGGCTCATTTTCATCCATGAATGAAGGAAATCGAGTTTCAAGATCCTACGAACATTATTGACTAGATCCTGAACAGCCAATGGCCACTTGATATCTAATCCGAATCGACCAAGTTGTTAGGCTGACAGAGTCCCAATATTGACAGGGATTAAGTGTTGTTCCCACACTTCTTAAGTGAGGGGATTTTGGCCCTTTTGATAAAGTACAAAGTACGGAGTACTTTGGTTAGCAAGGTCTAAGCCCCCACAGAGAATGAACAACATTCTTTGGATTCATAGTTCACCAACATACTTCAACATCTACCCAACAACAGCCCCATATGCCCTTACATCCCTAATTGAATCCCTTCGATCAGCAAAGCGTCACGACGAAAACTCAATATACACACGGAGGGACATCGCTTCAACGAACCACTATAAAATCCAGGATATGATAGCTCCCTACCTCCACAAAGGGGAAAGAAAAACCCGCATATTAAATTCAGTTGTCAATAAACATTACCATATCGACGGGAAGAGAGGTAAATCTCCGGGGACGACTTGTCAGAGCAAAATGGAGGTTCCAGTGCCAATCCACACCCCTCTGAAAGATGGCGAAGTCAGGCTCGTGACTTTGGCTCAGGGGAAATTCGACGACGACATCGAATGTTCGCTAAGCACGCATCTTCTCGAACGAGACCCAACGTACGAAGCATTGTCGTGGTACTGGGGTACTCCCAATCCGGGCACAGATCCGACGATATCACTCTGTGGTCAGACATTCTCCGTCCCCGTGAATCTCGAGAGGGCGCTGCGATATCTCCGTGCCGAGGACAAGAGCTTGCCAAAGCGACTTTCAGGTGGCTCAAAGTCTTAAACAAGCCACAGACATTGGCGACTACCAGTCAAGCCATGCTGCTGCAGGATGGTGTGAAGTGCGTCGAGTTCCCGAGTTTATACGAACATCGCTATCTCCGTACGACTGATACTATGGAAATTCCCGAAAGGTTAGATCTGTTGAAACTTCAACGAATCACTCACTCCCGTGAATCGTCGGATCCCCGCGACAAGATCTATGCGTTGCAAAGCGTAGATGACGTCGGCGACATCATTGTCACGGTGGACTATACCAAAACAGTCGAGGCCGTGTATGCAGACTTCGCCGTCCGGTGTCTCGAGACTCAACAGTCTCTTGAGATACTCACTTACGCTGGAATCGGCTGCGCGCTCCTCTCACGGACGGATGCGCTCGATACGCCATCTTGGGTCCCTGACTTCAGGGCGTCGGCATTCCAAAGCGGACATTTCTACCAGGGAATGACCGGAGCAGATAGCCGGGAGACTGCCAGTTGTAATCTGCATGCAAATGGACGTTACCTGCACTGCACTGGCATTCTGTACGATGTTCTGACGGCACCCACGGCACTCAACATACGCGATTGCTTCGAGACCGGCTCTCGAACGAATTCAGCGAGCAACAGTTCTTTGCGAGATCAATGTCCGCCTGCATCTTATCCAACGGGAGTTTCGAGGATTGAAGCTTTTTTTAGGACCACCGTTTCTGATGATGGCTTGGTTGGTGTTCCGTTAGAAAGCGAACACTGCAGCTTCGTCGACAGTGCCTTTGGTTTCATGTACCTGTACGGTACACAAGCGCTTGGTGGGCTTTTTGACGACTCGCGGAACATTGACAGCATCTTGCACTCATTCGAATCCAATAGGGAGATTAGATCGTATGCGATATGTTTCAACTCGTGGGTGGACAAGCTACGCTCCTTGGTGCCAGAGCCGAGACCGTCCTGCGACGAGTTTCATGCGCTGGAAGATCCGCAAAACACTAGACGGTCAAACAGGACTAAAATCCCATGGCCGGCCTCTTATACTTTGCACGATCTAGATGACCCCACAGGCTGGGCGCATATCCTACAATATGCTCGGCAAGCCGCGGGCAGAACTGATAATCGTTCTTTCTTCGCCTCCTCAAAGGGCTACATGGGTCTCGGCCCACTCCATGCTCGAGAAGGAGACCAGCTCTGCATTATCTTTGGCTGCTCGATGCCATGATATTAAGACCGGACACGAACGGGTATCACCAGGTCGTAGGGCCGTGCGATGTTTACGGCCTGATGCAGGGAGAGGCAGTGGACGAGATGAAGCAGAGTAATGGGAAGTTGCAAGAAACTATTTTCAAACTAAAATGAGTTCAGTGTTACATTTCTAGTCAACGGAGGAAATAGAAAGCGTCACGACGACGAAAGCACAACAGAACGTCGAGCGATTTATTGTGGTATGGCCAACTCGGAGGACGGAAGAGAAGAGACGGAGCCTTTGGAACGCAAAGATATGAGCAACGGAGCAGGAATAGGAACAGGAGTGTTTCCAACAGGCTCTACTCCGGACTAGGCGTCCACCGCCTGGCTGAACCGGGTGATAATACCTTGATGGCTGAGGCCATGAGAGATCACAACAGTCTCTCCTCCAGAGAGAGGCAGGAGCTCAACGAGAAATTACGTCTCATAAAGAACATAGATCAGAACGGTCACTGGTGGTCCAGAGTCAAAGAGCCGCTTTCCGCAATCCTGAGCCTCGTCGTTGCGACGGGGAAGGTACTAGTCGCACTCAAGGCCACCGCTGGTGGAATCTTCGTTCAATACAAGGTTGCGGGGATGAGCTTCAACCTTGCAGGGGGAGCGTTCAAGACGTCTGCGTTGCTCACGGCGACTGGTCCTGCCGCCCTCGTTGGGGCAGGCGTCGCTGCGGCCGTGTATTTTATTCCCTGGTTCACGGTGTTCTCGTGGATCCAAGGGTTCTTCTCGTCAATTTGGGACACCATACGCAGATGGGTCGAAAACTTCCAACGATTTTTGTCGAGCCTCGCCGCCGAGTCAGAGAATGTGCAACCCCAGAGGCGGCAGAGGCGTCGTAACTCTGGCCGGAGATCGGTGCCAATGACATTCTCACATGGTTAGAATAGGTTCTCCTTGGCCGGGCAAGGATACATCTTTGGTCACCTTTTGCACGACTGGCTCGTTTCTAGATGTCCAGAAATCGGATCTGCATGTTGGCTTTGGATTAGGCCTTCGGACAGATTGCATACTTGCCGGGAGCATGGGATGCATTCTTAGACATGGCTGCATCGAATCCAAGATTCGCCGGTGGATGGTTGCTTGATAGGTAGCTGACAGTGGCGTATGTATGGGCATTTAATTACATTCGTAGTTATCGACAGGCTTGGATGCCAGCCTTGTCACGTATGATTTAGCAGGTATTATATAAGCCATCTACATTCCAGCCTTGTCAGCAATCAATGCGCGATAACCTACGAAAACAACTCTGCACAGCAGCAGGCATATTGCTATCCAACTGCTAATCGTGCAGAATTCATGATCCCTGTTAGGTGCAGGCTAGTTCGTAGTCGCAAGTTACCTACAATGGTCTGAGCGAGTATCCGTTCGATAGGCTGGCTAATATCTTCAATGAAAGTCTTCGTTTGAGTCGTCCCGCGGAATACACCTTTGTCCAATATGACATCTCAAAAAGGACTCTGGGTCTTCTTCTGCGATTATCTTGACACCGGGTCTTCGGAGATGTATGTACATACATGACGATCAAGAAGAATCAAGAGCATGGTAGAACCTGAACCAGTCATTGTTCATGGCAAGGACTCGCCATATTACAGCCTACTCACCACACATGTCGTCTTGCTTCAATCACTCACAGAAGACAGAATCACTTGGAGTCGGAAACCTCTTCAAGCTCATGGGCATGGGACTGAGAGCAGTCTCCTTCCTGCAGCCCCTTATTGCGAGGTGGGGGTCCTTGAACGTGAGTTCGTGCTGACGCAGGGTATGTTTCAAGGCCACGAACCAAGAACACATCGTCTGCGACGGCTTGTGCATGCCTGCATCCGAACTATTATTCCCATATATTCTCGTTCCACCACAACATCACCGGCGGATATGGCGTTATCGCCGAATGCTTTTGTTTGGGGCGCGAATATCAAATAGGAGTTGCTGTGCTTATGCAAGCGAGGATGAGGCGATGTGGTTTGCAGTGGTCGCCTGTGGCAAGGGGTGGTTGACCGTGTTTTCGGGTTCAGGCTGCTCAAGTCGATGCAAGATTTAGTCAAGGTCGATAAGCGATTGGCGAAGGTGTTGTTGAACAACTGAGATTGCAACCGAATTGGGAGAGGGATTTCCAATATTACTGATTATTGTGCATCTTGATCCCATATTGGGATGTTTTAGGTGCTTTGCTACTCATGCATGTACATATGTCTCACCATGTCCACAACAAGCTGCAGAAGGATCGGGAGGATCAGCCAAGAGGATCCGTTCGCTCGATTCCGAGCGGTGAGCTGGAGTTCATCAACGCTCGCATCTCAACTCCACCAGATCCAGGTTCAAGGCAGTATTATTGCTAGACATTCTACGTAAAGGTGCCAGGGTTGGACAAGACCGGGGAGATTATCAAGCCGCAAACGATTGTGGAAGAGCGAGTTTGAAGTCGTTCGTTCGGGAGTCTGCCAATGAATGCCCGCGCCCATGGGCTCCTACAGGTCACAGGATGTACGATCAAAGCAGGCCAGACTGTTGATCTCCTGAGACGATCCGAAATTCCTTGTCAAAGATACTTGTGCCCATCGACCACCGACCATCTGCATGCAAGAGTGGTTGCATATATCTTGCAGGCGTGCGCTGTTTCGAGCCGCCAAGTGACTCGGTGCCTCTCCGGACAGATGACAGACTGGCCTAAATGAGCTGATCAACGAACCATCAACAGAACTACATAAGCGAAGCAGGGATGAATGTGCGTAATTTAGTCGTCGCGAAAGATCAATCCGGTGCTCGTAAGCCTCTATCTGCGAGCTCGTGATCAACCAGGGTTACCATGCAACTGGAATCTACGCCTCACGTGGAGTATCCTGTACATACGACTGTCGATTAAAGTCTCATGGAAGATCACGACGACGGAATGGCACAGGAGATGCAATTCCACGGCACCTGGATCAATCACCCTCTGGGCGTTGTTCTTGATGTGTTTTGCTTATGAGGTATCTGCAAGATGATCTCCCAAGTCTTACCTCGGGTACACATGAAGCCAGCTGACTTCTTGCCCGCTTCGAATTGCTTTGGGTGCTCATTCGTATTCATTCGTCCTTGAACCCCTCTTGAAAAGCAAAGGGGCACAACCAACAAGTAGGGCGACTACTCCCTATCTGGAGCATGCTTGATTTGGGGGATCCGAATGTTGTGAGAGAAAAGAATGGCATGATGGAAGCAGATTGGTGGCCGAGGGACGAGGGGAAGATGTTCGGATGAGTGACCGAAGTCTTTAGACATTTGTACCAAGATCCAAAGAGGTGATCACAGCGCAGATCTCACTAGCCCCTGGTCCATCTTCATGCAGCTAGGGAAACATGTCAGATGATAGTTGATCGCGAAGAGGCAAAAACAGGAGGGCTGGCATTTTTTAACACCAACGCAGGGTTGACAGGTGGTCAAGGAATCAGACAGAGTACGATTCCCCGCCATCACTGTGCGCCAATCTTTGCCCCCGAGAGAAGTGCCAAAGATAGCTACGAGCATGACCGAAGTACCGTACCAGACTTCAAACGGCCCAGAGAAGACAGTGAAGGGAGAAAGACTATGCCATACTGACTTCTATCATCCAACTGGCACAGACAGATTTCTCCAGACCCCGGAGCGCGCGGACCGTGGTCGCCTATCACCTGAGTGTTGTACGGAGTATGGAGTATTCTATGACTGTGCCTTGCCTGCAAACGCGAGGATGCGTAGAGGATCCTCTGATGGGGAAAGGTCCTAGGCTCGTGTAGTTAGGCTAGATGAGCCTACAAGGGCCCGTGAAGAGCAGCTTGGAGAGCCATGCAGCCCCCATCTCCGTCTCTGTACGGATACCAATAGTGGCCTAAAAAGCCCAGCTGCGTTGCCCCCATTTGATGAGAAACAAGCGTCCTCCATCAAAACTCGCCATTCCGCCCCCACCACTCGTACCTAGAAACACGCAAATCGTCATTCTTTTGCCGTCGCCTCTTCCAAGTCGCCTTTACTCACCCTTCGATCCAAGACAGAGAATTACTGTCCGCATCATCGTCCTCCGCCCACGGGTGGTTTTCCATCGTGGTCGTAAACATTGTCCTCACCCATCGCTTCACAGGCATCTCTACATTCAAAGAATTTCCAACCTAGGAGTATCAGGCTCGCAAGACCGATGATAAGCCAGCTCGACCGCTTGCTCGGACACCACACATTCAAAACTTCCTGACTCGCTTGGGATCTCGTATTCAGAAAGACGCATCTCGTGCTGGTCAAGGGTCATTGCATAGTAGCGAGACGACAAGTTTTAGCGAAAGGCCTAAATAAGCCACCACAGCTTGCTCCAGTGCAAGTTCGATGCCACTTTGAGACCTTCACCTCCACACCGCAGCAGGGATGACAGCCACCGATATGAAAGCACCCACCTACACCAATGAGGTCGACGACAAGCTAGATGGAGGGTCGAAATGACATGCAGCATCATCCCTCAATGGGAACTAATGAGGTTTAATGACCCTGGATTTGACATCACTACTGTACAGGACAGAGCAGCGCCTACTGTACGCAGCTGCGGTTTTGTTTACTGTGGAACAGGCTCTCCCTCCACAACCCCCTTCAGCTTCAAAGGGTTCCTCTCTCCAGAACGCCACCACAGACACTATGTCCAAATAATGATTACGTCTCATCGCCGTTTGTCGCGTTGAATGGAGTGCGGCCTCGCCCTTGCGTCCGTCCGTTCCGACTCCATGCCGGTCGTGGCTGAGGATGAGTTGTACCTCCTGGTCGACTCTCAATTTGATCACGGTCACAACTCCCCACAATTTACCCACTGAGGCTTCGATAGACTCAACGAACTTCGGATATTCTTCTCACGACCCCGGATCTCGTAGACACATTGCACTGTGTTATCTACCCTCACAGACTTCGTGTTGAGGGTGTATACGTGCTGTTGCTGGGTTTGCAAAGCGGGAAAACGGTATGGCTGAGGAGCAACTCAAAGGGAACCGCTCTGTCGACCGAAGTCAGACCCTTATGAGCCATCTCTAGCAGCAACCTTATTGCTGCAGCGGAAACGCGCAGTGACCTCATGCCCTTCTTTCGGTGTCTGTGGGCGGCCCTCCTGTCAAAAAAATTGCACCAGCACATTTTGGTATCCGTTCTGCCTTGGATTAAACACCCTTGCTTGGGCCATCTTTTCATGGCACACAAGTATCTGACAGGAGCTGTCAACCGCGAGTTATGCAGGCCGTGTCCTTGTTCCATATTCTCCGCCGTTCTTTGACTACGAACTACCAGCCTTCCACTACTGCATGCGTGCTCTATCAGCGGACGCCGTGCTCTGCCCCTTCTTGCGACGCTTCTGATTCCCCTCTTTCTATGCAATCCGTATCTCTGACAGCTGGCATGTGCTGCCAACCGGCATAAAGCAGGAATGCTCCCCGTCAAGGGTCCCTGGTCAATGCGTTCAATCTGAGTTAATTCATCTGTGGGCATATACCAGCATTCCCCTTTGGATCCTCTGCGACGATCCTCTTCACTTGTATCACCCCAGATCAATGCAGCGATTTTGAAATCTGCACAGCGACAGCTACACTTTGCTCGTGCTCGTTCGCAAGTCTTCCCTGCCTGACAGGGTCGACGACCTTTATCTACCGCGATGGTCAGCTCTTCAACAGCAGGACCGCGCAATGGTCCCCTCGGCGCATTCGCGGACAAGAGTCTACCAGACCTCCCAGGCTCTTTCCTCTCGAGTCCACAACCTCTTACCGACGAAGATGGATCATGTCCTAGTCCTACAGTACACGTGTATAGGGGCGCTCACAAAAGCCCTCGTCAACCTCGCAGGCTGCCACAGTTTCAACAATCCAGGAAATGGGCCAAGGTGCACGATTCCCGAAAACCGGTACCTACTCCGACCGTCACGGTGACCCAAGTTCCCGCAGACTCTCCTAGAGAATCAGATGGCCCCGACGAATCGCAGAGCCAAACGCGTACCATGCGCGAAGCCTTGTTCGAACAACAGCGCGCAACTAAGAAGCCTGTTGCCCGAGGAAGAAGCTCGCACAGATCTCCTCCACCTAGGACCACCAGTGACAGCAGTATCGAAGCCCAAGATGGAGGCTTATGTCACCCGCCCTCACAGCCATGCTTGCCCGCTACTAAGGCAGGCGCGTCTGCAGTCACGAGTACAACTTCCAAAAAGTGGCGCAGATCGCGCTCTCGTGGGCGCAAGGTCACGCCAACGAAGCAACGCGAGGTCAAGTTTCAGCGGATCGCAGACAGAGCTGGAGTTCCAACCTCAACACGAGTCGCCGTGCCGGCAAGGTCGAGAGGCCCGTCAATCACCTCGAAGCAGCTGCCACTGTTGCCCACGGAACACCGGGGCAAGCGAGTTGCACATGAGACACAGAGAGGACGTCAGCCACGAATCCCATCCCCAATTCCATCTCTTCACGATCCTGAAAAGGACAACAAATTCTCCTCTGAATGTCAAGAGCTCTTGCGCAGCATGGATTTTGACCACGACTTCTTATTGCCCATGTTTTCGGCAGTTGGATCTCAAGATGTGCTCGCAGCAGCAAGTCGCCGACCCAAGTCGCAACAGTCCATCTCCATAAAGGACGCGCTAACCAACCTTCCACCAACAGATGAGTTGGTTGAACGTAAACAACGACCCCAGATAACTACCAGTGTCTCCAGCAAGGCGGTGGCGAACTTTACAAATATGTTCCAGCTGGCACGATCAAAGTCCAACCCTAACCCATCAGCGGTGAAAGGTCAACCCTCTTCAGGTTCTGGTCAGCCTACGAGGACTAGGACGACCACTCGCCGGCCTATCATTGATCGGTCATTCCTTCGAATACCTTCGGGCTCTTCTACCGCTGGCCGTACATTAAGGACAACCATGAGCGTTGATACCCTCGCAAAGATCGAAGCCCAGGTCCACTACGGAGAGCCTACCAAAACCAAGACAACACTGGAGAAGATTCCATCCTTGAGCTCTGAGTCAGGGCAACGTGGGCCTCCAAGTATACCGCCAGAACGACCGTTACCAGCGTTGCCTCCAGATGCATTCCTAGAGCAGAGTCCACGACACAGCGTTGACAGTGGCCGTGGTGGCCGACGCCCTCGGAAAGGACAAGCTTCGGCGATGCCTGTGGTCTTGTCTCGGTCGTCTATCCGTGTAGTGTGCCAGGCTCCACCGGTCGACGTGGTTCTTGAGCCATCCGCCGTGAGGCCAATGTACCCAGGTCTCAAGCAAAGCACGGCTCAAGGTAAAACACACGGTACTGATGCCGCTGCAATGGGTCTGGCCGAACAACCATCATCGAGCTCCCTTTCTTCGAAGCTATCCGGAAACTCTATGAGATCATCGCGCTCTTGTCGGCGAAGCATCTGCAGTGCCCGTGCCGACAAAGTGAAAGAAAAGCGTTTGAAGGATCTTGCAACGTCCAAAAACTCATCTAGTTCACCCAACCGACCAGCCAGTAGCGATTCTGCTGGACATCAACATACCAATACCACTACCACGCCTCCTACATCCTTCGACCGCCCCACACCTTATGAAAGACAAGTCGATGTGGATCAACTTGATCAATTTCCAGCAGTGCCAAAGTCTCGGCCAGGTAGTAGTAGCGTTGCCAGTGTGCAAAGTCCTACTCGAGCGCGCGGATATAGTTTCAGCAGTGTGACCAGCCCACGCCGGCAGTCATCTAAGAAACAAAATTCATCTCGTTCTGGGCAAGTGCTGGGACAGAGTAATATCTTCGTCGTTGTGGATTCCGATCCAGTCACTGCACGGTTCCGCGCCGGCGCCATGAGCCCGAGTCCAAGTATCGGTAGCGGCAATGGGAGTGGCCGTCCTGGCAGCCCACTGAAGAACAAGCAATACAAGGCTGGCCCTTCGACTTTGCGAGAAGTAACGACGCATCAAGGGTCCAATGGTACGAAGCCAAATACCGCTAGCGTCCGGGTCGCGAGAGTCGAGTCTTCCACCACTTCTGGTGTTCCTCCTCCTCGGAAGACCAAACGTCACGCGAGACAGAACAGTATCCAGCCGAGCAGCTCCAGTGACGAGTCCACGACACCGAGCATGAACCGCTCTGGTCGGGGCAAGTCACCTCAGAGCAGACCGTCACGTCCTCCGACGAAGCGCAGAAGATGGAACAGCTTCGACATCAGTTTGGTCAAGACTCTCCACGAGAATCTCGAGGACTACTACGGGACCATCTTGAAGCAAGAGGAGAGGATCCGATGGCAAGCAGACCAACTGCGGATGATGGTGAGAGTCATCGCTCCCATGAACCGCGCGCGAGGGATCAAGGGCTCTTCTCACCTCGACGACATTCCCGACCAGATCGAGAACGACGACGACGCCTTGGTCGTCAGCCAGCAATACGCACAGAGAATGTCGACCGGCAACATGCCTCGGATTCCCCGCCGTACTCACGTGAGACAGTCGAGCTCGGGTAGCGGCTGGCCGTTGAGTAAAGTCAACGCCAAAGAACGCGTCACCAAGCCCGGACAGGGTCAACACAGACGGATGAGCAGCATGATCTCCGAACCTGGACCGGCCATCTCGGTGCCATCGCAACCGACGACGAAACCGATGGCGATGAGCAAGATCCAGACCGCGGTGGAAGATCCTACTCTGACCGCGCTGCCACCCGTCGACGGCCGGCCGTCGGTCGTGTCTACTCCAGAATACGACAACAACGACAAGGAAAACGATGTCCCCCGGGCCGAGAAGAGCAATACGAAGAGAGCGTCGCTTCGGCATTCTGGAGCTCAAGACTCAGCCCTGGCGTTGCGACAACCTCCTTCCGTCCCGAGTCCGATTCCTCGATCACTCTCGGCGGATGAAGGAGCAGACGTCTTCAGCTCGCCGACCAGCGGTGGACAATTCGACGACGCCCCTTCCTCGCCGGGATTCCTTGAACAAGAAGAGGAGAACAAGAAAGGACACGGGGACCGTAACAGTGCGGCGAGGTTGAGCGTGAATCACTTCCTGGCCAGTACGGAACAGATGGACAAGGCACTCGGCCTCTCCTCGGTGTATATTTAGGGATGACTTGAAGACCCCGGATGTAACGATATGTCATCGAATAATGTTGTTTCGATTTATGATGATGAAGGTTGGAGCGGGAAACTTGATTTTTTTTTCTGGGTTTTTTGTTCAAAGGACCAAACAGTACTTTGGCAGGAGTTGGTGAGTCTTTTTACGACCATAATATGATGGACATGGGGCCGATGGCAAGAAATGGGGTGTTGGGCAATGTCCCACACCGAACGTGACCACATACCTAGGTACATTAGATACCTGTACTTTCTTATGATATTTTTAATAATAATATCAATACGGAGTACTCTGTTATCTTTTGATGTTGAATTGAAACCCCTTTCTCCAGCACTCGACATTTGCGTTGAAAGCCAAAGGTTGAGAAATCCATTTACCTCTTGTAGGTAGTTGGCCTGTTCAGCTCCCTCCTGTGGCGCATCGTTGTGGCTTTGCCCTGCCATCCTCATTTTGCTTCATTCCCCAGCCTCGCCTCGGCGTTCTTTTCCGCCGCCTTTCCACCCCTCTTTTTGTCTCAGCGTTTGTTCGCCTACGAGATTGCCATGACCCTGTCTCGCCCATTGCGGCGCCGAGACGGGGGACAGGGGGGGGGCAGACTTATTAAGTTCTCTGGATTTATCAGGCGGGTGTATCTTTCGGCACTGCGTCCTTCAATGTAGCTAGCCTCTTTGTTTCGCAGAATAATCTCCCTGGATCTGTCGATGCTAGCAGCAGCACCAGGCCTTGGAAGAGGCCCATAAAATATTTGAAACCAAAAAAGAAATTGGTCCTGCCCATCTCAGGTTTCGTTGTGCAAAACCTTTGGGGGTTGGATGGTGGTAAAGGCTTGTGATTCTTGATGATGAAACGAAGAGGATCCGTGTCTTGCCATCGAGAGGGGAGAGGTTTGACCTTGTGATGATGGTGGTGGTGGTAGGTGTGCCATGATGACGCAAAAGAAAAAAGGTATTCGTGCCAGTTTAGCCACGAGTTACAGTAGGACGTTGAACAGGGTATTTGGGAGAGGGGGGCCTCCCGATCTGTTTGGTGGAAGTATTTCTAAGGAGCCAAGTTCTTCAGAGGGGGTTGATGGTTTCGGTGCCATCGCAACGCAACCCAGGTCTGCGTGCAAACCGGACTCACGTCGACAGTGTGCACCAAGGGAATGTCGACAGGCGACTCGCAGAGAAGCTCGGCAGACGAGTTTTCAACCCGAGTCGGTATTGTCCAGGTATTTTCGAGGATTGAAGGCTGGTTGCTGAAGACTGAGCACGTTTTTATCCATGCTGCTCGGTTGCTCGCAGCTTTGCGTGGAGTGTGCCTCTCCAGGGTCGCATGAAAAACAGCCAGCAGAAGGAGCTGGCGGACAGGAAAAAAAATTACACATCTTTGTTACTGTTACCTCTATGTCCGTGGATGCTGAAGGTGTTGAAAACAGGTTCCAAGGTGAAGCAGAAGACGAAAATGAGAAGATTGTGTGAGTGTTGAGTATGGAATGAAACGAAGCATTGTAGCTGTGGGGCCCTGTTGCTAGCAGTTGGCGACTGGGATTGGTATATCGGAGATCTCGGGCGGCATGCATTACTCCGCAAAACAAGAGATCTTCTAGCCATCAGGTACAGAATGCAATCCACAGATACGGGGCACAACAGATTGAGCCCTAAATCAATGACGAATTGTCCTCGAATTGCTATCTGCGAGGTTTCAGGGGATCTGAAGAGGTTGGGTAGAGCCCAACCTCCTCATGTCTTTCCAAATGTCCGTGTACACCTTGTGAAGTACCATAAATATGGGTGGCCACTTTGAGGCCTCAGTTCTCACTTTTCAATTGCATAATCACAAGGCAAAAATTAAGCCTTTGAATCGGGATGAAGACGTACCTGGACCCACCGCCTAGCCAGCTTCATGGACCCCCAGACCGGCAACCTCAGGCGCACCTCACGCGCTCCAAAGTCGCCGTACCAAATCGCACCTCTATTGAACGTCTTGACCATTTCCATCATGATTCTTCGAACATTGGCTTCGCTCCTCGTATTCCCATCGATATCATCGATCCTAGCAGCGCCGGTGTCCGCCAAATCCCTCCGACAAAAGGCAAAAGGAAAACGGTCTTCATTTGGTCCTGCGTGAGTATTCCCCCCCTCCCCCTCCCCCCGGCCAGTTTCCCTCGTCGGTGTTGATCGTGCTTGAAAGGCTGACTTTGTTCGAATTTTCCCCCCCGCCCTCAGTGTAAGGACGGGAAAAGCGCCATCAACATCAAAGCTGAATCGTGTCCACGGTGTGGGCACGCCAGGTGCAACAACTGCAAATTACAAAAGATCACGCAGTAGTTGGAGGAGAAGACGCCGTGACTCTGAGCTCTCAAGTACGCGTCGGAAGAAGAAAAGGAAGAAAGGAAGAAAGAAAGACAGAAGGAGACAATATTACGACATGTACTCCGTATATATGGCGCTTGTGTATTATTTCTTACAAGGATTAATACCCTTCTTTTTAGAGAACGTCGGGACGAGAGATAAATTTAGGTGGTTGAGAATTTTGAATGACGATTTTCAAAAGACAATCTATTTTTCGACCTTTCCAGTTGATGGGCGCCCAATAGAGCCTATATTTGGCCATCTGGCATCTAAAGGGACATTCGAGTCTAAATATTCTAGACTTTTCGCTGTGAAAGTATCCAAAAGCCACAAGATAACATGTTTTCAGTCTGGACTCTGTTAAGCGCCCTTTAATTGGAAGGTCGAATTGTTGGAAGCCTAACTAGACTGGGTTGAATATGGTCTGTTGTGCGTAATATCCATTGCCGACACCACGGCCAACCACCCTTAGACATCCCCCAGGAAGATGAAACAACGCGAGAAGCCTCGTGACTCTTTGTCGAAGCTGGGTTAACAGTCATGTATACCCACATCTTGGATGGAACACACAAGATGGGAGAATCGCCGAGGAAGGAAGTTGAAGAGTTCGTAGGGAAGAAAGATTGGACAGCCCGCATGGTCAGCCTAGAGTAGAGCCCTTCCTGGCCACGACAACGCACAGGAGGAGTGGTCGGCACGAGAACAGCTCTCAACCTAGGTGCCATACCAGTCAGCATGTTCATCGTCCAAGGTACAGAGTATGTGGCCAGGGCCTGTATACGGCTCAAGTAGACTCATTCCACGACATGAGCATCCTCGTCTTCTTAGACACATTGATAATTCAGGACGCCCTACAATCCACGGCTCAGGACACCTCGGGCGATCGGCCGAAAAAGGCTCCCCTCGGAATCTCATCGCCTTCTGACTTGGACTATAATTCACCAGGAGTTCAGCCGTACATCTCATCATCCACGAGCACGGGCACGGGACCGCAGACTTTTCCAGACCAGACCGGATGCTAGACAGGAGATGTGTGTGTTTTTGAATCACTTTTTGGGTGCTCTTCGTCCCCCCTTCGAATACTTTGACGGCCACTGATGTTTAGGCTGATGTTTTTGCAACCCGTGTATCCTTGTGAAAGGTGACGTTCCATCGCGAGTAGTCAACTTTTGTACAGGTAGGATGAGAATGAAACGATAGGACGAGGAAGTTCTTGTACTGAGTACTAACGACCATACCTGGTCTCTGGTGAAAGCCAATTTCAAGGACTAGCTGGAAGGGGCTACTCCGTCCTCCGTATCCATGGGTGTCGACGAGAGCTTCTCTCCGCTAAGCCAGGTCTAATAACGGCCGGCCGCTTCGACCTCCGGGTCATGAGGCTCCCATTGATCCTAAGTACTTACTACTAGGTACTTGGCTCCGATGTTTAGAGGGCTTGCCTAACACAGGGGGGACTTCTGGGAATGTTTCCTTACTGGATCGACATAACGGATTCCGTACAACACCAACAGCTCCAATAACTCGAATCATTTGAATCCTCCGAACGAGGTCACGCAGACGCTGTGCTTTGGAACGAAGATTACCGAGATCATGTTATGGGTCACCCTTCAGGGACGTTCCCGGCAAGCCCTCGAACTCCACTGTTGTCAAGACCGTGTATGGCAGTTGGGAAGGGTGGCATCATGAGCATAAATACCTGACCTTCCCAAGTGCGAGACTCCGAACAATTGAAGTTGTTGACCCTTTTCGAGTAGTGCGCTGGTGACGCTGCGAGTCACATAGCCATCAAATCCAACACTCGATCGCCCTGGACCCTTCGTTCCCCGTCTCCTCGATTAACGCTGTCTCGCTGGCCGACTCTTGGGTCAGTATGCGCCCACCACGACAGGGTCTCGAGGCGTTGATTCGTGTGCAGTTGGATAACACTGACAGTACTCGCTCAAGGCCGCCTTCAAAGAGCCGGAACAAGGCAGTGTTCATATGGGGTTGTGTCAGTATTATACACCGTCTCGTGTCTGGAGGGTCTTCATCGTACCTAGAGAGCTGACCGTTACCCGTCGATGTGCTTTAGTGTAAAGACGGGAAGAGGGCTATCAACATCAAAGCTGAGAACTGCCCTCGTTGTGGATACGCTCGGTGTAACAATTGCAAGCTGCAGAAAATCACTCAGTAGCTATCGCTATGCATTGAGAGCCCTGCAAGTCTACGCATCGCGAACCACAACGATTTTATGGCAGCCACGACCTTCTACAGGTTTCCTTTGAACAAAACTTTCCCGATGATCAACCGACCGACCTTGTTACTAGAAAGGAACAAAACTCGACTCTCTCCGACATCGAACACGAATGGAGATTTACAAAGGCACACACATCCTTCTTTCATACGTTATCTTTCAAAGGCGAATCGATGGTTCTTGCTTTCGCACGCTGTTTGTCCTCTTCGAAATTCAGCATTGCGTTTTGGCGAATTTTAATATAGATGGGATGAAATGATGAGAAGCGTTCTGAACGATATTGTTTTGCAGTTATCCGGAAGAGAAGCTACACCAGAATCAATACCAAACGCCATCTCCATAGACCATCCATCAAGTCAAACCACTCGACTTTCCCATCGACCAAGCTATCTTGCCTGACTAATACTACTTCCCCGGTTCTTCTTCTTCTTTTTCTTCTTTCCAGATGACTCATTAGCCGTCTCGACCGCAGGAGACTGAATACCTTTGTCTCCCACTGTGTCCCCATTCTCTACGACAGCGGCCTCCACAGCCACTGGTGTATCTACTTCTTCAATCACCGATTCCGGAACAGCAGCTCCTGTCAAGTCCTTGACCAGAGGGTGAGAGATGATGCTTCCGTTCGACTCCGACGTTGTCACAGCACTGGTTTCAGATGGTGCCATGGCATTGACTTCGGATACAGCGACTTCGTTGGTATCTGATGGCGGAACACCGTTCATCTCCGACATGGGATCCTCGTCATCTACCCAGCTGAACTGGCGTTCGGCGGCAACCATTTCTGGTTCCGGTGCCGGATCTACCGCTGCAGGATCGACTGGCTCATCTGAGAAGACGGGTACCGGTGTTGGTTCACGGTCTGGTTCCTCATAAGCAGGTGCGGGTTCCTCTTTGAGTTCGGCAAGATGCTCGACGAGGTGGTCGGCGTACGCAACCTCTGATGCTTCCTCGTAGGCAAATGCTGGCTCTTCTTCGATTGGTTCGAGGCCTGTCTCCGGCTCCGGCTCTGGCGGTGCTGCTGCTTCTTCGGCAGTGTAGTAAGTCTTGTCGCTACTCTCGGCGGTTTCCACCGGCTCCTCTAATGGCATCTCTTCTTCCGCATGGGCCGGTTCAGCCAAGGCCTCTTGCTCGAAGTTGGGGTAGCATTCATCCTGTGCGTACCGACACCCATCACAAGACGCCAGGGTCACATTCTGAGCTCCCATGTCCTCGTGGTCGTGGAAACGACAGACATTCGAAAGGTAAGCTTGTTTTGTCCACTCTGAGGAAGTTGCCTGGATGAAGTCGAGCGCAAAGTGCCCGTGTTTCAGAATCACGGCCGCCCATTCTTCTCGCGTGGGCTCTTCTGGATCGGTCGTGATCGATCTCGGCAGTTGACCCAGTGCCGTGCGGATGACCTCACGCAGGGGCCTGCCTACCGGTACGGCCTCGTAGATCTCGTCGACCATCGAAGCTCGCAGCTTCCACTCGCCACTTGCGAGGTGGCTACGAATCACATCGGTGACCTGGTTGCTCAACGCCGGAATTTCATACTTTGAGGCGAAAACGCCCAACTTCACCGCCTGGTCAAACGACGCACCCTCGTCGATGTGCGGCCGAGGAGACATGGTCCACATGTAAAAGTCTTTCATTATGTCAAGCGACGTATCATGAACCGGCATCCCCGAGACGTAACATGTCAAGGTCTCGCGGAACTTGCGCGAACGCCGCCGAAGAAGCTCTCCCGGCACAACGAACGTCTCGGTGTCCCCATCAAATGTGACCACCGATAGCGAGACACGCTCGCTCTGGCTCCATCTGGAATCGTGTCAGGGTATGGAAAAGGGACGACCTCACGACAAGACAAGAAGGGCAACTGACTGGATGAAGAGCCGACGATGTTGAGCGTCCATGGCCATGCTGAAAAGCGCCCACTTTTGGCTTCGGCACGCCCACAATCTCAAGTCATCTGCGACGAGAGCGAGATGCGATCTGAAAGAAAGAAGAGATGGGGGAAATGGAAGAAAAAAGGCTGCCAGGCGACTCACTTTTTGATACAAAGAAGGAGACGAAAAAATCTCGTGCTCGCTCGGTTGGGCTTTTGTCTGCAGAGCCGCACGAGCCCGACACTTTTGACTCGATGAATAAACTCACTCTGGGTGTAGAGTGGGAGCGTGGCACGACTTTAGTGGCCAGCGAGATCAATTGAAATGAGGCTGAGGTGCATGGGCGTTTGTCTTTTGAGGGCCGCCTATCCCCCCCTGGTGTTCAGGGCGTACTCTTACTCGGCCACGAAACTACCTACACGGGACGTCATGTCTTTTGACATCATGATGTGATGCAGCGAATCGATGAGGTGCCTAAAAAGATGCATCTTTGATGATAATGCAGGTGATGGTGCCCAAGTGTGACCCGGGGTTGGTCTATTCTTCATTTTGCTGCAAAGTCAGGCCGAGGCGGCGGTTGTTCACTCATTCCTAGGCGCCACAAAAATTGTTACAGTAGTCCCGTTTTTTCGCACTCGTCATTTCAGGCTACTTAATCATTGCTACTCTGTAAAATAAAAAGCCCAAGGTTGGTTGGGCTACTCGTCAACTTGGAAGGACCAAAAAAAAGAAGACAACCATGTCTGGCCGACTGGTGCTCGTGGTGGTGGGAGGGTTTCATTCACCACCACCACCACCACCACCACCATCCATGTCCAAAACCAAAACCAAAACCAAAAGTTAAGCGAGAAAAAAAATCACCCCGTACTCTAGGGTTGTGCAGACGGTGTCGGTACAAAAGCAAAAGCGAAGCAACCCCCGATGGAGAGCCAGTCTTGTCTTGGTTTGCTGTACAGATGCCCAACGTGAAGCGACCAATGTCCTCATCAGCCCCGCGGGACTCTGACTGACCGCTAGGCACATTTTGCCGTTACCTTTTCCCGCATTTCCACCCCCCCCCCTCTTTCACTCCCGCCTTGCATTACAGCCGCAGGCAGTGTCGAGAAGGGGCCCTCGAAACAGACGCAGCGTGTTTTGACTCGGACACGTGTACATTCCACCGGTGTGCGAGCACCAACTTGACGCATCACACCTTTGGTAGTATTGGCCGATATATGCCCCTGGAAAGGATAAACGAAGCCCAACGCTTACGAGGCCGAATTAGAGAAGCACAAGCAGACAAGAAAAAAAAGGCAACCATTTCTTCCCCCTTGTAGTCCGTCCTTTGCTTGCTGCTGCTGCTGCTGCTGCTGCTGCTGCTGCTGCGTTGGCACGGCAAAGCACTGCAGAAGGCCGTTCTGTCTAGACTGTAGACGCTCACAAAGGCTTTGGAAGCTTTGGTGGAAAGGAAAACGCAAAGGAAACCCCCACGATACCAACACGCTGTAATCAAATGGAGAGCTGTTGCCTTGCGCTATCATCAAACAACCAGTATGATGATCAGTATGAAGTATGTCTTCGCTTAATCAAAGGTCCTCGTGCGGGATGGAGGTTGGGATCCGGGGTCAAGCGCACTTGGGATTGAATCGATTGAGGATTCTGCCCAAAAAATGGGAATAAATTTGAATGAATGGAGTAGAGTAGATCAAATGACATTCAGAAACAAATCACGACATGCTGATGGTACATCATGAACCTGGATCATTGCAAAGCCCAGAACCAAACTCTCCTCTTGAAACAAAACATTCCAGCGGGAAACAACGCTTCTGGCAATCTAATCATCAATGTTCGGCTCAACTTGGGCATGATTCTCATCATGATCAGCCTCCACAGTTTGATCCTTTTGAGCTTCTTCAATTTGCTCCGTCTGTTCGATGTGAATGACCTGATCTGATCGATCAGTCTCCTCGGCGTTTTCAATTTGTCCAGTCTGCTCTGTTGGCTCAATCTGCTCAGTTGGCTCAATCTGCTCAGTCTGCCTGATTGGCTCACTTGCTTTCGCTTCTTCGCTCTGCTCCTCTTGATCGACGTGATCCGAATCTTCAGTCGGCTCAGTAACCGGGGCTTCTGCTGACTCAACAGCACTGCCCACCTGGCCTTGCTCTGGCTGATTACTCACTACACCATCGTTGAGAGATTGTGCTGGCTCGTCATGAATGTTGGTAACGTCGTACTCTGGGACGAAACTGTCCTGCTCATTGGATTCGCCATGTCCGATCGGCTGAATAATTCCTGCTTGTCCACTAGTGAACAATGGGTCAGTGGTAAGACTGTATTCAGGGGAAGAGGGCCTTACATTCGCAGTGGCACCATTCCAAGCATTGCCATTCCGTTACTCAACGTCTGACGGATACATTCGAAGAATGCAAGTTTGGCCATGTTTTGGGTTGAACTCTCGCCGGCTTTGTCCTTCTTCTTGTTAAAGATGGTGGAGATAACGTCAGTCAATCGGTACAGATAATTTAGAATGGCAGAGGATTCTAGATTCTTGATCGACGTCTTGACCATGCCTGGGAAATGGATGAGTACTCGCAAGACATCAAAGTACTCTTCGTCTTCGAACATTGTGTAGTCTGCACTTTCGAGTTCTGCACGATCGATAGTCACGCCTTGAAGTCGGCGGTCAATTTGTGTGAACCAATAGTGAAGACTCAAGCCAGAATGACTGTCTAGGTCTCCCATTTTGTGAGGATCGTAGTTGAACGTGGCGCCGCGGCGGATGGATAGTTCTTGTGCCATCAAACCTATCGCAGTAAGATGGCCAGAGATGCTGGCATCGGTATCATTGCGGAGTTCGCCGAAGTCTTCAGGGTTTGCTGCCAAAAAGTCGTCCACTGTACTTTGACATTGGTCGATAATGTCTTTCAATTGCAACCCTTTGCTGTCTTCATGTCTCGAAATGCCGTGGAATTTCCCATAGTTGACATGCAGTAGTTTTGACGCCAGATCAGTATAACCCATAATCTCGAGAGCGGCAATGACCTCGCGAAAGTGTGAGTCTTGTTTCAATGTCACCACGTAGATCATCTTGCCGAAGGAAAGCAGGTTGAATCGCTCCACCGCCGCAGCGATATCTCTCAAGAGATATGAGGTCGTGCCGTCGCTATATCGTCCAATTGAAGTCTTTAGGCCTCTAAGACCAAAGCTTTCGAAATCAATGATCCATGCTCCTTCGCTTTCACGGTATGCGTTATGGTCTCGAAGGGCGCTTTCAACTTCAGCGATGGTTTCATGTCGAACCATGGATTCTCCCGAGTATTCGTCGAATGTGATGTTCAGTCTGGCATACTGCTCTGCGTATTGTTGTACGCAGGCATCGCGGAATCTGCGACACAGCTGAACAGCATCTTGGTCCCCGTCCTCCATTCGTCTGAAGAAAGCTTCCTTTTCCGCCGCGATCGCGCCTTTTTCGTCATCCTCCGCAGTCCGGACAAGCGTATCAATCTGTGAGAAGACATCCACAAGATGTTTCAGTGGATCTGCCTCGAAAAGCTCCTCCGACCCAAATCTCTCCCAGCCAGCGGCCAGCAGACCGATGTTTCGGCCCCAGTCACCCAGAAAATTCATCTTATGTACGTCCCAGCCAAGTGATTGGTACAATGACGAGATGTAAGTCCCGATAATGGTACTTCTCAAGTAATTGCCATCAAACTCCTTACCAAGGTTTGGAGAGGAGAAGTCTACAACGAGCTTCTTCACTGAATCGCTGGGCGACTCGACATCGGCATTCTCGTCAATAGGAACCCTCCCATACAAATTTCCCCGGTCAAGAATGTAGGAGATGAGGATCCGTGCTAACGTGATTGGCGCAAAAAGAAAGCGTAGCTGGATTCCATCTGGGATAGGGTTTGCAAATAGAGACAATGGTGGAAACTGCTCAGGTAATGTATTAGTCAAGGACGCTCGAGCTTGAGGGTGGGCTGTTCAGGGTGCCGTACTCTTTGTTTGAGGTCTGCGGCAGGGTTTTGACTGTCAATATCTTCCAGTCGAAGACGAGGGAGAACGACCACAAGGTCCCAATCCTCGACTGGCCATTGAATGGAATCGAGGGCGACTTGAGCATCGCAGCCAGTGATACCAACCAGGGTCTCGGCCAGACGAGTAATGTAGATATCGATCGGATTGTGTTGGATATCTGCTAAGGGGAATAGTGGAGGGGAGGCTTCTGATTCTATCGCTTCAAGTGCAGCTGAAAGACCATCGCTTGCGGCCGTCGCCATTGTGGTCACTGCAGCGAGGTCAAGAGCAAAGAGGCTCTAGGGACATTCTCGCAATTAGCGGGCAAACATGCGTGAAATAGTATTTGTCGTATATGAGCGTTGGTTTCTGTCGCCTCAGATTGAATGTTAGCCAATCACAAGGCTGCTTCTGATATCACTCGTTGGGCACCAATAAGGCAACTCAACGTGCAGGCTGCTGTGTTGTCCAGGACCCTGGCCTTGATTCATTCCTGTAGAGGCACCACTAACACACCAAATATTATCCGAGGCCACAATTGGGTTGTTGGGCGCTCTGCCAGCTGGCGCTGGATGTCTGGATCCTTGTGCCGTTCTCATCTCTGGGTGCACTTTCTGGACCAAGCAGCGTGTAATTGCTGCCATCTCTTGTGATGTGCTGATTCGAAGAGCGCATGCTCTCAAGCACCTGATGCTCCTCCCAAAACGCCGTAGCACAACATACTGGAATGGGCCAGCGTTTTGAAATTGGTCACTACTTTTGGGGAGATCCGCAGAGTCGGCATTCATATTTTTGGTTCTCGTCCTGGGAGCTTCTACCGACCACTGGGTGCGGGGTTTCCAAAGGCCGGTGTGCCCATTTGCTGAGGTCGTTCGCTGGCGGGCTCCCGTGTTGGTAGTTCTGTGTCGGCATTTTCGGCATCCCTGCGAAACCGCGCAAACCGTCTGGGCAATTTTAGTGGTAGGATCATTCGGGGGAGCTGTGAGCAATACAAGGATAACCGAGTAGCAATATCGGAGCACCGCTTTGAACAGGAGCCTCTGTAATTTTCGAAATGGTAGATAGCCAAACATAAGATGCCGATGACAATCAAAGCGACCAGGAAGGATTCCCAGACTAGGGGAAAAGGTAATACTGGAGGCTGCATCGAGAAGATTGCGGAAGCCAAGGCAAGGGGAAAGCTGAACTTTTCAGCTCCTCAGCATTTCGTAATCGAACGGTTGGGAGATTCTACTTACCACCATCGTGAGCGACATCTTCTTGGTGACCTCTGCAAGCTGATGGCTCGTTTCTGCCAACTTGCGTTGTTGAGCCCCCACGTCCATGTCATGCCGTGTGTGTTTGCAACGCAGCTATACGTAGCATACCGTTAGTAAATGTTTCACCAGATAACCCGGAAATGTTAGGCAAGTACGTGACGGGGATATTTACTTGTGTCTCCCTGTTCTTCCATTTGGAGGCTAAAGAGTTCATTTGTTTCTCGAGGCAGGTCAACTGATAGAAGTTGGCCTGTAGGGCATTGAAGGATTGGCATGTACGATCTTCTGGATTCATGTTCTGGAAGATCGGTTTAAAGCGAGTGAAATTGTCCCAGGCGCTCAATGTTGCTTTCAACTTGTCGTGTGAATCAGACAAGACGGGCCAGGTATTCTCAATCCATGTGAGTTCTGCCCGAATCTTGTCGGCGTGTTGCTCTGTCGTCTCCTCGGTGGTGTGAGTGCCAATCTGATCGCAAAGGTCGTTTTCCGGATCCTTGTGACATATCAGTGACGCTCCAAAGTTCCCCGGGTCAGAGAAATGCTGAATAGCTCACATGTGAATCCCGGATGCTCTTTCCCAGTTTCTTGACAACGACTTTCCACTCTTGCATGATTGGTTTGAGGCGAGCATTGAACACTCTTAAAAAAAAGTCCCGGGCTTGATGGGTGGTTTGGATCCTGTCAGCAAGTCCATACATGACTGGATTTGTGTGTAACCCATTCCCAAAATCTTCGTTATACTTATAAGCACCTTCCCCATCGTCGCCGTCAAAATAAGTGTCAACAAAGCAGTATCCCACGTACGTCCACTCATCTATGCCAGCAAGCACAAATGAGATCTGGCCTTCGTAAAGATATGCATTTCCAGACTTGCCATTCAGCATAGAGACGTTTCTGAATTTCCTGAGTGGGCGACCACTGGTGTCGAGCCGAGCATCTTTGTTTGGCGCAGGGCTGCAGCGCCATGCATAGTATGGTAAGTGGAGAGAAAACTCGAACACTGGCCAGCCCCTGGTCTACGCCTCGGATCAGTATGCAACGGCCGGGGCTTCTGACGCAGAACTTACTGTCATAGTCACCTCCATGCTAGGATCAAAGTCCAGATACTTCAAAAACGTGTTTCGTAAGGCACCAACCTGGTAATATGATGCCGTACCTGCAAGTGCATGGACGTCCCATTTGTCCGGATCGTTGATGAAACTGCTGCATTGTTAGCGGTTGATATTCGTGAGGTGGAAGGGGAATGCAAACATTAGACGACGCTCTATGTCGAGATCCGGGTCTCGCTGGATGGCTGAATTGGACCTAGCGGCGGCGGATAAAAACCTCTATATTATCACAAGAATATAAGCAATCGGTCCCCCACTTTTCCGCTCCCTTTTACACTTTTACTTACTGGCTTGATCAACTTATGATACAAATCGTGGGCTGTGAGCCATTCCGGGCTCGCCTCGAACCGGTTGCGTGTCCCTTCAGCAACCCATGCCTTGCGCAACAAGACTGGACCTCGCCATACTTTTGCTCGCAATAGTTCTAGACTGGCACCTGAGAAAAACTCTTCTATGTCTTCGTCGACCAACAAGGTATCGGGTAGCTCCTCATCTACCATGAATGCCTGGAGGGCGGTCCTTTTGGTTTCTCCTGATTGTTCTCCGGCACCCTCATCGGCGTCCAGATCCTGCCACAGTGCATCGCGTACATCGATCCACGGAATGTTCTCATCATCGCAGATGCCATTGATTGGCCGGCGAGTCGAGAACTCAGGCCGCCAAGTAATGGTATCGTTCAATGCTTGATCTTCAGAAACTCCCGCTGTTCTTTCGTCCTTGCACTCTGTCATGATTAATTATTATCGGGCAAAACAAGATGTTCCCAAAGCAGGCGTGACAGAGGTTTCTTTGGCGGCTTGAGAGTTTCTCTTATATCACATCTTTGGGCAGCATACATTGTAAACTCGTGGCAAAGTCAACTCAGTCACGAAAGGTATGTTGCAAAGAGATCTTTTGTATCACGACATTCCAGCTGGAAATCGGTCAGCAATCAAGAGGAGGTATGTATATAGTCAACCATCCACAGCACTTCAAATTGGTGGTAATGCGCCCAAGTCCTTGAGGCAGCCAATGAATGCGCTATGCCAGCGAGACAGCCATGTGCAGAAGGTGTCGCCTTTTTGCTCGCCAAAGATGGTCGCCCTGCCGTCGCCTTGCCAGCGGTCTTCTTACGCCCGCTGTTCCTTCCCTTGGGCAGCAACATTGGGGGTCACTCTGATGATTGACCTGGATGGGTAACATAGGTCTTTACGAAAGGAGGCAAATGTCATCTTTGGTGGGGTAAGGAAACTACGCCCGAGCAAGAGGAAGTCGGAGTGTCAACGCTGGCTTGGTTGGGCAGTTGGGCTGAGGGTGAACTGCGCTGTCTCTGGATCTAGATCTGTATTGATCGTTCCCTTCATTTCGGAGAATAAATTGGGATGCGAACAGCCAACTCGGTCCATTGGAGCAGAATACGAAGTACCGAACGTCTGGGTAGAAAAGGCGCAAGGGGCCAATTTGGGGCCTACAGTAGAAGTCGCTGAACTAGCAAGCTAGTCCACTTTCGGACTGTCAATAAAGAAATGGCCGAGAAATGTCAAAACGCGCCCGCGTGAATGTTCCATGCATCAACGACCGCGACGATTGCCGGTGCACACATCATAATGTACGATACTTTCAATCAATAACAGTACTCGTACTCGAGATTTCTGTATTACACTGTATCTGCCTCGAATGTATATCACATCCTACTTCCTCCGTACGGCGACAATAACAACACCACCACCACCACCACCACCATCATGCCCGTCGATGAAACAGTCCTCGATCCTCCCGTCACGCCCGCGCCGGTTTTCGCCTACCGCGCATTGAGGGGTGTGTTCTTTGGATCTCCAGATTCCTCGCCCGAGCATGTTCACAACAATGACAACAAAGAGAACTTGACGCCGGTACTCTCGCCGTCACCCTCGAAGCGGAAACTCGTCCTGGACGGCGCAGGAAGTGACGCGCTGCACTTGACACCATCCACCAAGCGGGCCAAGAGGGACGGCGGCGGCGCGATACTATCGCCTACGAAGGGGATACTGAGGACGCCAGGCCTAGCGACCCCGAGGGCGAAAGCATTGAGAGATGTCAATGTCAAGTTCAAGAGTGTTAGTCCGGAGGAGGTTTCGCAACGTCGCAACAACAACAGATTAAAAACTGAAGCTCCTCGGCAAGTCGGCGCCGAAAAGGAAGACAAACAGGCGGCATCGGTGAAGGACAAGAAGACGACAATTCCAAAGTACGAAGGTGTGTCTACGGGCACGAAAAGTGCCGCAGGAAACGACCAAGCGACGGCCGTGTCCGCATTCACCCCCTGCGCGATCGAAGCGTACATCGCACAGACGGAGAAGGAGATGAAGAAACTCGTCAAGTACGGGCAGAAGATGAGGGAGTATGCGCGCAAGAAAGACGCCGAAAACCTAGAGTTGAAAGGCATGATCGAGGTATTGAAGGGAGAGAATGAAAGGTTGAGGACTGCGCAGGTGGGAACGAGTCAAACGCAGACGGAAAGCAAACAAATACATGGATTCGAGTCCGACACAAATGGACATGGAGGTCAAAACGTCGAAGAGGTCACAGATAAGGGAGACTACGGGTACGTGCGAGAGGAAGTCGGTCGCGTCGAGGCCAGAAGCCAGAGTTGGCGCTCACCCAGTCAGAGTCTTGCGCATCGAAGGAAAGACGAGACGTCGCGAACGATTGCGGCTACAAGCACGAAATCGCAAACCACAGCACCTGAATTATCCAGGACGAAAAGACATCAAGGCCTGGATCCGCCGACACTGTCCAACAGATCTCGAAAGCCGTCAGTTTTACTGCCCGACCCGATAAAGATGGAAATGGTCAGTGAAGACCGAGCACTACCTCTGAGGTCTACTTTTGGTTCTGTCGCGATCAGAGACACGAGCGGTACCTTTGACAGGGAAATAGGTGCTACCGGTAGCACACGTCTCGCACCTGATCGTCTCGCGGCGGCTCGTGAGCGATTGAGACGACGCGCCGAGGCAAGAAAAGCAAGTGCTGTCGAGATGCATGCAACCTCAACAAGTGCTCACGGTCATCAAAGAAAGCATTCCATCAGCCACGGGCAAAGAGAGGGCACCTTGATCGATATCGACGAGACCGACGACGACGACGACGACAAAGGACCCGAAGGACTGAAACGTTTGACGGGTTCAGGTCCTCGACGTGAAAGTCGTGAACAGAGTCTGGTGGATTGGGTCAATTTGTGAGCAGCAGTGACTTTGACCTTTTGACCATTTGGCTTTGCGAGGGCGAAGAAGGGGGGGGCGGGAGAGACCTTGTACAGAGAGTATCACTTGGGTACCTAGGTCGTGCACTGAACTGGGGCAAAGTTGGATGATCCCCCATGCCATAGGTCGCTAGCGACGATATACATGTTTTGTTGGTGGATGGGGATCGCATGAGATATTGCTTTCTTTTTTCAAAAACAGGATGACAGAACTAGAAGATGAAGAATGAAGAGAAGCAACCGTCGACCCTGTCATACTATAAAGAGTAGAGCCTGAAGTTGCATGTGTGCCATGGACATCATCTGAAATATTGGGTAACCACGAGAAAACAGACCGTAAACAGGTTACTTGATTGATCACACACATATATATTGATGTACGTATACATGTGCTCTGTCGGTACTAGCCCAAAGATTCCTCGAGTGGCGTCTCCTCGGTCTGCGTGCCCATGGCACGAGGAGGTGGCATGAACCGGGCCTGCGCTTGAGCTTCGGTCCGCTCATCCTGGGCCTTTTGTAGAGCCTTGCGCTTCTTCTCTGCCTCTTCCCGTTCGCGAGTCTTGATGGACGAGTAATTCAGCCCGGAGATGATCATGACTGTGAGGTTGATGTCAGTACATCGAAAGGTTTTTTTGATCCAAAAACGAAAACAAAACAAAAATTCAAAAGGCATGTCAGGTTACAACTCACAAGCACAAAGTCCGATGGCCAGAGCCGCCCTGCGTGTCAACACCCACCTCAGACCCTCCACCTCGCTCTTCGCTTCACTGTTCAGCAGCACCGTGATTTCGTAGTTCAATTCCGAGATCCTCCCGTCGATTTTACGTTTATCCTCTTGCAGGTTCAGCTTCCGGTCATTGAAGAGACCCTTTAACTCTTCCTTGAGGTTCATGAGATCCTGCGTCACTTTTTGGTTGAGAATGTCGTACTCGTGCTGCAGTTGGGCCCGCTGGCTGCGCTGCGTCAGGGTCTCCGAGTGTCTGGTCGTCTGGAGCGTCGTCTTCATCTCCGAGCACGCGGCGCGGAAGAGGTACGACTCGTTCTCGATGTCGGACTTCGACACCAGCCCGTCCTTCGCCACGTCCAGGTTCATGGTCAGCATGAGGCGGATGGCCTTCATCAGTGTCGTGGCCTGTTCGACGGTGTAGGCGTTTTCGGCGGCGAGTTGCTGGACGAGGCCGTACGTGTCAAAGTAGTGCTCGTACGGAGGCGGCTCCAGGTGTGGGTGCCGGTGACCTTTGCCCTTGATCTCGGACGGCGAGGGTATAGACAGCACGACGTCGAGTTCTTTGTTCTCCAACTTGGCCTCGGTATCTGGCTTGATCTTCGGCCGTCCTGTGCTCACGGAAGCCTCGTCGATATAGTCGGACGTTGTGTTGGACTCTTGCGGTACGTCCTGTCCCGTGTCATCCTCCGTGTGATGATATTCGCGCGATGAGGAGGTCGCTGCCTTGTCTTCTGGCTGTTTCTGCTGTTCCTGCTTCGGTGACGAGGGTTCCTCAGGCTTGGACGCAGGGGAGGAAGGAGAGGGAGGAGGAGGCGGCGGCGGCGCGTTTTGACTGCCTGCGGCCGGCCCATATCGTTGCGGAATCGCATCTTGTTGGCGACGGGCAGTCGTATGCAAGCTGGATTTGCGCCTACACTTCGTGACAGGTGGAGAGCGAATTGAGTGGTGAGTTTTCGGTTCGCAGGCACGCACGGCTCGAAGGAAGTTGGGATATAGGAATGTAAGGCGTTGAGTCGCCATAATTTCGCTCGTTCAGCCGCGCTTCGTCGAAATGTTGGTGTTGCAGCTAAATCGCACACGACTTTTCGAAACGAACGGGTAGAGACTTGCAGTGCGCTATGTTTGCACAGCCATAGAGGGATTGGTCGTGGCCTGTAAGTTGCACAGAGAATACTTGCTTCTGGCGACCACAAGCAGGAATCCAGCGAAGCAAGTAAATGAAAAATTACAGCCTATTTGGGTATAGCTTGAAGTCGAAACAATTTGCCCTCCGAGAACGGTGGGTGGAGCGTGTTTTCCGCTCTCTTCACGCAGTACTCAAACACGAAATGATGGTATACATACCTGGTTTAAGAATTTTCCATATTGGTATACCATCCATCGTATCCTCAAAGCGATTCTTGCTAGGGGGAGAGGGGGGGTCTTGGGACGCAAGCATTGCCAGATTCACAGGGACACCAGGGTCGAGGTGGCTTCCAACTTCCAGTCAGTTGCCATACTGTTTCTACCTCAGGACCTCATACTCCTGAAGTCGACTATAATATTACCTCATTCTGAGTATGTGACGTGTACGGGATTCGATTGGGCAACTTATAAAGACTCGCCTACTTCAGACCTGGATGCTGTCATTGCGACAGGCCATCAAAATGCCTGCATCTTCAACCTTCGTGGCGATAAGTTGTTTGAAGTAGTCCTAAACGTTGCTTAAAGATATGTGCTCGGGTGTTATACCAACTCAATGCCTAGATGCTTGACCTGACAGCGTAGACAATGCCCAGCCGCACCATCTTAAAGCCCGAAGAAAGCTCCCTTTCAACACGCCTACGGGGTGATCCAAAAGCCATTAAAAGACACCAATTGAGGCCCAGACAAGAACCCAAGGCCTACCGTAGGGAGGTTCTCATCCGGACAAATTATTGCTCCCACATTAATCGTCCCGATCGGAAGAATGCGGCCTCCCCGAGATGTCTCTCACTTGCCTTGCACCCACTCGTTCGTTCACTTGGTTTGAGGCTCGTGGACGCAAATTCATCATACTCGCGAGGCTTCCGGTTAATCGTTTAGGCAGGGTAGAGGTACCTATGGAGATCTGGACAGACTCCGAGCTTCGCTATGCCCCCCACAAACTTGGTGCTAGATCCCCGGCCGAGTTTGAGCCTTTTCCTGCCCAAATAGTCAATTTGTTTACCCTGAACTCTGTGGGAGTATGGCGGGCTTTGAATTCATGCATCTAGACTTCATCCAAATGCCATAACGGAAGATTGTTTCAAAGGCTGATGAATTAGCCATGCTTTAAGCAGCATAGTTTTCCATGATACCATCCTCCTCCGAGCAATGACCGTCGATGTGTCACGGACGGAGTAAGAACGATTCCCACTTGTGTATGTGGTCTGGTCAAGGATAGGTAGAGAGAGGTTGCCGACAGAGAGTCGCGCCTTGGTCTGGCCTCTGCTAGAGCAGGTGACTATGGCAGAATCGAGGACTGCGAGGGCGAGGAAACAAGGGTATGTCTCGGAGGGACGAGTCAAAAGACTGGACATGACTGGGAAAACTCCACAGCCACCGCGGTGCTGGTGGAAGTGCCGTTCACAAGTTCAGCGCAAGAACTCGATCCGTGTTCATGCAAAGCCCGCGCGTGCATTGGAGTGGCAATGGCAAAACGAGTCGGATGGTGGGGCAGCAAGTCAATGGACAGATTGAAGAGGAGGTTTCGAGCTTGGTTCACCAGCTCCGCAGAGAAAAGAGGGGGAGCTTATGGAACAGCAGGCCACATTTGGGTGGTTCACGATGATGGACAGGGAAAAGATCGTGAGGGTTATAAGAGTTCGCGCTCGTCCGATGAATTTCTGACCTGTTGTTTTTTTATCTTCTCTACATATCAACGAGTTACAATACAAAGGGTGTTGTTCCAAGCAAGCCTCTTCTGCACCAAAACACAAAAGGTACGTACCCCTCCTGCCCCTCACGTTTGTTGTTGTCATCATTATCAGATTGTCGAGGGGCTGGATTGTATTACTTGTTCGGGAGGAGATTCTCCGAGGACTCGAAATACTGCTGGTTGACTTTGTCCCTAAGCACACGAGGGATGGAAAGGGCATGGAAAGCTCCCTGTGACCGCCATGTTTCTCTCCCTTCCCCTCATACTCGTTACACTTCTCCTGGTGCCAATTCTATCCCACCTCCATTCGTCGCTTGCCTCTGCCCTGACACCATTTCTCCTCCTTTCAGACCCCTGCTCTTGCACCCAGTTCCGCATCTTACAAGTCTCGACGTAAACTGACTAGCCTTCCCCCAGGTACCTCCCCTCCTGGCTCAAAGCTCTGCCGGAAGCATCTAACATCCAGAAGATACAAAACCAGCTACCTTTCCACCCAAAACATCCTCCTCAGACATATCTCATTTCACTTTGTGTGTTTGAAGCTTCAAAATGGTATTTGCCCGTGTTGCTGCTCGCTCGTTGCCGCGAGCATCGTCCCTCCTCTCCTCCACTTCCCCGCACTTCGCTCGTCGAGCTGCGGTGCCGTCCTTTCAACCATCGTCAATTGCCAGACGCACGCTAACAGCCACCGCTTCTCGCCAGGGCAAAGTTCTTTTGGTTCTTTACGATGTATGTCAAGACATCCTATCCTCAATCCCAGGTCATCATTGCTGACCACCTCACAGGGCCATGAGCACGCCAGAGACCAGCCTCAGCTCCTCGGTACCACAGAGAACGAACTAGGCATTCGAAAATGGCTTGAAGATCAAGGACACACTTTGGTCACCACCTCAGACAAGGAGGGAGAGGGCTCTACCTTCGACAAGGAATTGGTCGATGCCGAAGTCATCATCACTACTCCGTAAGAAGAGCTTTGGGTCTACATGGCAGGAGGCTGCCGCTGACTTTTTCTACTCCAGTTTCCACCCTGGTTACCTCACCGCTGAGCGTCTCGCCAAAGCTAAGAAGCTGAAGATTGCTATCACCGCTGGTATTGGCTCTGACCATGTCGACTTGAACGCCGCAAACACCACCAATGGCGGTATCACTGTTGCCGAAGTCACCGGCAGCAACGTCGTGTCCGTCGCCGAGCACGTCGTCATGACCATCCTCCTTCTAGTCCGCAACTTCGTTCCTGCTCACGAGCAAATCGAACGTGGTGACTGGAACGTCGCTGCCGTTGCAAAGAACGAGTATGATCTCGAGGGCAAGGTCGTCGGTACTGTTGCCGTTGGCCGTATTGGTGAGCGTGTGCTCCGCCGTCTCAAGCCTTTCGACTGCAAGGAACTCCTTTACTTCGACTACCAGCCACTTAAGCCCGAGGTTGAGAAGGAGATTGGATGCAGACGTGTCGAGGATCTCGAGGAGATGTTGGCTCAGTGTGATGTTGTCACCATCAACTGCCCTCTCCACGAGAAGACCCGAGGTCTCTTCAACAAGGACTTGATCTCCAAGATGAAGAAGGGTACGTTACAATGCTAATCTTAGTATTCCCCCATTCTAACGTCTCACAGGTGCCTGGCTCATCAACACCGCCCGTGGTGCCATCGTCGTCAAGGAGGATGTTGCCGAGGCCCTCAAGACTGGCCAACTCAACGGTTATGGTGGTGACGTCTGGTTCCCTCAGCCTGCACCAAAGGATCATCCTCTCAGAACTGCCAAGAACCCATGGGGTGGAGGCAACGGCATGGTTCCTCACATGTCCGGTACTTCGCTTGATGCCCAGAAGCGTTATGCTGCCGGCACCAAGGCTATCCTCGAGAGCTACTTCTCCGGCCGCGAGGACTACAGACCTGAGGATCTCATTGTCTACAAGGGAGACTATGCCACTAAGTCATACGGTCAGAGAAACAAGAAATAAGCGACTGGTTGTTGACCATGGTCTTGGCTGCCTCCCTTTGGCTATTTCAGCAGCATAAGTCTTGTTGATCCATTGAGTCTTCCTCAGGAGTCCAAGCTGGCGCGTATAGCTATCGGCACTGAAAGGCCAACGATATGTATGATGGGCATTTGAGGAGCCACTTTGTCGTATATATCACGAGTTTTATCATGAGAAAATGTAAAAAGTCTACAATTGATTGTTCTACTCTTTTTGCGCCCGTGTGATTGTTTTCTACCTAGGTACACCAAAGCCTGACTGCTAGTGACTCGCAGTACGACGCAGGTTTTCACATTAGACGTTGAAGGACCTAATCTGGTAAATCATCCCGAGCCGACTTGAGATTGCCATGCTTTGAGATGGGATCGGGAACACCAACCACTTGGCTACCTAGGTACCTACAAGTCGGCACAAGTAGTAATGCAGTACCTGGGGTACTTACCTAGGTACTTAGGTACGTAGGGAGGTTTCCGGTTGAATGATTAAGCGGGATCCTTCTTACACAAAAAACGGGAATGTATCGGTGGGAGGGGGGGGGGGGAGGGCAACTTATCTTTGACTGCGGGGCTCACCAAAGGACCGCGCAGGCACGATTATTACCTTTGGGAGTAATTCCGTACTTGTATACTACGTACCTCGAGGTACATACAGTTTTACCATGTTGGGAGCTTCGACTGAGGTTTGTCTAAATTCGAACAGATACATTTTTATGGTGGTGAAAAGAAGACATGGGAACCCATCTTGTGGATTAGAGAATCCCTCAGGGTTTATGATTTGGAATGTAAGAAAGAGAATCAAAAAGGATATTTATACCTAGGGTTGTTTTTGTCAGGGGGGTCCCTCGTCGCAACCTGTACAATCACTTTGTTGTCGCTCGAATACATACTGGACTGGCCTGGGCTTTGGGGGGTACAACAAAAATTTCCTTACTTCCCGGACATCTCCTTTGTCCTGCTATGTGATGGATCATCAAGTCTCGGCGTGTGTGTGTGTGAGTGAAGTCAAAATTTCAACACCACAATCTCCATGCGGTCATTCTGTCCGACCAGCCACCGCTCGTCGCCCGCGATCCTCCCCATGGCGCTGACTTCTGCGGCGAGCTGATCCTCCAACGTGACCCATTCGTCGACGGCGGCGGCGGCGGTGGTGGTGTCGGCGGCACCCGTCACCTTCAACCTGACGACCAGTCTGTTCTCGACGCTCTGGCCGGAGAAGCACGTCTCCACCAGGCTCATCCGGACGCCGGCGTCGGCGTCGACCACGTCCATGACGGGGAGGAACCAACGCTCGCTCTCCTCCACGTCGGCGCTCTCCATGCTGCAGTGGCCCCGGTAGGGCGGGAGGTTCCCGTCCCACTCCCGGTACAGCCGGGGGCCCTGCCCCTCGAACGGGAACGTGGTCGTCCTCGCGCACCACAGCCGCTCGGCCGGGTCGAAGTAGCCCTGCCCCGCGACGTTGACGTTCTCCCGCACCGTCAGGGACCTCGTGCCCGAGTCGACCCGGAGGGACATCAGCGCGATGCTGGCGTGCTGCCGGACGCCCACAAAGTCCATGTCGGTGAAGGAGAACCTCGACACGACGCGGGGGCCGTCGCGGCGGCGGTGGTGGTCGGGCGGGCGGAACCTGCCGGACGGGTCGGTCGACGGCCGGTAGGGCGACCGGCGGGAAATGTCCCACACCGACAGGGACTCGATCGGCAGCTCCTCGTCCCCCGTGTACATGCTCCGGTTCGGCTGCCAAAAGTACACGGCGTAGTGCGTCGAGTCGTGGGTGGAGAAGAACCGGTCGTGGTAGTTGGGCGGGAGGCCCAGGAAGTGCATCTTCCACTCGGACCGCCAGCACACCTCCCACGGCTCGTGGTCGTCGTCGCCGCCGCCGCCTCGGCGACGGACGTCGAAACAGTTTGCAAAGTGCCGGTTGACCTGTTCCATGGCGTTGAGGTTGTGAAAGGGGTCCTTCTCGGCCCACTCGATGATCAAGGTCCGGTCTTTGAGCCGGAGGTTGCGGATGATCTTGCCCTCGTTGCTAAAAGGCACGGGACACTGCCGCCCGGTGGACAGGTCCAAGAGGCTGAGCGTCTCGGGGAAGTACCCCTTGTCGCCGAGACACCGCGAGGAAGGGGCGTAGACCAAGAGTCCGTCGTCGTACGACCACATGGTCGGCCTGAACAGGTAAGGCTTGGCCCCGAGCTTGCTCAGGTGGATGGCGGCGGTCTCGTAGTACAGACGGCCTCCGGGTTGACTCTCGTGGTACTCCCACTGGCCGACGCTGTACCAGTCGCCGTGCTGTTCGAGGGGGGCCATGGGGTATCTGAGCACCTGCCTCGCCGTGCCCCTGGAGAGGTTCCTGTACCGCGTCGCGATCAAGAGGAGCAGCTCTTGCCACCCGAGAGAGGAGGGTCGGAAGGAAGAGTTGAAATTGAGTGCGCTCCTGGGTAGCGACCTGATCTCTCTCGTCCGCGGGTAATTCTGCAGCACGAGTCTGATGTATCCCTCTCTGCTGAAGGCGGAGCGCCACGAACTGCACACTCGCTGACAACTGACGAGGTCCCAAGCGGACAAGTCCCTCAGGACCAGCAAGAAGATGTCCTCTGACAGGTCCGCTATCGAGGTTGAAGATGTGGTGTTCTTGTCGAGGGCCGCGTGGATGCCGTCGTCGTTGTTGAACCTGCACACCAGCTCCTCGGAACACGGTGACATGGTCGTGGCAACTCCAGACAACCTGCAACTTTGCCAAGCCGACTCACAGTGTGTTTCTTTGCAGTTCCGACAGACACAGATCTCCAAGCAACGCATCGAGAAGCTCAAGAGTCCTGGTCATGATGTGATGTGATGTGTGTGTGTGTGTGTGTGTATTTTCCTTTGAGCAAAAGAGGGGGAGAAAGCGGGCAAAGCAAAACAAATCCAACTCGTATGCAAAGTAAGTTTCCTGATCAAGGTACGTCAGGTATGAATCGGGTTTCGTCTGGGGGAATTTGTTTTCCTCCCTCTCCTTCTCTCACTCCACACAAATGGATTGATCGATCATTCCGATGCCCGGTCAAACTTGTTAGACTTGTCAAGGCTATCCGCATCTCCGGCGAATGAACATAATTAAGCTTCCTTTCCAGGAATCCCTTATCAACGGCAGAACGAGCAGAGGGCGAAGGGAGCTTCAAACGTCCCCCGGTTGAGGAGCCATCGTGACCCACATGACCCAAATCCCCCGCCCAATAGAGGGGTTCTTGGTTGACTAAGCAGACTAATATATCTCGGCAGACTTGCTCTGTGTGCCCATTTCTAGTAGGCATCGACACGAGTGGAAGGAGATGCGAGGGGGAGAATGAAAGGCGAAGAAATGTGTATTAATATTGTAATACAGTATGTAGAGTCGATGCGGGGAACATGTCGTTACTCCGTCGCGTCCGTCTCTCACTTCTTATTACACGTACATTGATTACGGAGTATTGGGTATCCGTATTACTCGTAGGCATTTTTTTTTCTACTTCCAAGCCATGTAAGAAAGTCTTATGTCTCAAGGCGTGATCGGGAGCTTCAGACGTTCCTTATTGGCTTGACTTTCGGATATTGTCGGCTTCCATCGCTCTGTTCTCTGGGCTTTAACAACTCATTCTCCGTACATATCTTAGTTTCCTACCTGGGCAATTCTCAGTTCCCAAACATTCTTGTGTGGAGTTGGTGACTCAAAAGACTCCGATACTCGCGTACTTTGTATATATCTTTTTCTGCGCTCACAACTCTGCGAATCATTTTCTAGATCATCACTCCCTCCTTTACCCTTTTTTTTCCCGCCTGAAAAAAAAATGGGTGACAACAGCACCATGTCGGTACCTACCACCTCTGCGTCCGCCTTCGCCACGGCGTCTTCCTCCTCCGCCTCCGCCTCCGCCACCACTTCTTCCTTCACCGTCAAGGCCGGCCTGGCGCAGATGCTCAAGGGAGGCGTGATCATGGACGTCGTGAATGCCGAACAGGCCCGCATAGCTGAAGAGGCGGGAGCGTGCGCCGTCATGGCCCTGGAGCGCGTGCCCGCAGACATCCGCAAGGACGGCGGCGTGGCTCGCATGTCGGACCCGCAGCTGATCAAGGAGATCCAGGCGGCGGTGACGATCCCGGTCATGGCCAAGGCCCGGATCGGGCACTTCGTCGAGTGCCAGATCCTCGAGGCCCTGGGCGTGGACTACGTCGACGAGTCCGAGGTGCTCACGCCCGCCGACGACACGTACCACGTCGAGAAGGGCGGGTTCAAGGTCCCCTTTGTGTGCGGGTGCCGCAACCTGGGCGAGGCCCTGAGGCGCATCGCCGAGGGCGCGGCCATGATCCGGACCAAGGGCGAGGCCGGCACGGGCGACGTCGTCGAGGCCGTCAAGCACATGCGCACGGTGAACAAGGAGATCGCGAGGGCGCAGGCCGCGCTGGCCGAGGGCGAGGGGGCGCTGCGCGCCATGGCGAGGGAGATCGAGGTCGACCCCGTCCTGCTGAAGCAGGTGGCCCAGCTGGGCAGGCTGCCCGTGGTGAACTTCGCCGCCGGCGGCATCGCCACCCCCGCCGACGCCGCGCTGATGATGCAGCTGGGGTGCGACGGTGTCTTCGTCGGCAGCGGCATCTTCAAGAGCGGAAACGCCGCCAAGAGGGCAAAGGCCATCGTCCAGGCCACGACGCACTTCCGCGACGCCAAAGTCCTGGCCGAGTGCAGTTCCGGGTTGGGCGAGGCCATGGTCGGCATCAACTGTGGGACCATGAAGGCCGACGAAAAGTTGGCCGGGAGAGGGTGGTAGAAACATCAACCAAGAGGAAATCTTGGACTCCGTGCTTCCTCTTACATGTTCAGTCTTCACCCCGAGTCATGATGTGGAAAGAGCGATATGGTAGGGGAGAGTGTCACCCTCTGACCAACAACGGCACAACGACAAAAGAATTGGCGTACTTGGATATGGGAAAGAAAGAAACAGCATCAGCGAATCTGGTTGAAAAGGTTGAACGCTCAAGCCAGCAAGGAATGGGTTATTCGTGCTTGCGCCTGGATACTCTGCTGCGAGGTATGAGTTTGTTCCAGGTCTCGCACTCTTTGTCAAAACACCCACACACTTTCCAGGAAATCAAAAAGTTATGTACAGACGACCTATTACACTTGAAGTTCCATTTTGGTGACACACCCCATCTCCGAAGTTGCCAGTATACGTGTGAACGATATCAGCTTGGCTTTGTGACTATCTGGTATGCAGGTGTTTTCAGCCTAATTACTTACTTGCTTTTCCACGTAAGGTGGATTTTTCGTGACACCACCTATCTGTATTTTCGCACTATCTAAGGAGTACCAGCGTGTATACATATATCTATATCGGGAGCGTTTCGTAGTATCATCCAGAGAGATCCTCCAAGACGGCTTCCATCTCGTCTCTCCCCAACGGGACACCCAACATCTCCGTACCCGTCGCGTCCCTCCGGCTCGTTATCAACTGATGATCGTGAAACTCTTTCAACAAGAATTGAAAGTTCATGCTACTCGAACATATAAAGTCCGTGCTGGCCTTTTGGTACAATACCCTATACTCGACGCCGACCTCGTCTGCGCTGCCGGCCCCCTCAACTCCTGCTCTGTTTGGTCCTCCTCCTCCTCCTCCTCCTCGTCCACGTTTTGATCCCGGCCCAGCGTCGTCTTCATCGTCGCCGTAGCTGCCGCCGACACCACCACCTTCAGCCAATATGACCAGAATTTCCGAAAGCAGCAACTTGTATAGATTGCGTGCGTTCTCAGGGAGGGATTTGAGAACGAACCCGACACCTTCTTTACCCCCGATGCGCGTCCTCTTCCGACCGAGAAGTTCATGGACGTCATCGACCACATTAATCTCGGCATCGTAGCCAGCGAAAGTCGTACAGTCGTGGTACACGAACCGGAACTGATCGAGGAGACTGGAATTCCACATTGTTGCAAAGCTCGGGCTGTCCGCAGTCGCGAGGAAGGATATCATTTCGTGTCCGGCGAGGCGGGCGAGAACGGATTGCACGCCGCTTCGACGCAGGGGCGCGGCGTCGATCGAGTTGATCATGACCACCACGGGTTCGCCGAGGTGGGTGAAGAGTGTGTCGAGCATTTCGTGCGGTTGACCCACGAGTCGGAGCGTCGAGTCCTCACCCGTGATTGCACTCCCGACCGTGTTCAGGATGTGGCGGATGTTGAGTTTGGGTGTGTATCCGTTGACGATCACGATTTTCGGTTTCGTCCCGCCCTTGAGGGACAGTTGGGTGTACATGTGTTCTGCGAACTTGTTGACCAGTCCGCGCTTGCTGCCGTATCCGTACAGACATAGACCGTAGCCTTGGGAAAGCTCAAACTGCCACTGTGCGAACGATCGGGTGTGCAGCCTCATCAGATGTGATATGTGGCTTTCGTGGGGGTCTTTGAAGGTCTGGATGTTCTCAAAGTAGTCTTCGTGCGTGAGCAGTTTGACGGACGTGAATTTGTTGCTGGAGATCTGAGGCGGACCGGCACGATTCTGAAAGAAATACCGTTCTTCAGGAGGTATGTTGCCTTCGGGTGTGGGTGAGCGTTTGTTCTTTGCGCCCTTCGGACGACCACGACCTCGAGATGGTGTCTGTGTAGGTGTTGTGGCTTCTTGTCCTTCTCCTTCTCCGTCTGGTTGATCTGCTGCGACAAGACGTTCGTGGTCATCGTCTTCTAGAATCTCCCTTGCCAGCGCGGCCTGACCGTCCCAGTCATCCTGATCTTCGTCTTCGTCCTGGGCCAGGGCAATAGCTTGAGCGCTCTTGCGACGGGCCGAACGATCTGCTTTGGACTTTGAAGGGGTCGTAGCGCCAGCTTTGTTCCGTCGTGGCGTCGAGAACAATGTGCGACCGTTGGTTTTGGGTGTCGGGCTGCCATTTTCGAGATCTTCCTCCTCTTGTATTAGATCCGCTGCAGATTTCCTCTTTCTTCGAGATGGGGTCTCTTGTTTCTTGGGCGATGGTGCGGCATCTTCATCACGGTGTACGCCGTTTGTTAAACTTGCTTCGGTGGTCTTTCTTCGGCGCTTCGAAGGCGTTTCGGCCACTTCAGGAGAGGGAGATGGTTCTGCATGTTTTCGTTTTGCCATGATGGATACATGGACATGAAAACTTCAGAGGTTCATTCGGGAGTAACTTTGAGGACTACATGCTCATTTTGCATGTTGATTTCAGTGCAAACACCAGGCCGGGGCTACGATATCCCTTTGGTTACATGGAAACGCGACGAGGCGACGAGGCTGTCATATGAAGTTCCTTCTCCGCAAATCGGCCAAGTTGATTGGCGTCGCATTTCAAATGACCAGCACTAATAAATAAAATCGAGCGACGCCGATGCGAGAGACAGTCGAGTCATCAACCGAACACACTATGCGGTGACTCAGACTATTTTCGTTCTTCACTGCATGAATGAGAGATAAACAAAAAAAGAACTTCTCACATCTCGGCAAGAGAATTTCTGAAGGTGGTTCTTGTTTGCTAATGACTCAACACTCAACGACTCGCTAGCTCATCTCTTTCTCTGAGTTATCGGCACTACTTGTTGAAGCTCCCTGGACAAGCGGACAAGGGATCTGATCGAAATTGTGGAAAAGAGTGTGATTATATACACAAGGACACTGTCAGTCTGAAGGACTGCGATTTTCCAGAGGCCACTCTGACCGGTTGAAGTTTTGAAAGTACTATCATTTCCACCGACGACAAGCTCGGTAAGAAGCTCGACGATATAGCGAAGCAAGTCGAGCAAGTCGAACAAGTCGGAAACACTCGCAGCTCTCATTCCCCTCGGCGCATCTCCATCATGGCATCTCATTCCCCTGCCAGGTCCATGGTGAGGACGTTCATTCGCAATTATTCCGCCCCGGTCGACTCCTCTATTCCTGCCAACAAGCTCAAGTATGTTCCGACCTCGGGCACGTATCCCAAAGGCTTCCGTGTGAGCGGCACACATGTGGGTGTGAAGGCTTCCAACACGTCCAAACCAGATCTTGCCTTTATAACATCCGACACTCCAGCCTCGGCCGCCGCCGTCTTCACCACAAACAAATTCCAAGCGGCGCCCGTGCAGATCAGCAAAGCGGTTCTTCAATCTCGAGGCGGCGCCAACCTTCGCAGCATCATCATAAACTCGGGATGTGCAAACGCCGTCACGGGCAAAGGTGGTATGGAGGACGCCCAAGCCATGTCCGACACGGCCACCGCACAGTTCCAACAATCGTCCCAGCCAGAGGACGACAATCTCGGATCGACCAGTCTGGTCATGTCGACGGGAGTGATAGGCCAACGCCTACCGATCAAGAAAATCCTCGCCGGGATCCCCACGGCCTACCAAAACCTCGACAACGACCACAACGCCTGGCTCACCACGGCGAAGGCCATCTGCACGACCGACACGTTCCCCAAACTCCTCAGCACGACATTCACGCTCCCCTCGGCCTCGCACCGGGGGACACAGTACACGCTGGCCGGCATGACCAAGGGAGCAGGCATGATCCACCCCAACATGGCGACCCTCTTGGGGATTTTGTGTACCGACGCGCCCATCTCCCCGGGCGCCGCACAGTCCCTCCTCACCGACGCGGTCAACAAGTCCTTCAACTCCATCTCCATCGACGGCGACACGAGCACCAACGACACGGTGGCACTCCTCGCCAACGGAGCGGCCTCCCCTTCGCCGGACGCCCCGGCCGTCTCCGACGACCCGTCCGACCAAGACTACGCGGCCATGGCGTCCGTCCTGACGTCGTTCGCCCAACGGCTCAGCCAGCTCGTCGTGCGCGACGGCGAGGGCGCGACCAAATTCGTCCAGGTCACCGTCCGCCGGGCGCCGTCGCACGCCGACGCCAAGGCCATCGCGAGCACCATCGCCCGCTCGCCGCTCGTCAAGACGGCCCTGTACGGCAAGGACGCCAACTGGGGTCGCATCCTCTGCGCCATCGGCTACACCCCCGGCATCTCGCCCGACGCCGTCGTCCCTGGCAAGACCAACGTCAGTTTCGTCCCTGCGGAAACCTCAAAGTCCAAGGACGAAGGTGTCCTCGACCTCCTCGTCAACGGCGAGCCCGAGGCCGTCGACGAGGACCGCGCCGCCCGGCTGCTCGAGGACGAGGACCTGGAGATCGTCGTCGACCTGGGCACCGGCGACCAAGAGGCCAAGTACTGGTTCTGTGATTTCAGCCACGAGTACGTCACCATCAACGGTGATTATAGGACTTGAGGTTTTTAAACACCTAGGCGCTCATCCCGCGTCACGCACAAAAGGGGCCGGGATTTGAGGACATTTGTTTCTTTTCTCAAAAAAGAAAGAAGAAAAGAAGAGAAAAGAATAGCAAAAACAAGGCACACTTGGAACTGACGCGGATCGAATAGTATATGCTATTTCAACACAGTACAAACAATACACACAGAGTACCCAAGTCGCCTAACACGTACTATATAGCCTGTATGCAAAGGGAAAGCTCGTCAGAGTGGATAGAAGCCCTTTGCAAACACAAAGCTCCTGAAACTGGACTTGGAATACCTTTTAGATTTTCTCGTCAAATCGGTACAGAAATCGTAGTCAAAGTCTTACATCTTACTGTACATGGCCTTGTTTTTATCTTTATGCTATCGACCTTCCTGAGCTTTTCCCAACTGGATCCCTTGCTATGCATAAATAAAAGGCAACTACTTTTTTTATCACCTTGGTTGTTTGTCATCATGATACATTGTTGGACAAACGCACCTTGCCAAAAGAATCACCACAACCCCCCAAGGTATTGCTTTAATATATGCTGAGACAACTTCCAAACTACTTAAAGAGCACAAGATTCCGGCCTAAATCTAGGCGATAAGCCCCTTGAGATTCTGACCGAAATCACCTTCTTTCGCTGCGAGTTCAAAGTATCCGTAGATGATGGTGACGGCCAGAAGAATACCAGTACCACTGCCCAAAGCACCAAGCATGTCACTTGCAACAGAGAGAGCACCGATACAAGCACCACCGAAAGCGGCGGCAGTGGGGATGACACGCTTGAGCTCCTTGTACATGCTCTGCTCACGATGTCCAGCCATGACGAGACCTTGTTCCTTGAGAGTCTTGGCGACGTCGCGGGGAGCCGAACCGGAAACCTCGATCCAGGTCTTGGAGAAGACCGCACAGGTGACGATGATAAAGGTGACGTAGATGACGGTGTGGATCGGGTCGAGGAGAGCGTCACGGAAGCTCAAAGGGGGAGACATGTAGTAGGCGACACCACCGGAAGCGTAGAGCTGAGAGGATCCTTCTCTTGGTTCCCAGGTACCGATGAGCTTGACCAACAAGTTGTCCGAGAAGCGAGTGTAGAGCATTTGGCTGATCATGAAGATGTTGGATGCGAGAGCCGATTGCAGCATGATGGGCATGTTGGAGGTGTAGAAGAGACGGACAGGGTACGAGCCGCGCATGCCACGTTGGCGGGAGGACTTGACGGGGATCTCGACACGGAAGCCTTGGAGGTAGATGACCGCCGCGAAGACGGTCAAAGTGGCCAATAGGTTCATGACGTTAGGTAGGTGTTGTCGGTAAAAGGCCTCACGCAGAGCGCGGGTCTTGTCTGGCCAGGTGACGAGCAGATGGAAGAGAGCAATGACCGCGCCTTCAAATTCCTTTCCGCGTCCGGTGTCGATCGTGGTGGGGGAGAATGCCTTCCAGATGATCGACTCGCAGATGTTTGTTGCAATGAACAACGAGATTCCAGATCCAAGACCATAGCCCTTTTGCAACAACTCATCGAGAAGGATGACAACCAAACCAGCAATGACCAGCTGAACGATCAAGAGGAGGCAAATACCAGCACCAAGGTCACTTGGCTGGCCGTAGAGGCCGGTGAGGACAAAGACGCAGGCTTGGCCAAAGGAGAGGATGATGGCGAACAGCTTTTGCGCAGTCTGGTAGAGTTCTCGGTCGGACTTGAGATCGAGGTTGACATCGATGAGGTGAGTACCGGCAAGGAGCTAACGCGTTGTTGGTAAGAATTCTCCCGCAGACGGTCGCGTGTTCACATACCTGGAAGACCATGCCGGATGAGATGATGGGTGTGGTACCCAACTCCATCAGCGTTCCTCGATTACTAGCCAACATCATACGCAGCCAGTAAAGAGGATCGGACGTGTCAGAGGAGACAATGCCGTAGAGAGGCATTTGACTCATGACCAAGAAGATCAAAAGTGTACACTGTCCTCTTTGTCAGTCGTGTTGTTCTTCCTGCGCGTCTGGTCGCGACTCTTACTCCTGTCCACATCAACTTCTGGTTGAAGGGAATTTTGGACTCGGGTGCTGCCACCTCCGGGAGGAGGGGCGTAAAGGGTTTGATCAGGTCAAGAAATCGAACTGATTGCTCCTGTTAGCATTTCACGCGTGCGGAGAGGTTGGTAGCACGTACGGCCGCTCATGGTGACTGCGGGTGTTGCGCAGGACGGGCAGTTGAGGTATTGATCGGCTCTCCGAGTGGTAGAGAGCGGTCGAAGTGGCGTTTGAGAAGACGAAGAAGAGGGAGAGAAGGAAGAGAGAAAGTAGGAAGCGTTGGTCCCCTGAAAGCTACAACCACTTCATTCTTTTGGACACATCGACAACTCCACAAATTGTGAGCTCACGGTCAAACGCCAAGTCTACGGTGGTCCATTACTATACGGCAGAGCATTAATACCAACGCCATACCATCATTGCTATGTGCTGTTCTTCCCGCTACCTTAGGTAGGTTCTTTTTCGCTTTCAGTTGCATGCCATACTCTACAAAACCTGTACAATCTCATCCCGGTCCTTCATCTCCAGTATATCGCTGCTGTCCATTGCAGTGCTGGCTAGAGCAGCGTATAGCATAGCGCGGAACAGAAGAAGTGTCTCCATCGCCTCGAGTCGACTCTTAGGTCGCCACATTGGTCTCATCCGTTCACGAGATTGTGAACGTCTCGCTCCTGCATCGTCAACAGGAGGAGTCGAAGTCTTTCGGCCTCGTACCTGTGATGCCCTCCGGGATGGGTATGGGAAACCTGCCTCAGGAGGCCGAGGTGGCGATTGCTCATCCTCTTCGTCTTGTTGAAATAGTTCCAACCAAAGACCATGTTCAAATGCAAACAATAGTGACAGAATTGCATCGGACACAGCTTCTTCAAGAATAAGCTCAACATCTTCTTCATTTCTCTTATCAATGACTGAAAAGGGTCGTCCACTGCGCGGGTACACGTATCGTGCAACTTCACGTGCGTACACCAAACCTCTATCGCAGAGTCCTGAACCATTTTGAAGGTGCATATCATGAAGATCCGGACATCGACGACAACGTCTCAAGTGCTTTGCGAAACGTGACATGACATATCCCTCGTCTTCGCGAGGTTCTCGCAAACAATGACTCAAAGAGTCGTCCTCATTACTCGAAGACATGCGCATGGTTTCCTGAAATTCCTCCTCCGAGCCCTCTTTGGTCGTTTCCGGATACCATTCAAGCAGAGCGTGATCAGAAACATCGGCATTCAATCCTTCATCGGCACTGAGCCTCCGTTCTTCGCCCGGTTGGTAAAGATCCGCCTGTGTATCGTCTCGTCTCGCAAAATCGCCACCAAGATCGTGGCCTCGAGCTTCGGCAGATGTTGGTTCTAATGCCTCTTCACTGTCCAGAATAGCAAGCAGGTGATGAGAGCGGCCGTCCCGTACTTTAAACGTATCTCTTGCTGTAATGTATAATTTGGCCAGTAGATTCATCGCCGCACACAAAGAATCTTGGCCTCCATGCTCTCTTAACCAAGAGTCGACGGTGGCTAGTTGCCAGGCAATCCATTTTCGAGCTTCTACTTTCTCAGAAAGAGTCAGGTCGTTGAGATATTGTGCACCGCTTCTCCACTGAAAACACAACTCTAGTGCGTCTGCAGATACCAATAGATCACCATCTGTGGCCGAAAACAGCTGGGGGTTCTGAGTCTCTGGCACTGGCTGTGCAGGGCTGAATGGGAATGCTCTCAAAGGCGCACTTTGTCCTGGGGAGACAATGGGGCCGAACCAAGTTTGCTGAGTGGTGCCAGCAAAATGGTCATCGATGAGCTGTTGCATACCTATGTTTAAGTAATTTGGTTTGAAGTGATGGTCCTCAACCTTAGAATGTCGAGGATCAACGGCAACATCGCGCCGAGATGGACGACATTTGAACAACAGCAGACCCTTTCCATCACCAGGCAAGAGCTTCAGCGCCTCGATAACATTCAAAGGCTCCTCACTCCAGCTCGGACTACCTTTGATCAATAAGTGAACATGTTCATAGTACTGGAATAGCCGGAGCGGAAATAATGTGGTAGCTCGAGGTCTGTCAGCAAAGAGTAACACCAACAATATAGATTGTAAGTAGCTGTCATGGCGCATTAGAAATTGTGATGATGCGCCTAGAGATTTGACATGGCCCGTACATATCTCATGACCGCATTGATCCTGATGTTCCAGGGTCTTTAGCAAGGCAGTCAGATTGGTCCTCACATCGATCTGACTTTTCGGAAGGCATCTTATCTCCAGAAATGGTTGCTGCAAGAAACGAATGTGGCCAAGTGCCTCGAGACAAGCCCAACGCGTTTGCTCCAACGAGAGATAGTCTGACTCAGGTCGCTCTTTGTAGCTTTGATAAGTTCCCACGAGTCCTAAGCTGGGGTGCTGTCTCAAGACTATTTGTACTTGGGGGCCTTTGGCCAGTGGAAGATCTTGCCTGACATAGCACGAAGTGCAGCCGGCAAGAACCGCAAGTACCATGAGAGCTTCAATAGTTGCAAATGCAGGTGCCGCTGAGATATCTGCGGGAAGGTGGTCGGTCTTACAGAGTCTGGTTCGTAGTTTGACGGTTTCGAGACCAACATGCCGCAATAGCATGGTCCAGCTCGCAGACACATCTCCGGCATTTGGCTTGTCTTCCAAGAAAGACGCCTCGACATCGCTAGAGTCTTCTTTGGATCTAAACAGATGCAAAGGATGGCGTTTGCGGGGCTTTCGTGTCGTGTTGCGGTGTTGACCTTCACCCACATTCGTCGCGGATTGATGCCTTAACAAAGAGCACGTAAATATCCAATACAGAAGTCTCGGACCTCTTCCGAGTACGGATGCATTCCTTTCGACTCGGGACTCAGTATCCCATTTTCGAGAGGCAGAGATGATCTGAGGTAGATCAATGATAGGAACCTGGACTGTGGTTCGAAACCTCCATTCGGTCCAGTCGAAGCGCGTCCGGGCTGTTTGTCCGTAGATGAACCCAATGACACTCTGGCTTGCTTTCAGTCTCCCGGGTCCAGCAGCGAGAACCCCTTGTAGCAACGCAAGAGTAGCGACGAACAATGCGAGGATGCTGAGGATTGCGGTAAAAGCGAAGTTGAGAGGGTCCCAATTAAAGCCGCCGCCTTGATCCACAATCTCGCTCAATAGACAGTCAGTCGTATTTCCCGAACATGATGGCATGGCATGGAACCAGTACTTATAAACTTAATCGTGCTATGTTCTTCTGGGTGGATGCTGCCACCTTTAATCGTATCACTCTTCGCGAAATCTTCTTTTAACTCTGCCATGTTGGTAATGGGCTCATAGCTGCTCAGCCTCATCAGCCTCGCTAACTTGATGCAACCCCTGCTATACGTGATAGGGACTAGCTTGACAAGGGGTCGATACGATCAGGGTCATCTTTTGATCATTGATCTTCGAACATCTCCCGATATGGTGTCGCCTGCATGATCGAGATTTTCATCAAATTGAGCGCAGAAACCTTGGAATTCTTTCTCTTGCTGCGTCAACCGAGTCTCTAAATTACTCCGCGCCAGCCCCGCTGCGTGTGCACTTCGTTCAAACAAGAGAGCTTGCTCATAATAATATTGAGCTTGGTAGTTGGACCGATCCAGCTCGACAAGGAGTTATCGGTTACTGATGATAACGAGGTTCTGCAGGAGACGTTCGAGTTGCTGTGCTGTAACGGCAGCTTTGGACTTCACACTGACCAGCTGTTCATCTCTTGCAGCCACTTGACGCTTCAAGACTCCTATTTTGACATCCTTGTCGTCGGACTGCTCCTCGTACTAGGCAAGCCGGATCCTAGCTTGCGTCAGCTCATCTTGAAGGACCTTGGTCTCACGCTCATAGCTGTTAAGCTGTAAATAGAGACTTTGCGATAAGTCTTGCTCCTCCTCAAGGCCTTCTTGCAACTGATCAATGATAACTTGTTGCTTCTTCGCCACGAGTCTCTTTTCGATCTCCACATTCTGCTTGTGAGTGTGGTCAGAGGTTCCAGCAGTTGACGTTGACGCAATCCTGGTTGAAATGGCAGGATTGCTGTCATCAGGAGACAGAGAAGTGTCGCTGTCTTCTTCCTCTGCTTCCGCGCCAGATACAGCGGCTTCTCCAGGAGCGAGATGTTCATCTTTTTCAGGGAGCGCCGGTGACACCTCTCCTTCGTCACTTTGTTGGACCAATGACCCAGATTCCGCCTGCTTCATGCACTCCTGGTGTTCTAGGGGGACTGATCGTAGATGGTAGAGGGCTGAGTCGAAGGTGAATCTGATGCCCAAGCCAACATCTATACCTAGACTTGCTCTGGAGCTTCGTCGCAGTAGGTGGCACTAACCCCCAGTCTGCTTCGTCACAAGGATCTGTATTTGATCAGAATTGCCTTCCTGCTCGACCAAACCTGAACATCCCTGACAAGGTACTTAAGGTTTCTGGATCCTCCTGTTGCTGGACATGAAAGGCAATGACCTCCTTCTTCTCCTCTTTTGCCTGCTTCCAGACACAAGCATAACAGATGCTCTGAACAACTCCAATGTCACGTGTGTGTCTCTGTTTGTTTGTTGCGCCATGGAAAACGCTACTCACTTGCAATAAATTGGATTGCTCCACTGGACGAGGAAGAGGAGTGATGGCCTTTGCACAAGTTATATATCCAACATCTGACTTCTTCCCCGTGGATGGCTCGCGACCCAGGCATTGACTGGATAGACTCATATCCTCATCTTCTGCAGTCACGGTTGCAGTCCCAGCGAGAAACCCGGCAAGAATTATCTGCATGATACTGTCAGTTTCGATTATCCACGCGGGCTGGTTTTACTTGCTGGGGCGTAGGCATTGCCCAGATTTCTGATGGAGACTCTGAATGACATGTTTCGTTTTGAAACCGCAATTGCAAATTCGGCAACGGGACAACTCTTAGAAAAGATAACCTTGCAATTCTATGCCGCTGAGGATAGAGGGCTGTGCCGAATGGGGTATTGATGAATCTGATGTTGCTCGAAGGGATATTGATGAGCCTTTTTTTGGTTTGAAAATCTTTGATCGGAAGACCTGGCAATGCCCAGCATGGAGAAAGGGGAGGAGAGGGAGAAATCGCGCGAAGCATGACTGCAAGAACTAGTCATGTTGTTTTGGTCTTCACTCTTGTGATGCGTGGTATGAGGACTCACAGCCTTGTCGTCTAGCAACACCAAGGTGCTGGTAGGAGTGAAAGGTGCATACTGCGCAGTATGAACTGCCTGGGGAATGCGCTGCCTAGCTGTATCTTCACATTGAGGAGCATTGTGAATGACATGAGATGGCTTTCAGAGAGGCGTAAGATGACAAGGCGTGTCCAGTGGAGTTTTTTGAATGCTCCTGATGGATTGGCCGTGGTATCAGAGATCCCCAGTTCGTTCATCGCATCGAGACGGTAACCACCCTCAAAGAGGCGTGGACACAAAGACTGAGTGCGAAAACACTGCAATGAAGCTGCGAACATTGTTTTGTTGGTAAACCACTAATAATGAGCCACACTTTGTGAACAGACCGTTTGTCTTTGTATATTTATATATAGTCCTCCTGTGAACTCTCAGAGGTTGTGCGACGCCATTCGTTTGAAGTCAGTAGCGTCTTCTGCAGCAATCGGGGAACTGCAGAAGACGCTTGAGTGACTCGGACGCTGCAACAAAGCGCAGGCAGAGTGAGATCGATTCTGTTCAGGTTTGGCCTTTTTTTAAACCCCTTCGAGGTCGTAAGGCAAAGCATCCACCAATAAAGAACATTTTTACAAAGGGCTCTTCACCTACCGTTGCGTGTGCTTAACGTACCAACCTACTGTGAGAACCGTTTCATCTGCGCCGAGGAGAGGACCTTTGCCACAAAGAACCAAGTCTCAGCATAGAGATGCATTGAACCTATGGATATGGCGTGGATTGAGCTGGTACGCTGGCGCAAGAAAGGAATGGAAAACAAGGCGAGGACGGGGATATGAATCTTGACTACGTATGCACCATCCATCATGTCATGTTGGCTCGTCGAAATATGCTCGGATGTCCGTATTAGGCATGTCACCTACTCATTATGGAAGTGTTTTTATGTGATGCGTCGCAGGTAATATGGCCCACCGTATGGAGTACTCCTTACACATCTACGTTCGAGCAAAAGACAACTTCTATTCCTCAACGTATTCTTACATTCATCATAGTACTCCGTACGGAGTACCTGAATGGTACTTCTTGCAATCTCATCTCGCTATGTGATGCTCCTACAGCATGGCCGTAAAGGCTTCTCTTCCATCATACCACTCACTAGTCCATGTGCATTCAGCTCATCTTGTGAACGTCGAATAGCCACAGAGACATCTCGAAAAGGACAAAGCATCGACCTGCGCATTGGACTCGATGGACATGTTAGGCTCGAGTATGAATACACCTCTTCTCCTTTCTCCAGAAGCCCAGCAACCATATTGACCTCACCTTAGTCTTGAGACCCCTTCAAGGAACGCGCACGCACGCGCGCAAGACCGTCCACGACATGTTCTTGTCCACTTACCACCGGGCCCATCACTGAAGGTGCCGGCCTTCAATGTCCAACCTCGGTTGAACACTCTCCTCTCCCCGAACACGTCTATCGTCACAATTCATTACCGCCTTGGCCTCGATACCGATGCTACGACCGACGAGAAGACATGTTTTCCAACTCCCATTCATGATGTGTCGACTGCTCTGTCATATCTGACCTCCTCGACGTCGCCCTTCAACGAAGGCCAGCACGAAGAGCCAAAGATTTGTCTCTTCGGGAGCCATATCGGAGGAGGCTTAGCCACAATGCTCTCACTCACCCACCCGGACGATGTACACGCCTTGGCTGTCATCGAGCCCCTGGTAGATTGGGTCAGCCTTGACGAGATCGTTGAACAGTTACGGCGAACGAAAGACACGGCCAGGAAAAGGCACAAACATCGAGCTACACGTTTTGGTGTCGACGATTCATCCGTACTGGCCGCCGCAGAAGATCTCATAAGGTTGCGTGCAAGGTTATTTCCGACCCCGTCATCATACTTTGATCCTTTCGCCAGTCCGCTATTATTTCTTCGCGCTCCGGGTAGAGATACGCCATTGAATAGGACTGTTGGCGACGACCTTGTCGAAGAGATGGGATTGAATGATAGCAATGGCGGGTTTGGCGACACCGAAAACCTCGAAGGTGATCTGCAAGAAGAATATTATTCTTCACACGCACCATTGCCCGATACAATGCCTACTCCTTTATCAACAACGCAGTCTCAATCTCCACCCAGACGGCGCAAAGTCCTGCAAAGATGGCCGGCGATAGGTCGACCCGAGTCTGCAATCCTCCCGCACGTCAAGGCGTTTGTCCGATCTCCATTAGTAGTCGGTAGCTTTGATGAAGTGGAGGGTAACTCGGACGGCGTACACTCCGAGCAGGGTCACGCGGCACTGATGCGAGCTCAAGGCAGTGAATTGGTCGAGCTCATGCGTAGAGCATGCTTTTTTGGTCGAGAGAAAGGCTTTGCTGAAGAACGAGTTCGGCTCTATGAAGAAACTGCTCACGATCAAGACATGGGGAGTGAGAGTGCCGAGGCTCTCACAACGAGTAGCCATTCACGTCCCAGCATGCGCCTGCACGAGCAAGCACTCAGCTGGGCTGAAACAATGCTAGCCAAAGATTGAGTCTAAGGAACCATATAAGGATTAACGATATCTTTTCGGACATCGTCTCATGATGTTTTATTTGCAAACGCCCCCAACACCTTGCCGAGATGTGACACAATGCCCTCTACATGCTCCGGCCTAGCCGTAAATCCTGCCAGACATGTCTATGTTGTCCGGGAAAAATACGCTCCCAGAACCACGGGATAACTGCAAACCATCAAACGATGTCATCAAACAGCATCGTCGTTGTCCTTGACACTCGTCGAATCTGGGTCATTAGCTTCACCTCTTGATCTCTGCCTCTCCAGGTCGCTCTTTAGACTGTCCAGATACCATGCCGCCTGGGCCGAATACTTGCACTTTCTCCTGATGACGCGGCCGTACTTGTAGAAGAATATGGGGAATGGAAAGCATGCCAGAGCGATGAAACCCGGCACTGCGGAAGCCCAGTGCACACCTAGATTTTCATACATCTGGACGGTGAAGAGGGGGAAAACAGCGCCAAAAGCGGAACGAAGGACCGAGTTGGCTGCCATCACAGAAGCAGCATAGATTACATATGAGTCGATTCTGTACCACGATTAGCATATCTAGCTATAACTTTCTCTCTTTTCCCCGTAACGAGGCACCAAGGGAACACTCACAGATAGTTCATGCAAGACATGAAGATGAGCAGAAATCCCGCTCCAAAGGGTACTCCAGCGAGGATTGGGACGATCCAATGGACACTAGGAGATGTTGTGGCTGCGAACCATGCAAGACCAACAATGGCAATGACACCGCCTAAGATGACGGTCGGAAGACGAGTTTCTGGCGGTGCAAAGCCTCCTGTCTCTCTGTGGATACGGATGTAGCGCCTGTTGTCGTAGATGATGATGGCAACGCCGACGAATATTCCAACCAGCATGCCAATGAAAGCCAGACCGCCCACGCCTGCATTCCACCCGTGTCCTTCCTGGAAGACGATAGGGTAGGCGGCGAAGCAGAGATACAAGGTTCCGTAGATAACGGCGGTGTAGATCTGAGTAGTTCGAGGGTCAGTGGAAAGCGAGCCTGCAGACAAGAAACGAAGAGACGTACGGTGAGGAGAAGTACTATAGGCTCCCTGAATAAGAGCGCCCATGGCAACACCAAGGACTTCCTGACCATTTTGTGGAAGGTGAGCGGGTTGTCAATGTCGATCTTGGTCATGTGTGTCTTCCCAGTGACCTTGGTGAGCAATTTCGCCCTCTGGCGCAGCAACACCGGAGCATAAGTCTCGGGCACAATAAGAAGGCCGAAGAAGGTGAGTGCACCCGAGTACAGGGTCAGCACACCAAAGAGCCAACGCCATGATGCTCCCAAATCGATGAAGCCTCCGATCATTGGACCAAGGGTGGGCCCCAGAAACGGGGCGGCAGAGTATATGGCGATGACCACGCCTCGCTGTTCGGCGTCAAACATGTCGGCAATTTGGCCTCCGGGTATGACGAATGCAGCTGAACCAATCGTACCGGCAAGAGCCCGGAAGACGATCAGACTCTGAATATTTTGTGCGGCGATGCATATTCCAGTCCAAATGGTGTAGAAGATCATGGAGAGCATGAGAATGTTGCGACGTCCCAGCGCTTCAGAGAGGGGGCCGAAGACGAGCGGGCCGGTGCCAAATCCCAAGACGAAAAAAGTGAGACCCAGCAGGAATATTTCTTCGCTACAGTGGAATTCCTCCATGATACTTTCGCTCGGACCCGTGTAGGCGGAGGAGGCCAGCGAGATACACAGAGTCATAAAAGCTAGCAAGGCACTCAAGATGGTTTTGCGCTTCATTGAGTAGGTTTTCGGATTGCAAGGGTCATCGTCAAGCCACTGGACGATATAAGGGTCGCTGGGGGTACCGCTTCCACGGTATTTGGCCTCGATGATTCGACTGAAATCCGTGACACATGGTCGCCATGGTCTTCTTTTGAGTGTATACTGGGACCAGTCTGTGGGTTTTTCGATCGATACACGCTGAGGTGTGTGGTTTGGGCCATCCGAGTCGACGTCGATGGACTTCTCCTCGAGTTGTTGCTGGTCTTTCTCAATCAGACTGAGCGGGTTATTTGTCGTTGTCTGTATTGAGTCCGAGTCGGGGGGCTGAGTTGGTTCCTGCGTGTCAGCCATCGTATCTCAGATCTGAAAGTCAGTGTTGCACGAGACAATGGAAGCGAGGGAAAAACATCGTGGCATGTCACGCTGCCGACAACCGATAGATATAGCAACTACACGTGGAATTTGAGCCGCCACGTATTGCACCGCGCCGGAGTTAGGAGCCCGCGGACTTTTGTCAAGACGGACCATCTTTTAATTAGGAGGTAGAAAGTACTTCTCGGGAGCCGCATATCATAAATGCTTGTTGATGGCCCGTATAGCGGGACTAGTGGTAGTTGAAGCTACGATGGACGTCGCAGGGATAAGAAGAAAGAGGGGCAGCGACGTTGTTGTTGGTCGGAGAAATTGGCCACAAAGTCGCTAAAGACGCCGATTCGGGACTTTCGGGTACAAATCACTCCCGAACACCGTATCGCCTCTTCCACTCTGATGCCCCGAACCATTTGACATTGCATACGGCCGGAGGCTGTAGGGACGACTAATCGTTAAAACTCTGGTTGAGGGTCGATGATTCATGTCACCCAGGATGATATGAGGCCACCCGCCGGACCCAGTGGATAACATCTCTTCGGTCGGAAGTCTTTGAATTTTTGACTACTTCTCCGTTACTGCAACAGCGAGGCTGGGCACCAGTGTCGGCCATGCCAGACGAGAGAAAGATCCCGGCGTGCAAAGAATGCCGTGAGAAAAAGCTACGATGTGTGTTTGAGAAAGACGACTGCTGTCTCAGGTAAAACAAACCCCCGATCTTTCGACGCCTGAGGTCGCCGTGATTGACTCGATATCCAACAGATGCACAAGGTTGGGAAAACAGTGTCAAATTCCCGAAGCCAAGCGCAGAGAACGCAAGGCCCGATGTGATTGGTAGTCCCAAGTTCAATCAAGCTCAAGTCTAACCACGGCGGTGCAGTACGCGGGCGAGTCGAACATCTCGAAAGCACGTATTCGGAAATACTGGCCTTGCTGAAACGGAATGGCGACAACGAGCCCTCTCCGCCCACCACCGCCAGCTCACAGCGTCACCCTCCTTCGGTGACACAGACTCCATCGCGGAGGGCGAGCTTCCTGTCGGGGTCGGGAGGCCCTCAATCCATCCTCCCCGCCGTCATCGGCTCGGACATGCTGAGCCTGGACGAATGTGAAGCCTTGCTCAACACTTACCGAGAGATGTCTCGAGTCAACTACCCGTTTGTCCTTCTTCATCAATCATGCCGTGCCGCATCTTTGATCGAGGAACGACCCATGTTGGCACAGGCCATATTCATAGTCACGTCCTGGAAGAACCCCGCGCGACAGGCCGCGCTTCGCTCCATCTTTCTCAGAGATCTTAGTGAAAAGTATTTTATGCGGTACGAGAGGTCTTTTGACCTCTTGCAGTCTCTAATTGTGTACTTTGGGTGGTACGTCGATGTTTATGATTTTCCTTTGCTTGGAGACACTCACAGGACCGTCTTGCTAGGTGTCATTTCTATACCCACAGTTTCCCATCGGGCGCCTACAGACTGGCCACGGTCCTAGTGACCATGGCCATTGAACTTGGCATAACCCAGCGGCCACTTACTGTCACTCAACACGAGGTTCTGTTGAACTCGGGCTCGATATACCCACAGACCAATGAAGGCACGCCTTCGAAATTCTGGAACTTTGATGCCCGAAGAGCCTTTATTGCGACGAATATCATTTCAACGTTGTAAGTCACATATCCAGGCTCCTCTTATCCCCCGCGTGAGAATTATAATTGACTGATTTGGTAGTTGTTGCTTTACATTCCGCAAACACAACCTCCTCCCACATTCTCAATACCTGGATGAATGTGCAGACTCTTTGGTCGCCGACCCTCAATACCCTTCCGATTCCTTGCTACGTGCCTGGATCAAGACCATGGCCATGGCAGAGGGCGTGGGGGCTGCATTTGACCATGGCTCACGAGAACGTGCGGCTGAGCTGAACGACGAAAAGACCCAGCTCTTAGTAACAGCCATGGCGAGACAAGTGGAAGAGTGGAAAGCGAGTCTCCCACCCAAGACTTCTGAGACAGGTCAGTCAGGCCACGTCCCCCTTTGTCTCTAATCATTCTCGTCGACCGGTCCTCATGTTTTCTCCGACTCCCTTGTCACAAGCTAACTTTTGCTCCCGGGGTATTTCAGCCCACATGTACCGCGCGTACTACTGCAGCCGCGCCTACATCCACGAAGTCGGGCTTTACGGCTTGAGCCTGGGCCAAATACCGTCCGTCTCCCGAATGTCTATTATATATGAATGCTACTCGGCGTCGATGAAACACATTTCCGACAACGTCGAACTCTCCCTCGAAGAAATGAGCCAATGGGGAGTGATGGACTGGCGCCAACTGAACCTGTCCGTCATGCTGTGCGCCAAGTCTTCCATCATCCTAGACTCGACTTGCTGCACGGTCGAGTCGTCCCAGCGAGCCTCGTGGTTGGGGAAATGTCTGGACACGCTGTGTCAGCGGATCAAGGAACTTTACTTGATGGCCGTCGGAGGGTCTTCGGGGCAGGCCCAGAAACAGGACCACTTTTTGAAACGTCTAGCTAATGAATGGTCTAATATCAAGACTTGTTATCAAAACTGTGTACAGAGGAACCTTCAAACTCAACAACAACAGCAGCAACAGCAGCAACAGCAACAGACTCAGATACCAACGACGACGGCCGCCGCTACCCAACAAACACAAGCGTCACAGGCACCATTACTATTGCCGTCGGCCGAGTTCCCTTTTGATTTTGACGCGTTCAACGACAGTTATTGGTTCGGGATCGGGGAGGGTGAAGTATCCGGTCTCACTACCAGTGGCGGTTGGCAAATGTGATGTACCCCGGTACGGGACTGTATGAAAAAAATCATGTGCATGTGATATGTACACCGTATGACAATGACCCATGAACTGATTACCTACCCGGGTAATTTTGGGTTTGAAAAACAATCAAAACCACACAGCAACAGAATAGATACCTAGGTACGTAGTAGTGTCAGCGTAGAGTACACACAGTACAAGCAAAAGTTGTGGTAAGCGCCGTCATCGATTCGTCTAGAGTTTTTCGGTGGGGCTCGAAAACGAAGCCAACATATTTTTGACACCTCCAATTCTTGCTCAAATTCGACCTTTAGAATTTGCCCCCCCAAATTTCTGGTTGGCGCTGGCAGGTTTTGTAGTGTAGTGGTGATCACTCCGGATTTTGACCTTTGTTCTTGACCAAGACAACACAACTTTCCGGCAACCCCGGTTCGAACCCGGGCAAGACCTCATTTCCAATTTTTTTTTCTTTTTTAGATTTGAAGAAACGGCTCTTGATAATGTGTAGTACGGTATACTCATTGGCTCACTCACTGTGAGTCTGTGACTCACAGTCAATTCAATCAAATCATCTCGATCATATCTTCGTTGGACCTAGTTCCTTTTTGATATAATTACCTAGGTCCTCCGTAGGTAAAACAACACGACGGACTCATCCAAAAAGAAAAAAAAGGTTGTCTCCCATCAATCACCTAGATCCTTTTTCTTTCCTTTCCCTTTTCACTTCTCACATTGTACTTGTAGAGGGTACTTCACTTTATACACTATATAATATAACACGTCCCTTGTTGACCAAGGTCGGACCGAGCTACCTTTTCCCCCCTTTTGCAATGCAAAATGCATGCTGGGCTTCAGATAAAAAGGAGCATCACCCCTTGAAGGGTAACTCTGTACAACGAGGCCAAAAAAAACCTCCTTCCACTTCTCTCCGTTTTCTTACTTCCCGAGACTGATGAATCACTGCCGAGAACTTTTTCGAGTCAACCCTCTCAAGCAATGCTTGACAACTTTTGAGTCAACCCTTCCATGACTTTATTGCCTAGCATGAGATTATGCATTCATTATATGTCTGTACTTCTTCAATCATTGTCCTTCGTCATCTTCAACGTTGTTGGGCTTTCCAAGCTCGGTGTCATGACGCTGAAAAAACTTATCCAATCACTTTTTTGGTCTCGCCGTATCATGTAAAGCTGCTGTTGCCCGGGGGTTAATCTTGATTTTTTGATCTCGAAATACATAAACCTCATTTCACCTCCTGTTCAAGAAATTCACATTACCCGCTTGTGGCATGCTCAACAAACTATCCGCCCGTTGAAACACATCGCCCCTGAAGAACTGATCGCCATACGCACTGGCGGGTGTACTCGGAATCGCCATTTGCATATTCATGTTTGGCACTGTCGCTTGGGCAGCCGGACCGAGCGCCGCAGATAGCGGAGTGGCAGGTAGTGGTACCGAAACAGGACTTACGCCGTTGGACCCGTTAGGAAGAGCAAGACCATTGACGTTGATCATCTGTTTGGGCATAATGGCCGTGTTGGGGGTGTTTGCTGAACTTGGACCCAACCCTGGAATCGGAGGAACTGGTGCCAAGGGTGGTGGGAATGGACTTTGAACAGGATGTTGTCCCAATGACGAGGTGACCGTATTATACACCGAGGCATTTCCACTGATGCTTGTACCGTTCATGCCATTCGCGTGTGCATAGCCACTCCCGTTCATCGTCGGTGCAGATTGCTGGTTCGTCAACGTATTGAACACGCTCGGAGGTGGCATTGCTGCGGTCGCACTGTCGGTGAGATAACGCCACGGACTCGTTTCGATCAAGCGTCCAGCTTCTCGACTCGCTTTCTGCACCGGTCGGAGCATGATGATCAACTCTTGCGACAACAGCCGGAGAGATTTGGCTTCTCGCATATCCGTCAAAAGGTCAATAAAACTCATCAAGAAGTTCTTGCACAATGACCACAGCGACGGATCATTGCGGCCAGTTCCTGGAACGCTGGGTTCTTTGAGTCGCATATTGACCAGCCGGATCTGCAGCGCTTCACTGACATCAATGCACAGCTTGCATCTATACACCAATGTCGACCAGAGATCATGTACTGACTTGGGCTGTCGATTTTCCTCCGCTGCCTCGAGACATCGAATAAATTGTGCTTTGGCAATCGGGATGGTGTGCAAAGCAGCATCGTACGCTCTGCTTAGTGCCAGGAAAATTTGTTCAAACACAGCCTCCTCCTGGGCGTCTGTAAGGCCGGTGGCAGGATTGACCCGGGCAGGATACCCATTTGCCATAGGCAGATTGAAGGCTTCGCCCGAGCGGGGAGTACTCGCAACTGAGGAAGGCATGCTGTTCATCATCGCAGCTCGAGAACTTGACCTTGATCTGAATCCATTGCTATTTAAAGTGCCGCTGTTTGAAAATGTTGACGAAGTGCCTGTCAAACTTCCACCGTTGAGCGTAGTACCAGTCATGTGGATTGGTGTCGGGAGAGAACCCGAAGGTGCAGGTAACACAGGGTTTGGTGGATATGTTGGGACGTTTTCCGCGACCGGATGCTGGATGGCCGTGTCACTACGCAATCTCCCACCCTGTCTCGAAGGCATGTTTCTGTCTCGGGTAGGGGTGATTGCTCGAACTGGTTGGGATGGCGTAGTAAATTCTTCAGGGATCGTCTGAATTGGATGAGTATTTCCACTCGACAATTGCCTTCTATGCCCGAAACCTCGTGTCACGTTGACATCCGCACCGAAACTCTGGATTGCATTCCGAACCTCGATCATACTGCCGTAAAGCAAGAGCATTAGACTGCGGACGTACCGCACGTCAGCTCCAGCGACAATTTTCTTGACATTGTCCTGCAGTTGAGCAGTCACATGCGTGTATGCCATGATACACGTAGCACAGTCCCGTCGAACGGTGGTTTCAACTCTCAGGACGGCATCCTCGTCCTCAATATCCACCACTTCAGCTTGTTCCAACGCTTCGTTGAGTCGATCGACGTGCGTTGAGGCATTAAAAAATGTGAACTCTAGCGTACTCCTCCGAACGTCCTTGCCACGTATTGCAGCAATCAAGCCGGAGATGTGAGGGTGGATTTGGTAAAGTGCGTACAAAATACCCTTCGCCCCGTCAATGACGGGACTATTCAACTCATTCTCGACCTTGTGTTCTGGTAAGCTTGACAGTCGTTTCACAAAAGCAAGCCTATTCCGTCTCGGATCTCGGGGGCTATTCGGACTAGATGAACTGGCACCGCCAGGAGATGATAGAGTACCGTTCCGCTTCAGGACGGATCCATGACTGAAACCTCTAAGATGACTGTTTCTGTTGACTTTGAGTTCGTCAATGCTGTCCAAGTCCGGCTTTTCTCTTTCTCTCCTCATCATCCCCATCCTCTTATGACGAGCTGCAGCTGATGCCTGTAAAACACTTTCGCTGTTGCTTCGGTTCCTCTCATTGCTGTTTTGGCTTATCAGAGGTGCAATGCCCGGACGTCGGAGGGCAATTGATTGGGCGCCAGAGGCCATGCGGAAGTGGGACCGCGTAGGTACTGGAGGTGGATTCGGCTGAAGGGGTGACGATTTGTTTCCTTCTGAACCCGGTTCACTGAGGCCGCTGCCAGTGCTTGGAATGACGGGGAATCTGCTGCTCAAAGTTCTTTTCAGAGGCTTTGGCGTCTCCATCGGAGTTTCATCGATCTGCAAGGAAGCCTCGACATCTATCGGAGCGAGAGTTGATGAATGCGCCTCTCGCAGATACCTTTTGATCTCGAGTGTGATGGCTGTCTCTCTCTCGTGATCGGTCATCTCTGAAAAGGATACTTCTGATTCTTTGTATTCGACAACCCTTTTTAACCGGAATCGCAGAGGGTTTTCTGCGATCTTCAATATCTGAAGTTTCGTCATTTCGGATAATTCAGTCGGCAGCTCTTCAACTCGATTGTGCACCAATGAAAATACCCGCAGTGAGCGGAGGTTCTTTATATCAGGGGAGATCTTTCGCACTTTGTTGCGACTTATATCCAAGATCTCCAGTTGGTTGAGCTTGTATACTCCCCGAGGTATCTCTCGGAATACATTGGACCGTATATTGAGGTAGCGCAAATGGGTACATTCGGAGAAGCGGAGTGGTATATGCCATATCTGGTTTTGTGAGAGAGATAATCTTTCCACCTCGTCTTTGATAAGATCAACCACACTCTCGGGCAGTCTGGCGATATTGGAGTGTCCCAGGTCCAGGGTTAATTTGGGCTTGACAACGTCCCTAACGGCCTCGCTGCCCGCAAGCGCGTGTTCTGTGTCTTGTCTCGCATCTGCGACTTTCTTCTTGAACAGTTCTGTGGTGTCGTCCAAAGATAACAGGCTGAGCTCGCTCTTTTTGACTTGTCCGATGATGGTTGCCTCCTCTGGTTTCGCCGGGGAGCCGTCCAGGGTTTGACCGGCATCGACACGTTGCGCTTGTGACCTCGTGTCTTCGCTAGAGGCTCGAGGAGGGCGGTCACTGTCGTCGAAGCGGGATGGTCGACCCAGTCGTGAGGCATCCTCCGGACGAAGCAGGACTCGCGGAAGGTTAACTTGCGGTAGTTCGGGCTCCATTATGTTCGACAAGCTGGTGTCTCTGAAGCCTAGGCCAGAGATGCTGTCAATGGCCAGCATCGGGGAAGATGAATCAGGCGGTGGGTGGACCAGCCCATCCACAGCATGCTCCGGTCGATCTCAAATCTGATACAACTGAGGGGAGATTCTGTCTGCATTCAATAACGCACCAGGCGTTGTCACACCATCGTAGAAGTGTTGAAAAGAGGTGAAAGCCTTGCCAGGAAATTGTACAAGAGTCGTATCGTGTGTATCGTGCGAACAGATGATGCCTATGGCTCGTGCTGAGCCGTGACACGGTGTGGTGTTCGTGTTCTAGGGACGATCGGACAAAGGTTCGTCAGGAGGACAGTGCTTTGTTGATTGGACCCCAAGAGGACCGTAGCTTGTGTCGATGGCTCTTGGACGTGGCATAAGTTGTTGTTGATTCTTTCGACAGTGGCCAATGGCATAGACGACAGGGCGTGACGTTGATGACAGAAGGTGTCTTGCTGAGTCTTTGTTGCTGTCTCAGACCAGCGCAGCGCAGTTTGGCGCGGTTCGTCTCAGACAAAAACAGCCCCCAGCCCCGTGCACGTGACCTGTTCCTTGCATTGGCGCCCTTTTTACTGATTAGCCTGGAAAGCGACCGTTGAAAGCGACAGGGATCATGGTTTTTCTCTCTATCACTTATCCGTATCGCTATCCGGATCTTGATAATGATCCGCCCTGCCATCACACGTGGCCCTTGACTTCTCGTATTCGTACTACTGGCTACAACCGCGTAACAAAGTCGTGGTCGAAGCATTGTCGTCTCATTCCTACCTGGTACGGAGTTGGGACGGAGTAATAAGGGAGAGATCTCATAAACACCATGCAAGACCGGAGACGAGGAGGTGCGTCTCCTAGCCACACTCTTGCTGACTTCCATCTTCCATCAGCCTGGTCTCTTTGCCATATCCATGTAGGCCACCATCCAAGATCCAGCGCTCATTATCTTCACTATCATCTTGCACTCTTCGCCATACACTCTTTCTATCTGGCTCCCGCTGCTTGCCCTTGTCCACACCTTCAGGTGCTCTCCACACTGGCCGGACGAGTTTGCCACTTGCTAGAAGAGGATTGTTGCTGAAAGCACCTTGACCTCCAACACTCAAATGTTGATCAGCGAGGTCATGCTCGATATCAGCATCGATGACTGGCTCATCAATCTTCTCTGTAGCCGCCGACACTTTCTGGCGCTCATATGTTCTGACAAGTTTCCCATTCTTGATGCTCATGCTCATCACCGTCTTTTTCTTTTCCCATTCCGGTCTGTTTGCCTCTTCCATCTCGCGAATGTATTGCTGTTGCCTCTTCAGCGCTGCAGCACGCTGAACCGGACTCATCCACTGCGTAGACCCTGGCGTCAAAGTCATGTCGTAGTCACTAGCCTCATCATAGACTCGAGTCCGCTGGGCGTTTTCTCTTTGGAATGCCAGAAGTTTATCTCGATGTGCTCTCGCTCGTGCTGCCGCTAATGAGGACTCGTCTCCTGAAAGTGCCTCGGGAGTTGATCCTCCAAACGCCGGTGTACCCCGACCGGAGTGTGTCTGGGAAGCATTGTGAGCAGCCATCTTTTCAATACCCCGCTCTTCTTTCAGTGCCTTAATCATGCTATCGACTTGCTCCTTTGACAAAATAGGTGCATCACAGAATGAGCATGGTTGAAGGCCTTCCAAGGCGCATATGATCTTGCCACAGTTCAGGCAGTTTGGAGCGGTCTCGAACAAGGGATGGATGGAGGCATTGCAGGTACATTTTCTTCTCTCTTTCGATAAGGTGGGATTGGTAGATAGCTCTAGAGCTGCAATTGATGCCGTCAAATCTGCCACATTTGAAGTGGTGGTAGCGGAAGGGCCGCCTTTCTGTGGTGTCGAGCTTCCAGACTGTGGCAGCGAATGTGACGGGTGTGCTGGCTTTTTTGACTGTTTGGACCGGACATTTGCGAATCCAAAATCTGATATCAAATTTCCCGATGCTGAAGGTGGCAATTTATTGGATTTGGGAGCTGGTGAAGCATCCCGCGAAGTCACATTGGACTGAGGGGCAGCCCGAGTAGTACTGAAGGGCGCCTGGAGGGCATCAGGCGTACGAGTCCGCGAAGGTACATCCTCATCGTGGAAAAGAGATCCCCTGCTTGATGAGTAATTGTCGTCTGTGTTGTACTGCTTGGTATATCCTCCAGAGACGTTGCCATATCCTTCTGGTACGCGAGCAGGGCCAACGGCATGAAGTGGTGGCTTTGTTTTCCGCGCAGCTCTCTTCTTCGGACTTGGAACGCCAGTCTCATCCGCCGTCGACGCCGGGCGGGTCTGTGACGCATTCCTGCTGTCCGAAGACACTTGAGGTCTTCGTGCATTGAAAGATGAGATGAACTCGAATGCCTGCGGTGAATCGCCGAGTAAGTTCTTCAGGTGTTCGGCACCTGTTTCCTTGGAAAGTGAGTTGGTGTAGGTTATAACTTCTCGAAGCGATTCGTCATCGATTGGAAGCAGGCGTTGAAGGCGAGGCAATGCCCATGATTGCAACTCTCCGCTCATATTGACCGATCTTCCCGGGTCAGGTCTCTGTAGGAGGGACCACGCTGTAGCGTACGAGTTGATGAATGTTCTCGAAATCGATAATGGCAAATGTACAAGGAGTATGATTAGGATTTATTGTTAAGAAACCTATTCAACAGTGCGGGATGGAGTTGTTTGAAGTTGAGAAGATGACAAAGATTATTTTCCACACTTTTACTCATATTCTTTGCCGTCTTCGTATTGTCCCATCTCATTTTCACACCTTATACTTCATACGAGGCTCTTCACACGGTTCGATTGAAAGTCATCAGAAACTCTGTTCTCTCATGTGTAATCATGCCAAAGATGCTATTTAATGCATATATTACCGTCGTCTCATTTTGAGAACGATTCCACTACAGCGCCACAGCAGAGTCGTGCGCAACCAATGCAATGAGAGCAGCACCTAAACCACTGCCATCTTTTGCAAGGCCGATTCTGATACGCTTCTCATCTTCGCCGATGCCCTCGATCTCCCGGAAAGCTTCACGAATATACTCCTCGAAGCCTGGGTAGTATTCGACCAAGCTCCCGTCCACACCCACATCAACGATCTCGTCCTCCTGTAATTTGTTCGTCGAAATGATCACACCAGCGAGTGCGACCGCACTCAGCCGGGCTGCTCTCTTACCGATGGCATGCACGAGCATCTTGACAGCCACACAGTCTTCTGTGGATGCGGCCCCAATGTTCAACTCCTTCTCGAGGGTTTGTTTGGTAATTCGTAAATGATCGGATTGATCTTCCTCCACAATGGATAGGAACGATGTGTCGATACCCCATTGCTGAAACAATGCACTGTCCTCTGCCACAGTTGTTGTACTTCTGATGTCGTTGTCGTGCGAGGTCACGTCTCTGAATAGTGCGACGCCCGCGTCAGGATGTTGATGTAGGCTCAGAAGTGCCCGCCTTAGGATCTCGCCGAGGAACATGCCGGACACTCGCTTCTCAAACATCTGGATTCCAGGATTCACCGATTCCCGATCCAGATCTATATCGAATTGGGTGTTGGGTAGAACTTTGAGCCCGTTGTCAAAACTGCCCCATTCTGAGTTGATGACCATGAGGCCTGTTGACTTGTCGTAGTTTGTGCCACCACCGGCTTCGTCAACCGCTTTCATCTTTTTGACTCGGTCCAGCTTCTCAACGTATGCTCCATTTGTGCCCGTGCCAAAGATGGCACCGATCAAGGTCTTGGTCTTGCCAGGAGAGGTATATGATCTTGCCATCAAAGTGCCCACCGTGTCGTTGACCAACGCTGCGACCCGAACGGGAAGTTTCAGAGCGTCAATCTCTTTCTGTAGCAACTCGCAAACATCCATGCCGATAGCCTCTGGGATATCGAATCCTTTGGTCCACCTCATGAGCTTGCCCTTGTTGATACCTATTTGATTCACAGGAAAGCTGAATGTGAAACCCAGGTCGAAAAACTCCTGTTCCACCGGATCGTTGCGGTGCTTCTCGAAATGGTCTTCGTGATGCGTTTTGAGGAATGCTTCGATCTGCTGAGCAAGGAAATGGAACAGGTCGTGGGCAGTCTTAGCCTCCATCAAGGAGCGCGGAACCGCGACCTTGGACTGCTGTAACGAGAACGACTGATTCCCGTGCAGGGTTATCGAGCATACTCGAAAGTTGGTGCCTCCCAAGTCAACTGCCAAGTATACGCCCTAATGATATGTCAGTTCAGTCGCTACAAGAGCTTCCTATCCTACCTTTTCCGTGCCATTGGGGACTGATGTGACATAGGTTGGGATCTGGCTCAACGTAGCACCCTCCTTCTCTAGACCTTCTTGCATCTCCCGAATAAACTCCTTGACACCCTTGTTCACATCCTCCGTGCTATACTCGAAGTCCGCAATCATACGCTTGGCCTCTGCCTCGAGAGCCATGTTGGTCAAGCCGTGTGTGACAGGCAACTCAGCTGAAAACAACGACTTGGGTTTGCACTGTGTTCCCGGTTCTAATTGTTCGTAATACGCCTCTTGCTTATACACACTTTCGCCGAAAGGACTGAGGGTGTTCTTAGGCAGCTCAGGCTTTCGGAGAGGGCGAGGAGGTTGGACGTTGCGTGACGAAAATAGCTGTACGAGGAGAAGCAACAGCAGAACCAGGCCAGAGGCAAGGTATAGGAGGGGAGTGCGCGACTTGGCCGACAGCTTGACTCGCGTTCTGTACTGATCAGTTCCTGGGATCCAGCTGCAGAACTTACGCCAGGCAGAATCCTGGTGCAGTGTTTCGTTACTAGACGACTGACGAGGCGCCAGGTTGGCTAGCTGCACCCAAGAGGCCTATATGATGGATACTGTGAGGGGCTCAAGGAAACAAGGTCAAGATGTCAAGAGGAGGGGCAAGACCAGTAAAAGGCCACGGCAAGGCAAGGATAAGGTAGCATAGGTGGATGTGGTTCGTGGGCCGCCAGGCAATGAACGAGTGAACGATTACGAGGGAAACGTGGAGGGAAGAGGATAGCGTGATGATGGTGCCCGAGGTGCTGGTGATGCTGGTGATGTAGGTAGCATTGATGAAGTCAATGCTGGCGACAAAGTGACCTCGGTGGCTTGAAAATTTTTGATGGTTTGGTGATGATGATGCGTTTCCTGCAGCCGTTGTGCTGTAAGCTATACCTAGAAGTCGCAGCCCTAGGTCCGAGTCGCTAGGTAGATTTAGGCATAGCAGGCCCATAAACATGCGAGGGAAGCGAGAAGGGTTGGTGAGGTTTGGGCATCAAGATCAGCTCAATGGAGCTCAGAAACCCACTAAGCTGGCCTAGACGGAGGACATGTAGCTCCTCCCGACCCCAGTTCTAGGCGCCACGGGCCTCCATAAGTTAAACCCCGGCCTAGACGAATGGTGATGTGTCCGTATTCCGGCTCCATTAATGATATGCACGATGTGGCACATGGCATTGAGGAGACATCGCTTCGAAGCTACGGTCTAAATAACACTGCTGATCGATGTGAATGTCCTCGATAATGCTGATCTATTGTTGCACTCGGTAATCTCAAGAGTTATTGTATACGGAGTACACACCTCAGCAATCATCCTCCCATATGTGCCTTTCAACGCCTGTCCCTGCAATGTTTTCTTTTTCATGATGTATGACAGGTACATACATGTACGTTTGAGCATCCGGCATCTCTACCATTGATATATACTTCTCATCGTGACACAAATACCAGCCAAAATCGCTGACTCCCAGGTTTGAAACTTCCCAATATATGTCAAAAACGCCGTCACTCTGTTGTTTGCAAATTCCTCAAAAGAGCATGTCGTTCGAATCATCGTCTAAGGATTCGTTATTCATCACCTCATAGTCGTCCAGTGTCTTCCTTCTTTTGACTTCCATTGTCCGATCATTCAGCTTCGTCACGTCTAGTCTGCTCATATCTGGTGTATGGTGTCTCCCTCCCCATGAAAATCGCTTGATAAGGCTCCCTCGTCGTTGTGGCTTGGGCTCTGAGCTTGACCGTCCAACATACGAGAGGGATGACGACGATGAATCAGAGGCCGAGGAATATGATCGCTTGTCTGACATTGGAGTTGTTGTTTTATTGCGTTGCCCTTGTGACTGTCGAAGACCCTTGGCGCCTTCGTGTGACGTGAAACCATTATTCTTGTCAGCTGGGCTAGGGTCTGGATCAAGGCTCCATTCATGGCCAAAGAGCTTCATGTCTGGGTCTGTTTGAAACATCATCTTCATCTCGAGTACGTCCTCCTCTCCTCGTGGGACGACACTGGCCCTTCTCTTCCACATGTGCCACAGCAGATGATCGTCCCCAAGTGCGTCGGCCAGTGAGGTGTTTGAGGAGCTCTGCTTCAGATCACCAGACATGGATACTGTCGATTCTTGAGTAGCAATGTTTTCGTTTGAACTGTGTCGTGAGTCGCAATGTCCTCGGGGCGGAGTTGTTTGAGCGTTGAGATAGGTGTGTTGGCAGCATGTATATTGAGGAACACACTCTTCCTTCTTACCGACTGTCAGAGCCCGGGATTCGCCTTCTGGCCAACCGTGGTGGTCTGGCTCATTTATCCCATGTCTTCTTCCATGACAGTCAACCACCTCGAACAAATCAGGATCCTGCTCATGCTGCATCAGCGGATGCATGCGGATGATATTCTGAGTAAGCCAATCAGACCGACCAATAAAGTCTGACTCTTGGGGTTCGAGCTTGTTCGCCATAGGTTCATGGGAAGCCGTAAGCATCGAAGCATCACTCATCTGCGATGTGTTATCTGCACTATGTCTACGTGGGCAGGGCAAGTCACCTGGGTGGTCGGCTTGGCTAACAGGCTTGTGAACGTTAAAGGGCATGTACCTGTACCCCCAGGTCTCAAAGGATTCCGACGTAGTTGCACGCTCCTGATCGTTGACACCTCTTGATGTGACTCCAGGGTTGTAATTTGCATAGTAATTAGCCGGTTGGTTGACTGTTGCCTCAATATCGAAGAGGTTACCACTTGTATCGTCCTCATAGCCTAATTCTGTTTCAGGAAAGTCTTCTAGATTGTTGTTACATGATGCATCGTCTTGCAACATCAAACCGTAATCTCTCGCATTTTGATTGCCTGAGTCTAGCATAAAATCCTCGTATGCCCGAGAGGAACATAGCGATCGCAAGATACGCTCACCATTGCGGTCCCGAAGTCCATGAGCAAGGGTCAGCCAAAGACTCTTGTGTACTTGGGCGCTGACCGCGCCATCAACAGGAACCTTTGTCTGTACAGAGAAGGGGGCTAGCCACCTTGTTATGGCTGGAATGAAGCGACACTGCTCGTCAAACCTTTGAGCATATTGTTGAGCAAAGCAGGATGGGAATATGGCAGCCAATGGAGTCGATTCCAGCTCAGTAACACGCCTGAAACCTGCAGGAGGTCTGATGAGCCGCGAAGAGATGCTGCTGCGGATCCCCATATCGAGCAACATCAGGAAGGCTTGTCCATCCAGCAACGATGTGGATGGGGACTTGTTTTTTAGGCGGACCTCATCAAACGTAGTAACAAGCTCGGAAATAACAGGGTGACAATTACCTTGAGATGTTTGATGTCTCTTTTCACGATCTGGTTCACCGGAGGAAGATTTGTTCGTTTCGTTGTCCAGGGAAAACGAAGAATGCTGCCGTCTGGCCCGGGACTTTTCTTGACTTGCCGGAAGAACATCTACACTGTCCTGGTGGGTAAAGTGCAATGTAAGTTCAAATCGCTGGATCGACACAGGCGAAATCGTTTCCGGACAGGTAGCGGATTGGCCGTCGTCATTGAAGGACTGCAAAAAACTCAGTAACATTGATGAAGACAGTCATATGGTTCTACCTTCAACTCGAGTTGGAAGCTGAAAGCCCTGGTAGAAACCAAAGTCTGCTCATTGTCGTATTGCACACAGGAGGTATCGTATCCAAGCTGTTTCCACAGCTATGTTGGTCAGGTTTACGGAATGGCCTGGTAATCTCCTCGACTGGCTTACCTCAGCTCCAGCAACCCAGTCTGCAATGAATCTGACGAAATCGTTACGACCAGATGTGATAAGCGTCAAGTTCAAACTAAGATCAAAACAGATGCGGAAAAGGCAAAGAAGACGTTTGGATCGCGGGCACCATGGAAGCAAACTATTTTGTGACTGCCACTCGCCTGAAATATGGACTGTCGTCTTAGTGTGTAGACCGACATTGGAGTCTCGGTGTATGAAGCTGGTGTCACCGAGATCCAGCTCCTGCATTGTTGTATTTGGACATGGCCTCTCCTCGCCTCTTTGTAGCACTGTTGTGATGAGGTGAGATGGACGGAGTACAGCATGGAGTAAATAATACTATAAAAGGAATGAGGGCATGAAGAGTGTCCCCCTCTGGCTTCTTCTGACTAACAAACTCTTCTCAAGCACCCGATATTTTCCCGTATCTTTTATTGTCTGCGGGTCTCGACGATAATTAATTCACGATGCTGGCACATGGGATTGTCGTCGATCGGGTACTTACGAAAGCGAGAGACGGCGAGCTCATATTTTGTTGAGACAGTGAGTCACTGGTAGGACCGGAGAGACTGCCTCGACCCAGTATCGTCTGCCACAGAAATGCTTCAGCCATAAATCCGTTCCCCTTCCTACCAGCACCACGATTCCCAATCACAATGGCCTCGCATCGACTCCTTCACCTGCCCAGGGTACAATCCCTGACACGAGCGTGTGCTTATGGAGCTCAAACTGCTCCGAGACAGACCTCTCTCCGTCCTTTTCACTCGACTACAACTCTTCGCACCGATGGTGTATTCAAGGCACTTACAGAAATGCGTGTGCGCAAGCCGTGGATCGAGGCATTGCGAGAAAGAAGAGAAGCAGAAAAGAACCCAGTGTCTACACCCGTGGAAAATGTGAAGCCAGACCTGACACCTAAACGGATGTCCGATAGCTATGTCAGCGTGGTGCTGCCGTTGTCCGTCAGTGTTCCCCCAATGATATATATCTACTCATTCCCTTACTTACCAAATGTTCTGTTGTAACTTGTAGAAAGACCCATGGATGCTTGACACATATGCAAATTCCGCCGGACAGATACGCACTGGTACTTTACTGATGGACCTTGACGCTCTGGCCGGGGTGGTCGCGTACAAACACACCGGCGAAGGCGTTACCACTGTGACGGCTGCTGTGGATAGGATTACCATTAAAAATCCGATCCGTGAGATATGCGACTTGCAGCTCAGTGGCCAGGTGTCTTTTGCTACTGGTAGGAGCAGCATGGAGATCACTCTCCAGATCGCCAAAGCACCAGAAGAAGGCCAACAGGTCGCCCCAGAGGATGTCTTCATGACGTGTGCTTTCACCATGGTAGCGCTGGACCCCAACACCAGGAAACCCATCAACATTGCCCCGTTGGAGGTCACCACCCCTGCCGAAAAGGCCCTCTTCTCCAAAGGTGAAGAGAACTACAAGAGGAAGAAGGCCATGAAATCCTCGCACATTCTCGCCAAAGCCCCCGACGCGGAAGAATCTTCACTCATTCACAAAATGTGGACCGACTCTCTTGCCTACGCAGATACTCACAATCCCAAGAATCAACCTCAAAATGTCCTCGCCATGTCCAAGACACAAATCCACAGTACTCAAATCATGCAACCTCAGATGCGCAACAGGCACAGTAAGTCTCTCCACTCTTTTCCATCGAGGTGGATGCCGGACCCTTTCGCTGATGAATTTATCTTCAGACTTTATGATCTTCGGTGGTTTCCTCCTCAAAACCACCTTCGAATTAGCATTCACTTGTGCCGCTGCCTTTTCACATACTCGACCGAGGTTCATCAACCTTGATCCCAGCACCTTTGAAGAACCCGTGCCAGTAGGATCGGTTCTTTACGTCGCGGCGGGGGTGTCGTACACCGAGCCAGACCCCAGCGGTGGGACACGTATCCAGGTCATGGTTCGAACGCACGTGCGCCCGGTCGAACATCAAGACAAGGAACGCAAGTCGACGGGGACGTTCTTCTACACTTTCTACACACCGTCCGATGTCAGTGTCCTGCCACAGACTTATAGCGAATTCATGGGCTGGGTGGCAGGTCGACGCAGAGCACAGAATTTGGCCGCCACACTTGCCGCGGATCCTCACCAGTTGCTTACGACGTCTCAAGCCGAGCCATTGACAGAATGAGGTAGTCGCAGTTCCCTTGCTCCTCGAAGGCAGAACAGCGTTTCGGAACAAGTCATCGCCGTCGCTATCGGCAGATTTGATATACCAAAGTGTGTGAGCCCGCCACAAGCCTGTGCACTCGTGGTGATCACAGTTCCTACGACATGGCTTCCGACGGAGGCGCGTCCGCCGATTTATATGGGTAGGAACGTGATTATCCCTAGTCCCTAGTACGGAGTGCCAATGTCGAGAGGAAGCCACATTGGTAGCAAACCTGACTCGACGAGTTGTGAGTCAGTCAAAAAATGCGCGATGGTTGCTGATGTGGTACTCTGTGAGGACAAAGCATGTGGGCTTTTGTTTGTCCACGGCGTGTTGCAGACGATTGTGACCACCACTCCAAACGAGATTCAAACCGACTCATCAACCCTTGGTCAAAGTGCTGCTGCGCATACATGACCGAGAAAGGATGTTTTCAAGTGAACAAAACAGGGACATCATAGTAGTCGACAAGCTAGAAGTAGGATATCGAAGTGGAAGTGGAATTGTGTCCCCCATGCGAACGCCCGAACTTCAGACTTCTAGTATGGTTGTTACGGGGCCCTCAGCGTAGGTCTTTCTGCCTTGGGCCATACTACCATCTATAGAGGTGAGAGGACTATATATCTACGGTATATACACTTCGTACAATTCCCGAATAACACTCTTTCCACGGCCCTTTCACTGACTCATCCGTCGCCCCATTGCTCCCGCGACTCCACTCCATCATTGGCGATGTGTTTTGACCTCTTCCGAGTATGTTGAGCCCTCCGAGACATAAAATGGCGCCGTCCGCAGCTCGACGCTGCATCTTGCCCCAGTCTAGTTCGCGCGTAACGTGATGCAATCCGACTGCTCAGGACGGGGTCATCACTTTCGGTCGCACGTAAATCCCAGCTTCGCCTTCGATGAGCAGAGAATCCTGGCAGATGAGATTCCAAGGATCCGGAAACAGGCACAACTGCGGTCGAGGAGGGTCCGAGCCGAGTCCGTAGACTCGGACCAGGATGTACGCATCGGTCTGGGAGGTGGTGGTGGCCGCTGCCGGCGACGGCTGCGGCGGCGTGCTCGGAATTCCTCGCCCCGAGTACTTCTTCGCCATGGAGATCTGGTTGTTACTCAGGAACGTTGGGCAGTGTAGGCCGCCCAGGGTAGATTTGACCTCCAAGTGGTAGGTGACGATGTCGTTTTGTTGGTCGCTTGGACTCTCAAAGTTTGGGACGTGCTCGCTCAAATACTTGCGCAGGCGCCCGTGGGTGTCGGCGTAGGTGAAGTCGGCAAAGTCCTTTTCGCGGAAGTCGTGGCTGAATGGAACATTCGGAAAGGCTTTCGCCCGGCCTCTACTGGTCCAGTTCTCTGGCGTGAAGAATGGTGACAGCTTGTCTTCCAGAAACTTGTATACCTAGACAAAAGCTTTCTTTAGTCTGCTACAAGAAAAAAACAAAAAAACAAAGCTGGTTCTTGATAATAACATGGATGGGGTATGATGTACGTTGAATCTACTCACCAGTTGTTCTCCAGCAAATCCAATCTCATGTGGTATGGCCGCAGATGGGGACTCCTGAGGAGCGACAAAGCCGCTTCCACCACCATAGCTGCTCCTGGGAGGTCGTCCAGACGACCTCTTGAAATTCGATTGTCGAAAAACATTCGTGGGGGTTCTAACAAATGAAACGTCGGGTAAAGAATGGTTCGAAGAAGATGGTGATGGCGCATCATCATCATCATCATCATCATCATCATCCAAATCTGCTTGGACCTCTGCCAAGTTGTTGGCAATATGGCGCGACGTTGCTGCTGACGTATCGTTTGACCCCGATAAACTGCTGCCCCCGCCGGTATCTGGGTTGTTCGAAAGAGACTGGGGAATTGGTGAATTGAAGTTGAATTCAAAGGCGGTGGCTTTGCCGCCGAAGGCGGGCACTGGAGACGTGCCGGGAACTGCTCCCGAAGGAGGAGGAGGAGGAGGAGGAGGAAAAGGAGGGGAGGGAGTAGGAGGCGTAACCCAGTTGCGGAAGACCTCGCGAGTAGAGTCGGACAGCTTTGCGTCAATCACGCTTGAAGTCAAGCGCACAATGTTCTCGTCCGTAGCAGTCTCCGCCTCGTCTGTAGCGACAACATCTGATCTTGCCCTACTGGTGAAGGCAGCCTGGCCGCCCAACCGTTTTCTCGTTGAGAATGGCGAGGAGATGGCCGTATCATTGCGTACTACTCGTCGTCCCTGTGAGCTCGGCGTTTGTGGAGGCCTGCGTTGCGGTGATCCCAAAGATTCTTCGTCTGAACCACGACTACTCGTATCAGCCCCCTCTTTGCCGATGTCCAAGCTTTCGAAAGCCAGTCCGAGGTCGTCGCTAGGGTCTTCAATGTGCAAACTTTGGAAAGCCAAACCGAGGTCGTCGCTAGGATCTTCAGCAAGTGCACCGTTATCGGACTCTTCGTCCTGGCTGTCCTCGGCCACAACCTCAACGACACTTGTTGGATCGGTCTTGATACCTGCTCTTTCGAGTCGTTCGATGAACTGCTCGACTTTCTCGGTTGTGAGGACTTTCACAAGAAGTTCGCGATTGGCGTCTTCCAAGTCAAAGTGCTCCGCGAAACGTTCTGATAATGGGACTATGATGTCCATGGTCTCTGAATCTCGCCGGATCTTGATATGTAGTTCTTCGTCTGCGTCTAACATGAGGACCTCTCCCTGCTCATCGCGGCCGTACCTCTTTATGCTGGCATCAAGAACGTATCGCCTGACGGTTATGTCTGGAACCCGAAAAACCCTCATGTTGCTAAGCCTCGCCGTCACCTGCTCGGCTCGCCGTCCAAGTTTGTTCTCATGACGCACGATGCTTGCTCCTGTCAGCTATGAACCTGCGCCGCGGAAGTTATACAAAAGTACATACCCAATGATGTATCGACTCTGCCTTCGGAGCCTATCGCTAAGCGCAGGATCCGCTACTTCGGATGTATCCCCTTGGTCTGGTTGATTCTGATTCTCTTCTTTCCGGACGCTCTGAGACAAACGCTTGGAGTCCATCGACAACTTTTTGAAAACGTTGTGCATTGATGATTTGAAGAGTTTTCCAGTCACATCAAGCAATGGCAAAAGTCCCTCGAATTTTGATTTCAGAAAGTTCAAGTCCGCAATCCAGAACGTGTCTTCGGCTCGGAGGAATTGTGCAGCTTGCGTGGGATCATTGGACTCACTTTGAGTGACTGGAAAAATGTGAAGCGGAAGCAATCGTTGTCTTTGAGCTATTGATAGTGAAGCCTTGTCTAGGAAGGAGTTCAGAGCAGGCAACATATTCCGGCGCAAAAGCTTGGTTCGGTCAAGCTCTTCTGTTGACTCCATGCCTTCAAGCTCTGAGATTAAATCATCAAGTCCTGCGTCCCTGACTTTCAAAAGAGCCTGGAAAAGAATGTCACACCCACGATAGAGTCTGGAGAGAACAGCCACCTTCGTGCAGGGAAACGATGCCCCCCAGACACACTCGTTCGGCAAAACCCACCCTCCAGGATCGACGTATATCAAACTTTCGGTATGGAAACTCGCCCTGGTTCATTGCTGTGAGCAGCTACCACATCCCAAAAGGGTTTTACTCACAGTTTTGAGCTATCCAAGCCTGGATATGCTGCAATGGCTTTGTAAACAAATGTAGCCATTGCCCTCACTGGTCCCTGGTCATTGCTTTCTTTCAACGCCCGGAGCTGTTTCACAAAATAGTCCGGCGAGAGCTCAGTCTGTACTCCAAATTTGCGGAGAAAGCCCCAGTCCGTGTTTTTCGGACCAACCAGCTGTAGAACAGGGAGAAGACCCAGGCTGACAGGTGACAAAGACGGCAATATCGTCTCGCACAGTTTCTGCACACCTTGATCGGTGCTTACCTCAATGTTGCTGATATCCTCTGTGAGTGTTTGAGCTTCCCGGGTGTGCGAATCTCCAAACGTATCACCATAGCCTGAAGGATATTGCGTCTTCAGAAGCCAGAGAAATTCCTTCGATCCATTTCTCATCAGAATATGCCTCATTGCATCAGAGAGTCGTCCACCTGAATGAAGAGGAGGTAACCGGTCTACTCCTTCTATACTGCATAAAAATTGGAACCAGCTTTGTCTTTCGTCTTGCTTTACGCTATCTTCGTAGTCTGGATGAAGCCAAATGATACCAGCAAAATCGTCGGCAAAAAGCCGTCTGAGAGCCCTTCCTTGTGTCCCAAAAGGAAGGTGGACTCTCTCCCGGTATCGAGTAGTAAAATTGGAGTCAAGGAGGCGCAGGCGGAGTGATTTGCCATGTCGAGGTTGGTAGCGAGCGCGGAATATGTACATCGCATGCGAGATAAGGACTTCCAAAGGTGGCAAGTCTTCCATTGTTGCATGGGAATCGAGTATCATCTTGCATATCTCTGTCTCATCACATGATTTGACACCTAACAGTTGGTAGAGCTGTCTGCGGTCATGATCACAGGCAGCCGATGCCTGAACGAAGCAAAAGTGGAAGCCAGTGGGGAGGACGATGCGGCGACCCCGATCCATAAAGACCTTTTCAGTTTCGCAAGAAGCACCAGATACCCATGAGCCGTCATCCAACGGGATGATCTGCAGAGATCTGAAGGCCTGAAATTCGGGTGAATTTGACTGATAGTCTCCGTTTGAGAAATGATTGCAGAGAAGATTCGCAACGCGGGAGTGCCATTCTGTCGCCTTTGATGTGAAACTTTCCATATTCGCTGAAATATATTGGTCCAACAACTCCACGAACTGCGAAATCTGGAACGGATTGACACCCAGTATGGAGAGCGCCTTTGCTGACTTGTCAGAGTAGGCATTCGATCTCACTCGCTGAGCGTATGTGCCCTCGGTGAGAAGCAGTCCACCAGTGGCGTCACGAAACTCATCTGATGCAGTCAGACAATCCCGAGGCACCAGGAAAACACTGTCTTGCAACTCTGTTCGGATCAGTCGCCTCGATTGCAGTTTTTCGATAGTCGAGTCAGCAATCTCTTCCATAAACGAATCGTGAATAGACCCCAGAGAGCCCAAATATTCGGGCCAACCAAACCTCATTTGAGATTCCGCCGATGTTGCCAACTGTTTGAAAGCAGAGGAGAGCGCCTCGGGCAAACACCTCTGGAGGAATATATTCCATCTTCGGTCGCCATCAATATTTTTTCGATTGGCAGTCAAGACAAAATCTGCATGAATAATGAACTGCACCACTTTTTAGGATCGACTTGTTTCGCAAGAGCGGTCAAGGTCCTACCTGAAATCCAAAAGAATTGACCGGTAGGTATGCATAGGCCTTTTGGCGTTTGACAAGGGGTTTGTGGTCCTTGTGTGGGAAAGCAAGCACAATTGTCGTTTCATCGCTGCCCGGCTGAACTTGAGCGCTAGGTCGACGTGGAGTCTTGGCCTTATATGTGCTTCGAAATATGACATGGTCCATCTTCGCATGGAGACGGCCGTCGATCCATGTCTCTATTCTTTCACCCTTGGTCCCTAACTGTTTGAGCCGTCCAAGCTTCTCAAACGGCTGTCTATCTGAGACATGCAAATTGATCACTTTGATCTTTCGGCTAAACAGTAGGAAGGTGAAATCAAATGAGGCTATGTGCCAGCGCAATTTGGACATGTCAAGATCGGCCTTGAATTGCAGGGTGATTGATGTCCCAGGGAAGTTGTGTGTTTCGTCCTCCAGCCAAAAGGGCAGGACCATGCCGACGTTGCCGAGACGTCGCGTATCCAGTTTGAAAGAATACACACCCGAATGAATGGTAACAACGTCTGCAACTTTGAAAATTGACTTGAAGCCAATGCCTTTTTCCCCGATAGTGTCATTCTGACTTGCCTTTGAACTGTTACCCACTGCACACAGCGATTCCACGTCACCCCTGGTGAAGCCCTTTTCGTTGGTCTTGTAAGTCAAATCACGTCTGGTCAGGTGAAAGTCGACGCGGGGTGTTGGAGGACATTTGCTGTCATCCGCGTTCGGGGAGTTGCTCCTCAGATCACGGCTGGTCAAGTTGGAGTCGACGCGGGGTGTTGTAGGATATTCGCTGTCATCCGCATTCTGGAGCAACTCCCAGAAAAAGTGAGTGAGATCACCGTAGAGGTCATCAGAAAGGCTGCAAATTTGGTCAGCGGGGGTCTCTGGTGCGTTGGTGCGTGGAAATACATTTGCAGTGCATTGGAAAGGTCGCGAAGATTGATGTCATTCTCAATATCGATGGTATCGATGGCATCGCTGGCGACGTGACGTCGGGTCCAGAATGATTTGATATGTCTTTTCGCTTCTGCGCGGGTTGGCATGGCTGCGCGGGTTGGCATGGCTGCACTGTGAGTGTACTAGGATGCTCGAGAAAAGAATGACAAGTAAGCTCTTCACACCACACAATAACTGAAATGTCCAAACTCAGCCGAACCGGAGCTTGCACTTCAGACGACGAGGCGAATGGATGGGAAAATGGTGAAGCAGACATTGTCTGGCGAGGTACGCCGTTTTGTACATCTCGGTCTCCTTCCATCCGAGCCGCAAGGCGAGAGAAGTGCTGGTAAGGCACGAGCTCCTGGTTTCGTTTAGTGCATAGATGTGTGGTAGAGATCTGAATCTTTGGGCAGACTGCTGGCTCGTTGAGCTTGAGTCCCGGACAAAAGATAAGAGTACTGCCTTCGAGATTCGTCCATGTGAGCATGCTAGCCAGCCCTCGCCGTGTGCTGGCCTTCTGGACCCCAAAGATGTGGAGTATAGGCAGCCACAGGGGCTGAGACCGCATATCTTGAGACGACTACCATGAGCGCCGACCCGATCATGAGATTATGGTTACAGTTGAGAGGAAAGGGGGGGAGGGATGAAGTAGGTGGGATTTCATGGCAGAATGCACAACTAGCGGGATCGTCGGCAAAGTATACCCCATACATAGATTCACTCGCGAAAGGATCCCAGAGAGGAACTTGCAGGGATGGAAATTACGTCGTATGAGAAACTGGTGGATTGAAGTTCTCTCTCTCGAAAGGCGAATGTCTGTCCTCGTATGTATGGAGTACAGAGTAGATAGAACAGGGTTTGGTGGTCAGAGCCGGGTCAAACGGCATGGGCGTTCCGTTGCTAGTCCAGGCACCACTACGCTAAACCCCGGCCCTCGTGGCTGTGGGGACTCCCGACTCGTCAAGCGTGAAGCTACAGTAGACGAGGTACTGTAGAATGTTCGATAGCAGGCACCTGTGGATACTGGGCTACCGTACTCTGTACATCTTCACGAAAGACCCCCTGCAGCGAGGCAATTTCGCAATCTGCCAGATGTGTTGGTGCCAATCGAAGGGCAGGTGTAGACGAATGCTCGGATGCCTAGATTGGCCCCCGGTTGGTCTCTGGGAGTGGGAGGGCTCGGTGACGCCCAGCTAATGGCTCAGTACAGAGTTCAAGCACGGAGTGACGCAGCTCCCGCGCACCCTCTAGGGTCAGACAGCGTTATCTACACCTAACTGTCTTTGGGTTGGATGGATGAAATGTGCCTTGACCCAGGCCGCAGCCTGGCTGGCAACGGCTTCTGAGCAAGGGATCGACACCGGCGTGACAAAGCGGTCCCGTGATGGCTCGATCATGTGCCAGAGTAGAGCAGCCTCGCTCTTTTCGCTCAAGGAAAATGGTAATAGACGAAGCACAGCTTGGGGTGTATACAATAGATATATACATGTCGGTATTTTACAATAGGCAAGATGTTGAATACAGAATACTCCCTCTGGCGCCGCTCACGACCCATCTTCTATCTTTCTAAAAGGTCCTCGCTTGATCTATTCAGTCAGACCTTGACAAAAAACCTCCTCCCACCCCTTCGAATCCTCACGGCGAGCACAAACGTGGTGCCCGCGATACAAAACACTCCCGAAAAGACTTTGAGCCCGGTCCAGCCGCCGTCACCGCTCAGAATGGCGCCGTTGATGGGGTTTGTGGTGAACCCGCCGACCGCGGTCACGAACAAGACCACGCCGGTGCGCCAGCCTATGTCGGCGAAGTTCATGGGCGAGATGGCCATGACCAGGTGTGCCAACAGCGACACGTACGCGGCCGACGAGAAGCCAAAAAGCACGGCGAACGCCACGACGCCCGCGGTTGTGGTGCTGGAGGCAATCGGCAACCACAGACCCAAAATCCAGATCCCAGAGAGATAACACACGGCCACAAAGACGTTGTAGGGGCCGAACTTGTCGCTGGCGAACCCGGCCGACAGTCTGCCGAACAACGACGCCGCGTTGAGGATGGGCAAGAGGTATTGCGTGAGGTTTGGGGAGATTCCGGCCTCGAGGGCCTGGAGCGGCAGGTAGTTGATGGGTACGAAAAACCCGTAGCTGAAGCAAAAGGCGCCGGCCGTGACGAGGAGGAAATCCACTTCCGTAAAGGGTTTCCGGAGTTGCGTGGCGCTCACCTCGTTTGGGTGAGGAGGTTGAAAAGGTCGGACTGTCAGGTTGGCCACCACCAACAAGAACAGCATGAGGAAGGCCGAGACTCGCATGGCCCATCCGAAGCCGACTTGGCGGATGAGATGTGAGACCATGATGGGGAACACGACACCGCCGCTACTCGAGCCCGTAAAGAGGATGCCGAATGCCGCGCCTCGTTTGTCGCGGCTGAACCAGCCTTGGACGGATGAGAATGCTGTAATATCAAAGACATCAGCCTAGGTACTCATCCACAGTAGACGATTTGCTAATGATGCGATCATCGAACCCGCTAATGAGGGTTGTTGTGTGTGTGGACCGAAAAAGCCGTACGTACCAGGTTGGAAAATTGCAGAAACTCCAATGGCAGAACATACACCTTGAGCCAACAGGATTTGGTAATACTCGGTCCCCAGTGAAGCCATCATGACTCCAAAGACGTGCAAGAAAGTTCCTCCCAAAAGAAGCCAACGTGGACCGTAGTGGTCGTAGATGATTCCGACGATGGGGCCCTGCGTTTGGTCTTGTCAGTCGAGATACTTCGTGCAACGCGACAAGAACAAAGATGAACTAGGACGGTGCTATTTTCAAAGGACAAGGGCGGGAGAAAGGCAAACGAAGTCAACATACCATGCCCATGATGAAGAATATTTGTAGTGACGGGATCCACGAAATGGTACTCGGAGAGTACTCTTTCAGCAAAACATTTTGGTAGTATTCTTGAAAGACACCGATGCCTGTACAAATAGTCATTCAGTCAGTCTCGGTACGATACTCCCATGTAGCCAACGTTGATGTGAAACACTTCGTCCACGCATGAGTGGTGGGTAACACGTACTATTCAACCACCCGAAACTGCAGAATGAAGTACACCATGCACCGAGAACGACGAGCCATGCCGTCAATCCGGGTGCCTCGCGTCCTGGTGGTTTGGCAGCTGCATGCTTTTCGACGTCTGCATGCGCTGGTTCTGATGAATGGTCCTGAGAAGATCTTGTGTCATTCGTAAGGTTCTTCTTCTCGTTGAGTGAATTCGAATCCGAGGGGCTCGTAGACTCTTTTTGAAGACTTGACGTCGCCATATCGGAAGCCATCGTCTGGGAGGTCGAGCTCAACGCGAGTAGAGACGATTAATATACCAGGTTGGAACATGGCTACTAACTCGCGGCTTCCAATACTTTATACCTTCACAACAGTGTGATTTCCTTTTCGCATCATGTGTTGACACCGAGATATAGGTCCGAGTACGGAGTGCCTTACGATATCGTTGATGGTACTTGCCCGAAGTAATAGTGCTACTGAATAGAAGCGAGTCGTACTGGTCGATCGATCGGACTTTGCTTGTACTGTTTGATTGTGGGTTCTTCGGGCACGGCCTTATTCTTCGGCGGGGGTCCCGCTTCCACCTTGCCACCACAAAAATGGCAGCGCAGCTGTCCAGTACACACTCTTGCCAGGCCGAATAACTAAAACTACCGGCCCTCATAGCCGATGTTTAATCCGTAAGAAGCTAGAGAAACGATCCTGGTCCATCGTACTGATACCCCTGAGCCAAAGTTGTCCAGTCGGGCCAGTTTTCATCACCGATATCGAATCCTAATCCACTGAACTCTTCAGTATTAGCGAAAAAGCCATCCGTTGGGTCGCTATCGGGCGGTAGAGATGTACCATCTCCGGTCGGGTTCAAAGATGGATCGACGCTGGAGTTAGTACGCGAAGGATTCCCATGCTGTGTTCTACTTCTCACAGACAACGCTTTCAACTTGAGAGCTTCCAGCACCGCAGACTTCGGCCCGTACCCGGACGTGGTTTCGTGCCACAACTCGGTCGAGAACAAGGTATCGACAGCACGCCATGCTCTACCCGTGCTTGGCCCGTCAGGTTTGATACATAAATGCCACAACACGTACATCGTGACATGATATTGCGGGTACGCTTTCTTCGCCCACCCGTAAGGCTTTAGCAGCTCATCTCCTTCTTCAAGTCTCGGCTGCAGGAGTTCGAGCGCTTCCTGAAGGTTCTCTTCGGTTGCAAAATCTTCGCTTCGTGGGCTTGAATGATGTTGTAACAAACTCCACTGTTGGCGCGTGACGAAGTCGACCTTGCGTAGGAGCCACGAGGCGCAAAAGAGAGTCATGCGCTGCTGTGGAATGACAGGGTTGCAGTATCTCAAGCGCTCTTGAATTCGTTCTCTGCTCTGGTCGAGGACACTTTTGCGCACGTCTTCGCTAGGTGCCACCCCTGGAGATGAATACGATGAAGCAGCGAGTGCGGATAGTCTCTGTGCAGCCTTGACTAATTCAATGTTGATCAGGTCGAAAGTCATGCCTGTCCAGCCTTTTCTTTCCGGCGGGAGTTCTTTCATGTCAGGATAAAGGTCAGCGTCGTCGACGTTGAGAGGCAAAGGGACGTCGCACGACAGCAGGAGATGCTCGGTGTCTTGGAGACCATAGTCTTCCCCGGCACGACCGTCTCGACTGAGCAGATGCCACCATAGACGGCGTCGGATTTCGGACTCAAAGGGAGATAGACCCAGTCGAGCACCGTCACGATGTATGCCTATCGACTGAGCCAGACGGATGGCAAGACCGTTGAGAACCCAGACACCCCTGCCTCGATTGTTGACGCGAAGTGCTGCCTGAATGTGCATTAGTAAATGACCGCCATTGAATGAGACAGACCGATTCCGCATACCAGGTATATCGCCAGTGCACGAAGTGATGTCACAGTCGGTTGATCTAGGTAGTCGGCTTGTGCGAGAGCTTGTTCTAAACCAATTTTGAAACTGAGAAGATGGGGAGCTCTTTCGCCTCCTAGAATAGGATAGGCGTCTGCCTCGTCGAGTGCTACCACCGCACAATAGTATATGGCAAAACACAGAGCATGATTGTCCAAGGGTGCTTCGTTGGGTTTGTCGACGGTCGAAAACACCTTGGCCTCATCGGTGGGAACGTGCAATAATTTCTGGCAAGCATCACAGTCCACATTTGTAACGTAGACATTCCACAATCTCATCGCCACTGATTTGGATGGATGAAAAGTGCTTGGTGTCTGCGTAAAGAAGGGAGAAGAGACAATACCGAGAGCACTAAAGGGGGAAATTGATGGGTGTTCAGTTCGAGGAGTTGGCGTTGTAGCCTGGTTTGTCAGGGCAGATCCAATATGGTGCTCCTGTAATTTGCGTGAGCATGGTAAGTATGGTGGAGAAGCGACAAAATCAAGAGCGTCAACGGAATATGGACACCCCGTAAGAACTCACCTCTTCTAGAACCCTTGACAAGAGAATCTCATTGAAATACTGACTCGAAGACCCCTCCTGGACGAGAATATCGTCCCTTATCCTTTCGCCAGAATCGCCAGTTTGCATGCGGGGTGTAGTTACTGTGCTCCCAGAGGCCGGTGCACTCGATGTCGCAACTGATGAAGTTTGGTTTCTCGCGTCCTTCAGAGACTTCTCGAGGGTGGAAACTCGTGATGCCATCTCCTCCATCATGGTCATCTTGGTCCTCCTGCTCCTGGGGCCCGAAGCCGGGTAGGAACATTGCTTATCTGACCGAGTGCATGCCGTACATGGGAGCTTCTTGTCACATCGAATCTTTTTGCGATTGCAATTGAAGCATGAGCGGAGGTTCGAGGTTCGCCGACCCCTTTGCTCCGCGGTGCGGTGATCTGAAACTGCATCATCTGTATCCAGGTCCATCATCAAAGTGAAACGACAATCATCCTTCGGCAAGTAGAATATGTCTCTGGGAAGCGTGGGTTCGTTAAAGGTGGATGTCTGGTGGAAATCAATGAACGAAATGAAGCGAGAGCATTGGAGGCCCGAAATGGGTTAGCCCGCTTTCCTTTTTTGGTTGAACTCCGCCACGTTACGGTCTCGGTCTTAAAATTCGGTGGTTTGAACGCCACCAACATCTAATTTCACTCTATATGTTCCCACGGCTTATGTGGATGACAGTACTCAGTAGGTACATCATTGACGGCTCTACTTTTCATCTATGGCAGACCCTACTTCCTTAACTCCGTGTGATGCGGCTCCGTTGTCCACACACGACCCGGAACCAACCTCGAGGATACATAAGAAGCCATGGACTTATCAGGGATTCATCCTCAGACCTTCCAGACCAATATAATCCCCTCTCTCGACTTCGTCCACTGTAGCCTGACTGAAGGCCGCGAACATAAGTGTTCTGGTCCTTCGAACCTTCCATCACAAGTGGTCGTTGAAGTACACCAACACCTCTCCGGTTGAAAACCATAGCGTCAACATGGCATCTTCAAACTCAATCCCCAGCAGAAGCACGACCATCCCATCCACCCACCGAGCGCTTTTGCTTAGCTCGACCCGCGATCCATATGACATCAGCGTGGTCTCGAACGCAACACCCCAACCGACGCCCGGCAGTGCCGTCATCCGCATCCTCGCCTCAGGGGTCCTGACATACAACAACAAAGTATACAGCGGCAAGAAACCGTACCCTTACCCGACACCGTTTGTGCCGGGATCAGGTTCCATCGGCCGCGTCGCCTCCGTCCATGAAGACGCCACACGTCTCACGCCCGGCGTGCTCGTCTTCTTCGACTGCTTCATCCGTGGCCGCGACGACCCGGACGCCCTGATCCTGTCGGGCCTCTCGTCGGGATTCACAAAGGGCAGCACCGACCTCATGGTCGGCGCCTGGCGCGACGGCACCTACGCCGAATACGCCAGGGTGCCACTCGAGAACTGCTTCCCACTCGACGAGACCCGGCTGTGCACCGAGCTGGGTTATACCGTCGACGACCTCATGTACCTGTTTACCGTCTCGGTACCGTTCGGGGGCCTCCGCAGCGTCGACCTCCGCGCCGGCGAAAAAGTCATCGTCACTCCCGCGGCGGGAATGTACGGCAGCGCGGCCGTCGTGGCGGCGCTCGCCATGGGCGCGAGAGTGGTGGCCGTCGGCCGCAACCTCGACACGCTGAACGTGTTCAAGTCCTGGCCCGCGTACAGTGAGGAAGGTGGTCGGTTAGACATCGTTCAGACTACGGGTGACGTCGACGCGGACGTCGCGTCACTGACGAAAGACGGCACAGACATGGCCGATGTGTTTTTTGACATTTCGCCCGGCAAAGCCATCGGGAGCCCGCATTACAAGAGCTGCATAAGGGCCCTCCGTCGCGGCGGGAGGGCCAGCTACATGGGCGCGCATTTCGAGTTGCCCTTGCCCGCCATGACTATGACGTTGAACGACATCACCTTCAAGGCCAAGTGGATGTACGAACGCGAGGACGTCCGGGCCATGATCAAGCTGGCCGAAAATGGGTTTTTGAAGCTCGGTGAGAAGAACGGGATCAAGACCGTGGGCAAGTTCCCTCTGGAAAAATTCGCCGAGGCGTTTGATGCCTGCTCCAAGATGAGCGGACCGGGATTGCAGGTGATTATTGCGCCGTAGATGGACAACGCGTTGGCCGAGGAGATGTTGATCTTCGTATGACTTGGTTCAGACGGGTACGTCCAAAATTGACTGTTGATGTTGAAGGAGACGACGTCCAGAGCGGATGTTCAGAATTAATAATGTTAAGATTTTGGACTCTCGTAGCAACGCGAGTCCTTTCGAATCGTAATGGATATCATACTAGATACGACCGCTCCTAGTCTATTCCGTACATGAATGATAATGTGTATCCTCCGTACGTAGTGTGATGGATGTCGAGCAAACCAGTTGTCAGTCGTCTTTCTCGATATCAAAATGATGTAGATGTAGTCGATGCCCAACTTGAAGTGTGGCCATTGATGTTGCTCGTTTTGTATCTTTTTCAACACAGATCTTGAAATGACCAAAAAGATCCCGAAACTCATCACCTCCCTGAATGTGGTCAGAAATGTTGCTGGTTTCTTAAGAAAACAAAATGCATGTTTGATCATTCATCGACAAAAAATGTCAAAGTGTAGTCGCTTCTCTCTCTCTCTCTCGCTTAACTCGGTAGAAAAATGACTTTCTCGTTTCGAGTCTTGCTCAAAGATAATCCAAGAACGACATTATCCTTTTCTTGTCCTGTCTCCATCAATCGTCATATCTTCGACTCCTCCGTCGTCTCTGTCGATCGGGGTCTCTCTGTTGTTTCCGTCTTCTCCTCTCGTCGTCGGTGTCCATGGGTGGGTACCCTTCGGGCGGTGCACTCATCCTGTTACTTCTCCTCGGTGGAGGCACAGCACCCAGAGGAGGCGACATTCCACCGCCATTCGCGTGATCCTGCCTTCTCGACCTTCTCTTCTCATGTTTGACGTTTGGTGGTCTCAGGTCCGTGACGTAATCAAAAACCCTGGGACTCTGCCTGAGTAGAACCATTTCCGTCTCACTCAACCTAGCCTCGGGGATCTTATCCTGTCCACCCTTTTTGTTTCCTCGACCACCTCTGTCCGTCCAAACGACCATCAACCCATCGGGTCCGTTACCCGGTACGTGTTCGGTGTCAAAGGTCCAATCTCGTAACGCCGGAGGATCGTAGATACCTCTGTCCTGTACGCCAGGCCCCTGTAGACCCAACCTCGCCCTCACACTCGCGTGGATATACTCGTTGGTGTTCTTCAACCTTTTCCCCGTCGTCCTCCCATCGGGGTCGACGCGGTAGTACGCGCCGGGCGTCCTCGTCCTCGCCCCCGTGAAAGAATACAAGCCCTTGAGACTGTTGTAAATCTCCCCCCAACCCCACCACCTCGTTTTCTGGCCGGTACTCTTGTAGTACGCCCTGTTCTCGTCCCACTGGGTCATGAGGAAGTTTGGCCGAAAATCCAAAAACGGTTCCAACTTGCTCATCATCCACGCGAGAGTGATGTTGGCGAGTTCCTGGTCCTCGTAACCCCCGCCGACGTTGCTGTGCACCCCGCTGAACCAACACTGCACCAGGTTCGTGCGGTCTCCGTCTCGCTTCTCCCACACGGCGGGCGCAAAGGGACCCCGACGCTCGTCCAGCGCGAGCGCCTGGAACGCGTTCTCCACGCACGGGTTCAGCCGAGTGTCGTAAAACTCGTACTTGTGCATCCCCCGGGCCTGGAGACCCAACGACTCGAGCCACCCGACCCGCGGGATACCCAAGCTACCCACCGTGTCCCAGCAACAAATGGCCTTGATAGGGACGCTCACCGTCGTGAGCCCCATCCGGACCAGCTCGTGCACGTAGGCCTTGTCGAAGGGCCCCTTGTCGGGGAATGGTGTGTCGGGGAATTTCGATACGTACCTCTCGTCGATGCGGTGTTCCCAATCCTCGAAGATCTCGTTGAAGAAAGGCAGACCTGCGCGTGTCAGCAGGCCCAGGTCACCGATCATGCCTCCGACGCTCCGGGCCGTAAAGGCGCCCCTGGAGAAGCCGATGAGGAAAATCTCGTCGCCAGGTTTCCAGTTGATAGCGATGTAGGTGTAGGCCTCGCGCATGTTCTCCTTCAAGCCCATGCCCGTGGCGCCGCCCACCGCGCGCGCCGCCGCTCCCCCGCTCGTGCCCACGCCGGCCTGGTAGTTGACAATCTGGGGGATGCCGTCGCGCGACGTGTCTTTGATCGCCCATCCGATGCGGCTCACGTTCGACGGCGGCTGTTTCGTGCCGTTGCGCAGGATCCCGTTGTCCGCATCCAGCCACGTGCCGTCGCACGTCACGATGAGTCGCTTGCGCGGGCCCTGGAGGGGTCGCTCGAGGGTCCCGGGCATCGGTCCCACAGTCGATGAGAGCGGAGGGGGCTCGAGTCGCGATTGTGGTCGGCTGGTGGGCGCGACGCTCAGAGGCGGCGGGGGAGGATGATGCGCAAACACGGCAGATCCATGTGCGCTGTTAGGATACCCTGGCGGAGGGATCGGTGGTGCCAGGCCGCTGGCGACCGAGGATCTTGCATTGGGAGGAGGACGCGACATTATTTGGGCTTAGACTGCGCACACACTGTACGGAGGAGTAGGATGATCGTGGTCTGTGCTATGAGATCTTGCGCTATGTCATGGTACGCAGATCTGTAGAGCTGATGTATATGATTTCTTCGTGTCGTGCTTCTCAAACTTGTAGTGGCCGTGTTATTTATGCTTCAGCTCCCTCTTGTTTTCCCTTTTCTCAGGCAATTATCGAGCGCAGACAAGGCCGCCGTCGTCCAGAAATGCGCCTTTGCAGTGTCGCTTCCATCGACTCGGGCTGTTTACTGGGCGATGCGCAACATTTGCTGACTGACGCGGGTAGAACACATGCGGGAAACAAGACATAAGAAGGCACAAAAGAAACAGAGACAATGAGATTCATTTTACGGAGATGAAGTGGAATGAAATGCGAAACGGCGTACGAGGAAATACGACTATTGATTGCATGGCTTCGTTCTTCCCATGTCATGTCATCCCCAGCCTGCGACTTGTTGCATCCCCCACCAACGACGAGCACCAATTACAAGTCCATAAACAATCCCAGCCTCTTCCACCATCGCCCTCTCTCTTGGTGACAAGTCAATCCCGTCAACAACACCGCCCTAGGACCCCGTAGTAGTTCATGCAGAGAGGCTGGTGGTCCTTTCGCTTAATCGACATTCCGCATCTATCCGTATTGGTTCATTCCTGCTAATCTTAACAACTCCTTCTCAAACTCCTCAGAGACATCGAGCCATCTGCGACTCCTGTCCCCCAAATCCCTTGCTAGGCTGGAGAATAAGTCATATAAAGACCTATCGGACATGGGTTGTAATCTTCGAACCACTCCAGGTGACTGTCCGTGCTGCTCATGGTCAAGCTAATCAGGCCCGGTACACAAAGCGACGAGCCGACGGTGTAGGCATTGCCTGGCTGCATGCTCACTGAACATGGAAAACCGTGTGGATTTGCTTGAAGCGGTTGGTTGTTGAACGTGGTGGTACCGGCAATCGCCCCGTTCCCGAGTGCTGAAAGAGAGAAATGGAACGTGCCAAATCCGATCAATTTGAAGTATGACGTGCTAAGTTGATTCTGTTGAGGGAAGAGAAATTGCCATGTGCACATCTGTCCTGAACGCTCTTCTGGGACGTCGAAGTTGAAGACAACAGACATGTCATTGGCGCTGATATTTGGTGTGAGTGTATTCGGATACGCGATATTGGGATGGCTTGATGAGATCGGGATCATCAGGTGAGGATAATCAAAGCCAGGAATAGCTGGTAAGAGCTCAGGACATGTCAAGCTCGAGTCTACATCTCGGCTGATGGCAGCGGTGTCAAGGGCTGGCAGAGCAACAATGCCCCGGAGCAAGCTCGCAATCAGGATGAGAACGAGATGCATGTTGGCAATACAGGAGACACAGAAGGAGCAGGTGAGAAGGTCCGAGATCCAGAATTGTAGAGACTGGGCGTCTGCTGAGGCGGCTTGATATATAAGAAGGAAGTTTGGGAGTTCACAAGATCGGAACAAGCACACCAAGCCCAAATATGAGTTGCGAGGAAGGGACAATAGGAGGTCAACAACAGCAAGAACAATGGTCATTCGTACCACCTGCAATGGCAGCGGCTGTCGAACGATTTGGAAGCGCTGGCATCTGCATGGCAATGATCTTCTATCCATGGCGCTGGGTCGCTGACAGCATGGTCAGACGAAGAGCATCACTTTCTTCTGCATTGTCAGCAGTCCTGTCATGTTGCTAGCTCTGCCTGGGTCACTGGTACAAGGTACAGAGAACAAAATCAAACAGGAAAACCTCCCTCATGCAATTCCATCATGCAATAGGTTCAGAATACTCCCAACTCCAGAGGCCTATTTGCAATATCAACCAGGGAAATCTCCTAGATTGTGCAGGCTGATATCCATCCGATCCCGAACACTCGGACTTTCGTCCTCCTGTGATGGTGCTGGTGCCGTTTCCGCTGCCGCGTCGTGACCGAAGGCATCAGATCCATTGACATGAACGGACGATCTCCGCGCCTCGCCGTTTGCTGCTGGCACTACCTTGCCTCGTTCTGTGATGACAGCTCCATTGGCGGCCATGTTGATTTGATCCTCTCCTGCCACGCCTTGTGCAACAGCCCGTCGCGCCTCATCCATGACTTTAAGGCGCCGAGTCTGGCCGCGCACTCTCTCCAGATGATCGAAATAACTTTGGTTAACTGGAGTAATGTAAGAGCCACAGAAGACGCCCACCTCAAAATCATTGGGCGCATCTTGGCTGTGAGCTTCTCTCGCCGCGTCCACGCATGCAGCTTTCAGGTCGTCCAACGTCTGGAAAATGACACTGTCTGCACCAATGTGCTTGGCAATTGCCTCGGTCCCGTGATGGTTGTGTGCAACCAACTCGAATGGTGATGCCAAATCGATCCCGTAGATGTGGGCGTGGGTGATGGGTGGTGCACAACTGGCGAAGTGGACCTTTTTGGCGCCTGCTTCTCGTGCCATGGTTACAATTTCTCGACTCGTTGTACCTCGCACAATACTGTCGTCCACTAGAAGAACATTGCGGTCCTTGAACTCCATGGCCATCGCGTTCAATTTGCGCCTCACTCCTTTTTGCCTTGCTTTCTGCTCGGGCATAATGAAGGTCCGGAAAACATATCTGTTCTTGACAAATCCTTGACAGTATTCCTTGTCCAACGCTTTCGCCACCACAGCTGCTGAAGTGACTGATGTCTCGGGAATGGGGATGACCACATCAATGTCAGCCAGATCTTGAGGACTAAGCACTCTTCTGACCTCCTCGGCAAGTCGGGATCCCATGTGTTGTCGACTGCGATGTACACTGATACCGTCCATGACTGAATCGGGTCGTGCAAAGTACACATACTCAAATATGTCAGGAGCATATGATCTCCTCTCTTGCACTTGTCGAAAGTGAGGCGCGTGGCCCTTCTGGAGGATAACGGCTTCGCCTGGGAGGATATCCCGGATAACATCAAATCCCAATTGAGCCAGAGCAACCGACTCAGAAGCCATCATGTAGTCTTTTCCATGACCATCCACCGAGTCTCTCGATCCAAGCACCAACGGTCGAATGCCATAAGAGTCACGGAAGCCGATCAGCCCATAGCCTGCGATCATGGCCGTACACGCCCAACCTCCCTGACATTTGTCATACATTCTGCTCAAGGCCGCAAAAACGTCGTCATCATTCACTCGTGCCTTTCCCGTCTCATTAAGTTCATTAGCGAAAATGTTCAACATCAACTCGCTGTCGCTGTCAGTGTTGATGTGTCGGTGAGCCTCCCTGTCGAGGTATCTTTTCAGCTCCGGGGCATTAATGAGATTGCCGTTGTGTGCCAGACAGAGGCCGTACGGGCTGTTGACATAGAAAGGCTGAGCTTCTGCATTTGCGCTGCTTCCAGCCGTAGGGTATCTCAGGTGACCTAGGCCCATAAAGCCAGGGAGGTCAATAACTCTTGAGCCATCATGGAAGACCTTTGCCGCCATTCCGTTCCCCTTGCACTGATATATTCTTCCACCCGATGCGCAGGTGGCGATACCACAGGCATCTTGACCACGGTGTTGGAGGAGGTACAGGGCTTCGTGTAAGTCGATAGCTGCAGATGTCGATGCCGAATTGGCGAGTATTAAAGCGAGAATGCCACACATGTTGAAGGGATGTAAAGACAACTATTGCACCGTTAGTTCTGTCCTAACGACTCAAAATCAAGATGTCCACGTGCGCCGCATATGCCCGATCAGTCCGAAGTGGTTATTCAACAAAAATGTTCAGTAGTCTAACATCTAAAAAAATAAAGTGGAATCATCCCACAGGCGAGTAGCAGGGAGAGGATAGGAATCAGGCAACATACTTATGGCATGTCAAGATGTAAAACGAATCGTAGAACTGATTGCAAACAGCACCCGCAACGACACTATCCCGCTAGTCTGAGGACTCGAGACTCGGTGCACTTCGGATCGTAAAGGAGGGTCGTCTAAGAGGAAGCGCAGAGGCTTTTCGGCGAGAGATGCTGTGATCGGCTGGTGTATATGGTCTCGGGGAGCCGTAGACACATCATGGTGAAAAGATTAGAGGAAGGCAAGTTCACGAAACTGCACTGGGGCGATTTTCTGGAGCGGTGCCGGCGACCAGACGACGACGGAGTGCATTGTGGTTGATTATCCGCAATTCTCTCCTTGTCAGTGGTTGGCGAGAATTTTCTGTCAAAACACCCAGACGAAAATCGGTAGCCCCACCATTTGCTATCGCTTATCGGCGTCTTCACCCGTCTATGACAATCTAAGGAAGGTATACCGAGGGAAGTCGGATCATTGTATTTCCGATCAAAGGGGAAGCTTCAGCCTTGCACACCAACAATATATCAATGCATCGCTAGGCCTGCAAAGAACCTTGGTATGCAATGTACTTATGGCATATGCTTGCTGTGAAAGATTTCCATGTGCCTTGCTTGCTTTGTGTACCTTGGCCCGGAGATGCAGGCTCATCTTCCACAGCAAATGCCATTTCCCTCTTACAAAGGACACAATCAATACTTGTTCTTCTTTGTACAGCATACCTTGAGCTTGAACAATGTGCTGGAGAAGTCAGTGGCGTCAAGAACCTGGAGACTTGTACATCTTTAGTCACCACCAGTGTCGGATGCTGCTTCGTGTTGTGTGCTTTCCTCGTATCAGAGGTTACTGTGCCCAACGCAAGTATATACTGTAGGGTATTGCTATCCGTGTACTATCGTAACAATGCGTAGGCTTCTTCTGGTTCACATCAGATTTTGCTTTGTCAATAAGGCCCATCACTCCTCACACATGTAGATCATTGTGGTAAGGTTCCGCCAGGACTTTTCCTTGCCATTGTCCCTAGTCGTTGGCCTTCCAGACGTTTTGATCGCTCTCTGCGTGCCTCATGCTTCAAGAGTGTTTGCTGTCCTCGTTGGTTCATATTTTCAGCATCACAAGACTGTCGTATTACCAGAATCCCCCTTTCCTTCTCTGGTTGATGAAGACAAATGACTTGAACGTGTTTCCCGTCTATGTCGAGCGCCCAAGAACTACTCCCTCATCATCCAAACTTTGGCAGGAAATAGAAGCAGGCTTTCAGAACTAGGTACAGACAACGATACAACTCAAGTGCCAGACCTCGCTCTTACTTGTCTGCACACGCAGATTATCTGAACAGGCAAAGGCTCATCGATCATCTGCCAGTCCTCAGCATTAGCTCAGCAGTTGAACATTCTGAACAAGTGGACAACTCAAACTTTCCTCATTCAACATCATCACGCAAACACAAATATATTGAAATCTTGGCTAGCGGCCAGATGGCATATCCTCCTGCGTATCAGGTCGAGGTGTATAGGGGCATTCTCGAGCTCCGGATGCTCAGTGAAGAAAAAAACAATAAGGAGGCAGCAACACCAACAGTGTCTCGAGAAATGGTTGATCTCACCGAAGATGAGCCTGATGGTAGCGCAGGATCGAGAGTGGCCGGTGACACAGAAGAGAATCCGTACATGATAGAAGATGACGGCGATGATGTCGAAAAGGTTCTGATAGTGGATAGGGACATCAAACTCCAGGATGTTGGATTTTGTTCCTGGAATGTTCAGCTCCGCGATGACAGCTTCATGAGGATAACGTCACTTGGTGTCGTCAACAATCGCCTGATTTGCATGTATGGGAGACGCCTAGTGCTGCCAAACAATGACATCAAAAGCGAGATGGTAATCTCTGAAGAGGGTGGAGAACTGCTTTGGTTGACACAGCTAGATGCACAAGGTAGAGAACGAGGTCTCGAAGTTCGGCGTGGTCCTCAAGAGATCAACAGCTTCTGCAATATCCTCTTCACGAATTTGCCGGAAAGTGTCATCAGAGAGTACCTCAACAACTCCAATGGCGACTATTTCTTTTGTCGATACAGAAGAGCTGTCTCAGCAGGTGTGAGAGAAGACAGCGGCCGCCTCAACAGACAGAAAAGCGGAATTCTCCAGGTAATCAGTCCAGAGGAGGCTGATGACGTTGAGATCACTCTTGGCCCTTGGCCCTCTCTTCGAGCAAAAGCCTGTGAAATTCGTGAAGCATTCCGAGGAAGGCGACAGATTGGACCAGCAAGAGCAAATCCCAACAGTTACGTCTTTGCCGACTTCTTCAGTGGTGCTGGCGGGGCGTCTCAGGGCGCGGTTGACGCAGGTCTGTCGCCCCTTTTTGCTCTCGACCATGATTGTCCTGCGGTGAAGACCTATGCAGAAAACTTTGCCCGATATGGGACGATGATATTCAACATGGGGGTCACCGAGTTCCTAAGACTCAGCAATTCATATACGTCTGAGACAGGGAGACCGACGCTGATCGACATTGCACATATGAGCCCGCCATGCCAACCATTTTCTCCGGCAAACACAACGCCAAATCAGATGATGAACGAGCTGAATGAAGCGACATTCATTACAGTCCGGGACCTCCTCGAAGCCTTCAAGCCTCGGATGGTGACTCTTGAGGAGACAGACGGGCTTCTCAACAACAAACACATGATGTGGTTCCGGTGGCTGCTCAAAACATTCAAGATATTGGGATATAGCGTTGTGTGGAGATCTGTCGAGATGGTCAACTACGGAGTAGCACAATCAAGGACGAGACTCATCCTTATTGCTGCAGGGTACGTCGAAACCAAATTTGCTGGCTGATGAGTTCATTGCTAACGTGCTCGTCTAGTCCTGGCGAATCGTTACCTCCTTTCCCTGAACCAACTCATGATGGGCCTGGTTTAAAACCGAGACCCAGCATTTATGGGGCTATTGGAAACATCACGTTGCCGCCTGACCAGCACTTGGGTCCTGTGAATGACTTTCCAGCACGAAAGCGTCCCTTGCCTTGGAATGGACTTGCTGGTACTGTGACGACGAATGGCGGAAGCAATAACTACCACCCAGACGGGTGGCGCAAATACACTGTGACCGAGTTAGCCGCCTTACAGACCTTTCCACCGACGTTCCAATTGCATGGCAGGGCTGTGACGCGGTGGAGGAAGCAGATTGGAAACGCAGTCCCTCCAGCATTCTCCCACGTCCTGTTCAAGTCAATTAAGGAATGGCTTTGGAATGCTGACCAGGCAGAAATCGGAGGTGCTGCGGTTGCAAGGGCTGAGGGTAGTCGGTTGTAGATGCCATTCTCATTGTCGTATTGTACAAAGGGCGAACAAGTCCAAAACTCACAGCATGGTCTGCTTGGATTTGAAGAGCGTCCAGATGAATAATGAAGCCCAGGTAGAAATGAATAGACCACTCCTGTCCAGGATGTTGTTGTGGCCTATTATACACAGATGGTCAAACGTATTGCATAGTTCGTAAACACTGGTATTGGTATGTGGTCGTACTTCAACCACAGATGTCACCGACATAACAGGAGAATGCCAACCCCCTATTGCTATCGGATTGAAGACTCACAAGCAGGCGCAACAGTCAGCCATGAAAGGTCATTGTCTTGGGCATCGCTGACGGTCATCGTCCTTGAATGCTAGGAGGCTCTATCGTTGCATCAGATGGCGACGGCAACGGCAATGGCAGCACCATTGATAAATTTGGTCGCTTCGTGGAATGCATCGTCCAGCGTTCATCAAAGTTTCAGCCGACATCGCGGTCGTGATATGTGGCCTTGTTGGTGATGCTTCCTCATGCAGCCACTCCTTTAGCATGTCGTAGATCCATGGCCATCATCTCGAAAACTTGTTTCGTCATTACTGCCATCGAAGCATAAAAGTGTAGAGAGCTCCTGCTCATGTGTCAACCAGGGTACTATCTAGGACATCTTTCCATTGGTTCCATCTTCTTTCAGCAAACCCAACGATTTTGGTGAGATGTTCAACATTAATGGCGGAACCTCCATTCTTCTCAATACGCACTATCGACAGTGCCTTTCCTTTCCCACTAGCATCTACGATGACGGCTCCAGTTTCCTCACAAGCTTCCTCCTCGAAACTGTCCATATCCATAAGAATCCAGTGCTCATCGTCAGTGTCGTTCGCGTTCAATAATCGCTCTTCTGGAAGAAACACTCCGAAGCTACTCGATACTGGCATGCCTCTCAAATTCAGCCTACGTGCATCTCCAATATCTGCCGAACACAGAATCCGTTCCCAATCGGGGTCCCACCACGCTTTGGGGAGTTTAACATCCTTGAGAGCTGCATGCATCGCTAGCCATGCTGCATCGAAAATAGAACCGCCATGACTGATGCACATCATATCGATGTACAACGTCCAGTAGGCTTTCAACTGCGGATCGCCAGTTATTCCGAGTTCAATATCTTGGGTTTCGGTAGGTGGAGTGTATAAGATCTCAAGATCAGTCGTTCTGACTAGTTTCGAGGAGTACATTGTCGACAGCAGACGTTGTGATATGGACTGAGCCTCCACAGAAGGAGGAGCATTAGCGGGATGCTTCGGCGAGCAACCAGTACCCAATTCAATGTTTGGCACCACAAGATTGTAAAGTCGAATAGCAGAGTATTCCTCCTCTTGACCTTTGTCTTGAAAGTGACCGTCTTGTACCGCTGAAGCCGATGGGGTGTATGACGAGGATGTTTTCGTTACTCTGAAATTGGGAATTTCACTGACTGGAAGGATCTCGGCCCTCACACCACATACGATTGTTGTGACTCCGATCTTGATTAAAGAGGATCCATTGCAATGGGCGAGTGAGCCTACATTGAGCTGAACAGGTCGAGGTTCTGAAGGTGCCCGATTTGAGGGACGTTTGGGAGGATTCTGTTTCAAATGCGCGTGGAGGAGGGCATTGGGTGAGATCAATGGCATCGCTGAGGGAGGTATGGAGGCTAGAGAACTCGGTGGAAGGGTTGCGGAAGGCATATTTGCCAGGCGAGAATCAGTATTCGCTCACGTCATGATTGGTATGAGGCTTGGTCGCTGTATCGTAGATGATATGTGTTCTTGGGGTAGCGATCACAAAACGCGAGTCCTTGTGCCATACTCCGTGAGTTGTCGCATTATCGCACATGAAAATATTCTGCCGGCAATTCACGCAGGTGGTGAGTGAGTCTTGGCGTCCGGGTGCGTTCCGAGGGTCATTCATCTACATCCCCAGTCCTCGTACTCGTACTCGTACTCACATAGATTACATGAGCATGAGGTATCTATTTCTACTAAGAGCACTCGTATTGCACAACGTGATGCTATTAACTTATACGTCATCAGGTTTTCGCCGGGGTACTATTTTGCCATATTCTACGCGTCAAGAAGGCAGATAAGGTCAGCTGCTGGTGAGAAGATCCAACTACCATTCAGAGTAAAGTACAGTCCCATAGGACAGACAAATCCCACTGCACAAGTCCTGCCCGGGACCATCCCGGCCTAGAGAAGCTCCTCATTGGACATCTTGTCAATTCGTTGTGATCCCCGGAATCGTCCCGGATGATGGAAAGCGTTTGGTGCGAGAAGTAAGCTGGGGTTCACCAATCACCGTCCAGTGACGGAGCTCGGCACTATTCAAGTCGTTGGCGACGAGGCAGACAACTGTGCCGTCAGCAAGTCCCGATCTTTGAGTCCTGTGTTGAATCGAGGCAACTCGGGTGCTCGCTGGAGTCCATAGCCGAAATATCCTAGTATAAATATTGCATAGGTCCAGTGCGATCCAGTTCACGGCTTGTTCGAAATAACACCAGCGTCGGTGGTCAGGGGCGACTGAAGTATATTATACACAGTATGGCTGAGAATGTTGACGTACTCATCTGCGGGTCCGGCTCTGCTGGTCTCTGTGCGGCATTATGGTTGTCCATCTCTGGTATCAAGTCTGTCAAGATACTAGAACGACGGTCAGGGCCCATGACGATGGGTCAAGCCGACGGGGTACAATGTCGAACTGTCGAGGTTTTTGAAAGTTTCGGTATTGCAGAGAAGCTTCTCCGGGATGCATACCATGTGCTTGAGATAGCATTCTGGTCTCCGGACGGAAAGGGTGGGCTTCATCGCAAAGGACGGACGGCTGATACCCAACCTGGCCTCAGTCATCAGCCACACCTCATCCTCAACCAAGCGAGAATTAACGGGTTTCTACTTGAAGCCATGCGGAAAGCGCATGGCCAAGAGGTAGACTATGGATACACTGTCAAGAGTGTAGAGGTGGATTCAAGTTTAGCAAAGGATCCTGATTCATATTGCACCACGGTGGTGGCAGAGAAAGACGGCAAGGAAGAGGTTTTCAAAGCGAAATATGTCCTGGTTAGTATTTCTGAGCTAGGCTCATGGCTTCTCTGCCTAACAGTTAGATACAGGGATGTGATGGCGCCCACAGCATGGTACGCAGATCTCTCGGCTATCAAATGATAGGCGATACGACAGATGCGGTCTGGGGGGTCATGGACATCTATCCCCGAACCGATTTTCCAGACATCAGACGCAAGTCGACCGTCCATTCAGACTCTGGCATGATTCTCGTCATCCCAAGAGAAGGAGGGTCATTGGTGCGCTTCTACATTGAATTCCCGGCCGGTACGAACGTCAAAGAAGTCACTCTCGAAGATCTACACAGGAAAGCACAACAAGTCTTCCACCCGTTCTCGATGGAATTCCCAGAGACGTATTGGTGGTCATGCTACTGCATAGGTCAGCGACTGGCGGACCACTTCACCAAGGACAATCGGGTCTTTCTGACCGGTGACGCTTTCCACACACATTCACCCAAGGCCGGTCAAGGGATGAATGTCAGTTTACAGGACGGATACAATATCGGCTGGAAGCTGAGCATGATCTTGGAAGGCAAGGCCACCCCAGAGTTGCTGAAGACGTACAATCTCGAACGCGGCAAAACGGCCGCCGACCTGATTGATTTCGATAGGTGGTTCACCAAGCTGTTCGCCTTGAAGGAAGCCGGTCAGGATAGCAAGATGACACCGGAGCAATTCCGACAAGCCTTTATCAAATCTGGCCGATACACTGCAGGATTGACTGCCAAATACGAGGACTCCAGCATCACGTCTGCTGCCGGAAGTCGGCAGAGCCTGGCCGAGAACATAGTTGTCGGTATGAGGTTCCCGAACGCGCAAGTCGTGAGATTTTGCGATGCAAAAGCGATGCCATTGGTTCAAGCGCTGAAGGCAGACGGTCGATGGCGGGTGATATTCTTCGCCGGCAAGATTGGGCAGGCTGACACTCTCGCGAGGTTGAGAAAGGTAAATTCGTCAACAGTGTCCTCTTTGGAGCTTGCTGACATTACCCCTTAGATTGCCCAATACCTTGAGTCCCCTACTGGTCCAGTCGAGAGATATACTTCTCCATCAGCGGACATCGACAGCCTCATCGAGCCAATCGTGGTCTTCAGCGGTGCGCGGGTCGAGTTGGAACAGGAGGAGATTCCGGACTATTTCTGGCCAATCACTGGCAAATGGAATATGAGAGGCAAGAGATGTTCCCTGAGGACAATATGATTCTAGAACTGACCACCATGCAGATCTACATAAAACATTTGTCGATGACGAAAGCTATAATTCGGGCCATGGCCACGCATACGAAAGATACGGCATCGACCCAGATTCCGGCGCCACTATCATCGTTCGACCTGACCAATGTATGTCCACCCCTTTTTTGTTTTGTTTATATACCGACTCGAGCGCATCTAACTCCGTCAGATGTCTCCAAAGTCATATCTATCGACGATGTCGAAGGTATAGGCCAGCTGTTTGACTCATTTTGCGTCTCACAGTCCCACAACGGGGCCGTTCATCCTCCTAGTCTTTAAAATAATCGATAATGAGTCAAACTCAACCACTCGCCTTCTAGACTTTATTTCAGCCATGACCCCACCACAAAAGACCTCCAACAGCCAACATATTCACAACAGTATGCTGTCCAACCACCCAGGCCGCCGTATAAAGATACTTGGGCGAGAAGACGGTCCAAATGAACAAATGCTCTCTGAGCACCAAGCAAGCGACCATGACGGCCAGAGTGTGCACACACGCAAAAGTCGCCGTGGTCGTCATCATCATTCCCACACCTCCCTTGCGAAGTTGTGGTGCGCTATAGAGCTGACACACCGCGAACGCCCACCATACCGGCCCAGCCCAATTACTCACGAACGTAAGCGCGCCTACAGCCACGACGTTGTAGCCGCTGACTCCATTGTAGGCGTTTGACAAGTCGATCGTGGCTATGGAATTGGTCCCACCAAACATAAAGAATGACGCGTACTGGGCGAGGAGTGCAAGGATAGATATCTCGCTCACACTATACTGTCGTCCACGTCTCAACAGGTATACTTGTAAGCTAAAGAAGAGGTACAGCGGTATATAGACCGTACGTGACTGCGTCACGAGGAACAATGAGAGCACATCTTGAACCGCGTCAAGAAATTCTCGGAGGTTTTCAATCCCCTGCCATGGCGCTTCATAGTAGACTGAGCAAGAGAGAAGATGCGCCAACCCCAGGAAGACGATCCGCGCCATACTGACCAGTGGGTATCGCGAGACGAAGGCAACGAGGGGACGCAGAAGTGGGAAAGTGGCGAGCAGTTCCGGTGCGTCGGCCGCGGTGAAGGCAATCTTGAATAGGAACGCGGAGATCGAGATCAGGATGGGGAGGAGGCTCATTTGTCGAGCTCCCATCCATTTCACGACGCGACTGGAGAGGTTCCGCGAGAGGTGGGTGTAGGTGATGATCACGAGGGCCCACAGAATCCAAGAATTTGGAACGACGAGCTCAATCAGGAGATCAGGTTCGCCGGCGTATTTCTGGCCCGTTTGGCGCCAGCGTCGTGTAGCGAGCAGGAATATGAACGCGAGTGCCGTTCCCATTGGGCCTCCGAGGGTGGAAGGTGATGAGTAGTACCGTGCGTCTTTACAGAAGAGGACGACGAGCCAGGCACTTAACATCCAGTACCAGAATTGGTGCTCCTCTTCGACATAGCTGCTGGCAAACATGGTAATAATGTATACGAGCATTGTGAAGCCCAGAATGATGCCGTCGACGCCTGACTGCAACAGGCTTGGAATGAAGCTGGGCAAGCACAGCCCTAACGCGAGAGTAGCCATGGCGACGCCTGCCTGCATGATAGTGAGATCGTAGTTGCTTGCCGTCCCACTCAGGAGCGTTTGTGCTTTGTACAGAAAACTCTTGAGGGTGGGTATTGAGGCCGTACGTGTTGCTAGATCAGAGTGCGCTGTTTCAACCTGGCGCCACAGGCATGCTAGACGTGACGCATCATCTCCGCTGGTCGCCGAGCAGTCGGTGGATATCTGACCAAATGCGTCTGGAAAAGTAGCCTCGGCTATCCTGTGAATCTGCTCGGCGTTCTCGTAAAGAAGACTGTATCGATCATTCTCGACTGTCCAGAGTTCGAGAAGACGCGGGATTGCTACGCCAAGGTTGTTCATTGGGATTGGGAACCCCAAGAGGGCTGCGAGTGTCGGGACGATATCCGATTGCTCCACCAGGTCATAGTATTTGTAGTCGAGAGCATCATGAACAGGGCTGTGTTGACCCTCAAAGGCTGATTTAAACTTGGGAGAGATAAAAGTCAAGGCGGTTGAAACTTCTCCCGGAGATGAAGCCCCGTGGTTGCCACCTTCATTCATTCCATGATCCCCCAATAGCACCAGGAGGCACGAGTTCATGTGTTCTGTATCCTCCATGGCGGTGTAGATCTGACGAACGATCTTGTCCATTTCCGCTTGTTTCGCTGGCATATTAGGACCCTTGGGGCCTGTCTTGTGACCAATATGGTCGAGACCGAGAAAGTGCAGGGTCATGGCCGACCAGTCGTCGTTTTGGAGCTCGGAAGGAATGTGTCTCGTCACGTTGTTGTCGACTTCGGTAAAGTCGGAAACGAAGAAGCTCGTGGTGCCTTCGGCGCGATGAAAGAAATCCGGAAACAGACGGAGCCAGGTGTCGTCTCCGTACATGACGAGATTGCCGCCCTTTTCTCGCATTTGCGCGAGCCATGAGTCCTGGTCTTTTAAAGTCGAGGTGGTGTCGGACTCGGCGAAGTTGAGGACTAGGTCCACGAAACTGGGTACTGATCCCGTGGTGATGGCTTTGACCCGGGGCATGGTGATGGTGGGAGCACTCGCGTGGCCTGTGAAAGGCAGTGCGGCACCAGATCTGATCAGACTTTGCGTAAAGGAGAAATGCGAAGCATTGCTGTAAACAAAGTCGCTCCGTAGAGCATCCACCACCATGAACAAGACCCGATCAAAGGGAGCTGGTCTCGGCTGGTGACCCGCGGACCATGCTGCCAGGCCGGTCAAAAAGGCCTTGTGGGGGAAGAACCCTTTAGCAAAGATGAGTAGTGATGCTATAAGAAGGACATTCGCGAGGTATAACGACGCCTTTCTGAATTGGACACCCGAGCCCATGGTTCTATTGACGTGACGGAGAGCCCCTGTTCTCCTCTCCTGACAGCACTTCCCTGCTTTGCTACCAAGTCTCGGCCCATTGGCTCAAGGGAATGTTATGTTCGATTCTGAAAGTGATTTGTGTTCAGAGAAGCGCGAAAGCGCGAAATTCGTAAGACCCGGGAACAAAGTTGTCGACTCCAACATGGTTGATGAAACATGTGCTGAGATCCATGGATATTAAACGCCAAGGGCAGCGAAGCATTTGAAGTGCCATTTGCATCACCCTAGAACATACGGTACAGCGGAATAACCTCCAGCCTCTCAGCCTTGCTTCAACTCTGATACAATCTGAGAGTAATGTATTTATACGGAGTATTATTTTTTGGAAGATTTCTCACACTGTCGCCGTAATACCAAAAAAACAAAAACACAAAAACAATCAACAGTCAGGATTCGCTGCTCGTCACCGACGCAACTACTAACTGACCGGCTTGTGGCTTAAGTACGGCTGAGCGGACGGGAAGCCCTGTTTATCCACAACCTATGGTCGATTGCGGAAGGAAATGTTTGGTTGTAAAATATGAATGCAACAAATACTTCTCGCCAATGATTTTTAAGGTAACAAGTCGTCCGTCCGTTTACCACCGATGAAATTTCTATTTAGTTAATATGACCTCTATGTCCACAACGACATGTCATTTAATATAGACGCCTACAATGTCTAAGCTGGACAATGTGGTCTCCTCACTGATGGGCAAAGTCCTACCTAAGGTATGTACTTGCACAATATGTTTCCCAGCGCATGTTCGAGATGTTGTGGACTGCAGCGGAAGGAAACCAGGCTTTAGGATTCAATTCCGCCCATTCCGACCGGAGCCAATCAACGACAATAGCGCTAATGCTCTAGACGCATCAATTCCGACACGCTCCTGTTCACCATCCTATCAACTGTATCATGGGTGGCTCGACATGAAAGATCCAGACTCTATTCACTCTGGACTCTCTTTCTCTCGCTCGGATATCGTCGACGGACTTGCGGAGATGATTATTCATGTTGTCGGACTCGTGTATCACACTCTTTCCATCCGGAAACGTTCTACAATCCCTCGACCAGTCGGCTCAGACTTGTCCATATCCCTGAGAGAAGACATCCACGATTCGTGTTAAGAACTTCCAAGAATGGAAAGTAGAGCCGGCAAAGCCTGCTGGTGCGTGCCACAGCAGTCGAGGTTGTCGCGGCACATGAATGGAACAATCGTCGTCTAGACACGAACCATCTACACAACCTTCTATTTAGCTTAGAGAATTCTTGGTCATCTCCCAAGCCATTGCTACGGGCCTTGAAAAAGTGATCGTCCCGTAAAGTGAGATAGGCCACAGTCTGTGCTTGCGGAAGCATTCCAGGATATAAAGACTGGTTTCCTTCCTACGCTTTCCCCTCTTGACAGAACCTGGCATCCCCCTCTCCTCCGCTCCCGCTTCACTAAGACGATACCTCTTATTCCATGAACATGGCTCCCCATCCTCTGGACCTTCTCTCTCTAGAAGAGACTAAGGCCGCTCGTGATATTGTGGCCAGCCTTCATTCAGACGCCGTCCTCAGTTTCAGAGAAATCTATCTCGAAGAGCCTCCCAAGGCCCAGTTAATCGAGTTCTTGACCGCCGAACATGCAGGAAAATCAGCGCCTGCACCTCACAGAACAGCTCTGGTACAGTACGATGTCATCGCATCGGACAGAATTCCACACTATCACGAGTCTGTCATCGACTTGACCGCAAGGAAAAGAATCTCCCATGCGGTTGTTGGTGAGAATCAACATGCAGGGCTGACGTTGTACGTCCAGCCTACCCCCTTCCCGCTGTGTATGCTTGCTCTAACAAATCAGGGACGAGTTCGACGTTCTTGTGGATGCATGCAAGTCTTCACAGATGTTCAAAGATGTATGCGCCGAGTTCAAACTTCCGGAAGGATTTGAAGTCGTCATTGAGCCATGGCCATACGGCGGTATGTCCCCAGAGGAGGAGGATCGCCGCTATTTCCAAGGTCTTTGCTTTGCTCAAGACACAAGGTCCAAGAATCCCGATTCAAACTTCTACGCTTACCCACTACCATTCATCCCCGTGCTGGACTTTTACAAGCGAGAGATTGTCCGGATAGATCGCCTCGCGACGGGCGGTAAAGGTGACGCTCTAGACGCGAAGACGCACTCCAAGAACATCATCGATCACTGTGCATCAGCCGAATATGTGCCCGAACTGTTGGAGAATGGTACGAGAAAGGACCTGAAGCCCTTGAACGTTCTACAGCCAGAAGGTCCATCATTTTCGGTCGATGGACAGCTCGTTCAATGGCAGAATTGGCGTTTCAGGGTCGGCTTCAAGTAAGTGTGCTAATCGTAACCAGCTCACCCTTTCGCAATTAGTCCAATAGCTGACCATGGGACTCCATTTCCCACCAGCCCTCGCGAAGGAGCGACAATCCACGACGTCCACTTCGCCGGACGAAGCGTCATGTACCGACTCAGCATGAGTGAAATGACGGTGCCATACGCCGATCCACGAGGCGTGTTCCCACGCAAGCAGGCCTTCGACTTTGGTGACGGTGGAGCGGGTAACTGCGCCAACAACCTTTCGCTGGGCTGCGACTGCCTCGGCGTGATCAAGTACTTTGACGGGGTCAGCACGGGGCCCGACGGGACTCCCAAGGTCTCGCCGAACGTGGTGTGCCTGCACGAACAGGACAACGGCATCGGCTGGAAACACACCAACTGGCGGACCGGCCGCGCCGTCGTCGCCCGGTCCCGCGAACTGGTGGTGCAGTTCATCATCACGCTCGCCAACTACGAGTACATCTTTGCGTACAAGTTCGACCAGGCCGGCGGGATCACGGTGGAGACGCGCGCGACGGGGATCGTGTCGGTGGTCAACATCGACCCGGGCAAGAGCAGCGCCTGGGGCAATGTCGTCTCCCCGGGGGCCCTGGCCCAGAACCACCAGCACATCTTCTGCGTGCGCATCGACCCCGCGGTCGACGGCTACACCAACACGGTGCTGTGCGAGGAGTCCCACCGCGTGCCCATGAACAAGGAGACCAACCCGAAGGGCAACTTCTACGAGGTCCGCCAGACCCCGATCACCCGGAGCCAGTACCTCGACGCGGCGCCGACGGACAATCGGGTCATCAAGATCGTCAACAAGGGAAAGACGAACCCCGTCAGCGGCAAGCCCGTGGCGTACAAGTTCGCGCCCGCCCCGACCCAACTGCTCCTGGCCGACCCGGAATCCACGCAGGCCAAACGGGCCCTCTTCGCCCACCACCACGTCTGGGTCACCAAACACCGCGACGGCGAACTCTACGCCGCGGGCCGGTACACGCTACAGAGCCGGAACGAGATTGGTGGTGTGGCGGACGCGATCAAACGCGAGGACAACCTCGACGATGAAGACGTCGTCATCTGGAACGTGTTTGGGTTGACGCACAACCCTCGTGTTGAAGATTGGCCAGTCATGTGAGTTTTTGTTCTTCCTCCTGTCCCCTTGTCCTTTGATACGCTACTCGTGCTTCACTGCGTCGACAAGAAACTATTTGCTGATTTAGTTTCGACCTTTTTTTTAGGCCTGTTGAAATCCATCAACTCGCTATCAAGCCCAGCGACTTCTTCACGGTCAACCCAGCCATCGATGTACCTTCAACCAAAAACGAGGCGTCAGTTCTGACGGAAGGTGCGACTAATGGCGTCAATGGGGTCAACGGCACCAATGGCGCGAGCTGCTGCTCGTAAACACACAATTTGGGTGATGCATGCGAGGTGGGGTGTCTTGAGTGTTGGAGCAGAATGCTTGTCATGTGGTGTTTCCTCTTGTGTAGCGATGATCTTGACAGTCAGTCTTCCTTAACACACAAAGTGGTGAAAGGTCGAACGTCTATCATAGGCGAGCAGAACTATATACATATGTATGTACCTTGAATGGCTCGCAATATAATTACCAAATGTTCTTTAGCATGTCACATGCGCCTCTTCCGCCTCAACTCCCGAGGGCCCTCTTAGTACCCTGGACAAAAGTGTCTCGAGCAGAAACCATAGTAATGTTAAAAAAGGGTCTTCATCACTTCATCAACCCATACTGGCTCTCCCCAACAATGGTTCCGTCTCCTGATGAGCGTCCCTCTTCATCTTGAGTTTCTTCCTCTTTTGTTTCGTTCTTCTGCCACCACCAGCTTCATCCTCTACATCTTCCTCTTCTTCCAACTCATCCACATGTCCAGGTAGAACGGTGTACTCGCCATCCTTGACTCGGCTGACGATCCAACTGCCCTCGTCTTTCGCTTCTCCAAAGAAATCCTGGTTCTCTTCGAACGTCCTGTTCCCACTCTCGGGGCAATACAAGTACGTCCACAGACCCGCAAAGGCGTTCGTCCCCGCAAACACCAAGAACAAATAATACTCCAGGTTGTTGAACATGATGGGCGTGAGCAGGGTCACGGCGAAGTTCGCGAGGCCCCAGACGATGACACTGATGGCCGCCCCCTGCGCCCTCGCCGTGCTGGGGTATATCTCGGTCGGAATCAGCCACGGCGGCACGAGCCAACCTATCCCAAACACCGACGTGGCGAGGTAGAGGACCACGATCCCCGGTACGCCGGTGGCCAGGAGCGGGATGGACAATGCCCCGCGGTTGTACGCCAACCCGCCAAGCAAGGTGAGCAAGGCAAACGACACGGCAAGCCACAGGGCACCCTGGACCATGAGCCTCCGTCGACCGACGCGGTCGATCAGAACCCACGCCCCGGTCATCATGACGAAGTAAAACACGTAGTTGCCCAGCGTGATGTACTCGGCCGTCACGACGGGGAAGCCGAGCAGTTCAAAGATCTGTGGGCCGTACACCGACACGGCGCCGTACCCCGTCAAGGCCTGGTTGATCTGCCCCATGACGGTGACGACGGTCGGATGGAACTGCGGGCGTCCCGGCAGGAGCATGTCCGCGTACGAAATCATGCCTTCCTCCTGCTCGCGTTCGTGCGCCTTGGTGAGTTCCGATATCCGCTCGTCGACCTGGTCCGTCCCGAAGACGCGGGCTATGGACCGTTTCGCGCGCTCCGTGTCGTCTTGCAGGACGCACCAGCGTGGCGTTTCGGGAAGGAGACTTGCCCCGGCGAAGAGCAAGACGGGGTATATCTGCATGACGATGATGGGGACGCGCCACGCCCACTCGCTGAACTTGCCCAGGCTGTGCGTGATGCAGACGTTGATGATGAAGGCCATGTTCAATCCAAAGATGTTGGCTTGGAATTCTTGCGCGAGCGCCGTGCCTCGAGAATCGTCCTCTTGAAGCTCGGATGAATAGACGGGGACCACGGCGTCGATGCCTCCTATGGGACAACACAAATGTACAATATATCATCAGCCAAGGGCCTTTACGATTCTTTCCCTCCAAAAAGGAGGCCAGAAAACAACAACTTGCTCAAGGGTCGAGTACAGAACGTCAGTACATACCTACACCGAGCCCCATGACAATTCGTCCCAGAATCATCGTCGCCAACGACCCGCCAGGTCCAACGTCGCCCATGCCAGCGACAAACATGAGCAGATTTCCCAAACTTGCCGTGGCGAGGCATGCGAAAATGCCCGGTTTCCGACCTTTGTCGTCTGCGAATTTCGAAGCCAAAACGGCACCGACCGCACACCCGAGGTAATATACCGACACGACGACACCGACGAGAGGCGAGTCAGGCGCGACACCCACGGTCGACAAGTAGTGGTAATTGGTATTGATGAGGGACATCATGCCTTTTTGAAGGGGTGATTGTTAACCCTGACCGTAATCTCTGTCTAACGGTTCATCAATCATACCTTGATCATACCCGTACAGAGCAATGGCGGTCGAACTGAACATGACCACCTGTGTCTGTTTTTTCATGATTCGTCTCATACTGAATCCGATCCCCATGGTGGGATTAGGAATGACGATACAGCGTGCAGTTCAAGGTATCGTGGAAATCACAAGCACATTATAAAAATGGCGCGGCGGTTCACGGACGCTCGATAAAAGTTGAGGAAAAGAAAACACGATCTTATGAAATGACAATAACAGACAAAAGACAATAGAACAGAGAGGGTGTAGGTGTAGATGCAGCCGTAGCAGAAGGTGTCGGTGTAGGAGGAGGGGAGAGGGCCCGATACCAGAAAACCAGCTCCTTTTTAGCTACACATCGCGACGCATGATCAACTTTCGGTGATCTACGAGGATCTCGTTGTAGCTCATCATCCAATGACAAGCCCATTGAGAGATCGGTAATGACAACATGATAAACTTGAAAATGGAGATGACGTCTAGTCCGAGTCGTTAAGGTTGTTGGAGATGGAAGCGTGCGAGGCTCCGATCATTTAGTTTCAGCATCACGGACGGGATGCTGTGCTCTGTCTTGATCTGGATGCCAGTACTCATACCGAGTATCTGATTAACAAATATCGAGGGTTGAGAGCAATCTCGTTATGCTGAATATGCGCCGAAGCCAACTCTACCATGTGACTCGCTACTGAGGTTCTCATTACCCCGCGATGCACAGAGTAATCGCAGTCATTTTCTTCCACATGCAATCGCCATGTAAACATGAACAATACGCCATGACGACCGTCAATCGTGCAGCGCAGCACATAGACGCCCCGAAATCAACACCCTAAATTGACTATAAGTGCTACTCGATCTGGAAGGTGAGCTCTCGTTTCACTTCACTGCTCATTAATGTACGAGGCAGTCGAGACGAGGTCGCAGTGAGCTCGCTTGCTGGTGACCTATCAGGCTGTAGGGACACACTCACGAAACAGACTACATGCGAAGCTGCGCCAGAACTAAGGCGAACCGGCAGGCACAATCACTGTTATCCTTAGGCATTCGGCGAAGATCAAAGTTTTGACGACCTTCTACCTGGCCTCGAAGAGCAGAATTGATGAGGAGAGCATGACATGGCGAAAACAGCATCATCTGACATTCCACGTTTATCCTGGCATATTACATACAACATTGAAAGTCGAGGGTGACGACGTGAAGGACGTCGCAAATGCTCGCAGAATACTTGAAGAGATTTCGAATGGAGTGGTCATTGAGGATGGCGGGAAAGTTGTTTGGTCTTCCGGGCTCAACAGCACTGGAGGCGTATACAAGAAGCTCAAGTCAATTGAGAAGGATCTTTGCGTAGTTATCGCGAGAGACAAATCAAAACACCAACTACGCTTTCACGGGCCATCTGAGAAACTTGAGCTTGCAATCCGCCGCATTACCGACATACTCAGAGAGGAGGAGTCTTTCCCCGGCTACGAAATCGACCTCAACCCTCACCAATTTTCATGGGCGATCAAGGGGGGTTTTAAGAGCATTGAGCAGGCCTTGGGCAACAACGTCCCGGTCTTCAATGTGGTCTCAAGGAGCATCATCATCAACGGTACACAGCAGCAATGGGAAACAGCCGTGGCGGTCATGGACGGCAAAAGTTCCATTATTGAGGTCGGCTCTCCATCCGACAGTGCAACAACAGGGTCCGGGGAAGACTGTCCAATTTGTTTTTGCGAAGCCGACACTCCCATCCAAACCTCGTGCAAGCACACATACTGCCTCGAATGCTTGGAAGGATACTGCAGATCCGCCCCTTCGTCGACCACCAGCAAGAATACCAACTTTTCAATCAAGTGTCAAGGGGGTGGGGGCACTTGCACGACCATCTTCACTCTACAGGAACTGAAGGGCCATGTCTCCTCGTCCGCCTTTGACGATCTTCTCAAATCGTCCTTTGAAGCACACGTCCAACGCCACCCGGACACCTTTCGGTACTGTCCGACCCCGGATTGTGGTCACGTGTACCGGTGCACTCCCACCGGTACGACCGCAAACTCGATGGGGGCCGCCACGCACACCTGTCCGAATCGCCTCGAGAGGCTTTGCACGTCTTGCCACGCCCGACACGGCGACCACACGTGTGCCGAGTACAAAGACATTGCGTCCGGCGGCCGCGCGGCCCTCGAGAAACTGAAAAGGGAACTCGACATCAGGGACTGTCCCAAGTGCACGACGCCGATCGAGAAGACAGAAGGGTGCAACCACATGACTTGTGCGGGCTGCAGGGCACACATCTGCTGGGTGTGCATGGAGGTCTTTGAGTCTAGCGACCCGTGCTACGGCCACATGAATGAGGTGCATGGAGGTATTGGACTTGGACTCGACTACTATCCGAGGATTTGGTGATTTTTCGCATGCTGTGCTACGTACTTTGTGGTGAGTTGGAAATGTAACCCAGATGATACAGTGTTTCTTTCTTCTTTCGGACACCTGGACGGCCCCGTCTATGCTCGCCATCTACCCAGTTCAATAACAGGCCCCGCGGACTCCTGCCTGACTGACACAGAGTGCAAAGTATTGTAGAAGTAAACATGTGAGTCATATCTCGCAGCTCTGAGACACCCCAACCTCTGTAAGACCGAAGATACAAACTACAGTCACTTGGTGCCTGCCTAGGTAGGTATACAAACTACACTTATGAAAGATGACGAAGAGATCTTTAGCAACTCAGTAAATGATACGGGCCTATGTAGTTGAAAAGCATCGAGACCCTTGAAGGTCAGGTCTAGTACAAACAAAAATCCCCATATGCTCCTTGAAACAATGGCCGTCGAGACTTCTCCAAACCATGTAGTCCGATAGATGGGACCGTGTTGTGATTATGATGACTCCTCTCCCAATGCCCTTCCCAGAACATTCAGTTTCAGAATGAGCAGGCAGTAATAGGTAGCATCAAAGCAAGGCACCCATTTAAGCCTTCTCGATGAGGGCTTCGAGCTCCTCAGCGACACGCTTGAGCTCGACCTTGAGTTCGTGGGCCTTCTCCGAGAGATACTCCTCTGGGGAAAACCCCTTGTTGACAGCGAAGCCACCGTCGTTGACGATGTCGGAGTAGTTGGACTTGCCACCACCGTTCCAGGCCAGAATGTTGGCTGTGTCGGCTGGGACATTATCCAAGGCACCCTCAGTAGCAATAGCAATCATGTTTGCCTTCATTTGCTTAGGGGTGATGTCTGCAACAGCGTAGGCCGAGTCGCTAGCTGGTTGAAGAGACAAAAAGTAGGCAAGAAGACCAGCAATGTGGGGAGAGGCCATGGAGGTACCAGAGATGATGTTGGTTGCGTACTTGCTGCCAATCCAGGTGGAAAGGACATTCAAACCCGGGGCGAAAATGTCGTTGCAGGGACCGTAGTTGGAGAAGTATGCTCGCTCATCCGCCAGGGTAGATGCACCGACAGTGATGGCCTTCTCCGCTGCAGCAGGGGAATAGTTACAAGAGTCGGCGTTGTCGTTACCGGCAGCAACAGCGAAGTGGAGACCGGCGTCAACAGCTGCGTTGACAGCGAGGTCGAGGAGTCGGGATTTGCCACCACCCAAGCTCATGTTGGCAACGCTGCCCTTGAATCCCTTCTTCTTGCCCTTCTTTGCCGCGCTGACGGTCTTTGAGTGTGCCTCTGCTGCCCATTCGACGCCCTTGACAACATCGCTCATGGTACCGCTGCCGTTGGACTTCAAGACCTTGACAGCATAAACGTTGGCCTTCTTGGCGACACCGAACTTCTTGCCAGCAATAGTGCCGGAGCAATGAGTACCGTGTCCATTACCATCGATGTCCTCATCATCAGCGGGGATTGTCTTACCCCAGCTGGCACGGCCTTCGAAGTCAACGTGTTCGATGTTGGTGCCAGTATCGATAACATAGGCATCAACACCCTCGCCACCGTCGGCAGAGTAGAGGTATTTGTTAAAATCACCAAAGCTCAAAGCGTCACGGTGGGAGATACGAGCAAGTCCCCAAGGAGCATTCTTCTCCAGGGAAGGCGATTCCTTGAGGGTGTGAACCTCCGAGTCTCGCTCGATGTAATCGACCTGCGCAGGCACGTGAGCATTCGTCCCGGTGAGATGAGAGGCGATGACTACGTATTTGAGATCTGGGCACAAAACAGGCCCACCAGCAGATGCCCATTATGATGGAACTTGGGTCATAGCTTGCCGATAAGGGATCTTGAGGATGGAAGGTGATGAAACATGGTATTACTCACATCTGGATGCCTGCGGACCATTTCGATGACATCTTCATCAAAGTGACCAGCGTAACCCAAGAAGCCGCCCGGGATGTTGTAGGTATGTCTCAAGCCCTCAAAGATGGTGTCATCTGAGAAAGGAACTTGACTACGCTTCCGCAGCTCTTGCTTGGTCGTCTCTCGAGAGAGATGGACATCTTGAACCCAGGAGTGATGAGCCGAGGCATCCCGCTCGGTGACGTGCTTCTTGAAGACGACCATGTAGGAGTTGGGGATCTCCTTTGCGTTAGAGGAGGAGATGAGAGGAGCAGCATCATTGTGGATGGTGTCAACCAGTATTGGCGAGCCTGCCGCCAGGAGAGGGAGGAGAGAAAGGACCAGGCCCTTCATGATGACAAGTACGGAAGCTGGCTTCGAGGTGGTGCAGGGACAAGAACAGGAGGTCTATTACTCGAGATGAGCAAGCCGAACAATAAGAGACGATGAAAAATAGATAGAGATGAAGGATGAGAAGGCAGTGGGAGATGGGAGATGGCAGGAGTGATAGCAGGGTGTGAGAGAGGATGAATGGAACTGATAACAGGCAACGAAGGTGATTCAGATGATGCCACAGAGCGGGCAATTGCGTTTAGCCGAAAGCGGATAGGCCACTCCACATTGGCGACGGAAGCCCTGCGCACATGACTCGATGGTTGTCGCCAGCAAGTGACAGGTTGCCACAGTCACCGATAAAATGACCGGGGACAGAGCGCAGCGGGCTTCATAGGCACCTAGAGAGGCTCGGGGCACCTAATATTGGGATGATAGCCGCACCCCCAGCCACACTCTATAGCGCTACACCAGGCACTATTTGCACTCTGGCCTCCACTGCTCCGGAATCCCCTTCAATGAATGACGATGGCGGTAGCAAAGCCACATAAACAAGATCCTCACACATACGGTACAGCATTCCGTACTCCGTACATATATCACAAGCATACTCCTTACTGATGGGCGTTATGGGAGATTCTGGTTCTGAGTTTCCGGCATCCTTCTACACACATGCAGACACAGACGCCCTGGGGGCTGTACCTGGGGGCCATGGTCTCAGCATGTTGTCAGCTAACGTCACTGGCAGAGTCCGAGTCCCGCACTTTCTGCAGGCATACACGCTCGTACTCGTGCCCTGTGGGACATGCACTCAATAAAGTACGAGTACTACACACCTAGTATTAGACCTCACTTGAGATATAGCATATCGGCATTGTGTTCATTTTCCAAGTGTATAATTTATCAAGATTCAAAAGCCAGAGACTGTCCTCTTCTCCACCTCATTCTTTGCCCTGCAAGTGTCTTCGGTTTGCTACTGACAGGCAGGCAATAACCACTGCAACGAGAATTCCTCCGCCCTTACCGACCACAGTGATAGACATATCTTCACCAACACGAATCAGCCTGCTTACGGGTGCTACCGGCCAACAATGCTGCGATACCCCTGACCCTCCCTCACAGAACGATTCCTCGCGTGCAATCCACATGCGGTCGAGTCCAATGCAAGCTGCGGTGTCAAGACCAGATAAGAGGGGGTTAAAACAATATGGGTCTTACCGTGCCAATACCTGGACGAAGTCGGGCTGTCTCAATCGCTGATATCCTTCGTCCGCAGGATAAAGACATAGCTGCCCTGGTGAAGAGTTTGGATGCACTGGACCGCTCCTCCTTTGGAAACCTGCAAGATAGTCTAGACCAGTCAGCCGCGTTACAACAACTGCGGCACTTTCTCAAGGATGATGCTGAACTTCACGGAGCCAAGAGTGGCTTTAGACGTGCTGGTGGTTTACAGGCACTGCTCCGTCTGCTTCGGTCGTTGACCGATACCTATGGAGCGCAAGAAAATCCTTCGTCCAACATCAAAGTCTTTCTGCAGACACTGTCACAGTGGTTCGCTGTGCTGGGAGCTGCACTAGAAGGACATGAAGGCAGCCAAAGGTATTTTAGAACAAAGGTGGAATCCAACGGATGGGAGTCTTTACAGTGTACTCTGCAGCAATGTCTGGCTCTTGTATCGTGCCAAAGCAGTGATGAGTTGTACCTTGAGCAGTTCTTTGGCCTTCTCTTCGCGACAGCGGCTGGAGTGGAAGTAGTCGATGATATCTACACGGCTGCCGAGCGAGTTGTCAACAAACAAGACGTGAAACCTGTTTCTGAGGATGCTGTCAGCGTTGTACAGACTGCGGTGTCCAAGTCGATGTCGAATGTGGATGAACTCGCTTTGCCCGAGTTGCTAACCACAATACTTATTCTATGGAATATCGGCATAAAGGGAGGCAATATACCACTGCGATCTATACGATTGGCTCTACCAATGGGCCTGAGAGATGTCCTTTCGATATCAAGACATAACCTCGTTTCCGCTCATACTGCCGGAACCTTCACTGCGATGCTACAGCTTGTGTTTGAAGAACAGTTATCACATGTGGAAAGGGCGCAGTTCAAAGAAGCCGCCCTTGTCCTCTGTCAAGAAGGGGTCTCGAGTCTGGTTGACGCCCATTACCTGTTCAACCAGGCGGCAGCATCTTCTGAGGGAGGGGCTTTTCTGCTTGATGCGGTGAAAGCATCGAGACAGCCCCCTAGTGTTCAGTTTGACCTATCTCAACAGGGTTATGCTTCCACAGAACTAGCCAATCTGGGTAGGCCGTTTCCTCCCGTCGAGACATCCGGCTATACCTTGAGTCTTTGGGCTCGCTTCGACCTCTTCGATACCCAAGCACATACCACCCTCTTCGGTGCCTTTGATAAGAGTCAGACTTGCTTCATCCTAGCGTATTTGGAGAAAGACACACATCATCTCATTCTCCAGACCGCAATCCAAGGAAACAGACCGAGCGTTAGATTCAAGTCGGTAGCCTTTCAGCCAGATACGTGGTACCATATCTGCATAGTCCATAAAAGACCGCGGACTACATCGTCATCCCGAGCCTTCCTCTTTGTCGATGGAGAGTTCGTGGAACAGCAAAAGGCCAACTATCCGGGCGTTCCTCCTAGCGAGCGTGGACAACCCAATCCAAAGGTTCAGGCATTCTTCGGTACGCCTCAGGACCTTTCTCCTCGTGCCGCGGGTACAGCTTGCGTCTCGAAATGGTCGTTGGGCTCTGCCATCTTATTCTCAGACGCAATAAGTGATGATCTAATCGCTGTTTTCTATCATCTGGGGCCGAAATATCATGGCAATTTTCAAGACTGCCTCGGGTCATTTCAGACTTACCAGGCTTCCGCCGCCTTGAATCTAAGAAACGAGATGCTGCACCCTGGGAAAGAAGACCAGTCTGAGCTTATCTTAGCAATCAGGCAAAAGGCCAGCCATCTTATCCGCGAAGACAAGATCCTAATCAACATATCTCCCGCCACCATTTTGGACGACGATGATCGAAACAATATTGACGAGACTCAACTCGTAAAGTCTCTGTCAAAATTGGCTGCCAAAAACCTGGTCGCCTATACACGCTCCGGCACCAATGCTGTTGCCATTAACGGCGCGGTACCTGCCATCAATGATGCTCTAACTCAAGCTCGTGGCGTATTCCTGCTGATGGGAAACCCTACTGTGACTGTGCCACATTCCCTTGATGATGCTAGCTGGCGTTTAGGTGGCTGTGGTGCTGTTAGCCTTTGTCTTTTGCAACGTGCTCGAACGACTGAGGACGTTGCCCTTGCTGTCGATATCCTACTGGAGACAGTGCGCCACAGCTGGAGAAATAGTGAGGTAATGGAACGTGATGGAGGTTATGCTATTCTGGCAATGATTCTGAAGGAGAAACTGATGCTTCCTTCACAAAACAACAGTGAACCGGCAAAGACGACTATTGCCATCCCTACTCCTCGGCTCGATAGAAATGCGCTGAGTCTCCAGGTTTTGAAATCCATACTCTCGTTCACTGGGTATGACCACGAAAATTTGTCGAAATCGGTCATCAATAACCCTTTGGCGTACAAAGTTCTGGTAGCAGACAGCAGCATCTGGCGATGCAGCCCTCTCCCGGTACAGCAACTGTACTTCGGGCAATTCCTCGTTTTTGCTGAGCAGAGTGAGTTCAAACGCTTCAACCTAAAGAGGCTTTCAAGAATGCGAGTTCTGAAGCGACTTATGGAAGCTTTGAAGTCAGAGCCTGTGTCCAGGGCCATCATACCAATGTATATGGCTGCTTTCAAGGTGCTTCTGCCTCAGTCTATGTCCGCAGAAACGTTGCGATCGCTTGCACTCTTTGTTACGTTCTCCGTTAACAAACGTAACACTGGTCTGCAATTTCGCAAGCCAACACGTCGAGAAGCTCGACAACGAAGCTCCTCTGCAGGGTCATCGAAGAGTGGACAAGATGAAGCCACCTCCAACCTAACACATTTCGAGATAGGCGTTGAGGTTCTCCGTTTGTACTCGGATATGTTATGCCGTAAGGACGACGACACTATGATCAAGAAGTTTGCGAAGACTGTGACGAACAAGTGGCTCCTCTACCTGCTCTCTGAGACCTCCCCTGAAGTAGTCGTGCTTTCAGTGAGGATACTGGCACGATTGCTAGTTGTGCATGGGGATAGCTACGTCAAGAAATTCAAGGATACTTCCAAAACATCTGGCTTCACAGTTATGGCATATCGACTCAAGAGGTGGTGGCATCTTCCAGCATTGTGGCCTGCATGTTTTGCAATCTTGTTCAACCTCGACGTCTGCAATCTTGACCTAGACAGAAGTTTCGACCTATTCGGCTTCATCGATTTATTCGCCGGCAAGAAGGAATTTTCAGTTGCGTACCCGGAAATCCTCGAAGTCATCATGGCTATGCTCCAGAGTGGCCTTAAAACAATAGTAGCGTCCAAACGTCATCAAGCTGCTGTTACTCTGGCGCCTCCTCTAGAAGATTTGGAACAACCGCCTCAGAGGCTGTCGATGTCAACAATGGCGCCACCAAACCCATTCCTTACTATTGTGACTAGCCAACATGTCGAGACATTCGACACTGTAGTTCGATTCCTCGCAGACCTCCACACGAGGTCACGAAAATTCCGAGATTTTACAGCTACTAGTAGCTCGTCCTACGTCCAGCAACTCCTCACTGTTCTTTTCCCGGTAGTGGTTGGTTCCGATATTGTCGAAGCACGGACTGAACTGGATGCTCGAGATTCCACGTTGACATTTGATGGTGCCGATGTTGTTGTCCATCCCTTATCCACCGCATCGCCCATAATACGCACGTCTGAGGTCGAGCCATCTCCCGTAGGATCCCGAGGCACAACACTCCGGCGAGGTTCTTCCTTTGTTCTTGTGACACGAGAGCAGGCTCATCAAAATGGAAATGGAACTAGAGCTGGCCATGCTGACGGCTCTGACTCCGCCACTCGAAAAATGCCAGAGCTCAACGAGGGCCACTCGATCGTCCAAAGTTTACTGGAAATAGTCGTAGCTATTTTCCTGGACCAGATTCTCACGAGAAAGGACTTTCCTGGGCTGGGACTCTTCCTCAAAACACCACCTGGCTTTGTCGAGCACCAAACTTACTTTGAAACGTGGATTCTTAGAAATACAGTCTCACAGCTTTCGACCCAGATTGCGTTGGACCAGAAGGTTCTGACCGAACCAAGAGTTTTGATCAACCTTGCACGACTATTCAGTCACCTCGAAGAAGCCCTTTTTGAAGGCTGGTTCATTGGTGGAGCTGATCCTGTCCTTGATCTTGCCGGTTCCATTCTTGAGTACCTTCAACGTCCTGACATAGCCAAGATGAAGAGTGTCCGGCTGTGCGCGCAAACAATTGCGATTATTCGTGCTGTTGTCTTTCGAACTGTCCTGCTCAGCTTGTCTTCAATCCAGGACAATGAATCGTTGCCTTTTCTGGAAAAGCTGACTTATTGGCAAACAGTTTTACTCTCTGCCGAAGAAACACAATCGAGTAATTTGCAACTCGTTTGCTATTTGCTTTACGCAAATCTAGTCTCCTCCACGGATGCTGTTCGGCAAACAGCGGCTAATCTTTGGAGAATCATACTCGTTCAAAAGCCCGATGAAGCTTCGGCCATATTCGGTCAGACTGATACAAATGAGCAAATGGGCCTGACATCTGGTTTTGCAAAGGTTGTGGAGCTCGACAACGAGGCTTTCCTGCATTGGGTTGATGAGCACAGAGATGAGCTAGACACGTTGTTCTTCGATACACTGTCCAAACAGTGGACTAGCTTCGTGGCCAACGAGAATAAGCGTACTGAAGAGAACGGACGCTTGAGGATTTCCCGCAGACGCGAGAAGGTGAGGCAGTGGTCACAAGAAGAAGCTGATCGGGAAGATCTGATCCGCCGGCATGAACTAGCATTTGAGAACTGGACAGCCAATATATATTCGTCAGAATACCTCAAACATCAGCGGCTATTGCAGGACCAACAAGACGACCTTCTTTATACTGAGACCAGTTTCAATCGAATGCAAAGGGACACCAGCAGACCTGGAGGGTTGTTCTATGCCAAAAAGGACCAAAAATGGCGGCTTGACCAGACGGAAGGCCGGAATAGAATGCGCATGCGACTTCACGAGGACTTCAGCAAAGCAGAAAATGACCAACCGAAGCGAAAAGGATCAGAGTTGCCGCCATTGAGGCTCGACACTCGTAATACGAAAATATCTAACCTTGAGGCCATCGGCGCAACTCCCGGTGGAGCGACTCCTATGGTTGCAACACCAAAACACATCAACACCGGTACTGAACCTTTCCCTCAAATCGAGGAGGAATCCTATGGTCAACAGCAGCCAGATGACTCGGTCAATAATCACGAGAACGAGCAACAGAGCGAAGTGGTAGAAGGCGATGATAGTTTCGAGATGGTTGAAGACCCTAATGTCGAGCTAGACGATTTCGAGGACAAGAATCGCAAAGTTATGCGGAGTCTTCACCGAGGCGATCAGGTCAAGCATGTCGCCAATATTTCCCGGATTCTTGGACTTGAAGCTGTCGAAGGTCTACTCATCCTTGGCAAAGACTACATTTATCTCCTCGACAATTTCTTCCAGCGAGCAGATGGAGAGATTGTGAATGTCTGGCAAGCGCCCGAGGAGGAGCGTGACCCCTACGTCAGGATGATATCTGGGCGAGACGTTGCAGACAAGAAGAATGTCTCCAGGAACGAAGAGCATGGCACTCGCAGTTGGAAATGGTCGGAGATCATCAGTGTGTCAAAGCGACGTTTTTTGTTTCGAGATGTGGCGATCGAGATCTTCTTCAGTGATGGCAGAAGCTATCTGCTGACCGTCATCTCTCCCCCTATTCGGAATGAGTTGCATAGCCTCGTCAGCGCCAAATCGCCATCTCACAGCGCGCTGAGTGCTGCACATCCCGAGACAGCTTGGCGGTACGAAACGTTGAGGAGTGTCGACGACGAGCCACAAACTCTTGGTTCAAAGTTCGCCAATGTGTTTGGCCAACAATCGAACTACCTTGCTGCGACTCGAAAGTGGCAGAAAGGAGAAATGTCAAACTTCCACTATCTCATGCTCGTCAACACAATGGCGGGGAGAACGTACAATGATCTGACGCAATATCCTGTGTTTCCCTGGGTCATCGCAGACTATACAAGCGACGAATTAGATCTGTCCGACCCTCGAAGTTTTCGCGATCTTTCCAAACCCATGGGGTGCCAGATGGCGGAACGAGAAAGACAATTCCGTGAACGTTATGAGGCCCTGGCGGAGATGGGAGATGCCAGTACTCCGGCTTTCCACTATGGGACACATTACTCGTCCGCCATGATTGTAACTTCATACTTGATCCGGTTGCAACCTTTCGTCAAATCCTATCTACTCTTACAAGGTGGAACGTTCGACCATCCTGATCGCATGTTCTTCTCTATCGAAGGAGCCTGGAAGTCCGCGTCGCGCTTGATCCCTACAGACGTGCGTGAACTGACGCCCGAGTTCTACTACTTGCCTGAGTTCTTGGTGAACGTCAACAACTTTGATTTCGGGACGAGGCAAAACTCGAGCGAATCGATTGGCAACGTCGAGCTACCGCCATGGGCAAAAGGTGATGCCAGAATATTTATAGCCAAGCAACGAGAGGCTCTCGAAAGTCCGTTTGTCAGCAAGAATCTGCACAAGTGGATTGACCTCGTCTTCGGCTGCAAGCAGAAAGGGGAAGCTGCGGTTGAAGCCGTCAATGTCTTCCACTACCTGTCGTACCAGGGTGCTCGCGACCTTGATTCCATCACTGACCCCCGAGATCGGTTGGCGACGATAGGAGTCATTCACAACTTCGGCCAGACCCCGTATCAGATTTTCACGAAACCCCACCCAGCAAGAGAACAGACACGCCACCGATACAAACGTTTAGATACGGCTGCAGAGTCTTTGACTCGGGTTCCCTCGACCCTTTTGGAAACGGAAGAAAGGATTGCATCTCTGAGCTGGTCATGGAAATCTGAGCGATTGTTGTGCTCAGGTGCATTCCGGCTTAACATACCTCCAGACTACGAGATGTATATGGAATGGGGGTTCTCCGACAACAGCGTCCGTTTCTATTCGACGGAGAGTCGCAAGCAGATTGGCCTTTTCGAGCATCTACACATTGGGCAATTGTCGTGTGCTCTGTTTACCGATTCAAGAACGTTGGTCACAGCAGGCGCTGATTGTACGGTTGCGGTCTGGACAGTGATTGACACAGGCAAGTCGGTTGAATTGCACCCGCGAGCAACACTATTTGGACACCGAAAAGCTGTGACGGTGCTAGCGGTTTCGAGAGCCTTCAACGCACTGTTGTCTGCATCATCAGATGGGCAGGTCATGTTGTGGGACCTCAACCGATGTGAATTCAACCGCATGCTTGATGACCGGCTTCCAGTAACATGTGCAGCGATCAACGACGTTACCGGGAATATCGTGCTATGTCATGACCATGAGATCAGCATGTACACGCTCAACGGTGACCGAATACTACGGCAGGATTCCGGAGATCGGTTACAAGAAAGCATTGTTTCGTGCGCATGCTACGAAGGAGCTGGCAATGAGTGGCTTGAACGAGACCTTGTCTTCACGGGCCATAAGAGGGGCCAAGTCCGGATCTGGAGCAAAGTCGCGCGTGGAGGACGATTCGAGTTGGAACTCATTCGTCAATTGAATCATGCAGATAACAACAGGGATGATGGAGCCAACGTCAATGCTGGCATTAGTTGTATCCTTCCCATGGCACAACTGGTGTACACTGGGGATGAAGACGGCCGAGTGGTGAGTTCTTCCGTATAAGAGATAAATGGCATCCATCCAGCTAATCATGAATGCAGTATGAGTGGAACTGTGTCCAAAGACATTGAAGGGCAGCGACTGGATTGTGTCAGCTGCATGAGGCATGATTACTTGATTGAATTCACAAGCATAGCGAGGCGTACTGCACCACTGACACTCGATAGGTGGGATTGGAATATGAAATGAGTGGTTGGCTGTCTTCCCTGGGTTGGTATTGGAAGGTATTGGATTGTTTTGGGGGGAGAAAAAAAAACAATAAATCCTGCGATAGAAGCGATGAATTAAAAAAGTCATTCTCCATATGGAGTACAGGTGGTGAAAATGGAATAGAGATATACAATGATGAATCAATTACTCCGGACAGTATTTCACACGCCAATGGCAATTGACATGTGAAATAACATGAAATAACATGAGGGAGATAGATGTGTAGCCGGCGAAAAAATACTGCAGGGAAGCCAGTCGACAATCCTGGGCCAGCTGAAGACGTACAAGAGAGGCCTTTTGTACTGTACATGTCTGGCTGCTGCTCCATGACTGGATGAAGCCCTCACTTTTACTCCGTAAGCCACGCCTTGGTTTTGTTTTATGTCAAAGACTCTTTTCATGTGCAGATTTGGACAACGGAGGTGCGTTGCTGTGCTCCGCCTCGCTACGGGTTACAGAGATGTGATCAGGCAGCTGTATTGTAGGAAGTGGTGGTGGTGGATTGGCAACTGGACCAATCGATGAGATACACGATGCGTTCTCGAAAGTGTGACGAGTTCTTTGTGTCTTCTTATATACGGAGTACAGTGGTTTCTGTTTCCATGGAGGGCCCTCGATCTCCCTCTGTGCTCGGTAATGATGAAACAAAAATACGTGTATTGCATCAGCATCAGACTGCCAAAATAATAAATAATAAGTAATAAATAAATAACTTGTGTACTCGTGTCCTCGTCCTTTGAACCTCGGAACATGATGGGCATCGTCGAGAGACTACGGAATCCCGGATCCTTCGTAGTTTCTCCTCCTGAGACACACACTATTCCTTGTTGGTTGTTAGTGGCTGATATTGCCGGAGCAACAAGTCACTTTTTGATGTTTGTTGTTTCGATGGATCCATCACCATCACATTCTCTCCGGTCACTGACTGGTAATTCTAGTACTGGCGGGATACGTATGGACTTTTATTACCGAGTATACGAGTACCTAGGTACCGAGCTACCTAGGAACAGTACAGTACACTCGTCACCCCGTACGGAGTTATTACACGGTGTCGTCGTCGCCGTTGTTGTTGTTGTTGGCGGGTATTTTGTTTTGCTGACCCGAACGCTGGGCAGACCTGCATGTGTTGTTGAAATCACTCCCTTAAATTAGCATTGGCCTCTTTTTGAACCTTGCTTTCTCTCTTTCTTCTTCTTTTCCTCTCTTCTAATTCATTCCACATTGAAACGAACTGCGTCCCCCCCAGACCACCTGTTGTCCTGTTCCCAAGCGTGTGTGCATTGACTCCATTCTTCTCACTCCTCCACCATCTCCTTCTCCTTCTCCTTCTTCCTTCTTTCCTAAGAAGTCTCTTACTCTCGACTGCCGAAAGGTAACCCGAGAGTTCGAGACGCCTCTAGTCTGGTCAATCTGGACTTTGACGCCCGAGTCCCCATCCCCGTCAGTGTCTTCCCGTCTACGTACAGGAGTGACGCCCAAAATTCCACAGAGGAGACGTCTGCCACCTTTACAAAGGTAGAAGCGGACACCCGACAACAACCCTCGCGCGTCGGACGGGAAGATACTCGATTCTCCAGGGAAGAGCTCGACATCACCACCAGGGAATCCAACCGTCCACGCCGCGAGCAACAGGGAACCCGACGGGAAGAAGACGTCCGTATCTACGAGGAACGTGATCGAAGATACCCAGAAGTTGAACTCCGTCGAGAAAAGTATGTCGGATCCATTTTCCATGTCATGACCCCAACCGTGCACACCTCAAACCCCGAGGGTGCATGGACCATTCACCGCATTGACCTCGGCCCGGTCGATCAAAACGTGAAAGACAGAGAACCAGCTAACTAACATGACGCCCCGTGCTTTGTCAGGTATCGAGGACCCGCTGAGTTCACCCGCAACGTCGACGTTGACATAGACATCGACCGCCGCGAAACCAGAGACCACGTCGACGTCGGAAGGCAACAACAACAAGCCTACGACACCCGCGCCTACGAGACCCAACTCGACATCACCGAGCGAGACTATCGCCGCCGCCTCGACCCCACGTACGACGTCGAATACGAGCGCCGTCGACCCGTGCAGGCAGACGTCACCGTCCAGAAGGAACAAATCACCACCGAAGAAACACCCGGCAAGATGGGCTACTACGACGACGAAGGTCAGTACCACAGCTTCCGCCGCGGCGTGGAGCGCGCGGCCGACCGGATCATGCACCCCTTCTCGGGCGGCGGCCACCACCACCACCGCCACCACGACGAACGCGACGAGGTGGTCATCGGCGAGCGCGACGGCGGCCCCGCCGGCGGCTCCTCGTCGGGGCCGTCGCGCGAGCAGGTCCGGTACGTCGAGCCCCGGTTCGGCGGCAAGGGCGTGCCCATCCAGTGCCACTTCATCCGCATCGGCGACATCCTGCTGCTGCAGGGCCGGCCGTCGCAGGTCATCCGCATCAGCATGAGCAGCCAGACGGGCCAGTACCGCTACCTCGGCGTCGACCTCTTCACCCGCCAGCTGCACGAGGAGAGTTCGTTCATCAGCAACCCGGCCCCCAGCGTCGTCGTCCAGACCATGCTCGGCCCCGTCTTCAAGCAGTACCGCGTCCTGGACATCAGGCAGGACGGCCTGGTCGTCGCCATGACCGAGACCGGTGACGTCAAGCAGGGCCTGCCGGTCGTCGACCAGGGCGGCCTGTCCGCCAGGATCGAGCGCGCGTTCGGCGAGGGTTGCGGGAGCGTCAGGGTGCTCGTGATCAACGACGGCGGTCGGGAACTCGTGGTCGACATGAAGATCATTCACGGAAGCAGATTGTAGTCTACGCGGCAAGAGTAGTGTACGGAAGAAGCAGAAGAGGGGAAAGGGGGGTGTGTGAATGTAGTAGGAGTGGAAGAGATGTACGGGATATACACGTCGCGTATACTTGGGCAGTTGGATGGTTGTAGTTTGTCAGCAGGTGACGTGGTATTCTTACAGTGCCGGGGTGTTGCCCTGGCTTGATATTTGATCTAGGTAAAAAAGGGTGTTGGGAGGGGGGCAAGGGAGATATCATACTCTATACTCCGTACTCTCCACGCACATGTGTAGGCAATGTCTTTTAATCTTGACACTTGACTTGGGCAGTGAATAGGATACTCAGACAAATTTTTCGCAGTCCGTACGTAGGGGGTAGTCTGAAGAAATAATTGCACGGGGTGCATGTTCCCGTCTCTGCACGGATATGAACGACAAGAAACAAAGTATGGACATTGTCGAGATGGTATGTATGTGAGACAAGAAAAGGAACGACGACGCCGTAGTCCACCAGAAAAAAAAATAGCCGCTTCGGCAAAGGCAGATCAACTTACATCCCCCATACTCCTCAAGTCATCTCACTGCGACATACGGAAGTAGCTCCGCCAGATATAGGAACTGCGCGTTCCACATACCTCCACGCATCGCATCGCATCGCACCACAACACAACGAGGTGTCATTGCATCAACCTTCTATTGGCCCCTTTTTGACAGGACGAAAGGAAAAGGTTGCCGGTCGGATACGGCTGAGTCGTCCCGTAACCCGGGATTACCAAGGTCTGTATCTTTCGGATTGCGAATATCTCCATTTCGATCCTGTGTGGGTAAATGTTGTCCAACTTTGGAGTTTCTACATTCCACCACCACCACCACCACCTGGTGAGTCGAGTTTGGAACCTGGGGGTTATGAACGATCGTTTCGTTTGGGAAAGGTCTTCTCAACCACACGACTTGGGCGTTGTCTTTCTCATCGCAGCGGGCTCTCATCTTGTTTCTGGCATCCCAGATCATCTTCATAACGCCAAAAGTCCTAATGACACCACCAACGCTGTCGTCATGTAGCCGTAGCGATTCGTCGAAACAGAAACAAGTGCGTCACTCTGCAGATCCGTCGTCGTGAATACCAACGAGCTGGAGATTTGCGTCGAATTGAAGCAGTTACTGGCATTCACTTCAGGTACGTCCTCGGGTTCGGCAAAAGTGATGTCGACGCAGCTGTACAGAGCGGCACCATGGACGGCCGTTTCAATGACTTGAATGGTCGCATTGTCTCCGACTTGGACCGAAGTGTTGGCCGGAAGGGGGACCTGAGGGAGGCAAAACGTTCCTGGGTAAGGATCTTTCGTAGGACCGATGATCTGGATGCCGTTCACCATGACGTTGGACATGTTGGGGGGGATGGTGCCGAAGCCTAGGTTGATGTAGATAAAGGCAGTACCGTGGCCGGTGAACCAGCCCGGTTGGAATGAGACCGCGCCGCCTTTGACGGGCCATTTGGTGCGATTCGTGGATGTGGGCATACCGCCGCCTAGAACACAAAGAATGAGTCAGTGTTTTGATCTTCACCGCGGGTTTCCATTCAACGTACAAGGATATGACCATTGCATGCCGTACGGCCAAATATAATTGCCATCCAGAGGGGCAGTTTCCAGCCCGTTGGACTCTTGTACCGTTCCATTCGAATGTAAATTGTCTCCTCTCCAACCCGGGTATGTTATAACCACATGTCCGTAGGCAAGGGTGAGGTACGAGATGAGGACGAGTATCGATCTCGAAAGCATCCTGGCGGGAAGAAGTAGGAACTTTGCGGGTTCCCTCTGCTTGTGTAGGGAGTGATTTATGGGTGTGAGCAGAAGAAGATGGCACAATCAAGTGGTCTTCGGACGTGCGCAAAGGACAGCTCTCAGAGCCGTAGGGCGGAAGTCTGGTCGTCGACAAGAGAGAAAACAAAAGGTCTGGTCTGTATAGCCTTGAGAGGAATTAAGCAACAGGAGTTCTTGGTATGGGCCTCTTTCTGGTCGACGGAATGAAGGGCAGCAGGCAAAGAGAGGGGACAAAGACGATCAACCTGGGCCATTGCGGAGGGTTATACTCGGTAGATACGAATCAATTAATTAGTCCAACGACGCGGCGCCCAGAAATAAGACGCAGACGCCGTGACTGGACATTGCTCCGAGTGATACTGCTAGCGACGCATGCGCATGTTCGAACGGTGCGAAGGTGATGGGCAGTTTGATTCGAGATGGGAAAAGGTGAGCGTTCTCCCCTCCAGCGGCTGCGGTGTTGGTCAAGATGGTGTTGGAGGTCATGATTGGGTGCGGTCGGTGTCTAAGCGCTGACGCTGGCAGGGATCATGCATGACCATCACTTGTTACCCTCGTACGCCAATCAATCGGGTTGGAACAGAGAGACTAGGAGGATTTGGAGTAGAAAGAGTCCGAGAGTAGTACACTTGACAGAGGCATGTTGTGGTGATTGAAGAAATCGAACAAAGAGACAAAAGTGACTGACTGCCCGTTCTTTCTCAGAATCAGCCTCGGGCGGCTGCTAAGAGTGCTCGTACTCGTACTCGTACTCGTATTGGGGGTTTGTTTCCTTCTGTACAGAGCAGTCAATACTCTCGTGATAGTACTAGGTAAGATACTCCGTACTCGCCCTCACGTATTACAACAACTATCTTCGACTTCATCATTAATCAACATCATCGTTATCTATCCCTCATCCTCCCACTTAGACGAACCTCGATTCGTGACTCGTTGGTTTACTCATCGATGGTTGGTCCGTATCTCGGTCCCTGCTTTACTATACGACGTACATATATAGCGGGACCTCCAACCTCACTCCTCATTGCTCACACTTCGTCCTTTTTGTATACAAAACAAAAACAATTCAACCTTCCCAACCTAAATCCTTCTTCAATGATTCTCAACGGGTTGTAAAATCTCCTCGTTTCTATCCCCTCTAGCCCCATTACATCACAAATGCCCTGTGCTCGCTCTCTTCCCCATCAATTTCGTCCGCATTTTTGGCTCAACTAAGCCATTCATCCAACGACTGTCATGTACACGACTGCACTGTTGCCTTTTTCTGTCTCTATTACCAATACCAGATTATAAATCGAAAAGGTACTGGAGTTAAGGAAGAATGCAGTCGAAAAGGTAGGGAAGAAAGAAAAAAAAGAGGTACATAATCCTAAAATCCTTCAACAGAAGACTCCCTTTCTCTGCCTTTCAATCTTCTACAAGCACTCTCAAATATTCCACTATTTTTGTCATTTATCAGGTCTACCAATCCCTCTCTTTCTCTCTGTCTCTCTCTCACACACACACACACACACCCACTTAAAACAAAAATGCCATCGTACCTCATCACAGGCGCCAACCGTGGTTTGGGTTATGGATTCGTCCGACAGATTGTCCGACAGGACCCAAACAATCTGGTCGTTGGTCTCGTCCGGGACAAAGCCAGCGCCGACGCCAAACTGAGGAGTGATGGTCTCAAGAACGTTCACTTTGTTCAGGGTGACATTGCCGACTACGCCTCCCTCGTCAAGGCCCGAGAGGCCGTCTCCTCCATCACGGGCGGTAAACTGGACTACCTGATCAACAACGCCGCCTTGGTCTCCCGCGAGACCGAATCCGAAGGCATCGACGAATGGCTCGACGACGCTGGCATCGAAAAGATCAACAAGGACCTCAGGGATTCGTTCGACGTCAACGTCGTCGGCGTGGTCGACACGATCAATGTATTCCTCCCACTGATCAAGAAGGGGGGCGTGAAGAAGATTGTGGTCATTTCTTCAGGTGTAAGTTTTTGGACCTTTTTTTTCCTTTTCCCCCTGCCTCCCCCAGAAACACACATTTCCACGAAAACCAAGATCCTCGAGGCTTGACGCAAAACCCTAACGGTTGACAAATAGATGGCCGACCCCGACCTCGTCAACACCGGCAAGGTCCACACCGGCGCCGCCTACTCCATCTCCAAGGCCGCCGTCAACCTCGCCGTGGCAAAGTACAACTCCCGCCTGGCCGACCAGGGCATCCTCGTGTTTGCCATCTCCCCCGGCGTCGTGTCGACCTGGGACGAGGGCCAGGGGGAACCCGCCGCCGTCGACGGCCTCCGTCGATTGGTCCCCACGTGGCCGGGCCCGTTGACCCCGACCGAGTCGGCCGACGCCTGCCTCGAGGTCATTCACGACTTCGGCGTCGAAAAGGGCAACGGAGGTTCCTTCGTCAGCCACCACGGCAACAAGGAGTGGTTGTGAAGAAATTGATGTTTCCTCGGGAGGTGCTTAGGCTATACACGCAGCAGAAAGATGAAAACATAAAATGTCATGTGTATTTCCTCGAGGGAGTGATACACGGAGATGGAGGGATCTTGACTCGTCCCTTCAATCAATCTATTATGTCGAGACCACCAAGTAACACCCGAAGCATTACTTGGTTACTCAAGATATTTAGGATACAGACATAATATATCTGATTACGGGTCCAGAAGTACTAATAATTTGTATGTACCTCCAACTACCTAGTCATACGAAGGAGGTAGATTCTTTCCTTGTCCTCGTTCTCTCGCTCTCTCATCATCATACTGGGAATACACTCGACTCTACAGTACGTAGGTAGATAATCTCAACTCATCCACACTAATCTAAACCCCATGGCACAATAACTAAACTACCCACTAGGAAGGTGGTATTCATGCCAGCCATAATATCATAATCACTATACAATACATCCCAGACACTCTAGGTGGTGGCTCATATACTTTTTCATGCTCAAGGATAATGCAAACACCATTACGGAGTAAAGGGTACATCATGATCCCACCGTTTGACCGTTACAGTCTGGAATCTTCAAGCCAGGCTTGAGGTTTCTTCCTGGATCCATGAGGCCCCATTTGTCCTCCCATTCTTTCCCAGGGGTATTGTAAATGACTTTCCAAGGCTCATCAAATGCTTCAAACCTAGAATAAAAGTTAGAACCAACAAACACTCACATTCATACACCCATCACACCAGACAGACTTACCAAAAATAATCCGTGCCGTTAGACAAGGCTTGACACACCCAGTCGTTCATAAAGGTATTCATGCCATCAACCCCGGCAACAGACCCGCTTTGCCCGGGTGAACAATCACCATCCGATCCACCACAGTCCGTCCCTCCACCACTGGGCCATCCGGTCTCACTGATCAATTGTTTCACGTTTGGAAGACTTTCAGTCAAGATCACATCGTGGTTCTGCCAGAAATCATACGTCCAACCAGCCGCGACCTCAGCAGTGACCCCAGCAAAGAAGGGATGGATGTTGGACATGACATAATCCACAACTTGTACAAGTTGTGCGTTCCAGTTGTCACCCAGGTCCGAGGTGGCAATGGGCAGATCGTATCCATTGCTCTTGAATTTCGACCTGACATCGGTCAAGATATCGATCAATTCTTGCTCCGACTGTGATTTGTCTTCTCCCGCACGGTACAATGCTTCATTGCCGACGATAACGCCTTTGAACACTGAGAGGTCCTTGGTGTTTGATAGGATCTTGTACATCTGATCAATCTGTCGATCGGTCGTGGTTTGATTGGTATCTATCCAAACTCCCATCCAGACTTTCATGTCCGTCAATTCCAAACGATCGATTGCATGCAACACCATCTCGGTCTGGTTGCAATCTGTGCCATAGAGACGCACAACATTCGTCAGCTGAGAGAGCACCGCCATGTCTCGGGTGACGTTGTTTTGCGAAGGCGGATATGTGTAGCACAACGGGTACTGAGTGCCCCAGGGTGTATAATCCATGCCTGGGAAAACCTTGTGAAGATTCTTGTTGTTCATAAGCGCCTGGATTTCAGACGAGCCTTTGCCCAAGTCACCATTGTTTGCCGTATCCGAGGAAGCATTGTTGGTATCGTCGCTAGAGGAACCAGAACCACCGTCAGAATTGCGTGTCCCAAGAACGCCGCCGACAATGGCACCAACGATTGCGAGGACAACAAACAATCCAATGCCAATTCCCACCCACCGTCGCATTTTCCGCTTGCCGTGGGTCTGTTGTGCTAGCCAGTCACTCTTCTCGGCTTTTGTGCCATTTCCAACAGGATCGTATGAACCACTAGAAGCCACATTCTTGACCCTGCGCCCAAACAGACCACTCAAGACTCCAACAGTCCCGGAACCAGCTGCAGCTGCAGCGCCTGCATTGCCAGCTCCTTTTGGCCGACTTGGCGTCTGCTGGGCATGGGAGAACTCTTCATCCCCGTCGTCGAGAATGTTGTTGGGGTTGATATGCGCTTGGTTCATGATATTGGCTGAACTTACTGAGGGATTGTACGGGGTCTGGTAGGGGGAGTCTTGGTAACCTGAGTAGGACATAGGCCGGTTGAGACCTCCGTTGTAATCGTCGAGTGGAATGCTTCTGCCAGAAAAGGCTGAAGATCTTGGACCAGGTGAGCCATTTGGAGGGGTAGCGGCTCCCGCTGCCAGAGCAAAGGAAGAGCCATATGAGTTCCGCGAAGGCAGGTGCGATGGAGGCAAGTCTTGCTGATACGGGCTAGGGTCTCGACCATAAGCTGAACTGTAGGGAGCGTAGGACTGAGGTAACGATCGCATGGCCTCTACGCCGCTTTCTCTGGAATGAATATCTGCAACACCTCTTGCTACTGTGTCCAATCCCCCTCCTGCCGCTTGTTCTCCGTAATTGTCCGCTCCCGTGGTGACGTCTGAGTAGGGTCGGTAGGATTGTGAATAGCCAGGGGTCTCTCTGGGCAATCGGGTCGGACTGGTTCTGTGAGGTGGAGGAGGCGGTGCGGGCAATTCATCGAAATCTACGTCTCGGGATTGAGTTCTGGTGGGAGTAGAATCGCCCAGAAGGTGAGTGTCTTGAGGGATGGGTCGTCTTCGTGGTGAGGTTGAGGGAGAGGAGCGTTCTGGCAAACGCTGGGGTGATGGGGGCGCATAGTCGGGCGGAGGAGATGTGATATTTCTGGAATGGTCGTCCTGGTAGGCATGAGGCTGATATGGCTGGGGCTGTTGCCCTTGCATTTCTAAATTGTCCTGGTCGTCATTGTGTTCAAAGGAAAATGTCCTGCCGTTGGACATTGTGTTCTCGCTGCCACTTCCCGTTGCGGCACGGACCCTGGCTTGGTGTGCAAGTTTAAAAAGAGTGAATGTAGATTGGATTCAGCGATCGTCTGGATTGTGCGACAATGACAATTCCAATTGAGGAGGAAGCGAATGTGAGGGTCCTGGACAGAAAGGGAGTGTCAACGGCCCCTCGACAGTGCAGTGTGCAGAGACTGCATGGGCGGGATGATGGTATTCTTAGAGGGGGGCGCAGCCTAATGGGAATGGGCGCAGCTGAAGTCGAGATGAAACAAAGTGATCGGATAGTCACTCAAAGGTGCGAATGAAGGCAGTGAGCGTAAGATCAGGACATTCGTACTGTACAGCAAAGAGAAACGGAAAAGGCAGAAGACACCAACACCATTGTCTGTTACTACGCACCTTGATTCATGCGTGATAAACTTGGATCGGAGGATCCTGTTGCTAGTGAGACAACGCTGCCGCTAAACGGACCGCCAATCGCGTGCACGAAGAGGGACCGGGGTATGACAGATGCCCGGACTGCCCCCTGTATCAATTGGTTCCTGCGCAGCGGGTAGAATAAGTTACTCGTTGAATACCTTATCATTGCAGTCTGTCTCTAAGGGTAAAGGTCCGAATCTCTGTATTGACTCAAATAGTACATCTAAACATATCAGTGTTGACGGCGCGGCCCATTGTGTCTATTTGTATCTCAAACGCGTGGGAGTCTGTGCATGCAGAGCCTCGGAATAATGAGTATCCGAATTGGATGTCTAGTAGCTGCCACCTTATTGACCTGGGATACACTGAACATTGAGCCTCCCTTGCAACCACATCTACACATCCCACGCCGAGAATGACTATGACAGCATGCTCTGTTCGCCAGGGGCCCCTCACAATTTCCTCCGTCCTCATGAAAAATCTTCAGAATGTACCATGTGTTGAGCGCCGTTAGACAAGCACACCCCAGCTCTCGAAATCTCATCACTCGGACATATCAACCCATATGAACAGCCTCGTCCTGCGTCTTCGCCACTGCTTTATTTTCACTGGCTTCTTCTGCCTTGACAGATTGCAGATCTCCAACAGCAGAGCCCTCGGTCCTCATATCGTCATTGCCCTGGAGAGGGTGCATCCATTCCTCTTTAGCATCACCACTGGCCGATGTCATATCAGATCGCTTCGGTGCCGTTGCCTTGGGTAGACGTAAAGGTGTATCAACAAGAGGTTTGTGGCGTTTGCTAGAACGGATATCCTCATCGCTTGACAGATCGTCCTCTTCATTGCTGGAATTGATTGATGCGTTTGTGCTTCCTTCAGCTTCGGACTCGGAGTCATCACCAGGAGGCATCTTGATTCGCTTCAAGGGACTAGAACTAAGACCACTGCTAAGAGAGCTTCCTGATGTCCGTCGTCGTTGTGTGATGGGCTCACCGTCAGGAGTAGCTAAGTTGAGATTCACCAGCTTGGGAAGATCCAGAGCTTGAATGACGAATTTGGCGTAAAACTCGTCATCCGGATCGTATTGCTTATAGGTCATGAATTTGACGTGCTTGAGTTGTGTCGAGCTCTTACTAGTGGTGATAGATGGAGTATTGTGGTTCGGTCGGATATCGTTTTCGGTTTCCTCCGTTTGGTGCCAGCCAGATGCGTAAGGCGACTCGTCCAACACGATGCAACGCCGAATTATCACCACAATCTGGCCCCCTGGAGCAGTATGTTTCATGCTTGCCGTTAATTTCAAAGCAGTGGTGATCTCGTCGATTTCGTAGTCGGTCGACTCGTTGGAATGTCGAGCGTTAACCAAAAGGCCCATGTTCGATAACATGGCTTCAATGCCTCTTTCAGTAAACTTCCAGGGCTTGACCACGACATTGAAGCCTTCACCGTCCTTCAATCTTTCAACACAATGGCGACCCTTCACGATGATACTCTGCTGGTCTGGATTGAGGAGTTGTGCGAAATCAGCTCGTTGTTGACCATTGACATGGATCAGGACCCCAAATTTGAAAGGTGGTTTCTCGTGGGGCTTGTGCTCAATCAACTTGACACCTGCTTCGTTGACGCTGTCGAGAGGGTTTCGGAAGATGGGGCGCAGCTCACAGCGAGGCTTGCTGTCAGGATTTGGGTTGAGGTTGTCATAGGCAGAGCCGAAGTCGATCTTGATATGGAAATGTTCTCCATCCCTAGCAAGGACTTTGCTGCTGATGACTCGGCCTCGTGATGGCGTGCCTATGCTCTGGTTGCCAAATTCGACATAGTCTTTTCCGGCTGTCGTGGCCAAAGTCACCCTGAACCCATGTGCTTCCGGCATGTTTGAGGTTCTGTTAGGAAAAGAAGCTGGGATATGTTGAGAGAATGGATTTCTGCGACAAGACGATCGATAGCTTTGAGTGTGTTCTCTCGACAGGAAGCAAGAGAGCGTGGTTTATGATTTAAATGTAAATGTTGCTGTTTCACCCTGATTACTGCAGGGTCCGTTTCGTGCTAAGTGATGTCCTCTTTCAAAAGCATTGCTGCCTTGTGAGAGTAGCTAGTCCTCGAACAAAGGCAGACGAAGTGATACTTCACTCAATAGATAAGGCGGCGCTTTGTCTTGCAGTCGAATGTCATCGGCCAATCACGCTTTCAGACTACAAGGATCGACTGCCTCGGGAGACTTACATGTGTCTTGCAAGCTGTTCTCTAGAAGTGAATTATGTCGAGCCTGACTGTTCCTCATGATTTAGGCACCGCAATCTCATATCCAAGCAGAACTTCAGTCGTTGCACCTTCCCAACCTCGATTACCGCCCGCTGAGAGCATGAAGCGACATGCCGGATCAAGATAAAGATGTGATATTGTGCCAGTTCGATGCCCCGGGACAATCAGGAACGGGACAGCTGATCGCTGACCCTGAGATTCTTTCAGGTCGTACAACCGAAGGATATCGTGTGAAGCACACATAAGATGACGTCCATTCGGCATAGCCTTAACTGATGTGACGGCTCCACTGCCGTTGGGAAATCGAAATACTCGCTCTGGTGCTTTCAGCCCTTTACGCAGATCATACTCTTCCACCGTGTTGTTACGTCGACCCGCGTAAATGCAATTACCATCAACAGACCAACAAGCACTGAGACACCAAGGTGGTGTATTCCTAGGAAGGATTCGTGCCACTGGTTTGGGTTGTCGGCGATCATAGACACGGATGGCGCCGTCAATGGAGGTTGCCAAAAAGGTTGAATCTGAGGTTGGAGGACCTTCGGGATCTTGTGTAGAGGCTTGCTCATCAGCTTGCTTCTCCATGTCGTCCGTGTGCGGCAAGCCATTCGCAAGAGGCTGTTCGTGAGTATTCGGAACCCCGTTGGTCATCGCTTCAGACGTTTCATTGAGATCCGAAGTCGGCTCTGGTGCTGGCAATGGGTCGGCAGGTGGCTCCGTGGCATCTGGCATTTCATGGTCGACCAATTCTTCTGGTCGTGGTTCACTTGCCATCGCCCGACTCATCTCGTCGTCTGCATCAACAAATGCGTCGGTCAAATCACCTCCGTTTCCCATTACTGCCGTCGCACCGTCTCCAAAGAGGTCATCATCACCATCACCGAACAACGAGTCGGGTGTGGCAACGCTTGGTTGCTCTTGGTTATCTTGACTCGGGAGCTGTTCGCTCTTGACACCATTGGTCTTGATGTCTGTGGAAGAAAGCGTGCCATTCGGGACGATGATTTCGCCTGATTCAGCAGGAACCGCCACCGAAGACATAGGGCGTGGTTCAATTGCTGAAATTTGACTAGCACTCGCAGCAAAGGTCGTCCGAACTTGCCCAGTCTCCAAGTCCCAGTCAAGTACGGTCTTATCCCAACTTCCAGAAAGTAAACTTCTCTCGTCAGAGGATAGCGTTAGGACAGAGACGGCAGATGTGTGATTTTTGAGGAGCACGACCTCTCTGCCTTCATCGTGTCTGACGGACTGTAATCGGATGGGACCTGAAGCTGTCCCTGAAAGTAGCCAGAGACCCTGACTGTGGCAAGCTAAGGAGTACACCGGAGACAGAACCTGAGTAGTTTGAGGCCTGGCATCCCAGTTTTCCCAGTATGACATAAGTACTCCTGCTTTGACAACGCTATCGACGAAAGGATGCCGCTGGGCCACTGTAAGGGCTAATTTGAAGTTGACCGAGTCGACCCAATTGTATTTTCGAATATATCCATCAGAGCCACCGCTGAACACCCACCGCATATCGCCTGTAGCGCAAACGGCGTTGATCGAAGTGCTCTGTGGGGCAGCTATTGTCGGCACGATATCATAGGTAGTTGCGTCGAGGTATTCTGGTGATATTTTGGCCCGGGCAGCAGCTTCCCGAGCTTCATCAGCCTGCATGCCGAAAGACTGTTGGCCTTCTTGTGTGGCAGACGGTTCACCTGGGGCGTCTTCATTGTCTGATTTTTGACTACCCCCAGATTGACTCCCTGCTTCATCGTCGTCGTCGCCGTCACCATCCCCCTCTCCCTCTCCCTCTCCATCCCCCTCACCCTCATCTTCTCCTTCGCCATCATCCGCATCGCCATCTACGTCACCGTCGCCTTCTTGATCACCTTCTCCGTCACCATCGTTATCAGGATCGGCTTCGTCGAGATCCTGCATGGTCTCGTCATTATCGTTATCATTATCATTATCGAAGTCGTCCTGGGACCTATCATCATCTTCATCAAAGACCGGCATCTTGACTAATCAAAATAGAGTAACCAAAAGCCCACGCCATGTAACAGAAGTGAAAGGGACTCGAGGGAGACAACGCACACGTCCGAATCGAAGTGTTTTCTTGGTCTGTGATTGGCACTTTGAGGGCGCTTTGCCTGTTGTGTATTAGCGTATTCCATGTCGGCCACGACAGAAAGAATCTTGTCAGACGTGTATTTACATACATGGGAGCTCTGGAAACTGTGGTGTTGTCAGTCAGACTGGATTTGTTCCTTCCTGGTGCCAGAGTCCTTTCATCTCTCTGTATCATCAGTTTAATATTGAACTTCTCACCAGTTCTACTCACCTCCAGAAAGCACAATTATCTGTATAACCAAATGATCATGCTTTGAACCTTATGTTCCTGTCTTATGCATTTAATGAGCGATTGAGTCAAACTTTCATGAGCATTGCAATGTGGTACGCATTCTCACTATAACCAAGATCTCACAAAGACATTAACCAGGACTGGACAGCAAACATTGTTGAATTCCAAGACATTAAGACATCCGTTCAATACCATCTAAGACTATTCTGTCACCCTATGCCAAGATACAGGCAATCGCTGCCTCAGGATGTTGCGTTGACGCAAGTTCTGCTCTGGCTTAATGAGGGCCTTTTTGCTTTACTTGAGTTTCATATTTCACGCCATCTTCTCCCTTGAGCAAATCGCCTCACTTTCTCAAACAGAGGAGGATGAGTCACAATATGGCTTGGGATCGAGTTGGTCGTTCGAGAGGCCAGCGTGGCCGGGGCACAGGTGCTGGAGTATCAAATCGTAAGTCGAAATATTTCGCTTATTTCTGTCTCTTTATTCTCCTCTCATAGTATGTGACTAAAGTTGAGGCTTCAGGCGACTATCGAGAACCAGATTCTTTCGACAACGGCGGTAAGCATCCCCTGTCTGACTCATACTTTATGTCTCCTTTGGACACTAAGCTAGACCACGGTCAAAAGGAAGGCTGACTTTTCTCAGATATGAATGTTAATCTCCCTGAACGGTTTCGTGGCGGCGGCCCTAGGCGCAACTATCAGACCTCAGCAATACCAACAAGTTCCAGCCCCAGCACGGAATTTGATTTGACCTTGAATCTCGGCGTTCGTGAATATTGTAATAAGCAGGACGATATCAAGGCCACCTCGGAACAAGACGACTGGCTTTCAATGCCCGAGTTTCCTACCACGGAGGAACTGCTTAGCGATGGTCCCCTGCTCCTTGCCAACAAGATCAAAAGACCTTACAAGAGCAAAGAGAAGTATTTGAAGATTCATTATGATCTGCAGCGAGAAGATGCTATTGGCAGCTTGAGAGATGCTCTACAAGAGTTCCGCTCTGATCCCACGACGAATGACACGCCTGAGTTCTCCGTCTATGATCAGGTCTACATCATCGGTTTCACCTTTCCTCGGCGAAGTCTGGCCGTACGTGTTCGGTTCTCAACTCGACGAGCTGGCAAGCGTATCAAATGGTCCACAAGCAAGAGATTGGTCTCGGGATCGATCGTTGTTCTGATGCGCGCAAAAGACAAGCAAGTTGATCTATCTCGTCTAATAGTCGCTGTTGTGACGGCAAGACCTCTTTCCGGTGTTGAGGCTGACATTCCCGAAGTTGACCTGTCCTTCACTAATCCCGCGGCGATAGAAATTGACCCCCAAGAAGAATGGATCATGCTAGAGTCGAAGCAAGGCTATTACGAAGCCTATCGGCACACTCTGAGAGCGCTTCAGAAACTAAGTCAAGAAACGTGAGTTGCAACCGAACATTACGCTTTTGGTCTACTAAGAATCGTGAATAGGTTTCCCTTGGCTGACCATATTTGCAAATTGGAGCCATCCGTCGATGCGCCTGCGTATCTCCAACAGAACCCTATCATTGACCTCAGTACAGCCGCAAAGACTGAAAAGAAGGACTACGAAAAGGTCAACGTCCTTCAACAATGGCCGATTGCTCCAAGAGACTCGCTGGATGACACACAATGGGACGCCCTTCGAGAGTTGCTCACGAGGCGACTTGCTATCATTCAGGGCCCTCCTGGTACCGGAAAAACGTACGTGTCGAAAGTTGCCGTGGAAATCTTGCTACGCAATCGAAAGAGAGATGACCCGCCAATTATTATTGCCGCGCAGACGAATCATGCACTGGATCAGCTTCTAGGACATATTTCACTCTTCGAGCCTAACTACGTCCGTCTTGGAGGCAGAAGCACAAACCCAGAAGTCAAGCAACGTGCTCTGTTCCTAATCCGGCAGAAAGATCGCATCAAGCTGGTTCCTGGGGGTCTCTTGGGCCGCGCTAACACTCTCCTGTCGAAGCAGTCAAAACTTATGATTGAGATTCTTGAACCTTTTACCAATCCTGGATCGGATCCTTATTCGACTGCGCAGAAATCTGGTCCCAAAATACTTCGAGAACTTGACGCTTTGACTGAAGCTCAAGCCAAGTCTTTAGAAGATGGTGCAATGCGGTGGGTTTCCGCAAGTGACGGCATGAACGGCCCGATTAGACTTTGGCTTGATAGAGCTCTGATTCCCTTTGAAGTCAAGTACGCCAAAGAAGACTACGGTTTCCAAGAGGAAGATGAGGATCTTGAAGTCGAACAACTGAGAGAGAATGAGGACTCGCATGGCGTCAATGACGAAGAAGATATCGAGCTTCTCAAGGGTCCGTGGGCCAATATTTCCGAGAAGTACGGCGTCCGCCCTGCCTCCTCGAACGACATCGCCAGAGCCACCAGACTATTAGATACAGTCTCAGATCTATGGCAAGTTCCAGACCACTTACGTGGTCCCATGTTCTCAGTCATTCAGAGTAGAGCCAAAGCCAACATGGTCAATCGATTCCGCGAAGCTGCAGCGATCTACGAGAAGTTGATCCGCGACAACCAGATCGGAAAATGGGAGCAAGATTGCGTCTACCTGAAACGAGCACCCATCATCGGCCTGACTACGACTGGTCTTAGCAAATACCGTGGCCTCATTTCATCACTAAAGCCTAAAATCATACTGATCGAGGAAGCGGCCGAAGTCCTTGAGGCGCCTGTTACCGCGGCTTGCATTGAATCACTAGAGCATTTGATCCTAGTCGGTGATCATCAACAGCTTCAGGGGCACTGCAGTCTCATGGAACTGGAGAATGATCCATTCTACCTGAACGTGTCACTATTTGAGAGACTTGTCAGCAACAATATGCCCTACAAGACTCTTCTCCAACAACGAAGAATGGAACCCGAATTCCGACGCCTCATCTCTGATCTCTATCCTAAGCTAACTGACCACACCAGTGTACTTGATCGGACTCCTCAAACCTGGGGTATGGGCTCTCTCAAGTCATTCTTTTTTGATCACAGATGGTCGGAGTACAAAGACGACTCACTCTCAACCTACAACGAAGTACGTCCGGCTTCAAGTCCCACAATGGTAGTGTAAGATTTGCTGACAAAAAGCAGGAAGAGGCAAGATTCATTGCCGGGTTCTTTCGTCACTTGAACAAGAACGGCATCGAACCACAACAGATCACCGTGCTAACCTTTTACAACGGTCAACGAAAGAAACTCCTCAAAGAATTGCGACGAACGACAGACATCACAGCTGGATACCTTCAAGTCAAGACGGTGGATGGTTACCAAGGAGAGGAGAACGATATTGTAATATTGTCACTCACGCGGAGTAACGATGATGGCAAGATTGGTTTCCTCGCTAACATCAATCGTGTCTGTGTGGCCTTGTCCCGGGCTAAATTGGGATTTTATATGTTTGGCAACTCTCATGCGCTGATGACGGGTAGTGACCTATGGTACAACGTCATCAAGCGAATGGAAAACGCCAATCGAAAGGGAGCTGTCTTGCCGGTACAGTGCAAGACCCACCAGGAAACTGCCTGCATTCAGTATCCCCAAGAGTGGGAAGAGACCGATGGCGGCTGCTTCAAGGTCTGTCAAGAGAGACTCAACTGTGGTCATAGTTGTCCATTGCGTTGCCATCCCTTTTCCCACGACAAATTCAGATGCCCGTCGCCATGCGAAAGAGAACTACCATGCGGTCATGCATGCGAACACCTCTGTTTCGAGCCATGTTGTTGTTCTTGCGACGAGTTCGCCAAGTATCAGGCCGAGAGAGTTCAAGAGAATTGGATCGAACAAGATGTGGAAGGCATCAAGAAAGGAGTGCAGGAGGCCCGAATGTCTTGGGGGTTAGCAAATGGTCAGAGTATTCCCTTTCATGGCAGCAACATTCACTCACGGCCGCAGGTCCCTAAACCGCGCAACTTTGGACCATCGTATCGTGACGCAGTTGTTGACTCTGTTGGGGATGAAATTATTGTTCGCAAGTCTCCCGGAGAGCCGGCGATTGACTCCAAGCAGAGTGGCAGTATGGTGAACCCGTGCAATAACAAACCGACGCGCACCGTCGACACGCATCGATTGTCTCCGGAGAAGCAGCAGCAGCAGGATCAAATGGTTCGATGGGCTAATTTTGCTAAGGGCGGAGTAGAAACGGACGATCGACGACTGGTTGATCTATTCGATCCACGACCTCGATCAAATTCAAAAACGAATGCTGCGCAAGAGGATGCAGCTGAACAATCTGGTACAAAGGTGCTGTATCCGAGCACGAATGCCACGATCATCGCACAGGAGACGATCAAGAGCTTACCGGACGGTCGCAATAGATTCTCGCATCATTATCAACCACAGGCTTCACGAGGTCGAAGCTTTCCGACTACGCAGGCCGAGAATGTACAAGTCAGCAAGGTTACAAGCCGAGAGGTACTGGAAGAGGACGGTGAGACTGGAGGTCGCAAAGGTCCACGATCAGTGTCGAATGGTGGCAGTGTCAAGAATGGCAAGGTCAATGATAATTTGATTGATCTTGAGGAGCTCGATTTTTATTATCGTGGATGAGAGAGGGGTCTCTTGCATGGGATGAGAGAAGTCGAGGGGTCTTCGCATCCACGAATGCGAGAAGTTCAAGGTCGTACAAAGGTCGTTCGTGGATGAGAAAAGTTGAGACTCTTGAGAGGTCATGGAGACGAGACTGAACGTATCGATACGTTTTGGTTCGTCACTTTGTCTTGTTCGTGGACTCGAGTATTCAAGTAGCCCAATTCGAGAATACTTTGCTCGAGATAAATCGACAGCATAACCACTTTTCCCATGAAACAGGGAAAGCCAGAACCTGTGATGGTTGATTCTGGAGGTCAGAAACCAAAACAAACAAACAAAACCACCAAATATTACCCGAGAGGGGACTTTCGATCCAAAAGCGCGTTGGTGGTGACGGGGAGGGAATACGAGCGCTTTGCAAAAACTGTCTGACTCGTCTATACTTATTACGCCCGCCGCTATCTTCCTCTGGTCACCTTTTTTAGTTCTGCTTTTGTCAATGGTGTCATCTTTTTGGAGCGGGATTCCTAGATTTCGATTACGTTTACGGAATGCCGCCGGTTTTGAGTTGAGTAGTTGATAAACGGTGGGATAATAATCTATTACCACAACTTATCAACTGCCCGAGTCTTTTTTCTTTCTTACTCTTTTTTGACCATTTTTTCTTACTCCTCGAGAATTACGCCCAGCGGCAACGACCCAGCGACGAGCCGACAGCGAGCGAAGTTGGATCCTTTGTGACCACAAAAAGAAAAAAATGGCATCCGCTACACAAGTCCAATCCTTTCGTGAAATGTTGGGTGAACCTACCCTGACGGCATCACCCAAGGATAGTACATTGATCATAATCGACGCTCAAAATGAGTATGTTTTTCTTTTTTGGTCTTTTGTTTCTGTCTTCTTTTTTTTGTGGTTCTTGTCACTGGTCATTACCGGTTTCAACGTGTCCATTGTTATACATGTACATGTTTTATTGTGTGTTGGTGTATGCCTGTATATAATATATACTCGGTATATGTCTCATGTGCTGACACAAGTACCCTCTTTTTTTGGGTCGCCGTCTCCCAAAAGGTACGCCCAAGGTCATTTAAAAACCGTCAATGTCGAATCCACGAGAAAGGCCATTGCATCATTACTCGAAAAGTACAGGTCGGGTGGTGGTGATGGAAAAAACATTGTCCATGTTGTGCACAAGGTCCCTGATGGTTTGTATTACCCCTTAACCCTTGTCATACCTCCTTGTGACAATCAACCAACGACCACGACGACCGCCCCCCTTCCTGTCTTTTTGTCATTTTGTTTCCAATCCTCACTCTTTTGAGACGGTCCCTTGTGTCCCTTCATGTTCATTTCCTCGTTCGACATCACTTTCGGGTGACTTGCTGACATCAATTCCCTCCGGGGTCGAAATTCTCTCACCAAAAGGAGCCCCGATCTTTACCCCAAACACGAGTTTGGCCGAAGAATTCGATGAGATCAAACCACTCGCCAATGAAAAGGTCATCCAGAAGGAATTGGTCTCTTCTTTTGCCAACACCGACCTGCACGATTACCTGACCTCGTTGGGGGAAAGGGGCAAGAAGACGGTCCTGACCGGTTACATGGCCCACGTCTGTGTCAGCACCACCGCCAGGGCCGGTGCGGATTTGGGTTACGAGGTCGTCCTGGCCGGCGACGCCATCGGGGACCGTGACATTCCGGGCTTCACCGGCCCAGAGGTCACCGACGCGGTCCTGAAGGAGTTGGGGGACGCTTTCGGTACCGTCGTGCGCAGTGACGACATTAAATAGGAAAGGACACGTAAAAATCCCCGGTGACACATCTCTCTCTCTCTCTCTCTCACACACACACACACATCTTGATCGTACCCATAGGATGTCGGATTTGATTGTGTCGCTCATTGTCGTCATTTTCTCATATTCCCATTTCGTCCGCGATAGTCATGATCCGGACGTGTTTTTCTTTCTTCCACCAAATCACGGAATCATGAAATGGAAAATTCTTGACTTCGACCTCTGGTAATTTTGTAAACTCATACTCTTGTCTGAAATTTTGTATCAATTTGGAGTTTGCTTCCCTTTCTCTCGACGAAAAAGTTTGTTTCGAACTCGAACTCGAAGTCGAAAGTAACAAATGATCGATTGATCTGTGTAACCAAATTTGGGGTTCAAGACTCAAGATTTGATATTCCACTTCCATTTCCGCTGCGGGTGAATAAACCATTATCGTATTTTTTCCGTCATGGTCATCGCTCTCATTTTGTGCCGCTGTTGTTGTTGTTGTCGTCGTGGTCGGTGTCGTCATCGCCGGTGTTGTGGTCTTCAACGCTTCAAACCCATCGGGGTGTACAACCACCTTCACACCCAACCCCTTCAAAACCTCAACGTCCACCGAATTGTATCCAGGTTCTTGAGCTAGACATTCCGGACGCGTCCCTTGGAGTCGTGCAATGATATCCACGACGGTGAGAAAAGCAGAAACTTGATAAAGCGCAGATTCTCGACGATCGATCCAATGGACCTCATCACCAGAGAGACTTCCGGATCCGAAAAGGACACAATTTTTTATTCTCTTTGCTTTTGCTCTTGCTCTTGCTTTTGCTTTTGCTTTTATTTCTCCCCCTTCCCGCGTCGTCATCGTCGACGTTGGTGGCAGGATCCTCCTCGTCAGTACATCCTTCAGTCTCTCACAAAACAATGTCTTTCGAAACCTTTGTTCGACAATGTCGTACCGGACGCGAACGTCGTCGACCGTGACACGTTTCGACACGCTCATGGGGTTCCAAGGGGACGCCTGTATCGTTCTGGTCACCACCGTACCGTCGACGCCACCCCACGTGAAGACCATTTGTGATGTTGATCCTGCCGACGAATCCGACCCAGATCGAGACCGAGAAACGTCTTTGGTCACCGCGACGACTGCATTATTACTATCATTATTATTTCCCCCTTCTTCATTAAAGCCGACAGCACTCGTTCTGTGACCCCGATGTGCAATACCTCCACCAGTCGCACTCGTAACTCTGATCCATCCATCTTCATCGACGATTTCTCTGCGTTTGTTTTGGGATTGTTGTGTCTTTTTGTTCTTCCTTCGGGTCGTATGAGGCATTGTTTTTTTTCCCTTGTTTTTTTCCCCTTTCTCCTCCTCGGGGTCAATTTCGTCTCGAGCAAAGAGGGGGGTGGTTCGTCTTCGGTGGAAGGTCAAATCTCGCCGCGTTCTTGTGGTGTCAATGTGTGTTACGGTGTGGGTGTGTGTACTTTGCCCAGAATTCCAGAGAGATTAGATACACGAGGATTGGGACATTTTCTCGCGAATGGTTGTGGTTGTTGCGGTGGTGGTGGTATTGATTCTTCGCATCCTTTCGACTTCTTTCCTTTTCCCGTATCAGAGGTATCACAGTGTCATGATTGAATCTCGCTGCCTTCTCCAAAATGTACGTACATTCTTGTACTTGCAACGACTTTCACTATTACGCAGTACTGAAAATAAATCAAAGTGATCCCCTCACCATCACCACCAACGTAGCAAAACATCCCGTAGATTAACCGACGAGGCTGATGGGAAAGTCCTCCTCCTCCTCTACTCTTACTCTATACTCCCCAGATACACAACCTATACTCCGTACTCCGTGCCCCCTTGCTCCATAAACACCTATTATTGACTAACTAGGTATGCATCACTCTCAGTACCCTCATACGAGATTTGAAATAGACTAGGATCTTGATAATTCATTGTTATCAAGGAAAATCCTACTCATACTATGAGAATCCTATCCCAGTTTGACCCTCTGATGAAGAAAAAAGTTCTTTCCCGTGCTGTCCTCCAATGAAAATATGATTCCCATCCATTCAGCGTCAATTCCAATTCCAATTCCAATTTCATTCCAATCCTGCTTTCCTGAATTCCAATTGTCCCCGCTAATAGTTCGTCCTTTGAAGTTTCCCCTTTCCTCTTGCTGTGTCTGTCGCTTTGTCCAGACTCCTTGAAGATATCTTCATGTTGATTTCCAAAACCTTCTCCCTGCCACACAGACACAAACATACTGTCATAATGTGAATCACCGTTCCCAGTCCCTAACATTCGATTAGGATAACCGACAACGCTCACACAAACTCACAACACAGACCAATCCCATCCCAAAACCAACTCTGGTCGAGTCTATTTACCATCACAAGCCAGATTTGAGGGCGAGACCCAGCTTCCAACACATAGCCAAAAGTCCTTCAAAAAGAATCGAAAAATAAAAGCATTTGTGATGAACCTTGGTTCAATACCCAAAATACAAGAAAAAGTCGTGACAAACTTTCCCATCGTTCCTAAAGCCTTCAAGTAGAGTAGAGTCGCCTCGTTGCTTTGCCCCATTCCATACAGCTTCACTGCTGAGGTTCCAAGCCCTTTTCCTCTTCGCCTTGCATCATCTAGAAAAAGAAATGCCGTTCCTGGTGGAGATCCCATCTCCAGACGGAATAGATAAGTCCAATTTCAATCCTTGCTACCTTTGATACAAATGAGACAGGAAGATGATGTGATGTGAAAAGCCGGCCGTTTGCAGCGTATTTTATGCCTTAAAGTGTTGCTTAGTCGATAATGATGGGAGGTCAAAACAGATAAGTGTTCCTCAAGAATGTTCATAAGTAAACCCGATGCCAGTTTGCTCGACCAATAAAGAAGCCTCGGTGTGCCCTTTCGTGTTTCAATAGTCTTCGAGCCTAGAGGTCCAACCCAAGACGCCAAATAAGGAAATGACTCGATACGTGACAGAACTTGAAGGTTCCACACGAACATGGTCGAAGATGAGGACCAAAATAAGCGTATGTTGCTTTCGAGAAGAGAATCGCAAATGGCAAAGTCGCGAATGTGTCAGGAAAGATTGTTCGTCGGACCCAGGGCCAGACAAGGTGATCCTCCCGCCTGTTCCATCCTGAGGGCGGGCACTGGCTCAAAATTGCTGGTTGTCGCAACCAAACAAACAAGCAGAACAGCCTGGTTTGACTGAGACCATTCAGTCCTCCCTTCCAGGAAGTCCACGACTCATCACCTTTGTGCAAAAGTAATGCGAAAATAAAATATCCCAATGCGACAAAGCCTTCAATCCAACAGAAATAAAACAAATTCAGTAAAGCCCAAATACGTGTGGGTATCGCCGAAGAAAACAATCAATTCCAACTTTTCGGGTTTTCGATCATAGATTCGTCGTACAGCCTGCACTGAAATCCAACTCAGGCTGGAATAATGTACACTCGACAAAGTCGGGACTGTACTTGTCTGGGGTATCATTGCACAAAAAAATTTCACAGCGATATTCGTGGAGACTCCACGTTGAACCGTCGAGGTAAAAAGGTAATTCAATCAGATGTGGTAGTAGGGGGCGTCAGTGGGTGAGCGATGGGGCGAGCCCTCTCAAGCCACTTTCGCTTGCCTGGTCTGTTTTCGAGGTGAGCAGGGATAGTCGATGCAGGCGAGCCTGCGAGTAGGAGGGCACTTCGCTGTTTGGCTCGGTAGGCGTCCACTGGGAGTTATCTAGTCAGTAATGAACGTCAAGGCCACCACCACCAGAACTTACAGGCACGAGCAAGGAAAATTGGCCGTCCAGAAAACACGCGACCTTGACCCCAAGCCATGCGATATCCTAGCTCGTTGATCTTTTGCTCCCGCCCACGTTTGCTTTTCGAGATTTGTGGCACGCTGACCTCTTCATTGCCATTGCCGGTCTGGACTGAAACAGACGTCTTGCCAATGGTAGGAGCACCGCCGTCGACTTCTTCTCCCTCCTCCGCAAGCCGGCCATCTCGAGTCGAATCGGTCGCCGTCTGCATCTGTACAGGAAAGTAGGCGCGTGGAAATACAGCGTTCTGCTTGCGGTAGGAATCGGGGATTTCGCTCATCTCGATTTGCTCTAAAGTGACTTTGACTCGAACTCGTGCATTCTTCTGAGTGTCCTCCACGAGAATGAATTTTCGTCGTTTACTTTCCGGTAAGTCGCCGAACAATGCGTTGTCTTCCTCATTCTTACCTTCCAGGTCCCTCGAGGTCATGGCGGCGGTTCCGCCAGAACGCCCGAGGTGATGTAATCCTCCTTGCATCTGTGGTGCCATTGAAGGAGCCATCGAAGTTGGAGCCGATGGATAATTGGGATATCCTGGGAAAACGTGGCTTTGACGGACGTCATTCGGACTCTGCATATGCTGGACAGTAGCGTCCTGCCGATACCCTTGAGGCGCATGGTTGTAAGGCGATGCTGTCGTCTTGTCAGTTTATGTTTTCATACAAAGGGGCCGACGCGAGGCTGCAAACTCTGAAACTTACCTCCAACATTGCCGTGGGCGCTGGGGGACACATCCTGCTGATTATGCAAGATTTGACTTTGCGCACTGGGCAGTACCCCTGGTGGTCTGGCACTCGGAGCCGGCATTGAACCTGGACCGGCAAGCCCTGTCGGGAGTGGAAGAGACGGTGCGGACGCCTGACTTGGTGTTGTAGGAGTGACCTTTCCTTTGTGGTTCATCTTAGCTTGTCGCCTGACCCTACGACTTCTCATCCGGGGATCCTGATTGCTGTTTCTCCAGCTGTCGACTGCTCGCTGGATCAAACCTCGTTTTCCACGCAGACATGGATTTAGTTCCGCCAAAGCCCAGCCAACTTGGTTGCAGTCAGTCTCATAATTCAACCGATTGCCTTTGTAGAGATCCTTTGGTACACACGCTCGAGGATACACACAGTTTTCTGACTTGAATTCGTGTGTCAGAGCGGATCCATCGACCGATTCAACATCGCATCGAATGGTGTATTCCATCTTGACCCGATCTCTCGAGTACTCAAAGGCGATCCACTGGACGCCATTCCCGTCCTGTCGAACCACCAACGGCGTCGTAGCGGGAATCGGTCCGGGGGCAGCATTCGAGTTGGGCGGCATATTGGGCGGCACACCAGAGGGAGACTGCTGCTGCTGTTGTTGTTGTTGCTGTTGTTGCTGCCCAGGCTGCTGCTGTTGCGCTTGTTGGAGAGTCTGTTTGTAATCGCCCAGTCCCGGCGCAGGAGGATTGGCGTTGGAGTGTTGTGGCTGTTGCTGCTGATGAGGGAGCATTCCCGGTCGTGGTTGCGGTGTCTGCTGATATGATTGACCAGGCTCAGATTTCAATCTTGGACTATTCGAGATTGTGGAATGGTGCTGAGACCCCTGTTGAAGCTGAGGGGCAGCCGACTGGTATGGCATCATCGGTTGCGACTGAATTTGGTGCTGTTGCGTCTGTCCATGATGGGCGCCATACGGAGGCTGGTGCACTTGACTCATCGACTGATATTGAGGATATCCATATGGAAGTTGGCTCAATTGTGCCCCTGGCTGAGGATACATCGGTCTACCGGGATCATGCGACTGTGGCGAGGTCACCGAGGCGGGGGAATTAGACTGCGGCGTGTATATTGGGGGATAGGGCCGCTGCATTGTCGCCGTTGCTGCCATAGAATCGGGCTTTTCTGATAAACCTCGTGTCAATGCCTCGTGCGTCCATCCCGTCTCCAGGAGGCTTTAGCTTACCAGTCGGATAAAACGTTCCTGCACCACTGCTCTGACTCCTTGGGCTCTGATTCGGCTGGAAATAGTTGGGCGTGTCGCTTTGCGCCTGCGGAGTTTGAAATTGATGCTGGTTGTTCAAAAAAGGCGACTGAAGATTCGCTTGCGGTGCGTACAGGATTGGCGATGCGTAGGGCTGCTGAGAGGTCACCGTACTGCTCAGTGTTCGTGACTGCGAGACATGAGGCGGCAGAGCAACGTTCGGGTAGGCTCGTGGTGTTCGATGCTGCATTGAAGATCCATGTGTCAGCGCAATGTTGAACCAAAGCAAGGAAGCGGATCAAGCATTCAAAATGCAACAAAAGACCAGGCTGCGCATTGACAAGAGACCAGGATGGCAAGACAGGCAGATCACAACGCCGCTTCATGGGCAGGGAAGACCGTAGTTAATGCAAAACCGGGGGGACGTGAACATGGTCATTGGCAGGTGCATTTTCGGTTGGGTGGATGGTTCCGTCCAGGTTGAGGGTGGACTCAACCAGGTCAATGCGACCAGCCTTCGGGAGATCCAAGATGGAGACTAAGCGTAATTGACATACAAGCTTCAAGCCAGGTGAACAGCTCCGGGTCGTCGAACGTTCCCAGGCGGCTCAACCGAATACTTCGTTCCGGCGACCTGTGACGGGAGATGTTTCATTGGCCCAAGTGCCGGGGTTGAGGGAGACGACAAGAGTGAATGGTCGCGCAGACAGAAGCCAGGGATGCGACGAAGGTGCAAGGCTTTATTAGACTTGGTTGAATGTTTGTCGAACAAATTGCCAGGGTGGATATGGCGAGTTTCAGAAGCATGAGTGAGGTGCGTTGGAGGGGTCAATGCGGGCATGTGATGACGGAGAAAGGCCAGCCACAGAGGACACGGGAGGTGCTCGTACGAGCAGGGGGGGGGCATACCATGTACTGAAGATTCGCGGTAGCCGCACAGTGGTGACCAGGGATAGGTTAAAGCGAAAGAGAATAGTGGGAATGGAAGGACTGGGGTCGAAGGGAATATGAGGTTCCTTTGTAGCAGGTATGCGAAGGTGTATTGGAGGCAAGTCGTCTGAGCATTCGAAAAGGGCAAATGTAGACGGCACGTCAGACGTGGCGGTGCAGATGCGAAGGGATCAATGAAAGGGAACAAGTTTTGGCGAGGACAGAGAGGGAGGAGAACAGTGGAAATGATCCAGAAAAGCCGAGAGCAGGCTGCATGATGTGAGCGTGTGTGTGTGTGTGTGCGCTGCGTGTTGAGTCTTCGTAAGGAGGGTCGACGGTGCAGGAAGTGGATTCTGCACCATCCGAGCCTTTCGAAACTCGCAGTCTGGCAGCCAAGTGGGCCTCACGCTGCGGGAGCTTAAGTGACTGGGAAATCTGAGGGTTTGGAACAGCTGGTGGGCCGTGTGAGTGGGAGGGAGGATTGGCCAACGTTGGCGACGAGCGTGGATGGCGTGCGTGGTCCGAGCGTTCCACAGAGGAGAGCCATGGGTTCCATTGCCTTTGAGACCAGGAAGGGGCAATTCGGGTACACGAAGCCGGACCAGGGGAAGGCCGGCCACCATCATGATGGGATAAGGGAGATGACCCAGGAGTGAGACTAAGGCACCCCGACCGGGACCAGGGTCGCATCCATGATTGCAGGGGCCAGGGCATATCGGCATTGGGCCGTGAGCCCTACTCCGTAAGTCGATCCCCAAAAGCTTCAACGGGCAGACCAGGGGGGCTTGTGCTTTTTGAGTCGATCATCGACCAGGTGTGGAACGAAAAAGAACGAAGAAAGTCGTGCGAGCATCGGAGTGTATGAGTTGGCGACTTACATCGGCAATAACGTTACGAGCATTGTGGTCCCCTTCTCTTGCAGCATCAGCTCCTGGTCCGGGGCCGGTGCCAGGACCGTGAGGACCAAACGCCACGCCGCTGGGAGCAAGTAGGTGCGGAGTATGTATCTGTCCCGGTAGATTATGTGGCTGGAGGGAGGGAGGATTGAGTTGAGTGTGGACGTTTAGCGGATATGGAGCTTGAACATGCGCTTGGGGCAAAGGGTAATCGTATTGTTGTGGACGTGCATTCCCATCTTGGGCAGCAACCAGTCCTGTATCGTAGCATGATTTCTCCGAAGCGACGGCGTATTTTTCACTGTGGGCGGGCGGCATAGCGTGGTCGGGAGACAGGGAGGCAGGGATGTCGGAGAAAGCCAAACGTTAGGAAAGGGTCGTCGTGGAGAGATGGAGGAGAGAGATTGAGATGGATGCGAGTTGCGGCTGACGAGACCGAGGAACTTGGGTTCGTCGGATAGCCAACGATTCATGAGTTAGTCGGATCGAAAGTGAAGCCAGGCTATACTCGTACTGTATGTTAGACTCGTAGTGGGCAGCGTTATGGGAATGCTGGTGTCTCTTGTGTGTAGACGGAGTATAGTTCATCAAGGATCCCGTACTGCAGCCGAAACAAAGGACGCTTGTGTATTTCGCGTCAAGACGAGGATCGAAGGTGTGTAAAACATCGGCTTTCAACACCAATCGAGGGTGGAGATGAGGGAGAAAGTGGTAGGGATGAAGGAATGGACCTGTCCACGAGTAAAAAGAAGACTGTATCCGTGCTCCGTATGGTGAGTGCGTTTGCGAAGTGCCTGTTTTGGCGATTGACGGTAATATGGAGTTCTTTTGCGAGTATCAAAAAAAACACTCTCTAACACTCCGCTCAGCGTGAACGAAGCTCGACCAGAATCCTGTACAGGTCAGGCGTCCCAAGAGGCTCTACAAGATCCTGTGTGATTTGACCTGCTGAGACCGTGAGATTGCTCTGGTTTCACCTTTGTTTCCCCAAGATAGCTAACTTTTCATTCTACACGCGCACGTACATACTGTACACGTAAACACATCGAAAGAAAAATTTTGATACTCCGTACCATCGATCACCCCTCGGAATCTTCCATTACAAGTTTGACCATTACTCCCTAGTACGTACAACTCTTATCACAGGATGTTCTTTGGCTCAACGGCCGTTATCAACCAAATACTACGCCATATTCCATATCTATTCGGTAACAGGAAATGTGCAGCGAAAGAAAAAATTCAGTGATACTACCATCACACACACACACACACCCACAGCTGAAATTTCAATTTGTCTGATCCACGAGGTTAAAGCTTGAAGAAATCGAGAATTGCTTGTGTGTCTTGCTTTCGCTTAGCTAGCCACGTTTCCTCCCAGTTGCTTTCGCTGCTCCTCTACTCTCATTCAGACGGTCGCAAAGGACGAAGCTAAAAGGGTCGCTATCCGTGTCCGTAGCTCGTGTTGCGCGCAAGGTGGAACGGACGAGATCTAGATGTCTAGGGCTAGGTCTAGTTCAAGCTCGAGGTCAACTGTACGAGGAGGGTTTGGTAGGCGGATGTTGATGATTCCCACTTCTACCACGGGGATACTTTGCTGCCATGCCCGCTGATCCCTCCACAACAAAAAGCACGCTCCTGTACTGTCACGGTTAGCGTGTGTCGACTACGTCCATGCGTCAGCCAGGGCTTCTGGGCTTATCCCTGCAATTTCCAGCGGCTGGAGACTCGAAACACGGGTAAAGAGGCCTGCCAACGGCGCCGACGATCATCAGACATGGACGTGAAGAAGTAAAAGCGCCTCTACACGCCGAACCCTTTCGCTAACCACACATAAGGCGCAACTTTGGCATGTTTGGCCTGCCACTTCTGCACCTGTCACTCCGTCAATCACGCATCGTTGGGAGATCCATCTGCTCGCTCCACCATCTCGGTGGCGATGCGCCACTTGGGTCTCGTTTTTGCTGAACCTGCTCAACCCCTCAAATCGTGTTCCATCGGACTGGTCCGCCGTAGCTGCGAGATTGGTTCGACAGACCCTCCTCGTGCTGCTGCCCGCAGTCCAATGACAGCCAACAGTTGGGCCCAATTGACTCTGCACCTGCAGCTCGATGCTCGCACATTCCCATCAGTGCTGCGTCATTCTTGTACCATTTGCTTTGTGTCACTGTCAAATGGCTGTGTGTCGCCGTCAAGGACGTTGCGGCCAACCCGAGCCCGCAGTCAACCTGTGAAATCACTTAATCATCCCAGATCCTGGTTCAGTCTGTCTGGGACGTTGCGGCTCGTGATTTGATTCATGCGTCTTCCCTGTCTCCGCTTGCTGGCATCCCTCGCCCAAGCACTAGCCCCCAATGAGCCCTAGTCCCGGGCTGCAATGCGACAGTGATGAACTGCCATGTGTGGCCCGGCGTTGGTCCTTGAAATGGTTGCTGGCGCCGTCGATCAGCACTTGGGCCTCTTTCGGACAAGTGTCGCCCCATCCCTCGAGCCTTTGCTCTGACAATGGCTGCAAGCCACAATTCGCGGGCAATCAATGAGCGATGAATTGTCAAGGAAAAGGCTTTTCCGTCGGTGATGCGTCACGGACGCAACAGCTTCCCAGACCAGCGTCGGTCCAATGCACTCGTCCCGTCCGTTCACTATGGGTCTCACATGCTGCAGAAATGTTGGCATAGGCTACACCGACTCAAGCTGAAAGGCTGGAAATATCTACCCAACCTGCCGTGTAGAGAGATATCTGCGACGAATTAGCGCCAACTCAAAGGCCAGACCGAAGCACCGTGCTTTGACCTGCGTCAGGCGGGCCGGCGTCTTCGCTGCGGTCTGCCTGGGATCAGCAAATGGCCATGCGTTCCAAGCTCAAGGCCGGGCGAGGATCATGGTCGAGAAGGAGAGGGGGTTGGTCGACTCCTCGTATTGAGAATGTGTGTCCGTGGGCCTGGTCCGGCAACCCCAGACACCATGATGGCTTATTAGCTTTGAACGCACAGATTGATCCTCCTCAGCCTACAATAGTCTTAGTCCCCTGTCCTTGGCCTGGTCTTGTGTTCGAAAATGACATTTCATGCCAAATCGAACCGGAGAAGGCAATTGTGGACGACTTCAGTCGGCGATTCGATATCGCGACGACGCCGTCTCACCGCAAGCCCTTCTTGGTGATGATGACCGCGGTCGGAGAGACAATGACCCGACTTCAAGCGCACACCTGCAGCCAGTTTGTCAACCCCTAAAACTCGGGCCCGGACCCCAGAGGCCGCAAACATGTAGACGGCACATGAACCAAACGTGAGCACAAGCATGTATAATAATAGAGCCCAAATGCTCGTTCCCCCACTTCTGAGGCACCAGGCCTGACAGACTTCACCGTCCGTGGTACAGCATCTGCAAACCAGTCTTGATGTTTAGCTGCGACACTCACCTTTGGGGTCCAGAGGAAGGGACTTCTTCCAGTCGACGTTGGAATTCTTAGATACGAGCTTCTCCTGCAGCCTTCGTCGGCATTGACAAATCCCGTTGGCGGCGCAAGATGAGTCGATTTTGGCCACCGCGACTTGTTGAGTCAACTTTTCATCATCTAGTCTGTAGATCAGCCATGTCAGACACTTATCACGCAGACCTGCGTCCAGAGTGAAACACTAGTTTCAGCAGGTCTGAGTCCAGAGGCTGCATCCAAATTTGAACGCGAGGCAAATCCATGGTAATGACCGCTACACGGGTCGGTCGATGTCTGTCATGTGTTTCTACGGTGACTACTCCGTACGTAGGTACATACAAGTTGGTGTCTGTTTGAAACGCAGTGGCCCCCCTGGGGAAAGCGTAGCTCACGAAGTGCCGCAGTCAATCTCAGCCTGCCGAGCCTTCATCAACGGTGGCCGGGCGCGGTAGAAGTGCTTCACTAGGCTGCTCTAGCTTGGGACGCAACTGGGGCTCTCGACTGATGGCGATCATCTCGGATGCGCAAGCCAACATCTCGGCATGGGTGCTGCAAGTCACACCTGTAGCGCAGCTGGAAATCCATAATTGCAGGATCACAGAGTGGATATCCACAGCCTTACAGAGCGCCAGACATTGTTTGCTGTCATGTGCTCAGCTGCTGTGAATGTTTCAATAGTCCGTAATTGACACGAGCATGATCAAGCCATGGCTGAATCGTTGCACTTTGTTGATGGTGTGGGTCTCGAGCCTAGTAGCCTCACCGCATCGTTGTGCGGCCTGTGCTTTGTCCGATGTTGACGAGGATGTGCTCTCGACAGTGTTGATCAAGCTCTGCCTTCTCGTAGCCTGACGAGGAGAGAACAATGCATCACCGGTCTCCCAGCCACTCGAGGAATCAGGATTTCTTCTTGCATACTCCGCACATGTGTCAGTAAGTGAATGGTGCTCCGTAGACGCTCTACTCTGCTACATGATTGGATTCTTCCTCCTCATGTTGCTTTGAGCTTCAGCTTAAGGGTCGGACCTTGATTTCTACACCGTGAGCGGCTGGCAAAGGCTCCCACTATGCAACGGCTCACCGAGTCCAACAAGTTCGGTTGTCTCCGCAGGGGAGAAGCTTTGGTTCAAGACTATGACAAGTGGATCAAAGTCGTTTGCTCAGACGGTGCTTCATGTCATCCTTTTCTCTTCCACTCCGGTCCAGTGACCACTCAAACGAATATTCGAGATTGGAAGATGGCTGAGAAGGACAACGTCGTTGCCTGAGAAGGATACCAGACGGATCGATCTGCCCTTTTTCTTCAGGTCGCCTAGACGAGATTTGCTCCTGAAGAATGCATATCCGGTAACCAGACGGGGGAGGCCTGGTTGAATCCGTCTCCCCGCAAGATAAGGTGGAGGTCCATGTGCCAACCCTCGACAACGTCTAGGGAGTGCCGTTGTACTCCGTACAAGGAGGGACTATACAAGGTTTGTAGCTAGTGCGATTCATGTTGCAATAGCGACAAGTAGAGGCGCAAGTTAGATGAAATCGGGGCGTCCGAGGGGCCACCAGGCCCGATTACTTGAGGTCTATACGTACAGAATCCCCGGTTGCAGCAGACCAGGTGCGGGACATCGGTAACTCTAAAAGTGTTTGCCAGTGGTAGAAGATCGATATGGGTGAATCAAAGCGATGTGTTTATTCGTTGTCATTGGTTTCAGTAACATTGTTATCGCAATGTCTAGGTCAGGAGGACAAGGCGTGGTGGACAGATCGAGGAAGGAAATGACAGGAAGGTACTCCGGTATTGGTGGCCTGCTTGGCGACATTATGCACCATAAGCGTCGTTCAGTGTCTGTAGATGCAGATCAATTCCTTTGCCACATCTGCGGCGGTAAAGACCAGTAAAATGTACATCATCTGCTTGCTGTGATGAGCCGTCGAGAGCAGAGCGGGGCTACAGCCACTTGCAAACTCCATATTACTGTACGGAAACAGAGTACGGGGTGTGTTACCAGAGAGTCGCATCACCTGCGCGCCGTTCTCTTCCCTTCAGGGACATTTCACAAAGTTCGGAGACCCAGAAGATTGATGCAGGCCGAGTTGGAGCGCCCCAATGGATCTAGAGATGTCTCAGTGGGAAGATCTCTTTTTGGCGTTGCTCCTCGTACTGTGCAACCTGCAACTGTACTTCGCGCGCACCGAAGAATTGGATATACAGGGGAACGACATCCGTTGCCGAGTTCTGCGCATCACTGAGTAACCTTGCGGGCACATGCATTTGGTAGTCTGTACGATGGCTACACTGAAAGAATGGTTGTCCGGCTGGTTAACTGCGTCTTGTCAATACGGAGTAGGTCCAACCAAAATAGCTACCCTGAAACTTGGGATCTCCCCTTCGCTAATCGCCCGTAATCGGTTGTCGCCCTCCAAACCGCAGAATCGGCATGTTTTGGTGGTCTACTTGCTGCTATTTGGATTCTGAAGCTTGGATTGTCTTGTAACAACACAGCGCATTGTCGTCAATCTGTGAACTGTGTGATAGTCGATTTGTAGGCAGTTGATGACGGACGTGATGGACAAGGGTAGGGTCGAAGAAGTCCCAGGTCTATGACAACGGGAAGCCCTCGTGGCGGACAACGTGCTATTGATCGTCCTCCCATGTTATCACGAGCTTGACACGAGTACAAGGACGCTGATGGTGTGTACAGGGCGTCGTTGAGACAGGATCATCAGGTACTAGCTTTTAGCAAGCGATAGTCCATGTTTAGCGGCATGGTGTGGAGGACGACCAAGAGAGGAGGGTGGCCAGGTGGGAGGGTAGATTCAGATCCTGGCTCTGGGACGCCAGCGAGTTGATGGATGTGACACATAATAAGGGTAGCACAAAGCAACGCCTTTTCATTTTATCGTAATGAAAACGGACGTCGACATTGTGTATTGGCCACCAAGTAGTCAAGCGATCCGATGTTCGATGGGTTGCGAATGGACATGATGCCAGGACGACGATCGAAAGGTCTTTTGAGTGTTGTAAGTACGGCGCATATATTCCGTACGGACAAATAATAAGGAGTAGGAGTGTATTGTTGCCAGCCAGAAGAATAAGACAACGTCTGACAGAATGAAATCAAAATGACCAAATCTACGAACGGGGTAAATCACCAATCACCAGCAGTCTTGCAATTGATAATCATCCGTCAGACACGGTCCAGCTTCCTTTTGCACTGGTCTGCCTCGGAGCGGTTAACATTCTCTTGACAATGCGAGAAGCCTTGATGGGCACAAGATTCGATCCCTTGGTACATTCAGCGCATGCAAGTGAGAAGCAGGCGGCGAAGGGAACTAAGGCCCACTCACACCCTTGTCATGCGTCTGTAGCTACTCTGTACCTGGAACATGGGTCGATGAAGCAAATATCAACGGTGAGCATCGAGACCACCCGCCCACCCCTAATTCCCCTGCTTCATTGAGAGCTCGACGGTGTGTGAAGACCCTAGCCGGCGGCAGCAAGAAAGAGGCTGAAGTTCCCGCATGGTTCGACTGCAGCTCTTCAATGGATGGTGTACGCCACACTCGTAATAAGGAGAGCTGGAAATTGCTTCCTCCTAAAAACCTGGAAGTCAATGATTCATGGCGCGAAATCTTGACATATCAAATCGTCGAGACGATCCACCCTCGAAAGGGCGGTTAAGGAACAGAAATGACCAGTATCTCATGCAGAATTCAGAGGGTTCAATGACAAGGAAGTCGTGAGTGTGAGTTATATGCATCATCATTCTTTCACTGGATGCCTCGGTGCCACTTTCATTGTAAGTGTGTTCATTCACAGAGTCTAAATGGAAAGTTGTGCAACATTCTTGCGCTTCGTTGCACAAATACAATATGACATCTCGCTGTGGTATCGACATAGAAAGTAATCCTTCATCAATAGATTGATTCATATTTGAAATGAGGTAACGCTCAAAATGCTTTGTTGATGGCGGTCACAATTCCTCCCTTTGGTTCGTTCAGGCGTAATATCGTAAATGCTCTATACGTTAGACGAGTAGTTTCCAATTGGCTCGACTCTTATATCGGGGACGGGCATTCCTTGTGGCGGCACGGAGGGTGGTTGCACAGGAGTTTGCTGTGGGAGCATCGTACCCGGGGCGCCGGCCATGACATGTTGATGGTCGTGTCTGTATGGCTGTTGTTGGTGTTGTTGTTGATGTAGATATGCCCGAGGATCTCCCTGTAGCCCCGGAAGAGGCTTCTCTTGCTCAATTGCTAGAGGAGCTCTCCTCTCCTCGTCGGAATAGTCGTCGCTGCTCTCGTGCCCTCTCTCTTTCTTTCGTCGTCGTTCCTCCAATTCAGCCTGCCATTGGCGCTCGCGAGCTTCTGAAGTAGAGATTAGCAAGATAGTAGATAGGGGACAGTCTTTCTTGATTCTTACCTCGGATCTCCTTGGTCCTTTCAGCGAACTTCATGATTTCTTCTCGAGTTACGACACGCAGAACGATGACATAATCATCGCGTTCTTCGAAACGTTCATGCTCTTTCTCTAGCGCTTCAGGGTTGACTAACGCTCGACTGATCTTGGTCCATCGTGCGTTGGCTGGTATCCCATCCTTTTTGGCATCCTTTAGAGGAGCCACACCCTCTCGCTCAGGATTGGGATCTTCAGGGAACGGAACCTCACGAGGAGGCTTGAGAATGCCTTTGGGCTTGAATTCTTCCTTCTTCTCTACCGGCTCGACGAGCTGGACACGTCGTGGTCTACCGTCATCTTCTTCTCCAGGGGACATTGTCCGTGGCTGTAGTGCTTGGCCGTCTCGATCAGCGTCACGAGAGGAGGCTCGTTCCCGACGTCTAGAAGGTTCACGTAATTCGCCATTCCTGTCTTTATCGGAGCGGGGCTGTGGACGAGATTCAGGCCCAGCCGAGTCTTCTGTGGTGTCAGACTCATTGTCTTGCCCTGGTTTATCCCTGTGTCTGTGACGATGATGCCGGCGTCGTTCGTGTCTTTCGTCTCGGGCTTCTGCAACAGGCTCTTCTGTCCTGACCTCTTCCCTACGGCGCTCACGACGATCGCCATCTACCAGTTTCGGGTCGCGTTCAGCCCTATCGGCCACCTCATCTGGGCTAGCATCATCGCCATTGCGGTGGTGTCGCCTTCTCCGATGCTTTCGATCCTTGTGCTCATCACTATCAGAACCTTCATTAGGGCTGCGAGATTTTTTAGCAGCTACCCCAGCTACTCCGGCTCCGACAGCAGCAGCAGCAACAGTCGGCAAGTGCTTGCGGACGCTGGATTGCTGCTCGGGACTTGGGTCACGACTTCTCTCTTGGCGACGATCATCTGGACCTCTGACAGCTCTGTCGCCTTCTCGAATTCGTTCCCGGTCCATGTCTCTGTCACGGTCTCTTTCTCTTTCTCTATCTCGGTCGCGGTCGCGGTCGCGGTCGCGGTCGCGGTCTTTTTCTCTTTCTCGACGTGGATCAGTATCACGAGGCGCGTCCCTCTCCCTCTCCTCGCGATGCTTGTGTTTGTGGCTTCTATCATCCTCTTCGTACCGATCATATCTCGGCTTGGGTGGCAGCCGGGGATCGCGTTCCTCTCTTCCTGCGACGTAGTTATCGTCCCTATAGTGGTGTAGCACTGGAGTCCGCATTGAAGAGTGACGTCGAGGGATATCTCCCGTACGATCGTCAGATTCATTTACACGAGAACTTGAGTGTCTCACCCCATCAGTTCGGTCGATTCTGTCTAGAGCACGAGAGGAAGAAGGAGGTGGGCCGAGATCTCGTCTCACCGACTGTCTATACTCTGGCACGCCAATGGTACTGATGGGGCGCTCTCGCCGACCGAAGCTCTCGCGCCTCTGAGCTGGCCGTGACGATTCTTGGAGAAATTGTTCTTTGGGTGTGGTGTAAGAGTATCCGTCTTCTTGTAACGGTTCGCGCCTCTGAAGTGGCCGGGACGATTCTTGAAGAAACTGTTCTTTGGGTGTGGTGTATGAGAATCCATTTTCCTGTAATGGTGCATCTCGAGTGTATGAAGGGTATGCATTGTAGCCACCGCGACGATGGTATTCAGGCTGTCTGTTGGCCCTCACGTACCCAAGTCGATCCTGCTCGGCACGTGTGGCGCTAGAATGCCTATGATGGTGTCGTCCAGCGTGTGAAGATGCTGGTACCAGAAAGCGCTCTTCTCTTGCTGGCGGTAAAACTGGGCTTCGCGGATCATCCCGGGCCACACTGATGACAGGGCGCACTCGAGGAGGCGAAGCAGGTCTGGCAACGTATGCACTCAGAGGGCGTCGTGATTCTGAGCCGACAGACGAGTTGTTTCTCGGGCGAACAGCATATTCTGTGCGGACCACTGGACCTCTACCGGGATGAGCGTCGTCCAGGAAGGTTCTGCTCGTGACCCCTTGCGTGCTGTAGCTTCCGTGGCGTGTGCTCTGATAAGGATCGAGGGCTGTTCGTGGCTGAGATGAGAAGCGAGTATCGAACGAGGAGGAATACACCATGCCGGTGGATGCTCGAGGATCGGGGTAGGCGCTGCGCCGAGGCGATGCAGGACGATATCGGTTCTCAGTCATTGTACTTATATTCTAATCTTCCACCTCCGTGATCAGCTTATATTTCGATGCATGGAAAGGCCGAGGTTTTCGTAATCGTGGCTGACAGCGTTCTGGTCGATGGTCAGGTCAGGGATCAACACTGGATAGAAAAGGGCTGTTTGCTGCCGCTGCACAAGAGGGCAGACACCATGACGCTCTTGAGGAACAGTGCGGGAGAAGCAAAGGGCGTTGGAAAAGAGGAATAGAATAGTTTTAATGGCGTACCCTGTGGAAGGATTGGCACGATGCAGAAAACTGTCAGCGAGGGGGGGGGTTCTCGGCAGGCCAGCGAAAACGAGGCTGCGCACAATTGCAGTGGCCAGCGAAACAACGAACTCGACGGTAGCACAGGGCTGAGTAGGGAGATCTGATGTAGCAAAGATAGGCAGCTCAGAAGACGAACAAATGAGAAGTGTACAAAAGTAGAAGAGCGAGGCAGGGAGTGACTGAGTGACTGAGAGCGCCGCGATAGGGAAGTTGTGAGGATCATGAATTACAGAGGATGAGTCGACGTCATCCCCTTAATAAGGAATTAGGGGGGAGGCACCAATTTAGGCATTGTATTAGGTGGCCACCAAGCGGCCCTCAGGTACCTACAGGTAGGCATTACTTGAAAACCTACTCCGTACACTCCGTACCTACTCATCATACACCCAAAAAGTCCACACACATAAAAACATACAACACAACATACTCCTCTCTATGGAGCCGACTTTCCTAGCTGCCTCGTAAACGAAGACTCCCTCATTTAATACCTGAATCCGTCCCGCTTCGGGCAACCATCTGTTCATTTCTACTTCTGTACCGCTGGGCATCATGCCCAACTCAACCCGCTCCAGCGCCACCATGGCATGCAACAGACCATAATAAGTACTTGTATGAACATTGCACTTCTCAGCGTTGATCGTTCCTTAATGTTTATGTCTCGGGAAATGTTCTAAGAAGTTCGTGGAGCCAGATCGATACCCAAACTACACACGCCATCCCACTTCGCTGCAGCCTGGACAATCTCGCACAAACACCTTGGGCACAATAGCCAGTTGACTAAGAGAATGGTTGCCTTTTCATTCGCAAACAGCGACAGATGTCCTCTGTACTGCAGGTCGGTATCTTTGTCTCTCCTGCCCAACCGTCTCTGCATCGCCAAATGAGGTTTGAGAAATAGTAGTTCTTGTCGATCGCAGAACTGCTGCCCAATCTAATTCCCACCGAGCTCCATTTGTCTTGTTCAACTTCATTGCCTCTTCAAGGACATAGTCACTGGAACACTGAAGTCTGTCAAGGCTTGTCTGAATGACTGTCCTACGCGGGAACATTCCATTTTTGCAATCTTCGCCGAAGGGCGCCGGCCTGGTTGCCTTCTTGCCTTGTTTTGCTCTGCATCATCACCTGCTCCAGGATCATGGCGGTTGAGGAAAGTCTTCCTCATATCTATCGGGCACTGCGTTACCCCACAGGCGTCCACACACAATTCCAACTGCCGTGAACACCCGTGTGAGGTACATGCTGGTCCCCGCCTCAGTTCCAAGGAGAGCTTCCAAAGCTTTGAGAACCTCGGCTCTCAAAGCGAGATGATGTTGTATCTCTTGAGTGTGTCAATGGCTAACTATAGATGAAGGCCAGTACTGACTGCTCAACTCTCAGCTTCATTGGCACCTGACCGTGTTGATATGTCAATGGGGTTCAAGGGATGTCATCCCAGTCCTACTGTGTGTTTGTACCGAATTCTACCTACACTTTTCACAACGTCAGGTGAAGCGTGACTACTAACTCTTGACGGATCACGTTGACTCAGCCTGACGCTCGGATATTTTGCATGAAGTTCAGGAGGAAATGCCATGCGTATTTCACCTTTGTTGAGGCCTGTGGATGCCCATTCCTGGAATTACCATCAAGGCTTACTGCGAGTCCACCAGCACACGAATGTCTCTCAAGTTCTGACACAGGGCGCCCTCGTGGCTGTGCAGTTTTCAGCCCTGTGTCTGCGAGGTAGCAATGTCGTGCATCATATTCACGTGAGCTTCACACCCGAATGCTAACTTCTATTCGCAGACAGAATCTCCTTGCATCTGAGGCCTCGTCCCAGAAGCCAGAGGATCTCACCTGGCCGGAGTTACCTTCAATCACAGCCACCCTGCATCAACATTCTCAGTCATGGCTGAGTGGACAGTACCGAAAATCTACTGCAAGGCTCTCTCTAAGAATATCATCTTGCAGCCAATCGATTGGTCAACAACTCAGCCTCGTCTCGCCTCAGATCTGGAATTTTTACTCGCAGTCACAGTATTCCCCCAGAGCAATGGCTGCAACATCATTCTGGGGCAAGTTTTTATGGAGCTTCCGTACGCATCGAGACAATGGTCCCTACAACCTTGCACATTTGGACCACGTCAACGCTGCCATTGGTGATCCATATGGCACCAGCTTCAATTTCACCTTGCATCCTGCTTGAAACGGGGCAATTGTGTTGAAATTACCATGCTTCACTCACTATCATGGCAGTGTACTTTTTGGGTTGTCTCTTCTCCTATTGTTCGCATCAAAATGACCTGTTCTCGCTTCGGTGAGTTCAGAGCTACTTGGCTGCTTGACATGACGACGCAGGTAGGACTTGTGGACTGCCAGGACTCCAGTACCACAGATCAATTCCACTATATAATCCATACCATGAGCGACAGGAAGCAATGCCATCGTTCAGCATTTCATTTTCGATCTCTACAAAAACACTCTGATCAATTTACACAGTCTTTTCTTAGCTTTCACATCTTATCCTTCTTCCTTTGTCGGTGTTGAGTTTCCTTGAGCATCACCGTGGACTCTGAGCGTTGGCAAGCACCAATATCAAAGCAGTCATTACATTCCTCGCAAGAACGTGTTCTTTTTCCTCTCCACAATGGCCCCAGTCCTATGGCAATGCCACAAGTGCGAGAACGGCCCGATGAAACTCGCCAATGCAAATCAATGCACGGGCTGTGGTCATTACTACTGTGACGATTGCAAAACCGACGACAACATACCACCGATGTTGACATCGTCGCGCAGGTCCCACCGCAACCACTTGAGAAAGATCCGGTCCACCGTCAGTACTGGCCCGAAACCAATCAGTCTTCCAACTCCATCAGCATCGACGTCGGCATCGATAAACAGAAAACAACTGAGACTCGGAACTCGTCCATCCATGAGAGGCTGGTGGAAATGTCACGAGTGCGATTACCTCAACAACCCAGACTTGAGTCCGCAAAGATGCCTGGACTGCTCTCACACCAAGTGCAAGCATTGTACCACCAGGCGATCCTGAAAAGCCAGTGACTCGGTGGCATTTGGGATGTTCCGACTACAGAGTTGTTTCCCAACATGCCAAAAACACTAACGCTCTCATTCCAGGATTTCTACCACCGAGAATGTCCGGTCATTGTTACTTGTCTATCTTTCGCTGTCCATCGACATCGTTCTTTTCACAATTTCTAACTCGTCGAAGCCACGGTATGCGTCGTCGTCATCATCACCACCACGACGAGCAAGTCGGCGACATTACGGCACGCAACGATTCTTCAGGACGTCCCAGTCGTTACCAAATTGCTTAGGACCAACAGCACTGCGGCAGTCTTCGTTCCAGTCGAACCTCACACGCTCTCTTTTCAGGCCAACAGAACGAACCACCGTCGTTTTCTTTCTTTGTCAATCACTCTCTTGCTGCCAGAGCATCTCAGTCGGGTCCACTTGGCCCACACTACAACACTTCCGAATCACTATTGTTGAAGGTTCTCACTTGAGCACGAGCCTGGGGACCAGAAGTCAAGCTTATTATCCAGTCAAGTCTCTGTGATGTGGGCAGGGCCATGTAGCTCCCCTGTGGCTTGACGAAACCCATTTCTTTTGGTTGCTTACTTCTTAGCTACTGTCGTTACTATATGAATGATCAAACATTCTTTCCTTAAAATAAGCATTTGCCTAAATGGTCCATTGAACTTTTCACTCTCTTTGGCTAGTTAAATCCGGCGCTGTGTATTCGCAAGTGACACGGATATGAAGAACCAGAGAAGTCAGTAAGGGGTGGGAAATCAAGATCGTGAAGCAATAAAGTTGTCGTAGATATAATTCATTGTATACGTCAAATTTTACAACATTACATACATTACTTCCGTCTGATCAATCAAACCCAAGGGGAGCCAGGAGTCTACCTAAAGATCTTGCTCCGCACGATTTCCCTGGTCTCCTCAAAGCTCTACAGCCTGACAATCGACGCGCACACCGGCGCCAGGAAGGGAACCCTTCAAGACACTATCTGTATCGTTTGTCCTTTTGCCGCTGCGAATGGGTGGTGGAAGGTCTCCGAGACGCTCGGCGACTATCCGAGCGTTCTTCAGAGTCTGTCGATTGAGACTCGCTATCGGTAGACGAGCTGGAATGGTTGTCTCGATATCCACCTCTGACAGGGTGTTTCTGCTTCTCCGGTTGCCGGTTTTGCCTTGGAGTCGACGACGCACTGGGGACGTTGCTTCGAAATCTGTCAGGTTGTCTTTGAGGATCAGGCTGCCGATTTTGAGGACGAGTCGATGTGGTGGGAATGCTACGTCGAGAGGTGGCGGAGTCGGCAGGGTGTCTTTGAGGATCAGCCTGCTGATTTTGGGTACGAGTCGGTGTGGTGGGAAGGTCTCTTCGAGAGCCGGCAGAAGAGTACCTTTGAGCATCAGACTGTTGATTTTGAGGACGAGTCGACGTGCTGGGTGCGCTTCGAGAGTCTCTGGCGTATGATTGGCTTTGAGCGACTGGTGGCTGATGCTGATTACTGGCAGACGTGGTAGAAGGCGTGCCACGAGGATTCCCCGAAGGTCGTCTAGTGTTCGATGGTCGAGCCTGGGCAGACTCCCCAGGGGAGTTCAAGTTGTAGCTGGAGGAGGTCTTGGTCGCCGGCCCACTTTGCTGTGCATCGCTCGTCAGCCGCAGTTGGTCGGAACAGATGACGAGCCCGACCTCGCCAGGTGGTGCTAGAGAATCGAAGACCAAGAAGTCGATGGGAACGCGGTCGAAGTGTCTGTGACGTGATATCCAAAGGCGGACCACGCCCTCGGGCTCGTAGTAGTTTTTTTTATACCGCAGCTTGAACATGCTCTGGCTCTTCCCTTTGTAGAAGGAGTCGTCCTCAACGTCCTGGATCCGCTTTATCTGGTCCGAAGCTTTCAACTTCGAAAAGACGAAAGAGTTGTCTGTCCAACTAAACTTCAAATCGGGATCGACGCCGGCGCTGACATCTCTAGACCGTCGCCCATTCGGGACAAGGACGTCCACCGTCCAGACAAATTTCATCGATGGGAGTTTCACCTCCCTGGAGAGGTTTTCACCATCCAATGAATTGTCGTTGACAGCCGGTGTTGATGACATAAATCCATGGAGCCTATCCCTCCTTCTGAGATGGAAGGTCTTCATCGCACCGCTGTCAGTACGGTCACTATCGCTGCCTTTCGGGTTAGCACGTTCAGCATGTCCTTCGTGATCCCCTACCTATGCACGGCCTTGTCCGAAACATCCGACTCTGCGCCTTGGAACTTGATGGTCTCTTCAAGCCTTTGGATGTCCTGCCGGATGTTGTCTTGGGATTTTCTGATTTCGGCACTGATTTCGGCACTGTTTAGTTCCAGAGAGTCCTGGATTCGTTTAAGTCGATTTGAAGTTTCATGTCTCATCTTAAATTTCAGCAAGTGAGGCCGGCATATGAGGATCATTGCTCACAATTGTGTCTTGCTTAAGGCAATATTCAAGGTAGCCTTACATTCGAGCAACGATCTCCTAAATTCCTCCAATCCCTTTTTCTGGAATCCAGCAAATTTGATCTTCTGAAATACCGAAGCGTCCGACTTCATTTGACCAATTCTCTGCTTCACTGAATCTGGGAGCTGGTCCAGAAGGGTATCGAGACACTTTAAACAGCTATCGGAGGCAATTTTTAAAGCATCGAGGCTAGTGCTGTTATGTGTAATTTCGCAAACACTTGCAAGAGAATCAAGGACAGCCAGAAGAGCTAGTACATCCGAGCTGAGGTCTTGAATTTCCTTATCTGCGATGCGATAACTTAGAATGAATTTGTAAACTGCAATTGTGCCCGAGATGGCAGTTTGTATGTCAGAAAGAAGGGCCATCTCGTCGCTGATCTCGAGGCGGGAATGCCTAGCCCAATGTTGAGATAACCTTTCGAAAGTGAGGGATGGCAGATGAATGCTCCTAGATGGGTATAGAAATGATCCAGAGCGGCACGGCTGTGCGTCAAGGCATCAGTGCTCTTTATTAGGCTGTTGGAATGCTCATATCAGACGGGCAACTTCTGCCCCCACACACCAAATGTCTCGTAGCGTGGCGCTTAGCGATGGGATCAGTTCGTCGCCTGCAGGAGTTTTACCGCAAGCGAGCGGGAAAAGGTCTTGAGAAGTCTATCGTAGAATGTCGTGGTCGAATGAAAGCAGTACACGTAAGGCGTAGCACTGGTCGTGAGGCTGAAATGGAGTCTCCGATGTCAGATTGTCCCCAGAAGCATGCCTACTATGTGAAGGCCGCGCGAAGACCCTCGCATTCCAAATTGTGTGGATTTCGCTTGAGACGTGTCGAAATGATCCCATTAATTAACTGCGCCGGGCCTATTTGACTGCGCGTAGCATACGATCTCGTAGCATGTCCTCATTGGAAGGAAGTCGAGTCAATTCATTGGCCGCTGGACACTTTCCCTCGCAAGTGGTAGCAAAGAACAATTCGTAAATGAACCGATGGCTTTCGCAAATATGGCAGATTTCGGCGAGGAGATGGATGCTATGGCTTGCCAAACCCGGACCAAAGAAAGATCAGGCATCCCTGACGAGTATCGATCAAGACCGGCCGCATGGGATCCCCAGCCTCGGATACCTCCCAATATTGCAGACTTGTCAGAATGCAAGCCAAATGGTAGCCCAACTTTGGACGATGCATCACATCTCCGTTTGGTAGTAGCGACGGCGGCCACAGACCAAACCACAGAGGCAAAATGCCGTGTCGCTGATTCAAGACTTCGGTGAAGATACGCAGGGCAGGACGAAACCAACTACCCTGGGGATAAGATGTTCTCAATATTTACAGAGTCAGCACCCAAATGCGTTTATGAGTCTGGGACGTAAATATTAGCAGTAAGAAAGAAGGTCGGCATCTTGCACTGAATGATATATTGACACTCGAGTTTTTCTTGTACTGGGACATGGCGCTCTTCGTACGCTGCCTCTCCTTTATGACGAGTCTTGGTTTTGTGGGTGGCATCAATAACGTGAACTCCATACGCTCCGGATCTCGAAACGCCGATCGTTTTGATTTGTCATCAGATAATTCGAGTTGACATCTGCTGTTCTCTCTGAAATGTGAGGCTGGTGGTACGAGAGAATCAATTCCATAAATCAACGGACATCGCTGAGACTCTATTTCTTGAAGTTTGACACTCACGGACTCTCGACCAAGACAAATCGATGACCTCGGGTGTACGCCTCGGATCTTCCATCAAGGACACTGCATGAAACAAGTTGGGCCAAAACACCTGGTTGATAATGACCAACAAAAAGCAACTCACTCTCTTTGTCGACTTCCATGTCCATCTCGACCGGATCGAAGAATGGAAGGCCGCCCATCGTCCGGTATGGGAAGCATGTGGCAACGAGCCGGAATGTCTTCTCTTCGACATATTCCAGGACCCGGAAGACCCAAGCCACTTTCGACTAGTTGAAATATGGGATGCTGATAGAGAATGGTTTGAGACGAAGCAACTCACCAAGCCTTACTACGCAACTCTGTGGGAGAAGTCGAGGCCGACATGGCAGAAGGAAGTCGTCATCAATTACTTTGAGCGACTCGGTGAAGGATGTCGCTTTCGGAAGGGGTTCCTGGAAGGGGGAGAACTGATGGATTGATCTTAGAGGACCGATCGTCCCTTCAAGAGAAGCCACCTCCGTTTTTCCCGTAGGGTGAAGGTGAAATGCGATCTCCAGGCATCTCTTGGGGGTGGATCTAAAACAATAGCACGAGGTGGTCTGTAGGATTGTCGAGTCGGTCTGCCTTAACGGTCCAAATAGGGGGTCACAAAACAAAAAAAAAGAGTTGTATGGTCGCTTTTCCACCCAAGTCTCACAAGGGCAGGTGTCTGGAAGTAGACAGAGTTCCATGATCTTGCTCGTGTCGAAAGGATAGGCGGAGAGAGGTGTGAATGTTCAGCAATTCGATGCAACGCCAGAACGTGCGCGACATATAACGTATGCTTTCCCGTAATTGCGTCTGTGGTCTGTTATTGCCCCGTAGTCACATGGTCCGCCCCAGTTCGCTCACAGCCTTGTCCAGCCTCGTCTCATGGAATTCCCCATGACGACGCCCCCCAATCCCGTACGGAGTTACTCGTGCGTACTCGATGCCAACTTTCAAAGTCCGCAACCTCAGGCCCATGCCGACTATCTACTAAATACTTCCTCTCGGTGCACAAAAGTGTGCTCGCTGTCCCATGGCGGCGTCACTGTTAGACTGAATCTCTACTTCCACTATGTTTACAATCCACTGCTAGCCCCCATGAAGCCGTCTGGCTTCACCTCACCCACGCCATGAAGAAGATCAACGGGATGCGACCTGGCGAGAACAACAAGCGAGGCAACATCATCACGGCTCGGATCGTACCCATTCTTCTCCTCGGCATCATCGGTTACTCCTCCTACGTCGTCACCGAGAAGATATGCGTCGACTATTTACTCTCGCGTCCCGGAACTCGGTCGTCGTCATCACCATCATTCACCCATAAACAAACCGGCGCGGCCGTCGCCATCCTCACCATATATTATCTCCTTCTCCTAATCACCCTGATATGTTTCGCCCGGTTGATACAGACAATCACTTTCAACGCTGGTCTCGTCCCACGCGGAGCGCAGTACTTTGTCGAGAGAGAACGGGCGCACCGGGAGAGCCAGAGAAGTCACAAAGAGGAAGCGGTCGACCCTGACGGAAAAGAAGGCTACACACCTCGAAGGTTCAGACACAAGCGTGACTCGGGCCACGCGGCCCAGAACTTCTGGCACAAGGACGTCTTCGTCTGCGGATGGGACGGCCGCCCTCCGTTTTGCTCGACGTGCTACAACTACAAGCCCGACCGGGCGCACCACTGCAGCGAACTCGGCCGTTGCGTCCTCAAGATGGACCATTTCTGTCCGTGGGTCGGCGGTATAGTGTCCGAGACGAGTTTCAAATTCTTCATCCAATTCACCTTTTGGGCGGCCCTGTTCTGTCTCCACACGTTGATCTTTGTGAGCTATTTTTTCGCCCAGCGGAGGTCCCGTCAGCCCGGGGGGTTCTTCAACGTCCACTGGGTCCTGGCACTGATTTTTGCCGCGTTGTTCTTCGTCTTCAGCGCCGGCATGTGCGGAAGCAGTCTCCAATTTGCCTTTTTGAACAGCAGCACGATTGAGAATTTCACCCGCAAGACCAAGGTGTGGTACCTGGCCGTGCATGTGCCGCGGCACGTGGTGGAACGCTACCACGCGTCCGGACGTGACGATCTCAGGTTGATCTCATACCCTCGCCCTGCGAGTGAACAGTTCGAGATACTCGAGCAGAGTGGCGCGACGTTGGGCGAGACCGAGCGCGAGATGGCACGTCGTGACACGTTGCCCGGTGCGCCACAGGCGGCGTACCACCATCCACAGGTTTCAGATCGGTCACCAAATTCGAACCCTACGACAGAGGAACAACTGCGGGCAGGTGGTGGCTCAGTGTCATCGAGCCCGACGGCCGTCCCCGAGACAAGGACATTTGCCATCTTGGAGACTTTGCCTGGTGGGAACCCGTTCGACATCGGCCCGTATGGCAACTTCAAGGAGGTCATGGGTTACAGTGTGTTTGACTGGTTATTTCCGGCCCGTCTCTCGCCGCTGGTCGACCACAGTGACCCGACCGGCATGTATAAAATGGGAAAGGTCGTGGAGAGTCTCAAGAGCCAGGCACGGATACTTGATTCATCGCCACAAGATTCGCGTGACGTGGAGGGTCCCTTTTCAACCTCAGAAGGCGAAAACGAAAAGGCCGAAAGCAGACACGTCAAGAGACATAAGAGGAAGAAACGGCGATTGTCAACAACATGATTGTGATGGTCGAGGCATGCAGGCTTGAAACTTGAAGACCAGATCATTCTTATATTAATTCCAATAATGACTTGTCAATCTGGTCGGTGTACTTCTCTCAAAGGTGCAGTAGTGTCCCTACGAACGAACAGATTTGAGGCGATTTCTTTTTAGTAAAGTATCTCATTGTCGTCTTGTTGCCCAGGTGGGTAAATTCAGTAGGATATATTGGTCACTCTATATTAGGTGCTTGGAGAGTTGGTCCGTAATGTGAGGTAAACAACAACTCACTGTTCAAACACGACCTTCCAATCCGCGGTGCGGATGTACTCGTCCACGCCCGTGAGTTGGGCCGGGTCGACGCCGACGCTCTCCGGCATGACGGCGCCCTCGCCGCCGTCCCAGCCAAACTCGGCGACGTAGGCCGAGGTCTGCGCCACCTCGATCCCGAACCCTCCGGGCATCATGGCGTCCAGGTCCTCGACGGACAGGTGGTCGAGCCGGGCCTCGACGCCGTGGAACGCGGCCCATCTGTCCACGAACTCGGAGTAACCCATGAGGTCGGAAACTCCCAACATGGTCGTGCCTGGTGGCGCCTTGAGCACGAGGGCCTCGACGAACGCCCCCGTGTCGGTGGGAGGGTGGGTGAAAGGGAGGAGGTGCTGCGGGGCGGACGAAGGAGACCCGATCCATTTGAAAGTGTATATTCCCGTTTCGTCCTTCTTGGGCATGAGGAGCGGATTCTTGCTCCAATTGTCCAGGAACCACCCTATCTGTACATAACTCGTACGGTCCAGCAGGGCCTTGTAGATTTGTTGGTATTGTCGTTGGTCTTCCTGACCACCACCACTCACGGGACCACCACCCGAGGCCTTTTCGGCAAGATAGTCCACCACGCGCCTCTTGCTGTCAAAGTGGTAGACCCAACTGTTCTTGCCCTTGCTTGCCCGTCTGGCCCCACTCAAGGAACTGAACACGAGTCGTTCCAGGACACAGTCACCTTCACCTTCACCTTCTGCGGTCGTGACACCCGCACAGGCTCTAGCGGCTGCATCCATGATGTTGAATCCGTGCTGGGCTTCGAGGCGGTAGGCGGCCTCGTTCCACGTGATGCCCTCTTTGGCGGCGAGTTCGTGCGTCTTGGGAGATTGAGCGAATTGCCAAAAGTCGGTGACGGCGAAGATGGCGTGTGCTCCGAAAAACGCGGCGTCGAGAGACTTGGGGTCGTCCAAGTCAGCTCGGACCACTTCTGCACCGGACGAGGCAAGGTTCTGAGCTGCAAGAGACGATGGGGTGCGCGTTATGGCTCGCACTTTCCAGCCGGGGAGGGTGAGAAAGGTGCGGACAACGGAACCGCCCTGTGAATGATATATAATATTAGGGTTCTAGAATACACAAGAGGTGATGAAGGTGTAGGCACAGCGTGACAGTAGTAGTAGTAGGAGCAATACAAGTGACTAACCTGTGTCCCTGTCGCACCGAGAACCGCGATTGTTTTGGACATGTTCGTTCTCAATTTTGGTGTCTATCTACGCGTGACAGGGAGGAACTTGGTAGACGGTTGGTGTGTTGTGTTGTGTTGTGTTGTGTTGTATTGTATTGTATTGCTGTCAGTGGTAGTAGAGCAGAGTTAAGTAAAGTGCTGTAGTGGTGTATGTCTTCACCCATGTCCGTGGTCTCAACATCGACTCTTATACTTGTGCCTAAAAGAACAAATCCACCGTACTTTGTTGTTTCTCGACGACGTGATTTCGCAAAGGCAAAGTCAAGGGGCCCCGACGGTGCTCCCAATTCTCCCGACTCACCTTGTCTGTCAGGGGTCAGTTGTACGATATCGCACTTACTCTATTCTCCAGGGCAAGTTCTTCCACGCCTACATTGGTCCAATATGCCACTCACCACGTGTGGATACTGCAGTAGCCAACGATGAATGTTCGTGATCTGAGTCCGATAAGTCGGAGATCGAGTCGGACGAACAATCTTTCCGGTATTGTGGTTGGTCACATATGTTTTGTCCACGGTACTCCACAACAACGGAGGAAGCATTGCCTAGTCGTCAAAGCTCTATTCTGGATTAACAAGAATTTCGGTTCATAACTTTGGATTCACGAGGATAAGGTGGGATATGTAGACCGTACAGAGTCAAATACCAGGGTACCTGATGTTAGTCCCCCATTATGTCATGTTAGTGGCAAACATTACATCAGGAAGGTTTGCCGACGACTTTCCCATGCGAGTCGGAGCAAGTCCTCCGGACAAGCATCGTAAGGCGATAGATGAGACTGCGAAATCCATCATGATACGAACATGGTGGCAAAAGACTTTGCCCAAGTAACAGTAACAAAGAAGAACATGAGCATGAGGATTGCTATAATCAAATCCTGATGAAATATGTACTCGACACGGATACGTAGCAATATTCAATGAATCCCATACAAAGTACTTCGTAGCTGGATTCAATTCAAATTTCGTACTTGTCATGCCAAATGCCCAATCTAATACGGAGTACCTAGTATGAAATTTTTCGGGGTGTCTTGGTGAAAGAAAGTCGTTTCCACGAAATGGTCGTCACTTCAAAAACCCAACCAATCGACACACACACATCCACAATCTGATATCAGGTCCAAATAGGTAGCTGCTAACAATCTCAAGAACCTTAAGAGCTCTTCTCGATCTTTTCTCGCAGGATGCCCTTCAACGTGACGGCATCGGCGGCGAACTTGCTGATACCCTCACGGAGCTTTTCGACAGCCATTTGTTCCTCATTGAAGTCGAAACGGAAGGTAGCTTCGTCACTGATGTAGCTCTTCTTCTGGATGTCCAGAGAGCTGGCAGCCTTGGCATCCAGCTTCTTAGGAACGGCATCTTTCGAGTTGTACAGATCCTCCAAAAGGTTGGGTGAGATGGTCAAGTAATCGCAACCGGCCAACTCGGTGATCTCACCGATGTTTCGGAAGGACGCACCCATGACGATGGTGTTGTAGCCGTACTTCTTGTAGTAGTTAAAGATGGAGTGAACGCTCTTGACACCTGGATCTTCGCTGGCAGGGAAATCCTTCTTCATGGCAGCCTTGTACCAATCAAGGATACGGCCGACGAAGGGGGAGATGAGGAAGGCTCCGGCTTCAGCGGCAGCGATGGCCTGGACAAGAGAAAACATGAGGGTCAAGTTGCAGTTGATTCCTTCCTTTTGTAGAATCTCCGCGGCCTTGATACCTTCCCATGTGGATGCAATCTTGATCAGGACACGAGACTTGTCAATGCCGATGGATTTGTAGAGCTGGTCAATTCCCATGTCAGCGCGGAACATGCGTATTTCGAAGCACAACGAAAGCCTGGTCTTACCTCGATGATGTGGCGAGCCTTCTCCACGGAAGCCTTTGTGTCAAAGGAGAATCGAGCATCGACTTCTGTGGAGACCTTGCCAGGGACAATCTGCAAGATTTCCTTGCCAAACTCGACCAAGAGTCGGTCAAGAGTGGCATCGACCTGCTCGTCAACGGTCTTGCCCTGTATTGAAGTGTCAATCTTTTCTGGCTTCTCCCATCATCAGAACGTGGTCAGAAACGTACGTGCTTCTTGCCATACTCGACCGCCGGGTCGATCAGCTTGGCGTATTCGGGCTTCTTGGAGGCGGCGAGGATGAGAGAAGGGTTCGTGGTGGCATCTTGAGGCTTGTATTTCTCAATGGTGTGGAAATCACCAGAATCGCAGACGACAGTCTAGAAAGCAAGGCATGCATGTTAGCTATATCCGGAGATGCTCAGCCGGAGGGAGCGGAGCGGAGTTGAGGGACATACGGTGCCACAGGCTTTGAGTTGATCGAGAGAGGAAGACATGTTGGTTATGGTCTGGTATTTGGTATTGAACCGATGCAAGAACGGATCTGGTAAAGGTGGTTTGCAGAGGTGTTTTAATGAAAAGGCAAAAAATTGTACAGCAAGAGCAGACGGGACGGACGGTGTTTTTAAAGAAATGGCGCTTTTTTGAAACCAGAGGCCTGTGACGAATATGGCGGGGCAGAAACAATGCGAAACTCCCTCAAATGGAAGCCCGTAGTGATGATAAGTGGTGGGGGAAAATAGCAGCGAGGGGCGTCGCTCCAGGGTAAATCCGGATTAACCATCTCAGTTCTTCCGAAGCCCTTACGGAGGACAAGGACTCGTATTTGCTACCTAAAGTACCCGTCAATCCGTTGACCTGGAAATTAACCGGCTTGGATCGAGCGTCTCAACACAATCCACAAGAACGCTCCATGCAGTCAGTCGAGGACAGATATTCCCAATGGCACTCATTATTATTCTGTATCAATGAACACCAATCAGTTGATCAATTGATGCGCTGTCGAGACCTCTTGACAGCTCAGTTCCAGGTACTGATACGGAATACCACCTTCATCCTTACCTCAGATTCCCACCTTTTCACATGTTCTGATCATACCCTCTGTTAATCATCATCATCAGACCCCTACGATTACCTCAAGTCATGAACGTGACTCAGCTTTCCATCATAGTCTTCCCGCCATTGTCCCAGAGGAGTTAGAATGCACTTATAACCACTGGCTGTACAGAAGAACAGACCAGGAAAGTGGCCACCCACACGGAGCACTGTGCTCCGAGCCTCACTGAATGTACGGAGGACTGTAGGGTAAGTAAATACCTCAATATAGCGAGCTTCTCCACGGACACTCCTCAATGCGGACACGAACACATGTTCAAAGTCACGCTCGTATCTAAATATGAACCCTCTGGTATGCTGTTTGTTACTCGTACATGATTACTGATTAGATATTTACTATGCAGCACTGTTTTCTAAGAACATCTGCCTCCATATGTGTACTGTACTTCCGCAAAATCAGCTTACGATCAAGCACCATTTTTGCGAAAACCCTGCCCATTCCAGATTGCTCGGCCTCCTTTGTCCCATCATACATATCATGCTTGATCCAATCAAATAACGTAGATATAGAAAAAACGCACACAAGGAAACAAAACTCATGAGTCGGTGCCGTAGAGGCATGTGTGTATTCTATTGCGAAATGGTGGCTTGGATTTGGGCAGCCACCACTCTCAATCTTTCAGCCCAAAGGCTTTTCGCAACATAGGGAATCTTTTCTTTTTCCCACCTCGCCCAATTGGCTCCAGGGGGACCTCTTGTGTTCGCATACTGCCTCGGTTAAGCCGTGTCGACCCGTTACGCATTGGCGGCCCGTCGGCTGTGTTAGGTCGAATGTCCATATTTTCCTCGTTCTCTGGAATCTTCGGAGGGAGAGGCCACGAGTCACTCATAATCCGTTGAGGCCCCTGACGTCGTTGGAGTTTGTGGTGCGTCTGATGTGCCGGTTGCGACGGTGACTGAGCAGCTTCCAATCGGGCTCGAGTTTGCTCAATCATTCGATCTCGTTCTGCTTTGGATGAGAAGCCGAGATTCGCCGGCTTCGAAAGATCGCTCGAGGTAGGCATTTGTGGTGATTCGACAATGGGAGATGGCGCTTCCTCCTTCTGCTTCTTGCCTCGCAGTCGTCCAAATAGGCCTCGTTTCTTCTCGGTATTAGGTGATATTGCTTCACTCCTCGCAGGCGACATGACGTTCTGAGGGATCTGAAGCCTGGCTGGTTGAATGGGGGTCTTTGGTCTCTCTTCGTCTGAGCTGTCTTCTAGGTCGGTCGAATCGTTGTCTCCAGCTCGCCGCGGTATTCCACGAACAGGAGTCAAGTCATCTTCGTCGTCACTATCGGCAGCGAATCGTGACAGCCACTTCCCAGGTTTGGGACGGTCGTCCTCATCGTCGGAGTCAACCGAGAATCGAGAGCGATGCTTCGCCATGGTTGCTTGAGGCACCGGAGGAACGCTTTCTTGTCGTCGTCCAAATAAAGAAGATGATCTTTTTGCTTCAGTCGACCCGCGTAGGGTGGGAACCGAGCTGTCAACGGATCCTCTCATTGAAGCACGCATTGTGTGCTGCCCACCACCCGAAGAGAAGGGCCGTCGGCCCACTGGTGAGACTGATCGGACTCCGTTACGCCCATCATCGCGTAAGGTAGCATCTGAAGCACCTCTCATGCTGCGACGCATCGTATACTTGCCACCCGCTGTGGACTTACTTCTGCGAGCTTTCCTAAATGAACTTTCTGAGTCACTGTCATTCGTACTCGTAGGTTGGACGGGTGCTGCTCGTGGTGCTGACACAGTTGCTGCAGCAGAAGTCGACAGGGAGGCAGGAGGGATGTGCTTCTTTTGTAGAGCTGCTCTCGGCTGCGTGGAGGCGTGCGAAGGAGCAGTTGATGGTCGCTGTTGCTGAGAGACGGGTGCAGGAGCCGGCATAGAGTTGCGATTCCGCATAGATCTGCGCATCGTCAGCTCAGTGTCAACTGGAGAAGCCGCTCTCATGGAATGTCGGAAATGCGAAGCCGGCCCAGGAGGTGCACCGGGTTGAGCTGAGGCAACGTTTGGGTAGGCGGAAGGCTGATTCTTCTTGCGTCGTGGGGAATCCACTGGTTGCTTTACAGCAACGGCGGTGCCTGGAACAGAGGCTCTAGCAGCTATAGCGGCAGGTGTCTTCTTCGGCCTCGGTTTGGAAGGTTTCTGCTGAGCGGGTAGACTTTGCTGCACAGGTGCCGCCTGACTTGGTGAGGCTATATCTGTGGATGTTTTGACTGGAAGTTCGGCCTGATCCGCTGAAATTGGCTGTGATGAGACTGGCGCAGGCGCTCTTCTCGATTGCTCTGCAAGGTCGCGCCATCGTGCCTGAGTCTGCTCCCAAGAGCCTACTGAGACCGGTTGGGGTCGTGACACTGGAACATGCGCGAGTGGACTTTCAGGCGGAGAAGCGATGCCTGTTGGTGCAGATGTTGCCATCGGGCTGTCAACAATAGCATCGATGGAGCCGAATCCCGTTCCATCAAGTTCGGCAGGGTCTTCTGCAGCATCGCTGTAAATACTCTCATTATCTGATTCGCTTTCCGTAGTATCACCTGGTTCTGCCCCAGGCTCTTTGGATTCCTTCTGAGATTCACCGAGTTGGGCGAGAGCTTCATGGGACACCGGAAAGCCTCCTGGTAATTCAACCTCCCATTGATCCTCGGGCTTGGGAGTGGGAGGTGAGACAGACACAACTGGCAATTCGACTGGTGAATCTACTTGTCCAACAAGCTCAGGTTGTGTGACTTGCTGGTTGATAGTCGCAGGCTTTGACGAGACAGCTGTGGGCGCGGTTGACTCTGCCTTCATCCTGCTGGGAGCTTGTGGTGCTTCTTCCCTTTCAGATGTGTCGCTTTCGGAGTCAGAGAACGAGACGGTACCATGTACCGAGGTGACCTCAGGAGGCAGTGGCTCATTTGATCCATGACTCGCCTTGTGCTGCATGTCTTGTGCTAGAATCGCGCCAACGGCAAAATCGCTCGAGACTCCCGTCGAAGGATAAGTATTCACAGACGACGCAGTAGATTGCGACTGGCTGCTTGTCGAAGCAGATATGGACGATGGGGGAGACTTCGATAAATTTTGAGAAATACTCCCCTCACTTGCGTCGCGGAATTTCTGACCCCTGACACTGCCGAACGAAGGCAATTGAGGCCTTGGTTTCATGAGCTCCTCCATGTCGTCATTGGAAGGGATAGTATTGAGCGTTGGCTTGGCCTTTCCTAGACCGAGCCAGGATTTCTTCTCCTTGTTCGGACTCTCTGTACTCTGAACACCATCCGACGTGCCTACAATCTCGGGCTGTGCGTCGAAGCTAACCCGGACAGACTTTTTCCGTTTGGGACCACCATCCACTGAAGCGCTGGACAAATCCGAAGATTCGCTCGGGGTCACGCTAGAACCACGAACACGTTGGGAAGAGTCTCCTGGGCTAGGTGAATGGTGCTTGAGGGCGGATTTCGCTGGGGAGACAGACCGCGGGAGTGGTTCGTGTTTTCGTCCAGCTGCAAGGTCGGAAGATAGTCTATCAGAAAACCTGGTGGACCTAGAAGGACTGAGAGAATTTTCCCTTGGTGGACGAGGTTCCGTGAGCTGCAGGTTGTTCGAAACCTCGGGGGTGGACTGCTTTGGTGGATTGAGAGCTTGAGATCCTGCTGGGACTGTTTGGGTAGTTCCTTTTGCGGGTGCAGCTGGCTCTTCAATCTTTCTCGACACATTCGCCGTGTTATATGCTCGCCTACTCTGTGCCGGTATGAAGTCTTGACCAGCAGCGAAGTCTTGCTCGATTGTTGGCTGAACCTGTGCAGGTTGCACTCCACCACTTTCCTCTTCTTGTTCACCTTCCCAGTCCTCCCTTACTATAGAAGGCTGTTTGGCCAGTGTCCCAGAGGCTCTTTGTGCTCGTCTTTCTCTAGCCCTTTCAGCATTTGAATCCGAATCCGAATCCGTTCTTGATGAGGTGTCGGAAGGTGGGAAATGTGTGTCTTGACCGGATAAAGCTGCCTTCTTCTTCCGCCTTCTAACCCGGGGCTGTCCTTCGTCGCCAACCGGGGCTTGTGGCTGTGATGCTGGCTCAGAAGCAGGTTCCAGAGGGTGTACCACAGGTTTGCTGGCCATCGTCCCGCCGTGTAGGTGACTGCCTTCAGACGCTGCGGGCGCAACCTTCTTTTTCTTCTTCTTGACTGGCTGATTTGCCGTCTGTGTAAGATCATACTGGATCTCTTCAGCTTGCGCCGGCGAAATTGGCTGAGAACTAGGTTTCATCGTAACCCTGTCACCATTTGCTAGAGGTAGCTGTGGAAGGGGAGATTGCGGTCGTGGTGATAAAGGTCGGGAGAAATTGATGGAATTGCGGCTATCCGTTCGCTCAAGCTCAGGCACCTGTGGTAAGACATTGTTCGACTGGCTTGCTGGGCTCGCTACTGCGGGTTGGGCATTGCCGAAACGATCCAGACTCTGTCCTCGGTTGGTCTGCTGTGTTGGTGGCGGCGACAATACTCGCGGCGGAGGAGCACCCTGGCTGGATGCACGTTTTTTCTTTTTCCCAGATGCCGTTGGAGCAGTGGCATATTGTTGTGGGATTGACGGCAAAGGTGGTGCCTGGATAGCCTCCGGACGCGAAGGCTGTCTCGAAGGTGACGGCGAGGGAGTTCTAAATGTCCTCTCAGTCATGGAACCATAACTGTGTTGTCTTTGTAGACCGCCTCTTGATCTTCCCCGACCGGATCCAGAAGAAAGTTGAGAAAGAGAAGCTTGCCTTTGAATCATGCGCTTGGTCTGGACCTGGTCGACGGGGGTAGGGGCAGGCGACATAGTCCTGAGAGCAGTTGCTGCAGCGGAAGCTGACAGATTATCCCGAGACTGAGATGCTCTGTTCGCCAGGAAGGCCTGAGTCGCAGCCATATGGGCAGATGCGGACGCAGGAGCCTGGGGCCGCTGGGATTATACGTCAGCACATTGAAAACGAAGACAGCAGGGTGAAGGTAGAGCTACACATACCGAGGCCGACGCAGACCTGCTTCGTCGGTGAAAGATACTCATATCGGCGACTATATCGCGAGGGTTCGAGACTCGATGCGACGGTGATGCGGGCGCGGTGGAAAGGTGTGGCAAGTGGCTTGAAATGCTATCGACCAGCTGATAGAGGAGGAGGAGCAGCGACGTAGTCCCCCATTGCGCAAGTAAATCGAAGTGTTGGGTATAGCATCAAGGGAGACAGTGTCGAATAGCAATTCAAGAAGAATCAGAGGATAATTTTGATAGCTGGAGAAATGAAATGGTAATGATCGAGCTTGGTCCTCCAACCTTGTTGGGTTTCTAGATTTTGGTGCCCAGTTGACCATGCCAGCTGGAGATATTGAGGATGGTGGCGCAGTCTTGGATCCCATTCGATCAATTCAGGCCACTCGAGACCATCTACGGAGGACAGGGGAACTAGAGGAAACTAGAGGGAGCCCACCTTTCGTGTCATTCCAACGTCATCTTTGTGATGAATCACAACAACCGACACAGAGGCAGAAGTGGAGAGCACGTGATAGGAGTTGTTTAGTTGCACGTGATTTTTGGACATCTAATCTTATCTTGCATGTGATCTCACCCTCACATTTTCCACCTCGGATGCGTCTGACTTTCTGATCTTTTGTACTCCGTAAAGATAACATACTTGTACTTTAGCACTCGACGACTCTATTCAAGCGCCGCTCTACTACAGGAGTAACTACAGGAGTAAGACCATGGACCAGGCCAAAGTACAGCAACCACTCTCATCGAAAGGGAGAGGTCTTTGAGTGGCAAAGTACGATTCTACCTGTGCGCGATCCTCGATTCCTGTCACTGCCAGTCTAATCTAATAGCTTTCCCGTCTCAATCCACTCTTAATCACTGCAGCTTCAGCCTCCAGCATCACATCGTGGCCATAATTGAACTGATGAATCTCGTCGAACGTTTCTGAACGGATGTCAGCAGTCAGAATGCAAGATATCTCCTCGGTGACTTACTGGGCACTGGCCCTTGAATATACTGCTCAAGAAGCTTCCCAACTGTGCCAGCTTCGTCGTAGCCAACGTTGGATAGGCATTGAATGGCAGCGGCTCTATCATGTCGAACCTCTTGGAAGAGCCCCAAGAGCCTGGGGATGTCATCTTTGGAGGTGACATTCGCAAAGATGATTCCCAAAGCTGCACCGTCTTCAATACCTTGAGCGCCACCTTGGCCTTGGTCTACCAGGCTAGGTTAAGAACCATAAAAACCGGCAAAGTCATTGCAACGTACGAGGTAGCATTGGATGCGCCGCATCACCTATCAGTACAGCTTTCCCCCGAATCCAAGTATCCAGTGGCGACCGGAACATCAACTTCCAGAGTTTCAAATTTTCTGCCTGCCTGTGCATCATCACGCATTGTAAGAAACAATGCTTTCTCTCCCCTTATGATCGCTACTCACTTGCAGACTTCCAGTATCTGTGGCCCGAAGTCTCGGTAGGTGTTGACAAGGTCCTCCGTCGAGCCTCTCGCATCCCAATCTGTTCGAGTCAGCGACTTCCGTAGATTTTGCTATCATAACCGAACACACCCTCAACTTCCAAACGCCCAGTCTTCTCTGGATGTATGCCATTGAAGTTCCATAACTCTCCACTTGTTTTTCATATCCGTCAGTTCATCAACAATGTCTCAACTGGGTACTGAGTTCGAAATTACCTCCTGCATGGATACGATACTAAACGTGTATGGGTCGAGGCATATGCAATTCTGATACCGTCGCAATACTTGCTTACGAATTCCTTTGACTCTGGGTTCTCGAGGAGTTTGCTCTTTGGTATCAGCCAGCGGTACGAGCACATTCCTGTAGCTTCGGCGTCTGCGGACTTTCCATTGATGAGGTTGACAAATCGTGACTGGCCATGGTATTGGCGTCAGCGTCGAAGCTTCTACGGGCATGTGAGGCATGACAAGGCCCTGCGTCATGTCTCTACTTACATGCACACCATCAGCTACCACCAGTAGGTCCTTAGTGATCTGACTTCCATCCTTCAGCGTCAAGATCCCATTTTCGCAGTCGATATCGACAACCTCAGATGACAGTCGCAACTGGGTCTGAGGATGGCCTTGCCTAGTCTCCAAAGTCAATTCTCTCAGTCCATTATGCAGATCAACTCTGTGGTATAAATAATATGGATGGCCAAATCGCTCCTTCAAGTCAGTGTACGGCACTCGCACTGTGATCTTCCCGGTTGTGGCATCTATCACCTGTGTCTGAGGAGTAGCCGGATTAATGAGGTTGCCTTCCCACACTGATTAAACGACGCTGAACATCGCTTACGTACCTCCTGAGCCACACAAGGTTGCCAACGCTGGAAATTGAATCCCCATCTAGACAAAATCCTACCAGCATTGGGACACACGTTGATTGCAGCCCCTACCTCGCTCGAGAATTCTGATTTTTCGAAGATCTGTTGCATCACATTAGAAGGGGTGACACTTCATTCGACTGAATTGTTACCTCAATGTTGTGACCCGCCCGAGCCAGCCCGGTTGCAGCAGCAAGTCCGGCGAGACCAGCTCCGATAATACCAATATTGAGGCACGGGTTTTGAGAGGTCGATTTCCCAGCTCTATCCATTTCGAAATAATTCAGAGAAAGGACTTTGGGATGGTGAACACAAACAGAGCGATGATCAATTCTTCAGCTTGACAAGCAGCAGGGGCAAGATGCTTTTTAGCCTCATTTCCTCAAGTTCGTCAAGCACCACCTATGAGAGGCAGCTGGCATCAAAATGACTTCTAAACGGGAGATCCGACAAGCATACGTTCCATGTGGTCTTCGTACAAGGATCACCAGCAGAGGCCGAAGTCATTCTCGGTCGAGTCGTAGTGACAAGAGCGATCGTCAGCGATCCCTTGCTCCCTGTTTCGGCTCTCCCCCACAAAGCCGGAGACCAGCATGAGTATGGCGCGTGCGGTCGACTAAGGTTCGCCGAGGATGTACGATCTGCTACATACGGCGTTCAGGGGTTGGATTTGGAAAAGACGTAACAAGGATCGACTCGCGCATTGTCGGAATCCGAGGCACTCTATTGCACCTACGAAGCGATACAAAGACCGCCTCGACCTCGGTCTCACAGTCGCATGTCGCAATACGTCTTCAACTCCTATTCTATCGTTGTTGAGAGATATCTTGACCACAAGTCATGATGGAGAACACCTTAGCAGTGTTAAGCTGTACCGGGCAATCTATCAGCTTTTTCGACTTGACTTCAAACACCAGAAAAGGATATCTAGGCGGACTTCCAGCGGAACCTCACGAGCTATGTCTCGACAAGAAGCGCAATGTTCTTTACGCTTCCCACACTTATCGCGATGGAATGTATGGCTTGTACAGTAGCTACTCGCGGGAAATCAGTATCATCGATCTGGTCACAATGAAATTCATGGATATCATTGACGTGACGCCCGCCGAAGCTCCGCACGACTTTGCGATTGACACACAACATGACATTTTGTGGGTGACCGTCGAAAAGATCTCGGCCGCAGATGGATTGGGCGGAGGATTGATTGCTATCGATTTGAAGACCCACAAGGTCACCAAACGCATTGAGTGCCTCTTCGAAGTACACTGGTTCGTCATGACACCAGACGGCAAACGAGCGTATACCTGCAACAAGACTGCGCCATTCATCTCGATCCTCGACCTTGAGGAAGCCCGCATGATAGGCAAAATCGACGTGCCCGGCGGCACAGAACAGCCAGACCTTTCCAGCTGTGGTCAGTATCTCCTGTTCCCCACGCCCAGCCTACGGTTCGGGACTTTACCATCCGACCCGGCTATTCTGGCCATCGACCTGACGACAGAACACATTGTCAAGACCGTTCCCTTGGAAAAGGGCTACGGACCAGCCTCTGTGCACGTGGCACCCACGGGTGTCGTGATGGTCGCGCAGTATCGTTTCGACGAAGCCAAGCGCATTCCCATCAATGGGAAGGTTTCCGTCTTTGATGCAAAACTCGAGACTCTGCTGGGTGAAGTAGAGTCAGGCATCATGCCATTGACGATGCGCGCCAGTAGTGATGGGAGGTTGGGGTTCGTGGCTGCCGCAAAAGGTGGCACAATAGATGTGATCGATCTGGAACACGTGAAGAAGCTGAGGACAATTGATGTCGATGTGGTGGCGAAGAAGGAGAACAAATTCCAGACGACTGCACACGGAATGGCTCTGTTTTAGTCTTTGATATTTGTTTGATAGGGCATACAATTGATTTTTATCAGTATTATCTGGAGCTTCTCATTGCTGTAAATACAAATGCGCCGTGATGAATTTGGTTTCGGCATCTCAAATATTGCTGAGGTTAATTTGTAGCAAGGCTTCGGCCCCCTTTTCGTGCCCCTCCCACAATTTTCTAGCCAGCCACACGATCCGGTGATACTAAGTGTTTCTTTTTTTTCGGTCAACCCGCAAAACCACAAACGACGTGGTAAGTCACGTTGATGATGATCCAAACCTGGTCAATTCTAAGCATGGGATGTTTGACGAACATTCATCATATTTTCCTCGCCCATCTACGTAATCTATGCCCTCATAACGGCTACCCATTGTTGCCGGTAGAATTCCAAAAGGACTCGGTTCGGGTGGGGGATAGCTCCATGCTTGCCTCTCTCCACCGACCACCTTCGGGCTTCGCACATTTGGGTCCTTTTACGACCGAGAGAACGCTTCTCCTGCGTTTATCTGCATCTTTCACCCGCCCGGCGTTTCGTACTGGTAGTGCTCCGCTCTCAATTTCTCGCCCAAGACATGCAGCGATATCGGTAGACGTTTTACAAAATAAATGGAGAGTACCTCATAAGTAGAATGCTAGATCATCGAAGGGTCATCCAACCCGTGGTGGGACGATCGGCAGCCGCAGATAACTTTCATACTCCGACCCACCGACATGGAGGTGGTTGTAACCTTTGAAAACACTCTCCGCCCGATCATCGGGGTGGTTGTGGCCAAAGAGCGACACTCCCTCCGGCGAATCACAGCTCGAAACCTCCAACGCGAGGGCCTCCCCGGCCTCCACGACGACGCAGGTGGGCCAGATCTCGACGTCGACCGTGTAGACCTTGCCGATTTCCACCGGCTGTAGGTCCGTGGAGAGGTAGTCGCGCTCGGGCACAACGTCGCTCAGGAACGTAGGCTGCGAGGTGAGGCTGCGGAGTGACAGCCGCAACCAACCTCGCACGACGGGGACGGGGTCACCCACCGCGCCGGTATAAAAGATCTCGGTGCCACGCCTGTCGTAATGACGCAGCGTGAGGAAGATGTCCATGTCTGTGGGTGTGGTCGACGGCCCTTCTTCCTCTCG